CCTATCTCACCAGCTTCATCCATCTAGCTTGATATCTGATTGTTCATCACCCCCTTTTCTTGACTCCTCAAATCCTTTTATCCGTAACCCTATCTCACTCCCCATCCTTTTGTTCTCCACACCTCAATGCCATATTTTCATATCTGTTCGGGCGAACTTTGATTATGGCAAGTAGTTGATACTTCTCTCAATTCTGGGGTGTAAGATTGCAGTAATTGCTGGTGGCTACGCGACTTTTTGGGGGTGACACGTGTCAGCAGAGAAGTGGCTCACTTATTTGATTAAATAACCAACACAAATTAGTTACACTTGATGTCGTAGTTACAAAATTAATTTGTTTTGTATCTTTGACGTTCTTCACAATTTGGTGAGATGTCAGAAATTTGGGTACTCATTTTGTATATGTGGTGCGACTTTGAGTAGACATCAGAAAGGTTACTTTTAAAAACTATGCTAAAAATCAAAAAGTGAATAAAAGGTGAAGTGAAGCTATCCAAACGCTTGGGATAAATGCTGTAAATTTCTCCTGAGAGTCTCATTGCTTAGCTTTGATACCTAAATGAGATGTGACGTTTGCAGGAAAAGTAAGATGTAAATCGCATCTTATCAATCGAAATTGTCCAAGGGATTTATAATTAGCTAATTTTTTTGCATTTTGACACCTTTGTAGATCGTCAGGATACCTAAATAGACGGTTCTCGCCATAGTTTGATGTTATTAACTGTGATTGAGCTATAACGTCAGTATCTCTCAACTTATCGTCTACAATTTGAACTTTGGACAAAAAACGGGTGTTCTTCAATTCTCTTTTAAAAAAATAAAGCAGGGTTATATCAATTTGATAATGCATAACACGCACCTGTTCCCTTGCTGCTCCTAAAGATGAGAATATTGAATGATGGATTTCAATTTGAGTTCTCAATATTTTGCTCAAATGACTACATTTGTGAGATAAGAGGAGAGTCAGGGTTTCTAATGTGGAAGAATTAGTTTAATGTTTGCATCGAAGTAGGCTACTTTAATAGCAACAAGTGCAATGATGAATAGTGGGTACCCCAATTCTGACATTGTCAACGCACAGCAAATAGAGCATACCAAGGATATCCCACAACTGAGAGAGCAGTGATAATAATGACAAGAAAAAATCTAGTATCATTTTCATCTAAAGCTTATGACTTGTAATCATAAGCTACTAACTAGTGGCTCACCTGAGACGCATCTCCGCTATTAGCGGAAAGATGTCTGGGTTTTGAGGAAGCTCTGAGCTGCAAAGAGCCTGCTATTGCAACGATTGTTAACCTCATAATAGCCAACAACATAAGGGCAACTGATAGGTTTTATGAAATAGCCAAAATCTTGAGCTCAGAAAGATGCCTTCTATTAGTCTAGGAAGGATATGATCTCACATTGTGAACCCTATAACTTCTCCTTCGCTTCACAACGGTAGTTTTTAACGTCCACAATGTATCAAAAGATTCTTTGAAGTGAGTAGTATATTTAGGCAGCTCTAAGTAGTTTTATCTCTACCTGACATCCAAAGTCTAAAGAGTTTGAGGTCGATATTGTAATTCACATTTAACACCTTGGGAACCATATAAAAAATTATAATAAAATTCAGAATAGTGTTGGGTGTCTGTGAGTGAACAAATATAGCTACCTCGGGGCTCGTCATGGCTATTCGTAGCTTCATGATGACACCTTTGCGCCATTTGCATATGGAAAGTAACATTACCTGCTACTTGCTTAGCACCATCAAGATTACTCAGGTTTTAATCAAATGGGAAAATAAATGGCTTCCGTACCGAGTTGAGTTGTTGCTTAACTCGTACTGATCTTTGTTAATCAGTCCCCTGATATAAGAATATTCAGTACTACTAAGCTCACAACCAAAGAACAAAATAAAAAGAGAACTTGAAACTAGGAAGAAGAAGAGGAGGCAAATCTTTCAGGAATAATATCACTTGTTGCCTGAAAGAGATATTTTATTGGTCCTTTTATTCACAATTCCACCTTAATCCATTGCCACGCCGAATAGGGAAATATCGTGAAACACCAAGTCATTGAGAACCCAAAGTAGAAGTCTAATGAGACTCAAGAGCCTGAATTTACGAAAGCTTTACGAGAGCTTTTGGAATATAAATACCGGACGAATTCCCTCCCTAACCATCATCAAACAAAGAAATCAATATGGCCGCTCAAACTACTCAGAACAAGAACAACGCTCCAAAGGACAACAACTTGAACAAACACGCTGGTCGTGGTGCCGTTCCTTTCATGTGCACCATTGTCTAGATGAATATAAATATATCTTTTTATCAGTTGTAGAATCTTCTATCTTTGTAACCCTTAGTTGGTAGATAACAAGTGCTTATGACATTAGCAGAATACATTCCGGAAAGAATTCACGCTGACTGTAACTAAAAGAAAGCTTCATCATCAAATGTCGTAGTAGAAGATTTTCGCTTTTTTTCCTCTTTCTAATTCAATTCTCTAGTTTGAGGCCGTCTTTTGGCGCTGGCACACCCGTGCACCAAGATATCTTGACGCGGTCAAAAACAACCACCATAATCAAGACCTACTACTCCAGAAAAGACTATATTTCGAATGATCCTGGTTTTCCCAAAATAGAGCCTATTAAAGCAACAAGAGCTCAAAAATCACGATGGTGTTATTTGTTTGTCCATAGCACCTTTCCACATGGTGTGATTCATCCGTGAAATTGACATATTTCCGTTTGAAAGGTAACGAAAGTGATACCGGGAGCCACACCAGGAAATATTCCATTCCACGCCTTTCATGCTTAAGTTAAGCTCATAAGCTCTTGGGGCTTTTCTTTTGAAAGTGGCTAGACGCTGTGGCATCGGGTTGCAAGTCTTTGTTGATAAAAACAATAAATCTGAGGGCACAGAAAGTGGCGCAATTGGGGATCTAACAGCTTCAGTGTGATAGTAAGAGTCAAGAGGTTGCTATGGCGGTATCCAACTAGGTCTGTGGTTCCTTAGACATCCACATTAGCTCGCCTGACCTGGATGATGAAAGTACTCCGTAAACGGAGCCAGCATTACCAGAGGCATGGACAAGATACACGAGGCGTCCATTTCAGGTCCAGAGAATACAATCCAAGCTATCCCTCAGGTACTACCAGCCTTGGTGCTGACGAACAGCATGCCTCATGTGTCAATCTCAGATTTGCTCATACCTCGCAGCACAATGAAGCAAGAAGGACAAAAGTGCCCTCACTTGAAAGCTGCTGACGTGATGACTACTATGGTATTTTTTCTGACAATTGTTTTGACAAGCAGATACTACTATATTGGAGGTTTCTGTGAGATTCTCACGATCGACCATAATTCCGTTTACACGAGGTACCAAAAAGTGCTATTACCCTCGAGTGATCTTCTGAAGCATGGCAATTACTATGTTAGTGCTTTTTTTGGGACTGGACTTGGTTTGCGCTGTCAATACTGGCCTGTATTCTCAAACCCAAATCTGCGCAATTGTCGGCCGCAATAGAGGAACGCAGGTTATCATCAGCTGTAAATTATATCATTGGCATTGATGCTGAATTCCTGGGTTATTTATGGAAAATCATCAAGCGGAATTGATGCTGGCGGTCTTCCATTTGTAAAGTGAATGTATAGATTCCGGGGCCTCAAATGCTCTCATTAAACTTATCTGTACTCAGTGACAAGCTTACTTGGTCCAGAGCAGTCAATCCTTAAGCAAAAACGTCGATTCCTAGAATTTAGCTAGTTATCAAGTCCCGATTTAAGCTTGTCTTATATGTTGCCTTTGCTTCTTTGTTGACCTTTGTTCGTAAACCATTGTCTAATCGTCAATGTAAAAAACCCCAAATCATTAGTGAACGGTTCAGTGGTGGAAAAAAATCACCATCAGTACACTGTCATATAACCGCCTAATCAAGAGAAACTTCAGCCATGTCATTCTAGTTTACACTCATTTCAGACGTTTGTGTATCCTCCTTCTGTTTCTCAATTCCCAAGAAAAAACCTAAAAAAGCTTTTAATATCTTCTAATAATTTTCTGTTTTTTCTTTTAAAGCCATACATTCCTGTCTTTCCGTTATCCTGAGACCTGGCTTTGCATTCTGTAATACTTGTGCGATTATGAACACGAAAGATAAATGCTCAGTTTAAAAACAACTTCAAAAATCAGATTTGCTAGATTTACTCACAGAAGGCTATCCCGAAGTATTCTATATCCTTATCGACATGGTCCAATAAGTCTTAGCTCAATTTTATACATTGTTCGGGAGATATGGGGTGGTGCTGCTGTTGCGAAGTTTCTTTGCTTGCTCCCAAAGACGAGAGATCAGAATACCAAAAAGTTGTAACCATTGGGTATGGATTATCTATTATGAGTACCCTGTTTGAGCTTTATTGATCACGCTTTACTTTCTAAAGTGTTGAATAAAGACACTCATCTACTCCACCGAGGCTCGACCCACCTTATAGTACAAAAGTTCATGAAGCTACCTATTTGTAGTGGAATATCGTTATTAAGGTTTCTTTCTTGAAGAATGGTTTGTTATAGAAGATGGGAGCTTACTCCAACTGCTCTATAACTATGATGCGTAGTACTACTAACGCGCGTTTCACCTTAGGTTGCTCCTACTTAATGTTGAGACGGGTGGAGCCATAGAGGACCCAAAGTGACAAAACAATTGTGAATTAAAATTTTTTCGATTGATCTCCTTGATGAAACGCATACTGAAAATGCATCGTCTAATTAGGGCTACGGTTGAGTCGTTTACGGGATTTGGCAATGTGTGATGTCCCTACAATTAGCCCGGTTCTGGAAAAGTCATGCTGGTATGACACTAGCAGAGACTGACAACGCAAGCCTTCTTCCAAATCAATCCACGGCTCCATTTCCATTGATGCTCCTTCCTGCTGATTTGAATAGATCGCAAGCTCTACATTATTATCAAATTATTTGTCTATTATTTCTATTGTGATCATTAAAAAACTACTCTCAGCTTATGCCTTGTCAGCAACCATATCGTCAGCGGTCATGGTCCTGGTGGATGGAACGAAGGGGGAACCTGCCCCTTCATTGGGCTCACTTCTGATAGATCCAGATTCATTGAACTTGAACTCGAAGGCTTCCTGACTGTCCTCGTCTTCCTTCTCAGCTGCAAGTCTCTTAGCTTCGGCCTCAAAACTGTACTTGGATTTCAGTCTGAGCCTGTTTCCAAACTTGTAAAACACGAATGGGATTGGCACCATCACCAATGCAATGAAGGCAAACACAGAGGTAGCCCAATCGACCTCGAGCTCTTCGTACATGTCAAAAATGAAAAGTGGGAACACCGATGCCAAACTGTAACGCAAAACATTGTTGGCCGCCAATGCAGACGCAAGACACTGAGGAGGGTACGTCATGGAGTAGTAAAGGACAATACCAAAGAAGACCCAGATCAAGCCGAAACCGAAGGGAACACCTGCCAATGTTGGTGCAATCCAGTGAATCGACTCTCTCGATGTCCATGCTAACCAGAACAAGGCAATTGGCAAGAACACTGAGCCAATAACTGCAACGGCCAATCTGGATTCTGGTGCAAGCTCGATAGGCTCGCCATTTTCATCACGCTTGACTCTAGATCCATCTTCGTTCTTTGGGTGGAAAAAAGTGTGGTCAAATTGAATAAATGCGAGCACACCAATAATCAAACCGACACCAACACCAATGAAGGGTAAACCAGACACGCCTCTGTTCATTTCATAAATGCCCCTAAAGATGATAGGGTATGCTTGGAAGAAACCGAATAACACTGCAAACACGAAAGCGATGTACACGGAGGTGAGACACACGATAGGTTCCACAATCAACATCTCGACTGGTCTGAAGAGGAAAATCGTTGCAATCTTCTTGAGAAGAGCGAGATCCATCTTGGGCTTGTCAAGTTCAATACCTCTCTTGATTGCTCTCTTCTTCAAAATGGCATGCTTGAGTGTTTCAGGACACAAAACAAGGAGTGGCATGATTCCACCGCAGAAGATCAAGAGGACCCATTGTGTCCATTCCCAGCTGTGATTGTCGACCGCAAATCCACCCACAATTGGACCAATAACAGGGCCCAAGAAAGGAGCAAGACAGAAAAGGGCCATAGCGACGGCCAACTGGGCTGGGTCATTGCTCCACAAGTCACTCACTGTACCTCCTGCAACTGACATTGGAGGTGAGTTGAAGAAACCGGAGAAAAATCTGAGAACAAGAATGGTTCTGATGTTTTTGGCAAGGCCAACTCCCATGGTGAAAAGCATGCCTATTGGCAAGGAAACAATGTAAATCCATCTGCGTCCGATGATCTCAGATACCGGCGCAGCAAGGACTGGTCCCAATGCCAATCCTATAAGATAGAATGTCAAGCCAGAAATACCGAGTGTTTGCGAGACACCCATCTCAATCATCAAATCTGGAACGGCCTCAACATAAAGAGACGATCCCAACGAAACACAAAGACAGTCTAGGGCAACAGTGAATGTGATGAACCACTTTTTAAAAGCTGGCCAGTTTTGAGGGTTTGCCTTGTCATCTGGACCATCCCAGTCTAGGTCTCTTGCAGTTGGCTTTGGCTGTGGGGTCTCTTTGCCTTTCTTAGAATCAGTGGACTCCAGGCTTGAGTCGTTGAAATTGTTGGTCGTCGTGCTCAGGAAGGACTCTTCGCTAGTTCTTTGTGATGTAGCACCAGATATGAAGCTTTGTGCTGGTGTGTGGGTGGGCTCGGAGTAAGGTCCTTGGCTTTCTGATGTTGGAGAAGCTAGAGTTGCGCTGCCGCCAGGGGAGCATATAGTCTCAGCTTGAGGTCTCGATTGTCCATCGGACCTTTTTGGTGAAAGTTGGAAGTCACCTCTCGTGACGATATCTCTTTGACTGGAGCTCTCAGGATCCCTTGAAAAAATCATACTTTAGCTTCCGCTTTTGAGTGAAGTATGAATAAATAATTGGGTGGATGAAAAATGCTATGCATTGGTGCAGAGCCTTCAATTTATATCTACGTGCAGCTACAGATGGTGAAGATGACCACGTCCCGAATGGAATGTTGCTTATCCGGCCGATGACGAGTAAATCCTCCACCCAGAACTATTCCCACATATCCTTACAGAATTATCCGATTGAATGCAGAGCCACAGCAACGGTTTTTTCGTGGCGGGACACCCACATCCACCAAGTGTTTGCAGGCTTAGCTCAACAATAGAATTATTTCTGCACGCGGCGCAAATATTTTGCACCATCGATAAGCGCCCGGACCGATCAATCTAGAAAATCTCCCGTTATCACCGGCTTAAGCTCTAAAAAGCTATTTTGAACAGGGTTTTTGGAAGGCTGCTGAATTACTACACAGCCTCCCTTGATCGACTCATTGGATCGAAAGATATAGAACGCCCGGGATGAGCAGAGGTAGGGACCCTTAAGCTGAGGCTTGGCGTTGATAGTTCGGAACAAAACCCTCGGACGTAAAGGACTTGACGCGAGGGCTCAAATGATTGCCATACCGAGGCAGCAAAACCCGAGAAAGAAAATAAAAAAAAAATTGCCCAGTCTTCGAAGACCACACTGAAGAACCAAGGCCGAGCATTTCAAGACCATCGGAAGTTTTTTCGATGTGCTAGGATGGAAACGGTCTGTGCGCTTCCCTCGGCTCTATTTTTTCAGCCACGTTATGTCACTGCAACTCTTCTAGCGAAGATGCGCTCAGGTACCGAAATATGCACCTTATTGCCGAAATGCATCTAAACGAAGAAAAAATGCGGCTGAGGCTACTTACTTCCTCGGTCCAACTACACCTCATCGCCTAAGTCCGAAATTCGGTGTGACCAGTCTCACGAAGTGAAATTCACAATTTAAATTACTTATAGTATTAGCATGAAACAGGGCCCGGGCAACATGCAAAGTCTAGTGACCTCTGCGATCGTCACATCGGGTTCGGAACAATGCTCAAGATGTGGGCTACACATAATTCTAGAAATTTTGAAACACGCAGGAAATTAGACCTCGGTTCCCGGGCACGTATCAACACGCCATTGCGCTTAGAAATGACCATCTACGAGCCGGGATTTCTTGTTCATCAAAGTACTAGATGAAATTGTCCATGGGGTCTATCTTGCGATTGACTCAGACTCTGAGACCAAATCCTCAAGCTTTGCCTTGAAGTATGCGCTTAACTTACTACCTCCGGTAATATTGAACGCGCCTGAAAAGTTTGATCACGCCAACCCAACAGCAAAACATGCCAAGTGCAAACGGCTGCGCCGCATAAACCTCATCTGATTCCAAGAAGCGCAGAATAGGCTTAGGACGTGGGCTTGAGGTCAGTTATTGAATTTCACGCTCAAATGCCATTGAAAATCTGCAATTGCTGAAACGAATGAAGGTGAGACAGTCAATGCTACAGGGAGATGGTGTGGTCCTAAAATTATCAGCACTATGAGGCTACTAATTTTGGCCCCAGCTTAAGTTTCATGCAAGGTTGGCCATGTTTCATATCCTAGACTAGGAGGTTCAGAGTGCAGATTATACGTGAAGCTCAAAATTGTGCTACCATCTAATAAGACAATAGAAGGTAAACGAGCCCTGGAAAATTGCACGATTTTTAATTATACGATGACATTTCGGATGACTTCCAGGGGAGCTAATCAATTTTTGCTTTCATTGATGTTAACCCCGAGCATCCTTCTGAAGAACATGAAGATGTAGTTCTTGTAATCCTTTAAAATTATTTGTGATTGATCACGAGCTGCCGAATTTTCCTTTTGATCTTAGGCAACTAGCTTGGTCTTCTCATCGTGCAAGTTCTGAGAATACCCCTGTGGTATCTCAAACGAAGAATGAAAACAAGAATAGGAACACAAAGGCAAACACGGACGATGGAAAGCTTTCTTTGTATCACGGCATAAGCCTTGCTAACAGCAATCCTTTCAGGTGGTCCCCGGATAAGCCACGATAAAGTCGTAAGGTGTGGCATAAGCAATCATAGCTAAGCTAGGTTCAGCACCCAACTCAATCATTTGAGCGGCGATTTCACCCAACATCTCTTGGGTCCAGATTGCACCAGGAATGCTTCCAGCAAATCCACCACCAATGGTGTAGGAGGTAGCAAAAATGGCCGTCACCGGACCCATGTATTCGTGATTTGTACATGACTGGATAGACACTGAAGTAAGATAATCCAGCAATGTATGTGGTACTTTGCAACAAACCACCCAATTTATCCTGGGAATCGAGGTCTCTAGCATCATAGGCACTCAACACTCCAGCCCCCAATAACATGGATCTTAGACCCCCTCCTGAGAAGGCAATTGCGATAGTTGGTGGGGTGGTATTCTCGCTTGCATTTCCAATTCTTCCTGAAAGCTCGCTGAAGTAGGGCTTGATAACTACAACGCAGCCAGAGCAACACCAGTGATACACATAGCAATCGCCACTCCATCAGATGAGCTCTGAACTTCGAATACCAAAAGACTTTGGAGCAACCGGTGCGGCTGGAAGGTCCCAAGACGTTTCTGATACTTGGGAACCACAATCCTTAGTATCGGCGCTGTGAGCTTTGGTGACATCAAAACATCAGATATTGAAGGCCTCTTTTGAGATAGGTGTCACTTTTGAGTCCGTCATCAGTGCTGCAAAGGTTCTTTGGAAGTTTTCAAGCTTTCATAGCTGCCTCAGATTCGTTCTGAACAACAATGATGTCTGTAATCCGCCAGTTCTGAACCAATGGCATTTCTTTCACATACGAGCTGTTATCACAGAACTTAGCCCTCTTGGCGTGAAGCCTTCTCCACTTAAAATTCTCTGTTCCCCGTTTATACCTGTCTACTTGCTGCCTATTGAGGCGGGTCTCTCGTAAATGGTGCATGAGCCATTAACCGTCAACTAGCGCAGGTACATAATTTAGCTTGCTGAAGACAATTATGAGCCTTGGCAGTTCTGGTCCGTGTCGGTGATGTTCTCATTGGTCCACACTGTTAGTGAGTTGTTCAATTAAGAATGCTATTCACGCAGCCCCCAAAATCTGAATCCCGCAACGGCATGTGAGCAAAGATATCATGTTTTCCTTCAAATGTGGTAGGAGTCAAGATCAGGGAGTGACTGTGAACCTTGTTGAAAAAGCCACAGTTGCATGGGTCAGCTACATACTATAGCTCGCTTAGAGGTTCTTTAAGAAAGCGTAAAATCCCTTCAAATTTAACCGAAAGAGACCTTCTCAACGGTAAATTAACATCAAATCCATATAATATGGAGAAAGCGCCTCGTCAACGACCAACGCCCAGGGGCAGTATCCTGTACGATTCTTACCGATAAGTAGACCATTGGCTGCACGAGGGCATCAAAGCAAAAGAATCAAGGGTCTGCTTAGCTTGGCATGCATCTGAGGGCGCATAAATCCCAACAATTTTTTTAATTACATATTGGTAGATTTTTAGGCTGCATGAGGTTGGCTTTCACAATACTCATCATGCGTAAGGCTTTAGATCCTTGATTTTGTGTCATTTTCCCTACTTCAAAAAGCCAAGTGGCCTTCTAAGGAAATTGAGGATAGGGTCTTCGTCATCCTTAAAAATGATCTGAGACGTTTCACGCTCTGCAGCATTTTTCTCATCGTCAGTATTCTGCAGCTTTTGCTTCTCGTCGTCCATATTTTGAGAGTCCACCAACTTATGGTTCCTCAAGAGAAGGATAAAAACAAGAATAGGAACGCAGAGGCAAAGTCCAACAATGGAAAGTTTTCTCTGTATTGCAGCATACGCCGTACTCACTGCAACCCTTTCTGGTGAGCCCCATTGATACTGAGCGATGAAATCATATGGTGAACCGTAGGCGATCATTGCTAGGCTGGGATCGACATTCAAATTAATCATTCTAGTTGTAATTTCACCTAGCATTTCCTGCGTCCAAATTGCACCCGAGATGCTTTTTGCAAAAGCAATACCGATAGTATAAGATGTAGCAAAGATGGAAGTAACCGGGCCCATATACTCATGATTGGTGCATGATTGAATGGAGACAGACGTGAGCCTGTAGAAGGTAGCCAGAGCAACTCCAGAGATACACATTGCAATGGCAACACCATCTCGGTAGTACTTATCCCTGATGCCATCGTTTGAACCTCTGAAATGCACAAATAATCCCATAGCAATGAACATGATGAAGTTGCCAAAGATGATGAAGACTTTTGCTCTTTTGACCTTGGTTAACATGAGACCGAGAACCGGAACAGTGATGCCCTCCGTGAACTGGTTTAATCCAGCAGTTCTCGTAGCAATCTTAACAGAAGCGTTCATACCGACGAGCAAAACAGGATAGGCATAACTGCCGGGCATAAACGTGATAAGTGTGCTGAAAACACCGACACACAATGCTGCCCAGACACCACGGTCCTTCATCACTGCAAATGGAAGCATGGGTTTTTTTGTAAGCTTACTCTCCCAAATCACAAAAATCGGGATGGTAACGAACCCCATCACAAGCGGAACTATCGTGGAAGCTTGCTGCCACTTAAAGTGATCACCTCCGGCAAGAGTCAAGGGTACTAAAAGAAGACCGAGGACCACAGCCAACAAAAGAAAACCAATAAAGTCCATCTCCCATAGAATCACCACCAATTTTTTAGCAACATGAATGGAGATGAACTTTAGTCTTGCCACAAGCTTCTCCAGCCATGTTGTGCTGGCAAGAATATTATCGTGAAACCTTTTGGCCGTGGGACTGTCGTCAAGGAACTTTTGTCTTTTCTCATTTACAATTTGTGTCCACGTCGATGTTTTGCTTGCTTTCCACATCAAATGGAGGTGAGTAAGCATATAAGGCAAACAGACGAGAGGGGTGGTAAATGCCCAGAGAGCGATACCAAATTCCCATCCGTGTCTTGCTAAAAGCTGGTCCGTGATATCACCCACGGACCATGTGTTGATGATAACTGGCATACATAACGGGGCGAGTGCCATCAATCTCCACTTCAACGTGGATGCATCTGACACACAGAGCTGCCACACAATCACAGTTCCAGAACTACCAAAAGCATAAAAGACAGCTCCAGCAGCGTACCTCTGGATATCTAAAGCCTGCGATTGTATGATGATTCCCATAACCTTGCATATCATAGCCACTACAAACAACTCAAGCCTCCCGAAGACATCAGCAGCCCTGGCAAAAAAAGGCATTGAAGCAGCGGATGCAACAGCTCCAATTGTGCCGATCGTGGCCATGAGTGAGTGTTGCTTGTATGAATTTGTAGCATAGCTAATGAATATGTTGATAGTGTAATTATCAACGGTAGTGATGTACATCCCGATGAAAATGAAAAAAAAGTAAAGGCCTCTGTGCCAGCGACCTTCCAACTGTGAGATGATAAGCTCTGACTTCCGGATTCCCAACGACTTCTCAGCCATTGGGGCACCCTTTGGTTCTGAGGAGGTCTGAGACAGCCTCGATTCGAAACCCTCAACTACGTGACTGTTCGTTTTCGGGTCGTCCATTTCTTGAAACCTGTTGCTGTCTGAGTTTTCCAAGATGGAGGAAGCCTTTATATCATTCATCTGGAAGTCGGTGTTTACCGGATATATAGGTTCGTCGAAGAGTATTACCGTGTAATTTTCAAAAAAAAAAAAACCTGGCATTGTTCTTCTGAGTTAACAATGGATTCCTCAAATATCTTACCTACTTTTACGAAGCCCCCTTCTACGTGGCACATGTCAAACACTCAAAGAGGAGTCATTGTTCCATTTAAACCACAGTGCGTATTTCGTAAGCGGCGGTCCAACAATTTACCGTTTCGCCGTTTGGATCAGTCTAGAAGACACCATGAGAATTATGTAGAGAAATAAAGGTAGGGTTTCAAGCGATGAAATACCAGAAAAAAGATACCATAAGTACCCTTGTTGGCTGCAATTTCGCACACCCATCGGTGAAATATGGACTATATTAGCCATCTTATCCAGCCATGAAAGTGACCAGAGATCTCTCGTAATTTAAGCTTACACGTTTGAGTAGATCACCAAACCCCTTTTCCGTTATCGGATTCATCTAATCTAAACCATCTCGCTGCCCTACATTGTTCTCATTCCCTACAGGATACTTGACGAGCCGCATAGAGCATGTGTAATTTACGAAAGTTATTCGAAGGGGTGCAGTACCGACATCGGTGTGCTGAACGACTGGTCAAGTGAAGGACTCATCATAAATCACACAAAGCTTTGCGATTCAGGTGTTCACTAGTTGCATAAGTTGGTTACGTTTGGAGATTCGAAGGTCTTTAAATAAACGATTTTGATCCGAGCAGTCGACAGAAAATTTTCAGGGCTTCAATTGCAACACTGCCGTAAAGTGAAAACAACTGCTTAGGCATTGAGTAGCATCTACAAGATGTAGAGAGGTGTTACCTAGTGATCGTTAAAAAGATCTGGAGGTATGTGTCGACTCCACAGTGGAAGAGGGATTTGACGTAAGAGTGCTTTAGTACAGAAGCCCAGTAATGGACCATAGTCGCATGAACGGAAAACTGACGAAGTGCTTGAATCTTTTTTTTTGAATTTGTTGCCGCCTTAAAAACGTGTATGACTCTCACTCGCACTTTGTGGAGTCGGTATGGTGCGATTTGAGCAAGTAGGAAACCGTTGATATTTTACGCAAATTGGATCTAGTCTTAGACAGTTCCGCTTCGCATCTAGCTACCTTGAGTAGATGAGCTGTAGAGAGAGTTGGCTCGTCTGCCACGAATTTTTCTTTTGTTCAAGAAATTAACAAAATCCAAGACATATGAGCAATTTAATACACCCTAAAGGCCCTTCGCGCTGCTATTGAAGTTCCTATTGTTACGTTAAAAAAGTGGAAAACTTGTGGAGTGTGAATCAAAGTTCTGAGAGTTCTGACAGATTTGAAGTCAGATTGGTGGTCTTCAGCTGCGTATATACGACTCAACACGATCCCGGATGATACAGTTTGATGCGTGACTAATGCGGCTGACATTGACACCGACTGATAACTTCGGAGAGAGTGGTATGCTTCCAAGAATAAACCGTCGAACTTTTGGTCAGGTCAATTTTGAACAACTTTAACGATCTAGTGAATGGTCTCAGATTTCACTTCACAGACTTGAATCTAGATAGCATCTACCCAAAACGAAGAAGCAACGGAACTGTAAACGGAGAAACGGACATGAAGAACAATGATACCAAGGCCAGTAGTTCATTCACGAAGTCCTTTATAGAGAATAAAGCGGAGCAGATGTACCAAGACAACACTGGTACCCGCCTTCCAAGAGTACCCTGTGCGTTCTTCAGACATCCTTTAAGCTGGAGCATGGAAAGCAGCAATTGATAGTTAACCTTAGTTCACTCAAAGAAATCAGCTTTTTCGAAAAGCCACAATTGGAAAATAAAGGGTCCTTGATGTTTCGCAACATAGCGAAAAATACCCGAGATCCTTCCTTACTTGTGCAGCTTACACACCGGACTTGCAGCTCGTAAGAGCAGTTTAAGATGCCTTGTCGACATAAGCGGTTTCTCCAAAGTCCATTGAATGCCCAGTATATAATGGTATGCTTTTGCCCGAGGAAATATTCACTGCTGCCAGAGGTTGTTCTCGATATTGGGTTCCAACATGGATCAGAAGCAGAAAGATACTAAGCCCGAGCAGCAGACCCACGATTCAAAGACGGACCTTTCTAATGACTTGGATCTGAGCTTATCGGTCAAATCCTCCAAAGATGCCGCCTCCACAGTAAGACCCAAGTCTTTTGGTATCCGCAAATCCGAGGTAATCATGGCTCAAATGACGAATTGGTGGGCAAAAGGATGCTTCTACTTCACAATCTTCCTTTGCATGTACATCGCCATGTTGGAGAATTCCGCTCTCAGAGTGTTCACTGGGTATGCAACTGACTCATACAGACAACACTCTCTAATGTCGACCATTAGTGTAATCAGAGATGTCGTTGGTGCTGCATCATTACCCTTTTTTGCTCGATTGTCCGATAACTTCGGTCGGTTTGAGTTGTTCATTGTTGCTTTGGTTTTCAGAGTCATTGGTGTGATCATTCAATTCAATGCCTTCGATATTGAAAGATATGCTGTTGGAGCAGTATTGTATGGTTTTGGTGCAGCTGGAATGAGAATTATATGGCAAATCAACTTATCTGACGCCTCAACATTACGTTGGAGACTTTTGGCGGTTGGTGTATTGAGCATGCAAACTATTGTGAATACCTGGTCGAGTGGTGAGGTTACCTCTAGTCTTTTGGAGTATCATGACTGGAGATTTGGTATTGGTATGTGGGCTTTCATTACTCCATTGGTTTGTCTTCCATACATGGTTATGTTCCTCACCTTGATAATTTTGGCATCCAAGACGGATGTATGGAGAGAAATCCGTGCTGAAGAGAAAGAGGAGTTTCTTGAGGCAAATCCAAGTGCAAGAAGGTTTCTCGATAAAATGAGATCCAATAAATGGTACTCTTTGAACAGAGCGTCTGCCACCATGAAGTACCTTGGTATTGTGATCAGACAGTATTTGCATGACATCTTCTGGAAAGTCGACTTCATTGGCTGTCTCTTCATTGCTGTGGGCTTTGGCTTGATCTTGGCTCCGTTGACGTTGGCTGGAGGCTACGAGTCTAGATGGCAAGATGCCTCTACCATCATACCCCTTGTATTTGGCTTTCTCACCATCCCCATTTTTGTGCTTTGGGAAACCAAAGTAACGAAGAGACCAATGCTTCCGTTTAAGGTCATGAAAAACAGAGGAGTGTGGGCTGGTTTCTTGGTGGGGATTTTTGCCAACATCATGTCTCGTATGCCAAATGCTTATGCTTACCCGGTGTTACTTGTGGGTATGAATGCTTCTGAGCTTGTGGCTACCCGTACTCCACAATTGGGTAGGTTTGTCGAAGGCATTGCTGTCCCAATCTTAGGATTTGTGTTGGCGAGAGTGAGAAGAACGAAGGGGTTTGTGCTTTTTGGAAATTGTGTCATGTGTATTGCGATGGGTGTTTTCGTTCATTTCAGGGGATCAAATGACGGACTTCGAGACAAGTATTTCCGTGACGGTGTTGCCATCGGAATGTGTCTTCTTGGATTTGCAACCATGTTCTACACCAGAGTCGTTGCAGTATCTGTCCAGGCATGCACCAACCACGAGTACATGGCAATTGTAACTTCTATTTTTGCAGCCTTCTACAGAATTGGAGCTGCAGCTGGGTCCTCCATCTCAGGTGCCATTTGGACACAAGACATGCACAGAACCATCAGAAACCACATGGTGGAATTGGGTGTTGACCCATCCTTGGCTAATATGGCCTACGAGTCTCCGTATCGTTTTATTGAGCGGTGGGAATGGGGAACCCCTGCGAGAAGAGCTGTCAGTATAGCGTATGCTGAGATTCAGAAGAAGCTTTGTATCACGGGTCTTTGTCTCTGTGCCCCTATGTTCGTGTGGATCTTCTTATTACGTGATCATCGTTTAGCAGATGCTCAGAACTTGGATGACGAAGGATTAATGGCAGAGGGCAAAACTACGGATGAAGCTGCCGAACGCAAAAAGTCCCAGGTGGTGTTCACTGATGACAAAGACTACATCATGGACTTTGTTAAGAAAATTTTCGGCCGGAAGGGATTAGCCGCTGAGTCAAAGGTCTAATGGACATACCTTTTATGACTTGCAGTAATATAGTTCAATCAGTCTGCTTGATGATTTGACCGATGTAGAGTCTCACCTCTTGGGCAATTACTTGTTCCTCATGAAAAAGAAGAGCAAATCTGACATCTGTAGGTAATGTGTCACATAACTAAATCCTCCTTTTATTTAACCGCGTTAGTGTCGTGTGATTATATACCAATTCTAGGGTAAGACTCATCATACGCCGCACTAGAAAGCTAAAACGCTAACAACTTGCGTCAATATGCATCTCAACCTTTGATGGCTATGAAGACGGAGAATCGATTCAGCGTTTCATTGGACAATTGTCAAGGATTATGGTTCTGCCGTGATTTTGCGATCAGATATCAAGGACTGAATGGCGCCAATCTAAAACTATTACGAGCCCATTATTGCGAGCCTGTCCCGGAACCATTGGGATAAGGTGAAGCAAAGAGGTCTGGAAGTTATATCGGCGATTTTCGCTTGAAAAGGCTGAATCAGATCCAATGATGGATGTTGCAATATTGACACTTGAAATCATCGAGAGTCTGCTGAAACTAGAGGTAGCGGGTACAGCATAGTTGTCAGTTATAGAGGCATCCAAGGAATAGACGAAAGCGATAACAAGAAGGGTGAAGCAGAAGGTTACCATGATAGTCTTTCCATTTTTAGCTGTAAACATCATAGTCTTCACATTCTCGATTCTTCTAACTCCTCGAGACTTTTCAAATTCTTCAGAACCTAAAGACTCTACAGAATAAGCTTCATTAGATTCATCGGCAAATTTCTCTGGAGTTTCAATCGATTCATGGCTTTGCTCTTCAATATCAACATTGAGAGCTACCTCTGAGTCTTTTTCATGGACCGTGGTGCCCTGCTGATTTGGAGAGGACATGTTGAATACAATTGACAAAAAAAGGGTATAAAAAGTATGAGTTTACTCTTCACTACTCCTTCAAATTCATAAACCCACCACAGGTGGACCTCATCAGAAAAACGGATTCAAATATGCATAGGCATCGGGGATGCATAATGACGGGCCTTTCTCGCATTTCTCAAGATTTAATCATTAGTCGAAACGACCCTATTTTGCTAAAATGGCATCATTGTTGTTGAAAAATTGCAATGCTCCGCCACGACCCCATAAAGAAGTCATCTTTCAGGTTCGTTGAAGGTTTCTTGGCGCATATTTGACGTCTGTCACTCGAGAGCCGCACCTCAACGAACTCGGATTGAATTTTACTTTTCCCCGATGCAATCTTCATAGATGCGTAAAAATTGCAGTTTTCCTTCTTTGGTTATACCTCTTGTACATTTGAAAGTAGCTCCTGACCAAACGTACCTCTTAAGTAGCTCCTAGTGACAAGGATCTTGTAAGGTAACACCAACAAGAACTGAGTTGCAAATTACTTGGACTCTCATTCACGTAGATACCCATGCAAACAGATCTTTGAGATGTGATAAGGAATGTAATATGTATGTGATGTGATCAGATAATCCATTTATGCCAGAGTGGGTGTGCTTTCGCAACATGAAGCTTGATGTATTTCGTTCACCATTATTTTGTTGACGTTTTTCTCGTTGGAATGTAATACTTGAACGGGCTTTGAGGATTTAAAAGTAAAAAATTTTGATTTTCTTTGCAATTGCAAAAGTCAATCATACAACTATCTTTCAAGTGTTTGACTCACCGCACGTCACTCTTTGCAACAACGGAAATGTGCAAGATGCATCCAAATCCCGATGTGGCTATATGTGCATGCTGGAGTCCCACCCTAAGCGAACTAAGCCCATGGATAAACACAAGATTTACCACCCAAGAGCTTCAAAGACTCGGTACCTTTTTGTGTCAAAAGAAGGAAGAATTGCATCATAAAAGTAGGGTTTAGGAATAAACCGAATCGGTCAATTGAAACTCTTCTGAGCCTCGAATAAGATGTTACATTTATACTGTCGAGCCGCACACAGATGGCAGCCGTACGCCAAACATTGCATAAAGATCCCCATAACAGTATACTAACTCGGCAAAGTAACAATTCAACTACGAAGCTCCACATTGTTATGTCAAGCCTCAGGTATATTAGTAATAGACGACTGCCTGCCTCTTCCTGAGTTTGCTTCTGAGTTTGCAAAATAGACTGTAATGGCACGAGAAATGTTCCAATCCCATCTAGCTTATGACTTTCCTTAGATTCCTCTATCGTGCTGAGATATTGATTCATTCATTCCATTGATACTTCGCTTCTCGTATCCACGATAAGATCATGCTTGACAAAATCTTAAGCAAAACTTAAGGATTCAAATGAAGTTAAAGTACAGAAAAAAGCTAGATGCCCTAAAATAACCGCATAGCTTTTCATTTCATGCTATCCGCCTTCAGAACCAAGGGCTTCCCCAACGGTCGTGCGCCGCACAAACATACAACATGACTTAGAAATCCCAATGCTATCTCAGGATCAGCGTCTCAGGAAAAGGAGTTGGTCCCCCAGGTATCTTCCATTTCATGCTTGCTCACTTATTCTTTAAATAATCCCCCCATCCCCTAATACCGGCCAAATATGGACTCCCAGGCACCAAAGCAAGATGATGACTTCAAGGGCCCAAACTTGAATGTCACGCTCATGTGCCCAGACTGCAAAGCGTATCCCCCTAACCTAATAGAAAGGTTCAGTGAAGGCGACATTGTCTGTGGCGACTGTGGCTTTGTTCTTAGTGATCGCGTGGTTGACACAAGATCGGAGTGGAGAACATTCAGTAACGACGATCAAAACGGTGATGATCCTAGCCGTGTGGGTGATGCCGGAAACCCTCTATTGGATACAGAAAACCTCTCCACGATGATTTCCTACGCTCCTGAGAATGTCAGAGCTGGAAGGGATCTCAGCAGAGCCCAGGCTAGATCCTTAGTGGACAAGAAAGACAATGCCTTGTTGACGGCCTTCACGAAAATATCACAGATGTGTGATGCTATCCAGCTACCCAAGATTGTCGTGGACAGTGCCAAGGAGGTTTACAAACTAGTATACGAGGAGAAGGTGTTGAAAGGAAAGTCGCAGGAGTCTATCATGGCTGCAGCTATCTACATGGGCTGCAAGCTGGCCAAGCTATCAAGATCCCTCAAAGAGATTTGGGCACTTACTAATGTGCCCATCAAAACTACAGGTAAGGTATTTAAGATAGTCATGCTGATTTTGAGGGAGAAGAGTCACGCCGATCCAAATGCTTACTCTTTCATCAAGGACAGCGAGCAGGCTATGCTGACGTCTTCAGACGTCTGGATCAGAAGATACTGCTCCAATTTGGGTTTAAACATGGACGTTTCCAATGCGGCCGAAGCAATTGCTCGCAAGTGCTCCGAAGAGGGTATTTTAGCCGGAAGATCACCCACGACAGTGGCAGCCACCGTTATCTATTTCGCCAGCTTGCTTTTTGATGCCCAGACTACACCAGCAAAGATCGGTGTGAAGGTGGGAGTCAGTGACGGTACAATCAAGACAGCGTTCAAGGTCGCCTGTCAGTATAGGGATACTTTGGTTGATCCCAAGTGGATCGAGAGCGGAAAGGTGAAAATCGAGAACATTCCCCAGGCATAGGAAATAGAAAGACATGACGATTACACGAAGGAGTCTACGGTAACGAGCATTGAGCTACAGCCATACCAGTAAAATTTTATCTTATCAACTATCCCTTTCTCCAACAGCCCCGCATAGTTACAATCTTTTGAATGTTTGAAGCACGGCAAAGCAGGAGCCGGCGCTTCAAACGGCCTTGTGTCTTCAAAACAATGCTCGTGTTGTTTGGTGAAAAAAGCTTAGCAAGACCGTGATATGTCGAATACTCCGCAGCCAAGTCCTCTACAAGTCTATTCGATCTTCCATAAAAATCAAGAAAATTCAATTACTTTTCATAGTTAACCTCCCAAAATCAGCAAACGGCCTCGTGTGGCCCAGTCCATTCAGCCGTTGGCAGATGCTATAGATGTGCCTTGGCACATGTCCGCTGCATTATAGTATTCTTGGAAACTCCCTAGACAAATGCCAAAACGGGCTCTCGTCTCACGATCACCGCTTGTCGTCCGCCTTGGGCCCTTGTTCCTGGCCGATACTCGGCTTGGTAACCTATATATCTAGGGTTGTTGCTGTTGTAGAATCATCAAGCTATTGTCCAGAATGTCTACAGAGAATAAGAGAAATGCTCGACAGAGCAATGACACAAGGAGTGGCTCTTCCGAAATTTATTCCAGCGAGAGATATGACTCAGCGAATGATGTCAAGGTGGTAGGAGGAAGCCAGGATCAGGTTGTGGAAGAGATCATAGCTAACCGAGTGGATGCAAATGCTGAGGTCATCACTGATAGAGGAGTCTACCGGGTTGAGGCACTCAAGAAGTTGTTGTATTCTCATGAAAACGGGCTCAGAATGAGAATCATCTTGGGTGTTTCTGTGCTTTTGTGTTCTTGGGCTATATCGTTGGACTGGTCAGTTACTAGTAACTTGAGACCCTGGGCTACTTCTGATTTTGAGCAGCACTCTATGGGCCTTGGTGCCCTTTCTGTAGCCGTCCAGCTTATTACAGCCGTTTCCAAACCCGTCTGGGCAAGAACGGCCAATATTGTTTCACGTCCAGCCACCTACTTGATATCCTTGATCTTTTACGTACTCGGTTACATAATCGTTGCTTCCAGTACCACAATCTCAGCGTATATTGTCGGTTCTGCCTTGTCAGCTGCCGGTGAGTCTGGCGTGGAGTTCTTGAGTCTGATAATTGTTGCCGATATGACATCTTTAAAATGGAGAGCTCTTGCAACATCCACTTTGAGTACACCATATATCATCAACACATGGTACGCCGGCCACATTGTGTCAGATTTGGGACCCACAGGCTGGAGATGGGGTTACGGAATGTTTTGCATTATTGTGCCTGTGGTTCTTGCTCCTGCTACCACGATCATGTTCTATTACGAGAACAAGGCCCAAAAGAGTCTTGATGTTAGCGAGAAAGGCCCAGACAAGGATATCATCTTCAGAAAGAACTGGAAAAAGCTCTTTTGGAGAGTCTTGGTTGAGGTTGACATCTTGGGCTTGCTTTTGTTGGGCTTTGCGTTTGCATTGATTTTATTGCCCTTCTCGCTTTACAGAAATGCTGAAAACCAATGGAGAAACCCGAGTTTGATAGCTATGCTTGTTGTTGGTGGAGTACTTCTTATCTCCTTCTTTGTTTATGAATTTGTCTGGGCTGCATTCCCAATCTTGCCTAGAAGATGTGTGAACCGAACTTTTGTCGGATCTATTATAATCACCTTCTTTTTTCAACTCGCCGGTATGGTTCCACTCACGTACTTATCGTCATATGTGTGGATTGTGAAAGACTGGAGCAACCAAGAATGGACCTACTATAACAACACTTAGACGATGGCGTTATGCGTCTTTGGTGTGGTATCTGGAACTCTCATGAGAGTCACCCACAGCTTCAAAATCTACCAGTACTTCGGAATTGTCATGGAGATCATCGGCTCAGGTATTATGATCGATGGAAGATTGGCAAGTGGCAATACAGTTATTTTGGTATGGTCGTCTATTCTCTCTGGTATGGGAGGAGGTTTCACCGTGCCAGCTTGTAATGTCTCTTTACAGGCTTCGGTTCCTCACAGGGATATGGCAATTTCCATCTCCATCATGTCCTTGGCTTCTAACATTGGTAGCTCGATAGGATCAACCATTTCAACAGCCATTTGGCAAGGTCAAATGGAGACCTCCTTACGAGCACACATGCCAAGTAACGTCACCAACGAAGAGATAAGAGGCTATTTCAACAATATCACCAATCTTGAAGAATATGACTCTAATTCCGCTATTAGACAAGCAGGAATCCAGGCTTACAGAGAGGTGAACTTCTACTTCTATCCAATTGCAGTCAGTTTACAAGCTATTCGCCTTGCTGCAGCCTACCTACAAAGGAGTTACTATTTGGGTGAAACCAATAACGCAGTAGAGGACGATGATGGTGTTCCCATTCCACTTGAAGAGAGAAAGATGAAGGCGGGATTGAGAGGCAGTAATCCTGACGAGAAGGATATTGAAGTGAAGGACCCTGAAGGCAGAGAATAGAAGTTCTTTCTACAATTCCTACCCCAAACATTAAACTCGTTGAACATTATATGCTAATAAATATAGATTACACCCTAACGTGAGCTGCTGCTATGGACACAGCCCAGGATAAAAGAGGGAAGTTGGTGAACAAGGCACCGGTCAAGGGAACTGATTTACAGCCTATGCTGAGCTTTGCCTTTTCGGTGGTGGGGCCGAAATCGACAAAGTCTTTGCCCTCCTTCAATGCAATGGCGATGGTTTCTTGCATCATCACAAAGTAGCCCTTCATTGGTCTTGCCAACTCGTGGTCCAAGCCCTGGATATCTGAGGTTATGGTATCTCCGAGACGGAACAAAATGCAAGAAGCGATAACATCATCACCAACCTTGAGGAAAAGAAGCGACCTGTAGCCGGAATTATTGGCTGTAGACAACATCAGCTTGATGAAATTCTTGTCTGGTGCTGCTAATGTAGCAGTGTACCCACCTTCAGATCTTCCTTCGGCGATTTTTTCCCAAAGATCAATAATGGTCTGGCAATCTTGATCGTTTGGTTCCTTGACTTCGATGACTTCACCATTCGAGCGCTTGAACTCTCCATCTTGATTTCTGTACTTGACGGCCTTGAAGAAGTCCACAGCAGACTTGCCCTTGTGGGGTTTCATGTTGATGATATGCGAGGCAGGAAGGCTGATATCGTACCAACCACCAAGGCGAATTGCCTGCTCAACAGGAGTGTTAGTGATGGTAGGGTCAATCATGACACCACATCTCGTATCAGAAGGGAGACTTTTGTTCCATTTACCCAAGGCATGCATCACAGCTGCAGCCCTGGCAACTGGTTTGTCGGTGCTTCGACAGTAGAATGTTGATCTCATGAAGGGCCAGTGGAAACCAAGGAGGCCAATACGTAAACAAAGAAACTTGTTCTTCGAGGCGCCTCCAAAGTTCCTATGCAAAAACCGCCCGAGTTTTCCTGTCAAAGTGGCAGTGATATCATAGGATTCGATTGTGGTGAGGAGAACAAGTGCCTCAGTTGCCATCAAATCGGTGTGGAACTTGGCCTGTTCTCTGATGTCTTGCTCTGTTGGACACTCCAATGGATAGTCCGCTTTCCCAGCAGCGGCTTTCTTTAAGAGCTTTTTTCTTTTATTTTTTGACATTGGCTGTGCTGGTTTGAAGACGGGTTCCTCATTCAAAGTGGCCTCTTCGTCAAAAATGGTTGTTTCACGGTCCACAACATCCCACACGTCGTAATCAGCAATACCAGCCTTGTACTGGGCTCTCTCCTTCTGCTTTATCTTTTCCGACTTGTAGACTCTCAAGACCTTGCAATGCATATTGTCAAGCTCACTGTTGCTGTAGGCCTCCATCATGGAGATAACAGACTCTCCAGAAACACCCTTATTTGCACTGGTATTGTAAGTTATGAGCTTTGCGTAAGCAGACTTTTGGGCGTCTGTGAGGCGAGAAAGGTCGAGGGTCTCGATTTCGTAGGATGGGGGACGTCTAGATCTCAAGTAGCGGGAGCAAGATATGAGAAGAAGGCACAAGACAAATGTGTAGAAGTAGAAGACGTTCAAACTTGTGGGGACCAGGTAGCCCCTGACGTGCTGACGAACAATGGAGTCGATGGCGGTGATCAAGCTCAAAATGGCCAAGACTAGCATGAAGCCGTCGTGAAGAAAGAGAAACTGGCCCACGGTATCGGATAATCTGTTTTTCTCGTTTACTATAGCGCCGACAGCGAGTCCGATGAGGGAGCCACAGAGAGAGAAGGATTCGGTGTAAATGTATAGCATGGGCAAGGAGAATTCCTCGTCGTCGGTGCTATGCCAAATAGTATCGTTATTGGCATTTGAGGAGATTTTGATTTCGGCCACGCTGATGATGAAGTTGACGAGGCAGGCCAAGACGATCAAGTACTGGACCTTGCCCTTCTTGGAGATCTCCCAGACGTGGACTAGCACATTGATGTTGAGCAACATGGCCACCACGGACATGATGATGATGGTGAGGCGGTCTGTGTAATCCACGTCGAGCCGGTGAATATCCTCGTTAGAAAGATTAAGCGGGTTTTTGATGGTTCCAGCTATGAGCACGACAATGTAGCCAATGGTGAGACCCAAGTAGGCAATGACCATCACGTATTTGAAAACGGACCATATCTGAAGATAAGAGCCCTTTCTGGCGATCAAACGCTGGAAGCGCTGCTGCCGCCGGAGGATCTCCATGACAATGACGATCATGGTGAAGAGGATACTCATGAAGGGTACCGCAGACACGGCGCCGAACCTCCGGCTCACAATGAGCTGGACCATGAAAAGCGCCACATTGAAGGCCCAGCAGAGCCCGCAGGCTAGCCAAATGGACCTCAAAACCCGAAGAGCCGATTTGGCTATTTTTTTCACCTTGTCTCGGAACCCAGGCGTGGAGGGGTCCTCAGCTGCCTCTGTCTGAGGTTTCTCATGGATATCAGGCACTGGTGACTCGGGCCGTAGCTCTTGTTCCGTGGCCTCAGAGCTCATTTTCAGTAATGTGTTTTTCAGAGGAACAAAAAACTCCAGAAACGGCTGAGCAATCGGGACCGCCAGCCTTTAAATAGGCGGTCAGCCCTGTTAGTCAGCTCCATAGTATACTGCAGCGGCTCCGCATATTCCGTGGCTGACGTGCGGCTTGCGGTTTCTGACGATACGACAGCGGGCAATAAAAAACAGATAAATATAGCCCCGTCCAGTCCCACTGGGCCATTTCAATTGCGTCAGCCTCGAAAAAGCCATACAGCGCCTGGGACCGGAAAACGCAGGCGATCCTCGAAAAACCCGAAGCACCCGGACGGAACGACCCTGAACCGCATAGCCGAAGCACATTTAGAGTTTCCGGGGGAACCCTCTAGATGGATGCGCCCGGTGCTTGCTGGTCAATCCTAGCGAAGGGCAAAAGAAAGGGCAAAAATCAATTGTAATGGAAAAGATTGAAGAAAGGAGATCAACGAAAATTCCACCAACCCATCGGCCTCCAGATCCTCACTTCTGTCAAATTCGTGCTGCTCCAACTCGCGCTAGCTTCGAACGGCTAAGGCTGCGCGGCTAAGCACGCCAGGCGGAGTTCTAGAATGAATCCAGCGAAACGCTGACGGTTCTTTGTTTTCGGTGGTTTTCGTTTCTACGTTGTCTCCGTGCACGGATCTTTCTCACTGAAAGCGGTCCAATGCACGCCAGCAAGGGTGCTGTGCGGCTACACCGTTGAGAAGAGCAAGTAGAGGCACAAAAAAAAGTGTCACAAACGGGTGTGGGAGGCACCGGGATGGTGACATCAGCACTGCCCACACTCCGCCTGGAACGGGCTTGGGTTTTTGAAATAGGGGTTGGAAAATTTACGAGTGGTTTTGGGAAGGGATGATGGGGTCCTGGCTGATTTGGTGTCTGGGGTGTTGGGGTGCCCGGTGGTATAGGCGAAAAGTGAGTCTCACTGTGCTATAATTGCCTGTGTCAGGTGGATTATGAGCCCAAAGGAGTCCCCCGTTTCGTGGGTTTTACATGACCTGTCACAAACTGAAGTAGCGATTTTTCTAGGGGGATCAAAAATGCAAGGTGTAACTACGGGATCACGAATACTTAGAGGAATGAACGCTTCTGGCTGGATTAATACTGAAGTCGGCACCTTTTAATTTCTAGTTTTATTGCTGCCACAGGTGGATGCTACGGGTACCACGAATGCTGGTGTATCATGAAAAAAGTGAGTTGCACGATTGCTGCCATGGTAGCCACAATTATCACCATCCACCATTATGCCCAATGAAGGGGCCAGCCACCTTAACAAGCTGCTGTCCAGAAGCCTCCTTACTATTAAAGCAGACTCGTTGCCTAGACAGGCTCCGAAATCTGACTCTAATTGGGAACTAGCTCCTCACGCCATACGATTTGTGGGTAGAAACGGCAAGACAGAAATCAATTAAGGTCCTTGACAATACAAAGCTTTGGTCTCTTGTATTCTGACACCTTCCACTACATCTGAATACCACTGCTATTCTTGCTGGTATTGATAATTCCCTCCTATCAGACCATACAAGCAAATGCAAAATTGTCATAAATTAAATATATAGAGCCGCCAGCGAACATCTAAAGGGTGATCTTGAGAGCGCCGTTTCTGTCAAACTGGCCTCTGGTACGAACATACTCGTCAAGCTCGACCATGTTCTTGGCCAACTCGACACCAAGCTGAATCTTGAGGTTCATGAACTTGGTCAGCTCCTCCTTGGTGGCAGCCTTGACCCACGCAAGCGTGGTCTCGATAAACACCTTGGAGAGCTGCTTGCGCTCCTCTGCCAACTCGTCGAAACGCTCGTCCTTGGGCTTCAAGCCGGAGTTCTCTTCGGTTGGAGCGTCGTACTCTGGTCTGTAGGTGTCGTCGCCGCCTACAAAGTCTGGAATGTTCTTGCGGTCCACAAACTTCTCCAAGTCCTCCACAGAGTTGGTGAAGTGCACCTTGGAGGCCACCACAGGGTCCAACCAGCCACGGATCAACTTCCACACGGTGAAGAAGACCCAAGGGGCGTTGTGGATCCAGATTGCAGTCAAGGACTCGGGGTAGTTGGCCTCGAAGGCCTTGGCCAAGAACTTGACAGCAGCCAAGTCAACGTTCTTCAACGAGATACCGGTCAAGTCAAAGAGAATGTTGGCACCGTCACCGCCAAGCGACATTGGCTTAAGAGAGAGTCTGACCCACTCAAGCATAAGCACAATGAAACGCTCAAAGTCCTTGTGGGGGCACTGGCTGCCAAAGTGGTTTCTGACACGAATAATGGTGATGGGACCGCCGTTTCTGTCGACACCTCTGAGGTAGACCTTGCCCATGCCAAAGGCCTCGGAAAGCTGCTTGAGGTTCTTGTCCTGGTGGATGCCGAGGTCACCGTCGATGGTGATGCGCTCCACCTTGAATTCGGTGCTCTTCCACTCCAAGCACTTGAAGGCCATGTTGATGGTCTCCTCCACCTTGAACTTGCGGGCACGGACAAAACGAAGAATGTCGTTGTCAGGCGAGTCGTTTCTAGGCGTGATCAAGAACTCCTGGTGCAAGCGGCCGAGGTTGTACTTGGCCACCTTGGGCCACACGTGCTTCTGGGCCACCTTGATGTTCTCGTCAAACTCCCCCGTGTGGAGGTCCAGCTTGCCCATCATGTGCTTGAAGTTCTTGCGGGTTCTCTCCAGCACAGGCGGACACTGGCTGACGACAGACTCGGCCTCGAGGTCAGGAAGGGCGTTGGGGGATTTGCCCGACACAAACGTCTTGGGGTCAATGAGCTGCTCGTAGTTGTACTCGTCCAAGTCGTAGCCAAACGTCTTGAGGCAGATTGCGTACACCTGTTTGAAGGCAATCTCGTGGTCGCCTTCGATCGACCACGCACGGTCGGGCTGCACTACTGGTTTGGTCATATTTGGTTTTGCTGAGTTTGTTGGTTTACTCGGAGCTGGTGGCTGCAAAATGCACCCGCACTGGTCGCGAGCACCTCGCTTATATGTACTTGAGCTTCGTCCCAAACAGCCCTGTATGCTCCGGGCCTGACAATAGTGAGGAGAAGCTGGGTATTAACTAAACTCGGCGCGACTGCTCGTCTGCTCGGGGTCCTCCCCGCCTCAGACAATACATCAACGTCCAGGGGCATAGGAATGCTGCCTCTGTGGGGGTGGTGTATGGAGCGGTGAGGCTGGTTTTGCATCCAAAGTGACGTTTGGTGCCGATTAGCCATGCAGCAGGGTCTCGCCGGAGTCCGAGAAGTGGAGTTTTTCCTGTTGGGGGCGGTGCTCCCTGGGGCTGGAATTGACGCTCTTGCACCGTTTCGGCATCTTTGTGTGGAGGTCCGCGCCAAGTGGGTCTTTGTCTCGAGGGTTGGCTTTTCGCTCTTTTTTTTTTTTGTGTGTGTTTTTGCATCTGATATTTCGTTCCCCTCAGACCCTTTCTTATCGGCGCTGAACAATGCCGTCCTGTATGGGGGCCGTTGCTGCGAAAATCGCGGCCCATAGCCCAATCCGGTGATTTTTATCCACCCTACTTGCCAACAATTTTCCCGCCGATTTAAAGGCGATTGAGGTTGGCTTTTTTTTGCCCTTCGTTTTGTGTGATTTATACCTTCATGCGGTCCCTTTCAGGCAGACACGGTCCTATAGTGTAGTGGTTATCACTTTCGGTTTTGATCCGAACAACTCCGGTTCGAATCCGGATAGGACCTACTTTTTTTGCCTCGTGGGGATCTACAACTGCTAATTTGGCCGCTTGTATGTGTATTGGTATGCTAATGATGATTTACTCAACGACAATCACGTCGTCACTGTTCTTTTTGGGGGACCGCGTCTTGGGCGGCACAATGGGTGGCGTTTCGTCCTCATCCTTGGAAAGGCTCTGGCGCCCTGACCCAGTCTCCAGAGCGGCTGAGGCAAACTCTGACGAATCTGAAGATTGTGTCCTTTGTAGCTTCTCCTTCTTCTTGGACTTCGACGCGTTGCTGCTCTTCTCGGTCAACAATGTATTGAGCTTCTTCTTGTTTGGTGACGTAGACCGCTTCAAACCGCTCGTGGACTTTGTGGGTGTCTTTGGCGGCTCCGTAGGGTCAGCCAGCACATTCTCCTTGTCCTCTTCTTCTTCGTTCTCGTGGGAAGCCTTGCTGACAGCCCTCTTCAATCGACTCTCCAAACGAGACTTGGACGATGCAACAACGCTGGCCTTGGGCGTCAATTCCTCGGATCTGCTCAGCTTGGGCCCGTCCCTCAGCACGCTCTTGTTGGAGTTCCTTCTCCTCAATTCCCCAAAAATCGTGTCTTTGTGCTGGAACAAGTCCTCTATGAAGTGCTGCTGAAGCGTCTCGGTAGCTGCACTATGTAAAATTCTCGAGTCCGATAAGCCGTCCTCTTCATCCTTGGGCCTTAAAAGAAGCGATCCGAACTCCTTGCAGAGGCGGCCTCTCAATTTCGACCCAAGATCCTTGTTCTTTGAGCCAATGATGTTCACGAGTCTATTGAAATGAGTCAAAATGGCGTCCAACGTGGCCAAATTGCTCACTGGCAACTCAGAAAGTGTATTCTGTAGGCCGTTTACCCTAGTACTATCGGTATCCTCGTCTGAGCTGCCAACAGGGTAACTCAGGTATAACGTCTTGATCAAATCGAAGTAACTGTGGGGGATGATGGAGTCAGGCAATTCGAGGAAATAAAGCTTGAAGACGTTGGTAATGATGATGGGGTCCGTGGCCTTCAAGACGTTCTGGATAGCGGTCAAGTCACTAAGCTCGTTAAGCTGGAAACGTACCTTGTGCACCTTTGATAAGTGGACTGGGTGCGTCCACAAGTTTGTTCTCTCGTCGTCATCCTTGAGTTCAGGATAGACGCTATCAAGACAGGAGAGGATTCCTTGGACCAAGAGCGGGACGGCCTTACGGTCCAATCTCGCCTTCACGTTGAGATCGACACCAAAGGTCTGTTTGATGTTTGAGTTGTAGTAATTGTCGTAGAGAGTAACCTTGGGATCAAACCTGCCTGTAGCGTAGTTCTCAATAAGAAACTTGAGGTCATTGACTGGGTTGATGGTCTCCTCCACAACGAACATCTCCTCGGAAACCTGCTTCATGGAGCTGACTCTGTTGGAGAAAGTCGAGACAAAATCGAACATCACCTTCTTGATGGCCTTCATACGGTCAAGCTCACACTTGTGCATGAAGGTCAAGTGGTCCATGACAATCTCTTCGAAAGAGCATCTGATCTTGTCGAGTTCCTTGGTAGTCTGGAAGTACTGCAAGTCCAAGGAGTCAACCTCCTTCACGAGCTTGGCGTACTGAGTTTTGTCGTTATAGTCAATCGAGGTCACGCCCATAGCCTGCTTAACATCATCAAAGTAGTCGGCAAAGTGGTTGGCACGGCTGCTCAGGGCACTGATGGGGTCATACTCTGCACTCTTGCTGCTCTTTGAGAGGTCAAATTCAGAGAGCTTGGTGATTTCAAAAACGACAGGCTTCCACTGGTAGAAAAATTGGGAAGAGTTGATGAAGTTTTTGTTGGCACTCATGGAGCCAATGAGGCGGATGAAACCATTGTCGAGAAGGTCCTGACCAAATTGCTCGGCCCTATCAATGCTTCCCTTGTAGTCTTCCATGTTGTCCAAGACCCACTGGGTGATTTTGCTTCCTGTAGACACGTTGTGGTAGGTTCCCAAGATTGGCACCTTGTGTGACTTGAGCTCTATGTTGGAAAGGATACTGGACAACACAACCTTGGCATCTTTACGATCACAGACCTTGTTGTCAAAAACGTACAGCTCTTCGTCCTCTTCCTCCTCCTCAGGAACGGACAGCTCGCTGAAAGAGACATTCTGCGCCTCCTCGAGCTGCTCCTCGAGCTCCTCCTCAGAGTAGTGAGACTTGAACTCCTCTAGCATTCTGCACTTGTTGAAGTACTTCTTTTGCAACTTCTCCAAGTTGTTGCGAGCACTCCTGAAGGACTTGTATTTCTCCAGAATGGTCAGCTCGGAATAATCCACTCTCTGTTCATGTTCGGCACACCACTTCAGAAAAGGATCCAACACCAACACTTTGATATTTCCAGCAATTTCCAAATGGAGCGAACCCTGCTTGGCAAAATTCTCAGTCAACTTCTGGTATCCATTCTTGATTGTCAGCACGTAGTCGTTATCGGTGTGTCTCTTACTGGATCTCTTAACAGACACGTCCAAGCCCGTCAAGTGACTACCGTAAGAGTGTTCAGCGTCCATTCGCTTGGTGAACATCTGGATGAAGTCATTGTTCTCTCGAATTCCCTCGTAGAGCTCATTAAAAAGAGTTTCATAGCCCAGATGGTAGTCATGGGACCAAAAACGCTCGGAAAACGACATGGTACTTGACCTACAAGAGTGTTTGTTGAACGCGGGAGGTATCGCTGGGGAATGTTTGTGTCACGTGTGTGTATAAGGGCCAGACAGCTATTTTTAGGGATGCTTGGGAGGGAATAGAAATAGTTTTTCAATATCCTCTCAGGATGCTGTGAAGTTAAAGTTCATCGAAAAGTGCTATCATGTTTGTTGAGGCGGGTCCCGACATGGGCTAGCTGCACTACAATTGCTTTGTTCGGCCAAGGAGGAATGGGTGCAAAAAAGTGACCGTCGAAAAAGAGAGGAAGTCAATGTGGTCAAAAAAATAATTGATCTTTGCAGAATGAACACAGACGATATTTGGCTGATTGAGAAATCCGTTTATAGTGGTTCTGACCAGCCAATATGAGCCATGATGGACTCGCATGACTAGATAAATCTGGATCATGTAAAGTAGTATTTTCTGACCAGAAAGTCTAACAGTAAGAAATTCAGGACCAATTTCAAACAGTTATGATTTATGGTTGCCGTCAAAGCAACCTGTCGTAGAAAGGCTGCAAACCATTGTACTGCGAAGAAAATCACAATTGGCTAATTCTCAAAGAGGCAAATGGCATTTTGGTCACGGAGCCAAATTCAGTCAAAGTGACCAATTGGCAGTGATTCATACTCAAATTTATCATTTTATCAATCAAATCAATCGTATTTCTACTTTTCACCAAATTTTTCATATTTATGCAATAGACGGGGCATCTCGACGCGAAATTGTCTACCAGTAACGCGTTTTGCAATTTCTACAAGGAATCGCCTTTCACCGCAAAGAATTGAACAACCACCAAAAATCAGCAACTTCAAGAAATCCATCAGAAAAACCGTAGATCTCCTCGAAAACGAAAAGAGTAAAAAATAATTTCACCTCTCAAGCAAAAAAGCCACTTGCCCCCAGAAACCTGAAACACCGGCTCTGAAACCCCCTGGGAGGCACGGGTGTACACCTTCTTCACGTCTTTTTCTCCCTACTCCAACCACCAGATCCTTCTTTTTCCAGATGATCCCGACAACGCCACCCAGGAAGACACTGGCTCGTGAGCCTGTGACGCCTTCTTCGTCAAGATGTTACAAAAAATCAAATGGTCTGAAACCCATGGTTTCACCCTTTCTCACTCCTAGGACGTCTAGGAAGCACGCAACTGATACGATAGGACCCTCTCCGAGGCAAACGAGCATTCTTCCTACACCACTGACAGTTGGTAGTGGTAGAAAAGGACGAGTTCTATTCCCAGATCAAAAGTCACTGAAATCTCGAAACCTTACGGCCACTCTTCAGAAGCTCAGCGAGGATAACCAGAAAAAGCAACCAACCACACCACCCCGGCCAACAACCCCGCAGGACCAGATTCTCACCGAGCCTTCTACTCCTTACAGTGCTGGATTAGGCATCTGGGGTACTGATAATGACACGATACGCGTGGTGAACGTGGACGATCTCAAACACATTCCTCGCAAGAAGCTTCCGAATCCTTTTCTCGAGTCTCATGCGCCCAAGCCAAAGAGGCAGCCCACTCAAGTCGACCTAGCGACTCAGATGGAACTTGTGAATCACCGTACAGGGGAGCGCAAGGTGGAACAATTACTGGAAGAGCAGCGCAGGTTCAAGCCTCGCAAGCTCGATTTCACACTGGCTATGAATCCAGTGAAGGTGAACTATAACATAGCCAACAAGTTTGTTGGTAAGAACATGGGCAAGGCATTTACGATGGAAGATTCAAGCAAGCAGGGCTTCAGTATCTTCAGTGATGGGGATGTGTCGAATTAGTTATTTATTAATAAATTGGATGGTAATTGTCATCTCATCTTCGTATAATACATTTACAGCCAGGCCCTCGTTTCCCGGTATTTTTTGATGTTGTCCCAGGTTAACAGATTGGCATTTGGTAGTTTGACAACCTCAATCTGGTTGAGCACCTCAGGCAACTGCTTGTCTGGGTATGTGGCCACATATCTAATGGGCTTGCTGATTTGCGAAACTGGGTCTCCGTCCTGGCCACGAAGTTCAAGTGGCAATTTCCTCATGATTTCCGCATGATCCGTAGGTAGCGTGAATCTGTCGGTGATGTCTGGTTTCATCAACTCGGCAAGCTCTCTAGTTGGCTGTGGTGGTGCCAAACCACGAGACTCAGCATTATGACGAGTTTTCTCGTATTCACTGAGCAACTCCTCCTTCCTCTTTCTTCTTTTCTCCTGCCTGTCAATGGCATAGAGCTTTTCAAAGTCAATCATACGGAATTTGTAGAAGTTGGCCCACGTCAGCTGCGAGACTTCTCTGTAGGAGTTCGCTAGAACGTTGAAAAGAACAGTGCTATGAAGCATCTCTAGATTTTCGAAATCTTCGGCAAACTGACGCTGGCGGTTCACAACAACTTCTACGTTGTCAGGAGTGTAGAAATCATGGATCAAACCCTTGACACCACGGTCGAAGCGCTTTCGTAATGGTTTCTGGACCTTGTGTGATGGAAGATGTGTCACAGCATTTGTTTCAGGTAAAGAATCCTTGTTGAACATGCGAATCTTATTGATTCTGTTCACCAATGCCGCGTCTTTGTAATTTCCCGAGCCAGGTCCTCTGTAACTCTTGTAGTAGTAGTATCTGGAGTTAAGGGCCTCCTGGTCATTATTCATGAAGAGCTGCAGCACCTGTTTTGTTCCCTTGCTGTCAGAGAAGTTTAGTTGCAAATCGGTAAGATGTGGCTTGTATGTGTTTATGAGAGCGGTCTGCTGCGAGTTCATCAGACCGTTGCTGACAAAGTAATTGGGAACCTTGCAGAGGGCGCCCACCAGGAACTCAGGAATGGCGCCATTACCAGGAAGGATGTTTTCAGAAACATCAAGCGAGTTGGGATCAACACTTGCAATGTGTCGCCTTGTTCTACCCAAAGGTTTCTTGGAGGCCGAGCTCTGATCAACAGGTTCAGTTTCTAAGATCAGGTTTGGGTTGAAGGCGGTATAGTTATTGCTGCTCAGAATAAGCTCCCTTTCATAAGCACTGAGAGAGGTACCGTAGACTCTCCTATAGTTACCCTCATGCTTGTAGACCTGCAACTTTGTGAGGGGTGTAAGTGTTGTGAAGGTAGCATGGTCCTTGGTAATCACATTATCCTCATTGCCGTAGTGAGGGAACACCTGGGAGATAGTAATAGTATCGTCGTCATTAAGTGGAATGATTGGTCTTTGACGGATAGCTGTATTCGTGACTAACGCATCATTGCCAACCAACACATTCTCATTTTGAACCACAGAGTGAATGAATTTGAGTGACACATAAAACAATTGACTCCTGGCCTCCAAGGGTGTGATTAAATTCTCTGCAAGAAGTAAACCATTGAGGTTTTCATTAGTTTTGTGCAAGAACTCCCCCTTCCGGATCCCACTTTTCTTCACTATTTTGGCAATTACCTGGTAGGAGCTGGGATAGTTCCAGAGCTTTGCAAGCAGATTCACGAGAACATAGTTGTCGTTGTCGAGAGTGAAGAAGTCGACCTTCCAAGGAAGCGAGGACGAGAAGTCGGACTTTTCCTGTGGCGGTTGGAATTTAACGGATACAGTGGAGCGAGAATAGCCGTGACTGTTTTTACCACCAGTGGCACGAACCACGGAAACCGAGGACATGGTTGTTTGTCTTTCTGTTGGTAGGTAAAGAATGTGAAGTAGTCGGTGAGGGCACGTGCTACAAGGCACGTGAGAAGCCAGAATATGGATTGGAATTGATGAAACTACAGATACTTGACGGGTTGAAAATATTCAATATTGGTGGATAGGGATTTGTCAATAGAGAGGAGGTCAGAAGGTTTTAGAGTGTTTTGGAGGGATGATGTTTGCATATGTACATACTGCGACGCTCTATCCCACTATATTCAGAAGTAAGCCTGGTGATGCAATGTAACAGAAATGTCGAACATTTGATCAAGGTTACAAAATTCTCGTTATTTCCTTTCCTAAACACCTCTTATGATCACGCGACAACGGTTATAGCCTATCGCCGTGATTGCCGTTGACAATGGCAAAGTCTCAGCTTCTGATACACGACAGATTGCCCTTTTAGGCCTTAGTGACTGGGGTAAGATTGCCAGGTGAAAGAAGATGAAGCAGGTTAGGATAATAGCAAAGCTGAACCACTCTATATGGAAAGGTGTATCAACTGAGGAAGAGTATTTAGACGGCATTGGGTACATAAGCCTGGCGCATCAACCATACTGTGGCATCGCTAAATGTAACAAGTGGTTGTGAAGAGACCAGAACAGTAACAAAAACTGAAAGAGAGTCAACGAGTCCTACTCGGAATTTAAGTGGAGCAAGAAGTTTCGAAAATCAGGATCTTCTCATACCCCTCCCCAACTAGTTAGAGCCTGGCTGCGAAATACAGATGGACCCTTCTGAAAATCACATTCAATGTCAAAATGAGGAAGGAGCTTGTTTGGCGTTGAAGAGTAAATCGTGGAGAAAACAGAACAAGGAATTATGGATTGTGTGGTCCTTTTCTCCTTTTGATTAATGGAGCTCTGAAGTAGCTCATACCCCAGTTTCCGTCTTCCGTGGATAATGCAGAAGTGAGTTAAGCGAGCAGCATGGCACCTAGACCGGACCATTTTCACAATTGCTCCAACGGTTTCCATTGTGATGTTAGCAATCTTGCTGACGAAAACGATTCTTCAAGAACAGACACAAATAGTCCTATGACCCAAGGTCTGAAAATCATGTGGTCAACTGATCAAGATAGTCGTCGGCATGTATCAGTACTAGTATCCTACAACAAGCAGATTAACCCATATGCAACACCCTTACCCTCATCCCACCAAAGCTTATCGCCAATACCAACCCCTTTAATCCTTCTTATTTCATCAACCTCTAAACCAACTCACTGTCCTGGCGCCTAGTTCCATTTGCGATAACGCACCGAATGCTCGGATCCCGACCCCACATACAAGCTTTCATGATTGAAATTCTTGAACAAAGGACCTCAAGACTCCACAAAAGGGACGGTGTTACCCTTTTTGATCCGCCACACCAGACCTTGTTCGCTCGATAACCACAACTCACATTTTTCGCAGCCATGCACCAACAACGACAAATCCCACAATAAAGTAAAAAACGTATTTCAGCTTCATCAAAGTAGTTTTGAAAACCATGTCCAACAATAAAACAATATGAAAACCTGTTTTTCCTCATTATCCCGCCATTAGGAGACCACCGGATTTTAACCGCACCCTCGGTTCCCACCAATACCCCACAAGTGAGCGCATATGAAGACTGATATATAGGTGCCCCAAAACCCACCCACCATTTTTTCTCCCTCACCAACCATGCCAGACGAGGATTACACCGACATTTTGTACGAGGTGAAGGACAGAATCACCACCATCACCATCAATGTGGAGAAAAAACTCAACGCCTTGAACGGTCCCCAGTACCTTCAGCTCGCCAAGTACTTGGATGAGGCCGATAAGGAGGAGGACACTGTGTGTACCATCATCCAGGCCAAGGGTAAGTACTTTTCTGCTGGTGCCAACGTCAGAGACATTTCTGTCATGAACTCCGACCCTTCGGAGGTGTTCAGCCACGAGTTCTGGCTCAAGAACTTTGTCGGTAGAAACGTCTACTTGGCTGACTTGTTGCACAACCACTCCAAGGTCTTGATCTGTGCCCTCAACGGTCCTGTCATTGGTCTTTCTGCTGCAATCGTCGCCTTGTGTGACTTGGTCTACGTGAACGACGAGAACAACACCTACATGTTGACGCCCTTCTCCAACTTGGGTCTTGTCGCCGAGGGTGCCACCTCTGCCACCTTGTTCTTGAGATTGGGCTGGTCCAAGGCTTCCGAGGCCTTGTTGTTTGCCAAGCCTGTGCCAGGCACCGAGCTCAACCGTTTGGGCTTCTTCAACGGCACCTACACCGGCAAGGGCTTGACCACTGACCAGTTCAACGAGGAGGTTCACAAGTTGATTGTGTCCAAGTTCGACGGCTTGTACGAGCCATCCATCTTCGCCAACAAGAAGTTGCTTAGACACAACCGTGACACACTCATCAACAGTGCCAATGCCAGAGAGTCCATTGTGGGTTTCAACAGATGGATCGAGGGCATTCCTCAGCTGAGATTTGTGCAAATTGCCAACAAGGAGATCAAGCACAAGCTCTAAGCGTCCGGCCAGTCCGGATTCAGCATTGAGCGGTAGAGACCTTTTTAGGAATATATTTATAGCCAAGGCAGTGTAGGCAAGAGTTGGACCGGTCAATGCGGTTGAAACGTCCTCTTTGATGAGAGGTTAATGAGGTCTTTATTATCACAGTTCACTTTTGCTGTGCATTTATCATTTGATTTGATTTTTCACTGTCTACCTCACATCTGTACTTAACCGAATGCAACGCTACAGTCGCGATGTTGAATAACTTCACATGACTACTTACCCATAACCTTCAACAAGACAACATTCTTCATAATACTAAATAAAAGTTGTCAATCCCATCAATTGAATTACATCCTACAAGATTCGTTCCTTTACCCCAGACCACCCCACTTCACCTACACCTCACTCTCAGATAAGCCTATCGCGAAGTACACTCAATTCATGCTATGTCATACAACCTACCGTGTCCGAGCCTTGTGGGACTCATTCTAGTGGCATCCACGCACAATGGACCACACTTCTCCTTCTGTTATCCACAAAATTTGTTCTCTGACGAATTCAATCGCAGGAAAAGAGCCACCTCGGACCTCGATGATGAAGACTATGTTCAAGACGAAACAGGAGACACGCCCGATGAGAGTCTTAACTTTAACCATATGAGCTCTTATTTGGGCACGAAGAAGGATATAATTACCGTTTTGGACAATCAGGAGCGTCTCAAAAGAGAACAGAGTGGTGATGCTCAATCGGGTTCAAGTATCCACAACGGACGAAGCTCTCTACGCCAGGTGACCTCCAATTCGAGTAAAGCATCGACGCATCCACCGGAAGATACCGGTAAGATCATGGGTTTTGATCGTGAGTACCTCAGTGAGATGCTCTGCCCACCTCGCCTGATGTGCAACAGTCGGTTTGAGGTGATGATTGAAAATGTGGTGTTTTTGGGGTTGCCGGTTCATATTGGCGCCGACGGCTCGTGGCGGCCCGGAAGACTGGAGCGGAATCGGGAAAAAACCGATAATGAAGACGAGAACCTGTCGAATAATGCCATGTCTATGTTCCACTTGGTATTTGTGCTAGAACCACCTGAAATCGAACGCAACTACAGGATAGATGAGATGTTTTATTGCGTTACCTCAAAACTTTCCCTTGTGCTACGCTACGAGCAGCTGAAAAGGGATTACGTATGGAGCCAGATTCGCCTCATCCTGAAACTAAAGGATGAGTGGAGAACCCAGACCACGCTACACGGCTCGCTGATGCTGGAATATTTGGTTTCAAAGCTGTCTCTCTGCAAGCTTATGGCTGATTGTTATGATGCCATCTCTTGCAGCAAGATCGCTACACTTGTGGTCAACAACAAACGCAAGTCGTTCCAGATTCCAGTCAAACTGGAGTTCTCTTCATTACCAGAGCCGACTGTGCCTTACATACCCGGCTCACATCTTTCTTCTACAGCCAACATGCTTTCATCCACCGGGTTGGTAAATTTGGGTGAAACCACAAGATACCATACCAAAGGGCTCATGAACTTACTTCTTGATGGAAGCCTCGCTACTGGTAACTACGGCGCAGGCGAGGACGTGAACTCTCTGGATGACGAGGATGCAAACGCAACTTCCTCTGAGGATATAATCTACTTTGCCATTCTTCTCCTCGACAGTCCCGAGGTGATTATCAGGGATCTCAAAGCAGAACCGCAAAGTCAACTTGCTCGCTTCATCAGGCTAGTTCGTCCAACCGAATCATTGATCAAGCTCACCAATAAAATTAAAGCCTCAAATGAGGGAAAGTCTATTAGCATCTCACAGATCAAGTCGTTTGCATTTCAGCTAATATACTGGCGAAAAGCCCGTGTGGTGACTCCGCTCAACTCAGCAGCCATTTATATTGTGTCCCCCATGGCTCCATTCGAAAGTAATTTTAGAGATGACATCAGAGCTTTCAAAGAGAATTTTGCGACTCTTCCATCGCTTCCTCAATTCCTTAAACTCCTTTCAGCGAGATCGAGGAAACCCAAGCAGTTTGCCACTATCATTCCTTCACGAGATCACAAAGATCTTTATCTTCTGGCGCTTGCATGGCTTATACGATTTGGCTATGTGACGCAATTGCACACCTATATTTGGCTCAAGATTCCCAGAAAAGTGAAAATGAGAGTCGATGAAGAGGAAGAAACAGAGAGAGGAAGAGATCCAAAAAAGAAGCGAGAGCTGGATAGTGCTCAGAATCTGGCAGTGGTCGACAACAAAGTTGAGGTCGACAATGTCGTCGACAACAAGGTGGAATCCGCTGTAGAGGTAGCATCCTCACCCTCCAAGGCTAAAGTGCTACCGCAAAAAGGCTTTCATCCAGGGTCTTTGGACAGCGAGATAGATAGGATTGAGAGCAAACTTGGTATGGCGAAAATCGCGTCTAATGTGATTCTTGAGGAAGAAGACGATACCATTTTGGTTGATCCAGGACGGGCATCTAGCATTCAAAGAAGGTGGATCAACAGAGTAATTCATGAGGAGTGCAAACTTCCTCCCGACCTCACCGCCGTCTTCTACAAGCTTCTCAAGTACATGAACGGTAAAAATTCTTTGGAGCTTCTTCTACTCAAGGAAAACGTTTCCCGAGTTGAGCTCAGGAAACTTCTAAAGGCGATCGAAGATTTTATCATATCCGTCAGACACTGGTAAATATTATTACAATGCATTAATATGTACAACTCAAGAAAAGTTGTCTTCCTGAGTAGCCTCAAGTTCATTTCCTTCAATCTCATTGAAGAGACTGAAATGAAGAGGGCGATGTGATTCGTGATAGAATGGCAAGGGCAAATCCACAACCAAATCAAAGAGGCCGTTTGGATCCCAAACGGGGCCGATAAATGCGTAGTTCCAAATTTTGTCATCGGGAACCAAAAACGTGCCCACAATTCTATCAGACATAATGAGCTGCTTCTTTTCGCTGAATGATGGACTGAAACCAGCGGGTGCATTGGAAATCATGTCCTTATTCGAACTTCCCCAGTCATAACCACTCTTGTTGAGTCCAAAGGCGGTTAGCGTGACAGAGCCAGGAGTAAGTGCAACGGTCAAGGTAACCATGTTCCTATTCCACACTGTCTCATTCTTATTATTAAATCCTGCAATGGTTGTCACATCAACGGGGCTCAACATGCCAAGATCGTGGTTTTGCGTATGAATCCAGCCAAGTAGTTCGAGATCTTTGAGGTATTCATGCTGATTATTCTCGATAAGCTTATTAGGAAATTGAATGGAATGAGAATTGCCAAGTTGAGGAACCATTACGATTGCTTTGACCTCCTTGATCTCCTCATTATCAGCTGGCGAGGTTCCGTAGACAAAACCACCAATCTGAGTTCTTGTGTCCGATATTTGAACAAACTTCTTGAGAAGATTCTTTGGCATGATATAGGTGAAACTATCATCGTCCTCAAAGTCTTCCGAGGTGACATAGATGTTCTTGGTTCTCAGATGTAAATTAGAAGCAGCAATTGCTCTATTCTGCCATTCATTCTTGGAGCTAAATGCCAGTTGCTCGTAGTTTGTCGTAGTGATTGTTGTGATCTCCTCGCCATGAACGTTTTGACTTTTGGTCTTCAAAGCTGTGAGCTGCTGATTAGCATTTGCAGCATCTGGATCTTCCTTCGTAGGGTTCTCGACATCTGCAATCTGTTGTCTCTTGGCTGAAGGAGCCTTGACCTCCTGACCCAAAATCAAGTCTCTAACCTCCGACTGAGTCAATGATTGAACATTCACATTATTCTTCTTGGCAAAGTCATTCAAGATCAAGTCTCTCAATTGTGTCTCGACGTCAATCCACTGCTCATCAGACAATGTGGGCCAAATGTGATTGCTCTGAGTAACAACACTAGCATCTGGGCGGAGAATCATATTTGTCCTTTCTGGGCTGATCCCCATTGCACGCAATATCAATATAGTACGCGAGAAAGCGGTGTATGAAGATATACTCTCGAGCCAGTTGTCATAGAAGTTGAACAAAACCATCTGTGGTTCGGTGGCCTTCATGACCACATCAGACAATTTGTCGATTTTAAGAGCTGCTGCGAATGGAAGATGGAGCTCAGAAGACCTGATGCTAATGTTTGGATGATCTAACATGTGGACCTCGAGAGGATCAAGCATTCCTTTTCTTGTTGCGATCAACTGCTTTGGCTGCTCTTCACGAGGCAAAGATCTGACCAAAGCGGCAACCTCCTCTGCCGTCTTCCATTTTGCCAACTGTCCGAGACGCTTTTGACCAGCCCACACAGATACATGAATGATCTTGAGGAACAACTGTCCTGTTTTTGGGTTGAGAATGAAGACAGCACCATTCACAGGCTTGGTGGTGAGGTTCCCCTCGGTTGTTCTGTGAACAGTAACTCGGTAAACATTCGTGTCATCAATGAAAAGCTGTGTCTCATTGTTGAACAACTCAGCATAGTTCGAGGAATTTAACAAGGCAACCTGAGGTTGAGACTGGTACAATTGAAGGCCCTTTCTGACACGCTCACGGAGAACATAAAGGGCTGGGTTGGCTTTCATAATCTCTTTCATAGCATTCTGCATCAATGGCTTGAGACCGCTAAACCAGTTACCATAAATGTCATACACATTGTAGGCAAGATCCACTCCAACCATGGCTCCAGTTGGTGACGGGTAAGTGCTTGTACTGTCGGTTGTGTAGTCCAAAAACTTTGCTCTAGTATATCTGGAAATGTCATGCGAATCGTAGTCACCGTATCTCAATTGAACATCAACCCAATACTTCGTGGCGGTAGCACTATCAAACGAGTCGGCCTTGTCGTGTAAGAGTGAGGGCCTGGAGACATTCCACTTATAAGTACTGGTTAACACGATATCAGCGCTTGAAGAATTCATCTTGTACGACTTTCTAGGGTGAACAGCCTGCTTTTCAACAGAATCCACATGCAATACTTCTAGCTCCTTGTCTAAGACCTGACAAATGTCTTGAACCAAACTTTCATGAATCTTCTGCCACAAGTGAGCTCTGAAGATCTGAATGAGCGAGATTTTTAACGTTGGAATCTTACCATGGAGGAATATACCAGTCAAGTCGAGTTGCACCAAGAAACCAACATAAACATTAGCTCTGTTAATAGTAGGCGACCACCAAAGGGTAAAACGACGGTTAGGAATCTGACTTAAACCAGAGCGCTGAGCATTTGTCAACTTTTTGAATTTCAACGAATCCTCGAAGCCAGAGGCCTTCTCCCAGAACAAGCCCTCCCACGAGTCGAAACCTGTTCCCTTGAAAAGAGTGTGCTCAAGGATGGTGTCAATACCACCGAGAGCTTGTATCACATCAGTTCTGTAAGCTGCAAGGTTCCACAATTTACCATCATGATGACTATTCGTCCACCAGAATGGATTGCCACGGCTCAAAGCAAACGACTTAAATTCTCTCCTTGCTCTATGGCCCTTGTCGTAAGCAAGAGTTTGACGGTCTTTTTGGAAAAGTGTACTGATTCTCGGTAAACCGCGGTCCCAACTTGACTCCATGTCTTCGAATGTGATACGACGGTTTTGTTCCACAGCTTCTTGCCGTTTGATTGCATATTCTGCCCAAACTCTCTGAGAGTCCAAAAATTCATTCTCCCAAGTTGTCATGTACCTGAATATTGTGGGTATCATTCTCTCCTCCTGATGGTTCATACCAGCACGGAAGTGTGTAATACCCGTATCTGTTTGCTTTGACCACTTGAGATCCGAAGCTGGAATCAAAATATGCGAGGCACTTAACATTCCAAGACCACCCAACTCCTTAGGAGTATAGAAAACGGCAGGGGGAAATCTCGACGGCATCTTCGAGTTCAAACCCATCTTAACTCTATTTTGAATCTTGGTCTCGCATTTCACAAGGACGTCTAGTAAAGATTCCGTGGCCACAGTTGCCTCACGAAAGTATGCAAAAAGTGAAATCAATGCTGTGTTCCATTTTGCTCCCACCTTCGTAAAAGTAGCTGAGCCCGAGGACATCAAAATCTGTCTTATCCTGTTCTGAAAGCGTTCCACTTCTTTCTGAGATACTTTGAGGAAAGCCTTAGCGGTACGCTCCTTGTTGGTTTGATTAACAAGATCCCAGACACCTTCTTGAGATGACAGATCCTCCGTCATACGACTCTTTGGCAAGATACGCACCTCGAAACCACACATCGTGAAAAGTAAGTTTGGATTCTCTGGCGAGTAAACAGAAGCAAAGGAGTCCTTCCACTCTAATGTGGTAATCGAGGTTGGAATTCTGCTCGACACCTCCCAGAAAACTGCCTTTCCTAGGTTGACATCAGGGCGCATGAGGCGCATCCTGGAGTCTTTTGGCCAACATTTGTGGGTATTGTAGCCAATGAGGTTGCTGGTATTTGGATCGGGGTTATCTAGGAGGAAGTCCGAAACCAAGGCATCAGCATCCTCTCTTTCAAACCGGAAAAATATGTGAATTTTGTCCATGTATCTGCAGTAAAGTCTGATAGGGTTCGCTTTCTCGGTCTCGGAGTCTTTGAAATTGAGGAAGCTATTAGGCAGTTGCACAGGTCCAGCAATATCCGTCGCTCTATCCAATCCAAGAATCAAAAGATCAATGGCCAAGCAATAGTATTGGAAAATGAAGGATGAAAAGTGTAAACCCCTTATCAAACCATATTGGTTGACATGATTCATATCTTTGTATGATAAGGCAACATTGTTCTTGGATGTAATGTAGTCTGCGATGTTGGGATCCACAATGAGTCGAAGAAGTCTGTTGAGAAGAGTGAAGTCAATTTTCTCGGCAACCTTATTCAAAGTTGTTTCCAAGATCACATTGCTTTCACCGTGCGAAGTATCCCAAACATTCTCGAGGTTGTTCAAGCCCTGACACCATTTGTAAACGAGCAAGGGGGGAATTTCATCGTCAGAAGGCTTCACCCAGTTGGGGAAAAGCATTCTCTTGTCCGCCTCATACCACAAGTATTGATCAAGGTATGCGTCAGTGATCTTTTCCAAAGGATCGATGGTGTAGACAGGGGACAAATGATCGTAATGGTCCACCAACTCGAGACCAACTTCCTTAAAGATTCTTTGTGTCAAAAGGTACTTTTTGATTCTGGCCAAACACTCATTGGGATTATCGTACGCCTGTTCAATGAGGGCGAGTTCTTCACGTTGGGATGAGTTCAACCTGGCATTTGCATTGAAATTTTCTTTGAGATTCTCCAAGGCGAGGACCAACAATTTGGTATCATGCTTGTATGATATAGGAGGAAATGGGATAGGGTTGAACTTTCTACTCTCGAGCCACTGAACCATGGTTTGAAAGATGATCACAGCTTGATCCGGTGTGACGTAAGGACCATCCTTAGAAAAGTCGCTCTGTCTTGTCTGTTCATCCTTAATCCAAAGTCTTGTAAGACGTCCAAGATTCTTTTTTACCATGGATTTTTCAACCGTAGCGCCACGTGTAATACGGTCACGGTTGTAGTGAGCAATCGATATCCATCCATCTGCTTTGGCCTTGATGTAATGCTCTATAATCTTTTCGATAGGCTCTGGCAAACCTGGAACCTTCCAAGGGATATTGGCTTTCCAACACCTCCATGCTTCACTCAAATGCTGCAAAATCAAGGCTGACTTGTTTTGTTTCAAACCCTCAGGAATCATATCCAAAATGTCGTGCATGACTTGAGCTCTTAATTCCAAATCATAGTATGAGTCAATTCTTTGTTTAGTGACGGTCTTGACGACATCATTACTGCGTCTACCTTCGAATTGACGTGCGAGCAAATTACCAAGCCATCTCTCGAGCATGGGAATTGTTCCCCTGATGAAGGATAGCCAGACCCTCCAAGCAGGTTGCCAAAAGCCACACCCCGGCCCTTTTCCAATAGAGCTGTTGAAATTGGAGTAGACGACATGTTTGAGATCTTTGCAGGCCCTAATTTGGTGCATAACCTTGTACTTGTAACGGTAGATACCGGTAAGTTGCCCAATATGATTCAAGGTATAGTAGATACCATCAGCCAACTGATAAGCGTCAACTTGACCCAAGCGGAACTGTACATGCGAGTCCACAAGAATCTTGACAATTCTGAGAAGTTCTCTGATGAGATGAAATGCATGTCCAAATCTTGACTTCTTCCTCTCTTTCGTTGTCAAGGTCTTCGTGGGTTTGAGGTTGAAGTTGTAATCAAGATGAAGGTACGTGAGACCACGTTTGTGAAGGAGCAAGTTGAGCATATTGTGACCTTGCCTGCAAAGTTGAAGACCAGCTTCTACCCAATCAATCGATGTTTGTTGAAAGTACTTTGTTTCTTTCAAGCTTTTGAGAAGACTAACCTTTCTTTGGTTTGCCTTCCCAGTTTTCAGGCCAGGAGGGTTCTTGAGCTCGTTGTGAACGTAGCCCTTCAAGAGCTTCTGATACGAGACTCGTGTCTTCACTGGGACATCGCGAGGAGGCCTCTCCCTGTACCACGATTTCACGAGAGCAACATCTTGGGCTCTGACTGTGGAAGTCGAACGACGATTGAAGGGGAAGGGAGCCCACCAAAGTTGAAGCGCATCAGCTGTATGTTCTGGCTCAAGAGGCAAATTGACATCAATGCCGTCTTCCTCTGTGGTCGTCATGTATGGAGCAAAACCATCGGGCAACTGAATTTCATCGAGATCAAAATCGAGAAAACTTTCTTCTGCCTTCTTCACTGAGAATTTATGCGGCTCGATTGGGTTGTAGTCTTGGGAAAAGAAAAAGGCTGGTCCGTCTTTATCATAATCGTCCTGTGGGACTGTACGGATATTGTCGTGGTACCAAGGCACTTCCACATCTTTGACGAAGGAGTTGTGAAGGTAAGGGTAAGCGACCTTGTATTCCGTCTTGATGGGTACTCTGAAGATGATCCTGTCGATTGCGTTGAACTCGGTATAATCTTCAAGCTCCTTGTTGTTGATCTTGTCCTTGAACAATGGCTCAAACTTGGGTCCTCCGGGAACGACAACGTTCAAGCTCTTAGCTGTGAAGAATGCTTCCTTGTTGAAAAGATAGTAATAGTTGGGATCAGTGACATGCGGTAAAAGAGGGATCGAGAGCCGGTATAGCTTCGCCATGGTGGCAATATCGAGGTTCCAATGCTTGTAGGATTCGCCATTGATTGAGCCACCCTCAGAGGCTTCGACAAAAGGTTTCTCGTCGTAGAGAAGCTCAGCAATTGCTGCGTAATCTGGGCTTTCGTCTGTGTCGAGCTGAATGGGGTCTGGAAGGGTGACTTCGTCTAAATTTTCCGACCAGTCTATAGGAGGCTCATCGTCGTCAAATGGCGGGAACCGCATTCTTTTGAAACGTCTTCTGTCTCGCTTATCTCGCCTCATCATGGTCCATGCTGTGGCCCATTGGGCTGTATAAACAGGCTCAATAACTCGTGGAACTTCATCCACAAAGGTGATGGCACCGGTAATATGGTAGAGCACAGAAACCTCCTTCTCCTGTTCCCACGGCTGAGGCATATTTTCTAGAAGCTTGAGGATGGCGTGAGGCATGTACTTGAGAGAACCAAGGTGTGATCTCTTGTCTGATGCAACCTTCTTCGATGAAAGATCGCCGTGGTCTAGCATAATCTTTCGTAGATGCTCTGGTGGCATTCTTGCCTTCTGTGGTTTCACTATGCCTGCCTTCTTCTGGGTCGATGTGGTGTCTCTGAATCGGAGTTTCTGATGCTGGAGCCAGTCCCTTTTCCGGGTCTCTAATTGCTCCTTTGGCGAGGCAGCCAGTGACGTCTTTTGCATTTTGCGAGGACGCTCATCTCCCGCTGGAGGAGGTGGCATTCTGGCAGATGGAGGTGGAGGAGGCCTGGCTATAGGCCTTGATGAGCCATTTCTGTGCACTGCAGGAGGCGGAGGAGGTGGCGGGGCTCTGGTATTAGAGCCATTCCGACTGCCACTGCCTCTAGGTGGAGGTGGAGGTGGAGGGGCTTTTGGTGGCATGGACTTGTAGTTTGATAAGCCGGATTATCAACACTATGAGATGCTCATCTATAGGTGGTGTACGGGTGTTGACAGAGTGGGACTGGTAAGTATGGCAGGGTGTCACTAGGGAGGATGAATTGGTTGGTGAAGGGATATCTTGGTTGCATTGACACGAAGTTCAGCTATTGTTTGGCTCTAACTACAGAGGTTCGTGTGTCGTAGGTGGAAAGTGAGTCTGCAGGTGGGACGGTGTAAGATGTAGCCTTTGAAATGGTTTTTTGCAAGGCAGGGCGCCTGAAAGTAGAGCATTCGACTGATTTGAATGAAAAATAAAACGAACACTTAACTTTAGGTGGTCTCGGTGTGAAGTAGACTCTGCTTTGCTGCAAGACGATAATCCAGTATGTCTAGCACATACACTGCAACCTCTAAAAAATAACAACAAACTTCAGTGTTCATCATCTCACAACCTTCAAATACTTCAGCTATCTCCTTTTTGTCACTTTCTGTCATTTTTGCACTATCAATCAATCACATAAACCATGTCTCATTTTCCCCACTGAGCCCCAGATTTCGCAGCCAAAAGACACAACCACTAATTCCCCGGATTACCCCGCCGGAACCTTAAAAACCAAAATTCAACCCTTCCTCCTTGTCAGCCTCCCGTAACACAAAACAACATCTCCACTAAACCCCATCCCCAGATTCCCGTTCATACAAGTACGGTCATCCATTGTTCTCCGGTTATATATGGTCCGCGCGACCCGTGAATCCTGTCAAATTATCACATTCAGCTCCACAGCAGGATGGTCGAATCGTCTTCACCAAACTCGCTTGATCCGTCCAAAAACCTATTCAGTGCTCTCCTAGACGCAATAGCCGAACAGTCTCAATATGCCGATGATAACGATATAAAGTGGGACCGCTTTGGTTCCCTTTCAGCTTACATATGCTCCTTCTACGGCTTCTCCACCATGTTCCTAGCTTTCATCCTCAACAGAACGGCCATTTTTGCCTCGGCCCGAGCTAATAGCCGCCCTAGGGCACGCCAGATCCATAATCGTGGGTTTTTGGGCGCCACGTCCAGAGCTGATTGGCCTTTTGCTCTTTGCACTTTGCTTCTCAGACTTTCGGCTATCGCTGCCTTGGGATACGCTATGCGTAACGTCCTCGTGGTGCTCAGAATCATGAAAAGTAATGCTCAGGATGTTGGACTGCTTCCGCTACTTATACGGCTCATACCTGACGACTGGTTCTTGTATGATCCGGTCAAATATGCCCAAGATCGGTACATGAGCATGCCTCGTTCCGAAGTACGTTTTGGTCCTACTTCTGACATGCTCTATACGGTGTACTTGGCGGCTAGCTACCTGGAGTTTATCGAGGTCTTTGTTCTGGCTATACTGGGTAAAACACCAAAAGTGGGCCGGGCCATCACTATCTTGGAACTTTCAGTGTCCCTCCAGGAGGTAAGCTCAGGATTCTACTTCCTCCGCAAATACACCCCAGCAAAGCGCCCCACAGAGCAGGTCCTCATGGTTTGCATGTTCCTGTTAGCCGATCACATCCTATTCCACATTGGCACCCTTTTGTATGACAGGAGATACCGTTTGATTCCTCTGTCGATGGTCAGCATAATGTTCATCCTCTACCACTGGCGCTGTCTCAGCAACGGCACCTGGCTCAACTTCCCCGTTGTGATTATTTCAGCATACACCTCACTTTTGTTCCTTTGGGCCGTGATCATTCTGTGTGCATTGATATTCATACTAGCCATCATTGCCAAGGGATCGAAGTACCAGGAGCTACAATTCGCAAGTTACTTCACTGGCCCCGAGGAAAGTAACGAATTTTTTTCAAAGCACATAGGATGCTCCCTTGACGACGACTTTTTCCTGTTTTCCCTGAAGTTAAGTCTCTTTGCGATCACGCTGGCCGGAAGATCGAGCTACATCACCGAGTACAACTACGTAACAGGGTCACAAAGCACTTGGGTTGAGCAGTCCATCACAGATAAGCTTATTTCAATGTTTGGCGCTGACAGCCTTAGTAGAGACTCTGACTCCACACAGAGCAAAAAGGTTATAGCCTACTTGAAAGAAAACAAGGTTAGCGGTTACGGCAATCTTGTTGACAAACCGCCTCTCCGTCTTATTTCTCGGAACAAAGACGAACAGTTCAACTTCAAGTTGCAGGGCGCCTGGAGACAGCGTTTCTTTTACCTTCGCGAGTCGACAGTTCGTTTCACTCAGCTTATCAAGGCATTGGTTGTCGACACTTTCGCCCTTTATCTTGTGCCAAGGCTTTTCCGCAAGTACATATTGAGGAGGCCAATTAGCCTCTGGGGCAGCGACCACGAAACTGAGGAGGAATACCGAATCCGGCAGAACAGAGCACCCAAGTTTGTGCAACCTTTTATTAAAAAGAGGGAGCCCGTTACGGATGGCACACAAAAGCTCAATATCAATTCTGTGGCAGACGACGAGCTTGTGACCCAGTATTCGTCGATTCTCCAGCAAATGGAGCTTGATGAGGTCGACGAGCTGCCTGATTATATTCCTGACCTGGAACTTGAGTCAGACTCCGATGTGGAGTCCGTCGATCTTACTCATGCGGTAATCACCCTGTCTCTGCAAGAAAAACCGTTGGGAGAACTCATTACGTCGGAAAATTTACTCGAATTTCTTCAGGGAGACTCTGATTTGCTCGCTCTGCATCTCGACTACGATGCTAAAGAGGGTATATTGACAAGATCCCGCTTCAGGGCACGCAACAGACCGGGGGTGCATGAAGCAGAAGAACTATTGGACCTCATTATAGCCAAAAGGGCTCGGGACGATCGCACAAAGCCCCGCCACGGGCGCATTGATATAGACGAGGACGACGACGAGGAGGACGACATGCTCGATGCACGCATGGCTTGTGTGGTATGCCAAGTGAATATGAGAGAGATCATTACATGGCCGTGCAAGTGTTTTGCGATTTGCGAGAGTTGTCGTCTCAGTCTTATGGCGAAAAGTATGGAGGGTTGTGTGTGCTGCCGTCGTGACGTCGAGGGTGTTTCTAGAGTCTACCTTCCATGATTTACTGGCAAGGCCCACGGGGTTGTCGAGACCAGCGTCCATTGAGCTGATTGCAGTTGCAGGCCTTTCATTTGCGGAAGCGAAAAAAAGCGAATTGCACAAAGCGTTTCCGTTCGAGCCACATTGAGTTCCGAATGTCGCCTAAAAGGGTCTACTAGGGTGGTTGCAAAGGCATTCTCACGCGGGAGCGCAAATTATAGTATGGGCCCCAAGGTGTGGGCAAGTTCCGCGATGCGTCTTTTGTCCAGCTTTGGCAGGACACCCGTGCACCATCCACTGTTTCCCACAACCACAGTAGGAAACATTAAATAGCGTACCAGTCCCGTTGTTCCGTGCACCATCAAAAAAAAGCACCTCGTTTTGGAACTGGACCAGGATTCACTTTCAAAACCTCATATAGCTCAGCCTCGCGTATATTTTCCCAATTTTCCCCGTCGTGCCTTGATCTACAGGGCGCCCCTAACTACACCGTTCAAGATTTTTAACATGTCAACTATCGAAACTGTTACCGCTACGGCGACGGCGATACCGCCTACAGCGGAGTTGTTGGAGGCGGCTTTCCGGAAGTACGTTCTCCGCTACTTGAACATGCTAGATCGTTTCCCAGGAGGTGCTGTTCTTTTGCGTTACATCAAATCCTCCTACAGAGACGATCCAATTCGTTCTTTGATTGAGTACGCGTTGATTATTTTTGCTGCTACCTACTTCTTTACTTCCAAGAAGAAGGAGAACAGATCTGACTTTTTGGCCTTGTCGAAGAGGGAGGTGGACGAGCTCATTGAGGAATGGCAGCCTGCGCCTCTTGTGGAGCCTGTGTCTGAAACTGAGAAGTGGAGAGTCGATGATTTGATTGTCAAGGGCCAAAACTCTGCCCATATTAAGATTTTGCAACACCCAGAAATTCCTGAGGTTGTCAATTTGGCCAGCACGGATTTTCTTGACCTTAACAGCGACCTGAGAATGAAGGACGCCGCAAGACAGACTATCAACACAGCAGGTGTTGGTGCCTGTGGTCCTCCAAACTTTTACGGTTCTCAAGATGCTCATGTTCGTTTAGAAGAGGACTTGGCACGTTACTTGAACACTGATAATGCTATTCTTTATGGTCAAGACCTTGTTACTGCAGGCTCTGTCATTCCCGCTTTCTTGAAGAGAGGTGACTTGGCTGTTGTTGACAGTGGTGTTAACCAGGCTATTCAGAAGGCTTTGATTGTCAGCAGATGTGACATCGAGTGGTACAGACACAACGACATTGACCATTTGGAACAGGTGTTGAACGAGCTTCAACCCGTGTTGAAGAACCAAAAGCCATTGCGCAGAAGGTTTATCATCACCGAGGGTCTTTTCGCTTACTCTGGTGAGCTTGCTGAGTTGCCTGCAATTGTTGCTTTGAAAAACAAGTACAAGTACAGATTGTTCTTGGACGAGACATGGTCCATTGGTACTATCGGCAAATTGGGCAGAGGTATTTGCGAGCACTATGACATCGAAAGAGATGAAGTAGCCATTACCATCGGTTCTTTAGCCAACTCCTTCTCATCTTCCGGTGGTTTCTGTGCTGGTGTCCAGCCTATGATCCAGCATCAGAGAATCAACTCTAACGCATACGTCTTCAGTGCAGCCCTTCCACCTTACTCGGCTAGAGTTGCTTCCGAGGCCGTGAAATTGATTTCTACTAATTTGACTAGCGAGGGCGAGTCAGAGCTTCTTCTGCAATTGCACAGAAATCTTGAGCTCACATACAAGACCTTGCAGAACAACTTCCAAGACTCAAAATACTTGGAGATCAAGTCCAGCAAAAAGAGTCCTATTATTCATTTGGGCTTCAAGGATGACTACAGACAGTCGTTGGAGCTTCCCAGCATTTATGGCAATAATGTTTTGTTGACAACTGGCAAGCCATCGAAGAAGCCCAACCCACCCAGCGTGAGCTACACGTTAGAGAGCTACATCTTGCAGAAGATCATTGACGCTGTTCTTGTCAAGGACCACACCTTGCTCAACAGAACTAGAATAATCTTTGAGCAGGAGAACTTGCCCATTGCAAGCCCAAGGTTGTTGGTGCAAGTTAATGCAGGTGTTTCAGCCGAGGAGTTGGAGAATGTCGCCAACGACTTGCCATCTGTGGTCAACGCTATTTGTTCCAGCATCAAGCTGCCTTCCGATTTGGAGACGCTTTACAACGAGATGATCAATCAATAATTACATATGCTAACGTCGCTGCCATTAATACCCTCTGGCCAGCGCTGTATAGAACTATAAGGGAAAAAGTTCCATTAATACGTCATTCGACCCGAGCTTCTCTTGCTATTGCCCTAGCTTCTTCGACATCGTGCGCATTATTAAAATTAAACTCTTTCGCCAAATCGTACGCCTCATTGTATCTCTGGTTTTGCAAAGCGTGCCGAGCAAGCCAAAGCCTTGCTTTTGAGGTTTCGTCGCTGACACCCCAGTCGAACTCCTGCTCCAAGCATAGTTTCATGAATCGATACGTCTCTTTGGAGCGCCCGAGCTTTTCGGAAATATTGGCGAGTTTGTAGCAGATATGGGGCTCGATGCTCACATGGGGCTCCTCTGAGTCCACCTCATTGAGACTGTCAATTGCCAAAGCTTTTTCAAATGAACGAATAGCCTCTTCCCATTTTTCAATCTTCTCATAACAGTTGCCAATTGCTTGCCACATACGTTTATCCATTGGCTGAAGGTTTGTGGCTCTTTGATAGTAGTACAAGGCGTACAAATGCATATCCAAGACTTCGTAGGCCTGTCCTAAGCCGTACCATGCTCTGAAGTCCTTGGGATTGATATCGACAGCTCTTCTGTAAGACTCGATAGCTGCGTGGGAGTTTTTAAGCTCCACGAATTCGTGACCCATGAGGGTCCACGCACTTAGGCAATTCTTGTTTAGTAGCAAGGCACGTTTATAGTACATGATGGCCTTCTCGTGCTCTCCCTTCATTGAATGGTAATTTGCGACAATGCAACATGTTTCCGATCTGTAATTGTCGACCTGCGAGGCATAGTGGGCGAGGTATGATAGCTTGGATTTCTTCTCCATCACGTAAAGCATGTTGGAGTACGTGTCAAGGTCATCTAGCCGTAGCGGATCCTTAGCAATAATCTCGTCAAACATTTGCTCCGCCTGAAAGTAGTCAAGACCATGGTAGGCCACGAGGAAGTTTTGAATTTTGAGAAAGATGAATTCGGGGAAAAGCTCAACCAAGGACAGCACCTTATCGGTGAATGCCTCCAGTTGTTGGTAGAACTCCTGGAGAATCACGACCTCGAAGAACTGAAACATGATGTGCCCGGCAAAGGCAGGCTCTTTCTTTCTCACTTGTTGAATAAAGACCTGAGCTTCCTCAAATGTGGGAATGGTAGCTATGAGCTCTTGCCAGCAGCTCCAGTTGTATGGAAATAGTTTAACCGAACCGAAAAGGCGCTGCTGTGCCATGGAGTGCTTCTTCTTCTTGTTGTATATGATTCCAGCCAAGAACTGGAGGTGAGCATTCTCGTCGTTCTTTTCATGGTACAGATCAATGTCACCCATGATCTTCCCGAGGCTGCTATTGAGCTCTTCCACAGTTTCTGGACGTTCTGTGCTACCCTCTTTAAGCATACTCTGGACGTGCAGATAGTTGATGGTTCCATCTGTATCCTCAGTAGCCTTCTTGTCTATGCTGAGGTACATGGCGTATAACCGTAGGAACAAGGCATCGCCAGAAACACAGTTGCGTAGCGTGTGTGCTGCACGTTCGAACTCTTTGCAATTGAAGTAGTTTTTCGCCAACATGTACAGAAATCGATCTTCCTTAGCGGTTACTTCTGATGTAAACTCAAACAGCTCCTCGGATTCTGCCAACCCTTGAAGAGCCTCGGTAACCCACTTGGCTGAGTTGTACAAGCACAAATCATCTAGAATTCCTGCAGCCTTGTAGAGCTCCACCTTGAGCTGGTGTTTCTGAGACATGGACTTGTTGATGGTGTATCTGCGCGCTACTATTATCAACTACTAACCATGGTCCAAGAAGCCGACTTGAAACAGCAGGCTGAACAGCTTGGTCTGAGTGTGGACTCCATTGACGAACTTCTCAGATTAGGTGGCGATTTATGCAAAGGTGACGTGGACTCCGACAAGATCAAGGCGGCACAGAGACAAGCTCTTCTAGACTCATTGAAAGTGAAGAGGTTCCACAAGCTGTACAAACAATGGGAGAATCAGCGTCGAGATGATTTCATTGAAAAAGAAGTTAGAGCATACAACAAAAAATACGCTCAGGTGACTCGGTTACACACCGAATTGGCCGAATTGGACGAGAAGTATCGGGACATGAAGAAAAGCGTTCTGCTACCAGCATTCAATTTCCTGAAACAGACACTCAAGGAGTTCGAAGAGGGACGTTTGCTAGAGGGCTTTGAAGACAAATCGCTGATTTCTCTAGACAGCCTCTACAGTCTCGATCCATCTACACAGACACCGCCAGACTACCAGACATTCAATAAGCTCATGAACCTAGAATTTCGTCTCCGAACGATATCGCAAATCAAATACGAGGTGTTGCTTCGTGTGAGAACGCACTTGACGTCTAAGAATTCTCAGTGGGCCAAAAGAGATGCCCTGCTTAACGAATTCTTGCGTTCTGTCAGAGAAAAGATTGACGAGGTCAAGAAGATCCGTACTGCGGAGTCTCAGGACTTGAGAGATGTCGACGCCGAGTTGGATATTGATTTCAGCGACGACGAGGATCATGAGAAGGAGGATGACGACAAGGAAGATGAGGAGAAGGATGGAGATGAACAAGACAAGGAGAACGACGCTGAAGATAATGACAATGAAGCGGACGGAAAAGAAGGCGAAGACGGCTCAGGTAATGTTGACAGCCATATGGAGACGGATAACGAGTTTGCAGAGGAGAATGATAGGAACGATAGTGAGGAAGATGAAGAGCACCAAGAGAATGCTGACGAGCCAGACGGGGAAGATGCGCAACAAGAGGAATCAAAAGTTGATGAAGAGAACATTGACGACAGAGAGGAAACTCCGGCACTTGACGCCGAGCCTACAGATATGCTTATCGACTAGTGTATTAGAATGCTTCTCGACTAAAGTGACTAGGCCTTCTCGGGCTCAGTTTTAGTAGCAGGCTCACCATTGAAAATATAGTGGAAAACCTGGCTGGTGTTATCACCCTCGGCTATTCTATATCTCACAATTCTCGTGAGCTGGTAGCCGGCTACTCCGCCGAGGAAAAAGTTCACCGAGGCCAAAAGGTAGTTTCTAGGTTTGATGGCAAAACCAGCCCAGCGAGTCCAGATGGCACCGGTGGCGAAAAGTGCCAATTGCTGTGTACCCGACAACTTCTCGACGGGTCTTTGAATATCGTTCAATCCAGCAATAACCAAACTCCATTTGAACACAGGGGCCCAGAAATGCACGGTTTTGGGGCCAGTCTCTGCATTGAGGAAGCGTTGGAATTTCGAAGCGTGTCCAGCAGCAGAAGCCATGATGTGTTGTTTGTGTTGGTAAAAAGCTTTGCCAGATTGGCTATCATTACGGAATACTCACTTCCATAACTTCCCCATCGATATTTTCCTGCACACTAGAACTGAGGTCGGCTCCTCTTCCGATTTGCAGCCATTGCAGCAAACTAAATATTACCATTATATTACAATTCTATAATTTAAAGGATTAGTTGTTCGCCTCACACATACCTCTAAAACGGCTGTGTGGGTCGCGTAGAAGTGCATCGGGAGAGTCGTACTCCTTGACTTCTCCATGGTCCAACACGAGAATCCTGTCGCTATCCATGACAGTATCCAACCGGTGTGCAATTGTTATAATCGTCTTTTCTTTGAATTCATGACGAATTGTCTCCTGGATGATTTTGTCTGTTTGCACATCCACGGCAGCGGTTGCTTCATCCAAAAGTAATACTTTAGAGGGGTTCAAAAGAGCCCTTCCCAAACAAATAAGCTGTTTCTGACCAGCAGAGAAATTTCCACCTCCCTCACTGACTGGACTGTCAAGACCCTGTCCACCATCTAGACGCTCCACAGTCTCTTTGAGATTGGAAAGCTCCAAAACTCGCCACAAGCGTTCATCATTGTGCTCCTTGAAAGGATCAAGGTTGTCACGGACAGTGCCCTCAAACATATGTGAGTCTTGCGGTATAATACTGAGGTTATGTCTGAGATCAAAAAGACGAAGCTTCTTGGTGTCCACCTGGTCGATAAATATCAGACCTTCACTGAGAGAGATCATTCGGAAAATGGCCAACACCAAGGAACTCTTTCCTGCTCCAGTTCGCCCAACGACTCCGACCTTTTCACCAGCCTTTACAGAGAAGGAGATATTGTTAAGCACAGTGTCGAGGTTTTTGGCATATCGGGCAGAGAAGTCTTTCACGTCAATAGCTCCTTCGCGTGGCCAACCAGAACCTGGTTGCTCAAACTTATCGTCAACGTCTTCCTCAGGCTGCAATTCGGCATACTCCAAACATCTTTCCACTGAGACGATGTTGGACTCCACTTCTGCAGAGAACCTGACAATCAAACGAAGCCAACTTGTAACTTGCAAAGAGTAACTCATCACGAAACCCACCATTCCAGCGCTCAAAGCAGAGGATGACGATGCTTTGTAAATGAGAAGAGACGAGGATACCCAGATCAAAAGGGAACCCATCATCTGCAATCTCACCAGAAGCCACCGATTGACCGACCGTAACATGTAAAGACTCTGAAGGTTGAAGTCCACATTAGCGTCATTGATGAAAAGAAAGCGATCCTGCTGCCTGTAAGCTCTAATGGTGTCAGCACCAGTTAAGCTCTCTTGGAAATGAGCGAATATGGGTGACCGCGATACCGACACAAGCCGTTTCATTTCTCTTTGCACTGCAACATAGTACTTCTGGAAATACCGATAGGATATGCCCAATACTACCAAGACAGGGAGGGACGAGGGAATGGCAAAGACGACAATCAACAATGTCATGATCGTCCTCAAGCAAGCATTCAAGAAATTGTTGAATGACCTTGGCAAGGCATCATCAACTTTGTTCACATCGTTACTGAAACGATTCATGATTCTTCCAACTGGAGTTCTTTCGAAAAATAACATGGGCACCTTCATAAGTCGCCGTGCCATTCGCTCATGTATAATCTTTCCACCACGAAGACCCAAGAAGGCCCAAAATAACACACCTCTCGCCAGGGTCAATATACTTGTAGTGAGACCCAACATAGCATAAATCAGAATGAAACGAAGCGCTTCCGAATTGTTACCGATATCAGAGTTACGTTCAGCCCACTGCTTAAGCCAGTAAGTCGTTCTCACCGAAATCAAGGTAGAAGCGACAAAAATAGCAACCCACACAAGCACACCACTTGTCGAACATGCCTTGATGTAGTCGTAGTAGACACTCCAATTGACTTTTCCTTTCGCCGAAATCTCTGCTGACTGAGCTGTCTTCTTTGACAAAGTGTTCTTTTTCAATGGATTCCATTCGAATGGTGCCATGTTTGCTTTGCTGTATGGAGGCGGCTCGGAACTTTCGTCAGGTGTAGGTGATTTCGATACTTCTGTCAGGCTACCAAACTCGGTGATAAGGCGATTGAGTTTAGGGAAAGCCTCAGGGCTGATTTCGTCGTAGCCCGCCTCCTCTAATATGGAACCATTTTCAAGATAGTAGATCTTCGAAGCACTCAGAAGCACAGGAATATTGTTTGTAGCGAGAACAATCGTCAGCCTAGCCAAGAGTCCCGATCTGCTGAAAACTTGTTGGACGATATTCCTTCCCACATGACTGTCAACAGCACTCAAGACGTCGTCAAGAAGATAAATGTTGGCTCTCGCGTACACTGCACGAGCTAATGCTAACCTTGCCTTCTGCCCACCAGACAATGAGATGCCCTTCTCACCAACTTGAGTGTTATCGTTATCGGGAAGTATCTTCAAATCTGGAGCAAGCTGACAAGCTTCGATGGTGCGTTGATAGTAATCTTCATCAAATTCATGACCGAACAAAATGTTGTCTTTAACTGAGGCGTTCATGATCCACGGATTCTGAGTGCAGTAAGCAATACTGCCGTGCAAGCTAATAGGAGAAGGCCGTTTGTGGGGGATGAGGCATGAATGGCGGCAAGTTGGCCAATTATCGATGATAGTAATGCTGACTTTCCAGATCCCACTCTTCCAACAATACAAACGAGGTCGTTCTTGTTTGCTTTCAAGTTAATGTTTCGAAGTGCGTATTTGAAGCTAGCGAAATCCATGTCTTCCCGTATCTCAGAGGTGTCAGGTTTGCTCCATAAAAATGACACATTCTGAATCTCAAGAGAAGTTGGGTGGTCGCTTGACTTGATGGAAATGAGACTATCGTCAACTTCGGGACTGCTGAGAAAATTTGTAATTCTGTCAAGTGCCACAGAGCCCTCAATGATGTAGTTGAACACAGCAGGGAAGTTGAGGATTGGCTTGGAAAGAATTTCAAGCAATGTGAGCGCAGGAAACACAATATCGGAAGTAAGTGGGACAGTGCTGGTGATAGCAAAAGTTGCAAAAGTTGCAAATGACACCAAAAATGGGATAAGAATCCAGAGAAAGCTCGAAACTTGACCAAGCAATCTTTTTTTACGAAGATTTGTCATCTCGCGCCCATTCCGAATATCAAGAAGGTGCTTGAGCATGGGGTTTTCCCAGGAGTAGAACTTGATCGATCTCATGGACACAAGAATCTCATTTGTCACTCTGTTTCTCTCATCCTTTATTTTCATTTGCTTCTTGGATAGACGCTTTTGGAATCGGACGATTATAGCATTCAAGGGGAAGGAGAATAAGATCACACCTGCTCCAGCTAAACTTGCTTTACCGAGCAAAGCCCAAAGAGACAACATACAAATGAAAAACTCCGTTGGAGCTATCACTAAGGTGCTTATTTCTTGAGCGCATGTTTGAACTCTGGGGCATCGATAGAAATTAAATTGACAATGTCACCGCTGGATCGCTCAGAAAGAGCCTGACTTGAGAGTCTTAGACTTTTTTGAAATACCAATGAGGTGAGAGAGGCTCTAAAACTGAAGCCGAATTCCTGGATTCTCATCATGAAACGATTGGTCATAGATGTCTGTATAAGAGTCACAAAGAACATGCCGAATGAGATGATGAAGCCTCTCAACACAGGGACTGTAGGATCAGAAATCTTTTCACTGACAAAGAGGATCAAAAGCCTCAAAAGTTGAGGCTGAACAAAGTTTAGTATCTTGTCGATCATCTCGTACAGAAAAGAAATCAAGCCCAAAGGTCCGAACGCCTTTACTAAAGCCCAAAGCAAGCCTTGCTTGGTTACATTGGGATTCTTTTTGGGGTCATAGAACTTTGAAAGACGCTCCATATAAAGGTCAGTGGATATTCTCGATGGGATCTCGGGAAGGTCAAGATGATTGAGAGTGCCGTTTTCGTAGGAACTGGTGATGAGTTTGTTCATCCATGTAAATGTGATTTGCTCCACAAAATTTGGTTTCTTCAATTCTCGAGCTAACACTTCGTCATTCAAGTAGTGTATGAGAAGCTCGTGAGTCGGTTTCCAGGTACGTTTGGAAGCCTCGAGTAAAAAGATAACAACAGATAATATCACTGATACTGTTTCAATGTGTGCTGCTTTCTGGCTAAGCAAAATTGGCCACTTGGTGTATGAATCTTGGAATATAATAGCGCACTGTAGCACCACAAATGCTGGCCAAAAGGCCAAAAGAGGTGCCGATTGAATCGGTAGGCTCAAGGGTTCGATGATATGCAAAGGGAGGAGCACAAGCACCAACAATAGGGACACGGAACCGAAGCCGATAAGCTTGTAGTCTGCGTATCTTTCATGGATGCTGATTTGAGCAGTCAACCAGCAAGTGAGTAGACTGACAGTCACCACGAGGCCACAGCGGAAAAAGTGAGGCCACCTTGTGCTTTTGATCGAGAATGATCCATATTGAGGGCTTCGTAGCAGGTTTATCAATTGGTAAATTGCTGGAGGTGCTACCAATACGACCAAAAGTAGCAATAGCTGGACTAAGAAGCATGGATTGAAGGCGTTTTCCAGCGTCGGTACCAAGGGGTTCAAGAGAGCCCTAGGGCCACATATGAGTGGTTCAGAAGGCTTGGGTATCATTGCTAGTGGTTTCAGTTGGAGGCATGAAGATAAGGCGGTGATCAGAGTCAGATCACGTGTAAAATGATATCTGCTTCCAAGGGATAAAAAAGGATAATCGAGGGATTAGATTTCGAAAACGAGGAAAAAAAAGATTGTGTAGGTTGGTGCCGTTCACTTTAAGTATGAGTGCTTGTCGGTATCTGTCTCAGAAGCTCGTTTCGCTCTCGGATAAAATGTATGCATAGAAGCAGAGATAGAGGAGCCACACGAGTTAGGGCCAATAAGCGCCGATAACGCCGAGAGATGGGAGGAGCTTTTCATTGTGAATCGAGGTGTCCGTTTTTTTGTTCTTAAGTTCGAGTCATTTCCGGAATGGGTTGGGTTTGACAGGTGATGAGGTGCATGAATCTTTGGGCCAATCGGCGTGCGGATGCGTAAGGTATCTCCAGTTTATCCGAATTTAGCGATCTGCAAAGTACAGAAGGAGCTCGATTTAGTGGATTTAACGGAATGGTGAAGTTTAAACTTGGAATTTTGAGCAATTCACGAAGCCAATGAAGAGGGTTTCAAGGGCTACGGGGTTTATGTCTTTGATGGAGAAAATGATAATTTCATATCGATCTTGTCCCCCATAGATTTCAATTGAGATAATGGGAATCTTCTTTAGCTCGAGCCGTATGTTTATTAGATTGCCTGGATTCTCTTAGCGCTGAAGCTACCCAGATGGACAGAGTTCCAGATGTGGATATCCACAAATCAAGAAAGATGAAAAACGTAAAAAGGGCGGCAGCTAGCCTCAGTATTTACTGAAGCACATCATCTCAAATCTTAGAGCCATTAAATCCAGAAGATCAGCTCACTTTCACCATGGTGGCAGTAGTTAAGCAATTCCGCCGGAAAAATGCACCTCACCTAATTACGCAGAGACCAAGAGATGCACCAGAGATTTTCAAAACTCCACGGCAAAACAAAATTCATGAGTTACACAAATAGGTCTTTAAAATTCAACAAAAGCCACCACGACCCGGTACACACTACCGTCTTTTAAAGTTTGCCTTGCTGGTCAGGCAATTGGTCTCAGGAGGCTCGGGAGGTTTGCTGTTGGACTACTCCACATCCCAAGTCAGATCTACAAAGCCTCTCTCAGAAACAGAAATTCAAAACCGTTTCAGGGGCAATATAGCCTCTCCAAAATCAGCCCAATTCATTATAGACTAATACTTCTAGGGATTTTCACCACTGTTGCTTTCGCAGCCGAGGCAACATTCCTATTACCCGATCCCACACGTTCTTCCTACACTCGCACCCATTGAAGATCCTTGCTATTGCATACATTGTCAAAACGGTATCCCTTAAACCAGGGATTATGTTTTAGTTGCTACCACCATACAGTACAGCCCGCCGACGGTATATTTTTGACAATTGCAGCGATTTTGTGACCAGTTGCTTCGTATTATGATGCCCCACACAACAGCCGAGGGTTCACGTGCTAGGCGCGAAGCTGCACCGCTCGTCGGGTCCGAAAGAAATGGGCGAATGAGCGTCGAGGAAATCGCGACCATGGAAGATGCGAAAACCTGGAGAAAAACGATACTTCCGAGGGTGCCACCAGGGCTAGGTTGGCCAAAACATGGAAAAATGTTTTGCAATTCGGCGGGGCATTTTGTCGGATAATTGTAGTTGCTCTGTAGATTTTTTCCATACGACTTACAGTATAAATAGAAGGCGGGTGCACCCAGGATCCCGTGGGTATGGCACCCCCGGATCTGCCTTACAAATTTCCTCACCCTAATTGGCTATTCTCCAAACCTCTCCAGGAAAAAACCCTGCGATTATATAAATGCCCACAACTGCGCACTTTTTTTTTTCTCCCCCAAAACCTCTAGAAGTCCAGACTACAATCACCATGTTGTCTGCATCCAGAAGAACCGCCGCCAAGGTGCCCAGATCGGTTCGTGGTCTTGCCACGGCCGGTCTCACCAGGGACTCCAAGGTGAACCAGAACTTGTTGGAGGACTTTTCCTTCATTCAGTACAAGAAGCACTTGGAGAACGTCGAGATTGTCAAGCAGAGACTTAACAGACCATTGACCTACGCCGAGAAGTTGTTGTACGGTCACTTGGACAAGCCTCACGAGCAGGACATTGAGAGAGGTGTCTCCTACTTGAAGTTGAGACCTGACAGAGTGGCTTGTCAGGATGCCACCGCCCAGATGGCTATCTTGCAGTTTATGTCTGCTGGTATGCCCCAGGTCGCTACCCCATCCACCGTCCACTGTGACCACTTGATTCAGGCCCAGATTGGTGGTGTCAAGGATTTGGCCAGAGCCATTGACTTGAACAAGGAGGTTTTCGACTTTTTGGCCTCCGCCTGTGCCAAGTACAACTTGGGTTTCTGGAAGCCAGGTTCCGGTATTATTCACCAGATTGTCTTGGAGAACTACGCTTTCCCAGGTGCTCTTTTGATTGGTACTGACTCTCACACCCCTAACGCCGGTGGTTTGGGTCAATTGGCTATTGGTGTCGGTGGTGCCGATGCCGTCGATGTCATGGCTGACTTGCCATGGGAATTGAAGGCTCCTAAGATTATCGGTGTTAAGTTGACCGGTAAGATGTCTGGTTGGGCTACTCCAAAGGATATTATCTTGAAGTTGGCTGGTATCACTACCGTCAAGGGTGGTACCGGTTCTATCATCGAGTACTTCGGTGATGGTGTTGACACCTTCTCCTGTACCGGTATGGGTACTATCTGTAATATGGGTGCTGAAATTGGTGCTACCACCTCCGTTTTCCCATTTAACCAGTCTATGGTTGACTACTTGAACGCTACCAGGAGATCCAGCATCGCCGAGTTCGCCAAGCTCTACAAGAAGGACTTCTTGTCCGCTGACGAGGGCTGTGAGTACGATCAGGTTATCGAGATCGACTTGAACACCTTGGAGCCTCACGTTAACGGTCCTTTCACCCCTGATTTGGCTACCCCAGTCTCCAAGATGAAGGAGACCGCCATCGCCAACGGCTGGCCTTTGGAGGTCAAGGTTGGTTTGATTGGTTCTTGTACCAACTCCTCTTACGAGGACATGACCAGATCCGCCTCTATCATTAAGGATGCTTTCGCCCACGGTTTGAAGTCTAAGTCTATTTTCACCATTTCTCCAGGTTCCGAGCAGGTCAGAGCCACCATTGCCAGAGACGGCCAGTTGAAGACCTTCGAGGACTTTGGTGGTGTTGTCATGGCCAACGCTTGTGGTCCTTGTATCGGTCAGTGGGACAGACAGGACGTCAAGAAGGGTGACAAGAACACCATTGTTTCTTCTTTCAACAGAAACTTTACCTCCAGAAACGATGGTAACCCAGCCACTCACGCATTTGTTGCCTCCCCAGACATGGTTACTGCTTACGCCATCTCCGGTGACTTGGGCTTCAACCCAATGACTGACACCTTGAAGGATGCTGACGGAAACGAGTTCAAGTTGAAGGAGCCACAGGGTGTTGGTTTGCCACCTGATGGATACGACCAAGGTGAGAACACTTACCAGGCCCCACCAAAGGACAGAGCTTCCGTTGAGGTTGTCATTGCCCCAACTTCCGACAGATTGCAGCGTTTGACTCCTTTCCAGCCATGGAACGGTAAGGATGCCGAGAAATTGCCAATTTTGATCAAGGCTGTTGGTAAGACCACCACTGACCATATCTCTATGGCCGGCCCATGGTTGAAGTACCGTGGCCACTTGCAAAACATTTCTAACAACTACATGATTGGTGCCATCAACGCCGAGAACGGTGAGGCCAACAACGTGAAGAACCACTACAGTGGTGAGTGGAAGGGTGTTCCAGACACTGCCGCTGACCTCAGAGACGCTGGCCACCCATGGGTTGTCATCGGTGACGAGAACTTCGGTGAGGGTTCTTCCAGAGAGCACGCTGCCTTGGAGCCAAGATTCTTGGGTGGTTTCGCCATCATCACCAAGTCCTTCGCCCGTATTCACGAGACTAACTTGAAGAAGCAGGGTTTGTTGCCATTGAACTTCGTTGATGTTAAGGACTACGACAAGATCCAGCCTCAGGATGAGGTTGACATTCTTGGTTTGACCACCCTCTCCCCAGGTAAGAACCTTACCTTGAGAGTTCACCCAGCGGATGGTAGCCCAACTTGGGAGACCGAGTTGTCTCACACCTACAACGAAGAGCAGATTGAGTGGTTCAAGTACGGTTCTGCCTTGAACAAGATGGCTGCCGTCGCTGCTGAAAAATAAGCTCATCAACCCCTATTGTATTTAATCATTTAAGTTATAGTCTATTCGGTCATTAGAAGACGTCGTAGGTCGCGTCATTGGCGTTAAGACATCTGTAAATATACAGAAGTAAAAAAAAAAATAAATGTAAGTTGGAATCTTCAAAAACAAAGCCCGACGCGGGGGTCGAACCCGCAACCTTGAGATTAAAAGTCTCACGCTCTAGCCATTGAGCTAGCCGGGCAAAGGTTGCCTCTTTCGACATCTGGCTTAATATATAACAAAAAGGTAAAACGCAATGTGAGGAAATTTCTTTATATTTATTACATGTCATTTTCTCACCCTCATGACTACTCTCAAAAAATCTCAGAGCGCTAGCACCAAAACTGACGAAGTTATGGTCATTTATTGATGTTGCAGGCCATTTGAACTCAAATCGAGATCTTTCTCAGTCCATTTGTGTACTATCCACTTCAAACGATATGTCATTTAGTTCTTAAATAGCTTTGGCGATCTGTTATGTCATCATAGCTTCAGCAAGTATTGAGATTGAAGGTGCCTTATGGTAGCCAGTTACTCAATATTGACGCTCCCACTCTTCTATTATGGCTCACTGTAAAAGAATATTCGAATTCTCGAAGATTACCCTTTTGTTAGCGACACATGGAGTAAACTAATGGCTGCAAAAAGTGATCGCGCAGAGAACAATAGGTGTCATAAAAACCCACAATTAGACGTTGAAAACGACATACGCCGCATCTACCGATCTTTAGATCGGTCCAACTGTGCCCTTGAACATTTCAGAAATGGACCATTTAGTCATTTCTCCGCGTTCATGTTGGAAGAATTTATGTCGATACGTGAGTGGAGAACTGGAGCTTGAAATGCCTTAGCCAGTTTGGCAGCAGCTAGATGTTTTTTATCCGACAACTATAATATCAGCAAATATTTCACTTCCGCAAATATCACCTACAATTCATTGCAAGATGATTCGATTCTCTCAAAACAGGTACATGAGTCAATCTCCCATGATGAATTCCAAGCAAGACAGTTATATATACAGTTCCGAGAAAGCTTTGAGTTTTTCGAAAGCTCACAGATGACTAACCGTTGAAAAGTTACAGGGCTATATTGAAGTTGGAGAACCCTTGGGTGTGAACTCGTAAATACACTCCATTAGGCAAGCACCATTTCTCCACCTCCACGTTCGCAAAAATATTTTTCTTCCATCAATCTCGGGAAACGTACTCTCCTGAATATTCTTTTCAGAAACCCAGACCTAATATCAAATATACATTAGTCTTTAGAAACAGATCTCTCATCGGTTAATCCTGGTAAGTATGCTGGGGCTTGGTAATGCTGCGCATGCGCATACAGGTACTTTTTGATTGCAAGGGGGTACCTTATGAAGGGTACATAGCAAATTAATTGAATTTCAAAGTCTCAATGGTTCTTTATTCCAGGAATTGATAATTATCTCCTTGAATCTGCCTGGTACACAACACACGAATCACCTCCCAGGTAGCACCTGCACTCGGGCAGCAAGCGATAAGTGAGACATTTAACGGCAGGTTGCCCACGTGACCGGCGGCACCTTGGCAAGCATCAAAATTTACCAATCTCCATATCCCCCAATTCCTGATCACAATGTCTGAATTGTCTCACCCTTCGATCAAAGACGGCTGGTTTGCTGAAATCAGCGACACCATGTGGCCCGGCTCGGCCATGTCCTTGAGAGTCGACAAGGTCTTGTACTCCGCCAAATCCAAGTACCAGGATGTTCTCGTGTTCAAGTCCACCGACTACGGCAATGTGCTTGTCTTGGACAACTGTATCCAGGTTACCGAGAGAGACGAGTACTCTTACCAGGAGATGATCACCCACTTGGCCATGAACTCCCATCCTAACCCCAAGAAGGCGTTGGTCATCGGTGGTGGAGATGGTGGTGTCTTGAGAGAGATCTTGAAGCACCAGGGCATTGAGGAGGCTTGGTTGTGTGACATTGACGAAGCTGTCATTGAGGTGTCCAAGAAGTACTTGCCGGAGATGTCCAAGTCTTACGATGACCCCAGAACCAAGGTGCACATTGGAGACGGCTTCAAGTTCTTGGAGGACTACAAGAACACTTTTGATGTCATCATTACCGACTCTTCTGACCCTGAGGGTCCTGCTGAGTCTCTCTTCCAGAAGCCTTACTTTGAGTTGTTGAAGGGTGCTTTGACTGAGAAGGGTGTCATCACCACTCAGGCTGAGAGCATCTGGTTGCACATGGACATTATCTCCAAGTTGAAGAAAGACTGCAAGCAGATCTTCCCTGTTGCCGAGTACGCTTACACCTCGATCCCAACCTACCCATCGGGTACCATTGGCTTCATGGTTTGCTCCAAGGACGCTAACGCTAACGTCAAGAAGCCATTGAGATTCGAGTGGGATGACAAGTTTGTCGATGAGAACTTGAAATACTACAACGCCAAGGTGCACGAGGCCTCTTTTGTTTTGCCTCAGTGGGCTGACAAACGTTTGAACAAGGAGACGTAGGATATATGAATGAAAAGCAATGTGTGGTTCAGGTATGATATAGTGCTGTTCTGACTGTTAGACCAACTTTATGGAAATGTTGAATCCAGAAAAAGCTCTTGTCACCTTAAATTTGTTTAGCACTTTGGAGGCGATGAAGAGGGACTATTGCCGAGCTTTCATTGCTTCACCACTCAAGATCACCCTTTTGAGAATATAATGATGAATTTCGAGTATTCTAAGAATTATTTTTTTCGCCTTTGCAGTGTTACGGTGCAATGTACCAAAGAAGCCAGGTGATGACCTCAATACTTCCTTCTCCTTCAAGACTTAAAAACTCATTACGTGAAGAAGTTTGAAATATGAAGCTTTCAATAAATTCTTCCCCTGATTCTTCCTATCACTTTCATGTGGCTGACTCATTTGCCACTAGACCCTGACATCACTGACCTGTGTAGGCATTTTGCAACCATCGCGATATCAACCCCAGATTAACAACCACCATGTCTTTGCCAAATGGCATCCTGCCTGAGCAGCGGGCTCGAATAGTATGTGAAACCGGTATTTCTTATTAAATTTAAACTAACAATCAGGAAGCCAATAGACAGAAGGCTTTGGAGCGCCTCAAGCAGAGAAGAGGTGGATCGCAACCATCGAAAGCTTCAGAACCACCCAAAACGGGACCGCCACAAAAAGTGATTCCTCCTCTACCGAGAACAGAGCTTACTCCCGAACAAAAGAAACGAATCCAGGAAAACCGAGAGCGTGCGCTTGCCATTCAGAAGGAAAGACAGAAGCAGCATCGTGATGCCACTGGAGATAACGACATCAGTCTGATTCCAACAGAGCAGATCAAGAAGAAGGCAAGGCTTGAGTCGCAGTACCAGCCACCGGCGATCCAAAAGAAGGACTATATTGAGTTCGATTTTTCTACGATGAAGGACAGTCGAGGCGGTTTCCTAGATGATGAGGAGAAGCATGGTCTCAAGGGCGTGGAAGAGGAGCCTGAGTCACTCCAGCAATGGAAGGAGAGACAGAAAAAAGAGCATTTGGTGAGGGACTTGGCTCCTCCATTGGACTTGGAGAACGCACCGAAATGCTTCGAATGTGGTTCCTTGGAAATTGATCCGAACTTGTTCACCAACTTCCGCGAGGTCCGAGTGTGCCGCCGCTGTCAAAAAGAGAAGCAAGATAAATACTCGATGTTGACAAAAACGGAGTGCAAAGAAGACTACTTGTTGACAGATCCCGAGCTTCAAGACGTTGCGCTTCTTCCTAGAGTCGAGAAGCCAAACCCACACGGATTCCTGCGAATGCAGCTTTTCTTGAGATTTCAAGTTGAAGAATTTGCGTGGAAGAAGTGGGGTCTGGCTGAGGGCTTGGACAAGGAATGGGAGAGAAGGGAGGCTGTTCGCTTGCAACGACGTGAAAAACGGTACCAGGACAAGCTCAAGGAAATGAGGAAAAAAACGAGAGCCGAGGAATATACCAGGAAGCTCCGAAATGGTATGTCGCTTGGAGAAAGGCATGAGCATAGCTGGCTGGAGCCTATTTCCGCTGGTGGAAACGTTGTGAGGCGTCGTTGCACGGATTGTGGCATCGAGACGGAGGAAGTCATGATCTAGAGAAGATGTGACAAAATTGGATTTAGAATAAAGGTAATGGTTTTGTAAAAGTAAAACTTGATGTTAGAAATGGCACGATATCGACGATTTGAGAGAAATGCAAGGCACTGTTCACTTATGTTTCAGTTTCCATTGTAAAAAGGACCCTGTTCTTAACCAGAATCTCGACCATGTTGGAGTTGAAACTTCCCCTTCAAAAAACAAAAACCTATTGCTTGTGCATGAATTAGAGTAAATTACACCATTTTTTTATTACTAGAAGATTGTGTCGTATTGAGTCATCGGTTATCGCTCTCTGAAAGTAGAAGGCCACGTTGAGTGAAAAATTATTCATGACGCGTCCCCTGAAGACTTTCAACAATTCGATGTATTCATTTCAACCAATTCATAATCATACTTGTCAAACTTTCAATTTCGCCTCAAAAAAAACGAAACTCATTTTGTTACCTACCCCAGGTGGCTTCCACAGCCTATTTTTCGCAGCCATTCTAGAAGAAGAAGCCTTCTCGACCCCACAACCATAAAATTCAAAAGAGGCAATTATTTGAAAAAAATGAAATTTTTACAAAACTCCCACCAAAACTAATCGACACATCCAATTTCAGAAATTTTTACCAGCCGTAGAAGGCTGTGGAAGTAGGTGTTTCTCTGCCCTGCATCCCTAGAGAGGTCCATGGAAGGCCATGGAACTTTTTCTCGCCGCGTTCCTCAACTATATATTACGCTCACTGTGCCCTTTCAACATCTTCAACTAATTACAAGCCGCCATGTCTGAGAAGGTTGAGACCCACGAGTTTACCGCTGAGATTTCTCAGTTGATGTCTCTCATCATCAACACCGTCTACTCTAACAAGGAGATTTTCTTGAGAGAGTTGATCTCCAACGCTTCCGATGCTTTGGACAAGATCAGATACCAGGCCTTGTCCGACCCATCCCAGTTGGAGACCGAGCCTGAGTTGTTCATCAGACTCACCCCTAAGCCTGAGGGCAAGGTTCTCGAAATCAGAGATTCGGGTATCGGTATGACCAAGACCGACTTGATCAACAACTTGGGTACCATTGCCAAGTCTGGTACTAAGGCTTTCATGGAGGCCCTTTCCGCTGGTGCCGATGTCTCCATGATCGGTCAGTTCGGTGTCGGTTTCTACTCCCTTTTCTTGGTTGCCGACCACGTCCAGGTCATCTCCAAGCACAACGACGACGAGCAGTACGTCTGGGAGTCCAACGCCGGTGGTAAGTTCACCATCACCTTGGACGAGACCAACGAGAGAATCAAGCGTGGTACTATCATCAGATTGTTCTTGAAGGAGGACCAGTTGGAGTACTTGGAGGAGAAGAGAATTAAGGAGGTTGTCAAGAGACACTCCGAGTTCGTCTCTTACCCAGTCCAGTTGGTTGTCAGAAAGGAGGTCGAGAAGGATGTCCCTGTTGACGAAGACGAGGCCAAGGAAGAGGAGTCCAAGGACGAGGACGACAAGAAGCCTAAGTTGGAGGAGGTTGACGATGAGGAGGAGAAGAAGGAGAAGACCAAGAAGGTTAAGGAGGAGGTCACTGAGACTGAAGAGTTGAACAAGACCAAGCCTTTGTGGACCAGAAACCCTAACGATGTCTCCAAGGAGGAGTACAACGCTTTCTACAAGTCCATCTCCAACGACTGGGAGGACCCATTGGCTGTCAAACACTTCTCTGTTGAGGGTCAATTGGAGTTCAAGGCTATCTTGTTCGTTCCAAAGAGAGCTCCATTCGATGCTTTCGAGTCTAAGAAGAAGAAGAACAACATCAAGTTGTACGTCCGTCGTGTTTTCATCACCGATGACGCCGAGGAGTTGATCCCAGAGTGGTTGTCTTTCGTCAAGGGTGTTGTGGACTCTGAGGACTTGCCATTGAACTTGTCCAGAGAGATGTTGCAGCAGAACAAGATCATGAAGGTCATCAGAAAGAACATCGTCAAGAAGTTGATCGAGACCTTCAACGAGATCGCTGAGGACTCCGAGCAGTTCGAGAAGTTCTACTCTGCTTTCTCCAAGAACATCAAGTTGGGTATCCACGAGGACCAGCAGAACAGACCTGCCTTGGCCAAGTTGTTGAGATACTACTCTACCAAGTCCACCGAGGAGTACACCTCCTTGTCTGACTACGTCGTCCGTATGCCAGAGCACCAGAAGAACATCTACTACATCACTGGTGAGTCCATCAAGTCTGTTGAGAAGTCTCCATTCTTGGACGCCTTGAAGGCCAAGAACTTCGAAGTCTTGTTCCTTGTTGACCCAATTGACGAGTACGCCATGACTCAGTTGAAGGAGTTTGAGGACAAGAAATTGGTTGACATCACCAAGGACTTCGAGTTGGAGGAGTCTGAGGAGGAGAAGAAGCAGAGAGAGAAGGAGGTCGAGGAGTTCGAGCCATTGACCAAGTCCTTGAAGGAGATCTTGGGTGACCAGGTCGAGAAGGTTGTCGTTTCCCACAAGTTGGTTGACGCTCCTGCTGCCATCAGAACTGGCCAGTTTGGTTGGTCCGCTAACATGGAGAGAATCATGAAGGCCCAGGCCTTGAGAGACACCACCATGTCCTCTTACATGTCTTCTAAGAAGACTTTCGAGATCTCTCCTAAGTCTCCTATCATCAAGGAGTTGAAGAAGAAGGTTGACGCCGAGGGTGCTGAGGACAAGACCGTTAAGGACTTGACTACCTTGTTGTACGAGACCGCCTTGCTTACCTCCGGTTTCTCCTTGGAGGAGCCATCTTCCTTCGCTCACAGAATCAACAGATTGATCTCCTTGGGTCTTAACATCGAGGATGAGGAGCCTGAGACCGCTGATGTCGGTGCCACTACCACCACCTCTACTGAGGAGCCAGCTGTCGAGTCCGCTATGGAGGAGGTTGACTAAACGACGTGATGCTTAATTCTATACATATATATACTTCAAAGCAAAATAATTGGTTAGATGCAAACTGTAGATTATTCTTGTTCAAGCAGCGCTCTAGCAAGACCGTCGATTGTATCGAGTACTGACTGAGCATGTTCCCTAGTAAGTAGGTCGGTATCGTTGTCTTTAACATATCGTAAAACTGTCAAAATCTTTCCCCTATAAGCACTGGGGAATGGAACATGGTCTGACTTTGAGGTACCAACAATCAAATCATTTATCAAGACAATTGCAGACCGTCTCATAATGGCTTTATCTTTGTCGGTTTCAAGCTGTAGGATACCAATGGCACAGTCAAGTGCATTTTCAAGATTTTCAAGAATCCCGATTGGGTTTGTATTACAACAAGTTCCAAGTAACGACATCGCCGACATTCTGAGTCTGTCGTCAACCAAAGCTTCATCACCAGAGGGTCTTCTAATGAGCGATAATGCGCCATCTGACACCTCCTTAGCCAAGGATCCTGTGAACGCCTCGTCTTGGTTTTGAATGAATCGGAGAATAACTTCTCCAATTTTGAGGCGCTCATCAAGATCAGTTTTTTCCTCGCTTGAGCCAGAATAAAGTCCCATCAACTGGGGAAGAACAGATGATGCGTCCCAATCGAGCAAGCTGTCAAGTCCCTTGATAGCATTCAAATAAATGAACGGTTCAGGGTCCTTTAGTTGTACAAGATGCAAATTGAGTGCAAAATCTAAAGTGAGGACTGGACTCTGCTGCTCCACCAACTGACGTAGAAGATATAAGCCATGAGCTCTGATAGGAACCAAAGGATCATTGAGGTTTGCAATAGCACGGGCAAACACTTTTTGGTGTGCCTCTTTTTCATTCTTTGCTGGTGCCTCACCTTGCAAAAGAAGACCGATTCTGTCAGCCAAGGACAGAGCTGGGGAGAGTTGGCTATAGCGTTCTTGCAAGACTTTCCTGATTGAGGCGAGCTTTGCTCTGCAAGCATCATCAAGAGCAACAGGTTGAGTCTCCGAAAGAACAGCTGAAAGAAGCTCAAGAACCACTGTAAGTAGCTCGTTTGATGATTCTTGGGGGTCTTCCTCGTCGTCAGAATCGACATCCATGTCAGCGGCTTCAGTTCCTTCTGATGCACTGCTCCTATTTTGAAGCACGGTCTCGATAAGCTCAAACAACTCAAGCGGTGATTCAGCAAGAACCTCTTTGAACTCCTTGGCCAAGCCTTCTAACAAACGAAGATCCGCTAGTTTGATGAAAGAATTGTCTTCTGAAAGGGACTGAGAGTCCAGCTTTAGCCAATTTTTGAGCAACGTAACAAACAATTTCCTCACAGGCTCATCATCAAGTTGTTTGGCTAGCTCCACGAAGTATTTGCAGCCGCCGTCAAGCAATTTCACAAAGTCCAATACTCTAGCTTCTGCTGACTGGCTTTCACCAACTTTCGTATCTTCACGACCGATTTCAACAAGTCTGTTAGGTCCAAATCTAAACTTCCAGCCCTCACCACCCGCATTGACAACGTTGCGAGCTATTAGATCAAGAGCTTGTTGCAAGGCATCGGAATCGGTACCAATGCATGCCAAAAACCCCAAAATAATGTTTTGAGCCACTTCGCCGGAAGACTCGTTTTTTTTGAGGAACATAAAGTAGGACCAAAGAGGTACAAGAACTGGCATGAAGGTGGACATGAGTAGCGGAACAGGAAGTGGCCTTGATGACAAGGTGAGAAGCACGTTGATGTTGTTGTTCAACGATGCTTCCGACACGAGCACCAAATCCGTGCTTTCCTTGGGGTCAGGGTTCGAGTTACGCCATATCCGTTTGAGGATAAAATCTTCAACAATCCTGGGGTTCTTATACCAGATTTTTTCTATGACATGAGCTGTGCAGCTGGTGATCGTTGGTCTGTTGATATTCACGAGTAGGTCGTAGCACTGGTTGCCAATGGAAGTGAAGTACTCGCTGCTAGTACAATCCTTTGGTTTCTGAAGCACCACACTAGCCACTTGATCTAATTTTTCGATACCAATGTCCTCTTGATCACGCAATCCGAGAATGTATTCCATTAATGTGAGAAGCCCGTCACCCTTAGGAGCGGAATACGGAAGCGCCTGGAGTTTCAGCATGACGAAGGTCTTAAAAAAGCCTGGTGAAGGAGATTGAACCAAGAGGGAGTAATCCTGGTAAAGCTCGAATGTAGATGCGATTGAAGTGACTTTCGTAAACTCTCTGTTGGTTCTCTCTCGAATCTGGTGACTGAAGTAAGGCACTGTGGCTAGGGTGATGGTCACAGTAAGGAAATCGGAGTAACCACTGCCCTTCATCAATAGTTGTTGAACATCAGACTTGTCAAAAAATACTTGCGTCAACTTGTCATAAATCAAAGTGAGAAGTAGTTCGTGTTGCTTGTGTCTCTCGGTGTAGGATTTGGCCCCTTTAGCTGGTGGCACTTGGTCTATCGTCAATGGCTTATATATGGGAGAGCCAAAGTCTTTGAGGCGCCTCTTCTCGAGGGGAATACCTATTCTCAATGGAACAATGCAGGGGTAGATGCCGAGGATGATGATGACGTTGACGAGTTTGGCAAACGTCTTGATATCGTGCAAGGATATGGAAAGAAGGTTCTTGTCCTTGTCTTTCGCATTCGCTTTGAGGGAGTACTCTTTGATTTGTATAAGGAAGTCTAGGAGTTGTTGAATCACATCCCAGCGCTTGTCTTGGGAGTCTCTTTCGCCAAATAACGTTTGATAGAGCCCATCAATGGAGAGATCTTCGAGCTTGGGCTGTAGCATAGATTCTAGCTTCTGGAATAGAAGATCTAGGTCCGAGTCTCCTAGGTACTGAGGCTTATTCAATCCTTTACGTTCAGGATAAACTTCATCGCTGGATCTCTTGACTGTGGTAGACTTTCGTGTGGCAAAAGGGTTCTTAATGATTCTTTGCGGGTCCTTCTTGGTAGGCTCCCTAGGGGTATCATCGACCTCTTCTATCTTTGGCGGCATGTCTCGTCACGAGAAATTCGAGAAATGAAGGTTTTTATATTTTGAAGCCCGCAATTGACGTTGATTCAAAAGTAGATGTCTTGCTTATCAAGATCCATATACCGGTGTACTGCTGCGGTGAAGAGCATCGCATTTTCCACCAACTACCTACTTACCAGAATATGGCTGTAACGTCGCTTTCGCAGGAGGAAAAAGACGCTCTTATTTACGATGCTAGAGAGGGCGACTTGGAATACCTCAAGGAGGTTTTCACCACCATAGTGCCCGGTCTGCTTCTCCCTACTATTGAGGACGACATCACCAAAAGCACCGCTATCCATATGGCCGCTGCCAATGGGCACTTGGAAGTCGTAAAATATCTTTTATCGCTTTTGCCCGAAAAAGAGGCCTCTGAGTTGGCCAGCAGGCAAAACGACAGCGGCAATACCGCTTTGCATTGGGCTGCTTTCAACGGTCATTTGGAAGTGTGCCAGCTATTAACGCAAACTTACAAGGTAGACGTTTACATCAAGAACGGCTCCGGTCATGATGCCATCTACGAGGCCGAGGCCAACAACAAGGAGGAAGTGGAGAACTGGTTGTTGAAGATGTATGCCATCGAGGATAATGTGAAGGTCGAGGACCAGGGAGAGAAGACCAAGGTGACATACACGCCAGGCAAGGAGTCCAAGGAGCTTGAGGAGCAGGCTCAAGAGGCTGAGAAGAAGAGAGGTGTGGAGAATTTGGAGAAGAAGACTGAGGAGTTGAGCATAGACAAGTGAGTGATCTGGCGCCAGTCCGGGGCTTGACAGTGTATAATAGAAAAGATCTCATTGTGGATTTGATGTAGAGGATTTGGGGAGGTTTAAAAATTAGAGTTGACAGAATTAGATTCTGAAACATGTGGGTAGCTTACAATACATTTGGGGTAACAAAGGTCAATAGATATTGCATTTGTCACCTTTCTTGAAAACTCCAGGAAAAGCTGGCAATTTGGAAAAGCTGACAATTTGAAAAGAAGGATCAATTATTCATTCAGCTGATGAACAGAAAATTGGCAGGCTTGATTGGCAGGCTGTTTTGGTAATCCTGTATTCTAAACCTTATGTCAACTTTAGGAGTTTGGCCCGGTAGTTCAGTGAAACTTGGCCAACGAAATAAAAAGCATGGATATTGGCAGCGTGTTTACCCTTTATCTCGTTTCATACCTAGAGGAGAGGCGCTAGTACGATTGAGTTTTTCGCAGCCATTTCAATGGCATACAAATGGAAACACACTACACGGTATGTCACCCAAATAATGAGAATATTCATTCATCAAGCTTGCCTAGCTCGACCTCCAAATGGAATTGTCATGACTTCAGCATTTGTGGGTAAGTATGAGTAGCTGAAGATCTATGATTGGCTTAACCGAGACATCACCAGATGGAGCACGCTCTCAAAAACGAGATTGAACTTCCAAATCTGATAGAACTTGAAGGTCTTGAATATATAGTAAATAATTTTAACACCACCCGGCAAGCAACATTGACTCTTACTGTGTATCAACGACTCTGGGGCCTACACCTGGTCGTGCGCAACACGCTAGAAAAAAGGCTGGAAAAAATTCACCTCATTACTCAACTATCCACCACCATGAGTGACTTAGGGTTTGATCCGAGCTTGAAAAAGAAGAAGAAGGCCAAGAAGCCCGTCGAGGATGGCGAGAGTGGCAGCCCAGCCCCAGCTAGCGCCGAGTTGGACGATATGTTCGCTGGCTTGAAGAAAAAGAAGAAGTCCAAGAAGACAGAAGAGAATGGCGAGAGCGCCTCACCCTCGGTAGACAGCGTGACGGCGTCTTTCGATGACTTGGGCTTGAAAAAGAAGAAGAAGAAGTCCACGAAAGCTGCTGGTGCCTCTGACTTCGACGAGGCCTTGGAGAAAGCCGGTCTTGACGATGTCACCGCCACTGCTGAAGAGAAGGAGTCATCCGTTCAGACCACCTTGGGATTGCCATACGACTTCCTTTTGTCCCGATTTTTCACCATTTTGAAGCAAAACAACCCGGAGTTGGCCGGCGACAGAAGCGGACCAAAGTTCAGAATTCCTCCACCTGTGTGTCAGAGAGAAGGTTCCAAGAAGACATTGTTTGCCAACGTGCAAGAGATTGCTACAGTGTTGCAGAGAAACCCCGAGCATCTAATCCAGTTCTTGTTCGCTGAATTGGGTACCTCTGGTTCTATTGACGGTGAGAAGAGATTGGTGTTGAAGGGTAAGTTCCAGCCTAAGCAGATGGAGTCTGTCTTGAGAAGATACATCATCGAGTACGTGACATGCAAGACATGTAAGTCTATGAACACCGAGTTGAAGAGAGAGTCGGCCAACAGATTGCATTTCTTGAGCTGTAAGGCTTGTGGATCCACGAGGTCCGTGTCGAGCATCAAGACTGGTTTCCAGGCCCAGATCGGCAGAAGAAGGAGAATGTAGTGGCATTAGAGCTACGCTTTTTTTCTTCAACATTTCATTTGAACCCATACCGCCGGGAGAAGAACGTGGACACCAACATGTCCTTCATGCATTTAGTTACCCAGCTCTATGTGTTGTGTATAGTATAAACATCATCAACGAATCTAGCAATGCGTAGCTTGTACAAGCTTTCTAGTGGGTCACGGCCTATTGCATCTCCACAAATTTCTTGAGACCCACTGCCCATGTGCTCACTCCGGAGTTGGCCATCATGAACGTGAGCACTTCGGTTTTCAACTGGCCGGGTTTCTTCTGGTGAGAAATCACTGCCTCGGCGGTCCTGGCAACAAACTGTTTATGTCCATCTTCAAGTGAATCAAAGGATCCGAGTAGTCTTTCGTTCACGAAAGCCTTGTCTTCCTCTTTGAACTGCCCTTCGCTCACATAAGTCTCGATCGACAGCTTCACTTGCCGAAGCTCTTCTTCTGTGTATTCTTTGACAGGTGCCACATTACTCGTGGCTACACTGCTTTGGGAGGAGTTGGCTGAACCATATGCACGAGGAGTCCGTCTTTTCAGGCGGCTTCCGACACTGCCGCTGCTAGTGTTTGCTTGCATCATAATGTCTGGACAGTCATTCCAGCCCTCCATGAGCTCGCCTCTTTGGAACTTTGTCATGTCTGTATTGCAGGTCTAAGCTTGGTAATATTATTCAGACACGGGCTCAAATGTTTGGGAGAGAGGAGTGTCTGTCTGCAGTCCAATGTAGGGAAAGATGGGGACCTTTTCCGTGTAGATCATATTTTATGAAGCAAAGTGAGACAGGACTCTAGAAGCTCGTCAACTGTAGGCCTTTCTGTAGGTTTCAAAACTAGGCATGACTTGATAATGTCAATGAGTTCGGGAGAGAAGCCTCGAAGGTCGCTCGGAATCTCATATTTACCCTGCGAGATGGCTAAATTCAAATTGGCGCCTTGTTCAATTTCGAGTTTTTCAAATGGCGAGAATCCGAAGCAACAACTGTACAAGAGACACCCTAAAGACCATATATCTGTCAGCTCGGTGATTTCGGCGTTGCTAGCAACATCCAAAAGCTCAGGTGCCCTGTACGGAAGCGTACAATGTTCCTGGGCAAATTCGGTCAATGTAAGTGCCTGTTGCCGAGAGGTCACTGTAACTCTAGCCTTGGAGCACAGGCCCAAATCCACAAGGACTGGTAAGCCCTCAGCAGAGAGCATGACGTTTGCAGGCTTGATATCTCTGTGCGCATATGGACAGAGTTCCAGAAGTTCTGTTGCCTGGCCGTAGCTATCATCGTCTTCATCTGGAAGCATCAAATCATTTTCGTCGTCATCAGTTTCAGGACCTCCGGCGCTGCCTCTTTTCTGGTACTTATGCATTGCTTGCACACCTCGAAGCACGCCAATGAATATCTTGAGCACCTCCTCTTCCTCCATAGAAACGCTATTGAGCACATTGAAGTTGATCACATCTTGTAAAGACCTCTCAAAGTATGGAAGAAGAATGTAGAAGGTCCTTGATCCATCGCTTTCGTTGACCACGCTTTCGTCTATAGTGTGGATGATGTAGGGGGTTTTGCTTTCAGCAAATCTGTGGTAGCTGCGTACTTCTCGCCACGCATTGGCATAAGTTGCATCATTTCCACCGTACGGACACCGAATCTTCTTCATGGCGTATAGGTTGTTAGCATTGTTCTTCTGCGATACAAGATAGACATAAGAGAAGCCACCTTCACCGAGGAGCCGGAGTATTTTGTATTTTGTGCCATTGACCGTAAGCGAAGGGCTTGAAAGATCAGGAAAACAAGGCAAGCACTTGGTGAGAACCAGAAATAGAAGATCCATGTTGAGGGCGTGATGGAGATAGTGAGTCGAGCTACAATTGATACTACTGGCTATATGTAGGTATTAGCTGAAAGCAAGGATTTACTGAGGCCACGGAGCAAGCTTGGAAGTCTGAAATATTCCATTCTTATTATTTGAGATAATATCGTTACTTGGATTAAATATTTTAGATTTTGAGCAAGATCTGGCGTCGTAAGCATGGGGGTATATGGTTTTGGTGTACGGGTGCAATTATACACTTAAAGATGCTTACCGCATTTAGACACATCAAACCATGAGTGAAGAACCGAAAGATATCGAAAGCAAGGTTGACATTAACGTTGAATCCCAAGAATCCGAGAATCTGGCTTTGGAGAAAGCCGAAGTTATCGAGCTTCTACCCAATCTCTTCACGCTTCTTCAGCAGCTAGAAAAGGGTGAATTGCAGCCAAAAGACTTTGACAACCACGCTGGCACAATTCGTATGAAACTCAATGAAATGAGGCAACTTCTTCTGGAGATTGATGGTATATGTGAGCCTGTGTCTGACAGATTGGAAAAGATTGACGCTATAAGGGAAAGTAACCTTAGGAAGAAAGAGTTCATTCAGGCCTTCCACGAAAGAGTGAAGCTGGATATAGGGAAAGACAGTTGAGCTATTTGATTTGGACTTCATTAGCCCTTTTGACGAGCTTGTTTAACTCTCCTAATCTGGAAGTCTTAACTAGAACTAGCAGTGACAAGAGCCAGCCAAAGAGCTAAATACGTTTGGAACCACTAAAGGCCGATACAATAACGAGTCTCATATAAATGCAAGAGGTTATTAACGGTTCGACCCTTAAGAAGCTTTTCGTCTCCCTGAGCAGATCGAATAGCGGTGAAGCCATCGATGTTGACAATATCGTTTAGGATAGTTTCATGCCGTTGGGCATGAGGTAATGCGCTGAAACAATTCAGAGAGGGCGAAAATTGTGTATAAGGAAGTATTGACTCGAGCATTTTGTGGGTCAAAGTGGTCCATCGAGACAAGACAAGTCTACCCTTGTACAACATTCGCATTTGTCATTTTCACTCTTCAAGGTTTCAATGACTTTGCCACGCCTAACGAAGCTAATCTTATAGCTTCAACCCAAATCAGCTGGGTGAAGGTGTCATTTTTCCGACATGTTTCTTGCGGCAGATCTATTTACAGTGGCCTGAGCGGCTAAGTCGGAAAATCCGAGCGATCAAAGGCATTGGTCTAAGGTATAATCCAGTTTAATCGCCCACATTTCTCAATTAACCAATCACAAATGGTATCGTTCTTCAATTGAAGGCTTATGAATTCCACCACAGCAAGCCAATCCCTCTCGTCTTGAGCGCGAAATATTCACTATGTGTTGATACAGTCGAGAGTTTTTTAGGTCTGCTCACACCGGCATTCTTGAGCTCCACTTTCAAAACAACCTTAAAAAGCTCCCCTTGCCATGGCTCCTTTACAAGCCCACTTGCCTAACGCAGACACCTTGGATAACCTCCCTGCCTTCACTGTAGGGTTCACCATCTTCGCTGTGGGCTTCTTTGGATTCTACCCTCGCGACTCCGATGCTGTTATCTTGGAGCCACATGCGCCATTGAACCTCAACTTGAACGCCATTCTGTTTTACATCTTCCCACATCTCAATGTGTTGCACTTGTTGTTGAACCTCGCGTCTTTGGCGCCGCTCTTGGCTCGCTATGAAAGAAGCCATGGAACTGTGTATACCGGTGTCACCATGAACATCTTGGCAGTCGTGGCGGCATTGCAATACTGTTTATTGGGTCTAGTCTTGTACCCTACGCAGCATGTGGCTGGCTTGCTGGGAATCTTCTTCTCGCTTTTGTCGTTCTACTGCTACAAGGAGCACTTCACTCACCCCTCTGTGTACACATTCCGTACACAGGGCAACGAATTCCCAATCCCAACGCTTTACGTCCCATTCCTCTACTTGTGCTTGCTTGCGTTCCTTTTCCCCAACTCGTCCTTCTTTGGCCATTTGGCGGGAATCAGCGCTGGCTTCTTGCTTGCTATGGGCAAGATCAACTTTATGTTCCCCCACTGAAGGTTATCTTGTGGATAGAACACAAGCTCAGCCCTGTCATCAGTACCTTGCACAACATTGTTGTGTGGACTAGAGAAGAAGAAGCCGTCAACGAGCGCAATGTGGGCTACAAGCCTTTGTTGACTGCCGATGTCGAACAAGGCGAGTCCGCTTCATTCGAGGGTTTCGAAAGAAGGTTGGGCAACTAAGCGCCACAATAGCGAGTTTGACAATTACTAAAGTCTACTTCCGCAGACTACCCATGCTCACCTGAATATCAACTAATCAACGTCATTAAGTCCGCACGAACCAAACCTGCTCTAGAGCCCAATGCCCCTACACTGCTCGACATGGTTTTCCCCGTAAAAGGGTAGCTAATCTTCATTTTCAATTTATACTTCTCTTTTTTTTTCTTTTCTGACGTCGAGGGACCTCGTTTGCCCCAGACGTACCCCAGACCACCCGTACCTCAGAGTCTGCAGTAACCACTACATTTTGAGAAAACATTCACATAGCCATACACCGGTCCTCCATTATCAACATCCCATAAGCCTTGTTATTCTGAATTTCGTCATGATAAGTCAGGATAAGCCGGACGACTCGAAAAACCGGAGGCCGCCGAACGACAAGCGAAAAAGGCGGGGCAGAAAGAAGAAGAAAACACCCTCCTCGGAAACCCCTGTGGACGGTCAAAGCCCCCAGAAGGATGCTTCCAAGGCTGCTACTGTGGACAATGCTGCATCTGAAGAGAACACAGCCAATGTGCCAAAGACGCCTGTGGAACCCTCGCCAAGTCAATTACCCACGCTAATAACAGAACCGATAACTCAACCGCCGAAACACCAAGAACAGCTTATGAGCCCTCGAAAACAGACTTTACTACGTCATAAGAAAAGTAGTGATCGTGTTGCCGAGCCTTCTTTTATCAGTGAAGCCAAGGAATTTCGGAAAAATAGGAAACAACCTGTTTCTTCAAACAATAGCGAAGTTAACTCAGTGGACGACCACCAGAAGTACCTGGAGATTCTTTCCCAGCAGAACTTGCAGGGGAAGGCCTCGCTTTTTCGCTATCTGGCTGCCCGAATCTTGGTCTATCATGAGCAGATTCTGGATCCGGTTCTGCAGTCGTCTTCAGGGACACTCTTGGGACATGGAGAGCTTGAGATCTTCCAATTGCATAACGGCGACGTGACTTATTTGCTGTGTGGCCGCTCGTTTGTCTATCCGCTTCTTCCAAAGCTCAAAATTCTTCGCATAAGTCTCAACCAGTTCATCTTGCCTTTGTCGAACCCAGAGCGGTACTGGAAAATCAACATTGATACAGAGGATGTCGCTGTGATAAAGGAGCTCGAGCTGATTTTACAGGGTGTCGTCAAGTACACCAACCTCTCATTTGCAGCTGCCAAAGCTCCCTCCCTTCCGTCATACATAGAGGAAGAGCTTCAGGAGCCACATACGCCTGAAAAGACAAAGCCTTCGAATGGTAACGGTGACCCTCTTCATGCTGGGCATGAAAGAACACCAAAATCCAGTCACTTCACACCATACTTCAACGATATCCCGGAATCACCGCCATCTGCACCGGTGTCTCCTCAACAGCTCTACGATCCAGATCCAGCGTTCCAAATTCCTCCTACCCAAGAACCTCAATGGCCTTTGCATCGCAAAACATCGAATCAATCAATCACCTCGGCGCTTGCTAGTTTCAATGTCAATGAGCACAACTCCAACTCGAAAAAACCAGCTTCTAAATTATTCCAACCAAAACCAGTGAGTCAGCCTCACCCTCATGCTAACCCGCATGCAAATCCACATGCCAACCTTCCAACACCAAAGGAGTTGTCCTACAAGCAGCACTCGAACCCCTATCAGTCCCGCTCCAGGCCAGCGAAGGCCGATGCCAAATCTGACTCCTCTTCCATGGACTCGCTTCTCGATGAGTATGAGGAGAACATTTCTACTACAAAATCCATCAATTACAACATTCCTAGATCACAGTCGCGGACAATGTCTTTGGCATCCAGTGCGTATCCAGCGGCCATCAATTATCAGCGTGGAAAGATCCCACTCGTTCCAGATATAAGAAGCAATGTGGGCTCCACTACACATGAACCGGCTGATGAGGAAGATGATGATGATTTCCCAAAGACATCACTCTCACAGTACAACAGAGCAAGACAGAATACCCAGAGCCAAAGGTCCCGCCGGTCGTCTCCTAGCGAGCTCTACAATTCTGTCAGCAACTGGATGGAGCCAAATGTTCGTCAGCCCCAGTTATCCCACTCTCGCTCAAATTACTCGCTTGCCAGTGCGAAGAACAGTATCGCATCCAACCGCACCCAGGAAAGCACCCTTCGGGATATTTATCGCTCAATCACTGAGAATAACTTGCATGCCAATTTGCAGCAGCCAAATGGAAGGCGTCCAAGTGTCGGGTCTAGCCGTGGATATGGGCCCAGGCCTAAAACGAACACTTTGAATACCCAGACCAAGCCTCCAAAGACTGAACAAAAGCAGGGTAGGAGCAGAAACGAATCACTCAGTTCGTCAGATGTCTATCGCCTTGTGAGTGCTCGTCGTAGTGAAACTGAAGAACCAAGCAAACGTGGGGGGATTTCACGGTTGTTCGGATGGTGAGAGTTCAAAAGTAAATCAAGCATCGAAATGTACAATATATGATTATACGATATATACAATGAGAGGTCATGAAAGTATGGGTTGTAGCACTGGTGCTGGTCTATCAAGATGCATTACATGGCAGCGCCAGGGATAGGGTTGCCGTTGGCGTCAACCATACCGTTTTGCATCAAGAATATCTGCTCATTACCGGCAGTCTCAACCTGCAAACCAGCACCCACCTTGGAGGACTGCTTGAAGTGGTCAATCTCACCAGCGAACATGACAGAGAGCATAGGCATGATCTTCTTCTCCAAGAAGACCGAGGTCTTACCAGTGGTGTCGACCTGGCCTCTGAAGACGGCGGTACGGTACTCGTACTTGGCACCCAAGGTGGTGATACCCTCAACGACAGGTTCGAGCTGGGCGCCGAAAGGTGTGCTGACAGGTCTCATACCGGCGGCGATCTGGGTCTCCAAACCAGCCTGGACGTTCTCGGAAACCTTTCTCCAGAAGGTACCGACAAGAGCACCCTGGCCCTGGACCTGGGCGGTAGCAATCCAGTCACCGGCGTTGTAACGGGCAAAGTAGCTGATAGCACTGTCTGGAGGAAGAGAGGAGTTCTGTCTGGAGAAGGTGGCCTCGACACCCACAGCAAACTTCTTGGTCAAGGACTGCAACAAGGAGCCAATGGCAACACCAGTAAAAGCACCGGACAAGTACAGAGGGTTCAAGGTCTTGAAGTTGATGGAGAAGTCGTTGGCGTTGTAGTCCTGCTCCAACTGGCACATGGTAGGCTGGCCGTGAGCAATCTGCAAAGTCACCTTGGAGACATTGTGCTCGTCCCAGCCGTAGTTGACCTTACCAGAAACGGAGAACTGGTTGTCGATGTTACCCTGGGCAAACATGTTTTCACGGGCGTACAAAGCCGAGAATGCATAAGGGGGCAAGTCGCCGCCAATGGAGAAGGCGTGGGAGGTCTGGAAAGCTGGGTCAAAACAGAAGGACTTGTTCAAGTCGGCACGCAAACCCTGGAAGAAGTGCTGGTTCAAGAAGACGTCACGGTTGACCTCCTTGGTGAGGTTCTCCACGGTACCTGGGTTGGTCAAACCCAAGGATTGTCTGTGCTGGGAGATGTTGGTGTAGACGTCGTTCAAGTAGGAGAAGACGGGGTTGGAGGACCAGAAGCCGTTCTGCTTGGGCAACTCAGGAGCAGTCGATGGAAGCGTGGGCACTGACATCTTGGAGATGTCGGCCAAAGGCTGGTTGATCTTCTGTTCCGACATTACGTTGGTGGTTTTGCTGGAGATCTGGTAAGCTTGTCGAGAAAAATTTGAGCGCGGGACGGTGTGTACGCTGGAGGCCTCTATGCCTGTGGGGTCGGCGTAAATCGTGGAACAGATGTAGTAGGTGGTAGAAAGGGCACGAGGAGGGGACCTATTGGATAGTGTAGTGGAGTTTTATGAGATGCTAGTGAGAAGGAAACATTGCTTTGGGTTGGTGGTTGGGGACTCGGTAGGTGTTGGGTTTGTAGCAACCTTAGCGTTTTGTGGTTTTAGCTGAGAAAGAAACTCCAGTTAATCATTGGATTTTTTTTTTTTTTTTTTTTCCCATGATTATTAAGAATGACTCTCTGTGGCTGATAGAGCCAAGATGTTTGGTGTTGGGCATCTTGGTTTTGGAGAAGATGGGTTCGCAGCCATGCTGAGCAGGATAGCCACTCACAGATCTCACAGATCTCGGTTACTACCAAGATGATGTCGATGATACCCAACGGGTTCTAGGTGGAAGGGGTGTTCTCCTTTATTGTTTATCGAATGCTTCTTTGGCTGCTTTCATGAATTGTGTTAGACAAATTCGGGCATTTGTCGCATAGACCCTGAGCTTTGGTACGTTAGTAGTGATGATGTGAAAGATACAGATGGCTAAATTTTTGTCCACAAAAAGGAAGCACATGGTATTTCTGGTACTTTGTAATACATCTTTGCATCTTTGAAGCTTAAGTAGCATTATGTGAATTTTGGGAACATGTCAAAGTTTTGCAAGTTTGTGTGAATTTAGCATAGTACTTAAGAAATGATGAACATTGAGTTGATTTGATGACAAGGTAACATATTTTGAAGAAAAATGGAAAATATAGTGCAAGCTTTCACCACTTGTTCGGGCTCAAATTACCGCAAAAATGAAACTGCTTGGTAATCCACTGATATAGTGTAGGCGAGTAGGATTCCGAGGTAGTAAGGGAGAGGCCAATACTTCAACCGGTTTTCTGTAATAGAAATCGCCGACCGTAGCGATATGAAGCTGGAGCCTTCAAGTTGGGATCAAATGTTCTATCAATCCCATTTTCTAATAAATTATCAATTCATCGCTTTGTTCCGTAAAACCTCCCCCAAATTACCGGCGCACATGGACCCATTTGGTGCTTGTATATGTCCAGACAATATTACACATTATTTTCCTCCGATATAACAATTGCATTGGTTTTGACCTCCTTCTGTCTAAACCACGCCCAACAGCTAACCGATTGACTCCGAGTCACATGGCTCATCTGGTCTCCTTGGAATGACGTTGCGTGATGATCTCTGATTTCGCAGCCAATGATAGCAGAAACAAGAGCACAAAGAGCCCGACTTTCAAAGAAGTTCAAAGCTTTTATCTTCAAACTGAACAGCTAGAACTCACTTATTACAAAAGAACAAAATTTCCCCAATCAATTCCCGTTTCAGCTGGAATCGGGCTGGCGATGGCCGGTGGTCAGGTGACGGCCGCACAGATATATCTCGGACTTTTGGGGCTCCATTGCTACCGTTGAACCAAGAGTTGAAACCAACTTAATTGAAAATGCCAGTTTCCGTCGTGAACGGCGCCACAGGCGCTGTGCTTCACGCTCCCGGAAAACCCGCTATGAATCAAACCATCAATTTCTACTCCAACGTTGTGGGCTTCAAGGTCAAGTCTGAGCAGGCTTCATCCGCCATTTTGCTTGCCGACGACAAGAAGACCACTTTGAAGATCGAAGTTTCAGACGAGAGAACGGAAGAGGAGATTGAGGAATTGAGAGAACACTGGACTCAGCTGTTCAACGTTGCAGACTGGAGATCTCAGATCTCTCACTTGACCTTTGCCGTGACCAAGTTGAACGATTTGGTGTCTACGCTTTTGAACCTGGACATTCCTTGCCAGTTGTATCCTAATGAATTGTACCCTAGTGAAGTTTATACTACGGACCCATTGGGAAACTTAGTCGGCTTCACCAGCGCTTCCAACGCCTTGAGCTTGTTACCTCCGGTGGCCAAGTTGACTATCGAAGAGTTTGAGCCAACCGTCATGAGCTCAGCAGCATCGGAGGTCTCAAGAATTGTCAGTGATACTCCTACCCTGAGAAACATTGCCGTCATGACCTCTGGTGGTGACGCTCCCGGTATGAATGCCTGTGTCCGTGCGGTGGTTCGTGCTGCAATCTTCAGAGGTTGTAAGCCATTCGCTGTGATGGAGGGCTACGAGGGATTGGTCAGAGGTGGCTCCGATTACATCAAAGAGATGCAATGGCAGGATGTGAGAGGCTACTTGACCGAGGGCGGTACTAAGATCGGTACTGCTAGATGCATGGCTTTCAAGGAAAGACCAGGTCGTTTGAAGGCATGTAAGAACATGATTGAGGCAGGCATCGATGCCCTCATTGTCTGTGGTGGTGACGGCTCCTTGACAGGTGCGGACTTGTTCCGTTCTGAGTGGCCTTCTTTGATCAAGGAATTGAAGGACAATGGCTCCATCAACGACAAGCAGTACGAAAGACACAAGCACTTGAATATCTGTGGTGCTGTGGGTTCCATTGACAATGACATGGCTACTACCGATGCCACCATTGGTGCCTACTCTGCATTGGACAGAATCTGCAGAGCCATCGACTATATCGACGCTACCGCCAACTCTCACTCGAGAGCTTTCGTGGTTGAGGTCATGGGCCGTCATTGCGGTTGGTTGGCTTTGATGGCTGGTATTGCAACCTCTGCTGATTATATCTTCATTCCAGAGAAGCCCTCCTCATCCAAGGACTGGCAAAGCCAGATGTGCCAGATCGTTTCTAAACACAGAGACAAGGGCAAGAGAAAGACCATTGTTATCATGGCCGAAGGTGCCATCACAAGCGACCTAGAACCAATCACCGCCAAACAAGTGAAGGATGTCTTGACCAACAAGTTGGGCTTGGACACCAGAGTCACTACTTTGGGTCATGTTCAAAGAGGTGGTAATGCCGTTGCTTACGACCGTATCTTGGCTACTTTCCAGGGTGTCGAGGCTGTCAAAGCCGTTTTGGAATCTACCCCAGAAACTCCATCTCCATTGATTGGTGTCAAAGAAAACAAGATTGTTCGCTTGTCACTCGTGGAAGCTGTCAAGGTCACAAAGTCTGTCGCTGAAGCGATTGAGAAGCATGATTTCGCCAAGGCAATGGACTTGAGAGACTCTGAGTTTGTGGAACACTTGAGCAACTTCATGGCCATCAACTCTGCCAACCACGAGAAGCCCAGTCTTCCAGAGGAAAAGCGGAAGAGAATTGCCGTCATCAACGTTGGTGCACCTGCTGGTGGTATGAACAGTGCAGTTTATGCCATGGCAACATACTGTATGTCCAGAGGTCACACGCCTTATGCCATCCACAATGGTTTCTCCGGTTTGGCCAGACACGAGTCCGTCCGCTCGGTAGACTGGTTGTCCATCGAGGGCTGGACATCCATGGGTGGTTGTGAGATTGGTACCAACAGAAACACGCCCGAGAGCACAGACTTGGGCTTGATTGCATATTACTTCGAAAAGTACAAGTTCGATGGCTTAATCCTTGTCGGTGGCTTCGAGGCCTTTGTTTCCTTGGAGCAGTTGGAGAAGGCCCGTGCTATGTACCCTGCATTCCGTATACCCATGGTTCTCGTCCCAGCTACTATCTCGAACAATGTGCCTGGTACCGATTACTCACTTGGCTCGGACACTTGTTTGAACTCTTTGATGGAGTACTGTGACGTCGTCAAACAGTCTGCATCTGCCACTAGAGATCGTGCATTCGTCATTGATGTTCAAGGAGGTAACTCTGGCTACATTGCCACGTTCGCTTCATTGGCCTGTGGTGCTCAGGCATCTTACGTGCCCGAGGAAGGCATTGACTTGGCACAATTGGAGCTTGACATCAAGTCTTTGAGGGAATCCTTCACTGCAGAAAGGGGACTTGCGAGAACTGGTAAGCTATTATTGAAGAGCACGAATGCCTCGAAGGTGTTGACTACTCAGGTTTTGGCCGAGATCATGAAGCTGGAGTCTGACGGTGTGTTTGATACCAAGACTGCGGTGCCAGGTCACGTCCAGCAAGGTGGCTTGCCTTCTCCCGTGGACAGAACGAGAGCAACAAGATTTGCTATCAAGGCAGTGCAGTTCATTGAATCCAAGTCTGATGACATCAGCAAATACAGAGACGAGCTCGAAATTCCTATGGACGACAAGAGCTTATCTGAAACTGCTGCCGTTTTGGGAATTGTGTCGCTGCACCTTCAGTTTACTGGAATCAGACAATTGTATGATTTCGAGACTGAAGTGAAGAGAAGAATGCCAAAGAGAATACACTGGGCCAAGACCAGAGACGTCTGCGATCAGTTGGTGGGCAGGACAAAGCTTGAGGCTTAGGCCACGAGTTGGAATAGACAGGAATAAAGTAAGACTTTAAAGACTTGTTAGGAAATAAGCAAAATATATCAAAGATGAATCGATCTAGTGAATGGGTGAAGTACTACCCTGACGAGGTGCGTTAGTCCTGCACCACTCGAGACATCAACACCGATGGATTTAGTACAACAGATAAACAATTGTGAAGACAATGCAGAGCTAGATGAGCTAAAAAAGCAAGTCAGCGTTCTCAATCAAGCCACATATGGGGAACTACCGTCTTTCGAGCGCAAAAAGCTATATAGTAGCATCCAAGAGGCAAACAAGGCTATAGAAGCAGCAGACAACCGGATTAATGTGGACTACTTTCGCTTTGAGGGTGAACCACAGCCACCACTGATCCTCAAACAGCAGGAAGTGAAGAAAAGCTCGAACCTAAATGTTGTGCTGAAGCAAGTTTCCCAGATTAAGAATCAAACGCTTGACTTGGACGAACTTCTAGGCGCAGGTCACGCTAACATTAATACGATTGAGTCTTCTAAGATAAGCAACAAAAAGATCTGGCCAGGCTCCGTACGTCTTGAAAATGCCAGAGATTCAACCATCACCCTTAATACTACGGGCCTCTTATGGCTCGTAACATGACCCTGAGCGTTCTTAAGGTAAAAAGTCATCAGCTACGGCTCCACAATATCACCAATTGCGAGGTTTATGTGGAGAAGGGGCCAGTTGTCATGGAAGGATGTCTGGGGATAAAGATTGGAGTACTCAAGGACGATAAGCTATGTGGGGACAAGGAGATCGAAGTGTTTGACTTTTCGTGGCCTGGCGGGGCAAAGAACCCCAATTTCGAGTACATTCGTGGGGTATGAAGCAGTGATCAGTTTGCAGAGAAACAGGGGCTCGGACATGCTTTTGAGTGGTTGAGATGGGTGTTCGACCGTTCAAAACTACTATAGATATCATCCAACCGAAGAGAGCATCATATTGAAGTTCATGGCATGAGTGTTGGTCTAGCCTGAAGAGGTAATAGACAACCCTGGAAACCCATCGTTGTGACTTTCCCTGATAGTTATACACGTCGCGTTGCACCGGCCCCTGATCAATGCCGAAGCCGTGCCGTCCGATGAAACTTCTGAGAATGGTCACTTGTGGCCCCTATAGTGAGGCTCGGGTAGTTAACCGAGATACCCCAGGGTGCCAAGTGCGACAGCTCGGGTAATACTCGAGGGGATACTCCTCATGGACTAGACCCAGGCAAAAAACACAAAACGAGGAATGTTAATGTTTACAAACGTTAAAATAATTGCTTCATGTTTCCCCTATTAAGGTTGGGGGTATCAGGGGCCTTAAGCCACTAGTGGTCTAAGCAACCCGTCAGAAAGCGGCTGATGTACATGAGTCGCGAGACTGGAAAGCGAGAGCCGATACAGCGACAATGCCAAACAGCCAATCCGTCAAAAAAAATAAAGAGTTGTGCCGCACGTCGGTTGAAATGGCGTTATTTGGATTTTGAAGAACACTTTTCAAGAAATTTCGACAATCTGGGTCAAGCCTGGCAGACAACCGTGGGTGGCACCACAATATCAACGGCCCTTGTGAGCTGGTTTTTGTGTCATTCTCTAACGCTAATGAAGGATTGCCGCACGGACCCTAGCTGCACGGCTCTAAGAAACGAGGATCTGGGTTTCTCGGAACGGACTTTTTGGAGCCACGCCAAGAGGCACTGGCGTGAGTAACCGTCAATTGCCGTGAATATCCGCCCATACCCGCCCCCACCGTTTGCCAACCTTGTCACAAAAAGCAGATCGTCTCGGGTAATATTGGTCAGGGCTCGGAGAACCCAACTGCCTTGGCCCATATAAATATAGGCCGAGTATCCTTGTGTTTGTGGCATCTCATATCATGGCTCCAGTTATCACCAGACCAGGCTCTGAGGAGAACATCACCTCCTCGTACTCAGACACATTACCTTTGGGCGAGTACTTGTTCTTGCGTATTGCCCAGGCTAACCCTAAGCTCAAGTCGGTGTTTGGTATCCCCGGCGACTTCAACTTGGCCCTCTTGGAGCACTTGTACTCTGACTCTATCGCCAAAGAGAAGGGCATTGACTTTGTAGGTATCTGCAATGAACTCAATGCTGCCTACGCTGCCGACGGCTACGCCAGGGTTATTCAAGGCTTGAGTGTCTTGATCACAACCTACGGTGTCGGCGAGCTTTCTGCAATCAACGGTGTGGCCGGCGCTTTTGCAGAGTACATACCCGTGTTGCACATTGTGGGCACCACTTCGACAGCTCAACAAGACCAGGCAAAGACGGCTTCTCGCAGAACCGTTCGCAACATCCACCACTTGGTTCCAAGCAGACACGCATTGACGCCTCCAGACCATGACGTCTACAAATACGCTGTTCAGGGTGTTTCTTGCATTCAAGAGTCTCTCACAAAGGAGGACCAGGCTGACAACTTGGACAAAATCGACAAGGTGATCACCAAGATCTTGCAAGAAAACAGACCAGGCTACTTGTTCATTCCTAGCGATGTTCCAGACGTGAAGGTTCCAAAATCAAGATTGTTGCAGCCATTGAACTTCAACGAGCTCAAGGATGCCTCTTTGCTTGAGGATGTCTCTGACAAGATCTTGAACAAGCTTTACAGCGCCAAGCAGCCCGCTATTTTTGGGGACGCTTTGGTGCCTCGTTTCCGTGCTCAGGAGCAGTTCACCAAGTTTGTGGAGGCCATGCCCGCAAACTTTGTTAAACTCTTCTCTTCCAACATTGCCAGAAACATCGATGAGACCTTGCCCAACTTTGTCGGCTGCTACTACGGTCAGTTGACCCAGGACAAGAAAATCACCGAGAGCATTGAGCAAAAGACCGATGTGTTGTTGAACGTCGGGTACTTCAACAACGAAACCAACAACGGCTTCAACTCATTTAACTTTGACAACATCAAGGACTACGTGGAAATCCATCCAGACTACATTTTGATCGATGACGAGTACATCGTTGTTAAGAGCGAAGAGAAGGACCAGCGTGTGTTCTCGATCAACGACTTGATGACCAAGCTTGCGGAGAAGCTTGACGTGAGCAAATTCGTCCACAACGACGGCCAGAACAACATCGACTACAGGTACAAGATGCCTTCTTTCACCGCAAAGGACAGCAACAAGGAAATTATCACCCAGAACAAGTTGCTCGACTTCATGAAGGAGTACTTGCAGCCTAACGACATCTTTTTCGTGGAGACGTGCAGCTTCTTATTTGGCGTCGCGGACTTGACACTCCCTAAGGGTGCCAGCCTCTATTCCCAGTCCTTCTACGGATCCATTGGTTACGCTTTGCCCGGAACCTTGGGTGGAGCCCGTGCTGAGCGCGATTTAGGCACCAAGCGCCGTGTGGTTTTGGTGCAAGGCGACGGTTCCGCGCAAATGACGATTCAAGAGTTGACATCGTACGTCAGACACGACATCGAACCTCCAAAGGTGTTCTTGTTGAACAACGAAGGCTACACTGTGGAAAGAATCATCAAGGGCCCCACGAGGCTGTACAACGACATCCAGCTGAACTGGCAATGGACGCAGTTATTGAAGGTTCTTGGCGATCCTGAGGAGAAGAAGCACGTCTCCGCAGACGTGAGAAGCGCAGAACAATTGACCAAAGTCTTGAGCCACGCGCCTCTGGACAAGGTGGAGTTCTACGAGCTCCATTTGGCCAAGTTGGATGTGCCGGACCGCTTCACGCGGATGTTCAAGTAGATAGAGTTAGCGGAGATACAGTATCTCCGGGAGGGGCCGTTTGTACGGGTCGAGCCGTCCGGGGCGACCTGGGGTATCAGTTTTTGCTAGTGGGGTTGGCAGGTGTCACCTAGGACCGATCTACATGAACAAGGCGCTAGCGAAGATGGTTGATTGTTCGCAAGCGCCAGTGAGATCCAGGGGGCCATTGTCCGGGGCGCCACAGGAAACACGGAAATACAAAAATATAATTGGTAACAGAAGCACTGCGTACCGCTAGAAACACGGATCGTCGTAGATCAGCTTGAAAAAATTTTTCAAATTTTTTACTCATCGTGACTCCACCTATGGACTATGCGCGGTGTGGAATTATGGCGAGTGGGTGGGAACAAGCCACACTTTACGATGTGAGGTCTTCACTGATAGGTTAGCCTTAAAGAACCTCTCAAATACAGCCGGGTCAAAAACAAAAAGGAAAAAAACTTCGTTATCGTACCCCTATAGAATCGTTTTCTATTGGTCGAAATGCACGTCACCTCGGCTACTTCCCTTCCACCGTTGCGGCAGATACTTTTCGCAGCCACCCCGGACTCCAAAACACACAAGCGGATGCTCCGAAACGGTCCGGATATATATAAAAAGAAAAAGCCCAAAATCTTCTCCGTGTAAAACACCGACAAACTCCCGTCCGAAAAAAAAAAAAAAAAAAAGCCCAAGCTCTTGTCCTCCTTGTCTTGCAACAGTCCGCCATTTTCCCGCGGGGTTCCCCACAGAAGCACCCGAGATCCCGAGGACCGCGAACGTTTTAAACCGGCCTCTGTCGCTGTTTTTCCTCCACCATGTCACTTCTTGCCCCAGCAAACTCCGAATACGTTCTTGAGGATTTCGATGCCCAAGGCATCACCATTCGCCAGCTCCGAGACCAAGGCGTTGTGCCCTTTGACTACAACGATGTGGGCTACGCATCCCCGGTTTCTGGGCTGCAACAGAGCGGCTTCCTGGCGGTTTACCGTAACAACTCGGTTTCCACGGTGAAAAAGTTCTTTGCTCCTGGTTTTGAGACCTACCATGGCATGATCCAGCACTCCGTGAGAAACCACGGTGACTTGCCTGCGTTGTCTCTGAGGACTTATGACTACAAAACCAACCAGTCTGGAGCCTACGAGACCATCACCTACAACCAGTTGGACGAGAGGAGAAAGGCCTTGGGATCTGGTTTGTTGTTTCTTTTGCAGAACAACCCTTACAAGGTGCCTGGCTTGGAGTCCCACGAGAAGATCTCCACCCATGCTGCCAACTACCAGTCCTACGACGCTAACAACCACAGTTTCATCGTGACTCTTTTCGCCCAGAACAGAGCAGAATGGATCTTGACGGACATTACTTGTGCCTCCTTCTCCATCACAAGCACTGCCTTGTACGACACCTTGGGCCCCGGCACCTCCAAGTACATTTTGGAGCTCACCTCTTCCCCTGTGGTGATTGCCCTGGGTATCCACATCAGGACTTTGCTTGATTTGAAGAGAACCTCGCCCAAGGAGCTCGAGGCGCTCATTTCGGTGGTCTCCATGGACCCATTGAGCGAGGTCTATGGCGAACAGGGCAAACAGCAGCTCATTGACGAGGCCAAGGCCTTGAACATCATGCTCTACGACTTTGAGCAGGTGTTGGAGGTTGGTCGTATCTTCCCTCACGCCGACTTGCCCCCAAAGAGCACCACCCAGTACACCATTTCCTTCACTTCGGGAACTACCGGCTCCAAGCCCAAGGGTGTCGTTTTGACTCACTCCAACCTCGCCGGTGCTGTGGCTTTCCTTGTTTGTCAGGTGCCTTCCATTCAGAACTACAAGGACTTTTGCTTTTTGCCGTTGGCCCACATTTTCCAGCGTCATTGCACTGCTAGTTCTCTTATGATCGGTGCTACCGTGGGGTTCCCACAACTTGGCGGTACACCTTTGACTCTCTTGGAGGACTTGAAGCTCTTCAAGCCCACATACATGTCCAACGTGCCCCGTGTGTTCACCAAGTTCGAGGCTGCCATCAAGAGCGCCACAATCCACTCCGACAAGGCCCTCGCCAAGAGCATCTTTACCCGTCTCATCAACAACAAGATGGAGAAGCAGGCTTCTGCCGAGAACGAGAAGGGCTCTCACTGGCTCTACGATCGTGTTCTTGCTCCAAAGCTTAGAAAGGCGTTGGGCTTTGACGAGATGGAATGGACCGTCACTGGGCTGGCCCCAATCTCTCCGCTGACTGTGAAGTTTTTGAAGGCTGCTTTGAACATCGGCTTCTCTCAGGGTTACGGATTGACCGAGACCTTCGCTGGTATCTCCTTCAGTGTTCCATTTGAGAAGGAGCCTGGATCCTGTGGTGCCATTGGTGTGGCCAGTGAAATCAGTTTGCGTGATTTGCCTTCTTTGGGCTACTCTGTTGACGGTGAGGACCCTGCTGGTGAGTTGCTTATTCGTGGCCCTCAGGTCTTCTCCCACTACTTCAAGAACCCCGAGGAGACCAACAAGGCTTTGAAGGATGGCTGGTTTTACACTGGTGACGTGGCCAGAATTGATGGAAAGACGGGTCGTTACTACATCGTGGACAGAGTCAAGAACTTCTTCAAGTTGGCTCACGGCGAGTACGTGACGCCCGAGAAGGTCGAGAACAACTACCTTTCCAGCAACTCTATCCTTACACAGGCTTTCGCCCACGGTGAGTCCGTGCAGAGCTACTTGGTTGGTATCATTGGTGTCGAGGAGCCCAAGGCCAAGGATTTCTTGATCAGAAAGTGCAATGTGCCAGCTTCTGCCTTGATGACTCCCGAGGCCATCTTGGAGCAGATCAACCAGCGTGAGAACAGAACCATCTTGCTTGAAGATTTGAACCGCAACGTCCAAGGTCTCTTTGGCTTTGAGAAGCTCCACAACATCTACATTGAGTATGAGCCATTGCGTCTTGAGAGAGACGTTGTGACGCCTACTGTCAAGATCAAGCGTCCTGTTGCCGCCAAGTTCTTCAAGGACCAGATTGCCGCCATGTACAGCGAGGGCAAGTTGACCGAGGCCCAGGCAAAGATTTAAGTAGACAGTCTATTTATTATAAAGTGTCAAAAGAATGATTGTAGAGCGCTTGTATAGGTTTCGCAGCCATGTAGTCGCTGGACGACATTTCCGCGACATCTCAACATCCATCAACTACCTACCACAACTAAAATGGTACGTGAAAAAAGTCAATAGTCCACCACTATAATATACTAATGTCCCAGGCAACCATTTCCACGTCTTCCGCACAGGCCAAAGACGTTGCTGGGCTCTCCTTGATAGCAGCCCACTCCCACATCTCTGGCCTAGGGCTCGATGATAACTTAAAGCCTAAAGAATCTGCTCAAGGCATGGTGGGCCAGGTTAATGCCAGAAGGGCTGCTGGTCTCATTTTGAAGCTTGTTCAGGCAGGTCAGATTGCCGGCAGAGCTGTTCTTATTGCCGGTCCTCCATCCACAGGTAAAACCGCCATCGCCATGGGTTTGTCTCAATCATTGGGCGAAGGTGTTCCATTCACCGCTATTGCCGGTTCCGAAATATTCTCTCTTGATTTGTCCAAAACCGAATCTTTGACCCAGGCGTTCAGAAAGTCGATTGGTATCAAAATCAAGGAAGAGACAGAAATCATTGAGGGTGAGGTTGTTGAGATTCAAATTGATAGATCCATTACTGGCGGTCACAAACAAGGTAAGCTTACAATCAAAACCACGGATATGGAAACCATCTACGAGTTGGGTAACAAAATGATCGAGGGCTTGACCAAGGAGAAGGTTTTGGCCGGTGACGTGATTTCCATCGACAAGGCTTCCGGAAAAATCACCAAATTGGGTAAGTCCTTCACCAGAGCCAGAGACTACGACGCCATGGGCCCAGAAACCAAGTTCGTGCAGTGCCCTGAAGGTGAGTTGCAGAAGAGAAAAGAGGTTGTCCACACTGTGTCGCTTCACGAGATAGATGTCATAAATTCCCGCCAGCAGGGCTTCTTGGCCTTGTTTTCCGGTGACACCGGTGAAATCAGATCTGAAGTCCGTGACCAGATCAACACCAAGGTTGCTGAGTGGAAGGAAGAGGGCAAGGCCGAAATTGTGCCTGGTGTCTTGTTTATCGATGAGGTGCACATGCTTGACATTGAGAGCTTTTCCTTCATCAACCGTGCTTTAGAGGACGACTTTGCCCCCATTGTCGTGATGGCCACAAACCGTGGTGTTTCTCAGACCAGAGGTACAAGCTACAAGTCCCCACATGGTGTGCCAATGGACTTGTTGGACAGATCTATCATTATCCACACTTCCAACTACAGCGCTGACGAGCTCAGAACGATTTTGTCGATCAGAGCCAACGAGGAAGAGGCTGAGTTGAATGCTGATGCATTGGCTCTTTTAACGAAGATTGGCCAGGAGACTAGCTTGAGATATGCTGCTAACTTGATTGCTGTGGCCCAGCAGATCGCTCTGAAGAGAAGAGCCGCCACAGTTGACTTGCCTGACGTCAAGAGAGCTTACACATTGTTCTTGGACTCCGAGCGCTCGGTGCAATTCGTTAACGAAAACTCCAAGTCTTTCATTGACGATGAGGGCAATGTGAACTTGGGCACAAACGGCAATGCCAAGGAGGACGACAAAATGCAGACAGACTAGGTGTAGAGGACCACGAAATGTACAATTATTGCTATCCGTAAACGTTTTTCAAAATATATGCAGCTACTTATTTACCCTTGGTGTTCAAGATCAAGGCGATGATCAAGCCGTACAATCCCAACACCTCGGCGAAAATCAAAATCAACACAATACCCACAAACAAACGAGGCTGGTGCATAAGCTGCCTCACACCCTCATCACCAACTATACCAATGGCGTATCCCAGGGCCATACATGCCAACCCGACAGACAGTCCACACGCAAAGTGCATGAAGCCATTGAACAAAGTGTATTCGTCCTGGGGGTTCAAGTCTCCTGCGATCAACACAGACACGACAAGACCGTACACGGATAAAATACCCGAAAGAATGACGGGAATAAGCGATTTCATGATAAGCTCAGGCTTGAAGGTACCGATACCAGCAATGCCGATTCCGGACTTGGCAGAACCGAAGGCAGCACCCACACATGAAAAGATCATGGAGGCGGCACAGCCGGCAAAGCCAAAGAAAGGAGCGAAGTTGGGAGCAAGCTCGCTGCCTGAGGAACTCATACTTGATGTAGATGAAAAGGTCACTTTATCAAGGTGAGGTGTTGAGAATGGGTCGTGCGGTGGCCAATTTACACCTACCACGGATGGGGGGTCAATTTGGGGAGAACAGATATAAGACGAGTTATTAAGAGATTTTTGGGGACAATTTACGGTGGATTTGGCTGTTGACGTTGTTTTCTGAAAGGTCGACCTGTTGTGGTGTACGGGTGCAACTATGCACCACTATCAACTACTGAGAACCACAACAAACGTCCCAGTCCACCATGAGTGCAAGTCTGCACTACGAGAAAATAGCCCTCTCCAAACAGGAGCTTACACATATATACAAGCAATTTGTTGATGCTGCACAGAAAAAATACGATCAGCACCTTCCGGTATCTGACCGTCATGATCCATTACAGATTGAGGTGGAGAACCTTGTGAACGAAACATTCGCTGAAGTCTTTGAAATGGCCAAATATGCACTTGTAGTAGACGGTCTAGACTTCAGCGAGGACGACGTGTCTATCAAGGATTTCTTGCTGCTCCGACCCACCGAAGAAGTTATGCCATTTGATACCCAGCTTAACCAGAAGCTCCGCACAGTGATCCAGGATGTGGAGAAAGAAACCACAGAAGTGACGCGGCTCCGACGGGAGTTGCCAGAGAGAGCCAAAGACGCGTACGAGCTGCTAATATCTACGACGGATGAAGAGGTGACATCCATCATCAAGAGCCTCAACGAAAAGTACGACAACCAGGAAGTCGAATCACACCCTGACCTCCTCGAAGCAATACCCAGCGCGAAGGACCTACTAAGCGACTACGAAGAAAGCATATCGCGTCTTTCGGCGCTAAAAAGTGATCTCCCCAGACAGCTAGCCCAGGTAGAATCGTGGAATAGCACTGCTGAGTTTCTTGAGGACCGCCGTCAGCAGCAACAGACCGAAAAGAAGCTTCTACAATAACCCATACTCGCATCCCAAGCCCCCATATACCCAAATAACATATCCTCTTACAGGCCAAAACATTCCTTACACACAGTCGCTTTCAATGTATGCGCAGCTCTGTTTCTGTCACTCTCGATATGGCTGCGAACCTTCGTTTGTTTACGTTGCGCCCCAAAACGGAAATGATATTGAAAGCCTACCTACTGCGAACCCTCTTATATCATCTCCAAACACAATCTTTGTTACTACTATCATCGTTCAATGGTGTCGCCAGTTAAGGATATAGCTGCACGCTATTTGAATGCCCTCGAGGACCCTACTCCCACGAGACTACCGCTCAAACCATCTTTGAAACACAATGCCAATACGCTTTCACCGCTAAAGAAACACAACTCTCCGGACCTCGATGACTTGGCCCGTCAAATGAACATTGACACCACACCAAAACCTACCATTTTGAAGTCGAGACTTGAAACCCCATCGGCCACGGTTTCCTCGTTCCATACTACTCCACGTTCAGGCTCCCGTTCACTTCGTTCCCTGACTGAGGGAACAACTCCTAAGGGCTCACCCACCAAAAGCTCGTTGAAAAAGACCAAGGGATATGAGTATCTCTGCCGCATCCAGGCCATCAAGAACTGGTTAGAATGCGTCATTGATGAACCAATTACCCAATCTCCAGTGGATCTCATGACATACATCCAGAACGGTATTCACTTGGCTAAACTAGCAAATGTTTTTCTTCCCCTGAAAAAAGCAGTCTACTCCAAAGATAGCCGACTTGAGTTCAGACACACTGAAAATATCAACAGGTTCTTCAAGCTCCTTGAGTACTTGGAGATTCCTGACCTCTTTCGGTTCGAACTCACAGACCTTTACGATGCCAAGGATGTGCCCAAGGTCTGGTTCTGTCTCCATGCAATGAGCTACAAAATAAATACCCTTGACCTGCTGTACCCTCAGATGCAAACACTCGTTGACCGCCTCGATTTCCCCGAAGGAGATATCAGAACTGCTAATAGGGCACTTGTCGGTCGCAACTTGCCCAACTTTGCATCAGCAGACACTGATAACCCGGAATCGCCAGGAAAGAGCTCTTATATGAACAAAACATTGACTTTCAACTCGCCTTCGAAGTCTCCTATACGCCGTTCTTCGATTGCTGAAGAAGACAACCCGTTCAGAGACACACCAAAGCTCAAGCCTGCGCTGCCCTCAAAGTTTTCCAAGGCAATCGAGTCTGCCGAAACGGCTCCTAGCATACCCAAAAGGCCAGTTGATGCGAGGTTGATTGATAAGTCTAGCAGATACTACACGCCTGAACTTGAAAACCACGTCAAAAACATTATCAAGCTTCAGGCTCTTTCTCAGGGTGCTTTGTTCAGGTACAACATGTTTGTGGACAAGATCATGCTCAAATCATTTGACAGCGAGTTGACCAATTTCAATTCCATAATAAGAGGAGTGCTCTCTAGAAACAAAACCATCCATCGCCACAGAGACGAGTTGTTGTACTACAAGAGAGACATCATCAAGCTTCAGGCTGCTGCAAGAACAAAGCTTCTTAAAGTTGCATCCGGAATAACATTCGATTCCGACCTGGAGCTGCAGGTCAAGGATCTCCAAAGCATTGTCCGTCGCTATCTTGTATCCCAAAGAGTTCAGCACATTCGGAGCGAGCTTTCGAAGAATGAATCTTTAATTGAAGAACTACAGAGCATTACAAGGAAGAATGTTGTGTACTTCCGTGCATCTACGATGTGTGAAAACAGAGATCTTGTGGAGGATGATATAATCGAGCTCCAATCTGCAGCCCGTACCAAGATCTACCACAGAAACAACAACAGGGATGTGATTGCTAAGCTGCTCAACATTGATCATTTGATTGAGTTGCAATCTTTGATCAGAGCAGGTCTTGTTCGTAATGTGATCAGATATCAGCTCAGGGGAATGGCTCGGGAGAGAGGTGCTATCAGAGAGCTCCAGTGTATTGCCAAGGGTGCTATCACAAGAACCAGACTTTGCAACAATGTTCTCATCACCTTGATCGGAGAAGACATCAACATCAACACCTTGTTTGCTAAGGTCAGAGGTAACGCACTTCGCCGTAAGGTTCAGTACAAGAAGGATGTGCTCACGTTAGTGGAGGACTCACAAATTGTACCTCTTCAATCCGCTTTCAGGGGTATTTTGTTGAGATTCCAGCGTGACTTGGACTTGGATGAAGTCTATGATAACATTGACAACGTCTTAGGCTTGCAGTCAGCATGTCGTGGCTTTGTTGTACGGAAGGATATTGAGAGCATGAGAAAGCACTACATTTCCAACGCTGACTCTGTTGTCAAGGCACAGGCTATTTTGCGCAGCAAGTATACCCAGAAGGCCTACAGGGCTCTCATCAATTTGAAGACACCACCCGTGTCCGTTGTTCGCCGCTTCGCTTATCTCCTTTCTGATAACGAGGTGGACTTCCAAGAAGAGATGGAGTTGACGGAGTTCAAAGACCAAATATTAGAGAAATCACGTTCCAATGAGGAGTTGGAACTGCAGATCGAGAATCTCGAGATCAAATTGGGTCTCCTAGACAAGAACAAGATTACTTTAGAAGATTTCATGAAGGGTGGAAACAAGTACAAAGCATTCGAGCCACTGGCCAAGAAGGTGGCCAACATGAAGTGTTTGGAGAAGCTCAACAAGAACTCCAGAAGAAGAATCGAGCTTTATCAGTCTATGCTTTATCTTTTGCAGACAAAACCAGCATACTGGACTAGACTTTTCGAAGGGCTTGATGCTAGTGAGAGAAACAGACTCACAAAAAGCCTTCACTTCCACATCTCGCTGTTATTCCCATTGACTCACTGTGGTGCCCACTCCCATACTAGAGAGGAGTACTTCTTCATGAAGTTCATCTTCGATCTCATGCAAAATGATTTCAACTCAAGATGTGGAAACATCGCGGACATCACCAAGCCCAAGATGGTTTTCTGGATTGACTACCTTAACGAGCTCAACAATAGCATCCAACAAAGATCTCACTTGAAACACATGTTTGGTGGCATAATGCAAAAAGTGATCATGGATGATGAGCTCACATTCGAATCGGACCCCTCGAAAATCTACATTCAGGTAATGGAAAGAGAAATTAGAGTTCATGGCTCTAGTGACAAGAAGAGGGACATACTTCCCCAAGCAGCGATTCGTGATGAAACCGTATCATCTGTGTTTGTTGACAACTTGCTCAGTCTCAGGGAGTTCACTACGGACACTATTGACACCATCAGGACCTCCATCAGACAAATTCCGCTCCACGTCAGACTTTTGGCAAAACATGCGTACGACCTTTCGCATGAACACTTCCCTGACCAGAATGACCAGCTGCATCTTGCTGTTGCGGGAGTTACTCTCGTGAAGCACTACATTTCAAGCATTTTCCTGTTCCCCGAGAACTATGGCTACTCTACAAAACTTCCATACTCGAAGCAAAACTCCAATGTTGCAGACAATTTGAAGAGCTTGAGTAGGGTGCTTCTCCAAACATTCTCCATGAGACCCTTCAGTGACAACTTCTTGAAGCCTATGAACGAATACGTCATGTCGCAGGCCGACACCGTTAGAGCGATCATTAGAGAAGTCATCAATGTGAAGGGCTTGGAATCGGAATACGAGATGAACGAGTACGATGATATTGTTGCCGTGGACCGCCCAACTTTGACTATGAAGGTGAGCGACATCATCTCAATGGAGAAGCTTGTGGCCAAGAACCTCGAATTTTCGGCTCCCAGTGTTGACGACCAGCTCTGTGCAATTATTTCAGAACTCGACGATGTTGTGAACTCTGCTGACGACTACGTGACATTGACTGAGTTGGGCTCTGTTACGCTTAGTTTACTTCCTATCACTAAGGAGGATAGCGTCGCAGATGCAAAAAGCCGTATTCTCTTTGCTCAAGCAAAGAGGTGCCTTCTTTACATTTTGAGAGTGCAAGAGGGTAATGACCTTCTTGAGTTGTTGATTCAAGGAATCAAGCCAGAACATGCTGAAAAATTCAAGGCAATTGTTGAGCAGGAGAAGGAGGAATCCACGAAACCAAAATCGATGATTAAAAGCGGACCATACCAGAAGTCTGCTGCGAAAGAGATCTCGCAGATGTCTTACATCGAATTGAAGAAATTGGCACTCAAGGTGATTTTACAGTTGGAGTCAATGGGTTTCGTGACGAGGAAGAATTCCTTCCAAGAACTCCTCAACCAGCTTGTGCTTGATATCAAGACAAAGGATAAGCAAAGGGTTGCTAGAAAGTCTCAGTTGCAGATTGCTAGCATGACGGTCAACAAGCTCACCGAGAAAGAGAAGTTCTTGTCTCGTCAGCTCAACGATTACAACAGGCATATCGAGACGATCCTTCTGGAGTTGCAACTCAAACCAAAGGAGAAGAAGATCTTCAACATTATTCCCGTCTTCAGCAAGCAATATTTTTACCAAAGAGAGCTTAAGAAGAGCAACCGTCTCCCGAAGTTTGGCTCCTATAAGTATTCTGCAAAGAAGCTCATCGATCTGAAGACTGTGGAAGACTGTGGTGGCGCTCTTCAAAGAGCGAATGCATCTTCTTCGAAGCTTGATTTCATGTTCAGTTGTCACAAGGTGGGAACCTTTGTGATTGAGGCTGGAAATGGCACTGTGATGATTCCAGGAGCCTCTAACACTGTTACGCTTGACGAGGTCTTGGAAAAACAATACGAGCAGAAGAAGCAATGGGTGATGTTTGACGGAATGGTGACCTTCAACACCGACAGCCTTGCAGCTCTTCTTTTCAAAAAGTTTTATGACTTAAAAAGGGATTAATTAGTACAGATAACTAGACTCTAATGAATATAAGGAACACACTATTTCTGCAAAAGAGAATCGATCTTTTGCTCCAACAGCTCGATTCTCGTGTTCTTCTCGGCGTTGGCCTCGGTCAACTTACCGATCTGACCCTCTAACGTTTCCACAAGCTTTGCAAGTTTGTCAACAGTCGATCTCAAGGTAGGCGCACCAGCAGCCTTCTCATCTTTCTTGGAGTCATCCTTCTTAGGCTCTTCCTTCTTCACCTCCTTCTTTGGCTCCTCTTTCTTTGGTTCTTCCTTCTTGGGCTCCACCTTTGGCTCTTCAACCTTTGGCTCCTCATTTTTAGGTTCCTCGACCTTCTTTGGCTCCTCCTTCTTTGGCTCCTCCTTGGACACCTCTTTGCTCTTAGGCTTCAACTTAGAGATGTAGTCTTCCTTCTTAGCCAGCTCAGGGGTAGATTCCTTCAAGGACTCAGGCTTCTTGACCTCCTCCCAGTCTTCATCTTTGCCTTCGTCTTGTTTGAGCTGTCTGGAGTCTTCATCATCCGACTCGTCGGTCACCTTCGTGAGGAGGTTGTCAACTTCGCTAGAAGACTTCAAGACATCGTCAACGTTCTCCTTGGGGCTCTCCTCCTTGGCAGGTTCTGGAGTGGACTTGGGGGTCTCCTTCTTTGGCTCCTCCTTCTTTGGACTCTCCCGCTTCTTGGAAGCAGCCTCTTTCTGGGCCTGGACCTCCTTCTTCACCTCAGAGATGTTGACAGCAGGCTTAGAATCGGTAATTTCGCCCAGCTTACCCTCGTAGATGGACTCCATCTTGACCAACAATGGACCGTTGACCTCCTTACCCGAGAACCAATCAGAAGACGACAAAGCAGGCTTGTTGGAAGGAGCATCAGGGTAGATGTCCTCCTGGAAGTTGTCGGATTTTCTAGGAACGATGAACGACACAGGTTCGACGCTCAGGTCGTTGACGGTCTTGAAAGACTTCAAGATCTCATTATCTTTAACATTACAAGCGGTCTTTGGAGCCCAAGCGAAACCTCTCTGGGCATCGGTGGATGGGAACTGCGACAACTCATAGAGCTCATCGTTGTCGTACTCGTAGTAGCGAATGTTACCATCACCCTTACCGGCGATGTAGAAAATGTTGTTTGACTCATCGAAGACTGGGATCAAGACACCAGAAGAAGCGTCAATGACAATAAAGCCACCAATAGGACCAGCCTCGATGTTGTCCACGTCCCAAACACCAACCTGTCTGTCGGACATACGCGAGAAACCAGTGGTGATAACTCTGTTGGTGTTACCGGCCCAAACCACTCTGGATGGTTTAGCACCAGTGTGACCAGGACCTTCAGAAATGACCTTCTCGGCTCTGACGTCCCAGATTCTCAACTTCTTGTCTCTGGAGGTGGTGGCCAAAAGAGATCCGTTGTAGTTGAAGGCGAAGGAAGTGACCAAATCCTTGTGGGGCAAGGTGAGCTTGGCTTCACCAGACTCCAAGTCCCAAATCTTGACGGTGTAGTCCAAGGAGCAGGAGGCAATGACGTTCTCAGCACAAGGGTGGAAGGCTACGTGGCCTACTTTACGCTTATGGCCAGAAAGGACCTTGGTGGGTTCCACAATGTCCTTGGGGTTGTCGTTTTCGTCCACGTAGTGGTGGAAAGAGAAGTCCTCTGGGATGTCCCACAACAAAATGTTACCATCGTCGGAGCAACTGATCACCTGCTGCTCATTGAATGGGTTGAAGGCGGTATCCAACACTGGACCTTTGTGACCACGGAACAACGGCACCGTGTCGGGAGCCTTACCTGGTTCGGACAAAGGAATGATGGCAAAAGCGCCACCGCCAGACGCGTCCCAGTTACAGGCCAAGTATTTGCCATTGGTGGTGATGATGTTGGAGTCCCATGCGTTCTTGGTGATTTTCAAGTTTTCATAACACAACTCTTTCTTGGACGCCTGGCCAAACACGTGCCTGTACTTGGAGGCTCTGACGAATTTGCCGCTGGTTGTTAGCTGGTGCTGGTTCGGAATTTTCCGAATACATACCTCATGTTGACTGTTCAGATGGAGCGAATCGGCGTTGCAACTGGATATGTGTCTACTGTGTGGTGTGCACAGTGGACGAGTAGTTGCTAAGCTGCTGTTGACCGGAAACGCCATAGAGGAGGGTGAAGAGTGATAGAGAATGGATTTTGCAGAATAACTTGAAGTCCGGAAAAAAATCATCCTGATTGGTTGAATTTCTCATAACGGCTACACCGGGTTTCTGGAAAGTGTGGATGCTTCTAATGCAGCCGCCCAGGTATTTCGCAGCCATTTCCTGAGGCATAAAGCGGCCTCGGACCAGTAGATATTGACATAGTGTTGAAAGAGTCCAAGAAAAAGGAACACTAGAGCCAATGAAAGTTCGTTAAAGAGAAAAGCCGATTTTAGGTCCTTAAAGGATCATCTTCGACCACCTCGTGACAGTTGTTCACTTGCATAGCGGTGATTCCATCAATGGCGGCTGTTGTCTGTTGATCCTAATGCGGAAAATTCCCTCACACTCACCCCTGACAGGAATCTAGTCGATTTTTCAAACTCTTAATTGACCATGATCACTTCCCCTTTTACCCTTTCCAAGCCTACTTCTTCCTGAGTGCTACGCTTTGTCGTATATACATAGATTATCACATCTAGCATTCCAATGCGTGGCTTCAGCTATGCACTTTGTGGCTGCAGCTCTGTGTTTTGTGCTTCTCGTGATGAGTTGCAGCCATTCAATCCAGCGTCATGTTCAACACATCGCTACTCCCTGCCAAAATTTCCTCTTGCTTCCGATCCACAAGCTCTCGAGCACCACTAATCTCCGCTAGACTCGTACTTCCCAAATGCTGTTTCACAGCAAGCCGGACTTCCTGAGACCATTGATGTCGCAGCTCTTCCTCACTGAGAGATTTCCACTCGCTGAACATCCCATATAGTCGATTCAAGTCCACGCTTTGCACATCGTCCACACGCCCTAGCAAATAGTCCAATTGCTCTTGTCCTGGCGCATCCGTGCCTTGGGGCCACTGATTTGGCGGTAGATGTGTCGCTACAATGGCAGGAAATGACGAACCCTCACCGGGTTTGGGACCAAGTTTGGCAAGATACCACTCGGTAGCCTTGAGCCGCGAGCTGATACGCTGATCTCGCTTCTTTCTGCGTAGCTTATTCTTCTCTTTCACATCAAGCTTGCGATTGTAGGCTCTAGATACCTGTTGTCGACGAGCCTCCAGTTCAGACACATCCCGTTTTTCACCTCTTCTCACCACATTGGCACGAAGTCGTAGGACCTCCTCTTCCGGGTGCTCAGAGTCGCCTTTTCGGGAATCCATATGACGCCCTAGGGTCGACTTGGATCCAAACAGCTTCTTGCAAAACAGACAAAAAACATTTGGAGTCATTTCATGATAAGGCGTGTTTATAGAATGCGCGGAAAGTTGCTAGGGAGATAAGCCTGCTGGACGAGGCCGGCTAAATATGCATTCTTTGCACAATGTTCCGCAAGTCGGACACATAAGTGTTGTTGATGCTGTCTTCGTTTCCAGACACCACCCTCAAGATAAGCTCGTTCAAATTTGCCGAACCCAAAATATCAACATGTTCGGCAGTCTTGGCGCCACCTCTGATATCGAACCGATCTGGCTCGTGCTTGATCTCTACGATTTTGGTCTCAATACCGGCTGGGTTGTAGATGGACTTTGGCTTTTGCCACTCGTGGCAAATGTAGTGCGTCAAAAGAGACACAGTTCCATCACCATCAGCAAGGAATACAGGGTCTTCACTTTCAAGATCGATCACCAATGGCAAACCGCTCTCCTTGTCACCATCTGTGTAGGTGTAGGCTCTCTCTGTTGGGTTGCCCACGCCGTAGAAGCAGAAAATCTTCATATCTGGGGCATAAGGCAATGCAACCTCGAGAGGGTTTGACCATTTCAGGTGGTCTTGGTCGTTCTTTAGGAGTTCCTTGGACGTTTTAGCAATGCCAAACGAGTACTGCTCCTTGACACGGTCAGAGAACCATTTGGGCGAATTATCTAAGACGTAGTCAATGCTTGAAGAGACAGTAAAATTCAGATTCTCCTGTGGAAGCATTCCATCGGTGTTCGGCTCCAAGTTTTTTGCTCTGTACCTGACAAAGGCGCCCAAAGACTCATTCTTTTTACGCGGAATGTCGACGTCCTCGTTCTCCTTGGAAAGCATGTTTGGAGGATCATCAGGAGCGTACGTAAGATTGCCCCAAATAGTATCACCACCTCTAGGCAACATGGAAGGCACACCGCCAAAGGTGCGGAGCATGTCGACTCTTTCTTTTCTCGAGAAGAACTTTTCCAAACCGTAGACAGCCAATTGATTCAATTGAACAGTGTCTTTCATCTCGCCTGAGATCAATGCCGGAATACTCTTGGGAGTTCCGAGAAGCGAACCGCTGATGTCGATCACACCGGCGAGGTGGTCGTTACACCACTTCTTGCCGCCGTTTCCGTAGTGCTCACCACTGGCTTCGACCCATTTCATGAAATAGAGGATCACTTGCGATCCCATCGAATGACCAACGAGGTAGGTCTTTTCGCCAGACAACTTTTTGACGGTCTCAATCTGCTGCTTCAACTTTGAAAAGTACCCGTCTCTTTTTTCCAAATCCAAGTAGGCAAGTCTCCAGTCGTACGATGCACTCAACATGTTGTTGGGGTTATATCCAATCACAGATAAGTTCTGCAAGATTTTGTTCCAAATCCAATAGCCCGCCACAAAGAAGTCTGCTGCCTCAAAACCTTGGGCCGCTCGGAGCTTGATACCGGGCGGATCGAGGCCTGTTTCAGGATCAAGCAGAATGTGTTTGAGCCAGCAGGCCTTGTCTAAGACCATGGTACGCAACATATAGAAGGAGCCCCAAAGTCGTTTTCTAAAATGGTTGATGGAAGGGCAATCGCCGGTATCCGACGTACCCCAAGACTCAATGCCTGTGGAGATGACACCGGGGACCAAAACCACATTGTGTTTGGCGGTCATATTGTGTTGCCGCTTCATCCGTCTACCAACAGAGAAGGACTCTGCGGAACCATGGAGCTCGCTGTTATCGGATCTATTTTGATCAAGCAACAGGAAGAGTCCCAGAGGAAGCGAATCCTTCCACTCGTCCAAAAACCCCTCAAACTTGGTCGGAAGCACGTCCTTCCAGTCGTCAAGAAACCCATTGACCGAGTCGAACTTGACCAACTTATCAAGCTCATTCTTGAAATCGTCTGAGTTGTACGCCATGGCAAAGATGGCCGCTGCAAGACCCAAAAGAGCGCCAAGAACGAAAGTGGCTCTTCTGGTCTGGTACAATTTTCTTTCAAGCTGGTGCTTGGACTTTGCGTTTTTATGACGAGAGTGGTGGGAGTGATCCTCAGAAGACTCCTTGGGCTCCTCCTCGGATTCATTTATTTTCAGTTCATTGTCGTCGTTGTCCATCAAAGTCTCAATTAGCTGTTTTGCAGTGTTTTGCACCTGCTTTCTTTTAGGCATGGGAAAAAGGTAAATATGGCACTAAACCAGATGCCGCACTGCGATATTTTGTTGATAGAGCTGCGCAGCAGCAAGCGATTGTAGATCCTGCGTCTGGCGAGATGGTCGGCCTAGAGGTATAGCTTGCGAGGCATTGATTGGTTACATACATACCGGGCAGATGGATGGAGGCTAGAGGGCGTCCATAGTGAAATCGTACTCGATGCCTGGTGTGACGCCGGCGATGAACTTCAAGAAGATCACCAAGTACCAATCCACACGGAGCTCGTCGTCCTCGTTCTCGGGCGCATTCTGGAGCTCCAACTTCTCAAAGTCCTCTTCTAGCAGCTCTTTCTGCGCCTTGTTGCGGGCGTGGTTCATGAACACCTTCATGACCGACGCGTGCTTGCACGGGTGAATCGACACTGATGTGGTGTTGCTCGACATGGGCAAGTTCTCTATCGTGGCGGTCTTGTCCTTGTAGTCGCCCAGAATGTCCTCGTACATCTGCTTGGGCAAAAGCGGGATGCCGTTGGCGTTGAAGCCAACAAGGTACAACTTGGGCACGCGGTACAGCGTGGAGTAGGAGATGTACAAGTCGTACTTCCTGAGGGTCAGCTCGTTGGACTCAATGTGGGTGTATCCGTCTGCATCGTCGTCGCCAACGCTGTCTTCTACGTTTTCGTCTATCAACTCGTCAAGGTCGTTCTGGCAGTCCTGCTGCTGCTGTTGCTGTTTCATAGCGTTCACCGGAGCCGAGTTGACCCGAGGCACCCATTCGGCGTCACTATCGTGGTCCTCCTCGTCCTCCTGGGGCTCAGGCACGTAGGAAGCGACACGCTGGTACGACGGCACGTGGCGGGTGACCAAAAACTGTTTTTCTGGAGGCAAAAACTTGCGTTGCAAGTTCTTGGGACAGGTACCCCATGTCCATGTGGGAAACTTGTACACCAAATAGTCGCCTGCCTTGACGAACTCCTCCGGGAGATTTCGCCGGTGGAGCGGAAGTTGGAGTCGTTGTTGATCGGAGTCAAGTACTCTCTGAGGGAGGAGAGCTTGGATCTGATGCTCATTGTGGCGGTGGTGGGAGGAGATTAGATAAGGTGAGGCGTGATGATGGAGGGTGCAGTGCGCAGGTCGGGGTGCAAAATGGTGTCTCACTGAGCAATGGCCACAATGGACCCTGGAGCGTGAGCCGTGTATTCCGTGAATAAAACGTGTTTTGGTTGACGGGAGAGAATAAAGACGTTAGCGTGTTTGGTGAAGCAATTTGGAAAAGGAGCGGGAGGAGGGCTTGTTGGAGGGAAGGTTGGTGGCGGTGAAGGCACTGATTACTTTTGCACCCATTGCTCCAAAGAGGGCAACCTGTTTGCAATAACCTTGCAACCCTTTTCGGTCTTTTTCAGAACTTTTCGGGAAACCATGCACCAAGGGCCTGCAGCAATTGCTCCGGCCAGATCGATCTGGTACCGAGCCACGCTGAATCAAGGGTGCCATTGTGGGGCAAGCGAGACACGTCGTAGGGTAAACAGCACGGATGAGGCAGCGAAACAAACAGAATTTGGATTCTATTTTGGCGCGGGCATAAACATATGCCGCGGCGGAAAGGCAGCACGAAAAAGCGAGACAAACCAACGAACGACGTAAACATGCAGTGGCCTATTGTCCAGAGGGACGGAGGGATTTCTAAAGTGTGGATTGCAATTGCAATGGTTGCTTTCTGTTAAACGTGGTTTGCCGATTGGGCCGCTTTTCCGTGGTGTTTACCAGCCTGTGTTAGGAAGCTTATTTGGGAGCTGGAGGTGTATTTAGATCTTGCCTGGTGCGGACGGTGCGGTCTTTTTTGGGTGGTCTGCTTGGCTTTCGCAGCCACGCCGCAGCACACAACACGGTGCAAAAGAAAGCCTTCCCGTGGGCCAATTCGTTCGGAAAAAAAATCTCGCCCAAAATCGAGGCCGCTGATTGCAACCATGTAATTTTTATCTCGTTCCAACCACGTAAACCTCGTCTTTGGCCACCCCCTGCACGCTGCGTGCACACCAAAACAAACAGACACGCCTGGCAGTAGGCGCCCGCGCAGAATCTGCTTTTAAACGGCTCGCTTGTTTTCGTCTCGCTCGCATCGGGGCATCAAATGAGTCGGGCCACGGCCTCGCTTCTCGTGTCCAAACATGCACGTAGGCGTATAGCCAAACGTCACGAACTTAGCTGAGACACACTCTGTTTTTGTTTTCCGCCTGCTTTTAAAAACTCCTCCACAACCGCTTTCTTGTTCGTTGTTTGATTTTCTTCCTTCCCGTTCATTCCCAGTCAGCCTTTTCTTTGAACATGCTGAACAGAGTGGCGTTGGCCTCCATAAATACAAACGTCGACACTCCACGGTCACGGTGTCGGCTGCCCAAGCTGAACGGTGGTTCGCTTCCCTTGACGCCTTCGACAACCCCAAAGTTGGCGCTTGCAAAAACAACATCGTCTTTGGTTCCCCTGGCGTGCCTGGCGCCTCCAGCTCGGAAGACCGAAAGCTTCTCCCACTACAGACTCGCCCATGGCAAGAACGTCAAGGCCGACTTGGCCGCCACCAAATTGAAGCTCCGCTTGCAATTGGCGTTCTACAAGTTGAAGGCTCAAAAGGACTCCCTGGTGGCTCGCCAGGGCCCGGAGATCACCGTGTCTCCTACCATAAACGAGAAGGAGGAGCCCAGAACGTTCAAGTCCGCCGCAAACGTGAATCTACAAAAGCCACGCAGCAGCTCGGGGCCCTCCTTGAACTCCGTCGCCAGCAAGGTCTCGAAAAAAAAGAAAGCCTTGCGCTTGTACCACATCAAGCCGCTGCTGTCGTTCCACAACGCGTATCCACAGCTGCTTCCACTCACAGGCTCCTCTGGCCAGCGGCTTCCTCCGGTCCACAAGATCTTGAAGACGCCCATCAAAACCACCACCCGCAACTTGGTGCTGTTGTACGGCCACGGCGGCTCTCTCTCGAACTTTCAGATCGCCAAAAACGACAATAGCGACGAGACCATCGACGACGCTGCCGACGAAACATCCACCGACGTTCGCAAAAAGGACATGTTGGGCTCCTCCCCTACTCGCTTCGGCACCTTCAGCACGCCTAACAGCTTTTCCGTTGCCAAATCCTTGTTGCAGCTTGGCCTGGGCTACTACTGATCTTCACGCTTATTATTCGCGGAGCCACACCCAACGAAAAAATTTATTGCCCTGGGGCCACAAAAAGTTTTTAATTGGTTTCTGCCACCCCCTGGCCGAGGGCCTGTTTGTACAATTACATAGACGAACATAATGACCAGCATCAATGTGGTGGTGTAGGGCCGCATTCGCAGCCACACCTGCGACCGATATATAAGAGGCAGTATAACTAACCATTGCTCCACCATTCCATACTCTTTTCAACATGTCTCTTTCCGGTAAAACTTTTAAACTCGCTGATGGCAATTCCATCCCCGCTATCGCCTACGGCGTCGGTACCAAGTGGTACAAGCACGGCAGAAACGAAATCGACGAAAAGGTTGTTGAGGCCTTGCAGACAGCCATCAAAAGGGGCTTTGTTCACATTGATGGAGCTGAGGTATACAATACAGATAAAGAAGTCGGCTTAGCTGTCGAGGGCCACAGAAACAACTTGTTTCTCACCGATAAGTTTTTTGTTGGTGACTCTAGCCATGCTGACAAATCGCAGTATGGTACCCCTTACGAGTCGCTCAAGTACCACTTGGAGAAGGAATTGAAGACCGACCATGTCGACTTGTACTTGCTTCACAGCCCTTTTGTCAAGAAAGAGTACCACGGTTTCAGCTTGGCAGAAGCATGGCAATCGGTCGAGAAGCTTAAGGACGAGGGCTTGGCCAAGTCTATTGGTGTCTCCAACTTTGCCGTCGAGGATCTCGAGGAAATCTTGAAGGTGGCCAAGCACAAGCCTGTGGTGAACCAGATTGAGTTTAATGCCTACTTGCAGAACCAGACTCCAGGCATTGTTGAGTTTGCCCAGAAGCACGACATCTTGATCGAGGCCTACAGCCCTTGGGACCAATCACCAAGGGTGAGCCTGGTGAGTTCACTGAATTGTTGGATACTTTGGGCAAGAAGTATAACAAGACTCCTGGCCAGGTTTTGTTGAGATGGGTGCTCGAGAAGAACATCTTGCCTGTAACCACTTCTTCGAACCCAGACAGAATCCGTCTGTTTGTGGAGATCTTCGACTTCAGCTTGAACAAGGAGGAGGTCCTCAAGCTCACTGAGATTGGCGCCAAGCACAAGACCTTGAGACAGTACTGGAAGAAGGAGTACGGCAAGTACGACTAGACGTCTTCACTAGATACGCGGTCCACGAGATTGCAAATAGAACGAATATGATTGTTGAAATCGCTGTAGTCTGAAGCCACTTCGCCAAAGGAAACGATCTCCTCGAGCTGATCTATGCTTGTTCCGGTGGGTAGCTCATTGGCAACGATCATGCGGTAGATTATGTCCTCAATGTCGGCTTCTCGTTTGCCGTCGAGGAGCAATTCGTAGATTCGGTCAAGACGAATCAGCGAGAAGTAATGCGGTAGTTTGGAGATGTTGACATCAAGGAAGTTCTCCAAAAGCCGTGTAGAGTACTTGGAGCAGACAAAGTGGAATAAGCCATCAATTTGAGACACCGAGCCAACAAAAGCCCGAAACAAGCCAGGACTCACCAATGGCTGCTTTATGTAGGCCTCCTTGTACTGGTCTATGGCTTCGCCGTAGCTTTTGTGGAAAATGTCCTCTTCCAATAAGTATTGTTTAACGTTTTTCTTTCGGAAGTCGGCTCCACTCATAAGGTAGAGGAGCAAGATCTTGAGTTGTAGATCCTCCACCACAGGATGATTGAAGTCGCTAACGAGAGTCAACGAATTGAGCTTCTTGTTCACCAAGTCCATCGACTTGAGCTCCCTATCCGAGCCATAGAAGTACTGGTAGTCAGTGAGCAAATCTAGGTACTTGACCCTCACGTATGGGTCCTCTACACCTGTCTTGCCACTAAGCGACACAAGCGTTTTGAGTCTCAGCTCAATGTACTCCAAGTTTGGATGATCCGTGCCGTAGAATAGCAAGATTTCAATTTCGTAGATTGTCAAGACAGATGTGATCTCAAACGGGCCTTGTCGACTCTGAAGCACCAGAATGTACTTGGAAAGATCGGAAGATGGAAATGGTATAAGGCGACACAATTTTCTGGATGCAATAAGGAGACCTGCTGAGCCTGCCAGAGAGATTTCCTGCGTCACTTTCGCCAATTCCTCATCAGACATGGTTGTTAAAGTAGTTGATATGCGATGTACTGTATGCCTATAGAGCGATAAGATAGATCAAGAATGATGGGGACGTGCAAAAGGGATGAGCTGGATAGATTATACTCATTTTAGTTTTTACTCATTTTGGTTTAAACGGGAAAAGAGAAGGAACGTAAAAATGTGAAGGTCAAGGGGGTGATAACAAAGTTCAGATGTAGCATTGTAGGTCGAACCCACTCAACACCGTCTTTCCGATACCTGAAAACGAGAGTAATTGTGAACAAAGACGTATCAATATTTATCAATCTCTAAACATCGTCATAACTATAATTCTGGATAACATCATGGCCTCACCAATTTCACTTAGTATGGTGTTGCATCGTCGTTATGCTCGTTTACAACAGTACCAGATAAGCTGGGTAGCCCCTAATCTACGACCATGAAAAGCCTTCAGGGACTGTAAACTATCGGTTTTTAAATAAGGAAGCACTTATGAAGCCGATTTTCCCGTCCTACAGTCCCCGTATAATGGCTGCAAAATCTTCACCTCTACAAACATTCTCCACTGCCCGTCAGCAAGCCGAAATTCCGTCGAAATACAGCCGAACATCAAGAATTCAAAAGATTTCTTTCTAAGCCTGCCGTTTTTTCTGCATAATTGTTGTGAAGGCCTTCTTTCTGCTTATACGATTCGGTGCGATGGAATTTCATGCATTCTGCTCGTATAACCTCAGTCGTATTTCTCACTATATATCTAACACCATCCACTCTTTTCCATATCAATGAACATCTGGCTCAAATTTACCGCCATCGTGGTCGTATTCTTTGCGGTTCTCGAGGCCTCTTTCCAAACATGGCTTCCTAACCACTATGTCTTCGACAAGCAGGTTCTTCAAGATCTCGTTCAAGAAACCTTGAAAGCCAACCCAGGTGCTGATGCCCTCCAGATCATGACCGCCTTGACTCCAAAGCTTCAACAGGCTTACCCAGGCCTTATTAATGACCTCAACTTCGAGGACTGGGTTTTCAACAACGCTGGTGGAGCCATGGGTAACATGATCATCTTGCACGCGTCCATTTCCGAATACCTCATCTTCTTCGGTACTGCTATTGGTACCGAGGGTCACACTGGTGTTCACTATGCTGATGACTACTTCACCATCTTGTACGGTAAGGAGCTTGCCGCTAACCCGTTCTCCTTGGAACCAGAGGTGTACAATCCAGGTGACCAACATCACTTAGAGAGAGGTCACGTCAAACAGTACCTGATGCCACCTGGCTCTTACGCTCTTGAGCTTGCGCAGGGCTGGATTCCGGCCATGTTGCCATTTGGATTCGTGTCTGTGCTCTCGTCGACACTCGACTTCCACTCTTTCATGAGAACTGCCTGGTTCACTGGCTACGATATGGTCAAGAACTTGGTCAGGGGTAAGTTCTAGATGCCTCACCTGTCCATATCTATAGAATACAATGTTCCATGCTGGGATCATAACGAACTGTAGCGATCATATGGGCTTACTCAAATGCAAGTCGGTATACATAGGCCTTCGTTATCAGACTTTGGGACACAAATAAGCTTTCGTGACTCAAAAGTGTACTGGAGAATCACATCGTGGAGGCTGATCCTTGAGTATCGTTTGTAGATTCGGTGATCGAGAAACATCGAATTGACGAACAATAGAAGACCGTTAATCGAACAAAGTTGTACCAATCGAATAAAAATCCGGCGATCTATAACGCACTGAAGGCTTCTAGAATGCTGTTTTTGGTTTGTTGTTTGGATTCTCGAGGCAAGGCTTCCATGATCGTATTGTCCTTCACAAACTCTAACGGTAGACCAAGAAAAGCATGGAATCAACAAATTGACAATTGCAAAAAAAAAAAAAAAACGCCAGGCTTCAAGCAACAATTTACAACTCGGTCATCTGAATAACCTTCAAAAACACAAGCCTCAGTTTTGCGTAATCATCGGCGGCTGATTCGCCCGGCATCTTCTCAAGATATATCTGAGCACATACATGAACAGGGCTTCCCCACCATCAACCCTGTCAACCCGCCCAAGTGCCCCTCACCAAAATGCCTCAAAACAACGAAATCCTTGATTTTTGAAAACATCAAATTTTTTTGCATAATCCACCATCACAGTAAACCCACCAACACCGTCGACAACGTAAAATGGCCGCACCTTTCAAGGCGAAGATTCCCTATCTCTTATCTCTGTTTATGCCGTCGTGCGCAAAAGACGTCAGATGGACTTCAATGCGATTCAGAAATTCTAAGAAACCTGCCTCATCCCCCTCACGGTCACCGAAAAATATAAATACCCCCACGTGCCCCGGTTTCTTTCGCCATGGATGAACGTCAAGCTCTTTTGGATAGCCCAGAGCTAGCAGACGACGAGATCGTGGCCTATGTTCAGCAGAGACGTGCCTCCATCGCTCTGGTTGGCACAACCAAGATTCCCTCTGTGTTCCAGCTCACGCCGAAACGGTCAAGACAAAGCTTGGATTCCCATGCCTATGTTTCTCATCATGAACCGTTGAATGACCTTTTGCTGGTGCATCTGTCCACGATATTGGGGGAACCCCGGACCAGTATGTGGACGGAGACGAGAACACTTTTGAAGTACTCGGTGCCGCTAATCATCACCTTCTTGTTGCAGTACTCCTTGACGGTGGCCTCGGTGTTCTCGGTAGGCCGATTGGGTCCGACAGAATTGGCTGCTGTGTCTCTCTCGTCCATGACTGCCAATATCAGTGGATACGCTATCATCCAAGGTGTTTCCACGTGTCTAGACACATTGTGTGCTCAAGCACACGGTAGGAGAGACTTCAACACCGTGGGGTTGCACTTTGTGAGATGCACCTATTTGCTCATGTTGTGTTATGTGCCGATGTTGGTGCTCTGGATGTTCTTCTCCGAGCCGATCTTGCTTTTCTTGGTGGGAGAGGAGAAACGCCAATTGGTTACTCTAGCCAGCCGCTACCTCCAGATCTTATCATTGGGTTTACCGGGTTTCATCGTGTTCGAGAACCTCAAGCACTTTTTGCAATCGCAGGGCATTTTCCACGCCTCCACCTACGTTCTCTTATTCTGCGCTCCCATGAACGCGTTTTTGAACTACTTCCTCGTCTGGAACAAGCATGTGGGGCTCGGCTTTAAAGGAGCGCCTTTATCTGTTGTAATCACCAATTGGGTGATGTGTGGTGCACTCTGGTGCTACACAAAGTACATTGATGGCTACGAGTGCTTACCGAGGCAACGGCTTTTGCACAAGACGTATTTTTCCAATTGGCAGCGTATGATCAACTTGTCCGTGCCGGGGGTGTTGATGGTGGAAGCCGAGTGGCTCGCGTTTGAAATAATCACGTTCATTGCCTCAACATTTGGCACAGAGGTGTTGGCGGCGCAGTCTATTGTCTCCACGACGTGTGTGCTATTGTATCAAATCCCATTTGCATTGTCCATCACGGCGTCGACCCGAATCGCATGGTATATTGGCGCGGCCTCAAAGAAGGCTGCATTGGTTGCAACAAGGGCATCCATGTATACAGCCATGTGTTTTGGTGTGGTGAACGCCGCTGTTCTATTTAGTTTCCGAGATTTCTTTGCCTCGCTCTTCACGGACGACCCCATTGTGCTTGATATTGCATCAAAGGTGTTGATTGTCGGGGCGGTGTACCAGATCAACGACTTCCTCGCATGTACAACTGGGGCATTTTACGAGGCCAAGGCCGCCAGAAAATAGCTGGGTACTTGAATCTTGTGTCGTACTACGTCATAGCGTTGCCAACGGCGATCTTCTTTGCCTTTTATCTCGAGCTTGCGTTGATAGGCTTGTGGATGGGCATGATCATAGCGCTCTTTTTCGTGTCGCTTTCGCAGACGTACTTTGTCGTTGCCAGCGATTGGGACGCAATTATCACCGAGTGTATTGAAGAAGGTGTTGCCGAGGACGGGGTGCTCAACATCGAGGCAACGGCACTGGTGCCGGCTATGCTGTCGAATCACCTTGTGTAGAAAGGCGTCGTCAAGGTTTATAGATAAAAACAAAGGAGATCAAAGTAACAATGGTAGATTTCAAAAAACAGGCGTACTCAAAACAAGGCTTGGGCTAATTTCTGCGATCGTCAAGCGGTCGATACCACCCGCTTTCGGAAGGACCCTAACTTGATTGAATATTTTGCAAATAAACGGCCCGTTTAAAAACCCTTTTTCTTTCTCTACGCTTGGATCCGTTGCCTCGGCAGATCCAACGACGATGAAAGCTTAATTGTCTACATCACGCAACACTCGCGTACACCGTTTTGCAAATTCTCTTTTGGGTGCATTTGCCGAAGTCTGATGGGCCAATTTCCGAGCATCCGTTATCTAGAAGCAACGGGCACTGGAACTTGCCGAGGGGACTTTCCATGCTCTTCTCCGAGTAGCACGGTGACGATGGAGTGGAGGAAACAATCCGAATGGAAAATAATCAAACAAATAAAAAAACCGTTTCCACTCTGCAATACCTCGTTCCCCTCTGCACCTCTGCTGCAAGATTTCAACCACCCCCTCTGAAAAACTTAGTCCTGATTCCTCTAAAGCACGTACCGTTCACAGGCTTAGTCGCATTGCGCCTGGTAAACACACCAAAACTGGCAAAGATATGGGAGGCCCGCGGAAATGACCAAAAAGCCCCAGACAGCTGTAAAACGTAAAAAGAGCCGCCCATGCGAGGACTCCTATTTCGCCTCGGGTCTGCCAGGGGGAGCCTTGGCGCTGGACTAGTGGTCCTGAGCTGTGCCCAGCCGCCTTTGTGTGTCAGACGGTTATGAAAGAGGACCCTATGTTTTGCAGAGCGATGGAGCGGGTAGAATGGGGCATTCCGGGCGATTGCCAACGGCGAGAATTCTGTGTACAACGTTTTTTTTTTTTACTCGATTTTATTATTTTTTCATGCTTTGCGGCTTGGTCTCGCTGCCACTTGACGACGGTTTCGGCGGCTCGTCAACTAGGTAAGAGCCCATTCTCGTCGTGTACATGCCGCTGGAGATGGCCGGCTTCATGCGTGAATGTGCAGTAGAGGCGGTCACTGGCTTCAGAGGGCAATGGATGACTGATCCAATTGGAAACAGCGTTTAAACCGATCCGCAAACGAACCAGCACAAAAGGGCTGAGGCAGGTTGGAAATGAGCGACCAATGTAAGAAAAACTTGGATAAGTACCCATGCGTCGACGTGCATATCGACCATGCTCTCAATGCGCGGACGAGAGAGTTACCCTAAGGTTTCCCCTTTCTCTAAAGGAAGCAGTAGTGCACACAGGGAGGGTCCCGCAGCATGGCCGCAGCAGGCCCGCAGCATTCCCTATTCACAATACCCATTCTCGCTCTCGAGACGTCCCTAACGTTCCAGCCTCGTCACCACATACTGTCTCTTGGAACCGTGTGTATGTATGTGCGGGACTAAGTGCTCGGCGCCGCAGGGCCAGTCCCCATTTTCCTGTTATGCAAGTCCATCTAAGTTGCAGCTCACCCGTCTCGTGCCAAAGGCCTTAAATACCCTCCTCCCGCATCTCTTTTCACTTTTCTACTAACCCCACTGCATGGATGAAGCTCCACGGTTCCTTTGCCCAGGAGGGTACCATCATCAATCAGTACAAGTATCTGCACCGGCTCTACTCCACAGAAGTCCTGGTCCACAATGACTCCCTAGCCGAGTACCACGACGAGGTGGCCCTGGTGCTCCTAGCCTCGCTTCACAGAACACAGCCTAACTTTAAGCTTTACGAAAACCAGCCGTACATCACCGCCGTCGTGAGAAACAAGCTCATCGACTTCATTCTCCGCATGGCTGTGCGCCTCAAGATCGTGCCATTTGTGTTCTGCAAAGCCGTTCGTCTCTTTGACCGCTACTGTTCCAAACGCATCGTGCTTCTTGACCAGGCCCAGCTAGTCATCACCACGTGCTTGTGGATCGCTGCCAAAGTCCACGGCGGCAACAACCACTTTGCCAATCTCCAGAGCTCAAAGTGCTCGCTGATCAAAACCATCCTGAACTTGGGCTTTGGCCTGGGGGCTCGCTTTGCTGGTCCAACTGAGCGCTACAGAATGCCCAAGATCTCCGAGCTCGTCAAACTCTGTGGAGCTCGCTGCAACTACGATGCCAATATGTTCAAGCAGATGGAGTTGCACATCATGACTACCCTCGACTGGAACATGACTGACGCTTCCATCGACGACTTTTTAATTTCCCTGGAGGACCTCAGATCGTGCACGGACTACGAGCCTGCTGCTACGGAAGAGGCCACTACACTCAAGACGTTTGTGGCCTACGCTTCGTGCTTTCTGTACGACCTCATCAAGTACACCCCATTGGAAATGGCCAAGGCAACGGTGGACTTGCTCAACCACGCCTTCTCCCTTCGACCTTCGGACGGTTTCACTCTCAACAGCACAATGTTTGAGAATGCTCCCGAAATCTCTTGCACCCAGAGGAACAGACATGTCGAGCAGCTTCTCACACAGGCGGTGATGAACGCTCCAGCGTATCTTCTTCGTTGCTTCGATGTCGAGGGCCCCCGCCGCTTGTTCTCTCACCTCAACGGTTCGAGACTTGCCTTTGAAGAAGCCACCACCCCAACAAGCATCGCCACGCCGTCGCTTCCCGACATGTCTCTGTCCAACTACACTTATGCCACACCTACCAAGGTGCTACACGACTACCCATCTCCAATCATGGGCGTCCCCTACATTTCCAAAAATCCCATCAAAGGCTCTAAACTGCTGGTGACTGATTCGGCGCACATGAACAGCCACCACTACCCGCCTATCAAGAGCACAAAAATGAACGAATACCCACAACCGAGGCTCCAGGAGCTCCTTTACCGCAATAATAATAGCCTGGGTAGCATTGCGTCGAGCACCTCGTCGAAGGCCTCTGATATCTTCTACGACTCCACGAGATACGGCGTTTGCACACCAATAAGCATAGACGACGAAAAGCCCGTCAAAAAAAGAGCAAGTTAGCCCACACAGCATTCAATTCGTGACTCCCCTTTTTGTGAACGCATTTAATACGTGATAGCATTTAATTCTCGCATAGTATAATTATAGAATTTGCAACCAAACCTTTCGTGTAGCCGAAGATTTCGCTTGAGGCGGGAACGTTTGAGAAATCATGCTGTAAAGCGGCTGACTAGTGGCTACAAATGAACATGATGCATGTTGACGAGATTCGGCGCTGCGGTGCAGCTTCGTCAAAGTGGTCTGACGCAGTGAATTTGACGAAATAGATAGCGGTTTAATTAAGTCCGATCCCGGTCAAACGCAGGGTCTGTTAGTCTGCCAAGGTGCTGGCTATGTGGTTTGACGGCACTAAATCAGCCACAGGTAAACACCTGAGGACAATGTGTCAGTAGATGGGTAACTTTATGCTGAAAACATAGCCTAAATACACTTTTCTGGCCAGGCCTTATTCTCTTTCTTTCGTTGCTCTGAGTGATTTTCTACCTTTGAATCTTTTTTTTTTTTTTTTTTTCAACTTTCATTTTTTGCATCCTGTTTCATCCATTTTGTCTGCTTTGTTCATAACTGCGCGTGCCTTACGTTCCTGGATCATCGAAGGTTCGCACCCATAACTTCACCTTGATACCTCCAAAAAATCAGGATCCACTTATAAAGAAATAGTTTCTATTCTTATTTAATAAACCGGAGTCTCTCATTTCAACCATAAACTTAGTTCTCAATTTTCGGCGCATTTTTGGTCTGGTGGCATTTTTCTATTTCGGGCGAGCTGAGCCACCTTCTGATCCTCGCGTTACATGTCTCTACAATCACATCTTCTCCCTGAGCAAGAAAACAAACCCTTTTATTGCACCAAAGCAACAAAAATCACCAGTCAATATAACCACTTTTCACCTTCTCTTGCACTTTTCTTGGACAGGCACAGCACTGCCTGGGCACCATACTACACAGCCTGCATTTCGCGACTCAAAGGCCTACCCTTTTTTCTTAAGCCGTTGCTATTTTTTACCTACTACAACACAGTCTTTCACAGCAACCACAACTACACAACCATGCTAGCGTTTCTCGTGACTCTGCTTCTCCTCCTACAACTGGCCTTTGCCGAACCCAACATGGAGGAGTTGGAGGGTACTTGGGTGTCTAAGTCCAACACGGTCTTCACAGGTCCTGGTTACTACGACCCTGTGGATGAGCTTTTGATTGAGCCTGCTTTGCCAGGCATCTCCTACTCCTTCACCAAGGACGGCCACTACGAGGAGGCCCTCTACAGAATCACATCGAACCCCAGAAACCACTCTTGCGCTATTGCCAGTATGACGTTCCAGCACGGTTCGTACGAGATTTTGAGTAACGGTTCCGTGATTCTCACGCCTATCGCTGTTGACGGTAGACAGCTCTTGAGTGACCCTTGCGGCTACAAGTCCGACGAGGCAAAGTACGTCAGATACGAGCAGAAGACAATGTTCGAGAAGTTCCAGGTCTCCATTTCTGACTACCACGGCAGATACATGTTGCAAATCTACCAGTTCGATGGATCTCCTATGCAGCCCTTGTACTTGGCCTACAAGCCACCTATGATGTTGCCCACCGGTGCTTTGAACCCTACTGACAACTCTGAGCCCACCAAGGCCTCCGCGCGTAAGCGTGTCAGAAGATCGCTTGAAAACCAGTACAGAACCAACGCTGTACGTGAAACCAGCCCCTTCTTTGAAAAGTTCTACTGGGTCGGCGTCGTTGTGTTGGGTGCTGGCTCTGCCGCCATGTTGCTCCGCTAGTTTGCTTATTGCCTAGCTCCCCATCACTCTCTCTCCATTTGTATCATATCTGGTTCACCACAACATCGTCATTCGCGTTTACAGTCAAATTCTGAAATCATCATTACTTTGTAGTGCAGTAAAACGGCATTGTTTTTTGTGATGTTCCGAGGGTCGGAGTATTAGTCCCACAATTTGCCCTCTTAAGATATGTCTTTGATGGCTGGCAAGTATCATGGCAGCTGCTCCCTTGAGCTCTCATACCCGAAAGCAAATTCCCTGTTTCAACTTAAGCGATATTGCCTTACATTTAGGGCAATGTCTCAGACAGACTTGTCTTACCCTAACCAATCTCAACTTTTCATTGCATTTGCCACATTTACAAGAAAACCAAAAGTGAGGGGACCAGTCTTACAAAGAATATTTTCATAAATAATATATCTGTTCGACATTACAACGTATCTGTGTGCTGGCGCAGCCCAATTAGTGACCCTCATACCCATGACATCCCTCTACACTAATCCTGAGAACAACTAATTCTACTGCAAATTCAAAAGATTGCATTACAGTACGTATCAGAAAAGAAATTCGAAAAATAAAATAACCCAGATACACATTTATTGTCAGGAGTTCTTGGGATTCTTTATCGACCTGCGTACAAGGCGGCTTTCCGTGTCTTCTCAGCCTCTAGTCACCTGGAGCGATAAGAATTAGAACCACATTTGCCACAATACCTTCATCATGTCGTGGTTCAGTGGCGCCGACCCCGTTGCAGAACTAGATGCTAAAATTGAGGAGGCCTCCTCCGAGACCATCCCCAATGGCGAGATGGATATTGCAGTTGGCTTAGAAATCACAGATATGATCCGAAGCAAGAAGGTGCCACCTAAAAATGCCATGAGGTCGTTGAAGAAGCGACTCACAAAAGTGCATCAAAATCCCAATCTATTGCTTTCTACATTGAAGGTGATCGACCTTTGTGTCAAAAATTGTGGCGCCCACTTCTTGTCCGAGATTAACCAGAAGGAGTTCGTGGACTACTTAGTGGACTACATCTTCAAAGTTCACTACGATGTGAAGGACTACAAGGTCTACTCGTCCGAAGCAAAGTATAAGATTGGTACCACAATTTTGAAATTCATAAAAGAGTGGAACTTATGCCTCAAGGATGCAACCCACACCAGGTACTTGGACAGAGTGTACGAGCTGTTGATGCTGCAGGGCTACGATTTTCCCGAGGTTGACAGCCTGCTTTTGCAACTGGCATCCACATTTGCCGATTCAAGAGCCCCACCTGACTGGATTGACGGCAACGAGTGCATGATTTGCTACAACCCATTCAGCGTCATGACGAGAAAACATCACTGTCGAGCATGCGGAGGAGTGTTTTGCCAGACGCATTCCAGTAATAATATTCCCCTTCCGGCATTGGGTATCTTGCAACCGGTGAGAGTTTGTGACGATTGTTACCAGATTCATAAGTCCAAGACTGGCAAGGCACCTCCTAAAGAGAGACTGGCTCCTGCCCCAAAAACGCCCCTCAAGAGTCCGAAGAAGATGAGCAGCTCAGAAAGGCCATTGAGTTGAGCTTGCAGGAGAGTCAGGGACCCGCTGCAACAAACTATGCTCCTCCTCCTACTGCCCCACCAGCAGCGGAGACACAAAATGAAGCGGCCGAGGTTAATGATGAGGATATGGACGAGGACATGAAGGCTGCTATCCAGGCCTCCTTACAGGAGTACAAACAAGAGCAGAGCTTACGGCAGCCCCCACCATCACAAGTTCAGTACCAACCCTCACAGCCAGCCGCAGAGCCAGAACTGGAATTTTACCAGACGTCTCTTCCGTTCGATCTTAATGCCTATTCCCAACCATCACAGCCTTCCCAGACACCATCCTACGGGCCATCCGACCCAAGCTTTTACCAGAATGCTCCAAGCAATCCAACTCCACAACACCCAATTCAACAGCAGGCCACAAATCAAGGGAGATTGACGCCTCAGAAAACGAAGGTGGAGGATTTGACCGAAGAGGACGAGGAGCTGATTAACCTCTACTTGCAGTTGATAGCTGGACTTCAGACTGATAGGTCAAAACAAGCCAATGTCTTGCACGATCTGAACCTCAGTGAATTGCATGAGAAGGTGATAAGGTTGAAGCCAAAGCTAAATCGCTCGCTTCGTGTTGCAATTGAGAAGAATGACCAGTTCTTGGAGATGAATAACAAGCTTAGTACAATTACTCGTCTCTATGATCAATTCTTGGAAGCCAAACTCAATCAGGCGTACAACAGACATTCATTGTCATCGCCCCATTACTCACAGGCCCAAATGTATGGTGCTCCTCCTCAGATGACTGGTCAAGTTACTGGCCAGACAATCGGACTGGCTTATCCACAATACACTGGTCAGGGAAGACAACAACAAGAGTTGCAGCAACAGCCTACTGCGCCAGAGCAGGTAGAGTCTCATCACACTGGACCTGTGAAGAGGCAGGGCACGGGTTATCCACACCCCAACAGCTCTTACACTACGAATGCACCCTATCCATACGATGCATCCAGTATGCAAAGTCCGCCATCACAAGATGAGTCTCATACTCCTGCTAACGGTACATCATTCGATCAGTCCTTCCCGTCATATCCACAACAGCCTGATTTTGGCGATCAGGGTCCTTCCCATCCATCAGAGCCCAATGGCATAAGCGGAAGACAAGACACTGGATTTTACCCCACTGAGCCATCATTCGGCGAATCAGATAACGAAAGTTCTGCTAGTGTGGCAAGTAGATATCCGCCAGTGGCTGGAGGTGAATACGGAGGAATCGAACCTCAACCGACAGCGGCACACGAGCATGCGTCTGAGAGATATCCCACGATAGACGAGATTGAGCAAAAGGATGAACAAAATACTATGCCTACGTTAGCGCATCCTCAAGCTGAGGGCAGAAGGCCCAAATCTGAGCCAGAGCCACTTATTGAATTGTGAGTAATAGCATGCCATTATTGCATATTTTGCAGCCGTTTTCTTTTTCTTGACTCGCAATCATTTATGGCAAAGAAAAGCAAGACATCCCCTGCAGAACTGCATATAATTTTATAGCTCGAATACTTGCGATTTGCGTCTTTCCAATTTTTCAGATACCATCTTTTCTTCCCATAGAAGACTTCTTCCACGTACGAGAGCTGCCGCTTGAAGTTCCATACATTGTTTGTCTCACTAGTTCAGTGAGCCTATTGTCCAGAAGAATTTTTGTGAATATCGTCCTTGGTGCCCTCTAAGGAGAACGTCCCTGATACTGCTTTAAGTCTACGTAAGCGTATCAGCACTAAAAGAAGAGATAGATTGGATCTGTCGAAGAAACTGCTTGTTAAGACAGTTATGGCCCCTGCTATTGATGTCATCCATGATGAAGCAACGTTTTTGAACAATAGCGTTGTCAATACTCACGAGATTATTGATGACAAGATCAAGCCGATAGCAGGCTTCGAACCTGGTGAAGACCACGAGGTCTCTCCCGGTGCCACAGCTTTATCGAAAAAGTTGGTGGGCGAGGCACTTGTTGAGCAGATTGAGGGAATCGATCACGAACTTTGTGATGCTGGAGAGGAAGATTCCTTCTTTGTTGCCGACCTTGGCGAGGTTTACCGCTCGTTCAAGATGTGGAAGCAGCAAATGCCACAAGTGTTACCACACTACGCAGTCAAATGCAACACCGATCCTGCTGTGATCAGGTTGCTTGGTACTTTGGGTGCCAACTTTGACTGTGCTTCGAAAAAGGAGATCGATACCATTTTGGGCTTGGGTTTCGACGCCTCGAGAATTGTCTATGCTAATCCATGCAAGACAAACTCGTTCATCCGTCACGCCAGAGAATGCGATGTCAACTTGACCACTGTGGACAATTCCCAGGAGTTGTACAAGTTGAAGAAGCACCACCCTGAATGTGGTATTTTGATCAGAATCGCAACTGACGATGAGTCTGCTCAATGCAGATTGTCCACCAAGTTTGGATGCTCTGTCAGCTCTGCGTTGAACGAGTTGTTGCCATTGTGCCAGGAATTGGATTTGAAAGTCAGGGGTGTGGCTTTCCACGTTGGATCTGGTGCTAAGGACTTCGATTCAATTTACAAAGCAGTCAAAGACTCTCGCACAGTTTTTGACAAAGCTGAAGAAATGGGTATGCCTATGAGTGTATTGGACATTGGAGGCGGTTTCGAGAGGGAGACTTTCGGCGAGTCGTCTGCCATGGTTCGTTACTCTTTGGGCAAGTATTTCCCACAGACCTACGCCGACCAACACGGAATTCTGTTCATTGCGGAACCTGGTCGGTTTATGGTTGCCAATGCTTTCACATTGGCGACCCACGTCATTGCACGTAGGGACTTGGGCAAGGAGCAGTACGACATGGAGGCCATGATCTACGTCAACGATGGCGTTTACGGCAACATGAACTGTATTTTGTTTGACCATCAGCACCCAGTGGCTCACGTCTTGAGACACGATGGTAAGATCTATTATGATGGTGAAACGGTGGATGACGAGGACAAGGACATCCAGGGCACGGTCCGCCGTTTCGCTTTCCTGATCTGGGGCCCTACATGTGACGGGTTGGACTGCATTTCCACCAGAAGCGAGTTTGCAACGAACATTAATGTTGGTGATTGGTTGTATTTCCCCAACTTGGGTGCTTACACACTGGCAGCCACAACGTCGTTCAACGGACTTGGTGGACTGGCTACAGTCAAATACGTCTCCTCTGCTCCTGAGGTCCGCTTGTAAAAATGCTGTATAGCCAATGATATATTTAATTGTCACTGCCGTCGTAGGGCCTCTTATCGCATAGCTGCCGGTGAAGCCGAGAAAGTGTCACAAACAGAGCGCATTACATAAAACTAGATTAAGGTTACCCCTGGATGGTGTTGAAAGGAGAAAATTGCAGGTTTCTGTGATTTGCATTCATATCTGAAGTTGTACTTTGTAGGTTCGGTGTGAGGTTGACTTGCTATCATCTATTCAAAACGGTTGCTAAATGCACTAGACTCTATCGATGATCTTCGCTTAGGGTAGCATGAATTGACCGAGTGGAAAGTGACCGACTCTATGGTCCCTCTCATTGTGTTCCTAAAAAAAGACAGACTAATTCACCTAAATGCCTAGATCTGCATTCCCGGTGTTGTAGGCACGTCGACATGGCGTCAACGGTCTGACTGATAAGGCGCATGCCATAAACTAGAGTGAAAAATCAGGCAAATCCTCAAAACGTAAAACTTACAAGATCTAGTTCTCTCCTCCCCTCAATTTCCCAATATTTGAACTTCCTTATTCGTCGCTTTTTCGGAGAGTCAGCTCCGATTGCCTAGGCCCTGCCTCAGCCTCAATTTGCACCCATCCGCAGAGGCCTAGATCGCTTTACGAAGAGAAACACACATTTTTAAAAAATTCAAAAATCACCCACAATTGTAAACCGACAGTAGTCAAATCGGCAAAACAATCCCCTATTCACTTTGCAAAAGCACATCGCCAATTGGCTTGGGGGTGGTCAGCGGTAGGCGCAATACAGGAACGCGAGGTAAAAGACACCGACAACCAGGTTTACTACAGGCTTGAGACCACCAAAACCGTGAAATCATCGAAAAATGTCCAGGCCCGTCGACAACCGCAAGCAGATCAGCAATGCGCTTTCGGCGTTGGACAAATCGAAGAAGCCCGAGCCTCAGAGGGGCGATCTTTCCTTGTACGTGACTGACGATGGTGAAGAGCTACGCACCACGGAGAGGGTGGTCAAGCTGGTGCCAGCTCCGGCAACGTTCAAGCCTTCGGATGAGGACGTGTTTTTGCCCAACGGCTTACCCAACTGTGCATTTTTGAAAGATCACTTCTTCAACGAGGGCAGACTCCAGCATCACCAGGCGTTGAAGATTCTTCATGCTGCTACTGATCTTTTGAGCAGCGAACCCAACATGTTGAACGTGGCGGCGCCTGTCACCGTGTGTGGTGATATTCACGGCCAGTACTACGATCTCATGAAGCTCTTTGAAGTCGGCGGTGACCCAAAGACCACAAGGTACTTGTTCTTGGGTGACTATGTGGACAGAGGCTCCTTTTCCATCGAATGCTTGCTTTACTTGTATGCGCTCAAGTTGACGTATCCTGACACCATGTGGATGCTTCGTGGTAACCACGAGTGCAAGCACTTGACGGACTATTTCACGTTCAAGTCTGAATGCTTGCACAAGTACTCGGAGCAGATCTATGAGGAGTGCTTGGCTTCCTTCAATGCCTTGCCCCTCGCCGCTATCATGAACAAACAGTTCTTCTGTGTGCACGGTGGTATTTCTCCTGAGCTTAAGCTGTTGGACGACTTGGCCCGTTTGGACAGATTCAGAGAACCCCCCACCAGAGGTCTTATGTGTGACTTGCTTTGGGCTGATCCAATCGAGGATTACGACGAGGACAACATCGATCTGACTTTCATGAGAAACACTGTTCGTGGGTGCTCCTACGCCTTCACGTACAAAGCCAGTTGCCAGTTCTTGGAACGCACAGGGCTTCTCTCCATCATCCGTGCCCACGAGGCTCAGGATGCCGGTTACAGAATGTACAAGAGAACCAAGACGATGGGCTTTCCGTCGCTTTTAACGATGTTCAGTGCCCCTAACTACTTGGACAATTACAACAACAAGGCAGCAGTGCTAAAATACGAGAACAATGTGATGAACATCCGTCAATTCAACTCCCTGCCTCACCCATACTGGTTACCTCACTTCATGGACGTTTTTACGTGGTCCCTCCCGTTTGTAGGTGAGAAGATCACCGACATGTTGGTTTCTATCTTGAACATCTGCACGGAGGAGGAGCTTGAAGAGACAACCCCAATGGACGAATTGGCCCAAGAGTCCCCTATCAAAGCTACTGGACCACAGCTACCCGAGACTGCGACTGTGGCCAGAAACGACTCATTGGAGGAAAAGAGACAAGCTTTGCGTAATAAGGTGCTTGCAATTGGCCGTGTTGCCAGAATGTACCAGGTTTTGCGAGAGGAGGCCGAAAATGTTGCCCACTTGAAGAGCTTGAACGAGGGCACACTTCCAAAGGGTTCGTTGCTGCATGGACGTGAGGGCTTGGAAAAGACAATTTCAGACTTTGAAAAGGCTAGAAAGGCCGACTTGGTGAATGAGAAGTTGCCTCCAACGAGAGAGGAGATGAAACAGATAGAGGAGGAAAGGCAGGCAAAGATCAAGAAGAATATCGAAAGCTCGAGCTCATCATCCCCAGTGTTTCAGCGTCTCATGAGAAAGCTTTCAGGTTGAGATGCCCATGTACTATTTATTGATCTGCTGATCCGCGTGGTTGCAATTAGATAAGGCGCGATTTGCATGGAGGACGCTGATTCCGCGACAGCCATACAACGAGGGTCTAAAAAAATCTGAAAAAAGCCCAAAGGGAAACCGTATCGAGACCAATCATTCCCATAAGCGGACGTATATGAGTGCCAGAGTGCCTCGGGGTATCTTCACGTGCCCGAGCCGTGAGAATTTGATCACCGTGGATACTCTTCATAAAGAGTATCCCGCAGGCTTCGCATCGTTCAGTGGTGATAAATTTGTTCTTCACGCCGGCGGATGCTGCTTCCGTATAGCCTTTGAAAATGCCCCTGGTGTTTCGCTTCATCCCCAGATTGAAAAGATTCTGCATCATACCGTATCGCTTTACGTGTTGGACACCAATTTCATTGTTTGGGCACCTGCACTTCGTCTAGGAATGGAAATTCCGTTCGAGTTTGGCCTGCCGACATTGAACGAAGACGGGACTCTTGACCTCCATCTCAGACCGAGTGAGCTCATGCGGTCTTCGGAAGGTTTACCCATTACAGTACGAATCCGTCGAGCTCAAGAGGAGGAGGTCGGGATGGAGGACATTGAACCGGACCTCCGAGCCATGATTCCCCACGACAGCTCGCTACAACGAATTCATGCCATGTATACTCGCTGGTTCCATTTTTATCAATCCACCGAAGGCGAGGACGTAGCGGGGTCTGGAGAGACCGAGATCCGAACCGTGAGCGAGAACTTTCGGCTTGGGCACGGCGGGGATGCGGATGATCTCGGCTTCGATGAGCACCTTTGTGAGGGCGATGCTGGAATGAACATTGCCATCGAGCTTCAACCGGTTGGAGCTGTAAGAAGACACAGGGACTACGAGCGCACTACCTATTCGAAGAACCGTAGGATTGGTTAGATAGTCTCGTGGGCCATTTGCATTGGGAGACTTGATGTTTTGTGTTTAGGAAGGAAAATATAGACAATCGACTAAGCCGATTTCGCAGCCATATCTACCATGGCATCACCAAGGCGTAGCGCAACAATGACATTGAGTAGACACAAAGCAGCTTGTTTTATTTTTAGACGAAGATGGTGTGTCTGTCCAAGACAGAGTTACACAACCTTATGGTTATCATGGCATCCTGTCTCACGTCGTCTTTTGAGTACCGTTCTTATCGAAGAGATCACGAATCAGAAAACGGCAAACATTGTGATACAAAGTCGGATGAATAAAGCACCTATTCCGAGATCACGAGTGGCATTTCGACTATCCAAGTAAAATTATTTATATCTTCCAGAAACAGGACCCTGTTCATCCGGTTCCATACAGTCCAGAGGCCTTATAGATCCAGCGCACTCCGATTCCTCGTCATCATCTGGGTCTCATGAAACTGGCAGAGGAGAAGTTCCAGTACAAATCCCATTTCTTCAAATTGGGACAGGGCAGAATTGTGCCTCATGACGATGCCCGTTTTTGGAATGTCCTCATCGACACACCTACTGAGGCAAGCCATACCTTTGACTTGCTTACGGCATCTGATATCCACAATGTGAGAGACCAGAATCTTCCAAACTTCTTGGTATTCATCAGACTCCTTGCTGGGAATATAGTGAAGTTACGGGAGGACCCGGGCCAGCGGCTTGTCAATTGCATTCGCCTTTTGACGAAGCTTCTTCCATTCTTATATGAGCTTCCCAATTACTCATCGAACATAGAGCTAGAGTTGTTCTGGAACCAAGACTTCCATCCTGATAAGTTCTGTGAGAATCTGGTTCCACTCACATTGTTACTCCGGCGGAATTCAGTACCTTCACCGGACGGTGCAGCTGTTCTTGCAGTGGATTTGGTACAATCGCTTGTGAAGCTATTATTCGTCAAGGACTTCACGATAGAGGATGATCTGGGCTTTTGGGAGCCCGGAATAGGTTACCTGGCGCCTTATAAACAGCCAGATCCCCGACTCGATGTCAACAGAATCGATATCCTACGCCTTTTGTTGGTTTTGACGTCTTCGCTGTACTACCTTCTGCTGAAAGACGTCACGACACAAGGCTCTCGATTCTTGACAACCTTGGTCTCAACATTGCCCAAAGTATATCTTGTTCATTTCCTGTGCAGCCTTGTGAACATCGTTTGCCGGGCTGCTAGAGTGTCAAACCAGGACAATGGCTTAAGCTTATCGAACATCACGCTCACCGAACTGCGATACGCTTGCACCAACTATGCTTTTCAGCTTCTTGTTGAAGCCGTGGTGTATCCCTTACCATCTTCTACTCATAATGAGTATTTACGTGATTATGGGGTGATTTCCAAAAAGCCGACAAACGCAATACGGTTATTTTTTGGAAAGCTTTCCAAGGAGTCAGAGGTCAAGTTTCTTGCTACACATTTACTAAACTACTTGAGATTTCCCATCTACTCTTTAAAAGATGAAGCCAAAAGACGCTTTTTTAAGTTTGGTCAACCATCTTTATGGGCACTCGAAAGCACGACAATACTTTGGGAGCTACTCCAGTGCAATAAAACCTTTGCTGATAGTCTAGGCCCGAGGTTCATCCCAAAATTAACACCATATCTTGTTTATCACATCTTTGCATTTTATGATTTGCCTCAGCATTTCAGTTTGGTCAAAATCATGTCACACTTTTTGCTTTACATCTCTTCCCTGGAGGAACGAGTGCGGACCTTGGTGAATAGTGAACCATCGATAGATGGATTTCCGCCGGAGGTCAAGGTAAACGGAGTTGGCACTACTAGAGATTTTGCTGTCATAAACATTTGTCAAGTTTTGGGCAAGCTTGCATCAAACAATCACACTCAAGAATCCAAGCTTCATTCGTTCTTGCGCCCTACCCTAATAGAAATTCTTTACAATTTGATTCCCACAGTCAATGAGGAAGTCAAAGCTACAGACATATCATCTAAATCCATGCTGAACGTGAACCCCATGGGCGGCCTTTCTTACAAGGCATCCACCGCTGTTGCACTGATTATCTTGAAGTATTCAGATAGGAACTTCTTACTCGAAGATTCAAGCAATCCTTCCATGTTGGCACTCTTGGTACGTGCATTATGTGCGTCTGCGACCAAGAATCCATCGGCTTCCAGAATGACACTCTTCACTTTTCTCAAACATGAAAAAGCATTTGATCACGTCTGGAATGTGATTTATGGTTTGAAAAACGAGAAAATAGAACATGATCCTCTTGAGGACGTCAATGAAGAGGAAGAAGATGCAACCAGTGTTAGCTCAGATGTGAACACGAACGGTTCCACTATAAGACCCAATACACCTTCAACGCCTGCAAGGGCTGCAAACTCAGGAGCCTTTTCTCCAATCCCGAACAACTTTACACCGGCTCAGGACCCTCGCTCGCCATACACTGTCTCCTCAAATGCCACTTCTATTGACGATGGCTTTATTGAATCCACGAATAATTCACGGAGCAGTCTCCATGAAATTGACCCCCTTGCAGCTCTCATGGAGGAGGAAAAGTCACTCGCTGCTGCATTGAGGCCAAACCCACCCACGGGAATGTCGCAGAAATTTAAAGACAAGCTCCCTCTTGAAGCACCATTGAGTCGATCATGGGGAGGGAACGATGCTCTCAGAATCATCATCACAATTCTTATTCCAAACTTGAAAACAGCTTTGAAGGAAGTGTGGTCAAAGCGGGATGAGTGCAATTTTGATAATTTCTTTATTGTCAAACAAATTGAGAACTCCAACTTCGAGGACATCATTGAACTGAATAGAAAGGATATCAACCACGACTTTCTTCCCGACACGCCGATCGACAAGCTTTCCTTCAGTTGGAATCACAAGGCACTTGGATGGTATTTGTCGATAATCAATAGCAACAACTACAAAGCGGCAGACAACATCAAGTTATTCGTGGGAACAAACAACACGTTGATGAAGAACATCTCATCTTCCATTGCGCTGCTTGGAAAGATTGCGTCCAGCTGGTCTGGCTTATCGTGGAACAACGCAAAAGACGATCCCCAGGAGGAGGAATTGACGAGATTTGTTGAAAGCAATACGAGTGGCATAAACCCATGGGCTCACACGAATGTTAGGCTTTTCAAAGTCGACGACGAAAACGACAGAGTTTACAACCCCTTTGGGCTCAAATACGGCTCGAACAGCAACAACAGCGTCTCTGATCTTACCAACTCACTCGTGAAAAAACTTGGGGATTTCAGAAACAGCAGCAGAGGCAGCGTTGTGAGCATTTCGTCTATCCCTCAAGAGGATTCCGAACGTCCCAAGCTCCACACTAGAAATTCAGTGAGCTCGTTGCATTCACTCAACACCCTCAACAGGACGAGATCAAACACCCCGAGAAATTCAATTAGCATGTAATTTACAAACATTTTACCTAACCGTGTCTATTTTATTACCCAATGTATGCATTAGCGTCTACGACCCTTCTTCTGCACAAGCTCAAAGCCATCGTCGTCAACAACTGGGCCTTTTGGCTCTTCAATGTGGGTCTCTTCTATCCTCTCGACTAACTGTGGAACATCCTCTTCGACGTCAACGTCTTCTTCGTCCGAACTTGGATTGTTAGGATCTGTGTCTACCTTAATATTCTTTTTGGTTGATGAAGTATTCGCCTTCTTCTGGTACTTTTCATAGAGTTCATCCACAGAGGTGTATTTTTTGGCTGAGCACTCCTTATAAAGTCTCAATATGAGAGCGGCAATTTCAAGGGCCGAGTCGTTGTCGATCTCAGTGTCAAATTCATCAACCATGGCGAAAAGCAAAGTTTCCTCGATCAAAATGTTATCGACTGCCTTCTCTTCAAAAAGGTCAATCACAACACCAGAAAGCCAGTCTCTCTTTTCCGCGCTATTGGGACCTCCCCATGAATTTTCAACAGCTGTGTTCAACTCTTCCCACTTGTATACGGCCATGCAAACTCCTAATTCAAATTTACCTTGTTGTTGTGGGTCATCGAATCTAAGTGAAGTTTTGTCATCCTCAGCACGGACGAAATCCGTGGGATCAATGGCGTACATGCTCATGATGAAGTTTGTAGTTGGTGATGATCATCGAGATGCCGCAAAGTCTTGATAGTGCATACGCCCGTACACCAAATACCGGGGTCCCATCAGGGTACCTTAAAGCATAGGCACGATTGCCTGGTCTCTCCTAAGGGCTGCCAAAACCTCGTCTTCTGAAATGTTGAGCTGAATCAATCTATAGCGCTCGCTTCTGAGATTTTGCTGTGCGATGATTCCGAGCTCCTCCATCTGATTCACGAGGCGAGCCATCTCGTAGATACGAATATTTCTTGGATTTCCATAGCAAAAGTCTGCAAAAGAATCGTTCGTTTCGATTTTTTTGAAAGGATGCGAGCTGTCTTTTGAGGTGAGAAGATCGAGAGAATTTTTCATTTCGTCCATGACATCACCTAGTGAGTTCTCAGCTAGACCCGATCTCCTCATCCTAAGAAGTATGCCCACAAGCACGAGCTTTGACTCAAATGAAAGCAGATTGAGTAGTTGTGCAATTGGGGAGTTGATAGTCTCATTGATAGCTTTTGAAATGTGGCCGATCTGAATGGTGAAGGTTTGCTCAGATTCAGGCTTTTCCAAATCCGTTTCTGTGTCCAAGAATTCTTGCTCAGCGATCTCAACAGCCCTTCGACAGATCGTCAATGCCCTACGGGCATCACCACTGACACTTGCAACTTTTCTGGATGCAAAACCAACGGCGTCTTTGCTCACTTGGACCTTTCTTTTATGCTCCTCACTAAGCATAGTGAGTCTGTTGGCAATGATTTCACCCAAATCATCGAAGGTGTAGCCCACAAACTGAATTCTTCTAAGGCCCAATCTGGAGGAAATCTTGTTGGTAAGCACTCTTTCAGGAAGATCCATCGTGTTTGCAACAGCGATTATGATGAGCTTAGAATTGGCATAAGTAGGCCAATTAAAGAAATTATACATCACAGATTGTGTTTTCGTCACAATTTGGTCGAGTTCATCGAGAAGCACGACCAACGGCCTCCGTGGCTCTTCAGTATCATCTTTACCAAAATAATCATCCAAAAGTAACGCAGCATTGGCAGGCGTAACTTTAATGCCACTCACGAATTCCCAAAGCTTTTCGTAAGCAGATTCGGGTGATAGAAGTTTAAGGCAGTTGATGTCCAAAAAGTCGAATTCATTCAATAATCCATCAGCGACCGAAGATTGAAGGGATCGGATAACTTCCTTAATGGTAGCAGTCTTTCCAACACCCGGTGTTCCACTCACGTAGACACAGCTTCCTGTTTGAGTCTGTATTGCATCTTCAAGATTTGTGTATACCGCTACCCATTCGTCCTCTCTTCGTGGTAAAGAAGTTATGGTGGTTGACGTATGGAGCTTCTTTTTTAGCTCTTTGAAAGCCTCTGACGACGTGTCAACGATATTGTGTGATTGTTTGGTGGCTTTTCTGTTGAGAGAAGGCAAGCTTCCTACAGAGGTACCAGTCTTCACCTTGAAACCTTTCTTGAGAGGAGATAGAACGTTTTGTAGGTTGGATCTCTCGTTTCCACGAGCTGCCGTGGCCCGCTTTCTTGGAGACTCGGATGTTTCTTTCTTGGGGTCGAGGCTTTGCGCTTTTTCGTGGGTTTTGTCTCTGAAGACTCGGCTACCTCAGGCTCCAGATCCAGATCTTCTGACTCGTCATCTTCGCTCTCCTGTTTTACAAAATCGTCCGAATCAGAGTCTTCAGATGGCGATTCGGTGTACGTCCGGCGCCTTGGAGAATCTGAGTTCATAAGTCTTTCTGTGAGTGAGGAGGTTTTCAGCTTCTTCTTTTTTGGGGATATGATAACCAGTGTGTTTTCAGAGATATATCGAATGGCACTTGCGTGGTCTTTAACGACGAGACTTTTCAACTCACTGAAATTGAATTCTTTTGAAACACTGTCTCCTTGAGCATTGCAAGCCCGTCTGCATAGGTACGTCAGTGATATGCTGGAGTCGTCCAAGACAATATCAGCAAATGCCGTAGAGTCAAGCACCTGTATCTTCTGAACAACGTCATTCACCTTCAAAGAGCTTACCTCCGGAGTAATGAAAACCTCGTTCTCTGCAACTTCCACATCCTCTAGCGTCTCTTGATCTATTTGATCTTTTGTGATGAAGCGAGCACCCCATAGTTCCACGAACGACTTGAGGCCGAGCTGAATGCTAGTAATTATGTAATAGGAAGGCTTGACATCCGATATCAAAAGGCAATCGCCTGCTTGGATCACCAAATCGTCTTCTTCCCTTTGTAGCTTGACACCATTGGGTTCAGTAGATTCGGCCCTTCGACGCGATCTTCGCGATGGAGTAGCTGGACTGTTACTGGAATCTTTCTCAGGTTCCTCTAGAACAATTTTCCAGTCTCCCAAATCTTTTTGTCTTTTTGCCATGGAGCTGTTTTCAAAAGAGAAGGTTGATGTACTTCTAGTGCATTATGCACACCAGTACGAGAACGATAAGAAATGTATCGAGAGAAGACTATGAAGGTTTAAAAGATGTTGAAGGCAATCGAACTAAATTACTGGCTCCTACTCATTCGATGACTTACGTTTTGGTCTTTGGAATCGGGATCTGCCGAAATGTCTCGACAAGGGTACCCCAACCCCAACCCTCCACACAGCACTGCTCTACAGAGTGATCTTCGTTAATTAGCATGAGATAACTAGCAGGAAACTAGATATTAAAGTGATGATTTCTCGTCGCGGACCATTTGGATTACAAATAGAACCTTAAGATGGAGGTTCGATTGATAATGCCAGATCGGCCAAACGAGAAGATGATGCAGTAGTGGCCTAAGCAATTGCTTCAGACAACATTCGTGGTTTTGGAAAATCACGACACTCACGAGTTAGCGCCGTCTTTCTTGTAAAGCAAGATTGGCTCACCGATGTTGACGATCTCCTCGATATTGAGCTTTAGATCGAATGCTTTTGACAATATGATCTTGAAAATCTTTTGAATATTAATGGAATGACTTGTTGAGCAGAAAATCACGGGCAGGCGCATGGCCTTACCGAACTTCTTTGCCTGGTTAGTGATTTCGGTTTGATCTTGGGGCAGCAAATCGATAAACTCGTCGTACTTCGTGCCAATTAAAAACGGAATGGCGGTTTTGTTGAACCCACGGACCTGCCTGTACCATTCCTTGATGGAGTTGAGTGTGGACTTTCGGGTAAGATCGAACATGAACAAGATGGCCACCGCGTCGTTAGACACCAAAGGTAGCATATTAATGAACTCTTTTTGTCCGCCTAGATCCCATATCAGAAACGTGATATTCGTGTTTCGTATTTGGATTTTTTTGTCCATGAAATTGACACCTAAGGTCTGAATGTAGTCCTCGTCAAAGCTCCCCTCGACGTATTTGACCATAAGTGAGGTTTTCCCGATCTGGGAATCACCGATTAGACCGATTTTGAGTGCCACCCTAATGGTTAGTATTGAATGAAATCACAAAGTTCTCGAACATACTGGTTGCTTTGGCTCTCCAGAGATTCCATGGTGCTGTACTGTTTCAAACTACAGTGTTTACGTTTTGTGCATAGCTCCCGCATAAATATACACGTGACACGACTGCAAAGGAACCCTGGAGAGAACGAGTTTGTCCATACCCTAAGTCATTGATTGGTGATTTTTTTTTTTTTTTTTTTTTTTTTTTTTTTTTGAATATTGTTGTTTTTGCGTTTCTCTTCCTCCTTTGGTTTGTTTCTGAAGCTTGAGGTTTGAGTGGGCTTAGTGAGTGAGATCTCGACATAGTAAGGTACAACATTGAGGTGACGTTTTTGACAGACTAGACGCAATTCGAAGCGAGACTAATGAAAGAATCCTTCCGGTGAAAGGTTCAAATCGTTTTGGATTTCCAAAACTCATGTACTATTTATCGCTTAGTAAATGAACGCCAAAAAGCTTAGATGCAAAATAAGGTCGGCTTTATTTCACTATGACGACGGTAAAGTCGGACTTCCATTTCTCGATTAATGTCCTTGTAAGTTCTGACTACGGCTCATTCTCTTCTTTGAAAAGCATGTCAATGCACTACTTCGAACGTAAAGTTGTGTTATGATATTCTTCAGCCCATTTGGGCCATATCTTACTATAAGCTATTTAGCGACTAAGAGCTGGGGTAGAAAAAATCTGACAGTCTAGCTAAAGCGAAGCGGTTGCGAAAAGTAAACGACATCTCTCGACTAACTTCGCTGAAAACTTTCAATAAGCTCTCAAACGAAAGATCTCCGGTTCGCCATCAATTATATTGTTAATGACCAGTTTATTACTGTGAGGCTCCTTGAAAAGCTTGTGGGTGGACCACGGTGCCTAGGGCTGAAGCCCTCGCACATGACCTGTGTTTAGCGCTCAGGTGCCGGCGGTTTGGGCCTTGAGCACATTGTCTGCACACCAGCACCCCAGCTCAGGCTTCGCACGGTAAAAAAAATTTCCTGAAAAAAGATAGTATAGGTCTCTTCCAGAAAGAACTCCATCTTTTTAACTACACAAATATGGCTGTTGGTAAGAACAAGAGATTGTCTAAGGGTAAGAAGGGCATGAAGAAGAAGGCCGTCGACCCCTTCGCCAAGAAGGAGTGGTTTGACATCAAGGCCCCATCTACCTTCGAGAGAAGAGACGTTGGTAAGACCTTGATCAACAAGTCCACCGGTTTGAAGAACGCCGCCGACGGCTTGAAGGGCCGTGTCTTCGAGGTTTGCCTTGCTGACTTGCAGGGTTCCGAGGACCACGCCTACAGAAAGATCAAGTTGAGAGTCGACGAGGTTCAGGGTAAGAACTTGTTGACCAACTTCCACGGCATGGACTTCACTTCCGACAAGTTGAGATCTTTGGTCAGAAAGTGGCAATCTTTGGTCGAGGCTAACGTTACTGTCAAGACTGCTGACGACCACGTCTTGAGAATCTTCGCCATTGCCTTCACCAAGAGACAGCCAAACCAGGTCAGAAAGACCACCTACGCCCAGTCCTCCAAGTTGAGAGAGGTGAGAAAGAAGATGATCGAGATCATGCAGAGAGAGGTTGCCAACGTTACCTTGTCCCAGCTCACCGCCAAGTTGATCCCAGAGGTGATTGGCCGTGAGATCGAGAAGTCTACTCAGTCCATCTTGCCTTTGCAAAACATCCACATCAGAAAGGTCAAGTTGTTGAAGCAGCCAAAGTTCGACTTGGGCTCTTTGTTGGCCTTGCACGGTGAGGGTTCTACCGACGACAAGGGTAAGAAGGTCTCTTCTGGTTTCAAGGACGTTGTCTTGGAGTCTGTCTAATCGCAAGATTACTGTTTAATACATACACATTCGAAGAGAACATTGTAGGAGTACTTGGTGGTTTACTCGTTGCGATTGCAAATTTTTCATTTTTAGTGCAACCCGCATGTCAGCAATGAAGGAGCCTGGAATCTTGACCGAGAGTAATGCTGAGTTGATTCAAATTGCATTGACAGCTGAATTGACATTGCTATGTTCAATTGTCATAGAAGCCTTCCGAACATTGATGAAGCCGTTGGAAAAGTTTTTGACAGTCACAACGGTGCACCATGCGTGTACTGGGGTGCCACTGGATTTTGCAATTGGGCTAATTTTGTGATCATTGAAATTTGGAGACGTCTAGATATATGAATAGAACTGTTTACAGTTCGATTATGCTTCTGGTTAGATTCAGGTAGTTAATTGGTAGTTAAGTTAATGGGGCCTAATTAGCCAACAAGCAGAGCGGATTTGCCTTAGACGTAAGTAGTTCAAAAGCAGTGAAAGCGGGTACACTTTTCTCAAGCGTCTTTCACTTCAATTTTTCAAAGATTGTGAGATTCTGTGTTCTTATTGTATTCTTAATCTTATGGGTGTACTCATTAGGCAACTTTCGAATATCATCAGTCAGTTCCACGCTCTGCTTCCAATGGCAACAATCTCTCAAGATTCCATCCAAATTGAATGTCAAGAAACACTTGGGGAAGCGATTCGAAGTTGCTTTTGCACACTTTCCTCCATCCATCTTCTCTTAGGTTGCGAGCTTTCTCTAGTCACAGTGCAGCTACCCACTGACGTCACCACTAGAGCCCTCCAAACCCTCTGACGGTGCTTAGCTCCTCTTTCATAACAGAATCCCCTTCTGGTGGCTCATTTCCCTTTTCCGGCGACTTTCGTTATTTTCTAATGCTCAACCATATTTTCAATCCTCTCTGAAAGCCATTTCGCAGCCATATTCTGACAAGAACGTGGAGAAACGCAGGAGAAGCAGAAATGCCAAGCAGCGCAAACACAGACGACGAAAACTCAGTCAGAGATCCAAGCCAATTGACCAATCAAAAACCATCAATTCTACCCTCCGCCAACCATAGTGACCGGCTCAATCGGCCAGTCCAGCGGCACTAAAACCACTCAGCGACCACAGCCAATAACCGGTTTTTCAAATTGCCGACTCCTACTGAATACCGGCTGCCAAATCGCCAATTGTCACAAATCTCCAACAAATCTCTACATGAGGCGACAGGGCAGTGCAGCGGTAGACATCCCCATGCAGAGGCCACAATCTCCTCTGAGACACCGTAGCAACAGACAACACTTCATGTCCGACAATGACAAGAAAAGCAACCTTAGCCGTCCTCTCTACGTTGTTTGAATCTACGCTGTTTCAATCCATTCGCAATTTAAAAAAATACAATCATATTGATCTTTGTTTTTGGCGGTTGATCTCCCTGATTCGCCGGAATGAGTGAACCGTGGGAACATGGTCAATTGCAGCGCGATCGGTGGATCAGCAGGCAGGCCAGCAACAGCACTCACCACATTCCATTTGCACCCAATTTCACAGGTTTCGCGGCCATTGTCAGCGGCGGATCGACAATGGCACATCCGCTGCGGACGTAATTGAAAAGACGAGGCGGTTCTGGGTCAAGAAAAAGAAAAAAAAAGCCCCAGAAGCAGGGAAGTGGTCGAAAAGTTACAAAAATGGCCTCCTGCGCGGTCGAGTATCAGGGCAACTAGGGGCTGGGGGCGGCACGGCTTGGTTCCTGGACTGCGCCTTAACGTTGGCGCCAAAGCGCGGTTGCTTGCTTAGCAACTGAAACGAGGAGCCAAATAAAAAAAAAAAAAAGACACTTCATTTAATTGCAATTCTTCAATTGAATTTTTTCCCAAACGTAGAAATATTTTGTAGTGTCGCTGGGCCGTCGTATCTGGTTCCCCCTTATTGAATGCAACCGAAGGTTAGTGCCGCGGCAGAGAAGGCGTGCACACTGGCCGACCTGCGGCTGACAGCTTCAACTTCCCACTTGCCTGGTGCATCGTATACACCGTTCCGAATTCCTGGATGTCGCAAGTACGTACTATTTTCTTTCCATGCCAATTGGGGTGCCAAATCCGCTAACAAGCAAGAAAAAGTCAAAGTCGAAATCGCCGTCGCCCTCCCACGGCGCCAATGGCTCCGCCGGCGACCCGGCCTCTGTTGAGGAGAAGAACAGACAGGCTAGGGCCAACCAGACCGAGGTTAAGGCTCCTTTCGATGGTGCTGCTCCCGACGAGGAAAAAGAGCATTCTGTCGAGAAGCACACAAAGGGCGGGAAACCTGCTTTCCCCTGGCGAAAGATCGGTGGCTGGGGGTCCCAGGACTCCTCTGAAGACAAGTTGCACGCTCTCCAAACAATCAAGGCCGTGGAGCTGTATGTCATGGACCACTTGTACTCTGACTGGTACTTCAACACGGTGATGATCCTTGGTATCTCCTTTTTCTCGTGGTTTTTCGCCCGCTGGGGCTTCAGTATCTTGATGTTGGGTGTTGTTCTTTTGGGCGCTGCCTCGGTTTACAGGGCCGAGTTCCGTAGATTCAACAGAAACATCAGAGACGACATGGCCAGAATTGACGCCCGCAACCGTTTGGAAAACGAGGAGGAGACCATGGAGTGGATGAACTCGTTCTTGGCCAAGTTCTGGGTCATCTACATGCCCGCTTTGTCCGAGATGGTCTTGTACCAGGCCAATGAGATTTTGAAAGACCAGGCTCCCGGTTTCGGTATTGAAGCTGTTTCTTTGGACGAGTTTACCTTGGGTTCCAAGGCTCCTCGTGTGGATGCCATCAAGTCCTACACCAGAAAGGGCAAGGATCACATTGAAATGGACTGGGCCTTTTCTTTCGCTCCCAACGACACTGATGACATGACCAAGAACGAAATCAAGAAGAAGATCAACCCCAAGGTCGCCTTGGGTGTGACAATTGGTAAGGCTTTCATCACCAAGTCGCTTCCTATTTTGGTCGAGGACATGTCCTTCACAGGCAGAATGAAGATCAGGTTGAAATTGAGTGACAACTTCCCTCACGTCAAGATTGTGTCTGTTCAATTCCTCGAGCCTCCAACTATCGACTACGCCTTGAAGCCAGTGGGTGGTGACACCTTGGGTCTTGACATCATGTCCTTTATCCCCGGTTTGTCTACTTTCGTTAACAGTATCATCCACTCGACCATGCGTCCTATGTTGTATGCTCCCAACTCGCTCGATATTGATGTTGAGGAGATCATGTCTCAGCAGTCCAACGACTCGATCGGCTTGCTCACTGTGAACGTGAAGCGTGTCTACGACATCAAGAGCAACGAGCTCAAGGACAAGGAGTGTCACCCATACGTCCACATGACCTTGTCTGGTGGCCCTGAAATTGACGAGCGCACCAAGATCAAGAGAAACACCAGAGACGCTGTCTACTTGGAGTCTTTCCATTTGCTTGTGAACAGCTTGGAAGGCAACTTGTTAACTTTCAGTGTCTCGTCTTACGCCCCTGGCAAGCCAGAGGATATTTCCATCGGAAGAGTTGACTTCAACTTGGCCGATTTATTGCAGGAGCCAGAGCTCAAGAACCAGACCAGGAACATCACTGACGGTGGGAGAATTGTTGGTAAGCTCAACTTTGATCTTAAGTGGAATCACGTCTTGGAGAACTTCACTTTGGAAGATGGTTCCAAGGAGGAGAACATTGACCAAGAGCTTGGTATTATGAAGTTCTCTCTTTACGGTGCTTACAATTTGGATATCTCCAAGTCTATCGTCGGTTTGTTGAACCCTTACGCTGAAGTGTACGTCAATGACAAGCATGTTAAGACCACAAGAAAGTTGAGACAGATCAACGAACCCTCTTGGGGTCTTTCATTTGAGTCGCTCGTCACTCAGCAATCTCAAACTCGTATTCAGATTTTGGTGAAGGACTCTGTCGAGGACCAAGTTGTTGGTCGACTTGATACAAACTTGCAGGACTTGATTTTCGAGTCTTCCAGAGGTCAACTGTGGATCACAGCTCCTCCAATCAGGACTGGCGGTCCAGCAACCAAATTCAAGATCGGCGTCAAGTGGTCTGCTTTGCCAATGGGTGACGAGAGTCTTCAATTCTTCGAAGAGCCTGCCATTGGTGGTTTCAGATTGCAAATCAGAAACGCTAAGGGTTTGGTCAACCTTGAGGAGGTTGGCGAAGTCGACCCTTACATCAGAGTTTCCCAAAACGGTAAGCCAAAGGGAAGAACTGCTACGATCTCCAACTGTAAGGACCCTTACTGGGATACCGTCTTTTTCCTTCCTGTCGCCAATCCTCACCAGCACGTTTTGCTCGAAATCTTCGATGCTGAGGCTGAAGGTAAGGACAGACCTTTGGGCTCTTGTGCTGTTACAGTTAGTGATTTCTTGAAAAAGAACACTCAAGGTTATTTCCTCGCTTACGATGGTTCGGATGAGATCATTGAACAGCCTGTGTTGTACGGTGATGATTCTTACGGCTCTTTGTTCTACTCTGTTTCCTTTGTTCCAACTTTGCCAGTCTACACCATCTCGCAATTGGAACACATGGAGGAGTTCTTGGAGATGAGGAGAAAGAAGGAACAAGATGAGAGGGAAAAGGCCGAGAGGGACCAAAAGCTCTTCGATGAAAACCCTGATCAGTATGACTGGGTTGAATTGCAAGAGGACAACCTCCCTGAGCCTGAAAAGGTGACATTGCCATTGGAGAAGGCCGTCAAGTACAGAACCGGTGTTTTGATGCTTCATATTTTGGAAGGCAACTTCAAGCAATCGGACTGCTTGGTTCATGTCTTGTTTGATGATCACGCATTTTCATCGGGTATCAGTCATAGAGCCGATGGTAAGCACTTGACTACTCCAATGAATGTTGATGCGTTCATCAGAGACTTGCCAAACTCGCTCACTATCTTCAGAATCTCGAAGAAGTATGTCGTTGAACACAAGAAGGAGATTGTTGCTGAAAAGATGTTAGACACGGTCGAACTCTTCAAGAACGCCAACAAGCAACCTATTACCATCAAGATTGACGAAAAGAACACCTTGAAGGTGCGTGCAGAGTTCATTCCATCCGCTGTCAAGTTGGCTCCATTGGACACTGTCTTGGATGTTGGTCACATTAAGCTCGAAGTGTTGAGTGCCGAGGGATTGATGTCTGTTGACAGTAACGGTAAGTCTGACCCAATGTGTGTTCTTAAATTGGAGGGTGTTGAGATTTTCAGGACAGACAAGAAGAGAAGAACTTTGGACCCTATTTGGAACGAAGCTTTCGAATTCCCTATCTTGTCTAGATCTAGACAGCCTCTCGTTTTGGAGGTCTACGATTGGGACTTGACCAACGACGATGAGTTGTTGGGTACAGCAGTTATTGACACTGCCTCCATTGATCCTAATGTCTCTACTCAGTTTAAGGTTCAACTTGATACTCAGGGTATCGTGATTTTGAGAGTGACCTTCAAACCAGAATACGTGAGACCGCCTCTCAACAGCAAGTCTGGCTTGCCAATCGACTTGAGTGATGTCAAGGGTGTGCCATTGAAGCTTGTTGGTGGTGTCGCTGGTATTGCAACCAACACTGTGGGCAGTGGTGTGGGTCTTGTTTCTGACAACCTCAGCAAGGGTGGCAGCTTCCTCAAGCACTTGGGTAAGAGCAAAAAGAAGAGCGGTGAGATTGACGAACAATCTCGTAATGGCGATGCTGGAAGCTTGCGTCCATCTCAAAGTGGACGGGGTGCCCGTAGTGAACGCACAGCACGCAGTGAACTTGGAGCTCAAAGCGAACAAGAAGAAGAGGGAGGTGACAATGAGAACAGCTTGCTCGGAGGTGAAGTGTCTAATGCTTCCAACGAAGCTGACAGACAGGAAGAAGAGAAGAACAAGGAGGAGAAGAACAAGCAGGGTGCACCTTCGCCAGAGGAACAAATGGAGCAGAACAGACCACCATCTATCGAGGGCGCTCTCCCAACGTCGACCGTGATCTCTTACCTCCTCCACAGCGTCCTGGACAGTTTGAGAACCAGCACACGAGAAATGTCAGTGAGGCTACTGATATTAGTACGATGAACTCCTCGACCATGGGTCCAAATGGCATCCCTGGTAGAGCTAACATTGTTTCTGCTGTTGGCTTCAACGTGTCTGCTTTGGACATCAAGGTTAACTTGACGACTCCGGCTAGAACCAAGGATATTTACAAGACAAGAGCTGCTAAGGAACATCTGGGACAATACAAGTGGAACGAGACCTTCACTTTCAGATCCCCACCCGAAGGCACCATGTCTTTTATTATCAGAGAGCACAAGACATTTGGCAGAAGCCAAATTCTTGGAAGCGGCGAGATTGCTCTTTCAGACTACATGGATCTGAACGATACTCTCAGGCTTCCTGTTGGCGAAGGTCAATTGAATGTGACCTTGTCGTACTTCTCACAACACTAATTTCATTCTAGTTTTATAATTGTACTGTACCAATAAGATTTATCTACGAAAACCCATGTAGTGGTCAGATTGTACCTTGCGAAGTCGTCATGCACATGTACTTCTGGTCTAGGTGAAATAAGAAAGGTGATCATGAACATGCCACATTGCCTGTCAAACTATTTAAAATAGCATGGAGTCTTCAATTGTTCCTCTAGCACACTACGATTCCAATATCAGCTAAGAACAGCACTTTCTATGAATGCTGGCAGAAGGTTGGTTGGACGTATTGGTGGTGAATGTCACACGTGATTGCGTGTGACTGCTTCCTTAGTAGAAGCGAACCCGTGCACCTGTGACCAGAAGGTAGAGCGATTGTCTGCACACCGCACCGAAAAAAATCGTGAGAAATTTTGCGACCCTACCTTGGTTAAGAAAAAAAAAAAGGTCGTAGACTTATTCATTCTATCTGAACCAGACATAATGAGCCAGACCGTATGTTGAAACCCACACAACGAAGACAAGCGAGAGCAGCAAAAAGCACACCAGATCCAAATTATATCCAAATTAGCTGTTGATCCAGCCGTACCGTCCTACCTTTCAAGATGTGAACCATCATCATCCGAGTCCATAAAATGCCCTACAGACGATAAGATTCCACCATCTCATGCTTTGCAATAAAGAATCCACAAGTTATCAAAGGCTTTCGTGCTGCTCTCTTTACACCAGCATAATACTAACAGACAGACTCAGAAGATCGCCAGAAAGACCCAGCGTCCTCACAAGTTGCGTGCCTCTATCACCCCTGGTACCGTCTTGATTCTCCTTGCCGGTAGATTCAGAGGTAAGAGAGTCGTGTACTTGAAGCACTTGGAGGACAACACCTTGTTGGTGACTGGTCCATTCAAGGTTAACGGTGTGCCATTGAGAAGAGTTAACGCTCGTTACGTCATTGCCACCTCCACCAAGGTTGATGTGTCCTCCGTTGACGTGTCTAAGTACAACGTGGCTTACTTTGCCAGAGAGAAGACGCCAAAGGGCGAGAAGTCCGAGGCTGACTTCTTCAACGAAGAACAACCAAAGAAAGAGATCAAGGCCGAGAAGGTTGCCGACCAGAAGACTGTCGACTCCGCCTTGTTGTCTGAGATTAAGAAAACCCCATTGTTGAAACAGTACTTGGCCTCCTCCTTCTCCTTGAAGAGCGGTGACAAGCCCCACTTGTTGAAGTTCTAAGCTTCTCACTTTGTATATTTAATACAGTAAATGAAAGACCATGTGTATACGTAAAGCCCAGTAGACCAAATCGGCAAGATATTGAATGACAGGTAAGGTAAACTTCGGTGAATTTTATTTTTGTTTAAGCCATCAAACATGGCTTCTGTGTGTGAGCACTGTGCAGACTTTTTAGCTCATCGCATCTCAGGATCTTCTTTGTACCATCACCATAATGGCTTCTTTACTCCCAATCAGCACATACAATTTGGCCCTTGAGCCATTCAACCCACAGCCTGCTTTGCAGGAGGAGTTCCCCGTGACAGTCAGAATTACCATGGCTGCCGTGGACCCTGAGGCTGCTGATGACAAGGAGGAGCCTTCGACTTTGAGAGTCTTGAAGAGAGCCATTCCTTTTGGCGGCGATGACGCCTTTGACCTCGACAGTGAGGACGAGGACGACGAGGAGGACGAATTGGACAGCGAGGAGGAGCCAGAGGAGCCCAAGAAGGAGTCCAAGAAGGAAAAGAAGGACAAGAAGCTGAAGAAGGAGGAAGAGGAAGAAGAGGAGGAGGAAGATGAGGACGATGAGGACGACGAGGACGACCTTGATGACGAGGTTGAGGAATTTGTTCTTTGTACTCTTTCTCCAAAGGTCCAGTTCCAGCAGACTCTTGATTTCACCGTTTCTCCTAACGAGGAGGTGCACTTTGTGGTGACTGGTTCCTACCCAATTCACCTCAGCGGTAACTACGTCGAGCACCCAGCTGACGACGAGGAGGATGACTTCGACTCCGAGGACGAGGACGAGTACGACTCGGACGCTTACAACTTGACCCCCGATGAGGACGAGTTGATTGACCTCGAGGCCTTGGAGGACGCCTCTGACGTCGAGGGCAAGATCGAGGAGTTGGTCGAGGAGGAGGGCTCCAAGAAGCGTGCTGCCGAGGAGGAGCCACAGGCGTCGAAGAAGAGCAAGAAGGAGAAGAAGAAGGAGGACAAGAAGGTGCAGTTCACCAAGGAATTGGAGCAGGGCCCCACTCCTCTGAAGAAGGAGAAGAAGGAGAAGGCCAAGGAGGAAAAAAAGAAGGAGGACAAGGAAGAAAAGAAGGACAAGAAGTTCCCTACCAAGACGTTGTTGGGTGGTGTCATCACTGAGGACAGAAAGACTGGCAGTGGAGCCACCGCCAAGTCCGGCAACAAGGTGGGTATTCGTTACATTGGTAAGTTGAAGGACGGCAAGGTTTTCGACAAGAACACTTCCGGCAAGCCATTCGTGTTCAACTTGGGCAAAGGCGAGTGTATCAAGGGCTTTGACCTCGGTGTCGCCGGCATGGCTGTGGGAGGAGAGAGAAGAGTGGTCATCCCCCCAAGATGGCGTACGGCTCGCAGAAGTTGCCAGGTATCCCGGCCAACTCCGAGTTGACCTTCGACATCAAGTTGGTTTCGCTCAAATAGGCGTATAGTTAAGACAGAGGGGTAGTAGGAGCACTATTCCGCGATTCGGAGAAACCCAGGGTTCCAGAGAGGGGGCCAGCGTGTAGAGGGGCCGAGGAGGTAGAGGTGCTGTAGAGCTAGAGGAGGCATAAGGTTTGATGGTGTGGCGGTGATGGACCGGATATAACCTATTTGGGCAGGTTAGGGCGGTCCATCGCAGGGTAGATCTTGACCAGGAGGTGAAAAGCGACACACGATGATGTAAGAAAAAGCACGGGACTAGGCTGATAGAAGGATCACTTTGAATTGAGCTCCTTGCCTTCCAAGGAACGGGCCGTTAGTGGGGCGTATTCTGTTGTGGTGACAAGGTGGAGACAAGCTCTGTACAAGCAAATACGAGGTGGTGCAGGCTGTCAACGTCAGACAATCAAGATCCGGACGTTTCGACAAAGTGGACAAAATCAGAAAAATTGACATGGGTCCAACCGCCAGCTATTTATAATCAATCGCCCAGAATCACATTCCTTCCACCCGCGGGCGCCGCCTCACGATTTACATCTGAGAGAGCCCATTCCTCGATCGGATCGTCGCAGTATCCCACCCGCATACGGCTGCGAAACACATCCAGTGGAAATGGACTTCCAGCGTTTAAATAAGGATCCATTTCAGAGTCTTCTCCTCCTTGCCACCCTTTTCCATCACATGGATTGCTCCTCCAGCTCGCTAGGCTCCTGTCTGCTCTCCTCCACCGGGCTTCTCCGATCCCCTCGTTTCCAGATTCTGTTAGATCTGCAGTATCGCCAGGGTCCACACAGGCCAGCGGAGGTGCATTTTTGCAACCATTTAAAGAGCCGCCGTCCGCACGTTTTTGCTCATCATGGGTAAGTATTCCACATTAGCGAAGCGCTTTTGGCGCAAATGGACCACACGCGATGGCCTCTTGGGCGACTACGACTACGGCTACCTTTTCATTCCTGATGTGCCGTTCAAAAAGGGCCAGCCCAAGACACAGCCATTTTTCGGCCTCAACCTGAGCATGCCCTTGATTTTGGGTGCTATTTTGGGATTCCAGCACTCCTTGGCGATGCTTGCCGGTGTCATCACCCCTCCCATGTTGATCTCCACCGCCGCCAGCTTGAGTAACGAAATCAAGGAATATCTCATCTCCACATCGCTTATTTGCGCTGGCCTTCTTTCTTGCATCCAAATCACAAGATTCCACATTTACAAGACGCCTTACTACATCGGCACGGGTTTGCTTTCGGTGGTTGGCACGTCTTTTGCAACAATCACCATTTGCACCAAGGCCATGCCGATGATGTACAAGAACGGCTTCTGTCCAATGGACGGCGATGAAAAATTGCCCTGTCCCGATGGATACGGCCGTATTATTGCCACCGGTACCGTTTGCGCCTTGTTTGAGATTTTGCTTTCTTTTGCGCCTTCCAACGTGCTCCAGAAGGTATTTCCACCTCTTGTGACTGGTCCCGTGGTGCTTCTCATTGGTGTCCATTTAGTGGAAACCGGTTTCCAAAACTGGATGGGCGGCTCAGACTGTGTGGGTGAGACTTGTGGCACTGCCAAACCGTTGGAGTGGGGTTCGCCTCAGTTTGCTGGATTGGGCTTCTTGGTCTATTTCACCATTATTCTTTCCGAAAGATTTGGGTCCCCCATCATGAAATCCTGTGCCGTTATTATGGGGTTGCTTGTGGGCTGCATTGTCGCTGCCGCTTGTGGATACTTCTCTTCTGAGAATATTGACTCTGCTCCGGCCGCTACTTTCCCATGGGTGCACACATTCAAACTCGAGGTTTACGGCCCCGCAGTTTTGCCTTTCTTTGCTGGATACATTGTGCTTATTATGGAGGCTATTGGCGATATAACAGCCACCTGTGATGTTTCTAGATTGGAAGTGGAAGGCGATATGTACGAGTCCAGAATCCAAGGCGGGATCCTTGCAGACGGATGCAACTCAGTCATCGCTGGTCTCATGACTATGACGCCTGTTTCCACATTTGCTCAAAATAACGGTGTTATTTCCGTGACAAAGTGTGCCAACAGAAAGGTCGGATACTGGTGTGCGTTCTTCCTTGTGGTGATGGGTATCTTTTCCAAATTCGCTGCAGCCATTGTGTCCATTCCAAACACGGTTTTGGGCGGTATGACATGCTTTTTGTTTTCTTCTGTGGCCGTTTCCGGTATCAAGATTATCTCCACCACGGAGTTCACAAGAAGAGACCGTTTCGTCTTGACTGCGGCATTGGTACCCGGAATTGGCTCGGTTTTGGTACCAGACTGGTTTGATAATATTTTCACTTACTCTGGCGACAACACGGCGTTGATGGGTTTCTTTGACGCCATTACGTTGGTGATGGAAACTGGCTTTGCCATCACCGGCTTCATTGGACTTATTCTCAACTTGATTATTCCACAGGTGGACGACGAGATGGAGGAGCTCAACGAGGTTGTGTTGGAGACCGTGGGACTGGCTACCGAGGAAGCTTTAGAGGTGTACAAGCTGAGAGAACAGGTGTTTGTGAATCCCAAGGCAGAGGCAGAGGCCGAACTGAACTCCAGCGAGGTGAATAAGTAACGAAGTGATGTGAAATGAATGATTACGTTTATTTGCTGTAGGCAAGGAGAGTGATGGTGCTGCCAACAACGGTCCCGAGACCAAGCACTATGGCTGAGTAGATGGTGAAATTCTGGTGGTCGAGGGAGAAAGCAGGGCTTGTCTTGAGAGCGTTGTAGTTTCTGATGAGCCATGCCTTCAATTGTGCCCAAGTGGAGACCCCTGAAAAGCTGATGACGTGTGCTTCTGAAGACCCCGTTGGTTCCTCTTTTGGTGCCATTTCAGGCTTGGGAGGAGCACCAGCCAAAGCCCTCATTTCGTTGGAAAAAGCGTCCATCTTCTGCTGCACCTGAGCATCAAAAGCATTGACAAGACGACGCCGCTTCCATGGCTCCACAAGAAACGTAGCCACTGTAAACAAAAGCACGTTAATCCCCATGATAATCCAAGTTCCCCACGTCAGCGCCTGTCTGATCTTGTCACTCCAAATTTGCTCCTCATGGTACCTGGTCAAAATCAGCTGAGTCAATCTGTTTTGAACAGAGTCAACCGCCAGTTCGGCGTCAGCCAATTGCTGCTCGGCCAGAGCCTCCTCTTGTTGGTTTGTGTGATCATTACGGTAAAGCTCTGTAAAACGTTCCACATCAACGGGGCTCCAGTTATGCTTTCTTGTCAAGAGCTCATTGATCTCTTTCTGTGAGTCAGACCGTTTCTGGATCGCCTCCAGGTACTTCACCTTGCACTTCTTCACAGCCTGTTTCTGGTTCTTGAGCTCACTCTCTAATTGGTCGACGGACTTTTTCAACTTTTCTATGCCCAGGTAACCTGTCACATCGTTAAGTGCCCGGGTGGCTCTAAAAATGGTCTCCTGGAGGTTTTCCATGTGTATCTCTAGTTTTTTGGAAAATTCGCTCCGGAGCTTCTCCTTCTGAGATGGAAGGTTCTTGATGTTGATGGAGAAAGCTGGCTGGGGCTTTGGATCACTGGCCACTACCGTATCAGCTTTTTTTGTCTCTTCAACCTTTGGTATCTGAGGCTTCTGTTCTGTCTGTCTTTTGGCTTCTTCAAGTTTTTGGGCAACCCCCATATTAGAAGTCTCTATTATCTGTCGTAGCTTCGAGTCATCATAGGATGAATACCGTCTGGGCCATTGAACCCTGAAACATTGTATATTGACGAGTCTCACATGCCTAAGATTCATGCTTAGAAGCATTGTGGTAGAGAGGCAGACCGGCTATGTTGATCTCGCGAACCACCGAGGTCGCACTACCCCAGACTAAGGGAATACAAATACATTAACTAGAACATACGTAATCATACAAGAGCACGACGGCGGCCACGTGGGTCGACCTAAAAGTTTTTATCAATCAACTCGCGGGCCATCTTCCAGTCGGACGACTCGACATAGTCCAACACAATGATACCGCTGCCCTTGCCAAAACTGTCCTGGAGCTTGTGCTCCTCCATGGCCTTAGCCACCTGCTGGGGCCAGCAGTCACGGTCAAAGAAGTTGGAGCCGGAGCAGAAGTTGACGAAAAGCTTGCCGTCGCCTTTGCTCTTGTTGTGCTCGCTGGCCTTCTTGGCCAAGCTCTTCACAAAGTCCACCTTCTTGGAAACGTCGTCCAGCTTCTCAATTTCACAGAAGTCCTGGACGCAGAAGGCACCACGGTCGTCCTCCGTACAATTGTACTTCCACGTGTGGGCGTCAAAGCCAAACTTGCTCTTTCTGTCCTGGTTGTTGTCGCCGAAACGTCTGAAGAGGATAATCTTGCCTCTGGCGTCGCCCAACTTGGGCAAGTCGCTGCCCTGGTAGAACTTGTCCTTGTTTGGCTGCCAGTACTTGTCCCAGATGACATTGCCAAACTCGTCCTTGCTGTGGTCCCACTCGCCGGTACCTTCCTGCTTGATGGAAAGGATGACCGTCTCGGACTTGTTCTTGTCCAAGAACTTGGTAATCTCCTCCATGGTGTCGGAGAACTTCTTGGGGAAAGGAATACGCACGGGGAACTTGCTGTGAACGACAGTCAAGTCATTGGCATCATTGCCGGACTTCAATGGGTACTTGCCCACTCTAACATCCAAGAAACGGACACCGTGCTCCAATTGTTCAGTCACGGACTTGCCCTGACACTGAACAGAGGGTAAAGCGGTATGGCATGCTGCCGAATTGTGGGTACCAGGAATCGAAAGCGATCCGATTTTGGTGTTGTCGTCGATATCTTTCAACCAGGTTTTGTAGTCAACCATTTTGGGCGAGCGGTGTTAGACGGGAATGTGTCCATTTATATGTCACGGTATGCACCGAAGCAAGGGAATGATAGGCCGACGCATTGTAGTGCAGGCATGGGGACGTGGGGCTGAGTCTTGGCTGCGAATCTCACAAAGGTTATTTCCAAATGTCCTGGTAATTTAGACGGCCCTGGGTTTCGGGAACAAAGAAAATGACGGTTATGACGTAGACGGCGCAGATTATGGAGAAAACGAAAAAGTCGTAGTCTTTTACTCCCCTTTGGAGCTGGGGGAATCCGTATGCCACCACGACATTGGCAGCCCAATTGAGCATGGTTCCAAATGACTGGGCCACTCCGACGGTTTCATGGCTCAGAAGCTCGCTTACCATCAAATTGGGTATCTGGCCTAGGCCTATAGAAAATCCCGTGACAAAGATAAAGCAAGAAACGGCCGCAACGGCTCCGCGACCGCCTAAAATGGAGGACGAGATCAGCGCTGCCACTATGCCCATTATGGCAAGAGAGGCCACGAGCAAGGTTTTCCTGCCGAATTTGTCGATAAAGGGCAGCACCGCAAGCATGGCTACAACGTTGCAGAGCGCTAGGCTCAGCATGATGTAGAGCACGTTGGTGCCTTTTGGAACCACATTTTCAAGAATCAGCACGCCGTAGAAATTGATGGCATTCATGCCGCAAAGCTGCTGAGCCGTCATGATAAGGCCTACCGCAACCACCTCTTTGTGGTACAGAGTGCTGCAGATATACTGTAGCATTGAAACGGAACTGGGGTCGATGGAGCCTCTGCGGGACTTGGACGGGGTCAATGGCGTGAATGTGCTGGGGGTTTCCTCCTCTATAAGCGGCAGCTCCTCGCATACACCTACCTTGGGGCGATTTCTCATTTCTCTCCAGTGCTGGATTTCGTGATTCACCAGCAGCAGCTCGGACCGAAGCGTGTGGAGGGTTTGAGTCGCTTTTGAATAGTTGCCTTTGTGAGTTATCATCCATTTGGGCAGCTCAACGATGGTGAAGAGGAGGATAAGCTGGGCCAATGCAAGAAACGCTCCAAATGCAAAAATCCACCGCCATTGGTCTACATTGCCCCACGGGAGAGCAGTTAGAAAAGCGGTTAAAATGCCAAGGGCAACGCCAAACTGCAACAAGGAGCCCATGAGTCCACGATGGTTGAGCGGAGCGAGTTCGTTGACCATGATAGGTGCAACCACAATTGACACGCCCAGGGCCATTCCGGTGAGGGCCCTACCGGCCAAAAACACCCATTTCGTATTTGCAAGGCAAAGAAGCATTGATCCGAGCAAAAACACGGCAGAACACGCTTTCTGGATGCGTTTTCGGCCTGCAATCAACGAGACAAAAGGAGACCCCGCCACCACCGACGAAACCAAGCCGCCGAGCGTGAACATGGTGCTCATGAGGGCGATGTCGTTGGCGTCCATGGGAATGCAGCTTTGGCGGCCCCAGGAGCCCCAGAATGTTTCCGTGGCATACTCGTCTCTGGAGCATGCGATGATCTTGGATGGGGCGTTTGTCACGGCCAAATGGAATCCAAATTGGATGGTGCTGAAGGAGTTGATGGAGGTGGCCCAGGCGAGTGCCGGCGTGACCCTGTGGGCCTGGTAGAGCGGGTGGGCCATGTATGGAAAGAGGTGGTTATTTGATTTGACGTTTTACCGTTGGACTGCACCGACAAGATAAGATAAGAGATGAGAGCGTTGATAGTCCATGCAACTACGCGGCGGTGAAAAAAAAATCCCAGATGGGTGCAAGAAAAAGCAGGAACAGCAGACCAAAGATTGTGGATTTTCCGCTCAATCCGCAAAACCGTGAATTCCAACATTTAGCCATTTGGGCTCAGGTGGGCCGCGCTCCACAGATCTTCTGCGCATAGAACAACAAATACCAAGAAGTGTCGTGCGATTGCTGGCGATGTTTGCTTGCTAGCAAGCGTTTTGGCGAGCAGCATGATCGAAGAATCTAACGTAGATGATGCAGGCGGAGCTGCCGCTACCCCAGGAGGCACGGCTCACTCTGGAAAAAAAAAATAGCCTTATTCAAACAAATCGACACAGGAGGTGGTCAGGCCTATTTTCAGACACGCAGGGTGGAGCGGCCCCACAGAAGCCGCAGTGTGAAAAACAAAAAGTGGAATTCTTCACTTTCGCAGCCAGTCAAACATCACAGCGTTCGAGCGAGATTTGGCTTAGCTAGGAGGTGGCATGGGCAGAGGCTTTCGAGGCGGTGTTGGTGGAAAAAAAAGTAGAATCACCAGCTTGTGATGAAACCTACACGAGGCTATGAAAGCCGGTTTCGGATCTTTCGATCTCGGGGCTGTGGGTGCTCGTTTACATCCGAGTGGCCTTGGCAGAGTCCCCAGGGTACCCGGATCCCTGAACCCAGACTTTTCCAAGACTTTTTCTTGTACTGGTCCGGCACTTTTTATACGGGAAGCGGCTCCACTTTCTTTCTTGGGCACCCGTTCATTGTTGCCACCCGATCAGTTACATTCGTTTTTTTTTTCTCCATGGTCAGCTAGTTGGTACTCCTCCGACTGTTGCTCGTATGGCCTCACGCTTGCGGCCGCGACCTCCATAGTACCGCCGAGCCCCTCCGGAAATGCACCAATAAAAAGGCTCTATTTTCAGATCTCCCCCCAAAACCGACCCCCACGATTCCAGGAAAACCTCTCAATCCCATTTAACCTTCTCCCGCCGTGGTCCTCTCCTCCCTCTGGCGATCGCTGGCGCTGTGGATTTACTGCCGACCTGCACACAATCACAGCCCTGCCCTCAGAAAGCCCCGATTGATTGTGGCCCGGCCCAATACGCACAGCGCGGTGTCGTCATCTCCATTCCATCGCATCTTGCTCCTGGTACTTCTTTGCCCTTTCCTCCACCTTTCTTATCCGGCTACTTCTCCGGGTTTTCTGGCCTTTTTCTTCTGTCAATCCGCCTCCACAATCCTGCCATGTTCCTCTTCAAAAAGAAGGACAATCGGAAAGCCGGCATCCCGACCAAGGGTTCCGCCAAACCCGTTCCTCCTCCAAAAGCAAAATCCCACTCGGACCCCCAGGATATCCCCAAAACCGGAAGAGACTTCCTCAAGGAGAGCCAAAATAAAGATCTCCCTCGAGAGCCCCGGTCTCCCAGAGACCCTGCTTCTCCATTGAGACCTCCTCGTCTCAACACAACCAACATCAACAACCTGGCAGGGACCACGCCACCAGGACATGGGAACAACCCGCTTTCCGCTCCTTCCTCCCCAATTAGTCGACGCCTGGGCTCCGAAAGGCTCGCCCCGGCCTCTTACTTGAGACACTCGAGAGTGCTTTCCATGTCCAGCAACACCAACCTGGCTCTCGATGCCGACCTGCTCCGGCCTCTGAGATCGCTCCGCCGTCGTATGAAGACCATTCTGAGCGACCTTCCTCCCGAATTGCTGCCTGTAGTCAATTTGATCAACGCACAGCGCTTGCGTACATACATTAGCGGTTCCTTGTGGCTCAAAGAGCAGGGCTCCTCTGAGTGGCAGCCTGCCGAGGCTACCTTGACCGGAACCGAATTGGCCTTGTACATTGACGGCTCCAGCAACCCACGATACATCAACATCCAGGATTGCAGTGTTTTGGTGGGAAACAACGTCGACTCGTACTCGTACGACTTGACCATCTTGCAAGACTTCGACAACCACCAGAAGGTGCTCCGCTTCGACGTCCAGCAGGATCTTCTCAATTGGCTCGCCGCGTTGCACTTGGCCAAGTACGAGCAAACATCCTTGAATGAGGCTTTCACTGCAGTGATACTCTCATTGAAGGGTCCAGAGCTCCTGGACATCTTCACGCTTTTGGCCCACAAAAAGCGTTTTGCCCGTTTTGAATGGTGCAATTTGCGTTTGCCCCAGGTTTCCTCAAAGTGGATCAAGACCTACATGGCCATCATCCCCGGCGACGGCAAGAAGAAGGGCCGGGTGGAAATCTACACAAATGACAAAATCAACAAGAAATCGTTGATCATGTACGTCAACGATGCCGATGCCGTCTACAACGTCTACCCTGAGGACCACCGCATGATCGACAGCAACGGAATCATGAAATTGGAGGGCCAGGTGTTTGTCAATAAGGACTACGAGCACTTGTTCTCTGGAGCTTCTTTGTCCGGTGCAAACACCCCAGTTGGATCTAAACTTGGTTCAAGAACGGGCTCCAACACATCGCTCAGCTCCCTTGCAGCTCCAGCCCCTGTGCAGCTGGGCAACCGTTCCAGAAGTACGTCGGTGAACTCTTCTCACTCGTTCTTCATGAACTCGCCCACACCCAACAAAACTAACAAGGAGCAGCTTACTCCAGGCTCGCCTCCACGCAATACTTTTTCTCATTTCTACAAGAAGCAGAGTGTGAACAAGTTTGTCTGCACGAACTACATCTACTTGATGCCCATCCCACACCCGGGTGTCTCTGCAATTGAGATCATGATCAGAAACTTTGTTCACATCGTTGATGCATTCAAATTGTACGGTCGTCCAAGCCATTTGAACAGCGATAAGAAAAATACCATCTCCATGCTCTTCGGCTTGCCCTCATTACCACACTACGGGTACTTGGCCACCGAAGACGCCTTTGATCTTGTTGAGGCAAACTTCGATACTGCTCGGATCCAGAACTGGACCGAATTGGAGTGGCGCAATTGTCTCAAGGAGTACTTGCTGTGCAAGCAGGCTGACGGGCCCTACAAGGGGTTCGGCAATATCGCCGATCTTTACGATGCCATGGAAGGTGAGCTGCCTACGAGTGAGATCGACTCCCAATTCGGTGGTATGTTGTCGCCTAAAATCACCTTCCCACATGGCGCTTCCCGTGTTGCCAGTCCACCACCTGTCAACTCCCGTCTTTCTCAGAGTTTCCTGAACGACCAGTTTGGTGGTGAGATTGGCCATTTACTGTTGAACGACACCCAGAATCAAAATAGCGGCATTGCGCCTGCGCTTAAGCTTAACGATAACAAGTTTTTGGGCGGGCCTTTCGAATATAAAGATGGAGACCCAAACCCCCGGTCCCAGGATGAGATGCTTCGGTCGCTTGAGCCCATTGTGGATTTGCCCACGCCGATGGACGACAAGCATGCGGTGAGCAACTACTTTGGCGGGAAGGATGGCAAACTCGTGAGTTCATGAGCGCCAGGCGTTAATAGTTTCATTTCTTTGGTTAGTCATAGATTTTTGTTGAGTGACAATTGCTGTAGTCTTGAGTTCTGTTGATCTAAGCTTTGATCGGAGTGGAGAGTGATGATTTACGTCTTACCGAGAATATCGACAAAATCTTGAAATTGTCTAACAGAAGTGGAGGATACAAAAACCGTGAATAAAACTATTTCATGGCGCCAGTTTTTCAATTTTGCAACTCTTCAAAAGTAAAAACGCTTCAGTCTGGAAAATTGACATTGACTCGTCAAAAGAAAGCCGACTTGTGAGACATTCAACCCGGCCATCCCTAGATCCACGATCCATTTTCAATCGTCAAGACATCCCGTCAACAAAAATCAAAACGATTCACGATCCCAGCAACATCTTATTTCTTTTTCCTCAAATTCTCTGAGTCACAATCGTTACCATTGTACCTGGCCGCATCGGCTGTCAGCTGATGGATCCGATAACCGTATCCGCAAACCCACCACAATGGACCGATACAAAACGTGGAGATCACAATGTACAAATTACCGAATCCTGAACAAACGCCAGATTATTCCCGAACAATTTCACATCCTGAATATTTTCAATCCTGAATAAAGCAGACTTGACAATTTATTCCTGGACATCTTACACACACACTGGAGGCCTGCTTGAAGCCAGGCGGAATGAACATCGCACAATGGCTAATGTCCGTGGCATGACGAATGGGGCAATGTATCATATGGAAACTACGCCTCAACTCGAAGATAGAAGGGTCAATTGGATTAGATTTTTGGTGAGTCAATTCGGGTCAGTCAATTCTAGATATCGTCCGATGACAAACCAGCAAGAATTCACCTACAGGTGCAAACATTACTAAATGCACTTAGTCAAGTCACAGTCATTTGCGGCTCTGAACCTTTCTCAGTAAAAAGTCTCTCATTCGGACATGCACCTGCCATTTGCAGCCACACAGAATCAAACCCCTCCTGGAAAAAACCATGTTTTCTTCTTTTGCAGCCACTCGCAAGCCCCACCGATTTCCGTTATCCTCTCATAAATCAAACCGAAGACGGCGCCGCAAGCTCCTAACAGACGTGGACCGTGTTGTTTACAGATTGTCCTGTGGTACGTGTAGCGCGAGGCACTCAGGGTTCCTACCTGGGACTGGAGATAAACATTGGTGCGAGCCAGCCCCCAGGAGGGCTTTCGAGAAGACCGAGATTTCTCACGCCACAGAGGGGCCCCGAAGCTCAGATTACACCAAAATGATCAGAAAAAGTGGCGCTTTAAAACGAACAAAATATCATCACGTAAATCGCCTCGAGGGTGGGAAATTTCATAAGGGGGGACGCGTGGCGCGTGGGTGCGCGCATCACGTGTATGGTCTTGTTTGCTTCACATCTCAAAACATGGCCGCATCGGAACACCAAAAAGTATTTAAGTGCGCCGTTTCCTCCCGTTTTCTTCAGCATCCATCTCACATTCTTCACAACATGTCCATCCAGCAAACACCAACCAACGGCTTGACCGGCAAGATCTCCTCCCTCGACATGACCAACGCCAAGGGCTCCTCCTTGACCGACAAGTTGGCTGCTGAGGCTGCCCAGAAGGACGGTACTGGTGCCGCCGACTCTTTGGCCGGTAAGCCCATCAGCAAATCCCTTGAGATTGACGAGACCGCCGTCGCCAAGGTCGCTCAGGAAATCGAGGAGGCCACCAAGGAGCACCAGGAGTTCTTGGCCTCCCACAAGGTCCAGCGCCACAAGTTGAAGGAGCAGGAGGCCGACGAGCCTTTGTTGATCGAGAACAAGCGTCGTTTCGTCTTGTTCCCCATCAAGTACCACGAGGTCTGGCAGATGTACAAGAAGGCCGAGGCTTCCTTCTGGACCGCCGAGGAAATCGACTTGTCCAAGGACATGGGTGACTGGAACAAGTTGAACGAAAACGAGCGTTTCTTCATCTCCCGTGTGCTCGCCTTCTTCGCCGCTTCCGACGGTATTGTCAACGAGAACTTGGTTGAGAACTTCTCCGCCGAGGTCCAGATCCCTGAGGCCAAGTGCTTCTACGGTTTCCAGATCATGATGGAGAACATCCACTCCGAGACCTACTCTTTGTTGATCGACACCTACATCAAGGACCCTAAGGAGGCTGACTTCTTGTTCAACGCCATCGAGAACATCCCATGTATCAAAAAGAAGGCCGACTGGGCCCTCAGATGGATCGCCGACGACAACGCCTTGTTCGCCGAGAGATTGGTTGCCTTCGCCGCCGTCGAGGGTATTTTCTTCAGTGGCTCTTTTGCTTCTATCTTCTGGTTGAAGAAGAGAGGCTTGATGCCAGGTCTTACCTTCTCTAACGAGTTGATCTGCCGTGACGAAGGTTTGCACACTGACTTTGCCTGCTTGTTGTTCTCCCACTTGCAGAACAGACCTGACGCGTCCATCGTCGAGAAGATCATCACCGAGGCTGTCGTTATCGAGAAGGAGTTCTTCACCGACGCCTTGCCAGTTTCCTTGTTGGGTATGAACGCCAACTTGATGTGCCAGTACGTTGAGTTCGTCGCCGACAGATTGCTCGTTGCCTTGGGCAACAAGAAGGTGTACAACGTTACCAACCCATTCGACTTCATGGAGAACATCTCTTTGGCCGGTAAGACCAACTTCTTCGAGAAGAGAGTCTCTGACTACCAGAAGGCCGGTGTCATGGCTAAGAGCAATGACAACAGCAGCAACAGCAAGACCTTCACCTTTGACGAGGACTTCTAAGTCTCGACGCTTCTCACACTGTTACGAATTATTAATTAAAAAAAACTGCATGGGTTCGGTTTGCTTTTTGCTGTTAGCTTTGTTTTTTTACGGTTCACTAGCGCCTAAATGGCCGCTGTTTCATTTCTAATATATCACGTCTACGACTAGAGCTGTAGGATTATGATTTTGTAGGAGCCTTGACCGAGACTTTTCGGGACTGTTGTGCACGAGACTCCCTACTGTGCAAAGACATAAGTACGTTCCAGACCCAAGGGGCATGAAAGCTAATTCAATTTAGTGAACAAACAAAAAGCCGAATGTTTTCATTTAAAAGGTTTTGTTCCTTCCAGGTGTGCCCAGGTTATACTTTGACAGACGTTATCGATCCTGCCTGTTAGCCTCATCATCACCACTACTACTCTTCATGGGAAAAGGAAAGAACAAACAAGCCGAGGACCGTTCATCCAAAAGCCGTACCTCTAATGGGCATAAATCAAAGCAACATCATGTGAGAAGAGGACGTCAAGAAGAAGGCAGTCAAAAAACCGCTGCTGATGCAAAGTTCCCTGTGAAACTAGCCATGTGGGATTTTGACCACTGTGATCCCAAAAGATGCTCTGGCAAAAAACTAGAAAGGCTAGGGTACATCAGAAACATGAGAGTCGGGCAGAAGTTCCAAGGTATTGTTGTCTCGCCAAATGGTAAAGGTGTGGTGTGCCCAGATGACAAGGAGATAGTTGAGAGCTTCGGTGCAGCTGTTGTGGAGTGTTCATGGGCTAGACTAGATGAGGTGCCTTTTAACAAAATAGGGGGTAAACACGAGAGACTTCTACCTTACTTGGTTGCAGCCAATACGGTGAATTATGGCAGGCCATGGAAGCTCAACTGCGTGGAAGCACTTGCAGCGTGTTTTGCTATAGTGGGCCATATCGACTGGGCCGAGGAGCTTTTGCAAAACTTCTCGTGGGGTCTCACTTTCTTGGACATTAACAAGGAGTTGATCGAAGTGTACCAGCAATGCACGGATTCTGCTTCTGTTGAGGAGGCTCAAGAGCAGTGGATGGCCAAGTTGGAGGAGGAAGTGAAGCAGAGAAAGGAGCAGAGTGCCACGGGTGATGTGTGGATGATGGGCAATGTCAACCGTCAGGGTGACAGTGATGCAGAGACTGAGAGTGAAGTGGATAGTCTTGGGAACGAGAAGAAGGTGGATGCTTTTGGTAACTTTGTGGATGAGAGTGAGAGCGAGAGTGAGGAAGAGGAGGTGGAGTACGATAAGCTTGGAAACGTCATTGAGAAGGGATCCGGAGTTGACGAGGCTACAGGAGCCATGAAAGCATTGGAGATCGATGCTTAGAGGCATCAGCCACATTTCAGCCACACGGCACCTCGTCAGCTTGTACCAACTCGGTACATTTCCAATTGTCATGGGCTTTCGAAGTTCGAACCTTTGTTATCCCACTGCATCAAGTGCTCATACATCGACGTACGGACTTTCAGAGCATTCAAACCTCACACAACACCTCTTTCGACAACAAACACCAATGTTGACACAAGGGCTACCCCCGCCAAAGCTCTTGACCAGCTCCTTGCCATATTCGCTGATATCATTCCAGGGCTCTATGGCGTTTGTAGCCAAGGTTCCGGCACATTGCTGTGGGGTCGAGCCTCGCTTAGAGTTAGCCTTGTTGGGCCCCACCTTGTCCGAAGATGCCCCACAAGCCTTTGTCTATGGGAATTTTCGGACGTTGGGATAATGAGGAACTCCACGTCGAAAAGCTTTGAATCGATATTGGCGACAATAGTATGATGATGTACCCAGGCACAACATCTTTGAATGAATAGACCTGGTCCTGCCCACGGAATCATGAAAATCGCCAATAACCTACTGACGTCTTCCTACCCTCGTAAATGCATCCACAGCAGATTACTGGCCATGTCCAGATTTCTCCTGTCCACTTCTTATCTATACATTTTTCGAGACTCGGCACGGCACTTGGTAAATACGATGGCTGCAAAAGTGCGTATCCGACGAGGTGGGGGTGGAGAACAATGAACGCGCCACTACCAAGACGGCACATCTTCGATTGAGTTTCCCAAGCTTTGCAGGAATATAATGGCCACAAAACATACCAAGCTTCGCCAGGTCTTTGTAATTTTTCCAACATTCACCACTTTCATTCTTGGACCACTTTGTTTTTTTCAATTCCGCTCTGGCAGCGAAATGCGAGTATCACCGCTCGATAAATGCCACACAAAAAACCGGTGAAGCACAAAACCACCCCACTTGGCAGCGCTCGCCAGTTGTTCTCTTCGTCCTTGTATAAAAAGATCAACAGATCCTTCGGAAGACCACGATTTCCTTCACTATTCTCACGTGACTCTCTTTCCTGTTTCCCCGGATCTTATCAGTACCGAGACCTACTCCGAATTTTTCAGCCTAGTCACTTTTCCACTTCATGGCTTACTCAGACCTCAAGGGCATCAAAATCGCCATCGATAGAGGCGGCACCTTCTGTGATGTCATTGCCAAAATCCCCGGTCAGGAAGACTACGTGTTTAAGCTCTTGTCTGTGGACCCACTCAATTACAAGGATGCACCCACTGAGGGAATCAGGAGAGTGCTTGAAAGAGCCCACGGTGTGACCATCTCGCCAACGGAGAAATTGACCATTGATTCAATTGATTCGATCAGAATGGGTACCACCGTGGCCACCAATGCCCTTTTGGAGAGAAAGGGTGCTTCTGTGGCTTTGGTCACCACCAAGGGTTTCAAGGATGTCTTGAAAATTGGCAACCAGACCAGACCGCATATCTTTGACTTGACTGCTCGCAAGCTCGGCCACTTGTACCTGGAGGCCTTGGAGATCGACGAAAGAGTCACCATGGAGCTGTTCACCGAGGGTGGAGGTGACAAGCTAGACTTTAATGTGGAGAATGATCCCGAGCTCAAAACTGCTGTTTCGGGAGACATCATCAGAGTGCTCAAGGAGCCTGATTATGGTGCTGTGGAGACTCAATTGCAGAAGCTTTGGAGCGAGGAGGGTGTCAAGACCTTGGCCTTGTGCTTGTTGCACTCCTATGCCTACCCTGAGCACGAGAGAAAGATTGCCGATATTGCTAAGAAAATTGGATTCACTGTCTCTGTTTCCCACGAATTGCAGCCCATGATTGGCATGGTGAACAGATGTTCTTCTACTGTGGCAGACGCCTACTTGTCTCCAGTGATCAACCAGTACATCCATAGTTTTGGCGAAGGTTTCGAAGGCGGCCTTGACGCTTTTGGCAACAAATTGCTCTTCATGCAGAGTAACGGTGGGTTGTGTCCATGGTACAAGTTCACCGGTCTCAAGGCCATTTTGCTGGGTCCAGCTGGTGGTATGGTGGGTTACGGTGAAACCTGCTACGATAACGAGAAGGATGTTGCAGTTTTGGGTTTCGACGCTGGTGGTACGTCCACCGATGTTTCACGTTACGCTGGTTCCCTTGAACATATTTACGAAACCGTCGTCAACCAAGTGCAGTTGCAAACTCCTCAATTGGACATTTCCACTGTCGCCGCAGGTGGTGGATCGATGCTTTTCTGGAGAAACGGAATGTTCGTTGTTGGCCCTGAGTCGGCTGGTTCTGACCCTGGCCCAGCTTGCTACCGTAAGGGCGGTCCATTGACAGTAACCGATGCAAACTTATTCTTAGGCAGATTGTTGCCTGACTATTTCCCTAAGATTTTCGGCAAAAACCAGGATGAGCCTTTGGATGTGGAAATCACCAGAACGAAGTTCTTGGAACTCACCGAACAGATTAATAGCGAGGGTTCTTCGTACACTGCCGAGGAAGTGGCTTCTGGATTCTTGAAAGTGGCTGTTGAGGCCATGGCAAGACCAATCAGAAACTTGACTGAAGCCAAGGGTTTCAATGTTTCTGACCATAATCTTGCTTCGTTCGGCGGTTCTGGTGGTCAATTCTCCGTCAGTTTGGCCAAGAACTTGGGCATAAACCAGGTGGCTATCCACCAATACTCTTCGTTGCTTTCTGCTTACGGTATTTACGTTGCCGATATCGTCATTGAGCAGCAGTCGCCAGCATCTTTCTCCTACAACAAAACGAACTTGCCTAAAATCGACGAGAAGGTCAAGCAACTCACCGAAGCTGCTTACAAGGAATACGAGCTGCAGGGACACACAGGCTTCGATACTAAGGTGGAGGTCTTTTTGAATATGAGATATGTTGGATCTGATACCCATTTGCTTATCTTGAACGACGGTGCCAACGATGCTGATGAAAAATTCATCGACAGACACAGAAAGGAGTTTGGATTCTCCTTGGACAGAAAGGTTATTGTGGACGACATCCAGGTTTTGTTGATTGTCCAGTCCAAGGACAAGCTGTCGAGCAATCCATACGAAGAATACAGAGCCGTTGCCGACCCTGAAGTTGCAGCTGCCTCTAGTGTGGTCAAGAAGCTCTATTTCGAGGAACCTGGCTGGCAGGATGCTAACATATATGAACTTCACCAATTGAAGCCCGGAATGATTGTAAATGCCCCTGCGGTTATCATTGACAGCACCCAGACCATTATTGTGGAACCTGGCTCGAAGGCTGCTATTTTGAAGGAGCACATCCTCCTTCTTGTTGAACAGGAGCACAGAGTCGAGGTATCCAAGGATGAGATTGACCCTATTCAGTTGTCTGTTTTCGGTCACAGATTCATGTCCATTGCCGAACAGATGGGCAGAACGTTGCAGCAAACCGCCATTTCCACCAACATCAAGGAGAGATTGGACTTTTCTTGTGCTCTTTTCGATAAAGAGGGTGACTTGGTGGCCAATGCTCCCCATGTTCCTATCCATTTGGGTGCCATGTCTTTTGCCGTGAAGGCTCAAAAGGAAATGTGGGAGGGCAAGCTTGAGCAAGGCGATGTTCTTGTCACAAACCACCCATGTGCTGGTGGATCGCATCTTCCAGATATCACTGTGATCACTCCAGTGATCAACGACCAAGGTGAGACGCTTTTCTGGACTGCTTCTCGTGGTCACCATGCTGATATTGGTTCTATCGCTGCTGGATCCATGCCACCTAATTCGAAGTCTATCTACGACGAGGGCGCTTCCATCATCACACACAAGTTGTGTTCTAAGGGTAAGTTTGACGAGGCTGGTATTACCAGACTTTTGCTTGACGAGCCTGCCAAGCACCCAGGTGGATCTGGAACCAGAACATTGAACGACAACATTTCTGATTTGAAGGCTCAGGTCTCAGCCAACTTCAAGGGTATCACTTTGCTCAACCGCTTGGTGGATGAGTACACTTACCCAGTGATCAGTTTGTACATGGGCGGGATCCAGCAAACTGCTGAGCTTGCTGTCAGAAACCTTCTCAAAACAGCCTACCAAAAATTCGATGGTCATCATTTACAGGCCAAGGACTACTTGGACGATGGTACTCCAATTGCTGTTGAGATTGCTATTGACCCTGAGACGGGAGATGCCACTTTTGACTTTAGAGAGACCGGTGACGAGATGTACGGCAATTTGAACGCTCCAAAGGCTATTTTGTACTCTGCCGTGCTTTATGTTTTGCGTTCATTGATCAGCTCAGACATTCCATTGAACAACGGATGCCTCCAGCCTATCAAGTTTTTGACCAGAGCCAGCTCTGTGGTGGATCCTTCGTACGAGGCTGCCGTTGTTGGTGGAAATGTCGAAACCACACAGAGAATTGTGGATGTCATGTTGAAGGCTTTTGAAGCTGCGGCTGCTTCTCAGGGTACATGTAACAACTTCACCTTTGGTATCAACGATAAGGAAAGAGGAATTTCATTTGGTTACTACGAGACGATCTGCGGTGGTGCTGGTGCTGGAGCTACCTGGGACGGTCAAAGCGCTGTTCAATGTCACACCACCAATACCAGAATCACCGATACCGAGCTTTTCGAGAAACGTTACCCTGTTATCGTTCACGAGTACAGCATCAGGGAAGGGTCTGGAGGAGAAGGTGCCCACAAGGGAGGTGACGGTGTGATCAGAGACATCGAGTTCACCTACGACAACTTGGAGGTTTCCTGTTTGATGGAGCGTCGTTCCTTGGCTCCATTTGGCATTTTGGGCGGCAAATCCGGTCTCAGAGGTAAAAACACTTTGATCAGGAAACTGCTGAACGGCAGAAGCGTTTATCTTGGCGGCAAGACCACCGTCAAGGTCAAGAAGGGTGACCATGTCATCATCATGACTCCAGGAGGAGGCGGATTTGGGCTGTCTGCCAACGGCGTGGCAAAAAAGAGAAAAGTGGATTTTGCAGTGAAAAGCACTACGCCAAGTATCCTCACCGGTTCTGCAGGTATTCGTCAGCAGACTCAGGAAACGAACTAAGTAGTGTGTCTAGTACATAGTAGTAAGTGGACCCCAGATTATCAACTTCGCACCCATAGAGTGCAACGTAACTTTCCAGCACTAACCATGAGCGGGAGGCAGAAGCACCTACCGCTTCTATATAACCCGCTTCTCAATGCTATATTCAACAATCCTCATCACGCCAAGGCGGCCATTCGTTCGACCATCAACGAACTCAGCCTCAGTCATAATGACTACACGATCTTGGTTCCTCCAGGACACATTCTACGCAATTGCACCGAGCCTCTGGGGCTGAAGCTCGAGGAATTGTGCTATGACAGCGATGCGTTTCTCAAATCTCATATACTCAAGACGCTGGCGCCGTTCTCGACCACAATGGCACCTGTGACCAAGATCCAGCTGATCATCTACAATACCATGAACGGGAGGCAAGTGCTAGTAAAGAACGGCATGGTGTTCACCGGCAAGGGATTCAAGAGAAGCATAAAAGCGGAGGTCCTCAGCACGGACTATTTCATCACTTTCTGTGACTACTTCCCCAAGGGCAGCAAGGTGATGCTCTTGTACATCAGCGACTCGCTTTTTGGCCATCTGGGCGAGGAGTCAAAGGAGCTCCCACCGGAGCCTGAGCTCAGGGATAGACCCAGGAGCCACCGCTCTGTCACATTTGAGGAGCTTCTACGAAACTTTCCGTTGCTTTCGAAAGCCATGTCTGATCAGTTTTATGTGCTCTTCCACCACAACAATAGAAAGTTTGAACGGCTACGAGCGAGAACTGGGGTTTCGTTGGAAGAGGTAAGGCTGTTGTTTATGGCCATGGTCGAAGAAGCCTTCCTGATCGTGCAAAAGACAGTCAATGCCGAGTCTGCCGAGGGAGAACGTATCTCTAGGCTTTTGCATAACATCACCGTGCAGAACATGGACGTGGATTTAAACAATCTTGTTCACGAATACGTCGAGCTCAATGTCTACGACAAGGTGTGGGTCCAGCTTGTGAACCAGTTTGAGAAGACCCAGCATGAAGAAGATCCTTTGATGGTCCTTTCGTCAGCAGTCTACAACGATCTCTCCTGCCTTTCACTCAATCAACTTGACCTCCCGGTGGAGGAGCCATGGTATTTGAATGTCTTACATGCCAGAGTTGCTGCAGCCATAGCACAGTTCTCCAAGCTCAATGATCCGAGTGTGACGAATAGACGACAAAAAATCGATCTCATCAGAAATACAGTTGATATTTTGACTGAGGGCAAGGACGACTCCAACGCCAATCTAGTGGTAGATGCTGATACCCTTATAGGCCTCCTTATTATGGTGATAGTTCACCTGAAGGTTCCCAACTTGGAGGCTCATATCTACTACATTCGTCATTTTGGAATCGACTCAATTCAAAGTGGTGACGCTTCTTCGGAAAAGCATAGTGTTGGCTACCTCAACTACATTCTCAGCAATATCGATGCTGTGATCTACCATTTATCCGGTAAAGGCTCTGAGGGAATCCCCTACGACCACTTCCAAGAAATGTCCAAAGCATCATCGCAAAACTATAGCCTCTGGTACGCGATTCAAAAAGAAGACCTAACTGGTTTACAACGCTTGCTTGGTGATGTCGACGAACAATATTCTGGCAAGCAGCTTCCCAAAGACCATTTCCTTAAAAGCAGGAACATTCACGGCGAGAGCTGTTTCTGTTTTGCGATCCGAAGCAAGAATTTTGAACTATTCAAGACTTTGATTGATAGAACCTCTGAGTGGTTTCTGGTGGAAGATCTCATCTTCGATAGAAACACAACTACCGATCAGACTTTGATGATGGTTGCCCTTGTCGAGGAGAATAGCGACGTCTCACAGTATTTGCTATCTGTCATTCTTGCTGACACAACTGCAGAGGAACAGTGCCTATACTACAATCTCAAAGACAAAAGCGGAAGGACGTTGGGACATTATTTGGGCTACGATATCACCATACTAGAGCAGGTCGGCCCATATGTGGACTGGTATACAAAGGACAACAATTCACACACCCCACTCTTCAGTTTGTGCCGCCATTACGATCATCATGACTACAGAACACTAGTACAAAAAGCATTTGCATGTGTGTTCAAAAAATACCCAAAACCGTTGGCTCTTGACGAGCAGATTGATAAATACGGTAACACGTTTTTGCATGTCCTTGCTCGAGGTATTGCCGAAACAGGCATCCTCGAGACGGACAAAGCGTTGGTTGATGTCAACCATCTCAATGAAAAGCTTCTTTCACCGCTGGCGGTATACATTCGATACAGCAGAACAGAAAATCTTGCTTTGCTCATGAAGAACGATCTTTTCAACTTCTTTCAGGAGGACCAACGCAACTTTTACAATTTATTGGATTACTACAGCTTTTCGGCTGCGAAGGCTAGTAATGGTTCCAATAAGGCATTCGGTGAGGTGGAGCGAATTGTCATCGACAAATATTTCGAAGTCAACTACTCAAAACACAACGATATCCAACTTGGAGTTCTCAATGCACGCTACGACGGATCTGCCAACGATTGGATTATCAACACTGTGATGGTAAAACCGGGAACCGAGAAACCGATCTCCACTCAATACATCGCGATTGATAAGCTTCGCCAATTCACCAAACTTCAGAAAATGGCATTTCCACAAGGATTTGGCTTAGATGTCAACACTTTTTGGATCAACCATCCAGCTAACAAGCTGACCATTCCAGCGTGTTCGAAGTACCGCTCAAACAGATTATTAGAGCTTCTTACAATGTACTTCCAGGCAATGAACTTTCACTCGGATACATCAAAGTCTAAATTTCGGGGCAACTTTGCAATGTGCTGCGCCGATAGCAAGACCCTGACTTTAGAAATGATGAAGGACATTAACAAAGCACAAGAGAACGCCAAGGTGAGAAACGGAGAAGTCAAGTTCTCCTCGCAGAAGATCCAAGAAATTGAAATCTTCCTCGACTACTCTCTGAGTGACTTGTTAGGATTTCATTTGGAAATGAGCAAGCTCAACCAGATCCTTACAGTGACATCAATGAAGCAAAGTGATCTAAGAAATGTTTCTGACATTTTGTTGCGGCAAATCAAACTAGGAAGTACGAAGCATCTTGATGTAAGAGAGTTCAGAGCTCTTGACGCATCTTACCAGAAGCTTCAGTCGTATGCAAGCTGGCTTGAACTCTCGGTTAATGAACTTCTTCAGAATTGCCGGAAATTGAAAGAGAAGCTCCAGCTATGGAAGGAAATCTATCATGGTATCAAGGAGCTTAACAATGAACTTCATCGCTTTGAGGACCAGGTCAAAGTCACCCAGAATGGGGTCAATGAGGAAGCGGAGAGTGAGAGTGCTACCCGTACCATTTCTAGAAGAAGCACTACATCGTTAGATTCCGTTCCCTCGGAAACTCAAGAGGCTGGATCTTTCTTCAATTTCGGAATCATCGATAGCAAGAAATCAAAATACAAAAAGCTACTCATGACGAAGTCTGAGGAGGTGAAAAAAGTGATGAATCTAAATGCTGAGATCAAGATCGACCACGAGTTAATTGCAGCCGAGATCTCGCAGTTTTTGAGCTTTCGCTCCGGTTTCTTCAGCCTCGGCATCAAACAATTCTGCAAGACCCATTTGCTACTGTTACGCAACAGAAATCACGAGCTTGAAACACTCTTGTGGAGTATCAGGCGGCAGTAAGCCGTTTTGCACCCAATCTTTAAGGCGGACCCAGGAACATTCTGGAACACCCGTGCACCACACGCTGCAATATTGGGGCAAGGTGCATAAAATACTAGACACGACAGATCTAATCATTAACACTAGCATGTCTGTTTCTCACAAGGATTTGGCGTTGGCCATTATACAATTTTTGGAATCAAGTGTTTCCAACAAGACTGTCTCCGAGGAGTACGCTGAGTCCATGGATGTGGCCATCGACTGTATCGCCGATGCCTTCGAGGTTGACAAGGCTGAAGCCTCTCTGGTTGCCTCCAAGTTAGGTGGATTGTCTTTGCTCGATGCTGTCAACAACAAGTCAGCTGGTTCCGCTCCCGTGAAGGAGGAGACCATTGAGGTTGACGCCGAAACCAAGGCCAAGGCTGATGCTGCTAAGGCTGAAGGTAACAAGGCCATGGCTTCCAAGGACTTCGACACCGCCATTGCCAAGTACACCGAGGCTATTGCTTTGGACCCTACCAACGTGGTTTACTTGTCCAACAGAGCTGCTGCCTACTCTTCTGTTTCTCAACACGACAATGCTGTCAAGGACGCTGAGGCTGCTGTCAAGTTGAACCCTGAATTCTCCAAGGCCTACTCTAGATTGGGTTTGGCGCAGTACGCTTTGGGTAACGCCAAGGCTTCGATGGAGGCTTACAAGAAGGGTTTGGACGTCGAGGGTAGCACTCCAAGTGATGCCATGAAGAGAGGCTACGAGACGGCTAAGAAGAGAGTGGAGGCTGACTTGGAGAGCTCGATTGCCACCAGTGAGCCTGAGAACAGCGAAAGAAGCGAACCTTCTGGCTCTGGTAGCGGAGCCGGCGCTGGTGCTGGCGGAATGCCCGACCTCTCGTCGATGTTCGGCGGTGGAGGCGGTATGCCCAACTTGTCTGAAATGATGAACAACCCGCAGGTGATGGAGGCTGCTCAGAACTTGATGTCTAACCCTAATGCCCTTGAAGGTTTGATGGGCAACCCTGCTGTGCGTCAGATGGCCCAAAACATGGGTCTTGGAGGCGAGAACGGCGGAGGTATGCCTAACTTGTCCGAGATGATGAACAACCCTATGTTGCAGAACATGGCCCGTAACTTTATGGGTGGCCAGGGCGGCAACCAGGGTGGCAACCAGGGCCTGGGCAGCAGCGAGTAAGCTGATACTAAAAATTCAATCTCATACATGAACCATACATAGCGATACATAGTCCTGATAAACGCGTACACTGTGATACCTACGTGCACTCCTTCTATTTACTCCATCGGTTTCTCCTACAACACATTCTTAACAACGCTGATCCAGCCCTTTTTTTCCCCAAAGAGCCTTTTATGACTACTGCTCGACAATCCTCCATCACGGTGGCAGTTCGAGTACGGCCGTTTACTCCTGCGGAAGCCAACAAACTCATACAAATACCAGGAAAGCCGCTTTTCATTGGAGATGGGGCACTTTCTGGAACTCTGGAGAGTACAAATGCTGAAGAGTCAGCAAAAGCTAACTTGATTCCACGTGGAATCAGGAAAATTGTTGATGTTGTTGACGACAAGATGCTCATTTTCGATCCTCCAGCAACAAACCCACTCACATCCATGCAACGAAATGCTTTTCCCAACGGCAACATGAGAGCACGAATAAGGGACTATCGGTTTGTTTTCGATAGTCTCTTCGATGAAAACTCACTGCAAGAGCAGATTTACGAGAGCACCACCAAACCTCTCTTGGACAGCATATTGGATGGCTACAACAGCACCGTTTTCGCCTATGGTGCTACAGGCTGTGGCAAGACGCATACTATCTCAGGATCTCCGTCAAATCCTGGTGTGATTTTCCTCACGATGAAGGAGTTGTACGAAAGAATCGACTCATTGGCCGATACGAGGGTGTTCGATGTGAGCATTTCATTTTTGGAGATCTACAACGAAACCATCAGAGACCTACTAGAGCCTGAAACGCCTTCAAAGAAGCTTATTCTACGAGAAGACTGCAAGAAGCGAATCACAGTGTCAAACCTACTGTCAAGACTGCCTGCCTCGGTGGATGAGGTCATGGACTTGATTGTCTTGGGCAATGAAAACAGAACACTGTCCCCTACAGAGGCCAATGCTGCCTCGCTGCGTTCACACGCTGTGTTACAAATTAACGTCACTTCTCGGAGTCGTACAGCTTCCCTCGATCAGGAACACACGTTTGCTACACTTTCTATAATTGATTTGGCTGGAAGTGAGCGGGCCGCTGCTACCAAAAACAGGGGAGCCCGTCTCAACGAGGGTGCCAACATCAACAAGTCGCTTTTGGCTTTGGGAAACTGTATTAACGCCTTGTGTGATCCACGTCGCAAAAATCATGTTCCATATCGTGATCTGAAGCTTACCAGACTCTTGAAGTTTTCTTTAGGAGGTAACTGCAAGACTGTCATGATCGTCTGCGTATCACCTCTGTCCCAGCATTATGACGAGACTCTCAACACGCTCAAGTATGCTAATCGTGCTAAGGAGATCAAAACAAAGCTTATACGAAACCGTCAAAACTTGGACCGCCACGTTGGCTCTTACCTCAAGATGATCACGGAACAGAAACAAGAGATCGAGGAACTTAGGGAAAGAGAATCGAAGGTTATCGAAAAAACAATAGCCAAGCACAGCAAAGTGGTCGACAATTGCATTTTTGAAGTGCTCAAGAGTATTGAGACACTCAAAACAAATATAAACAAACAGCATCAGGAGAAATGGCGCAAGTGCTTTTCGCTTGCAAAACGCAAACTCCTTCTATTGCATCAGGAAGAGCTCCAAATCATGATACAGACCTTCAAAAAGTTACGCATATCCGACAGAAGATATACCCCATTTCTTGAAAAGTCGAAGCATCTTCAAATACAAGCAGAACAGCTTCTACAAAAGATCGACGAGCAGATTATCAACTTAGAAAAGATCTATGACCTGCCATCTGAGTTGGACAACATTTACTCAAAGACGTATGAGTTTAATCTCAAGAAATTTCAAGAAATGGAGGGTTGGTCGTCGCAACTCTCGGTCTTGTACGAAGGTATGGTGGTTACCGCCAAGGAGCATCTACAAAAAGATTTGTTGGTTAACTCATCTATATTATTCGACTATCTAGTGAGCGAATTAAGTGATTTCAACTTCTCAGCACACGGTATCTGTGAACTTGTGGGAACATATCTCATCCACTGTGAGGAGTCAACTATGGATCAAATGGTTGCGGCCATTACCAACATCACCAACATCATTGAAGCATACAACAACTCAGATTATGATATGGCCATCGAGAAAGCTACCTCGAGATTTATTCAGATGAAGTTGCAAAGGGAAGAACACGCTGAAGCAGTGCGTTCAATGAACGGAGCGCCAAATTTGCAGCCGAGAGATAAGAGAACGTCAACTTCGCCTCTACGTCTGTCACCCCCGAGAGCACGTAAGAGACCATCCAAGAACCATTACGATGGAGAAGCGGATATAAGTATGGACGATTCTTTTGTTAATCGGAGCGCAATGGAGGAAGACTCCTCTCCACCAGCTAGGAGTCTAAATGAGCACTCCGTTCTTGATGAAATAGACTTCAACCCTACAATCGAGTCACCGACAGCTCCAAAGACACAGAATATTCGGTCTCTCAACAGCGAGGATGTCTCGCTCCGAGCGCCATTGCTCAACAAGGAAGCAAGCACCAAAGTTGTTAGGAAAGAGATGATTCCTTTGACGAGTGAAGATCTTCTGAGGGATGCAAACGTTCACTAGCCGTCAGTCGCATAATCTACATCTATTGCATATTTCGTCATGCCTTGCTTTGCAAGGACAAAATCATTTATTTTATACTGTCGTAACACATAGTGAACTTAGTAGCCGCTTCTGCCAGAACCAGAGGAACCGTAGTTGCCGGAACCAGAGCCAGAGGAACCGTAGTTACCGGAACCAGAGCCAGAGCCAGAGGAACCGTAGTTACCGGAACCAGAGCCAGAACCAGAGGAACCGTAGTTGCCGGAACCAGAACCAGAACCAGAGGAACCGTAGTTGCCAGAACCAGAACCAGAGGAACCGTAGTTGCCAGAACCAGAACCAGAGGAACCGTAGTTACCAGAGGAACCGTGGCTAGAGGAGCCATAGCCGCCAGAGCCGGAACCAGAGCCGGAACCAGAGCCGGAACCAGAGGAACCGTAGTTGCCAGAACCAGAACCTGAACCAGAGGAACCGTAGTTGCCAGAACCAGAAGAACCGGAACCATAGTTACCAGAACCAGAAGAACCGGAACCATAGTTACCAGAACCAGAACCAGAACCGGAACCGTAGTTGCCAGAGCCGGAACCGGAGCTAGAGCCGTAGTTGCCAGAGCCAGAGCCCGATGATCCCGAGCCGTAGTTACCGGAACCAGAGCCAGAACCGGAACCAGAACCGTAGCTACCAGAGCCGGAGCCACGCTCGTTGTCGTCACTGCCGAGAGCACCCTTGATCTTGTCACCGATCTTGCCGAAAGTGGACTGGTCTCTGTCGTTGTTGCCGTAGTTGCTGCTGCTGTTGTTGTTACCTCCGAAAGACATAATGAAAATTGGTAGTGGTAGCTAAAAAAGTGGCAAACAGAGGCCAATTTATACCTCCTTCGGCTACCGGCCAGACAATGTGGCTGCAACAACCTGTGTGTAATGATATGCGGAGAAGAAATGCCAGGGGACCATTCTGCAGGAGACGGTCTCGTTGCACCCCCACCGCCGAAAAGCTGTTGCTCTTTCATGCGCCCAAACGCAATGATGCATTGGTCCGAGTGCACAAGGTGTTCAAGGCAATCAGGTAATTGGCTAATACGCGGCAATGTGGCTGAGGTGTGAATTTCGAAATCACCGTGACTGGATTGCTGCGCCCAGGCCAGATCCTATTCAGGAGAAGCGAATTCCGGAGTCTGTGGCTCGGGAGATCGACGCATCATGATGGACCTCGTGGTTGCTATCACAAAAAGCAATGCCATGTTGGGGACACGGCGAGAGCCCACACTTTTGGCTACCGTTCCTGTGGGATTCTGCGCCCCTGAGCTATTGTGCGGAACAATAGCAGTTTGCCGTCGAAGAAAAGTGAGGAAATATCGCAACTGAGCCAATGGGCAAAACACGGGATCAAGTGCAGCTGTTGGCAAACAATCGGATCAGTGCTTCGAATGGCGGAGAATGCAGGGAGTCTGACATGTGTAAGTCTCAGTCGTGAACCGGACAGAACAAGTCGAGCGCGAAATGTCAAAATTAGCTTCGTCTGTCACTTTCGCAAACCTTACCGAAATTCCTCAATTGTCCATTTGGAGAACATTCCAGGCAATCACCCTTCCGCTTTGGCAAAATTGATGAAAGCCAATTTTATGAAAAGGCTTTACACAATGACACAGTCTTTTTCCTGAGGGGCAGCGTTCAGGGGGCTTCTCTTCTTGTTCTTCTTAGCCAACTTAGCGGCCCGAGCAGCCTCGTCTTTGTTTGTGATTCTCGCGAGCGCCTTGATCTCGCCGTTTTCGGCGGCCTTAACGTACCACAGTTGGGCTTCCTTGAGGTTCTTCTCGCAGCCAATGCCTTTATCGTAAAAGTTTGCTAGAGCAAACTGCGCCTTGGCAAGGCCTGCTGTGGCGGCACGTTTGGCCCACTCAAATGCCTCATCTTCGTCTTTTGGAAGGTATGGCTCCAGGCCCACCAAGTACCACGCACAGATGGAAAGCATGGACTGGGGGTGTCCGGCAACGGCGGCGTTGGTGTAGTAATTGATGGATAACTGGGCATCGGCGTCGACGATTTCGCCGATTTCGTAATGGTGGCCCAAAATGGCAGCCGCCTCAACGTGGCCTAGGGCAGCGGCATCCGAGAAGAGCTTGAGCGCGTACATCTTGTCGGCAATGACGATATCGATGAACCCCTCGTAGTAAATTTTGCCGAGTTCGTAAGGCGCCGCAGCCGTCAATTCCGTAGCAACGTTTGAGGCTCTTTCCAACCATTTGATACCGACTTTCTTGGTTGCAACATCTTGAGAGACACCCATGCGTCCGTAGAAACAGTAGACGCCGAGTTTATACATGGCAGCGGGGTGGTTTTTCGAGGCAGCCATTTTCAAGAAGTCCATGCCTTTTCTGGAATCGTGGCCCGTGCCCAAACCGTCTTCGTAGCAATGAGCTGTTCTGAATGCTGATTCTGTGTGGCCGTGCTTGGCAGCGGCAAGGAAAAGGCTGAAGGCCTCTCTGTTGTCGACCTTACCAAATGCACCGGAGCTGTAGGCATCTCCGAGGAGGTACTGAGCATCAACGTAACCCTTGTCGGCAAGTCTCTTCAAGTAGTGATGGGCCTCCTTGAACAAAGACTTCTTCAATTCAAGCGAAGAAGCGTCAGCCAAGTCGAAGGAGTTGGACAGCTTCAGTTTGCGGTGACCTTTCTTCAAGTCTGCGTCTATGGACAAAGAAGACCCGGTCTTCTTCTTTGGGGTGCTTCCTCCAGAGCTATCTGGCGAGTTGGTATCCACCATTAATGCCGTCTGCAACATGTACTGAGCATACTGGAACAAGACCGCCGGGTCGGTCGACTTCTTAGCGTTCTTACGGTACATCTCCATGGTCTTGATACGCGGCATCAAACTAGCCAGGTTCTCTCCAAGACAGTCGTTCACCAAATTATGGGAGTCCTGGTCCTGGAAGAAGGACAGCGACAGCGACAAGGACCGAGCATGGCTGAAACGAGCCAACTGGCCAGGCATGCTGCTGGCCACACTGAAGTTGTGTTCCGGTCTGAGGTACAAATCCTGTGAGTGGTTATTATTCAAGTTGAGATTAGTCACGGAGGAGTCAGCGGAGGCCGGAACCAGGGGAGGAGAAATGGCTGAATAGCGGTTTTGCAGCAGGGAGGGTTCGTCCACGGGGTATGGAGCGTCCAGAGCAACTCTAGCCTGAGGAGGAGCCTCTGTGGCGTTAAAACGAGGGCTCAGGAGCGATGTGGTGGCAAGACGGTTCAGCAAAGACGTGGTTTCGTCCAAACCAGGGTATTTTTGAGGATATGTCATGGAAGCTAGTCCGGAACCGGGTCCGGAACCGAGCCCGGACATGGAGGGCTGTGGGTAGCCAGCTAGGGAGCTGTACTGATGCGAGTTGGAGCTTTTGAAGCTAAGGTCCAGGGTGGAGTCTGTGGCGTTGGCGATGTCTGAAAGAGGGTACGGAGTTGGATCAGCCACGGGGGAGCCGTTTTGGCCCGAGGCTTTTTGTCTATATGGATGGGACATTTCAGCTTTTTCCTGGGGACGGGAAGTAGGTGCTGCTGGGGTGGAAGATTATGCTGTGAAGTGGATTGTGGATGTTGGTGGATCACGGTGAGAAGCGAGAAGAAAAGGTACGAAAAAGCTGCGGCGAGGGCTAATCCAGGAAAACAAACCACGGGGAGCCTAAACCAGCGAGGAAGTTAAAAATAAGGCGGCGGCGGTATTCTGATGAAAAAAAGCGTGTTGGATGGAAAACACTGATTTTAAAAAATAAAAGATAAAGTATTCTACACCAGCGCTAGCCTGGCTTGACACACCACGGAATGGGTGCAAACATCGGGTGGGGCGGATGCCTCGGGTTTCTGGGTGCAACGGTGGAGATTTTCTCGGGTGTCTTATCGCTGGTAATCATGCCTAATTTTAGCCTGCTTTTGATTGTACTTTTTGAAATTGTGCTACTTTTAATTGTGCTACTTTTTTATTGTTCGTTTTTCTCGGCTCCCCAGCCAGCATGGGTGCAGCATCGGCGAGGATTTGGGGCGGAGGGGTGAAAAAAGAATCTGAAACAGGCGGTTTCGTCGAAGGGTGAGACGATGCATATCCCGGATTTGCAAAGCCTGATTTGTCATTTTAGAGTTTGGCTTTCTGATCCGGGAAAGGTGTCTTAAGTAATCGGCGCCGGCAAATGAAGTGTGGTATTTTAGGGTGAGCTTTGTTTGTTTAGCACTAAGGCTGCGTCTGAGACTTCGGCAAAAACCGTGCCGAATAATTTGAAAATTGTGGAGTTTTTGCAGTCGAGTTTTGGAGTCGAGTTTTGACCAGTGCCTCAGCTTCGTTTTACGTGAAATTGTCAAATCTTCAAAAATTTCGTATCTTTTGCTGAATCCGCCAGGACCGTTTTTTCACTGGTACGTTCCACTGGAGCTGTCAAGGCCAGGGTCCAGCGCTGCGGTATTTTCTCACTGTTTGGGCTAAATATGCTCGCTATTTTGGGAACACCTGCCAGGGACAAGGCAGGTACCGTAATTAGTCTGAAACGTAAGGGAAAAGTCTGAGGATAGTTGGTTTTGTGAAATGGAGAATTGTGGAGCGGGGCGGAATAGTCGATTGGGGAATTGGGCGGTGTATTTTCAAAGGCTGCAAATCTGCAGTTGGCTGTCACCAGATGCGAGTGTCTCCTGAAGACGGATACTAAATACGGTCAATTTATAGTGGAAGGTTGAACTTGAAGGATATACCCAAATCACGGACTTTGTGACACCCCACGATCATTGCAGTAAAGGGTCGAACATGACCACCAAACTACCAAGTACAAGAACCACCTCGGTCTATCCCACTTCATGAAAAGTTTCATCCTTAAAGACGCAGACGACGCTTTGAGTTTCTAAGCCACAAAGACGAAGACCTAGTTGTAGACGAAAGCAAACCAGGCTTGTTGTGGTGATTCACTAGACAATTGTTCATTGTTCGCTGATCATAGATATATCCGATCTATCGACGAAGATCATACCTTAACGTCACAGTACATATAGAAGTTGCACGACACGCTGATGGAAAAGTAAACATCATTTGACACGGTCAGTGGCTTTGCCTTCACTAGTTAGAGTAAGTTTAGAACCAAGCCTCGATGAGACGGCAACTCCTCTATCGGTCGAGTTGCTTAAATCATATATCCCTACACTTTGCTCACAATTTCGTACTTTATTATTAGATCACCGGCCAGGATTCTAAAGTATTGCAAGCCTGGTTCTTGCTCATGCAGCGGCTCTCGCAGTTGCAAATCTAAAACGGATAGCATGGGGTGAGTCAATAGACGTAACTTGCACTCAACCGCCAGCTCAAGGAAACGGTGTTCTTTATACAGCAGCTAACGAAGCTGACTCAGTAGTAGATAAATGCCATCACAACGGCAACCAAAAGCACACCTCCAACCACGAAACCACCTGAGGATCTCTTCTCCATGTGATCCGCCTGTATCCTCGCTCTATCCTCTGGATCTAACGTTGACAAGTCAAGCTCGCCTCTTTTTATCTGTGCCTTAGTCTGCTCAAGCTCCTTCTGCGCCTGCTCGGCCTCAGCGATCGCGATCTTGTTCAGATCAACCAAGTCGGGAAAGATAGCTCTGAACCGGGTGTTATCGCTATTATTCCACTTCTTGCTGTCTCTTGCCAACCGGCGTTTCACGCTCTCACTTGTGTTAATCAGCCCCGTGGTGCTGTCTTCTCCGGTCATAAAACTCAACAACCCCGTCAAAATCGTAGAAACACTCCATGCTGGGTTCCATGTGTCTGGGTGGTAATCACTCATACTAAGACAGAGACGGGTATTGCAGGCAAATCTGCCGTTTGGGGTTACCATCGAGATTGCTGGAGGAGCAAAAGGGTATTCCGATGGAAACCGAAGAAGACCGTGGTACTGGCCGTTTTCATATGGGGTAGAAGGAGGACCAGTGATGATAAAGTGCCACTCCAAGATATTTTCATCATTTGGCTTGGCCTCGATGAATGGCGGAGGGTTCGCCTGGATGGTTTTGTACTCTTTGTTGAGTCTCTTTTGCGCCTGGCGAGAGACCATAAGAAAAAGGTTGTTGAAGAGTGGAGTTGGTAACAGCGATTTGGGGTTAGGGGTCACGTGTAGGAGTTGACCCAAAAAAGCCGAAAAGACGGTTGACGATAAGAGAAGAGGAGTAGAGTTGGAGAATATTTATAAAGCTGGTGGTGCTCCTTATTTTTCTTTTCCGGTTCTGTTTTGGTCTTCTTCTAGTTTTGTTAGAGACCAGTGTGGCGGTTTCTAACTGGCTGCGAAACTGATACCGCGATCTGCAAATCGGTGACTACGTGAGGAAGACAAATAAGATAACAAAAGAAAAAAAAAAAAAAAAAAAGGGGCGAATTTCTGACTATCAGTATAACAGATAGCATGACACCGACAGTACTGGAATTTGTCTTTTCGCTATCAACCCACTTCACTGTGCTGGAGCTACCTTGCCGATTATCGTCATCCTCAGTGCTCACACAAGAAGAATGTCCTAGTGTAAGCATTTTCGTAGTCTTCGTCGTCCTCAATTATCACCTTTCTCTCCGCTATCAACTCATCTCTATAGTCTTTAGCCTCCTTCTCGGTCATGGTGGCTAAATCTTTTGCATCAATACCAGGGAAGAACTTCTCCATGAGCACTCTGTCATTGGCCCATTTTTCGTTTTGGAAAGGTACAACATCGGTAGCCTTCACCTCGGTATTGTATGGGTCTACCAAGAAGAAACACAATATCTTTCTGTAGCCAGGTTTCGTGGCATCCTTCAACTTGAAGGCATCAACGTGATGCTGGAAACTGTTAGTGAACACAGTGATTCTGCCCTTCTGAGCGACCACGTTACCAATCACCCTGGTCATCTTATCTTCATTCTTGATACCGTAAAAGTCTTCGCAGTAGCATTCGTCACCCTGATCATAATGAGGATCCTCAAAAGCGTATTTGAAGGATAATCTGGACTCCTCAATGTTGTCCATATCATAGTAATAGAGCACTGTAGCCACAATGTCCTCATTGATGGTTCCCTCAACATGCCAGGAACCACCTTTGTACTCAGGCTTCTCGGGCGTGAGCTCGATGTTCGCCAACTTCACAATAACTTTGAGGCTTTCAAGGTCCCGAAGCTCAAAGGGCTTGGTCTTCGGCGCATTGTCGTACTTTGGCTTGAACTCACGGTAGTAAGCACGTTTACCCTTTTCCCATGCTTCAAACTCCTCTTCGTCGGCACCCTCATCTATGAGATCTTCAAGTTTTTCCTCGTATTTGTCATACCCTTCCGTGTAGTATTCGCCAAAGTCAGCGGTAGGAATACGTACGTACTCTTTGGATTGGTATCTTGCGAGGGACATGTTAATCGCAGGAACTGCCAGATTAAAGATTTTGGCAATGGAGCCATAAAGCTCGGCGTTTTTCAATGGATGAAGGTTGTTGATGTATGAACCAAACGTGAACTGCTTCTCATCATCCAACTTCATGAGCGCCGGAAGCCATTGAAACTTCTTGGAAACTCCATAATCAGCAACACCCTTCTTCACTGCCTTGATAGCCTCCTCAAATTGAGCAGTCTCGAGCTTTCCATTATTGAGGATCTTCGTCCTGTTGTACACCAAATGGTAGAGGGAGGGATGTACCAAGTCGACCACCAAGTCGTCCAGACCAGGGTGGTAGTCTTTTTCGATGATAGCATATTCGAATTTGCTAGCGAGGTCCGCAAAATCCTTTTCGTCTTTCTCTGAGACAGCCCCATCTGAATACAAGATTTTGTCATCTGGACCGAATTGGAATCCACGGCCGACCTGAGCCTGCAACTCCTCGTACCACTTCAATTCCTCAGCAGCATAATCAAAGACCTCCTCTGGGTGTTTCGTTTTCGGATTCAGGGCTAAAAACTCCAGCTTCCATTTCGCCAATATGGTCGGGTCCTTATATTTCCGCTCCCATTCCGGTTTCTGCCGGATAGTGTAGGAAAGCTCTACAATGAGCCACTCGTCAAGGTATCGTGCCGAGTTTCCAAGCAGAGAGAAGGCAATCCACCAGGGATGCTTCAATACGGAGGCAGACATGGTTGTGAAATATGGGAATCGGCACCTTTTATGCCGTGGATGCAGGGAGTGCAGAAATGCAGATTTACGAGATGAGCCGCTTCCAACTAGCCCTCGTAAATAGAGCACCCTAATCTTCCAGATAATACTTTTATTGGGTTATCAAAACCCTTTGTATTTGGTCATTTTCTTAAAGTTCACGCCTTTTGTGCAAGTCCAAGCACAACACTCGAAGTGACGCGGAAGAGACCGTCCTTCTGGGGCGCCTTGTGTATCTCTCGTTTCACCTCGGTCTTGCAGTGACTGTGGATAAATTGTTCATCAAGCCAAAGATTTGCTCTGAATTCTCGAGCACTGCTAACATTGACACACCCTTTCTGCAAACATGCGGTCATTTCGTCCAAGGTCAAGCCGTGACGAGCCATGCCTCGTTCTTGTAGCTCCTGAGCCACCTCCTCGTTCTCTAAATCCTCATTGTAGAAATCGTAGATCAAGATCCAGCCACCGGGACGGACCATTTTTTTGATTTCCTCGGACACGGCTTCGTAAGCGTGGATGTGGTGGAACGAGAGAGTGCAAATGAGCACATCAGCAAATCCTTCCAAAGAGCCCATCTCGAAATTGTCCATAATATCGGCACATATAGACTTGATTTTGAGTTCAGGAAAGTTCTGGCGCAATGCAGAGGCTCTCGTGTCGAAACTCTCGAGCATCAGTTCTGTGATGTCTATACCAACAAACTCACCTTTTGGCATGAAGGGAACTAAGCGTTCTGCGACAAGGCCCGTGCCACAAGCAAAGTCAATAACTTTCGAGTCAGGTTTGAGCAAATTGCCTAGGATCTGCTTCTGCTGCTGAAAGTCACTGACAACCTGGTCCACATCGATTGGCTCCTCTGTATCAGTAAAGGGTTTTCTTTTCGCTGAAACGTCAAAATTGACAATCTCCAGCGCAAATACTTGTGACATCACCCTTATGGCGGGGATATTGTCATAGCTGTTGTCAAAATGCTTCTTGTTGGCTTCCACGGACAGTTGATGGCTCATGTTGATAGTGCGGAATCTGACGGAACCGTGAGAAGTCACAGTATTTATACCCAACTGCCCCACTTTATGAGATTGGGGTGAAGTTGGTGAAAATGATATTTTGGTTTATACATTGATTTGAGGTTTTCCGTTTTCCGGATATTTTGCTCACCAGGTGGGGTTGAACAGACTGATGTGGGGTAGGTGGTGATATTTCGAGATCTGATGATCTGTGATAGGATTCAAGTGTATGCTCGTCAATAATAAATCCTGGAGTAGTATGGTAGAATGATAATATTGGCTCAATAAACATTAAAATGAGTCTGCTTCACTTTGGCCACAAACGTGAAATGCACAATGTCTGTCGGTGGTCCTATCTCAACCGTATGGTGAAACCTTAGCTCGAAATCACTCTCACCATGGAATTGAACTACAGCCCCGTAACAAGATCTAGATTAGTCGTATTGAAAGTCAGATTAAGAAGTAAAAAGGCAAGAATATGGATGGTGGAACTTATTTGTATGCATAGATAGGACGGAACCAGCATGGAGCACAGTACCAGCGGCAGCGCCAGTCCAGGGCGCAGCCAGAAAGTGTTAGGCGCGTATTACTTGGGTCCTTTTTAATGGCAGCACAACTTGGACCAGAAGCCCTTGCTTTCCTCCTCAGACACGTGCTGCTGTTGCTCGTACTGGTAGCCGTTTTGGGCGTTGGCGTAGTTGGGATGCGAGTTTTTGAAGTTGCCCTGACCGTTCACCACGTCGGAGCCTTGCATGTTAACTGCCATGTTCAGGCGAGCTGGCGTCTCCTGCTTGATGGGTGGTAATGGTCTGTTGATGAGGTGCTGCAACTTCTGTTGATGGGTCTGAGCAGCCGACATCTGTTGCAGCTGGCCTTGGACGCCGTTCAAGTTGTTGTTGGCAGCAGAGGCGGGGATCTGGCCAGCCGTTGTCTGGCCATGGTGAGCTCTGTTTCTACGCTGATCACGGTGGCGTCTATCCCTCTCGTTAGGTGGGTTGGGGTGGCCGTATCCGTGCAAATTTGGCTTTTTGTTGATGGCAGCGTCCCAGCCCTTGCCGCCATTAAGGTTCATCCAGTCGAAGTTGCCGTCGCAGTGGGTTCCCAAGTCGTCCAACACAGAGAGTAACAACATTCTGTATTCCTCATAGGCTGGATCAGCCTCGAAGGGCAAAGAACGCACCGCATCCAAGTATTCGGCAAACTGGCGGGCAAGCCATCGCACAAGAGCGTGGCAGCCGTGGTTCTTTTCTTGTCGCCAATCTTCTCGTACTTCTGTTTGTTGGTAGGGGCCTTCAAACCTTGCCATGGCAACTGGCCACGCAAGAAGTAGAAGAACACATGACCGAGAGCCTCCAAATCGTCTCTTCTCAGCTGCTCGCGGCCCAAGTGTGTGTTGATGGACATGTAACGGGCGGTACCACTCAAGGACTTCTTTTCTCTGTAGGGGATGTGCAGCTTCGTTCTTGGGTCTCTGTACTGCTTGGCCATGCCAAAATCGATGAGGTGGACCTTGTTTTCGTCGGGAAAGCCCTGGCGCCCGATCAAGAAGTTGTCGGGCTTGATGTCCCTGTAGATGAGGTCGTGACGGTGCACCTCCTCGATCAAGTCTATCATCTGGATGGCCACTTGCACCACGGTTTTGACGCTGAAGCGGCGGCCACACCAGTCAAACAAGTCCTCCAACGAAGGACCCAAGAGGTCAATGACCAAAATCAGGTGCAAGCCCTCCTGGCCAAAGTAGTAGGCGTTGGGGATACCCTCACATCCTTGCAAGTGCTTGTAGGTTCTGTATTCGTCCCGAAGCTGGGGCGCCTCTGTTTTTCTAGGCTCGAATTTGATCGCCACGGCCACGCCGTTGATGATGTTGGAGCCCTCAAAGAGCACACCAAACAGGCCTTCTCCGATCTTCTTGCCTATCTTGTAGTGCAAACCGACCACCAGGTTATTACTCGAGTTGACGCTCATATTAGGTTGGGAGGCGGCAGCGGCAGCTAACACAGCGGGGTTTGACATTAGACGCCGTGGGCAGCGGGGTTGTTGCGTGGTGGTCTCTGTTTGTGTTCAGAGATGTGGTTTTTTCGTTGAGAATGGACGTTGTTTTTCGTACACACCGCCCACGCCAGGGTAGGGAAGACGAAGCAGAGAATGAGGCGGCGACAGGGAACGAGAAAAAATAAAAAAACCGAGAAAGTAAAATAATTTCGATTCGAGCAACATTTATATAATTCTCGCCTCCGCGAGGCATCCACCTCCCCGGGATCATGGGCCTCCATGACCTGTCTGGCCCTATTGGGCGAGCATACTCTGAACCACAATGGGCCAGCTGTGGGTAATGATTTTTCTGAGATAGGCGACTAAAATAACTTCGCCCAGCTATCGCATTGACGACAGAAGCTTTTGTCTATCGCATCCAGGATTTTCCTCGGCACGCTGGGCCCTGTCTGTTGGTGTCTTTCCTGATTGGTAGGGATTGATCGACGGGGATTGATAAGAATATTAGGTTTTGTTTGTTGGCCTGAATTGGGATCGGCAGGCGAGCATCTGCTGAATTTGGGTGCTGGGAAATTTTGGAATTCTGGAGAGTTTGGGGTTGACCGGGGTATCTCATTGGCTGCAAGCCGCTTAAAGTAGACGGCTTTGGGTTTGACGTGATCTCGCGGGGACATGGTAGGGTTGGCGTAAGGTTCGAGGATGACTATTTTTGTATTCGGAGCAATGAATACAACGAGTTGGGCGTAGTTGTGGTAATGCTGGGCGATTAAATGCTTCTTCACTGTGACAAGCCTGTTGAAAGAGCACCGTTGGAAACGCAGGTCGGTGAGTTAGACTTTCACAGGAGAAGCCAATTATCACTAGGAGCAGCTGTGTCAGAAGTTTTGAAGCAAACGAGGGAGCCGGCTATTCGACAAACGTGCTAAATGACTTCTTGTGGTGGGATATGAGATTTCTGGTTCAACGAAGCAAGGTGATGTTGATATAAATGTCGAGCCCCTGTTGGGAAATTCGATTGGAAGTGGCGCCTATTTATCTGATGCCTCTAAGTGTTGACTAATGGAGTGTTCCTCTGCTGTAACGCTTCGTTCAACAAAAGTACGCCCTCAGACATGAAGACCATATTACCTACAGCGGTCTCTTTCTACAGTTCAAAACGCTTGTTCGAATGCTAACTTCAAGCATTCTATATTCTATATCTCGCCTTTCTGTGAACCATTCTTTCCTGTCTGTCCACTTACAACGTTCCCTTGACCAAGTAAACAGTGTCTCCGTTGGTGAAGCTTCCTGCAACCTTCTTGCTTGTCGGTAGCGTGACAGGCGCATCCTCTACAGCCTTAAATAACTGTAGTCTCTCGCTGCTGTCCAGCGTTTTGTTGTTATGGTTCATGATCCCCACACCGTCGGCAATCGAGTCCAATGCTCTGCCGATGGTCCAGTTCTTCGAAACCCAAACGCCCTTTCTCTCCTTCTCGGGATTAATCTTTTCTATCTCGTCTTCGTTACGGTTCACGTAGAGAACCCACACGTACACTCTGTCGGTCTGGGTCACATTAGCAGGACCTTTGGCGACCTTCTTGATGCTGGAAGTCTCGACAACCTTGTTTGTCGGCTTAGACCTGCCAAAAAGCTTCTTCTTTCGGCTGAGTTTCTGAAGATGCAAGAACTTCGTAAGCTTGGTGATGGCCAGACTCTTCTTTTCCACCAACGTAGTCGGTTCGAGTTTCAGCTGTTCGAGTCGCAGCTCAAGCTCCTGCTGTCTCTTTTCCTTATCCGGAAAGAGCGAAGCTGCCGTTGGCCCCGTGTAACTATGTCCGTTTGTAGGTGTGCTTGGTCTTCCAACGCAGTTGTGGAGATCTAGCGATCTATGCTGGGAACAGTAGACGTGGTTGCAAAACTCGCAGTGGAACGGGAGGAAGTCGAGCTGCTGGCACTTGTGGCAGTGCTTGCCGAGGTTCATGACCCCCTGGTCCTCCTTGTTGATTTCGACCTGGGTCATGAAAAGGCTGTTCTGGTGCACTTTGGCTGTCATAGCGCGAAATGATGGTCTATGGTGGGGAAACTCTGAGATGGTTGGGCTGTGGAAAAAAAGTGAAAGGTGTGTTTTGATTAGAAATCTGGTGGAGTTGAAGGCGGATCTTGTGGTATTTATAGTCATGGTGCCTGGTGGCGGCGGCAAACCTAGAAGCTTCGCCTGCATGACTGGTTGCAAAATCGCTTACTAACGGCACGGCTAGGTGAAGATCTAGGAAGCCCAAGGTACGAGGCATCATTGAAACGATGATTTATAATCTATTTGAAAAGTGGGGAACTATTTTGCTGTATCAATTTATTTGATAGTTGTTAGGGAGTGGTCGGGTTCACCGGGTCATAGTGACCATTGGTGTAGTAGCATCAGGTAGGGAGTTTAGTCAATTGTCAAAAATAGTAGGGAGACCTCAGTGCGTGTTCTTTCGATATCATATACTGCTTTCTTGTAAGTTTATTGTAGAACTTTATTGTTGTTTTCACTTATTTTCACCTCCACCCAATCGTTGCATTCACAGTGCAAAACTGCAATGGCTTCGAAACCATAACCATACACCAATTTGCTTCTTTCTTCAAACTCAAAAACAAAAAAAGCCATAATTCCAGGAGAGGTCGTATTTCACCTAAACGAAGAGCTATGCCTCCACTTATAAAAACCCCGACGCTTGGACCACCTCCCACTTCTTCACCTACTACACAGTGAGCATCGCGATCTCAACTACTCCATTATGTACGATTTAAATGTACCCTGGCCGGTGGGGTACGGGGCCACGCCGGTGGCAGCCGAAACGACAAATTTTCTAAATGTCGTCGCCATGTTGTATTCGCTAGGGTACCGCTACATCGCTGTGAACTTTGTGGTTCCAGAAAACACCAAGCTTCCGTTCAACACCCCAGACAAGCTTAATCCAATTCCCATCGAGACACTTCGAAAAAGAACACAAAAGTATGAAGGTCTTCGACTTTTCTCAAGAATCACTTTGGTGATAACAGACCCCGCAAAGTGTCAGAGCATCCTGAAGCTCCATGCCTCTAATGCTTTTGACCTCATCGCCGTGCAGCCTACGACAGAAAAAGCTCTTCAGCTTACCACTGCCAACCTCGATATAGACATTGTGTCGTTGCCGATGGGCACACGATTGCCGTTTTTCATCAAACACAAAACCGTGGGCCAGGCTTTGGAAAAGGGCATGAAGTTTGAGATCTGCTACCTGGGCCTAATATCTGGACCTGCTCAGTACGAGCTGTCGATGGTGCTTGGAACCACTGGCCACTTAAGCCGCAAAAACTTCATATCCAATTGTCTACAGCTTATCAGGGCCAGCAGAAATAGAGGGCTCTTGTTTTCAAGTGGTGCTCTGGAACCATTGCATGCGAGAAACCACAGCGACATCTTGGCGTTGATGGAGGCTCTAGGGTTGAAGGTGTCAAGTGGCAAAGAGGGTTTCGTGAAGAACCCAGAGTTGGCATTGATGGCAGGAAGACTCAGAATCAAGTCCAACAAGCAGACTGTGATGTTGGGGAACCAGGGCGGTAGAGGCGCTGCTGCTATTATTGACGAGATTATTCCCAAAACCGTGGACTCTACGAAAAGGGAGAATGACGATGATACCGCTCCTGCCAAGCGCAGAAAGCAGTGAATAGATTAATGTAAATACAGACCCGGTCTGTGTATGCTAGTGGAAGATCGACAGGCGAACCTTATCGGTCTTCTTGATTGGAGGCGCCTCAGGTTTGACATTCTGCTTTGGTTTCCTCTCTGGCGGAATTCGTGGCATTCTAGGAGGCATCTTTTTCTTAGGCACAAAGATACCAGGAGCAGGCCGCTTTCGAGGAGAAACCTGATCCTGTGGAGGCGGCGGCAGCTTTTGAATATCCGGATTTTTCGGCGAACCAGCCCGTGGTGCCTCTTGCGGCTGATGAAGCAGCCTCAGACGAGGCAATTGCGGTGGTTTCTGAGGTTTCGGCGCTCGAGGACCCTTAAACTCCGAGTACATATCAAAAACAGGCCTCTTGTTCGGCCCAAACATCAATTTCCGCTGCTGCATGTCCCGCATGGCCTTGCCCATGATCGTTTTGCTAGAAAACTTGGGATCTGTGTTGTAGTTGCGGACCTGACTTGTACGGTAGTTCCGTCGTATGGGCGTGTTTCTGATGATGCTGGGGATGGGCGTGATGGAGTTTTTCAGCTTCTCCTTCTGGAGCTTTTCGGTCATCTTTCGTAGTCTCTGGGTCAGGGTGGCTCTGAACTGGTCTCTCTCTTCCATGTACCGCTGGTACAACGCCTTATTGGGCATTTCCGTCTCGCCAACCACCAAGTCCTGCCTGGCGCCTGGCACTGGACGGTCAGGAAAATCCTTTTCTATAAGAAGCCCCCAGACTTCGTCGGACTCGGGTGTTACCGTGGGCAGGTTCTCTTCCACAAGGGCTAGTTGCTTCAGGTTCATGCGCTTGAGAACCGGTCTGATCAAGGAGTACGGCGTCAAGCCGACATCGGCGATTCTGGCTGCCAGCTGAACACACGCCAGAAGCGCTATTGCTTTGAGCAGTGGCACCATGGCGAATGTAGTGGAGAAGAGTCGTTATCGATGCGCACTGTGTAGAGTTGTAGATGAGATGGGTGGGGTGGAGGTGGATATATACACTGATGTTTTGAAATTTTGGTTGAGTTATGGAAGTGGGTGTTTTTGGTGGAGTGCTGGGATTCTGGATTCATGGGAGAGAGCGAAGTGGTGGGAGCCAATTGGATGGCCACTACAGCAAACAAGGCTCCAAGGGAGACATGCAGCCGAGATACTTCAGCCAAATGAGGTCTGGATGTTTTGATGATAGTAAACTCAATCAGATAGCATGCCATATTAATTAAGCGGGGAATAGGGATGTCAAGTTTACGAATTGTGGAGGTATTCTTTGGTTTCCCAGCCATGGGTGGAATGAGCTATAGGGAAGACCAGATGACATGATGTGGCTGCTCTTAGACAAAAAGCCATCTTTGAAAAACGCAGAATTAGAGAATAATAGCAAAATAAGGCCTTTTGTAATGGCAGACTATTCCCTATGTACTAGACACGAGACTCTGAAGCATACATGCGATATCTAGCACACGTAGAACAGTACCATTGGATCCCTGTTTGCTGAATAATAAGACAGCTACAATCAAGAGCTTTTAGACCTGCCCAGCACGTTCATTTTGGTTATTTTGGTGTTTTTAATTGGAAGATTCACTGCGGCCTAGAGGCAGAGACACTCACCTGAAACCAACAAATTTCACTTAGCTACTCTAAATATGGGAGACGTCATTTGAGGTTACGCTGGAACCTGGATTCATGATGCAGCTAAAAAGAGCACTATTGGCCTGAAAACATGTATATCGTTGCCAACGTGGATTGCCCTTAAGTTGGCCCTAACGATTTGCCATACCCGCAGTTACAAAATACCCGGACCAAAGCACCTCAAGACAAATGGCTAAATCGCCACCTCTACTGATTTTGTCCCTTTTGAGTCACCTTCACCTTTCAATGGCTCGTTTGGGAGACTTCACGATGATATATTATATCCAGGGAGATGAGTTAATGTGTTCGCTTGGCGCTGAAGGTATTTAAGCACCTCGGTATAGGTGTAGATATCATCTCGTCTGAGGTCTGTAGCATAAGGCTCACCGCAGCCCTTGGTGAGATAGTAGCAAAGTATGTCTTCGGTCACAGCTCCTTCGAGAATGACTATCTTTAACTCATTGAATTGACTGAGATAGACCGCGAGGGAGTTGGATCCACGATTCAACCTCGACATGGCACGAATCGCATATTGTGCGTAGTTTGGCGGGTAGAATGCTTTCTTGAGGGGTCGAGTACTTCTTGCCCGGATAACTGCGTCCATTCCGGTTTCTGCCTGCAATCCTCAAGCCATTCTCTGGCTTCGTCCCGAAGCAGCATCTGGACAAGGAGTCTATCATCTTCGGGGTTTCCACCGAAACGGTCCTGGCACTCCCATATATAATTTCTGATGCACTTGGGGATGCGGTCGCCTCTGTAGGGGGTGATATGGGTGGCCAACTCGCTAATCATGGGTCTCTCTTTTTAGAACTCATTTTCTGCGGTATAAAATGTGATGGCTATTCGAGGGATCTTTTATGGCGGTTGGTCGTAGATGCACGAGGTGTTATTAAGTTCAAGGACGCTGAAAAAGAATGCCTAGGCTATACTGTGATACGGTTCGTCTGGGGGATCTCTTTCAGCTGTTGGTCTCAAACCTATACTTATGTATTTTTGATAAGCTAACCGCTAACCTTGTTTCACACTTGGGAAGAAACACGCCTTTTTATAGTGCGCTTTGGGGCTCTTTTCGTAACTCGAAGTTCTCAATTTCGTAGATACCGTAACTCGCAAATCGTAAATGCGCAATTCCCTAGGAAGAAAGCCTAGGCTATACCATGTGTCCTACTATTTCCTTTAAAGTTCCAATTGGGGTTTCGTCGGTTATAATTTACACCTTAGCACCTCAAAACCCAGTCATGTGATTTGCGGCACGTGACCAAGGCAGTACTGCCCCGACAATATTGTCCTGCGCATTTTCGAACTATAACAATCCGATATGGTGTAATGGCTAGCACAGTTCGCTCTCACCGAGCAGATCGGGGTTCGATTCCCCGTATCGGAGCTTTCTTTTTTCACAATTCCAGATCCACTTATTTTTCCCGATCATTTCCCGAAACTCACTTTTCTTGATTGCTGTGAAAACTCTACTCAATGCTGCTACGTCCGATGCAAACCTAACCCTTTTGCTATTTAATGGGCCCATGTGCGGACTCGGACATACCCCCCTGAAGGGTCCACACTAACGTAATCCAAATCACACTACTAAAAAAATAAAATATTGGCTGGACTCCCTCGGCTTTAAGCGCCGGATTAACCTCCAGCCGCCACCAGCCAAGTATCATGTAGCTCTAAATCCGCAGCGCTTGGCACTCTCTTATCGTGTGAACCTCTCCACCATTGAACCGTGAAAAAGTACAAAAAAAGCAAATTATCAGCCCACGCCTAAATCCGTTTCTAAACTTTTCAAAAATTTCAAAAAAATTCCAGGATCTGCTGTTCCCAAAGCTTATCTGGGCCATCTCCTTCAGAATGAGGCTTCGGTTCGGGATAACGTGAAGTAAGCCGCGGATGCGCGACCGGAACGCAAATGTTCCGCGATGTACCGTAGAAGCAGGGGAAAAAAGTCCAAACATCAACACTCCACAATGCTTTTCAAAAAAGACAAAAAGGACAAGGAGCCTCAGGATGTCAACAAGGACGTCACTCACGTGCCCTTCACGGAGCCCACAGACGAGTCCAAGGTGCCTGGCGAGCTGAATCTCACTTCTGACCAGAAGGAGAAGTTCACCAAGGTGTACCAGCACTTTGCTAAGGAGGGCTTCACTGTTGCCGACTCGGAGGAGTCACACAAGCACAAGGACAAGGCTCACTATAAGCCTTTGACGGAAGACGAGAAGTCCTGGTTGACCAGAGAGTGTTTCTTGCGGTACTTGAGGGCGACTAAGTGGAAGGTGGAGGACGCCATCTCCAGAATCGAAGGCACGCTTGCCTGGAGACGTGAATTTGGCATTTCCGGCAACTTTGACCTGGAAAACGAGGTCAACGGCACCCTTGTTGCCCCTGAGAACGAAACAGGCAAGGAGGTGATCTTGGGGTACGATAACGACGCCAGACCCTGTCTCTACTTGAAGCCTGGTCGCCAGAACACCAAAACGTCTCAAAGACAGGTCCAGCACGTCGTGTACATGCTTGAGAAGGTGATCGATTACATGCCTCCCGGCCAGGACTCCCTTGCTTTGTTGATTGACTTCAAGGCCTCTCCTGTGGGTACGCAGAACGGCAAAATCCCACCAGTCAGCACAGGAAGACAGGTGTTGAACATCTTGCAGACACACTACCCAGAGCGTCTCGGCAAGGCCCTCTTGACGAATATCCCATGGCTCGGATGGACGTTCTTGAAGATCATCCACCCTTTCATCGACCCACTCACGCGAGAGAAGTTGGTGTTCGACCAGCCTTTCCCAGATTACGTGCCTAAGCTGCAGTTAGACAAGGACTTCGGCGGCAAGGTCAACTTCGAGTACGAGCAGGAGAAGTACTGGCCTCAAATGATCAGCATTGCCGAGGAGAAGAAGCGCAAGTACGTCAAGCGGTTCGAAACGTTCGGCTCCAAGGTGGGCTTGTCTGAGTACGACTTGAGAGGCGACCACGAGGAGTTGAAGTACCCGCCAGGCGTTGCGTAAACCAACCCAAAAAACGTTATAGACTTTCTAGACACACGCTAGATTAAATGGGGAATTGAGGCAGCCAGGCGGCGCCTCGCGGTACGGCTGAGAGAATCAGCAAGATTTTGGTTCATTCGCTTTTGGATTTTGTCACGCTTTGGTTGTTCGATAGAGCCAGGCGTCCGACACTTTTGTATATACTTCAAATATTCATTTTCAGTGGTAGCGAGTGGGCACCTGGCAACATACTCTTGCCGCGATGATGGACGTTCAACTTTAGACGCTTTGCGTCTTAGTGAAATGCAATGAGCAGGTGAGGCGGATGAAGCATGAGTATGAATATGAGATCAGGGTCAACCAGGTCGTCCTGTGGAGCATCAATGAGGTCGATCCGTCAGAATCAGAATTATTGTGGATCCAAAAACTTCAATTAAAGCCACTTCGGGTCGTCATCCTCCCTGAGATCCATGTTGATCCATATAGATCCTTATAAATCCTTATAGATCCTTATAGATCTACACCTTGGATCATCGTCATGGATTCCAAGATCCTTGGGGTGGGCAACACCCACCAAACGGCTTTTTGGAGTCCACCTACGAAAAGAGCTTGGCACACTTCCTCTTCTCCGTCACTCCAGTACGCTCACACACCATCGTCTCCCAGTCTATAGCCAACATCTGCTCACCAGCACCGCCTTCGCTCTTGGCAAAAACCACACCCAAGTCGTTGCGTGCCGTGGTCAAATAGTAGTTGGAGCCGTCGCCTAGCGAAAGCACCAGCGCACGAACCACATCGCCTGGTTTGAAGCACTCCACAATCTTCACCTTATCTCTCTCCGTAGACCTCACATCCTGGGTTCTGATAATTCCTCTGAAGGCCTCGCCAACGTCCACAGGCTGGGCACCCGCCAGACTGCCTTGGAAAGAAGCCACAGCTCCATAGGACGAAAGAAGCTGAGAACCTCCACCCATGGGGACGGAAAACTGGGCCGACGTGCCTGTGGAGCCCATTCCCAGATCGGACGAGACATTGCCGGCGCCTTCAACACACAAAATCTCGCATGTTGCTTGTTTGGGATTGAGTCTGATGACCTTGACCAAAACCACATCGCCTTCTCGGGGCAAATTGGTCGAAGTGGCCGAGACCGCCGCCTGGGCGTCTGCAGCGACTTGCTTGAACTCGGAGTAGTCCGTTTTGGGAATCACGGAAACCAAAAAGTCCTGGTTCTTCTCCTCCAGCTGGAGTTGCTGAACCACCACACGTCCTAGCACCGTCGCCAGAATGATCTCAGCCTGGCCTCCTTCAACATCAACTTTTGTCACCACGGCTCCTTTTCCAGGAAAATACCGCTGCTGCACGCCATTCTCCTCCTTACTGGCCGCCATGAGGTACTGGCCCGGCACCGCTGTGTCCATTTCTGTTTGGCTCATGTAGTTGCGATGAGCTTTTCGCACCCAGCATTGATGGAGTTGATGGGTGGGGAGGAGGAGATATTTGCTTAGAAATTGATGTTTAAATTGAGTTGAAGGATGAAATAGAATTTTGGGATTCCGCTGCTTTTATATCTTTTGTTTTGACTCGGGGCTGTGCTCGAGTGACGGGTGCAGCTATACGACTGATCCGCAGCTTATCTGGGCAAGGAGGAAAGCGAGGCGGTGTTACAGAGTTCTGGAGACTTGAATTAAATGAAGAAGGGAAGCATATGTTCAATTTTACCTCGGTAAGAAGTAATCGGTATTTATTTGTTTTTAGAGGAGCCCATGTAGTTGTCTTCATCGGCTGGTGGCTGCAAACGCATGTGTATTGGCTGTATGGCATCAACGAGACTCGTGAAACCCACGAAATTATGATATCATCCAGATTTGCTAAATCTTCAAATCCACTCCCAACCAATTGCACCCAGCCAATCGCTTGACAGTTTGTTTGTTGATGTTTCGTGAGACCTATTAGACGACATTTCACCGTTTATCCAAAAGTGGAACCGCTTCTTCGTCGTCACAGAAGTTTACAAAACACCGCATTCAATGCTTCTCTCAGAAGCCAACCTCTTGCATGAATGCTCTCGTCGAATGGCTACAACCAACAACCATTCTTCGTCTAGGTGCCCAGAGAGCCGTTTTTAAACTAGCCTAGCCTTTTTACCCGTTTAGACAAACATCCAACATCCGACTTATCCTCACTAGGCACATACGGACAATGATGCTGCTCAATGTTTGGCTATTACCCAAAAGGACAGACAAGCGAGTACAAAAAGTGACCAGTAGCCAGAAACCACAATTTTTTCAGAAGAAGGCTATTTTGTTCCTGATCTTGATTCCATTATGCTTTTCGAATTGAGCAAGCATGCGCTTTTGACCCATGGAGTCATACGAGGGCTCACCGAGACAATGGTCATTCAACTAATGCTGGCCCCATGTCCTAAACAAAGCTATTTCGTCACATTAGACCTTAAACAATACAAGCAAACTCCACCCCAGATGGGTCAGCTCCTACCTACTGACGTATCCCTGCTTAAACGTAAATTCGTATATAATGAGCGCAAGCTGGTGCTACGCAAACCCAGCCATACGCCAAGCTTCTCGACGGAAACAAATGCAATTATAGATCAAATGCCGAAACTATGAAGTAACACGCCCAGATGGTGTCCGGATGGGGCAGTCTGACCAACTCATCCTCTCCTGCACTTGCTGCTCATCTAGCATCAACATGTCTTATCCCGAATACGTCGACGGCAAGGCCCCAGTGGTGACCCTCAAGGAATACGACAACGCCCCTTGGGCAGGCACGACATGTGTCGACAGAAGAGACGGCGGCTTTGTCATTGTGGACATGCAGAAGCCCGATCAGGTGGTGGCACGAGTCGATCCCAACGATAACGGCACTTTGGACACCATCTTCAAAAGCGCCCACAAGGACTTTTCGACGCAGCTCGAGAACAAGGACGTTCAGCGCAAGTAAAAAATCAATTTATGCTTAGAAGAAATGCGTGTAGCACTGGGAGTCCTGGTGGACCTCCATCTCGCTCTTGATCTCGTTGAGTTCCTCACGGATCTGCTGCGCCAACAAGGGCGTCAACTGGTTGCAAGTGGCAATGTCGGGGTGGCGATCGTATTCCTCCCCGTTGTAGGTATCGTAAAGTATAATTCTCGAGGAGAAACGGACACCGCCTGGTTTGTATGCAACCTTGGGCGATGCCATGGGCAGTTTTTTGATTCTGGAAATAAAGGACGTCAAGGAGCGAGGGCTCGAGGCAGCGCTCTGGTCCGAAAGCGATGGAATGCGGTCATGGTAAAAAGGCCCGGTGGGCGGTTGGAGCCCCATCATCTTGGGTGAGGGCACTCCTCTATTGGCAGCGTTCCCTGTAGATTTAAGACCCGGCGCCTGCGCTGGTTTCTTCACTGAAAAACCGTGGCCAATGTCGTTTTCCAGGTCGTCCTCGGACGAATATATATCCTCGTCGGATTCGTCATCAGACAGGCCAAAGCCTTGCCCCACTGCAGACGACTCGTTTGAGGAATCGTACATATTTAGCAGCTGGTGTGAGCCAGTCTTGGCAATTGCCTGTTTGCTTATCGCGGGTCCTTTGAAGCCCTTAAACGACATGGAGATGGGCCTGGCAACATTACTTGGCAGCTCCCGGGCCACCGCTTCATTCATGGCCATTTGGTAGGCTGTTCCTAAAATCGGCAGCTTCGTAATCGCGTCATCGGCGGTACCTAATTTGGGCGTCAGTTTGACGCTCGTCGGATTTTCGCACGGACCGTCTACGATCATTAGACTGGGCTCGCTGTCTTGCGTCTCGTCCTGGGGCTTGGGCGAATTCTTAGCCGAGACATCCTCGAGCTGCTGCTGCGTTTCCTGAATAGGCTTTTCCTCGTCTGGCTCATTCACGGATCCATTTTCTTTTGATGCGATGGGTTCCGCGGGGGTCACAATCGTTTCCTCATTAGGCTCGCTGATGACACTTTGGATATTTTTGTCTCCTTGTGGCGCACTCTCTTGCTTATTTTGATCCTGCAAGTCAGATCCAAAAGTAAACTCGCCCAGATCAACCACGGAAGGAAGCGATGGCTCGCGTGGCGGCGACAGGACTTGTACCGGGGAAGAGGGAAACTCAAGATTGTCGACATCAATGAAGTCAGAAAACTCGATAAAATCTTGCAAATTCTCGGAGTCGTTGTTCATGAACCCCTCAGCAAAATTGTCCTGGTTGAAGCTCTGAAAGTCGAGGGTGGGGAGAAGGCCCAATCCGGGATTTTCCAACTCCTCAGTTTCGTGTGCTTCCACGGGGCTCGGCAATTTGTCGGCCACTGCTTGGTCGATCAGATGCACAACGCCATTCAAGCTGCTCATAGACAGCGAATTCTTCAAAATACTTCCGGCTCTCTTCATTGATCTGGGACTGCTCTGACCTGCCTCACCGCTGTACACGATGACATTTTCGTCAGAACCATTGTAGTTGATGTAAGAGCTTCTCTTGCCATTGGACTTGATGGAACGCATGGACCTGGATCTCTCGAGAGAAACAATGCTTTCGATCTCGTGTGGGTTCAACAGCTTGGGGAACAACGCTTCACCAAGAAGTTGGTCACTGCGAGGCGGATTAAGACTCAGGCGGTTTGACTGTGGGGGCTTCGATCCTGGAGTCTCATTGAATCTGTACTTGAGCAAAGGCAGGCCAAACGAGGCATCGGATTTGTACTCGGGTAGCCTGAGATTGTCTGTAGGCTCAAGACCCAATTCTTCACCAAAGTTCTCGTGAGCGTGTCTTTGAGGTGGGTCAGCAGCGATATTGGCTGAATCGTCCTCCACACCATTTTTGGAGTACTCGAAATTATAGTCAGAGTCGTCGACTTCACGAATTGTATTACCGTTCGCAGGCTTTCTATCATTCTCAGGCTCCAAAGTGTTTGTTGCCGGAGTATCAACCTCAGCGAAGGATCCTGGAGTAGTTGGCGTCTGAGGCGTCTTTGATGGTTTAGGCTCGGGTTCGGCAAGAGATACGATGTTGCCGTCGCTCTTCTTTCTCTTGAAACCTGCAAACAAATTCTTCTCCTTGTCTTTCCTCTTAGTCTTGGTGGGCTCCTTTTGCTCTTTTGTCTTCTCTTTATGCTCTTTAGTCTTGTCCTTTGGTTCCTTCACCTTCTTCGCCTTTGGCTCCTTTGGTTCTTTGGGCTCTTTTACTTCGCGTAGCGCAGAGAAGGATGGGGTCGAGAAGGATTTCGCCTTGAGCTTAGCTGGTTTGCTGGGCAGATCGGAACTCTTTTTCTTGAAGAGTCCACGGAAACTAAAGCGCTTGGAGGCCGGCTCGGGCTTGCGCTCAGCAGCAGCGTGGATGTCTCCCATCGTGCTGCTACGGATAGGCGATCTGGAAGACGGCTGGGTGGGGCGATTAGACCTTTCACTCTTGAGGTCATTGTGGAGGGACATGGATGACTTGGGGGTACCGAACGCCGAGGACAGTAACTTGGACACAGCGTTTGCACTAACCAGCTTCTTTGGCGATGGTCTGGGCAGTCCTGTGGCTGTGGCCGATGTTTTGGGTTTTGCGGGTGTTTGGGCGGGTTGAGCCGCGAGCTGGAAGGGCGGCTGGAGCGCCTCGGGCTCGGCAGGGAGAAGCGATTTCACGGGAGGAACCGGCAGCGCTGGAGCTGTTTTTTGTTCCGGTGGAGGCTGGGGCAAGTCTTTTGTCTGTGGAAGGGTAGCCGTGGAGGCGGAGAGAGCTGGGTAGGTCAGGTAGTCGGGCTCCTCGACAGCGGTGGTGTCCTGATCCAGCTCCAGGTTTTTGCGGGGACCCAGCACAGTTAGAAGCTGTGGCAGGAAGTCTTTTGTGGGTCTCTTGACGGTGTAGAAAGACGCTGGAGGGTCCAACTTGGGCGTTCCCATGGAGTATCCGGACTCACCAATGGTGCTGATGGAGGAGGAGTGGCGGTGGCGCTCGGGAGACGCGTCTACGCTTTCTGTGGATTTGGCCGTGTGGAAGGTAGACGTGGAAGCGTCTGGAGGAGGTTTATGGAGCAGCACCCGCAGACCGCTGTAAGTGTAGTTTGCGTTGAAGGCGGGCTTGTCGAACACCGAGGCGGGTGGCACAGGCGAGGGTTCCTCTTCTTCCTGAATGGATTCCGGAATGTTCTCCTTGGGCGCCTCTTTTCCGTTCATGATGCTCTCCAAGGCTTTCATGGAAGGCGAAGCGCTCATGAAGGATGTTCTCTGGTTCAACACGTCCTTTTCAGCAGCTCCATCGAGAGTTCCAGCGGCAATGGAATTCGACAGCGTCAGGTGAGGTAAAGCCACAGAACGGCGTAGCGTGGAGATGTGGTTGGCCAGACTGGACTGGGAGATATGGGCCAGCAGGGAGTAGAAGGAGTTGTTCCAGAGAGCTTCCTCGGACATTCTAGGTGGATGCTAGAAAGAACAAAAAGTATGTGGATGGTCTGATTGAAAGACCTATGCTATAATGACGGGGCGAGGATGAGCTTATCAGCAAAACTAGGGAGTAAGAGGAGTAGTTCAGTTTTGACTAGAGTAGGTTTGAGAATAGATGGATTCGCGCGCCAGGGCGCGTGGGCAGGGGTCGGGCTTTGGTGGTGTGCTGGTGTTTCTAGTAATTTTGTGGGCGGGAGGTCTGGGTTTTTTCGCCTCCAGTAGTGTGAAAAGCGGCTGGTGTTTTGGCGGCAGTTTTCGGCGGCTTTTCTGCGTCTCTAGCGTGGGCATTTAGCCTCTGAGGGCCTCCCACAGCATCGTCTCAGGCCCGCACGCTGGCGGCAGGAACGCGTCGTGCCTGCTACGCGACGCACGAAATTAGCGAACGAGGAAAAAAAAAAGCCAGAAAATGGACCCAGAAGCCTGCAAGAGTGGTGGGCAAAAGTTGAAAAAAATGAAAAAAGTTTTGGGAGAAAAACGGAGAGTGCAAAATCGAATGAAGGAAAGTTGATGGGGAAGTTTATGGAACAGAACTCCAGAAAGGTTTTGGTGTTGGGTATCGGGCAAAGCTTTGGGTGCCGGGTTGCCGCACAGCTGCTTTTTCAAGATGGGCTGGTTCCAGAAATGCCACGCTGGGTGCGTCTGAAACACGGGCTTGAATTTGTAGTTTTTGTGAAATTCCAATTCTTCAGCCTGGCCAGCTTTGGAGATTTTCAAATTGTAGATCGACTACCGAGACATCTCGGCCATTCGGGAATATCCGCAACAGAGCCACACCGAGTAAAGGATCCACGGCAAAGGCTCAAATCGCAGGTTGAACCGAGCTCAATTTGACAAACCCGGACATGTGGCAACTTATTCACCAAGTCCCTTGATTAGTCACTTTTTGAATAACAAAAAAAAAAAAAAAAAAAAAAAAAAAAAAAAAAAATAGCATATGAAGAGGAGCTTTTAGCCTTATTTCATTCTCCCTTGGAATCGCCTCAGTCATTTGGCCTTGGCACTGGGCGTTTGCAGCCATTTCTTCCCGCCTCTCAAAACCACCTCAACCCTCATCACCTTTCCATTTTGGTTAAATTCCAAGCGCCAAGGGCACAAAGCCCTACGGTGGGGGAAAACAAAGAGAATAGAAGAATGGCTCCGGCTGGCGATTGTCCGATGGGGAATGCGCAATACAAATATTTCAGGCGGCCTCATACAGCCAGGATACATTCGGGAGAATGGGAAGGGGGTGTACCAAGCGAGGCTAAAAAAATTAGTAGGGGTCTAAAATATCCACCTCACATAGGGGCAGATTGTCGAGGGTCTCACTCACGATGGCGCATTGTTCGATATGGTTATATTACCTACATCAATGCAGATCCCGGGACCCTGATATCCAGGTTCAGGATTGGACCTTGCACCAGTGTGGTACTTGGTATAAGGCTGTAGATCGGCTTGCTGCCAATCATGAAAAAAAAAATGGTTTCTAGGTGGTGATCCTTGCATCTAGACGATCACACAGTCTCTCTTCTTCTTCTGCTTCTTGTCCTTTGGCTTAAGCTTGTTCTTCGTTTGTACCGAGTATGTGGATGCGGCATCTAAAGACGACTCCGCCTTGCTGAAATTGCTCTGGGCCCGCAGGTTCAATGAGCTGGTGTCCGAGTCCAGCGTGTAGACGCTTTCAGTGTAGACGCCAGATTTGGAAAATACTTGGGAATCGAGCTTTAGCGTGGGGTCCATGCCATTCTGCAACAAGGAGTTTGCCAAGTACATGTAGAGCTTGATCCACAAGACCTCGAGCTCGTGGGTGAACTTTGTGCCGAAACGCTCCTGGAAGGTCTGGATGAACGCCTCACCCATGAGCTCAAACTGCGGCGCTTCAATGCCCAAGATTCGGGAATGCGTGTTGCCCAACTTGGTAAGGTAGTCGTCAAGCACAGAGAGGTTTTCAAGCGAGCTGATGGCCAACGAAATGACGCTGGCAAAAGCGGCAGCCTGGTGACGCAACGAGGGGAACATGAGCTCTAGCTCAGGATCCATCAGAAGCAACGTGTGGTAGAAAGATATGCAGAACATCGACAGCGCCATTGAGGCGTAGCGATTCGAGGTGACCTGGTTCTGTTTCACCTGGAGCAGGCCCTCAATCGGAAGCAGCAGCTCTGTGGTTTCGAGTTCTTCATCCACAAGCATTTTGTTCCATGTGTAGCGTAAAAGGTTGATTTCTCTAGGGGAGAGCTGGAAAGAAACTTTGAATTTGCTCTGAACGGTCAAGTTCGAGTCCACGGACGAGTTTGTGCCGACTTTCCTGAGGCCGTACGATTCGTCGTCGTGCTTTTCATTGAGGGTGGTTCCTCCAAGCGACACATCCAGCGACATGGAGTCGACACGCAGAAGGATGTGCTTCTTCACGACATTTATGTTGCTGAGCTGAGAGAAACGGGCCGGTTTCCTCAGGTTTCTGGTGGTTGTATCTGCGATCATTGGGTGGGGGAGTGGAGGATTCTGCGGTTTTATATAGCGCTTGAAGGTGCAGCAGTGTTGCCTGATTTGTGCGTCCCGTTTAAGTCGAGCGGCTGAAGCCTGGAGTTGAGTTTTTTTTGGGTTTGGATAAAAGTGAAAAAAGTGGATGTTCGAAAAAAAGCGGAACGGGCCGCCTTTATATTATACGTGGGGAGCCAGGGCTGAAGAGACCTGCGGGAAAGATCTTGCGTGGATTAGTGAAGCAGCTGTGTGCAGTCCTGCGTAGTTAGATCAAACATGCGACATCGTTGGTCGAAAAGCTCCGCGGTTAACGATAAGACCAGGGCACCATTCAGGCGTGGGAAGTAAGTTTTTAGCGGGAAAGTTAAAAAAAAATTGCCAAATCATAAGATACTTTCGTGCACGGCCCAAAAAAGGCATTTTTTTCGATTGTCACCCTGGGCAGGTCGGATTTCCGCCGAGGCCATGGCCGCACGGAATGTGCCAGGCACTGTTCGACAGCAGAATGGGGATGTGCTGAAGCATTGTGTAACACAAACAAAAAAAAAAAAAAAAAAAATACCAAGTCGCCAATCACAAATCCCCTCCTGGGAACATACTCTGCCTGCAAGCATCAGCCGTTAAAGCTTAAGCTTAAATTTCGAACATTCTGCGAAGACTTTTTCGGCACTTTTCAGGAGCAGGACAAAAAGTCGCTTTTTTTTCCAATTAACCTTTTTGGGCTCCTCGCAGTGCCTTATCTGAAAAGCCGCCCTACATCAAAAAACTCCTGTCATGCCCGTGATTCATGCCTGTGGCATTTCCATTGGACACTTTCCAGTTTGTTCCTGAAACCAAAGTACCACAATAACGTGGGCTTGCCCGATTTGGCAGCCTTATGGCTTTTCCAGCGCGGGAAGGTCAATGGAAAATCAGTTACAGAGAACAACGACCAAGCCACTCCAAAAAGGTCTAGTCGCGTGGGGATCCGCCTTATCGCTGAATGTGCAAGCCACGTTGAAGGAATCGTGCCCCTGAGCCTAGGGAGTGACGTGGAGGGTCTAAAACTCGGGGCGAGCCGGGAACATAAGCCTGGGGTTCCTGGGTTTTGCATTTTCGCGTGGGTTTTGAATTTTCGCCTAGAAGTGAGAAGCTACAACGGCATTGTTAGGGGAGGGGAAGATGGAGGGTAGGTGAGGGATTCACATGGACGGGGTGAAGGAGAAGGTGGATTGGATGGGAATCGATAATGGGTGGATACTGGGTTTAGCGATATCGAGGATGTATGGTGATTGGTGCAGGTGGTGTGGCATTAAGGGACGGTTTTGAGATCGGCAGCGGTGACATGAAGGGTATCCATGGGTTCACAATTAATTCAAGGTTGCCTTGGAGGAAAGTGGTTCCCTGGAGGAAAGTGGTTGCCTTGAAGGGAGGTTTCTCGCTGTTTGGTGATATCATTGGTTGGCTTAACCGCCCAGTGAGCCACATGGTTGGTCGTGTGATTGACAAAAAGCACGACTGACTCGGTCCCTCCATACGGCTTATCACCTCTCATGCTGTGGCTGAAATAAATAATTTGTCATTTCCCACAAAATTGTTTCCGGCGTTTTTTACCATACCACGGGAGCAGAAGTCCCGATGCCGCGACATTCTGGCTGCAAATATCCTGCAGGAAACCACGCCTACCAAATGTCCCCAAATGTCTCCCGGCCATAAACCCACACAAGATTTCAAAAAAACTTCAAAATTTTAAAAATTTTCTCTCCTGAGATGACAGCTTCTCAACTCAGCCCCATCGCCAACCTTCGGACCGTTGTTGCTCGAGGCTTGGCCGTTGCTGCTCTACCTTCACTTTTTCTTATCATGAATGTCAGTCTTGGCACTTCAACTTGAAAACGATTAAGGGCACTGTGGCTGGGAAACCCACTTTTTGTAGATAGCGATTCAGTGAACAAAAAGTAGAAAAAGCTGCTCCAAAATTTCCGCCGTTAAAAACGGTTTATACAACAACCGCATACATCAAGCACATCAGCCTAACCGCAACTACTGAAGAACAGTGTAACTGTGGTGGCTACCTGACGCAATCCAGCACTAATGACAAAAAGCATTCAGAAATCACGGCATGCTAATTATTGGCATCCTCTCGAGGTATAAGAACCCGCTGGGAACAACGGGTCCTCATCAGCAATGGGATTTTTCAGAAAGTACGCCGATTCAGCTAGTCCTGGAAACGAAGAAGCCAAAACCAGCGATACCTTCGTTGAAGGCAGAAGCGTTGAAAAGAGCGACTTGAAGGTCGACACAGAATCTGCTCTGGGAGAGCCTTCTGACTTGGAAGACCAGACTGAGTTTGAAAATCCCAATCCGTTTTTGGACCCCTTCATAGCCGACCATTATCGTCAAATCTACGATGAATGTGAATACGAGTGTCGTGAAGCGTTTGATCCACATTTTACGTGGACCAAGGAGGAGGACAAGAAGGTGATGAGGAAGGTCGACAGAAGAGCCATCTTGAGCGCTTGTATCATGTTCTTTGCGTTGCAGGTCAACAGAGGCAATTTGCATGAGGCTGTGGCCGACAATCTTTTGGAAGACTTGAACATGAACACAAACGACTATAATTTGGGAAACACGCTCAACTTGTGTGCCTTTTTGTGTGCTGAGCTTCCATCGCAGATCATCTCCAAAGCACTTGGACCTGACATTTTCATTCCCATCCAGATCTGCTGCTGGTGTATTGTTTCCACCTGCCAGGGTGCCTTGACGAACAAAGCCGGTTTCTTGGTTTGCCGTGTGTTGATTGGTCTCTTCCAGGGTGGTTTCATCCCAGATATGATCCTCTGGCTTTCGTACTTCTACAAATCGGGCGAGTTGCCAATTAGACTCTGGGGTTTCTGGACGGCTTTGGCTGCCACACAGACCATCACCTCCGTTCTTGCCTATTTCATTCTCAGAATGAGAGGCGTTGCGGGATTGACCGGATGGCAGTGGCTTTTCATCATCGAAGGTTCCATCACCTTGCTTATAGGAATCTGGTCCTTCTACCTCATGGTCCCCTCTGTTGTGCAAACAAAAAACAAGCTTCACCCTAAAGGTTGGTTCACTGAGCGTGAGGAGAAGATCGTGGTGAACAGAATCCTCAGGGACGATCCTCTGAAGGGCGGTATGAACAACAGACAAGCTTTGGCATTCAAGGCCATTCTCAGATCCCTCATGGACTGGAACTTGTGGCCTATTTTCATCATTGGTATTTTGGCATACATCCCCATGCTGACAGTGCAGCCATACATGGTTTTGTCAATGAAGGAATTGGGATTCAGCACCCTCGATGTCAATCTCCTTACCATTCCGCTGCATGTGCTTCAAATCATCTTCATGTTTGGCATCACCTGGCTTTCTGAAAAATTCAACGAACGGAGCCTCATGAGTCTTGCCATGCCCATAGTGACGATTCCGTTTTTAGCAGCCATGAGGTGGTGGCCTGGAACCATGGAGGATGCTTGGCTAACGTGGTATTTCGTCACCATGGTCCTTGCGGCGCCATACATTCATGCCATGTGCGTGGCGTGGGTTTCAAGAAACTCCAACTCCATTGAAACCAGATCCATCTGCTCTGCCTTGTACAATATGTTTGTTCAGGCAGGCAACATCATTGCTTATAATATCTATCGTGAGGACGACTTGCCCAAGTACCGCCGTGGTAACCAGGAGCTTTTCGGTATCATGTGCGGCTTGATTCCTGTTTTGGTGCTTACCAAGGCGTTCTATGTGTGGAAAAACAAAAAGAGAGAGGAGGTTTGGGGGGCCATGACGCTGGAGGAAAAGCAACGTTACATTGCGGAGACCAGCGACAAGGGCAACAAGCGGTTGGACTTCCGCTTTGACCACTAGGTTTATTTATAGAGAGAATTGGGAATTGAATGGTGGAGGGTCGTAGGTGGGGGAGTTGTGGGTCCACAAAATGGAATGTTGAGCGAATGCTGAGGCGACCTGAGTTGAAGGGCTGAATCGAAAATATGTTCAAAATGACAAAAGTGCTTTCTTCGGCCAGGCACACCGAACGAACGATAGTCGTGACGTCACGCTCCAAAAATCCCAATACGTCAAGCTTATTTGCTCACTCCACGGATACGTTCCTGCTTTTGGGGGACATGGAAGCGATCAGGCCATGATGGGATCCCCCCACGGCGCCCCCACGCACCATCATCCAGCACATGTTATTCCAGCTTCAAAAATATTACCGGATAATACCCGGATACCCCAAAGTCTCGATCTGCCATGTTGCTGGATAGCCCCCAAATGCAATGCCAGATTGCTGGTTTGAATAGACTTCTGGCCTGCGCCTAATACACCAGAACTGCCATCAGATGAGGAAGGCTCCCGTCACTATGCAGCTCGATGTGGGTGTCGCTGCTATCTTTCATGGTCTGTGGGACGCTTAAGCTCATCGCTAAAACCGCAAACCAGGCACAATTATATCGTATCTGCGTCAGGGCAGAGCAACGAATTCTAGATTGGAAGGTTTGGCCTGGAAACGGCGAATTCTAGATTGGGAGGTTCGGTCTGGAAATTCAGGAACCGGCTTTTGTGTCCAGCGCGGAAGATCCCGAAGATCCCACACGGCTAAAGTCGTGGTATCCTCGGATGTGGGTGTGACAGGTGACGGATCGAAGACAAGCAGATGAAAAAGAAGAAATATACGAAACGGAAGGTGAGCTCTGCGGCTTCATCAGAAAGCAGAAAAGAGAAGGCTGGTGAAGACTGAAGATGGTAACTACCTGCTCACCACTTCTGTAAAGCTTTTCCAGACTTCTCCAGGACGCACATGCCGGGGCTTTGCATTCCTCATAAAGTCAGGCGAACCCTTCAAGTGGCCCTGCCGATTTGGGGAATGTTTCCTTGGGGTCCAAGCCTCAGATCCGGGTTTCGCTAAAATTTGCAGCCTGTGGTGTCGATCGCAGATCTGCGAAAAACGCAAACGGACGATCCCACGCTGTATTTTTAAGCTTTATTTTTTAGATGCTCATTCCTTCGGCACAGCGATTTCCCTCCTCGTTTGCACGCCGATCCTGTTTAGGCCGTGCACTGGCGTGTCTACATGTCGGCAGAAGCCGGCTCGTGAAACCATATTATTCGTATGGAAGCAGGGTTTTGGTGACCTGCTGCATTTGCTATTCTCTGTGTGCTTGGGAAGGTATTAAGCCGCTGGGATGGTGCCGCTGGCTGGGGGCGCCGCACATTCACACATCTTCTTCGTCCTCCTCATTCTCGTCTTCGTCCACAAACTTGTCTCTTTGCTCTGTCGTCATTTCAGCATAGTAGCACTGTAACGCTCTGTTCAACGCTGGCACTAGCCTGTCCCAGCTCAAAATTCTAAAGCCTTTATCGAACCCACGCGGCTTGCGCACACCGTAGGCCATGATCAACCGTGCAAACTCGGCCTTGTGGCCCTCGGGACACACCTTGGTTTTCAGGTGGTACAGCGGCTTCAGCCAGAAGGTCAACAAGTTCAGCCGGATACGCCCGCGTTCCCGGCGGCGAAGCTTCAGCTCCATCAACTTCGACTGGATGAGTGTTTCTACAATGGCCACCACTTCCACCGACGTGATGTAGAAGTTGGGGCCCGGGTTGTTTTCGTCGCTGGCCTTGTCCCACGCCAAGCACGACACCTCAATCACGTCGGCGTCGGGAGGCGGTGGTTCTGTCTTTGGGTGGTCGTTGGCGCAGCCGATTATGGAGAAGTCAGCGTAGATTCGGTGGCCCTGCTGCCTGCGTTCGATACGCACAATGCGCCGGCGGTCAAGCACTTCTCCCTGTGACCACGGCGAATGGCAGACCTGCTCAATCAGGGTTCCGCCCACTTCGAGCTTCACCTGAACGTGATGACGGTCCAGAAGTTTATCTGGCGGAGGATGCGCTGTGCAGCCACCGGTGGCCACGCCTCGCACAATCGGGCAGTGGTCAGGGTGGGGAGTGTAGAAATGAGGAGCCTGGGGCAGCGTAGGGCTGATACCTCCGAAACCGGGACTTTCAAGCATCTTTTTCGGACTGGCAGACGAGTCGACCGAGGTGGCCAGGCTGAGCAGGTCTAGCAGGTCCATGGACAAGAGCGTGGCCTGGGAGTCTCTCGAGGAGCTCTTGGAGCCCTGCAGAGGTCTTTTTGAACGGGAGCGGGAGTTGCGTTTGCGGGCCGGTTTCTGGAGAGGCTCCGCCGCTGGCGGGTGGCCCAACACAAGGTGCTGCGGTGGCGGAGGAGGAGCAACGGGCTGAGGAAACGGCGGTTGCGCCATGGGCATGGGATGGAAGTCGGCGTTGTGGGGCATGGGAGGAGGAGGAGGCGGGATCGGGCCGCTGATGGGGGAGTCCTGGTTTGGGAAGAGCCCTGTCATTAGAAGACGGAGGTCGGGGCCTTCCTCCGGGAAGTAGTCCTGCTGCAACCGGGGGTCTCTTTCGGGGGGTCTTTCGAGAAGGGGTTTTTCTGGGAACCTGTCCGCCAAGTCGGTGGGAAAGCCCAGGCTGAACAGGGGAGCTGGCATGGCGGGCTGGTGGGGCTGGAACGGCTCAAACGGCGGTCTGGTGTCGTTGTACTCAGGGTATGGCAATTCGTATCCTGGAAGAGGCCCTAGGAGGTCAGGATCCTCGGGTAGGCCCTGCTGTTGAGCTGTGGTGGGTCTCAGAAACATGCTCTGTTGTTGCTGGGGAGACATATGGCCCTCGGGAACCTCAAAGTGATGATGGAACTGGAAGTTGGCCATTTCTGGAGGGCGAAGGGCGTAATTGTTCATGGAGTGAGTGTCCCTAGAGGACAGGGGTGTTGGGGCTCCAGGCCAGGGGTGGATGTGGTGGAGGCGGGATTGTTGATGATGGGCAGAAGGTGGGGGACGCTGATGTTGCAAGATGTGCTATAGCTGGGGAGGAAAAGTTCTAAAAGAGACAAAATCAAATAAACAAAGGGTCCTGGGGATGGGGCGAATATATAGGCATGGAAGCGGGCTGGAAGGGAGAGACAGCACACATACATGTCTTGTCTTTCTGGGAGACTTGGATGCTGGAGGCTGCAGCAGGTGCGTGGTGTCCGGTGTACTAGCCGATAATATATGGCGATGCAGCGGTGGTTCTGGGGTAGCCATGCGCACGGGAGGTGCTGACGGATGCATGCCGTGCAGCAGCAGACGCACAGCTCGCGGCGCTGTCTGCACCGTCTGCACCATCCCGCCTGTGTGCACACCGACCGGCACCGCTCAATGGATTCCGAGCAGCGGCATACAATCGCAGTTTTTTAAAAATTCGAGAACAATCGCCCTGCCGCTATTGTTAGGCACGTTCTTGCAGACCGCCGTCATATAACCCTGCTGCCTGAGCCTTCGGCGTTAGGAACCATTCCGAGGAAGCCTCTCCGCGATGCGCTTCGGCTAAAAAATATTCGGCCTACCCTCGGCAAGAATGCCCCACCGCCCCGGGTCCCAACTTCGCTGCAACGAAGCAAATATTCGTCAGGCTCCCTGTTGCGATCCTGCAGATAAGACACTTTTTTTTTTTCGCCGGCTATTCTTTTCGCGGTAAAATAGCCCAGCCTGCACAGAAGCCTACAACCCATCCCACACAGTGTAGAAAAAAAAAAAAGCGCAACACAGAAACCGTAGGTGGTGGCTGATTCAGCAACCGTATAGACGAAGAGTGGCTGGTGAAGCGTTTTACACTACCAGCATGTAGATGACGTCGTGGACCGTTTTCGGCAGGAGCTGTGGTAAATGCAGCCCGGCCAGGGGCGCGCCTCGCCTACAAACAACACATGCTCCGGAATGGTCGCAAAGTTCACCGAGTGAAAAGCCTCACCACAGAGAACCCATCGGATTTATCATCCCAGCAGCCCTTTGCACTAACGGCATTTATGGAAAGGTTGCATGGGGCTCTACGCTGATTTATTCGATTTGCAAGATTTTTCGCAGCCGTCCTACTGATAGTGTAGCCTGATTCGGCAAGCTAAGCAAATTGATATTCGTAATTTTTTTTGTCTCTTTTGAAAAGAGCTATATTTTTTCCCCTAAAAGCAGGTCATTCCTTCTCCACAAGTTGCTGGAAGGCTTGCGGCAATTGCATGGAATGCAGCGTGTGTTATAGTACTGCTGGCGAAGAACGCACGAACGAAGCGATTTTCGCTTTTGCTCGGCCAATTAAAAGTCTTTTTTTTTATTACTGCTCCTCGAAAAAGTAACCTGCTCAAGTGTGTCTGAGAGCTTCTGTGTGTCTTGGTTTCGAAGCGCTAGATTACAGGATATGGTGATATTCTGAGACACACCGTTTGAAACATTTTTTTAGAGATTTTGCTTCCGTGGTGACGTCGCCGGGACCAACGTGAATGTGGCTAATTTCCAGGGGGCAGATTTTGTGGTATCAGTTTCGTGATGATAGCGTGAGCTTTGTGTAACTACCCGTAAATCAGCGTTCTTATCGTAAATGCTGGAGCGGTTAAGGCCCGAAGATAAGGAATTTTCGACAAGACCGCTACAAAAAACTGAATTAATCAAAGCATCGTAAAAACTGGCTTTCCTACTTTGACGGGTGTTTCGGACGCTAGATGCCCATACACCCAAAGAGCAATCTTTGCAACCTTATGCAGACGGGAATATCAGTGGGGTTATTCTTAGGACCTGCTTGTATTGCTGGTCTTGCAGTAACGGTTCATTTGCTGTATTTCGTGGTTTCTAGGCTAGGTAGAAAGGCTTCCCGATTTGCTAAGTGGAGAGGTGAAACATTTAGACGAGGTAGCCGAACTTAAGCCTCCCGGGGGCAGCTGGAAGGTAATTAATAAAGCGGGACAACTTCGATATTATCGTCGCTTCTGAACAAGGGTCCGTCTTGTCAGGCGCTTTATTCCAATAATGCCGAAATCCTAATTTTGGGAGCTGCCTTCGAACACTTTTCAACTCCTCAAACTCGTGTATCGGCGGGCCGCTTCTCAGCTTTGTGTAAGCAACATTCGCAACTTTTAGCCGTATCTAGTCACATTCTGTGCTATGCCCAAGCCACTTGGGAAGAATGGACCACAAAGGATTTTCCACCACCCACACTTCCTTCTATTAAGTGTCCACAATGATCACCACCCATTCCTTCTATTGGGTATCCACCCCAAGTTCCAAATTGATTCACATTAAATCAGTCATTGTTCGTAAATGACTACCCCAGTGGCCTGCCGATCTGGGCCGGGTATGCGCCTCATCACCCACGCTTATCTTATCGGGTAAGTGCAACTCTATCTTGTCTAGGAGTTAGTGATAGGACATAAGCCGACAGAGGGGTTATCGGATTTAGGAACATGGCTTCGATCGATCTTGCCGGGCGCTTGTGACAGCGAAGGTTGGAGATCTGCATGATGCTTGGCAGCGCAAAAGTAAAGAAAATTTAAACTATACTACATTTGAAGCCAAAACGACCTCGTCTATTAGCCATGTCCATGTCAGCATCGATGCTGCTTCTAAGGGTACAGGTGTGGCGGTGACTCTGGCCAAGCAGCGAGCTCCTAGTGTGCTGGCGCCTCTGCAGCACCACGCATTGCATCGCGCCAGATCTGCCCGGCATGCTTTAGCGCCGCAGATATTTTTTTTTTTTTTTTGTTTCTCTTCCTCCCACTCCATGCAACGTGATACACAGCTCCTAGTGCATTGCGCTTTGTTTCCCCGGCAACACCTCCAACAATCCCCAGGCCCCCTTCCTGACGATCTGCTCAACTATAAAAGAGGAGACCCGCCCGCTTTTAAAAATCCACAGAAGCTCTCTTTCCCCCCCCCCCCCAATCCTCAACGCTCCTCTTGTGCCAATTTCGTAAACCTCTGTCCTGCCTGCGCCGCCTCCACCCTTGGGTCCTCGAGCCTGCCTGTCTGACCAAAAATACTGTCCGCGTCTATGAGCCGATGCACCGGTTGCCCCAATGCTTGGAAATTCCCGGTTTGGGCTAAGCGACCGTGCTGAACACTGTCACAAGCACCCCGAGGCAAAGGGTCTCGAGGGTCTGGGGCGCCTTGAACCCGCCTCAGAGTGCCGCTTCCAGTGGTGTACCTTGCTGCTGCCGTCTCCTCACTTTACACCATCTGCGCTGCCCTTATCTGGATGATCGGGGGAGGCTAAATTTTCGCTTCGGCGCCGCGGCTGCAAATCTTTCTTCCGTCTAGCAGGCGGGAAGCCGTGGCTCAGAAAGGCCAATTTCTCTTTTGCCATGCAACGGAGCCAGACTCTCGTGAGGAAATCACCAGCCCATGAGTGCGCTAAGCTCCCTTCATCCGCCAATTTCATGTGGTGTTCCTCGGGCCCACCTGCCACAGAGGCTGTCTGCGGGATCGCCTTCTGCTGCACCACTAGGGTTTCTCCCTACATACTCTCCTCAACATCAACTGCTCGTGGGCCCACTTTTGCGTCTTCCCCCTGCTTTCCCACAGCTGCGGGCTCATGTTGTTCCAGATACACATCTTCGAGATCGGGCCCTGATGCGCAAATTGCCCCTCAAGGGCCAAGCAGCCCCTGGTCATGAAGTGTGATCGCGTGCATGGACAAGGCAATTGGCAATTTGACAAACGCACCTCGTTGACGAGAACAATGCGTGGAATGCTGGCGTGGCGGTCTGTAGAGAAATCTCGGACCTGTCCTTGGCACGGCTCCGAATGTCGTGAATTTGGGGCGTCTTTGGCCAGAATGACGCTTTTTGGAGGTTTTCTTTGGTATTGAGAGACATTTGGTTGCTATCTACGCCAAAAACTAAGTAGGAGTCAGCCCCACACTCTGACACTCTAGAGATTAGCGGGCTCAAGATCCCCTGCCGAATGGTGCATGAGCTTAGTTTTCTTTCCGTCTCCGACCACATGTGTGGATGAGCAGAAAAAATAATTATGCTGAAGAAGCTTACTTTGGTACCTCTTACGATTGAACAATGTCGATCGAAGAATAGCCACAGTGCGTACGGCGATTCCAAAAAGAAATTGCCGCCAGTGACTTGAAATTCATGGACTCCAATTACCCTGTTGGTCCTTTCCAAGCTGACCATCGAGACGTCCTTGACGCCTTTAGCTACAGCCCAGTACCGTGGGGTCGATGTTGTTAAAAAAAAAAAAAAAAATAAAATAAAAAAAATCGACATCTTTCCTGATAAAAAGGTATGAGTCGAAAGCAAAGCAAGAGGATATCTACACCTCACTTAAACATTGATAATGGCGAAGCCTTCAGCTGTCTTTTTATCGAAGAACATCACCGTCGGCAATTCAACTCCTTGTTGGTCGCAGAAAACCGCTGCCAAAAATTTTTCTTCTCTTTTTATTCTTCGATCATTAAAAGAAATGACAAATGGAAGATGTGCAAATGAGACAATTGAGAGAATGGATTATTGGATAGACCGCAAAGCAGAGCTATATCAGCCTTTCATCTCTTGCCGACCAATGGAACAGTGAATTAAGGAGGAATCAGCGATGCTTCCAACGACGGGACCCCATTTGATGCAACAGGCTAAATTTAACTCTCTTTTGCTTCTCTGCTATTTCAAGCGGCTCATGCTTGAGAGGAAATTATCCAAGTACAAGTGCCTCAGCTGTGGACCTCTACAGCCCAGGCACTACTCCACTATTACAACTCTACAAGACTTGAAAGGTAAACTATCATATATTGAAGCTACAGTTTCTTGCGCAACTTGTCGACTTCTTCCTTCCAGCGCTTAGATTCCATTTTCCACCACATTGCTTCGAGTTTGGCTTTGTTGAGCTCCTCTTCCATCTGCTTGATGCGAGAGTCGAGAACCTCAACATCCTTCCTCTGACGCTCTCGGTACCTACGTGCCGCTAGCGTATTCCTCATACGTTTGTCGGACTTTGGCGCCTGGTCAGGTTTCAACTCAAGGGGACGATGTTTCCGTTTACTTAGTCTCTTCCGAACTTTATCGATGTCGTCATTGGAGACAGACATCCTGGGCTCAGGCTTCGATTTGGTGAAGTAGTCCTTGGATTCATCGACCCACCGTAATTGTGGGGTGTATTGTTCTCGGAGGAAGAAAACTCCTGTGGTGTTTCGAAATCTAGGCCCCTGGGGCCGAAAGAAGCGTGTCAAGCTGAGCAAGATCTGAGCTGGAACTTGAGAAATCCGTAAATTCATCAAACGGGACGTCTTGAAAATCGCAGGTGTAACTCGAATATCCGCTCAAGCCATCACTCCACGATAAAGTTCCTTGTTGGGGTGTATGCAACGATTGTTGGTCCCATCTTGTTTCGCTTATCTAAACACTTACGTCGGTTAAGGTTTAAACCGACGCTCCTATACTATCCTGAAAGCCAACTGATACCTGACTTTCCAAGGGGGGTGTGTAGTGAAGCAGAAATCAAAGGAGCGCTGCCCCTTATATAAGGCAGATAATCCAAATGCGGAAAATGAGTAATTTTACTGATTGAGATACGCCACGCCAGGGCTCCTGGTACAGGTTATCTGGACTCAGATAGATTGGTTGTTATCATTGCGAGATCAAGCGATGTCAAGCTCTTCCAAATTGGCTCATCATAGTCCTGGTGGGACAGAGGAGATTTGGCTGTTAATTTATAGAGCTGTCTTTGCGTAGATATGGAAACATCATCATCTTGATGGTGTGTTTCTCAATCTGAGGACAGATTACTCATAATGATGGATTGGGAAAATGAGGGAAGGCTAGTCGGCTTGAACCACGGGGCTCAAACGGTGAGGCGATTTTGATTGGTCGGTTTGGGGAACGGCGTCTTTCGGGAGGGGTCTATCGTTCAGCGGTATTCTTTGTGGTTGTCGCCTATTTGTTTCTCTAGTCCGTTCTGGATTGTTGAAAGCAATTCGGGAAAGAAAAAATGAGAAAAAGAGTTTGCAAAGGTCATTTTAAGCTCCGCTTTCCTGGCTTTGGCCCTTGCATCGTGATTATCAGATAGAGAAACAGCTTGAGAGGAATAGATTTCGTTAACTTTTGACACTCCAATGGCCAAACTAGTGTTTTAGGTAAACCCCAGACTTTATTGATCTACTTATCTGAAAATCCGACACTGGCCTTCATTTCATCTCATTAAAGAGTTGAATGGTCAACGCTGGTTGGAGTTAGCGTGGTGGAGGTTGCCCCATTTGCAACCATAGGTCAGATACACCTAAACAAGTTTTTATGCTTCATCCTCATCAGTCACTTGTCGTTTGCAACACATGATTATATCAAGATGTGGGATGCTCTCTAAGTTTTCAAATCAGCCTTTGCACTCAAAAGTTGACTTCAGTGAAGGGCTATAGATGTACGGAACGGATTGTTATCGTTGCCGGAATGCCGAGGCAGCTGACTACAAGGGTCTACAAAACGGTGATGTTATGCATCTCTATCATTGAAAGAATTGTAAATGTCTTATCAATCCACCTTGCAGAACACTCGAACACTCCCATTGACAAGACCCCCACCTTATCTGAATTGAGGTCTTAAAACTTCTTACAGATCTACTTCGAGTTACCTCTTAGCGCCATCTGCTTATACATGCACGATCTTGCTCGTCTAAGCAGATGAGGTGGATCGGTTTGTCAGATAATCGGCAGCATTACCCTTTTGGGACGAACATCCGAGAGAGACGCACCTCGCATATGCAACCGAAGCGATCACCAGTATCGAATCTGAAATCTTCAAGGCTGTCAACAATGAAATTCCAATGATATAAAAGTGAAATTGAGCCAATTTTCAATTAAAATGACATCTGAGCTCAAGATTCATTCAACAACACCATAAGAACCCATCACTGCAGGGTACTGAAACAACTACTATCGTGGCCGCAATCCTGGAAACCTTGCATAAGCTGGAATATTCTGACTAAGCGCCGCCTTGCCTTGACGAATATAAAAAGCCAGGATATTCTCAACTTCAGAAGGTATCACCACAAACAAAAAATCAGAAATGACTAAACCAGTCGAGATTACCCCATTGAAAAACACCAAGGTCTTTGAGCCTATCAAGGTTGGAAAAAACGAGTTGCTGACCAGAATCATCTTCACTCCTTCCACCAGATACAGAGCTCTTGACGACCACACCCCCTCTGATCTTCAGCTTGTGTACTACGACGACAGATCCAAGTACCCAGGAACTTTGATCACCACTGAAGGTGTTCTTGCAACTGAAAAGACAGGCAGCTTGCCTAGAGCTCCAGGAATTTTCAACGAGAAGCACATCAAGGAGTGGAAGAAGATCACCGACAAGATCCACGAAAACAAGTCGTTCGTGACCATCCAACTCTGGGCTTTAGGCCGTGTGGCTGATCCTGCTCAGAACAAGAAAGAGGGTCAGAAATTGAAGGGTGTTTCTGCTGTTTATCCCGACGAAGACGTTGAAAAGGCTGCTAAGGAGGCCGAAAACGAGTTGGAGGCTTACACTACCGAGGAGCTTGATCAATTGGTTGAGGAGATTGCAGAATCTGCCAAACGTTCTGTGGAAGCTGGGTTTGACTATGTTGAGCTCCATGGAGCCACTGGCTACCTTTTCCACCAGTTCTTTGAAGTATCTTCAAACAAGAGAACCGACAAGTACGGTGGATCCATTGAAAACAGATCCCGCTTCAACTTGGCTGTCATTGACCGTATCACCGAGGAGATTGGTTCCGACAGACTTGCTATTAGACTTTCTCCTTGGCTTAGATACAATGGTATGAAGTCTAATGACGATGAAATCCACCCCGTGGCCACCTACGGCTACTTCTTGAGTGAGTTGCAGAAAAGAGCTGATGCTGGGAAACCATTGGCCTACATTTCCGTCATTGAGCCTAGAGTTCCTGAAATGCTGGCTGGTGAAGACTCCTTTGCAAGCAACGAGTTCATCAAAACCGTCTGGAGAGGCAACCTTCTTAGAAGCGGTAACTACACCTACGATGTTCCTGACTTCAAGGATCTCTTGCACGATCTTGAGGACGATCGTACCTTGGGTGGATTTTCCAGATACTTCATTGCCAATCCTGATTTGATTTTCAGATTGCGTGACGGAAAGGCCTTGACCAAGTATGACAGAGACACCTTCTACACTAATCAGAACTGGGGGTACAATACGTACCTCAAGGCTGATGAAAAGAAGGATATTGATGAGGAGGCTGAAAGGGCCCACGAAGCCGCTCCTATTTCCGAGTAGATCGGTGTATTTTGTTAGATTGTTTAGAAGTTTGATTTAAATGTGATGTTATTGATTAGGTGTCAATGTAGAGCAGTGAGAGGTTTTACCAGGATGATGAGGTTAATTTGAAAAAAATCATTTTAGCTCCTTACATGGGCAAACTCGTCTTGTGCAACACAAAATGTCAAGATCGTTGAAATTCGAGCTATCAACATTCTATTTATGACGTAGAATGTACAATGGCTGCATTGCAAATGTCAACTCCTCAATAATACTAGATTACTACCCTGACTCCACTTTCCTGCTATGGATTAGGACGATTCAATTGGCCTCCCATTACCATAATATTCCGAATTCATTATTATTCTCCTGGTCATAGACCATGCATTGGCTAAATTGATATTTTTCAATCTTGCTCCTTCCACATTCATAGACCGTGACCCCCAATGACACCTCGTACTCTGATCACCAGAACTACTCAATTGAGGACAATAGCCTGATCACTCTCCTTCCCAATCACCTACTCCCGCTTATCTGATGTTGTTTATTGAATATATGTTTAGTTCTTCTTGTACTTAGGGTACAACTGCGAGAAGAGCACGCCGTCGGCAAGGACAAGACCGGTAATCACGGCAGCATGAATACCCACCACGTACTTGTTGTCCGATCTGATTCTGGCACGCTCAGAGTACACAAACCAGCCGGCAGTGGCGCCACCCAAAATGACAGCAATCTGGCCCAACACAACGGGGTTTTGAAGCTCGTTGCCAGCAGCAGCCGCGGTGTCCTTGTTGACGTAAGAGCCCACGAAGTTGGCAGCAGCCTGGTACTTCTCCTTGACGAAGTTGGTGGCCTGCTCAATGTATGGTCTTGACTCCTTCTCCAACTCCTTGAGGTCCTTCTTGACATTGTCGGTGGCAGCCTTGCCCTTTTTGATGGCGTCTTCGGTGGCCTTGGAAGCGTCTTTCTTGACCTTGTCGGCTTCTTTCGAGGCCTTCTTCAGGGCCTCGTTGGCCTCCTTCTTGACCTTGTCGGCCCCTGAGAAGCCTCCTTCTTAACGTCATTTGAGGTCAGATTCAATGGGTCCTCGACGACTTTAGATCCGGTGGGTCCTTGGGATGAGGCAGCTTCAGCGTAGGACATTTTTGATTTTCGATGGTTTGGTTAAAAGTGGGAATCGCTCGGGTTTTATTTGAGGTGAGGCAGCAAGGAACCCCCGGATGGTTTGCTGTCCTGCAGGGGCCCTCCATCACGCGAGGCTGGCGCACACTTTATGCCCCATTGCACGGTGCTGGGAGGAGGTGGGGACGAGTGATTTTGGTGATCGAAACAAGTTGTTATGGCAAATTTGGCTACGGCATTCATTTGGGTGAATCCTGGATATTTTTTGTTTTGATCACGTGGATGTCACGTGCCGCACCTAAACAGCTGTGGTGCGGCCTAAATGCCCTTGCGGCCGCATCAAGGGCCTCGGCCATGTGAGAGAATGGGCACGTGACCTCTTCGGAGCAGACCGGACGCACAAGCCGTAGACACGGCTGAGATTGGGTGTCTGTCGAAGAATATGTGGTAGATGAATAAAGCAAAATTTGGTAGAAATTATGAAAAAAATGTATGAAGATTGAATTTTCGTGATTTCGATTGGCTCAATGAAAACCGTAGGCTTGTGGGGTACGTGATCTGTGGCCTTAGGTGCTGCAGGCTTTCAAGTGTGGCGCCACCCGTTCATGATATTATTGCAGAACCTTCTTTTTGTTAGAAAACTGAGGAAAATCAATCGAAGTTGAAACGGTCTGCAGTGGGACATGTCTAACAGATTTACTGGAATTTGAGAAAAGCAGCAACTATCAAAGTGATGTCGTCAAGCCGCACAGTGGTTATGACACTGGTAGGAGTATCCTTCATCATCATCTGGTCAGTGAAGATCGAGTGGAACATGCAAAATGTGAGCTTCGCTGCAGCTTACATTAATCGTACGAGCGATACAAAAAAGCTGGTGGAACTTGCCTTTTCCATTAAGTGTCGCTTATGCATTCTGTCATGCACTGTGGAACAAACGATGCAACACCGAAGATGGAACTGTCTGCTGCTTAGAAGCGTGGTTTATGAGGCTCATACAACTGGTGATGGTGGATGTTGATTGGTCAATGGCCTCAATGGAAACAAATTTCGGATTGTGGCAGTAGATCGCAAGAGCCTGATTTGTAGGCAATCCGTTCACTCCGCGTGTCAAGCCAGCATCCTCTTCTCTAAAGTAGCCGTTCAAAAACTACGGATTCTGGAGCAGACTACGGATCCTGGAGAGAAGTGCTTTTGTAATAGTGTTAGGGCTCGAGCCCTCCTAATGGTGTACTCACGTGAACGGGTCACCCGCGTCGTATCACGTGACGCACAAACGGTACCGCACATCAAAATTTCCAACCCCGAAAAACTTTTCTCTTCACGTTTATCGATCGAAAACCACCACCCCCGGCTTTCCACGTACATTCCGATAGACCCACATTCAAAAATGTCTGCTCCAGAAGCCCCAAAGAGATCCTTCGGTAGAAGAGGCGGCAAAGGCCCAAGAAGAGGTAGAAGAGATGAGGAGAAGGGATGGACCCCAGTCACCAAGCTCGGTAGATTGGTCCAGGCCGGTAAGATCACCTCCGTTGAGGAGATCTACCTCCACTCTCTCCCAGTCAAGGAGTACCAGATCATCGACCAGTTGCTCCCAGAGTTGAAGGACGAGGTGATGAAGATCAGATCTGTCCAGAAGCAGACCAGAGCCGGTCAGAGAACCAGAATGAAGGCTGTTGTCATCATTGGTGACTCCAACGGTCACGTTGGTTTGGGTATCAAGACAGCCAAGGAGGTTGCCTCTGCCATCAAGGCTGCCATCATCATTGCCAAGTTGTCCATCATCCCAATCAGAAGAGGTTACTGGGGTTCCAACTTGGGTTCTCCTCACTCTTTGCCATGTAAGGTCACTGGTAAGTGTGGTTCCGTTTTGGTGAGATTGATCCCAGCCCCAAGAGGTAAGGGTATCATTGCTTCTCCTGTCGTCAAGAAGTTGATGCAGTTGGCTGGTGTTGAGGATGTCTACACCTCTTCTTCCGGTTCCACCAGAACCACCGAGAACACTTTGAAGGCTACCTTCATTGCCATCGGTAACACCTACGGTTTCTTGACTCCTAACTTGTGGGAGGTGCAGCCTTTGGCTAAGTCTCCTTTGGATGTCTACTCCGAGGAGGCCAAGGCCGGTAAGAGAAGATACTAAGCGGACGGTCGTTTGTATAGTTAATTCTTACTTCTATGAGTGTTGTAGAAAAGTAGAATAGAGCATCTTCGTGAAGTGCTCTTTTGGATTCCACCTCTACATGGAGTGTCCTTAAATTAATGAACGGGCTACTGCTTTACATAGTCTACATCGCCGTGAAAGACAGTATATGTAGTGAATAACGAACAAGAGGAGGAGGCAGGGCTATAGTATGTTGTGACATGAACTACCAATTGAGAATGTTTTGCAGCCGCTTCAGCCTATCAATCATAATATGTGGACAACTTTGCCCTCTACTGGGTGCTCACGTCCTGGTCTACCTTGATTAAAAACTAATAACGCCTGTCGTCAGCACATATGGGACTCCCTGTCCCTCCTATGGTCCCCTGGACCGCTCTATAACCGAATTACTTTTTGCTTTTGCTTTTGTTTTTGTTTTTTTTTTTTTTTGTTTTTTTTTTTTTTTTTATTTTCTTTTTTTATTTGTCTTTCCTGTCATTCTTTCCTGTAAATCTTTCCTGTCATATTGGCCAATCCCGGCCGGCATAGCTTACTGAACAGCCTGCTCCATAACTTGGTCCTCGGGAACGGCAAAAGCACGTTCGTTGGTTGGCTCGGAGCCACCGGTGTTCTGTTTGAGGAAACCAACCTCTCTGGCGTCAGGGTGCTTGAAATAGCAAACCTTGTTAGCACACTCGTTCTTGTGACGACACTCCTCATCGATGATGTGGTTGTAGGTGCAGAATGGCAACTTACAGTCGTTACCACGCTGGCAAGCCACGAGAGAGGTGGCGTGACGTCTGTGACATCCCTTGTTGGTACAGGAGTTGTTGAACTTACACTGCTCCAAGGTGGTGGCCTGTCTCTTGGCTGGAGTGTACTGGTTCAGGTAGTTTGGCGAAGAGTGAGCGTAAACACAGTTCTTGTTGGTACACTTCTTGTTGAATTTGCACCATCTTGGGGTAGTGTTCCTGGCGTCCTTGTTCGCTGGGGTAGGGTGACCAAATGGGCACATCTCCTTGGAGCAGACATGTCCATACTTACAGCTCTCCACCTCTGGACCGTGGTTAGCCAAAAGAGAAGGCATGTGCTGCTGGATCTGCTCCAAGAGTTTCTTCTCCTGGATGTGCTGGCCCTTTGGCTTGGTTGGGATCTCCTTTCTGCCGTGGCTCTTGGCGACAAAGTCCTTGCTGGCCTTGCCAACAGCGGGCTTGCCAATAGCACCCTTGGTGATACCAGCTCTGGTGACACGGGGCTTGGTGAGGGCACCAAACTTGCCACGTGCCTCAACGCCCTTCTGGAACTTGACGTTTCTACCACGGGGCTTCTTCTCCTCAACGGCCATGGAGGTGTCCTCCTGGCTCTGAGAGGCAAGGGTCTCGAGACGACCGATCTCAGCGAAGACGGTACCAATGAAGGTCTCGTCGATAGGGATGCTGACGATCTCCTTGGTCTCAGCAACAATCTCGTTAGCTGGACGGCCGTTTCCAATCAACATGATGATGTACTCAGCGACATCCTTGGCGTCATCTGGGATGTTGTACTTGGTAGTGAGCTCCGTGATAAGGAGTGGGGTGAGCTGTTGAGCGATGGGCCTTTAGGGTCGAACATGGGAATAAAAAGTGGTAGTATAGTTTTTTTTTTTTTTTTTTTGTGCGATGGGGATGAGATGATATGGGGATCGCACCCGTGCACCATACATGTCGTCCCTGACATGCATTTCTATGACTGGTGGAGGATGCCCATGATCAGGGGTTGTGAGCTACAAATACATATGAAAAGTTCACTTGTACTACTCAGTTTCAGATTTCCATTACGCCTGGGAAACGCCAAAATTGTTCAGCATATTGGCCGTCTGTGTTCACATATGCAGTATTTTGCAGCCGGTCACTCAGGTAAGGTTGTTTGAATCGCCGGAGCCATAGAGCTGGTGATACTGCCAGAATGGATTGAGGTTTGATTCGATGTTTCGTCTCCAATGTCAGGATTTCTTTTCTCGTATTCTCTTTGAAGCTAGCTAGGGGTCGTTCTTCAAGACCCTATGTCCTGGATGCTTATTGTGAAGCTATTCCTTCCCATCCGATTGTAAGAAGCACCATTCTTCATCGTCTTCATCATGTTCATCGTCTTCGTCATCATCTTCCTCCTCTTCGCCATTGTCACCATCCTCCTCTTGTTCCTCATCTTCGTCATCTTCTTGTTTCACGCCGTCAGTCTCCTCGGTTTTAGGTGCAACTTTCTTCACGGGCTTCTTAGATGTCTTTTCCCTCTTCTTCCCCATATCTTCAGAGTCATCAGTCTTCACCCCGATCGACGCCTTCCTTTCCTCAGCTTTCAAACTTTCAAGTTGCGCCTCAATCTTACAGATCGCTGTTTCCACAGGTAAGAAGTCCATGCTGAGGATCCCTAGATCTAACTGGGGACGTGGAGAAATCCGACCGACTTGACGACGATTCCAGCTGAGATTTGATGTGAGTGTAATCGAACGACCAACACTTCTCGCTGCCATCTCAGAGTAGATAAGATCTGATCCAGGAACATAGGCCACGTTAGGAAGGATGAACGGTGAGCCTGTGTCAAATCTCACCTTGATAGCTCCAATTCCACAGACGCCCGGTCTGCCCTCTGAAGCCTCTTTCTCCGGATCGGTCTCCCTGAACCACCAAAATAGCCTTTTGTCGTTGACAATGTGATAATCGTGCCAGGTGCTCCAGAGGAAAGTATGTTTCGAATATGGCGTGGGGAGCGCTTCGTCAATAGTGGTATCAATCCACATTTGACCACGGTCCTTTTTGGGCCAGTATGTTACAGCTCTCATCAAGCAGTGCTCGTCGATCTGGTTTCTCAACTTGTGGTACTTTTGTCTCAGCTTGCACTCTTGAGGAAAGTGTTCCTTAGACAAGCTTGTGGTCAAGAAAGCCACGAGTGCCAAGTCGATATCACGAACAAGCTCTTGAAAACCTTCCACGTCATAGTGCTTGTAGTGTTGCATGACCGAGGGATCAATGTGTTTCTCTGAGATCAACCCACCTTCAAAGTGCCTAGCACACTGGTCCTGTTTATCAAGCCAATTCCGGAATTGAGCGTCCCAATCCCTGTAGTTCGATGCTCCGATGAGCTCGACATCGATCAATGGCTTTTTCTGTCGAATACGCTTGCGATCTGTTGCATCCATGAAGGAGTCTTCAACCGAACGGGCCTCTTCCAACGGTTCTAGTTTGGGGAGTCGATTCTTGGTGTAGTCTTCGAATTCAGAGCCGTACCACAACTCCATTGGGATTCCAGATTCCAATTTCTTTAGGTTTATTGACATTTTGGTAATTTGAGCCAATGGCGGAAAAAGAGGATGTTGCAGCCATTTGCATAACTTTGACGTTTGTAGCGCTGCGGCGGTCCAGTCCGATCATAGAGATGACCGTGTTCCCTGGAAGGCAGGGGCAATTTAGGCGAAATTGGGAAATTTTATAATTCAATCATTGATTTGTGAATTTTTGGAATTATGGCCGGGGAACAGAGGAATTCGTTATAGACTTTTTGGGTTGATCTCTCGAGCTTGGCAGGGAAGAAGAACATTCGAGACTTCTTGCAACATGTTACTGGAAGCATTGAGTTGGGTATATATCAGTTTTTCTAGATTTGAGGATGCTGGTAAGTCAAAAACGTCGGTTCCAACGTTGGAACTCATAAAGCTTCCAGCCAAATTTATCAAATGATTATCCCTTTGAGTCTCTTGTTAGATTGTTGAAAAGAAATTACGGGATTGTTCTTCAAGAAACAGTTGTCTCTGAGGAACTAATTCCTTGCGTTTCATATTGAATTGCAGTTCGGTACTGACGTTGAAATTGGTTTAGAAAACAACACCACAAAATTCCAAAAGGAGAGCCTCAACCAGTTAGCTCCCTCGCCAGTTTGTGACTTACTACTTACTTCCAATATTCGATTGAGTGAATCCATATTCATAAACTTTTTTTTTCCAATGATAGGTAGTCAGCTAGAAAAAATCAAAGATCTCCCGATATTTTTATACTGCTGCTCCGATTACACTATTCCAATGTGCATTGATGCCAATGCTTCAATAACGCCTCGATCAAATCCTATCCTAAATAACAATACTCCAATAGTTTTGGATAAATCATTTATTAGGCTTTTAGGCCTCGCTTACACCTGCTACTGGCGAGTTCTACAAGGTGACTTAGCCTAGTCGACTTCAACATTCTCCCCACACCTCCTATAAAACCAAAATTACCTATCTCTTTCGGAACAAAAAGTCTTTATTAAACCAGTCAAATCTCTTATCTTTACCGCCTCCTCCATCATCGCCACCCTCCCGTAAAACATCACCTTAATCCATCAGAACATACACCGCGCTGGACCACCAGGATGCCCAAAACACGATCCCCACTCTCCAATTTCAAAATCATGAATTCCAAAAAAATCCACCCTCTTCACCCCATTCACCCCAAAACCCTACCTCCCGACCGCCTTTTTTCATCCCACCACCCCAGACACCCTCACATCAACACCTCACTAAATCCATCGAAAAACTCTCACCTTCGCACCACTACTCTTCAATGTCAGTGCAGATATTCGGCGACCAGGCCAGCGAAGAAAGGGCTGAAAACGCCCGTATGGCGTCTTTTGTCGGCGCCATCGCCGTGGGCGACCTAGTTAAAACAACCTTGGGCCCAAGGGCATGGACAAGTTGTTACAGTCTGCGTCTGATCCAGACAAGGCCTTGATCACCAACGACGGAGCGACCATTCTCAAGCTGATCCCATTGGACAATCCAGCAGCCAAGGTGTTGGTGAACATCGCCAAGGTGCAAGACGACGAGGTTGGAGACGGAACCACGTCGGTGACGGTTTTGGGAGCTGAGCTTTTGAGAGAGGCTGAGAAGCTTGTGGACCAGAGAATCCACCCACAGACGATCATCGAAGGCTACAGAATCGCCAAAGACACGGCGGTGGCCGCTTTGGACAAGGTGGCGATCAACAACGGCGCCAACGCCGAGAAGTTCCGCTCGGACTTGATCAACATTGCCAGAACCACCCTTTCGCTGAAGATCTTAGCCCAGGACAAGGAGTCGTTTGCCGAGCTTGCCGTGGACGCGATTTTGCGTTTGAAGGGCTCGACCAACTTGAGCAACATCCAGATCATCAAGAAAGCCGGCGGCAAGTTGGCAGACTCGTACCTCGACGAGGGCTTCATCTTGGAGAAGCGTTTCGGCATCAACCAGCCCAAGAAGATCCAGAACGCCAAGATTTTGGTGGCCAACACGTCGCTCGATACCGACAAGGTCAAGATCTTTGGCGCCAAGTTCAAGGTGGACTCGACGTCCAAATTGGCCGAGCTTGAAAAGGCCGAGAAGCTGAAGATGAAGGCCAAGATCGAGAAAATCAAGAAGTTCGGCATCAACGTGTTCATCAACAGACAGCTCATCTACGACTACCCAGAGCAGTTGTTCACGGACGCCAAGATCAACTCCATCGAACACGCCGATTTCGACGGTGTGGAGCGTTTGGCCTTGGTCACCGGCGCCGAGGTTGTCTCGACGTTTGACGAGCCCGACAATGTCCGTTTGGGCCACTGCGAGCAAATCGAGGAGATCTTGATTGGCGAGGACCCCTTCCTCAAATTCTCTGGCTGTGATGCCGGTGAAGCTTGTACTATAGTCTTGAGGGGCGCCACGGAGCAGGGCTTGGACGAGGCCGAGAGATCGCTCCATGACGCCTTGTCGGTGTTGCTGCAGACCACCAGAGAAACACGTACTGTGTTGGGTGGTGGATGCTCTGAAATGATCATGTCCAAGGCTGTGGACCAGGCTGCCGCCAACGAGACCGGCAAGAAGGCTCTTGCTATCGAGGCCTTTGCCAGAGCCTTGAGGGCGCTTCCTACGATTTTGGCCGACAATGCTGGTTTCGACTCGAGCGAGTTGGTGACGAAATTACGTTCTGCAATCTACAACGGCATGCTGACGTCCGGCTTGGACCTCAATCAGGGTGTGGTTGCTGACATGCGCGAGATGGGTGTTGTGGAGTCGTACAAGTTGAAGAGGGCCGTGGTGCTGTCGTCGTCCGAGGCTGCTGAGGTCTTGTTGAGAGTCGACAACATCCTCCGTGCCAAGCCCAGAACCGCCGACAGAAACCACTAGTTGATAGATACATAGTCACGAGATAATATGGAGCAGCGGAGCCAAGCTCTGGCGCTGTAGATTTAGGAATTCATAGTGGTATTCGAGGAGACGGACTCCAGTGGTATAAAGGCTTATCTTGTGACGAAGGGGCCTACACCACTGCCAATTGGTAATCTCTTTTATTTCTATCTACTGCTGCTCATGGTCTCAATCTTCTGGGGTCTCTTGGGAAGAGAGAAGCACGACGAATGTTCTTCAAGTCCAAGAAGAACATCAACACTCTCTCCAAACCAATACCACCACCGGCGTGAGGAGCACAGCCGTATGTGAAGGCATCAACGTAGTCGGAAACGCCCTCGGTGGAGTAGTCAACGCCGTGTGCAGCCATTCTCTCCTTCAACAACTCAGGGTCGTGGATACGCTGAGCACCAGACAAGATCTCCTCGCCTCTCATGAAGAAATCGTAAGAGTTGGAGTATCTTGGGTCCTCGGAGTCAGGCATGGTGTAGAAGGGTCTGACGGCCAAGGGGAACTTGTCCAAGATGTAGAAGTCGGTGTCGTACTTGTCTCTGACCAACTTACCAAGGAACTTCTCGTTCTCGGTGGAGAGGTCCTCAAAGTCGTCCACCTCCTTGCCGGCCTCTCTCAACATGGCAATACCCTCCTTGAAATGCAATCTGACCATCTTGCCGTCGGCAGGCAACTTGAAGTCCTCGACAGGGAACTGCTTTCTGACGGTAGCGATGGCATCGCCGTATCTGCTCTTGAGCTCGGTGAAGATGAAAATGAACAAGTCCTGCAAAACCTCCATGACCTCGTCGTAGTGCTCCTCGAAGGCCATCTCCAAGTCCAAACCGACAAACTCGGTCATATGACGGTGGGTGTTGGAGTTCTCGGCTCTGAACACTGGGGCAACCTCAAACACCTTCTCAAAGTCGGAGGCGATCAACTGCTGCTTGTAGAACTGGGGAGACTGGGCCAAGTAGGCGGATCTCTTGAAGTACGACACCTCGAAAACGTTGGAGCCACCTTCGGAAGCAGCACCCAAGATCTTGGGGTGTGGATCTCAGTGAAGCCCTTCTTGGAGAGGAACTCTCTGAACAACTCACAGATGCCGTGCTGGATTCTGAAAATGGCCTGGTTGGTGGGCGTTCTCAAGTCAATCACACGCGAGTCCAAACGGGTGTCCAAGTTGACCACTGGAAGTCCAGCAGCCTCGGCCTCAGCGTCAGAACGAGAAGCATCCTCAATCAACATGGGCAACTGCTCTGGGGTCTCCTGGATGGTGTAGATCTTGGTGATGTGGATCTCGGCGTCCTGGACAGTGGCGCTCTTGACAGGCTCGTCGACCTTCTTGATCACACCGTGAATAAGCACAATGGACTCCAAGTTGATCAGACCAGCCCACTTGACCATCTGCTTGGAGATGGACTCGCCGTTGGACTTCAAAAGACCCTGGATCAAGTTCAGCTGCTGTCTGAGGGTCATGAACACCATCGTGGCACCCTGCTGTCTGGAGTTGTGGGCTCTGGCTCTGAAGACGACTTCTTGACCGTCGTTCTTAGCGCTCAAATCAGCGATTTTCACTCTCTGGACACCCAGCTTGGTGCTCAGGTTGATCAAAGGCAACTTGCCGTAGTTGGCCTTCAGCGGGTCGTTGGCGGCATGGGCCTCTTTCTCTGCCTTCTCCTTGGCCAATTGAGCCTCTCTTTCAGCCTTCTTCTTGGCCTTCTCCTTCTCCTTCTCCAACTTCTTCAATGCCTTTTTGGAAAGAGGCTGACCGTCCTCGCCGAGAATGACGCCCTCGGGCTTTTCCTCTAGCGAAAGGTTTTTCAAGTCTTTGGTTTCTTCAGACATGGTGGTGTTGAGAATGGTGAAGAATCTGATGAGGCCTGAATTTTTGTGTCAATGTGCACACTGCCATGGGTGGGTTGGAGGAGGTGTTTCTGTGCTGTTTTTTGAGTCACCCAGTGAGTCACCGGTGGAGAAATGGAGGATTTGTAGATCAAGGGTGGTGTCGTGGTATGTGGGGTGATGTGGTTGTATGGTTGTTGAGGTGGCCATGGAGAGGGTGCGGTCTACTGAGGAAAGGAGATGTATATGGGTTTATTGAGCCTAGTGGTAGGGAAAGACGATGGGGTGATACTTATGCTTTTGAAAGAATGTGCTTTTTTTGTTTGGTTTAATTTTTATGGGTTGTATGAAATGAGGCCTTTCATGGAATTGGCGCTGATCTGCCGTTTTGCACCCAAAATGTCGCATGAGTCAGACTTGAAAAGTCACCATCTAGAAAATATTCCATGGGAAAAAGGGACAAAAGAAGAGGCCGCCGATTGAAATGAAGCCGACTTTTTTCGAAAATTCTTAGATCAAGCTTCTTGGGTGAACGTTTGTGGATTCAGAACACAAAAAGACATTCAGGGCCACAACGACAAATTAAGGTAACCAATAGCTTAACTGTTTCTCAAATAGATTATTGGAAGACATCTGAAGCTTCCCATAGTGAATATTGAAAGGTAAATAGCATAGACCGGTAATTCTTCAGCATAAAGGACAAAATGACTCATATCTCCGTAAAAAATGGTCCAAATAAGCCCAAAATTTCCCAGGACATCAAAATTTAGGCAAAAATTATGTATGAGAAGTTTCAAAGCGACTAAACAACATTTAGCCTAGAGCATAAAGTTAGGCCATATATATTATCCGCTGTCGCAACATGTCAATAACATCCGATATGGTGTAATGGCTAGCACAGTTCGCTCTCACCGAGCAGATCGGGGTTCGATTCCCGTATCGGAGCTTCTTTTTTTGATTTTTACAGCCATTGCAAACATTATCACTGTCTTTCGCTAAATAAGCTATGACAATTGACTTTTTTTTTGGCTCATTTACTCATGTGAGCTTAGTAGATCAACGCATGTTGCCTCCATATACCAGGAGGTCACTTGTACGGAAAGACCAGCCTAAAGTGCAAGATAAAAAGCGCTATTTTTGCCTTAGAGCCACAGAAACCTTCTCAAGCTCCTATTATCAGGATTTCCATTGCATAGGATCACGGTTAATACAATCGCAACCGTCGATCCCCTATCAAGTCAAACGATCTAACATACTCACTCAGAGCCTTGCCAGCATCAGCAGAAAAGCCAAAACCCACAATTTTTGTCACCAATTCCATAATTTTGTCTGTACAAACCGTTCCAATCATTCCATCTTGTATTGTACTCTGCCTCGCTAGTGCTGCTTTGATCTGACCAATCAAACTGAGCCTCGTACTCTTCATTGGCACCCCAACTAAGAGAGGCAAGAGTAGCTGAATGCATCAAGCAGTAATGAAGTCTAGCATCAAGGGTTCTGTCAAAAGCTCTCATTTCCTTGGGAGAGTAGAATAAGCCTTTCGTGCCTTGAATAGTGTATTGGTACTTGTCTGCCTGGTCACCCAAACAACTCGTGATATTGGCTATCGCTTCGGTTACATTGTATTCATGTGGCAGGGTAACCGTAACTGAAGCCGAATTGACACAATCGATAAGGAGCGAGAAGCCCATCAAAAAGAGAGACACTTTCATGCCACGAAATCAATTGAACTAGAAGAGTATTGATTCTAAGTTGGTAGAAAAAGTGTGTGGGTGATCTAGAGAATATATACTTGTATACAATCGGCACGGCTATATTACTCACATTCTAGAGAGCATGAGTCAATCTCATAACCTAGGGGGTTCCCGGCCACAAAAATATTGCATTAGTCATACCAATCAGATGAAAAGTTAAAAGGGTTTAAAAAAGGGACCACCTTACGCCAAGACATTCTACCATACAACCAGAGCTTTCTCGAAACTGAAGATGTGAAATATCTCGGGTTATCTTTGAAAGGAGTAGATTGCAAACACTTCATCAAATACCTCCCCTTCACGATCTACAAGAATGGTTACACCAAACTCGACAATATTAGTCGTGCGATGGGGACCAATATGTTTATCAGTTCAAAAACAGTGCACAAAGATTTGGTTCAGTGTATGACTGATAAGGAACTCAAACTAATTGATGATAAAGTTCGACGTACCTTTTGGGGCGTTGGGCAGGAGAAACTTTATGCAAGACCAAAGAAAGGCGGCTATGGCCTCATTGAGCTTAAAACTCAGTTATTAGGTCATAGAGCGAAAGTGACAGCGGGCGCCCTCGAGGAAAGTCCACAATGGTGGAACAAATACATTAGGGCAAAGATGCTTCATCATATGGTTAAACTTGTCCAGAATAACAAGAAAGCCACGATATGGAAATGTGGTGAATTACGTTGGACAGATTTTCTCTTAGAAAAGACTGGTCGATTTACAGAACATCTTGAATGGACTTTCACAAAAAACGAGATATGTTATATTAAGGCTTGGCGCACGTTGATAACGGGTAATAGGCCAACGAGGATAGTACCATACCGACGAGACTTGGCGGACACATAAATGGACATTCCCTTATAGATGCACAGAAATGAAGCTTCTAGCCAAGACGTCTTTTCGATCATTGAGTAAGGAGACACAAGACAAAAAACCACCCATAATGCCTGGTCAAGTTTTGGAGATATGCCCAGAATTAAATGATCAAAACCGATGGAAGTCCTTTTGGGAAGCACTATACAAAGAAGAATGACTTTTACGCAATGATTTTACTGCATTGCATCTGTTCCACTACGGATCATATGTGCCTCGACATGACATGAAAAATTATTCTCATGAGATTAGATGTACACTATGTCGAGAGAGGGTCAAGGCTTGAACATTTTCGCAAACTAAACTGGTTTGCGAAGACGGTGAGAACTACCAATTCAAAGCACCGTGAATCGAGGGAAGATTGCCCTACCCTCCCGCCCCTCCTGATTCGTCAGTTGAAGAAGGCCGTAAGACAGATATGTCCTATGGGTCGATAACCACGACGAGACGTTCGGGAAACTGACCTGAGTGTCTCGTGAAATTGAGAATAATAAGATCTTATTGGAGGTTGTTTCTATAGAGATATAGTTTTTTTTTTTTTACTCTAAGAAAGAGAAATCAGTCAAAAAAAAAAAAAAAAATGCACCTAGTTTGGAACCTCTACAATAACTTTTTAATCCAAACCTTTATTTTATCAAAACAGTATCGATCGAGGCCAGCTACAACCGATAGATGAAGTAAGGGCTCTTATCACCCTTCTTCATGAGCTCTTCTTCACTCACATTATCCCATTTACCTTCGGCAATCTCTTGCTTCCTCTTCTTGTTGATAGAAGTGTAGCAAGCAACGAGCACTATGGCAACTAGCAACCCCATTCCAGCAAAGCCACAGCCCAAAGCATGGCCAAGTTTGTATTGTGGAGTATCTTGAGTTCTGTAAAAGTTAGAAGCAAAAACTCCACTGAGATTTCCAAGTCCGATCTGAATGCCCATTCCCAAGGCTCTCTTGTATGATCCCGACAAGTTGTTGGAAAGCCAGATAACGACGAGGGGTAGGCGGCACATCCAAAGGAAATAAAGTACATACCTCCATAAACAGCACCGGGCGTTGTGACCGCATCGACACCTAAGCATATTGCAAAACCAACGCAAATGCACAAACAATCGAATATCAAGAAAGGAGCTCTGTAACCTGTTCTGCCTGAAAGCCATGATTGAAGCACACACATGCATGTGGCAAGAACATATGGAGGAACTCCCAAGAGCTGGGACTCCGTGGTGCTGTAACCCAAACTGTGGATAATGGTAGGACTAAAGAGAGAGACAGCATAAAGCGGAACATTCACACCATACAAGGCCAAGAGCTGAAGCCACACTTGCCAGTCTTTTGCCACAGCCCAAAGGTATCTTCTATCACGAGAGTTGTCTTCAGCTCTGACCACTTGAGGAATATCATCTCCGTCGGTATTTTTCTCGATGACATTAGTAGAGTGCTTGATTTTGTGCATAACAAACCTGCGCTCCTTTTCAGTCAAGAATTTGCAATCTTTAGGGTAGGATGGAAAGCACGTAAAGGAGAAAACGCCCACGATAAAAGTAAGTAAGCCCTCAAGAATGAAGATCCATCTCCAGCCATTGTATCCACCAATACCTCTCATCTGGGCAATAGCAGCAGCTAAAAGACCTGAAAATGCTCCTGCCAACGTAGCAGCACTAAAGAAAATAGCTTGTCTAACAAGAATTTCTCTCTTCAGGTAGTACATCGACAAAAGGTAGGAGATACCTGGAAAAAGGGGAGCTTCAAAAATTCCCAAGAGAGCTCTGGTAGCCAAGAGCTGGTTGTAGTTATTGACGGTTCCCATCAATGTCATGATGATAGACCATATAACCATCGTTGCGGGAATATAGATGTTGGGCTTCACACGGTGCAACACCATATTGGAGGGCATCTCCAAGACAGCATAGAAGACAAAGAAAACCAACAATGCCATGTTGAATTGGTTACCCGTGAGACCCAAATCTTCTGGTAGTCCTTCAATCTTAGCATTTCCAATATTGCCTCTGTCCAAGAAACTGAGCAAGTACAAGACAGTGAAGAGAGGAATGAGGCGAAGGTCGAGCTTTCTGAGCAACTTCTTCTCGTCAATGTCTGAGAAGTCTTCGTCCTCTTCTTTGTAAGAGTCCACAGTAACTCTGGAAGCATCCTTCCTCACTGATTCGGAGTTGGCTGAGGCTTCTTCCACGAGAACAGTTGAATTTTCCTTTGGCGACATGATGAAAATCTCAAACACGAAAAAACCTACAATTTATACATGTTACGATACGAACATTCGCCTTGCCGAAAATGAAAGAGGAGAAGAAGCAAAGAAGTAGTTGCAGCTAACTCACCCCGCGTGTTGATATTTCCACAATTCTCCGGAGGGGAGTGGAATTCGTGGAAGAAGATTATGCGGCAAATGCACAGCTGGCCGCCTCGAATTACAATTTAGGTAATAAAGAGGAACTTGGTGCAAAGTTAGATACCCAAGCTATTCGAATCATTTCCATTTGAATCATATCCATTTTAATTGACATCATAATGGGGCAGAGGGGAACCTCGTAAATGTGTTGCGCCAAGACAAGACAATGTCATAGGTTGTGTCAAGATATGTCGCCATTGACGAAAGTGCTTAAAAGTCTATTGCTTGTCAGGAATGGTGGAGGTAAAATCCGAAGCTGCCCAGAAGCAGCTCAAGGAGGGGGCTATGTCCGCGAGGTGGGTGCTCAGCCGTTGCATCTATGGAACCCTAAGAGGATGCAATTACGTCTTCAAAAAAAAAAAAAAAAAGGTAGTTTGTCTGATCTACAGTCGTTTCGATATATTTGAAAATTCTATGACTGCAACAGTCTTCTTCTTCAGTGTGGTGTCGAAGTTGGACCTGTAAGTAAATGCCAAGGATCAGCGATCCTCTCGGTGTGGGGTGTGTCATTTTCCCGGCTCATCTCCGAGAGGAACCATATAAGTCGAGAGGCATAAGGCTAAGTTGTAGGTACAAGAATAGCTACTATAAGCGGGGGGTTGAGAAGTATGGAACGTCTGGATGTCGGTCTGATGGAGCTACGTGGGGTCTCGAGGATGGGGAGGAGAGCATATACGAAGATGTTGGGAAAGTGTAGACGACGGATCGATGTACGTTAAGCGAACATTAAGGCGATTTATCAGGATGAGCGGAAGACGATTAGTAATCAGTAAAGGTAAAGAAAAGGAGGAGTAGTTATTTGTTGAGCTTTGCAGACAACGTGACGAAGTGGTAGTTGCCTACCCCGACATCGTGTTCGTCGATTGGAATTTCATTTTCATGTCTTCATATTATTTTTTGTTGAGTCGCCTTTACTTATGCTAGCACATTTTGAATTTGCATTACGGTGGGGTGGTAATTCCAGAAGTGTACTTCCCCTGCTCTTCTAAAAAATGGCTGCGAAAAAGCGTAAAAGGTATCTAAATTGAGAATGCGCTCTGGGCTAAACCGCGTATTATCTATATCCCCATAGATCTACTTCCTTCAATTACGAAGAAAAAACAAAATCGAAGAAGATCACTCGCTCTGCAATCGCAATAGCGGGATTTTTGCAAAAAATGTTTTCGAAAGCACTAGTTTGCCAAATTCCAACTTGCATCAGTAGTTACAGCACATCTCCGATGCATCGGCTTTCCTAACTCTTACATCATCATCTTCATTTTTGTTAAATCACTCGATCATATTCGTGAGCTATTTGCCTTGCAATTCCACGCAACTTGCCCAAATAGCTTCATTTCTTCTTCGGGGAAAGTCCGAACTGGACGGCGGCTGATAAAACGTAGGTGCTGCATAGTGGAAGTATTGTCACCAGAGTCAATCTGACTCCGACCAACGGGGCCATTCTTATCGATAAGAGATGTGCACGAGCTGCAGGGTCGAAGAGGGGGACTTGTGGATTTTTCAAGCTCCGAAGAAGCTTTTTGGATTTCTTTCCCAGTCGTTATCACAGCCCTCATCACCTCACCCCATGACTCATTAATCAAGGGTAATGAAGGGAAGAAAACTTAGGCAAAGTCACGTGCGTGGTGGGAATCAGCGACACAGCTAGGGAAGAGAAAAAAACGGTTACTCATTCTTGCGTATCTTTTCAAAACCACACTGAAAAAATGTCAAATCCACAAGATATTACTGGTACTTTCCAAAGAGCCATGTCTATCTCAGAGTCAGGCTCCCCTCACGCTGTTCTGACTTCTCCTACTCAATCGTACTTGGCCCAGGTGGGAGGTATTAGCCTGAAGACCACCAAGGCCTTGAAGCCATTCTCCACCGGTGACATCAAGATCTTGTTGTTGGAGAACGTCAATTCGACTGCCATCAACATCTTCAAGAACCAGGGCTACCAGGTTGAGTTCTACAAGACCTCATTGCCAGAGGATGAGTTGATCGAAAAGATCAAGGATGTGCATGCCATCGGTATCAGATCTAAGACTAAGTTGACCAGCAAGATCCTCCAGCACGCCAAGAACTTGGTCACCATTGGTTGTTTCTGTATTGGTACTAACCAGGTTGACTTGGAGTACGCTGGTAAGGCTGGTATTGCTGTCTTCAACTCCCCGTTCTCCAACTCTAGATCTGTTGCTGAGTTGGTTATTGCCGAGATCATCACCTTGGCTAGACAATTGGGTGACCGTTCTATCGAGATGCATACCGGTACTTGGAACAAGGTTTCCGCCAAGTGCTGGGAAATTAGAGGTAAGACATTGGGTATTGTGGGTTACGGCCACATTGGTTCCCAGTTGTCTGTTTTGGCTGAGTCCATGGGTATGAATGTCATTTACTACGATGTGACCATGATCATGGCTTTGGGTAACTCCAAGCAAGTCGAAACCTTGGACGACTTGTTGCAGAGAGCCGACTTTGTCACTTTGCACGTGCCTGCCACAGCAGAGACCAAGAACTTGTTGTCCACTCCCCAGTTTGCCGCCATGAAGGACGGTGCTTACGTTATCAATGCCTCCAGAGGTACTGTCATTGACATTCCAGCCTTGATTGAGGCTATGAAGGCTGGTAAGATTGCCGGTGCTGCCTTGGATGTGTACCCACACGAGCCAGCCAAGAACGGTGAGGGCTTGTTCTCCAATCAATTGAACGGTTTCGCCGAGGAGTTGTGCTCCTTGAGAAACGTTATCTTGACCCCTCACATTGGTGGTTCTACCGAGGAGGCCCAGTCCGCTATCGGTATTGAAGTCGCCACCTCTTTGACGAAATACATCAATGAGGGTAACTCCCTTGGAGCCGTCAACTTCCCAGAAGTGTCTTTGAGAGATCTCGATTTGGACCAAGAAAACAGCGTCAGAGTGTTGTACATTCACCAGAACGTGCCCGGTGTGTTGAAGACCGTCAACAACATTTTGTCGAATCACAATATCGAGAAGCAGTTCACTGACTCTAGAGGTGACGTTGCCTACTTGATGGCTGATATCTCGGAGGTTGACCAAACCGACATCAAGTCCTTGTACGAGCAGCTAGAGCAGACTCCATACAAGATTGCTACTCGTTTGTTGTACTAAGCAGCATTGATATGACCCCATAGAAAAAGACAAGATTAGTCTCTCCACATTTTAATATACCTACACGCAGATGAAAGCAAAAATTAAAAGATAATCGTAAATCGTCGACGGATACAAAGAAAAATTCGAACAAAAACTCGTTCCGGCGAGCTTAAGTGGAGAACGGCTCTCTACTAATCTGCCTGCTGATCTCAGGATCCAACTCCAACCCCTTCTCCTGGTAGTAACGCTTCTGGTGTTCATACAAGAATGGCATAGGCTTGAGCTTCTCTCTAAGAATCCAAACTCTGAAGCACCAGAGAGCCTGTCTAGCACGGTAAATCGCATGCTTACGCAAGGACACTCCAAACACGGAATCCAACTCCTCCAAAGTAAGACCTTTGGTTTCTGGCAAAAAGAGGAGCACAAGGAACCAACCAACGATATTCCATGCGGCGTAGAAACCAAAGGCACCAGTCACTGTGAAGGCGTTTCTCAAACGAGGCCAGGTGAAGGCCAAGATGAAATTGAAGAACCAACAAGTGGCTGTAGCGAAACCCATACCTAAATCACGAATGTACAACGGGAAGGCTTCGGCCGAGTATGTGAACGGAACAGGACCTTCACCGGAGGAATAAACTGCAGCGAATAGGTATATACCTGTCGCTACACCCGCTAGCTTGCCCTCTGTATTTTCGTCCGGTGTTAAGAAACTGAATCCAGCAACAAGTAAAAAGATCGACATCAACGGGAAGGTACATAGCAACAAGTTCCGTCGACCAAAGGTATCAATGGTATAGAAGGCCGGGATTGCGAACAAGAAGTTGATCATACCGAAACCCCATGAGGCCAACATAGCTTTCACCTCAGACAAGTTAGATTCGATGAAGATAGACGAAGAGTAATAAGCGATGACGTTGATACCACAGAACTGCTGCATGAACATGACAATCCAGGCACCCAAGGCACCGTTTCTGTTTCTTCTCACGGTGAACATCTCCCAAAGTCTCCTCCAGTAGGGAATACCGTCAAAGGAGGACTCTTGCTGTAACAAAATGTACTGGTAGAAATGGTCTCTAGCAGCAGCGATCTGGTCACGTCTCAAGATAGAAAGAGCCTCGAAAGCCTCCTGGTGTCTACCTTTGCCCATGAGCCAACGAGGAGACTCTGGAACACCTGGCACCTGGAACAAGACAATGAAAGCTGGGATGGAAGCAGAGCCCAACATCAACCTCCAGTTCAAGCCACCAGCGATACCTCTCTCACCAACGTGATAGAAAGCCAACGAGGAAACATAACCAAACATAATACCCACGGCGGTGAAGAACTGCCAGAGCATCACCAAAGAACCACGAATTGTATGAGGAGTCGTCTCAGCTGCATAAGCCGGCACTGTGGCAGACTTGACACCAACTCCAAGACCCATACAGAAACGGGCAATGAACAAATGGTACCAATGCATACTGACGAAGCCTTGCCAGACACAGGTGATTGCAGAAATAAAACAAGTCCAGAAAATAACCCACTTACGACCCATGGTTCTGTTCCACCAGTGGGAGGTCCAGCAGCAAATAGCACAGCACAAGTATGGAGAACCATTGATCAAGCCCTCCATCAAGTCTGCGTTTTTCATATCAGTGATTCCAAAAGCATCAGGGTAAAACAAAGTAGCACCGTTAATGACCGACTGGTCCATACCCTGGACAGCGGCGGCCATGGAGCCCAAAGCAATGACCTCAACCAACTTCCGAGGAATGTGCCATTTTTTGGTCACCTCCAACGTCAATTGTTCCTTCTCGGAGTCCGTCAAGAAATCCATATTGGCAAAATCGGCCGGGCATCTTGCCAATGCAGCCGCACGAGCAAAAAGGTCCTCATCCAAATTGTATTCAGCAGCGTATTCCTTACCCATCTTCATGGTCTCCGCCTCGGTGTAGTGAGCAAGAACGTTACCACGTTGACCAGGCCTGTCAGCGGCCATGGCCTTATAGGAATTCTTCAGGGAGAGAGACGACGACAGCATCTCCACTTCCGGCTTCTCAGCGTCTGCAATATCTACTGTAGGGTCTGGAGCAGACATGATCGGTGGGTAGGAACAAGAGGCGAGAGGAGGTATTTATAGTGGTTGTGAGCGGCCGGGCCCATTCTCGGATGACTAGAGCCACGGCGTCTGGGGAACAAAGGCGTCTGTGCATTTCTCCACGCTAAGAAAAATGCCAATCCTTAAACGCTTCGACGTGTGGTTCCGAGCGGGTGTTATGAGCGAGGGTTTGCATCCAGAGTCCGTGGGGGCGGGGCAGCCGTGGTCGGAGGCAGTCTATAATTAATAGAATTTGGAAAGCTATGAAAAATAGCCTTCTTTAGAGACTGTGCAGTTGGAATCCATCCCGTCCGTGGCCCGTTCAGGTGGTCTTTGGTGGAATATCAACAGTGGTTCTCCAGGTTTCGCAGCCGCGTACACAGTACATACCATCCATTGCTAAACCACGTTGGTCTTGGCAGCCTTGGCTCTGAAACTGGAACTGATGCAGGGACAAGCTTTTCCCAGCGGGGCACCAGAGTTGCGGAACTGTGACGCCATTTCATTGTTGACGGCTTGTATGGACAGGATTTTTGCAAAGACCGTCCCGCTCAATCTGGCGTGGCTGCAAACTACACCCTAGCACGCACTACGCTTGTATTAACAACACAACAATATCACGCAAACGCCTTGTAGTTTTTCTCAATGTATTCCTGGAGGACGTGGGCATTTCCAGTTGAGATTCTGTTGAGCTCCTTCGTGTTTCTGAAGGAAACAAATGTAGGAATTGAGTACACATTGGCCTCCTTATTGACCTTGTCCTTCTCCTCGTCCTCCTCGTCCGTGCCTTGAATTTTGTAGAAACGGGCCTTGGGATACTCTTCGGAAAACTTGTCGTAGTATGGAGCCACTGCCCGGCATGGTGGACACCAGGTTGCAGAGAATTCCACAAAGGTGAGTGCCTCACTCAGCTGAGCTATTATTTTGTGGTACGCCTCACGGTCTTCAAAGTACTCTACCGTCATTGCTGTGCGATTTGTGAGCAGATTTCAAGCGGAATCGATGGGCCCTTTATCTATTCTAGAACGCACTGAGGCGGAATTTGCTTTATCTCACGAAGTTTCAAAGCCGGTCCTGCCAAAGTCCGAATTGGTCAAGAAGCGGTGATCGGTGTATTGCCTGAGAATGGTGTAGCCAGAGCTATTTCCGATCGGAGCTGTTTCAAAAAATAAGCTTTATGCAGCGGATTTGCAGGCTCGAGGCGTTTTATATACCGCCGGGTGTGGCTCGCTGATAAACCTCGCGATAAGCACCACAACTGGTCCAAGTCTTCCAGACCCTGATCTCCTGGAACGCTGATTCTTTGGGTTTTACGGAGGAAGCACTTCCGAGCCAGTTGCAGCCATGCGGGTGGGGCACGATTTCTTGGACAGTGGATTTACAAAAATTCTTGGTTTTGTCTCAATCGAGTAAGCGAGATAATTACGCAGATGGAATCGCACCCTCCCCTACACGGCTGCAAATGCACCTTGGCGTGCGAGCTAGCGATCCGGAAAATCTCCCCAAGTGCCGAAGCTTTGGTTGCAAGGTACATATAACGCCATTTCGGCGATGTGCGTAGGGAGTAGTTTTGCGATACGCGGACGTTCACGCGACTTTAGAGATTTGGTGTTTTTGGATTTTGATGGAGGGGGGTTGCGGCTATGACGTAGGTGGTGGGGTCCAGAACGAACAAGAAAGAGGAATGACATCAATAAAGCAGCGGCTGAGGCCCGACATCGTAGAGTTGCTATAGGTAGCAGGGTTATGTTGCGGGTGTGTTGGAGAATCTGGGATATTGTGTAATGACTTTGGCTGCAAATGGGTGCTGCATATGGATGAGGTTTGTAGGTTGGTGGACCCGTGGGGGATTCAGTAAGGTCAATGTTGAACAGGCTTGCGTTTGACTAGTTTCGGGCCGATGGGTAGTGCTACCCTCGCTATAGGGTTGGGCTTATTGATCTTTTCAGTACAGCGGTCGCTGGATTGGAAGGAGTCTTCCTTTCTTCAGTGGGCCCTTGATAAATCCACACTTAGCGCACTGCTGCTACCTTGAACAAATTCTGAAAGCTGATCTCTCCCTGCTCCCGTCTGTCAACGTTCGCCTATTGTAGAATTGCATAGGCGGTGGTGTTCTGAGACATGTCAAGAAAACCTGCCATAATGCGCAAAAGCGATCGAAGCAGTGTTGGTCGGCAAAAGTAGCCGTCGGCAAGACAAGACCACGTAGAATGTCCGTTTGCTAGTGGACATAGAGGACTTATAGCCTTCGTGAATCAGCCAAACTGGCATTCCCAGAACCACTGATCAACCGATACTCAATAAATAAGTAAAGACTTTCAAACAGTCTTAATGTAAAAGGCAAAAAAAAAAAAAAAAAAAAAAAAAAAAAACAGTTTAAAACTTTACTTGTACAAAATACATCTTTGGTATTTGCATGTTGCCTTACATTTGTCATCTCGCAACCATGATACCGAGCGCTGCCTCAACCCCAGATACCTAAAAAGACAAGATGCAAATATTAATTTAGGTACGAAACACTTCTTCAGTAAATATTAGCCATAACCTCCAAATCATAAAACATCGCCACCCCATGGCTCTTGCTGGAGTTCTACCATGTTCTGTGGTCGTGCGCAGCATAAGGTGGCGATAGATATCCACCGAGTCTCAACACTCACTACTACATACTTGATCCAACACAATCTCCAACAAACAATGGCGTTAGTTTCTGCTGCGCCATACTTGGCCTTGCTCTCAGAGCAGGACCCATCCTTAAAGCTGTATGCCTTATCGTCATTGAACGAGGTGGTGGACCAGCTCTGGGCTGAAATCGCCAACAACCTCCAAGAGTTAGAGGATCTCTACGAGGATCCACTGTTTGAAAAGCGTTCTTTGGCAGCACTTGTGATATCTAAGGTTTACTACAACTTGGGTGATTACGATGCTTCTGTGAAGTATGGTCTTCGAGCCGAGAACGACTTTGATTTTGAGGAAAAGTCACAGTACATCGAGACCATTGTATCTCAATGCATCAACATATACTCCAAGTTATCGCAAAAGAAGTACTTGGGTGAAGAGGCTACAATCAGTCCTCAGCTCACCTTGATTTTCGAAAAGATGGCGGCCAAATGTGTCGCAGCAAACGACTTGAAGCTTGCCTTGGGCATTGCTTTGGAGAGCTTCCGTCTTGACATTATCAAAGACATCATCACGAGAGAGACTACCCGTGATGGTGAGTACGGCTTGGCTTTGATCAATTACGTTTTGGTTTGCGCTAACTCCGTTGTGTCGAATGGTGTGTTCAGAGTCGACTTGTTGAACACTTTGATTGACATATTATTGTCATTGAAGGGCCACCAGGACTTCTTCACCGTTTTCAAAATCATAATCCAGTTGGGTGACTCCAATTTGGCTGTTCAAGTCTTCAAGCAGCTTATTGCTAAGGACGAGAAATTGATTGCATACCAGGGAGCCTTCGACTTGGTCAGCTCTGCCTCCCAAGAATTAGTCGAATCTGTGGTCAATAAATTGACTGCTGACGAGTCTTTCGACAACACCCTGCCAGTTCAGGCAAGATTGCTTCACGTTCTTTCTGGTGTCCCCACATGTGATTTGGACATCACCTTCTTGTTCAAGAACAAGAACATCGATCTCACAATTTTGAACAAGACAAAAAATCTTTTAGAAGGCAGAAACTCCATTTTCCACTCTGCTGTCACTTTCGCAAATGCTTACTTCCACATGGGCACAACCGACGACTCTTTCTTCAGAAGAAACTTGGAGTGGCTCGGAAAGGCTACCAACTGGTCTAAATTTTCGGCCACGGCCGCTCTTGGTGTCATCCACAAGGGTAACTTGTCACAAGGTCGTAATATCTTGAAGCCATACTTGCCAGGCTCTAATGGCGCCTCTCACACCAAGGGTGGTTCCTTGTTTGCTTTAGGTTTGATCTTTGCGGGTCATGGCAGAGAGACTATTGACTACTTGAAGCTGTTCATTGACGACCACGGTAACGCTGCTGGCAGCCATGACACTGATGTAATGTTGCATGGTGCCTGTCTCGGAAGTGGTGTTGCTGGTATGGCAACCAACAGCGAGAGTCTCTACGAAGCATTGAAGGTTGTCTTGTACTCTGACTCCGCTGTTTCTGGACAAGCAGCTGGTCTCGCAATGGGCTTGGTAATGTTGGGCTCTGGTAATGAGGAAGCTGTCAATGACATGTTTACCTACGCTCAAGAGACACAGCACGAAAACATCATCCGTGGCTTGGCCATCGGTATCGCTTTGCTCAACTACGGACAAGAGGACAAAGCTTTGCCAATAATAGATAAGCTCCTCGACCAAGAGAGCCCAATCTTAAGATATGGTGGTGCTTTCACCATCGCCTTGGCTTACGCTGGTACTGGTAACAACGGAGCTATCAAGAAGCTTTTGCATTTTGCAGTCTCAGATCCATCTGATGATGTGAGAAGAGCCTCGGTGATGAGTTTGGGATTCTTACTTGTCCGTGACTACCACGCTGCTCCACAAATTGTCGACTTGTTGTCGCAGTCTCACAATCCACACGTTCGTTATGGTACTGCCATGGCCTTGGGTATCTCCTGTGCCGGTAGAGCTTTGCCTGCCGCCATTGAGGTCTTGGAGCCATTGACCAAGGATGCTGTTGACTTTGTCAGACAGGGTGCTTTGCAAGCTTCTGCCATGATTTTGATTCAGCAAAACGAGAATCTCTATCCAAAGGTTAAGGAGTTCACCAACCTATACGCAGACACTGTGAAGAACAAACACGAAGACGCGTTGGCTAAGTTTGGTGCCGCCACTGCTCAGGGTATTATTGACGCAGGCGGTAGAAATGTCACCATCAATCTTGAAAATGCCAACACGAACACATTGAATGTCAAGGCCATTGTTGGACTTGCAGTGTTCGTGCAGTCGTGGTACTGGTTCCCATTGGCACACTTCTTGTCCCTCTCCTTCGCCCCCACAGCCATTATTGGCATCAAGGAGGACCTCAAAGCGCCTCAGTTCGAATTGAACGTGCATAGCTCTCCTGAATATTTCCAATATCCACCTAAAATAGAGGAGGCCAAGGAGAAGCAGCCGGACAAGGTTGCGAAGGCTGTGCTTTCCACTACTGCCAAGGCCAGAGCAAGAGCTAAGAAGCAGCAGGCTAAGAAGGAAGAGGAAGATGGCAAGGCTGATGACATGGATGTCGACGAGGAAAAGCCTGTCAAGAAGGAGGACGCCAAGCCAGTCAAGACGGAGGAAAAGAAGGATGAGAAGTCCGCTGACAAGAAGGAGGACAAGTCCGCTGACAAGAAGGAGGACAAGTCCGCTGACAAGAAGGAGGACAAGTCCGATGACAAGGCTGAGAACAAAGAAGGCAAGAAGGAGGATAAGGATGAGAAGGAGGAAGACCAGCCCATTGCCAACGAGCAAGTTGCAATTCGCTACTCCAAGACGCCGTACAAGATCAGCAATTTGACCCGTGTTTTGCCCGCCCAGGTCAACTATGTGCTGTTTATTAAGGATGACCGCTTTGTGCCCATTCGCCGTCACCGCGGTTTCGGCGGTATCATTGTCTTAAATGACACAAAACCGAACGAAAAGGTGGAGATCATCAAAACTGTGAGACAGTTGAATATGACCGAAGCGCCTCTTCCGGAGCCATTTACGTTGAGTGGCGAAGACCTAGAAGAAGATTAGGGGTTTTTCAAAGAAAGCGGCTACAAGATCAAGATGAACACGAAGAAATTGGTGATATAGTTATACGCCAAATGCAAGAATGCGACGCCAAGCAGGAGTGGCGATTTGTAGACCCCGCCGCAAAACGAGGCTTTTCAAGGCCCATAGCCTATTCTAGACGTAATCGGGCGGTCCCGCTTATCTGCTCGCAGAGCCCGGTGCAGGCCGAGTAGGGCCCTAAGTGAGATCTGTATCTTTTTTCTCTCTCAATTTACATTGTTCCTTCCTAGCGTGATCTGGCCAAAAAAAAAAGCCAGTTAAAACCAACCCCACAGCCCTTCGTTTGAATGTCTTCAGAAATGCTACTTTCTTCTTTTGTCCGCCATGGCACTCTTCGGGAGGATGGCATTCATCTTAATGGTCCGTCTGAGCCTCAAAAGACCCTGGCATCAGAAATCTGTTGTGTAGGGACCAGCGCAGATCCCGGAACCGACTATCATATTCCGTTCGAGGATATCCTTTGGTGTGAGCTTGCCAACGATGATACGGTGGTGAAAATCCAATACGCTAAGAAGACAGGCAAATCGCTCACGCTAAAAAACATGCTAGTGGACGTGTCGTATGCTGCTGAAGACCATGACATTGCCAGCATCATCTTGAAAAAAGCTTATAAAGGCAGTATTGTTGCCCCACGAGTGTTGGTGGTGCTCAATAGCTTTGGAGGAAAGGGTAAGGCTCGGGACATATACAAGGAACGGATTTTGCCCGTGCTTGAAGCTGCCAATGTTGATATCACATACCAAGAAACTACCCACCAGGGACATGCCGTGGACATCGGGCGTGAAGTCCAGGCGAAATATGATGTGATTGCTTGTTGCTCTGGTGATGGCATCCCACATGAGATAATCAACGGAATCTATGAAAGGGATGATGCCGAGGAGATTTTTGATAAGATCGCCATAACACAGCTTCCGTGTGGCTCTGGTAATGCCCTCTCGTTGAGTACGCACGGTACCAATGATGCTGCTGTGGCAGCGTTCCGTTTGTTGAAGTCAGAAAGAACGAAAATGGACGTGATGGCTGTCACGCAAATGGAGGGCGGCGTCGAGCGTACAAGGATAAGTTTTGTCTCCCAGGCGTATGGATCGATTGCCGACGCGGATATCGGCACAGAGAAGTTGAGATGGATGGGTCCCATCCGTTTCGAAATCGGTGTAGCTCACAAACTTATCACCAAGGCACAGTATCCGTGCGATCTCTGGGTGCACTATGGTTGTGAAGGAGACGAGGTGAAAGACCATTTTGACCGTCATCGCAAAGGTCTTACCGTGGAGCACAGCAAACAGAAGTATCCCAGTCTAAGTGAAGACCCCCCTGCTGAGTGGGAAAAGATGCAGCAAGATATCGCAGACAACGTTAACATCTTCTATGTTGGCAAGATGCCATATATGTCCGACCAAGCCCAGTTCTTCCCAGCTGCTTTGCCTCAAGATGGTATGATGGACATGTTGGTCACCAACGCCAAAGCTCCCTTGATTCACATGTTGAGTTTGTTCACGAAGATCGACCAGGGTGGTCATGTCCACTCTAACGAAGTTATCCACGCCAAAGTGCACGGCTACCGTTTGGTGCCACGCGTGGACGACGGTAGGAAGCACTACATCTCGGTGGATGGTGAGAACTTCCCATTACTGCCAATCCAGGTTGAGGTGGTCCCTCGAGCAGTCACAGTGTTACTTCAAAATGGTCTCTATGTTGACACAGCCTGGACCACCAACTGAGATGCCCGAAAGTTGCAAAGCCACGATATTGATTTGAAGCCCCTGAGCTGAATTGGTGTCGAGAACAGGTAGGGTCTCGAAGGTGTCTCCCATAATGATGATGTAGAACAGATTAGAACGGTCAAAAGACCTAATGACGGATAATGAACGAGTATTTAGAAATGGAATCCACAATTGGCAGCCGTGTAGATTATGAGTCACAGAAACCAAGCTGAGGAATAACAGTTCCATGGCCTCCGCCAGCTTCTATATCACAAAATTCATATTCGTCAGGTTGTCTAAGTAATAAAGAAAAAGCTACAAAATTCTCGAGCTGGGACGGAATTCGTGTTTTTATAGCGACCATTTGCACCTGCTTTGGCCGTCTCCAAGCCACATGTACACATGCCACAATCCCGACTTACTGGCTGGATCTCCCGTTTTGCGTTCAGACATACCCCAATGTGCTTTTCGGAAAACGCATTTTATGCTCGGTAGACATTACACAAACAATGAAGCAAACTTGGGGAAAGTCTCACTGAAGCGCACCCGTACTACCCGGTTCGGTGACAGCGTGAGCCTATGAACGAAGCGCTGGCTAATTGGCTCGAGAAGAAAAAGATCAAAGAAGCAGAAAACGCAAAAATCTTGATAATATGTAAAACTTGTTTTTTGCCAGGGGTCCCAAATGTGGGGTGTCTCACGTTTGCAAAATATGTAGTGGTGGTGCAATTTTTCACTCATAACCACACCACCCCTGGGATTTCTAGAAACACAGCAATCTTGCACAACACACCCCGGTTTAGTGCCCCGAGTGTTCTCTCCGTTTTCTATCTGTGCCCCAAGTTTCGCCCGAATATGGCTTAGGCTGGACATTGTGCAACGCCAAGACTCGGTGGAGAATAAGGCGTGATGTAGCGTTTAGGCGATGATTTGCAACTACCATCTGGGCGGCCTACTCGAGACAACAGACGAACGAGAAAATCTAATTTTCTTTAGAACGCAAAGATCGAACGTACCAGCAAGCAAAAATGCCCTGTCTTTGTATCTCCAGCAAAATGTAGCACTTCTGCCGGAGTGGTTGACTTGGCTAATCTGGGCACGTCTTATCGTGCGACAGCCTTACCAGCATAGTCCACGTCCCCTCAACGTCACGGTTTCCCCGTATACGAACATTTCTTGTCGTTTCTCGACCCCAGGCTCCTTCCCCGATTTCCCCTTTTTCTTCGCCTGTTTGAACAGGTGCTTTTCTTCATTTTCTTTATTTTACCCTTTTTTTTTCTAGACCCCGCCTCTTATCTAGCAAGGTCCTGCACTGGCCAACATCGCTCTCACCACTTCTCCCTCCACCCACCTTTCTTCTACACCATGTTCGAACGTATCAAGAAGAAGGTGTCTCGTCGACAGTCGGAGCCGGCGATCTTTGATCTACCTGCCCTGCCTTTTGCCGGCAGACGGGCCCTGACCTCGACAAACCGCACCGTGATGATCCTGGACGAACCCCATCCTCGCCATAGCGCTCTGGTTTCCAGACTTCGGGCTCTGTCTGTGCTGAGCCAGGCTACCGACGCGCCTCGGAGACTGAGGCTGGTACTGAAGAAGCAGGCTCGAGAACTCGTGAAGTTCGAGACGTCGCAGGTTGTCGGGAAGAAGCTTCTATCGCTCTTGAGTGATTTGGGCCTCCAACAGCCTTTCCCGCTTTCCACCACGAACAACTCCACCCTGGGACCTTTGCTGAAGCTGATACGCTGCTTCGTGGCAAACACAAACGATTGCATCTACTTGCCGCCAGCGCTGCTGGCTAGTTTCACATATGACGATGTGGAGAACGGCGGCGCTCATGTCAACGAGGACATCGACACCGCCGCTTCGGATGCCCCGGAAGGGCATGATACGCCAGAGGAGGACGATGATAACGATTTCTCGGGCCACGAACACGCCTCGTTGCCACTTCCAAGTCACGACGACGATTCTGCACGTCGAGCCTTTGAGCTGAAGCTTCAACCTTTTAATTCTCCTAATTACCTCAGCCTGAAGATCGACTCGGACGCGCCCATTCCCCATGTTTTTGCCTTCATCATAGAACTCACGAAGGAAACGTCTGTACGTGAGGTGCGCTTTGAATTCCAGCTGTGTGTGCTGACGTTGTGGCCCACCGGTGACCCTCATAACCACTACCACCAAAAAGAGAAATACAAGATCGGCCAGTTCGAGTGGCTTTCATCCCTAAGCGATGCTGACTATTACATCAACACCCAGAATTCCAACGATGCCAAAATCCGCAAGATCGACCCCAATGAGCTCGCAAAACGCTCGAAACGTTACCGCTTAGTCAAAGTAAGAGATTTGGCGGATGACAACGACCCGATCAACAACTCAAAGAAATCTTTTTCGCTTAATCCTGAGTTTACGTCCCAGTCTTTCTCGGATGCGATGTCAATTCCATCTTCGGGCATTCAGGAAACCGCCAAAGCTGGTCTTTACGTTTTCCTTTTGCCTCTCATCTTTCCATCACACATGCCTGCTTCGGTCACCTCCATCAACGGTTCGCTCAACCACCGCTTATCCATGAACTTGATCAAAATGAGCGACAAGCTCAATAGGAAAACAAGGGTATACTCCTACTTTAACCTTCCTATGGTCAGAACGCCGCCTTCACTCGCGAACTCTGTTGCTGATAAACCTATTTACGTCAACAGGGTTTGGAACGATGCCATGCATTATATCATCACTTTCCCCAAAAAGTACGTGCCTCTAGGCTCCGAGCATACAATCAATGTCAAGCTCATCCCGTTGATGAAAGATGTGATTCTTAAGCGAATTAAATTCAATGTGCTTGAGAGAATCACTTACGTGTCGAAGGACCTCAAGCGTGAGTACGAGTACGATAGTGATGACCCTCACTTGGTCAAACCTCATTGTGAATTGAAGACACGTGAGAGAGTTGTTCATCTTTGCGAGCTCAAGACGAAACATAGAAGCAATTATTCAGGTTCTGCTGAGCCTTTCAAGGAGGAGGTTATCAAATGTCCTGATAATAACTTGTTATTTTCGTGCTACGAGCCTAAAGACGATCCAGCCCTGGATGACCCTCTAGCCAAACCGGAGAAATCAACTATGATAGCTTCTCCCCTTGATATCAACATTGCTCTTCCATTCTTGACCACAAAGACTGACAAAGTCATGATGACCGCTAATCCTGACGAGGCGAACTCCAATGCAGCTCCAAGAAGATCACTCAGTGTCCACCGCGATTCTGTGCTGAGCGGCACCTTCTTCCCATCTTCGCCCATAATCGGATCTTTGGAAACGCAGATTAGCCATATGCATGCCGATGTTCCTGGAGTGTCCGATAATGTCGACGATGATGTCTTCAAGCTCGACTCATCGGCTTACATGGATGAAAGCAAGACAACAAAAGAGAACATTCAACAGGGATACACCTCAGTTCATAAGGCCCTTGCTCCGGACTCAAACTTTCGTCACATTCAAGTCTCCCACAGATTGCAGGTGTCTTTCAGAATTTCGAAGCCTGATCCCAAGGATAACAACCGTATGCACCATTATGAGGTTGTGGTGGACACTCCGCTCATTCTTTTGAGTGCAAAATGTAATGAGTCGTCTATTCAACTTCCAAGATACGACGAGATCGACCCCGAAGTGGTTCCGTTGTCTACACCGCAAAGGAGAGACATTACTTTTAGAACCCCCTCATACAGTAAGAATGGTGTCAGCATCAAGCCTTTGGATCCAGAAGGTGATGACCGCTTGCCATCTTTCGAAGAAGCCATCTCAGCGTCAGCGTCTCCTGTCATGCGGTCGTTCTCGGTTGCTGATGATCCATTGAGTAGGGCAAATTCTGTCAGTAATGCCCCTGTGCCATCGTATGAAGAGTCTATGCCGGGAAATGTGAACGATGAATACATTCCTACTCTTCGTATCGATGACTTGGTGATCGATCCAGCTAATGCTTCAGCACCATCAAGGCCATCCGGACTAAGAGCATCCCTTGGAAATTCATTTGCACCCTCATCAAACAGCCGCAGCCCTGACACCAACAATTCGTCAGTTGGTTCCAGAGATAATGATGGGTCTGCACCCGAGGAAGGAGATCCACTTTCACTTCTTAGCTCTGACTCGGCCAGCGAGGCTGTGCTGTCTAGCGATTTAGTATCACTGTCTACAAGTCATGACTCTGCAGTGGATCGCCTTCCTTCTAAAGAAATTGGCTCTATCTCACCTAGAGCTGTGCCAGGACTTGGCCATGGTGGAGAAAATGACCTCTCTACCCTGCCGCTTCTTAAGAATGAGAGCGTCGAGAGTATTCATGGAAGCAATCCGACCAGAGCGACGGAAGATTTGGCAAAAATCCTGTCCACTGACTTGGGAGACCCCCAGCTGCTTGGCCTCCGCCATGCATACTAGCTATCTGTACCATAACCAAATCAGTGCGCATAAAGCGTCTAGATTATCATGAGATGTCGTAGATACACCTTCCTTTTCCACCAATAAGCAGCTTTCTAATGTCAATTATACCAAAAAATGGAAAAGTGGCTGTAGTTGGTGGAGGGGTCTCGGGCTTGACTTTCTCGTACTTCCTACTGAAGCTCCGTCCGGATGTGCACATTTCCATATACGAGAAGAATAAGCGTCCTGGAGGTTGGATATCTACTGAAGTTTTGAAAAACACTCACGATGGGAAGGATATAGTCTTAGAAAAGGGACCTAGAACACTTAGAGGTGTAAGTGACGGAACGTTGCTTATCGTGGACATACTCAAGCAATTGGGGTATGGAGATCAGGTTGAGGTGATGAAGCTGACCTCGGATGCCAATCGCAAGTGGCTTCTAGATCCGTCCAATAACTTGGTTCAAACTCCCAATTCATTATCGTCTTTTGTGAAGTTCATGACCAGTGACGTCACAAACGGTCTTATCAAGAGTGTGTTGAAAGAACCGTTCCAGAAAGCTGCATCTGATCCCAAAGACGAATCGATCCGAGACTTCTTTGCTCGAAGATTTGGATCCTCTGTATTAGCAGAGAATGTGCTAAGTGCTGTTATGCATGGCGTCTACAGCGGTGACATTGGCAAGCTCAGTGTGAGAGCTACGCTTCCTAGACTACAGCAACTAGAGAGGGAGCACGGGTCCATTTTGAAGGGAGTCTTTCAGCAAATAAGATCCAAAAAGCGAGAGAAGAGCTTATCGCTGCAATTGGTTCTGTACCAGTCACGAATCTCTCCTCAAACCGACATGAGCAGTCTCTCTGATAAGCTCAAGAAGTTTCCCATAATGAGACTTCACGACGGACTACAGACTTTCCCGCTTGTTCTTAGCGAGTATCTCCAAAGGCAAAAGAATGTCGATGTGCATTATGGTGCTGCAGTTGAGAAGTGTGACTTTCAAGGAAGCCTCACCGTTAATGGAGAATCCGAAAAGTTCGACCACATAAGGTACACACTGAGCACATCGAAGCTCGCAGAATTGATCAAAAACGATGAGCTCTCCAGCATACTAAGGAGCTTTGAACACACCACCATCTTCTTGGCTAACATATATACAAAAAGGAGGTGCTTGATTCCAAAAGACGGCAGTGGTTTCGGCTTTTTGGTGCCTATCCGAAACAAAAACCCAGAGTCTCTTCTAGGTGTGATTTATGATTCAGACTGCGAGCTGGATGCTGTTACTTTCTTCGATGAAACTACCAGGCCCAAGGCTCCATTTCACAAGGTGACCTTGATGATGGGTGGCCACTTCTTCAGCAGCAGAGGTGTGCCTTCCAACCAGATAAGTATCGCCACGGCACGTAAAGTGCTTTCTGATATTTTGCATGTGGACTTGTCACAATTCCACAAGATAATTGTTCGTGATGAGGCCAAGGAAACGAGCAAGGAAGTTGATTTGGCCGATGACGACTTGCTTATTTCATATAACTTGCATGAGAACTGTATTCCTCAGTACAACGTCGGTTTCCTTGAGAACGTTGACAAGATGAAGACGTTGATTGGCAGGGAGAGCGACGGTCATTTCTCCATGGGCGGCACTGCCTTGGGCAAGTTGGGTGTGCCCGATTGTGTCATGAATGGGTTCGAGGATGCTCTTAAATTAGCTTAATATCACGTTTCCTCCACTTGCGTCTCTATAATTTGTACAAGTTTGGTCTTCGTTTTGGCATAGTCTATCTGAAGTTCCTTTCCGAAAACACTAGTTTTTTGTAGGCCCCTTAAAGCACTGTTGGCCAGTTGCTTGCTATCTAGAACCACGTGAGCCTGGCCTCGCATTTTCTTGGGCATCAATATCTCGATGACATCCCCGTATGTTGAAAATAGAAGATATAGGGTGTGCTTGACAGTCTGTTTTGAGATTTTATCATTGAGATTCTTCACATATAGCGTCTGTTGAACTTCCAGTCGAAGTCTTTTTGCACCTGGAGCGTCTCCCCCGTTGGTACGCTTCTTATCACTCATAAAGAAGGTGGTTGGTACTTGGTGATGCTAGGCAACAGGTGCAGGAAGTTCATCAGGAAGGTTTGCAACCATTCATGTAAAATATATACAAGATCTATTTTTCTTGGTCAATGAGAAGCTGGAGTCGTTCTTCAAACTCGTGCTCGTCCACTTTTTCAATCAATTCGTCCAACTTGACACCGGTCATCACACCAGGAAGATCGTGAACCGAGTGACCACAGCGATGGTCCGTAACTCTATTCTGAGGGTAATTGTAAGTCCTAATTTTGTCTGACCGGTCCGTTGTTGTGACCTGATCTGTTCTCATCTTCCTCTGCTCGGCCACTTCCTTCTCACGCTCCATAAGTGCCAATCTCGAACGCAAGATCTGGAACGCCTTGGCTTTGTTTCTAGGTTGGGACCGTTCGTCCTGTTGCTGGACAATAATGCCTGTCGGTATGTGGACCAAACGGACTGCCGAATCGGTGGTGTTGACGTGCTGACCTCCTTTTCCTCCAGCTCTCATCGTGTCTATACGAACCTCTCCAGGTGCAAACTGACGCTCATCTTCTTGGAGAGACTGCTCGTTACCCTCGGACATTTTAGGCAACACGACGACAGCCGCCGTGGATGTGTGTGTACGCCCTTTGGTCTCAGTAGCAGGAACTCTCTGTACTCTGTGAACACCACTCTCGTGCCTAAGTGTGCTGTATGCGCCAGGGTAGTCTATCGTTATTATGGCCTCTGAGAGACCATTGTTTGATCCCATCGTTTTGCTCATGATCTTGAGTGGCCACCGCTTGTGGTTGGCGTAGTTTATGTACATGTTTAATAGGTCCTCAGCGAAGAGACCAGCCTCGGATCCACCAATACCAGGACGAAGTTCCATCATGGCTGGTTTATCGTCATGACTGAGAGCTGGCAAAAGCTTCTTCTGGAGACTTTGGGACGTCCTCAGGACGTTAGGCACAATATCTTTGAGTTCCTTCTCGGCCTCTTCCATGAGCTCCTTGTCTGGGGACTCTTCGTTGATGATGTCCAAGAGTGCAGTGACATTCTCCATATCAGCGTTATACTTATGGTAGTTCTCTAGCACCGTCAGCACCAACAGGTAACGAATACTCGTCTCCAGATCAAAAGCCCCACCTTCCATCTTTTTCTCTAGGGCATTGTATTCCTTTGTCATTGCTTGGGCACGAGCCAAAAGAAGCGGATGGATGGGGTCTATAAGGTCTTCCGCCTTAATAGCATTAACTGTGGATTTCCATCTGGCCAAGCGGACCCATTGTGTCGGTAGCCTTCGAAACATGAAGAGATGGTTCAAGTGCGCACTAACTACTATCATGTCTTCAGAGAGTAGGCCTATCCGTATTGAGGAGTTCATACTCGCGCTAGAGGATCTTACAAATGAGAATATCGAATCTGTGTTGCTGCAATTGAGGAATCTGATAGGGAAGTTGAAAGAAACCAATGCCTACTTGGCGGAGGAGATCAAGGCAGACTCTGATCCTGATAGCAGGAGCCTATATGAGGAAACCATAGCAGAGAACAAACAAGTTATGGAAAGCCAGGAGGCCCGTGTGGCAGCCATACAGAAAGAGCTACAACGAAGAGGAGCCCAGCGAGAACAACAAGAAGATGGAATCTACTTGTAATGCACTATATACAACGTTTACTATATGACAATTGCACGAACTGCCAGAATATTTTTTTCTTTTGCCATCTTGTAGATCAATCTTTCTTCACCTTTGGGGCATCTGTGCCCATCAATTTATTGATGAACGGCTTTTCGTCGGTACGGAGCTTGTCCTCGGGCTTCTTACACACCAACATCCAGGTTGATCCGAGGTGGACTCTTTTCTCGTATGTGATGTCCAAGCCAGCATCATCGATAAGTTCGCCAATGTCTAGGTTCCAGCGGCAGCCCCAAGTCTTCATTCTCTTCTCGGCACGGAAGTCCAAATGATTGTTCAACATATCCCAGTTTCCTCTACCGTGTTCAAGAAGAACGATTCTGCCGCCAGGGCGTAAAAGCTTGGCCATATTTTTGAGAGCTGCAATGGGGTCTTCGTGGGCACACAATCCAAAGGCTTCCACGACGGTATCATATCTCACGTTGTTAGATTCTGCCAAACCGGCCAACTCCTCGGCTTTTCCTGTAACGAAGGCCACTTTCTTGAATCCAGGGAACGCCTTTTTGAATTTCTTTTCTGTCTCTTCCACCATCTTTTTCGACGAGTCTGTGAAGGTGATGGAATCTATGGACTCCAAATTGAGGTAAGGAATGTTTCTGCCAGTTCCGCATGAGACTTCGAGAACGTCACCTTCGATCTGCTGCATCAACCATTTTCTTCTTCTGCCCATCATCACACCTCTTTCTTCCCACTTGATCTGTCTGTCATACTCCTCGGCCTTTTCATCGAAAAACTCAGTGGTGTCTTGTGGAGGTACAATACCGGGATTGGACGAATTAGAGATCTTTGTTCTTTCCTCGTCTTCCTCGGGAATAGCCGTCTTAGTCGTTTTTTTAGCTTGTTTCGAGTACCACTCGTCTAACTCAGCAGGCGTGGGCTCGAACATCGCATTGGTATCAAAAATATTCTTTCTCCTGAACTCTTTTCTCATCATCAGGTACAATTTGAACTTCTTTTCTTCACGAGGTTTCAACTTATCTCCAGTGAGCTTTTTGAGCTTCAAGTACTCGTACTCACTAAGAGAAGCCGGGTCCTCAGCGTACTTGGCTCTGATGTGCTTAATCTGCTGATCCTCGTACCACCTGTCTCTCATATAGTAGTACATGGCCACAAGCATGACACCAAACATCAGGACGTAGTACTTAGTCATCGATCTTTTGAACTCATTTGTCTGGAAATAGAGAGCCCACTGCTTGTACTTGGGTAACTTCTGTTTGGCTCTTTCTTCCTGTACCTTTTTGTAGTCCACAGGAAATGGCGTTTTGGAATAAGGCCTTACCGAAAGTTGGAGAAAGGCTTTCGGAATTGGGCCTCGAGACCGGGGGATCCGGCAGGTTCTAAGACCTAGTCTGAGCATAGTGACTGATGGTAGAATTTTTCGCACCCATATGTGTAGCAGTGTTGATGAAGTATGGTGAAGCTCAGCAATTAATAATATTTAGTTGACGTCAAATTTGGTCATTTGGACTCAAAAACTATTAAAAACTATAATGGAACCATACTGTGAAACTTCAGGTAAAAACGTTACATGGGATGCTGTTGTTTCACTGTGGTGTCTGGCAAGGTTGCACTGTGAGTAGGGGGAACAACGGAACCACTATCCAAACATCTAAAATATCACAATTTCACTTCCTTTTGTAATTCATTAAACCTGCCACAATCCAATCGGATATTTATATACCTCTTTATTATGAAGAATGGAAGGGCTTGCTGGGTGTGTCCGGCACAATAGTGGATGATAGAGGCAAATCGACAGTCTCAACTCCACACAACCTGATCCTACAATGTCTGAGCACATCGAGACGATAGAACAGGCAAGAACGGCGGCCTCTCAGAAAAAGTATGATGAAGCTGAAAACAAATACTGGCTGGTGATCAATGCCAAGGTCGAGACCGACAATCAGAATCAAAGGGCCAAGTTGTTGCAAGACCAGGAAACGGCCATTCTCGAACTAGGCAAAGTCTACCAGGAATTGAAGGATGCTGAAAAGTTGCACACATTGATTAGTGACTCGCGTACTGTTTTGGGTGGATTTGCCAAGTCGAAAACGGCCAAGATTGTCAAGTCGTTAGTTGAGGACTTCGACGCCATTCCTGGTGCCCTCGACTCACAAATCACAGCCATCAAGGAGTCCATAGAGTGGGCCATCCAGAGCAAGTTATCCTTCTTGAGACAGCAATTGCAGTTGAAGTTGTCTGCTAAACTCTACACCAAGGGCTCGTACCATGAGGGTTTGAAGATCATAACAGACTTATTGAGAGAGTACAAGAAGTTGGACGATAAATCATCATTGGTCGAGGTTCAGTTGGTGGAATCCCAAATATATCATGCTTTGAGAAACATACCCAAATCCAGGGCGGCCTTGACTTCTGCCAGAACATCTGCAAACTCCATCTACTGCCCTACTATCTTGCAAGCAGAGCTTGACTGTCAGAGTGGTATCTTGAATGCTGAGGACAAGGATTACAAGACTGCCTTCTCGTACTTCTATGAATCATTCGAGGGCTTCAACTCCCAGAACGACGAAAGAGCCATCGTTGTCTTGAAGTACATGTTGTTGACAAAGATCATGTTGAACTTGATCGACGACGTTAAGACTATTTTGAACAACAAGAACGTGGTTAAGTATCAGTCTAAGGACATCGATGCTATGAAATCTATCGCTACAGCATACTCGAACAGATCCTTGAAGGAATTCGAGAACGCTTTATTGACGTACTCTGTGGAATTAAAGTCCGATCCCATCATCAAAAACCATTTCAACGCATTGTATGACAACTTATTGGAGCAAAACTTGTTGAAAATTATTGAATCTTACAGTGTGGTTGAGTTGGATCATATCTCCAAAAATATCGGCTTGAACGTGCAGCAGGTAGAGGGCAAGTTGTCACAAATGATCCTAGACAAAGTTTTCTACGGTGTGTTAGATCAGGGAAACGGCTGGTTGATTATCTATGATGAGCCCCGCAAAGACGCCTCATACGAGGCAGCATTGGGTTTGGTGAAGAACTTGTCCGGTGTTGTGGACCTTTTGTACGAGAAAGCGTCTTCCTTGAATTAGGTAAATGCAATAATAGAACGAAATCACGCAAAGATGCCTCTGACTCCTCTTTCACTGGCGACAATGGATAATTCACCAGCCAAGCCAACAAACTCGTCCAACCTGCCACAGGCAATGAAACACTGTAAGAAATCATTGGCTTTATCGTCAGCCACCTCATTTATCAACTGGAAGGCTTCACGCATGTACTTCCAATCGGTGCGTCTGGATTGCTGAAGTACTTGTAGAAGCTCAATGATGAAATATGGAATATAGATACTTCTGTACTCCTTGTAAATCTTGACCAGCTCCTCGTCGGTGCAATCGTCTGACACATCTTTAAACCAAGTGCTGGTAAGCTTTTGTAGATTATGGATTGTCTTTTCAATCAGCTTCTCCAAATCCTTGGATTTCCAGAATCCATCAGAAAATTGACTGGCATTGGCATCGGTACCAACGAAGCTTCTCCATTGATCGAGAAGATTTAGAGTTTCGACGAGCTCCTGGTATTGTAGAAGCTCGACTCTGTCTTCTTCAGATATTGTTGCAGGAGGACTGTTGCCATCAAGAGATTTTGTTTGAATTTGGAAGTCATAATCCTTTAAGAGGGACTTGAAGTTTTTGTTTTTGCTGAAGGCCTGAACAGAGTTGATTCTTCCTGTAAGAAGGAATCGGCGCATAAGAACCTTGGTGGCGGATATCGCATCTTCGTACATGCTCTTGTCGAAAAGCCAGTCAACTGATCTGTATAATTTCACATCGACGGGATCAATGATTCCATCTGACACAACCACGTTACCTTCTTGAACGTAGTGTTCCTCAGTCTCCAACATGACTCTCTCGACAGTCCTCTTCAAAACATTATACACCTTATTGTCGGTATCTGGAATATCCTCAGTAGCTGAACTTGCAGGGGTTTCCTCTCCATTGGGTTGGTTGATCTCAAATTTGTTTAATATGCTAAGCTGCCTGGCCCTTTTCTCTGGGTCAGTTATTGTTGCCAAAAAGATGGAGTAGCATTCACGAACATCCTTCTCATCCGGTATAAATGTCATGTATACGGGAACAAGGTCTTCCAATCCAAGATCGGATAGTCTGGTGATATAGCGAGTGATTATACGAGTTGGGGTCTTGGAACCATCGTGAAGGTTGAGCATAACTGTAAGAACAGCCAAGTGAGTCAAGATTCGTAGAATTTGGTAGTCCAGAGCAATCTCTGCTTGGTCGGCTTTGAAGGCATTGTGCAAGAAGATGTTAAGTTGATCAATCATGACACTTCCCATGATGACACGGAATGGATTTTTGCTCTCGTCTCCCTTTTGCACAAGTGTGTTGAGAATTCCGTCGACAGACTCAAACTGGGGAGATGGCAACAGCACAGAGCCTAGCTTCTCATCTTCGGGAATGTTCTTTTGGACAAACACTCTAACGTGGTAGGTGAGCAATTGATGGAGATAGACAAGAAGGCTCTGTTCCCAATTGTTGTCAGCAAACTTTATATTTTCTGAAAGATCGCCGCCGCTGAGAAAGGTATAGATGAGACGTTCGTAATAATTGAGTCCTTTCTCCTGTGACAACTTGTACACTGTCTGATGCCATAAGTATTTGTGCTTGATACCCGATGGCTCTGAAGAGTCGACGTCCATGTCGTCAACTTGGCCATCGATCTGAGGGTCCTGATAGTCCTGGATAGCGCCTAAAAGTATAAGCGCTAAGGTGTAGTTGCCCGTTTCGTTGCATAGGTCAATAGCACCTTGGTAATCTCCAGTAAGAAGAATTTGATATATTTGAGAGAAGACAATCAGATCAGCATCTGCATCCTCCTTGACAATAATCTTGCTTTCACGCAATGGAGCATCAGAATCTATCGTCGATACAAGCAGGGAAGTATCTGTGGGATTGGTCATCGCTGACAAGGACTTGGTTTTAGCCTTAATTGTGGTCTGTAGCCACTTCAGTTTCTGTGCATCCGTAAGCGGTGGGAATTGACACCCAGGCGAGTTGTATTGAAGCCACTGTATGATTAAAAGCATCTCCTTGAGCTTTGGATTCTTCAGCAAATGAGCGTCTCTCTGGACCTTCATTGATGCATAGGCGGGAACTTCATGGCCCTCCGTTTCAGAAAGCCTGAAGGAGTAAAGCAATTCAAACAAATGCCATAGCTTTGTCTCGAGATCCCAATTTTCAAATTCTTCTGATCCCTTCTGGTTCAACGCTAGGGCAATCTTAGCAGAGATGGAAGTGAAGCTTTTCACAACAGAAAATGGGTCCTCCGATGCATTGCCCAATTTGTAGTTTTCAAGAACACGAGCAAATTGCGTCTCAGCGGGCTCCAGCAACGGCTCTCCAAATATGGTAGATTCCTCCATGAAGCCGTAGTTAGTAAACAAGCGATGATTTTTTTGTTCGCGGCTGTAGACAGTAGGTGGTGCTGCTCCATATTGAGGTGAGAATTCACCAAAAGCATTTCCCTAAATGAGTGTGATGGATAATAAAATTGTGGTGGTGTGTACTTTTATTTCTATTTTACATGTTATGAGATTTTTTGGGACCCACATGGTCCTGGTGAAGTTGGGTTGTACAATGGCTGCAAACTGCTTTTAAGAGTCCTAATGCAATCTTGTGCTAGGATCAACCTCAAAGCGCCAACACGTGCAAGAAATCTCCTTTATTATACTTAACTGTCCAAGACTTTCTTCCCCAGCGAAACGACGAGGCATGATGTGTAAGATCGCAGCCTTCCCATTTGCAGAAATCCCTAATCTCACCAAACAACTATTTTGTGAAGGCACGACAGCATGGAGACATAGCTGAAGAGCCAAAGATTCGTGCAACCTGACTCCTAACTCAATTGCAAGGCCTTGCTAGGTAGGTGATTCTGCCGAGCCGTCTAATCAGAATCACTCTCGTAGCTCTCCTCTTCACTTTCTCCCCCATACACCCTCACATCTGCCTCGCCTCTTTCCACATAGAGACTTCTCGGTGCAATGTATGGCAACGTGAGATCCACAACTCTCTCCTCCACAACCAACGAATCCACCCATTCGTCCATGTGAATCAAATCGTAATGCACCGGTAGGCTGTTCTCGAACTTAGGTGTCTTGAGCTGAATCCTCAACTTCCTGTAGTCGCCTATAAACTCGTCGTACAAGGCGTACATCTCTCTGGCATCGTACACCAACCGGCAGTATAGTAGTGCTAGAGCAGTAAGGTATTTGAATTCATTGTAGCCGTTTTGTTTGAGCAAGATCCTGATAATTGCTGGTGAAGGCTCAAGCTCGAGAAGTCGTAGAAGGCAGCAAATGAATGGACTTGGACGGCCTGTCTGGTCGGTTCCTGCTATGAATTGTACCTGACTCACTATGATGGGCACAATTGACAGCTCATTGGTGAGGTGGAGCTTTTCTTTGTAGAATAAGGAATCTTGTATTCGGTGCCGGATGATCGGGCCGACAAGGTGGGCTTTGTTTTCCACAACCCTCTTGTCCATGAGAGGTTGTTTAGGTGCGATGCGATTCCTGTAGTGCTCTATCAACGGGTTTAACGTCAGTTTGCAACAAAGTGATGCAGTTTTTCTGAGGAGAAATTGGACTTACGAAGACGTAAGTTAACTCAATGATGGCCCTCAATACACTTAGAGGGTAGATTTTTCATGAAGTGCATCAACAAATCCAATTCTGATGTCATATGCTAGAACACACTGATACGAATAACACCCACAAGTTAGCTTCCACTGTTAACATAAGTAGTCATGTTACGCTATATTCTCCAGAATGAATTAATTATCTGTATTAGGCACATATATTCTACTCGTCATCCTCGTCCTTGAACTCAATCTTGTCCAACTCCGACAAAAGAGAGCCCAACTTCTTTGCACTCACCTCCAAATGCTCTTTCTGGATCTTAATGAAGACCTTCAAGAGGTCGACATTCTTGGATGGCTTCAAAAGCTTTCTCATCTCCAACACTGCCACCTCAGTAGCACTCACCAACTCGTCCTCCTTGGCAATCAAGTCGTCGTCCTCCTCATCCTGAGGGGTGCCACTCTTCTTGGATCTGGCCAAGTCGAACTCCAGTCTAGCGCTGTACACACGCTTCCTCAACTCGTTGACCTTGATGAACTGCTCGTTCAAAATCTTGACCAAAGCATGGTTCAACTCGGCCAAGACCTTCTTGTCTTGCTCCAATCTGGAGGTGGCCACCTCGGTGTAGGTAGAAGAGATCTTCAAAAGAGCGAACGACAAGGTGTTGGACGACTCTCTGAAATCCTCGCTGTGCTTGCTGGCAATTGTGGCTAATTGGCCGTAGAGAGTTTTGGGCAACTGAGCAGAGATGGTCTGGACCTCAACGGTACCTTCATCTTGCTCTGGCTTCTCCTCAGCGCCACCCATAAGCACCTTCTCCATTTCCTGAGGAGTAGACACGTTCTTCAACTGGTTGAACTTGCTGGAGAAGATCCCACCGACGTTGGCATCACGGATCTTTGAAATGGCAGTGTTGCCGGGAGGGTAGTCATAGCTCACCACGCCATAGGTCTCGTTGGTGTACTGGATCAAGTCGGTGTACAACTTCAACAACAAATCGCAGCTCTTCTCCAAATCCAAATAGTCTTCAGGCAACTCAGACACCTCAATGTTGGAGCCAATGTGCGTGTGAGCCAATTGTTGGACCTGGTGCAACTGGGTGGAGATCAAGTTTTGGGTCTTGGTAGTGAAGGGCTGAATAGACTCCTTGAACAGCTCCAGGTACTCCAGGACAGCCTTACCGCTGTTCTGGAATGACTTGGTGATGTTGTCAAGGTCGACCTTGGGGAGCGATTCCTGGATCGATTTAAGATCAAAAGAGGGAAGTTTGAATGACATGGATAAACAGTGGTTTCGCTGTTCGTTAAGGCTCGCTATCTAGGGGCATGCCCTGCACACCGTCGCGGTCCAAGACCCGACCATAATGAAAGAACGTGTTTTTGAGGGAGGAGTCTGATTGGATATGGTAGGGAAAGGTTTTGTTTTGAACTTGGTTGTTTAAAATTGCCGGTTTTTGTAAAGCTGGTTGAGGTTTTTGTTGTAGATGCTGAAATAGGCTTTAGAAGTGTTATGAGATTTCGCAGCCATTGTAAAATGTTCTCTAGATGCAACCACAGATGCAACGGTGATTGGCTGGGATAGTTCAGAATTTAAATGGCTCGGTCATTGGTGGTGTTTTGAGAGGGTTTAAGTAGCTTCAGATTTTAAGAATTCGATAAAGAGCCAAGTGGATGGTTGGTTATTAAAAGAGTTGCAGTGAGCTGCAGCTAGTGTGAGAGAAGAACAGCTACTCTCGTACGGAAGGCTGTCAGAGATCATAAGGAAGAGCCCGTGGACTAAGATATCCAAAATATTCACTCATGGGTCTTCCGTAGCAGGAATGTGAAAGAGTAGAAGAGAATTGAGCAAGACACATTTGGAATCCAGCCCACAAGTCCTCAGTTCAGGTTACTGGAGCAGATCTTCACCTTGTTATGGTATAATGAACGGTAGCATTCAATCATAACAAGTTTCGGCCAGTAGAAAATGGCACCGCTTTGCCATTCGGAGTTCATGATCAACCCAGTGTCATTGCCTGTTGTTAGTGATTGTTCACAGAAGCTCATTCAGAATAAAGTTCTACTATCGAATGACAACTATCTTCATTTGGAATCAGTTGTCCCTATCTGTATATTCATCATCTGAAGCATCGAAGCACATACTTGAAAGAAGTTCTGATGTGCGATTTTCGAGCAGAGGTGGTTTATATAGTCAGCTCTGCGGCACGGGTGTGAACCGAGGCTTCTGCACTATTCATTTGCAGCCAGTTCAATCATAGTATTTTTGAGAGATTCAGAATAGGGGGACTAACAAGGCTTTAACTCTTTGAGGCGTTAGGTTGGGAGTGATCGAGGTTGTTGATATGCTGGCATCATGATTATGGCTTAGATGGATCTGTACCTCACGGCACCTTAAGCCCTAATCCTAGCGGATTAGCATAGTGGCAAAATGGCAAAATGGCAATACTCGCCATAGCCGTTTCTAACTCTAAATTCTTTATGTTTTACTCCAAAGTTGTAATTTACCATTCATTCGTTTTTCAATTTTTGCAAATTTGTAATATGTCTGTCTCTTTCGTCTTGTCTCACTCGTCTACATTTTCACATTCTGCTCTGCGGATGTCGGTCCAAGAAATGGCTGCGAAAAGCCGATCGCCTCCAAAACCACACCAACACCAAACTTATACCAGACCATCTTTTTCGATTCATCCCGATTACGAAGATACCCAAACCCCATTAACCTATTTTTCAAACACCATTTCGGAGAAACACTAACTGTTTCCCTTGGTCCATAGAGCGCGCAAAAATCACATCCACCTTAACCAACCACATCAGCTTTTCATGTTCCACTTAGCGCTGTCGCTCTACACGCAATACAGCAGGCGAGAACAGTATAACGTCCTTATTCTAGGACTCGACAATGCCGGGAAAACGACGTTTCTCGAGCACCTCAAGTTGCTATATCCCTCTCCAAATGAGACCCTGGCGCAGCAGACCAAACGTAATGCCAGTGCTGGAAGGCGAATTGATACAGAAGAGGAGTCTTCGAGTCAAGCAGACTCAGTGAAGATTCTCAAGGGAAAGAGAATCTTGCCGACGGTGGGTCAGAACACGACTACAGTGAGGTTCAAGCCTAGTGAGAATGCAAGCAGTGCAGCTGCTAGTCTAAAGAACATCAACCTCAAATTCTGGGACTTGGGCGGTCAGCGACTGCTTAGAAGCATGTGGTCTCGTTATTACCGTTCATGCCATGGTATTATATTCATTATCGACTCCACAGATACAGACCGGTTCAGTGAATGCTATGATTCGCTTATGGAAATCGCCAACGACTCGCTGTGGAAGGTCGACGGAGGAGAGAGTGTCAATGTGCCTATATTAATGTTGGCAAACAAACAGGATTTGCCGCAGGCGGTAGACTTGGTGTCTTTGAAGACCGGAGTGTTTATAGAGGTGGTGAGCCAGCTTGAGGCGACGGATCTGAAGTTGTTGCCGGTGTCCGTCCTTGAGAATCAGGGATTGAAGGAAAGTTTGGAGTGGTTGGTGACGAGGTTGGCATACAACAAGGGTAACCGGAAGCCAGAGTACAAATAAGTGAAGGTAGGGAGGAGTTGCTTGTGGATACAGAGGGACGGGCAATAACGAGTGACGCATTAGCAAGGGAGTCTTTACATAGTTGATGAAGAAAATCAGGAGGGAAAGTGCAGTTGGCAGTATGTTTTACTGTCGTGGCAGTGTCATGGTCCACCTCCTCACCTTACTGCCAAATATGAGGTTCGCTATCGATAAGGCGGCGTCTTCAAACCGAAGATGGAAAAAGAGTGTTCATTGAGAGTTTCTCTTTACATTCCTCATGGAAGCTTCGCCACGGTTGACGCCAATTCTGAGCTTATCAGGCTCACATATTCAAATCGCCTTTACCTGATCGCTACAGAAATCGCTACAGAGATCGATATCTGAAGACTCAAGCCATATCAAGGAGGTGTCTTGGAATCCCACCTCGATCATGTCCAATCGCTTAGCAAAGTCGAAGGCAAATGGTGCATCAGATATCTCCTCTTGAATGCGTCGCCATATTGCAGCATTCCTGGTCTCGAGCTGAGCCCAAGCATTCTACAAGCTCAGCTCCGTCCTTGGGTGTCCCATCGTGGCAGATTGCCCTCTCAAACCGATCCGATCATTGACCTTCGAAACAAGCGCCGCCATCGCTGGCCCTAGGTGGCAAGAAGCCGCTCGATTCAAACGCCCACATTCACCGCCCAGATGCAGATCTGACCGCCTTTCTCCCTACAGTAAGTATCACCGGTGTGGCTCACCTTCACTTGCACCGACGATCGATGAGCAGACAATAGGCCCGGATACAAACAAAAGCTACCGGGCGTCGAATATAACACCATGCAGCCCACTCTCGTAAATACTAATACCAGGCGTTGCAAAAGCTACAAAAAGTGTTGTTCGCAATCTTGTAAAAATGTGTCAAGCAGCGGCACTTATCTTGCCTAGCCGAAGTGTGGCCGGCAACACGGCAGAGTCGGCACCGAAGGACCAGAATGTGAAAAAGGCTCAGAAGGAAGGTTCTTTCATGCCAGCCGCTTAAAAATTGACGGGTGAGGCGCCCAGCAAAGGACCACCTTGCAGCCATAGTTTTGCTGCTGCAAGACGCTGCAGAACAACGTTGTCTGAGTTTCTTGTAACGTTGCTGACGTGCTTACGTCATGTCAAGGCAGTACGCCAGTGAAGCCGAATGACGGGGCGCTGATCGGAGCGACAAGCAGGACAAAGCCGCGCAGGGGTGTATGAAAGACGACGAATTGCTGGGAATCCAGGAGCCATTGAGGAGCGGAAAGTGGTAAATTGGAGGAATTGAGGCTGGCAAAATGGCTCGTTTTTAAATTTAGACGATTCCCGTCGTCCCGGCAAGCGCCACCACCGCCACGAGGTGTCGCAGCAAGCAACAGGTGCGGTGCGGCTGCGGCCAGGGGCCGGTGGACCCAGCTGCAGTAGGAATGATTAGCAAACAGTTAATTGCTCCAGCGCCAGTATATATAGCAAGCGGTGCGCTTCGGGTGGGGGTATTTTTGCAGACCAAACATGACAGACGGGTTCATTGGCAAACTTAAGCTGACATTCAGCTCCAAAGAGAGAAAAAACGAAAAGATCCTAAGGGCGTCTTACAGAGCAGGTAAGCGCCAGGCCCACGCTGAGCTCGGGTCCAGCACCAAGGACTCGTCGAGCCTGAGTGCTCTGTCGAGCGACAATGAGCAGCTTTCGCACGCTCAGGGCAAGAACAGCACCGGCACCGCGGCGCCAGGCCAGACTTTTGGCAGCCAGTCTGACCCAGCCGCTGCTAGTGCAGCAGGAGCAGCTTTGGGTACCGGCGGCGGCGCGGCAGCAGGATACGGTGCGCTGAAGAAGGGCAGAGTGGTTTCGCTGCCTCCCAAGCGCTCGCGCGAGCCTTTGGACAAGGACTGGGGCGGAGACTATGCCAACGAGAAGAGGCCTGAGGAGGTGACGGGCGCCACCGGCGCCGATTCCAGCAAGGCCGTTTTGGACAATTCCCAGCCTAGATACGACAACGAAGCCAGCCCAATCCTGGGCAAGGGCAAGTTCTACGACCCCAAGGACACCCAGGGTGGAGTGTACGGCAGTTCAGGCAGCAATTCTGCTAGTGGCTCCACCTCTGGCCACGGAGGTGCCTATGCTGGTGCCGCGGGCGCAGGCGCCGCAGGCGCTGGACTCGCATACGCAGCAGGCCGTGGCGGCAGCGACTCCGGCTCCGGCTCCAACGAGTACACCGAGGCCACCCAACAAGAGGTTTCTTCCCAGGACAATTTGAAGACCAAGCCCACTGTTTACGCTGAGCAGGAGAAGCAGGAGGAGGAGGCCAACAAGGTTTGTGAGCAGGCGTACGCCAAGGGCCAGAGACAGGCCAAGGAGTTGCACCAGCAGGGCAAGGAGAAGGCTCGTGCTGAGGCTGACGAGGGCAAGATTGGCTCTGGTGTGGACGAGCAGGAGGAGCACGCGCACAACAAATCTGCCTACAACCAGGGCGGCGTGAAGCAGGCTTACCGCGAGGTTACCGGTGGAAAGAGCGATGGTAACAAGAGCGGCAGTAATGCAGGTTATGCTGCTGCCGGCGCTGGAGCTGGAGCTGCTGGAGGCTACGCCGCCGGTTCTGCTCTTGGTTCCAAGGGTTCCAAGGAGACCCAGGACGCTCGCTCCAACGCTGTGCACGCTGGCGAGCCACCTTCTGGCGACAAGTTTGACTACGACTCTGAGATCAAGCGTTTGGACCAGAACATTGCCACCACGCAAAAGGAGATTGACGAGATCCACGGCAGAGGCACTTTGGACCCACGTGCTGGCGCCACCTCCAGCTCTGGCGCTGTTCCAGCTCCCTCTGGCTCCAGTGCTCCAGGTGGCTCCAGTGCCTCCAAGACCAGTTCTGGTTCTGGCAGAGCCCTCGCGGGCGCAGGAACCGGTGCCGCTGTGGGCGCAGGCGCAGGCTACGCTGCGAGGGACAGATCCAGCGAGTCGTACGACCAGACCAAGGCCACCAACCAGCCTGGCACTTCCTCCTCCACTGGTCCATCTAGCGCTGGCGCTGCCACTGGCACCTCTCGCGATGCCACCACCCACCAGTCCAAGACCGAACAGTTCAAGGAGTACTACGATGCTGGTATCAAGAAGGGCGCCTACGACGCTGGCCAAGAGGCTGGTCAGGGTAGCCACGGTGCCCAGGGCACCCAGGACGAGTCTTCGGGCCACGGACCTGGTCTTGTGGCTGGCGCGGCTGGCGCCGTTGGCGCGGCTGGAGTGCTTGCTTCCAGGGCCTTTGGCTTAGGCGGCTCGCAGGACGCCTCGCGCGAATCTGACCCTCAGGCTGACGCTCAGGCCAAGCAGGCTGAGATCCAGTCCAAGCAGGCTGATGCCCAAAAGGAGAGCGACAGCCAGCTGGCCCGCTCTGAGAGCTCGAGCTACCTCGACTCGGCCAAGGGCGCCATTGGCGCTGCCTTCGGTTACGGCCAGGGCCTGAACGACAAGAAGGATGAGTTTACTCATGACTCGCAGACTACCGGTTCCAAGGCCGCACACCCTCAAGCGGTTTCCACCGGCGGCGACCCATCCTTGAAGGATCCATCGTTTAGACACCCCGAGACTGCCGCTGCGGCCGGCTCGGTCGACACTAGATACGACGCTGACCGTGCTGCCAGAGAGGCCAAGAACGCTGCTAGCGACAAGACCAGCCAGTCCTCTGGTGGTTTCCTCAGCAGATTTGGCTTTGGCGGTGACAACAAGTCTGAGACCTCTGAGCGTGAGGAGCCAACCCAGTCTAGCCAGTCCGGTCAGTCTGGCAGCAACTCCACCCTTGGTGCGATTGCCGGCGCCGTTACTGGCGGTGCTGTTGGCACTGGCGCTTCTTCTGCTCTTGGCGGCTCTAGCTCTGGTGCTGGCTCTGAAAAGGGCAACCTTGTGGAGACTGCCGCAGCCAACTCGCGCGAGGTGGATGAGCAGCCCAAGCACAAGGGCAACAAAAACGCGACCGTCGAGGCCGCGGGTGATGAGACCAACAAGGACAAGGACGATGTCCAGCAGGTTCCTGGTCTCGAGCCCGAGGACAAGAGAGAGGACCCCGAGAAGGACACCAAGCTGACTGCTTCTTCTCTGGCCAAGTTGGAAGAGGAGGTTGCTGCTCACAACAAGAAGCACGGCATCAAGAACGACGGCCGTTCTTTGATTGACATTGCCGAGCAGGAGGACCCGCTGATTCTGAAGTTGCACCACGCCAAGGGCTTGCTGGGTGCGCTGGACCTTGGCGACGAGGAGGAGTCCTCTGGCGCGAAGGATGATATACAGCCGGTGCCTGATGTGGCCTTGCACCCCAAGTCTGACTTCATCAACCTGGGCGGTAAGGTTGGCCACTTGGGCAACGTTGATGCTTCTGAGGCTACTCGTTCCGAGACGAACGCCGGTGGTCCGCCGAGGCATCGCACGCCCCACTAATGAATTGAAGCCAACCGCTATGGCTGCTATTGGACCTGAGGAGGCTGCTGCCGAGTCGGCGCACTCTGAGGCTGCCAAACCTGCCCCATCGCTGGGCAGCTACCAGGAATCGCCGTACTACGCGCCCGAGCGCGGCGGTAACCACCCTGCGCCTAGGGTGCTGGGCCAGGCATATGTGACGCAGGAACAGCGCGAGGCCCGCAAGAGAGAGGTATTGGGAGGCCAGGGTTCTGAAAAATCTGCCAACACTGGCGCTGCTGGTGCTACTTCTGCTGCCGCTGGCGGCTCTGCCCACGCCGATTACTCCAGCCAGGAATTGCACGAAAAGACCGTCATTGAGTCTGCCTACGCTGCCGGCGTGAAGAAGTTGGCCGAGGAGAGAGGCCTTGGAGTGGAGCACCAGACGCTCGGTGGTGCAGGTGCTGGCACTTCCGGCTCTGCCAGAAAGGAACCAATAGTCGAGGTGATTGGCATCGAGGACCGTGAAAAGGCAGAGAAGGTGGCACTCAAGGCCACGCGTGATCTTGAAAAGAAGGGCCAGGACGTGCTGAACAGCAAGATCGTGGTGGATGCCAACAAGCGTGAAATCTACATTGAGCAAGGCGCCGGGGACGCTCAGCGCACCCAGGATGCCGAGCGCGCCCAGCGCCAGGCCGAGCTGGCTGGAGCCCCGGTGCCCTTGGAGTTGCCGCGGCTGGCGGTGCTGTTGGCGCTGGCGCGGGAGCCCTTGGTTCTCGCTCCACCCACCCAGATGCCGCTTTCGACGAAAAGAACCCTCGCGATGTGGACCCCCGCTTGTTCCACTCGCAGCACCAGGAGGTGAAGAGAGAGCTCGAGCAAGATGCCCAGGAGGGCAGACTCGGTGAGGTCAAGCCTACTGGATCTGCTGGAGGCAGCGGCGTCAACGCAGGGTCTGCTGCAGTGGTTGGCGCGGCTGGCGCCGCTGGAGTCTTCGCTGCGAGCCGCGGCGGCCACTCCCACCAGACCCCAGATGCTGCCTTCAACGAAGAAAACCCTCGTGACGTGGACCCTAGACAGTTCCACAGCCAGCACGAGCACGTGAAGGATGAGCTTGAGGAATATGCCCAGGAAGGTCGTCTTGGTGCCATTGAGCCGGAATCCAGTGCCCTTGGCGCTGGCGCTGGTGCTACGGGCTCTAGAGATGCTGGTCCCACTGGTGGCTCTAGCGGCTCCAAGCAGACTGCTGGTTCTAGTGGTGCCGCCTTGGGCGCGCCAGATTCAGCTTTTGCTTCCGGTGCTGCCCTTGGTGCGCCTGCTGCCGCGTTCCAGCAGCCCTCTACCGGAACCGCTATTTCTTCCCTGGGCTCTCGCGGCGCCACCCATGGCGCGCCAGACGCTGCATTTGACGAACCCAACCCTAGGGAAGTGGACCCTACGAAGTTCCACTCCCAGCACGAAAAAGTCAAGGACGAGCTTGAGGAGTACGCCGAGGAGGGAAGACTCGGCGACGTGAAGCCACAGAGCGGTTCCTTTGGCTACGGTACTGCCGCAGCCGCTGGAGTCGCAGGCGCTACTGCGGGAGTGGCAGGCTTGGGCCTCGCTTCGCAGGGCAAGTCCCACGAACAGCCCGATGCCACTTTCCACCTGCTGAACCCAGGTGACGTGGACCCTAGGAAGTACCACTCGCAACATGAGGAGGTGAAGCGTGAACTTGAGGATCAGGCCGAGGAGGGCACTCTTGGCAACGTTTCGGCCACCAACGATAGATCCGGTTACCGCGAGCCTTACCCCAGTACGTCTACTGGCTCGTCTGGTGCGCCCGACCCAGCCACTACCAGAACGTCAAGGTGATTGGCGTGAAGGACAAGGAGAGAGCCGGTGACTTGGCCAGGCAGGCTGTGGCTGCCATTCAAGGCAGACCGGAGATTTTAGAAAACACGAAGGAATTGCGTGTGGATGCATCTGGCGCTGTTACTGACGAGCAGGGTGCCTTCTTGCTTCAGTTGGGCCGCGGTCTGATCTCCGAAGACACCCAAGCCCGCGGCGGCTTGGTAACTCCTCCAGTGGCAGGCTCTCGACAGTCGAAAGCGCTTGCCTCGGAGTGGCCATCGCAAACTGCCCAACCATCTTCCAACCTTTCAAACCAACCAAACACATCGAGCCTCGGCTCGGGCGCCTACGGTTCAGCCGGCTCTGCTGCCGCCGGTCTGGCCTTTGGTTCTCTGAGAACCCCAGGCGCCAACACTGCCTTTGGCACACAGGAGTCTGACCCATTCGGCTCTGGTGCTTCCCTGAGAGCTGGTACTGCTGGCCACGACGCCTCCACCACCGCTGCCCCTGGTGCTGGCGCTTCTTCGGAATCTGCTGACGCTGCCCTGATCAGCAGGCCCTGGTGGCCATGCCTGGCGCTCTTAACTTTTAGGCGTTCGTTCTGTTTTATTACTTAATACATTTTGATGAATAAATGAGCACGGAAGGAGTTTTGTAGTATGAATGAGATTTATATTGACTGTTCGAATTGAAACAGCGAGAGGTCGAATCTTTGAAGCGGCCCAGACTGGTAAGAAGTTCATAGTAGTGTAGCGCTTCAGAACGGAATTACAACGGAACATTGCAAACCTCAAGGCCCATAACCGTGGAATTTGTGGCCCTGGAGATATCCGTTTGTGAATACAGAGCAATATTAGAGAAGTGTCTACACGTAGTTGGGCAGACACTCGATTGGTTGCATTCCTCAACCGACAAGCACAAACCTTGCAGCGTCCTTCCACCAAAACTACAATTCGTTTTCCAATGTACGTGTCATTAATTCGTAAACCTCGTGTCACTGTCCATCCCCAGCCTTTACAAAAACATAAGGTGGCTCCTGCCTCTATAGTCTGGACGGAATTCTCCCCGTCTGTGCTGCCTCGTCCTGGGTATCAAAAATGCTCTCTCCTACTCCAATAATTCATCAAAGGAGCTGTCTCTGGATAAGGTCTTGCTGAGCTCCTGAAGCCGTCTCCCCAAGTCCGGCTTGGGCAGAAGATACGTGTAGGTGCTGTGTTGGGTGAAATCAGAGGGCACCGTTGGCTGCGAAACAAAGTGTTCTTTGCACGGGAACCCTGAATACTCAGGGGACTCCCTGATCAAGCTAGGCTGGCCCTTCATTGCTGGGAAAAAAACAGCCGTGTTCTCTCCAGGTATATATACCCTGACAGCCCAGAAAAATGTGGGTAATTTTCTTGTCCATGTATCACACGTAATCCCGCTTTGGACTCGCATAAACGAGAATAGGCGAGCTGATCGAGGAGATAGCACGGAATCTATGGGAGGGTTGAAAGGCTTGTTGGATTGGGATATCTCCTAATTCTATGAGATGCTACTTTATGTGAAATATTGGGGAAATCGGTCGATTAAATACAAAAGTCTGGGTACATCGGCCCCGGCTTAGGCGGCTCATAAGAATGCCCTTTTGGACAAGATGCAGAAATACCTCTCCTGGATTTGAGGGGCATTGACAGCGCCGAATTCCACGTCAAAACTGATCCCATTTCATTTTCAAACAGTATTCTATTGACCGTGTAGACGAGTGCGTTTCTGTAATAGGAACTGGTTATACCCTCTGCGACGGATTAGTCCCATTGTGATGCCAACTGCTTGAATAAGACATTGTCTATGATGCACGTCCTAACGCCGATTGGTGCCAGTGTAATTAAGGCATCTCGGCTAACTTTTTAGGTTCGGACGGTATCAGGCTTTTGAGCAGAGCATTTTCTGATAAGGTGCATAGAATATGCTGATGAAACTGAGTGACCTGGGATCGGAGGTTCTAGAGAACCTTGTTTTAAAAATAGCACAGGCAAGAGGGAGCTACATTTTGGATTAAAGTAATTTTGGTTAGTCAGAATGTGCTATGGCGAATTAGGATGTGTGAGATTTCACTCAACATGGATGGCAGTAGTTCTAGCCTACCATCAGTGGACTCTTGTAGTGGACACATTTGGTGGTTTTCTCATATCAAACGGATTCATATGATATCAAAAAAAGGGTTTGAAATTGTTTGAAGGAGATTTCACAGGCTTATAGAGGTCCAACGCAAACTCACCCTATCATTGGGTGCAAAAAAATATAACCAGTGCAAGAACGAGCCAAACAAAGTCCACAGCGACCGATAAAAGTGTAATCGTAGAGGCTTCAAGACTCCCTAAACAGAGTTACAACTCCCTTTGAATATTGCACCTAAATTTCAGCATTTCACTCACCAACTCTCTCCTTGGTCTTATCGTGGTAACCCAATCCACACCCGTGCACCTCACCAAGTGCTCGACGTGGGAACTTTACAGTGTTTTCACAATCACCAACAGCTCACAAATATGGCCGAACCAGAGGAAGAAGCCGCCAAGACGGTGGTCAAGATGTCCCTTGCCACGCCGCTTATTTACGTGGCGGTGATGCTCACGGCATTCACGGCATTTTCCGTGCTTTACAAGCGCCACAGACTCCATAAGTTGGTGTCTGTAGAGCCCATTTTCGGAAGAAACTACCTGTTGGAGCTCTACGAGTCTTTGAGAAGCAACTACCAAGATAAGCTGTTGTCGAAAGACAAGAGGCCGCCAGAGAAGGTGGTCAAGGCTGCTCTTTTGAGAAGAGCTGTGGAAGCTATCAGAAGATCGCTCAAGCTTAAAGAGAACGAGCCTGTGTTCACCAAACTATACCAGGACGGCTTGATTGGTGATGATGTGTACAAGCAGTTTGAGTTGCAGCAGAAGGTGCAGCAATTGGAGCTCAAAGATATCGTGGAGGAGTGCCAGCTGTTCCACAAGGAGTGGCCTGCGCTGTTCTTCCCTGTTGTTCAGGAGATCTGCTACAACGAGGCGTTGCGTCGGAGACTTCACGCCATGGACGATCGCTCGGAGCTGTTGTCGTTGTTGTGGAACTACTATGTTGACAAATCCGAGGTGAAGGAGGCATCCCCAGCCCCAGACAAGAAGAAGAAGAAGAAGGCCCAGGCCTAAGGGGATGGAAGAAGTGTAGTTTGATGCTGGTGTCAGCTGGTGAAGTTCGCAGGGAATAGGACCAGGCGGCCGCTTGTCTGACAGCATGACTACAGTACATACGAAATGCATTGCAACAGCCAACGTTGCGGGACAGAATTGCCATTGTAGGCTTTTTGTGGTGTAGACATTCACATCATGAAATGGCACTGCATTCGCCTCGATTGTCGTGAATTTGCAACAATTGCGTACCGAAGACGGTGTTGCAGAGTTGGCCGTATCAACAACTAAATACCCAAACAAAACATTCTAGAATTCCAACATCTATTTCAAATATATAAAAGTCTCCCATTTACTAAACCTTCACTTGTTCATATAACCTGGCTGCTTGGAGATCCCCGGTCAGTGGCTGTATGGCTGTAGTGCATAGAGTGGCTTCGTTGTTACTACTCCCGGTAGGTCTCAACTTCCCCAACTACTACTCAATTCAACCTCAGATCCCAGCTTTAGCATCAAAAAATGAACTTCCATAGCCTTTCCCCAGGCGAAGGAAGCAACAGCAGCAACAGCAGCAAGCTGCGCCTCAGGGAAGACCGTTGACCAAGAATCCCAGAACCATGTTGCCCATGAATGCTCCACAGAAGGCTCCTCCTCCACGAATGCCCGTGGATCCCCGCAAAATGATTGTTGACCAGATTATCAGAGACTGCTATTCCAAGATCATTGTCAGCGAGGGACGCAATGTGCCCGAGATTCGGTACAACACTCACCTTAACATCAGAGAGTACTCTCTGTTTCCACAACTGCCACCTCCTTCTGACATTCCACCCAGTCAGGTTGGCGCCATCAAGAACAGAATTCTCGTTGTGGCTACCAAAAGCTCTGGAAGGGTGCTCCTTCAGAAGGGAAAATACAATGACGTCAAACACATATACCAGATCGGCAGAACGTGGGATTTGGACGAGCTCCAGGCAATCACCCGGACTGGCCCCGATTCGTTTATTTTGCGATTGAACAAAGACTACTACTGGAAGTCTGGCGAAGGCCCGAGCGCATGATGAAGTTTGTCCACCACTTGTCCCTGATATATGCCAAGTTCACCGGCAGATACCCAGTTTTGACAGGGTTGACCTTGCAAGAGTTGGGCCTTCCGCCAGTCGGACAGCCTCAAGGCTCCACGGAGAGCCCCAGCTTGTCTAATCCCGCTCTCCAACAGCAGCCCATTGCAAGGCTGGCTGATACTGCTGCGAACACTTCAAACCAGAGTTTCGATCCAAACTCACTTTACAAGGGTCTTGATTTTACTGCCAATGGCAAGTTGCCCACCAAGCCGATGGTTGTAATGGACGTGGATCGGCCCAGCCTGAAGACTAGCTTGGTGGATTCGAGCTCCGTCTTCACGAACGATACCGCGGTCAAAACTGAAAAGAGTGTCCGCTCGTCGCATCCATACTCCCAGTTCTCACAGCTGCAGCTGGGAGAAGTCGCAAACGATCCTAATGACACTGCTGATTCTCATAGCTTTGTCTTCGGCCCCAGCGAGGATAAGTCTAAGGCGGATGAGCTGGCACAAATGCCTTCGATTTCGGAGTATGCTCGTGATAATGGTGGCGCATCCTCGCCATTGAGAAACTATAAGCCTGAGCGCCAAAGTGAAGGCAAGAGAGATGCTACAGAACCCATTGAACAGTCTGCTGCATTCGGCAATGAGCTCAAGGAGCAACTTGAAGGAAACGAAACCCAGGAATCTCTCAACTTCCAATTCAAGATACCTACGGAGTCAGCCAGAGCTGTCACTCCTCCACCTGCTGACGACGGCATTGAGGAAGTTTATGAAGAGGTCACCCCAGAGCAACCTCGCAAATACCGCATGGCCTCTATTCCTGGTGGATTCCCACAAGATGAGGCTCCACGTGAAGTGAGCGAAGAGCCTGAAGCTTCTCAGGTAATTTCAGAATCAACCCAACTCGAGGATAATGGCATCAACAGCTCTATCAGAGAGATTGAGGATTTCATGGAAAGTCAGCTTACCTCCAGCACAACCAGGAAGGATTCCATAAAACCTCCACAAAAGCTACAGGTTCATGAGGACAACGAAAGCGACGTTTCCTTCGATGATCTGGCATTAAACTCCATAAAGAGTCCTATTTTGGATGGTTCTGAGACGCCGTCAACGGAATTATCCCAGAAGGGAGACAAACTTGTGTTGGATCCAGAGATCGATGATATGTTGGATGAAGTCGGATATGACGTTCTTGATGACTGTGATACGTTTGTTAAGAAGCTCAACACTGAGCTCAACCAAATAAAGAGAAGAAATATCAGTGAGTTGACCTCGCTTGATTTCGGTAAGGATTCGCTCTCCAATGAAGTTGAGAATGCTGCAGGTGAGGTTGACAACCTCATTGGCATATTTAAGAAGATGGAGGTCAGCTTCGATCTTCTTGCGCCACGAATTAACCATTTGGAGAATAATTCCCAGGGTCTTCAGGTTAAGTCTATCAACAAGAAAATTTTGTTTAATGATTTGAGTGAGATTTTGAACAAGGTAAGAGTGAACCCCGCTGATTTGCAGCTCATTCAAAGTTACCGTGATTTTGAGAACCTTCACTCTATTCCATCATTGGAGAAGAAGTTGGGAGTGCTTTACGAAGCTTTGGGTGCCATTGGTAGTAATAGCGCTGGTGATGATTTGAGCTCGATGCAAGCTCTTAAGCAGTATCAGGAGAAATACCAGATTACCTCAACTTCATTTGTTCGAAATTTCAGAGAATTTTTGGACCAGGAATTCATTGTTACCGTCAATGGGTTGACCAAGGATATTCCTAATCTATTCCCAAGAAATTTGCTTGTGTCTCTCAAGGTCTTCTTGGCTTATACTGGTTTCACTGACTTCGTGAAGTGCATTTCGGAGAAGGATATGCGTCTTATCATCGATAATTCAAATGGTTACTTGGCAAACTTCTTGGATAGATATCTTAGCGAGAGATTGAAGCATGTTCAGGCTGCCGTTAACGAGGGTCTTTCAAAGAGACTCTCTGGTAACGTGGATACCGTTTCTGCTTTACGCAAAACCAAGCTGTCGAGATTCGGCTCACAAAGACTTATACATCGTCTTGCAGGTCATTCTGAAGATAACGACAAGAAGAAAGGCTCCTCGCAAACCATCCAGTCTAACTCCAAGGCGCTTGCTGATCCAAAGATTATCATGCGCATGGTCAACGAGACTCAAGAGTTGATTCTTGTCATTCAATTCTTCATTGGAACATTCTTCCATCATAACTCTGTTGAAGAGTATACTGAATACGTCAAGAACAACTCCTTTAAAGACAGAATTGAGTCCTTCGACAACCCCAATCTCGATCTGATCAACTATAAAACGAGTTCAAATGACTTGCTCCGGTCCATGACAAGTATTTTTGGTAATTATATTTCCAAGCTTATCAAGAGGCTTACACCAAAGGAGATGATCTTGCCACAGTTGCTCATCGAATTGACCCGCATGATCACTACGAGTGGAGAGAAGGACCAAGACTTTGTCTGTTTCAGTTTCTTGACAAAGATTGCCGAGAGATATAGGAATATGTGGAAGAGATTTATCGCTGCTCAAGTCGACTTGTTGAACAAGTCAGATGTTCGTGCAAGGGTTGGCATTTTACCGGCTATGAAGAACTTCAATGAAATCGTCTTCTCCACTGAGCTGTCTTTACAAGAAGCCGGCGGCCATAGAGATAACGCTGCGACTATTGAAGTTGAGGAATTGGTGAGAGAGTCTTACAGTGAGCTTACTTCAGCGGCGGTTGAATTGTTTGCAAGAGACGATCCTCTCCTTAAATCTAACGCCCATGATGAAAAAGAGAGAGCACATCGCAATGTCTCTATCCTCCGAAACATTTTCTACATTACACTGCAATTGGGTGACTTGAGATCGCAGAATACTCAGCAAATGAAGAAGGAGCTAGATGGCGTCTTCGGAACAACTCAGCGTCAATACTTTGATTACCTTCTTCACAAGAGCATTGGTAAGATTCTTGACTACAATCAAGCTGTTGAGAACAGAGATGGAAGCACAAAACATAAGAAGGATGACAAGATCGTTATCAAGTCCATCATCTCCAGTTACACCTCTAAGGAATTGCAACAAAAAATTGCCGACATGCACCGCAAAATCGAGAAGCACTTCGTCACCAACGAGGACATGTTCGAGCAAGAGTTGGTTAAGAAATTGTGGACTGATATGGAGTACGAGTTCATCACTGTGTTCCAGAAGTTTGACAGAGCTATCAAACAAGTTGACCGCGATTTTGAGTTCAACATTACTACAACAGAACTCCGTCGTCTCTTTGCATCCGTTTAGCATTAGAAAAAAACAATACCATAGTCCTTTGCGATGCCAATTCCACCAATTAATTTGAGTGCACCATGGTGTGTTTTTGCAGCCAAATGTCCCCAATCAGTGCTCTCCATTTGAAAATCAGGCGATGCAAAACGCTAGAGATTCTCCACGCATCGAAAAGTCGACTCGCGAAGCTGCGTGCATGGCTCAAATTTTCTTCCAATCAAAGCGCACCATAAAGTGGTTCCACTCACTCTCTGAGCATAGAGGAAAAAAACTCTCAGACAAAGCCTGAACTTCTCACCAAACAGGGAATCAAATTAACTCACTATTACTACCCAGAGACATGCTTCGCCAAACCGCCCTCAGAGCTGTTCGCTTTCAGTCTACTGTTGCTAAGGCTGCTCCAAGACCATTGTCCAACGCATACGTGAACAACTTGGAGACCAGATGGGAGAAGTTGCCAAAGGAAGACCAGACTGCTTTGATAGATGAATTGAAGGCCAGACAAGAGTTGCCATGGCAAGAGTTGACGCCAGCTGAGAAGAAGGCTGCTTACTACATTTCTTTCGGTGAGTGGGGCCCAAGAAAGCCATTGTATCTTCCCGGAGAGAAGAACAAGATCTTCTGGGGTACTGTCGGTGGCATTTTCGCTGGTGTCGCTTTGTTCGCCGTCATTAGATCATTTGCTCCTGAGAAGCCAGAGTCTTTCAACAGATCTTGGCAAGAGAAGTCCGACGAGTATTTGAAGTCCAAGAACTCCAACCCATTCACTGGTTACTCCCAGGTCCAGTAAGCCGATTTATTCATTTCTCAATTCAAATCGCTCTCTTTGCATTCCTAGAAAGTGTCTAGCATAATAAACAATCTCATTGTGGACAATTGAAGATGTTGAAAATTCAAATTACGAAGAGGTAATCTCTTTTAAAAAATGGTATACTTTTATTAATGCAGATACGTTATCATCTCTCTTCATTCTGATTAGTCGTCATCATTAGGTCCAAATTCACCCTCGAAAATAGTAGCACCAGCTTTCCTCTTGTTTTCGATTTCTTCACATTCTGGCATTTCGAGAATTTGCGTAGCCGTTGGCCTTTCGAATGGACTAGGTTTCAACATACGGCTCACAAGCTTATCAAGATTGTGCTTGTTGACAACAAGAAATTGTGGTGCGTTCTTCGGAATGAAGTCTCTCACGTTATCAACTCCAGGTGTGGTTTGACCAAACACTGAGACAGCAGAAGGCCCGCCTTTGCTGCCTAATGCGGTTGGAGGTTGCAACGGATTCAGATGTGAATCACTAGCCAATGGAAAAGAGTGAGAACCATGTGGCCCAGAAGGTGGAACTTGTAATGAGTTCAGCGAAGATGTGTATGATGTCAACGACGAGAAGTTATTGTGATTCAAGAAGTCGCTAATGTTGTCACTCGATAGCTTACCGGCATCGCTTAAGTCGCCACTCCTAAGCTTCCTCCATGGCGTACCGTTTCCTGGCAAGATAATGTTGGTTGCAATTTCCAAGATTATCAAGCCAACGCTGAAGATATCGGCGAAAGGGGTATAGATCTTGTCGTTTATGAGTTCGGGTGCGATATAATTCCTGTCACCTTCAAGGTCAAAGTCTTTTTCTAGGATCGGTAATTTAGTTGCAAGACCGAAATCTCCGATTTTGAGACTTCCTTCGAACGTGATGAAAATGTTGGCGGGCTTTAAGTCAAGATGCAAAAAATTCTTCAGATGGATAAACTTGAGACCCGACATTATCTCGATCAAAATTTTCCAAACTCGGAATTCATCAACTTTGTAGTTTTTGTGCTCTTCAAGGAACGCTTGCAATGTGCCTCCCTCGCAGAACTCTGTCATGATGTAGTAATAACTGTCGAAGCTCCACGCCTCCACAAAAAGTACCAAATGCTGTTTTCCCTCTTCAACCTCCGTCTCATCATCAATTGCGGTAAGTGATCTCAAAGCCTCAACCTCCCTATGGATTGACTGTTTCTCGAGCTTTCCAACCACAGGCTTTTTAGTACGCTTAATGGCAAACCTCTCATTCTGAAACTTGCACTTGAAAGCGACTGAAAATTGGCCAGTGCCGATGTGATTGATATTCTTGAGGCCAAACTTGCCTATGAGGTGCTCGTCCACCTGATCAAGACCATTCTCACAGCCTCTCTCGTTTCCTCGCGTATTGCTGGAAATTGTAAGTGTCAGATCTAGATATGAGTTGTCGGCTAAACCACTCGGGAGATGAATTGTTGCCTGTGATGACTGAACAGAATGTGAAGGGAAGTTCAGAACCGGGGTGCATGGTTCGTGATCCTTGTCATGCGTATGCTGAGGGGGTTCGTGCTTCGAACTTGTTCGTAGGGCGGAGAGCATCTTGCTCCTGCTATTCGATTTTGTAGGTGTTTCAGGTACAGCCTCGTCCAAGTCAAAGTCGTTATAAAGATCAACATCGAGGTTGAATGACGTTGATGGTTTCGAGGAAGATGCAATGTGAAAGAAAGAGGAAGACGAGTCATTCGCAGCCGCCATGGTATTTCTCCCTACTTCGATCGAGTGGTCATGACTCATGATGGAGTCGACTGTTTCAGAAGTGGTATTGTGGTCTTTGTTCAACATTGTGAGCGGGTTCCTCTTCATCGGGGTCTCAGGCGGTAGCTTGTTGGTGGAGCTAGGCATGGAGCTCTTCTTCATGAGGCCCGTAGACCGAAATGCTGTTTGTAAAGGTTTGACTAGCTTGTAGGATGTCTTTGTTTGATTTTCCTTGTCGTTGCTGATGAAATTCGGCGTGCTGTGTGTCTTTTTTCTGCTAGTTGCTATCTCCTTAACTTCATCGTGATAAATGGGAATGTTGGAGTTAGATTGAGTATACTTCTTGTTTCTCAGCGGAGACTCGTCGTCAGCATAAGGATCGTAGCCACCAAATATAGGCAGCAGGCACTTGAAGTTTGGGTTGGGGCTCTTGAGAAGTGCCTTGAGGTAGACATCTTTGCCAGGGGCCGGGGAGGAGCTTGCAGGAGTGTTTGAAAACTTGAGTGGCGAACGGACACGAATTTTATTGCCGTTTTTGAACAACTTGTGTGACTTGAGGTCCGATCTCGACGGCGTTTCCAGAAACTTGGCTGTAGACTGCGGCGAAGGCGATTGACTGACAAGCTTATGTGGCCTTTTGAACTTATTGAACGGCGTCGACTTGTCCACAATGGGCGAAAGCCCTGGGTCAAAGTTTGAATCGATCGATAGGTTGAAATACTTGGAGGAACGTTTGAGCAAGGGCTTGCTAGGAGTCGAAGTCTTGCCCAGGGTGTTGACCGCTTCGTCTTCGTCAGTGAAACTGCCAATATCGTCATCAGCCTTGAACTCGCTCTTAAGGTTGAACGGAGGCGATTTGTTGATGGGTCTCTTGGGCTTGAGGTCGTCATGAATGTCATCTAGAATCAACAGATTGAATGACCGGGAAAAATGGTCATTCAGAAAATAGTCCGGATCTGGTTTCTGGGACCGGGAGAGCCTCCCCCGGTTTCTTTTCGGGGTGCCTTCCGGGTTCATGCTCCGGTTTGAGGTTGTTTGTTGAGTTTTACTTGAAGATGTAGGAGCAGCGGTTATGGGACGGATGATATGGGGAGTGTTTTGGTGCGAGCATTTTTGAACGCGACGTAAACAACGCGAGACGAAGGGGTGGCAGCAGCGGAATATTCGGCTGGAGAGTTTTTTAAAAAAGATAAAAAGAGATTTTCGAAATGAGTTTGAGTTGAAGATGAATTTCCTACCATTTTAATATAATTTATCTAGACGGCACCAGAGATTACGGAACTTTCTCGTTGCGCAATGGCTGCAACTCATAGACTAGTGCACAGCGCGAAACTAAACACTGCACCACAAAACGTTGTTTTTTTTCAAAGGCCTAGTTTTCTAGCCAGTGGCTTAGAACAAGCACAAACTTGAATGTGAAACAAATCATAACATGGGTAAACCAATGATTTACGAAAAAATGACTTAATCCAGTCACGCTTTGCAAACAACCACGGAGTTTTCGGAACCTCTAGAGGGAGACCGCGACAGGGAACCGATGCACAATAGACGAGAGATGAGAGAAGCGCTGGCCACGCGTGAAAAGCTCTCATTGTCTTTGATCGAGTTTTTCTTTGTTTACTTGAGAGGCCCATGGCTACTCAAAATGTTTTGAATTTGCTAGTTGTAGTGGAAAAGTGGGGTGGCCTTTCCCAGTTCGATCGTAGATTTAGACTCTGCGTTTTGTGGCAGAGGGCTAGGACCAAATACGAGCAATAACATGGAACTACTTTTTGGTCGCAGACCAATTGCTTCATTTTCGCTTATGCTTCTAGTAAACAACACAAGAGAAAACCGCTGCAGTCTTTGTTGACAAGCCCTAATTGTTGGGTCAATTGCGTGTTGGAATTCCATGAGCGAACTTCCCCTATCTGCATTTATGTAGAAATCGTAGCTCGTCAAATCGGCTGGTTGAACTCTAGGTTGGCCGTGAATACAAAGCCATGACCTCATTGTGAAGTCTATTTACCAGATGTCATGTCATGCAATAGCAATTGTTCAACCGTGTTTACCGTCGTCTTGTTTATACAATTGCTTTTGGTGATTCACTGTTGGCTGTTGGCTAACTTTTGAAGATGCCAACACTACTATGTAGGCATTGAGTCAATGTTTTGCTAAGTCTGCAACGACCGGGGAAGGCTCAATGTCCATCAATGTGTATCGAAAACCATGGTCAAGTATGATTCTGTTGCGTAGAATATGTTTATGTGAACCTGCTCTTGGCACTCGAGCGGTACAGCTGGAACCACAGATTGTTGAACCACCAAGGAGAGCTGAAAGATGGCTTCCACTAAGGTAACCTTGGCCGTAGTAGATCTACGTATTGTGTTACGTCTGCTTCGGTATGTGTACATCGGATTCGATAATCAGGAATAGGATGATGTCACCTTGTGACAGGGCAATCTTCTATACGTCGTGAGAGCTGTACTTCTTGAAAACATATAGGCATTTCTGTGGATCTCATTTTCTGCATGGCAGACAGTGTAATTATCAAAGAATAACCAGTTAGATAGACGGTTGAATGCCTTTCTTCGGTGAGATACTAATGCCGTTTGATCATCCGTGATTTGCAATCTTCCTTTCTCGTAATCTTCCTCATCAGCGATTACCACGCTCGGTCTTACCAGTGGCTCAGCAGCATCCAAAAAGCACCATATCCCATTCGAGCCATAGCCAGGGAATGAAGGCTTTAAGGCCAGGCCCAAACTGGTCTCCTCGGCGAAATTGGAAAACACAAGCCTCTTTTGAGAATCCCAGCTTCTCTTTTCAATCCAGTACCCCGGCCCTATCTGCTCGTTCGTATGCACCGAAGCACTGCACTGCGGCGCTCGTAACAGTATGCTGCAGAGAATCACTGCCGTTGCATCGAGATGGTCCCTTGAAGCTACATGCAATGAGCCAGAAAAATGTATATACGACTGTCTACAACAAAAATGGGCCAGAAATTGATAATACGGGTGTTTGGTTTGTCTCATTCTGGGGATCTGCTGGACGTGCAAAGCCAAAAGCTAATCGGCGATCCACGCATTAGTCTGGGCTAACTTTCGGTGCGATTAGTCAAGCTGGGTGTCTCGGCCAAAACTTTCCCCTTTTCGCCCAAAAATGGCCTATTTCTGACGGCCCCGCTCTGGAGGCCCTGGACCCACATGGACTAATGAAAGATCTTCGCAAGATCTGCCCGAAGCCTGAAGCGGCCAATTCGTCAGAGTCTTTGCTTGCTTGGAACTTGTGACCTTACCAAAACCAAAGTGCCACGTCAGCTTTCAGATCACGTCACTTTCACCAACCAATGGGACGCACCCGAAGCGGATTGGCTGGAGGTGCGTAAACGGATCCGCAAAAGTGCAGAGTCTACGTGGCCTGTGTGGCTGCAAAGTGCCCAAAGTGCTAATGGAGTCTGCCGGATTGGCCCAAGCGGCGGTTCATTGTCAAGGAAATACGGAGCGGAGCAAGGCATACGGGCGGAAAACGGCGAAATGAAAAAACGACAAGACTTCAAAAACGACATGGTCACTAGCACGGCCGAACGTTTTTTTCCAGTTTTCTTTGCCCTCTCATAACCGTTGCTCCGAGATGAAAAAGATAACCGGGAGGTCGCCAAGAGCCAGTGAGCGCTGCGGTATTGCGCATTTGCAGAGCCGGCCCGGGTGCGAGAAGAGCCCGAGCGATGAAATAGATAAGCCAAGAAAGAGCCGTGGGGGCGACTCGGGCGGCCCAGGCGATAAAATGGAAAAAAAGAAAAGTAACACTTCAAAACTCGTTTTGACTCGTTCAGTCAAAATTTCTTCGTTCTTTCCCTTTCACCTGCTTTCTCGTCATCCCTCGAGGGCCCGATCCGAGGCGGACCAGCCGCGCTCATCCCAGCCTACGGGCGCCGGGCGCAGACCCCTAAGGCAGTAATTCGTCCGCTCGCATCAGTGCCGACCTCGCGCCGGGCCATCTTCGGAACTCGAGACAATCCACTTGCTTGATTCGGCGTGGCCATGCGCCGCTTTTTTCCCAATCCAGCGGTGGCATTGTAAAAAGTTTTTATTTTTCAAAAACAGACCTCTATGGCGTTACTCTTCACTTAAATCAGCGCCCCATTTCTTTTCTCTAGCCCTGACGCTTGGGCCGTGGTGCAATGCTGACAATCGCCCGCGCGCTCATTGGCTCCGTTGCTGTCAACTGCTGACGCCGCTGCAACAATGCTTAATTTGCCTCCCCTGCACCGTCTAATGGCGCTGGCCCGACACCGTTATCGTCCTCTCGCTGACGTTCAAGCCCCATGATTGGACAGCGCCCGCGTGCCCCGACGTATGTTTCTCGCCGGCCCCACAGTGTCTGCCCTGCTTTTCCTGTTTTTTTCGCCTCGTTGTGGCCAACCCTCCCTGGTCCGTGCTCGCCGCAGTATCGCCTGCTCTTGGAATATAATACCTGCCTCTGCCCCACCTCACCGTTTCCACGCACCCACGCACTCACGCTTTTCACCACTTCGGCCCACTCCACCCATTTCCTCCTAACTTCGTCCCGCCTCAGGCCTATGCTACCCCGTGCTGATCGTCTCTGCTGAACCATGTCAGCCATACCGTCGCCGCAACCGGCCATCAAATCAGAACCGGAAGAGGTCTGCCCGAGAACCAGCGTATCCGAAGACGACCGCTCTGCTGGCCAGCTGTGCTCCAACTGTGGTACCACAAAGACCCCTCTCTGGCGAAGAGCTCCCAACGGCACCCTCATCTGTAACGCCTGTGGCCTCTACCTACGCTCCAACAAGCACCATCGCCCGGTCAACTTGAAAAGACCCCCCAACACCGTCAGTGTGAAGGAGACGGAGGGCTCTTGCAAAGGTGACGGCTCGTGTAATGGTACTGGCGGCTCTGCCGTGTGCAAAGGTTGCCCAGCTTACAACAATAGAGTGGTGCTTCGTCAGAACGAAGAACGCCATGCCAAAGAAGAGGACCACAAGCTGTCCGAGGAAGAGGACAGTTTGGCCGTGGCCTGCTTCAACTGTCTGTCTACAATCACGCCGCTCTGGCGTCGTGACGACGCCGGAAACACCATCTGCAACGCCTGTGGGCTCTACTACCGTCTTCACGGGTCCCATCGTCCCATCAAAATGAAGCGCAGCACCATCAAGCGCCGGAAACGTAACTTCGACATCCCTGCGCCCAAGCAAGAAAAGAGACTGAAGCCCGAGAAGGCCCTGCCGCGACCGCAGGCTCTGCCGAACCCTCGGGCCCAAACGCCCGCCAGCGACGCCACCCCGGTCGCGATGCCCGCCCTGGCGCCTCCTCCCAATCCCGGTCCAGCTCACAATCCTGGGCCAGCTCACAATCCTGGGCCAGCTCACAATCCTGGGCCAGCTCACAATCTTGGTCCTGTCCAGGCAGGCCAGGCGCCGTTTGTGCCCTCGTACTACCTCCCGTACCTGGGCCACGGCAGAATCCCCAACGGACCGGGCCCCATGCCAGGCCCTCCTCCGCCCCAGGTGGTCTACCACCAGGCAGTGCCCGTTTACTACCCAGCATACGCCCAGCCCGCGCCTCCACAAGGGCCTCCGGCGCCTCAGCATCCTGCGCACCACACCCATGGTCCTCAGAGACCCGCATCTCAAGGGCCCCCGGCGCACCAGCATATCCAGCATCCTCCCGTCCAGGCGCCTGCTTCGCAGCCGTTTTTGCAGCCGCTTGCGTACGGCCGTTCTGGGCTGCCTGCCCAGGAAAAGATTACGCTCCCTTCGATTCAGAATATCCCACGCACGCCGCCCGTCGAGGCCAACAAGCCTGCGTTGGCGGTGGACTTTACCAATGCGTTCCAGGATAAGGAGCGCGGCAGACGCAGCATGTCAATCGGGGGCTTCTCAATGACAAATAGAGGGACTCACTGCAGCGGCTCGGCCCTTGGCGGTGGTTTCCTCGAGGCACCCAGCCACAGGTTGCCCGTTTGCAGCCATTTCGCAGCCTCCTCGCCTGCCTGCAACCAGCTCTGCTTTGCCGACACGACTGGCTCCATGACTCGGCGCCCCAGCGCCACGAAGGTTTTACAAAAATGGTTAATAGATGCTTCTACGGAAGCTACTTATATATTGGTAACAAAAGGAATTAAAAAGGTGTAGTGGTGAGAGGTGGTGGGAATCAATGTTGGAGCTACCCTGACGCCAATCGCTCGAGCACTTGTCAAATTACAGCCTCCGAATTCGTTTGTCGCCAATTTCACTGACAATCAAGATAATCAGGTAGCAGCCCTTCGGCTCCTGGTGATGCTCTGCCAAGTTGCATTGTAGTCACGTGCAGTTAGGCTATCAGTTGCAACCGCTCGTACCTTTCACCAACCACACCTCTTTATGTCTGTGGACGAGTCACTTAGCAGAAAAGTCAAGGATATCGCTGCCGGATTCGTCGGCGGCGCCACACAGGTCCTCATTGGCCAGCCGTTCGACTTGGTGAAAATCAGGCTCCAAACGAGCCCCAGCGGGGCAACCTCCACCTCCATCGTCAGACTGGTGCTCCAGAAAGAGGGCCCATTGGCGTTCTACAAAGGCACCTTGGCGCCGCTTTTCGGCGTGGGCGCGTGTGTTTCGCTTCAATTCTACGGGTTCCTCGAAACAAAGCGCCAGTTGCTCAAGCGCCTGGGCAATCTGGAGCTTCTGCTTTGGCCCCAAACGTATCTAGCAGGTGCGGCCGCAGGATTGGTAAATTCGCCTGTCACCGCGCCAGTGGAACAACTCAGAATCCTCAGCCAGGCGTCCACGAAATCCACCTCGCTCCAGGAAACCGTGCGCGCCATCTGGCGCCAGCAGGGCACTCGTGGTTTGTACCGAGGCCTTGGAGTCACTGTGGTGCGTGAGTGCCAGGCCTACGGAGTGTGGTTCATGAGTTACGAGTGGTTGTTGCAGACGGTGGTGAAGCAGCGTGGGTACAAAGGACGTGACGACGTGACGACTCCCGAATTGTTGTTGTGTGGTGCTGCCGCGGGCAATGCCTTGTGGTTGTCGAGTTATCCGTTGGATGTGATAAAGAGTAATGTTCAGAGTGATGGGTTCGGAAAGGATTCGCGATTCGGGGGCCTGGCTGCAAAGGCGGCGCGCGAGATCTGGGCTACTGCCGGAGTGAGAGGTTTCTGGAAGGGCCTTGGGCCATGTTTGGTGCGTGCGGTGCCATGTAGCGCAGGAACCTTTGCCGCTGTAGAGACGGCGCTTAGGGTGTTGGGATAGGCTTAACAAACGCTCTCAATTGGGTATGGTGTTCGAAGCAGCGTTAATGTGACATTGGCTGCAAATTGGTGCTCGCTTTTTGCGTATGGCACAGCGGGCCACTGTGGAGCTCTTTTTGAAAATTGCGATGAAAAGCCATGTTGCAGCGCCGGAGGTTATCCTTTGTTGTGGAATACAAAGTGAAGGAGGCCTTTGAGTTAATTGCCGCTCGTTGATTTCATTCGATGGCTCCCACGAAGCAAGCCATTTTCCTGAAAGAGGCTGATAGACTATTATTTATAGAAATCTTCAAAAGTTGACTCAATGGCTCACCTCTTCAGGTGCTTGTATTTGTATTGCTTCTAAGTACTTCGCAAGACGAAATTTAGAGAATGAACGGATTGTGGCTTTAAACTGTATTTTTCATGACGAACTAAATCCATCTTGGTTCGTCAGTCAAAAAGAATACATTCATTGAGTTTTTTCCGATGAAGTAGGTTTTCTTCTCTTTTTATACCCTCGTTTGTGATAAGTTCAACATGTTCACTTGCATAATATATTTACATTACCGCGACAGTACGCCACTTTGCAGCCAAAACACTACTTTCGCCACCAACTACAAATAAACCGAAATCGAGTTCAACAAGATTACAAAAACATACAGTCTTGAGCTCTAACCAACCGTTTTGAGGTTTTGAAACTAGAGAGACTTTTGGACATTCAATCGCTTGTATATGCTGACCCCAGATGTGCCTCACCTGTCAAACCGCAACAATAAGCCGCGCATTTGCAACCATCAACTACTTCCTTCTTTACTTCAAACAGAACTCCACACATGTTTCTGCCCGCTATACGCCCAGCCTTAATGGCTAATAAGGCCGCCTTTGTGCTTCCCGTTAGAACATTCCTATTCGGCTTCTTGTCACAGTTCAACAAGAAACTCATATACCCACCAAACCCTGACCAGATCACCACCAAGAACAGACTCTTCCCCACATACATTGAAAACTCCACCGAGCTCGGAAACATCATCTTGACCAAAGAGCCATTGTTGCTCAACTTTACCATGCCAGGTGACGAAAAATGCAATAAGGTGACGCAGTCGTTGTTCGACATTCTCAGCGATAAGTCCAAGTACCCATTGGCTGTGGATAAACTGATCTCCTTGGCCAACATTGCATGTGACGGACCAGGTGGAAGAGAATTACAACAAAATTATGCCGTGAGCAAGATCCCTACCGTCGTGTTGTTGAAGAAACAGATGGTTGTCGATAGATTCATTCCATCAGACGTCGGTCGCTCCGAGGCTGAACTCTCCGAGTGGATCAAATCATCTTACTAAGGGGCATTATTTCCCACAGTGGATTACTCAATCAACTTGGAGCCATAAACTCTCGCGATAGATCACCAACATAAATAGCCCTCAAACGACTACATTACTTGCGCCAAAATTTGTAGCTTATCAATACACGTCTTAAACGCCCTCAGTAACAGTCAATGTAATCTTTCCTATGGTCCTAATATCTATTTACAGGTCTACTGGATTTTGTCTACTCGTCCCATCCATCCTTCCAGCGCTTCTTCCACAAGTCACAGTTAAACTTGGGCTTTCCAAGCTTGACGTTCACCTCGTTGTGGGCATCACAAAGCCACCTACCCAATTGGTCCTGGGTTTCCGTCACAGGCTCGTTTTTGGTCATGTACTTCTCAAAGTCCTCAGCACAGAACCAGCATGGGTAGAAGTTACCGAACAATTTCAAAAATTGCTTCATATCGGCTTGTTGCTTGTTGGAAGGCGTCTCTGGATAAGTAGCGGCTATCAGATGGAGAAGGGTCCATGACGAGCGGCCCAACTTCTCGACATCTGGAGGGTCTATCTTAGCGTAAGATTCATTGTGTTTAGTGCTGGCGCTCGAGTCCACTGAGGTTTCGCTCTTGGGAGTCAGTAACCCCTTGAAAGCGTCTGGGATTCCAGCGGCTGTATCGTTTGTGTCTTTTTTCTCAGGCTTCTTCCCCATGGCAAACTGAAAGTCTAAGAGTGTGTTACAGCTTCGACAGCTAGATGTTAGTATGAGACAATTGGGTCAACAAGAATTCACATACGGTTTTCCGTCTTTATCGTAGATGATCTTTCTGCCCGAGGCACCGACCACGGGTTTTTCCTCCGTCATGTCAATCAGGCAATACGAGATGGCGATACTCTGATGTTAGTAATGGGCAGATGCTGCGATCTGCGTACACACCTTTGCAGCCATCCTACAGTAAGCATATACTTTGGGTATTATCATTACACTTTGAACGAACTCTATATTATGTCATGCCAAAAAACTCCTTTCTCTGTCTGATCACTTCGTCGCAGAGCTCTCCGATTTCAGGCGTCTTGATGTTGCTTCTCGACCGGTAGAACTCGCTAAGATCGTATTTCTGGCCATACTCCTGCTCGTAGTCCCAAGCCTGCTGGATCATCTCGAACTTATCGATATCCTTGACGTAAACCGCTTCGGGCGACCGGATCTCCTCATACTCAAGCCACAACTCCTTCATCTCCTCGGCAAATTCACTGTTGTAAGGCGACACAATCTTGACCAAGTAGTCGATGGTGTCCAGCTCACGACGGTGTTTTTCTGCCTTAGTAACACCTCCAAAAGGAGTAATATCTCCAACCAAAGACTCGGCGATATCGTGGACCAAAGCGATCTTGACACAACGATCTATGTTGACCTGTCTGTTTGGAAGCGCCATGGCGATGATGGACATTCTGTACATGTGATCGGCGATGGACTCCGTTTTTTCTAGTGGGATCCCACGGTCCACCCAGCCCGTTCTGGGTTGTGTTTTCAAAAGACGGACGATCTGGGTAAATGCAAGCATGCTGTTGATCTTGGACTTGGAGGCCAAAAGGGATTGGAGTTTTTCCGGCACCGCTGCCTCAGGCGTCCAAACAGGCTCTGTCATTTGGGGCATTTGGAGGAGGGTTTGTGAAAGTTGGGAAGAAGAGTGGTTGAAGATTTTCTCCAGAGGATAAACATACGGAGTGTGTGTAGCATCGATAACAAACCGATGGGGATGGCGTAAACAGATAAGGTGAAACGGTGGGTCAGAATAACGGGTGATGATTTGGGTTTAAAAGATTCTTTGCTCTGGTATGGTTGATTCGGGGTGAGGTGAACATTGCATGAAAATGGTTGAGCTTTCTTGAGTGGGCTGAGCAGAAAGTAGGGAGACAACGTGGGAACGATCCCTTAAGAGTCAGTCGAATTACAAACTAGATTTCCTGTTAATTCAAGCATAGAATCTGTGAAATATGATTATGTTAGTGTGTAATATGAGATGGCACAAGGCGTGGCCTATGGTAGCGTGAAGCATGGCTGCAAAAGAGGGAACAGTATGGAAACTGTGCCCACAAAAAGCATCATATCTTACGAGACAATTGTCACGTTCTGGATGGGCTCTTAGTTGGGAGACTTAAAGCAAGTTGTTCGGTATCTTTAGATTTTCAATCGGACACCCAAGTTAATGTGCACAAGAACCACACTAATGCCCACGAGAACAATATCTCAACAAATGAAACATACTTGACCATAGCAGTAGCCAAACAAGGATCCACAAATCAACAGATTCATCATTCAGCCAGCTATCAGTTCGAATTGAGATTCTATGGTGTTATGTGAGCATATGAACAATGAAGCTCACCAGGGCATTCAGCGGTCATTGGGAAGTAAAAGCTCTCCAATAACGTAACAATGTTAAAAAGCTCTTGTTATCAGACAAACACTGCTATGTGACACAGCTATTAGCGTTTATATCTCCCCATCATCTCATACTGTGGGATCAGTATCATTCTACAGGTCACCCACCAAATCTTCTCAGTCTCCGCTACACGGAGCTTGTCGATTTCATGAAAAGTTTTATTTGACTATTACAGAATGCAGAGTCCACAGACTTAAGCAATCAACTCAACGACACCACCAGCAGCTCTGATCTTCTCCTCGGCCAACTTAGAAACGAATCTAGCCTTGACGATAACAGGGACCTTTGGCAACTGACCCTTACCCAAGACCTTACCGTAGCCGTGGGCCAAGGTGTCGATGACTGGAGCAGAGGAAGCGGAGGCAGACTTGAGGTATTCCTCTCTCTTCTCCTCCTCAACCAAAGACCACAACTTCTCCAAGTTGAGCTGTGGCTTCCAGAAGTGGTTTCTCTGCTTGTGGAAGTATCTCATACCAACCTTACCGAAGTAACCTGGGTGGTACTTGTCCAAGTTGGTTCTGTGGTGGTGCTGACCACCGGCCATACCACGACCACCTGGATTCTTTCTGTGCTTGCCGATTCTACCCTTACCGGCGGAAACGTGACCTCTGTGCTTTCTGGTCTTGGTTAATCTGGTTGGCATTGCTGATAGATTGAACTCAGATGAAGGGAGAAATGTTTAAAGTAGGAGCTTGAAATTTTTTCTGCGGCAGCTGCCTGGGAACCGCGACCTCCAGACCTCCCACCTTGAAGCACTAATTAACGCAGTGTGTGCAGGTCTCGCCATACTTAACGGCGCGGTACTCGAACATTTAGGTCAAAGCCCTAATACCTTGCACGTGACCAACAAGAACCAGTCCTAGCCTCTTGGATCACCACCACCAGCTTTGACAGTAGGTTCGTGAATTGACGTTATTGCTCCCCAGCGACAAATCATCATTCATCATCCGCTTCTACTCGCTAAATCCTCATATTTATCATCAAGTTTCTACGTTCTGCTCCTTTGGGTCATTGCTTCATTAGTATAGGCTGGTTCTGCAACCAGTTTGACCCACGTACTTTCAACGCCGCAGGTCTACTGCAACTGGTTGGAAATGCCCCACACCTCTTCATATGTGTTTTTACCCTTCGTCTCAGGCACAAAATTCTTGACAAAAATGTAGCTCACGGCACACATAGCCGTGAAAATGTAGTAAGTGCCACCTCCTAGCCACGAATTTCTGAGCACGGGGAACAAGTACCCCACAGCGAACGTGGCAACCCAGTTCATGGTGACACCGAAACTTTGAGCCAGGGCCTTGGCCTTTGGCTGAGTAACTTCACCGACCAACAAGAAGGGAATGGGTCCCAATCCAATTGCAAAAAATGCAATATAGACAAAGGTGCCCACCACCGAAAACCAGGAGTTTGTCGTCTGGATTCCGAAGCCAAGTAGAGCGGCAGCAATACCCATGAAGGTAACCGAGGTCTTGAGAAGCGGTTTTCTTCCCAACTTGTCAACAAGAGGTGCTGAGCCGAATGTCACAATAACGTTCACAAGCGAGATCAAGCAATTGATCATGACAGCTTTGGTGGGGAAAATCGAAATCAAAACGGACACTCCATAGAAGATGATCGAGTTGATACCACAGAATTGCTGAAGCACCAAGATTCCTGTCGCAACAACCTTCGAGTTTCTGTACTCTGATGACTTCATATACTCACCCAACGAAACGGCAGAATTGGTCACGGGTCTCTGTTCCTCCTCGCCAGCGAGCAAGTTAGCATCATCCTCGACAATGCCAGAAGCCTGCTTCCAACTGTTGACCTCGTTTCTAGCAAGACCGTATTCTCCACCTCTCAATTTGTGTAACACAGTGAAGGCTTGATCAGACATACCATTGTTAACCAACCACATGGGTGATTCATCCATGTAGCTAACGACAAGGAAGAAATTCAAAAGGGCAATAGCAGCTGCCATAAATAAAATAAACCTCCAATCATTGTCATTGTTCCATCTGAGTGCTAGCACTTGTGTAAAGAGTATACCGACGTTGACGGAAACCTGGTTCATTGACCCCAAGAATCCCTTATACAGAGGCGGAGCGATCTCATTAATCACAAGCGAAGTGACAACAAGAGCCGATCCAGCACCAACACCGGCAATGAATCTACCAGCTAACAACGCGTGGTATGAGTTACTGAGTCCATTGAGGGCGGAGCCGAGAAAATAAACGCAGCAGTGGAGCATGGCAGTCTTCCGTCTCCCAATACTATCAGCAATAGAGCCAACATAGAATGAGCCAAGCAAACCTCCAATACTGAAGATGGACGTCACAAGGCCAAATTGTTCGGGCTGCAATGGAATACACCGAGAAAATCCACGTTGGCCGAAGAATGAATCTTCATAAGGGGTAAGTAGCGGAACAGACTCTTTACAAGTCAAAATGGCCTCTGGAGAATTGAGCTCGGACATATGATATCCGAACTGGAGCGAGCCGAGGCAAATTGTCGCCACGGTAATGACTAGTTTGGCAGTGAGCGTGTCCGCTGTTTTATCGGCCATTTCTATGAGTAGTTGGTGGTTCGGTGTTCTTGCAGATTTCGTGGGGGCAGTACAGGAGTGAGCGTTCCTTTAATGTGTACCTTTCTCGTGACTATAGTCATGTGATCGGATTTGCAGCCATTTATACTATGGGCAAGAAATTCCCGATCACCATCATGGGAATACCAAAGACATCTCGTTTCAAGGTCCAAATGCAGCCTGTTCGTATTTTCACATCATGCTTGGGTGTGAGAAGGGTGCACTCTGTCATTGTAGCACCGAGGAAATCGCCAAACGCGATTCTCAGGAAAAGCTGAAAGTACTCCACAACAGATTTATCGTCTAGTAATTCCACAATGAAGTTGATCTTTTGACCCATTAGCTGGTCTTTCGTCCACCCGGTGAGTATGCTAAATTCTCTACCCACATAGGCAATTTCACCTGTTCTTCGCCAAACGATTGTAGGTGTTCCGCTGACCTTGATGAAGTTGTCGTAAGTGAGAAGGGTCCGCTGGAAACACTGCTCCATAAAAATGAGGTCGGCCTCTCGTAGCGAGTTTGTGCACGCAATAAATGAAGGTCTGTATGAGGCCATTGACTCGGCCATTTTAACAAGCATTTCTTTTGGAAACCGGCTTCGTAAATACGCGATAAGCTTATGGAAGCCAGGTGTGTAAGAGAATGGTTTCTTCACCGTGGCATATATGCTTTCTGGCTCCAGATAATGTAGGCCGTTGTCGTCGTTTATATTTCCTGTCTGGTCCTCTGCATTGGTTTCGATCGCAAACGAAAGGGCCAGTTTCTGATTCCTTTCATAAAAAACAGAAGGGTCAGAGTCCCTCATAGCCTCAATGGCTTGGATGACGTCAGGAAAAGCCGAACGTTCATTAGACAACTCCAAAAAGTATTGATTTATGCGAACGTCGCAACGAGGAAACTCGGATCCATGGTAGATTTGCGCTTTTTGCGAGGGCGCCAGATGTGTGGTAGTTTCCGCTCCAGCGCTATACGAACTGGCTCCCAAGTTTGACGGCGATGGAACATTCTTTTGCAACATGCCGTGTGGTGAAAGAACGGGCGATAAGTTTACAGAATTTGGCGTTCCTTCTGTGGATGTCGCCAGATGGTTGGGGTTGAGCCCCATAAAATTGTCCTGAAGAATGTTGGAGAGCTGGGAGTATTCGAGATCCGCAGCTGATGAGAGGAAGTTGGTCGGTTTTCTGTGTCTCTGATTGTCCTGCGATTGCCACTGTTCATCGCTTCCCAATCTGCCTCGGGGAAAGTTTGGGTCATAGTTGTAGGGTTGGTCTGGGAAAAATGTAGGTGACTCTTCTTTGATAGGTTCTCTTTGACTGACACTTCGCCCAATAACCGTAGGTCTCTGTGGTGCATAGTTTGGTACAGATGCTGAATGCTGGAACATGGTAGCCTGGTGCACTTGGTGGTTTCTGTCAGTATACGGTGTTTGTTGATTTGAAGTCATGGAGCTAGTTTCCTCCACTGACAGAGCCTTGATCATATCGACTGGCACATCAGATAAATACTTCTTTCGTTTTCGTGGAGCGTCCTCACATGAATCCAGGAGGCCCCTCTGAACACATCGTTTACAGGGTCTGGAAGTATCGCATGTCATATGCGCTTTGTGACAGTGATTGCATGCTCTTGATGTTTTCTTTCTTTTCTGATTGTTAGTAAGATGCTAAATTACGAGTGTTTTGATGTGACGTTCGAATTATGCTCTAATCAAAGTCGATATCTCGGTATAGGTCCGAGATCTTGGAGTCATCTGAGTCATGTTGACGAACGAGGTCCAAGCTGGCAGAGCCTCTTTTTGAGTTTCGAGGCCAAGACTTGAAGGTTTTCAAAAAGCTCATTTTAAATCCAAACATACCGGCTTCGTACCGCTGTCGGCATTCATTCCTCATCAGGTTTAAAAGAAGTACAATCCAAGCACGGTCTTGATCACACCGGGAGGCACGGGTGCACACCGTTTGCAGCCATGAACATGATGTGGACCAACACAATGATGCAGTCTTGGGGCCAAATACAAATAGAGATTTTTTTTTTCTTTTGTTTTTATGAATTACGAATTGAAAATAAAGTGTTGAGAATTTGCCCTTTTTTCCAATATAGAGATAAGCAGAAGGAATAAATGCTCTTCGAAAGTATATCAAGGAACGACGAATGCTAGCGGCCGTAATGGTATAATTGGTTGGAAGCGAACACTTTACTTAGTTTGTTTAAGCTAATTGGAGTACATCACAGTTCTCATCTCTTGACAATTGCTTTCAGTTAATGCAACATGGGCTTAGCTGCGAAACCCAAAAAGGCTTACCAGTAGTCTAATTGGAAGCAGCTGCAAAACCAATCATCCGACAGTTTTATAAAGAAAGCACATTGAACAACAATAGTACAAAACTGGACGTCTCCGTTCTAGATATCTACCCTTACTTCTACTGAAGGCGCTTTCTACAATAAGTCGATGAGACGAATATATACTATTTAGATCTGTCAAAGCCGGAGCTTAGTGTTTCATACAGCTACTAAGCAACAATTGAAGCTGAATCTCAACCATCCAAGGAGTAACCTAAATCAGCGCCCTTAAACTGTTCCGCCAATTTGGCCAATTTGTCTCTCAACATCGTCATGTTCTCGTTCACAGGCTCAAACTTGGGAAGCCATTCAGCTACACCATGTTGAAGCACACCTTTGGCACGGAAGTGGCCCTCGTCACAATGTCCATACGAACCATGCAACGTCAAACGGAGCTCCTTGGCCAGGTACGTCGCACGGTGCAAAATGTTACTGTTGTAGAACACAATGTCACCTGGTTTGAGGTCCACGGAGATCTGACCAGTGATATGCTCTTTTCTGTCGTCATTGGTAGTCTTTTCTCTCTCCTCCTCTGTTCTGATTCGCTTATGAGATCCAGGCACCACAATCAAGCACAGGTCATTGGTCAATGCTAGGTTAAATTGGGTTCCAGCATATGGAGCCGTGAGGAGCTCATCAGCCTCCTGTTCCGGCAGCGCCTCAGGCTTAATATAGTCTCTGTGCCAATCAAGACCAAAGTCAGTGAGAGGATTGATCAACATATTGAACAACTCCATGCACAAGTTGTCAGTGGGTGTCTGCAAAATGTCCAGTGCCATACTCAAAAGACGCTGGTCCGAGTATAATGTCTGGAAAGGTTTCGACATATCCTTGAGTTCCGGGTGCAAAAGACCCGTGACACCCCAAATGTCTGGACTGAAGTTCTTAGGCCATGGCGGAAACTGTTTTCCTCTGGTACGAACATGAGGCCAATTGCCGTCTCTGGCATATTGAACAACGTCCAATGAGGCCTTCTTATAGGTTTCAACCTCATCAGGCAGGAGGAAGCCTCTCACGATCGTGAAGCCCACGTCGGCGATTTCGTCATGGTGTTTGTGTGGAAGTGTCATCTTGAAACAAACAATTGGGAATAATAAAGTGGCAGGTACCCCTTATTTATATGTCTACCCCGGTTCCCCAGGTTTCATGGATCGTATTGCCGCACCACCATGTTACATTTTTCTCGGTGCGCCATCGTGCAACGTTACACCATACGCAGTGATTGCCGACTCTACATAAGAGGCAATCAATTCCGTCAACAACTACACATTCTTTATCATGAAGTGGGGTATTTTGGGTGCTGGTAACATCGCAGGCAAGTTTGTCAAGGACTTGTTGCTTGATGAGCTGAAGAGACATACAATTGTCGCAATTGGCTCATCCCTGGAAGATAAGGCTAAACAGTTTCTGGAAGCCAATGGCATAAGCAAAGAGAAGAATCAGGGAGTTATTCCCAAGTTCCAGCTGAGACTTGACTTCTTCAAGAACCCTGACGTTCAAATCATCTATGTGGCATCGCCTCACGTCTTTCACGAAAACCAGGTTCTCGAGGCCTTGGAGAATGGAAAACACGTTTTGTGTGAAAAGCCCTTCACAGTGACCGCAGCTCAGTCCAGAAGAGTTTTTGAGGCAGCTGAAAAGTCCGGTCTTTTTGTTATGGAAGCTGTTTGGACAAGGTTCATCCCTGCCGTCTTGAAAGCCAAAGAGTGGATCAAGGATGGCTCAATTGGCGATGTCAAGCGTCTTACAGGTGACTTCTCTATGGATCTTGATTTGGACAATCTTCCTGCGTCATCCAGAGGCAGGGATATCAATTTGGCCGCTGGAGCCACTTTGGATGTTGGTATCTACCCATTGACCTATTCTCGTATTCTCTTGGATGATAAGTTGGGCAAGCAGGCAACGCCATTTGAGGTCAAGTCTTTCCTTACTTTGGACGAAAAGGACAAAGTCGACCATCTCAGTACTGTCATTGTGAAGTACAACAACGGAAAGCAGGCAATTGCAACCAGCTCCAACTACACTGCCGGTCCAGAGAAATTTTTACGTTTGGAGGGAACTAAGGGGTATCTTGAGATGTACGGTAATCCTGCTGCTCCAAAGCACGTTAAAGTATTCACTCAGGATGGAAAGCTTGTGAAGGAGCATCTCGACAAGGACTCTTTTGCAGGATTTATTCATGAGGCTAATGCTGCTGCCGATGCCGTTGAGGCTGGAAAGACTCAATCGGACTCCATTCCTTGGGATGAGACGTTGCTCATGATGGATCTTATGGACAAGGTTCGCTGGGAAAATGGTTTTTACTATCCTGGAGAGAAGTAAGCGGGAAGGTTAAGGATTGAAAGAATCCAGATGAAAATTTAATTTATATAACAGCTGAATCTATGGTTTGACAGCGAGTAAGACATTGAAATGACGGTTGTCCTCTTTGAGCTCCATGCATTGATGCCTACGGGCTTTCCTTGTATTCTTTGAGTAGACTTCCTTTTACTTCTTTTCGTGACTATTGGTGAGCACTCTATGGATTTCGCAGCCGTTCCAAACCTGTTGTACATCAACGCTATCAATGCACGGAAAAGTGATGAATATAATCAATTTCAGAAACTCCTTGCTCAAATTCAGCTCCTTCTGACAAATCATTCAATTGAAGTAAATTGAAAGAAAAAATCAAACACCGTACTAGCCTTATCGTCGGTATACCTTGACTCCAGTGCGAAGATTCTCATCAGGCTGAAAAAATCCATCATCTACTACCCACCGAAACCACCAAGATGGCCGCATTCCTCACCAAATTCACAAGAATCCCTCTCAGGGACATCTCAAAAGCCGCTGACTCGCTTTTCCCTGAGCTCAACGCTGAGGCCAAGGCTTTGGCTGCTCAGTTCACCACTTTATCCAACAGACTCAACGAGCAGGAGTCCTTGGTCACCTTGAACAACAACTTGAGAACCAAAACTTTCATTGTGGGCCACACGCCTGCCAAGGTTGACTTGGACGTTTTCGCCAAGGTTTTTCCTGTGGCTCACCAGTGGAAGCTGGCCGAGGAGTACGCTCAGTTCAGACACATCCTCAGATGGGCCGATTTGGTTCAGAACACCCTTGTGGAGGTGCCTGAGGAGGAGCAGTTGAAGATCGACTTGGACAAGGAGGTGCCACGTGAGATCAAGGAGAAGAAGAAGCCTGCCAAGGAGGGCCAGGCCAAGGAGGCTCCAAAGGAAGCCGCTAAGGGTGCTCCTAAGGAGGTTGCTAAGGATGCTCCCAAGGGTAAGAAGCCACTTTCCGAGGAGGACAAGAAGGCTTCTGCTGAGGCCGCTAAGGCCAAGAAGGCCGCTAAGGCTAAGGCTAAGGCTGAGCAACAAGCCAAGCAGGCTGCCGCTGCTGTTCCTCCTAACCCAGGCATGATTGACCTCAGAGTTGGTTTCATTCAGAAGGCTGTCAAGCACCCAGACGCCGACTCCTTGTACATGTCCACCATTGACATGGGAGACGAAGAGGGACCCAGAACTGTGTGCTCTGGTCTTGTCAAATACATCCCATTGGAGGACATGCAAGAGAGATACGTTGTGTGTGTGGCCAACTTGAAGCCTGTGTCCATGAGAGGCGTCAAGTCGACTGCCATGGTCTTGTGTGCGTCTAACGAGACCACTGTGGAGTTTGTGAACCCACCTGCTGGTTCCAAGGCTGGTGACAAGATCTTCTTCGAGGGCTACAACGCCACGCCCGAGAAGCAATTGAACCCTAAGAAGAAGGTCTGGGAGGCCGTTCAGCCAGGCTTCTCCACCACGGAAAACTTCGAGGTTACTTACACTGAGGAGGGTAAGGCTCCAGCTAAGTTGGTGAACGAGAAGGGCGAGCTCTGTAAGAACAGCACCATCGTGAAGGCCGAGGTGAAATAAGCATACATAGAAAGAAGAGGTGATTAATGAGTTGGTACGGTGTAGAACGAGAGGCAAACGAGTGGGTGGGGCAGATTTTGATTCTCACGTCAGTGAAAAATTATGCACCATCAGTCAGGTGCATCTACATTCGAATAACGGGAAGCTCGTTTTTTACTTTGACAAATCAGTTCGGAAATTTTGAATCGTGGTTTATCAAATTAATAAATTTGAATCTCCTGACCCGGGTGCCCTTTGTTCAAAGCCTGAAGTGGCAGCCAATTCGGCATAGATACACTCCGAATATGTATGCGTCAGTGTACTAGTCCGAGACCCACTCACTACTACTTCATTTTCTTTCCTACTCATTCTGCAAACGCGACATTTCAAACACTTCTTCACTAAAGCAATTTAATTCAAACTCAAGACTTATTTGGTATATCTGAACCCCGAAGGAGTGTCTGGGGCTTTCTGAGAAGCTTGCACAGAATACCGTAAGCTACTACAATGTCCTCCTCAGGCATCCTCGAAATCGACAAGGAGGAGGACATAATTGAAAATCGGTACGAAGCTCTTCCAGAGCACTGCAAGCGCTACTGGAAAAAGCGGTACCAATTGTGGTCTCGCTTCGACCAAGGGGTGCTTTTCACGCCAGAATTGTGGTATTCGGTTACCCCAGAAAACGTCGCCAAATTCACCGCCAAATTAGCGAAGGTCCTTGTGCCTAGAGCAAAAGCTACTTTGGATGTTTGCTGTGGTGGAGGCGGAAACACCATCCAATTCGCTCGTTATTTCGAGAAACTGGTTGGTGTGGATATCAGCTCTACCAACATCACCTGTTGTGAGCAGAATGCCAGGGTGTATGGAACGAAGAATGTGCATTTTCTCAAAGGAGACTGGAGAGAGCTTCAGGATTCGAGAGATTGGGTGCCAGAGGGAGTGGAATTGGATAATGGCAAGTTTGATGTGGTGTTCAGCTCTCCTCCTTGGGGAGGTCCTGCTGTCAATAAGCAGGAGAAGTTTGACCTTCACAAGATGAGGCCGTTCAACATTAGAGAGATTGTCACGAGCATGAAGAAAGTTTCGGACAATATTTTTTTGTTCATTCCCAAGAACTCCAATTTGGATCACATTCGAGAGGTTGTGAGAGAACTCTATGGATCCAAAGGAAAGGCTCGTGCTTATCAGACATTCGAAGATGGCTGGCCTGTGGCATTGTTGGTGGTGTTTGGCGACACGTGGAGAAAGGAAGTCAAGAAGGGCATCAAAGTTGATGCTCTAGATACTGGACCTCCGAAGGGTGCGATGATTGAGTTCCTTCTTTCGAAGGGACTCACTATAGGGGCTAAGTAAACACCGAAAGATTCTCGTCTTGAGAGGTTTCAGGTGCAAGTGCTTGTCCCGTTTCTCTGTGGACGTTGTTGGATGGGTGCGTGCTGACACAAGACACCGGGATCTTGAGTGCGTTCTTCGTTCACCAAAAGAAACAGAGCAACGAACTGGAAAACTTTCAATTCTGAGGTCTACGAGCTGGTGGTGTTGGAAAGTATGCCTTTTGCAGGACACAGGGATTCTCGGGGTATATCGAGTACGGCAGCACTGGCGAGAGACCTCCAACCATTCATTTTTAGGGACGCAGACAAAGGATTCAGAAGAGGTGCTTCGAGCGGGACAAGGGGATCCCGGGGGTGCTGACTTTCTGGCTTCGGTGGCTGTAGTGGCTTTAGCCAAGTCCTTATTCTTAACCTGTCACTTTATCTTTGCATGTTCAGTCGGAGAGGAAACTGAGCCGGATTTGCATTCCCGGGGTTTTCGAACCAAAATACATCATATAGTTAATGTGGCTGCTAGTCAGCTATAACTCAAGCGCAGCGTAGTCGCCATTCACCCATAGGTCAAGTTGCCCTTTTCGTATTGATTCACTATATACAAATACCGCAAGCTCTATCACTCTCTATGACCAGATCATTTGCTTTGATGTTCCACTTTCCATTGTGGTGACTTTTCTCTGTTCTGGTACTGGCTTGGTATATGATAAGCCATGCGCACTTCTCATCTCATCAACCACTAAGCAAAGCAATGAAACTCCTCAACAAGACAATCGCCTTGGAAAAGGACAAGAGTGGGTCTCTTTCGCTTGTACCTCAAGACAAGGAGGATTTATGGCAGCTTTACAACTTGGTTCAAAAAGGAGATAAGGTGGAACTCCTGACGGTGAGAAATGTCAAGAAGACGCCGGGGTCCAAGGCTGAAAGAAAGCATCTCCATTTGACTCTCGCTGTAGAAGGCGTGGAATACGAGCCAAGCGATGAAGTTATGAGAATTCGTGGTAAGACCACCGAGCAGAATGAGTATGTTCCAAACCAGAGTTTTCACACCGCTGAGGTTCAGCTCAACAAGGCCCTCAAGTTGAGCAAGCCCGAGTGGGACGAGTTCAGCTACAACATTGTCATTGAAGCTTCTTCAATTGAGAAGAAGGCTGAAGTCGGTGCAGTTGTTCTCGAGGAGGGTGTGGCCCACCTCTGTCTTGTCACTGATAACATGACTGTTCTCCGAAACAAGGTGGAAAAGTCCATTCCAAGAAAGAATCGAAGCGACGGTGGTGGCTCCTCGCATGACAAAGCCATTGGTAAGTTCCTCGATACTGTCCAAGCAACACTTTTGCGTAACTTTGACTTGGAAAAGCTCAAGGTGGTTATTCTTGCCTCGCCAGGTTTCACTGCGACTGCCCTTAAGCAGGCCATTTTCGATACAGCTGTCAAGAACAACAATAAGACCATCCTCAAGAACAAGTCCAAGTTCTTGGTCGTGCACTCTTCCACAGGTTATCTTCAAGGCCTAGAGGAGGTGTTGAAGGACCCTGCTGTGCAGAAGAACTTGACCGACACCAAGTTCGCCAAGGAAGCGGCTATTTTTGACGAGTTCCAGCGTATACTCAACTTAGATGATGGAAGGGCCTGGTATGGTCCTCAGGAAGCCATCAAGGCTCTGGAAATGGGCGCTGTTAAGAGCCTTCTTCTCACAGACGCTTTGTTCAGAAGCGATGATATTGCCGTTAGAAAACACTACATAGCTTTGAGCGACGAGGTGAAGGCTCAAGGCGGAGAAGTATACATCTTCTCGACTCTACACGAGTCAGGCGAGCAGCTCAACCAGTTGACGGGTGTGGCTGTATTGCTCAAATACCCATTGGAGCTTGATGAGGATGAGGATGACGAGGAGGATGACGAATAAGCTAGATGCGGTGGCTCGATTGAGTTCTATAGTCGTCAAGCAAATGCATATACCATACATGGCCGCCTCGGTACCTAATCATCACATCCTGGACAATTCCAATCCCGAGTCCCATGATACCGCCTTTCTTCACATAGCTCATTCTTTGCACAGGGGACATTTGTTTCCATGCTCCATATGTCCATGCCACTATTGTGGCTGCTGCAGCACTGCTGAGGAAGTCTTTGGTCCCTCTGGCATAGTCAATACCGGCTTCAAGACCAAAGAAGGATGAGACACCAGCTGAATATCTTAATCCAATTTTGGTGGCCTCGCGAGCTCCACTTAGAATCATGACGTAGTTTTTCTTTTTATGATAAAAATACCATCCTCCCACGGTTGTAGGTAGTCTATGGCCATTCTCTGTAAGGAATCGAAGGGATGAGATCTTGATGCCTTCGAAGAAGCCCACACCTGCTCCCACTATACCAGAAGCCAAGGCTACTGCGGTGAGTCTTTCCTGAGTAGGAAGGTGAAACCGTTCGTTCTTGTTTTCGTCCGACTTTTGTAGATCAGAGGACATTGATCTAGTTGGAGATGAGAAAGTCGCACCCATATGTACCGATGGTGAGAACCCCAGTTGGGTGGAGTATTCAAGAAGGAAGCGGAAATAAGAAAATTTGAAAAATTGTGAACACTGCTGCAACGATGAATTTCCTGAAACTACATGCGTTGCCCGTCGCTATTTCCATGTTGTACTTAAACACGAACCTTTTTGGTTCCCTTGCAGTCGGTTCGCCTATGTCTCGTAGTAATAGTGTCTGATAACAGAAGTGCTACAATGTTTTGTGATCAGAGCAAAGGGGTCTCGAACAAAGTCAATTCCCTTCAAATTCTCCATCACAATTCCTCATAAATGGTATCCATTGATATAGCATAGCTCCCTACTGGTCCAAGATGGACTTCACAAACTCGACATAGTCGACGTTGCCCTCACTGGTAACGTTCACACCCTTCAACAACTCGTCCACCTCGGAGTCCGTCAACTTCTCTCCAATTGAGGTCAAGATGTATCTCAATTCGCCAACACCGATGTATCCAGTCTGCTCCTTGTCGAACACCTGGAAGCCCTTGATGTAGTCCTCAGGGAGACCAAGAGGCTTGAAGCCGTCCGGTCTGTTGATAATCTTCTCGTAAGTCTCGAAGTCGAATTCGGGCAGCTCGATGCCGCTCTGCAACTCAGAGATCTCAGCCAAGGTAGGGTTTTGGCCCACGGCTCTCAATAAGTCACCCAAGTGCTCAACGGGAATCTTGCCAGTGCCCTTCTTGTCGAAAAGGGCGAAGGCGTCTTTGTAAGTTTTGTTGTTAGACTGTTTGTTAGTATGATGTATTCAATTTGATGGACAGAATCGCTTTTTCAATTTCTTCCATAATTCATTCATATTTGCTTGGTAATGGAAGCGTGTCTGACCACAGTTTTGCTGAACATACCATGTCTGTTAGTAGAGGCTATGATGTATGAGCTCTTTTCATCCAGAAATGTAAACAAAAGCGCGCGTGATCAAGAGCACGTGAATGATCTGGCAGTAATACTTGATTACCGTAGATCCAGGCGATAAATAGCCTGAATGGATAAGGAATCACTTAAGGGTTTTCTTGGTGAAGCCTCCCTGAAACATTTGTTCATGCACGATATTCGTGTGGGGTGGTTGGATGAAACATACCCATTAAGCTCAACACTACATAGTGATACCCACATGCTTTCGAGACAATGAAAATTCCTGTCAGTCGTCAAATTGACTCCCAATGAATGCTCGAGTATATTCCTTCACAAAAATTTGAATGTAGTTTTCCTTTCCGTGTTTTGATGTAATCATCGGCCCCAAGCTGATTTGCACCCACTGTTATCATTTTCAAACGCGAACAGACGCCTTCATTACTACCCCATGGAAAGAAACGGCGACTTAAACGGGGATAGTGATCCGAAAAGGCGAAAGTTGAATGGAGGTGGTGGCTCCATGGATTTCAAGCCTGGCAATATCCTCCGTCTACGAATCTGGAACTTCACCACATACTCATATGGAGAGTTCATTCTTTCACCGACGCTAAACATGATCATTGGACCAAACGGTACCGGAAAGTCTACATTTGTTGCAGCTGTGTGTCTAGGTCTTGGAGGCAAGGTCGACTTGATCAAGAGGAAGAATATGGACTCTATGATCAAGTCGGGCTCTAATGAGGCTCTGATTGAGATCAAGCTTCGGAACAAGGATGGAGAGCCTGATGTCACGATAAAAAGAACATTCTTCCTCAAAAACACGAAAAGCCGATGGTGGGTTAATGGATCCTCCAGCGACGTGCTCAAAGTTCGCCAACTAGTGCTTGATCTAGGTATTCAACTAGATAACTTATGCCACTTCCTTCCCCAAGAACGTGTTGCCGAATTCGCCACGCTATCTCCAGAGAAGCTCCTTCTAGAAACAGAAAGAACGATTGGTGATACCACCCTCCTTGACAAACATGAGTTACTTATAGAGCTAGATACCAACTGGGTGGAATTGAACGCGGATGTACAGAAGTTGGAGGAAAACATCGCCGGTTTGGTTGCAGATGTAGCCAAGTTTGAGCAGGAGGCACAAAGATATGCTGAGTTTGAGGAAAAAGCGAAACAAATCGATTACCACAAGAAGCTTCTACCCTACGCTAAACTCCAGGATGTGAAGGAGCAGATGAAGGGTCTCAAGAAAGTTCGTGATGAAGCGAAGCGTGCATTGCAAGAGTTTGCAGCTACAACACAGCCTTTAATAAGTGAGCGTGACAGTGCTGAAAAGGATTTAGAGGCACAAAAGGAAAAGATTGCCAAGCATAAAGAAGTGCTTTCACAGAAAAATGAGGACGTCAAGACCATCGCCAAAAGGATAGCATCGTTTGAACAATCCCTAGAAGATACAAAAGGCGATATCGACTCTTTGCAGAACTCTACGGAGAAGCGAAGAAAGGAGCTACAGAGAACACGGGAGGAAAAGGATACTCTACAAAACAAGTTGCTGACATTAGAGGATGTTGATGAAGATGAAATCAAGCGGCTTTCTGAGGCAAGACAGGAAAAGCATGACGAGAAGCTTCGAAGAGACGAAGATGTGGAAAATCTTGTCTTTGAGGTAAGCAGCTTAAAGCGTGAACATGAATCCAATGAAATAAAGATGCGTGATGAAAGGCGCAAGCTTGAAAATGACGACAAGCTCGAGATTTTAAACACCAAGGGATCTCGTTATCGACCTGAGATACTAGAGAGCACATACAAGGCACACCTTTGGCTCAGAAAGGAAAGACGCAATCATGGTCTCAAATTTTATGAGGCTCCTGTTGTATCATGCCATGTTACCAATCAGAAAGTGGCCAAGTCGTTCGAAAAGGTTGTGGACAATAATTCCTTGTTCGCCTTATTCTTCGATAACGAAACTGAGTATCAGAAAGTGTCTCAGGTCTTGCCCCGTGAACTCAACGTTCCTATGAGAGTGGTTTCGAGTGAGGAGACTCCACCATCCCCTGTTTCGGTTTCCGTGCTACGTGAGCACGGATTTGAAGGCTACCTCTCGGATTTTGTCGATGGACCTCCCTCTGTTGTAAAGGCCCTCAAGCAACGTTCTCAAATTCATGCCATTCCTGTTGCAACCAAGCCTATCGATACAGAGGTGGTAAAGAAACTTCTCGTTCCTGATGATAATGGGAAGGTACCGTTCATGAGGTTTATCGTCGAAAATAACCTTTATTCTGTGGGGAGGTCCAAGTATGGTAGCAGGCAAGTCTTCTATCGTACAGAATTTATTGGGGAGGCTCAATTGATGGGTTCCAGGGGTCTCACTGAAGAAATGAAACGCGACATTAAGCGTAAAGTTATTTCCTACAAACAAAAATTGGACAATATCTTGGAGAAGCGTGACTCTATCAGCAAACAAAAACTGCAGCATCAAGAGGCGCTACTTGCAATATCCGATGAACTCACAAGGTTGGATTCGGAGATTCGCTCGCTTAGGAAGAAGAAAGAAGCTGTTCTGAGAATTCAAGAGACTATCAAACAACTAGAGTCTAGAATCACGAAACTCAAAGAAAGTATGACTCAAGATGACACCATGAAAATCAAAGAGGCGGAAAACAAGTTGATGCATCTCTATGTCGAGCACTCACAGGAGTTCATGAAGATGGCGGAAGTAAAAGAAAGAATTGTGATGGAAAATTTGGAGCTCAAGAAATTTGAACTTTTGACACAACAATCAAAGAGTAAGGTTCTTTCCATACAATCTCTCTTAGAAGAGCTCGACCTCCATAAAGTCGATTTACAAGAAAGATACGCCGATGCAAAGAGCCGATATGATCAGTACAAGAAAGGTGACGCTGCAAAAGAGATTAGAGAACAATATCTCACTGACTCCGATCGTGAGGTCGTTCGAGGACTTGCAGAAAACTATCTCAATAATTCTCAATTATCCGAGCATTATATTCTTATCAAGATTGATCAGCTCGAAGATGAGTTGAGTTTACTCTCCAATGCAGACAAGGGTTCCATTGAGCTGTTGAAGCAGAAGCGTGCAGATCTCGAGATCTCGCAAAGGCAACTTCCTGAACTACAACGAAAGAGAGATGATCTCAAGCAGAGAATAGACAACGTCTCCGGTCCTTGGCAGGAAGAACTCGGTGATATGGTCGAAAAAATGTCTCAAACCTTTCAAAAGAATTTCATCACAGTTGCTAGTGATGGTCAAGTACGGTTAGTAAAGCTGGAACGATTCCAGGATTGGAAGCTCGAAATTCTAGTCAAGTTCAGAGAAAACTCCGAACTTAAGGTTCTCGATCACCAGTCACAGTCTGGAGGCGAAAGAGCTGTGTCCACGATCTTCTTCATCATGTCACTACAAGGATTAACCAATGCACCCATCAGGATTGTGGACGAAATCAATCAGGGAATGGATCCTAAAAATGAGAAGATGGCACACAAATATTTCGTTCACACGGCGTGTAAAAAAAGTCGGTCGCAGCATTTCTTGGTAACACCAAAGTTGATTACCGGTTTGTATTATCACGAAGACATGGCAGTGCATTGTATCTTCACTGGTCCATTCCTCAAAAGCAATGATGAGAAGGCCCCGAAACCGGGCCTTTTGGATTTCCAAAGAACAAGCAAGGTTTCGTCATAGATTAATTAATGCATTCTATTTACAGTGTTTCGGCCTCGAGGAATACGATGGCATTATCTAGACGCTCCATGTATCTCTCGTAGCCAAGTATGTTAATGAGTGTGGGGATTGTGATTCCTGAAACGCCTCCTGCCAATGCAAAACGAGCAGCTTGGAACAAATCTTTCTTTTTCAACTCTGGATGAGTCTTGAGAATATCGTCAACAGGAAAAGGGTTTCCCGGGGTTTGAACACGCTTGATTGTTTGAAGATGGGAGAGACACTTTTTCTTCTCGCACGGCATCTTGGACTTGACTAAATCAACTTCTTTGTAAAAGTAGGTGTGAACGTTTTGTAATTCCTGAATGGAGCTGACATTGGGCCCCACATCTTGAATCAAACGGCTCCAGAATTCTTTTGAGAACTCTCCATTGGTAGCTTTCTCGAAGCTAGGAAATGTTTCGTCAACCAATTTCTCGAGAGTCGAAGGATCACTAATTCTTGACAAAAGGTGACTCTTATTGAAGAAGTGAAGCTTGTTGTCATTCACCTTTGCATTTCCTTTCGTAAGATGGTCCAACAGAAACTTGCTCACGAGGTCCTCTAGCGACATCACCTCACTGGTTGGCTTACCTTTCTCTGGTCTTGGTGGAGACCAGCCAAATAATGCAGCAAAATTTGTGAGTGCTTCGGGAAGAATACCCTCGTCTTTCATACTCAAAACCCCATTATCCCCTTGTCTTTTGGAAAGTTTCTTGTCTGTCAACGAGGTAAGCAATGGTATATGAATGAACTGGGGAGGTTCCCATCCGAATGCTCTGTACATAGCGATGTGCTTTGGTGTCGCCGCCAACCACTCCTCGCCACGGATAACGTGGGTTATCTTCATCAAGTGGTCATCAACAACGTTAGCAAAGTGATACGTGGGAAGCCCGTCCAGCTTGAGAATCACGAAATCGTCAAATCTTCTATCTGTCGGATTCACCAGCGGCTGGAGATCAAGCTTTCCGTGAAGAAGATCCGTGAAAGCTTCATACCGTTCCGGCGATTTGAACCTGACTGTAAACTCCTCTTCTCTTTCGGGAGCATGAAGGCACTTTCTATCATAGGTGACAGTCGTAGGTGGCTTCAATGCCATGGCAGTTTCTCTCAAATGCAAAAGACGGTCTTTGGAACAAAAACATTTGTAAGCGTAGCCAGCCTTTATAAGTCGATCGGCATACTCTTTGTAGATTGACTTTCTCTCTGATTGTTTGTATGGTCCGTAGGGTCCCCCAACTTCTGGACTTTCGTCAGGTCTCAAACCTGTCCAATTCAAAGACTCATGAATATTCGCCTCTGCATCTGGCACAAGTCGCTTTTGATCTGTATCCTCCAAACGAAGAAGGAACTGGCCGCCAGTGCTTTTGGCTAACAAGTAGTTGTATAGAGCCGTTCTCAACGATCCCAAGTGAAGGTATCCAGTCGGTGAAGGAGCGAATCTCGTACGTGCCGGTCCCTTCGGCTGAATGGATTTGCTTTGAGGCACATGAAGCTTTCCTTTGAGATTTAGCTTCAGTAGGAGCCGTAGCGAACCCCACATATCAAGGTGATGTAGTTGTAGTAGAACCGCGCGAATGCAGTCGGGTGCAAAAGATGGGATTGAAGAGGAGCCTCTTTTGGGTTTCTTGCAAATAGGTCAAACAAATTTCAGTTTGTCGTTCCGTTATCTGTCAAGAACTGTCAAGAATCACTGTTTTTAGAATCGCTTCAGTTTGATCCCAAACTTTTGGTACGGTGGTTCATCAGCTGCCTACACACACAAATGGTAGTACTGTTTCACCTATTCTACGCCTACTCTCAACCGACTACATCTCCGTGGTTAAATGATCTCTGTCGATTCCACGATAAAACAGACCATCTTTTTACCTGGCATCCACCACCTTTCTAAACATAAGTAGCATTCAACTCGTATACCCTTGTTCTCTGGCGGCTGCGAAAAACCGTTAGATGTCAAGTTAGGATCCGTACCGAAGCCCACCGAGGCATCATACAAACAAGATGGCACGAAGTCGGAGATAACCGAGATTACTAGACCTTTTGGTATTTCACCAAGATACCTTCCAATCTACCATGAAAAGTATGAACTATTCTTCATGCTACCCTGCACAGGTTAGAGATGATATAGCGTATGCACCTCTCGAATTGCCGCAAAATTTTCAGAACCCCAGATCTCAGGTGTACCACTTCACACTGCCATAAACCACGAATGTCACAATTCAGCCGCCAGGCAACAGCTCTGCCTGCTCCTCCCATGCAACCTGCTGTCCAAAGCTCCATCAACCAAAAAAGACAGTTGCAGCAGTTCTACCTCCACAAACTGTTTGATCTAGAGCTGGATGTCGAATTCCTTCCTTTGATTCCACAAGACCCTGTTGGGGCTGCAATTCAGATGCAAGAGTCCATGGCGATGCAGAAGGCTCAATACGCCATGAGCCCAGGAATGAGTCCACTCCATAGACAAGAGGCTATGGCCTTGTACAACCAGGCAGCTCAGCGTTCGAGGCGCCATAGCAACCAGTTCTTGCAGCAGCACTTGTTTGGTGGAAAGAGGGCAAACTATACGCTGTACCGCAACCACTAGGGGTTTAAAGAATTCAAATAGGAATTACAGGGCACCAACCCTGAGGTTTATGCCGGGATCATGACGGAACAACCGGGGCATTGTATATAACTGGAGTAAGATTTATAGAATAGTTTTAATAGATTAATATGAGCGGCGTTAGAGCGTTATTTGGATTTTTGTAGAATCGGTTTCGATTCGAAGGTTTGTGGATGTTCCATGAAATTACTGCAATTGCGCACTATGGCTGCAAATCGAATAGTTATCAACGCCTATATTAATTGATAAAGGTATTTGAAAGCACAAGCACAAAGCATATGAAAGATTGTCATGTTAATATTACATAAACGTTAATTTGTCGTCCTCTTACCCGACAACATCAAATTACGGTCGACACTGCTTCTGAAGCACTTGAGACTGCCACCTAAAAGTGAATTTAGCTTTTGATCACAGTATTGAAGTGGCAGTATGGCATGGCTCCCTTCAAAACTCCATAGATCCTCCTACGTTTTGCAAGTGTACTCTTAGAGTGAGAGTAGAATTCCAGTTACTGCCCCTGAACCAATTGCCAAGTGCAATACAATTGCTCATTCTGTAAACAATATCACAGATATTTCAAAATTATCCAAGAGAACTCACGATGATGTACAAAATTCCGGTCTTCTTTTCTCGAAAGACCCATGGAACCCTGAGGAACATACCATGCTCGATTTGCAGCCAAACTTTCAACCACATCCTCCGTGAAAGGGAGCAATAAAGCGACACCACCGCCAATCTTGAACCATATAGTCAAAAAGGGCTGGATTCCAAAATTTCACAATTTTTTAGAGTGAGCCGAAATTTAAGGGATCAAGGGTCTGGTGGCAAGGTCTTCTGATGCTATATAATGCGCGCTTGCCCCATCCCTGACCCCAACCTACTACTACCACCACTACCACAAATACTACCATGTGTAAGAAGAAGGAAGATACATTGACCCGTGCAGAGTCAGATTCTGACTCTTTCTCGCCTTATGACGAGGATATCAGTCGCTTCTTTGACAAGGCCTCCGGCTTTACCAAGAAGGTTGTGGGGCACACCTTCGATTTGGCTAGTGACTTGCCCAGTATGTTCAAGGAACAGGAGGAGCACTTCATGGATAGGTTCATGAACAGGCCATACCAGACCCGCGATAAAGATTTGGACTCCGACAGAAGTTTCCATCCATTTGGTATGGCATTTGATGCTCTTGATGTCTTCGGAGGGTCCAGTGGCGATACACCTTTCGGACTTTACTCCTACAAGAGTCCTTCAGTCAGAAAGTACAACGAATGCATGCGCAAGGATGGCGAGTCCGTCTGGGACACGGAGGGATACTGGCGCTGCTTGTTCCCCAATCGTGAGATCCCCAACAAGCTCTTGAACTACAAGAAGAACCACTTGTCAGGGCACATCTTGACCAAGGAGGATTTCAACGAGGCAATTCAAGAGCACCCTGGCGCTGACAAGAATGGAGTTATTGATTTGGGCCCCAAGGGTATGTTCTTCCGTGAATTCAATCGCTACTTGAATTGGAAGAACCACTTATACGAGGATGTCAGGAGGCAGAGGGAGGAGTCCAGACGGAATCTTCGTGAATCAATGAGAGCTGCTAACCCATTCACTCCTGAGAACGAGGGCCAGGGCCAGCCTGACGAGGTGGTGTCGTACTCCACAAAGATATACACCAACTATGACCGTGACAACAACAACGAGGTGATGCACGAAACCAAGACTGAGGTCATGGCCGACGGAAGATCCGTCACTACGAAGCTGACGCGAACCAGGCCAATTGGCAGCACCGAATGGCTGGTGGCCGATCAACTGACCGAGGAAGATAACAAGCTGGGATGGTTCTGGAACTCCAAGTAGGTCAGATTACGAAATGGGTAGGGCATTGAGCCCCGGATGTTTATACGAATGATTGAATACATGTAAAAAGGCTGATAACCGGCTTGCAAAGTCAGTAAGACTAGGCTGCGGTACGGGTGTGTGGGGCGGCAATACCTCAACGATACGGTAGCGAAGAAACAATATAGATAGGCCTCAAACACTCACTCAATTCGCCATGAACCCCTTGAACAAGATCATCTTCCTTTCAGCGTTCTTGGCCTTTGGCTTCCTCCTAATCCTTCTTTCATGTGCGCTATACAACAACTGGAAACCCCTATGGGTCATAGCGGTCTTCTTGGTGGCTCCTTTGCCCAACATAATTCTGTCTTCGATTGAAAACAACCGAGACGATTTCCTTACGTTCAGCAATGACAGAGGTAACACACCAACCCCATTACAAGAGCTGGCCAAAATCATTACAGGATTCTTGCTCGTGAGCGGCATAGCCTTGCCTTTAACCATGTACCATACACAGCTCATTGGCGTGGGCTCTTTATTCATGAGTGTAATTGGTGGTTTGATTGTCTACAGCGACATTATAGTGTTTATATGGTTCTTTTCCGAGCACGAGGACGAGAATGACGACTTCAACTTCTAGCTGAGCACCACCAACAACAATATTAGGATCACAGAGAGAACGATGATAGTGACAAGACTACCATTTTCGCGAACACGGGTACGGAAGTCCTTGAGTCGGAGACTGGCCCGGCCCAAGCGGGAGCTGGAATCGTCCACACCTCGTTCTAAGTCATTAAGCAATATGAGGTGGTCGTCCAACTCGTCGTTGATATTGCGGCCCATGGAGTGCTGGACTCTGATCGAATCATGCAAGGTATCTAAATTCTCGTCTTGCTGCAAAAGCTGTTGCTGATGCTGCGCAAACATCTCACGATTGGAAGTATCTACAGAATTCAACGACTGGGCGTCAGCTTCCTCCGGGTCGTCCCGATATGGCTTAATCTGGCCCTGGGTGCCCATAAGCTGAGACCTCATATTATCATCATCGGTGTTGTAGTCCTTGAACCGCACCAGTTTCTTGGTGGTGAGCTCAGGCGCTTCCGGTTTGGTGATTTTCTCAGTGTATTCATACTCATGTGCGTCAACATATGCATCTTTGGACAAAACGGCAAGCTGCTCAGCATATGAATCCACGATGGTAGCGAACTGTGTGGCAAACTGGTCAGCGTGACCGGTGGAGATATCCAGATGTAGATACTGGAGGCTCTTTTTGATCTTTGCGAGCAAATTTATCAAGTCCATATTGTCGTCCAGCGACGGAGTAAGCTTGAGAGTCTCGGTCAAGCGTTGCCGCTCTTCGAGAGTGGCCAGCAACTGGTCTGTAAAAGACCGGAGCTTGGCAAACAGAGCTCTGATATCTTTCTGTGTGATAGTCATGCTGGTGTGGATTGTGCGGTGGGACAGATAAGAGGTGGTAGTAAGATCACGTGCGAAAAATGGAAACCGCCACAACAGAACCATGGAACGGGAATGGCAAATCATTGAGAGGCTGAGGCAATTGGCTACTTACAGGAGGTTGTTCGTTGATGGTAATTGGATTGGTTTCACCGACGACTTGATCCACATCAGATCGCCGGTTGGGCGGAGTTAACCTTTGCAGAGGGTTGCATCAACATCCCTTGCAGAAATTCATCCAGCTGCTTCGCTTCGAAAGATCGACAGGTTGACGAGAATTCCTGTCGTCTACATTGGATTCGTGCATAAATGACATTCTGGCCCTTGTGAGACCGACTCTATTAACAATTAGCTGTTAGCGGCGTGAATGGGGATACAAATCGCCCCTTTTAAAGATAGTGGTGCTCCAGGCGGGAGAGTTTCTGAGTGTGGAGACGGTTTCGTCGAGGCAACGCTGGATTTCCAACATGTCCTGCTCCGCCAAGCCCTCTAGGCATTCTAGCATGGTATGCAAACTGTCCAAGCCCGACTCTAAGGCCTTTCGAGAAGGTAGTTGTCGTAGGCTGGATCTGGAACTCTGTGATTTTTGGAGACTCAGTTGGATAGATGTGGCGTGGGAGGTGATGGAGAGCAGCAGAGCATCGGAGTCCAGCTCCGTAGCGCTGTCGTTATGGTGCACCTCGGACCACTCTGAGGCCTCCCAGCTGAGGTCGTCGAGTTTGCCCAACAATGCTTTTGACATGGACGGAAAAAGAGTGATAGCGAAAGTTGAAAAAAAGCCGAAGCACCCGAATATGTATGGAAGCAGGCGGCCGGCAAAGGGGTCCCCACTGGCTGGTGCGTCGCGTTTTTATTATACTTTAGGCAGTGCGCCAGGCATACACGAAAAGACGAGCCTGCCAAAACATGAGCCGCTTTTCATTGTTCTGGCTGCGAAATTCATTGTCTTGATGCCAACATGGCTGGTTTAATTTCCCACCTGGCCAAGGCACAATGGAGAACTCGTGTGGAGCATACAATCTTCAGCGGGACAACGAGCTGGCCGAAAGCAGCATGCAGCTTTGTCAGAATCTAAAAGCTGGGCATAGTTGACTCCGAGAGCTGCTTGGGAACAAGGCCTTCGAAGTCTGTTTTGCAAATCATAAACAAACACACGGAGATCGGTACGATTGAGGATTTTCTTCGATCGGTGCCACCTGGGCTATTCTTCCTTTGATTTGCCTGACGAGCACGCGGCAGTGTAGATCGCGGTCTTATCTTAATTCCATGGGAAACATCTGGAGAAATTCGTAGATAAAATTTGCGCATAGTCCAAGCCCTTCCGAAATCAAGCAAAAGGTTGGCCTCATCAGTAGCTAATAGGTTCAACGGTACGCAGGTGCATTCCAACGCATTTGCGATTTTAGACGACCTGGTGTACCGCACCGACCCATAGTTAGACGGAAACAGCATATCAACTATTACCGTTGAGTTAATCATAGAACGATTGAATCTCTCGACCTTATAAATGTAATACTAAACACTCAACAGTAGACGTCTGGACAACTTCTATCAGTCACCTAAACGAGTGTTTGGCTGCAAATGCGCATCACGTCTGGAGAATGTACCAAGGCTTATCGTAACTGCTAGTACTTTGTACATTCGGCTGAGCATTTGTCCTGTGAAATCACAAAACCGATATTTTAGTTGATCGATGATTATCTCGAGGGAATATCGGCGAAAGTGACGTCTGTTTCGAGGTCGAGACGTGTGGCTTGTAGGAGCGTGTTCTCGAACCATGAGTGGCCTGATTTTGGCGTTGGCTGAAGCATATAAAGGAAACAATTTTGTAGAGTCTGAATTCTGCTTGAATGGTATTTTTTCATCTTGGATATCTGTTGTGGAGAATTCAGGAACCAGTGCAATTTCAGGCTGGCGCTGAATAACAATAATGTTTGATTAAGGGAGCGAAACAGATCACAAATGGATTCATCAAACCAGGGCATTGTGCTGGGCCTACGACGTTGGGGTTCGGAGTGGTGAGGCAACGAAAAGTGCTTGCTAGAGCCATCAATGGGCAAGATTTCGTATAAGGTGGAGCTTTGTATAAATAGCCAAATCCCCCAAATTCGATACGCAATGCCCTACTCCGAGTCAGCCTCTCCAAATGACTTTCAAGTGTTGAGACAGAGTTTGCAGCCACCTCTCTAAGCTGACTCAACCCCACTCTCGTCACAAGACCAATTCACTCCAATGAGTCACTCAGAATCATTTCACCGATGGAGCAGAAAAGGGAAGGTCACTCCAGAGAGACTAAGACCGATCGGATGAACCCCACTTCCGTCTAATAAAGCAACCGAAATCTGACAGCTCTATGCCTCCAGAATTTCTTAGATCGCCACCGCCTGTATTGATCCTCAAGGTCACATCTCCAGGGTCCTCTTGGCACATCACAGCCTGAGTCATATCTATCGAGTCCAAGACACAAGACGCATTATTCCATCAAACCTTTGACAAAAAACCTTATCCAAAGTCTTGACGTCTAAAATTCCTTTGGCAATATCCTCTTATGGAAGCTACATTGCGCCTGTGCTTGTCTCGCTTATTGAGATCCAGATAACAATGTCCCGCGGGACCCCGCGGAGGTGCGCTCTCTCAAGTATATATACACCTGGGTTCTCCCACATGGTCTTTTTTTTTACATCTACAAAAATGACTACAGCCAAACCAGTGAAAACGGTCTGTGTCTTCTGCGGTTCTTCTTTTGGAAAGAGCCAGTCTTTTGCTGACAGCGCCAGCAAGCTCGGTGAGCTTTTGGCTGCTAGAAACTGGGGGTTGGTCTATGGTGGAGGTTCAACTGGTTTGATGGGTGCTGTTGCTAGAGGCAGTGCCACCAACGGCGGCTACGTCCATGGCATTATCCCGAGGCTTTGATTTCCCGTGAGAGAACCTCCGACAATGACTTTAACGACAAGTTGAAGGAGGGTATTGACAACCACGATGGATCCACGCCTCTTCCTGACTCCGACTTGTACGGCAAGACCACCCTTGTCAAGGACATGCACACGCGGAAGCGTATGATGGGAGAGGAGGCTGACGCGTTCGTGGCATTGCCCGGTGGCTACGGTACTTTGGAGGAGTTGATGGAGGTGGTCACCTGGCACCAGTTGAACATCCACAGCAAGCCTATCATCGTCTACAACTTGAACGGCTTCTATGATAGCTTTCTTAAGTTCATTGAGGAGGCCATTGCGGCCGAGTTCGTGTCGCCCAAGAACGGCGAGATCATTAAGGTGGCCCTGACGGCCGAGGAGGTGTTGGAGGCCATTGAGCACTACCAGATCCCGATGGCCGCTTCAACTTGAAGTGGGACACCACTTAAACTAGATATAAATAGATTTGCTTATAGACTGTGCTGTAGCCCGGACCAGCCCGGAATGCAATTAATGGCCGTTGCCTTCTTCCTCGACATCCTCGTCGTCCACGTGGAAAGCGTCCTCGAACTCGTCGAGAGGAATCTCCACCTCCAGAAGAAGTCCCAGCCCCACATCGTACATGAGACCCCAGACCTCGATATTTCCCTTCTTCAATGCTTTCTGAGCCAGTGGATGTCTTTTGAGTGCCATCACGGATGCAACAACATTGAGTTCGGCGAGCTTCTTAGCTCTAGCTCTTGGGTCAGATTTCAACAGCTCTAGCAATTTGACGTTTTGGGCACGGATGTGTCTGACAGGATTGAGCCAGAGATCGAGCACACCGCCAATCTTCTTCTTGGAAAGCGATGCCCACACACCACCACAGTCAGTGTGTCCACAAACAATGATTTTGCGGACCTTGAGGACATCCACGGCGAACTGGATCACACCTTGGGAAGAGATGTCGTTGGCATTAACGATATTGGCAATGTTTCTATGAGTGAAGATCTCGCCAGGTAGCGTGGCAAGACATGATTCACCAGCTCTGGAGTCGGAACAGCCGATCCAAAGTGTATGCGGGCTCTGGCCCTTGCCGTTGAGCTCAAACACCTGGTTCAGGTGGTTGTGTTTGATGGACTCGACGAAAAACCGGTTATTTTCGAGAAATTCAGATAACGTCGACTCCTTCAGGAGTGTGAAGGGGTGATTGGGACGATCATATGAGGGTGCCTTTGGCGCTGCCAGAGCTTTTTCGTTTGGAGGACTGGTGGTCAAGTCGGTTTCGTTGTCTCTTTCCAACTGGTAGTGGACAATGTTCTCTCTTCCCATTACTTTTGTGGCCGATGCAAAGGTGCGGACGTGGGGAACGAAACGAGGAGGGATTACCAAGCTGCTACCACGCATCGTAGGCCGGTAATGGGATTCGTCATCTTTATATATTGCCCATCGCCTGCACTGGAAGATTACGTAGTTGTGGATGCATGGTGTGCGCAGGATGCCCTTATATTGGCGAACCACCGTTTTTCATGAATGTGGCGGCCTTTCCATGAAGGGGACTTCGATGCGATCTGATTTTTTTGCTTTTGAAGAACATCACCGCCAGCTTTTTTCCCAAATCGAAAACCTCGTAAATCTAGCGGAGTTACAGAGTTCAATTAATCACTGCTTATCGCACGTGACCGGCCCGATGCGCCGTTAAACGTCGGCGCGGAAAAATTGGGCTGATAGGGATTCGACCAATCTAAGATGTTGGCCTTCGGCCCAATGCCGTCCATTAACAAATTTCAAAATTCATGAAAATGAAAATGAAATACTTTCAAGATTTTGGCGTCCATCTTTCATTGTCCATTTTGTGCCTGGCGGGCTTTGCAATGGGCATCATGCGGCGTTGACTCATTGTGGCCTCAAAGTTGGGTTCAGGCTTGGCCTTGAAAAAGTCCGATGTAGCAAAGGTGAATTTTTATTTTCGTAACAGCAGCGGGCAAATTCAAGCTTTGAAGGGTCCGTGACCCAGATCAACCTTGCGCCGCTTTTCTTTTTAGCCTTAGGTAAAGCAGCATCGTGCATGGTGTGGGAGACAGAAAAGCCCAGCGGCCTCTAGATTGAAGGAGATTGACTGATAGTTATGATCACTAGGTATTAGAGTGAAAAAGGGAATGATAGGTTGTTGTTGGCCGAGGAGCCAAAATCCAAGTTTAAGGTGACCGAATGCATTTTGCAGCCAGCTGCACCTACCCCTATGCAGCTACATTTCGTCAACAGAGTTGACGAATAGGTCTTCTCACAGGGGATATTGTTTATGAAAAAGATTAGGAGAAACGGTCTAATAGAGTTACGCAAGCCACGTTGTGCTAGTCGAAGCCGCAAGCGTAAGGAAGTGTCAAAGCCCTGTTTAGTTGGAGAATGAGGGAGGCCCGATACAAAGATAAAATAGAACCACAAAGCAATTGTACATTTAAGCAGGAACGTTCTTGTCAGAATTGCCCTGATCTCTGCCTGTGGCTCATTCTCGAATTGTGGCTTCCGCATTGTCCAGTGATCTCGAGGCTCACAACTAGAGGCAAGACTGGCAGATCACAGAATCCAATTGACGTCAAGAAAATGGTACCAATTTATTGTTGAGACGACAATGACAGGATGCGTTTAGCTTAATGTTATACTCCGACATACCGCAATCAAGTCACCAGAATGACATCGGTATGGTGTTCTGGAAAAGAGAGAGCACCTTGGATCGGTATACCATTTACTTCAAGAAGCGGAGGGGAATAGAGAATTGAGAAAGACCCAGACACACTTTGACGATGAGTACCTTTCTCGCTTGTTTGGCCACTTATCATTTTAAAGCAATTGGCTCATATTTTGCAACTGTCTCTCTGTTTGAGACCACTCCGAAGCAAGGTGAGAAGTATGCATCAAGACCGCCAATGGGCAACCAATGAAACGAAAACTTAGTCAAATCCATCTTTTCAATTGTATGAGAAATTGTGAAAGACGCGGTTGGGTGGTTTTTGGAAAAAACTCATCACAGTTATTTTCCAGACAAGGTGTGCGGCTGAGATGGCATTTTGCAGCCATTCAATGGAAACTCAAACTCAATCATTAGGCTTGACTGTCACTCGAATATCTTATCTTTCTAAACTCTCTCATTATGAAAACTTTTATTCTTCAAGTATCTTCCCTTGCAACCTCCATTGGATTACCTCATCGACCGGGCATCGACTGCATACACATGGAGCACGTCTAAGATATAGATTGCCAGTTACACAAAGGTTGAGAGCACAACTTATCCAAGGCCTCAAATTCTTCCATCTTCGTGTTTTTATAGAAATCGCCTCACAGCTTCTCCAGATCAACGCGTATCCATCACTTATAGACTTTAATTCCCAGGATGAGCGATACGGAGGAAGGCAACCTTACGAGCTTCTTAAAAGAAGACTCCGTCTCCTCGGAGCAACGAGAGTTCAATGATCTTTCAAGTAATGCCAAGCTAGAGCGGTTGAACCATTTGATCAAGCAAACAGAGGTATACTCGCAGATCATCCTTGACAATATGCTTGAAAAATCGCTCGAGAAGAAGAAGCTACAGAAACGCCAGGACAAGCTAAGAAAGCGTGAATTACGCCAGGAGGCAAGAGCAAAATACGAAGAGCAAAAGAAAGTAGCTGCCAAGGAAGGTAAAGCAGAGCCAAGTGTTCCTGATATCTTGCTTTCTGATTCAGAGCCAGAGAGTGAGCCAGAAGATGAGCATCCCCCTACGCCGAAGCTGGAGGAGCAGCCAGAGGAGGCTTCAGATTCAGATCTAGAGGTTCTCGATGTAAAGCTGACCCGAACACGCAGAGCAGCCAGGAAAGGAGGCAGAAGTAAGAAAATGCAGAAACCGATGAAGGAAAGTTCCAAAAAAATTAGAGAAACCAGAATGGCAATTGAGAGTGCTCAAACAGCACACAGTCAATTGCAGCCGAAGCTCGTGACGGGCTGTGATATGAAAGACTACCAATTGGATGGTTTGGAGTGGCTTGTCACACTATATGAGAACGGCCTCAATGGTATCTTAGCAGATGAGATGGGTCTAGGCAAAACGCTTCAGTGTATCTCATTGATATGTTATCTTCTTGAGCATAAGGTTAAAGGGCCTTTCTTGATTGTTGCTCCGCTTTCAACTGTCAACAATTGGTGCAACGAGTTCGAAAAGTTTGCACCATCCGTTAAGGTGATCAAATACACAGGGCCAAAGGAGAGCAGGCAAAATATCACTTTCAACAAGAAATTGAGAGGAAAGGTCGTTATCACCTCATACGAGATAGTGATCAGGGATTTCAGCAAGGTTTCAAGGGTATCCTGGAGCTACTTGACTGTTGATGAGGGCCATAGACTCAAGAATTTTGAGTGCTTGTTGATTCAGAAGCTCAAAAGGGTGGATGCCGCTAATAGATTACTCCTCACAGGTACGCCTTTACAAAATAACTTAAATGAGCTCTGGTCCCTTCTTAATTTCATTTTACCAGATATTTTTGGTGATCTCGAATTGTTCCAGCTGTGGTTCAACTTCGAAGAGTTTGTGAGTGGAAATGAAGATGATGACAGAATGTTAAAGGAAGATGTGAGGAGGAAACTTGTGAAGAGTCTTCATTCCATTTTGAAGCCGTTCCTTCTTCGAAGACTCAAGATCAATGCAATGAAAACCTTGCCTCCTAAGAAGGAGTACATCGTGTACGCAGATTTAACCCCTGTTCAAAGGGCATTTTATGCTGCAATTGTTCACGGTGATATTCGAGATTCGGTCACAGAGCTTCATGCCAAGGAGTTACTTATCAAAAACCACCCTGAAAAATTCACAAAACCTGAGCACCTCGATCCTGTTCAAGACATAATCCACCTGAGAAAGGCCTCAGAGAAAGACGTTCTAGACGATGCTGATGGAAGAGCAACTCAAAGAGATAGGCGGCAAGTTTACTCTAGAAAGCTACTCAAGAATTTCGAGAATGGTAACCTAGATGCTTTGGATTACCTTAGCGAATCTGACGCTTCAGCGACGGAAGAAGAGCTTAGTGAAGAAATCACGAGTGGCGATGAAGATTATCACGATGCATCCGAAACACAAAATGTTGATTCCGAGACATCCTCGAGCGACAAAGATGGAAATGAGACTAGAGATGATAAGAATACAGCAAATACTGATCAAAATGGGGATCAGAAAATTGAACCATCCGCTCCAAATGAGCAAAATGGTGAAAATAGCGATCATTTGAAAGTATCAACAAGTCTTCAAGGTGATGAGACTCTAGAGGGAGAGGCGTTGCAGAGAGAGGTCGAGAAACAGACTCAAGAATTGGAAAACGCTCTCATGATGGGTGTGGCCGCAGAAGAACCAGAAACCCCTGCGGAGAATGGGGCAGTCTTGGAATTTCACCCGAAAGATCAAGAAGTCTTGAGAGTGAAAACTACTTCTCGTGAATGGATACCTTATCGCGCATCGGGGCCAACCCAAAATGGCATCACACGCGAGGAACTCAAAAACAGCTCCTTGAGCAGGAAGCTTCAAAAGACACTTCATGATGTCATACTGGGCGACCACTCGACTGGTGTCTCTAACGGAGGATCTAAGAAAAGACGGAGGAGACCTCTTAGGGGAAAAAGAGCGAGAGCTCGCGTTCAGTCTATTTCAGATGAGCTGGATATTGAAGTCATCGAAATCAAAGATGATTCCGATCTCAGTGAAGAGGAAAAGAGAAGGGAGCTTTGTCTGGAGGCCGTCGACATAGCCAGACGGCATGTTGTGCACCAACACCTTCAAAATACGGTGATGCAGCTAAGAAAGGTCTGCGGTTCACATTACACATTCTATGAACCCTACGTTGTTCACAATGAGCTCGACGAATTCGACCCAGCAGCAGTGAAAGACTTTCTGGAGAAGATTCTCGAGCACTCCGGAAAAATTCAATTGTTCAACCAGCTCTTGGACAAATTAATGGACGATGGGCACAAGGTTCTTGTTTTCTCACAATTTCAGAAAATGCTCGATGTGATTGAAATCGTCTTGACAGACAAAGGCATACCCTTCAATAGACTCGATGGATCTACCTCTCAGGACGAGAGAGAAGACGCAATGAACGAATTCAAAGAGAAAGGAGATGATTCAAGCAAGGTCTTTTTGCTCTCCACGAGAGCTGGTGGCTTGGGATTAAATTTGGTCAGTGCCGACACAGTCATTCTTTTTGATAGTGACTGGAACCCTCAGATGGACCTCCAAGCCATTGACCGTCTCCACAGAATCGGTCAGACCAATCCCGTGAAAATTTTCAGACTTGTGGTTCGAAACACTGTGGAGGAATTGTTGATTGTTAAAAGTTTCAGCAAGAGACTTTTGGAGAGAATGGTCATACAGCTGGGGCACTTCCAACTTGGAAGAGTTGCGAAGAAATTGGCCGAAGAGAAAATTGATCTCGAAAAGTTTACTTCGATTAGGTCAATTCTCGATATAGGCAATCGTTTGGATCTCTACGGCTCTCACGAGGACGAGTTCAACATGAAGAATTCAAGCAGTTTTCTTCTCACACCACCACCTCATGAGGACCCTCTCACACAAGAGGAAATGCACGAGCTCATGGACAGAAGCCGTGACTGCTACGCAAGAAATCCGCTTGACACAAAGTTTGCCAATGTTACACCTTTCGAATCTACAAATACTGTTGAGGAGTAAGAGCAACTTTTGCATGTTGCCTGGAAGCTAAAAAGCTTATCTTCGAACCTGTCATCAAGTGATGAAGTTGCTGCGACGCAATGCAACGTAACCGAAGGACTAGGCATCGCTAATGCCTCGTGCAGCACGTTCGATTTTGCAATTGCTCAACTTCCATACATCGCAAACCACATATCATGCGTGGCGGTTGAGCAAGCAGCCTCTCGGCAGGTCCACGATCAGCATGACCCCAGCAAGCAGTGAAGAACAAAACGGGGACGGAAGCCTGGTTTTCTTACCATTATTCTTCTTTACTGAAAAATTCATTGTTCTGCACCGTCTAGTCTTATAGGTCTAGGCTTCGGAAACAGTGGCAGAGATTCGCGCAGCCCTTGCATTATCAGGCATCTCTCAACCCCAGATTAACGGACCACAAACACAAATACACCCACAAAACACCACGAGCGATTAGGAAACAAGATGCTCTTTTTGCATAATTGTATAGCGTTTTTCGCCGCCTGTCAAGCGCTATATCTTCCAAATTCATGGCGTCACTCGATCCCCCATCCTGGTCTGCTTATCAAGGTGGGCAGTCAAAACCTTGACGAGCTCAACTTCGAGGACTGGATTTCCGAGCAGTCAGACAGATCATTCAGTTATATCCTTGAGAATATCGGCGGTATATCCTCTGTTCTTGATGAGAAGGAGGTGCTTCCAGGTGTTGTCATAGCGTCTCCGCTGAAGGCTGATCCAGACTACTTTTACACTTGGACTAGGGATTCCGCGTTGACCGTACGTACCTTGATCTACCATATGAATGACTACTTCCGTGACGATGCGTTGGTGGCAAGGCTCAGAAAGGTGGTGGAAGACTACATCGAAGTCAACTATAAACTACAACGTCTTCCCAACCAGTCAGGGCGTTTTAATGATGAAACAAGGTCAGGCCTCGGTGAGCCCAAGTTTTTGACCACAGGTAAGAGCTTTGATAAGAACTGGGGCAGGCCCCAGTCTGATGGCCCAGGCCTCCGTGTATCCACTATCCTAGGGTATTTGTTTTTTCTTGAGAGAAATGACCTTCAAATCGAGAACGAGTTCTTGGGAAATACCACTTTTATCTACTATCACATAATCAAGCCCGATCTCGAGTACATTGTGGCAAACTGGAACGATGAGCTGTTCGATTTGTGGGAAGAGGTCAACTCGCATCACTTTTTTACCTCATTGACTCAACTAAAGGCACTTCAGGATGGCCAGCGTTTCGCAAGAACAAACGTGATTGACATGAAGTTTGCAGAGCAGCTCCAGGCTACTTATGATCTGCTAAAGGACTTTATCACTTCATCGGGAGGCTTTACCAAACCATCAATCCCTTACGTCATTGAAACACCAGAATTGCATGAACAGGGTACTAGATCGGGCCTCGATGCTGCGACGTTCCTTGCCGCTCTCCACGCTCATAATCTAGAATTTGGAGGCACCGACAACATTCCTTTTGATGTCGATGATTCGCATATCTTGAATACCATCACCGCCATGGTGGCCGACATGAGACAAAGATACCCCATTAATCACAACAAGGCGCGATGGCAAAATAATGTTGGTGTTGCTTTGGGAAGATACCCCGAGGATGTCTATGACGGACACGGTACTTCGCTCGGTAATCCGTGGTTCATTTCCACGCTCTCAGCTAGTGAAATACTCTTCAAGTGGATCTACAAGAACACCAGGCGGAACGCCGATATCGTCATTGACAAGCTGAACATTGCATTTTTTAGACCGCATGATGCTCAACTCAATGATGAAGCACCCATCAGCGACAGGAAGATTGTCATACCGTACAAATCTGAGCGTTACCACGCCTTGCTTTCCAGCATATACAAGTACGCCGACTCATTTATTGCCAGTGTCCAAGGGCATGTTCACCGGACTGACGGCACGATGCTGGAGCAATTTGACCGCTGGACTGGCTATATGCGTGGAGCCAAGCTGTTGACTTGGCTGTATCTGGCGTTCCACAACTGCGCCAGATGGAGATCCAAGGCTGCTGACGAAATTGAATGGATCAGAAATTGACGAGCAATGAATAGAAATGATATCCAGCATATTTTAGCCCGTAGAAGAGCATTCTTCGTAGCCCGGCTGCAAACAGGTGCACGGATGTACCTCACATCTATCCTATCAACCATATCCTACTACACCTTTCTCCCATGTCTGCCCTATTGATCCTAGGGTCCCTAGTGCTTTTGCATGCTGGATACTGCTCTTATGAGTACCATGCCTTTGTCAAGACTACTGGCTCATTTGTTCCTACCGAGATTATTCTTGAGGTAATTATTGGACTTGTCATCATCAACTTTGGCGCCTTGAGCTCCATCAAATCCAGATACAGATTGGGAATTACCCACGATGAAGTTGTTTGGCCTCCACTGACCTTCCTTATGCCCATCAACTTGAGTGAAGCCACCGGGGTGGTGAACTCATTGGGGATTTCGGAGCATGAAGAATTGGAGACGAGGAGAGATTTCATTGACGTCAAGCAAAAGAGAAAGGAGTACACTGAGTGGTTGGCGAACCAGGAAGCCTAAATAGAAATACAATAAATTAAATCTATGAATTGTGAAAGTTAGCGTATAAAGCAATTCAACTCCCGAAGGTACCGTATTTTTCCTGTGATCCCAAGCGGAGACTCCAGCAGGAGGCTTACTGGATCTTCTTCTCCGCGTTCTTCTTCATTCTCTTCTCCCTGTTCGCCTTGCCCTTGGGCCAGCCTCGGTGTCCAAGACGAAGTCCCACCATCTGAAACTGGAGGCGTAGGAGCCAATGAAGAAGTGGTGGTGCTCGTCGTGGTGGTCGGCACCAGCCCAGAAAGGCAAGAAGTGGTGCAAAGACCATGGGAACTCGTAGCCGGAGTGGGAATCGACGGCCTGGAACAATCTCAAGCAGATCCAGAGCGAGATGGTGAACAAATGCAAGTCTCTGGTGAAGTAGCACCAGACGATAGGTATGCCGACAGTACCCAAGCCTAGGAGGGCGACCTCAACTGGGTGAGCGTACTCGGCTGCCAAGCCGAAAGGAGCAGCGTAACGGTGGTGCTGCTTGTGGATGTACTTGTAGAAAACACCGTGGTGCAAGCCTCTGTGGAACCAGTAGTGCCAAGCGTCCTCAAGAACGAAGAAGATGGACAAGTGCATGGCGACCTTCCACCACGGTGGGAAAGGCACTTGGAAAGAAATACCGATCTTCTCGCACACAGGGTGGAAGAACCAGATAGGGAAAGCCTCCACCATGAAGTGGGAAATCAACACCGACTTGAGGCACTCCCACTGCTCCTTGTTACTAGGAACCTTGGTCTCCTGGATCTTGTACTTGTTGAAGTATGGGATTCTGTCGATGATGGCCCATGGCAAACAACGGCCAAAGTACATAATCTCATGCATCAAGAAGAAGAAAAGACCCGTGGCGAAAAGGTCGTTGTTGATCCAGTAGTAATAGGATGCCCAGAGCTTCTCGACATAGTTCAAGTCGGTAACTCTCGAGAAGTTGTCAAAGGCATCGGCGAACGTGGTCACGTTCGAAAACCCAGCGTAGTTGTGGTAAACGGCACTATTATGTTAGTGAATTCAGGAAATCAATATACTCGGTCGACATACCTAACCATGATGGTTTTTGGAGTAGGCTGATGTTGGCGATATATAGGCGAGAAAAAGAAACGCTCTGCGACGTGCCGTCGTATATGAGGGCTATACGACGATACGAGCGCGTCTGGAACTCAGTGTACATGAAAGACTTTGCAAATGAACTAGCTCTACGGTATTTGATAAGCATTTCGTTGATATCTACGAGAAGGTTATTATGACGTATTGACTGATTTGAATCTTGCCGAAATGGGGCCACATGGGCTGACCGATGAGACAGATAAGGCGAGTAAACGAGATATCGTACTAGGCCGTATGCATGGAAGTATGTCGATAAACGATAAGCGGGATGAATGTTGGAGTTTGTATTTAGCTTTCATTTATCTAAATTGTCTGGGTTCCCTGATTTCGTGTTTTTCCGAGTGTTCGGTGAGAGGTTGCAAAAATGTCGTCACACCGTCATCTGAGCCCCGTGTCAGTGTCTCCACACCCTTTGAAGTGGAATACTATATACTGCATTATGCATAGAATAAAAAATGGAACACAACTACGTCTTCGCTTTAAAAAGTTACCCCGACTAGAACCATATTGATGGGGGTTACTGAGGTAGCGACGACATTGTCGCACGCTAGAACTATACGCTGCATCCTGCAACAACCCGTCATAATTATATTCCGGCGATGGAGATCGAATATCCGACAACTAGGAAGTAAACTCCATATTCTTTGAGAAACCCTCCCATGATAATTCCACTATCAGTTGCCTCCTTGGAAAGCCGAATCTCCCGTCGTTTACGCACATGCCCAGACATCATACGATTTTCAGCAGCCGTTTAAAACTAACTTTTCGCTCGCCCTGCACACAGAGGTTGAAACGATGGATTTTTCCCCATGGGTTTAGCTGCGAACTCTAAGTGGTCCATCTAGTTGCTCAGGGGCAACGGAGGTATACCTTAATTTTTGTTTTGTTAACTTATATGACACGTAGACTTTGGCAATTATCTGCAAAAGAGATGGTGAATTTGTTGAAATGATCTTGTTTTGAATTTAATTGGAGCATTTCGATGGCGACCGTGTAATATACGCAAGAGTTCACCAGCCTGATGAGAAAATGAGAATTGGCCCTATTATGAGTGCTCGGGTATTGGATGTGGTCTTTCAGGTAAAAGACGCTAAGAAGCCTCAAAGTTCCCAAAAGCGTACGAACGGGAGTAAGTGGGATTTGAATTCTTAAAATTTCGCATCACTCAATCATGATTTTTATGGTACACTAATACGTGGTACTTGGAAAGCGCTCCTTGTCTGAGACAGTGATTCTCTGCATCCTCAAACATCTGGGGTGGGTCTGATTTCCAGACTGCACTGGAGGTGATCTTTCGGAGCAACGCTGATCGCTGCGGATCTTCTATGTTACTCAGCAGCGAAAATTGATAATTCTCATAGTAATCAGAATTTCACAAAATCATTCGTGTGGCTCGTCCGATTGATTGTTGTGTTGCTTTACTGAATTGCTCGTGATCAATTTTGAAGTTGCTCCCGAATCGACCTTCTCCCTTCCAATAGCCAAATCAAATGCTACACGTGCCCATATTGCCCAATCAAAAGGACCCCAATCAACAAAAGTCTTTCAAATTGTAACGACCGCAAAAAGCAGCGTTACGTCCAACTCCCATACTTTATCTCACCCCCTTCGCCTCGCTGAATAACTCATCGGACTCACAGCAAACCGTGCGCAAATGGCCCGGTTAATCGCGGTTGTTGGCGGCCCGAGTCGCGGTTGCCCGCGACGTTTTGTGTCAATACCGCAGATTGGCCACCACGTAGCACGGCTGTAGAAATTTGAAAAAACAGGCACGAAAAACCCATCTTGATACCCCAAAAACTAATAGAGATTCGCCGACAAACACCGTCAAACTAAAGAAAAGGGGTTGTGACATCATCATCGGCTCTACACTATCACCGAGGTGCTCGGTGAGTTAACCCATGCGCATTAGCTTGCGTTGCGAAACCGACAGACAGGGCGCTCATGAAACTGAGATGTTCATACAGAATGCTTGTGTATTATTCGAGTTGACAGCTCGGAAAAACCCATCATCAAGGCGTCCGCCACATAGCGCTTTCACCAATTTTCAATCTTATCACAAAATCACTTTTCTTGGGCTTGCCCTTTCTTGCTTGGTGTATTCGGACAAATATCGGTCCGACGTCTAAAGAGCCGGGAGGCTGAGGGTGCATCGGTGAAAACGCGACTATTCCGAGCTGTTAGCAACACCACGGCAAATCTTCGTCAAAAGACTATCGTCTTCTCCACCCCACCTCAACAAAAAACAAATCTTATTTTATGGGACCACTTTTCACGATCACGCCTCCTTAACTCCAAGCTCTTGGCTAAAAAGACCTTGTTTTCACTATCACCCTGCACAGAACTAACGCCGTACGGATCATTGCATAAATCAACCGCAGCGACGCTTCTATATAAGAGCACCCCAGAAGCCTTTTTTTCCCCCATCTCGCCACGCATTTTCATACACTTTCAGCATGTCTTCAAGACCATCACTTTCATCTATAGAGTCAGCAAACCTGGCTCCCAAGCCAGTGCCTCTACAGCCTGAGCCTTATAGACCAAACAGGGCTGGCTCTGTCCTGTCGTCGCTCAATGGCTTTCTGACTCCTAACAATTTGTCTAGACTTTCCTCGAGGTACAGCGTTAACGAGATCTATGGTGACTTGGACTCGGCCGAAATCGAAAACCAAAGAGCCTTGCATCAAAACGAGGTGCTCCGAACATTATCTCGTAGAGTGCTGTTGATGGCGTCAAAGGACCATGTGCATAGACCCGAGGATGAGGAAAACCAAGTCAAGGGAGACGAGTCTGAACAACACTACGAGGACATGCCCGACACGGCTGTTCCTTCTAAGGATTTTGGTGGCGAGTTCACGGACATAGACCCTGAGCTTGTGGCGTGGAACGGCCCAGACGACCCAGACTACCCTAGAAACTGGAGTATGCGCAGAAAAATGTTTCTGACATTTATGGTGTCCGTTTACACGTTGGTTTCTCCCATGTCCTCCTCGGTGCTTTCCCCCGCCATGCCTGCCATTGCAGAAGACATCAACCTCCATTCCTCGGTGCTTCAGTCCTTCTGTGTCTCCATCATGGTTCTTGCATGGGCGCTTGGTCCTTTGATCATCGCCCCCATTTCTGAGTCCGACCGTATCGGTCGTCGCCCAGTGCTCAACATTTCCATCTGGATAACGTTCATATTTAACTTGGTTTGCGGTTTTGCGAAGACTCCAGCTCAGCTTTGCGTTTTCCGCTTCTTGTGTGGTTTGGGCGGCTGTGCTCCCTTGAATGTGGGTGCTGGCTGCTTGGCTGACGTTTGGAGTGATGGTCAGCGTCTTTTGGCAATGGCTTTCTACTCCATGGGTCCTCTTATGGGTCCAGTCATTGCTCCTGTCATCTCTGGCTTCGTTGTGCAACGCGCTAACTGGCATTGGTGTTTCTTTTACTTGGCCATCTTCAACTTTGTTGTCGCTGTGATTGGCACCTTTTTCTTTGAGGAGACTTACTCACCTACCTTGTTGAGGAAGAAGGCTATCAAATTGAGAAAGTCAACCGGCAACTCCCACTTGCACACCATTTTCGAAGTCGCCGACGGCGAATCAACCACAAGCAAGATCATTGTTTCTGTTCTGAGACCTATCTCCCTTCTTGTTGGTCACCCTATGGTTTTTGGCCTCGGTCTCTTCATGGCATTCTGCTACGGATTCATGTACCTTCTCATTGTCACATACCCCTCTGTTTACGAGGGCAACTATGGTTTCAGCGTCGAAATCGCTGGTCTCATGTACATTCCACTTGGTATTGGTTTTGCTGTCGGCACCTTGATTTTCACTCCAGTCAGTGACAGAATCTACATCAAGCTTGTTGCTGCTAACAATGGCGTACCAAAGCCAGAACACCGTCTTCCGATGTTGATTGCCAGTGGCTGCGGTATGCCCGTTGCCCTTATCTGGTACGGTTGGTCTGCTGAAAAGCAGTTGCACTGGATCATGCCGGCCATCAGTTCCGCCATTTTCGGTATTTTCCTCGTGCCTGTTTTCCAAAACATTCAGAACTATCTTATTGACATGAACAATCGTTTTGCTGCATCGTCTGTCGCTGCTGCTGCCGTGTTCCGTTCCCTCTTTGGCTTCTCCTTCCCCTTATTTGCCAACTTCATGTATGACGCCTTGGGATACGGATGGGGCAACACGATGTTTGCCTTTATCGGTCTCGCCTTGGGTGTTCCCTTCCCCTTATTCTGCTTGAAATACGGCGAGAGGTTGAGATCATGGGCCAACGCCAAGTTCGATCGCCAGCAAGCCAAGAGAGACGAGAAGAACTTACAGAGATTGCAGGCCATGGAGGCCAAAAAGGAAAAGGAGATGTTGGATAAGCAACACGCTTCCGACTCTTCCACCGAGTAATCAATTCAACCACTAGCATAGATATTTATTTGCATACCTTAATGGACCACTATCTTAAGCGAGGCATGTAGGCGCACGTCAATGCGATCACTGGCTTATCGCGCTGCTGCAGTACACCCAAAAGTTTACCGCGAACTTCACCCCTGAGTTTACCACACCATGAAGTGTTTGATCTATCTTACTCTATTCTATATCCTCGGGCTGGCCCTCGCTGTTGATTTTGCCAGGCCTCAGCGGGAACCCGCGGCCCGGTATAATGGCGGGTTCTTAAAGAAGTGGAAGAACCCTTGGTTTGAGCCACGTCAGTCGGATGAACCAGTTCCTGGGCTTGTTCCAGATGACTCCAGTGACGATGAGGATTATCCTGAGGAGCCAGGTACTCCACGGTACGATTAGAGACAGTTTTTAATTTACTTCTTCTGGGAGCGTTTAATAATACATTTTGCGAGACTACTGTAGGTGCGAGGGAGGGAGATAGGGGAAACAGCAGCGAAGGAATGAAGGGGGACGGATGGAGTGCTTTAGAAGAAAGTGTGGAAGAAAATATCTAATTCATGAAGACCAAGGTTGAGACTTGCCGTCCACTCAGGCATACTGTGGGAGACGGATAGTTAGGAAACGTGAATGGCTCTCATTGGAATTATGGCCTGGACAACGGACAGTCCATCTCTACCCATCAACGATGTTCTCTCATTCAGGGCGACTTCCACAACTCATAGGTTGAGGCAAGTTGGCCGCCTTTATCGCTTACACTTAGACGAGCACTTTTTCACTACAGCATTGTCTCGTCGCGTTGACTCACACAGCCTTGCAACCGTTGAGGTGCATTTCCAGTATGCCTTCGCCTCAGCCTAAAAAACTCTAGATCGATTTGAAGCCCTTCGTATAAGCGACTGCACCCGTTCCGTGGAGGTTCCGTGGAGGATCCATGGAGGAGTCTTCTCCGTTGCGTAACCTCGAAGCTCGATGACGATTTTCCGGTCTGTAGGGAACTGCCGAATGCTGAGATGTGGGCGTGCAAGAAAAAGAGGAATGCAATGTAGAGGCCGAGTGAGCCTCGACTAGAAAAATGACAATAGCACGAGCAAAGTTGCCGGAAATTCTACAATTGGTGGGAACAACAGAAAAGGCGTTTCGGTTTTTAAAAAAATAAGGCCTGGCCGGGAAAAAAGGAACTCAAACGGGAATGGATTGCCGCTCGTTTACAGACAGTGAGATCATCTCACTGCGATGACATCACGGGCGCAGGACTAGGACTCGAGTTTTTCCGGCAGTGGTAAAAAAAAAAAAAAAAAAAATTGTCAGGGAAAATAATGTGCCTGGCAGGCCCGTGGATGAAAAAGAAACCCAAGTTGGTCCGAAGCACCCGGATGCAAGCCTGAATGTGAAATCGGCTTCCCGAGGTCTATACAGAGAACGCAAAACCTTCACGATGCAATCGGGTGGCCATCGCTGCATACTAACGGTCTTTTCTTTTGTCGATTTGGGCACGTAGTGTATTACAAAGAAGCAGGGCGGCATTTTTGCACAGTGTGAAAAAAAGCACCAGGAGGCGACCAGCCTAATCAGCGAAATTCAACGCTTTTCCATGACCCCCCACTGTAGTTACCAATTAAGGCCACCTCGGCTGGTCACTGTGTTTACCATTTCGCAGCCAGCCTGCTGTCCCACACACTCCCCCACTCTAGCTTACTACAACCCACGAAAAAGTGACCTTTTCAAATAAAATAAAGTGGGTATTTTTCTGCTTATTGCATGGGCAGCCACGGACCAACTTCCCAATGCATCCGCCCTCCTCCACAGCATCTTATCAGTGTACGTTTCTTTTCGCGCACAACTGCAAACCCTTGGTCCAGGTGTCCAAACCCGTTGACTCCGCAGGGGCCAGCAGTCAAAAAAAAAAATATACACAACTTTCGTAGGATTCTCCCGATAAACTTTGATGGAAAAACCCCCGAAACCAAAACCTTAACGAGTGTTTCTCTCTACTTTGAGCCATGTGGGGTGCGGCGACTTTCTGGGCCCTCCCGCCCAAGGCACAGTCCGTACTGCCCAACACAGAAACCCCTTATTATCTACGAAAGAGCTGGCATTTTTGTGACAAGGACATCTGTGGACTTTCCTCTTTCTCCGTTTCTTTCTACAACCTGCCCTGAACGTGCCTCACAGGCTAGGAGAAAACGCTGCAGTGAAGGCCCGTGCATGTGTGGCCTGCAGACTGCGAACGCCGTGAACGTTTCTTTTCTCACGCTTGACGTGAGCACATCGGCCCCACCGCTGCCACCTGAAAACTATATATATACCGCCCTCCCCACTCCACAATTTTTTTCCCATCTATCAACAACTAGTCATGGATTTCTCATACAACAACGTCGTCCCAAACTTCAGAGCTGACGGTAAATTGGTCGTCATTACCGGTGGTTCCGGTGGTATGGCTTCTTATATCTCCAGAGCTTTCCTTGCCCAGGGTGCCGATGTGGCCCTTGTGGACATCAACCTTGAGAGAACCAAGGCTGCCGCTAAGGAGGTCTTGGCCTGGGGCCAGGAGACCTTGAAGGGCGAGCACGAGACCCCTGTTGGCGAGGTGTCTGCTTGGTCTTGTAACATTGGTGACGCTGAGAACGTGGCCGCTACCTTCGCCGAGATCAACGAACACCACAACAACGTTGCTGATGTTCTCGTCAACACCGCCGGTTACTGCGAGAACTTCCCAGCTGAGGAGTACCCAGCCAGCAACGCTGAGGGTATCATGCGTGTCAACGGTTTGGGTGCTTTCTACGTTGCCCAGGCTTTTGCTAAGCCATTGATTGAGGCCAACAAGCGTGGTTCTCTTGTCATGATCGGCTCCATGTCCGGCACCATTGTCAACGACCCACAGCCACAGGCCATGTACAACATGGCCAAGGCCGGTGTCATCCACTTGGTGAGATCGTTGGCTTGTGAGTGGGCCAAGTACAACATCCGTGTTAACACCGTCTCGCCCGGCTACATTCTCACGCCTTTGACCAAGAACGTTATCGCTGGTCACTCTGAGATGAAGGACGCTTGGGAGAGCAAGATCCCATTGCACAGAATGGCCGACCCTAAGGAGTTTGTCGGCTCCATTCTTTACTTGGCCTCCGAGTCGGCCTCCTCCTACACTACGGGCCACAACTTGGTTGTGGACGGCGGCTACGAGTGCTGGTAAGCGCCACGCCCCATTCATTCGTTTTTCCCTTTTTGATGATTTGTGGGGCGCCGCGCCGCCCCCGGTTGTTTAATGACTCCACCTGATGTCCTTGGTCTACGTTTTTTAATGCACAGTTATTTTATTCGAGACCTTAGTTCTATCTAGGATATTTTCCAGCACCCCCATTTTATAGAATACAAGCTGGCTATAGAGATTACTGATTTGTAGAGTTGCAATTGTTGGGGTTCCACCCCACGTCGCACAGAATGCGTGCTTAGTGCGTCCCGCCTTAACCGTTTTCTTGCGTGGTGAGACGCATTGCTTTGTTTGCACTTTTGGGGCGGGCTTCCCCAGATTACAAGGGGCTTCCTCCTTGTTCTATTTTTGTGACTCTCTTTTTCGTGACTTCTCAAAGTTCCAATATTATTCCCGTTGCCATGACTCGGGAAAGGCCAACAAAGAAACTGCTGTCCCCCTCATGGTCACACTGTGGTCAGGTGCTGGTTAGTGCCCCGCCATGTCCGAAGCCGCGGCAGCGAATGTTTTCAGTTTCTACCAATCGAAAATGGCATTTTGCTTGTTCGGAACAGGAGACGGGTTGAGACGGCTTTCTCTGCAGCAGTGATTGGTGAGGCATTTTTTTTAGAAGCACGAGGTGCCACGGCAGCATCGAAATTACCTTGGGTTCCACAAAAGTGTAAGTAGCGCCCGGCGGCTGCAAACAGCCTTAAAACGTGACGGGCTCTTCCGGTAGTATGTAGTTACCGGTCGGGGAAATTTAGCCTTTGACAGCTCTGCAATGTATTGTCAGCCGGAGGCGAAGGCCTGAGTCACGTCGGCACTTGCCGACTCGTCTGAGTCAGCTTAGCGTTTGTAAACCATTGTTAGACTCCGTGATCGGCTTAGCTTAAGCGCCGACTTGCAAATGCAAGGGACGACCACGACCGGTACCAGCACAAAAAGTGGCTTCACAGTGTACTTGTAGACCGTATTTCTGCGCTTCATTTTAACCAGACTCTGATTATACGGGAAGCTTTGCGGCCTCCCACATCTTGGCCAAGGCCTGCTTGAAACAGCTTACGTTGTAGTCGATGATGGTGAGCACCTCGTCCATGTCTTGCTTCTCTTCTGGGGCATCATCGTTCCTTATAAGTGCCACCAAGGCCAATCCACGAATCATTTGTTTAAGATACAACACCAGGCCATTCAGCAAATAACTGATCGACTTGACGCCGTTGTCTTTGACAGTCTTACGCTCATTGTCCACATATAAGTCGTCCAAGTCAATAGTGATGTCAATAAACTCTGCACACACCTCGTACGTCTGAATATCCACCGGTGATGAATCTGTGGCCACGTAGATTTTGGAGTTCACGTCAAAGAGGAACACCTTGTCGATGGAGGAATGCACCACCAAATTGTCTAGCATATTTTCAAGCGACGGCAATTCGGGAATGAGTTTCTGCACAATTCTTGAAAATGCCTCGTAGATGGAATGATCAAAGATCGACGTGAGATAGAAGGAAACTTGGACGCCTTCAAGGCCTAAGTCCAACAACTCGTCACCGGTTCGCTGCATAATATCTCTCTGAGCGTCAATTCTGTAGTCTTCCAGCAACCCGTCGATCTTGTGGATGAGGACTTCAATGTGGATGGTAGGATTCACCTTGTATGCGTATTCAATGATCATTGAGAGGTTCGTCAAAGCGTTCAAGTACTCGTCTTGCGAGTCAATCACATACACCAACGCGCCGACCAGCGAGAACAAACGTTCGGAATCGTACGTTGGCTCGAAGTAGTTGAGTTGACCCGGCAACTCCATCACGGAAAGGTCTATAAGCGACAGAAACTGTTCCAGCGTTGGTTTCGAGGTCGACTCCAAGTAAAGGGTATCGAGCGGCTGCATGTTGTGAAAGACAACTTTGCAAATCGACAGCTTGCCGCCGCGGCGGAGCCCCATAAGTAGGATGGTAGCGTTCGTGGCTTCTTGGTTGTCCATGATAAAGAGTGTTGATGAAGACCTACCGATAAGAGTCGGTGCGCTCACACAGGAATAGCCATGGAATTCGAAGAAGGATTAGTGGAGTTGAGTTAGACGACGTAAAACAGATTTTTGGGAATTAACAGATGAAAAAGAGGTGATTGTGGATAATGTTTTGAAAAATGTAGGTTATCTCTTGTCGAGATGGGTGCAGAGTTCATGTACTGTAGCAGAATCATTGGTCTATCATAAGGCAAAGAGAACCCATGACAAGTTAATCGATCTAATTTCGAATTGGGACTGCTTGAAATGTACGGATGTACTTTCAGGTTAAATCGAAGGTTAAATAAGCAACTTACAAGTCCTCACACAGAATGGTTGCAAAATGGTGAACGTAGCTAGCGAGTAGAGGAAATGAAGTGTAACGGCAAGTTCACAACCCGGATTTTCAAATTACCTTCATTTGAAGGGAACAATGTTCTTTACTACGACTTTTTTTATACATTCTTGCATCCGAGCTATCATTGTGTCAACCTACCTCAAGACTAACCCTGTGTTCATGTTCTCCACTAGCAGAATAATACTGCTGTCGAAATCTCTGGAACTTTGGATCGGACCCATTTGTGACAGCCCTGCAGACCTCAGGATTCTCAGGGTGCCATCTTCGTCCCTTACATCATCCTTCCACAACTGGTACATACGAACCATGCCGTCTTGTGTGGCAACAGCTATTTTTCGCTGATCCGGAGAAACAGCTGCATTGAAAGCACGGAGACCTTTGTCTGGCGCCCGGGCAACAAGGTCGAAATCTGGATAGCTGTATATGGAAATAACACCAGCGGAGGGAGAAAAAGAATGACCAAATGTAACGACCAATTCTCTTCGTGTTTTCGACCACGTTACAGAAGTAATTTGCCCAGGCGTTGGTAAGGCTTTCACAAGTGTACCCAGAGTGAAGTGCCAAACCCTGATCAGTCTATCATTGGAACCAGCACCAGTGGCTAATAGAGTTGGAGGTGACAGCCATGGACAGAAATCGAGAGCTTTAATTGCAGCCAAATGGCGAAGCTCTGTTACCATCTCTAGGCGGGCTCCACTGATTCTCCATACTATGACTTTATTCTCGTTTCCTCCAGCTGCAAGGTATTGACCATCCTTGCTGATTGTAATTCCTGAGGTTAGTGGTGATGGTTTCAAAAACAAAAGCCAAACATACCTGTCACCAGTTGCCTAAATTCATGACACAAAGGCCCAACCTTGACCTCATCTTTCACCTGAGCACCGTAGATGACTCCGTTTCCATCGCCCAAATAGAAGTAGCCATTATTCCACTCAGCACAAGTCACCCCAGCATCAATATAAAACTCTCCTTTACAGCAACCCAAGACATCCATGATCGTCACTCTGCCCCAGTCCATAGCCACCAATACAAACCCTCCACCACACTTTAAGCAGGTTATACCCGAATACCGAGCGTTATACCAAAAGCCCTCCAATCCCATTTCGCCATCCCACCAGAAAGCATCTTCATTCACTGCTAACGCAAGCTTTTGGGAAAGAGGGCACCAGGAAAGAAGACTGGTGTAGTAGTTGTTCATGTCACCAGCTGTAATGAGGTAGTGGATCTCGTGAAGCTCTTGGGGCTCATTCTCTACAACGGCCACGTTCAAATCGGGAACATCAAGAATTCGAGAAATCAGCCTTGGTTCAGAAGCCGGTCTTCTTCCGTAATCTAGCGATTTTGTGTCAAGACTAAGCAGATTCACTAGAGAGCTTTGATGAGTAGAGAAGGTAGGTTGTCGGGGTGTTTCAGAGACTGAAGACGGAAGAATGTGCATGAATGGATTCGTTTGATGTTCATGTTGCAGAGGTGGTCTTGCTGTTGGTTTGGGCATCTCCCGTGCCAGAGCTGGACGGTAAAGCATGAAGAAGAAATGGCTGCAAAATGCAAATGCAAAATCGCATTGTGCTTATGAGAAGTGGACCCATGAGACTAGGGTCGGCAAGTCAAGATTCAAGTGAGCGACCACAAAGTAATACAATTTGGCTCTACTTGGTTAATGAAGTGCCATCGATAGATTTGTGAACTGCAATCAACTATCATTCGTACTTTCCCCTAATTATTGGACTCTTCCACACACCAAGCCAGTCGGAGCTAGGCCACCATGAAACCGAAATCAAGCTGTGGTCGTTCCCAATACTTATCATAGTTCTCTCATTTTGAAAAAAACCTTGTAGCCTACACAAATTGAAATAATCCTTCACCCATCTCTTTCCCTCCACTTTCGCAGCCATACTCGCGCATTATCAACTATCAACTAGTATTGATCCATATATACATGGCACTTCCAGACTTAGTGCTTCCAATTTTTGGAGCACTCACAGCCGTCATTGCTCAAAAAGCTCACGAAAAGCTACAATGGCCCTTCATAGATGAGTTTTTTCACCTACGCCAGTGCGCTACATACTGTGCTCATGAGTTTTCCAAATGGGACAACAAGATCACCACCCCTCCAGGCTTGTACTTGCTTGGAACGTGGTACCATCACGTCCTCAGTGCATTAGGGGTTCCTGATTCGTGTGGGGCAACAGCACTCAGATCATTGAACTTGGTGGGTGGAGTTGTGGCACTTCCATTAGTACTTTCCTTAGTGAGAACTGACAACTTCTGGAAGGTCAATGTGGTGCTGCTTCCGTTGCTTTACACTTACTACTTCTTATTCTACACCGATGTATGGGCCACTGTGTTGGTGGTGCTTCCGCTTATGGTGGTATCGAAACACCGGTCATTGAAGGGTTCGATCTACGCAAACCTAGCTGCATTTGCAAGCCTTTGGCTTAGGCAAACGAACATTGTGTGGCTAGTCTTTGTGGGAATTGTCCTCATAGATAAAAGAAAGCCCAAGGCAGAGCCAGTCTTGCAGAACGTATCCAATTTCATAGTCCAATGCTTCAAAGATTGGCTACTTCTTGTCCCCTTTGCCATAAATGCTGGCCTCTTTATTGCATTTGTCTACATCAATGGCGGGGTTACATTCGGCGACAAGGAGAATCACAAAATGACTCTTCATGTGGTCCAAGTATTCTATTGTGCTACATTCATCGCCTTCTTCACAACACCAGTCTGGTTGTCACCCAAAACGATTAAAAATTACTTTCGGTTTGCTGTCAGTGGAAGAAAAGGATTAAATCTATTAATAACTGCGGTACTGTTTGTGGTATTGCACCACATCATAAGACATTACACGGTTGTCCACCCCTTCTTACTAGCAGACAACCGCCATTACACCTTCTATATTTACCGAAAAATTCTCAGCAAACCCTGGGCCTATATTGTGACGATACCAGCCTATCACTTTTCGTCATGGGTAATCGTGCATTTACTCAGCGAGCTGTACCAGACATCAATGTTGTCCTTGCACCCCATTAGCATCGCGGCATTGGCCGGATCGGCAGCCGCCACTTTGATACCGTCTCCCTTGTTCGAACCAAGGTATTATATTGTCCCCTTGGTGATTGTGAGAATATTCATACTGCCTCAGAACGAACGCTTGACACGCACAGCGAATCATACTCTTGAATTCGTGTGGTATCTGACGATAAACGCTATATTCTTTGTCGTCTTTTTCACATACGAGTTCTCATGGCTCACAGAGCCTGGAGTGCAGCGCATTATCTGGTAAATTACTCGTCGTGGTCCAGATCAACGATCGTGTTTTCGTGAGTGATGTCACCATCTGTGATGGTCCGATCTGGCAAAGGGGTATTTAGCTTATCGATACCTCTCAAGTTATTATTGAGGAAATCATCGGATGTTTTGTCCTCGAAGAAAGGGACTTTGTAGGAGAACTCCTGTTTGAGGTGCCTGAGAAGATCCTGGTTTTCCTGCTTCTTGAGCTCCTCTTCCAGTAGAGACGAGATCCACTCGTTGACAGAACGCCTGCGCAAGGCATCCATGTATGGTGTTTCTTTCTTGGTCTCGGGATCGATGTAGACGAGCTCTGTGTCGGCACCACACACTATATCGCTGATTTCTGCGTTCTCCTTGAGTTCCCAATTGCCCATTTCCAAATCGTTGGCGAAGATTAGAAGAAAGTCACCGAAGTTGTCGGCAATCTTGAACTTTGTGTTGAATTCACGACCGAAGAGAATAACCTGGCCCCACTTACCGGGCTCCTCGGAACCCTCGGGTGGGTGAGAGAGGTCAACACCAATACAATTACCCACCTCGTCGGTGATTAAGGGTGTCCACATAGCATGGGCGTAGATAGGCTGAACAGCTCCAGGAGGCACGGAGCGCTGGCCATTGTTGATGGTGTTGGTCCTCAGCTGGCCTTCTGATCTGGAACTGCTATAAGAGGCCTCACTGTGGCCGTCAGATAAATCGGAACCCAAGTTCGATTCCTCAATTTGAGCAGTTTTTGGCTCGGCAACCCTCTCGACCGGCATCAGCTTGAGGATCTGCTGGTGGACGCTTTTCCACGAGGCTGCCATCACAGCGATCTCATCAATGGACATGAGCTTCAAACCAAACACGAGTCCGCCAAAGCCTCCGTCGTTGAGGCTCAGCTGACCATCGGTAAGACGGAAGAATTCCACCACACACTGGGGCAAATTGTAGCCGAGATCTTTCTGAAACTCGTTAAGGTCGGCCTCGGTACACGGAGTAGAAAGTGACGTGTTTAGCTCGGGCAGGTGCTTGTGAAGCCACTTCTTGATGTGACGCCAGGCCAAGGTGACCTCGTGCACACCTTCGGTAACATTGCCGGTGGGTCCGTTGAAGGAAATGGTGGAACTGTTATCGTGGTGGGATAAAAGACTCGTTTTTGCCAGGGGTTTGTTGACTCTATTGAAAGATTTGCGGGAGTCGTAGTCCAGGTATTTATCTGTGGCCGAAAGGGAGTACATGAACTCCTTGAAACGCTCGGTAAATGTCATGTTTTCAAGAAAAGAGTCGGTGCCAAGTGGGATCCGGTGAGTGATGTAATCATAGAATGTATGAAGCGAGGAAAAGCGCGTACATGCTCCCGTTTTGGTAAACAGGCCAAGAGGCCACAAAACGGGCTGGCCTACACTGTCAAAGAAGCTTCTACAAATGGGAGTGATTTTGAAAAGACTTGACAAATGAGCTTACTTCGAGGCTTAATGGTTTAGGTTTCGCTTGGGCGCGAGATCTACTGTATGTGCCCCGGGCATGAAGTGCAGAGTCTATTGAAGAAGGCAAAACACGATAAACCGGGGTCGATAATCTGGCATGCTGGCGCAGAGAAGGCTGGTCAAAGGTTGCATGGTTTTCAGTATGTAGCTCCACCGGGGGCCTGGGCCAACGGCTTTCCAGCGAAAAAACGCCAGAAAAGAGAATGAAAATCGTGTGGAACAGGCCCACCACCGAAAGACGCGTCAGAACGACAAGCCTCGCTAGCGGCTGACTAGGATGTGAATCTCAGCCATCGGGCTTGTCGCCTCCTCTGGGCCTCAGCTTGCGTTGGTAATCAAATATGGTTTTCAAAAGATGAGCGCCGATGCGAAATATATAGGCAGGGTTACCCGGTCGAAGAGGAGATGAGGGCACCATTAGGGTGGTGGTGAAGAGATGGCAGGATTACGATGAATAATTTAAAGAATAGGTGTTTATATGTTTGGCATTGTGGGTGTTTTTGGCGAGTTTTAAATTTGCTTTTTTTTTTTATGTTTTTCTGTTGCATTGGATGCCTCGCTTACTGTGGCATGAAGGCACGAACAGGACAATTTGAAGCGGGTGAATTTTGACGTTTCTTTTTAACTGAATCGTTTATGATGGACATTCCTTTGATTTGAGGCCGTCCAAGGAGTTCGGTGGTACACTTTGGCTGACCTGCTTCTTCAATACACCCCAAAGCAGTAGATGATGCAGTCCATGAAAATATGCCTTTCTTCAATTCGAAGTAACGATAGAAGTGTTTACAGTTCTTATATGGCCAGCTTCCCAGAACTATCGTGAATTCATATAGCCATCTCTTTCTACCAACGCAAGACGCGAAGTATGCAAAAGGGGGTAATTGATCGACATTTCCTACGGAATGCCTTGTGTTCAAATAGGTAAAGTCAGCAGAAATAGAAAATTAACTGTGTTCATGACTTCCACAACTTGTTTGGTGACGCAACGCAATCGTAATATTGGCGGCCTTATCGCAGCCAGTCATCAATGCTTTATCGTGCATAACGTAAGCATCAATACCACAACATAGACAAACATGGCCCTGACAAGACACTACAAATTGCCAAAATTTTCAAAGATACTCAAACCTGAAAGAGATCACACAATCAAAAGTCCTCCCAGATGAAAGACCCTGATGCCTGTCAGGGGTACATGCGAGGAGCTGTCAAAATGCGGTGTTGCAGCCATCGATGCACAGAGACCTACAGCAGAGGAAGCAACACCTGTTGATGATGAATAATATCAACGCTGTACTTTCCCAGAAGCCTCCGCGACACTGCAACCCGAGAGCAATCAAGCAAAAAAAAAAAAAAAAAAAAAAAAAAAAAAAAAAAAAAAAAAAAAAAAAAACCGTGATTTGCATGTCGAAAAAAGCGGACAAGGAGTGTCTAGACAAGCCTCGTCACCTGTAACCATCCATACCGAATGCCATTGACAACAATGGACTCGGGAGTCCCACCAAAACACTGGTCTACAGAAGAACGTCTCCAAAAGTATTTCTCACCAGCACACTGAAGAGAACAGCCCACATTGCATTATATCCTTCTCTTCCGCAACATGCAATCGGGCGTCGCACTTCCTAATCCAGACAAGATCACAACAGCGCAACAATAAGGGCCATCGCCCGGCGACCTAGCTCACGTGGGCGAAAAAATCTGCTCAATTTTCATAGCGGCAACGGCGCTTTTATATAGCCCAGGTCAACGAATTCACGTGCGTGGCTCGAAATCTCGTAGACACTGCTCCCCACTGTTCCTTCACCTAGACCCGCACCGAAGCCAAATATCACAGTTGCTTCCACCCACTTCTTTTCCTCATCATGGCCGTCTTTGCCAGCTTCAGAAACCTCGTTGTTGCCACCTTCGTTTTCTACGCCGTGTACCTTTTCTCGTACAAGTGCCCTCAGGTTGTGGACCACCCAATTGAGCAGTCGGCCCGCTCCATCTTCAGCCCTTTGGCCTCCACACATAAGCACTTGTGTGGCCACTTGAACCACGGCCACCAGCTCGCTACTCCTTACTTGGAGAAGGCCCACGGCTTCTTGGACGAACACGTGCACTCCACTGCTTTCTTCAAGGAGAACAAGATTGAGGACAAGATCGAATGCGCAAAGGGCAAGTTCAACACCCACGTCTACCCTTACGTTGTTAAGCTTTGGGAGGGCGTCGAGATCGCCGAGGCCCAGTTGTTCGACGCTGGCTACAAAGCCTACGGCCACGTGGAGAACCACTTCCACAAGACCGTTGCGCCTAAAGCGGAGGAGTTCAAGGACGCCGTCGTGGATCAGGCCGAGGCCGTCAAGGAAGAGGTCCACTCCAAGTTTGACTAAGCTCGGTGTATATATTTGATATCGTATGTTTATTATTCTATGAAGGCCTTGTAGCTGTGCTCGTTTAGAGTGTGCTTATCTCCTCTGGTGTTTCATCCACAAACTCCGCGGGGACCTCATCCACCGCCTCATCAACAATTTCCTCCACTGGCTCCGCCACTTGCTCAAAGTTCACCTTGGGCTCAGGAATTTGTTCCTCCGGCTCGACTTGGGGAACATCTTCAACCCCAGGCGCGGAGAACTCCGCAGCAAAGGAGGCTTCAGCGGCAGCGCTCTCGATAGCTTCATTGGCCCTCTGGGCGTCCGCAATTTTTCTAGCAGCCTCTTCCTCTGCTGCCTTAGCAGCTGCTTTTTCAGCCTCGGCCTCGGCCTCCTCAAACTGACGTGTCAATGCCTCTCTCATCTGGTATGCGACGTTTGCCTTGGCTCTCACCAATTGAAGGTATTCATCGGTGTCTCGCAGAAGGAAATTAATGTGAAAGTTTATGCTGATCAAGTAGTCGATCCAAGGCTCCAAGCCGCGTGGTTTGACCTCGCCGCGGTGGTTCTCCTTGTACTGGTTGGCTTCATCGAAGATCTTGTCGCGAAGCTGGAAGATCAGTTCCTTGATTTTATGATTCTCTTTCCAGGCAGCCCAACCAAGCTTGTCTTCGTACTCAGGATCGGTGTCAAGTACACGTATTATTTCGGTGAGACGGTTGTTAAACTCCGACAAGAGCGTCTCAGCATACGACTCAATCACATCGACCGTTTCTTGCGTGACAACAAAGTATTGCTTGACGATTTCGGCATGTTGCTCGTTAAGAGCATCTTCAACGTTTTGCATGGTCTGCTCAACAGCCTCTCTGCATGCGCTGATCTCGTCTCTCATCATTTGCCTATCCACCTCGGGCTCCACTATGAGCTGGTTGGTCTCTTTCATATGCTCAAAGTCCTTATTAATCTTGGAGATGAGGATATTCATTTTCTTGTAACGCTCATAGTTGTCCTTCTGCAACTGGGTGAAGTTAGCTGAAATCTCGTCTCTCAATGGCTCGAGAGTGGCATTCAAGACGGGGATCATGTCGTCCTCAAGACTGTTGTAAGCCAATTTCAACATTTTATCCACCTTAGACTTCCAGTAAAGAATCTCCAGATCGATGATGTCTTTGGGGTTATAGTGGGATTTCTGCAAGTCCTCAACATCAACGGTCGCGATCTCCTCCTCAGGTGTACCGGTTGCGCCGTCTTCATAGACGGTTTCAGTAAACCAGAAGGTCTCGGTCACGGGTTCCTCTTCGTCACTTTCACCTGACGCATCAACAGCATCAGCCGCATCCGCCAGTTCCTCAGCATCGACTGTCTCCTCAACAACAGTAGTCTCTAAAGTGTCAGTAACAGTATCAGTAACAGTTACCTCCACTTCAGTAGTGTCAGTCTCAATATTCTCCTCTTCGATAGACTCCTTACCCTCTTCAATAGGCTCATCGCTCTCAGAAAGGACCTCACTGAGAATAGACCCAACAGTAGATGCGACAGCCTCGTCTGTCTCTGTAACACTGCTGTGAGGAATTGGCTCTCTTTCATCACCGACAGCTGAAGTGATATCCTCCAAAATGGTTTTGACCACGTCGATGACATCCTCGCTAGTAGCACCGGAAGCTCTTCTCTGCTTGCCGACACCAGACTCGATATAATGCTTGAGCTCACTCTTGACAAACTCCGTCTTGTTCTTGAATGAAGAATTAATCTTTCCGCTTTCCTCAAGGAGGGCGTCGAAAAGACGGCTGATCTGCGCTCCCAAATACAGAAGCCTGGTAACGTTAGCCACCTTCACGACAAACGCATTAGTAGAGACAGTGGCCCACAAAGACGAAGCCTTGGGGACAACCTGCAACTCAATGAAGCGGCCAGAGTGTTTGCGAGTATTATCAAAAATCAAAGCAGAGTGTCTCTTCACGTAACTCACAGAGTTGTCGACAGAGTCCACCAAATGATGGTTGTAAGTGTTGAAGTAATGTTCCAAAACCGGGCCTGCGCTGCCTTTGTAGTACAGCACAATTCTTGCCCATACGTAGTCGAGCTGGGTTGTCACAACATCAATGTATGGGTGAACGTAAACAGCGGCCCAATCTTGCAGCTGCACTTTGTACTTGTCTAAAGTATAAGACAAGGCGTAGTTCTCATCGATCTTTGCCCAGGATGCATGAGTTTTTTTCCATACGGGAGTCACTTTCTCGACAATGCCCGTATTCTGGTCAATCCATTCAAGATGTGGCTGAAAGTGCGTGTTCCACGTTGGGTACACAAAGAAATTTGCAGCATCACATGTGTATCTGGTGGGAGCAAAGGCAGACGAGTAGTCAGCCTTGCAGCCAAACACCAACAAATAAATGACGTATGCCACTGCACAGTAAAAAGCTTTCTTGAAGCTCAACCAGCGTAGCATTGATGTAGTATTGAAGGTTGATGGTCAGCGAGGCTGGTATGTAGGTGGATTGGTGATAGATCCGTGTTATATGCAGCTCTGGAACCAATCGTGGTCACACCAGTGTGTTACCAGGGCCTCCTGGAGGTTTTCGTAATCATATATTTGAGTTCCCGAGACTTACAGAGAGAATTAGTTTTGTCAGCTCAAAGTTTGTTGATTGAAGTACAAATGGCTGCAAAGGCGATGGGATCGAGGTGGTGGCATTTGCCTACATACCCCACCCAATATCCTGAGTATATTAACGATATAAATGGCTCAAAGCTTCTTTTATTTGAAAGACGAATTTTAAAATTTAGCCCCTAATTCACAGAAATAGAAACGTGGTTGTGCACTAGTTTAGTTCGCCGTTTTGCGCCTCCCATGCGCTTACCTGGATCTCAAGGCATTTTAGTTACGCCACCAAACAAAAATAATAATTTTCGAGAAAATTTGTTGAGGTCAAAATGTCAGAAATAAAATTCACCACATTCGGTACGATTACCTATTCGTGGCAATGTAAAAGTTAATCTATTTACACGTGACCATCTTGTCTCTGCAGTTTAGATCAATTGACTCCATCTCTTTCAAGACATGGCCCAGACTGTCAGCTTGCTCACCCTTTGTGCAGCTAGTTTCCTCACGGGGTACATTGTGAAAGGGTGGTTTTCACTGTCACCCAAAATCAAGAGAGTTAGGCTGGTCAAACCACCTATTTCCGATTCCGATGCTTCTACAGAGTCCTACACTGATTCCGAATCAGAGGATGATATAGAGATAGACTCTAGGCCACTCAACGAGATTCCAGGAGAGGTGAGGATGACACTTATTGTCAGACTGGATTTGAAGATGGGAAAGGGCAAGGCTGCTGCTCAGTGCTCCCATGCTACTTTGGCCTTGTACAAGAGAATGGCTGACTCACAGAGAGCCTCCTACAATCCTACGCTTCTTGAAAGATGGGAAAGAGGTAATGGTCAAGCTAAAATCACTCTTCAGGTACCAAATCAGGAGGACATGGATGTGATGTTTGCTCAGGCTCTTTCACTTGGTGTCAATGCCTATATTGTTCACGATGCTGGAAGAACCCAAATTGCCGCAGGAAGCGCCACAGTCCTTGGGCTCGGCCCCGCTCCAAAGCTAGTCATGGACCAGATCACTCTGGATTTAAAGTTGTATTAGCATGTATATAGAAATGCATCCTTCGAAAGTGAATTTTGTAGGATCAGCCACACTGGTCCAGCAGCGCATGGCGTGGTTTTTCTAAAATGACCATCTAGGTCTAGTGAAGCTTCCTCCGGATACCCTCTCTCACGGAGAGCGGGTTCACTGCTGAGGAAGCACGTCTTTTGCGTTGTCGGCGTATATGGCCGGGAATCGAATCGTCCACATCTAGAAGCACGTCATCATCATCATCGTCATCAGAATCGATCCCGCCAATAACGGAATCTACCTCATCGTAAAAATCATCCACATCATCGAGCCCAATCAGCGACTGGCGGCGGCGAACAACGTCACGAGACACCAGGGCTCTGTGGCCGTTTCGGAGACGCTCCAATGCATCTATACGTGCCCAGATCTCACCTTCAGTTCTTTGAGGAAGCAATATCAGTAGTTCTGCAAATGAAAGCTCCTTTCGACGACGGTTTATCAAGAGCTCATCCTCCTCCATCGACCAAGGGATTTTGAAAATCGGCTGGTTAGAGTTGCGGCCCTTGCTGTCCTTTTTGTCGTCCTTCTCCTCCTTGATATCACTCTTCTCGGGCTTCTTCAATGTTTTGGGAGCCGAATTCCTTCTCTCTGTGTGTACTACCAGCATAGACAGTCTTCGAAGTGGCTGCGAAGTTCCGACAATCGAACCGTTACGAATGCTAGATAACGTAGAAGCCAAATGAGGAAGTCCCGAGGGCCCCAGCACTGAAGCTCCCGTGGAAGGGCCACTTATACTATTTCCGCCGAACAAGATAGGCAAATGCGCCAATGCGCTATTTGTCAGTTGGTGGTGCGGGATGTTCATGGATTTGGAAGGAAGACTCAGAACAGAGTGACGCAGAGACAGCACGGATGTTCTGTCGTCCCGTACAATTTGAATGATGGAGTTGTTATGCATATGGGGCGGGTGCTGGTCGGCGTTGGAATTCCGGGGCGTTATTCCCAGAGGACTAGGCACATGGTGAGGCTGGTTATGGGGCAAGTTCAGCGTAGGATCTATGGAGATCTCTGTGAAATAGCCACCAGAGGAACCCGAGGCAGCCGCCAGCTGGGGGTCCAAGGGGACGTCCAGTTTAGGCAGGTTGTCGAAGGTTTGAGGGTGCGACGTGGTGTTTATGGGGCCCGAAGGAGATCCGCTATTTTGATTCGATAATGCGTTGAGTCCCGCCAACGCTGTGGAGACGGTGTCGTAGCCCGTGAAAGTGGTGTTGGCATGAGGCAGGTAAACGGAGCTCATTCGAGGCGTCAGGGAGTCGGACTGACGGCGCTTTGGAGCCTTCTTCGAGGCCAGTGACACGGAACCAGCCGGACTCGAATTCCCGCTATCTGACCCAGACCCAGCCGCCATAGCTGCTGCAGCTAGGCCTCCCAAAGCCTGAGACGATTTTGGAGGATTCTTGAGGTTTCCCAGCTTCAACCGACGCCAGCGAAACTGGCACGCATTGGGTGTTCTGTTATTGAAGTGGGAGGCGATTTCCTTCCACCCGAGCTTCTGAGTGTCCTTCAAATGCATCAAGAGAAGGTCGTCCTGGGCGTCCCAGGAGGTGGGCGTTCTGTTTAAGTTCTTCGACAGGTTCGGTGACGCACTGGCGGCTGGCGGTGGGCTGTCTGAGGTAGCCATAATGGGTAATTGAAGGCGCGGATAATTTGGTTGGGATTTGAACGGGTGTGTGTGGTTCCCTGGAGGTGTACTTGTCGACTTGTCTCGGTGATGATCATCGACGACAAGTGCACGTGACTTGACGAGGGGCACCTTTAATTCCTCCACAGCCCAAGAAAGCCGTGGAAGTTAAGAATCATGCATTCGGGGCGATAAACTGTCTTTCTACGTCTACAAACACATGGTCACCTCTTACATTGGTTACTTGGTGGTACAGTCAGTCAGACTTCCTCCTGCATATGCTCGAGGAGCCACACGGCTCAACTGACCCTGGAGGTCGTCTGACCTTAAGGATTTCGAACGTCGAGGAAATTCAAGCTTCACATTTCGGAAAGTGACACTGTTTGCTGTGTGGTGTCTATAGTTTTTTTCTTGGGCTCGTTGTTTCTTGCAATTCTGCTATTGTTTCGAAACTCGGGTGCGGTTTCGCAGCCAGCCTCGAAATTGGCTATCATTCGCATTGTCACTTGGAAAAGTGGAGACGGTTAGTTTGCTGATGGATTAATCTAAAATAGCAGAATTACAAAGCTTTATTTGAACCTCTCTAAATTAGGGAATGGGTGCAAAATGATCGGCCCTAAATCGTTATCATCACACAGGTTGCATACCGATATGTTGCAAATCTCTGGCTTAGCGATGGTGCAAGTAGGCTGTACAGCCGCTTCATAACCGCAGCAGGTAATCTACCCATTCCTATCAAATTCTCATGATAATCAAACAGTTTTATACATTTTGTTAGTTGCCGGCCTTGCCGCTTCTATATCCACAGTCTTACTCGCTTCCAACTTTCTGAAGCCAGATCTTCTCTGCCTCAACAATCGTATTGTTGTTGGCTCTCATTTTGTTCATCGTCTCCTCGTACTCATCCGTTTCGTCACTGTCAAACACAATGCCTCCACCGGCCTGCAAGTACGCAACACCGTCCTTATAGACCATCGTTCTCAATGCAATACAGGTGTCCATGGTCTTTCCGTCGTAACCCCAGTGACCCACTGCACCAGCGTAAACGCCTCTTTTCTCCTTCTCTAATTCACCAATAAGCTCCATGGCCTTAACTTTAGGAGCACCACTGACAGTACCAGCAGGGAAGATAGATCTGAAAGCATCAAAACGGGTCTGGCCCTCTCTCAACGTACCACTGACTTCAGACACCAAATGCATGACGTGAGAGAAACGCTGAATAGTCAATAAACGGTCCACGGAATTACTCTCTGGCGTGCAGATACGGTTAACGTCGTTTCTGGCCAAGTCAACCAACATGATGTGTTCGGCTCTGTCCTTCAAACTAGAACGCAAAATCTGAGCGTTGCGCTCGTCCTCCTCGTTAGTTTTACCTCTCTGGATCGTACCAGCAATAGGGTGGGTGACAATCTTGTCTTTTTCATCGGACTTCACCAACAATTCTGGCGAGGCTCCAATGATCTGGAAATCCTTCAAGTCGATGTAGAACAAGTAAGGCGAAGGGTTGACGGTTCTCAAATGACGGTAGATGTTAAAAGGGTGCAACGAAGTTGGTCTGGCGACTCTCTGCGAAGGAACGGCTTGGATGACATCACCTAGCTTGATGTGTTTCTTCAATGTAGCAACGTGCAGCTCGTAGCCAGTCTTTCCGATATTTGAGGTGAAGGTTTGGTCTGGCTTGATAGGAGGCTGTTCGGGGTTGAGCTCCTCCAAAGGCTTGTGGGTGTGCAAAATGGCCTGAACGTCCAAGATCTCTTTTTCTGCTTTTTCGTAAGCCGCAGACAAATCCGTGTCCTTGTCGACCTTGACGTTGTTGATGATTTGGAATCTTTGGTAAACATGATCAAACACGACTATTAGATCGCAAAGCATCAAGACAGCCTCAGGAACCTGCAAGGCGTCCTTCAATGGCTTTCTTGTCTTGGGTTCGAAGTACTTGATACAGTCGTAGGAAATGTATCCAACTGCACCACCTTTCAAAGGAGGCAAGCCGGGCAACTTGGCCTGCTTATACTGATCTAATTCTTTTTCCAAGATGACAAGCGGATCGACATTGTTGTATTCAGTATCGTATTTTTCAGCATCGTCGCCGGTTCTGATGATCTTTCTTGGGTTGATACCAATAAAGGAATATCTGTCGACCGAGTCACCATTGACAGACGACTCAAACAAGAACGAGGCCGGTCTGTCTGGATTATTCAAATCAGACAACTTGAGGTAGGCCAGGTGTACTGTCAAATCCTCGTTGGCAACGTACTTGTAGATGGGGTACAAGTTTGGAGCATCGTGATTTTCTTTGGCGTTTTCCACCAAGGACTTGAAATCCTTCAATGACGGCTGGAGAGTGCTCTAAAAATTAGTATATCATTTCTTCGTTTGTCTAGTTTTGGTACATACGAACATCGGTGGTGGTGAAGATTCTTGCGAACTGACTCACCTCATCTGTATGAATTTCGCACCCAGTCGAGACCACAAGCGTGCTTCAAGGTAGAGGGACATGAAAAGAAAGGCATGAAATTCAAATATTTGTTTCTGCCGAACAGAAGTCTAAATGCGTTTAACCTTATGAAGAGGTCAATTTCTCAACCATGATTGTACTTAACAACTGTAGTGAGCTTGTCCGGTAAAGGCTTCAGATTCACCGATACCAGTGAATGAAGGTATACAGCAGTCGAGAAATAAGAATTGGCAGGCTTCTTCTGATTCGCCTAGTTTTCTTCGAAATCGCTCCCCTTAAGCCAAATCTTAGGCGATCGTGCACCTACAACTCCTCTATCTTCGTTTCTCATTACTATGTACAATTAGTAGTCTCCCTTGCACCTCAAAACACATGCACCTTCAATTGCATTCAAGTACATCACCTTATCCGCTGTGACACTCGAGCCTATGCTCAAGTCATTATATGGATGTACTAGTAGGTCGACCTCTAGTGCAAGGTCGGTGCACCAACAACGTGCCAATTTTGAATTGAGATCAATCTCATGGCCAGTAGAAGTCACGACACATGAAAATGTGGTACTTTCGGAATCGTCATCTTCAGCTTTGATCTGCTGCTCGAGGAATTTGAGTTTCCAGTAGCGGTTGTATCTCTCGCTGAGAAACTCGCAGCCAAGTTTGGCATTTTGCAACTTGATAACTTGATCACTCATGAATTTTTTAGATAAGGGGCCATGAACAGGATACCCCAATGCTTTGTAATGCAGTGTTTGAGCCACCAGATGTAAGTAGTTTCTGCTGGCAATTTTTTGCTGATTAATGAAAGAAATGATTTGAAGCTGGTTTAAATATGCCTCAACGTTACTCATGGCGTCAGAAACCTCCACTCGCCCTCGTGGAAGGCCTTTGGTCAACAGATATGTGTTACCACTCAATGCAAGAGTTGGCTTGCCCAAATAGTTGTTGCCAATTATTAAAGCTGGTAAAGAAACAAAACCATTTCGATCTTTGGCCATGATAGCCTGATAGTAGGAATTGCAATAATAGTTCGGTAAAAGCTTGTTGTCGTGAGAAACAAAAACCTCATCAGATTCCAGACCTTCATAACTTGGTGTTTCCTCATCCGGGTTGAGAAGGTCGTCGCCCCTGGCCAATACCGGAATTGACTCCCTGTGACAGAAAGAGGCCACAAGCGAGTCAAGAAAGGTTTTTATTTCACCTGTGAAGAACATCGCCAGTCCTAATTTCAGCGCTTTCTCAACAGACAGAAGAGCCAAATCGGTATGGATCAACTCCTCTTCATCCTTAGTCTTATAGCTCAAGGACCTTGAAACCGAACGTTGGAAGATGGCGGGATGAGGCTCTGAAGCACAGCGAATTGCCCTGGTGTTGAAATGTGTCTTCATCACATTGAATATGAAACCGAGATTCAGAATGTCCGATTCATCTAGTGTTACGCGAGAGTCATTCTCCTCGGCAGGCTGCCGTCTGTTGAACAACTTGAAGGCGTTCAAAATACCCGTCTCGAGACGTCCTGAGATCGCATCATCGAGAAGGTCCCAGCTGAGTTCCTTAACTTGGTGAGCCAGAATTCTGTCGAAGGTAACAGAAACTCCATTCTCAAGCTCTTTGAGCGGAGACAGAGCAAAGGTGTTATACTCATACGTCACTGTCATGCATGTCTTCATTTCATGAGACTCGGAATCCTCTTTGAAATCTCCCACGCTGAAGAATTCGCCATTGGTGACTCTTGAATTCAGCTTCAAAAGGAGTTCCTCTCTTACATTCTTGGCCAATAGCTCAATCAGGTCTTTGCCCATAAGGTTCTTCAATGACCTTAATGAAAAAGAATGCTTGGAAACTTCTTCGAACAATGGGCTTGCTGGGGCGATTCTTGCAGCCACATCAGGCACATGAATATTGATGAGGAACTTTCTGGCGTTGATCTTTTCAAGAGAAATTCCGACGCTTGAAAACTTCTTATCCGACGGTAGCATATATATGACGTGATCCAGAAAGTAACGCTTCGACTTACGCAAGTGGCGAAATTTGTCATCGAGTTGCCCAGAGGATAATAGTCGTGCCGAAATTAGCTCTAGTTGGGAGGGCTTAAGCTCTTTGGGTGATGCCACCATTAGTTGATCAAGCGAGGGTCTTCCTAATAGATTTGATGATAAGACTGGGTCTGTCAAAGGGTTCTTAGGGTTATTAAAAAGGCCGATTTGTTCGAGCAAATTCTCAATATCCAGAAGTCCTGCGGGTTGAGATGAATGTGCTAATAATAGTTTTCCAATAAGGCTAGTAAGACGAATATGTGGGTGGATTAATGCAAAAGTTAAGGTCTTAAAAGCATGCAAAAACGGCTTGCCCAGCCAGATATTAAGCTCAACAATGAGGTCATCATAGCTTTTTGGCAGCTCTATAAGTTTTCCAAGTAAAGCTTTGAATTCCTGGAGTTTCAGTTCGTCGTAACTAAGGAAATCCAGGATCGCATCATGATTGTTCAACAGATTAGCGAAGTAGACTGTTTCCGGAGGAATGTCGTTGGAACAACGTGTCGAGATTAGATTGGTTGTTCTTTTTGGGATACACAGCAGAACCACCCAACGTGTCACATCGTGACACATCTCCAAGTGAATCGCCATGAGAAATGCCGATTGATGAAAGTAACTTTGGAAGTCGTAGTCCATGTACTTTGCCACCGCTAAAATACTGGTCGAATTAGCATTGTCGGGCGAAGCTATTGTTGCATAAACTTTTTTGAGCTCTTTCTGTACTTCTAATTGCATCTCTCTTGTAGTTGTAATGAACTGCCTGAGTATGTCCACCAACTGTAGCCGCGGTTCATATTCTTCTGCAAAACGATGATATAAAATACCTAGGGATTCTATCCATTCAGCATCAAAAACTTGGTAGGCCGCAAAGTTGATATCTTGAGGATACACCCTCGAAAGCTCATTTTCCAGAGTGAGCACAATAAGCTTATTATGATTTTCATTGAACTTTGACTGCAGTTCTCTGACAACAACAGCAAGGCTATTGGAGTCGCTTTCGACGTCATGGTATTCGATGATTGACCCAGCACAAGGTGGAAGGGTTCTATTGTTGGTGGTGATCTCTTCCCAGGTCTGCGACGGTTCAAAAGTGTTCTCAAAAATGAGGCTATCCAGGTTTCTATATGGCAAGCTTGTGAATGCTGAATTTGGATCTAGAAACTGCTTGCGTTGGTGCATATACTTCTGGAGCTTGAGTTGTGCTTCATCTCTATAGACGGTATCCAGCACCGTCTTGTCTGCGTTTGGGATGAAGAACTTCCTGTTCATTGTAGAAGTTGAGAAATGTACAAGCAGACCGGGTCCATTGTATCGTATTCTACGTGGATGTCGTAGAAAGGATCGAGTTATCATGCTGTGGGTTCATTGATTCGAAAGGTCTGAGATGAGGTGAAAAGTGAGACCTCCATATCAGTGCGAAGTACTAGACATACAGCTACAATGGTGATGGGAAGAATTTATGGTACAATTAAATGCTGACATTGTGAAGATTGATGGTCGGTCACGAGCTAGAATACGTTTGCAATCTCGGTCATCGAGCTATGTATCAGAGGTCGTAAGATGTGCTGCGATTGGGTGTAGTTATCTCAAGCTAGGCTTTCCACGTCTGCACCTCTAGTTGATGAAATTCAAGTTTGTTTCTAAAGTAATCAAGCTCAAGCCCATCTTTGTACAATCACAGCATTCTTCAACTTCGCCTCCTCGACAGTCACCCCCAGAGACTCCTCAATGGGTTTCACTGGGAAAGCATGCGACAAAACAAACGATCTCAGCGAATCGCTGTTGTATTCATGATTTCTGACAAAGTCATAGACAGTGCCAATGGAATCCGTGGAATTGAACTTGTGTGCCACCTTCTTACCGCTTGCAAACCGAATCTGCACCAAAGAGTCACCTGTGCCCTGATCTTGAGGCTTCACAGGCTCCTTCTTTTCTTCGGGTTTAGGCTCAGCAACGGGAGTAGAAGCTCCAGAGCTCTCTCCTGGTACTGGTGAGCCCAAACGCTGGCCCAGGCCATGGAATCCACCCAACTTGCGCTTAGGAGGAACATAATCCTCATCTGTTTTCTTGAGCACCGAGACGTCGACATCCTGGCCAAACTCGACTCCCAACAAAGACACAGGCACGCGGCCACGCTTCAATTCTTGTAAGAGAAGTTGGTTCTCTGGATCGTCGTATCTCTTGAGAGGCCCATCTCCCACAGTGAAGCCCTGTCTCCAAAACACAATCTCTCTGTTCACCTTTGCTGGTCTATTCCTTGCGTTAGAAAATGGGTCTTCGACTACCTCCAGGGGCTGCTCCGAATCACCAAGCTTGAATCCAGCGCCAGCGAAGTTGGACGGCTGTTGCTGCTCCATTTGTGCCGATGGCCGGTCATCGGGCTCATCCATTTGCTCTTGCGCCTTTTGAAAGATTCGCTCAATAAGAGAAGGCTGGTGACCCTCGTTCTTGTCTTTATCAGGGTTCTCCACTTGCAACGCTGACTTTTCGCCACCAGTGAAGAAATTGGTGTCTGTGTTCTCGGGATCGTCCGAGTCTTCGTTGAGGTCTCTCAAAGTACGGAATCCTGATGGCTTGGAACGTGCTTTCTGACCCAGAGCCCGTTTCTCTGCTTCATGTCTAGCAGTAGGTTCGAACGAGCCTTCTTCATTGGAGGCGTAGAAATCCTCAATTGCCTGGGTGAGATCGCCATTGTTCTTCTCTAAGAACTGCTCTGCAACGGATTTGGGTGCACTAGTCACCGCTACAAAGCTCTGTATGAGTTGGTCATTTTCTGACATGATTGATAATGTGGTGCTAGCAATCCCTCGTAGTTAGTGAGGTAGTGCTCCAGATGCACACTCGTGCATGTCGAAGGATATCGAAGGTATACAGAAGAGAAACTTCAAAAACCTGACGAGGTAAAATTGAATTTGAATATGAAGAGACCTGTTCATTATTCGATTGCAATTCATGGAGCCCCCATTGTTTGACGAAACCTGCAAGCGGTGTGGATGCATTGATTCTTAGGATGCTCGTACTAGCGATAAAATGAAACTATTAATATTGATCAGCCTAGTATGATGCATGCTCCGAAGATGGTCAGGAGCGTCCCAAATACTTCCATGCTCAGCGTTTGTTGTCTATCTTCATCAACTATTATCCTCATATTCGCAGCCAAAAGCCTGGTGAGCAGATACTACAGACCCGTTTTTATAAAATATATTATATATATCACCGATGTTGAAATCCCTCTTTTAAAACCCCATAAACGTAAAACAAAACAAATAAAAAAATAAAGTATCGTACAACTCATAGTCTTGGAATAAAACTAGACTGTAAGCCAAACCCAATGTTGAACAGGTGTGGCGTGAAAGGATACGGCATCCAAACAAAATATGAATTGAATCAATGCTATCCCGAATTGTGGCAAAACGGGGCTTTAAGTGCTAAGGGCAGCGCTAGGCCGTCCACTTAGTGCTTGGCTCTGAAGTCCTTGGCAGCGTCAACCATGTTGGTCAAAGAAGCCTTGGTCTCCTCCCAACCTCTGGTCTTCAAACCACAGTCAGGGTTGACCCAGAACTTGTCAGCGGGGTACACCTTCAAGATCTCCTCGATTCTGGAGACAAACTCCTCCTTGGATGGGATTCTTGGGGAGTGAATGTCGAACAAACCCAAACCAATGTGGTTAGGGTACTCGGAGAACTCTCTGATGTAGTTGGCGTCGTCCTTCTTGGAGAACTCAATAGACACAACGTCGGCGTCCAAGGCCTTGATGTGGTTAGGGTCCAAGTCGGAGTAACAGAAGTGGGAGTGGATCTGAGTGGAGTTCTCGACACCGGAAGTGGCGACTCTGAAAGACTGGGCAGCCCAGTTCAAGTAGTCGGATCTCTCCTGACCGGCTCTCAATGGCAAACCCTCTCTGATAGCTGGCTCATCAACCTGGATGACAGTAATACCAGCAGCCTCCAAGTCCTGGACCTCATCTCTGAGGGCCAAACCCAACTGCAAGGATTGGACCTTCTGGGAAACGTCGTCTCTTGGGAAAGACCATCTGAGACAGGTGACTGGACCAGTCAACATACCCTTGACTGGGGACTTGGTCAAGGACTGAGCGTAGACAGACTCCTTGACGGACATGGCCTTTGGTCTGGAAACGTCACCAACAATGATAGGTGGTCTGACGTATCTGGAACCGTAGGACTGGACCCAACCGTTGGTGGTGAAAGCGTAACCGTCCAACTGCTCACCGAAGTACTGAACCATGTCGTTTCTCTCTGGCTCACCGTGGACCAAGACGTCCAAACCAATCTCCTCCTGGAATCTGATGACAGTCTCAATCTCCTTGTTGATGAACTGCTCGTACTCCTCCTTGGTGATGGTACCCTTGTTGAACTTGTTTCTGTTCACTCTGATGTCCTTGGTCTGTGGGAAGGAGCCAATGGTGGTGGTTGGGAACAAAGGCAAGTTGTACTTCTCCTTCTGGGCAGCCAATCTGTCAGAGAAAGGCACCTTTCTGGTGGAGAGGGACTCGTTGATAGAGGCCATTCTCTCCTGGACCTTAGGGTTGGTGGTGATTGGAGACTCCTTTCTGGCCTTGATAGACTTGGCGTTAGCAGCGTACAAGTCAGAAACGTCCTCACCAGAAACGTCCTTGGCGATGGTCACAACAGCGTCCAACTTCTGGACAGCGAACTGGAACCAGTCAGCGATAACAGGGTCCAACTTGGACTCGTTGGCCAAGTCAACAGGAGTGTGCAACAAAGAGGAGGAGGTGGCAACCAAAACTCTCTCCTTACCAACGGTAGAGATAGCCTTGTTGACAATCTCGGAAGCCTTGGAGTAGTCAGTCTTCCAGACGTTTCTACCGTCAACAACACCAACAGACAAGGTCTGCTTGTCGTTAAGGATAGAGACAACCTCGTCGAACTGAGCAGGGGCTCTGACAAAGTCAATGTGGAAACCAGCCACTGGCAAGCCCTTGATGGCGGCCAAGTTTGGTCTGACGTCACCGAAGTAGGTGGTCAAGGTGATATCTGGGAGACCCTCGCCAACCAACTTCTCAAAAGCACCCTTGTAGAGCTTCTGGACAGACTCTGGCAAGTCCAAAACGAGAATTGGCTCGTCAATCTGCACGGTCTTGGCACCAGCCTTGTACAACTCCTGCAACAAGGACTTGTAAACTGGCAAGAACTTGTCCAAAAGGGAGATTGGGTCCAAGTCCAAGGAGTCCTTGTCGGCCTTACCCAAGAACAAGTAAGAGATAGGACCCAAGATAACTGGTCTGGTCTCAATGCCCTGCTCCTTAGCCTCCAAGTACTCGTTGACTGGCTTCAAGCCGGCCTCAGTGTTCAACTTGAACTCGGTGGAGTGGGAGAAAGTTGGTCTGACATAGTGGTAGTTAGAGTCGAACCACTTGACCATCTCCAAGGCGGTGACATCCACAGCAGCCTCGGTCTCAGTGGCCTTTCTCTGCAAACCTCTACCCATGGCGAACAAGACATCGATAGGAGCCAAGTCGAACTTGGTGTATCTGTCAGGAATAACGTTGAACAAAAGGGAGAGATCCAAAACCTGGTCGTAGAAGGAGAAATCGTTGGATGGAATGACGTCCACACCAGCGTCCTTCTGCAACTTCCAGTTGTGTGCTCTCAATTCCTTACCCTTAGCCAACAACTCCTCAACAGACACCTTCTTGCCCCAGTAGGCCTCGGTGACCTTCTTCAACTCTCTGTTGGCACCGATACGTGGGAAACCCAAAACGGATGATTGAACCATTTTTATGTAATAAGTAGTGAAACTTGTGGGAGAAAAAAAAAAAGTTTACGAGGGGAACTGTGGTCTTATATACCACAGCGTGGGGTGAAAAATTCAATCGGCAAATGACTGTGATAGATAGCGCTAGTGCATGGGGCGTGGTGTATATAAGCATGGTGAGGCCCTTGAACGACGATGGGCGTGCGTTTTCGTCGAGTCTTATATGCCGGTTCCTCCAATCGGCCCTTCTAGCCCTCACTCGTATAGCCACCAGAGCCTCTCAATGAGCTCGTGAACTAGCTAGGTGGCTTTTTCAACATCAATTGTACTATACTGTTAGTTAATTTTCTTCTATTGAGGGCCACAAGAGCAGGATCTATGACGTGTCATCTCACGTGTAGGATACGCACGTGATCAAATTCCCGCCAGCCGATGTCGCGGAAGCCGCTTTCGTGCAATGGCACGTGCCTACGCGTGGACCAATTGATCTGACTCTGACGAATTATACCACGACAAACCAGCCTCGTACAGTCAGCCTCGTACAATCGTACAGGCGTTATTGTTTATTAGAACAGATTTAAAATGTCATCACGTGAGACGCCAGTCTCATCCAACGCTTCGAAGCCGACGACATAATGGCTGCAAAACTGGCTGCAAAACTGGCTGCAAAACTGGCTGCAAAAACAGTGGCGCCTCCTCGGCGGCAAGCTTAGTCCTTGTCCAACTTTTTGTCGCCGCCAACTTTTCTCTTGTCCACCAACTCCCTGATCGTCTCGTCGCTGTGCATCAACCCGAAGCGACGGAATTGCTTGATGCTGGCATTCAATTCCTCCGCACCCTTGCCGGTGATGTGGTTTTCAAAGTTCTCACCAAGCTTGACGAACAAGTCGTAACTCAACACATACTTGTCCTCGGTGATGTCCGAAAGCTTGTGGTCTTTGGACACTGGGGTGTCGTAGCCCTCACCTTCGCCGAGCCAGACACCCAACTTCTTCAACCTGGTGAAAAGACCGGCCTGGTGAGCAGGAACCATACCACCGTGCTCCTTGATCTTGTACTCTCTGTAGGCTTCAAGGTAGTCGTCAGGAGTGGCACGTCTGGAGCCAGTCCATCCAAGGTCAAGCAACTTCTCCTTGGTGATCTCCTGATCCTTAGAGTATCTGAACTTTCTTGGGTTGAAAAGACCGATGTGCAAAATGAAAAAGATCATGGTCACCTTCAAAATGTGGAAAACAAAAAACACACACTGACCACCAACGGAAACTGGGTCCTGGATGTCCTTGACCATGGCATCGGCAATGTCACCGTAGCCAAAACGAGTGGCAACGGAAGCCACCAAAGTTGACATCTGGTTGGTCAAACAGATGCCAGGGGTTGGCGAGATAAAGTCAGGCAAGTCTGTGTAGAGCCACACAATCAAAAAAGTGACGAACAGGTAGAACCTGAACGAAAGGAATTCCCACACAGGGATGATCAACTGACTAGGCCAGCAGTGTTGGGCAATGCGGTCGTCCAAATTGATTTTCTTGCGGAATTGGGCATTCGAAGTCTCGTAGGAGAAAAGCAAGCTTCCGTCCTCAGTCAAGTAGCCTGGGGCAGTCGAAACCACAAAAGTCTTTGGTCTCGCCGAGTAGAAGATGTTGGGTCTTAGCGAAATGGGCAAACCGTCGAAAATACGGAACAAATCTCTGAAGCAGGTTTCAGTGGACACTTGGAAACAGTAATCCTTCTCCAAATCATCGTTGAATCTGAGATATACCTCCAAGGCCGTTTGCTCTTTGGAAGACATGGTGATGCTGAGGTGGTGAAAAGGTGATGGACTCTCTAAAAGTGTGCGGGTGGGGCCACCTCGATGCAGTGTGGGGCACGCCTTCGCTCACTGTGTTTGACACTCAACCATGTTAATTCCGGGTTTCTTACTATTATTGGTTTCGATAATTTTATTCAGATTCAAAATGGGCGACAGTGACCTTGAAATTATTGCTTCCCTGTTGCCCTTGCCGCAATGGACCCAAACGCCTGAGGAAATATTGGCTGAGGCTCGGAAGATAATCGCCAGTGACGTAGCCTTCTATGACAAAATAGCGGCCGTTCAGGACCCGACTGTGGAGAATGTTTTGCAACCTACCATCGAGGACGAGAATTCTTCGTATTTGGCCTCCAACAAACTCACTTTTTACCAGTATGTGTTTCCAGATAAGGCGGTGAGGGACGCCTCAACGGAAGCGGAGAACTTGTTGGACCAAAGCGCCATTGAGCAGAATTTGAGGGTTGACGTATTTAAGGTGTACAATGAATTGTGGGAGAAGATTAAAGGCACGAATGCTACAGACCCAGAGTCTATGAAATTTTTGGAGAAAACTGTGAAGAATTTCAAGAGAAACGGGTTGGCTTTGCCAGAGGAGAAGCGGGACCAGGTCAAGAAGCTTAAGATGCGTTTGGCTGACTTGCAAACCCAATTTGCTAAGAATTCGAATGAGGAGAATGGGCGCTTGACGTTTACTTTGGAAGAACTTGCTGGCGTTCCAGAATCTGTCATCGACCAGTTTGAGAAGGTTACCGAAGATGGCCAGGAAAAGTACCGGGTTACATTTAAGTATCCTGACATATTACCCGTTTTGAAATATGCCAAGGAGGAGGCAACTAGAAAGACTGCTTACATCGAGAACCAGAATAAAGTGCCGGAGAATGTCCCGATCTTGAACGAGATAGTCGACATTAGATTCAAGCTCGCAAAGCTTTTGAACTATGAAACCTACTCTGACTTCGTGCTCGAGGAGAGGTTGGCCAAAACGCCCAGAAACGTCCTTTCATTCTTGGAAGACCTCAAGGGTAAGCTTACTCCGGTGGGCAATAGAGAGTTGCAAAAATTGAAGGACCTCAAAAAACAGTACTTGTTGAAGGCAGGCCTTCCAGAGCAAGATGAATACTTTGCCTGGGATCATGCCTTCTACAGCAATTTACTCTTGGAGCAGGAGCATCAGGTGGACCACCAGAAAATATCCGAGTTCTTCCCATTGGACAGGACCATTTCGAAAATGCTTGGTTTTTACGAAAAGTTGTTCGATGTGAAGTTTGTTAGTGTCAATAACACTGACTCTCTGTCTGTATGGCACCCAGATGTACGCAAATACGCCTTATTTTCCAACATTGAACACGGTGAGCCTAAGAATGAGTTCAGAGGGTGGATCTTCTTTGATCTTCACCCAAGAGACGGCAAATACACTCATGCCGCCAAGTTTGAACTCAATCCCGGCTTTGAAAAGCCTGATGGATCTCGCCAAACTCCATTCTGCGCCTTGGTGTGCAATTTCACCAAACCTAAGAAGGAGAAGCCTTCGTTATTGAGGCACAGCGAGGTGACCACCTTCTTCCACGAGCTCGGCCACGGTGTACACAGTTTATTGTCGAAGACAAAGCATGGCAGGTTCCATGGCACCCATGTCCCCGAGACTTTGTGGAATGTCCCTCGCAGATGTTGGAGTTTTGGACTTGGTCCCCCAATGAACTTAGAGAGTTGTCTTCTCATTACGAGACAGGTCAGCCACTCACTGAGGAGTTGCTCGAAAACTTGATAAAATCGAAGCGTGTGAACACGGGGTTGGCTAACTTGCGTCAGCTCCATTTCGCTCTTTTTGACATGCATCTCCACACAATTGCAGATGAGCAGGGCCTTGCTGCAGTTGATTTCGACAAGTTGTGGAACGAGTTACGTGAAGAAATCACTTTGATTGGTAATGGTGGTTTGACGACAAGAGGCTACGGTACCTTCGGACACATTGCCGGTGGTTATGAAAGTGGTTACTACGGATACTTGTACTCCCAGGTGTTTGCGACCGACATCTACTACACTCATTTCAAAGAGGATCCCATGAATGTCGAGAGAGGCTTGAAGTACCGCGACACTATCTTGAAGAATGGAGGTTCGAAGGAAGTGTTGGATATCTTGAAAGAGTTGCTTGGCAGGGAGCCTAACGCTAAGGCTTTTACCATGGAATTGTTGGGCAGTGTCTAAGTGTTTCTATGTATAGCACAACGCTGATATCGGTTAATGAATTTCATTGGGTAACCTCATATGATGCAAGTTTCTCACTCCTCACAGCCTCTCCTTCTATAAGCATCTGGTACGACGGATCAGATGAGGCCAAGTTCCGAGTGAAATGCTCCTTCTTTTAATCTAGTAGTCTGAGCCGAGTTTATTTCCTTGCTCGAGCTTTTCTCATTCCTACAACTTGTAGTTCTATATTTGTGACTTTCCCTGAGGATCGCCGTACATAGTAAAAACTTGCAACCACACACAAACCAACAGCTTCAATAAAAATTACAAAAACAAAAAAAAAAAAAGTAAACCAAAGGACCAACTAAACATTCCCATCACATCCTAAATTGCATCTTCCCGTAACAATACATCTCCTCCCTCCACTGGGGACCACTTGATCCCTACCTGGACCGAGCAACCACATTAACCCATCCTACGCATCCAAGCCCCAGTGCCAGCGAGGCGAGCGGCTTCTACGCTACAGCCCCGTCTGTTTCACCCCACGTCCAGCTCGTTACGTCAGCCCACTGCAACCGTAAATCGACACTTGTAAACGCGTGCCTTTCGACAAAGCCCATTTTTGGCAACAGAGGAAAAACGATTCTCGCGGTGTCTCACAAGGCGGACGAATGCCACAAAACCCCGAGGCGTTGTTACTTAACTGCCCGCAAGGGATAAGACATGAGGGCGCCGCCAGGGCAACAAATGAAAACAGGTGAAAGCGCAATGCAAGCAACACCCGAAGAGACGGAACCAGAGACGAGAAACTTAAATTCTTATCCTTTTATTTTAGGTGACGACGTTGATTATCGTGAATTGCACGGCGCAAGCTGAGTGGCTGTGAGCGTAAATTAAAAAAAAAAAAAAACAGGCCAGTCTGGGTTGCGAAAAATAAACAGTCTTCAGCCTACGATCTGCTGTCGGGCGCACATTTTTACGTGCTCGGTAAAGCAACGCCCTCAGCCCCGAAAGAAAATCTAACCGTTGGGATGCATGTCTCGATTTGAGAGCGCCTTTCGACATGAACAAAACGTAAACAGAAAGAGAGGTGCCGCTCCGTCAAAGCACGCTCTGAGGACAGAGCATTTTCAAAATGTAAGGAAACTTCATCAACAGTTCCTGCCCTTCCTCCTTTTCTCGTTTTTTCCCTTTTCGCTATCTCCCTGCCGCGACTGCGCCTATTTAGATCCTGCCGAAACGGGCCGTCGCGGCTTGCCCACATCGCCCAGAAACACACAACCTTGACATTGACACAGCCAAGAGCAGCCAAGACTGTCAAATGATAAGAACTCCGAACCTTGATCTCAACACTGATTGTAGAATACATCTCGTGTGGACAGTGTCTCAGACATCGCTGCGCACATATGTCAACATCGGGGCACAATAGCTAAGCCAGGCTGCGAAACGACACTGTCAACTTTGTCGTGGCGCTCAAAACCTGCCAAGGGTGAGCCCCAAACTGCAACTGGAGACACTATAAGACTATAATTAAACAGCCAAAAAGCAACCCCAGCACCGTCAGCAGCGCCAGCACCGCCGGCTTTTTTTAGCAGGATGCCTGTTTTGGTACACGCCGCCGCGGCATTTTTCATCACACCGCTCCGGCTGTGTGTTTCCCTGCGATACATATGCTTGATCCTCGCTCTTCCGTATTTTCTCTCTCATCACCCCATGCTTTTTCACTCGTTGATCACCGCCGCCGTCGCCTTTGCCGGCCTGGCCCTGGCTTCCTTGCCTGCTATTGAGATTGTTGGCAACAAGTTCTACTTCTCTAATAATGGATCCCAGTTCTTGATGAGAGGTATTGCCTACCAGCAGAACTCAACCAACGCCGCCGCTAACGAGAAGTTCGTCGACCCCTTGGCTGACGTCGACATCTGTAAAAGAGACATTCCTTACTTGCAGCAGTTGAACACCAACATCATCAGAGTGTACGCTTTGGACGCCGACAAGGACCACACGGAATGTATGAAGATGTTGGACGACGCTGGAATCTACGTCGTGGCCGATTTGTCCGAGCCTGAAATTTCTATCGACAGATCCGACCCTGCTTGGAACACCGACTTGTTGGCCAGATACACCTCTGTGGTTGACAAGTTCTCTAACTACACCAACGTTTTGGGTTTCTTTGCCGGTAACGAAGTCACTAACGAACCCTCCAACACCAATGCTTCCGCTTACGTCAAGGCTGCCGTCCGTGACACCAAGGCTTACATTAAGGAGAAGGGCTACAGGAAGATTCCTGTCGGTTACTCTGCCAACGACGACATGGCCATCAGAGTCGAGCTTGCCGACTACTTTGCTTGTGGTGATGACGACGACAGAGCCGACTTCTTCGGTATCAACATGTACGAGTGGTGCGGTACTTCTACTTTCGAGAAGTCCGGTTACCAGAACGTCACCAACGCTTACAAGAACTTGGGTATCCCTCTTTTCTTCTCTGAGTACGGCTGTAACGAGGTTCGCCCTAGAAAGTTCCAGGAAGTTGGCACCATTTACTCCGACAAGATGACCGACGTTTGGTCTGGTGGTATTGTCTTCATGTACTTCGAGGAGAAGAACCAGTACGGTCTTGTCTCTGCTTCTGGTTCTTCTGTGTCTACCTTGAGCGACTTCAACAACTACAAGTCCGAGATCCAGTCGATTTCTCCTTCCTACGCTTCCATCAACACTGCTGACTCCACTTCTGCTGCTTCCGTCACCTCTTGTCCTTCTGTGGGTGCTGTTTGGCAGGCTGCCACCGCCTTGCCTCCTACCCCAGATGCTGAGGTTTGTGAGTGTATGGAGAAGTCTTTGACCTGTGTTGTCAAGGACGATGTGAAAAGTGACGACTACTCCGACCTCTTCAACTACATCTGCTCTCGTTCTGGCTTCGACTGTTCTGGTGTAAGTGGTAACGCTACCGCTGGTGAGTACGGTGCTTACTCTGCCTGTGGCGCCAAGCAGAAGTTGAACTTCCTTCTTGACTTGTACTACAAGGAGAACGGTTCCAAGGCCTCCAACTGTGACTTCAGCGGCTCTGCCACTACCCAGTCTGCCACCACCGCCTCTTCTTGCTCTGGCTACATTTCCAGCGCTGGTGAGTCTGGTCTTGGTACTGTGACTGGTAACATTCTTGCTGCTGCTTCTGGTGCTCAGAGTGCTACTTCTGGCTCTTCCCGTTCTGGCTCTGGTTCCGGTTCTGGTTCCCGTTCCGGCTCCTCTTCCGGCTCCACCTCTTCCAGCACTTCTAGTTCTTCTTCTGGTGCTGGCAGCAGTATTCACGGCTCCTCTTTCGCCAATACTGCAGTCTTGATGATTGTTTCCGCTTTCTTCATCACCGTGGGCTTCATCTTGGTTTAAAAGCCTTCGTTACTACGTCGTGTTTATATAATTGAACGTATTCAACTGTTATTATGCTATGTACTTGCTGGGGGTATCTCCGCTTAATTTTCTTCACACACCATCTTGCGGATCTCCCAGAAGTAATCACCACTAAAAGTACTCTGCTTGTTCAGCCGGTACTGCTCTCTCGGCGCAAACCAATTGTGCGTCTTTCTCCTGATTTTGGCCTCCTCCTTCTCAAACCTGCTGAGATTTTTGGCCAGAAGCTGGAACTCTTCGCCGAGACTTTGATGGCCCGTAGCAGAGCTACGACCACTGGAGGCAGTCAGGACTGTTCGTTGAGTGAAGGTGCTGACCCCTCTTCCTTGTGTATCAAATTGCAAATTGGCTCTGGCATACTGCGGAATGTCGTTGGGTTCAAGATCTGGTAAATCTTCGAATATCTTTTCGTTCTCTCTGTCGTCGTCATCCATATTCACCCAGCGCAAGTTTTCCGCATCGTACTTCATGTTACCTTGGATTTTCCCAGTCTTGGGCTGGAAATCCTGCTTCCTTATAAGACCGGGCTTTTTCGTTTGATGCTCCTCATGCTCCTCGAAACGCATGAGATCATGATCGTTGCCCTCCCAAAGTTTATTTGTAGGATTGTAGGTCATTTTGTTATTCGAGCTTACCGCAGGGACATTGCTGTCATGATTGAGAAACTTCACCAATCCAACTCCTCTTCTTTTGGTAGGGTGGTCCTTGGATATATGCTTATTCTTTTTGGGGCTCGTATTGAGCTTTTTTTGCTTCTCCGTAATTTCCATGTACTTATCAAGAAGTTCTTTCTTCCGAAGCTCCATATCGTGGTTGATCTGATCGTCACTCTTGGGCTCTGAACGTCTTGGTTGACTGTGGAAGGAGGGCATGCGATTGAGTCTTTTGATAATCTCATTATTATGATTGAATGCAGCTTGATCATTGCGAGTGAACGCTGCCAAGTCCATAGTGGACTTATATTTCGTTGGTTTCGATGGTTCCAAAGATTTAGGGAAATTTGGCATCGACATCTCTCGTGCAAGACGTTTCTTCTTTGAATCAGAACGATGGAATTTCGAGATCTCGAGATCCAAAGGTTGATCCAAATCAAAGCCATCTTCGAAGGCTTCGTGGTCATCACGCGTGTACTCATAATTGACAGTGTGTTCATTCTCCAACGGATCCTGATTGATTTGATGGCTGGACATGGCGTAGTTGAGGTCTTTCAATTTGAGTGTATTCACTGCTGATTCGTCATGCTTCAGCTGCTTGTAGCGCTCATACATTTCTTCCTCTTCCTTCTCCGCCTGTCGCTGGAGCTGTTCCTTCCTTTTAGATAGTATCTGCCCCGCTTTGCTGAGATTCTCTTGATTGGATCTGCCACCACTGCTATAGATCCCGCTCTCTTCTTTACCAAAGATATCATCTATTTCCTCCTCGAAGTCGTCGTCGTCCAATTCGGATGTCATTGCTGTGTCGGTTCCCTCACTATAGTCGCTCAATGACCTTCTTCGAAGTGGAGAAGGATTGGAAGCTGTTCCCGGCGAAAATTTAGCCTTGGGCGTCACGAGTTGTTTGTTTTGCCGGAGACTGTCACTTGGATTGAAAAGATCATTCTCGTTGAACTCCTTGTCGAAGGACAAATGGTCTTCTTCCGACTCCACAAACTGCATCATGAAGCCAGGCGATAGGGAGGGCTTATGATTTAGCTGACGAGCTGGCTGCTTTTTTGGGGATAATCGTAGGGTGCCCATGTCCTCTTCAAGACCAAAGATGCCATTGTTTTGGGAGGGTCTTAGCGTTGGGATTCCGTCGGCTTCGAAATCCAATTCCTCATCACTATGTTCTCGGAGACTCGCCAATCTGGCCAGCTTCTGCCGAGATATCCGCTCACGACTCATATAGAGGCTTTTGTGATGTAATGGTACTTTGTTGAGTAGTACGTTCACCTCAGATCAAACATAAACATGTCATGCCTCTGTACACCATGCATGGAAAAGTAATGCGGCGCTCCCGGTCAAAAGCCAAAAGCTGAAAAACTTGCGATCTGGCTGTTGGGGTGCCTTTGATGAAAATTCCGAATACTTTGTGAATAAAAAAAAAAAAATCAATTATTGATTCAGGATTGATGGTGAATGGAAGATGTATTTTTCAACAACCGTTTTGATGCACTTGATCAGAGGTAACTAGATTGTGGTAATCGCGACAATGATCAGATAGACAACGGCGTACTTTATGAGAGTCCATTTTCTTTTGCGCTTTTGCGCTCTTGATAAGAAAGGAAGGTTGCAAAAAGGTGTTCCGTTCAAACCATGTTGTAATGTTGAGTGAATTGTCAGACCAAGACGAATGCGCAAATGGAGGCAAGTGAAGATCACCGAGCCCAAAAAGATATCGAACCCAAAAACTCTAAGCTGCATTATCTTCATGAACAAAGGTTGGCTGAAAGGAGTTGACGTAATTTAGCAAGACGCCACTGATGATGATCAATGGTGTTAAACCCTCTATTGAACCAGCGCAGTGGACATTTTTTTGCAACCACGCTTCAAACCTGACGATGTACATGAAACCATAAAAGGTCCCAGGTTTAAAAGAAAACAAGATTAACCAGATCCACACTGAAGACGTAAGTACGTCCTAAACGAGTGAGATGCTGCGGGATGCTCTGGCATATTTCGTGCAGCTTACATCAAAGAGATTTCCCTTGACAAAATTATGTGGAATGTAGCGCAGAGAACCATTAATCGAGAACTCCCGGACTTTACCCAAAATCAAGGGTTCCTATTATCCTTTGTTTTCTTGGATCCGAAGCGCCACTTTGCGCCGTGATAAAGAAAACGGAACCGGAGTCAGCAGCAGATTCAAAGAAAGTCTGGACAATATTGGGCACGAGTCAGCCCAACATCTTTTTCATAATTTGCGTCAATGCGATGCACCATGAACCGTGTTTTGTTTCTTGGGACAACCAGGTGGCTCCTTGGTTTCATTCCGAAAGTTCACAATCTGTCCAACATCAGCTATGGTTTCATAATGCAAAGTGGTATGTCTGCAAACATTGCTTACTTTGAAGTACAAATGGCGCTTCCACTTTCCTCTAATTAAGACGAATAGACTTAACCGTGCTTCAACAACGTATCTTAAGCCACAAGATATTATATTTGAAAGCATGAGGAGCCTTTATCCAAATGAAGAAGTCCGTCCGTTTGCCATTATCACCTGTACAATCGACCAGTAGCTCTTTCATGAAGTATGAGTAGATGGCTTGGAAAAATCTATGAAGATGCCATCGCTGTGAAATCGCGAGCGAGTAAAAGAGAGAAGGAGAAGCATCTACGCCCCTGAAATAGGCTCTGAGCAGTGAAAAGACAAAATTACGGCTTCAGCTGATCAAGAGGTGGTCAGGATTAAAAAAATAATGCCTTCAGCCAGATTCGAACTGACGATCTCCTCATTACTAGTGAGGTGCCTTACCAACTTGGCCATAAAGGCGTGAAGTAGTAACGATTTAGGGCAGCAAAACTAAGTCGTTCAGTTCCAGCAGGTCACAGAACACCTAGAATTACCAAAATTTGATGTTATGGAACTTCCAGGCATGCTTTGTGTGCTATGGGGCAAAAGAAGGCCAAAAAACGCGTTTTCACTGAGTTATGGTCGAAAAAGGAAATTGATGGTGCTCAGCGGCTATGCAACATATTTGCAATTCGTAGAATCGGATTTGTCGGAATACACAGTATAAGTAATAGTTTCGCCTTGAAATTTGGATACGAAATTGTATCCATTTAGGGCTAACCGCGGCATGTTCAGTGATGTACCAACTACTACATGCTGATGCGATCGCGCATTAGAGTTTTTCACTTGCAGAAGGCCGCATGGGAACGCCTGAACTTGGAATGGATGGATTCTCGGTACGGAAGTAATCCCATTTTTCGGCCCACTCAAATTTAAGAAGCCCTGTTCTCGACAGTTCAGAATTAAAAAAAGAAAGCCCGATGCGGGCTCGAACCCGCAACCTTTTGATTGACCTTAGATGATTAAGAGTCAAATGCTCTACCGATTGAGCTAACCAGGCTTCTTGTTTCGCAAAGAAAAGTAGCATGAATATATCGTTATAGACCTTCAAGTCATACAAATGTCAGTTTTGAGGTATGTATCTCAATAAGAGACCTCTGGGGATAAACCTGTCCAAATTTGATCGATAAAAAAAAAATTGAGCTCTTCAATCAAAAAACTGGACGATTTACACCCAGAATTCGTTTCATGAGGGCGATTTATTGCTCAAGGACAACTGTTAAGATCTCTTCCGACATCATTTCAGTCATTCATCCCCCTCTTAAAGAGGGAGTAATTGAAGGATGTAAGAATTTCGGATTGGTGATGGTATCATGGCCAGGGAGAAAAAGCTGCCGTGATAGCAGTAACAGTGACACAATACGTCACCAAGAAGACTTCCTCATTCAACGTTTATCAAGTTCGAACTGTCATTGATATCCTTCAATGTCTTTCAAAATCTTCCCAAGGTGTGGAGGGCAATAAATCCGACTGTGCCAACTAGAGATTGCTCACTTAAGAACGAGTAATCAACTCTCTTCCAGAATTCTTGGAGGGTAGGATTCTTGACAATGGAGCTCATATTTTATGCTAGTCCTTCATATTTATTCACACAAATGTGTTAGCCCAGAGAAGAAATAGTTCTTAGAGAAGGAATTGGGTTAGGATTTGTTTTTTTCGCTTTTCGTTTACAAGCCACCCCTCAAAATAGAGAGAAAAAAATTTTGAAAATACCTGGAGAGACAAAAAGATTGGATGCATTATTTCACTGATGGAAAGGCTGGATGAATATGATTATAGGATACAGAATATCAAGTAACTCTTCTGATACATCAGTTGAGGAAGGTGGTAGAGCTGTTGAGTTTTGGGTCGATAAGCAAGGCAAGTGGGTTTGGAAAACTGAGTATCGTACTTTTGGAGAGATGATCTCACTGATGTTGTTTCTATAGACCCATAGTCTTGAAGGAAAATTGGTTTATTAGTTTTTAAAAAAACGCTCAATCTTACCATGACTTCGGACAGCCTATAAATATTGTCAAAATTTTAGAAAAGACCAGTGGTCATACAACTCAGATTTAGAGGCAGCATTATACATATGCATCTTTTTGTGTCCGTCGTGCTGAAGATAACTTGTAACCACTCATCATGCAATCCAAATGTAGCAAAGTCTTCCAACACTTTAGGCCACAAGCTAGCACAGACTACTCTCAAATAACAAAGAGAGATTCGACTAAGGAGAAATCTGAAAACTGGTAGTTCTCATTAATTTAATGCTGTGATAATTCCATCGTCATAGCAGGTAATGTAAGTAATCATGGGTTCAAAATTTCAGGGGCATCGTTAGAAATTATTCCAACAACAAAAAGCGGGATTTTACCTCGAATGCCCGAACACCCGGGTTGTAATAATACATTCAGAATCACCAACATACACACACAACTTCCATAAATGGCTCGGCTACACACATGTTTGAGTAACCACTTAAAAAGAAGTGTTTTGTGGATCTGTTGGAATACCGTGATACGTGGACCGGTTCTTTCTGCAAATTTGTGTTGCAGAGCAAAGACCTACGGTGACACAAAAGAGAAGATTTCATTCTCCACGACTTTGGGAAAATCAATGAGCAAAGCCCCTAAACGCTACACTATCTCGCTGAGTCTTGTAACTCGGCCACCAATTCGAGAGACCCTTGATCTATTTTCTTGAAGTTGTTGAATGGTGTAATGCGTACATGAACCCAGGAAAAATAGGCTACTCCCCGATTCACCGTTCGTCCGGATTGCCGCCTAGTCTCGTGTGGCTCTCAGAATTAGATGGAATAAAGTTGGAAAAATAAAGAGAGAAATAAATTAGCCGAGTTTCATGCGTTGCACGTCCTCGTAGCGAGCCAAACAACCGGTATGATTTTCGGAGAGGTGGTGGGCTGAATAAGCAGAAGCAGGGCGGCTAGAGCGACGTAGAAAAAAAAGGGCAAGCGACAAAAGAGCGCCCCCAATTGCAACATGAATCATTAAATATCAATCTAAGAAAAGAAACCCGCCAAGAAAGCAGCCAGTCAATGGAGCCCAAACTGCTATAGCTACAGGGGTTTGACCGCACGGCTTGTGTAAGGGCGGCATTTTTAACCGATGCAGCAGATCTATAGTTGGTTGGATTACATCACGTATAACGTCCCAATGGAGGACTAAGTGGAAATAGCACAAAGGTGTGAACGCCACACAAAAGGACCGTTACCGAAGGAGCGTATTGTACGACGTGCTGGATGCGTCAACTAAAATAATTCACAGCAACGATGCGCTTACAGGGTCCGTAGGGGTCCGTAGGAGTAGACGAAGGGCCACCATTCTCGAGAATGGCAACTCGTTCGGCCCGGTTGTGAGGTGGAGCAAACGGGGAATACGAGGCCAGCGGGCTGTATGCCGACTGATAAGGATTCTAGAAACCAGAGGGAGCAGGAACCTGGGAAAGAAGAAACACGAACAAGGCTGGCGCGAAGCCACAAAAGCTGCCACCAAATTCGAGTCTTGTGCGAGTTGTTTGAGCGAGCAGCCCGGCGACGGCCCGAGCGATGGACCAAGGCAGGCTGCGCCACGTAAGGGTTTGGGGGATTTAGAGGCCGATTTAGGCGGTGATGCTTGTACGAATAAGGAAGGACGCCATGCGGTTGCGACAAAAAAAAAAAAAAAATAAAATAAAATAAAATGCACCCTGTCTCGAACCAGCGGCCATGTAAGAATTAGCGCGGGTCTTTGCACACAGCACATCTCGCAGATTGCAGCAGCAGCAGCGGTAGAAATGGCAGCAGCAGCAGGAGTAGCTCTTGCCCTCGGTTATGTCTGAGCTTCAATATAGGGCAGATTCCAGGAGGCGGGCACTGTCTCAGACGGAGACAAAGAACCGCAAAGGTGCTTTTGCAACCCACCTCTCGATGCACTCTGCAAAACAGCCAGCTTGGCAGGGAGCAAGCCGTTTCCGCATCTTTTTTTTTTTTTCATCTGAAAGTCGAGAAAAACTGGAGTTGCTAGCCGAGCCTGATCGCCATGTTGGTCGGGTAGCAAGCAGGTGTGCTGACGAGGTGGGCCGGCAGAAAAGGGTTTATGGACCCTGGATAGGTGCTGGGGTTGCAGCGAAAAATTGTCCTGGCACGTGTGCTCGGACCCCGGTGAAAATCACCTGCCCGCCGGGGGACCCCAGTGGTGGCCGTGGCTGAAAAGCAAGATTATTACTTTTAAAAAAAAACAAGAGTTACTGAGCCGTCCCTGGTGCATTCTGGAGACCCCACTGGCGTTGGGGGCGCCGTTGATGTAGGTAAAGACGGCGCTGATAATATCGGCAGTCGAAGCTTTCCCACAGCGGCTACTGCAGACAGGCGCTTTTGACAGGTTGAACAAGGCTCCACCGAGGGGCCCCACCGGCAAAAATGACCCCGTCGAGCCGTCCCCACGCAAGAGCATGCAAAATCAGCATTACCGCTTTGTGCGGCCACCACCCCAGCAAAACCCCTCGGTGTTGTATTAGTCTTTCACTGTTCTGTGTACATTGCGCTTTCTTCATATGTCGATGCCAGGGAAACAGCCGCGGATGCCGTGCAGCCACGCGCACATCGTAAGCACAGCTTGATGAGCCCAAACAATCGAGCGATACCCTTTGACTAAGAATCAGGTCCGCGCCTTGTGGGTCGGAATGTTGAAATTAAAAAAATTGGGCCGATCGACAAAAGCCACAAACAGCCGCCCCGTTCTTGAAATATGCGGCGGTATTTTTCTTTTGTGGGCTCGCTCTATTGACGTCGGCTCTCAGCCAAGATGAGCGACGCAGGGCTACTTGTGTTGCTGTCAAGCGCATCTGCATTTACTAGCACTACTTCGGTTTTTCCGCAGTTTACGATTGTGCGTCTTTTTTACTCTTTTCTGTTCTTGTACGTCCTCCTCTGCTTTTTCTCCATCGTCCTCCATTGTGTTATATACTGGGCCTACTCTCCTCGAGGGTCCGGATCTCCAAGAAGCTACGGGTCTCTTCAAACACCACTGCTGTTCCATAGTGCCTGATTTCCCCTTTCGACTTTGTCGCCACCCTTCCAGAATCCATCCGAAGTGTCTTTCCCCGTGCTTCTACCCCGGCACCTCCCTGCTGCTGCAAACCGCCTGGACATGAACCTGAATTCCTCCATCATGGGGTTATCGACAGAAGACCATCTCCAGGACGACGTCCCTTTTGACGACGACGAGGGTCTTCCCCAGAATATCCCGTCCTACCCACTGTCCGATATCCACGCCTTGGACTCCCAGAACTCCTCTGTCCTTAACCAACACCACCCGTCTCTGTCGGAGTTCTCCTCCTCCAGGGCCCCTCATAATGCCAAATATCCTCCACAGCTCCAGCGAAGACTCCCCAGGGCGTTTCCCCTGGCAACGGTGCTGAACCATCCCGGTTCCACCCATGAGATTATGGCCCAGCATGACGACAACTTGCACTCTCCCTTGACCCAGGAGCAACCCCATCCAAATCACGATCTGTCCAGTGCCGGGCAGGATTACCCTCCGCAGCAGATACCGCTCCACGGCCTCTCAATGCCCAGTCTTCAGTCTAAACCGGCCCTGATACCCCATATCCAGGCGCCGTTGCAATACCAGTTTGCCGGCCAGATGCCCCAGCCTTCCATACAAAGCCAGCCCCAGCTAATAAACATCCCCCACATGCCCCAGCAGTACCCACAGATGCCACAATACACTCAGCATCTACCACAGCTGCTTCCTCCCCAGCCTGCCCACCAGCCTCCCCAGATTCTTTCATCCAGCATGCCCATAACCACTCAGCTGCCCCAGATGTCTTCACACCACCAACAGCACTACCTGCCTCCTTTGCAAGGCATGCACGAGCCGCCGTACCTGAATTCGTCATATGCTGCTCAAAAGCGCCATAGTGAGGATGATATCAGCGACGGCAATAAGCAAAGAGTTGCACCCAGAAGAGCAGACTTGTTCCGTGTGGGACCGCCGTTTTCTGGAACAGCTGAGCATAGTCCCATTTTCCGTGGTGACACCCATGAGAGGCTCGTCCCCCACATCGAGGCCCGTATAGATAGAGGGTTCGAGTTGGCTGGTTCGGGGAACTGGATTGGCTACAAGCGCAATTACTTCACCATGGTGGTTGCATTTGACCTTGGAATCGACTTTTCCACATTCTCAAACACTACATTCTACACTTCTAGACACCTGGACGTGGGCCCCGAGGATGTCCCAATAAATTATTTTGCGCTCAACATCGAAGCCAAGTGCTCTGATTCAGATGCTCAGGTCAGCCTTGTTCAGCACACCCCAAAGAGAGACAAGGGTCCTCAGAACGCTCCTCCTATCTTCCCGGCCGTTCCTGGTCGTCTTCCCGATCATGAAACCGTGAAGGAATCATGCAACAAGAGAAATGACACCAAGCTCGAGCTGATGAACAAAATCTTCAACTTCGATAGAGACGATTTCTATTCTCACCAGCGTCACAATCAGAACACTAATCACTCCGTTCTCAGCACATACCCTGAAAACAAGATTGCCCGGGTAGCACGCTTCGAGAGAATCCAGTTTACCAAATCCATCCGTACCAAGGTCACTACAATGCAACACAAGTACTTCACTTTGCACGCAGAGCTTGTGGGTGTATTGGATAGTGGCCTAGAGGAGGAGGAGGAGCACGTTGTGCTTGCTTCGTCCAGAACTCCTGGTTTGCTTGTCCGAGGCAGGTCTCCCTCCAAATACCACACAGAAAAAACATCTGGTTACCGGGGTCGAAGCGATTCTGAGAACTACAGTATGTAAATAGTTTTTCCACCAATCTACGAAGTTACGCGAAAGATCTTCAAACGTTCTGTAGTATCAAATAGCCGAAAGCTTATTTAGAACACAAAACTATAAGGCTTACTTATTGATGAAGTTTTCAATATCGATGCTGATCTGCCTCTTGTGTGTACTGCAAATTCCGTGAGATGCCTCCGGGTAGGCCTTCTCGGTACCTTTGGGCAACAATTTCAAGGCATTGAGACTGGCCGTTTTTGGAGGAACGATTTGATCATCCTCACCATAGATCACCAACGTTGGAATGTCAACTTTCTTCAAATCCTCCCTCTGGTCAGTCTCAGAGAAAGCTTCAACGCAATCATAAAGTGCTTTGATTGAGGCCTGCATTCCCTGGTACCAGAATCCATCGATCAAGCCTTGGGATGTATCGACGTCTTCACGATTGAAGCCGTAAAACGTCAAAGCCAATTTCTTGAAAAACAGCGACCTGTCTTTCAAAACGTTTCCTCTGATCTCGTCAAAGGTATCTTTTGGAACACCGTCAGGATTGAAGTCGGTCTTGACCAAAAGAGGAGGAACAGCACCAATCAAAACGGCCTTCAGGGCTTTTTTGGTTCCATGACGAGCAAGGTACCTTACGACTTCACCTCCACCAGTAGAATGGCCCACATGTACTACACTCTTCAAATCCAAGTGATTGATTAGTTCAGCCAAATCATCGGCGTACTGGTCCATATTGTGACCATCCCATGGCTGCGAAGATCTGCCATGGCCTCTTCTGTCGTGAGCAATAACCCTGTATCCCTTCAGAGCCAAGTAATACATCTGGTCCTCAAAAGCATCGGAAGACAACGGCCAGCCGTGGGAGAAGACAATTGGGTCTCCAGTGCCCCAGTCTTTGTAGAATAAGTCAGTTCCGTCTTTGAGTTTCAAATATGAGCTGCCCATAATGTGTTAGAAGATGGCAATTAGAAAGAAGAGGAATTGAGGCGCTTTATGGAGAAGCCATGACAGCAAGCAATTATAGAAATAGACGAGGATCAGAGGTAGGCTGGGGATTTAAACCTGGGGGCTTTCCTCATTGTGTGCAGCGCGATTGCTTCACTATAGTCTTCACAATTAGGGGTACGATTTTCCAGGGACCCTGAAATCGAGGATTAAGGTTTGACCCTGGAGATTTAAAATCTGGGGAATTGCTAACTCTAAAAGCCACAAAGCCAACACCCTCGGTACGAGCCGCTCGTGCCGATGTCACATTTGAAGCAACGCGTTCGTTATGTGGAGCAGTGGATTGCCGCCAGGTGGATGCAATGAGATTCTAGCCGATACCCTAGTAGTTTGACGAGCCCACCATGAACAGTTGCTAGTTATTCACACGGATCTGGGGGTTTATGGGTTATGAACTGGACCTGTAGCGCAAGTTGTCATGGCAAGACGCAAATGCGTTAACTAACCATCGAATGCTTAAAAGAGCTAACCGACTCGCTCATTTGCGGGACCCCGCCCACTCGAAATAGTTTCACCCCTAAAGTATGGCCACACAGTGAAGGGGCCCGAATTTGAAATACTTCTGGCCCGGGAACCGATAAAAATCCAGATAACCAATGCCATTGACTTCGATTCTTCCTGCGTTCGACTCCGATTCTTCCTGCGGTGAAACAAGAGACGAGCAGATTAACCGGTCGGCAGGCGTGTCTCGAGGTGCTAAGCTGTTTAGTAACTGATGTCAGGTTCCTTGCATGCTGAAACCTTATAAGATCAGCTCTGCTTCAGGAGTGCCGCCCGTAGCTGCAAAGCATCGCTCTACTTTTCTACCTTCCATCTGCAACGGAAATGGTATCGAAGTACGATTACCTTATATATGCATGTTTCCATACTGGCTGGTGCAAGACTTCTTACTGTACATGGCCTGGCCATGTTGCATTTTTGCCACCCACTGCGCCTAGTGTGGTCCCATTCGACCGTTCTTTTGACTCGGGATGGTTGAAAGAGTCAATCTAAGGGGTTTGGCTGCTTTTGAGTAAAGGCGGGTATTTTGATCGGGGCGGTGCTCTGACCCGCCCTAGACAATTTTAAAGGCACTCGAAGGATCCCTTTATTTGTAAAACTTCTTCAGAATTTTACCTTTTGACCTCACTGAGGTTTCTGTTGTGTTGTGCTGAACTATCCTGTTCATCTACGCATGGGAGTACTAACCACATGCGAACCACAAACAATGGATAAGCGCCACAGGCAGATTTGATGAAGTTTTCGAAACCTAAAGCCCTCAGTAAATGTTACGAGGGAATTTGTTCCCCAGCTTGCTTTAAAACATTTGTGGCCGCCAGACAGGTGCTGTGCCAAAGACAATCCATTCGTTTATCTAAGACGCTGGCTTAGTTGACGATGATCCCCTTATCTGTAGTTTGGTCGTAAAACATGCTACAAAAGGCGGGAACAAGGTGGCTTCCGTGCCCGCTTTAAGAAGCCATGCAGATATCTCGAATCGATTGCCTAAGATAATGATCCCAGGGATGTGAATTTCTAAATCTCTTTGCCCACAAGCCATGAATAATTTACTTTTTCTTCTGGACTACAGTTGCAGACATCCTAGCACTGTCAAAATCACTATTCTGCTGTCTGGATCGCTTAAGGCACTTGGGCGATAACTAGACTCCAGTTACTGATGTATGAACAAATAACCATTTGCTTCGTTTCGATACAAATTTAGGATATGGAGGTACTACCTCCTCTACTCACTAGTGACTTGTGGGTTCCATATGTAACTCGCGCCATTGTAACAAAGCAGTGGGTCGTTGTAGAAGAGGTACTAGGTTTCCGCTGCTCAAAATGCATCTTATTGCATCGACCTTGAAATACCAATCGCTTCACAACATAAACTTCACTAGAAATAACTCTAAAAAAATCTAATCTAGCTCGTGATACTTACTACCACTATGGATGCAACCTCGGCATACTACAGGTGCACCTGCTCGCAAATGGACCAACCACAGCCCTCTCAATGCCAATAAGCATCTCATCGACTCGGAGTCCTCAAAAACTTCGCAATCCCGAAACTCTTGGGATTTTAAAATTTCTTCCATCTCGGAGAATCTTGTTTCTTTTGGCCATTGTTCATCACAGGGCTTCTTCTGCATGCTCGCCATTTTTTCCCCAGAAAACATCAACTACACTGCATCACCAACTACTTGTACCATAGACCAGTTTTACACACGCTTTGCGACACAGCTAGACCAATCCTTGTCGTTTTGACTCCCTTATAACAACCTCACATGCATCACAGTCCGTCTATGGACGATAGCCATCGCATGGGACGATCCCGCTCGTCAGAGGAAATACCGACAAAGCATGACATGGACACTCAATCCCGAGAGCACAGCAGCAAACGGCTGCAGAAAATTATAGACAAGCATTCCACTGAATATGTTGTTCGGCTGGGTATTGCTGGGGGCATCTCCGGCTCGGCTGCCAAAACGCTCATTGCTCCCATGGACCGTATCAAGATCTTGTTCCAAACGTCGAACCCAGAGTTTCTACAATACAGAGGGCTGTTCCAAGGTTTGTTCCAGGCTGGCCGCAAAATATGGGCCAACGATGGCCTCTACGGTCTTTTCCAGGGTCACCTGGTCACCTTGCTTCGTATTTTCCCATACGCTGCCATCAAATTTGTTGCATACGAGCAGATCAGATCCATGCTCATTCCTAATGACTCTTACGAAACCGCTGTCCGCAGATTCATGGCTGGCTCCCTTTCGGGCTTGACCAGTGTCTTTTTCACATATCCTTTAGATTTGGTTCGTGTCCGTTTGGCCTTCGAGACGAGGAACCTTCAACACACCTTGCCTGGCCACGATCACCAGGCCTTTATTGCCCATCATAAGGGTCGCTTATTCTCAATTTTAAAACAAGTTTACCTGGAACACCCACCCCACCGCGAGTCTGACCCCAACTGGATCAAGTTCATGAGGAAAAAGACCCCACAAAGCCTTGTCCCGCTATCCAACTTCTATAGAGGATTTGGCCCCACAATATTGGGCATGATTCCTTACGCTGGTGTGTCTTTCTACGTGCATGACTCCATCCACGATCTCTTCAGATCAAAGCTTTTAAGACCCTATATGGTTGCCCAACCATACTCATACGTTTCAAGTCACAAGGTTGTGAAAATGTCCAAAGACAAACAAAATGTGAGTTCTAGAGACTCTAGGGTCCCTCTTCGAGCGTCAGCACAGCTCTTCGCCGGTGGTTTAGCAGGCATGTGCTCTCAAACAGCAGCTTACCCATTTGAAGTCATCAGAAGAAGGATGCAAGTGGGCGGTGCCGTCAACTCCGGTAAATTTCTCACTTTCAAAAGGACAATGCAAGTGATCTTTGCCGAAAGCGGCATAAGAGGATTCTTTGTGGGTTTGTCCATCGGCTACATGAAGGTTATCCCTATGCTGGCGTGCTCCTTCTTTGTCTACGAACGATGCAAAGTGCTCCTTGGGATCTGACGAACTCTCAAATTGTCATTATTTATTTAGAAGTTCATGAGAACTCCGACGCTGGGGCTAGCCCCCGGCAAATTTATGTACATGTATTAGAAAAACCAGGAGAACCACTTGTTCTTTTTAGTGACTTTGGTCCCGAATCTAGGTGTAGCCTTAGCGGCAGAGCCAATATTGAAGCCCCATCTTTGCAACAACTTGACAATCAGTGGGGTCAAGGCTGCTGTCAATGGCACTCTGACAAAGATAAGCACAGACTTGTGGAGACCATATGCTATAGCAAACTCGGTCCAGGAAAACCAAGGAAACCAGGCTCCCTCGGGCTCAGGCTCATGTTGCTCGTGAATTCTATCAATCTCTTGTTCCTTCTCTAATTGTTCGTCACTCTTGCCGTAGCCAAAGTACTGCTTCACCTTGTTCTCATACAGCTGGATCTCCTCCTTGCCCATCAGGTGAACAAGTAAATAACAAAGCGGCAAGTCCAACATACTTAAAGTGAGGTAGACACCCAAAGCTGAATATCCGTAGTCCTTGATCAACTTCTTGATACCTTTGGGCTCCGGCTTCTTCACTGCATTGTTCAGCTGAAATCTTATCATTTGCTGGAACTGCAACCTGCTTCTACTAAGAAGCTGAGAAGGTTTTCCAAGCCGGAGGCTCCTTTTGAATATCGGACCGATCATAATGGCAAGTAGGCGATGTCAATGGTTAATGTTCGCACACCGGAAAATATAGGAACCGGTGCTTGTGCCTTGCCTGGTGGCGAGTTCCACCTACGTGTTTGACAATTCGAATATTTTGTTTTCCGAAAGTTGACTTATTTGAAGATTGTCACTTTTGGATAACAATGACGGATTTGACTTCTGTGAGGCGCTTTATGTATCCTCGGCTGCAATGCCATTGATAGAGAGAAGCTAAAAAGCCTGCATTTCAGTGTGATCCCGATCCATACAAAGCTTCATCTTCGCTAGTTCAATATGCCAATTATTACCTAAATGTGGAATAGTACTTCTCCTGAGCAAACCTGTGGGCGACTCTTTGAAGCACCTCCTCGCTATATACATCCTCGAGCTTCTCTTCACCCTTCAAAACTCTGTTCTCGTGGTTCTTCTGCTCGTCTTTCGTCATTACGACCACGTTCTGATAGCTCAATTCCTTGGAGGGGTCCCATCTTGAAAGCGTCAATCTTGTGGAATAGTTAGAGACCACCGACTTACCGCGAAACACTTCTTCCACGATGTATGGAACATCTCTGAGAGCGACTGGAGTTCTCTGGTCCAAATGGCCCAATCTAGCCTCTTGACCTGCCAAGCTCTGCAATATGCCATCGTAAATTTTGTATCTGTTTTTACCCTCGACGTATTCCACGGGGTATCCTGCCACCGTCGTAATGATGTGGGTAGCTAAGGCTAAACCGAACATTCCCGGCATGGTACCGAGAACTGGCAAGATACGGACACGGAAGCTCTTGAGAGCTGCAAGCTCCTCGACATCACCCTTGGCGATTTCATCCTCATCCAACGGCAAAAGACGGGCCTTCCTAGGGTCAGGCTTCTCGGCACTGAATACAACAGGAATGTTGGCAATTATGCCCCTCTTGGTCAAACGGATTCTCACGGCTCTTGCGAGTGGGTCTTCTTCAGTCTTCGAGATATCGGCAATATTGATTCTTGTAGGATCGGACTTGCATGCGGCACCACCAGACGAGATGACCTTAAGCTTCTTTTCATGACAGAATGTCAAGAGGTCGACCTTGGTGTCGATATTGTCAATGCAATCGACAACCAAGGTGGGGTCAAAATCACCGCCCAAGATGAGATCCTCTCCGCCGTTTTTGTCCCACAACTTGTTGTGGACGTCAATCTCCACCCAAGGTGCGATTTCATGCAAATGGCTTTTCAAGCAGTCAACCTTCGAAATACCGACATCCTTCAACTTGGCCACAGCGTGTCTGTTGAGCGACGAGAGCGACACTTGGTCGAAATCAATGATTCTGATCTTGCCCACACCGGAACGCACCAACATGGTAGCCACCCAGGACCCGACACCACCAGCTCCCACAACAACGATACGCTGATTACGGACCTTCTCCATTCCCTCTTCGGTGAGGAAAGCGTAATTTCTGGTCAATTGTTCACGGATGAGTTCCTCGGAGTGCTCTTTCTTCTTCTCGGGTTTAGCGTCAGATCTCCGTAGAGGAACGAGATCAGTATAACGATGATAAGCCTCAACGGCAGCAGCTGCCATCAAAGCAGCTGCCACCGCTACACTAGCAGTTCTGAGCGACATGACGAGTGTTTGAGATGAGACGGAAATGAACTTTTTCAGACTACGCTCATCTTTCCTGTCTGTAAGAGTTATTCCGGGGTACCAACGATACAACAAAACTGGAACAAAAGATCATATTGAGGATGACCATTGCATTAGAGGTATTGATGGCATGGAAGTCCTTTAAAATCAGTTCCAACGAATATACTTTGGTCCCATGTTCGCTTACAATGCCTTGAGGCAGTACATGCGAACAGGGTACAATTCCCTCGGTAGGCCCTTTTGGATATCACTAGCGATGAGCTTGAGCCCAGCCATTTCAAACAACTGTCTAAACTTAGCGTCCGTTCTCGTGACACTTGAATCCGTAGCATCAAAAATATCGTCCTGAGGAGCGATATTCTCCTTAACAATAAGGGTACCGTTCTCCATCAATGCCTCCTTACATCTCACCCAGAACTTCACGAGTTCCTCGTCAGGCAACTGTCCAACGCACCACTGGCACCACACGAGCCAGTAGCGACCCTTTTTCTCTGGCGATGCCTCCCACTCTTGCATGCCAATATCATATATATCTCCAAGTTTACCCTTTTGTGCTACAATAGCAAGTTCCTTCTCCATTTGGGCCACGAAAGGCTTTACAGGCTCTAACAAGTCACATCTATCACTAACCTTCCAGAGGAAATCTCTTGTGATTCTGCCAATTCCGGCACCCATGTCGATGGTAAGCTTCTCTTGGCCTGGAGGACACTCCATTCTTGTCTGGAGTTTTCGAAGGAATGTGGCAGACCCAACAATGTCAGCTTTTGGAACCAGGGTCTGCTCACCAAAACCACCCAAGACACCGTTTACCGATGCTGGCACAGACAGCCAGTAATCGATGGCGTCAGTGTAGTTGATCATGGAGTTGGGATCCTCATTCTGGATCAATTCATGGTTTAATTCAAGGGGCGGTTTGGCGGGCATGTCGATAGCACTGTAGGTGAAGAGCAGCGATTTAAAAAACTGTCTCACATTCCGTACTGTGGACCAGTACACCAGGTGATTGGTCCGTACTACATGAAGTGGATTCGTTTTACTCTTAGCTACTCAAAATTAAGAAGAATTTGTAAGCTTGTAGAATTAAAATCATCGACAATTTAACTCGGACCTTGATCAAGGTCGTTTCGGGTATGCGCACCTATTGTTTGCTGGAAAGATTAAGCAAGGTGATCTGAGAAGGTCTGACCGGAGTGGAGTTCCATCATTAATTCCGAATTTCTTCAAAACCGAAGGATTATGACTTTCCCACTTCTATGGGTTTTCAATTCAAAATATAGCAGTTAAAAATTTATTTCTCCACACTTTCACCTGCTTGCACATTGAGCAGCTGTTGATAGTGGTCTTGTCCTACATCAGATTCGCGTCTCAAAACACCTACTCATGGGATACTACGACATCGACGATATCCTAGCCGATGGCGAAAAAGTGCCTTGTGCTTTCAATGCGACATACCCAGGCCTAGGTTTCCTAGACGGAAGCCCCGGCAGACCGCTTCAGAAGGACACAAAGGTGGAACTACCGATGTGGTTGGCGAAGCTTTTGGCAATGAGCGAGTTACTGGCTCAGTCTGATCTCAGTTTTGTGGAGATGCTTACCCCTGATTTCATAAGCACCAAGGTGCTAAACGCTATTCGTGCTGACCCCAAGTCCGTGGATCTACATTCGTTGAAAGCAAGCTACTACAAGCTCGCGGAGCAGTGGATCTACATATTCAGTGACCGCCAGGTTGCTGAAATTGTCATGGAGCTTTTGAAGCTGCGAGCTTTGGAGATTGATAACTTTGCCAGCAATACCAATAAACACGTGAACAGCTCGTTCTTGCTCTCCTTGGACGAGTTTGAGAAGAAGCTATACAAGGTCACAGCGGAGAGCAAAAGACAGAATAGACAGTGGGCCAGCCTGACGTGACGCGTGATTCTAATTTCATGACATTTGTATACTACAGAATAAAATTATCTAATTTCTTTTTCCCGCTGGCTTAGAAAAGCCCGTCTTCATCTTGACCATCAGCGTCCCCATCATTATCATCTGAAGAGTCTTCCACAATCTCTTGCGATTTAAACTGTTTTCTTTTCTTGGATGGGGCCTGGTCAACAGCTTCCTCCTCCTCGTCATCGGCAACTGTACGCTTTTTGCGCAGGGTCTTTTTGGTTGGAACATCATCATCCTCATCTCCAGATGGCAAGGCAGGCTCCTCAGGTTCGTTCTCATCGGATGGTGGAGCCTCATCTTCTCCATCGCTGTCATTGATGAAATCCTTCTTTTTGCGGCCACCCTTCTTGCCGCCCTTCTTCCCGTTAGCTTGGGTCTTCTTGCCCTTCTTCTTCTTGCCATCCTTCTTCTCTTCATCGAGGGCCTTATCGTCATCAGATTCGACAACAACATTCAGTCTAGCCTCTTCAGCCCATTGTTGTGCCTGCTCTTGCAAAACAGCACGCTCCTTGGCCAATTCTTCCTGCTTCGACCTGAGAGCGGCTAGTCTTTGCTCTTCCTCCTCAGCCTTACGCGCTTCTTCCTCCTGTCTTAACCTCTTGGCTTCCTCAAGCTTGCTGTTCAATTGGTTCACATTCTCCTTGGTTTCCTCAAGGCAAGTGTTCAATCTATTGAGCAACGTTGTTGTACCCATGTTGGCTCTTGCCTTCAATTCGGCCTTGGGGAATGGAGGATGCTTCTCTTCCTCGGAGGAGAGAGCATTCAAGTCTGAAATAGCATCGTTCAAATCAGTGATGGCCTGGTTGATATCATCAACGGTTCTTTGTGCAGTTGGCAATTTACTGAGGAAATCAGCGATTTGGAACTTAACATAAGCAACATTGAAAAGCAACGCGCTCTTGTTGGTAGAAGACTTTGCGAAAGCCTCCTCCGAGTATTCAAGTCCTTTCTTCAAATAGCTCAAATTCTTTTCCGCAAGGCCTCTCAAATACCACGAACGACCCAAGAAAGACACAATCTTAGGATCACTGCTGTTCGTGAATCTCACGTATGCAATCTCATAACTCTCAATAGCCTTCGAGTACTGTTTCAACTCGACCAAAACATGGCCAAGGTTCAAGTAGACTGAAATGTCATTCAATGAGTCACGAATCTTTCTCAAGATATCAAGGCCTTTAGTCTGCTCCTTGTTTTCGATATAAATGATGGCCAAACCCTGTGCTGCAAAAACATTCTTAGCATCGATGGACAAAACTTTGGTGAACAACTCAATTGCTCTCAAGAAGTACTTCTTTTTCTTATCTTCCTCCTTAGAGGACTTGATTTCCTTGGCCATCACACAATAAATGTTCGCCAATGAGATCAAGGCATAACAATCATGAGAATCATAGTCAACCAAAGTTTCTTTCTGATGTTGGGTATCAGCATCAGGCTTGAGACCAATCTTCTTGCCGAATGTCTTGATGAACCAGCCATAAAACGATCTTACTTCCAAATTAGAAGCATGTTCTTGAAGAAGCGTCTTGATCTCTTCCTCGAGCTCTTTCTTAGGTGTTTTCTCAGTAGACACAGCGTCCAAAAATAGGAGTCGGAGTTTGGCCGAGAAGTAGTTGGGGCACTCTTCAAGCAACTTGTTGTAAGTATCAATAGCTTCAGCCTCATTCGAAGACTCCTTCGATCTTGCCAAATTGTAAGTAATTGGGATACGTAAATCTTTACCGAGATCGACCACAGCTTCGTCAATTGCATCCTCAGGGACTTGGTATTGGTCAGCTTTTTCAAGAGCAATGGCGAAGTTCTCCGCAGCTGTGGATTCGTTATTTTTGATGAAATTGAATACACCAATGTTGTTGTAAACTTCTAATGGTGCGTCCAGACCAATCTGCTTCCTGCTTTCGATGGCCTTATGTAAGTAAACCAATGATTGCGAGATATCCTTAGATTGGTAGAGTTGACTCAATTGCAAATAAGCATTGAGGACAACTGGCTCCTTATTGAGATAGGCCTCATCGTCTTTCATGTTAGCGACGGCCAAACCACGACTGTTAGACAATCTGATGTATCTTTCCAACATTTGCACTGCTTGTTCATTCTTGGAACGCGACTTCAGTTGAGAGTATAAAAGGCCCAAAGCGTAGTTGAACTCCAAACATTTGGAGTTGGATCTAACGATGGACTCAAAAGTGATGATTGCCTCTTCGGATGAGCCACGACTGAGTTGAGCTTGACCCAAACCCAACTTGGCGAGCAAATTGTTATCATCTAATCTGATAGCCTCATGGAAATACTTTTGCGCTTGTGTGAAGTCGCTTTTAGCGTAGGCAACACGTCCCAACCAAAAAGAGCCTTGTGAAAGGATCTTGGAGATGAACGAGGTCAATTTGGAAGACTTGGCAGATGCGATTTCATCAGTAGATGATGTAACGACCTTATTGACAATCTTTTCAACCAGTTCGTAGTCACCCTTGGAGTAGAAGTACGAGGCGAGCACGATTAGAAGCACCTTGTCGTTTGGAGCCTTTTTGTGAAGATCGCCGGCCTCGCCCAATGCGCTTTTGTAGCCTTCAAGAAATCGCTCGTCAGAGATCGAGTTGGTGAAGACATTGTCAAACTTGGCCAATGTTAAAAGTAACTTGGCTTTGAAATTTTCGGGATCGATTTCGAGAGCACGGTTCCATGAACTGATAGCCATTGTACGGTCTTTGAGATACCAAAAGCACAAACCTATACCAATTCTAGGATCAGGCTTCATCAATGGGTTCAACACCAAAACCTGCTGGTAGATCTTCAAAGCGTTTGAGTAGTTTTGTGTTTTGCTGAGTGTAACCTGAGCCTTTCCAAGCAATGCAATGCAGTTAGTCGAATCGAGTTTTAACAAGCGGTCAAAAAGCTGCAAGGCGTTCTCGGCTTCGTCCTTGTGGACATGAAGAATGGCTTTCGACACGAGAACAGGCACAGAGTTGGAATCCTCGACCTGAGAAAGCGCCTCTTGAGCACTTTTCAAATGGTCAGCTCTACCGTCTCCCCTGTTCACGAAAGCAAAATGGATGGCAGTCAATAGAATCAACAAACGATCCTTGTCGCCTTTGGATTTGATAGAAACACCCTTCTCAGCGATGGTGATGGCCTCGTCTAGCTTATTGTCCAGAGCATAGGCCTGGGCAACGAGGATCCAATATTTCACGTCACAAGACTCTCCTTCCAAAAAGGATATAAGCTCCTGAGGGTCATCTGGCAATTCGTCAATGGTAACAATATCACCGCTACCAATGACGATATCCAAAGTTTTGGACACCTCTGCGGCCTTGCCACCCAAATAGTAGGAGGCGTCGATTGTATCGTCCATGGCTATCGGGAGTGCGATGCTTGTGGCAGTGAAATAGCCAGAAAATGGATGGGAAAGGTTTGTTTCTTGAGTTTATAGCTAGATTTACCAGTGAAAGATTTCTCATGCGTAAAACACCCGTACACCCACTTGGTGGACCGTGTTGTGTATCTACGAAAAGTCAGATTCATGAATGTCTTGGTCATTAGTCATAAACTGGGGTCTTGAACTTGTTCATAAGTTTGTCTGAGATACCATGCAGCGGAGGTAACACACTTGTGGTTGTTCTCAGTCTTCTGCCAGGCTTCGCACTCACTGTGAGTTGGTCTGGGTAGTACATGATATCGTTCGCCTTGAGCTCGAGGCTATAAATTGTCTCCGCCCCCGATTCAAAATTGAAAATGGTGCTGTGAAATTTGAGCGCATCCTTGGTCATTTCAAGCTTAGATGGATGTTTGAGCGAAAGTTTGTAGAGATCTGAATCAACCTGTTTTAATTTTTCCCATGCTCTTTGAAACTCTTTAAGATTTTCCTCTGCGGTTAACTCTTGACGTGGTAAGGCAAGGATAGCAAGAGGTGCAAGGTCTGCAAATATCAAATCACTTGTCTCACTCGATTTTTCGAAAAAGCGAATATCAGTTGGAGCAGCCTCCAGGTACGTAACGACAACACCGATGTTGGCGTTGCACTCAAACTCGATTTTCTTGGAGCCGATACCAGACTTGTAGCTGATTCCAGCTGCTTTTTCAGTCCTTCGTACCTCGTGCTCAAGGTCGTTGATCTCTTGGCTGCTGAAATTTCTTCTGCGGCTGAGCTGACTCTCTGCCTTCCTCAAATCATCTCGTTGATTCTGGATGTTGGCATTTGCTTTTTCAATTTCCGAACGTACTCCAGCAAGTTTTTCTTCCTTCTCGCCTATTTGAACTCGGTGCTCGAGGAGTTTCTTATTAAGGTCCATGAGTTGCAGCTTAATGATTTTTAGCTGATTGGCATCTAAATCCTTAAATGACGCCTTTATCTCTTTGAAAGAAGAAACATCATTCTTAAGCAGCTGAAGGTCTAATTTGATGTCCTCGTGAACCAGTTCCAACTCTTTGATGCTTTCCTGAAGTGTCGATTTGTCTGCCTCAAGTTGCTCGAGATTGCCCTGTTGTACTTCCAAAAGGTTTTGCATTAGTTGTGTACGCCATTGATACCAAACCTGCTTCGCTTGGTATCTCGTAAACTCCTTCAAAAGATGAAAGTGAGATTTCATCGAGATTTGGTCGTAATATGACGACAGGTAGTACTGCTTGAAGAGCATCGGATTGTCGTTGAGAGACTGGTCGCTGACTTCTTGGAAGAGGGCTTTGCCTTGCTGAATTTTTTGCGTTAGCTCTTTGCAACTCAATTCCAATACCTCAAGCAATGGTAGGTGAACGTTTCCTTTGTAGTAGTCCTCGTCCGTTACGTTAGATGATTCGTCCTGTAGCGAAAGTGAATAACGGTTTGCGGTATCACTTGCAATCTCAAGATCGTCATAAAATTTCACACCGATATCGTTGAGGAAAGTAGGAAGCGACACTGGCTGATAGTTCGGGTCGTCAAAGTCGTCATCGACACCATCAATCGACAATGTCGAAGTTTCTGCCAAAGGGATGTCCAAGGTGGATACATGAGGTTCTTTTCTTTGTTGCTTTTGTTTCAGCTCCTCAAAATCCTCAGATACTCTCTTCAGTTGCGGTTCAACCTCTGATACGGTCTCGATAGCACTTCTTGGCTGGGTGAGTTCCATTGGTTGTGACAGTTCAATTTTATTGAACTTTGTAACGTCTTCTGTCTCCTCACTTTCTTTTTGACTTTCTTGTGAGAGTCCGTTCTCAGCAACATACGTCTCTCTTGGTCTCTCGGGTGTCAGTGACGGGCGTTGTATTTCGGTCGATTTGTGCTCAAGCTCTGCCACTGTCGTCTGTTCTTGTGACACTTGGGTTGCTACCTGGGCACTCTGTTCTGGTCCATCTTGAGCAGAGTTTAAGTCTTGGTCCTGAGACTCTCCAAGCTCATTTTGATTATTCTGTTCCGGTGCCTCGGAAGGATTTTCTTCTTCTCTTTCTTCTTCTTCTTCTCCTGTCTTTTTGGGGGAGCTCTTCGCAAGACTTTCTCCGGTTTCTCCAGATTGTTCTTCACCTTCTTGTTCATCTCCATCGTTTAGTTTTTCTGGTGACTCATGTGGATTCGAAATTTCATGAGCCTCCGTCTCTTGCTGGGCCGCCTGTTTTACTGGAGATACCGCAGGTGTGCCATACACTGATGGACTCTTGTCTGTCTTTTCGTTTGAAGAATCTTTCTCCTTCTCCTGGCCCTCTTGTTTGGTAGGGACGTCCAATGGTCCCTCAGGCAAATCGTCTTGAACTGATTCCTCATGTGCTGCCACCGATTGATCTGGCTTTGCAGTCTCAGCCTCCTGAGTCCTTTCAGTCACCTCATTGGATGATGTCAGAGCTGCCACAGTTACCTGGCTTGTTAGCTCCATTGTTTCTTCATTCTCGGGTTCGCCGTTGGGCCCTTCCTGTTCGTCAGCAGAGAGGCTTGGGCTGGTCAAGATCGGAGGTGGCCTATTCGCTTCCTCTGTCAGTGGTTCGTCCCGTTGCCACTTTTCTTCGGAGCTGGACGTTGTTGGCTTGTTGAATGGCTGTGTAAGCTCCATATCATCGCCATCTCTGTCTGAATTTGAGACTCCATAGTCAGCATTCGGGACGGGGCTGAACCTGGCAGCTTCAGTGAAATTGAATCCGTCATTCCGAGAGTTGTCCTCGAAAAACTTGGTGAAATCCATTGTGGCCTCCTCGTTCCCGTTGTGATCGAATTGCAACTTGTGGCCATTGAGGAAATGGGGTCTGGGACTGTCCGAGGGAAAATTCTCTTGATTATTTGGCACCATAGTGTATGAGGAGATATTCTTCGTAAACTGCATTGTCAATTCCATGTTCAGGTTCTCGTGATCAAAGCCCTGATAGTGCTGATCTGTTGAAAGTGGATACGCTAGGTTCAACTTACCGTCGAGCTGACTTGTGAACTCCATGTCCTGCTCCTGGGTCTGTCGTATCAGTCCTGTGAAATCCATTGTTTGATCTTCAGTGGACCTTGTTGCGTTCTCGTTCTGAGGTAGGTCTTCATCGTCACTGCTGTGAGACTCTGCTATATTTCTCATCAGATCAACGAAGCTTGATGTGTTTTTTTCCAACGCCGACAAGCTAACATTGCCTTCCTCTTCAGAGCTATCCTCTTCTGGAAGATCCTCGCCATTGGCGGGAACAAAATCAATTTTGTGGAGCTTGACCTTGTTGGCAAACGAGACCCTTCGATTTGCAAGTCTTGAAGCGGTGTCAAAGTGTCTGAGGGGCATTGACGGATTGGGCATCGTCATATTCTCTTTGTTTTTAAGGATTGACTTCGTCTGTTTGCGACGGTATCCCGTGGTGTTACCATCCTCGTAGAGGTGGTCAGGCACTGAGCTCATCTTGAAGTGGTGGTATATGTTTGTGTTTTGATATTAGTGCGGCATGCACCAGGGTGCGCCAACACGGTAGTAGGAGATGTGGATTTTATAGAGATGACCCAGAAAGCTCTTGATTAAAAGAAATTGAGGATTCCAACAGAGTCTGTTGTTTGACTTTTGAAGGAAGCCTCGGTCTTGATGTTGGATGTTGATTGTCGGTAGTGGTGGAGAGCTACAGCTATAGATGCGAATGGATGTTGAGGCTTCAAACCTAGGATCAGTAGTTGATCAAGATTTTGCAAATAGAGGGTCGTGATCATGATTATGTCAATGTTAGTAATGCTTTAAAAAGACTATTTGTATATTTTACTGAAATCTTGCATTTTGCCTTTTGTAGATTTTCTGTCACTAACCACAAATATCTGAAAAATCGTGAACTTTCCTCACTACGCGTCAAGATGTTTAACACCCCTACTAAACACTGCTTTCTACTTTCAAAATTTTTAGCCAACTTCAGTTCCGACGATAGTCACAAATAATTGTGCCAATTTGCGAAAACCAGCCAATTGGGCTGATTCAATTGTACTAAGTCGTCCCTCCATCTCATAGATAAGCACTGCGATGCCTGGGTATAATAACCGAGGTACCCAGATCGGTCACAAGAGGTAAGTTGACCCATTCTCCAAAGACCGAAATTCATCCCGTGGAGCCATTCGATAAACTTTGGTTCTTAGGGCTACCCCTCCAAAGCAAGCCTCATCCCCAGACGCTTATCTTGAGCAACCGTGAAAAAGTCTAGCCGCAGTCTCCATCTCCAGCCTATCGCCGTATAACGTGAAACACGCAACTCGCCTATTTTGCAATGACGACATCGTGACCTTCCTTTCTAAAAGGCTCTTGCTCAAACGTATTCACAAAATTCGTCCACCATCTACTCTACTAGTGGTGGGTCCCACATCGTACGAGCACCCCACGCTTCTCCACAGCACTACCCCAGATCTCCTGGCCTAACCACTCCAGCTGTGTCTGCACGAAGATGACACCACAAATCATAAAACAAGTGAACCTCTTTCCGGAGGACCGTAACAACTACCCACTGTGTCGTTTCGCAGCCATGTCTAACCGAGTAGATGTCGTAACCGAGTCAGCCCCACACCCCTATCAACGACTCCTCCACTACTTCTTCACCAAAAACGCCTTAATCATACATCTACAAAGTGCCCAACACCTTCCGCAACCAAGCCACACTCCATATCACTTATCCACGAAAATATCGTCAATACAATGTGGACTGCCCCTTGTGCTAGCTTATGCTTTGTAGGCCCCGCGCTTCCTCGGTTTCAGCATGTGTCGCAATGAAATTTCCTAAACGAAACAGTTCCAAATGACTGAAAAGTAGAGGCAGGTCAGTCAGGTGGAAAAACCGCTGATTGGCCAATGACACGCCGTTTTTTTTTCCTCAGCGTTGCTTCCCCAGGGTGCAAACCCGGGCCCTTCCGTACACCCGTGCCCTCGGTTGGTGGACATTATCATAAGCAGGATACCCCATATTCCGTCCAGTGAGAAAAACACACAACCAACCACTTTCTTCTGCAAATCTCCAGAATGGTCGCCGATACCCTTGTCTACCACCCAACGTTGAACAAGTTCATCAAATTCATAGACACCACCCCAAAGAGGGAGAAGTGCTTTAGATTGGTGGCCTACTTGTCTAGATTCTTGTCATACTACTTGCAGAGAAAGGGTTACTCTGCTGAGACCGTCCAGAAGTTCAAGGACTTGAAGCAGCATGCCACCTTCCTCAGAAAGGGTATGCGTTTCTTGAAGCCTTTGAACCACTTGCAGGCTGCCTCGAAGGCCTACGACAACAAGCTCATGGACCATGTGTTGCTGGCCACCACCGTCATCAGAAACTTGGGCTACGCCGGCTACTTGACCTTGGATGGCTTCATCTTTGTCAAGATGTTGGGTCTTGTTGACAAGAAGAGATTCGCCAACTTCCCCTTGTGGGCCTCGAGATTCTGGCTCCTTGGTCTTATCGCCGGTGTGATCAACTCCCTCAGATTGATCAAGATCAACTCCGCCAAGTTGACCTCCACTGACGAGAAGGCCGACGAGGAGGCTATCAAGCTGAAGATCTACCAGGCCAAGAGAAAGTTGATCTGGGACTTCTTGGACATGTTCATCGCACTCAATTCCTTGAACTACTTGCACTTCACTGAGGGTGACGTCGGATTCGCCGGTTCCATCTCCTCTATCATGGGCTTGAAGGACTTGTGGGCCGCCACTTAAATACGTACGAATAAGAGCTTCAATATATTTATTGCAAATCTTAGAAGACGAAAACCTTTCTTCACTGAGGCTGCTCCTGCCAAAGTTTGGAGTAGTCCTGACTAGTAGAGATGTCATATTGATCATGTAGTAGGACTGAACTGTCAAACTTTCAGAGAAAGACTATGGCAGAGACGATATCAAGTGAAGCAGTTACATACTTCCGACTTAGCATTGACGCCGAAGACTCCCTGTGATACCCTCGAGGCAGCATTTAAACAGTGAACCTTGGATGGAAACCTCAGAAGAGTTTCAATTATAAACTTGTGATCACCTCATGCTTGATAGACCCTGAGATTGTCTTGGTGATTTGGTTTTGCAGCCACTATTGAGTCTTTATACCAAGGCACAAACTGTACATCTTTTGAATCGCCAGAAAGGAAGTACATGCTTCTTCGTCAAAAAACTTCTAATATAACTCAAAGGGCGTGATTCCATGACATTTCGATATCATCTATAGAACCAACTCAGAGATATTCGCAGTGGTACATACATTTTCCAGCAATGGGCACATGAGAAAATAAATGAATCCAGTTTCTTAGCAGATGAGATAGCTCTTTCAATTTCAGCACAGTCAATTGAGATTTTCAAGAAATTTCGTAATTTAATTCCGATATTTATCTAACGGCTTGTGACATCAACCTACTGGAAATACGACTTTGCACCCGTACACCTCATCGAGCTCATCACTACTACTCTGTAGACTTTCTCAAGGAATCGAACAAAGATAGTACCATGGACATACCACAGAGCCGACGTATACATATCGGCAACATTTCAGCCAAACTAGCCGAAAGCAAAGATTCCTTTCTTCTGAGATTGGGAAAATTCGGCACGGTCAAGGGCCCCATGGACCTTCGGACCAAACCAGTTGGTGATTTCTACTTTGCATTTGTCGATATGGAGATTTCAGACAAGCAGTTCGAGAAGCTCAGGTCTTCTTTGAACGGTATTCTCTTTATGGGCAAAAAACTCAGCATCAATATTGCAAAAGGCGACTACATGGACAGATGGAAGAAAGATGCGGGAAGACCAGAGATTTCCAAAGCCACATTGGCAAAACTGGCCAATATAGCAGCCGCCAGAGTAGACAGAATTAGAGAGCTGTCCACAAAATACCCCAGCAACAGCATTTCAGGAACACCATTGCATTCCACGAGTGTACCTGCTCCCAATAACTCCAGCATGGGCTATGAATGTTCAGCCCACACAACAAATAATATCAGTGCCAACACAAAGAACAAAGCTCCGTCACACAGCCTCAAAGGCAAGAATTCTTACGGTCTGACTCTCAATCCCAAGGGGACGTCTACTCAGCAATACTCTCGCACAAGTGGCCGTGCTGAAGTTGTGAAGGGTAGAATGAGAACCACACCACGTCCTGCTGCCCATTTCATCAGGAAGGAGCAGACCATGAGACTTTTAATCAACGGTGAGCTCAAGCAAATCAAGTGCTACAAGACAAAGCTTTGGGGTGTGGAGAAAAAGTCTGCTGGTGAACTCACATACAAATACTCCAACGGCACATGGAGGTCTGGCGATGATCACATAGTGGAAAGAGTTAGTCTTCCGGTCGACAAGTGTGGAGTCGACGGAAGTCAGGCTGCAAGCTATGGTGCTGATGCACACCACGTTGATGAGATGGAAGTGGAGAAGGATAAGGACGTTAACAGCACCGTGCTTGCAAATTTCTTCGAGACATTTGACTTTGACAAGCCGGTAGAGCTTGATGACGGCAAGTCCGATGACGAGAGCGACGCCACCTTTGACAGCAAGGGCCGCAAGAACATCGAGCTGTACGATTTTGAGACCAAAGGCTTCGTTGAGTTCGACGACGATGGTAAAGAACAGGGTAATGGCGAATCCCTTCAAACTTTCCTTTCTACACATGAAAGACCAAAAGAAGAAGTTTACTTTGACGAGGACGATGAGGGCAACGAGCTTGATCCTACTACTTTGGGTGAGCAGTATGCCACAGAGGCGATCAAAGAGCAGTACGATGAGGAGCATAAGGACGAAGATGGTGAAGACAAGGAAATCAATAATGATGTCGATGAAGCGGAAGCTGCACCCTCTCAAAACGAGACAGAGAACTTGCGTTCGTTGTTCGAATCTAGCAAACCCACCACCAGTCTATTTACTGCAGACAGCGGATTCAAGCTTGGTCTTGACGAATCGGATGATGACATAGACGTTGAAAAGAAATTGGCCGATGAAGAAGAGCAGAGAAAGTTGGCTGAGCAGATCAGCCTCAAACAACAGGAACAGGAAGAGGAAGTCCAGTCGACTGCAGTGAGTACCAAGAAGTTTGGTTTGTTCTGGACCCACTTTGAATCTCCATTCATGCAAACACAAACTCAGCTTAGCAAAATTGGTCATGCTAACGAAGCCATCACTTTGCCTGGAGAAGAAGACGGTAACGAGCTCAGAGATGATGGTCGTGGAGAAGAGGACGCCTATGAGCGCTGGTTCTGGCTGATGAGAGGTGAAGTGGGACGTGAATGCAAGAGAAGAAAGAGAGACGTCTTGAGGACGCTCAAAAAGCGCCACGTTCGTGCAGTAGTGTAATATATGGGCAGGGTATACTGATGTAGAAGTTGGAACTGAGCATCGCGAAAATCAACTACATGACCCAAGACTCGAGTGTTGAAACACGAGAAGAAAAGGAGCTACCCAAACTCACGGTAGCCAACTTGGCTGGTGATATATATAATGGTGCCAAAGCACTTGTTTTCGACCCAGCATGCAACCGTCTAGCCGTGCCAATGGTTGTTTCTCTAACCTCCCTTGTGGGGAAGGTTGTGATTCTGAAAGTCAGATACACAGAGATCGACTTTACCACATACATGCAACAGATTGACCTTGTCAATGCCGGCGAATTGGATTACTCAAGAATCGTGGGCGACACGGGTCCCATTGTGTACCCTGCTGGTTTCGTTCAAGTGTACCAGTTCTTGCTATGGCTTGCAGATGGTGGAATCAATATAAGGCGAGTCCAATTCTTCTTCAGCTACTTACTTACGTTTACAGTGGCCTTGTCATGCGTTGCTTACACGATGGCGGAGGGCATTCCACCTTGGCCCTTGTACCTCTTGTTTTTGAGCAAAAGACTCATATCCATCTACGTCTTGAGGTTGTTCAATGATTGTTTCACTACCTGTGCCATGATCGGCGTAGTAGTGATTTTGCAGCAAGTTTCTTACTGGCACAAGTCGCTTACTGGCACATTGGTATTTTTGGCGAATGCTGTCGCAGCTGACTTGTACTCGATGGCTATCTCAGTGAAGATGAATGCCATCTTGTACCTCCCTGCATTTGCAATTGTATCATATTTTCTTTTAGGAGAGATTTTGATCCAATTCTTGGCTGTTCTTTCTGTTATTCCTTTGGTGCAAGTGCTTATTGGATGGCGCTTCTTGTTACCGTTGTTCTGGGACGACGAGGCTTCCTACATCAGATGGACCTACATGTCTCAAGCGTTCAACTTTTCGAGAAAATTCTTATACAAGTGGACAGTGAACTGGAAGTTTTTGTCAGAGGAGTTCTTCCTCTCCGATGGCTTCTCCACGGGGCTACTTCTTGGCCATATCGCCGTTTTAGCCCTCTTCGTCTTTACGAGATACCTTGCTCCCCAGGTTACCGGAAAATCTATCAAACTCCTTTTCGTCGACGCTTTCAAACCCTTCACATCCACTGTTTCTTCCCGCAACCTTCTTCTATCGCAGCAAGATGGACCTCGGTTGATTCTCTTGATCTTTGCAACGACAAATGTGATTGGTGTGGCATTTGCAAGATCATTGCATTACCAGTTCCTTTCTTGGTATTGTTGGCAAATGCCCTTCTTGTTGTACGCAACAGGCTTGAATCCATTTCTCGCGGGCGGGATTTATTTAGCCCACGAGTGGTGCTGGAATGTTTTCCCTGCAACAACACAGAGTTCTGCGTTGCTTGTGAGCATTTTAGCTCTTACTTTAGCTGGTGTCTGGAAGAACAACGAAATCTGGTTCACGACAAGAGCTGCGACAAAGGAGAAGAAGGATATTTAAGCATACATTAAACACGAAGCATTTCAGCAGTAATAAAACATAGAAATTATTAGATACTCTAAAAATTCCAAGAAGTAAAAGAACTTTTAATAGCGGAAGTGTCGAATGTCTGAACTCGAGCCACTCATACTTTCTGAAAAATTGAACATGAAACAATCAACTTCCGAGTAACATTTGAAGCCATATTAATCGCCACCTTCGATGGGGTTTCCCCAATTGAAGCCAGTGATGCTATCATTGAGACCAGCGTCAGCAGAGTCCAAGAAGTTGTTGAACTCAAAGTCAACATCGTCCATACCAGAGGTGACGGCAGAATTAAAGAAATTGGTATCGCCTGCCGTGGCACCGCCCAAAACAAGTTTCTCATTGCCGCTCAAAGAGCTGTGGAAGTATGCTGAAGAGCCTTGAAATTTGTCATCGTTAGGAGCCATATCAGGCTTCTTGTCGAGATCAATCTCTTCAATAAGCGGAGCTTCCGACTTATCAGAAGGCTTGACCTTCTTCTCGTCTTCCTTCTTCACACCGGCCTTGTTGTTCTTCTTGGCAGGTGAATCGCTTGTCGAGCTCTTTCTCTTCTTGTTGGAGAAGTCAGCATCAGCAGCCGGTGTTAGAGGAGCGGCGTTCTCTCTCTTCATGCCGCCAGCCACGTTGCTTCTAGCATTATTGGCGGCACTTGGAGGACCCACCTTACTGTTCTTCTTAGTAGGTTGAGCACGCTTATTTTTCGCTCCAGAAGGCAGGTTCTTGTTATTAAGAACTGGTGAAGGGGCTGGTGAGGCCTTTGGAGGAGCATTCTGGATGTTAGGCTGCATGACGTTGCCATCTTGGACCTGTTGCATTTGAGGCATTGAATTAAGGTCGCCAGCACTACTGTTGCGGGCAATATCAAGACGCTTCTTGTTTTGCTTCTCCAAAAGCATGAGTTGCATCTGGTAGTCCTGTAAGGCACTGGTGTTACGATTCTGCTGGTTGCCTTGGTTTTGCTCAAGGCCAGAATTGCCACCGTTCTGGCCTTGCCGAAGCACTTGCCCCGAATAATTCATGGGTGACATACCACCATTGCCCTGAGGAGCAAACTGGTGTTGCATACCACTTGCGGATCTCAGCTGAGGTCTGATGGGCCTAGCTTGCTTGCCCTTGGCACCATTACCCATATTATCATCCTGAGACTGTGACTGAGATGCGGCGGCAGCGGCGGCGGCTACAGCAGCGGCGGCTGCTTGTTGTTGACCAGGCTGCTGCGGTAGCTGTTGACCTTGCTTGGGCTGCTGATGAGCGGAGACGGCCTGTTGACGTAAACTGTGCATTTGGGATTGAACATGCTGTTGTGGAGTCTGGTGAGGTGACTGTTGAAGTTGCGGTTGCTGTATATGCTGGGGTAGAAGTCCCTGTTGTTGAGGCATGAGCATCTGCTGTGGCATGCCCATGTTCATGTTCATACCCATTTGCATTTGCGAGCCATTCCCACCCATGGGCATTTGCATACCATTTGCAACGTTCATGGCAGCTCTGTTCATGTTGTTTGCGAAATTAGGGTCCTGGCCTTGAGGGTGTTGTTGATGCTGCTGCTGCTGTTGCTGATGCTGTTGCTGCTGCTGATGTGGTTGTTGGGGTTGTTGCTGATTCTGGTGATTTTGTTGCTGCTGTTGTTGCTGCTGCTGCTTCATCATCATCGACATCATGAGCCTTTGCTGCTGGCGGTTATCAGAAAATTGTCTCTGCTGGCTGACAGGGCCTTGAGGGCCCATTATCACGGGAGGCTGGCCGGGGACCTGACCGTCCTGTGGGAACTGCAGTGGAAACTGTGGTTGGCCCATCTGTGGCTGATACTGGCTATACTCCATGCCCAGAGCTTCTTGCTGTTGCCGCTGCTTTGCAAGCAGCAAATGGTAGTAGTTGGAGGCCAAGGCCGAAGGAGAACGCTCATTTTTCGCCTGGAGCACATCCCAAAAGACCTGCCACCACTCGAACAAGAAGCCTTGAGGAGCATCCATACTCAAGGCCAAGCGAGGCAAATGGTGCTCTTCCAGGAGCTGGTTGGCCTGTTGGCGAGGTGTCAGGGGCATGAGGGGCAGGGCCTTGGAGGGCAGGTGAGATTGGTCGTAAGGAATCGACGGAACATCGGCCTCGCACACAAACAGACGGGCCGTCTGAGGCAAGGTGTTTTTGATCAAGAAATCGTAGATGTAGGCATTCAAGAGCTGTTTGGGCAGTGCCACGCTGGCGTCCAGCACACATCGGGACAGGTCCATGAGTCCATGGCCTACCGACGTGGCGGTGGTATTGACGGATGTTTCTGTGTTGCCGAGCTGACTCGGAGTGTCCAGCGCCATGGTACCAGGAGTCCGTTTCGGGTGTATTTGCGGCGTGCTCTGGTGGCTCATAAACAGGGGCGGTGGTTGTGGTTTATTGGGTGGTGATGGTGAGATGGAGGACTTTTGAGCATCAGTATGAGGGGACTGGATATGGTCGAGATAACAGAGGGTGAAGGAAATAAAGGCCCCGTTCGGCGAGGTTTTGGGCACTGTGCTTGCGCTTGCCTTGATTTGCAAAGAAAGAAGGAAGTTTACGTTTCTATGGTGGTGGGATAAAAAATTTTCAGGTTTTTGACTTTGGCCAGTTTTGGCAGTCGGTGCCATTACTGCGTGCACTGCTCCACCAGCCATACAGCAGGAGCAGGGTTCACTAGACCACGAAAAAAATGAAAAGATCGGCAAGGACAAAATTTACGAAAGCAAAATACAAAGAAAAAAAAAAAAAAAAAAAAAAAAAGATTCAGGAGAACGGAGCGGTCTTTTTCCAGACCATCATTGGCGAGTCACCCTTATTGCACTGATCATCGCCCGACAGCCAATCTCCACCATTGGCGTAATCGAAAATCCCCAGCCCCCAGTCTGACGCACGGACTGAAGCGCTTTGGAAAATAGAAGAAGAGAAAAAAAAAAGCCTGCTACGCTTAGAAGGAAGATGCAGTGATTGGCGGGGGCTTCCCTTGTTGCCCTGAAGCCATTGCCGAATGCGGAAATGTGCCTTTTCGAAGCCCCGGCCGCCGAACATCGTAGTATCTTCATGTAGGTGAGAGAGCACGAGGAAAACACCTTGACACATTTGAAATCACCATATTAGGGGTGTTTGGGCTTGGAGGGCAGCAGTAGGGGGTGACGGTGGTGGGTCATCTACGCACCCGTGCACCAAGACAATATGGTAGGCATCTGCAGCGGAATAACAGTGACAAGACACTGGAGAAGCGACGTTTAGTGGTTGTCATTGTGGCCGGATTTCCTCCGACCAGGTCATTGGACCTGGGGTCTCTTGGCACCCATACAAAAACCTGTACACCATTTTTTTGCAACCACGACCTAAACCCAGACCCCCCAGGCATCCCCAGCACGGGGCATAGCTCCAAGGCAACCAATAGCCCCGTCTCTCTACACCTCTTTACTCCAGCAGAATTTATCCATCTACTTATATAACCTATACCGACACCGGGTCTCCGGACACCGTACACCGTAATAACACAAAAAAACAAACACAAACAGTAACAGCAAACACTATTATCCAGCACGCCCATCCACGGGCAGTAACTAATTCTCCATCATCATCACGCGTCTATCCAGCCTCCCGGCTACCGCCAGGCTGGTTTTTGAAATCTCCATGAATATTTTTTTCCGATTCCCGCCCCGTAAATAAAAGAAAACTCGGGGCCCCAAGCAAGACCGACCTCTGGCTGAGGTTAGCGTAGCCCACTAACCCCACACGGCAGCATCGGTCTTGTTGTTATCTCCCCAAATGTTGGAGCTGGACGGAGCAAGGTTTCCGCCCAAAAAGTTGTTTGACGAATTAAACAGCCACAAGTGGTCCTTCTCGTTGAAAGGATCAAACGTGGCGAGTCCGCCGCCGTTTCCGGCGTGGGGGCCTGACCGGCCAAAAGACCGCCAGCGGGGTGGGCACTTGGAGCACCCAAGCCGGCATCAACGACACTGTCGTCGCTAAGGTTTCTCAGACCCAGCAGCAGCACCAGCGACACCAGCGGTTTCGTGATGGGCTGGTCGTCGAAGATCTGTGGCACGTGGACGACACCGGTGCCTCCAGCACCACCAAACTTGTTGGCGGCGTTGTTTCTGAAGCCGTAGACGTCGACACCCATCACACCCATGTTAGACGCTGAAGGAGCGAGAGGAAGCGCTTGGTTATGGGCTTGTGGTTGGTTCCAACCGTATCTGAGGGCCTGGCCGTTGGAGCTGCTGTCTGAGCTGCTGTGGCTCAAAGAACCAGAGTGGAACTGGTTGACATTGGTTCTGCGGTTGTTACGCCTGGTGTAGTATTGGGAAGGCTGGTTTTGTGCCTCGATTAAAGTTTTGTCAATAGTTTCTCTTTGGTTTACAAACGCCTCAGGAATGATTTGGCGTTTCATGACAATAAATAGGGTTGTGTTCTTCTATCAAAGGGTGGAGGATGAGAAAAAAGCTCGCCTGTCAAGTGAGGATTGGACTTTGGGAGTTATGGGCCGGAGGGTAAGGTTTTTTTCGCGGAATGATTCGACGTAGCGAGCACGCACGAAAAAGAAACCAGGTGACTCGGCTCTGGTGCACGGGTGTGAACCCTACATGAGCCGCGAGGCTCCATAAAGCTGCTCACGAGCTCATTGACTGGCTCTCCAGGTCGCTTTCACTTCTGATGTAGGCACGATTTGCGTTAATGTCATAGTTCCAGATGATCATCCTCCCCATTGAGAAAACTCAAGGCTGTCACTTTTTTCTTTTCCTTGCCCTGTCCTATATATGCTTTGGCTGCAAGAGCGCCGACCTCTCTTTTCTTCTTCAGTTCACGTCATACCCTTATGGTTATCTTCTTTTCTTTTGCTTGATCTCATCGTCTTTGGTGGCATGCAACTTGATTTCGTTAGGGTAGTCTGGCCTGTTACCCTGGTAGCCTTGTGACCAGTCGTAGCTCTTGGCGTAGGCAAATATGGTACCGTTTCTGTTAAAAGCTGTCGCAGTGATACTTGCGTTGACAGAGGGGAAGTTTTTCAATCTTTGACGAGCATCCTTGTCCCAGAAGCAGAAGGTACCGTCTGAACCAGCTGTAGAGAACGTACCATAGATTGGGTGGAACGAGATGGCATTGACCGGGTAAACATGGACTTCCTGGTTGGCCACAGTCCTAGCAGAAGATGTAGCTGGCGCACCATTAGGCAACTTACGGTGGCATCTGAATGAGAAACCAGACTTTTGTTGTTCGGCTTCGTCAATGTACTGAATAGCACATCTGCCTTCAATCGAGCCAATCGCGTAACCGTTTCCTTGTGGGTAACAAGACACTGTTCTGGTTTGGTACTTCAATGTTGACTGCAGCGACTTGAAGATCTGTTGGGGGTTGTTGAGGTCAATTGCAGCAATGTGCCTGTCGGCACAGCCTACAACCAAAAGCTTCTGTGACGCATCCATGGTATAGACTCTCTCTGGTAATTGGATGGTCGAGATTGGCTGGGGCAGACGAGTGTCCCAATATTTCAAAGTCTTGTCCCACAGACCACTGACAACAACCTCTGTGTTTGTTGGTCCACACTGGACAAAACGAACAGCTTTTACTGGTGCATCATGAACACCAATTTGCTGAGCTTGCTGAGAAGCCAAGTCAAAAAGCTTCACTTGTTTGTCGGCAGCACCACTGCAAATCTTGGAACCATCGGTAGACCATCTCGCGGAAAGGACGGGACCCTCATGTTCAAACAAGGCTTTACCTTGATTCTGGCCCGAGTTGGGATCAACCTCGTAGATTCTCACTTTCTTATCCCAACTAGACACAGCAAGAAGCTCTTGTTGTGGTGAGAATGCTAAATCAGTTATGCTGTCTTCGGGACCATTGTTCACCAAGACATCGTTTGCAAGTTCCTGACCCGTAGCAGCACTGGTATTCTGATTGGCCAGAAGATTTGATGATGAATTGAGGCCTGAGGTGGAGTTTAGACTGAAGGACATGGTGATGCGGTGATGTTATGAAGGGTTCTCGTTTACTTGAATTTTTTGTTGTCACGCGAAATCTTCACCACGACTCGAGGCTGAAAGTTCAATGGATGATTGGGATTTAAGATGCAAATGTGATGAAACCGTAAAGCCTTACTCTTTGTATACCCAATATCGAAAAAGTTTGTTGTTGGTTAATGGTGACACCCGTGCACCGCACTAACTACTCCAGATCGGCTTCCGCTTGAAACACCTCATGCTTTAACCCATGGACAAGGACCACGATATACCGACGGTCCGGTACCACGACCCACTATATACGCCACAAACTGGAAGAGAAAAATGGCCTTTGCAGGGGCACTACGAAAATAATACTTACATCGACTGGATGAAAGAGTCGAATAGAGAGTCTGGAGCCCTGATGAATCTGAAAAAATGGGTAACGTTGATCGGAAGCTCTTTGCTTGTCGGGTACGCTACGATTGTCATAGACCTATTTTCCGTTTTCCTCAATGATTTCAAAAAAGGACTCTGCTTTTCGTCGTTAGACACCTGGTCACTTCTCAATCCATACCTGACTTGTCCAGCTGACCATTGGCGTGACTGGCTGCAGATTATCTCTGGGTCAGGAAACATCGTTGTAAGTGGACTTCTAGGGTTGCCAATTTATCTATTCCTTGTGTTGACCTTCTCAATGGCTGCCGGCGTCCTTACCATTAACAAGGCGCCAATGATCAAACAGCTGGGTATCCCTGAGCTCAAGCTCATTATCTCTGGCTTCAATTACTATCTCAAGACATACCTAGGCCCCAGGACGCTTTTTTACAAGATCGTTTGTTTGGTTTTGGTGGTCAGTTCTGGCTTCTGGTTGGGTATTGAGGGACCTTTGGTGCATGTATCTTGTTGTATCTTGTACATCAGCTTTGATGCCATCTTCGGAGATGCTGCCACGGAGGGAGTCAGAAGAGAGCTTCTCAGTGCTGCAACCGCCACAGGTATAGCTGTTGCTTTTAATTCTCCGATCGGCGGAGTTCTCTTTGTGGTGGAGCTTCTTCCTTCTTACTTTGTTCCGACAAAAATAATGTGGAACTCATTCGTCTCAGCCACTGTGGCTCTTGTGGCACTCAATGGTGTACGTTCATTCACGGATGGTGAGAACTTTCAAGAAGACGAACTTTTTGAGGTCCTGTTTGGTAACTTCAGCTGGCTCTTTTTGGAGATTATCCCATTTTTGCTCCTAGGTGTTCTCGGTGGATTATACGGTCACATATACACAAAGGTATACCTTAAGTTCTCCGACCCACAATTTAAGAGGAGGCTTTGGAAAAGATTGGCAGTTCTCACTAGAGTCAGCGAACAGCACGGTAAGTATGTGGAACTATTTTTGGTTGCCTTGCTTACTGCCCTTCTAACCTTCGCCATTCCTTTAACGAGGATGCCCCTTGCTGCATTCCTCAAAATTCTATTCAGAGACTGTCCAAAGGATGACTCCAACTTGGAGTCCAATTCAGAAAACTTCATGTGCCAGCCTTCGACAGTGAGCACACTTTTCAAGCTTGTCTACATTGCTATCCAAGGCTTCTGCTTGTCGACCTATTCTTACGGTATTCTGCTTCCAGGAGGCATTTTGATGCCTTCTTTGGTGATGGGTGGCACTGTTGGTCGATTTGTTGGTATCATCTCACAGGCTATTCAGAAAGCTGTCGAAGGTGACTACCTCGCGACTTGTACAGCCAAGTCGTGTCTTGTTTCACCTTCTTCTCATGCAGTTGTTGGTGCAGCTGCGTTCATGTCTGGCATCACAAAATTGACCTTGTGCGTGGTCGTCATTATATTTGAATTAACAGGCGCTGTATCGTACGTCTTGCCCATTATGATCGCTGTCTTGACATCCAAGTTTATCAGTGATCAGCTTTCAGTGGAGAACGTTTACGACTCCTGGCTTAGTACCGAGTTCAACCACATTGGCGAAACCGGAGAGGTGAACAGCAACAAAGGCCATGGATTATGCTCATTTGCTGTTCTTTCCTCCACATTCAAAGCCCGTCTTCCAGATGTCACCGTGAAGGCCATCATGGTTCCCCTTCAGAGAACAAGAAAATTGTATATTCGCCCGAGCGAACCATACACCCTTCTGTCATTGTACGCGTACCTTTCAGAAGACGCCCATGAGGGCTATCCCGTGATTTACAGTGACGAAAACCCGCTCAGTCTTGGATATGTCACAAAAAAGCATGTCTACTGGGAAATAGCTCGAGTGATCGGCAGCTCTCAGCCCACTTCGGCAGTTGTCTCTTTTCAAGCCAGCTTACCAGAGTCATTCCACGAGGAGCAACAAGAATACGAGCAGAACCTTACTAATAGCTACGCCAATGTGCACATGGTGACCCTCGAAGTGGAAAAACCAATCATCATCGTGAAGGACAATACACCGCTAAAGCAGGTTATTGAGATCGTGGAAAGACTTCACATGAATCATCTCGTTCTCACCGAACACAAGGACAATAACCGGATGTGTGGCTTCATCGACCGCTTCATTCTTTCGCGGTTGGTGACACTGAGGTTCTCCGAGTTGCAACAAGAAATGAGCATAGTAGAGAGTGTGGCGAGTGAATTTGAAATCGCTGATAATGAAGAAAACAGCGACGAAGACGCCAACTTTAGAAGACAACGAGAGAGTATCGAGCTCCTCACTTAATAGTAATGATAATGAACAGTCGGGTGCGTTAGAGTAGGTGGGTGCGAAAAATCAACTAGTATGAGTGGACCACCTCAAGGAACACTATGGATAGACCTGCTACCCCTGAATAACCCTGACTATGTTATTGGGATTGATACAGCGTTTTTCAATGTCAATGCTGTTTTCAAGGGTCTAAAAGTGATCCCCGCTGGGCTTCATCTTTTCCATTATGCTGATGGAGATATGAGAGCAGGCAAGTGGCTTGAATTCCATGATAACCAAGTGATTTCCATATACTGGGACTGTGAGAAGGAACAATTCCTACAAAAGACACCTGATATGGATAAGGTTGCCTCTGAGTATCATCTTATGGTGCTGTATCCTGAGGATATCGAAGTTTGGACATCGCTCACAAGGCATATAGAGATGTGTGATGTCCAAGCCATCGGGCCATCTGAGCCTATAACTACTGCTACCCCTCTGAAAGAAGAGAATTTGGTATTGGAGAGAACGCTAAAAAGCAAAGATCCAAACCAGGTGCTTCTGGATCAGACCTCCGAAGAGCTTTCTTACACCATAGTTCTGTTTAGAGAGACCGAGGGAAACAGTGACGAACAAAAGACAAAAAACGCCCTAGACCGCTCTTGGCAGCTACATCAGCTATACCCATCAAAACGGCTATTACTCTCGGAGCTCCAGATTTCATTTGTCCATTTCTGTGTCCTAGCTAACCTATGTTCATGTACCCAATGGACCACCTTGCTACGACTTGTGCTGCTGAGTGAGGCCTTTCTCCACGAGAATGCAGAAGTTGCCAATTGCTTCCTAGAATTGTTCTTGGCCCAGCTCAAAAAGATTCCAGAAGAGTATGTGGGAGCAACAGAGCTCGGGTGGTGGATATCAAGGAGTTCACGGGCATTTTCGAGAAGCTCGTCTCCATATTCCAGAATTCTAGCCGGTGGCATGCAATTGACTCTGTTTGCCAGAGCCGGTTTGGCTTCCAGATCAAGAATCTCCAGGCCAAGTTCGATGCTGACAATTACGAGATTTACGATCTAAACGACCATGACGAAGAAGATGAAGACGCACCAGCTCTAGTCTGAGATTTCCTCCAAGTCTTTCTTGCGTGGCCTTCCCCGTCCCACGGAGGCCTTCCGCTTCTTCAACCACTCGTCTTTAAACTCCCTTGTAACGATTTTCCCCATGAAGACTTCCTTACCCTCTTGAAGAACTTTCATGTAAGCCTCCCTGTATTCGTTTTTTTCGATCTTTGACATACTCTTCCACTTCAGGACAATCGCCTGCTGGTCAATCTTACCATCTTCCTTACGGAACTCCTTTCCGCATATACTTCTGAAATAGTTCCAAGCATGCGTGAAAGAGACCCTTTCCTCCTTCGGCCTGCTTTCCACCATGGCACCATCCTTCCGTTGTAGTGAGTTACCAAGGTACTGTGTAATGTAGAGGGCCTGTTCTGCGGCTTTCTTCCGTGTCAGAGCCGTCTCGATCTCTGGGTTGGGTATGTCTGACTTCTTGGTCTGATCCACCCACTTTTCAATTTCTTCCTGAGCTTTTTCAAAAAGGGGATCCTCAGAAGATATGGTCACGCCCAGCTTGAGCCCCGGTATTTTCAGAAGCAATTGGTCTAGCTGAGTTTCTGTCCATCCTCGAGACACATATTTCTTGGGTACTAGGAACCAGCCATAGCTGGTACACACAGCATCTATATTATTAGGATCACTCTTCACTTCTTGTAGAAGCTTCAGAGCCCGTAATTGTGGTGATATTGACAAACGTCTAGCCGATGCTAGAAGTCCTCGATACATGCTGATTTCCACTAGCGATGCTCTGCGCGCACATACGTAGTATCTACTTGGCGATACCACTCTACTTTCGGAATGTTGATTTCACGATTCTGGACTATAGCTGCCGCCACAGCTGTCCTGATCAAGCTCACAGCCGATTGGCTGGAAGCATCATTTCCTGAACAACTTATAGAAGCTGCAAGCTCGTATAAGGATAGCTTGTATGTGCTGGCAGTGAGAGCCTTGTACCAGAATGAGGAGAGTTTGGACTGGGAAGACGACGATTTTGATGATGTTGAGATAGGATCTGAAACAGGATCAAGGACCGACAAACAGATATATGATTCCTTTGTTGGAAGCTTGCTGCCAGAGGAGAAAGGTATGGCTGATCTCAACTTGGTCAACAAGATCTATACTCCAAGGATAGAGGCACACTACAGACACTACCAGAATGAAGTGGACGAATCGAAGGTTCTCAAGGCGTGTGCCAAGGACTCTTTTGGAAACGAAATCGAGGACCCCTTGGGTGCTTGGGTGAAGTATGGAGACAGGATCTATTGCTCTGACGCTGACTTATACGCACTTCAGCTTTCCAGAACTTCAGAAGAAATCAAGGCATTTGATAGAGTGATTGGAAATGACGAGAAGAAACCTTTGCTAGTGCTCTATGGCTCTTCGAAGAGTCCCAGACTTGGCCAAATGTTCGAAACATTGTACCAGTTTGCCGAATCTGACAAGTTGAGATTTATGTGGAGATACGTACCAACTGAGGGTCCAAAGAGCGAGATCCCCGGATTTGGCGCTATATTGACGCCCAAGAAGCCTCTCAATGGCACCAAATCATCAAAGATCAAGTACACTGGTGACATCAAAAAATACTTGGCTGATATTAGAAAAAGAGGCCAACCCTTGAAAGCCCTTGAGGAAGATTCATATCAAGAGTTGTCTGTTAAAATCACAGCTCTTGTCCTTGCTCAGCCTGAAGCTGAACAACACGAACTTCTTCAAGAGATTTTGAACAACCTTCCCCTTTACGGACCTTACATCCAACTCATCCGGGATATCTCAGGCTTGGAATCTACGAGGGCAGCAGCTAAAGTGAATGAAAACAGAGGCGCCTCTGCTGAGTCCGTCGGGCTCTATTTGAACGGTGCCTCGGTTCACAAATTGGAGATGGACCTCCCGCATGTCATCAACAAATTGAATACAGAGCTCAGACTCGCTCAGAGAATGAGTGAACTAGGGTTTTCCAAGGCGCAGAGCAAATTCATTTTTTATAAGTTCGCTCTCATGAGTGCCTTTAGGGAAGTACAATATCGTACCGGCGACCAGGAAAACAGATACGCAGTATACAAACATGCCTTTGATCCAACAGATAATACATCAGGTGGTGTTGTCTACTTCAATGATATTGAGAAGGATGATCCATATGACTTGTTTGATGTGAACAGAAGAGAAGCATACCTCGGAGTCGAGGCGCAGAGATTACAGTTCGGTCAGGTTCCTGCTCTCAGAGAGAACTCTCACGAATTAATCTTTGCTATCAATTTTTCAAGCTCCATCCAGGTGAAGATTTTCTTCACATTTGCCAAGATCATCCTCGACAGAAATCTCCCCCAACAGATCGCTGTTGTTCCTCTTGTTGACAGTGACGAGGATGAGTTGGTTACGGAGAAATTCTACCACATTATGGAAGTTAGCGACTCGAAGGAGGCATTTGCTTTGTTGTACCAGTACTACGAAGCGCCTACTCAAGAAGAGAAGCATGAGATCCTTTCAAAGGTAGAAGTTTCTGAGGATAAGCAAGGCACCTTTAGAAACTACGAAAAGACGGTTCGTGAGTTCTCACTTGACTCTCCATCAGTGATTATCAACGGTGTGATACACGACATGAAGTCTCCATGGCAGGCTGCAATGACTAAACAGATGGGCAATGATGTCCGTCTTTTGCAGCAAAAGATCAAAAAGATGGAAGACAGAGGTAGAGATCTCAAATCCGTTCTCTTTCAGGATGCCAAAGAAAGCAGAAATTCACGTGTTTCTCCAAAGGATCTAAGCAACATCAGATACAAGGAGGTGACGAAGGAATTGATCGATAATTCATCGGCTTTCAAGAAGATCAATAAGCCCAATGATGCACCTGGAACCTTTTGGCTTATTGGTGACTTCAACTCCCGCCTAATCCTCGCTCAATTCTCGAAGCTTTTGGAATTACTCGAAATCTATCTGGACATGTCTTTGGAAATCCGTATTTTGAACATTTCAGACGACGACTCTTTGCTAAACAAGCTCTCTGCGAAATATGGGGCCAAACCGCTAACCCATGAAACTATCACTGATTTGAAATCGGAGGTGTTGAAAGCCAAAAGCAAAGTATATTCTAAAGTACTGCCAAAGAAAGCTCAACTTCTTCAGGACCATCAGATCCAGCTACACCAACCCGGAATGTTGTTCAATCTGAGGTATCTCAAATTAAACGACCTTTTCGATACTGAGGAGCTCATAGAGTTGGTTGGTTTCGAGCACAGGAGGCGCCTTAGTATTTTCAAAGACATCACAGACACCTACCCTGATATGTTCTCGTGGAAAGGTATCATGTTTTTCAGAAAGTCTGGGTATGACAACTTCGAATGGTTTGATCTCGTGAGTTCTGTTGTGGCCAAATCATTCTTCTTAGAGGATTCACAAATTCAAACAGACGTTGATCGCTTTGACTTTTCATCACTTAACTTTGTGAACTCTCTAAACATAACCGGAGCGAATGGTGCTCTGGTAGATATTCTTGCAATCGTTGATCCAATCTCCGATGTATCCCAGAAAATTGTCTCCATTGTGAGTGCTCTTAAAGATCTACCATTCGTCAACGTTAAACTTTTGATTCAACCACTCAAAGATGTCGCGGAACACACCTCGTTGGAAAGGTTCTATGCTCACAATTTTGTGTCCTCATATCCGCAATTTGATGAAGACGGTACTTTCCTGATTCTGAATTATGGTGCTCAAGCGCAAGGCCTTGTGCCCAAATACAAATTCTCTTCTGACCTTGACATACCTTCCAGATGGCTTGTTGTTAAGGACAAGCTTCCCAAGGCCGACCATGAAGAGTTCACTGTTGATGAGATCGAGGAATTGAGTTACAAACTTGATAAATTAGTGGTTGAAGGCTACGCGAAGGATGTAAAGACTGCTCAATCGATCGCGACGTTGACTTTCGATATTACAAATGAGCAGGTGGTTGAAGATGGTATTGTCATGCATACTCTAGGCTATGTTCAATTCCAGCTTAAGCCTGATGTTTGGAGTTTACTGATACAAAGGGGTTCACGTGGTGAACAAATTTACAACTTACTCTCAGCAAGCGACAACAAGTACGACACAAACGATCAGCCCATCGACACTGCTGAAGTATCTTTATTTTCCTTGCATGGTTCAGTGATTCATCCCAGACTACTCGAGAAATCAGAAAAAGATCAGGCAAAAGCAAAGAAGAAGGTTAGCACTACTAAAAATGCAGACATCAATGTGTTCTCCCTCGCCAGTGGGAAGCTCTACGAAAGATTCGTTTCTACGATGATGCTATCCGTGAAGAAGCACACCAAATCTACAGTAAAGTTTTGGCTCCTTCGGAACTTTTTGAGTGCCGAATTTGTGGATTCTCTTCCGCAATTAGCTGAAGCTTACGGCTTCCAATATGAACTCATCACTTACAAATGGCCTCTTTGGCTTCGCCAGCAGAAAGAGAAATACCGTCAGGTGTGGGGCTACAAAATCTTGTTCTTGGATGTCTTGTTCCCTAACCTGTTAGACAAGGTTATTTTTGTGGATGCAGATCAGACAGCCAGAACTGACCTAAAAGAGTTAGTCGACACTGACCTTAAAGGTAAAGTGTATGGATTCCCACCAATGTGTGACTCCCGTAAGGAAGTTGAAGGATACAGGTTCTGGAAGCAAGGATACTGGAAGAACGTTTTGCAAGACGATTTGAAGTACCATATTAGTGCGCTCTTTGTGGTTGATCTCAATGCGTTCAGACAAGAGTACGCCGGCGACAGGCTCAGAAGTCACTACCAAAAGCTCTCCAGTGATAAAGAGTCACTCGCTAATCTCGACCAGGATTTGCCCAATAACATGCAAAGGCTGATTCCTATCCACACATTGAAGCAGGATTGGCTATGGTGTGAGACCTGGTGCTCTGACGAGAGCAAGAAAAAGGCTAAAATGATCGATTTATGCAGTGACCCTTTCAGAAAAGAAACTAAATTAGAACGTGTGCAGAGACTGATTCCAGAATGGAAAGGGTACGACGATCAGATTCAACGGTTGCAAAAGGGCGAGAGCGATACCGGTGCGAACGTGGGGCATGATGAATTATAGGCAGGACAACCCAACTATATTTCATGCGAGGGCAGCCGGTTTAGGTACTTTGACGGGCGCGGAAAGTAGCCCTTTATGGCATATACCGACATGGCCTAAGGTCACGTGTGGTTGTGAATCAATTACGCATTATAGGCGATGGTGAAAGAAGCTGAGGGGACCAGAGAGATGGCTCATGAATTTCAGTATCCAAAACGGATAGAGATCTCCTGAATGACCCCATGTCATACTTTGTCATAAACACGAGATACAAGGCTGAATCATGATAAGCTGACCATGTGAGATTAAGTGAGTCTACGTGCTTTCTGCAGGACGCGAGGTCCCAATAGAGGTGACTAGTACTGGACTGAAAAAAAATACTACCCGAACGTCTTCTTCATAGTTAGCCATGAAAATCTCGAAGAAGTTGGACGATGCACACTCGTGCTCCAACCCGCCTCCGGCAACCTTCTCCTTCGAGTTCTTTGTCCCCAAGACCTCCCAGGGTGTACAGAACCTTTACGACAGAATGGATAGAATGTACGAGTTGAACCCGATCTTCATTGATATCACTTGGAACGCAGGTGGTCGCTCATCCACCCTTACCAACGAAATGGTTTACACTGCCCAGTCCACTCTTGGTTTGGAAACTTGCATGCACTTGACGTGTACGAACATGAAGGTGGAGTTGATTGACGAGGCATTAAGTAAAGCTCACGCCTCAGGATGTCAGAACATCTTGGCTTTGAGAGGCGATCCACCTTTGGATGGCTCAGAGTCGACTGGTGATTTTAAGTACGCTAAGGATTTGATTCGCTACATCCGCAAGAACTACGGTGACCACTTCAACATTGGTATAGCGGCATACCCGAAGGTCATCCCGAAGAAGAGGATGATGTGAAGTTGTTGAGCTATTTGAAAGAGAAGGTCGACGCTGGTGCTGACTTTATCATCACACAGATGTTTTACGATGCGGACAACTTTATCAGCTGGTGTCTGAAGATCCGTAAGATTGGCGTGGAGATTCCCATCATTCCTGGTATCATGCCAATTTCAACCTACTCCGCCTTCATTAGAAGAGCCAAGTGGTCTCAAGTGAAGATTCCAGAGCACTTTTTACAGGCATTGGATCCTATCAAGGAAGATGATTACGCTGTTAGAGAGAAGGGAACCCAGTTGGTGGGCGAGATGTGTCAGAAACTCATTGATTCAGGATACGTGAACCACCTTCACTTCTATACTATGAATCTTGAGCGTTCAACTATCATGGTGTTGGAGCATCTCAACTTGATCGAGCATGTCAAAGATAACGCTGTTGTGGGTGACGAATTGCCCTGGAGGAAGTCGTTGCACCCCATGCGATCAAAGGAGTCGATCCGTCCCATCTTCTGGCAGAACAGAAAATACTCTTACATCTCCCGTACTTCAGGTTGGGATGAGTTCCCCAACGGTCGTTGGGGTGATTCTAGATCTCCTGCTTTTGGTGACATCGATCTTTCTGCCACGGAGTTGTTACGTCAGTCTCCAAAGCGTGCCTTTGAGTTATGGGGCTGTCCTCAGACATTGGGCGATCTTTCTCAAATTTTGATTTCCTACTTACAAGGCGAGATCAAGTCTTTGCCATGGAGTGACGGTCCAATCGGTGACGATACTGAAGTGTTGAAGCCTGCGTTGATCGAGATGAACAAAAAGGGTATTTTCACGTTGAACTCGCAACCTGCTTTAAGTGCTGTCAGATCCAACGATGAAGTTTTCGGCTGGGGTCCAAAGAATGGATTTGTCTACCAGAAACAGTACTTGGAATTCTTCATCCACCGAAATGCACTCAACACTTTGTTGCAAAGAGTCGAGGAGCACAATGCTAGAGACGCCCATTCTGTCGTCACTTACTACGCTGTCGACAAGCAGGGCACATTGTCTACCAATGCTCATGACGACGATATCAACGCTGTCACTTGGGGTGTCTTCCCTGGCGAGGAGATCTTGCAACCCACCATTGTCGAAAAGGTCTCCTTCTTGGCCTGGAAGGACGAGGTCTACCGCTTGCTCGACGAGTGGGTGAAGATCTTCCACACCAAGTCTGTGAAGGAGGAAGTTGAGGAAGCCAAGATCGACGCTTTCTCAACGTTGTTGACTGGTTTCGGAGACAACTTTGTCTTGTGCAACTTTGTCAACAACGACTTCACCAGTGGCAACAACATCATCTTTGACCTTTTCCGGGATCTTCCTGTGGCTTCTCTCTAGATGCCACCTCTCCATCGTTCAATTCTTCAACACATAAACATTTGCTCGGATATTGGCCCTGCTTTCAACAACATCAGGGGCCCGGTTTTTACCTAATTCAACTTGGTGATAAAACCTCTGTCAAGTGCCACCTTCATTTTGATGGAGCTCAATCCGGTGACTCGTCACCACAAGTTTTTTTTCTGCATTTATGCTATTTACATAACCCATATAGCATCCTCAACGGCATGGTTCACGAATAAAAGTACAATTCACAATTTACGTTGTAGTTAGCCAGGTTTATCCGTGTATTAAGATAGATCACTCGAGTTCACCCACTCTCCACACTTCGAGGTTCATGATCTTGAAGGAGCCGTATTCTGCACCAATTTCGTGGTCACATAAGATCTCGTTACCGAAAGTCTCGCAAGGGTATGAGACACCCAGGTAAAGAGATTTGTCGATATATAGGCCGTTGTTGCCACGCGAGGAGCCAACAGCTATAAAGTCGACGTTTGAGTAGATCAAGTTGTCATTGAGTCCTGTGTAAGGAAATGCCTTGAAACGACGGTCTCTTCGCCTTTTCGGCTCCTGAGGTGCATTGTACCACTCTGTCTTCCACAAGAAGCATTCGCCATTTCCGTAGTATCGTTTATGTTCCAGTGGGCGAGGATGTTCGTTGAGGTAGCAGCCAAACTTGTTCTTGTGCTCATCCTGAATCACCACGATATAGCCGTGTGGTCTGCTGCCTCGAGCATGCGGGTTCTCGCCAAAAGTGACCATATTCTTGACCACGCCTTCAGCAAAGCCACCTGTGTCGCCATTGGCCCTCGCCTTCCTGACATTGAGATTGTGCTTCTGTGTTTCAGGACGGCAGTTTCGATATAGCGAGTTCAAGGAGATGCCGTGTTGCTCCAAGGAGTACAAGAGCTCCCATTCACTGTAGAGCTGGAGCCGGGGAGGAAGCAATGACCTTATATTCAGCGCCAATTCCTCGTCAAGCACCCTATGTTTTGTTCCGCTGGCATACCCCAGAAGCTGGAGGTCTGATAAGGGTGGAAGTGGGTCTGGTGATGCCAGGGTCAGGCGCAGCTCAGGGGTTGGGGATCTCTGGGAGCCCAAAAGACGTCCCAAAAGTGAGGGTTGCTTTCTAGGGACCCTCCCCTCGGGCTTTGTATCCGAAATATCCACACTCATGGTAAGAAGTTGCTAGGTAGTAAGGATCTGGGGTGAGCGCACTCTAGGCAGGCCAGGTCCTAGATGGTGGACTAGTGGCCCAATCGGGTGAGTGAAAGGAGAAATTCAACACCGGCTTTTACGCTGTCAATGAAAACAATGTGGGGGAATTCTGCATGGAGTTTCTTGTCGAGTCCTGCCATTCCAGCACACCCCAAAAGCACACAGTCTATATTGTCTGAAGCGTACTCGCGCAAAAACGCAGACACTCTTTCGGTGATTTTGGAAAACTCCGAAGCATCACTAAGGTCGAGGACCAGAACGTCCAATGCACGGCTTTTTTGGAATCTCTCGAATGGAAACTCGCCAGATCCAGCAAATTTGGTAATCGCCTCGTCCAAAAGAGGTAGCCACCCGCTGGTGCTGGTCAACACGAACAGTCTACGCACTCTAGCGTTAGCGTAGCTATACAAGAGAGTCGCTTGCATGATGCCCAACACTGGTTTATCGGTGTGTTGGGCAAGCAGGGCCACTAGTGGATGATCTGAGTAGCATGCCACGAGAAAACCGTCGTAGCTGTCCAAAAGGCGTTTTTCGAGTATATCAGGAAGCGCTGCTTCTTCAGACTGGATCAGAGTCTCTGTACCACTTATCTCCTTGGGGCGTTGGGCGGAGCAGTGTAGAACTCGAGGTTCGTGCCAGGTGGAGGAGTGATGGTAAGACGGAGGTTATCAGAGACAGAAACGGACGAGTTGGGGTTGATCACAAGAAGAGAGGGCATGTTGGTGGTGAAGTTGAGTTCCGCGCGGCGGTTGAGATAAGGCGAGCCAGCGAGGTGGAGAGTCCAGGGGAGTGAATTGGATTGAACTTTTGAGGGTAATATTCAAGCCTATTTGGTTGTTGGGAAAATAAGGTTTTGATGTTGTAGATGTGGGAGGAGGACCTGATACCGGAAGACAGATCACGACGTAGATAACAGGTACTTTTGGGTGTCAGTAAATTAGAGATTTTATCAAAGGGTGAGTTATTTTCTAAAATCAGTTTTGGGCTGCTAGGATATATCATGAATATTTCATTTTCCTTTGCCTGAAAATCGAGGCAATGAGCTTATTCTCGTTAATGATCTACATGCGACTCATTACTACAAAATACTCAATCAGGTACAAAATGATGAGATGCCTTATAACGACAAATTACGTGTGGCTTTCGGAGTCGAACATTTCGAAGTAGCTGTTGGCCCAAAGGACAATCTCCCTCATCTTTGGGTTATGCCATCAAATGGTCCTTCCATCTCAAGATACGCTGCTATCAGACCAATTCGACAAAATCAGAGTAGCAAAGCAAGTAGCAGAGTCTATCATCTCAGCTCAGAATCCCTTAAATGAATTCCTTTTCCTCCCCAAAACACGTCCTCCAATCCAACTCCAGCCGAATTTTGCACCCATTCCTGCACCTCTCGATAGGACATCACTATTCTTCTCCAGAAACCACCATGCCATGTCGTTTGTAGCGGCAATAGACAGTTCCAAAAATATATCAAGCTGGTCTCGTGCGGTCAATGCATTAGCGCAAATTCTGGATCAAATCAAGATCACAATCTCCGGGTTGGCTTTGACACTTCTGGCCATCAATCCATCACGCACAAGCAGCGGAGAGATCCTGTTCGAAAGGCTGTTTTTCCGAGAATTCTCTTTTGATACGGCCAATATATCACCAGTCGGTTTCAAAATCGATGAATATGATCATAATTACCTGTCATACTCGTGCATTGTCTCGTCCAAGCATATGGTGGTGCTCTTTAAGAACCTAGACGCGGCGAGTCTCAGCTACATTTGCCTTCGGCTTGACTGCTACGATGGTGTACCTCGAAACAAGGAATTCAAAGTGTTCGTTGAAATCTTGACGAAGAAAATGATTGTGAAAAAGTACCTGGTCAATTATCAGCCAGTGCTACCCCAAGAGCTGCCTATTCCACGCATCTACAAGAAGGACTTCGACAACGGAAAGTGCAAACATTTGATGATGGAATTGAATACGATGAAGTCATTTCTTGATATGGTACCACTCTCTACGGAGGACTTCAAAGTGGATGTGAAGCAGACGAAAATCCTGTTTGTAGCTTTCACTCGACAAGTGCTCAAAGACAAAGAGCTACTTAAACAGGCAATGCTGATTACCATTCTGATGGCCATAGACGAGCTTATGGAGCTGAACTTAGATGGTACTACCAGCTCGATCAATTTCCGTCTCAAGGATTACCGCACTTTCATTACATGTTGCACGTCCATGGGAGACCTAACACATAGCGATGATAATTTGCTGCCCGAGCCTCTGTTTGAGGCTTACTTTAAAGGCGGAGGAGATCCACTTGTTGTGGAGCATAACTCTGGTCCCGTTCTTGTCCGTTTAATCATCCTCACCGCTGGCACGGGAGAACCTCAAGATGGAGACGAGAACAGGGACAAATACATTCTCCATGGTCACACGATACACAGAGTTCCTGAAAGTCATATAACGAAAGCAATTCCCACCAGCCTCATAAGCAAAGGTCGACTAGATAACGCAACAGGTCAGGGTAGAGAGCCCAGCTACGAGCCAGACTTCAATTCGTTCCAGTCTAGCTCTATGGGAGACATTGTCACCTACGGTAAGCGCGGGTCGACCCCAACTACTGAAGCGCCAGCCAAAAAGGCTAAAACTAAGGTAACTGATGCGGATACAGACTACAGTACCTCTGACGAGGAAGCTGAGCTAGGACCCACACAGCAGAATAACAAGCCTACATCGTTGTTCGAATGATTGTGTATTACGTCGTGTGTTTTATGCAGCGGCGTCTGATGAACACCCCGGGATGCTTACGTGGATGGAGATGGGGCCTCGACCTTTTTCTTACCGAAGTAATGATAGTTGACCCATCTGTATCCTTGGGCCAATTGGGCACACTCATTGGCGAAATGACAACCAAACAACAAATAGTTCTTTGGGCTAATGGCAACGGAGTATCTCATGAAGACCAAGGAGTACATAATCAACGAGCCAGTCATTGGGCCAGAAATGAGATCTGGGTCTTTGTTCAAGTCCATCATGGCAGCGACTGGGATACCAAAGTTAGACACAGGGCCCCAGAAGTGCGTGGTGAAAATGTACCTGAGATTCTGTTTGTTGAAGATGTTCTTGAAAGACATGGCCTCGAGAATAGGGTACTTGCTGGTGATTCTATCGGTATAGAACACTCCGCTTTGATGGGTGGTGTCGTATGCAGTCCCGGTGTGTTCCGTCCCCAATGGTTCCGCGCCTAATGGCTGCAAAATTACAAGCTCGTCGTGGATCATGATGCATAGTCTATAAATTGTACTTAGTTTGGTCCTTGAAAACCGGGTTGAGGTGGGTTGAAATACGTTTGCGGCATATGCGAAGACTGGGCATAGTTCAATTCGCTTGCTTGGTTCTTCTCGTCTTCATCCTCATCCTGAAGCTGATTGGGGTTTTGCCCCACTGCTGGATTACCCATCATACCATTGTAATGCAGAGTAGGAACTCCCTTATGACCTGCGTTGTTCACCAGGCCATTCATGTTTGACACCATCTGATTGTTCATTTGCTGATCCTGGCCACCATTGTGGCTGGATATGGTCCGAGGGCCCATTTGTTGATGAGGAAGTCCCTGCTGGTTTTGCATTGGGTGTTGAGGAAGCTTCTGATGCTGAGGGAACTGACTCTGTCTGGGCGCCAGGAATTGCGAGGACTCTCTGCTTCTTAAAGGCAGTGGTTGTTGGATATTCTCAAACTGAACGTGAGCTGGAACCTGTGACTGGTGCTCTCTTTGAGAGAGATGTGGTGGTGCCTGAGTCATGTGCTGTGGCTGAGGCTGATGAACTTGTTGCACATCCCCAGGAACTTGGTTCCAAGCACCAGGGAACTGGTCCTGACCTTGCATGTTGTACTGATTGAGAACATCCAGGCTGAGGGAGTTTGGCTGCATGTTCTTATTGTAGCTAGGATCCTCAAACATCTGAGGTCCCATCTCATCATCCGAAGGACTGCTGAGATAGTATGGGATGTTCTCGGCGTTGAGCCAGAAAGGATCCTTGAAAGAGAAGCCCAAAATCTTGTCCAAATCATCAGTTTCGAGATTTGGAGCATTCTCAGAGTCTCTCTGATGGTGGTGATCTCTCTTCTTGAGAAGGGTGTTGATATGCTGGAGATCCTTGTTAATCAAGTAAAGGATGTTAGTGGACCACAAACGCACATCCTCACCCAACTGGTCAGTCAACTGCGAGGAGAACTGAAGAAGATCGTTAAGCTTTTGCTCAATGTGGTTCAAAAATGTTCCTGATTCGCCCTGAATGAACTCCTTGGCCTTGTAGTTGAGGAGGGTAAATATCACAATAATACCCTGGTACATGAAGGAGTTGAGGAAAGGGTAATCAACACGGAAGACCTTTCCAAGCTTGGTTCTGCTGAAAGCCTTTCCCTCATCATTGAGAAAGTGAGGTGTGATTCTCAGCAAAAAGTCCTTTGTGAATTCGACAGTGTAGTCGAGGAATCTCAGAATAGAATCACACATGGCTTCAATGAGATACTTGCTATCCTCAGGTCCCAAAAACTGGTTGCTGAAGGGCTCAAGCAACTTGGCCCTGTTGATATGCAAGATGATCAAGTCAACAATAGCAGGTTCCCTTTCGACCGCCAAAGGCATGTGGCATGATTCGTCCACCTCCTCGGCCAGGGCCAGATGCTGAGATTGGTAATCCTGACTCACAAACCAAGTGAGCTTTTCACATTCCTCCTTGAATCTAGCATCGAGACGCATGACGTCGGCGATGGTGAAGTTCATCATGAAACTCTCAATAAGCATCATGTTGGATAATCTGAGGCACTCACTGAGGCCCATCTTCAACTGGACCTGAGTCTTCTCAGAGTCCAAACGAAGCTTGGCGAGGTTTTGCTGGTTGGACGTGAAAAGCACAACCGAGTTGACCTGGATGGAGATAGGGTTAGGACGACCCAAGACAGAACAAAGCTGGCCGCACATGTACTTCAAGGCAAACCAGACCTTGAATCTAGGTACATCACTGTCGGAGTCATCTTCATCCGATACCGAGTCATCCTTCTCTTCGACCTTCACTCCGCCTTCTCCAGATTCGTCTCTCAAGTCCTTCTTTTGAGACATTTCAGCAAGCTTGACAGGAGCTTCTTCTAGACTGTCGTTGGTGGTTCTCATATTCACCATGACATGGAGACCAATAGCGTACGCCACAGCACAGCAATGGAACAACATAGACCATGACTCTTCGTAACGCTGGTCGATGAAGTACCACTCGGTACACAAGATGTATGCCTGGACGGTCATGATAGACTCGTTTAAAAGGTTATGACGCAACTTGGTGAATCCACGGTAAAGCACATTCTTAACTAAGCTTGTGGTTCTCTTGTGTAACGTGATTACCGAATCAACAGGCTCCTTCGTAAGTCCACTTTCATTATAACTCTTCGGCGTGAGACGCAGAACCAGCAAAATCAACACCATGTGTAGAAGAAGCAAATCATCGTCGTTCTCCCATTCCTTATCTGAGATGTTATCATACGAATTTATGAAATCGATCATTTGGGGCTTCGAAATAAACGACCTGTAAGTGCTGTGCTCGAAGAACTGACTTATAAGGATCTTGATAACCTCGAGGTTGTCCTCCTGCTTTTCGTCCTTGCCAAGCAACCACGGGAGAGGTTTCTTCGAGAATGCAATATCGGAGTTGCCTTCGACATCCATTTCGTCGGTATCCAGCCCCTCTCTCTTCTTCTTCGAAGGATGGCTGTCGTTGTTGAACGGCGTGCTGCTCGAGTCGGACTTCTGTGGCGAATCCTCGTTTTGGTTGTAATTGTTATTGTTGTTGTTCTTCAGTCGAAGGGCCTCGATCATGTAGTTCGACGAGGAAGGTCCGTAGTACTTCTCGCCCATCTCGGTCGTTTCTCCGGCTATCTCGATACCGTGTTCGTCGTCATGCTCGATATTCTGAGTTCTATCGAGCGTGTGGAGCTTGGATCGTAACTCGTGGTTTTTCTGGGTCAACTTGAAGTTCTCGTGAAGCACAGCCAACTTCTCCTTCCGGAGCAACTCGACCTCATCGTGTAAGCGATGAACCTCCAGGGGAGAGTTGGAGTCCAGGTTCGAGGAGGACCTCACGGGGCTCATTTCATGGGTATGGCTGTGGTGATCATGTTCGTTGGTGATGTTGATGTTTCGGAACTTCCTTGGGAACTCACAGATGACGCCTTTCTTGATACACTGGTTGCAAGGCTTCTTCTTGTTACACTTTATCTTCTTCCGACGGCACGAAATGCACGATATTGGGTAGTCGGACATGGTGGAAAGGAACGGTACGGGATTATTTCAAGGTGTTGTTAAGTGGTGTTATGAAAAACAGTTGTTCTTGTAGGTAGTCTCTTCAGACAGGTAAAGTGATGGAGAATTCACAGATCTTTTTCTTGGTGTATCCGTCAGCCCCAAGTGCCGCAACTCCATGCTGTCTTGTAGGCAGCGCTGCATCATACAGCATAGGTGTGCATAGGGCGCCTTTTTTCCTCATACTGTGTGGCGCCAACTTGCCCACGATGTGGCGAATGTATCTCGGTTGTTTTATCCAAGCTGGTCTAGCCAGCTTGCCAAGGCCATCGGATATAGTACTAGGAGAGACGATTCTGGTATCTTATTAAAAAAAATAGTTTTCCTCTAATCAACATGAAATGACCCTCACACGGGGATCTTGCTCCGTTGCTAGATGCCCGGCGTCTATAAAGAACCGTGCGCATCTATACCTGTCCGTCATGTCTCAGAAATAGCAACTTAGGCTCGGGATTCCTTGGAGTGCATCGGCGCCGTAAAGCGGCACCGGCGATTTCAAATTTGCATCGTTTCAGATGACCGTGAAGAAAAAAAGTAAACTGAGAACTCGATTTCTAAAGATCAGCGGCCTTCGCTTATGCACGTCACAATGGGTAGTGAGAGGCTAGTAAGATACGCCGCGTGCAAGTGTCAAATAATTCTTAGTTGTGTTTCGTGTGAACGCGGACGTTAAGCACATCGTTTATGCTTGAAGTGTCCTAGATTTCCCCAGGTTGCTAGAAAACGCAGGCCCACCTGAGACATTCTCCTACAGCTTTGCTGGGGCTCCTAGCAACTATTAGGCGCCAGGCGGCTCCCGGTCTCTTCGGTGTAATTCTGTATTGTTCTACGGCTGAGTAATGGCTGCTGTGGAGGCTAGTGTATCGGTCACTGCATTACCATGAGGTGCATTCTCCTAGACAATGGCTTTTGACGATCAGAACGTCCGGTTGAGCAAGTCGTACGCCAATGTCACCATGCATGGGATCAAGATATTGTCGTTAAGCGTAGCTGAGCCTTCTAGAATGCCGGCAATCATGGCAATGATGAATGTGTTTTCCCAGTTCTGGACCCTCTTGTCCTCGGGCATAATGTAGAAGTCAATCAACACAAAAGATGCAAACGTAACCACCATGAATGTGATTGTTCCCTCGAGCGTTCTCAGTGCGCCCTTCCACTTGATCTTGCCAAATCTCTTCCCCACAATGGATGCAAGCGAATCGCCCAAGCCAAGCGTCACTAAGCCGATGTACGAGCGTAAATTAACAACGTCTCCGAGAACATAGCCGTAAGCCAATGGAGCAACCACACCGGCAAGTAGGAAAATGTAAGACAAATTGAGCGGACCCTTGAGATCTTTTTCGTCTTGGAAAAATCTCAACTCGGTGAACAAAAATTCTCCGAGGAAAGTGATTCGGGTGCATCTAATCATCTCAATGACAATAAACACAATAAGCGACCCCAACAATGCAATGGCGGTAAACTCTGGCTGCTGCACAAATGCAGGGTATCCGAGACAGAGCACCAACATAAAGTGCCACACTTTCCTACGAAGGTTGAGGTTGATTTTGTTGGTGTAGGCCAAACCAAAAATGATTGGAATGGCGACCAAAAGAGAAACAGCCCAGTAGATGATCAAATGCAAGCGAGCGTCAGATTCCCAGATGTAGTCAAACAACCACAAAACAGGGTTCTTCTCGTCCAACTCTTTCGTGAAAATGAGGTCCATGGTGAAGTAAAACACCGCCGCAAAGAGCACGGCAATAAGAATAGCCACGCCCTTTCTGATGACACTTTGTTGCATCCTCAAATAGATCCAGTAAAGCTGGTATGCTGCAAAAGATGCTGCCATGAGGGAGATGGTGAGCTCACGGAAAAGCACCAATGGGAATGGCATCGCCTTTGCGTCTAAATTGTACAACAAGTTAACAAGAAGAAGGCAAATCATGTGGATCTCAGAAGGCAACATGGTTGTCAATTTGACATTGGTTTCCTCCTCCTCGCCCAATTCGTTCCATCCATCGAAGATGTACTCCAAAGAGAAGTACGTGAGCACCACACGAAGATAGAAGAACACCTCCACAGTAGTCGAGTCGTTATAGATGTAGTAGAAGACAAACGACGAGAGCACCTTGGCAACAATGTGAAGGTTCTTGATGGCAAAGTTGTTTAAGGCCAAGTTCACCTGGAAAAATGGTGCCTTAGTATCGCCCAAAAGCACGAACAGCAAGATGGGGATGACGAAAGCGTACAACGTGTTGAAGTCGGGCAACACAGGAGCCTTGAATCTGGTTGGATCCTCCTTATATTTCTTCGTCATGGAACGGTGGTTGAGCCACATGGCCAAGACAGCTCCAATCAAGTTGAACCCCACTGACGATAGCGTCTTGTCGTCTTGGATCTTATTCAAGTAAACGTAGAAGATCTGGCCGATGTAGAGACATGTCATGATCTGAGCAGCTTTGCAGAAGTCCAAGTAGAGATTGAGGAAATCCTGGAATTCATAGATGATGTTCCATGGAAAGTTATATTGAGACGGGTCGTCACTCAATTCAACTCTCTGGGGTTCGGGCTTTTCCTTAGGAGCAGCCTCGGTTTCTGGGGTAGCATCATAGTTTTGAAAAACAGAGGCAGTGGTCTTGGCAGAAGCCAGCTTCTCCGTTTTGACCTCTTTCCGTCTGGCCATAGTGGGGTGGTATAGGTGTAAAAAAAATAAAGGCACCGAGGTATTTCACTCTGTGCACTTGGCGATGAAGCCCAAAAAATAATGACTCCGGCGTGATTCGAACACGCGCATCTTACGATAACAGAACTTGAGTCTGCCGCCTTAGACCGCTCGGCCACAGAGCCATTTCTGAACGAGACAAGAAGCGAAAAATCTGAGAGCAGCAATTCGTAGATCAGCTGACGTACTGTATACATTACCCGGGAAGAACAATTAAAGTTTCAGAACAAAGAATTGATTAGTAGGGTATAAAACTGATAAAGTTTGGACTTTCTTAATTGGGCCAAGCGCAGGAGCTTCCCCTTAATCAAAAACATTGAAAGTTACTCAGATTACCGATGGACTTCCTCTTCGCCGTTGAAAGACATTCGTCAATCGTAAACTCTACAAGTCTCTACCTGGATGCCTTTCTATGTATGTCTCATTACTCTATCGCCAGAAGAAGCTGGTATTCCAGTTTGATGCAGAAGTACGACCTCGTTCTGCGGGCGTCATTTCGTAAGCCAACGTGCATCAACAGCTTGCAACGGATCATGAATCACCATCCTGGCAGATGTCCCATATTTCCTTCTTAAAACGTCCTTCTTCGAAATCACTCACCAAGTCTTGCAAGGCTTGGTGTTACACTTTGAGTCCTCTGTTTTGCTTACCGTTCAATTCGGGGATTCACGGGGTTATCGGAATTCACAATTCCTAAAATTCTTTGGACGGCTATTCTTTAATCACTGTGGTTGCAATTGATACACACCGCTGGTCACTACTATTTACCTGTTTGGCGCATCTCGGAAATGCCATTTTGCAGCCATAGTTCCACACAGTTGAAAAGTCCACCAATTGCCTCACGAAACCTTTCAAGAAACAGCTTATGACCACTCATTTTCCCTATATCTCCTACAGATCGGTACCACCTTTTGCTTGTAAGTGTCACGGGGTGTTGCTTAATCATACATCCTATTAAGATCGCCTCGGGAGTGGCCTACTAAGCCATTGTGCTTCGAGAAATGACAATGGGCATAATAAGCCGCCGCCGGCACCTAGGTACCAAAACTCCATACTTCTTGACATTAGTAAGCGACGCCACGTTCAAGCTTAACGCACGAAAGCAACTAAAGATGTTGCGCATCAGGGTATATAAGCCGGCACGGTTCCCAATTGCATTGACAATTTCAACATATCAAAATGGTTAAAGCTTTGATTGTCCTTTCTTCATACAACGGCCCTCTCTACGACGATGGTGCCAAAACCGGTGTCTTCTTTGTGGAGGCATACCATCCATGGGAGTACTTCCTCAAGAACGGTGTGGAGGTGACTTTCGTCTCTGAGGACGGTACATTTGGCTGGGATGAGCACTCCATCAATGAATCTTTCTTGCAAGGTGACGACAGAAAGGTGTTTGAGGACTCCAGCTCCGATTTCAACCAGGCAGTGAAGGTGGTGAAGAAGGCCTCGGAGGTCAATGCCTCGGACTATGACATATTCTTCGCTGCTGGTGGCCATGGTGCTACTTTTGACTTTCCTAAGGCCCAGGGCTTGCACAAGTTGGCTGCTGATATCTATGCCAGTGGAAAGCCTGTTTCTGCCGTGTGCCACGGTCCATTGATCTTTGACAACTGGAAGGACTCGAATGGTGACATTATCGTCAGAGGTAAGAAGGTCACTGGTTTCACCGACGATGGTGAAAAGCAGCTTGGTCTTTCCGACACTATGAAGAAGTACCAGTTGCTCACTCCAAGGGAAGCTGCTGAAAAGAACGACGCTCTCTACGTGGACCCTCCAACTCCATGGGAGTCCTTTGTGGTTGTGGATGGTAACTTGGTCAGTGGTGTTAACCCTGCCTCTGCCATTGAGACCGCCCAAAAGGCACTTGAGGTTATCTCCAAATAAGCCCTCCAGGTCTGACTGTTATGCCCGTGTATACGAGATATGCTTTATTGACGACTAATCTAAAATCACCGCCTTCTTTTTCTTCTTCTTTGTCTTTGGCTTCAGGCTGACCGCAACTGCTTGTTGGTCTGTGCTGACTTCATTATTGGTCAGGCTGACCTCGTTTGTCTCGGACTTTTTAGGCTCTTGTGCAGCCTCTGTCTGGTTCGCCTCCTCTCTTTTTGGTGAATGTTCGTCCGTGACTTCCAGCTCCTTCGCTTTCTTCTTGGACTTTGACTTTCCACTCGCCTTCTTTTTCTTTCTAGCCTCTTTGGCTTGTCTCTTCTGCTCCTTCTCGGCAAGTTGCTGTCTCAAGGCATCCAAATCGACATCATACTCATCTGCCTTACCCTCTGCGACTTCAACCGGAGAGGAATTTATGTCAAAGTTGTCAAGATTTGAGGAACTGATCAAAAGCTTGTTCAGCTTTTTCTTCTTCGAATCCGCAGAACCCTCCTCTGATGGCTGGCTTGGAACATCTCCACCGAGACTTTCTTCACTAAGCACCGTCACCTTATGCTTCTTCATCTTCTTTGACTTCTTTGTTTCCCTCTTGGCGAGTTCATCTAACGAAACAAGAGAGTTTTTCTCGCTAGGTGTCTCAGATCCAGCCTTTTCAGATGGCGTTTGCAAAAGCTGAGATTTCTGTTTACGGGCCTTTTTATCGCTCGGGGTGATGTAGAAGGGATCATCTTTCATTCTCTCCAACCGCTCGCGTGTGGCCTCCTCGTCGTTCTTCGTGTTATCCTCTTTCTCAGATGGTGCATCGTCCTCTGATTCTTCATCACTGTACAACATGTCGAGAGGGTCGTCATCGATAACACAATAGCTGGGAGGTGTGTTGATCGGAATATCAAGATCAAGATCTTCAGGTAATGCAATCATTTTTTGTGCTGAAGCTGCCACGGGATTAAGGGTGTAGCCCTTGAAGAATGAGGGCAAAATCGAGGTGAGTAAGTGTGGAATTTCCTGGTCACTAGAATCGAGCAAATCCTGGGCTGCTTCAACTTGAGATTGATCTTCCTCGGATTTTGGAGATTCCTCTTCCTCTAATTCTTCTTCATCTTCTTCATCTTCATCTTCAGTCTCCTCGGATGATGATTCAGAATCAGAGTCCGACGTGTCGTCTTCCTCATCGTCAGAATCGACATTATCCGCAACTCTTTTAGCAACTTGTGTCTTGTAATAAGCAATCTCATCCAGCTCGAGTTTCTTGATCCATGGCAATTCAGCTCCACCCATTGCATCCATACTTATGCGCAAAAACTCCAACCATGACAAGGCTCTCTCCTGAACCTCGTAATCGCCGTTTTGCTCGAAATTCTCTAAGAACTTGATACTCTTAAACAAGAAGTAGGCTAGTTGGCCGTAATGCTGCAGTGGCAATTTACCCTGTTGGGCATAATTATTACTGTATTCTGTCACCAAATCGCTGTAAAGCTTGACTAAAGCTGGTATCAAGGTGATTTGTACCTCCGGGTTGGGTAGTTTGATCAAAAGATCAGAGATGACAAACTGAGAAGGCCCTGCTAGCTTCTTGTCCACGTAACTGTTCACTATGGTGTTGAGCATCTGTATCTTATAACCCAATGCAGCGTTCAGAGCCTCTTCATCTTCCTCATCAGAATCGTCATCTGTAATGCCTAGTTCACTTACGTATTCTCCCATCAACCAGTATATGTCTCTCATAAGTAATGGGCTGTACTGTAACACTCTCTTGTCTGTGACAAACTCGAACACGACTTTTCTCATTAAGTAGGGACGAAGGGATGGCACTTTGGTAGCAACATTTTTGAACTCGGCACCTAGCTTACGAGCAATGATGTCAGAGGCTCTCTTTGATAAAGCTGGAGCAGAATTTGGGGAACCTTCAGTGTCAACAGGCAAAAGTGTCATGTTCACGACATCCTTGAGGACAGTGACATACCAATTGAAATTAGGAATGTTTGCATAGTTGTCCTTAGATGCAATTTGTAAGATCTTAAAAACGATTTCAAGTTTTAAGTTTTCCAGAATATGCACACTAGATTCATCAGGCACTAATTGGAGGAGTAAAACTCTGATGAGTTCCAAGATATTGTCTTCCGTCACAAGGAACTGACAGACTTCTAGCGCTTTCTTCATGACAATTGTATCTTTCACTTCCAAACTCGACATAACATAGCCGGAAACTCCGTTGACCTTGTGCATGAAATCTGGATAAATCTTCAAGATGCTGATTAATGCTATGAGACCAACAAAGCGCAAATTTGCGTCACCCTTGACGAAGAAAGACACCAAGTGCGTTATACATTCTTTGGCAATTTCCTTGTCTTTCGATGAGTCTGGCGATAGCATTCCTCCGTTTACAATGCAACTGATACTTTCATAGACCAACGATGTGGCATCCGTCTTTGACATAAGGGTGATGATTGACGGAAGAATTCTCTTTTTCATTCTGGGCTCAACTTTCAGCAAACTTTGGAAAAGCTTGAGAATTCGAATGATGAGCCAATTGTTTTGAGTCTCTCCAAGTATGGAGAAGAATTTTGGTAAATATGCAATGAATATGTTGGGGTTCTTTTTGGAAATTTCACAAATGACAGTGATTGTGGCGCTAACCACCGCATTGTCCTCGTCGTCTAGCTTCTCAATCACTCTGGGCAAGCTGGACCGTAGACTTTCAGGGTACTGCAAGAAAATCTTGAAAAGCGCCAACACGGCCTTCTTACGAATGTAAGGCTTTGAATGGGTGAGCTTCACCAAAACATCGTCAACAATGTCCTGGGCCAAGTTTGGTGTAACTATGGTAGCTATACCACTCAATGCGAGGCCGATCTCGATATGATTGTGAGAACTTAGATCCTTCTTGAATTGATTCGTCGCTAGTATGAGTAAGTCCTTTTCGTTTTTGAATGACTGCATTGCGGCAAGGTATCCAATTCTCTTTTGCTGGAACCTGGAGGAACTCATGATTTCCAAGATCTGAAAATTACACCAGCTCATATCAAAGCCGTACATCTCCAAGTAGGCCAATTTAAGCACTGCCGTTGCCTTCACCTCGAGGTCAGTGGTAGTCAATTCGTTTTTGCATTCCTCGATGGCATTGTCCAAGAAATCCCGGAGACTCTCAGGTGATTCTTTGAAGTGGGATCGGATACCCTTGATAAGATCGTTCAATGATTTCTCAAACGAAATGCCAAACGGCTTGAGCCGGGCTAGCATCTCGTTACTCTGCATCTGAAAAGACGACATTTCGACCGAGAAGCTTGTATATGGCAAAGTGTTTCTGTTCGTTGATATGAGAATCTGACCGTGAGGTTGTTCACCATCAAGTCTCCTGCACCAAACACCTTACACCAAAGGAAGCTACTACTACCACAAAACACAAAACTCAATAATATGTCCTCGATGGGTTCGAGCTCTGATATACTGATGGAGAATGCACCGGAGTCTCCAAATTTGCCCACGTTTCAGGCTGACTTCAGTGATACCTACGAGGAATCTGAGGATGAATTTATCACAAGCGACGAGGAACTTCTAAGCGGGATGATTTCCAACGACGAACTGCGACAGCATTACGGTCAAGCCACGTCATTGGCAGATCATACGGAATACTTTACAAAATCAATTGCCAATGCAATGGAGTCGTTGCTGTTGGATAAGTCACTTGTTGCGCAGGCGCAATTGAGTGGTCAGATCAACAACAAGAACCAGCAACTTATTGAAATGAATGAACAGCTCTGCTCAAGACTTGAGTCATTGAAACAGCAGTACGAGTGTCATATCGCCAGAACTCGTTTGGGTACATTGGAACGAGACCTAGATAACATCAACTCGCGCATTGAGGCATTGAAGAGTGGAGCAAAGAAATCGGTTTTATTCGGTAGCGGCAAGCTTGGTGTTGCCAACAAGTACCCAGTGGAGTATAACCGTGCTAAAGACAAAGTTTTGGATCGTGTGTCCGATGCTTGATAACTATACTCTAGCGTATATGATGCCCAAGCCGTCCATCCATCTGCTTGTGTAGCCATACATGCCCACCATTTGGTACTCGGGCCCTGGTGTAGAAAGCGATGATAAGTGGCCTCCTCCAGCATTACCCAACATGGCCGAGGTACGACCCTGGGTTGTGTGTATTCTCATAGCGTCCAACCATTGGCCGTTTCTAAACGTAAACTTCTCCACGGTTTCACCCGGTTGCAAGTCAAAGTCTGTGTAGTGAGACTTCTTGTTGCCAAGGGTAACCTGTCCACCGCCACCACCAGAAGAACCCAGATCCAGGATATGGAACTTGTTCATGAGTTTATTGATGCCGCCATTTCTGGGCGGCACCGGTGGTTGTTCCTCTTGACCAGAACTGGAGTTGTAGAATATAGTGAAGCCGTCCAAAGCACCGCCGTGGTAAACTCTTACCTTATAGATTCCCTTTGCATCGAAACCAATATACTTCATTTCTCCCTTTTCTGAGCCAAGCAAGGCACTCTTGATACCACTTATAGTACCACGACCAAGGCCAAAATCGCTCTTGATAGTATTGGCCAGATGTGCGTGCTTCTTGAAGTCTGGGATCCATAAGTCACCGGCTACAGATAACACTCTTACCGAAAAGCTGGCGCTGGCATCCTGCTTCTGCAGTCTGATGTCTCTGAGACACTGGTTGTAGTCAAGAGTGATCTCGTGCTGGAGACCCTGGCCTCCATAGGATTTAGGATAGAAGATGGTGTGGTGACGAGCCAAGTCTTGATCCACAAGCTCAATCATGAAAATGCCTGCTTCAGATTTGATGTTGACTATGCCTTCCCCAACTGGGTACAGCAATGGAACTTCCCCGTTCAGGTACAGGTTATCTGGTTTCATGGTAGTGGTGTGACTCTTAGGGAAAGATGCATCACTTTCATCAACGGGAATGGAAAACGAATCATGGTAGAAATAACGAATGAGGTCACGGATATTCCAGTGACATTCCTTTGGCCACAGGCCATCCGGATTGATGATTCTACCTTTGGAACCATCACGAAGACATCTAACTTCCCTAGTGACGAAAGATCTGTTCCACCACATGTAGTCACGAAGCATAACACCGTCTGTCTGGTGAGGCAGACCAAACAGATGGCCAATCTCGTGCATGAATGCACCTAAACAGATATTGTGGCATTCCCATGTTGTTCCACACTGGTTACAGTCATTGGCAACTTCATTGATGGAAAGCTTTGTACCGTCTGTAAGTGTGCTTGTAATTTGTGGGAAAGTGTAAGGGTAGGCGTGGAGGCCGTGGGAGCCAAAAATAGCTAGTTTGACTTCGCCAGTTCCACCTCCTAGAGCAGCGTGAGTGGTGATGTATTTTTTGTTGCTCCAGGTCGAGTCCAAGTAAACGACGGCACACTGCACGGCAGTTTTTGCTTGTTTGTAAGGACCAATAATGTCGGGGGTTTTTTTGATCAAGTCAATGGCATGGCTGAACAACCAGCCCTTGTCTTTAGCGTCCGGATTTTGTTGAGCGACATTGGGATCTCTCAACTCGGCAACCGTCTTGGGCGAGCGCAAGACATGTACCTTCACCTCTTTGTGTGGTGTAGGTGACTCCACGTTGTAGCCGAAGATGCCTTGGTGCAGCTTTGTCTCTTCAACAAATTGAAAGGACCGGTTGCTCATACCAAGGCGGTGAAACTCGTCCTGAGTAAATGCTTGCATCATTCTTGCCCCCACCTTGATTCTTTGAATGGCTGTGTCCAAGTTGGCATATTGTCCTTGGTTCACCTTGTACTTGGGCATGTCGTATGCTCCGTTCGAGTCTCTACCCATGATAACGCACAAGTGGACCGGCTTGTTCTGCGGCAATTCATTAAAGAAAAGTGTAAGTTTACCCAGATCGACAACATTCTGGTGGTTCACAGGAAATCCGTTAGGATCCAAGTGAGCCTTGTCTAGGATATGTACCTCGAAGTTGTTTGCTTCACCAGGCGATACATGCACAAAAGCCTTGAATTGGCCATTGTTGACCTCGTGAAATTGAGGAGGAAAAACCTTATTGGAATTGTTCACGAATTGGACGAGTCCACTCTGGACATGGCTTGTCGTTCTACCAGAGACAATGACAGCTGGCAGTGATACAATTTCACCGCTGTTGTAATTGAAGGTGATTGTCATTGTGGTGTTTTGGCAAAGTTGTTCTATTCAATTTTTTTGCTGTAAGAAGTATCTTTTTTTGTGGTGGCTTGTCTTTTTCACAACCTTCTCTATTTCCTATAAAAAGAAGCGAGACTTCGGAAGATACACCGCAGTGAGATAGTGTGCGTGCGGCTGCGCGGTTGTGGAGTATCAAAACAAACTAAACAAGTGCATTCTTAGATTTAACGAAATGAAGCACCACACTAGGGCGGCACTCGAAAAAGGGCCTGGTCGGTCCTCCAGTGACGCAATTGATCTTTCTGACAGTGAGGACAAAAGAGACCTGAGTTCCCCAGAAGTGGAGCGTTTTGTGGAGTCCATGCTCCGTATGGAGAAGTCCAAGGGGGATGATACAAAGGGCCTGAAAGGCTCGAAGAGAAAGGACTCTGGTAGCAAGCGCAGGAGAAGAAGCAGCTCAAAAATCAAGAAACCTAAGTTGGGAGACGTGGACGGACCCAAGGAAGCAGAGGACGACTTGTTGGAGACTGAGGCAGAACTCAAGGAAGAGCTCGAGCGGGGACTTGTTCCAGAAGCTGCTGTTGAGTCGTCTTCTGAAGAGGAGATAACTATAGTCGAGGAGAAGGAGCTGCTGCCACGGCAATTGCGCAGAAGGAGAGCGTCACTGGGTCTGAATAACACGCCCAAGAAGCCAAAGAAGGTTAAGATCGCAGAAGATGTTAAATCCGAGAAACTATCAGAAAGTTCGAGCTCCTCTGACGAAGAGGAAGCCGATGTCAAGGAAGAGGACGCACAGGTTGACGAGACGGGTTTTAGCTCTGGCACAGATCCAGACGTGAGCTATGAAAGCGAAGACGTCAAGCCCAGAGCTAATGGCTCAAAGGCCCGCAAGACCCGCCATTCGTTGAGAAGCAAGGCTCAAGAACAGCTGAATCCGGACGACCCAATTGACGTGGATAAAGAAATAAGCACTAGTGAAGAGTCCCAGGATGACATCATGGAGGACCCTGCCGTGATTGAAATTGCCAGCGACAGCGACAATGAAGGCGACGAGGAACTCAAACCGGTTCCCCACACAACTTCTGATGGACCTCGCTCCCAAATACAGCTTCTCTCGAATTTCAGCCACGAGCTCTTGTCCCTGCCCACAGACCCCGATATTAACACTGACACTGTGAGTATACATGAGCTTTTAGGTGCAGAGGATTTGACGGAAACAGTCCAGTTCAACTTCAACGTTGATATAGACTATTTCTTGACTTTCCTCCACCCCAACTTCCTCAAGAAGCGCAATAAGATAACGTTCATCACTGGCACTCCGTTCCTTTCGTCTCACCCAAAGCAGAAGGAGATCAAAGAGAAGTACGACATCAGCGAGATCATTGCAAACCTTCCCAACAAATTTGCTTCTCATCACACGAAGATGATGGTAAACTTTTTTGCTGCTGGTGCTGTCGAGATTGTGATTTTGACCGCTAATATTACGCAGTTGGATTTCAACGGTCTCACACAAGCATGTTGGAGATCAGGAAAGCTCTATCCTGGTAAGACGGAGGGATTGACTGGAAAACGTTTTAGGTTGGATCTCATGCGCTACCTAGCGAGATATAAACAAGACGTCACCAACGGCCTACTCAAAAAGCTCGATCATCTTGATTACAGTGCGGTCACTGTAGAGCTCGTCGCATCGGCTCCAGGTACCTTCAATATCGAGGATGTGCCAAAAGGCGATGTTTATGGGTTTGGGAAGCTTCGGCAGGTTCTCGAACGAAACGATCTCCTCCTAGATTCCGAGGAAGGAACTCACAACATCTTGGCGCAGGTCACTTCGTTAGCGTATCCTTTCAAAAGTGCAAAGGGCGAGACCGCATCGGTGTTCAGTCATCTTCTCTGCCCTCTTTTCTTTAAAGAATGGGAGAAAGATCTTTCGCCTGGTGCTTATGCTTTTGAAGAACATCAAGCAAACTTTGACTACCAGCCTCACATTGTCTTTCCGACTGTTGACGATATTAGGCACAGCAACTTTGGCTACATGACGGGCTCGGCTATTCACTTCAAATACCAAGACTCTGCTACTCACAAAGCCCAATACGAACAAAACATCAAGCCGTATTTGCGCAAGTGGAATCATAGCGAACGCAAAACTGGCCGTGAATTGACCCCTCCTCATGTCAAATATTACGCGGTTGACAACGCTGACGGGTGGAAATCCCTAAAATGGGTACTCATCGGAAGCCACAATCTTTCAAAACAGGCCTGGGGAGCTCCAAAAGCTCGTTCAGGTGGAAATCTTTACGATGTGTCGAGTTATGAACTCAGTATTTTGATTCCCGAGAAAGAGAAGCCACTTGTGGCGACTTACAAAAGAGACACGGATAAAAATGCTGGAAAGCAGCCTGTGCGTTTTCCTTTCTCGTTACCTCCTACGCCGTATGGTGCTCATGACAAGCCATGGAGTCCAAGTGCGGACTGCGGCAGTAAAAAGGACCGCTGGGGCAACCTTCATCACGGAGGCTTCTCGTTGTAACATTATGTAAACTAGTTAATTGTAAGCGACTTAATATATGTCATTATTCGCGTCAATCATGATAATATACTATAAGAGTAGCTGAATTGAGACGGCTGAATTAAGAAACGATTAATTTACTTTGGTTTTGAACACTCCAAAATTGTGTATCAAAATGTTACAATAAGAATGCGTTTCGTTCTCCAGTTTAGCGGGTCATGAGTTTAGCTCCATGCATGTCATAATAATCTGTAAGTTTTATCGGATCTTTAGTTTTCGCAGCCAAAAGGTAGAAATTAGGACAATTCAGCAACACCCTACAAACAAAGTTCCCCCAATTTTTAAAAACTTTCTTCTCTCCCCAGCCTTTTCAATTCCCAGGTTGATCTGGTTTCTCGTGCAAAAAAGTAAAATCAGTCGTGCATTGTGCATTTTGTCTCAAAAGTCTTTCTATTTTTCTCATGGTAGTTAACCTAAGGACGCGCGGATCAACTAGACGTGTATTCGCATCAACAAACATTGCAACCACAACAACTCCACACAAGCCATGCACATCAAGAAAGTGACCGTGCAAGGCTTCAAGACCTTCAAAGCCACAACGGTAGTTGATGACTTGCTGCCAGAATTCAACGTGGTGGTCGGCAGAAACGGCTCAGGAAAGTCCAACTTCTTCGCTGCCATCAGATTCGTCCTTCTGGATGCGTACACACATATGACTCGAGAGGAGCGTCAGGGTCTTATTCACGAAAGTTCAGGAACCGTAATGCTGGCTTTTGTCGAGATTGTGTTCGATAACTCGGACAAGAGGTTCCCTCTTCCTCATGAAGAGGTGGCTATTCGCAGAACCATCGGTTTGAAAAAGGACGATTACTCGCTAGATGGAAAGCTTGTGACGCGTTCTGATGTGATGAACTTGCTCGAGAGCGCTGGCTTCTCAAGACTGAACCCTTACTATATTGTTCCTCAGGGAAGAATCACCTCCATCACAAACTCGAGAGACTCCGAGAGATTGAACTTGTTGAAGGACGTGAGTGGCGCCAAAGTATTCGAGGCTAAGCTCAAGGAGTCCTCCAAAGAAATGGCAAACTCGGATTTCAAGATGCAGCGCATCAATGAAGCTATGGAAAGGCTTGATGATAAGATAGCAGACTTGGCCATCGAACTGAACGACTTGAAGGAATTCCAATCTCTCGAAAGCAACAGAAAAGTTCTAGAGTTCCACTTATTTGATCGCGAGTTGAACAGTCTCAACGCTCAGAATGAAAATCTCGATGAGACCTACAACGCCTTGCTAGCTCAAACGAGGAAGGACTTGGAGGATATTGAGACCAGAGAGAAGCTTTGTGAAGATCTTCAAAGCAAAATCAAGAGCACACGTCATGCCATCACATTGGCTACTTTAGAGAAGCAGCAGGCTGATTCTGACTATTATCGTCTACTTCAAGACATTGGTGTAAAGGAAGCAAGTGAAAAGGAGCTTGAGCTGAATCTTGGAAATGCACAAAACGAGGCTCAAGAACATGCTCAAAAACGTGAAAAGTATGTTGCCTTGCTCCAAGAACACGAGGAGACTATCAATTCACAGCTTAAACCTCAACTAGATGAATTGCTCCAGAACGAGGCACGACTCAAGGAGGAGATTAACAAGCTCGGTGCACAACAGGCAGCTCTTTACTCTAAGCTGAACAGATTCAAGAGCTTTTCTGACAAGAAGAGCCGAGACAAATGGCTCAAGGATGAATTGAAGGGGTTGAAAGAGCAACTCGTCAAGAAACGTCTGCTTCATCAAAAGGCTGTTGAGGAACACAGAGATCTTGAGAAGAAATTCGAGGAAGTGAAACAACTTGTTAAAGAGAGCAGGCGCTCCTCTGACGAAAGTGCTTCCCAAATGGCAAACAGGAGTATCGACACGGAAGTGAGCAAGACCAAGGCTTCTCTCGCGGACCTCACAGAGAAGCGGAAAGCCCTTTGGAGAGAGGACATCAAACTTCGATCTCTACATGATGCTACTGAATTGGAGCTTTCTGACGCTAATCACAAGGTGAGCCTGACAATGGCTCGTTCCCAAGCGGAGGGATTAAGAGAAGTGCAGAATATTACTGAACGTCTCAACTTGCAAGGATCTGTGTATGGCCCGCTTTCTGACTTGTTTGTTGTGTCCGATAAGTACAAAACTGCTGTTGAAGTAATTGCAGGTGCTTCCTTGTTTCATGTTGTCGTCGATAACGACGACACAGCCCTGATAATAATGAAGGAGTTACAGAGATTGAAGAAAGGTCGAGTGACCTTCATGCCTCTCAACAGGATCTACACTCCGCCAATCTCCTTCCCAAGTCAAGAGGAACAAGACTTTATCCCTCTCATAAAGAAGATAAGACATGACGAGGACTTGGTCGGAAAAGCTATTGAGCATGTGTTTGGCCGTGCTATCGTATGCAAGGATCTTCATCGTGGTGCTGAGCTAGCTAGATTGCACAAACTCACTGCAATCACATTGGATGGTGACAGAGCAAGCAACCAGGGTGTAATGACCGGTGGTTTCAGAGAATACAAGAACTCAAGACTTGATGCACTCAGAAGTCAGACAAAGAAGAGAAACGAGCTCAAAAGACTACTGGAAGAGATAAAAGCTTGCACCAAGAAACTACTGGATGTTGATAAAGATATCACTGATTGCAATGCCAAATTAAATGGCCAAGTCAACGAGTTGAACACGTTGAAGTTGGAGCATGAGAGAAGAAAGGGCGAGTTGAGTCAACATCTTAACAATAAGTTCTTGGTTGAAAAAATGGTATTGACTGCTAACAGAGAAATCTCCAACATCACCAACAGTCTTGGATCCATTGATGCCAAAATTGTGCAATACCAGGATGAGCTTAAGTCTCCATTCACCGATCAATTGAGTGATACTGAAACCAAAAAACTCGAGGATCTCAACAATGGTCTTGAAGCTCTCGAACGACAGCTTGATCAGGTTGTCTCTGAGACCTCGCTGAAGGAGACTGAAATCGTTAAGCTCGAAGCTCAGTGCGCCAATTGGAACTCACACATCGCTGTTGAGTTCAATGAATTCAGCGAACGTGAAAAGAGCATAGAGCTTGCTAGCTTGCAGAAGGAGCTCGGATCGTTGCGTTCTAGAGTGTCAGCGGTGAAACGTAATTGTGACAAGGTTAGCAAAGATTTGGAGAAGCAGGAAACGAAGCTCACAGATCTTCAAAGTAAACTTCAGGAAGCTAACCAGGAGCAGGGTTCACTGGTGAAGCGCCTTGAGAAATTGAGCAAAAAGACGGAGGGCATTCACTCGAAGAAGTCGATTCTTGACACCAGAAGAAAGGAGCTCCAGGCGAAGGTGGGTAATCTTGGAGTCTTGCCAGAGGAGGCGTTCGAGGATGCTAAGTTTGAGGAACGTTCTCTGGACGATCTTCTTGCAGAACTTAACTCAGTGAATGGAGATCTCAAGAAGTACTCACACATAAACAAAAAGGCGTTGGAGCAATTCAACACTTTCAAGAAGGAGCAGGAAGATCTTGTGGCTAGGAAAGAGGATATGGAGAAATCGAAAGAGTCGATTGAGAAGCTCATTGAATCTTTGAGCCAGCAGAAACACCATGCTATTTTGAACTGCTTCAAACAGGTGTCGAAGAGCTTCCACGAGATATTTGAAAAGCTAGTGCCTAACGGAACAGGAGAGTTGGTGATGCAGAAGAAAGATGGAGTCACTGATGAGCAGTCGCCAGACTTATATCGTGGCGTGGCACTTACAGTTTCTTTCAACTCCAAGAGTGATGAACAGCAGCACATTGAGCAATTGTCGGGCGGCCAGAAATCTCTTTGCGCTATAGCACTCATTCTCGCCATCCAGAGATGTGACCCGGCTCCATTCTACTTATTCGATGAGATTGATGCAAACCTCGATACCCAGTATCGAACCGCTGTGGCCAACATGATCAAAGCCTTATCACGGGATGCTCAATTTATTTGCACCACATTCAGACCAGAAATGCTCCAGGTGGCCGACAATTTCTACGGCGTATCGTTTGCCGATAAGGTAAGCACTATTACGGGCATCGAGCGTGCCGAGGCACTTCTGTTTGTGGAAGGCCAGCGCTAGCTAATTATTTGAATATAGATCAATGCATCAACAAAACAAGTAATAAATTGCAATCACTAGACGAATCCCAAAATTAAGCTTTCTTCCCTGGGGCTGTGCCTGACATCTTGCATCGCTCTGATTGGGAACCCAGTATGTAGAACATCAACCCACATTCTTCGCGAGGGTCCCCACTGCAAAACGAAGCCCACGTTCTTTAACCCAAAATGCCCGATAAGATTCTTCTGCCTGAGCAGATCCAGAGTCTCATTGCTCAGGGTAAAGCCATAGTCATATACAAAGACTATGTGCTTAATCTCACACCTTGGCTTCCATACCATCCTGGAGGAGACAAGGCGGTATTCCATATGGTTGGCCGGGATGCCACAGACGAGATGTTAGCCTACCACGGGCCCGAGGCTATAGCCGTGTTTCATAAATGGAAAGTTGGAAGGATCAACTATCCTTGGAAAAATATTCTTCCACCGATCCAGGGAGCTGTTTACAGAGTCGGGGAAAAAGCTCACCGCGATAAACTAGGAGATAAACTCGACGCCTCAGGCAGGGAATCGTCGTCTAGTGTGGACATTTCCAGTGCTAGCTCTTCTGATGTTGACGTGGACGAGCCTCCAATCTCGGAGAAATACCATAAAAGTGGCTATCCGCCGGAGAAAATATCCCCTGTCGTTCCCCAGAATATCGAGGTGGTGTCAGAAAATAACGTCGACAAGGTTTTCCCGGTCGACCGGAAACTGGTGATTGTCGACCCCAAGGAGGGTCTCAAGAACTATGACAACGAGCTTTCCCGCCGTGATCTTCTCTCGCTTCCGGCACTCGACTACGATACCCAGTCCATACTCAGGGACAAATACAACAGCCTTCACGCCAAGGTGATTAAAGCAGGCTTGTACCAGTGCAAGTACAGCAACTACGTCAGAGAACTCGTCAAAATCGGGTCTCTCTTACTCTATTCGTTTTCATTCCTTCATTTGGGCTACTACACCATCAGTGCTGTGCTTATCGCCACGGCATGGCATCAAATGACATTCATTGCACACGACGCTGGTCATGTTTCTATAACCCACAATTACCAATTTGATAATGTCTTTGGTATGGTTATAGCATCCTGGTGTGGAGGTCTCTCGCTTGGATGGTGGAAACGGAACCACAATGTTCACCATCTCATCACGAACGACCCCGTCCACGACCCAGACATCCAGCACTTGCCTTTCTTTGCGGTGAGTGTGAGGTTGTTTGAGGATGTTTACTCCACTTATTATGATAAGTTTTTGTGGTTTGATGCTGTGGCCCGGAAGATGGTGCCCTTTCAAGAGTACCTCTACTATCCAATCTTGGCCTTCGGTCGCTTCAACTTGTACAGATTGCTGTGGACTCACGTCTTGATGGGCGAAGGTCCCCGTCGTGGCTCAGCTGCATGGTTTAGGTGGTTCGAGTTGGCTGGGTTGTCGTTTTTCTTCTACTGGTTCTTCTACATCATTGTCGGCCAGAAGGTCGAGGGCGGCTGGAACAAGACCTGGTACGTGATGGCATCCCACATGTGCACCATGCTTGTTCATGTTCAAATTACCCTCTCCCACTTTGCCATGTCTACTGCAGATTTGGGCGTGAGCGAGTCTTTCGCATCCAGACAATTGAGAACCACCATGGATGTGGACTGTCCGCAATGGCTTGATTTCTTGCATGGTGGCCTCCAATTCCAGGCCATTCACCACTTGTTTCCTCGTATGCCCAGACACAATCTCAGAAAAGCACAGCCGTACGTGCTTGATTTCTGTCAGGACGTCGGGTTGCCATACTCTATCTATGGGTTTGGCAAGGGAAACGAGATCATCATTGGCAAGCTCGCAGAGATCGGCAAGCAGTGCTCCATCATGTTGGATTGCACGAAAAAACTACAGGAGGAGAAAACTCCAGTCACGGATATGATTTAGGTTACATAGGTAAAATGGCAATGCTGGTGATGGATATGCAATATGTATGCTAGGCGTTCACGTCGTGGTCTACCTTCCCTTGTTGGTCCAACCACAAGAGGAAGTCGAGAACCTTGTTGTTCTCATGCTCGTAAAGGTCTCTTTGAACAAGTTTCTTGTAGAAAGATTTGTTGTTTGAAGGGTCATTTTTGTATCTTTGAGGCACGGCAACCTCGATGCCGTTGATGATCTGAACCTTGGAGTTGGACAGAGGCAGGTTGGCAGCCTCGTGAAGGTTCTTGCACTTATTGCCAAAACGGCATTTCCTGTTTTTGGCAAAGAACCTACAAACGTTTTGCTTCTTGGGCCTTTCTGGCTTTTCTTCCTTCCGCTCCAGCTGCTGTTTGAGTTTAGCTTCCACGTTCTTCCGTGTGGGCCAGTTTTTCTTCCTTTCCTCGATCCACTTGGCAATGTCTTCTTCTGTCTGCAAGCTGATGGTGGTGCCCTCGATGAAGATGGGTTCTTCTGCTGGTTTCTCAGGTTCCTTCTTCTCCACGATTGATGGTTGTGAAGGAGGGGAGGCCAGGTTCGGTAGGTGGGTCGGGAGATCTAGTAGAGGAGATGCGTATTTTGCTCTTTTAGCTGGCGGGCCATTTTCGCTGTCGCCTCGCTTCCCTGGTGGAGGTGGACCGTAGTTGAAGCTCATGGCGGTGTATTTGAGATGATGCGACTGCGATGAGATGAGCATGGGGAGGATGGGGAGATGGAAGTGGGACAAATTATAAGGAGCCTTAAGAGTGGAATATACCGCTTTTCACGATATTTGGCTCAGAAAAAAGCACTACCATTGCATTTCGTCAGGTAGATTGCACTAGTGCAATTGGCTGTGATAGTGATTCGCAGCCATGCTGGTCAGTGGGGAAGGGCAACGTTACCAATAAACAGACGTATTACAGGGAGGGGCGACATTAAAAAACATGGAAGCCTACAAATGCAAAGTTCTGATTCCTCTGACCGACTTTTCAAAAAACTGTTGCTGAAGCTTCATCTTGCCCGCTTAGGCCGACAGTCGACATAATAGCTCTCTTGGGCAGTTGGATCTCCTCCATACCAGACAGATCAGCATACAAGACCGACCCCACGGCAGTCTCCAATATCTAAAGCTCCTGCCGCCTGGCTATTGATGATCATCGTAGCTCGGCTGAGTCGACGTTATGGCTTTGCATAAGCAGCGGCACGGTGACTCAAACCTGCCTTCTCACAATAGCAAGGCACCGGAGCTAAAAATATCAGATTCTGGGGCCTCTTGGCACCCTAGGCACAGGCCGGCTCGTCTATTCAGGAACTGACTGCGGGAAACCATACAGCCCTACCACAAAACCTTCACAGAGTCGAGCGTTATTTTCATTCTCATTCCCACAGACCGTCAGTGGGACCTCGTGTTGATGGCCGCTAATCAATAGAGTCTACATGCCAGTCGTGCAATCTCAACCTCCTTCCTAGATCTGCCAAGTAATTCACCGTCCGGTGCGGTCCATTTGTCAAAGGCTCACCCTCGAGTAGCTCGCTGGCTGCAAAAATGTCGCGGCGCAGTAGCCAGCGTGATCCGCACAAGCAGATCGACATACCCACACAGTCTCTCTATAGGCTGGGGTCCGTTTTCAGTGAGATAGCCGCCCGGACTGCGCGAGGGCTGAGCAACAGCCGTATGGTGACCGGCCAGGACAATGGGGCCTTTCGTGCTCGTTTTTGGGCCAACGGCGCTGACTGTTCCATGCATATGTCACTGGGCGATCGGCGTGAGCCCTCGGAATTGCTCGCACTTGCGGTGATATATAAACAACTGCTGCTGCTCGTTTTTTGTTCTTCAACATCAACATGGTATGTTTTCCCCACACCGTCCATTTTGGTCCGCCCGATCAATCCTGGCCTCCCAAAGTAAACCCCATCTAACATTCAGTCCTACGGTCCTCCCCAAGGCGGTTATAATCAAGGCCCCCACAAGGCGGCTACTACAACCAGGGACCTCCACAAGGAGGCTACTACCAACAACAACAGCAGCCAATGTACGTCCAGCAACCGCCTCAGAAAGGCGGTGGCGGTGGATGCTGTGCGGCCTGCTGCGGTTGTCTTGCTGCGGTTCTTTGCTGCTGCTGCGCTGAAGCGTGCTTGGGCGGCTAAGCTGAAAATCACCCACAAAAGTCAGGAACGTTTGTATTGCTCAATAGATTCTATCAACGGCTACGGGCCTTAGTTTCTCTTTTTCGACGTGGAGTTCTTGGGCAACTCCTTCGAGTAGGGAATGAAGTCGGGCTCGCCTGGAATGTACTTTCTCAACACCTCAGGCACAATCAACCCGTCCTCCTTCTGGTAGTTCTCCAAAATGCAGCAGAGCGCTCTCTGCGTGGCAGACAAGGTCGAGTTCAAGCAGTGCACGTACTTCTTCTCGCTCTGGTTCTGCTGCTTGATACCGCAACGGATCTCGAGGTTTCTCGATTGGTAGTCCGTACAGTTGGAGCACGACACCAACTCCTTGTACTCCTTCTGGAATGGGAACCATGCCTCCAAGTCGAACTTCTTGGCGGCAGCGTTGTTCAATTCACCAGACACAATGCCCACAACTCTGTATGGAAGACCAAGAGACTTGTAGAACTCCTCAGAGGCACCGATCATACGGTCAAACTCCTCCCACGACTTCTCGGGCTCCGTCAACACAAACTGCTCGATCTTCTCGAAAGCATGCACTCTGAAAATACCCCAGGCATCCTTACCGTGGGAACCAGCCTCTCTTCTGAAACAAGAAGAGTAACCAGCGTATCTGATAGGCAACTGCTCAGCAGGGCTCTCGAACCACTCGTTCGAGTGGTAAGCAGAGATTGGCTGCTCAGAGGTGGCAATAAGGTACTTCTCGTCCTCACCGTCCATGACCTTGTACAACTCCTCGTCGAACTGGGACAACTGGGCGGTCTTGGCCATGACTTCCTTGTTCATCATCACTGGAGCCTGCAAAGGAAGGTAGCCCTTGCCGTAGAGGAACGACAAACCGTAGTTGATCAATGCCTGGTTCAAGAAAACACCCCACTGTCTCAAGAAGTAACCACGGTGGCCCACAATCTTGACACCTCTCTCTGGGTCGTAACCGTCCAATCTCAAGAGGATCTCGTGGTGAGACAAGGTAGCTGGAGCGTTTGTGGCAGCGGCAACCTGGCCAATTTCAGACAATCCTTCTGGCTTCCAGGTTCTCACGATCTCGTTGTTCTCCTCGTCCATGGAGTCAACAACACTGTCGTGAACAATGTTACCAATCTGGTTGACCTTGAATCTCAAGTTAGCGTCAGCCTTCTGCTCGGTCTCGGTGAGCTCCTTCTTCTCGTTAGTGAGCTGGTCCTTCTGGGCCAAAAGCTCAGAAGCATCCTCCTTAGCCTTGAACTTCTGGCCGATCAGCTTCTGCAAAGCGTTCAACTTCTTGTTCAACGCATCCAAGTCGAATCTGATCTTGGTCCAGTTCTTGTAGTCGGCGATGATCTCGTCAACAAGCTCGACAGAAGCACCTCTCTTCTTCTGAGAAGCCTTGATCTTTTCGGGCTCTCCACCCTTTTCAGCCAAAAATGCGTTGATGTCCAACATGATGGTGGTCTATCTAGGGAAACTTTTTTTTTTTCATATACGTCGCGGGTCGTACACGACAATGTCTACTAGGGAGAAGTGGATAAGGCAGATGTTTATATAAATTGGCCAAAAGTGACATTGACCGATTCATTTGATTTTTTTTTGATTTAGAGATAACTCATTTAAGGTTTGATGGTGGCTAGCTGTTGAATGGCTGCAAAACGCGATGCGCATACAAGTGGTCCGTCTGAGTCAGGGTGGAGAAGATCCACATTGGGAATTTCATGTTTGAAAGATCGGGCACAGGATTGCAGTCATTTTGCTCACAATAGTTTGTGACTATTTGATAAAAAATTACAAAAGTTGAAAATCATGAATCTTGAATGTTCTACTATGTCACGAAACGAAGTAGATTCTGGAGCTAACGTAAGATGTGTTACTCTATCGATTGGGGACAAAATCTAGCCACTAAAAGAGCATTTGCTGGAGCTGTGAGCACTTACGAATCCTCCATATGTACTTCACATCATCAGTACGTTACTTCATCTCGGACTTTTTCATGAAAATCCACAGTGGTGTGTTTTAATCGCGGAGAGGCATCATAAGATCAAATTGAAATCTTGAAATCTCGTTTCTAATTTGCTCCTTCGATAGCCTTGCTAGATATCATTCAATTTTGAATTGAGTTGTTTTAGCCGTGTCTAGTACAGCAAATATCACCAAGAAATGGCTGCGAATGTATCTTCGCACAGCAATAGTGAACTAACTACCCATACTTTTCCCACAAAGTCTTTATACCCAACCTGAAGACCAAACCTCAATGGTCCCCACACTCTAATGCAATCACTACTACTAGAGCGCAAATGTGGTCGAATATCAAATCATGAATTTGTCCAAACTGTCACCGAGTCTCTCTACAGCAGTCTACGACAGGTTGAAGATGAGGACAAGACATTCCCTACCAATTGCCACGGCGGTGCTGCAGTGAACAGTTTGGCCTTAGAGACAATCGATCATCGATACATGTTCAGCGGCTGTGCAGATTCGTCACTCAAGCTTTGGGATCTCAAACCAGATGAAGATGAAGATCCTGATGAATACAAGACAATTGCACAGATCCCGAGAAAATCGGCCCATCAGTTCGGAGTTTCTGCTGTAAAGTGGTGGCCTTTTGATACTGGCCTCTTCACCACTGCATCTTTCGACCACACGGTGAAGATCTGGGACACCAACAATCTCGAAGTAGCACATACCTTCGATTTGACCAGTCGGGTGTACTCAATTGCAATTAGTGCCAGTCAGCAAAATGAACATTCAGCTCAGGCTACTATTGCAGTTGCTAGTGACCAGCCGTTCATCCGACTACTAGACCTCAGGGCAGGATCCAGTGCACATACACTTCCAGGCCATAAAGGCAAGACATTGGCTGTAGATTGGCATCCCAACAGACCGTATCTTCTTGCTCTGGGTGGATACGATGGCGAGGCTAAAGTATGGGACATACGAAGAAGTGACAGTTGTTTGTGTCGTTTGGACCTGACGAAAACTAACGAGAGAGACTTGCAGACTGACTGGCTCAATCTCAAGTCTGAAGCTGTAAAGGCACATGCTGGACCTGTCAATGCCGTGCTTTGGGACGAAATGGGAACTACATTGTACACGGCTGGCAACGATGATAAGGTGCGTGTTTGGGACATGATAGCTACAAGAGCACCTCCACTCAATAAGTTGGTGAACTACGGGCCGTTGACAAGAAACAAATACTTGCAGTCTCTACCTTTAATGTTGAGTCCGCAAAATGAGACAGAGATCCAGCACTTGTTATTTCCATCAGATAACGGAGACATCTTAGTTTTCAGAGCGGCGGATGGGAAGCTTGTAAGCAGGCTTCAAAGAGGTTCCCATGCCAATGCCACGAGAACAGCATCAATGGTCTATGCTGGTCCATTTTCAGTTAAGTACTTTTGTGGTACCATGGACGGTGAAATCATCGTTTGGGAAGGTGGTAATCGGGCCGGTCGGACCATTGAGGACGATTCCGAGGATGAGTATACACAGCTAGAGGCCAAGTTGTTCAAGAACGACAATCAAAAAGCAGAGAAAGAGAAGCTTTACGACGATCCGTATTTCAAGAGGCACGACCAGGACAACTGATCCCGTTTTTGAGGAATATTGTACATTTTGTGTCTTTGAATCAGCTTCTGCTGTCAAAAAACACAGAAGTGTCTGCCTTGTAAGTTTCGAAAAACTTCGAGTCACTTTGAGACTTCGAGTGATGCATTCAGGGATACAATTGGCTCTGGATTTGTGTCAGCGTTGCCATCGCTCTTCATACATACAGCGACATCCCAAACTTTTGTCACTCGCTGCAAGGGAAACACATGAGTTTTCCCCGGCAGTTCATCAAATGTAATAGAGATAGTAAATTTACTAAAAATCAATTTCAAGGTGGTTTCAAAGCAGCCGTTTCTGAGACACTGGTGAAGTGCGGTACGGGTGCTTCAAGATACATCGCGAAGTAGGAACATTTCAAGACTCCAGCCCAATCAACAACCACAGTGCCCTATGAAACTAAAGCTTCAGGTGGTTCTTATACCAGTGACGCTGGCTGAGATGCCCACATCCAGCATAGCCACCTTTAAAAAATTTCTACATCTCACCGACCCAGAGAGTTCTGTGGGGCAGGTTTGCGATGCTCTTATAAAAAGGTACAACAGGCTTTATCCGGAAGCAGACAAACTCCAAGTCGAGGGCATCCAAGATGACGACCGATGTGACTTGGACCCGGATTTCGCCGCATCAGACGTGTTTCAATCGGGCGATGTGGTCCGTGTTCTTGTTGATAATTTACTACCGACCTACTCAAGAGACACATCAATGATACTTCCTGATGTTACAACTGCAACAGCCGATGCCACAACAAGCTCCAAAAGACGAGCTGACTCCAGTGAAGCCAACGAGTCACGAATGTTGAAGAAGTCGCGTACCATATGGGGAATTCGCCAAGATTCACCAAGTGAAGCGGCCGAAACCGCTTCGAAAGCTGTTCCAACTAATGATCTGGTGACGAAATCCCCAGTCTTACTTCCGCCACCATCGCATCAAACTCCTGGCTCCAAGATAATACCGCAAAAGAAACCTTCACCCGCGTCCTCCTCTGGCAGAAGAATAACATCAGGCATGCTTAAATTGCCGGATGAAAGCGAGAACAGTACTGAGAGCGTGAAAAAGACTCCGCAGGCTGTTAGTCAATCGCCTGAGCACGATGAAATAGATGACGGTACTGACAGTGATGATCTGGTTTCCCATAGGCTGCTCAAGCATAGGAAAGAGAATGACAAACATCAAGCTACCAAATTAGCTCCTCCCCCAACCGTCCCTACGAAAACACCATCGAAGAAGGAGCCTCTTAATACGCTGACACCCTATCATAATAGCACGCAGCCACCTCAGCCTCAACCTAATGTATCCCAAGCTCCACCAATCACGCAAATTCACCAGCAACAACACTTCCAACCACCACCCCAGGCTCTGCAGCAAGCTCCTCGTCAGCAATTCCCTATAAATTCACCTGCGACAAACAATAATGGATGGCAGCCCACTCAAACTCGCTTACCGCAGCCCCAATTCCCTGAACTTCAAAGGCCAAAACAAGTGGGCTCTCAAATGAAGCTTATGCACACATACCGCCAAGGAACTGTTCCCACTAGTCAATTTGGTGCCGCCCCGGCTCCTCATCAACATGGGCATTTACCACACATGCAGCACAGTGCACCACCCCATCATCAGAACCAAACACTTCAATCGCCTTACGCCGGGACCTTGAATATCTCTCATCCGTCATTAACGCCTCAATACCTTTCGCCCAGTGGGAGCTTCCAGAGTCATTTATCTCCTGCTCCTGGTCCTCAACCTCAATTGCCTGTCCAGAGGCCCTCACTGTCTTCCTCACCAGCGGCCCCAGTCCAAAACACCACTCAGCATCAACAGCATCGAAACACGTCTCTGCTTGAAAATTCATTAATTCGCCAGTACCCGGTTACCAGTCCTATCGAGGATCAGAAAATGCAAGAATCTATCAAGCAGCTGATCCATGAGAAGGTTGATGACGCAATGAGAAGGCAGGAGTATCTCGTCAAGCAAGGTGTTGGTAAGATACGAGAGGAGGAGGAAAAAGAGAAGGAGAGAAAGACTGCAGAGGATAGAAGAAGAGATGAGGAGCAGCGCCGAATGCAAGAGGAAATGAGAAAGGCCGAAGAGAACCGGATTCTCATGCCTGCTGAAGAGTTGAAGAGGCAGGCAGAGTTGCTTGAACAGGAGCAGGAATGGAGAGATAGAACACTCCTGTTCCAGAAGCACTTGCAACAAAAAGAGGAGTTGCTCAAAAAGAAGGAAGCTCTCAGACAGCAAGAAGTTCGGAAGGAAGCAATTTTGAGGAAGCAGGACGATCTCAGACGACAGGCCGAACTCAAGAAACTGGTTGAACGTAAACAGGAGGAAGCTTTGCGGCAACAAGAGCAAACCAAAGCGAAGGTACTTCAAGAAAAGAGCTCATCGCAAGGGAAAGGAGCTGGTGAGAATTCTGCAAACAAATCTCAAGCTCAGGGAAAAGCACCACCTGTGCATGTTTTCGATTACGACAAAAATCTACCAAGCAATGTCATGAAGCCTGCTACAGGTTTTGGCGGTCTAACCCCAACTGTTGCTGCACTGCCGCAACCAGAACCTCGTGTCAATAACACTAACGGGTCTGCTACCACGAAAGACGGCTCAAGTGCTAACAAGGAAGCTTCTCACTCTGAAAAGGTTGCACATGATGGTAACAAAGAGGATGTTTCTTTAAATAAGGGTGAGATCATGTCAATCATCAGAAACAACATGCGCGTACCCCATAAAATTATCAAGAAACTCTCGGTTCCCACTCCAGATAATGCTAAGTTCGCTGCCCACGAGGAAGAGCGCAAGCGTCAGATACGAGAGGAAAATATCGCTAGAAACGCTGCTGAACTCGAAAGCAGGCGCCGCAACGCAGCCGCAGCGCCTTCAAACACTACTAGGAGCTTGCGTTCTCGTGTAACGATTGGTGGAGTACCAAACTTTGATACGAACTTGGACAACATTGAGGACGAAAAAGATAAGGAGAAGGAGAAATTGAAGGAGACCAGGGCGAACGCGTTGCCAGCTCCTTTTAATGACTTTGCTAGCAAGTCTAAACTTTCTTCAATCTATGTGAAGATGAAGAAGTTGGACGCGAGAATCGAAAAACAACACCAGGAACTGCTGAAGAAAATAAAGAGTGAGCCATCTACTCCAAACTTGCAACGAACTGAAGATGCCTCGCAGAAATCAGATGACACTCCCAGTGGACAACAGAGCACGCTTCAGAAATTACAAGCTGCTGCGGAGGATGAATCCGATGAGGATAATGATGCATCGGAGAAGGAAGGTAGTCCTGAGGAAAAAGAGGATGAGGAAGCGGAGACAAACGCTTCATCGCAGTCAAGTGAAGATGACGTTGAAATGCAAGACGCAGCTGCCGTCTCTAACAGCTCTGAAGAAGACGCCTCGGTCAATGAATCTGATGACTCGGAGGATGAAGAATCGGAGGATGTGGATTCGGATGCTGTTAGGCAGCCAAAAAAGAAGATCCCTGAACAAACGAAGCCAACTGCTGTTAAGTTTAATAATCAGACTTCTTCCTCCACTCCAGGCATCGTTAAGCGTGGCAGAGGCAGACCAAGAAAGGACGATCCTCGCAACCTTACTAAGAAAGTTCCGCAACCACGGGCCTCTCTTCGTACGAGATCGGCCGCTCCAGAAGTTATCGAACTAGAGTCATCGAGTGAGAATTCCGATGAAGAGGACATTGATGATAATGCAGAGCAGATCGAAGACGACAAGGTCACAACTGAAGAGTCTAACCAGGTATCAGTGGCAACTAGCGCTTTTGAGATTTCCGAGAGTGAAAAGCCCTTGAACGCACCGGAACAGACGACAAGAGAAAGTTCTGAAGCTATAAGTGGGTATGATTCGCAAAGGTCTGAATCGCATTATACTGACGCCGAAGCCTCCGATGTACGTGGAAGGGAAATAAATGATGACGCCAACAAGCGAGACGGCGAGGCTGCTTCAGACCCCATCGAAATTGATTCTAAGGCGGGCACTGAAGCCCCTGAATCTCATGGTGATAAACTGAAATCATCTAATGAAGATAATGCCAAGGAAGCTGGTCTGGCATCCTCTTTGGTGGAAGATAAGCCGAATGTGACGCAAGTCTCGTCACACGCCACGACGGCTACTTCATCTTCTCCCCCCGTTGCAGCAGACCCACTATCAAGCAAGCTTTCGCAAGCAAATGAGGATGCAAAGAAAGATGATTCCGTGGAAGCTACTTCTCCGAAAAAGGCGAGTCCTGTGAAGGCTAGCAAAGAAGTAGCACCCATTCAATCGGCACCAGCCTCTCAAAAGACTGATGCCTCGCCCACGAAAAAGGTAACTGCATCCATGTTGGTGGCGGCCCTCAATAAGCTGCCCAAGTCCAGAGAGGGCCAGAAGGTAGGCTCAAACACTCCAGTGAGCAAACACATCAGTAATACGTCGAAGCGTGCGTCTCACGGGGAGGGACTGTCGCCCATAAAGAAACCCAGATTAGAACCCTCGAAGGTTGACGCTAAAGTTGAAGACGGAGAGAAAGATGTTAAGCCGGATGTCGTGATATCTTCGAATTCTGAGTCCGAGTCGTCCTCATCCTCGTCATCTTCATCTTCATCGGAATCTGAGTCATCCTCAGAGTCATCCTCCGAGTCTGATTCTGACAATGAGTCCAGCGGCAATGCTTCTCAGACAGAGTCGACGTCACAAAAGGCTGCGATAGTTACAACTCAGAAAAGTGATGGAAACGATATTGTTGAGAAAACCGATGAAAAATCTCACCTGAGTAATCTCAAAGATACTGGTTCGGAAAAGGCACTGGTCTCGAAGGAGAATTCGACCTCTAAGGAAGAAGCAACGAAGACTGAGACAATTGCCGAAAAGAAGTCTGTCTCAGGGAAAGGACAAATCATTGATAAGAAGCCTGCTGCATCAAAAGAGAAGAAGCCTGTTGCATCAAACGCCGCTTCAAGCTCTTCTTCAAATTCTAGTTCGGATTCGGATTCGGATTCGAGCGAAAGTCAATCTCTGTCGGAATCTGAAAGCGAGCCTAAGAAGAAACCGCCAACAATTGCCAAAAGTGCTTTGAAAAAAGTTCCTAGTCTTGTGAGCTCCAGAGTTGTGAAGAAGAACTTTGGCTCCCTAGCAAAGCCAACTGCAAAGCCCATCAAGGCACCATCCCCACCCGTTCACAAGCTGTCTGAAGGTGTGAGGACTATTACCGTTGAGACTCCATTTTCGAAGTCATCTGATGAGGATGAAAAAGCCAAGGCAAATAAGGCGCAGCAAAGGCCAGCACCAACAGCGACGTTGCCCAAATTAAACTCTCTCAGTGATTTGCAGAAGCGAGGAGTACCGGATGTACGTGACTCGAAGGACAAGAGTTCTTCTGATTCTAAGAAACAACCTGAGAAGAAGCTTGATATCTCAGAGTCAGAGCTGGAATCGCTGAGTGACTCAGATCTGAGTTCTGATTCAGATTCAGGCCTGGACTCAGATTCTTCTGATGATGAAGACTCGTCGAAGTTTGCTAGCTTGAAGAAGCTTTCTGGTGATCGTGATGCCAAGAAGAAGAAGAAGAAGAAGAGCCTAGGGTTTAGCAGTCTCATGAGAGATGCTAACAAAAAGTAACCTGCCTGTTTATATATTGTATCATGGGAGTAACTACTCCTTTTTTATAGAATAGATATTATCTCAAAGCACGTCCCACAACGTCCATGCCCCAAGCACGGTAGTCGAACTGAATATCCTTCTTCTTGCGCTGCTTGATCTTGTAAGCATCGTTGATGGAGAACAATATCTGTTCGAACAACTGGTTTATCCATTCCTTAGCCACTAGTGGCTGTTCTAGGTAGAGGGCGCCAACGTACTGCTCGAAGTAATCAGCAATGAACTCTTCCTCGTACCGAGCCTGCTCGTACGGAGGATCGTTCTCTCTGTGACCAGCCAAGTATGGAATATATTCCATCTCAAGCATTTCACGTACAATTCTGTCATCGAGAGCAACGTGGAGGTTGTATGCAACTGCAAGCTTTGACAACAACGTATTGGTTGCCAAGACGGTTCTGAGCAAGGTGTACGTCTTCTTGCCAAACGTCTCGTCAGAGCTGTATGGATCCAGGTGTCTAAACTTGTACAAAAACTCTGAGGACTCTCCCGCCAAGAACAAGTCTCCAAGGCCATCCAAGAACGATAAATCGTAGCGGATCACGTTTAGGGCCAGCCTATCCATAGATATATTCTTGGCCGTCAAGGACTTGTAGAACTCGTGGTTCTCCAGGAACACGGCTCTGTAGAGCTCCTTGTGCATCAATGCCTTTGCCAACAAGTGCTTCGACTTGATTTGCGGCAAGGGTGGAAGGTTTATCGTTAGCGACTCATCTGCCATCTCGACCTCACGCGGATATGACTTGTGGTCGTACATCAGACGGTAGTTGATAGAACACGACTTGTAGTACTTGGTAGCGAGTCGTAGTATCACCTTCTCCTGAGGATTGGCAGGCTCGTTCATTGTGAGCTTGTAGTCTCTCAGTTCAAGATACAAGTCCAACATGGCGTCCGCAAGCTGCTCTATCTTGGACTCAGGCTCCTTTGACATCATATACGCCACTTGAACGTAAAACGCTCTCACATCCAGCTTGTGGCGGCTCTCCAGAGCTCCACCCACATGTTCCAATACTCTAGGATGTGAAACACAGGCCGTCTGGCCAAAAGATACCAAGTCACTCACGACGCACTTGATAGATCCACTATCAATATGTGAAGGTAAGGAGAAAAGCTTCTGGTAGATATGAAGCTTGAGCTTATCCACGGCAAGCAAGGAGAGGTGGTGCTTGTACCAGCCCTTTATGCTAGCTGGATCTAGGGGAGGGTTCAAAGGGACCATTGGTTTCGATGATATTGAATTCTGTCGTGATGGTAGTAGCACAGCCGTATGGGGGCTTGGTACCCGTTTTATAGGCAGCACAAGCCTGCAAAGAGTCATGTTTTGGTGTATTTATGACAGATCTGTTATCACCATACATGCCTTATCACCGCATGCACTCCCAACGTGGGCACCACAGAGCAAAACAAAGACCGAAGCCTAAAACGGGGCTTTTATTTATTGGTCATTTCATTGTTTGATTTAGTTGGTGAATCCATATAGAGAGAGGAGCTTTAGTCTCGAGAAAATGGAAACAGTATACTCCGGACTACTCAGGGTCCTCCAGATTCGCAGCCATTCTGAGTCACAGCAAACCCTGAATTGCCACCGAATATCTTGTATGCCATAAAGAATGTGGGGTGATCTATTTTACCACTGTTGCAGCCAGTGGTATGAGTCAATAAAAAGTTCTCTAACGTTACATTTAGAATCGCTACATGATCTGACCTGTAGAGTGAGTCATGGTGCCATTATTTTCTATGATCAGACAAGGAAGAAATTAGTCAAACGTTTCTTATTGTCTTTTCTGATTCATATGAATCCGCAGATTCAAGATCACTGCCAAGGCGCTCCCGTTCCTAAAGCCTTTGAGCACGTTGAGCATGTCTCACTTTCTTGACAACCTCCATCCCAATGCCATAAGAAAGTTCATATCCAGATCCGGCTGCACCGTATGCATTGATTACAGGAACTCCATTATTTGAATCTAATGTAAGATTCACTCCACCCTTTCTGGCCGGTCTAAACCCCACATTCGTCCTTATAACATCAAAGAAGGCGTTACCGTTCTTGTCTGTTCTCATGAGCTCTGGAAAGTACTTTGACGCTCTTTCTTTGACTGCTGTGCTATCTTGCTCCCGCACCGATACATCGGTTTCGTTAACCTGCTTCGTACCACCTATGATCACCCCTCCATTGAGAGGTCTGTTGATGCAAAATGTCCAATCGCCCAGTTTATGCTGAATTGTGATGGTTTTGTCTGCAAGAGCATTATTGTGAGACAGGTTGACTAAAAGAGTCTGCCCTCTGATAGGAAAGCAGGCGGGATCATTACCACCGTTCCATAGTAGGCCGTTTCCACTGCAATTGATGATTATGCAATGGGGGTTTTCTGAAACCTCAACAGCTTCACTAAGCATTTCTAGCTTTCGTTTTACAAATTTCACACCGTATTCAGCCCTGAGCTTCTTATATAGGAACTGAATGTAGTGTGGGGCGTCCAAGACGAACGTGTCGTACAGAGCACCAAATGCAAAGCCGTCGGGCACTTCGTCTTTTTCTAATACTCTAAAGTTCTCGATCTCCTCCGAGTATCCCTTGCTCAATCCCTCATACAATTCGTCCTTCTCCACATAGTCTATGCCTTGGACTATTTTCACTGAACTTTCGGGATTTTCACTAGCAAACCTCTTCATACGCTTCCACGTCACTCTAGTCAAGAGATACTCTCGTAGTTCAGCTTCATTTTTCAGCGGAAAAGGCCGAAAGTGAGCTCCAGCCCAAGGCGACGTATACTGGCTCAGATAAGGAAAGCTATCTGGGTGGTGCTCTGCCACGATAGTGATAGAGACATGCTGAATATTTTCACATACAGCCAATGCCAGGGAAAGACCCAAGACACCAGCGCCAACAATCACAATTTCCTTTGGCATAAAGAAAAGTGGTTCGTTCCAGTAAACTTTCTCCACTGGCGTTCTGCGGTCCTTCATAGACTACTAAATGGCTGCAAGAATGGTGCGTCTAATTCCATATATATCTAGTGATGCTTAAGCAAATCCACCTTCAAGATGTCAACGATCGTCTTTCCGGCAGCAACAACCTCTTCGTCAAAGTATCTTCTACCAGTGATCTGCAATGCAATTGGGGCGTTCTTGAATTGCTCAGGGTCATACTGATCGTGTTCAAGCTCCTCCAACTTGCTTCTGGCAGCTGGCTTGGGGTCCCACTTATCGAGCTTGGGGTCTTGGTGAAGGCCGGTTTGAAATGCCAATGTGGGGAAGTCGATAAGGTTGAAAAGAGTGGTGTAGGACCAAACGTAGGCGGTCTCTGGCTTTGGTGCGACATTGACGAACGCAGGCGAGATAAGCATGTCAATGTTGTTCTCGTTCAAGTAGTCGGTGTATTGCTGCTTCAACAAATCTCTATCGATGCTCATTTGACGGTTCTCGGCAACACCAAACTCTCTAGAGCCCTCACCGTAGTTCAAACTCCATTTGGTCATCTTGCACAATGGCTCACCGGAACCAGCCAAAAGCTTCCTTTGCTTGTAGTTACCATCAGCAGAGTACATCTTGTTGACAAGTTCGTATGCAAATTCGGTTCTGAGCGGCTTGTGCTCGATGACCTTAACACCAGCAGCCTTGAGCTTGTCAGCGACATGCTTCAAGCCTCTCAAAATTGGTGGTGTGGGGCTGACAATACCATCGTCGTAGGCAATGGCCACAGTCAAGTTCTCGGGCTTAGGCTTCTCAACCTTTCTCCATGGAATAGGGATCGTGGTGCAGTCAATGGTCCAAGGCTGGCCCTGGTTAACGTAGACATCCATCAACATGTCGATGTCATCAATGGATCTAGCCATAGGGCCTTGCACAGCAGGGACTGACTCTTGACCGCCAGCGGACGAGACACCTCCAGCCTTGGAAAATCTGCTTGTCGTTGGACGCAAGCCCACGGATCCAGAGAAGGCTGCAGGGCCTCTGATACTGCCACCAATATCGGAACCAATACCAATTGAGGAGCCACCAAAAGCAGTGATGGCACCTTCACCGGAAGAGGATCCACCTGCAGTCAAAGAGACGTTGTAAGGGCACTTTGACCAGCCGATGAAGTTGTTGTTGCCGCACAAATGCATCAATGTCTGCGGCTGGTTTGTTCTGACATAAAACACAGCGCCCAACTTCTCCAAGATTTCGGCCGATGGAGCGTGCTTCTCGGGTATATTGACAATGTGAGACACGTAACCACCGTGCGTGATCTTGCCCTTGTAGTTCATCTGCTCTTTCAAGGAGATAGGCAAACCGTGCAAGGGACCCACAGTTTTACCGTTTTTGGCGTAGTAGTCGTCCAAGTACTGGGCACGCTCCAATCCCTCGTCAGTGAAAAGCTCTAAAGCACAATTGGTCAATTGATGGGCGATGGTGGCTCTTTTGGCGAAAGCCTTGAAAACCTCCACTGCAGACCAAGCGCCTTTGGCGATCTGGTTGACGATTCTCGAGGAAGACGAGTCGGTGATTTCGAACTCCTTCTCGGTCAAGAGCTTCTCGTCGTAAAGATACTGGAGAGCATTGAACTGCTCCTCAGCCAAGGCCTCAGCAGGCTTGGGGACCTGGATCAGGTACTCTTTTTTAATGGCGTTCTCAAGATCAGAACGGTACTTCTCGAGCCTTGGCAAGAACTCCCTGGTGTACAACTCATTGTCTTCGTAGGTGTCGAGCGCGTCAGTAGTAAGGAAGTCATTGTAGGAGACCATTTTGTGGTATAAAGAAAAACGACCAAGGTTGGAGATCGGGACTTATAAGCACCGCGATAACGGTAGCGGCTCTTCGGCTTTGCCTGCCTATTAGGGAAGGTGAGGAAAAGTTGACTCGCTGCCGCGCTAACGCGGGGCCCTCAAAGAGGCACTAGCCGGGCATTGGAAGGCTCAATATTGGAGATTTTTGAAAATGGCATTTTGAAAAGGTTGGAATGGCTCTGGTACTTATATAGTGTTTTGTGCACGACATGTCAGAACAGTCATCCTGTGTGCGCAGTGGCTGCAATTAGATAAGCTTGATAAGATGGAGTGGGTTGATGGAGCCATACAGATGAGATGTTGGAAAAAAATTTGAGAATGTTCGTGGAGATGAACTTTCGATTTCGGTTCGGGAGCATTGTAGGTGAGTATCGTGGGTGGTTCTGTAATTTTGTGTTCTGCGACAGGCTTGTATCGAGATCAGCTGTAATGGTTACCATAGACTTATTAAGAAGAGCCATCGAAGTCAGTTGCTAATCAGTCAAATCTCCAATTTTTGATCTTCCTGAAAAAGATCTTAAAAGTATTGAGGTTGTTGAGAAGTCCTTGCTGTCACGGTAAATTTCGGCTATGTCTGGCGACTTATCATGCTCAAAGGCACCTCTTAAAACGCGTTTTTACTCCAGTAAACCAAGCCCACCAGAACCCTCAATCCAATCGGCAGAGTCAGCGAGTTTTTGACTCAATCTGGTCAATCTCCCAAAGTAGCACGCTGCTGAGTTTGTGGCCTAAATGGGGTTTGAATTGGTCTGACTAAGCATATTTCAAAACCATCAATTTTCACTTGGCAGCATACTTCCCGCAAATACACAAAAGCTAAAAAAAGGCCGATTTAGGATACCTCGCTTATGCCATGCACTCGGGATGCCCCGCCTGGTCGGGCAAGTCAAGCCTCTTTGTCCAGTGAAAAAAATTCATCAATGAAAAGCTTCCAATAGGATTGAGAATTTGCAACTAATCACGAAAACAATATCTCATTAATTCACTCTTCTCACGGCCTATCACATATACAATCCGGGGCTGAGGGTAGACCTTGCATGTCTCCGATCCTGGTGAGGATTGTCCCTTCAGGGTTGCATAACAAGGGGCAAACTAAAATAGGGCCTAATCTGGGAATCTGCAAGCTTTCATCATTTTATTCTTTCGGGCAAACATTTGAGTCTTCCACAAAACCAAACGTGGGTGGTTATCACAGACACCACAGTTTCTTATTCTCGCGCTTCCGTCCGTCCCTGCCATTGGCGTCTGTGGCCTGTGAGACGTCATAAGGGTGAATGTAAACAAGCCACATTATGTCGCTTTTAGTACGACAAGTCTGGAGCTGGGAAATATTTAGTGAAAAAGGACAACAAGATTTGCATTTAGATCTTTTTTTTATTGGCAGATCTTCAAGGCGGCCCTAATCAGGCTTGTTTTATCCTTGTTCTGCTCTGTAGGAAGGGCTATTTTCGCGAAAAGAAAAAAAAGTATCTGAGGCGTCCACAGCTAAAAAAGTTTACTATGCAGCGCCGGGAGCCAGCAGGACCCTTTAGGTAGTGGAAACAAGAGGCGCATGCAGGATTTTGCAACCAGCCACCAAAAGCCACCACGATCGAGACACCCTCAAAGCCGTGTTGATGAAAAAATGAGAGGCTCAAGCGATGGCAGCAAGGGATGAGGCAGTGTGGAAAATATGAATACTTGCTCTCGCAACAAGGGACGCTCGAGACGGAGATGGAATGCTTCTAGAAAGCGCGTAGTGTTTGCGATGGGGCCAGCCTACCCAAGACAATGGCAAATACAATCGAAGAAAGCCCGGATTTCCATCAATGGAGAAATAAACTTTGAAGGTGCGGCTCAATAGGCCTACGAGATTCTAGCCAAATAATATGTATTGTGGTCCAAAGGGTCCATGGGGCAAGGGGCCAGCCCTTGCGATGCAAAATAATAATGATATAGAAGTGGTGACAACGAAATAAGTAATTGTAGGGGGCTCAGGCCTTTCTTCGGGTCTTGGACAACCACGCGTAGTCGACAAGGCGATACCTCGCGGTGGTGAGGTTCCAGTTGGTGACAAGCTTGCGGACAAGGTTGGGCAGCTTGAATTTGAAAGCAACCTCTGTGAGTGGAGCAGGGGTGTGGATCCACCTTGGCTTGACGTACAGCCATAGCGTCTGCAAAGAGTAGAGGGCCAAGTCGACCAAGAACATGGCCACGAGGGGCATTCAAGGCGATGCCAGCGGAGGCTCTCAGCACAAAGTACTCTGCTCTGGAAACGTAGAAGCAGCTCTGTTGGCCCAACAAGGCCAGGCACATGGCGGTGCTGGGATGCATGGCGGATGGCAGAGGATGTGGGTTTCTGAAAATTGGATGTTTTCTACAAGTGAGGAAAATGAGTGTTTAAATACACCACGGACACAAGGATAGCCCGAGCTGCGGCCGGCAGAGATAGGATACGCACAAGCGCTAGGCGCCGGATCTCCAGGGGTGAAGCGAGCAGAGCGAGCAGGACAACAATCCGATTGTTGCGCTGGGACAATAGGATGGGATGTTTTCAAAGAGGAATAGCACTACAATTAAAAGTTTTTTTTTTCATGCTGCTGTTTTGCGGTTCAAAGCAAAAGTGTGTTTTTGTCTTTTGTGGCCCATCCCCCGTGTGTTTCATCACCTCCCTAATTATCTGCGGCTTGCTGATCGAGATGGGCCTGCTGCAGCCGAGGATGAGGCTTCCTCGGTATGGCACTTTTAATGGAAAAAAGCACCTCGTATCGTTTCCTCTGTCTTGTCCTTTGTTTTCTGTCCAATTTGGACGCTCGAATGGCTTTGAACGGGCAAAATATCACCATATCATCGCATCCATTGTGTGTGAGGTGCTCGCTGTCTGCCCAGTTTCGCAGCCACTGCGGCTCCAGCAACCAGGTAAGAGCAAGAGCTTCGTGGGCCCAAAAAGCTTGCAAACGTTAGAGAGGTAATTTTGTATCATCAGTCCATCGTGGTCACACGCTGTTTTAGCTTCAATTCGCTACTGCTCGACTGTGGCCATTTTTTCTTATCCTATTGTCTGGTGGGCAGATTCTGGCGCTTCAGCCGCCTGTACTGCGCATCCTCATTCCCGAGCCGGAACTTCTCGGGTGCCCAAGATCTGCGCAGGGATTCCAAATGTATCTTTTCTGTGCATTGCCTGCAAAGAACTGGGGTCTGGAGAACTGGAGTATTTGGAGATTCAGTTGGTCTCAGGGTATACAATGCCCAAGATAGTTTTATGCTTCTGGGCATTGAATCTCGTGTGCTTCCGCGCACTGCGCTGCTGGTGAGGTTTCACATTTATTTTTTATTTTTTACTGGCCCGAAAAGCGGGCGACAGGCATTGCGTGAAATTACGAACTACTGAAAATCGTCATCCTGCTTCCCGAGGCACCGAGGAATATCCTGCGATGAGCTTCTAAAGGCCGTACTTGTGATTATGGGCACGTCCAGATGAAAAATTATAAATCGGGGGATTGTTAGCAAGCAGTTTTCCAAGGTTAACGTGGTTGAGCCACAAAGTAAGCTTTTTTCCTAATTGAACAACCAGCTTATGGGTGCCCCATCTGGGACATGGAGGGCACTCCCTAAGCGACATTCCAGCTTCTTTCAGCCATCCTCTACCTCCCTATCCTATACAGCCTACTTCCTCTACCAATTGAGCCGAGCCTGGAAATTAGACTTTACGGTGTGCCTTTTGCAGCGTCTCGCCCAGCGTGGCTTAATGGTTATCCATGGCCCCTGGCACCAGTTATTATGGTCAATTGAAGCCACCGTGCCCAGGCCTCGCACCACCGATCTCCGAGATTTGCCAGTACTACCTCTGAGCATTAATCCAGGATTGGAAGCCCCGTGTAATAGGAGAACATCGGTAATCAGCTGTACCCCTTATCTTTCATGAACGAGGGTGGGTGGATTCATGTTTACTCCCTGGAGTGCAACCCTCTCCGTGGAGTCATTCAGGGTGGTGTAGGGGCACCCATGATGAGGTTTTGTCATGGGGAATTTTTCAATGGTTTTATTGTCCATCGGTTTTCAATGGTATGCTGGCAGTGGAGTCACTTATGGTCAATTGGACTAGTGATCGTGATAGTCAGGTTCGATTGATAATCCTTCAATTGAAAATTAGAGTATAAGGCAATTAAATCAGTCTTCAGATGACATTGTGATTCTGATAAAATTGATGGCTTTGATGGTACCACCAGTGTTTCGATGAACACTCTTAATTCATTTTTTTGATTTTTTTTTTTTTGAAAAAAAAAATCAAGGAACGACAATTCAAAGAGAGACTTTTCTCTTCATTTCTCCCAATTTCACCTCCCCTGGTCTCTACTTAGATTATTCTGGAGTCTATCATGATTTTGGTTAACTCCTCCACCACTTTACAATTGTGCCGCAAAATCGCCCGCGGCTCTCACTTTTTCCAACTTTCAGCACATATGCCAGATTCGAGAAAACTTCACAAATTGGCAATTGTGCCGGAATACCACCTGCTCGATCGGCCTCCCTCCCATCCGACAATGTAGCCCCTTTCCAGAATAACCGTTTGTTTCCCAAAACGTCTGATCCACATGCTCGAAGTCCGAGTCCGTTGTGATTTCTCAATGTTCAAACGATCCACGTCGATCTCTGTACTTCTACCACAAAGCGACGGCCTTTCTCGCAGTGGCTTTCCTGGACCCTGGCTGCGAATTGCACTGGTATACATTTTTTTTCCCTCCCGATCATTGTAGAGAAATTCCGAGAACGCCTAGAATTCCGTATATTGCTCAACGAAGTTTTTCACTACCCGAACAGATTAAACTCTCTGAGAGTACCGCTCGAACTCAAACTTTCGCTTCGACTGAAAAATTTCAAAGGCGCATGAGGTGCCGCCTTGGCACGGCGGGTTCCTAACCTGAGCAAATTGCTGAAACGTAACCCAATCTCTACTAGTGCTCTCGGACACTCTGAGCAAATTAGAGCTATTTTATCGATTCGGTTTTCCTGGGCTACCATTCGCTCTAGACCCCATTGTTTTTGTGGCTGGGCGACTCGCTTATCGAAAAACGAGAGCTTCACTAGTCGCATGAGCGTTATTACTTACCACATTTGGCTGCAAAATGGCTCACCCTCACTCTTCGTCCAACGGCTAAATCATCATTTAAGATGAGGGCCTTTTCCTTTTTTTTTTCTCTGTACCATGCTTCGTCAAGCCTTGCTTACGGCCGTGCCGCTCTTTTTAGCCACTGTCTTTTTGTTTTTCGTGGGCCTCTGGGCTGACAACTACCTGAGCATAACCTACAAGGGCGTTGATCAGTACAGATACAATGCTTGTGGAAACTTGCTAACGACCTACTACACGGGTTGTGGAGGCCATGGTCACGGAGGCCTGTTTGGCTGTTACTGCACCAACCCAGTTTTGCTTTCGAGCTTTTTGGGCTGTTTTGACCGCTATGGCTTGAGTGCCGATGAGGCAGTAGATTTAGTCCACAAAGAGTGCAACGACCCTGAATTGACCAAGGGCATGCTTCACCGGTCCTTGGATACTTTCCACGAAAAGAGTGTTTTTGTTAACGTGACTGGCCGTACCGATATGGGCCACTTGACCCACGCCCAGATGCTGGACCATACTGCCATGGGCAATGAGTCTATAATTGTCGATTTTGGCACCTACTTCCCAGACTTGTTTGTGAGAATTTACACTGCCAAAATGGGCAACCACGACAAATCGCTTTTATATTCCATTGGCGGCATCGCTTTCTGGATGGGCTTGTGCATAATTGCAACAATTGCTAACTGGACCGCTCGTTTGGTTCCTAGCTCCAGAAATCTCTTTGATGGGACATACTCCAGAGCATGGAGGAAGTACGTGACGCTTCCAGCCTTGATTGATAGAAAGCGTAACCAGGAGCAGAAATGCTGGACTGTTTTTGATGGTCTCGTTCCCACCAGATTCGAATCCTTGGTCAATTTGTCTTTCCTTGCATACACTTTCATCACACAGATTGTCCATGTTTACTACGTTGACGATAATCCTTTCTGGGACGGCAACAGAGCATTGGCTTTTTATGTTGGTGACAGAACGGGTATTCCCAGTCTCATTTGGACCCTTTTACTTATAATCTTCGGCGGTAGAAGCAACATATTACAATGGCTCACCGGTTGGAAATTTTCTACTTTCGTTATGTACCACCGGTGGATTGCCAGAATCGTTGTTCTTCTTGCCGTTGCTCATTCTATCGCTTTCACATACAACGAGCACAGAAGAGGAACCTACTATAATTCGATCAAAATGGACTTTCTCATCTTCGGCAGCATGGCTACCATTGCAGGCTGTCTCATGTGTTTCCAGGGCCTCTTATGGTTGAGAAGAAAGAGCTACGAAGTGTTTCTTATTATCCACATCATTTTGGCCGCCTTCTGGATCATGGGTTGCTGGGTCCATGTAGAGTGGTTCGGCTACACACCATTCATGATTGGTGCTGCTTGTCTTTGGATCGCCGACCGTGTGATCAGATTCCTCAGAATGGGCTACTTTGGTTGCCCCAAAGCAACTGTTCTGTTGATTGAAGGAGACACTCTCAGAGTGGTTGTGCCTAAATCTCCCACATTGAAGACCACCCCAGGGGGCACTGCTGGGTGTACTTTGGCTTTGGCTTGGCATTCTGGCAAAATCATCCTTTCTGCTACTTTGAATCCCCTGATGGAGAAACCATGACTTTCATTTGTAAGGTCAAAGGAGGTCTCACTAAGAAGATTGGCGACCACCTTCAGAAGCTTCCGGAAAAATCGTGCCAGATGAGGGTTGCAATTGAAGGCTGCTACGGTGAGATCTCTCCAGTATCCAGACACAGCAGCATTGTGTACTTGGCAGGTGGCCACGGCTTTCCAGGAGTATTTTCTGAAGCTTCTCACGAAGTCGCTAGATCCCCAGAAAAGCAAAGCATTAAGCTCCACTGGATCATCAAGGACCTCAAGGCTTTGCTGGTGGTTTGGAAAGAACTTCAGATTTTGGCCACCACAAAAATCGAAACTACGATATATGTGACCAGACCAGAAAGCACCAGAGCAGAATTGGCTTTTCTCAAACAGGAGTCCTGTGAATCGTCCATTGATGAAAAGGAGGAGACGCTGGCACACGTCACGGCGCTTTCATGTTCATCATCTTCAGAAAAAGAGAGCATAGAAGTGGACATGATAATGCAAAAAGTCAAGGACTTCTTCCCTCACATCACCTTCGTTCTAAAAAGACCATTGATAGACGACATTATCAGCAATGAGATCGAGGAGTCCACCGAAAGCGCAGCATTTGTCACATGTGGCCACCCTGCCATGGTCGATGACGTTAGAGCTGGTGTCGTCTCCAGAATCGATACTACAGAAAAAAGAATAGATTTCTTTGAACAGTTGCAAGTGTGGACATAGCCGGTTCTGCCCCATGCATATTTTGCAGCCATTTTGTGCGCGTTACCCGCACCCGAGTACATAGAAAATTTGAAGACATCGCTTCTTCTCAAACTACAACTCAAGAGTATGTGAATGATGATTACCATTTTACCTTATCTACATTATCTGAGGCCTTCGGGCGAGGAATACAACGAATATCTGACTAACACATACAAGGCAGCAGAAGCTGAAAATTTTCATGGCAGAGGAGACAGTGGGGTTTGACTAAGAGGACGCTGAGGTGGGGAAGAATAGTTGGTCAGAAGCAGCTTTATTGTTTAGATTTCGAATCACTTCGATCTGCTTATTGTGATTGTGACTCACCAGTTTTTTCCTTTAACTTCTCCTCCCCCTCCTCCACCTCCACTTCATCTATGATTCCAACAGTAGTGCATGTAGATTACGGCGCCATCAGTCATCGGATTGCTCAAGACAAGATCTCCATCAGATCAAGCAGATTCTCTTTCTCAAAAGATATTCAAACGCGTCCTATTCCCTCTCTTGACCATGCCTGTTACTCGGTCAAAACGTACTATCAAGACCGAGGCCGTTTCGCCTTCCCCTACAAAAGTCACCAAGATCAAGAAGGAATCGGTTACCAGGTCTCCCAAGAAGCCCAAGAGGAACATTGAGGAGCTTTTCCAGGTGACTGAGGTACCTGCTGATCTTCTGATTCCGCAAAGCTACGTTGATCACCACGTCGAGGACTTCGTCAAGGGTGTCAAGTATATCATATCTAAAGACCCCACATTATACCCAGTGATCGTGCATTCCCCGTTCGAAGTGTTCGCTAAGAAGGAGGTTCCCGTGCTTCTGGATCAGGAGAAGATTCATAATTACTGGTACGCGTTGATCAAGTCCGTGTTGGGTCAGCAAATCTCTGGATCTGCTGCTAAGGCTATTGAGGTGAGATTCAACCAATTGCTTGAAGGTAATTGCAATCCGCAGGCGGTGTTGAACCACGATCCTGAGAAGCTCAGATCCGTCGGACTTCTGGGCCAAAAGCTCAAGTACATTACCCATATTAGTGAAGTTTTCAACACTCCAGGAACCAAACTTACGGACCCGCAGTTCTACAAGGATAGTACTAATGACGAGCTTGTTGAAGAGCTTACAAAACTTAAGGGTATTGGGGAGTGGCTGGCAAAGATGTTTTCTGTGTTCACACTCAAAGAGCTTGATATTTTTGCCTATGATGATTTAGGAGTGGCACGAGGCGTCTCTCGATACTTGGCCAATCGTCCCCAGCTTCTCCAGGAAGTGAAAGACGGGGTGCATGCTGTAGAAGTGCTCAAAGCGGGACTCAAGAAGAAAGGCAAGTTCATGACGCCTAGTTCAAACAGAGACTGGACACCGCTCCATGACGAGTATGTCAAGTTCCTTGGGCTCATGTACGCACCCTATCAGCTGGTGTTCATGCTTATAATGTGGCGATTGGCAGCTACAAACGTTGAGGTTTTGGAGAATGTACGTTAGTCAGAGCCAAACAGACACTGCCAAAAAGACGGCAAGAAAGTTGGACGTTTCGATGATTGATCCAGTGGACTCGCCACCAATGGAAATGTGTTTCTGGTCCGTCTGCTGCCGGCGAATCAGCGTGAGCTCCTTTTCAATGGTATCGTAGCCGTAATCAAGTTGGGGACGGCGAAGAAAAGCGAGTTGTCTCTCGGTAAAGCCCTTGTGCTCGATGAGATAGGCGATAAAATGGTCAATGTCCAAATCCACCACCGGCGGCTGTTTCACCGTTTTCGGTTTCTTCTGCTTCGGCTCGAACTCTTCACGCAGCAGCTCGACCAAGTGCCTTGTGAAAGAGGAAAGGTCGTTTTCGTTGGACAAGCGGTTGCCGTAGTTTGTGATCTTGGTTCGTCTGGGTTTCGCTTCCACTTGCAAAGAGTGGATCTCGGGCTCCTTGGAGTAGAACAGAAGGTAATCCTTGATCCAGGCCGAGGAGGCCACAGCAGCCGAGACAGGCGGGATAGGCTGGGACAGAGACTGGGGCAGAGAAGGAGCAGGAGAGAGCTTGATTTTAGAGTCGGGTCCGTTGCGGGCGACACTGACCAGAGAGGACAAAACAGCCCCCCAGGTTAGTGCCGTGGACACGAGAAGATGGAGTAGCATGGTTGTTGCAAAAACAAGTGGGTGCAAATGCGAAGTGTGAGAGGTGCAAATGGGCATGAGGCTGGGCCCAATTGGGGGTGCTGGAAAGGGTACAGCTGCAAGGCTGATGCGGCCCACTGGAGCAATGCTGGATGCTAGTGGCTAAAGACAGGAAGAAAAGAACTAAAAGGAGGGCTTTGTGTGTTGACGCTAGGAAGCCCGTTGGTATTTATCCTTTCAAAGGAGCCTAGTTGCATTGTTCTTGGATCGTGGGATTTTCCCGCTTTGTGGATAGTGCTCGCCTCGCTTCGCAGGTGCTGTGCAGAAAGGGGCAGCGCGGCAACTGAGACAACGGATTTGGCAGTGGCCGGGCTGAAAGCAGCAAGAACGCGGTGACAGATGCAAGGCGGCTACCCCTGAGTCGGGATCAGGGAAGGCTGGTTTTGGCAGGGACAAGACTGAGTTTGGGGCCAAACACGAATAAACAACAACGGAGAAAAAAAAGTTAATCCGTATTGGCGTTTCCATGGACGGCGCAAACAAAGACATTCCCTGCGGTGGTCTGCTGGTTGACATGGCGCGGGCCGAGAGACATGAACCGCAGGCGACGATCGTCGCAGTTAGTCTGCCCAGCCACGCCGAAACAGGACAGGCCACGCAGAAAAAAGGACGAGAGAAAAACACTGTTCCAGCGAGGAATGCAAGCATAAAAGAGCTTAATTTTCGTTATCACCTGAACCCTCGTCTATTCGGTCCGGCGGCTGGGGTTTTCGGTCCACAGCTTGCGGTCGCACTGCGCCAGCAATGTTTTGTTTCGGCAGTGCATGCTGCTCCCCGGGCAAACTGCAAGTGAGACAGACCACCAGCACAAAATTGACTTTGGAGGGGGATGAAAAAAAAAAAAAAAATAGCAAAACCTCCAGACCCTTCAAACGCAAACAGGCAAATCGCAGCACGCCGGGTGGTAGGAGCTCTTGGCACGAGCAATCCTCTTCTCGCCCGCACTGCACTGCCGGGCAAAAATAGACTCGCCTGGTGTGCCCGTCGGCTTAGGCGAGATGCTTCGGGAGTCGCAACGGACCACCACCGCCTGGCCCAACACACGTAGACCAAAGCGAAAACGACGGACACCAAACATGGTCAATTTTCAAAAAACAACCCGAAAAGTAAAACCGTAATCCAGACACGCGGTTTGCTGTGCTCAAACCCTAGTGTGTCATGGCCTGGTGCCTGGCGGAATCTGGTGGTTGCAAAATCCCTGTCTCATCCTGCGCACTTGCTTGGCCCCACGCCTTCTCAGCCTACTCTCAACTGCACTTTACCAACCACTGTTTTCCAGGCCACCTGGGTCCATTCGCTTTACGACACCGCCGTTGTGCCTCTATCACCACCTTTCTTTCTGGGATTCTGCTTCATCGTCCCCATACATCGTCAGCAATCTCCATCGCCATAACCTTCACCTCCAAATTCCTTCCACCGCCATCTCCCACTATCGTCACCTGAGCAGCTCTTGCTACTCGCCTTTCCTTCCATCACCGCTTCCCCTTCCATACTCGCCACCGGCTCGGTCCATGCGCTGATGCATCGCTCCGGCTCCTTTTCATCCAACCCGTCCCTGTCCCACCCCAGGCTAGCCCGCCTGGCCAACACCGACGACCTTTTTGCTGTCGAAGACCGTGTGGCCAGGAAACCGAAACACGATCCACAGGGGCCCTTTTATTTCCCCAACGGCGAGGTTTTTCGCCCAAGAAACGCCCCGCTGCGCCGCCATAGACCTCCCAAGATCCACCCTGAAACTCATGGCCCTCAACCCCCTGCCCAGCCTGTTTACCAGCCATCGCATCAGCCAGCTTACCAAGGTCACCCTGGCTACGGTCAGCCAGCTCAGGGCCCGCTGCAGCTTCCGGTAAACAGCTGCGGATTGTCCAATTTCAGCGTTCCAGGCAGCCCGAGCGTGGGACCAGGAGGGTTTCCAAACGCTGGCTTCGCTCGCCAGGCTCCAAGATCAAACTCGCTAGCATCAAACTCCTCAGCCAAATCGGCCACCTCCACGGCAACTTCCACGGCTGCTTCGGTGTACATGACACGCCTGCACTCGTTCCATAACTTGAAGGCCAAAACCCGCTCTGACTTGACCCAGCTGCTTCGTAATGCCAGAGTCGATACCAATATCAACATCGCTAGCCTAGCTCCGCTGACAAATCCTCCTCCCCAGGCTTCCCGCTCCTTGACCCCAGCGTACCCTTATACGGTGCCTGTGGTTCACTCTCGCTCCCACCTGCTTTCCAACAACAAGTACCCGGAAAATTCATCCAACATTGTCAAATCTGAACTGTCCTTGTACCTGGACCGCGGCCGCCATAGCGCTCTGTCTGACTCCAAAAACTCCAGCTTGTCCAGCTACAACCTCAACCGCTCCAGCTCTACGACTCCACAAACCCTGGTCACGTCCGAGCAGCAAGAAAGAGATGCCAGCGAGGATTACAAAGACAAGGATAGAGAATCTAAAGATGAGACTCCGCTCCCTACATGCCTGTCGCTAGAATCGATAAGCGAGGGTGCCACGAAAACGTCGACGTACATAGCAGACTCGTGCCGGAACCCAGAAGCGTCTCTGGAGTCGTCTCTGGTTCATTCTTCCACGTCTTTTGCCAGTGCTGAAGACGGAGATGAAGCATCTGAGAAAGGACAAGCGAGTGTGCATGAGGCGCATTCTGCCAACGGATTCTCAGCCCCAAACTCACCGACAGCTCAGACCAACTCTTCTTCTTCCACAGACGCAAAAGAGTCCACGCCTGAGGCCCAGCAATCTGAGTTCATGTCCGAAACCAAGGTGGTCGACCCAGCTCTGCCCGTATCGACCCACTCTGCCGCGGATCGAACCGTGTTCACCAGCGACAAGGAGTCCGCCAAAAATGCCTCTCCTACAACGTCTCCAGAAGGCTCTCCCAAAGATTTCCCCGAAGTGTCCTACCAACCATATAAATCGATGCTACTAGACGACCAAAACGCGTCGGAATCGCCGGAATCGTCTGGTCTAAAACACCAGCCGTCTGTTCAAGATCTGGCGGTCACAATCTCCCAAAATACCAACACTTCGAACGAAACTTTGGCCAAGACGCGACCAAAACCTGCCAATATTGATACTATGAGAGCGCAGAATTTAGACGAGGAGGTATTCACGCCGTGTAGCGAGTATAGCTTTGCTGCAGGCGAGGAAAAACTCATATGCAAGCAGGATCTCCAAGACCCAGAGGACGAGGTTTTCACTGACGCCTACACTGACGAAACGAAACCTAGTATTAAGCGAGACGCCAGTATTAGCAACATTCTTGACGCCTACTCGGAGGAGCCAGTGCACGAAAGCGTACCCAAATCGGATTCGCACGATGCGCAGGACCCGCAGGAGCCTCAGGAACCACTCCAGGAGAGCATCCAGGCGAGCGTTCCCGAAACGGTAATTGAGAAACAAGAGGAGGCCAACGCTCCTCACTGTTCTGAGAAGCCTCAGCCGACGCAACCGGCTGAACATTCTGTTTTGACACCCGAACCTGGGCCTGAAAAATCTCTCCCTGAGGCTTCGTCCAATGATGACACTTTATATCATGAGTCGCCCGAAATAGACGCTTCTGCCCTGGAAAGCGACACTGATACATGCAAGGACCAGAACTCACACATGGGTCATCAAGTTGTTGATGAGCATAAAGATGAGCCTGTCGTCGATGTTGAATCTGTTCTGGAGCTGACCCCTATCAAGCCAGCCTTGGCCGAAGAAGCTTCCAAGCCCGAGCAAGATACATCCGATGTCACTGAGCCAGTCGAGGATGTCGAAGAAACTGTCACAGACGCACCACAAGCTGAAGAGGAGCATGTCCCACCCCCTCAAGAGTCTACGTTGGAGGAAGGTGAAAATCTTGAGGTCAGCAGGCTGCCTGAGGATGGTCTTCCTGAGGCCGCTACACCTACAGCAGAGGTCACCAAGAAACCACCTCCTTCAGCTATGGGCGACTCACCCCTTCGAAAGCTCGTTGCCAAGGAGCTGGAAAACGGGACTGAGAAGTCAGACAATTCCTTGATCAAAAATCGCCTTTCCATGCTCAATGTCGTTAACGTTGATTTCGATAAATCCTTGCCAACTACTCCTGACAATATGAATTTTACTGTCAACATGCCTGACAGCGTGTCGCCCAAGAAGCTGATTTCTCCACAAAAGCCTCCCATGCAGCGCAACAACAGCATGAGCAAATCGTTTTCCATCAACAATTTCAAAAAGGTTTTTGGCCGATTTGGAAATGACAGTTCTGTGAAGGACTCTTCTGAACTGAAACTGTCAAAGAAAGAGTCGTTCGGAAGCAAGCTTCTAAAGAAAAAGACGTCATTCTCGTCTGAAAGCGAGCCATACTCTCATGCCAATCTGTCATTCTCATCACTCTCCACGCAAAAGAAAGGGAAGCGGAAGTTTTTCAAAACTCTCAAGTTCATCCCTGGCCACAACGTCAAGGAGGAGATAACTTCGCCAGTCTACAGTGTGAGATCTAAGGTTCCATCACCCACTCTTGAAACCTTCTCCGAGGAACCCGCCGCCCCAGTCAATTCTTATAGACTTCCAGACTTTGAATCGGAGGATGATGGCTTTCTGGACTTGTTGTTGAAATTTGATGAAGTGGAGAAGAAAGCAGAGCTTGAAGACGAACAAATGAGGAACAAACCCAAGGCGAATGCCTTTTTTATGAGAGACGATGAATTAACAAAGGCACAGATTGCCGATCAACAAAGGAATGACAATCATAACTCCGATGAATCTCTACCAGAGAAATACGACGAAGCCAACAAGGACAATGCAGAAGAGATTGAGGAAACCGATTCTCATCTGAACAGCCCTGACATACCCTGGTCCCCAGGATATGATGACTATGCATCAGGATTTATCACTCCTGAAACTGACGACGGTCCCAAGAGGGTGCAATCTTTGAAGCTCAACAAAACTCAATTGCAAGACATGTTGGACAAGAAAGCTCACAGTAACCACTTCATTAAACACGTCAGACAAATGCAGGACATGGATCTGGTAGAGATTATTGTGGAAGCTTTTAACCCCAACGAGAAAAAGGAAGATGAGCTTGAGGAGCCAAAGGAAATGAACTCCATCTTAAGGGACTCGGCCATCAACAATGGCTCATCATCGAAAGCGGTCAAGTTCTCGAGTAAGGTGTCTATCAGCGAAACGTATCCTTCATACGTATACAGAAGGTACAACAAGTCTGTGACGCAGTACTATCTTACTGAGACCGGCGAGGTGAACAAGATCAAGAATGAGTTGAATGCCTACAAGTGTTACGAGATGTTGGTACACGAGAAGTCGCAAAACAATACCCAATTCTTCTATTAGAAGACGCATTTTACATAATCCCACTTAATTCATTTCTTCATCATGCATTGGTTTAGCTGCCGCGATATGTAGAGTAGCTATGGTTGGCCAAAAGTAATGGCACATGGTAGTGATTATCGGGAGGGTTCTCGACCTGGAATACAATTTCCACATATGGGAAGAATGTTCTGTTGGCAGCGCTCAATTCATGGAAATACTTGCCTGTCAAAAACTTGATCTTGTAAATACCAGGTTTAAGGTCCTGCCATTTGGCCTGGTTGATGCCGAGTTTTGTGGCCTCGTAGGAATCCAATTGCGGATTGACTACCCAATTCTTGATTCTTCCATCGTTGTCTGTCTTACTCATGGCGAAGGGCTTTTCTGGAGATCTGAGGTCATAGGCACTCTCAGAACCCTTGTCTGTGACGAGTGGGCCAATTTGGAAAATCAGGCATGTGACGCCCTTTGCAGGCTTGCCCAAGCAAGTATCCAAGATATGACAAGTAATTGGATCAACCGACATGGAAAAGTGAGTTATCTGGTTAAGTGGAGCAGACCGAAGTATATATAGGTGATAAGGCAGGTGGTGTGCAGGTCTCGGCGATGCCCGAGCTAGTCTAGTACAATAATCAGGGGTTCATCAAACGGAAGGGACGAATTTTCATCGATATCAGTGTCGCATTGACTGGAATTGTCTGGTTTGAGTGTGTGAAGGCGAGGTGTTTGTCGTAGTTGCATCTCATCTGATGACTCGTGCACATCAGAGTCGGTCACCTCGATGAATTCCATATTGAAGCTGTCTGAGACCGACAATACTTGTGGAATCTGACTTTCAGGATCGATGATCCGTAAATTTTGCTTCTCGAGTCTATGCAAATAGTCCCTTTTGGAGAATTTGGGCTCCCTGGGCTCTGTCCGTTGTACAACATCTGGTTTATACTGCCAAGGGTGTTTTAGGTGTCTTCGTGTTGCTAAGACGAGTTTCCAGCACTCAATCTCAACAGCTAGATCTGGCCCTATGGAGAGCACGGTCAACCTTTCTCCAATGATTTGTCGCAGGTAGTCCTGGAAGAACAGAACATGACCCACAATCTCAACCAACGAATCCTCATTAAACGACTCAAAGATGCAACTTTCTGGGATCTTGATGTTGATATGAGACACGTCCCCAGAGCAATCATCCACTGTTATTATGTAGAAGTTATTAGGATTGGCTCTGCCGTTCATATCATAGTTCTTGTGGACTGAGGATAAGACGCGTCCAAATATCTTCACTGTTTTTATTGGATAATTGTTCACCAAGACACACCCCTTAGCATGCTCGTCAAGTCCCTGGACGCCGTAAACCTCTAGCATGGTTTTGGCCCTTAAGAGATCTCTAATTGCTAGGGGCACTATGCGGTCTGCAGTAGGGGCCAAATGAAATAGTTGTGGTGAGTAGAAGCTTCGGCCCCATTTTCGGAGAGCGATATGGTTTTGTCCTGGCGCTATATCTCGTCGAAGTGCCATATCATATTTAGTAAGTAGTTGTTGATGTGCGCATCAAAAACAGGGCTCTGAAGCTCAAGTAGTCGAAGAGGCTTAATGATGTATAAGGATGTAAGATAGAAAGAAACGGCCGATTTCACTATTCTCAACGTGCTACTCGAATTTAGCCCTCCATATATTAAGTTTTTCAAAGTTCGATGATTATAGAGATGTCCCTAATTACTCTTGTAACCGCATATTTCGCAGCCACCAAAATATTCGAGCGATGTTGATAACCTCGCAAGATCTCAAATCAAAAAGTACCCTTCAAGAGAATTTATGAGAGTCTTCTTCAAATTGATGAGTCTTGTGAAAAGACATTTGGCCAATTAATGGCCTAGCTACGTAAAAGAAACTCATGCTACATGGACCTTAAGGTATTTGCAGCAAGCACGATGTCACAATTTGATCCCCGCCATCCAATGTTTGAATTGTCGACTCTCTGGTCAAACGATTGCTATATGTCATTTCACTTAGCCAAATTGGGGTTCGAAATACACCAGTCCGGCACATGGGCCTATCTAGCATAGTACCAGTATGGCTGATGAGATGAGCTGCACAATCGAATCGACCGAAGATGTCCTTATTCGAAGTAAAGGGTTGGAACCTCAAGGCTGATAAAATCGCCGTAGGAGGTACAGATAAGGTCGAGAACAAGAAATCCAAAAAGAAAGAGAAGAAGGAAAAGAAAAGAAAGCTAGAGCAGGAAGCCAAGGCCAACACTGAAGATGAACCAGAGGAGGAGAAGCCAAAGAAACAAAAGGTTGATAGCGTCAAGGAGCTGAAGAAAGATGTTCCAGAGAAGAAGCTGAAAAGGGGGAGAAGCAGGAGGACTCCAAGCCCGCTGAACCCTCAAAAGAAGACCAATTCATCACGAAAGAGCCAGCATCTGAAAGGAAGCTTACTCCATTGCAGCAGAAGATGATGGCTAAGCTCTCTGGATCCAGATTCCGCTGGATCAACGAGCAGCTCTATACCACCACTTCAGATAATGCCTTGAAGCTTGTCAAAGAACAGCCTGCCTTGTTTGATGAGTACCATGAAGGTTTCAGATCGCAGGTCCAGCTGTGGCCAGAAAACCCTGTTGATGTCTTTGTTGACCAATTTAAAGCCAGAACTACCAAACCAGTTAACGCTCCAGGTGGATTACCTGGTCTTTCAGACAAAAGCATCGTCATCGCTGATATGGGCTGCGGAGAGGCTCAATTGGCATTGGATATCCAAAACTTTGTCAAACAGCACAATCAGAAGAGCCAGAAAAAGAAAGGCAAGTTCCATGACCGCAATGGTCCAGCAAGAACATTAAAGGTTGAGACTCACAGTTTCGATCTCAAGAAGGCCAACGACAGAATCACTGTTGCCGACATCAAGAACGTCCCAATGGAAGATGAGCTGTGCAGCATAGTCGTTTTCTGCTTGGCTCTCATGGGTACCAACTTTTTAGATTTTGTGGAGGAGGCCTACAGGATATTGGCGCCCAATGGTGAGCTCTGGATTGCCGAGATTAAGTCAAGATTCACGGAGCTGACCAACGCAAAGACAAGGGTTGCCGATGACGTCGGGTCCGAGTTTGTGGAGTCGCTCAAGTTGCTTGGCTTTTTCCACAAGAAAACAGACAATGACAATAAGATGTTCACGCGGTTCGAGTTTTTCAAGCCGTCGAAGGAAATCATAGAGCAGAGAAAAGCCAAGCTCGAGAAGAAGAAGCGCTTCATTGAGCAGGAAACGAAAAAGGAAGAACTCGACCAGAAGAGAAAGGAGAAGGCTGAAGGTGAGTGGTTGTTGAAGCCCTGTATCTACAAGCGGAGGTGATGATGCTGGATAGACTTTCGGCTGGATACCCACATCCACGTATCACCCCATCTAATGCAGCATTTTCAGAAGCAAGCTTTAAATTGGTAAGTGTAGAGATTCAGAAGCGTCTTTTCGCAGCCAGTGAGGGTTGCCAGTACTTAAGGCACGTCGTACCCGACTTATGTGACCTCACCCTACGTTGGGCTGGCTGTACATGAGCCACGATCTCATGCCGCCGTAGGTCACGGTTTCCTCTTTTAGAGCCAGCCAACATTGAAGAGGGTGGATTCAAGCAAGATGTGGTCACGTGACGGCCTAATCGGGAAGGTGTCGCCAGCCAGATCTGCAAGTTTGACATACTTTCGCACGTTAGCCAGCACAGAATGGGTGTGGTGCATTGGCTGCGAAAAAAAAAATGGTCCTGGCTCCGAAGCCCAAAAGCGAAACCGCCCAGCTTTCCAGCCAAGATGTCATATAATAGGAATTTTCCCGTTTTCCATGCTCCACAAACGACTTTCTTTTCATCATGGATTTCTACGAACCAACGCTTTTGTTTAGGCAAAACGCCATCAAGAGACCTGACCTGGTCTCTCTGCTGAGCTCCTACTACGGCTCAGACAACGATTCTTCAGCCACACTCCCTTCACATCACTCCAACCGCTCCAGAACGCTGTGGCTCTTGAACCACTCGAATGCTCTGGACACACAAATCCTCAATAAGGCGTGTTCCTTGGACAGAGTGAATATCAAGTCGAACTACTGGAAGATTCCCGACAACAGCATGGACTTGACGGCGCTTGCAACCAGCAGCGTGGAGTCTGCTTCCCCACTTTTGGCCATTTCCAGTGCCCAAGCAGAAAACAACCTTTTCATCTACGAGCTCGATGCCGTCAACCACTACTTGACCCACCATACTACCATATCCTTGCCCAATATCCACACACTTGCCTGGGTGCCCAACCAGAAGTCTCGCTACCTTGTTTCTGGAAACAGCAAAGGCTATGCCCATCTTGTGTCCGTGCCACACCCTCATTCATACACTGGCGAAGCAGAGGGAGACGAGTGTGCTGAAATCGTGAAACGCTTCAACCACCGCAAGCACCTCAAGTCCGTCAACAAGGACCCTGCTGCCCATACCCACGCCACCACTTGCATTTCGGAACTCGGTTTCACCGCCAACGACAAATTGGTCTCCATCTACGACAACACCTTGTTTGTGTGGAACATGAACGACTGTGAGGCTTCTGCCAAACCACGCCCTGAAGGAATCCTGGTGATTCCGGGCATAAAGAGCTTTGACACGACGCCAAGGCAGGTGAACGATCCTTTCACTTTGGGACTCTGTGGTTCCTTTGGCATTTCTCTCTTTGACTTCAGAAGCCGGGGCCACAATGTTCCAAGTTCTTCACTCCACGCTAACGGCACACCTAGCCAGCTTTCAGCCAATTTGCTCAGATGGTGTCCTACAAACGAATACGTTATGGCTGCCGCCCACGGCGATGGTGTCGTCAGACTTTGGGATCTTCGAAAGCAGGATACTTTCGCAAGTTTGACCGGCCATATGAATAAGAAGGTGACTGCTCTAGAATGGAACGACAACGACATTTTCACTGGCTCCAGCAACGGCAACATCATTCACTGGGATTTGTCTAGTGGACTTGACCCTACTGAGGACATTGCTAACCACGCCGATAAGCTCCAGACCTGCTCGATGAAGGAAGGACTCTCCAGTGTTTCCTTTGACACTGTCAGAAATACCATGGTGGATGTTGCCAGCGAGAGACAGTGTGGCACCATGCTCCCAGCGCTGAACAACAACATTGTGGGTATGTGCCGTGTGAGAGACCTGGAAAGCGACTTGACTGACTGTAAGATCGTCACCATTGACGGTTCGTCTTTCCTCGGATTGCACTCGAAGATCTACGACGCTGTGGAGAATACCAGCAGTGATAAGGACTTCTACACGGCTGAGGACATCGACTTGATGCTGAAGGAGGAATTATCTAATGCCACCCTCATCAACTCCAGCGACAGCTTGACACAGCCATTGAACATCCAAAGAAAGGTCACACACTCCAAGACCAACACAGAGTCTTCCATCCGCACAGACGACTTCAACTTCAACCTTGGTTTCGACTTGGACGAGGTTATATCTCTCCACTCGGTGGATTCAGAACCAAGCAAGTCTCACTCAAGCACGTCACCCAACTCTTCGGTGCTGAACAACGACTCAAACTACACTCTTTCGACAGTGGCAACCGTGATAGACTCTCCTTCACAGACCCACACACATGCAAAGAAGTCGCTGTTGGTCTTCTTGGACGATGGTCTCGAAAAGATCTGCTTGGACTTCTCCAGCCAGAACCAGTACACGACAGCAACATAAAATAATGATAAAGGATTAGAGGATATAAAATAATAATAAAAAAAGAGAAATAATTTCACGTAATGATGAGCTTCAAAGGCTTCGTAGTCGTGGCAGCTTATGTTTTTCTAGAGCTTTAAATGGTTTTTCGTTGTTTATTTATATTATCTTTATTTATAGAATAGTTATAAAATTATGAAATTATTGATCAAGTGCTGATTGATCTGGGACGTGTGAGTCCTGTGTTAGTCATTGTAGACCTCCTTTGGGAAGCCTCTTGCTGCTTCAATTGACTAAGTCTAAGCATTCTCTCCAATGTAATTCGAATGTAGAGCTTCTCCCTGATTGTAGGGGTCCCTTGTGGTGACAGCATCTCTGTGGCTTCTGGATGGTAGCATTGATTTGAGGGTTGATTGTGCTTTGTGGAATTGCAGCTTCTTTTCAATTGCTGCTTTTGCTTGTAGGCCTTCTTCTTAAGCCGGAAGCAAAGATAGAGCTTGGGTTGAGCTTCTCTTGGTGTGGTGATAAGACTCTTCTGTACTAGCCTAGGCAGTCTTCTGAGAAGAGGCTTGATGATGGTGGTATCGATTTGAGCGGAAGTCATTGTAACGTAGTTCAATTAGTTCAAGCTTGTAAGGAAAATTAAGTGTGTGGTGAATGGAGAAGACAGAATATCGAGAGGTGGCTACTTATATTATTTTTTTTTTGCAATATTCCCTGGGTTTATCGAACTAGGAAAGTTTAAGTCGTGGGGTCTGCCTTAGTCACGCAAGGAATATATAATTGGTAGGAAATAAGAATATACGCAAAGAAGGGTAAGTAGAGCATTTGAGGTCATTTCTTTCTTAAATGCTGAACTACAAGGAAACTTTAACGAGAAGTGTGAACATAGCGTTGCAGTCCCATGGGGACCAACGGTATATCATTATTACCATCACTAACAGGTTTTTGATACAATAAAAATATGATAAAATCGATTGAGCTTCAAGAGTCAACTTGAATTTCAATTATGTCATTAAAATTATCCCCGATAACTACCGTTTCTCACCTCCCTGTAACTACTAGATATTAGGTGCTAGTCTCAATGGCTGTAGCTTTCTAGACATATGAACTTACTTGAGCAGACAGACAGACTTCACAACCAATCACACAATACCAAAATGAGAACCCTGCAAAAAGGAAAAAGCATTCTCCTATCCACCGAGTCGGCCAACATCACTTTTGGTCTTGTGCCCCTCTACTACATCTCAGCTGCTATTGTGACACTACCGGGCTCGGCATGCACTTCTCAATCCGGTAATTTGCAGCCGTACGGACGGCAGTCATTCGTACACAAAATCGTGATTACCCGGCTTCGAAATTGACATACGAAGACTTGAAACGATTTCAGTTCTGCTTCTAGTAAATCCACTCTTATCGTCTCATCGGATATTTGAAAAGCCACAACTGTATCCTTCTCACAGATTTCGCGTATTGGGCGTCTCGATAAGGAGCAAGCACGGAATCGATTTTCTTATTGTATAGCAACTCCAGCGAGCACTAAACGATATATCCATATTACAAACCGAATTCAAGAAGAACAAATGTAGAATGCGGAAGAAGATGTAACTGACTAAGATATTACATGCTTCGCCTACTGACTAAAAGCAGGACCGCTATAGCCGGGATAGTCACGTGACCGGCTCTGTTATCGCATACGGAAAGTGCTATCTTGGACAATCCCAGAGGGAAATTAGAAATGGCAATGACTCCGGAGTAATAAATATAGGCACCTCAAGCAACTGAACCGCTAAGAATAAAAACTTTCCTATCTCAAGGTCCTCACCGGTCGCCCGAGAAACCTGGTTGCTGTAGACCCGTACACCAAGAGCCACCCTACCTTAATCGTTCTCACTGAAAGAAATCTATTGCTTTTTATATCTATCGTTTAGATACATAAAACCCAGCGGTCCCCATCACGGTTCTACAAAGAGTGCCCATACCCTGCTTTTTTGCCCTCCAGGCTAAATAGTACCGTTTAGTATCCGAATTTAGACCGTTTTATCCATCTTACTGCCTTTTTTCCACGTTTTCCCTGAGGGCTTCCCTACACCAGTTGATCTCACCAATCGAGGGTACCTCTTTTTTTAGATGACCAAAGTCAACGTCAAAGTGGTGGCTGCTGAGTCATTGTATAAACGTGATGTGTTCCGGCAGCCTGACCCATTTGCTGTTATCACCGTCGATGGTGATCAGACCATCACCACCAAAACCGCCAAAAGAACATTGAACCCATACTGGAACGAGTCTTTCTTGCTCAGTGCTTCCGAGGACTCCATCTTGGCTATTCAAGTTTTCGACCAAAGAAAATTCAAGAAGAAGGATCAGGGTTTTTTGGGTGTGGTTAATGTTCGTGTCGGTGATGTTATTGATTTGTCGTTATCCGGCTCTGAGGAAACCATCACCCGAGACTTGAAGAAGTCTAATGAAAACCTAGCTGTCAGTGGGCGTGTCATCATTGTTTTGAGCCACAACACCAACCCGTCCTCTGCCCCTGCCGCCAATGGTTCTGTCGCTCCTGCTCCAAGAGCATCGTCATCTGCACGCAATTCCGTTCCAAACTCTACACCTGCTGCTTCGTCTGCTCCTCCCGCTTCTAATGGTAACGGAAACAGCAATGGAAACGGCGAGCAGTTCACCAAGCAGTACTCGTCCTTCGAAGACCAGTACGGAAGATTGCCGCCCGGTTGGGAGAGAAGAACCGACAACTTCGGCCGTACCTACTACGTGGACCACAACTCGAGAACCACTACCTGGGAGAGACCAACCTTGGACCAGAGTGAGACCGAGAGAGGTCAGCAGAGAGAAAACCATACTGAGGCTGAGAGAAGGCAGCACCGTGGTAGAACCTTGCCTGGCGAAGCTCCTCAGTCCCCAACGATGCAATCAGCTAGCACGTCGACGAGCAACAATGTTACAGTGAACTCTACCGGTGCAAACACCCCTGTTAGTCCTGCTGCTGCCGTTTCCATGGCAGCCACTGGTGGTACTACCAGAGGCTTGGGCGAGTTGCCAACTGGTTGGGAGCAGAGATTCACCAACGAAGGCAGGCCCTACTTTGTTGACCACAACACGAGAACAACCACCTGGGTTGATCCCAGAAGACAACAGTACATCCGTACTTTTGGGCCCAACACCACGATTCAGCAGCAGCCAGTCAGTCAGTTAGGCCCATTGCCTTCCGGTTGGGAAATGAGATTGACTAACACGGCCAGAGTCTACTTCGTGGACCACAACACAAAGACCACAACTTGGGATGACCCTAGATTGCCTTCCTCTTTGGATCAAAACGTTCCACAGTACAAGCGTGACTTTAGAAGAAAGGTTATCTACTTCAGATCCCAGCCAGCATTGAGAATCTTGCCAGGCCAGTGCCACATCAAGGTGAGGAGAGACCATATTTTCGAGGATTCATATCAGGAAATCATGAGACAGACTCCAGAGGACTTGAAGAAGAGACTCATGATCAAGTTCGACGGCGAAGAAGGTTTGGATTACGGTGGAGTTTCGAGAGAGTTTTTCTTCTTGTTGTCACACGATATGTTCAACCCATTCTACTGTCTTTTCGAGTACTCTTCTCACGACAACTACACGCTACAGATCAACCCTAACTCGGGTATCAACCCCGAGCACTTGAATTACTTCAAGTTCATCGGTAGAGTTGTGGGCTTGGGTGTGTTCCACAGACGTTTCTTGGATGCTTTCTTTGTTGGTGCCTTGTATAAGATGATGTTGCGCAAGAAGGTTAACTTGCAAGATATGGAAGGTGTCGATGCCGAATTCTACAGATCTTTGCAGTGGATTCTCGACAACGATATCACTGACATCCTCGACTTAACGTTCAGTGCTGAGGACGACAAGTTCGGTGAGATTGTTGAGGTCGACTTGAAGCCAGGTGGAAGAGAGATTGAGGTTACGGAGGAGAACAAGGCTGAATACGTCGAGTTGATCAGTGAATGGAAGATTCACAAGAGAATTGAATTGCAATTCCAAGCATTTATTGACGGCTTCAACGAGTTGATTCCTCAAGAGTTGGTGAATGTGTTTGACGAAAGAGAGTTGGAGTTGTTGATTGGTGGTTTGGCTGAAATTGATGTCGAGGACTGGAAGAAGCACACGGATTACAGAGGATACCAAGAAACCGACCAAGTTATCCAGTGGTTCTGGCAGTGCATCAAGGAGTGGGACTCCGAACAAAAGGCCAGATTGTTGCAATTCACCACTGGTACGTCAAGAATCCCTGTCAATGGTTTCAAAGATTTGCAAGGTTCCGATGGTCCAAGAAGATTTACTATCGAAAAGGCTGGCGAGCCCAACCAGTTGCCAAAGTCCCACACTTGTTTCAACAGAGTGGATTTCCCACCTTATACCTCTTATGAGAGCATGAAGCAAAAGCTTACACTTGCAGTTGAAGAGACTGTCGGTTTCGGACAAGAGTAAGCTTTATGGCATGGAATCGTATTCACAACACAACAAAATTTGCATGAATTGCAGGGCTCTATAGGAGGGCCCAAAAGAGCTCAGTTCGAATGCCCCCGCGTTTGAGGTGCAAGGATTGAATATTTCACGATGTCATGACATACGTAAGATTCTCTGCGATGGGGTAAGCAGGTCTGCATCTCGGTCCGCATGAGGCTACTCCGCTGAGGCTGCAAGCACGATTAGTCAAACTAGTGCTTGCAACGAATTTCATTTGATAGTCACATTTAATACACACCGTTATTTAAGGTAGTTCAAATATTGAGGGTCACAGGTCCAGACCTGATTGCAGATAAGAGATAAGTCTGTGTAGAGCCCCGCGCCGCACTCAGGAGTGGTAGAGGTCCGGCAAAGTGGAGAAGCATAGAACAAAGCCAAAATGTCGTTGGGATATGTAGGCTCTGTTGCTCCTTTTAAATGTCACATTAGTAAAAGCAGCGTGCTGACCATCCCCTCATCTGGGTTGGGTATAAAAGCAGCTGTGGATCGAGCCACTTAGAAACCACCGATACTATTCCATCACTATGCCAGATCTTTTTGACAACTTCTTTGGGAAAATCTCTGCCAAATTAAACGGCGGCAAAACCACTCCCTTCTACGGCGGCTCGTCGCAGGTAAACACAGGTCCTTCTATAGCTACCACATGAACGGCACCAATAACAAGTATTGGATGACTGATCAGGAAATGGCAGAGTCACGGAAGACAGCACAGGAGTGGCGGAAGTTTAGTGAGTCCAAGGCCAGAATGGGGTCGGTGGGCTCTATGGACTCACAGGAATCGGAAGGTGACCAGTCCCGCAAAAACAGCGTTGTAGAGCCCTGATGATGAACTTTTAAGTATGATGAACCTATTGATGATGATACCTATTGATGATGATACCTATTGATGATGATACCTATTGATGATGAACCAACCCAAGCATTATAGTCTAACAAAGATGACTTAATTATTAGTGTAGACCGATACTGTCGGTTTATGTAGGCATTTTCGTTGGCATCAGAAACAACAGCAGTTTCTGCGGAGCCACAGCTGATTTTTTCTTCTCTCTTCAAAGCTTGACGTCTCAGAGTGGCCGTCTCCCGCCACAGGATGGTTGTGGCCATGCTGGTTAGTCTGTCTGTAGGCCTTTCGGCTGTGCTCGTCGGTGATGGAGTTGTAGTTGGGGTGGTTTAAAGATTGTGATTTGGTGAGCCGCTGCTGAGACGAGTTGTTAGGAAGACCTGCAGCAAGCTTGTCCTGGCCACTAGGGCGCTTCAGGATATTAGTGACGTTGGTGTTGTTTGCTTTGCGTCTTTGTTGTGGCGGGTGTGGGTTGCCGTAGCCGTGAAGGTTGGCTTTCTTGTTTAATGCAGCATCCCATCCACGTCCACCGTTGAGGTCCATCCAGTCAAAGTGGCCGTCTTCTGTAGCATCAATCAGCTGAAGAGCTTTATCCATGAGACCCACGAGGTAATCGTAGTCGGGCTCCTCATCGAACCTGAGATTCCGCACATATGTCAAGTATTGAGCAAACTGAATAGGAAAGCCCTGGCAGAGCTCGTTCACCGGAGTGCTCTGTTTCTTCATGCCAATGCGCTCGTACTTTTGTTTGTTCGTAGGCGCCTTAAGACCTTGCCAGGGCAACAGGCCCCGGAGAAAATACATAAACACATGGCCAAGCGACTCCAAATCATCTCTTCTCAGCTGCTCGCGGCCCAAATGCGTGTTGATGGACATGTAACGAGCCGTCCCGCTCAACGCCTTCTTTTCTCTGTACGGAATGTGCGATTTGGTCTTGGGTCTCTGTATTGTTTGGCCATACCAAAGTCCACCACGTAGACCTGGTTTGCCTCAGGCGTGTCGGGCTTGCCAATGAGAAAGTTATCAGGCTTCACGTCTCTGTAAATCATGTTGTGCTCGTGGATCCCCTGGACCCTCTGTATCATCTGCTTGGCGACCTGGACCACTGTTTTCACCGAGAACCTACGTCCGCACCAGTCGAACAAGTCCTCGAGAGAAGGACCCAAAAGGTCAATCACCAAGATGTTATGCACGCCCTCCTGGCCAAAGAAATACGCCTTGGGCACTCCGGGCACGTCGTTAAGGATCCGGTAGGACCGGTACTCGTCTCTCAATTGAGGAGCTTCACATTTCCGGGGCTCGAACTTGATTGCCACCTGCTGGTTGTTGAGGAGGTTAATTCCCTCGAAGATGATGCCAAATGACCCTTCGCCGATTTTGCTGCCCACTTTGTAGTGGACACCGACTCTGCTGGAGCTGTTGGACTGGGCCATGTTTGTGGAAAAGCTGGTTTCTCGAGGATATTCGAGCGTCGGTGTATCCAAGCGGTGCTTGGTCAGAGGGAGGATATGATTAGGGTTGTCCGCTGTGACCTTTACGTCGATGGAATATGCTGTTTGCGCTGATGAATTTTCGTGCTATCGCAACTGGTGTCGGTTTTTTCTGGTTTTTTTGAAACACCCTCCGGCATACAGGGCGTCACCAGCACCCCAGAGGAAGTACAACAACAGCACAAAAGCGGGACAAGGCAATTTTGGGAATGTTTTCCGTGTCCTCTTTGTTTGCAATGAGATGACGTTTTTTTGTCGTCTACTTCTTTTTTTTTCTCTCGGTCTCCCTAAGGGCAATGAATCTAACTTAGCAAGAAAGCCGCCCAATGGTGCCATGAATGCGGCTAAAAGATAACGCATTTTTTTAGAAGTATGAATTTGGTCAAGCTATCGCCAAAAACAGGTGGGCTTTTTTTTTCTCTTCTGATTTTCAGTATCCCATTCGCGTTGATGTAAGCCCGAAAGTTGATCTTGAACCCTGCTTTTGTACCAGGGCAGTGTGCTTGATGTTGAAGTTTGACATCAATGTTCACATCATCAGGTTCTAACTTGCTTCTCCAAGCATTGCTTCCCTTTGAGCTTTATGTTCAATGTTGATTTTCTATAAGTTATCTCGTGAATTAATGCTGAGCCTTTTTGCCGGTTAAGGATTTGCAGCCATTCCGTCAAATCGCACCTTTATTCTGAATGCGGTATGACGAAAGTCTCAAACAGGTAAACCCAAGATTTCTACATCATCTTCACGAAGACAATCTTCTATTTAAATCGGCCCTTCGTAACATTTTTCGAGAATTCGATGGAAGTGTCGATTTAACAGATGTCAGTTTTATATAATCTTGCGCCAGGACGTTGGCATTTCCTTGGCAAGCAAGCTACTTCGATAGCCGTGAAAAGTTGGCAATTGTCAACTTCTCTGATAATGAGTTAGGATGCATAAGTGCAGATGAGAAGCTAGACAGGGGCTAAAGGATGATCTTTCATCGTTGTACATCATCGTAAGCGCAATTTCTGAACTTCTATTCTTCATAACATTGTATTCAACGATTAGGCAAGGGACTGCTGCAGCATCGTATTCTTCTTCCAATTCAAGTTCTTTCCAAGAATAAAATATACTTAATATGGAAGGATTGATTTGTTTGGGCTCAGTTGAGTTTCTGTAATGTGGAATGTACAAGTTGTTTGCTTTTACTCAATGAATCTTCCATTGCAATAGATAAATGAATCATGACTGGTCGCTAAATCAAATGACCTTCCAATTCAAGACCTAGCTTAGAAAATCGTAAATAATCTTCCGTCTTACCATTTATTCACGCTATTATAAAAGCAGAAATTCATTTATTGCAACGAAACCCATAAAACATCCTCTTAAAAATTCTACCATACCAAACACAGAATCTCAAAATTTACCACCAGCTGGAAAACAATAAAATATAGTCTCCACGCCCTCAAATTATATTTCACCCAACATCAAAACTCTGGTGGTTCTGCATCACCGCTGAAACCATCTACACCTTGATCGCGCTCACGAAAACTTCAACGATTGCAACTCGTCACCATGTCAGAAAACGAAAGATTCGCCCCTGGAACCCAGGTTTTGGCGTATCACGGTCCTCTTGTCTACGAGGCAAAGGTCTTGAAGTTTCGGGAGAGAGGGAAGCTTTTTGTGGAAGTTGGAGAAGGACAAAGTGAACCTTTGGATCAGAACAAGATCCCTTTGTTCCTTCAAGACGGCGATGCTTACTTCCTACATTACAAAGGATGGAGTACTAAGTGGGACGAATGGGTCTCCAATCAACGGGTGATGGAATTCAACGACGACAACTTGGGTTTGTCGAGAGAACTACGAAATGCTCGCAAACGAGCTATTGAACGTTTGGATCCTTCCAAGGAGAAAAAACAAACGGTGAAAGAGGAACCGAAAGAGAAGAAAAGGAAGAAACTGCCATCTGCTGCGCCGCTGCTGGCAGCATCCAACGGAACCGTGGAATCAAGGCCGTCTACCAACGGCTATGTAAGAAAAAAGCTAAAGCAGGAACCCAAGGGCCCTTCTTACGAGATAATGATGCCCTTGCGGCCAAAACTAAAATGCATGCTCGTGGACGACTGGGAGTTCATGACCAAGGACCACAAACTTATAGACTTGGACACGGCGGTGCCGGTGAGGAAGATACTACAAGACTTTTACGAACATCAGAAAGAGAAAGTCAGCAAAGAGATGCTCAGGACCGTCAAGGAGGCCATCGATGGTCTTGCGGTTTATTTCGACAAGCTGCTCCGGTTCAACTTGCTATACCGTTTTGAGAGGCTCCAATACAGCCAGCATCTAGAAAAGAACCAGGACCTAAACGCCACAGACCTTTATGGAGTGGAGCACCTACTTCGACTTCTTGTCACCCTTCCGGCCCAAATCGGCCAGACCAGCATGAACAGCATCACCGTGAACACCCTCATGGCGCAAATGAGGGACTTGAGCATATTTATCGATGACAACATCAGCACTTATGCCAGCGCATACATCAACTCAAGCCCGTCGTACGACCGGCTTGCTAGAGGCGCCTAGACAATTGGCTACGGAGCATTATCGTAAATCATTTTATTCATCGGCACATAAAACATAAAATCGTAGGAAAGCGTCATAGAATCAGAGAAGCGGGATTACAAGGGAATGGCCTTGTAGTCAACCTCGACCATTGGGGTCTCGTTGTTGCACTTGACCTCCAACTCCAATTTCCAGTGTCTGTCGTACATGTCTTCCTCCTCCTCGGTGAAACCGTGGTGGCCTTCGTCCTTGAACTTCCAGACAATGTTCCTTGGCAGTTCCTCCATGGTGGCCTTGCCAAAGTCCATTTGGAAACCAGAGCACTTTTCCATTTCAGTCATCAAATGGCGCTTGATGTGGTGCTGCAAGTTGCGTCTAAACTTTCTTGAGTTCTTGTTCATGGTGGGCTTTATCTTCTCCATGTTGCCCTTGATCTCCTTCATGATGAATGGAGGGTAGTACTGTAAATGAGCGTGGCAGTAGTCAAAGTCGTTATCCCATGTTTCGTCACGGATGTACGACTCAAAGGCTACAAGGTCTTCAAAGTCTTTTCTTGGTGGGGGTTTCAAGATCTCCTTCATGGAGCCGTCCTCACTCTCAATCGAGGTGATGGACAGCGATCTGGACTTGGGAACCGGCTTGAGGTGCTCAAGCTTCTCGAGCTTGTCAAAGTCCAATTCGAGCACCTGGTTCTTCTTAGATTTGACCATGATCGTGGGGGTGGCGGTTAGAAGGCGGTAGTGGGTTTCTTCGTATCAAAGCGTAAATTCCAGAAATGATATACCTAGCTTGCTAGATATGAGATGTCTGGAGAGATGGGTGGAGAAGGAAAAGGCAGCCAAAAGGCCGTCCTTATATAGTGCAGGCGGCGGGTCAAATCGGGGTATAGGGAGATAGAGGCCCAGAGGCCATGCGCCAGTCACTCCACCAACTCCACATTCCAGGTGCCGAACAACGAAAAAGAAATACGGGGGTTCCCAAAAAGTCGAATTTTCGAATCACCGCTGGTGTGAGTCAGAGGAATTGAGTTTACCGGTTTTGCAAATTTTGCAAAAAGTCCAAAACTCGTTGGTTTGGCTTTCTCAGTGGTGGAAGAGACCCAGCTGGATTTCGCAGCCAGTGAGTCTGCGGCTGCATCGATTTGCACCCAACCGAGACACCAAACGGTCTCACCAAAGGCCCAATTCTCCTACACGAACGGCTGTTTTTGGCCCCGGGCCCGCATGAAGGAAAAGCGTAAACCGGCAGCGTTGAAAAATCGAAAAAACTTTTGGTGTTCTTTTTTTTTTTTCAAGTGGGTGTTTTGTTCGGGCCAGTCTGGTGATGGTGTCACGCACCTGCACTGGTGGAGCCAGGGCAGAATGGGGAACCTGCCTGGGGAGTCCGAAAAGCTGGGGATGCTGCGATAGGCTGGGCATGAGACCCAGCGATTGGGTGATTTTTGGCATTTCCCGAATTCTTCCGTTTGGCGTTTCAGCATTTTTGGAATTTCTTCGAACCGTCTCGTTTATTCGTTTACGTCTCGTGAGCCCATACTGTGCTGGGTCTAGGGTAGTGGTGAGAACTGTGGAGAACGAGGGGACTGGACTTCTTGTGGGGCCACCCCTAGAGAATCGGCCTAGGTACCGGCCTGGTGCCCGGTCTATCGGCAGATGGGGGAGACCATTGTGTGATACAGAGGCTTGTGATGAAAAATGGCAAGAAGCATCGGGTTAGCCTCAGGGTGGATTTTCAGTTTTCTTGGGACTTGACCGGATTTTTATTATTCATTCAAAACAGCATGGAAGGTGGACGGCTCTAGACTTATGGACCATGAGCGGAGTGTGATCTTGGCCTGAGAGGAGAGACGACATTTAGTTCTCCACCCCAGCCCCTATTCCAAAGCAGACAATAAAGGGGAATCCAGGCGGCGTGGTACCTGTGTGGATCGTCGTAAAACGGGTCTCTGTCTTCGCTGCATGGGCTTGCTGGAGCCGTATGCATGGAATGGCTGCAAAATGGGAATTCAGTGGCAGGATGATGATCCCAAAAGCCCAGAAGATGCCTGGGATAGATAAGCCGAAAAAGGAGATAATTCACGAGGGGAAGTGGATGCCGTAGAGGCTCATCTCTGATATTTGATGGCAGGTATCTGGCCCTCGGCACGACAGCTAACGGTGTATTGTGAGGCCGTTGAATTTGACATGAGGGTTGAATACGGATATGTCAAGCTGCAAATTATGGCACTGTGAAAGTTTGTTTGAAGTGATAGCCCTAGTGACTGTAACTGACATGTGCTTTGTTGGTACATTGATAAGCAGTACACTGTTGCAGCCAAACCACAGTGCCAATACCCACACCACTCACAGCACATCGACAACCATAAAGTTTTCCAAAACAGTCATCACCAGAAGTCAAAGAATGCCATCTTCTAGAAAAACAAAAACCCCAAGAAAATGAAAAGAACGTATCACTCAACCATCACCCTCTAACACCCCAAGCGTGCGCGATCTGAATCACCATCAAGCGTGCGAAAAACTCATCTCTTCAACAACTCTCCATGTTCGGTGTCTACAATGGGCCCGGCGAGCCCGATAAGCCGCTAGAGATGATGACTCAGGAGGAACAGGCCGAGGTGGGCGCTAGGAAGATGATCGAGTTCATGCAATCTTGCCCGGGCAAATCCATCATGTCTGGTGTCACTGGTTTTGGTCTCGGTGGTGTCTTGGGTATATTCATGGCTTCTTTGGCCCACGACTCCCCAACGGCGCCTGGTAACATCAACCACTTGCCGCTCAAGCAGCAGATGAAAGTCATGGTCACAGATGCCGGTTCTAGAGCATGGTCCTCGGCTAAAAACTTCGGATACATTGGTGGCATCTACGCCGGCGTCGAGTGCTGTATCGAGAGCTTGAGAGCCAAACACGACCTCTATAACGGTGCCGCTGCTGGATGTGTCACTGGCGCTGGTCTTTCCATCAAGGCAGGCCCCAGGCTGCATTCATTGGTTGCGCTGGTTTCGCTGCATTCTCCACCGCCATCGAGCTCTATATGATGTCCGACTCCGCTGCTCCCCCTATGAACGACTACGACGACTGAGTCTCTTGTAAATATCCCTGTAAATTAGACACTAATGTACACTTGCGCTAGCACCAGTAGTAGCAGTATTCGTAAGACATGTGGCCGAGCCAGAAAGACACGGCGCCGAATGTGAAAAGAAGCGCTGCGCCAGCCGCTATTTTTTTCTGGTTATTGTTCGTTGTTTCTGCCGGCCGAAGATGCTGTAGCCGCTCGAGCTCCTCCAATATGCTCGCCTCTCTCAGCTCCTCTATTAGCTTGTCCAAATCCTGCTCGATCGCTCGGAGCTTGCTTTCAATTTTCTTATCCACGAGCTCATTACCGCAGTTGCTCCGTAGCTCCTCGATCTTTGCTTCTATAGTGTTCAATGCCGCTTGAGACCCAGTAGGTACTAGAGCTGTTTCCTCCACGCTGGGCCTCCTCCTCCACAATGGTAGTCTGGGCGGCGTAGGAGGCAGTTCTGGCTCCTTTATTCGATTTTCACTGTAGCCAGAGAAAAAGCGACGCCGTATGGGGGGATCTGAAACAATTCGGACTGGTTCATGCTTCACTATGGTGTCACTGGAGTCATCCTCCTTAACTGATGGCAGAGGCTTGTAGGGTAGGGGAAGTGGCTCGCCTAGCTGTGCCCAGAGATCACTATTTTTATGTTTTCTGTTCATAGAACAATTATGTAACGAATGACTGGAGTTGGATCTGATTGTTTATTTTGTTGATACTCGCGCATGGTGTTTTATGTGTATCGCTGTGGACAGGAACTACGGTTTGGGTGCAAATCATACTCAAATGTTCATTTATTATTTGCGGGCACGCAGCCTGAACTTGTCCATGAATCTGAAGATCAAGTAGGTCGTGCAGCCTATGAAACGGAAGAGAGCCATGAAGGCCACCGTCCAAAGAATCACTGTGAGGAAAACTCTAGATCTATCGTTCTTATTCACATCTGTTTCACTGTCGGAGTTGAACTGATTGAATCCACCGGTTTCTAGAACGATGGCCACAATGACAAAGTTGGAGATCATCCAGATCAAAACTGTCATGGATCTCACAAATGCATAATAGTCCTCGTTGGAGCCCTTGTAGTTACCTTCATCAGCTTCTATTGGCTTCTTGATCTTCTCAAGCTGGTTCAAATATGATTGGTTGATCTCTTCTTTAAGAACAGGGATATTGACGTCAAAAGTACCATCCTCTCTGACCTTAGCAGCACCCAAATCGCTGGCACCTGTGTCACCTTTTGTACCCAAGAGATATCGTCAATGTTACAAAACGCGTAGATATTCAACACATTAATGTAGGAGGGTGAAAGCAAAATGTACTGGACGAACGATGTGAACATGTGCCATGGTTCGAAGTACATGAATGATGCAATAAAGTACAATGCATAAGTCGACGCAGTAGCGACAACCAAGTCTCTGAATTGTGAGTTTTTGAAGAAAAGCGACACCGAAACTCCACTATTGTCCTGATAAATTTGTGTAATGGCGTTGACGGCCATGAATATAGCTGCGAAAATCATGTATGCCATAAGAATGGCAAAGAAAACCACGATGACAATGTAGAATTTCTCAGTTCCCTTCGGTTTATTACCAAAACTCAACACGAATGTGGTCACGATGGATGCAAGATATAACCATAGAAAGATCACAGATAAAACGTTACCAGGAGCAAAATTAAGACTATCGTCTGATAGCGATGTGGTCAAGATACGGAAAACCAAAAAGTAGGAGCCAATGGAAAACCACGAGACAATAAGATTAATGAGCTGATAGAAAAACTCAACATGGAACATGAGTTTCTTTCCGATACTATGCAGCGAGTGCCAAATCTTGTAGAAATGGGCAAGGGAGTAAATGGCGGCGAAGAAAGAACCATTAAGCCATCTTCTTCTCTGCAAGATAAATTCGGCAAGGCCTTCAGGAACATCGGTTTCAGCACTGGCGGATTTACAGTACCGCAAGACCCAAGAACAGCCTGGTTTAGCAACGAGCTCATAACAAAGAATTCTATCTTCGGCAAGATACATGTTGGAGGTGAAGATACCGGCCTCCTCCTTCAACATCTTAGTCTTAAGCTGATACTCGTCATCATTTGGATCAAGCTCACCACTTCCGTGCAAAAACTCACCCTTGAAGTACTTTTCTAACGGACCCTTTCCGTTGATGTCATTTTGTAAGGCGACGTATCTGTAAGCCGAGAAAGCACCAGGTAAGACCGAAATGAAACCAAAGACAGATTCAGTGGGCTTATCGAGAATATTGGAGATTTTGTACTCGAAGTTCTGGCCGTAAACAATTGGGTTGGTAAGGACTTGTCTCTTCTTCAAAGAAGCTTTGATTTCACCACAGGTACCGGCCACACGAGGGTCTTTATCGAACTCTTTCCATAGGTGGTACAAGGATTTACCAGAGGGCTGGGTACCACAGTCGAGCAAGACGACGATATTTGGATCGAGAACCTGTGAGAGCGCCTCGAAACACCAACGATGACTGTTGATCTTCTTAGCATTATTTTCCTTCAAACAGAAAAGCATCTGCACCGGCACAACCTTCTCGGTCGTCAATTTGACGGTATCTTCGACTGACGAGATACCTACACGAGTGGTGTACTCGTAGATATGGCCCTGGACCTTCTTATCGTCAATTCTGGATTTGGCCAATCCCTCCTGGTAGACACCAAGAGCAGCCAAAAGGGCCTGAGCACGCTCGTTAATCTTCGAACGGCCATCACTGACCACACAAACCACGACCTTCTTCCACGAGTCCTTTCCCCACACTGGAGACCGCGATCTTGACTCCAAATGCTTGATATTCTTGAACACACCCTTGAGAGTACGCGCAAGAAGAATGTCATCTTCGTTATACATGGTGATAACGACCATCAACTCGGTCTGACGCCTCACAGGATAATGGATAGGACGCAAGATGTAGCCGTCTCTCCAGAAGTTCGAAGGTCCACATGTCACGGCGGTGTATCTCATGTAGGAGAACTCTCTACTTAGGCCACCGTCTTGCAAACTGGGATCATAGTCGGGAAACTTGGTAAGAAGCTCTGTGGCCACAGGACAGTCCAAAACCAAGTGACCGTTGTGACCTGTGGCTATACCGAGTTTGGGCTTTTCACGGACCTCTTCCTGCTCAGGCGGCTCGGGAAACTCTTCGCCGGTTTCAGCAAAAGGCAGCTGCATCTCCTGGTCGTAGATAGTCTGGCCATCTTGTTCGGAATCGGAGTCGGCCACGTGCACGGTCTGTAAGTCCAAATCTTCACCTTCAAACCTGTTGAACTCGATCTCTCTGTCGAATTGATGCTCCTCCTCGTCATCATAAGCATGAGGCACGAACGCCTGGGAGAAATTGAACCCCGAAGCCGCTGGATCGTACGCGGTGGGCTGGTATGGCTGAGGGTAGGCCCCCATTTCAAAGTCATTGTCTCTAAAAGGATCGTTGGACGGTAGAGGCTCTCTTGGAGGAGGTGGAGGAGGCACATGCAGCGTGTTGAACATGGCCAGGGGTCTTTCGTCCTCGTAGTAGTCTAAGAAATTGTCATTAGACTGATGCATCTGACTGCTGTAGACGCGCTGGGGCTGTTGGAAATTGATGCTATCGACGGCATCGTTGGAGTAGTTGTAGACACCGCCAGTCTGGGGATACCTGAGGTACCTCAGTTCTTCGTCGTCTTCCCTATATGGCATGGACGAGAAGGAAGTAGGTTAGTCGCGAGAAGGGAAATATAAGACAATACGACTAAAGCTGGGCTGCTTCTGTGTAGGAGGCGATATGGGGAGTGGCAGATGGAAGGTTATATAGTTTCGGGTTGTGGGGCACACTTGAGGGGCTCTTGAAACGTCAGAATTGGTGTAATTTTTTAAACAGCGCTGGTGCTGTCTGTACGGCTGCGTCTTGTTTCCTGATTCAGCTAATTCGCGGTTTATGCCAATAAGTGCCTTGGAGGTGGATGCTCGAGGGTCAAGAAAAAAAAAAAGTGGAATGGGAGGTTTGAAAAAGGTTTTCTCGCTTTTTTACTTTTTTTCGACATCCACAATGGACTCCTCCGCCGGCGATTCGGTGATACCTGTGGATCGGCTATAGGCACTATAAATAGCCCAAACATCGCTCCTACACCGCATGCCGAGCCCTGGCATAGCCCTGACCGTTGGCAATGCACCGATCACCAGTCACGGCGAGCAATTGGAGGAGAAGGTAAAAAATAGAAAATGAAGAAAATTTGAATGACCCTGAAACTCGGTTTTTGCAATTTGTGGCATCTGCCCCGCGAGCCCTAACGGCGTTATCAACATGGCTTTGTGTAACTAGATCCATCGCACCTACTCACTCGCTTAGACCACACAGAAGGATCATCTTATCTCCTGCACTATGACACGGTTCCCCTGCTCCAGCAGATTTACCGGCTTTCTCAAAGACTTGCCTAAATGCGAGCATCATCTCCATATTGAAGGCACCTTGGAGCCGGCGTTGCTTTTTGCCTTGGCTGCAAGAAACAACATTGAATTGCCTGAGTGGTTTCCCCAGACCGTGGAGGCATGCAACAAGCGATACTCCGAATTCGCTGATTTGCAGGATTTCTTGAACCACTACTACGTGGGCATGGGCGTGCTTATCCACGAAGAGGATTTTTACGACTTAGCCATGGCATACTTTGAACATGCTCATCGTGACGGATGTCTCCACTCCGAGGTGTTCTTTGATCCTCAAGGTCACGTTGAAAGAGGCATTTCTGTGGATAAAGTTGTGAACGGCTTACACAGGGCCTGCAAGGATGCTGCTGCTAAATTTGGCACAACCCAGATGTTGATAATGTGTCTCTTGAGACACTTGCCTTCGCTGCTGGGCATGGAGACCTTGGCATCTGCTGAGAAGTACTATGAGAGCGGCGTTATTTCCGGCTTGGGCTTGGACTCTGCAGAAAAGCCGTTTCCACCTGAGTTGTTTGAAGAGTGCTACACCTCGTTGAAGGAGAAGTTCCCAGAGGTGCGTTTAACAGCCCATGCTGGCGAAGAGGGTGACCACACCTACGTCACTAAGGCATTAGATGTACTCAAGGTGAGCCGTGTTGACCATGGTGTGAACTCAAAGCAGTCGGAAGCGCTTATGGACCGGTTGGTTAAGAATGACACTCTTTTGACCATGTGCCCTTTGTCGAACGTGAAGTTGCAGGTCGTCAAAGACGTGGACGAGTTGCCATACCGTGAGTTCTTCGATAAAGGAATTTCGTTCTCGATCAATTCGGATGATCCAGCCTATTTCGGTGGATACATCTTGGACAACTATGTTGCCGTTCAGACCCGATTTGGCTTTTCGGTGAAAGAGTGGTGCACAATTGTGCTCAACGGTATTAACGGATCGTGGTGTGGTGAAAAAAGGAAGCAGGAGTTGAGGGAGATTCTCGATGATGTCTACGGAAAGTACAAGGATGTTTTGTAGACTGACAAGGTATGGCTTGGAGTGATATGATAGGAGAATTTATAGACATATGGGAAGCTGTGATTAGAATTTGTAGATTGCTTGAGGGAGAGTCTGATGTCAAAGCTTATTTACTGAAACTTAATTTGAACAGTCGCTTAGAGGTGTACGGCGATATTTAGCCAAACCAGAGCTCATGAGCAAAGAAGCTGTCAGCTTCACAGAAACGTAAGAGTAGCTCATCACCAAATCCATTGGCTTATTATAAAAGACTCTAAATATGAGTTTCTTCGTTGTTCAGTTTAAAACTTTGAGAGCCGATATCTCGCGATTCGCGGAAGTTACGGCCATTTAAAAACCACGGGAGCATACTTGAACTTCTAAATAAAACTTGCATTCTAAAGACGGGCTTTTCCATTCATAGCAGCACAATTTTGTACCACAATATATTTTACCAGTACTCTCTTCATGTATAAAGTGGCTCTGTGGCCGAGCGGTCTAAGGCGGCAGACTCAAGTTCTGTTATCGTAAGATGCGCGTGTTCGAATCACGCCGGAGTCATTATTTTTGGCATTTTAGCATCTTTGCTGCTAGACCATGGAGCAGGGCATCATGCATCGATCAGGAACTCAGCAATTCGCTTATGTGAGTGACTGTGTAGCAATAATCTACTGTGGATGCGAACTCAATGGGTGCAAAATCCACAAATCACCGAGGATTCGGGCCATTGATCAAACCGCCACTATCAATTGGAAATTGACGTTATCAAATTTTTTCAACGCATTTACTTTTTTCGTAAAAAATTGCCTCCCTTTGCCACACTCGGGTAGCAACAACTGGGAGCAAGCAGCTTACGTGCATGATCCCACAGTAGGCTATAAAGAGGTGACTTGTAGGCAGAAAAAATATCACCACGAATTACACAATATGGCCAGATCTATCAACCCAATTATCATCATCGTTGCAATTGTCACCATTCTCCTTGTCATTTTCAGAACTCCATCTGGTAAGGACAAGGCTGTTGACACTTATGCTGCTGTGACTGACACAGTCTCTGACGCATGGAACAACAACTACATCTTGTCTTTCGAGCCTACCAAGAAGGCTAAGAGCACCGAGGAGGCCGAGAAGCTCAAGGCTGACTTGGACCAGGCTGTCGAGGATTACAGAAACTACTTGGAGAAGGACTTGGGCTCCAAGGTTAAGCACACCTACGACTCCACTATCCACGGTTTGAGCGTCCAGGTTGACGAAACCCAGCAGCTCTTGAAGGCTTTGGGCAAGAAGGCTGTCGGCAAGGCCAACAAGCACGAGACCATCTTGACCGACAAGCTCTACGAGCTCTTCTACAAGTTGAAGGGCGATGACCTCAAGAGATTGGGCATCAAGATCAAGTTGGAGAAGGACAAGTTGGTCCATGCCCAGACCTAAGCCCGTCTCAGGCGGCGCCCCACGCTTCTATAGCTAATAAAATTTGAATTCACTTGCATAGCCATTGACCCGTCAACGGTCTATGATATATAGTCTCCAGTATAAACCTAGAGCTCCACCTCCTCCACATCGTGGATCTCCTCCACGCCTTCGATGGCACCGAACGTGTTCTCGCCCGAGTACAAGACGTACAAGAAGCCGTCCTCGTCCTTGTGCTCCTCGTAGACCGTACTCATCAAGGCTGCTGTGGGTGGCAAGATGTCATTGACAAAGATAAAAATGGCCTTTTCCGAGGGCAACTTGATTCTCTTTCTAATCACGTACACGAATTGCCCGACGGTCAAGTCTCCAGGCACAAGGTACTTTCTCTTGTCGATTTCCTGGATATCCGAGTTCTCTACCTTCTCGCAAATGACTGGGAGTCTATCCTTGAACCTCTGGAGGATTCTGGTCGACTCGGACTTTCTTTTTTCAAACGAGTTCTCGTCTTTGAACTGCGATCTCATTGGTGGTATGTTTTGGTGATTTCTGTAGATGTGGTGTGTTTACTGCGATAGGGATCCTTTTATCTTATCGTCACCCTTGTGGGGCGCTATGACAGGCAGGACTGCCTGGGGTCGTGTCCTACCCACGAGGTTGCGAAAACGGTCCCACACATGGCCTGTGGAAGTGTAAACAAAGCGTGTTTGTGGAGAGAATTTGGAGAATTATTGGGTTGGAGTGTGGGTTTTGGTGGTGGTAGGTTGGGAATGTCTGAAGCAAAGGAAAAGGCGACGCTTTGCTAGCGGAGCTGGATTACGTAATCTGGGAAGTGTGGCAGGTGTTACCATGACCGTATTAGTCACGGTGGCGACCAAAGGCGAGGCGTAGTAGGACATGATTAGGAATGAGAATGATTTTGAAGAATGGAGTTTTGCTCGGATCCTGGTGCATTCAGCTCAGTAGGTAGGCTCAGTTTGCAGCCATTGGTTGCAAGCAGTACCGCAGCTGGTCAAAATGGACCACGACCTATGTCAGGGTTTTTGATGATTTGATGATTCATTTTGGAAATATTTGTTTCGGTTTGAGCTTATCTGTCGCATTTTGCAATGAAAGCCTATTTCGGAACCTGCGGTAGAGGTTGCTGTGGGCACTTGCGGGTGAGCAATGTCTCACTGGTGGTTATGGCAATTAGAATCTGGCAGCTGGCTTCAGCGTTTAGTTTGAGAATTGAACCGTCAGATTTCTTCTGTTTTGCTAAAAGGGAGAAAGTAAAAAGTGCTGTTGCACTCACGTCCGTCGGCCATAATTTCTAGAACTTTAGTTACTACAAGTCGAGTAGACTGGTGCAATAACGACTTTGCAGCCAAGAGAGAAACCAATCAGATTCAAGCAGACAGTTTCAGTCACTTAGCCTCGAAAAGCCTAGTAGTTGTTAAATCAAGTTCCGAAAGCTATTTGGCTTTCTTGTCCCCTCGGTGTAAATGGTAGTCAAAGCACCACTCCAAAATGATTATACTCCAAACACCCAGAATAGCAGTAGTTTCTTCAAATATTTTATAATCAATTCCTCAGAACCGAAACTTCCCTCTTTCACCACAGGTATCCTACATCGACTACCCTCCGACGTTGTGCTATTGTTGCAAATTCCTGCACTAGCAACGAAGAACGATCTCAATAGACTAGACATGCTTCTAAGACGGTTACTGACCTGGAAGCCCCAGCAAGGCTATTCCTTCAAATGTGGGCTTGAGATTCACACTCAGCTAAAAACAAAGTTCAAGCTTTTTTCGCTTTCCAAGAACGATCCAGATTCCCTCCAAACACCAATGCTAGTTACTTCGACTATGGCCTTCCAGGAACGTTTCCCCAATTGAACCCAGAGGCTTTGCTTTTAGCACTTAAGGCTGCCACTGCATTGAACTCCAATATCAGTGAATTGTGTCATTTTGACCGTAAACACTACTTCTACCTCGATCAACCAATGGGGTACCAGTTGACACAGCATCATCGGCCATTGGCCAAAGGTGGGCAATTGCACTTGACCAAGAAGTACGATAATGTCAGTGAAGACCACACTATACGAATTGACCAGATTCAGCTTGAGCAAGACACTGGAAAGTTGAACTACAACGAGTACGATGAAGCAATCACTGTGGACCTTAATAGAGCAAACGTGCCACTTATCGAGCTAGTCACTGAGCCTGACTTTAAGAATATTGAGCAGGTGAAATCATTCGTTAGAAAGTACTTGACCTTGATGTCTCACTTGGGAGTCTGCTCTGGAGATATGGAGAAGGGCGCCATGAGATGCGATGTGAATATATCTGTCAACGGAGGAAAGAGAGTGGAAGTCAAGAATTTGGGTTCTACTTCTGAAATTGTGGCTGCGGCTACCTATGAGTACAATAGACAAGTGGAGCATTTGAAGACGTCGGACGAGCCCATCATTCAGGAAACCAGGGCCTGGGACGGTAAAGCCACTCACAGAAGAAGAGACAAGGAAGATGCAAACGACTACAGATACATGCCCGATACAGAGATTCCTGGCATTTTCCTCTCCCCTCAGATTGGTGAAGAGATTCGAGCAATTCTTCCAGAATTGCCAGAGGAAATCTTGGACAAGCTTACCACTGAGCCATACTGTCTTGAAATCAAGCATGCTCGTTTCCTTGTTGACAATGTGGATATCCTCAAGTACTACCTTGACTTGTATGAGTACGGATGCATTGGAGCCATGCTTGACATCAAGACAGTCAACAACTGGCTCCTCCACGAATTGTTAGGTGCATTCCACAAGTTGGAAGTTCCTTTCGACCGCACAGCCATCAGTCCCAGAAGCTTGACTGAATTGATGGTCATGGTAAAGAAGGAGGAGATCACATTTTCCTCGGCTAAGCTTTTGTTGTTACAGCTTTTACAGTTAGAGCCTAAGGAAAGGAGTCTTCCAATGCAAGAGTTGGTTGACAAGTACGATTTGGGCTCTGCCAACAGCGCCTCCACTAAAGATTTGGATGAGGCCATTACTGAGATCTGTCAAGATATCATCTCTTCTAATCCAGACGTGGTTGAAAGGATACAGAACGGAAAAGCCAACTCCATTAATCACCTTATTGGTCTCGCCATGAGACAGACTCAGGGAAAGGTCAATTCAAAAGAGTTTGAGAGAGTGTTCAAAAATCTTATCAATTAAAGGTAAATTTACTTGGGGACGACATGAAACTCAAAATTGATATCGGTCTCACCACTGATCTGGTCTTCGATATCGGATGACAGGTGATCTCCAGGTGTGAGGGTATAAGTCACACCAATGTCGCTTTCTTTAATCAACGTGTCAGGCAGATCTAAGGACTGTTCTGCTTCACCGAAAACAAGCTCCTTATAGTCGGTCAATTCGTGCATGGTGGCCATCGTTCCTTCGGTTTGAACAGTGTCCCGAGTGAGGTGTTTGTTTTCTGTGAACTCTGTGGAGATGACAGGATCGTCACTGTTACTGCCCTTTGAGATTTTCTTGAATCCAATGAAGCGAAGGAAGCGGCGGTACATTGAGAGTGCGTCGGTTCCCAAGCCAAAAAGGATGAAGGTGCAGAATGCAAGACAAATGTTGATAATCGGTGACGCAAGCTGTGAGGTTCCATAATCGAAGGCGTATATCGTGCCCCAGTACTCGTTGTGAATCTCCTTCAAGTTGAACGTCAGGACACCGAAAGTGTCAGCAGCATTGACAAAGTTGTAGATGGCGAAGGGTACCAAAACGAAGATGATGAGCAAGCTGAATATCACCAAACGTGCAAATCTTCGTTGGTTGAGGCCAGAGCCTGTGCATCTCAAAATGTCTTTGATATCTCTCCGCTTCTTAAGGTATGTGATCAAGGTCAACAAGGCAAATACAAGAGCAACCACGGACCACACGAGATTCCAGATCTGCACCAAGATAAGTGTCAAGTATGAGTATGCATAAGCAGCAAGACAGCCACGGTATCTGAAGATGACATAACGGGTAGCTTGAACGATAATAGAAGTGCTCATGACGAAGATTGGAGTGATCCAGCACATGGCAATATTAGTCAAAGGGCGTCTTTTCGATTTGGGGTTCAAGAACTTGTGGTTTTCAGCACGAATGATCATGAACAAGTTGAACATGACGGTAGCAATACAACACAACTTTCCCGAGGAAGCCCCACTGGTGAGTCTGACAGTAACATCACAGTAGCCTGGCGCAGTAGTTACCACATCAAAATCTTCACCACTCCAGATTAATGCATTAACAAAAGCAATAAGATTCTCATAGCAGAGCCAAAAAATCAAGCTGCATGCTGGAATATTCTTTTGTCTGTGGTGGTAGAAAAATGGAGGTATCAAGAGCACAAAGGCTATGAAGGAGAAGGCAGCGATACACAGACCTTGAGCGTCAAGTGCCATTTTTCTATACCTTTTGAGATTTGAGACTTACCGGCAATCTCATCACATTTATATTACTTGCATTGCATTAGTTTGCTTGGATTATTTTTCGTCGTCCATCTCAGTTGTTTGAGATGTGCCATTGAAGGCCCAATATAGTAACTACATACTCAGATACGAGAGAAATATTTTTCGGGAAATGCACATTCCAGGAGAAAAGCAGGACAGAAGTTGTGAAAATTTGTAGCAGTTGAGTCTTGTCTATCCGATTCGGCAACCAATGGCAAGCTTGGAACTTTTCTATAGCGACCTCAAGGCAGTAAATGAAACATCAACTTATTGATATTTTCTGGGGACAGACTAAATTTCTTGAAATTTTTGACTTATGTGCAAATTATGGTAGAATTTGGGAATAGTCAACGTTTCCGCAAGATCAATCTCTACCATCGTGTTATAGCCTCACAGTATGTGCACCCGACTACAGATACCTCTCTTATTCTTAAATTATAGTATATGAATCCCCCATGTTTTTCTCTTTTTCATATGTATATGACAGTTATGCAATGACAGACTTCAAGATCTCGTGGGAAGCGATCACAGAAGCGTACTTCTGGTTCAAGAACTTCAACAAGTCAATCACCTTCTGCTTGATCTCTTCGGTCTGGAACTGCTTCATTCTGTCGAGGTACTCCTCTCTGCCCAAAGTGGACTCAGCAATCAACTTGAGTCTCTCGGCCTCCTTCTGGAAGATTTCGGCAAAGATCTGGATCACTCTCTCGGACTGAGAAGCAATCATCTCGTTACCGCTCTCGTACAAGCTGATGATCCACTTCAAGATTGGAACGTTCTCCTCGGGAGCAGACTGCAAAGGCAAGTGGTTAAGGAGAGCTGGCAACACGTGCTCAAGTGGGATAGCAGCCTGGTTCTTCAAAGCCATTCTAGCAACACATCCACAAGCGTTGGCGTTGGCTCTGTTGACCACATCCTTGGTCTCCTGGTCGTCAACCTGGCCCTCCTTGTCAGATCTGCTCAACAAGTGGAACATCATCTGCAAGATTTGCTGGTATTGAGCAGAGAAGTCAACCTGGCAGAACTCAATGATGACACCGACACCGTAGGCGGCGTTACCCTTGACCTCCAAGGACTTGTCATTGGCTAATCTATCGCTGAACACCTGCATCAACTCTTGGGCGTATGGGTTGGAGTCCTTCAAACCGACGGAAATTTCGGCCAAAGCACCAATGGAGCTGACTCTCTTACCCTTGGACTTGGAAGTGACGTTGGAGAGGATAACACCCTTGAAGGTCTCGAAAACCTTAACAAAGTCAGGACCCAATTTCATAGAAAGCAAGATCAACACTTCCAAGGCAGATTCGAACATCATGGCCTCGGTCTCGGAAGCATCCTCGCCCTCCTCGACTGGCTCCTCGTCGTCAATCTGAGATGGGTGCTCCTTCTTCAAAAGGTCCATCAAAGAACCACACAATCTCTCCAAAGAACCAGTATCAGAAGGACCGCTGGTGACAGCAATGGCACCGAAGGCGTTAAGAGCCTCACAGATGTTGTCCAAGTCACAACCAGCCAAGGTAACCTCGAACTCCGATTCCAAGTTGGTAACAGTGAGCTCTCTAGCCTGTTTGATCAAGTCCAAAATAGGACCGTCAATGTAAGGCTGCTGTGGGATACCAACTGGAGCCTTGAAGTTGTCACCGTAGGTGGCCTTGAACATGGCACGGACGATCTTCCAAAGAGCGTTCATGGCGGCTTCTCTCATACCGTAAGAAACCTCAATCTGCTCGGCCAAAGTGGTGATGGAGTCGTTGACGTACTTACCAAAAGCACTGCCGGTACCCATAGCCAATTCAGAAAGAGCAACAGAGGCGATCTCCTTCTCGATGGTGATACCGGTGTTGACCTTGAACTTGTCACCGAGGTTCTCCTCGTCATCGTCAAGGAGACCCTCCGCATCGCCCTCCTCGAGGTTGAATGAAAACTCCTCCTGGTTCAAGCACTTCAAGATCTGAGGAACAATGTTGTCCAAGAAACCAGCGAACTCAGAGCCGTAAACCTTGGCCATGTTGGTGATGAAAGCGAAACCAGACTCTCTGATTCTAGAGTGCTCAGAGTTGAGAGCAACGTAGGCAGCTTCAACCAAAGGCTTAGCGTAAGAGGAGAAAGACTCAGAACCGACGGCTCTGGCCATGGTGGAGATGTTCTCGAAGGTGAGAGCTCTCAACTCAATGTCCTGCTCGGACATACCCTCGGTATCACCAGCATTCTGAATGAAAGGCTCCAAAGTTTGAACGGACTGGTGGAAGTATGGGGTGAAACCTTTACCGGAAGCAAAAGCAGTGGAACCAATGGCAGAGACGATAGCAGCCTTCAAAGAAGAGGAGTTTGCCTCCTGCAACATGGAGAAGAACTTCTCCATCAATGGCTGGACGTACTCAGCAATAGCATCGTGGCCCATGAACTCGATGATACCATCCAAAGCGTAACAAGCGTGCTTGTAGGTCATAACGTGAGCGGCGTTGTTGATAATGTCCACGAGAAGAGGCAAGAACTCCTTGTGGTATTCGGCAATAGCGTCTTGCAACTCAGAAGACAACTGGGCCAAAGCTCTGGTGGCAGCAACCTTGACGACGATCTCGGGGTCCTGCAAGCCTCTAACGATAATAGGAACGAGCTTAGCGGCCTGGGCACCCAAGTAGTCTGGGGCACCGGAAGAAGCAACACCAATACACAAAAGACCGGCTCTTCTGGCGTACATGTCTTTGGAAGTGACCTGGGCCTCCAAGTTCTCGAAGAATGGGTTGATCACCTGAGATGGAGGCAACTCGCCAGACAAGATGGCCATCAAACGGAGGGCCAAGGTTGAAGGAATGTTTTCCTCGTTCTCGTTCTCCTCGTCCTCGTTGTTCAACTCATCGTCCACATCGATCTCCTCGGAAGCGATCTTGAGAGCGACAAGAGTGAGCGAAGGACCCAAGTTGTTGGACACAACCTTGGACTTTCTCATGGAAACCACGGAAATCAAGAATTGCATGGCCATACAACGGATGTCCTCGTCCAAGGACTGGTTGGTGGCAATCTCCACGACAAACTGGATAACTCCGACGATCTGGTCGCCCATCAACTTGTTGTCCAAGAAAATCAACGAGTTGAACACATTGAACACGTCCTTGGTCTGCTCGGCATCGTCGGCCTCGATGGTCTCTCTGAGCACCTGCACCATACCGGGGATGGAGTTCTTGAACTTGTTGGCAGTAGCGGTGTTAACCTCGGCGTCTTCCTCAATGTACTGGGAAAGCACCTCAAGCGACATGGTGGCGTTCACTCTGATGTCTCTAGGACCCTGTTGCTGCAACAAGTTGGCGAAAAGGGTCACAAAGTCGTCCAGGTATGGTCCAAGAGCTGGAATCTGGGTCTCCAAAAGAGTGTACAAGGTGTAGACGGCCATGTCCTTGGTCTGAGCGTCGCCGTCGTTGATACCGTTGATCAACGTGGACAACAAGTAAGGCCACAGGTTCTGCTCCAACTCAATCTCTCCGATAGCAGCAACAACACGGGCCGAAGAGTGTCTGATCAACTTGTTCAGCTGGGTGAAGGTGTTGCGCAAAAGAGCCTCCTTGATAGGATCCTTCAACGAGGCGTCCACAGCCTCCCATTTCGTCGAAATGAGCTTACGAGCCTCCACAGCAGCCAACTGCTTGACCTGGTCCTGCTCGGCATTCTGCAAGATGTGGAAAAGAGATGGTAAAGCCAATGGGTTCAGGTAGAAGTCCTTGGACAAGCGGGCCGTGGCCAGCTTGACGGTGGCTGGCGCAAAGGTCTGCTGGAGCGTCTCCTCCAACGCAGCAAGATATTGGGGGTCCATCTTGGAGAAGGTGTTGGTGGATCAAAAAAAATTGACCTCGCGATGGAGGTGTGCACGGACGCCGGCATCAGACTCGATGGGGTGAAGAAAAGGTGGGATATGGGTTTAGAATTTTTTTGGATGTTTTGAAATGTTTTGAGAGGTTTGGTTGGAAGGATTTCTATTTGTTTATTGGTTTTTGGGTGGGTTGGTGGGATGGTTGCCTGTCATGGAGGCGTGTCTATGTACTGATGGCTGCAACTTCTCGCAGGACATCCGATGGGGTCTATGTGTGGAAAGTGTAATTTACAATGAGGCACTTGCAAAGGGTTGTTTTTGAAAGTGCTTCAACTGGCCGTTGCAGTTTGGGAAAATTTTCGGTGCCGTGCTTTTGTGGCACCGATGGAGGTATGTGTGATGAGATCTCGATGAGCACGATGCATGGGAGCTTTCAAATCGGTCATTTCTTGGGTGGATGCATGAGCATTGTTGCTGATCAGGGTCCTCTGTAATCCAATCGTGACCACATTAATAACAGCCGTTCCAGGTAAACCTGCTTTTTGCATTGAAGACCCTCCCCCACTCAAACGCCCACCACTTACCCACCAAAGTCCACAGGCATCTCACGAATCTTAATTTTGTAGTACCGCTGCAAATCCTTGAACTCGTCTCGGTCCTCCTTGGTCAACAAGTTGATGGCTTTTCCTTTTCTGCCAAAACGACCGGAACGTCCAATACGGTGCACGTAGTTCTCCTTATCCAAAGGCAAGTCGTAGTTGATAACCAAGGAAACCTGCTGCACATCGATGCCTCGGGCCCACACATCTGTCGATATAAGCACTCTGGAGTTACCAGAACGGAAATCGTTCATGATCAGGTCTCTTTCGTCCTGCTTCATATCGCCGTGCATGGCCACCACGGCAAAATTAGCCTTTCGGAGCTGCTCAGCCAACCATGTCACCTTGGCCTTGGTGTTGCAGAAAATGACCGCCTGCGTTATGGTCAAGTTGTCGTAGAGATCACAGAGCGTATCGAACTTCCACTCCTCCTTTTCACACTGAATGTAGTACTGCTTGATACCTTCCAATGTCACGTCTTCACGCTTGACAAGAATACGCACAGGGTCCGTGGTGAACTTGGAGGTCATCTCCAAAACCTCTCTTGTGAGGGTTGCACTTACCACCACCACCTGGACCGTCAGCGGGAGCTGTCTGTAGATTTCGTAGATCTGCTCCTTGAACCCCTTGGTCATGAGCTCGTCGGCCTCATCGAGAATAAGCATCTTTACGCTTCTCGTCTGGAGATGTCTCCGCTTTATCACATCTAGCACTCGTCCAGGGGTTCCACTGACAATATGCTGCCCCTGACCGAGCTTCTTTGTATCCTCGCCCACCTGCTTGCCACCAGTGCAGGCATGTGTGTGGATGTTCATGTAGTTGCCCAAGTTCATGATAACGCTGTTGATCTGGGTAGCCAACTCTCTGGTTGGAGAAAGCACAAGGGCCTGAGTTTGGCGCAATTTCGGTTCTAGCGCTTGAAGCATTCCAATAGAGAAGGTCGCCGTTTTTCCCGTACCGGACTGGGCCTGGGCTATGGTGTCCTTGCCAGAGATGATTTGCATGATAGCTCTGCTCTGGATAGCTGAAGGAGCCTCAAAGCCATAGGAGTAGATTCCCTTGAGAAGATCGGGCTTTAGGGCCATTCCCTCGAAAGTGCTATGCACCTTGATGTTTTTCGACGACTTCACCGAGAATTCAAGCTCATCATCAGCTGCCCTGTCAAAGTCCATAGTAGTATCAGTAGATCTACTCATCGCGATCATCGCGCACCTACTACTACTACTCATGAACTCGGTGGTGGTGCTAATAGGCGGAGGCCATGCGGCTGGAAAAAGAACAACCGCTAATTGGATAAAAGACGATTTGGCCAAGATGGTCACTGTTCCGTTGGAGATCGAGGTCGTGGATATGGACGACTATTGCACGAAGAAATGCCTTTCTGTGGGTCAGGAACACGGCAAGAACTCTGCCATCACCGTGGACTCCAGCCGAGCCGTGGCATTGCTCAAACCGTCACGGTACGACTTCGTCAAGTTGCAGAAACACATTGAAGACTCCATTGCCTCGCTGTCGAGAACAAAGGTTATCATTGTTCATGGTCTCTATGCTCTTTATGAGAAGGCCATTCGGGAGCTCTCCCAAATCAAGGTGTTTATAAGTGGCGATGCCGACACAAGGCTTATCCGCTGGATCCGCCGTGACGTGCTAGGAGAAACGAAAACTGCCGACCTAGAGAATATCATCAACGCTTACCTCCATGGAGCCAAGCAGGAGATGAACGACTATATCTTCCCTACAAAGGAGCAGGCAGATGTGATCATGCCACGTGGCGCTGAGCCAAACGCAATTGCCTTGATTGTGGATGGCCTTCTTCCATACTTGGGTCCCAACGAGAAGATGTCTGAACCCACAAGCTCCAATGTGTTGCGGCCATCAGGCCACTCGTTCAAAAACGAAAAGTTTGACGCTCAGAAACGTAAGTACTACGATGTGGCGTGAGCGCTTTTCTATATTAATGCTAATGACTGTTCCGAACATCTAGATGAACGTTTTGTGTAGCTGCACCCACTTGTCTACTGGGTCCTTCTCCACCAGATACTCCGTCATGCCGGCAATCTGTTCCCCGTCAACAGCGTCCTTGAGCTTTTTGTCGTTGTTGTACCACTTGCGAATCAAATACACCATCTCCGATTTCTTGAGGTATTGCGTGAACCCGCTGTGCACATCGTACGCATTGTGCTCGATAAGCGACTTGATCACAACGTACAACTTCTCGTAAGAGATCTGTGACTTCAAAAGCATCTCGACAACGGCTCCCTCAGGTGGCGTCTGTGCCACAGAGTCCTCCTCAATGGCGTTTTGAATGTATTTGCACACCATCTTGATCAACCGGTCAACGGGGAAAACAAGGTCATTGGGTGCCAAACTGACACCAACGGGAACGATCTTGTCACTGATCATCTTGTAGAGAGGGGCGTCGTTCGACTTATCGGTCATGTACTCGTGGAAGATCTTCTCAAAGAAGAATTCCCATCTCTTGAAAATCTCGTCAGGGTTTTTGTAGTCAGAGACCTTGAAAATGGCGAAGCAGATTTCGTAGTAGCCCAATGGGTCAGCGTACTCATTGAAAAGATCACTGGCGCTTTGGATTTTGTTGTTCAAGGCGTCCGAGGCGATCTTCTTGTTCTCGCCATTGATCCGCTTGTCGTTTTGAATCATCTTGAGGAGATTCAACTGCACGTTGGCGACATTAAAGAGCTCGTGCACCAAGTTGGAGAGATGAATCATCTCTTGTCTCAAATTTGGTGGGCAGGTGCAATTGCAGAAGCCATTGGCTCTGGAGAGGTATTCAATTCTCTCATTGAGTGGGATGATGAAATCGGAGATCGCCAAAGAGTACAAGATCCGAGCAGCAGCGAAATAGTTTTCTCTTCTGGCATGGTAAAGCCAAAGAAGTTGCGTCAAACCAAGGTCCTTTTGCGACACCTCTTCTAAGAATGGAAGAATGTAAGGGGTCTCGATACTCAAGAGTCTCTGACTGTTACCCTGGTTGATGAACCATTGATAGAACTCATTGTGGAATTTCTGATCAGTAGAGGCAAAACAAGTTTCGTAAGTTGCATCTCTCACGTCCATAAACTCTCTCAACAAGAGTTGGTTGTTGGACTCTTCTATTTTCAACGCATTGACGTCAAGACGAGTCAAGATCTTGAAAACAAGATCATAAAGCTGCATCCGCTTCTTGTTGTTGATCTCAAGCTGATTCTTGAAATTGTCAACCTTGTTGTCGCCATTCGTTATCAATGTTGATGACTGAGTGTTGGTCACAGAGTAGCACTTTTTGGCGAGCTTCAAAACAAACTGAACAGCACCGGTGTAGAACTCCAACGTGAGCATGATATTAAGTGCATTCTCGATGTTCTCAAGTGTAAGTGAGTCTACCGCTTGCTCAAACAAGCTGATGGCGTTGTTCAAGCACTTGACCTTTAACTCACTATCCCTGTTCCCGATATTTTTGGCCTTCGTCAAGTTTTCAATAGCCTTAAAGATGTATACGTCGTCACTGGAGCAGAATGAACCGCATCTGCCTTGAAGGGACGATGCAATTGAGTCAATTGAGCCACCTTTGAGGATGTTTTTGTTGATAATTGATGACAAAAGGTCCTTGATAAGACCCTTCACCTCTTGTGTTGGGAGCAACAAGTCTTTGAACGTCAAGGTCAAGAAATTGACTTGATTAGTGAGCGACAAAAACTGGAAGATATCATTGAAGTTCTTCTGGTCACTTTGAGTCTCCTCGATGAGTACCATGAGGAAGGACAAGGCCTCCTTCATCGAGTTCAAACTTCTCACGATCGACGTAAATGCAATATGCTCAGCTCTCATGCATACCTCATTTTCCATCTTTGTGGGATCTGAGCTATAGCTTGGTGCATTGAGACCTGGAATATCGTTCAGGTTCTCGTTAAAAAACTCCAACAACACGAACACGGAACCGATGTAAAATTCAACTTGACTCTTTGACATGGTAAGACCCTTGACGATCAAGTTTCCTTCCTTCAAGGACAGCACCTCAACAGAACTATCATTGAGCATCTTGATGTGTGGGAGTGGGGTGAAGACCTTTTTGTTCCAAAAGTCCCTGAAGAGTCTCGAAATTAAAAGGCAGGTACCGTAGAAACGATCACTGAGCACAACCTGCTCGACCATACGCTTTGAATCGGATGGCTGGAGTGGAAGATGTGATGGCCCGCCAGAGACAGTCGATGCGTTTTCAGAAAGTCTGGCATTGCTACCAGCATGCGAGAACAACATGGAAGCCGTTCTATGGAACAAATCCTTCCCATTGAGGTAGCCTGGAGAGCAAGACAAGTAAAGCAATGTTGAGCATGTCTCTTCATAGCCATTCTCCTCAATGAAGTTTTCGAGCACTTCGTCCTTGAGGGAACTGATGATCTGGTCTGATGTTCTGTACTGATACATGAGAATACCATAGTTAGTGAGCACCGCGAACTGGAGAGGTTTCTTGGTGTATTGAGACGCAAGAACATTGGCATAGCCATTAGGAGTCTCCGTCGCGTTCATGGAAGGGGTCAATTGCACGATGTCATGGATATAAATAGGGGAGCCATCTTTCGACTCAACCTGCGATGCAACCTTGAGAAACTCGGCATCCTCCACTAGCTTGTTATTACGCTTGAGATAACCATAGTTTGTTGAACTAACGAACAACTTGTCTGACCCTTTTGTTCTTTTGACAGCCAAGTAAACACCGGGGCTTATGATTTTGGAGAATTTTGTGTTCTTCAAAAGCTCGGAGTTCTGCTGGTTGGTAACCATGGTTGCCACATACAGCTTGATTCTTGTGAACTGGTCCAACTCTGGATTCATCTTTGTAACCTCATCAGATGGTGGGAATTTCACGGAAACCAAGCTGAGTTTGAGGTTTGAAGCAAATCTGGATGTAGTCGACATGAACGAGGCATAATGACCGGCGGAGCCAATACGTAAAAGGATACGGAAACCGTAATTCGTGGTAGCAATGAGGGACACGCTATTGGATTCCTTTGTCGAAACGGGCTGAATGCTGACAATTCTGAATTTCAGGAATGACTTGATGTTGGCATGGTTCGAGTACAAGCTGGAGACCGCTCTGAAGAATTCAGCAGGTGTGAATTGACTGTGTTGAGAAAACTCCTTCTGATCAGGGGTCAATTTGTAGACTCTTATAATCGACTTGTTGGAAAGAGTGTACAATACCTTTCTCTCGCCGTCGACTGATAGCTCCAGAATGGATTCGGGAATGGAGCTGGCTTTATTGCCGTCCAGAGTACCAGTCTTGTTATGCAGCTCGTGCTCGGAGTGAAAAAGGTCGAAGCCTCTCATCTTGCCGATAGGAAGAACAGAAGATAAGCCACTTTTTGTGAGACAAACCTTGTCACATCTGTTTTTTATGAAGGAAGCGTTTGAATGGTATTCCAATTTCCACACATTGACGCCATCACTCTCGCCTGAGAAGTAAATCTCGTGTGTTAGTTCGTTGAATGCAAACTTGTTGATCATGAGTCCTTGAACGTTGACAGAAAGATTAGGGTTGAACACCTCCAAGTTATTGAGCAGTTCATCGTATTTCACGACGTAGATGTGGATATCCATGGTGGTAGCGATTAGAAGCAAGTAGTTGACCTCTTTCACGAACACGCCTGGCTTTGACTTGACAAGTTTCACTGTCAAAATGGAGTGGCGGATTTGATCGATAGTGAGAAACTGAGATGACTTGTTGAAGGAGGATTGAGGCAACTTGTAGTTCCAGAACACCAACTTGTTGTCCACGGCGATCCAAGACCTGTTTATTTCAGGCATGAGGCCCATGTTCATCAGACACTCTGTCAAATTGGTCTCTTCGAAGAACTTGTCAGGAAGATCCAATTGAGATACCTTCTCGAAACGTGAAAAGTGACCCAAGCCGTTTTCCTTGTCGAAGAAATAATTGTCCAAGTTGTTGTTGCCCTTGTTCAAGTATGCGTCGCCGTACGTGTCGCCCGGCGTCATCGAGTCTATTCTGATCAAGTCAGTGATGAACTTTGAACCGAGCTTCAAAGGCGGTAGATTCTCGAAGTTGGGTACGCTGATTTTGTAGCTCACCTCTCCAGCGGAGTCAAGTGCCTGTGGAAGCAAGAATCTCTGTGACATGACGGATCTAGAGTCGCCATTGGCATTGGAGCCTGATTGATTTTGTTGGAACTGGAGCGTTCCAATAGCATCCTGAGCTGGTTTGATCGTTGGAGTAATATACCTAGAATTTGTGCCAGGCCCAGTAGGGGCGCCATTGGCGGCCGGCCCATTTTGCGGGTGCTGTTTACCCGGAGCACGGAGGCCAAAAGACTCATTGTGGTCAAGGATGGTGTATTTTTCTTGCTGACGATGAGAGATGTTTATTTGGATCTCTTAAAAAAAATCAGAGCCAATGGTGCTGTGTGCAGGTCGGTCTGAAGAAAGGTAGCCTTCGAAGCGTTGGCGCAAACAATGAGAAAATGTGTAGCTCTTTTGTATTTGGAGTATTTGAAGAATGCTGGTTTTATGGATATATTGCAATTGAGGACGGCGGTGCTGGTTTTGATGATTTGCAATGGTTGCGAATAGTAGCAGCCCAGTAGAGTGGAAGTAGTTTGGAATGGTCTCTTGAAATTAGATGATATTTTGATTAATGTTGTCCGATGTATAAGAATAAAGTGAATGTTGGAATAAAGTGAATGTTGAAGACTTACTACTCCCAAATACGAATGGTACATTTAGAACCGTAGGTGCTGAAGGTGCTATGTTGTCTCATAGGAGAGCTCAAGAGGTACACTCAAGAGTTTATCTATTGACGACATAATCTTTATTCACTCAATACCTAAAAAACTCTGATTTACATGAAGGGATGTCCCTTCGATTATATTATTGCGATCCATGTGCTACCATCTTTTGAACTTCTCAATTGGCTGCGAAAAGAGTCTACTGCCATTTACCGTACGATCACCAAGAATCCCACGTCTCGTATAATCGGACTCAATCTCCTGCTTTGACTGGATTTTTATCGACATTTTATTTTCAAAATATCAAGATTATCAAATAAGTATAATTCTAATCTCCGAGTTTGCACCCACCCTCCACACTAGGTGCACTATTTGTGGCTGGCTGATACCGCACTTTTGTCTACCCCAGATATCACCACTTCTTTTCATGAAACTCACAACTTTCGTTGCTACACTTGCGGCGGCAAACGCCATAAGCTTCAATTTCTATGACAGCCTTTTCCACTCGTCCGTTCCTGACCGTGTTTTGAAGGTCGCCGAGGACTCCTACATTGCTGCCTCGGAAGCTGATAAGCTCAGACTTAGAAGGGAGGGCAAACGGTTTATTGATGTTACTGAGAGTTTGCCCGTTCTGGAGGCGATTAGCCAGGGCATGGTTGCCCAAAGTGGCGGAAACGGCCTTCTCACGTGGTTCTCCAAGAACATCAAGACGCTTAAGAAGCCGATCCCAAAGTACAACTACCCAACAAAGGCAACCCAGCAGGACGTGGTCGAGCCACTCTTGGGCAAAATCGACATTGAGGGCGTCAAGGCTCATTTGGCAAAGTTTTCGTCTTTCTACACCCGTTACTACAAGTCCGAGACTGGCTTGGAAAGTGCCAATTGGCTTCACGAGACCATCCAGGAGATCGTCAAGGTTCTCCCTGAAGATGCTGTGTCCATTCGTAAATTCAAGCACAATGGCTGGGACCAGTATTCCATTGCTGTGTCTATCAAGGGTAAGGTCGAAGATAAGGTTGTTGTAGGAGCACACCAGGACTCCATCAACTTGCTTTTCCCCAACTTGTTGAGAGCTCCCGGTGCCGACGACGATGGACTGGGAACTGTGACCACCCTCGAGGCTCTTCGTTTGGTTTCCGGCGCCATTGCCAATGGCGATTTCAAACCCTACAACACTTTGGAGTTCCACTACTACTCTGCAGAAGAGGGTGGTTTGCTTGGCTCCATCGACGTCTTTTCCAACTATTTTGCCGAAAACGCCACTGTTGTTGGTATGCTCCAGCAGGACATGACCGGCTATACCGCTGGTACCACCGATGCTGGTGTTGAACCACACTTTGGCTTGATTTCCGACTATACGTCCGTGGACCTCAACGAGTTTATCAAGGTGATTGTGGAGAGCTACTGTGCCATTCCCTTCCATGAGACCGAGTGTGGCTACGCTTGTTCAGATCACGCTTCTGCGTTGGAGAACGGGTACCCAGCCAGTTTCTTGATTGAGAGCGAGTTCAAGTACACCGCCAAGCAGATCCACCTGACCTTGGATACCATGGATCGCTTGGACTTTGACCACATCAAGGAGCACGTCAAGTTGACTGTGGGGTATGCCGTGGAGTTGGCTCTGGCCAAGAAGTTGTGAGGGGAAGAAATAGGTAAGTATAATTGACAGGGAGGAGTTGTAGATTGTATCAGAATGGAAGATGTCGGATGGATGAGTGAACTATATATGTAGGGTTCTAGTGCCCTCGCAGTCAGATAGCTTAGATCACTTAAGAATGGCTGCAAATAGGTCTCCTGTGGGCATTCGTTCATCTCACTAGAAGATCAGAGGTGGACTATTCAAAACTTCAACTTTTTGGACCATCGAATAACTCACACAAATGAAGGAATGTTGTTCCAGTGTTTTCATCAAATGTAAATGTATCAGCAGAAGTGAAAACCACATTATGATGATCACAACTACAAGGGGTCGTAATCCTAAACTCTGAACCTAAAGTTTCGGTTCTTAACATTGAATTGAATTCAGTATGTTCATTTATCCACGACCTTTCCTTTTTTTATTAATGAAGAATCCTTGGTTCCGATCACTTCTACCCCTCGGTCTCGCTTATCAATCAGCCGTGCAGACCGAGCCGCAGGGTTATTCACATTCAATAACAAGATTTTCCAATTTTAACATCCAATTGATTAAACTCATCTTATACAAGTACCAAGTGACCAAAGCAATTCAACTGCCACTGTCAATCTTCAACCTACTATCCCCACTCACGCAATCAGGGTATCATATTTCTATTTACTCGGAGCCCTCCTCCTCGAGCTTCTTGGGGAAACGCACAACATCGAAACTCGTCTGTCTCAACGAAGTAACAATCTTGCCCTCGCCGTTCTCGTCAACAATTTGCCTCTGGCTCACGGAAGCCTCCACATACACCTGGGCACCACCTCTCAAGTGGTTGTTGAAAAAAGCAACCTGCTTCTCGTCAAAAACAGAAAGGTTGTACCAGTCGGCCACGGTGTTGCCGCTTTCGGCAGCCTGGGGGTTGTATCTGTTGACAGCCAAGGAGTAGGTGAGGAAGGGCATGCCATCTTTGGTTTCTCTTGGGGTGATGGAGCCAATGTTTCCGAGCAATTGCATCTTGGCAAAAGCAGACCTGGTGGCCGAGGTGGAGAAAGAACGAGCTATCGAGGCTGCTTGGGATTTCAACATAATGGTAGTAGGTTGGTGTTGGTAGTTGAAGCTTGATGTTTTAACCCAAGCGCGCTGGCCACACACGCCCAAGAGACAATTCGCGGTACGTGCACCAGCATTGTGGCGACATGCAATGAGACAGATTAGCGATAAGAGGGAATTCAGGATATGGAAGAGACTCGCAGAATGACCTGTTGCAATGTAGATTTGTAATTATTCCCGGAAAGCGCGGGGAGAGGATTGCGTTTGCCCCTTATGGTCGGGGTCGGAGTGAACACACAATAGCAGGTGGAAGGGCCAGTCGGGGCCAGTCAGGCCAGCCTGAGCAGACCCACTGGGAAGCCATGGAAGTTGGAGGCCGGTGAGGAGCGTCACTCACGTCTAGAAGTCTTCTCTGGGTGTCCCGCCAGCGGGCTATATATCGTTCCACAGCAGGCCGCCGCCACACATCACCATCGAGCTCAGCGTCGCTGTGTCGGAGTACTCCACGTCACGGAACCCCACTGTGGGTTGCGTGCGCGCCAATGTATTGACAATGTAGTCGTTCACCAACGTGCCCAGCGTGCTGAGGAGATTCTGCCACTGTAGCACCTGGAGCAACCGCGTGATGAGGTCCTTGTCAACAGGGGCGCCCTTCTTGGAAAGCAGCTTGCGCAAGATGGCGCTGGCCCGCTTGAACCGGGCGTATTCGGCCTTGGACATCTTCTCAAAGTAGTGGTCGCCGTAGAAGGCAGGCACACGCCGGAGAATCGATGCGTCTAGAAGCTGGCTGACCAAGTCCAGGTCCAAGTCCCACGAGGCAATGTTGTCGGACACGGCGGCGTCCGTGGCGTTTTGCCATTGGTCTATACGGGAGGAGAGGGACGGCTGAACCTCATCGATAAGATCGTCGTTGTCTGTTTCTTCGCTGCACTCGCTGCCACTTTCAGACACAGCCTCGCCAGAGCCTTCTGTGGTGAGTGGGTTTGTTGTGGAGAACAGAATCACGTCGTTGTCTAGTCTATCTGGATTGAATACGACCCACAGGGACTGTGACTCCGAAAGCACCGCTGACTCTGTTTCTTCTGGGGCCGTGTGGCGCACAGACACCCTTCGCCTTGTTTCGTAAGCTGGGTTGAAGGCCATGATATGTATTTGTGGTTTTTGCTAGTGGGTAGTTGAGGTCTGCGAGAGGAAGTGTGGGTATTTATATGAAGCGGTGGGTTCCCGTGATCCCTTATCACTGTGTCCTGTATACAAGCCCGTGTCTCTCAGAATGTGTGGTGGCAGGGCTTTTTTTTTGCTCGTCTGGTGACAAGACCGAATTCGCTCCGAACCTGAATCCCGGTGATGCGGAGCTCTACAAAAGTAATTTTTTTTTTGAAGGAAGCTTCAAAATCAGGGATTCTGGCGGGTCGTGCAAAAGCAAAAAGCAGCAATATTTGCATTCCAGAAAAAACCCTAATTCGCCTCCAGCAAGACCCGGTCCAACGGCCGCACCTCTCTTATCGGTCAGGCACCAGGTGTCAATGGAACGCAATCACCTTACCACAGGGCCTGTGGAGATGGGCTTTTAATTCTGCAATTTTTTTAAAAAATTGTCGTTCTCCTTTTTTGATGCCTTGTTGTGGTTGCCATTTTGCAATTACTGGTTCACGTTTCTTATCTCAGGGTGGTTGCTGGTTGTGGCTGTTCAGCAACTGTAGATGGCTGCAAACCTGGAACAGTGGGATGCGTCACGATGCCAGAATGCCAAATCCATAGATCAATGTGTCACGCTGCGCATCTAAAACGTGCAAAGTGTCATACAGGCTCTCGGGTTTTTAGCCCCACCGAGGCTGGGCTGGTCTGTGTCAAGGTGCTATTTAAGTGTGGCAGGAAAGTTGGGATTCTGGTGCCGTGTGGTACTCAGTGGCATTTCGTGGTACCACGGCCGTGTACAAATCCCACAATTTTACATCACTCTCCATTTGCCGATAACTTAATTTTTACATCACTCCCCTTTTGCCGATAGCTTAATTTCTCCAAAGTTAATTGTCAAATAAAATTCAAAACTCTAAGCCATATCTAAAAGGCTGCCCTCACTTGCTCGATGGCTGCGAAAAGAAGCCCAGCACAATGACACTCACAAAGAGCTCATCTGACTCACCCCCTCAAACTAAAAATCTGGCATGACAGAACAATGCTTTCGAATACGAAAGCTTCTAGTCTTGCCCGTGGCCTCCTCCTCTTCCATACCTCCACATCCTCAATATCCTTGCAGCCACCTACAACCACGAAACTCCCCATCTTGTGTTTTTTTGGGTTTTTTGTTTTTAGGGTGACCATCGAAAGTTGTCTTTGCAGCCAGCGGGGTCAAAGCTAAACCCAAACAACACCACGTCATCGCCCCGCTCTACCGCTTCCCTCTGTTACTTGTGCTCCTTCACAGTCTGTATCTGAGCCCGGTGTTTGGATCTGGCAGCATTACCCGGCAACACAAATTTTCCTCATTGCGAAATTTAGATCTTCTCTTTTTTTTTTTTCTTCAACTATCAAAACTGTTTCACATATTTTTTTTTTTTTTTTAACTGATATCTCTTTATCAGAGTGAAAAAAACTATATTTCCATATGGTGAGGCTTCTTGCTTCCTTCGTGAACTTGACAAATACTACCTAAACTTTTCTCTACTCGGTTGCTGTGGCACATTCTCCAAAGAGGCCTTTGGATGGTGTACCACAGGGCCGTCTTGCGCTTATGATGATAAATCCATGACTTACAAAGATGAAGATATAAATCAATCGAAATTAGTCTTTCACCCCTATCTGAAACGCAAGGTTCTTTTGCGTGTTCGTTTAAATTGCAAAAAAAAAAATGACACGGACAGGAATCGAACCTGCAACCCTTTGATTTGGAATCAAAAGCTCTGCCATTGAGCCACCGCATCTTTCTTGTTTATTATGAATGCCGCTTTAATATATCACAGCTTTTTAAAGTGTCTCAAAATATTGCATTTTTAACACCATCAAGTTCTTTCTGCACGCGCTTTCATTACGCTCCCACCTTTTCAGGCTCTGAGAAGCTCTGAGCGTGGAGATATGGTGATTTTAGTATCTCCAGCCTGCACACACCCACCTTCCACGAATTGCGATAATCAACTTGTCAAGACTTGTCTATCCAGCTTCTTTGCAAACCACCAATTCTTCGTCATGAGAGCTTCAATACTAGGCTCGGTGTTGCTTTCCGCTGCTGTGGCACCTGTTCTTGCTAAAGACTCGGCCTCAGCTGCCGTCTACGAGCTCTCCAATTCTGCCAACGCTGGTGCAATTAATGCTCCTTCTTCAGCAGGCCGTTTATACTTGGCAGACAAGCTCGGTCTTGCCGACTTTTTCTACGTCGAAGATAACGAGGTGGAGGCTTTGAATAAGTTGTACGAAAACGACGTGGCCGAATCTTCCTCGAAACCTAAGCTTTTGGTGGAATTGAAGGGTGTCGACCACCCAGGCGAGTTCTTCCAAAGCCAGGAATTACCTCCCCACTTCAACGTGAAAGACCACGTCAAGAACCTCGTGGGAGGCTCACTCCACAAATTTGCATCCATCCTCTCCACCGCTGAGGACAATATCGCCGCCCACTTGACCAAGGAGATCAAGGCCGTGGGACCCAAAGACGTGGTGAGCAAGCTCAAGGAGCCTTTCCGCCATCACGATGACGCCCTTGTCTCTGCTTGGAAGCACTTCACTGGCAAGGGCGACCGTCACAAGCGTGACCAGCAGCGCCTTGACCTTGGTCTCCAGGACAGTGGCTTGAAGCTCGTCAATGACAAGCATTTCATCAACGATCTCGCTTCATTGATCCAATTGAAGACCGTCGAGGCTGGCGAGAAGGCTGTGGTTTTCGCCCAGTCTGTGTCGCTTCTTTCCATTGGCCGCAAGATCGGCTACGACTCCAAGACATACCAATTGTCCAAGAAGGCGCTTGGTGACGTGCTTATCGAGTTGCAAAACAAGTTCGATGTTATTGTCGTGGCCGTTGGTCTCGACGAGGTGCTCCACGAAACCCAGCAGGCTGATTTGGAGAAACGTGGTGCTGAGTTGGAGTCCTTGTTCTCCACCTTCGAGAAGAGAGAATCTGGAGCCGCTTGTTTCAGCGACGAGGCTGCCTGTAACAGCGCCACCTCCAACTGCTCCTCTCACGGCGCTTGTAAAGAGATCAAGAAGAAGTGCTGGCAATGTGCCTGCAAGGCATCCTACGACAAAAAGAAGAGCAAGACCACCAACTGGAGCGGTTTCGACTGCGGTAAGAAGGACATTTCTGCCACTGCACACCTCTTGTTGTGGACATCGGTGGCATTGATCTTGTCTGTCGCTGCAGGTGTCAAGCTTCTCTTTTCCATGGGTGACGACGCTTTGCCTGGTGTATTGGAGGCCGCCACCCAAGCCAAGAAAACTGGTCAGTAAGCCCGAGACCTTTGTAAAATACGATAAACCAAGCTTTCTAGATCGATAGGACCCAGTGCTTCTGGGGTGTTTGTACACGTGATCTCCACCTCTATACTATTTAGGAAGTGGTCAGATACACCTTATTCCCAACTACCGTGTCATCAAATGATCCACACAAGAAGGCCGTTTTTTGCCGTCTGCCTCCTTATTCTTGTTTCCTGTGCCATTTACTTTGTGGCCTCGGGAGATACTACCTCTCTCGGGAATTCTGGACCTGTGAGTGCCAGAACCCCAGTGGTTGAAAAACATGTCCCCAAGATGATATCAAGCTTTCAGAGAAAGCAAGTAAAAAAATCGAAGCTGATTCAAAAGAACCCAGCTCTGGCCAAAGTGTAGGCGAGTTCACAGATCAGCCATTCATGCCCAAGATGGCTAATGAAACATTGAAAGCAGCACTTGGCAATTCAGCATGGCACCTTTTGCACACTGTTTTGGCCAGATATCCCGAAAAGCCTGATGAGCAGCAGAAAGCCACTTTGAAGCAATACATTCATCTTTTCGCTCAGGTGTATCCTTGCGGAGATTGTGCTAGGCATTTCCAGGGACTCTTGAAGAAACATCCACCCCAGGTAAGCAGCAGAAAGACTGCAGCGGTATGGGGATGTCACATTCACAACAAGGTGAACGAAAGGTTGCAGAAGCCAATCTATGACTGTCTGAACATTTTGGAAGATTACGATTGTGGATGTGGATCTGACGAGAAGGAACTGGATGCCACTTTGGGAGGTGACAGCGTGGACCATCTTCGGCAAATCCAGGTTGACGAGAAGGGAGAGAAGCAGAGGGGCGGATGAGCCCATAATGGATGCGGGAATAGTAATGCAGTGTATTATCCTAGATAGCTCCTCGAGGGAGCATGTCAGTAGGCCATATTAGACGATTGTGCAGCACAGACCCCAGCGGAAGAACCCAGCTTCATTTGCTGATGGGTTTTGAACTTGTTGCGCTGAGCAAACTCCAGCCAAAGGTAAGGAACGAGTGGATCGCTCGTTTCCTCGGTGTTCTCTATGATAAGCCCAGCGGCCTTGGAGGCTGGAATGCGGTCTTTCTTGAGCTGCTGCTTTAAACGCTCATTCAACTGTTCAATACGACGTAGCCTCAAGAGACCGATACGGTCGTTGAATTCGGGATCCATGTAGTCTGGGCGGAAACTGTTGGTCTTTTATAACCGCCTGCGCACAGAGATATTTTTTAAAACCTGAAACACCATTATGCATTGATGGCAGTACGGAGAACAGCCGCGCCTAAGCCGGGAAGCCATTGGCAATTCGATGAATATTTAGCTTGGTTGGGGTGTTTCTCGGTGTAGGATCTCGTTTCAATGTATGGATGGTTCGATGGGTTGACCATATTCAGGGCGAAAATACACCCCAGAGAGATCCCAAGACTCTGTTCTTACCTGTAGCATACCAGATTCTAAAGTTTCGCTAACCCTTGTTCAGGCAAGGAAGAAGAGACCAATGATGCAGAATGCAATGACAAAGCCCATGATAAGGGTATCCCTCTTCCTCCTCGTATTGATCTTTGAAATCAACACATTGATGCCTGGGATATTCTGCAAAGTCCCCAGAACCCTGTTGGCGGCATTCTGCAACTGCACACGCTGACTGAAAAGCTCATCTCTCGTTTCATAGGCCTGTTGAAGAAGCCTATCAGCAAATGAGTTGGCGTTATCGACCCTGGCTCTTTCGTCCAAGATGTAGTTGTTCTCGCTGTCTGGTCCCAGCAGGATTTCCCGCTGTTTGTGGGCAGAAAGGTCTGATCTGATGGTGAAAAGCAAGTTGTTTCTATTCCTCTCCTCGGTGATCCTTCCCTGAATCTTGTTGAACAGGCCCTTGTGGTCCGCCAACACCTCCTTGTGTCTCTGTAGCTGTTGAAGTTTCGACGTAGACATGTTGACATCCGCCTCCAGAAGACGATTGAGTCTTCCTACCACTTCTTCTCTTTTCTCAAATACCTCAAGAATCGAATTGGTCACGGTGGTTTCCTCCTCGGAAGGATCCACAGAAACGCCTCCTGATTGGATCTTGGAAAGACGGCTTAGAAGCTGTTCTGTCTGCTTCTCGAGGTTCTGTGCAAACGTTCTGGTCTGTGTAAAGGTGGCAGAAGACATGTTGGTGACAGTTGATAGTGTGTTGATTTCGCGCCTCACCACGTATTACCAGGAGGTGGATGGACCTTCAGGTATGTGATTTCGGCGAAAAGATGAAAAGGTGATTAGATTTTATTTGGGCTTGTTGAGCTAGGTTTTCATAACTTTTGCGTTGGTAGAATCATGGAGGAAGTGGTGGTGTAGAAGGTGTCGTGATAAGGGTCCGTGTATCGGTGAAGGCTGTGTTTCGGGAAACGATCAGCGTTGAAACCGATAAAAGGGTGCAGTCGGTACTCAATTTTTGATTTTTTTCAAAAAGTACCGGAAAATCCAAATTATTGAGCTTTGATAGTCACAGTTTGGCTAAATCTGGTTGGGTGCAAAAGAGCATCATCGGGACCATCATGAAGGCAACTTTCCAAAGTTAACTATCAGCACCTTTGTCTGAATTCTGAATTTCAAAAGCACTACTTTAAGAGCCCAACAAATGTAATTTATTTACCGTTTGTTGGCCTATCCGGTTCCTACTTGGGTAATTGCCTTGTGAATTCTGATTTTGTGTCAATTGCTTCCCAGCTTTACTATAAGTGCAGAATTGTCCAATTATAATATCAGTTTTCCAAGGTATGTTATAAACATGGAGCTTAAGAATTAGTGGGTGCCTTTGGAGAACGGTCGAAGTGCATGTATCTCTGGATTTACAGTCAATTTCATTCAGCCTCAGTTATCTATAGATATTGATAATGTCCAAAAACGTTAGATGGTAGTGTTCAATCTAGAATCTATCGATGATTCTTCCTATCTTGCTATTCCCATTGTAGAGTTGGCATTCAACCATCCTAGTATCCGTTCGCAGCAAGTATGGATAAGCCAGCAAGTTGCCCGATTCGGTATTTGAATGACATCGCCGATATCTAAGATAAATCAATTATCATCAGCTACGACAGACAAAAAAAAGCAAGTTAACTTTATATCTCACTTCAAAAAGTCTTTCCCATCTTGAGCTTTCGTTTCACAAGTTGTACCATTTTGGCATCCCCAGCGACATTTCGCAGCCATTTGCAATCAAGTCCAACAACCATCCTTATCTTAGTTCACCAATAAATCTCCACTCCTACGCTTGAAAAGGCCAATTATTCCCAACTATATCACTCATCACACAAAGTACACCCTTGTTACCGTCCACTGCAAGGGTCCTCCACACAGCAAGCTTATCTTCAACACCTCCCATTGGACATCACCTCATCCCAAGTCATGTCTGTGGAAGACCTTACACAAGTCGTCCCTGACCCGCTAGACGAGATTTACCCAGAAGACGAGCCTCAATTTGTGCCTGAGCCACCCAAGAAAACCTGGATCCACACCGCTTCGTCGATTCTACTAAACATCCAGAAGTACCTGGCTTATGGCTTCTTGGGGTTCTACGGATTACACACAGCATCCACCGTCATAATTCCTGGAATTGGCATCAGCCAGTCGGCGTGCCAGGATGTCTTTGAAATGTGCAGAAACATATATATGGCTCCGTTGATGGAACCCACTATGGTGTATGCTACAGGAATAGTTCATATCGGTGCAGGGCTAGCACTCCGAATTCTACGCTTGTGGGCGAAGAAGAGGCCTAAAATGAAGGAGACGGATATCATCATCAAGGAGGAGAACAGAGACGACATTGGTCTAGGTGGAATTGGCACCATATTCGGACTAGGCTTCAAGAAGCTGTGGATTTCCTCAACATTCCCTAGTTTCACGCCATTGACCTTTTCTGGATACGTTCTCACTGCTGCAGTGGCCTATCACGTTGCAAAAATGAAACTCGGGCCTGTTTCCGTTGATGGAGACTCCTCCTTAGTTACACTCTCATATGTGACCCACTATCTCAACCAGCTGCCGTGGGGAAAGCTTGGAAACATTGTAAACTACGGCATGCTAGCACTTGTACTGTGGGTTTCCTTCTATCACACGGTCAGTGGTTTGTTCAAATATAGAAGACAATTCAGTTTGAGAGCAAAGAAAATCGCATATGGAGTGATTGCTTTCCTCACTGGCCTAAGTGTGATTTCAATGACAAGACTCCGACACTGGGATCTTGAAATTGGTTTCCTAGGTAAACAATTTGCCAAATATCTCTTTGTGGTGTGACAGATAACCGCTATAGGATAAGCGTGTATGCAGCTAAAAGTCAGCCCACAATTCTGGGGTAGATAGTACATAAACTCGATAAAACTACATTTTGCATAATTATTCGAATTTTTTTTTGTTTTTATATATTTCGGCGTACAATAAATAAGACTATGACAAGCAGCGTGCTTGAAACACCGAGTGTTTCAGCCAACTGAGGGTGCCGCCAATGTCAACACTGACATCCACTCTTCGGTCAGCTCGAGCTCCCTAAGCAAGGAGAAATCATCAAACATCAAAAAATCAACCGGTTTTCCTTTGGCTTTGCTGTCATTTCCAGCTAGCTGCGCGTTTCGGTCGGGGCCCTCAGGCCAATGTCACACCCAACGGTGAATGCAAAAAATGCCTAAGCGAAATTAAGCAGTGGCGGGGCCCAAGGTTGGCTCCTTCACAGCGCTGGTTCTCTTGGACTTATAGTCCTTCACAGCGGACTTGATGGCGTCTTCGGCCAACATAGAGCAGTGCAACTTGACTGGAGGCAAAGACAACTCCTTGGCAATGGCAGTGTTCTTGATGAGCATGGCTTCCTCGAGGGTCTTACCCTTGACGAGCTCGGTCACGTAAGAGGAAGATGCAATAGCAGAACCACAGCCGAAAGTCTTAAACTTGACATCCTGAATAACTCCAGTGTCCTCGTCAACCTTGATTTGCAATCTCATCACATCACCACAGGCTGGGGCGCCAACAAGACCGGTACCGACGTCAACGTCGCTCTTGTTCAAAACACCAACGTTTCTTGGGTTGGCATAATGATCGAGCACCTTTTCGTGGTACATTCTCTTTGTTGCCACTGGAACCATAGAGGGCATTCTCAAAGTATGAGCAGCCGAGAGTGCTGGTCTGGCGACTCTGGCGCTGTTAAGCATTGGTCTTGCAATTTGTCTAAACATAATTTTGATAAAGAAAGAGGGTGTGGGAAAAATACTTATAGTGCGGAGAGACTGATTTTTATGATAAGCGATGACTGGCAGGAGAGGATTGGATACAGGGCGGGTCATGTGGCCGCCGATGTCGGTTCCGGAACGAAAGGCCGGGGCGCGCGACATTTACTAAGCAAGTGCTGAAGGTTTTGATTGGCGGATAGCGCGACATTGTCGTCCTGACGGGCCGTCGGAGACGTATGACCGAGGAGCCGAAGATGAAAGAATTCTTCGAGGACACGAAATTGGTGTTTAAAGTAAGGATTTATGGAGTAATTGTTAGGGTTTTCCGGTGTAACGACATTATGTATGTCGGTGGTCCGTCTTAACGGGTCCGTGCGACAATGTCGCGCCGACTGCCTTAAACAAGGATCGGGTTCACCCAGACTCGTGTAAAAAAGCAACCTAGTACTATTGTAAAGTCGAGAATCGCGAATTCTAGATAAATCTTCTACCTTCTCCTATCCTGTATGCAGTACTCTTTGTATGAACAATTAGAATGACCCAGCCAGCGACATGTTTCGCAGCCATTATGGGAAAAGGGCTATGAGTGGCTACACATGTGACAAAAAATAGTTCGGCCTTGACGAAGCTATTGTCTTACTTGGCCAATGCACTAAAATGAATGTCTCAAACGTCACAAAAAAAATGTCGTTCGTCGGAGTCAGCATACCGAGTTTCTGACAGCTCCAGCGGCATGTTCTGAGACTGGCTTGATAAAGTCAAATTGGGTGCAACCCACATTATTTTTTATCGATTCCATCTTCTGCGTCCTCGAGGTCAGATCAGAGTCACAATTGGCCCACCATTGACCGAGCACGGCATTATCATGGGAGGTGAGACATTCTTGTAGTAGGTCTTGAAAAGTATGGACTTGCGATTGAACGGACGGAAGATCAAATCGCCGAAAACTCCGAAGCCATTAGATTTCTTCAAAAGATAATTTACAATAGTTACAAGGTTGCAAGGTTTCATCAATCAGTAGAAGGGGTGATTTAGATAACCAGATTGTGTCACCATGGCTATGAGGTGCTTCATTGTGTGAGGCAAGAATTTACGTGACATCTGAAACACTCCACAAAGCCAACGCAACGAAGATTACAAATCAATTCCATCTCCTGCTTCCGTATTCTCTTACGTTTCTCCCAAGGTTAGTCTCACGAGATCTGCACCATCTTCACATGCTCACTAGTCGCCTAAACAGACTAGCAGAATAAAGAAGGCTTTGCTTATCGGGGATTGAGCGCCAATCATTTGTGTCTATAGGCCGGTCAGCAAGCGATCGGCAAATAAGTTTTGGATTCGAAATTAAGAAAACTGAGTTCGTAGGGGCTCAGCTAGGCATTCTTGGGAAGAGTTTCATGCTTTTGGGTAGCTCTTTTGCCCGAATCTGGAAAGAATGCCGTTTAGGCTTCCAGAAGGAAGAAACGAGTTAATAAATGCACGATAAGCCGCTTGATATGCAAAGCTCTATATATTATCCCAGATTCTGGGGAGGGGATGCTAGTGTATGTGGCATTCTACAAGGCAGATTTCGCAGCCATTTCCAACAATAGGTAGCGTATGACGAGAGCTTTTTGAGCAGACGCGAATAGATTCACAAAATTCCACCTATAAGAGCAAAAGAACGTTTAAGCAACTGGTAAAGCCAGCCAAATCTTATTTTGTACCGTTTCTGCCAACGTGTTCTTAACCAATAGAGCCAGCGTTGCTAATATCGCACAAAGCCAAATCACGCCAGATTCCATGGATATGAACAACCATTCGGGGTTGGTCTAATAATTCAATTGTAGGGGCTTCCCATCAAAGCAATCAGAAATTAAATGCAAACTACTCATGTAAAAACACCACCCTACACCTTCCTCCCCTCTTGTAGAATGTATTAGCGAATTGCCCACTATGCCTGATGCTGATGCAATACAGTCCAGCCCAATCTACAATACCGATCCACCCTACAGACCAAAACAAAACCGTCTTTTTAGCCAAGTAGCGTTTTTTCGTCCCTAGCCCAAAAGCAAAGTCAGGAAAAATCAGCCACACCCTGCCCCTCAGATCTCGTCATATCGCTATTGGGCACTATCGCACTGCACGGAGAGCAACAGATCTAAAGTAAAGCACCACAGCTTCTCCATGTCTATTCCGCTGTCGGACATCGAGACCGGTGTCTCTAACGGCGACGTCGACTGGCTTTTCAGAGGCAAGTCGAAAAAACTCACGAAAAAGCTCCACCTGGACAAACCAGACGATGAAGGTGAGAAGAAGCCAGACAAGGAAAAGGATAAGGAAAAGGACAAGCCAAAGGAGGAGGCCCCTGCGGTGAAGCCGGAGGAGCCCAAGGAGGAAAAGAAAGAGATCCCTAAACCTCCTGCCAAACCCAGCCCCAAGGCGGCGTCAGCGTCCTCTGTTCTGCTTACGGCTTCCGTGGATCCTCCTAAAAGACGCTCCAGCATCAGTTTCATGAATTTAGGGAGCTCCTCCAATGGCAATTCGCTGGATACCGAGCTGAGCTCTTCACAGCCGCCGCTGCGGTCCAACTCGGGCCGTGGACGGTCCTTCTTCAGCTCTATTTCGCTGAAGTTCAAGCTGAACGGCTCCAATTCTGGAGGTCTGCCCAGCATGAGCCCCCATACTTCCCAGAAGCTCAATCCTAACATGATCGGCTCGGGATCCCAGCCGCCGCCGGCCAATCAGGACTTGGCATCGCTCGTAAACAGACCTCCTCCTGAAGCTGGGATTCTGATTCCTCAAGGCAGAGGCAGAAGGTCTTCGTTTTCGTCAAGCCCTAAGCTGTCTCTAGATTCAGAGAGAGGGGGCTTCTTCAAGCGCAGAACGTCCAACGTGGACCAGGTTCCGCCTCCACCCCAGAGAGTAGTGCTCAACAAGAACCCTAACAAAGAGAAGGTGATGAGAGAGTTTTCAGAGCGTCGCTTGCGGAGGGTCGCCTTTTCGTTGGACAAGCTTTCCGATGATCCTCAGCAGCAGATTCCCTCCAGAAGACCCAAAAGAGGAAATGTGCTTATCCCAGAGGACTTGACTGCTCCCCTTCCTCGGCTTTCTCAAGGCATTTCCGTCAGCGACGGCAAGGGCAACAAGACGAACGTCACGGAAACAAAATGCTCTGAAAAAGAGCTTCAGATGGCCGTGGACGCTCAGAAAAAGGCCCTTGCTGAGGCTGAAAAGCACGCCATGGACGCCCATCTTTCTGCCAAACGCCTTGCTCTTCAGATTACCCTGTTCAAGACTTCAAGCAAATCCCCTGCAATGGCGGACGACGATGAAGTTGACGTCCAGGCCGGCAAGATCGAAATCGACAAGCCTTTGCATATTCACGAGAACCACTTTGATGAGGGCAACAGCTCTACAGAAATACCAATCGAGGACCTCCTGCTTGAGGACATCTACAGCAGATGCTGCCATCTTCGTGAAATCTTACCCATCCCAGCTACGCTCAAACAGTTGAAGAACAAAACGAGCCCGCTCCAGACCCTCAAGCTCCTCAACCCGAAACCCACGTTGATCGACGTTCTTTCATTCAGTGACTTCCTTGCCATCACCCCATCAACACCGTCATATTCGACAACGTCACCATGACAACCGAGATGCTTAAGCACTTGTTAGGCTCTTTGGTTCACAGTAAAACGTTGGAGAAACTTTCACTTCGAAACGTCGCCATCGACGAGACAGGCTGGCTCTATCTCTGTGAGTTCTTGGGCAGAAACCGTACCGTCAAGAAGCTCGATATTTCCCAACAAAGAGTGAAAACCGTCACAAAGCAAACCTCATTCCGTTCCGCTATGAACTGGAACCTCTTCATCAAAACCTTGATTCACAGAGGTGGCATTGAAGAGCTCGTTATGGGTGGTTGCAAGCTCTCTGACGAAACTTTTGAGAAGCTTCTAGAGGAAGCCCTCACCATCGCCACTTGCAGACTTGGTGTTGCAGCGACTGAAATCAATGTCTGCAAATGTAAGTTGATCGCTGACTGGATCAGCAGACCCAACTCCAAGTGTGTGGGAATCGACATCGCCTACAACGATTTGAGCCAAGGCCAACTCCGTCCATTCATTGATGCTTTCAACTCCAGGCCAACTCGCCTTATTTTCTTCTCACTCAACTCCACCAACATCCAAAACATGGAAGAGGTGGGCGAACTATTGAGGGGTTTGTCAAAAGTCCAGACGCTTCGTTTCTTGGACTTGAGTTCTTTACCACAGCTTTTCCCTGGCGTCATCTCCAAGCTTAGCAAAACATTGCCATACTTTCCTTCATTAAGGCGTGCTCACTTCGACTTGAACGAGCTCACTTCACAGTCCATCGATGCCATTGCAGATATTTTGCCAAAGGTGAAGAATCTCGTGCACGTATCGCTTCTTGGAAACCGTAACTTGGACCGTGGTTGCGTTGGATCGTTATACTCGGCTGTGAAGAACTCTAACATCTTCAATCTTGATTTGGATTATGACCTCGTCCCAGATGAGCTTTCACAGAGGTTGGCTCTTTACTTGATGAAGAACTTGGACCGTCAAGTCAGACCAGACATCTCCAGCCGTGGTGATGCCGCTCAGGATGACGTCATGTTTGATGGTTCACTTCTCATGGAGACTGCTGAGAAGATGTTGATTGAGAGCGATAAGAATTCGGGAGAGGCCGACTTGAAGCTTCAGAAGATCATTACTAATGCATTGATCGAGAGAACCAACTCGATCAGAAAGGATATCCATAAGATCATCGATAGCCTTTTCCAGAAACGTGCAATGGGAACACTCAATTTCGAGGACAAGGAATCGTTGTTGCGTTTCTGTCTACTTGATGCCTCGCTAGAGAAGGTGGTTCATCTTTTCGAGCAAAAGGCGAAGAAGTTTACCAACACCCCATTGAGTCCATCACCATCTACGCACGACGATAAACAACTTTCGCTTGACCTGGCCATTGCGCAGGGTCCTACAGAGCCAATGAAATACGTTGATCATCAGCAGCTTCATGAAGGCTCTAAGGCACTCATTGATGCCGGTCCAATTTTGATGGCTAAGTCAAGACCCCCTCCAGTGACTTGCCAGCCTTGCGAGCAAACTTTTGAACCTCATCAGGTTGTCGTTGAAGCTGGTTCGGACGGTCTGACAGTTCCCATTGATAATACCACAGGCCGTCCTGTTTTGTTCAGATCCATGTCACAGACATCTGTGCATGCCAAAGAGCAGGAGAAGGAGGAAGGTGAGTTCCACAGATGGGGCTACTTCATGGAGCACAGAGACAAGGCCGAGGCTTCCGATAAGGAAAAGCAGGAGAAGTTGGTCATTGGCACTGTTCCGTCTGGGTCTGAGCTTCGAGAGGCCATTATTGACGCCAAGGGTGTGGACTCTGTCACGGACTTGATTTCGAAAATCAACAGTCAGAGAATCAGTTTGGACGGCATTTATAACCCAGGACAGTCTGCCCCGGCTACTGAACAGCGGCCTACAACCACTGAGCCTGTGTTCCAAGATGCACACGAAACACCGGTCCAGGATGATGATACGCACTCAATTGACTCCAACGAAGATCAAAATGTTCATCCTGTGGTTGACGAAGCATACGATAAGCTCTTGAACGAAGCCCAGCGGGTCCGCTCCAACAAGGATGCAGCCTAAGGATAGCTACAGAATAGGAATACACTAGCATGCACCATACAGCGTAGACTACATCAAAACTAGAAAGATTAGACGATTGACTATACAAAAGACGCTTACTCCTGCTGGGCCTTGAAGTTGGCGATCTTCTCGGCGATCTTGGCCTGTCTCTGCTCCTTGGTCAACTTGACGTCCTTGTACTTCTTGGACTCAGCAGCGTACTCGGCCTTGGTGTGCTTCTTCTCAGTAGGCTTGAAAGATGGGTCCTCTCTGATCTTCTCGTGGGCGTTCATGTAGATCTCCTCAACGTCCTCAGGGTCAATCTCCTCGTCAATGTAGGACTTGAAGACCTGTCTGTACTTCTCCTCATCGTCGTCCATCAACTCCTCCATGTACTCAGCAATGTGACCACCCATGATGTACTTTCTGAGGAGCTCAGCGTCCAACTCCTCGGACTCAATGTCCCAACCTGGGAATCTGTTAGGAGAGTGAGGAACGTACAAACCACCGTCAGAGGCACCCTTCAAGACACCAAAGACTCTAGCACCGGTGGTGGTTCTCTGCAAACCAATGTCCAAGAAAACCTTGAAAGGACGAGGACCGTCCTCAACGGCCTCGGTGAGCTCGTACTCACCCTCGACCTCCTCGACACCCTGGTAGGTCTCGTCCAAACCGAGCTTCTGCAAAGCTCTTCTGGCAACCAACAAACCGACAGCGTAGGCAGCAGACCAGTTGGTCAAACCGTGCTTGATACCGTATCTTGGCAACTCGTGGGCGTAGGCAGCGGTCAAGACAATGTCACCGACGATCTGGGAAGAGACAATCTGGGCAATGATGTCCTTGTTGGTGAATCTCACCACCAATCTGTACTTGGGGAGTTGTACTTGGCCTTGTGCTGAGCGACCAATCTCTTACGCTGGTAGTAGTCGGTCTTACCCTCTCTTCTTCTACGGAAGGGGGTCTGGAAACGAGACGAGTAGGCGGAGGTCTTGACGGCTTTTTCGAAAGTCATTTGTGATGTGGTGATGGAGAAGAGAAATTTTTCAGTCAAGGTTTTTCGCACCTTTAGGGCGATGTGGCCTGTGCACGACCTTTGGTAGAGACTTGTGCGGGTCTGTGTGCGGGTCTGCAATGTGCGCGGATGCGGGTAAATCTGGGTATGCCGGGGACTAGGTTTTGGATTTGGTGGGGGAGCTTGAATAAGGGTTATTTTTGGTGTTGTAGCTTTTTGTTCTCTTGGAAGTTTGCTTTGGTCTTTTTGGCAATTGGGTTTCAAGTGTGCCATTGAGGTACTGTAAGAAGCGAGGAGGACTAACAGGAGTCCGTAGTTTATGAGAACGCAGAAAGGTTGACTGCCCAGTTTGATAGTAGTACTGGGGCTGCTGCTGCTGCTGGGGAAAGCCATAATTGTCGTTGAGATCCAACAAATTGTCTATCTCAATGGCTACTGGAGATGTAGCAGACGTAATGAGAATGGCTTGTGCATCTTCTCAGTAGGGAGCCGGAAAAGCCTATTTGAGGGATTGAGGATTGTAATGATAGAATACGAATGGTTTCATTTTGGTGGCCCATTCTGCCTCCTTCATGAAACCGTTGCCCTCACGACTTGCAGCCGTGCTGCTTAACAATAGTTGACATAAGCGAACCTCTGTCACGAGTGAAAACATTTTCAACACTTCCCCCATTCAGTTTAGATTTACTTTTTAATCTATGGCTGAATTCCTCATTTCCAGCCGATTCTATCTCTGTTGTCCTCGTGAACCGAAACATCACCATCTCACCATTGCACGGCTGCGAAATACTACATCACCAGATCCATTCAACCAGAACGACACCACTCCACCAAAACCCCAAGTAGCCATATAAAACACCTCAATCAATTAAACAGATACCAATTCAATCACCCAGCCCATTGCTCCTCTAAAACGCCCCCTCCTCTGCCTCTATAAACCATGCACTTACGATGCCAGAACCACCAATGCCACTGAACCACAACCCACGCACCGCTTCCAATAGATATCCCCCAAACTGTCTCCCACGGTGCTTGCCCCCCACCCCCAATGTCCCCAAACTTGCCCCTCCTCCACTTCCTTCCACCTGGTGCCCCCAAACTTGCCCTCCTCCCTAGCAGACTATGCATCGGGATCTGCATCGCTTGCGTCTTGACACCGTTCGACAATTTCGCAGCCATTTCTCCCATCCAATCCTACACCCTCATTTCTCCAGCTTTTTTCCCGCTGGCTTCACAGCCACATCGTTTGCATCAGTGCACCAGCTCATACCGGCTGTTATCTCTTCCGATCCCATCTTGCTCTCTTCCATCCACATGTCTTCCGCAGAAGCTCCCACAGACGGCCCCCAGCAGGCTCCAGACGAAGGTTCTGTTAGATACGCCGCCTATGCTAACAGATTGAGAACTATCCTTCGTGCCTCCCACAGGTACGTTGCCTACACCTCGGACATCGGTGAGTCCTTCAGACCGGTGGCACACCCTTACCTTGTGACATTGGGCTACGGTGTCTCGTGGGCGTACTTGTTGTGTGATGTCAGTTATGCTTCTTGGGTGGTGAAGATGAGAAACGAGGGCAAGTACCGTCCAGGGCTCTTACCATGGCAAGAGGTGGGAGAAGCCGATAAGGAACAAGCTGAGAAGTACAGAGCGCTGGTGCACAATTCGTTGGCTGAAACAGACTGGAGGGTGCAGTTTGCCAAAAGAGGTGTTTTCCAGGGCTTGGCCTCCATGGGGTTGCCTGCTTTGACCATCCACCTGGCGGTGAGGTACTCGTCGGTTCTTTTCAAGAACGTCAAGACCAAGGCCATCAAGACGTACGGTCCTGTTTCTGTGGGTTTGGGTATTGTGCCTCTTTTGCCTTATATCTTTGACGAGCCTGTGGAGCACGCTGTGGACTACGTTTTCGACAAGGGCGAGGCCTTGTACAAGCAGAAGCTTGAGTAGTATATAGAAAGCGACAATTTTGTGAGGTTGTAGGTGATTAGTTCGCTGATTTGGATAAGTTTTGGGGGAGTTTGCCGCTCAATTGGTGGCGACAATAGGATGACGTTGTTTGCTTGGCCGAAACCGTTATCAGTCATTGTCATTGAGTCAATGCATGTTGTCTGTTTGACGTGCCCTGGCTTGACGCCTTTCAATAAGCGAAAGCCAGATATCTGGAGGAGAACTAATTAAAGAAAATCGAAGATTCTGCATCTGTAGAGTTTATCTGATCGCAGCTTCTGCAAGTGTCTCGTAATCTGATCGAGGTGCATAAGATGCCTCGAATAATTTGCAGCAATTCGAACAATTCAAAAAGATGTACTCTTTATCTGCCGCTTGCTTTGGTAAATAAACTTCTAAACCCATGACTGTCTCTTCGCTACTACAAAACTCGTGTGACACCTCCACCTCGACTACACAACATCTACACTCCACACCCTTATCCATATCATAAAACTTCAATTTTCAACTCCTTCTTTCACCCCATTCTAAGCTATACCTGCGGCTTGGCGTAGTTGTACTCACCGCATTTCTTGCACGTTCTGGCATCATCGTCCCCGTCAAACGACATGATTGCTTCCTTTACCTGTGTGCCCAAGTCTGAGCAATAGAAAACAATCTCGTGAACAATCTCCTTGCAATTTCGACAGTACCATCTGATTTTGTCGTTCACATTCTCGGGCCTATCCTGTTCCACGACCAAACCTATCGTGTTGGCAAATCTGACGGGATTGTGGGGCACGTTTCCGGGCAACAAGAAGGAGTCGCCTTCCTCGATCACAATATCCTTGAACTCGCCCTCGTCAACAACCTTCAAACACATTTTGCCTTTGAGCTGGTGAAAATACTCGGGTGTCTGATTCACATGGAAGTCTGTTCTCTCGTTGGGTCCCCCACGATCATCACGGTGGCACCCCCACGGTGGAGGCAGTAGTTGTTGACAGGTGGTTTTAAAAGATGGCCATTTTCTGCTATCCAGTTTTTGATATTGATTGGAGGAGTAAGCATGGTGTGATATGAAGAAACCGCAGGATGACTTATTGAACCGCAGGTGACTCAGACTGCACGAACTAGACTATGCCAGCTTCGGAGTGTACAGCAAAGTTGAGGTGAGGGTCCAATAGTTCGCGAGAAAAAGAAAAGAAGCTTCCCCACCAGGAGTCGAACCTGGAATCTTCTGGTTCCAACAGAAGTGGTTACTTATCGTAGCCAGACGCCTTGACCATTGGGCCATGAGGAACGAAGCTTGGAAGAAGGGAAAGTGGGTTTGATATATGGTGCAGTTTGTTAGTGGTCAAAAAACTTCAAATTTGAAGATTTAGATTAGTTAGCTTTTGTTTCAACATTATTTTGGCAAATTTTCAGCGCTCTGGGGCCAATTTTGAACGAGTTAAGGCAAAAAGTCTCCAAAACGAAGGAAATGCTTATATAACTTGTACTATTAGATAGCTTACGTCTCCAGATGTTCATAGAGATATTCATATCTACCGAAATCCATCTGTGACCGAAGTGGCGTATCAATGTTCTTCGCAAGGTTGGTGCCCTCGATACAATAACAACACTTTTCAAAACCACTAAATAGGTATCAATTCTATTCTTCAAAGATGGAAAAGTTGTGTCTTTGCCACCCGTTCTCATGTACATCGGTGGAATACGAAAGGCTGAGTCAGTGCATGCTCTCCTGCCAAATGTGCTAAATCTTATCACAACATTTCTAACTTCAACACCTCAACACTGTAAATATTACTACCAAACTTACTGTGTCACCGATAGAATCGAAATGAAACTTGCATTCCATCTTTGCCTTGTATCGTGCGTGTTACTACTGGTTGTGATCGCCGAGTCTATAACACTTAGGGACCATCTCAATACAACTTTGACCAGTGTTGACAAATGTAATAAAGAACTTAATATGACAGCCACCGTCTTTGTTAAAAACGACAGACAAGTGTTGATACTATTACCGGCTGAGAACAACAGCTCTATACCCCATGATGAGGCTGAGGAGCGGTACATTGAAGCTTACAGAACATCAGTGAATTGACAACATTCACAATGTTCGAAGACAGTCCAGAAGTTTTCTCAGCAATACACGAATGCCAATTGAGCGATGCCACAACCTGGCTTGAAAGAAGTCGTATAGATGATCCAGTGGTGGCACTGCCCTTAGATGATGTAACAGATTTTGCTTCGAATGTTCTCGTCAAAGGACTGACAAGTGAGATGCTATATTTATACACATCTGAGTATCTAGGATGTGCCAAAAACCAGGTTCTAGGAGGCATTTTAGGCTTACGATTTCGTGACGTTTTCCGATAGCCCTATCACTTTAAGAGGTATAACAATGTCACTACCCTAAAATAAGCGAACGACTCGCTCATTGTTTATATTTTGAGTGACCGCCTGGAAGCAAATTGTATAAATACTTAAGATATAGTAATCCATTTTCAGCAGTGAATTGAATTTGTAACTCTGGGTTTTAATCTACCTAGTGGCTGCGAAAAGCATTTAGGAACCACGATTCTTCATAAATAATAAAACACGAGGAAAGCGTTTGCATTCTATAACAAACAAAGCATCTCTTTCGTCGAAAACATATAAAATCCTTCTTTGGTCGCCAAAATGCTCAATACATACCTTATATATGTCACATCTTCGTACCATCCTATATACGCCTTCCGCACTCACCTAACTCTATATCTTCACCTACCTACTACTCCTGGATTCCTCCACAAAACCACAAAATGAAAGTCCTCATTGTGGTACGCTTTACAGATTCGGTATCTGGAGAGCTGATTCCAGACTTGGAACTCCCCTTAACCATTAATTTCGATAGAGACGATGTGAACACCCTAGTGTCAAGCATGTGGCTCAAGGAACAGATCAGGACACAACGAGAGGGAACAGAAAGAAGAAGAATACGACTTATCTACAATGGTAGAGTGTTGAACGAACTCACAAACTTCAGAGACGACATTTTCTTGCCTAAGTTGCGTCTGATGGAGGTAGACGAACAACTCAAGATCTACATCCACTGCTTAGTTGGAGAGACCCTCACGGGAAGCCAGCTCAGTGAGGAGCGAGAGCTTGACAGGAGACCTCAGCAGGTTTCTACTGCTCCACAGGTTGTTGGTTTTGATCGCTTGCTTCAACAGGGCTTCAGCCAGGAAGATGTGAATGACCTCAGGCGGCAGTTCAGAGATGTTTATCTACCCGACGCTCTCCAGCACATGAACGCCGGAGACGTGACAGACATAGAAGAGGAGGAGGCTCGCCAACAGCTCATACGCCAGCTTGAAGAGCGCTGGATCGAGTCCACGATAAACGGGAACACCGCCAATACCACAGTTAGCGCAGGCGCTGACGACGATACGGGTGTGATTGCGCCGACAGTGAGGGCCTCAGCTGAGCTAGAGGAGTCCAACAGGAATGAGGATATCGTTGTGGGCATGTTGATCGGAGCCTTCTTGGGTGTAGTGGCCTTGGTGTTTGAGGTGTTGGACGACAGCTACATGAGCAAGGACCGCCGGTGGGCCGTCTTTGCTGGCGTGATGATGAACGTTATGTACGCCATTCTACGGGGGCAGTGGTTGTGATGAAAGAGTTGCAACATTGTACTCTGTGGGAGTATTGACTAGAGCACGTCTCAAGCCACGCCAGTCTCGGGCCAGGCATTCTTAAGCCAGACAAGTTCAGAAAACCACCAGAGAGGATACAAAGCCGTCGATTAGGGTTTAGATGTCCCATTTTCACCCCAAATGATACCGAGATGCCCTTTAGCTTATGTTTGACCCGAAGGTGTCTTAAACAGAGTGAGGAATCAAGAGCTTTAATAATGCCAGAATATAGATTTCGGAGCATGTCTCGTAGCACTGCCAGCTAAAGGATGAAAGAGGTATGCTTAGGTGACTCCCAAGGTTCGGTCCTCTTAGTTAGAGGTCCATCGTATGTCTTAGAGTAAAACTTGAAGGTCGTCGTATAACAAACCAGAGGAAGCCTACTCCGAAGAACGCTTCTGATCTCTTTTGAGGATCTGGCACCCAATTCGATACTGAAATCGTAATGACAAACGTGCATCTCCAAAACCTCACAGCTTTTGTGGTCCACCACCTCATCGCTACACCATCACACGAGCTCACGCCCGATCTACACTTCTTCGTGAGCGGCCAGGCCGTACTCACATTCTGGAGAATGTCTGATCTACCAGCCCTCACGAGCTCCACAAGCTGAATCCCAAAAGCGGAAGACAGCTCGACAGCGAGACACATGAAAGGGCGCTAAGATGATCGTTGGTCCATCACTGGATGTTATTCTGGCCAGAACTTGACACTTGCCAACTCGTAGGGATATCGGAAACAGACAAGCAACACGGTATAAGTTCTGGCCGCCGCACGAAGAAGAAAAGAAAAAGCTGAAAAAGATGAGATGGGCCGCTGTATAAGTAGGTGGATGCTGCGTTACCCGGTGTGGGCTGTATGCAGGTGGGACAACAGGATTCAGTTAGGTCTACCGATTTGGATTTTCCGGGGCGTTATATTGGGGGGTTTTGAAACTACAGTAATTTAGCAACTAGTGAAAGAGGTTCGAGACAGGTGCTTGAGGGTTTTTTTTCCTAGCGCTGTATTGATATGAGTTGAATGGTACGCTGACATGGCTTGAAGCTTGGGGTATCAGATTCTGCTGAAACTTTAGAAGAAAAGTCATGGAGTTATTTGATCAGGAAGTATTGAGGTGATGGTTTTCAAATGAGTAGGTCTCGCAACTAAGGGGCATTGAAATGGTGTAGGTGAGGTGGCTGCAAAACACTGCAACATGTCTGCGTACATAAGCGAGAAAAGTCTAACTGTGGGCAATGCAGAAAAATCCCTTTTCTATGAATGCTAAATTATTGATATTTCCTGTTATAGGAATGTGTCACTCATATAGCGTCGTTCATGAACATGAGGAGAAACCCCGATAGCCCTAATCACTTCGAGTAATCATAAAGCCTCGCAAATCGCTAAGCTACTCACAAACGTTTATACCCTAGACAGACCATTCTCAACAATGCCATCCCATTGCACAGAGCTCAATTCTTGTCTTGAATTATCAAAAAGCCACTCGCAGGGGCACTGGTGGTTTCCAGATCCATCAACCATTGCATCTTGGCAGCAACCCTGGACATTGCTTACCCTTAGCAGCCATTATCCTGGTACCAATAATCATCATCTTTCCTCACTATCACCCTTCTCCCTCCATCTCACGCTCGGCTGCGAAGAACAATGGGTGCAACAAATGTCATATGCGTCACTCACGATCCTTGTTCAAAAGGCAATACCTCGGGGATTGAGGATCCCGGTTTTAGCCGTTTGGCAATAACAACTTTCTATGACCGGGTCCAATTGCAAGCGAGATACGCCGGGTCCGCAGACGCAGCACTCCGGTCCGCAGCTAGCGAGTCCGAGGGGACGCCTAACGCCGAAAAGGCTTAGATAAGAGAAATTGGATTTTTTTCTTCGTTGCAGAAACCGCGACTTCTATCCACCAGAAAGCTTATGAGTCAAACAAAAAATGGCATTCCTTCTACCCTTGACGCGGTCTCCACACTGCGAGGTGATAAGACCCAGGGCACAAAATACACTGCCGTCGAGTGGTTCGAGGTTGAGTATCAGTCACGTGACACGCTTATGTCCTGTTTGGGAAAGTCTCTTAGCGGAGTGGCCCCGGCGACTAAAATTAAGGTTGATCCGTTTCAGCTTGGCGAATTTTGCAAAACCGGCATCTTCAAGAACCCCGGGCCTGTTTCTCCGAGTCTGCAGCACATCTGAATCCAGTGTATCGTGTCAAAAGCTGCACCCCTCACTGCACATTTTTTCGAGCATTGACCATTTTCGCCCTGCCCAAATTCCACTGCTACTTCATTTTTTCTTTTCATGTCTGAAAACCCATTACCCTTCATTTACCAGTTCGCCTCCGGCGCCATCGCCGGCGTGTCCGAGATTTTGGTCATGTACCCTTTGGACGTGGTTAAAACTAGACAGCAATTGGCTACCACCTCCGATTACAATGGCACCATTAGGTGCTTGAGAAAGATCGTTGCCGAGGAGGGTTTCTCCAGATTGTACAAGGGTATCACTGCCCCATTTTGATGGAAGCACCAAAGAGAGCCACCAAGTTTGCTGCCAACGACGAGTGGGGCAAGTTCTACAGAAAACAATTTGGTGTTTCGCAGATGACTCAGTCTTTGGCAGTTTTGACCGGTGCTACTGCCGGTGCCACCGAGTCGTTTGTGGTGGTGCCTTTCGAATTGATCAAGATCAAGTTGCAGGACAAGACCTCCAAGTTCAATGGCATGGGCGACGTGATGAAGCACGTCATCAAGGAAAACGGGCTTTTCGGCATGTACAAGGGTTTGGAGTCCACCATGTGGAGACATGTGGCATGGAACGCTGGCTACTTTGGTTTGATCCACCAGGTCAGAACCTTGATGCCAAAGCCAAAGAGTAGCAGCGAAAAAACCATGATCGACTTGACCTGTGGTACCATCGGCGGTACTTTCGGTACCATCTTGAACACACCTTTTGACGTGGTGAAGTCCAGAATCCAGGCTGGTTCCTCCAAATACATCTGGACTGTCCCCTCGGTTTTGACGGTGGCTAAGGAAGAAGGTTTCGCTGCCTTGTACAAGGGTTTCATCCCCAAGGTCTTGAGATTGGGCCCCGGTGGAGGCATTCTTTTGGTGGTGTTCACCACGTGCATGGACTTTTTTAGAACCATCCACGACAAGAAGTAGTCCGCCCTTTTATCTGTAATAATATCCATGTATTTACTTCTTTCGGCGGCTCACCCACGTAAAGTCATACAAAATGGCAAACATGTCGAGAATCTCCACTTGCTTGTCAAAGTCAACGTAGTCTTGGTACCTGTCCAAGTACTTGAAGGTGTCTGCGTAGTTGAAGGCGCCCAACAGCACCGTTGTAAGCGGCGGCTTCTCATTCTCCTTAGGCTCGGTGCCTAATATCAGGGTGATCTTGCTGAGTTTGGCGTTAACCTCGTAGAAATCACGCTCGCGTGTTTCCAGAAGATCAAATTCTCTCTTGAGTGCTTCCAAGTAGGCATCGACTCTTTGGAAGTTTTCCTTTTTGGTTATGAAGCGGTTGTAGATGGCTGCAATTGGCTGCAAACTCTGAAGCATTGTAAGGAGCAAATCGTACTTGACCAGCTTCACCAGATGGGAACCAAAGATCCATGAATCCTCGGCAATCTCGAATATACCGTCGTACAGTGGGCCGAGAATGAGGTCGAACACCAGGAACACCTCCTCCACAACGTATTTTGAGTCCTCCTCATTGAAGTTCTTTGCAACAAACTTGACGAAGGAAATCAATGTTTTATAGAGCTCCACCCACCTGTAGGCGCCAATGTTGTCCACCTGGGCCTCCTCGAATTCAAGAAGGATGTGGTACAATACCGTCAAGGCGATCTTGCAATTGTCCAAGTCGAGCTTCTTGTTCAAGTTGAACCTCAAGACAATTTGCAACACATCAATGATATACAAAAGGATATTTTTGTCGCCCCTACCGCCCAAGTCATCCGGGACCACAGGCGATCTATGGTGACACAACTTCCATTTGAATTCGTTGATGGTCAACGCCTTGAGGTGCTCCATGTTACCAGCCTTCCTCAGCACGAGCTTGAGAAGAATAAGGAGCACCAATCTAGCGCTGAATGTGTTGATCTTCAGTCTCACCTGATGGTGAAGAACATACGATGAGACGCAGAGCCAAAGACGCAAGATCGACACCGATTCCGTGGTTTCCTCCTGTTGAGTGGTCAACACTTTCATAAAGGAGGTATTCAGCAGCAACGAGTAGAGAAGCAAAGTCACGTTCAAGAAACCAGGGGACCTTAAGGCCCGTTCGTCATCTGCATAAATGACACCCACGGCATTGAGACGAGATGTGCATTCATAACGGAGAATCTCTTCAAGCAATGGATCCTGCTTCAACTTGTTCACAGAACTAAGGTTCTTGCAGTTTTTGCTAAAATTCGTCACCTGCTCCACAGTGTCCACCGACATGTACCCGCTGCCGGTGAGTTTGTGGCCTGTGATCCACGAAAAGAACGACGAGTGGTTGAGTTTGTGTGAAAGCAAATCGTCCATGAGGCCGTAGAAGTAGTTAAAGTTTGCAGCCAACACGGGAACGATTCGTGAAACATAAGGACCAAGCACGTCAGGGTCCAAAAAGTCCTTGTGGCCGAGGTAATTGGTGTATATGTTAGGCGATGTCGTTTTGATGGTGGTGATGTCCAACGACAAGGAGATCTTATCAAGAAGCAAGATGCTCAACGGACTGCTGGCCAAGGAGCCCTGGATCACGTAGAGCTGCATCAATGTCTCATACGAAAGACGAATGTCGTCCTTGGACGTCGGGTGCTCGGTACTTTTCCATGTCTGGGTGTTGATAGTATCGAGCGTGCGTGAGAAGTCCACTTTAAAGAAGGAATGGAGCACACTTTTCACAATAAGAAACCGCCTCAGCCCGGGCTTGTCCCGCTCCAACGCAATTGCCTTGTACAAGCCACGGAGGATCTCGTGGATCAACAAAATGAGCTCCTTAAACGAGCCTAGGTAGCCAATGTGGGATGTAGGAAGTGCCAAGACAGCGTCCATGAACCAACGAACACGGAGAAGAAGCTCCCCGAGGTGTTTTTCGGTCAAGCGGCCCCTTGAATCTGGAACGTCAAAAACAATGCCCACCGCATCCAAATTGTTTTTCTTGGAAGCCTCCCAGAGGTTCCCAAACCATAGACGTAACACCAGGGCTATCCTAGTAACAAGCTGGTTTCGTGCTGCCACGTCAAGCTCACCCAATGGCGGCAGTTCCACGGTATCTTCGGAAATGCTCACCACCAGCAGGCGTCTTTCCTCTTTTTCTTCAGGCTCTTCCCTTTCGATCTGGACGCTCTGGCGGCTTTGACCGGTCTGTGTCGCCAACGACTGACTGGTGATATCCTCCTCCTCCGAAACCTCGTTCTCCACAATTGACGGTTTTGTCTCCGCCTCGTCGGGTCGGTAGTCCACAGCCTCTCCCAAAAGGTGAACCCCGTATCTGAAGATACGATCTATTCCAGGAACTGGAGCTGGATGGGGTCTCCAGAGGGGCTCTGACGCCTTGGCCAAGTTTGCCAGGAAATCAGCCGGGTCAATTGCCTCAGTGAAAAGAGCGTGGATCTCCTGCACCACGTCCTTGCCGAGAAGCCGGGCGTAGTCCATGAGAAGTAGTAGTTGAGTTGGCAGTGCGAAATATCACCAAGCGGCGGGCCAAGTAGGAGGAGGCTGGCGGGAGGCACACCCAGTAAATTTTTAAAAATTTTTGGCGATCGGGGAATTGACCGCTTTATATACTTGTATGAGGGGCAATGGCGGGGTAGCTCTTTAACGTGGGCACTTGGTCTCGTGTCCAAGCCAGCCAGGGTCCTCAGTATGGGGTAGAACAGCGAATCGGAGGTTCTGTGATTTTGGAAATTTCAGCAAATGGTTCCAAATAAACTCTAATTCGAAAATTTTATTATGATAAGGTTTGAGAGGTGTTTTTTTGCTCAATGGCCGAAAACGGGTTTGGTGCACTGCCTGATAAGAACCGTGCACGAATGAGGCTTTGCTAAGCGAGATCAGCCAACGGTTTGGTTGCAAGGTGGGATGAAGTGGGGATTTTCAGAGGTTTTAGAAATTTTGAAGGTTTGCTGGAATTCTGGAATCGAATTTGAATCAGACTGTCTCTGATTGGCTTCAATATGAATTCGACCTTGGAAGTGGTGTGATGTGATATTACCGCTGTGTAGTAGGAGGCTCTTTACTAGGTGTGACACGGGAGTTAGACTTTGAAAATTGTAAGAAACGAATTTGCCAAAGTTCACTGCCAAAGCTGATATAGTAGACGTGAATAGAATCGATCCGCCCAGAGGGTATGTAGAAGATAATTGGCTCAGAATGGTCTCACAATCCTCTACCAAAACTTCACCAGGTTTATCGGTTGAGCTTAGCATATCAGATCTTCAATTGGGTTTTTTGATTGTCAGGTTTTCCTTCATCAGCTGCATATTCCCAAAAACTGCATTGTTCGATGATGTAGGCTTTCTCCATACTGAGACTACTTATCTCACGAGACACATTCAACCGGCCTAAATACTATGACGGTATTAACATAAAGTACTGCTCTCAATAAGTTCAAGAGTTCTGCAACGCTAGAAACTTCTACTAAATCAAAGACCTACAAATCCCTGACTACCCATTTCTAGATGTATCACTATCAAAATCAAGCCCAATGGGCTCAGACAACAAAACCTCAACGAACATCTTCAAACGAACTCAAATACAAGATCCCCAATAACCCCAATAAGCAAAGCAGAAAAACCGTTATGAAACACGCCGTTTTGTGTAACGTCCAGACGCCAACCATTAGCTGGTTTGCACCCACCAGACACACGTTCCCAACCGAGCTCCGCCCAAGTCAAGAACAATGCATTCAAAATAAAAAGCTTTTGGAAAAGAGCCAGAAGATGAAAATCCAAGAAATTCCAAATCTCATCAAATCTTATCACCCTCCATCCCCTCAATCGTAGATCAACCTCACTCAGGGTCTTCATGCCGCATTGTTTTATGCACGGTTTCAGCCGGTCCGTTGACAGCCCAAAACGGTGTTCAACGACATTTTCCGACAAGGTATAAAAGGAAGCCGATTCCCGCCTCGAAACCACGAATCCTTCGTTTTTTAAGACCCCTTTCCAAACCATTTTACCGCTCCGCCTCCCGTCCTCCCAATAACTCCGTGTACAGCCTCCTATTGACATCGCGAAGCCTATATCTCCTACTCCATCAACACCCCGTCTTCTTCCCATCAAACCTCCTTGAAGCCCACTGCCATGTCCTATGAGCGGTTGGAGCAGGATATACCCCTCGAGGACCTCGACACCGAGGCCAATTACTCCGATCTGCTGGAGCTTTTCGACGAGATCGAGAACTACACAAGGAAGAACCGCGTTTCTGGCGAACACGCCGACTTCACCGAGGACCCTGGGTTCCAGAAACAGAAGGAGCTGTATTTTGGAGGGAATGCCCTGCTGCGGAAACTGCTAATAACTGTGTGTGTTGCTGCCGTGGCCTTGTGGCTCGTGGCTCTCATAGTGTACTCCAATGGAAAGGCCCAGAAGGCTACAGAAAACATGTGGCACGGCTCGCCGACGAATATCGTGGCCTTATCGGATAGGAACGTGACTTTGAATGAGTACCTGCCGAAGTTGGGCAACGTGTCGATGGCAGAGTACCGCAAGGGTACCTACTTTGCAGATGAGAAGGTAGTCCGGTGGCTTCTGAAGAAGCAACAACCGAAAGAGGGTTCTGGAGTGATCAGAGCCGGTTTCTACATGACGCGAGACGATAAGGCGTTTGTTATTCGCCAGGCGGAAACGACATTTTCCAAAGTGGTGCTTGAAACCACCCAGTTTGAAGCCCTCAACAACTTCTTCTACGTCGACGATCTTCTCCTCAATCCAGGCGTTTCAGTCGATGACGAAAACACGTGGCACTTGCTCCGATCGGACCATACACCGCAATGGCGGCACCTGTCGTTTTCGTTGTACTGGCTTTGGAACCCGCTGACCGGTGAACATAAACCAGTGGGCCCAAACAATAAGAAATTGGAAAAGATCCATTTTGCCACCTTCAGCCCTGACGGGAAGACGGTCATCTTTGGCCACAACCATGATTTGTATTTATTGGATCTCAGCAGCATGAAAACCACGAGAATCACCACCACAGGCTCCCCTGAGATCTTCAACGGTAAACCCGATTGGGTCTACGAAGAGGAAGTCTACCCCCACGCGACGATGTTCTGGTGGTCCCCCGATCTGAAGAACCTAGTCTACGCCACTATCAATGACACCTCCGTGAGAGACTACAAGATGGATTACTACATCAAGGCTGCAGACAAGATAGGCATGTCGTACCAAAATCCCCCTGACGAAACCGTGGACGAAATAAACCAGTATCCGCTCAGGACCAGCATAAAATATCCCAAGCCAGGCACACCAAACCCCATCATTTCATTATCAATTTACGATGCAACTTCCGGCAAGACCTCATCTATCGATCTCAACGACAAGGAGCTCGGAGATGATTTCGTGCTTTATGACGCACATTGGATCGACTCAAACAGCCTTCTAGTGAAGGTGACTGATCGTACCTCGACGATTCTCAAGAAAAAGGTCTACCAAGTCGATGCAAAACAAACCAAATTTGTCTCGAAAACTAACAGCACGGAATATGGCGGCTGGATCGAAAAGCAACAGCCAATCACCGTGATCGAAAATGAATCTGGAAACAAGTACCTTGATAGAGTTGTGGACGACATGTACGTTCACTTGGCGCTTTTCGACCTGGCCGTGGCAGAGAAGCCTTCCAATATCATCAGCAAAATACGGCTGGACTCTTCAGTAGCCTACAATGCTGGTGAGGACGAGATCTACTTCCTCACCGAAAGCAAAATGGACCATCATTTCCAAGCCTATTCCTTGAAAGATGGCAAGACCAAGACTTTGACCACTGATCTCGGAAAATATGATATTCTGTTCAACAACGATGCCCAGTTTGTGAATTTGAGGTACAGAGGCCCTCATGAACCCTGGCAGAAGCTTGTCAACCTTGTAGAATGGACAGAGAATGCTCAGTTTGTCAACAAGGTTGATCCGGTCAGCGATACTCAGAAGCTCGCCAACACTCTTTCAAAAGTGAACGTGCCTACTCGTGTACACAGTCAAATACGAGTTGGCCATGCCTCTGAGGCTGCTGAGGTCAACATGATCGAGATCTTCCCTCCAAACTTCAACCCCAAAAAGAAGCATCCTTTGCTTGTTCACGTTTACGGTGGCCCTGGATCAACCACCGTCACCGATGACTTTGCCATAGACTTTCAAGATCTTGTCAGTGCCAACTTAGGAGCAGTGGTAATGATCATCGATCCTCGTGGAACTGGGAGCGATGACTGGAAGCTCAAGACATGGGCCTACAAACAAATTGGGCGCTGGGAGCCTGAGGACGTCATTGCCATCACCAAGGACTATATTTTGAAGAACGAGTACATTGACGAAAAACGCACTGCCGTTTGGGGCTGGTCCTACGGAGGATTTACAACACTCAAAACGTTGGAACGTGATGGCGGCGATGTGTTCAAATACGGCATGGCCGTGGCGCCAGTGACTAACTGGATGTTCTACGACTCCATCTATGCGGAGCGGTACATGAAGAGTCCAAAAGAGAACGAAAAGTACAGCCAGACCGCTAAAATTAATGATTTCGAAAACTTTAAGGATGTGTCTCGGTTTTTGGTGATGTCTGGCACTGCGGACGATAACGTCCATTTCCAGAACATCCTCTGGCTTCTAGACAATTTCAACGTCAAGGAGGTTGAAAACTACGACATGCATATTTTCCCCGACAGTGACCACTCCATTTTCTACCACAATGCCAATCACATTGTCTTTGATAGGCTTTTGGACTGGCTAGACATGGCCTTCCGGGGCCTTTGGAATTGAGCTTCCCACCAACACTAAGATAGATTGTACATTACTAATTCCAATTACTAGTTGGAGATGTTACAGGCGTGCGAGCCTTCTCCAACAAAATTGCAGACAAAGAGTCGTCGAGAGTAGGATGCATTTCATAATCCTAGTTATCGACCGTGTAGAACGAGCTCTCATTGTACTGATCAAGGCTGAATAGGCCATCACTTGTAAGTCTATAATCAAGCAGTCTATCCTTGCAATAGTCCACAGAAGCTGAGACGATCGTTGAAAGATTGGTGTTCAAATCTATTGAATGCAATTGCATTGTATGCATTGGTTATTTGTGGTCCGATGTTTGACTATACCTCCAGGTTCTGCGTTCGCATTCAACTAGCTACACATTTTCAAACAAAGCTACGAATTAGTAATACAGCTAAAAACATTCATAAAAAGGCGAATTTCATAGCAAGGCAATTTCACACCATATTCAGAATTTTCTAGTATCAGGCTAGAATCACTCTATCTTCACTGTGAAGTTTACCTTGTCATGCACTTCTACAGACTCATGGTATAAGGACAGGACCACTATCACCAACTACAGATCAACAACTACATCGCCAAATTTATGCTTCTTCGCTCTAATTGAGAAAAAAAAAAAATCAACCCACTATAGACATTTTATTTAAAAGTTCGATTTCTCTGTTCCTCGTGCTGAGACATGCCCCAGTCAAACAGACTACTACTTGTCAAAAAAGTTTCCCCAGAGCAAACAAATTCCCATCAATTCAATAAAAAATCAAGCAAATTAAATCTCTATCCCTTTTGATAGTTTAAGAGCCTCCCTCCATCCCATTTGCAGCCATTTTGACTTGTTCCTGCACCGCACACCTCATCGCATCAGGTCTTCGACTTTTCAACCAAACCCATACTCCAAAACCAGCCATGGCCAAAACTTCCAAAGCCACCAAGCGGTTTCAGAGCAAACACTTGAAACACACCATCGACCACCGCAGGCAGGTGCAGAAACACAACAAGCTAAAAGGCAAGAAGAAGGAGCCCAAGGATGAGCCCAAGCCAGAGAAAAAGTCCACCAAGCCGGTTTTCGATGACATGTCCATGGAGGAGTTTTTCGAGCAGGACATGAAGATTCCCGAGCCCAAGAAGGGGTACAAGGTGAAGAAGGCTGACGAGGAGTCGGACGACGAAGATTCTGAGGATGACATTTCTGAGGACATTGAGTTGGATAGTGAAGAGGAAGACAACGACAAGGCATCCGTTTCAGATGGCGAATCTTCTGAGGAGGAGGACGAGGAGCAGCTCAAGGAGGAGATGGACAAGCTTGCTGAAAAGGACCCAGAGTTCTACAAGTACTTGCAGAAAAATGACAAGGAGCTTTTGGACTTTGAGGGTGTGAACCCCATGGACGCCATTAGTGAAGATGAGGATGATGAGGAGGAGGAGATTGAGGAGGAGAAGCCAAAGAAGGAAAAGAAGAAGATCGACATCAACAGGGAGCTCCTCACGACGTGGAAGAAGCAATTGAAGAGTCCTACCGTGAAGATCATCCTGAACATCGTGGCTGCTTTCAAAGCTGCCGTCAATATCAACGCTTCCGAGGAAAGCGACCGCTACACCATTACCGATTCGTCCATTTTCGCCGATTTGATGTTTGTCGGTTTGAGACAGATCCCCCAGGCTATCCAGAAAGTGTGCCCATACAAGACCAACTCCAAGGGCATCAGAAGCGTGAACGAAAAGCACCAGGACTACGAAGAGTTGTTCCGTATTTTGAAGACCCAGCACACCGCCTTCATCACGCTTTTGGAGGATATCAACAACACCGAAACCGCCGCTTTGGTTTTGACGTCTCTCCAGGAAGTGTTGCCTTTCTACACCTCCCACAAGAAGATCCTCAAGCGTATTTACACCGCTGTGGTTGACGTTTGGGCCACTACAAAGGATGTCGAAACACAAATCGCCGCTTACGCTTTCATGAACAATTCTGCCAGAGAGTTCCCCAAACAGGTCCTCGAGATCATCTTGAAACAGACCTACTCGTCTTTCCTCAAGGCATGCAGAAAGACCAACATCCACACGATGGACCTTATCAACTTTGCCAAAAACTCTGCCGCCGAGCTTTTCGGAATCGACGAAAACTTGTCCTACCAGGTCGGTTTCGAATACGTTCGTCAATTGGCTATTCATTTGCGTACCACCATCACCAGCACCAGTAAGCGTCTGGCCAACTCCGACAACAAGGAGGCTTACAAAGTTATCTACAACTGGCAGTACTGCCATTCTTTGGATTTCTGGTCCCGAGTGTTGTCTCAGCAGTGCAACCCAGAGATTGAAGAAACCAAACACAAGAACAAGGAGAGCCCTTTGAGATCGTTGATCTACCCCTTGGTCCAGGTCACCTTGGGTACCATCAGGTTGATTCCTACGCCGCAGTTTTTCCCATTGAGGTTTTATTTGATTCGTTCGTTGATCAGACTTTCGCAGAATACCGGGGTTTACATTCCAGTGTTCCCGCTCATCTTGGAGATCATGACCTCCAGTCTTTTCAAAAAACCAGCCAAGAACGTCGCCTTGCCTGCTTTTGACTTTGAGCACAACATCAGAGCAAATCAGCAGTACCTCGGCACCAAAGTGTACCAGGACGGTGTCTGTGAACAGTTCATCGACTTGTCTGCCGAATTCTTTGTGTTATACTGTAAGAGCGCTGCTTTCCCCGAGCTCATTACACCCCCAGTCATTGCCCTTAGGCGTTTCATCAAGAAGTCGAAGCTTATAAAGTTCAACAAGCAGCTCCAGCAGCTTGTGGAGAAATTGACCGCCAACGGTTCGCTCATAGTGTCCAGAAGAGCCAACATTCTGTATGGTCCTTCTAACAAGGCCGAGGTTCGTCTTTTCATGAAGGACACCAAGTGGGAAACCACTCCTTTGGGCCAGTATGTTGTTGTCCATAGAAGAACCAGGGAGGAGAAGTTGAGACTTTTGAAGGAGGCTGTTTTCGAGGAGGAAGCAGCAAAGAAGAACGCCAAGGCCAAGGACGTGGAGATGGAGGATGCGCTTGCTTCCGGCAGCGAGGATGATGATGTTGAAGTCTCCGACGACGAGTAAACTGTTGCCTGCCAACAGTTGAGTTTGCATAACTAAATACATGTACAGTAGATCATGGATCTATCGGGATGAAGTTGCCGACGATGCAACTGGGGATGTTGTAGCGGTCTCTTCGTATCGTGAAGCTGAAGCAGCAGCTTTTTCTTTTGAAGCCGTCTTTGGTTCTCAAGTTGCAACTCGTAAGAACGGCTTTCTGGCCCTTGTCAAACGCAATGGCACCGTATTTCTCCCAAAAATTGACGGCACTCTCTTCGCTCATGAGCTCGTAGATTGCAAGCTTTCCGTCTTTGAGGTCGTCTGTGGTGACTCCCACCAACGAAGCAAACTCCTTGTTGCCTCTGTAGATCTCACCTGTACGTCTCCAGAGACAGGCGGGAATGGCCATGGACGTAAAGACACGGTCGTAATCTAGAAGCATACGCTCGAAGCTCTCCTCAACAAGAACCAAGTCCACATCCTTCAAGGTTCTGGCAATGGCTCTGAAAGCAGGACGGAAAATCGAAAGCGGTTTTAGAATTCTCTGCCTACTCGACTGGTTCATGTAGTTGTCCATGTAACCCTGGAGACGAGCGTATCCTTTGGCATAGTTGTACGGTTGTAGAAGGCCAGCCTCCAATTTTGCTTTGATGACCTGTTTGAGTCGTTCCTCGGGCGAGATTTCTGTCGTGGGGTCTGCAGCGGTTAAGAAGAATTTGTCACGAGCTGAGTCAGAGATTACCGGTTGCGGCTGGTCCGGGCCCGGTTTAGCGCCTTGCTCGTACTGATTCCCGTCTGTAGGAGCCTGTGTCTGTTGGTGCCCAATGACGGGGCTTTCTTGATTAGGGTTGTCAAACACCGGTTGCTGGATGTTGTGGGGCAGAAACGAGAGAAGATTAGTGTTGCTGTGGTTGTGGTTTTGGTTCTGGTTTTGAGTGTTGGTTTGGTTCTGCGGCATCAGGAAGGCCATCAACGAATCGGGGTTGTTGCCGTTGGCCCCTAGCGAACCGCCCACCAATTCGGGATCGTCAATCATCGAAAGAAAATCGTTCAAGGAGCTGAACTCGCTACCTGCGTGCTCCGAGTAAAAGAAAGGCTCCTCATTAAAAGGCAAGTTTTTCAGAAGGGCCCCCATATTGGAACCTACCCCGCCAACGCCCTGACCTGAAAAGCCGGAAGCACCCGCATTGGTGGGCCTATTTTGCTGTGGAGCCATGGTCTGGGCCTGTTGGGGTTGGACGAAGAGTGAACCCGGGTCAGTCCGGCTGGCAGCCTGGTGGTACCCGGCCATATCCGGTTGGTCCAAGGTTTGGTTGGAGGAAGTGTTGATTTCCGGGGCCGAACTGGACGATGTAGGCTGTGCTGTGTTTGTTGACCTTCCCGGGGCGGATTTCTTGCGCTGGCGGCCCGGGGTGGGCTCATCATGGCATAAATGCCCAATTCCTCTTTTGATACACCTCAGACAGGGTCTTGAGTCGTCGCAGATCATGTGAGACCGGCGGCAGTAAACACACGCCATTTCGACCTTTTTCTTCTTTTTCTTGGGTTTTTTCGTCTCGGTGGACGACCTGGAAGACGTGGATTCTGTCATTGATTGGCTGGTGTGGGATCCAGCTTGAGCACCCTCGACGTTCAGCTCAGTTTCCTCGGACTTTTCTCGATATTCCATTTTTGTTATATGCTATAGTTTGGATGCAGACGATGTGAAAGCCGTACAGTTTCCATCAAGGTCAGAAAGTTATGGAAATCACTGGAGGACAATAACAGAAAAACCGTGAGCAGTTCGATATGCGGCACGTGACCTGCGTTTTTGTCTCACCAGCTTCTGTGGGGCACCTTCCTGTACCCGACATCCCCCGGGAGGGCTTACATAGAAGAGCTACTAATCATAGTAAATCGTGTCGTAACTCGTTATCATGCTAATTCATGCGGATCGTAGATGCTGTCGAAGACGACGATGCTGTGAACATGGTGGACCGGCTCAGCTCCAGTGCCCGTCTCAGCTCCAGTGCCCGTCTCAGCTCCAGTGCCCGTCTTACGCCGGTCACTGTATCCTCGGCCTCTTCGTATCTGGTTTCCACAGACAGCCCTGGCGTGAAATATGCAGATGGTAGTGAGGACATAGCTGAGTTGCGTCCGGAAGACTCCAATCGTGATGCAGAGGGGTTCTCCTGTTGGGAGAACGACGTAACAAAGGAGGAGTTGGAAGAGGCGTTCTCAGGCAGCGCTTCTGGCGACGTTTGCGACGACATTTCGGTGGCAGACTCAAGCTGGAAGCTTCTTACGGCCGCTGTGGACCGCACCTCGGGCAGCGTGTTGTTGTTGAGCTGTGAGCATCCCGGTAGACCTATGGTTCTCTCCATCTGGCCCAAATCCACCGCAGGCGGTGCAACCAGCGATGTAAGCAAAGGCAGCGTCTCTGTGGGCCTCATGACATCGTTACACAAGGGACATGTGCGGCGGAAGTTGATGAGCCAGTTTGAGAGGCACTTCTCGTGGAAGATGTGGTGACAGTCCAAAACAAGCACCCGCAGCTGGAGAGGCGTGAACTTGTCCAAGCAGATAGGACACTTGAATGTGGGAAAGAAATCGTCGGGGGCAAATAAAAGCCCAAACTGCTTGCGCATCAGATAGAGGTCTGTGCCGTTGATGACGAAATTTTTCATGGAAGCTGGTGTCTCTGGTTCAATCATGGAAGCGACGTCCTCGGACGATGACGGGACCAGCGGAATGTCACTTGTCTGGTATGTGGCGGTCAAGTAGTAGTAGAAACTCTGCGTGGGCACCAAGTGGTTTTTGTGGTATATGTACACTGGAAGGTTCTTGACAAGGCGCTGGTTCATGGCGCTGACACGCCGTCTGCGACACATCTGAAGCGTTCTGACGAGGAGATAGCAAATGAGAATGAGTAATGGCGGCGACACGGCCATGGAAAGAAGGAGATTCATCCAATTGTCGAATGCAGCGGTTCGAATCAGGAGCTCCAAATGCTCCCACTCGAGGGTGCCAAGCATCTTGAAGTCCTCATTCAGAATGAAGAGGATTGGTGTTGCAAGCTTGCCGTCTGCATTGAATGACGCCAGGTACATGGTGATGAGAGCCCTATACGGCTCATCGTTAGCCACTATAATGGCCCTGGGCAGCAAGTCTGAATTAAGCAAATTCAGGATTTTCCTCACAAACGTGCATTTGCCCCTAAGCACGATCAAAATCTTGTCCTTCATGTCCTCCTTATTTTCAGGAACCCAGGGTCCCTCACAGGCATCTCCCGGCACTATGGCGTACTCTGCTGTCAAGGAGCGGCTGATAATCGGACTGAAGGAAGCGTAGCGTGCCACCATTTCGTAGGTTTCGTTGGAGAAATTGTATGAAACAATCAGATCTATCGGGAACACCAGGTTCACCACATTCGTGAACGGACTGTCCAAGTCGATATCGAGATCCACGACTTTGCCCGAGTCCTGGGTCTTTTCAGCGTCACTCGTGCAGCCAGCAAAATACCGGCTTTTGCACATGGCCGACAAATGGTACTCCTTGATGGAGTTTTTCGTCAAAAACAAGGCATCTCCAAGCTGGAGCTGGGAGGCGGATATGGCTTTTACGAGCACCACGGCCGCCACCACTATGGTAAAGATGGCTACAAGCCTTCTGGCCCGCGGCATGGTCAACTGGAGTTATGGGGCCTTCAAATCAGAAAAAGCTGGTATATTTAGTGCTGGACTCCTACTCTGGTGATTTAGGTGGGGAAAAAGTGTGGTGCACGGGTGTGGCATGATCGAGGGCTTAGACCGGACCATCGACATTCCCAGGGCGATTGGGACAAAGATATGATGATTTTTGTGTTTTGAGGGAGTGTATTGATAGGCTTTGGGTTTGGGTTTTGGGGTTTTTGGCTGTGGTACTTTGATGCGACGCGTCCTCTAATGGTTGCAAAATGTGCTGCTGAGGCAGGGCATTTGAATTTGTGATGGTTTTGCAGAAAATGGACCAGGTGCTCTAAATGCGTTACCTAAATGATGTCATTTGCTTAATGACTGGCATGTGGCGTGGAAACGGTGGGGAAGACAGGCGACTAATGGCTGCGAAATCGGCCCACCATAGGGTAATTGGAAGTGTAAATTCAAGAGTTCCAGAAAAAAATAAGCATCTTTTTTAGCATTTTGAAAAATTGAGTTTTGACGGTGAACAAGCTTGATTCAGGCATATTTGGCACTTTTGAAATGTGGTTGCCATGGGAAGATGTGTTGCATCATGTTGCTATGTGGAGAGACCGCATCGTACGTTGATCGCATGGCCTTGATACCACCGTGGTTAGTCATTCGCTGTCAGTGTTGTAATTTTTGGTTTCTTTAGGAAAGAGAAACAAAAGAGAATGCAAGAGTCTAAGTGTTTTGGTGGGGTTTCTTGGGAATGCTCAACACAGGTTGTACTTGAAGATATACAGTGTACTACACTCTAGCTCACTCGATGTGAAATCAGCTTCAGTACGGTTAGACTTGTTATTAGTGCATGGATGGTTTCCACCTTTCCTAGTGCCTTCTATAGAATGAAGAGTTACCGACGCCTTGCTTTCAGACAGGGTAAAGCTATTCAAATGCATTATGGTAGAAGACAATAACTGTGAGCATTTGCCGATTCAGCTTCTTTCACCTACTTCGAAATTTGCTTATTCTCTTTCTGTTTATCTGTTTCTCCTGCCTTTCTTGTAATTCTTCCAATCGTACTTAGACCCTTCAACAAGCACACTGCAGCACCATTGCACATTTTCTACTTCGAATAGACTTTGACGAAGAAGGATTGACTTTTTCGGCTATCAAAAACTTTTTTTTTGTTTTTGTTAAATTCATCTGATAAAATGGACTTTTCCACACTTACTACAAATTTATCATATTGTCCCACCAAACAGACATTTCCAAGATCTGTGTACCTCAGCATTTAACCATCTCGCAGCGGTTTGCAGCCGGAAGCATAAACGTAATTTTCCGATGAAGTCTTGATTTTCACCACACTCCATCATCTTACAAATATGTAAATGGGATTTTTTCAAAATCCCAAATTTGCAGATACGACCCACAACTCCAGATACGATTCTGTCTTTGTCTTTGGAAACAATCACCTGCTATTCTGTATGCAAGTGAAGCCCGACCTGCGTCCAACGCTGTCTCAGCCTCACCATAGCCCCAGGGGTGTATCAACAGATCCCATGAAGGAAGCCAAATACACGGAAAATAGTGGCCAAATCGAACTCGTTGGACCCAATTGAGTGGGTATACCAACTTTCAGAACTCAATTCGCCCAAATTCAGCCTCCACTTCAACATTCACCCTTTTGAGCCCGCACGACCAAGCAACTTCTACTACCGTGCAATTTCCAACTAGCAACAACTCCAACACCATGCTGGCTCCCGTACGCGCAACGGATGTATGTATTTCCAACTCAATCTCAAAACTCTTCTAACAACAGCCCAACGAGATTCTCAGTCCCCGGAGCAGGTTCCTTTGGAAGATCAGCAACTTGAGGATATCAAGACCGAGGTTGAAAAAGGTAAGGACACCACGGTGAACACAAAAACAACCGATTGGACCGTCAGTGAGGATTACAATTTCGATGACTGTGAGCACGAAAAACCTGAACCTAGGCAGCCGGTGCCTCCTGCTTACAGAGGATGGAAAGAGGTGGGCGGATACGACCACCATGAGAAGTTGACTGCTGAAGATGAAGCTACTGACTTGTTGCTGAAGGGCTCCTTTTTCGACAATTACTTGCCTGCCGTTGCCTTTGGCGACTGGTACCACAATGTGGCCTACATGATTCTCAGCGGCTTGTTGTCGTGGATTGTGGGATGGTTCCGTTTTTCGTTGGCTCCCGTTTTCTTCATTATGCTTGTCTTTGGCATCTTGTACCGTAGTTCTGTCAGAAAGTACAGACAGTCGTTGCGTGAGGTGGCCCAGAGAGAGTTTTCCGTGAAGCTGATTGAAAACGACTACGAGACCATGGACTGGCTCAATGTGTTTATGGAGAAGTTCTGGCACTTTTTGGAGCCCTCGGTGGCTCAGATTGTCACTGAACAGGTGAACCCCATTTTGGCTGCCTCGCCTGCCCCTGCGTTTGTGAAGGCCTTGTGGCTCGATACTTTCACTGCTGGTACCAAGCCTCCTAGAATCGTCAATGTCAAGACTTTGGCTGGCACCGCTGACGATGTCGTGGTTATGGACTGGGGTGTGGCTTTCACGCCCAACTCTTTGGCTGATTCCAACAACAAGCAGCAGAAGAACAATGTCAACGAGAAAGTCATCACTGTGGCCAACATCTTTGGTGTTGAGATTCCCGTTGCTGTTTCTGACGTTTCCTTCCACTGTTTGCTCAGAGTCAGATTGAGAATGATGACTGCCTTCCCTCACATCGAGACCATCAGTGCCTCGTTGATGGAGGCTCCTCATATCGATTTCAACTCGAGACTTTTGGGTAACACGTCCTTCAACTGGGAGGTTTTGGCCATCCCTGGTTTGTTTCCGCTCATCAACGAGATGATCAAGAAATACGCTGGTCCTATTTTGTTCTCGCCGCTCTCCTTCCAGTTGAATGTCCAGCAATTGATGGCCGGTGCTCCTTTGAACTCCGCCGTGGGTCTTTTGGTTATCGACGTCAAGCACGCCAAGGGTTTGAGAAACTTTGGCGGTATCAACAACACCGTCGACCCATACGTTACTTTTGGTTACTCTAAGGAGGTTCTTGAGCACACTTCGGTTAAGGACGACACTACAGAGCCCGTTTGGAACGAGCGTTTGTATGTCTTGGTGAACACCTTCTCGGAGCCTTTGAACATCAACATTTTGGACAAGCACAAGCGCAGGAAGGACAACCAGATCGGTTCGATCCAGTACGATTTGGAGACTTTTAGAGACAAGGAGCAGCAGGATATTACTGCTCCTATTATCCGTAACAACAAGCCTGTTGGTGAGTTGCTGTTGTCGATGCACTACATGCCTACTTTGGTTTCTCAAAGACAAGCCGACGGTGCTGTCATTCCTCCTCCTGAACTCAACAGTGGTATCGCCAGAATTGAAGTTGCTGGTGCCAGACACTTGAAGTCTGAGGGTGAGAGTCAGGAACCATTGACTACTTCTGCTGAGATCTGGGTCCAAGGTAAGTGTGTTGTCCAGACCGGTGTTCAAAAGAAAACCAACAGTCCTACCTGGTCGGATGCCAAGGAGATGATTATCTTCAACCGTGCTAAGACTAGAGTCAAGATCTTGATTAAGGACGACAAGGGTAAGGTGATCAATGCTATTGTCAAGAGATTGAACGATTTGATTGATGCTGCCATGGTCGACGATCCATGGTTCCAATTGCCAAATGGTGGTGAAATCCAGATCAACTCGTTCTGGAAACCTGTCATGTTGGAAGGTGCTGAGGGTACCGCTGGTTACACTCCACCAATTGGTGTTGTCAGAGTCAGCGTGCAAAGCGCCGAGGACTTGCGTAACTTGGAGACTATTGGTAAGGTTGATCCATATGTTCGTATTTTGGTGAACGGAAGTGAGAGACGAAGAACAGCCTATTTCGACTCGACTTTGACCCCCACTTGGAATGAAGTGCACTATGTGACTATCTCATCGCCTAATCAGAAGTTGACTTTGGAAGTGATGGATACGGAGAAGATGGGCCCAGATAGAACTTTGGGTTCGTTCGATGTGAAATTGCAGCCATTGATCCAGAAAGACAACAAGGGTAACTACATTGAGACTGTTGATCCAAAACAGCGTACCTCTAAGTTGATCCACAAGAAGGGACCTAAGGGTACTGTGACCTACTCCTTGTCGTTCTACCCTGTGTTGCCAGTCATGACAATGCAAGACATTAGAGAAGAGGAGGAAGAGCGCAAGCAACAAGAGGAAGTCAAGAAGGAGTCCGACAAATTGGTCAAGGAGAAGGGTGAGAAGGAGGCTTCCGAGTATTTGGAGGAACAGGAGAAGCGTCAGAAGGAAGAGCAAGAGGAGAAGGAACAGCTCAGTTCCGGCAAATTGAACTTGGGCTTGGACGAGTTATTGGAGTACAAGAGCGGTGTGTTTGTTTACGAGCTTTCCGAGATCGAATCCTCCAAGGAGGGATTGTACCTCCAGGCTTTCTTCGATAACCACGGTCTTCACGACTTTGTTACTCCAAGATTGAAGCAGAATAAGACTACCCTGACAACTACAGGTGAATTCACAGTCAAGGAGTTGGAGAGTTCCGAGGTGACTTTCAGACTTCAGAAGAAGAAGGATGCCAACAAGTTGGAGAAGCCAGCTGCCGAGGGAACTTTCAAGGTGTTGGACTTGTTGAAGGACTCTTTCAACAAAACAACTACCATCACATTGTCTGGTTCTGTCACAGCAACCATCAAGTTGCAGAGTTCTTGGATGCCTGTCATTTACACTTCTGGTATCCCACCTCAGGACTCCATGGACAACTGTGGTGTTTTGACCATCACAGCTAAGAATGCCGAGGACCTTCCTGCTGGTGACCGTAACGGTAAGTCTGACCCATACGTGAAGTTGCACTTGAACACCGAGAAGGATGCTTTCTTCAAGAGTAAGAAGATCAAGAAGACCTTGAACCCACAATGGAACGAGCCCACCGAGGTTGAGCTTGTCAACAAGTACGACACTGTCATTAAAGTGGTTGTGTTTGACTGGGATGTCGGTCCAGAGTCTGACGACTTGTTGGGTATTGGTTACATCCATTTGTCTGAGATGAAACCAGAGGGAGAAACCGAGTTCACTGTGCCATTGTACGATGAAGATGACCAGGATGCTGGTGTGGCCTTCTTCTCAGCCAGTTTCGAGCCAAAGTTCATTCTTCACTGTAAGGCTGATTCCGGTAACTTTGGTCTTGTCGGTTCCGGTGTGGGCGCTGTTGGACACCTTGGTAAAGGTGTTGGTAAGGGCGTCGGCAAAGGTGTCGGCAAGGGTCTTGGAACTGTCGGAAAGGGTCTTCGTAAGGGCTTACATTTCGGCAAATCTTCCGATGAGTGATTTTAATAATTGTTTTCTATCTTCATTTATTTTAGTGTTCGGGGATCTAGCGATCTCGCCATGCAAATAAGATCTATGATACAATGTTCCTTGTAGGTTAGAAGACATCACCCAACTTCAATCTTGGGGCGATGTTCATGGATAAGAGTTCCTGGAACAACAACTTGGCAGCGTATGGAATGGTCATCTTGATGATGTACTCGGAGCTCTTACAGGTCTTACACCAAGAGCTGTAACCCATCAAACCACAGTTGTTGCACACGTCGACTTCGAAAGCATCCGAAGAAACCATCAATCTTTCTAGTAAGAGCTGCGAAGCACCATAGGCGATAACACAGTCTCTTTCCATCTCACCCAATCTCAAACCACCATCTCTGGATCTACCTTCCGTAGGCTGTCTAGTCAAGACGGCTCTTGGACCTCTTGCTCTAGCATGCATCTTGTCCAACACCATATGCTTCAACTTCTGGTAGTAGATAGGACCGAAGAAAATATAGGCTTGGAGACACTCACCTGTAATTCCGGAATACAACATGTCCTTACCCGAATAGTTGAATCCCTTGTCAACCAAAATTTGAGACATCTCTTCCAATTTGGAGCCGCCAAAACAGGTACCATATTCGAGACTACCGTTCAACACACCAGCCTTACCGGAAATCAATTCCATCATTTTACCAACTGTCATACGAGATGGGAAACCGTGAGGGTTCATGATAATGTCAGGGGAGATACCGTCGTCATTGAAAGGCAAATCTTCCTGCTGCACAATGATACCACAAACACCCTTCTGACCGTGTCTGGACGAGAATTTATCGCCAAGCTCTGGTCTTCGCGTCTGTCTCATCAACACCTTGATAAGTGCCTGATCGTTGTCGGAAACAGACATCATGACCTGATCCACGTAGGAAGGTTCAGGACCCTTGTAGTACGCTGGTGTTTCTCTGTGAGATTCGGTACCAGGTGGGCTCGTATCTCCCAAAACAGATTCACCGGCATTCACAGGAACCTGCTTGTTGGCGTAAACCTGACCATTTTCAACCTTCATACCAACTTCACCGAGACCATCGGGGCCCAATGCTGAGTGGGAAAAGATTGGCTCACCGTTTTCATCAACACGCATACCTGCCACAATATCCTTGGTATGGTTAGGGTATCTCTTAAGCTGAATGGTGTTCTTTCTGACCACCTGACATCTACCGAAACCACGATCAATGGAGGCCTTGTTCAACACCAAGGCATCCTCGATATCGTAACCCGAATACGACATGACTGCAACAGTGGCATTTTGTCCAGCAGGCAACTTGTCATAGTCAATCAACTCGATGGTCTTGGTTTTCACCATCGGTTGCTGTGGATAGACCATGAAGTATAGAAGTGTGTCAATTCTTCTGAATTGATTGTATGCAATGGCACCAATGGCTTGTTTACCCATAGCACACTGGTATGTGTTTCTTGGAGACTGGTTGTGATGTGGGTATGGAATCAAACCAGCAACTGCACCCAAAACGGTGAAAGGCTCAATCTCGAGATGGGTGTACGGGAGGTTGTTCTCTGCTAGGTCTTTTTCGTACAATGCAATTAAGGAATCATTTTCCTCGTTGACATCCAAATACTCCACGAGTCCATGGTACAAAAAGTCGTCAAAAGCCCAATCACCAGCCAAGAGTTTCTCCAAATGGTGGGCCCTGACCTTCGGTAATTTTGTCTTTTCGTCAATAATAATAAGCGGACGACAAATACGGCCACCGTCCGTAGCGATGTGAACAGCAGCCTGATGAGTGTTTGTGAAAATGGAAACAAATTCGGAAATCTTGCCTGTACGCCTCATGGCACGGAAGTCTCTAACAAACTTCACAGGGAAACGGGTTGTTCCGATCATTGTACCATTCAAAAAGATACCGAAGTTGCCTTCGGAGTAAAGAGTGGCAGAGTCGATGCTCATGATGTCTTCACAGCCCAAAATAAAACACAATTTTCTGATGGGGCCTTCTTCATCGTCAGTGGTGATATGTGTCATGAGGGCCAAGTTCTTCACCAAACCACACGCCTCACCTTCTGGAGTATCAGAAGTACACAACATACCAAACTGCGATGGCTGCAAAGCTCTAGGACCAGAAACTTTTCTGGATTTCTCAAACTGGGAGGAAATACGAGTCATCATACCCAAAGCAGAGATATAAGACAAACGAGACAACACATGGGTGACACCGGCTCTCTCCATCTTAAAACGCTTAAGCGACCAGTTACCTGTCGAGATAGCACGGTTCATGCCCATTGTGATGTTGTTGGAATGAATGTTGATGGAAAGCAAAGCATCAAACTCAGAGGTTCGACTGGGCTTCTTCATAATCTTGTCAATGTTAGCCTTGAAGTCCGAGTTGAACTTCTTGAACAAATCCTCGAAAAGCAAGGACATAAGCTGGCCAGCAAGCTCTAGACGCTTGTTACCCACGTAATCTCTGTCGTCCACCATAGCAGGGTTGTGCATGGTCATCAACACTCTACGGGCCATGATGGCTATGTACAAAGCCTTTTCACGGAAGTTAAGGTCGGAGACTGTCAAATGGGCAATCACAGTGGTGGCAATTGCCTCGATACCTTCTTGGAGCTGGGAAAGTCTAGGAGCACCGGCACGACGGACGGTCTTGACTCTTCTTCCGATGAATAGAAGCGCCTGCTGCTGTGTGAAGACGCCGAGTTTGGCGGCCTCTTCGAAGTTGATGGCGAAAAGGTCCTGATACTGGGGATTCGAGCCACAGACTAGCTGCAACACCTCCATATCTGAAACGATACCGGCGGCTTTCAAGGCCACCACGATAGGGACATCCTCGGCGATGGAGTTGTGTTTCAAGTAGATCTTGTCGTTTTTGGAAATAACATAGGTCTTGGACTTTCTCTCGTGGGTAGACGAGGTGACGGAGGCCTGGACGATGCCCTTCTTCTCGTCCGCCTCCACAATGATTCTGTTCTTGGAAAGCTGCTCCTGAACCAAAATGACCTTCTCCGTACCGTTGACAATAAAGTATCCACCAGGGTCGATCGGACACTCCTCAAGCTGGGCCATCTTGGCCTCGTCGATGCCGTCCAAAACACACTTGTTGGAACGCAACATCACGGGCATTCGGCCAATCTCCAAGTCCTTGTGCATGATGATCTTTCTGCCACGTGTATACTCCACATCCACGTAGATTGGCGCCGAATATGTCAAATCACGGAGTCTGCACTCGTGTGGAGGCATAATCACCTCCTTGGTTCCAGGCGCCAGGGTCAGTTTGTGACCCACACGGATGTCCAAGTACTTCAAGTAAAACAGCGGGTCCACGTCGGAAAGCACCAACTCGTTTGCCCGGATGATCTTCTTCAAATCCACATCCACAAAGTAGTTGAACGAGTCCAAGTGCTGTTTCACCAAACCCTTGACCTTTAGGAACGCAGGCAAAAGCTGCCACTTGTCCTCGGCGGTGTTGATGGGGTCATGGAGCTTTTTGCCCTTGTACTCCTCCTGGAGAAGAGGCAGGAACGAGTCGTCCACTTCCATATTTGTTTGGTGAATGGTTGGTGGAGTTGATGAGAAGAGCTGATCTGAGATGGCCTGGTGCACGGGTGTATGTATTGTCCCAGGCCCACCCCATCAATTACACCTTGGGGTGGACATTAGGGCATTAAGTAGATTGACTTATTGTTTTTATTAGAAGAATTTGGAAAATTTGGTGCTGGTTGATTTTGTAGAGGTGTTGAGAATGTTCGTTGGCTTGTAGGTGTGTCTCATTCTGCTTACGCATCAAGGCATCGATTAGATGCACTTGGGAATTTTTCACCTTTTCCAGATAAAATGTATTCTGGTGGTTCAATGCCATTGAATTGTTTTTGATTTTGGGGCTATCATGAAATTTGTTGAAAAACCTGATTTGGTAGGTCGCTATGTTTCCTTCTCAAATAGCAGTTCTTGTGGGTCAGTGAGAACTACCAAACCTGAGGACATTCAAGCTTGCCTTTTTAGGCTTTGATGCTATTTCCTATATCTGATTTCATGTTATTTAACTGCCTAGAATCGGTTTTGATCAATACCTGAACATCAAGTTAGGTACCGTTCCATGGCCATGCTCCATTACGATATTCTCCTACAGTATAACTAGAACTCGGACTCTTGCGGTCACATTGGTGTTTTCGAGGCTCAAATTGGCCAATCCAGGATCAAATTGGCTAAATATTCGGCATTCTAGCACTAACACCACTAAAGGAAATTGGCCTGATTGAATACGCCCTTAATGCTGTGTTGTAGATCCGAGTTGGAAGTGAAATGCAAGAAACGTGAAGAATGTAGTGAGAGGTGGTCTATACCAGTTGGATGTCATGACAGGCAGTTTTGAGCTAGTAAGAGAAACTGAGTATTCTTGCAATTTCTGATCCAACAAGTTAATACTGCCTATCTTGGAGTCAAATCACTCTATCAACTGTAAAGTGGAAGTGGAAAGAAAAACAAGTTGGGTGACTTGATAATAGTAAGCGCAGCCAATACAGCAAAAACGAATTTTGGCCAAAGAAGGCAAGAATCAAAAGCGATGACGTCTGTGCTTACCAAAAAGTGTTGACCCAAGGTAGAAGTTTCCTATTACAACGAAGTCATTGAAAAGAGAACTTTCCTTTTACGAAAGCGACATCAAAGCAAAACCTCCTCCCCCTTTCCAGGCAAGAGGAAACCAACAAATTACCCAATTATATAAAGCCCACAAATCCTTCCTCTACAAGCACCAAACATGGGATTCTTCAGCACACCTACCGAATACGCAATTCAAGGCGAAACATCGCCACCGCCAAAATTGGACACTTTGTTTCTTTTCCGTAACTATGGAACAGATTTCTACGCTATCCAAAGCGAGTTCTCGAAATCTTTGGATAAGGGCGCCCACAGGCTAAAATCACTTGGTTGCAAAATCTCCGGAAATTTTCACCAAGTGACGGAGTTCCAACCGCTACAGAAGCACGACGTGAACGACCTTGATCAGGATATTTTCATTAAAAATGCACGTTCTCGGAACGGTATCCCCTCCTTTGGACAAAGCCCTCCTCCAGATACCACAAAGGTGGTTTTCCAAGTTCGGCGCACCTTCTTGACATTTGACAGGTCAAAGTACGAGCTGTTGATGCCGATTTTGGGGAGTTGCTTTTACGTATGTGGAGAGGATCTCAGGTTCTTTCCAGGACCAAAGTTCCCCATGACGCATCTGCTTTATGGAGCTGGATGTGAAATGATGTCAGGGTCTGAGCACCAGTTAGTTGGTGATGCTCGTTTGAAGTTCAACGCCGAATTCAAGCAAGCCTCATGGTTTCACCAAAAAGCGTACCATCGTATCGTGCTTCCAAAAATGCTCGTATCGGATTTTCTCTCTTTGAAACTCCAGGTTTCAGGTCTGCGAAATGACAAAAGGTTGGCGGAACTCTTTGTGATTTCGGAAATCTCCATTGAGCTCCAGGAGTTTGTCAGTGTACATGAACAAGGGCACTTTTTCAAGGAAGTGAAGACCGAGGTGTTGTTCAAAAAGGCTCCGTTTTGCACGGTCGTTCTCTCCAAAACACCTTTGGATATTTGTCCAGATATCGCTTTACCAGACCTTGGTCCATCCTTTTTCACCAAGGACCTCACAAGGAGCTATGGGTTGCGTATTTCGGTGAAGGTCTCTCACAAGAGCCTTCCAAGCGTATCCGCTTCAACATTTATGGAATTGAACGTAGCACAAGAGACCCAAGAACGCATAAACTACAAAGCCTTGGACGACCAGGAGTACTATGGAAGCAGCTCGACAGCACGAACCCTGTTGATTCAAGACTCACGTACGGAAGGGTATTTGATAGCTTTTAAGAAGATGTTTCAAATAACCTTGTTTGAGAATAGGAACAGCTTTCTGCTGTGTCTAGTCCAGTCCCACACTAACGGGTCCTCCAGCCATGTATTCGGTTCCGTGGACGGTAGAGAACCAGCTCAGGCTAAGAAAGAAGAAGTGTGCTTTTCAAACTACGTCTTTGACTTTATGAAACAAAAGGTGAAGAGTATTTCTCGGCTATTCACTGCTCAAGTGCCAAAACCACACTCAATCCTTCCTTTGGTCACAGAAAAACCAATTACAGGGGGTGATGTCTCTAATACTAGTGAGCCATATGCTTCGACTTGTCTTACGATTGGCAACCAGGCAGTGGAAGCACTTGACCACAATTCGAGATGTCTGAGAGCAACCAGAGATGAAGTTCTTACAATCGGAACTGCAAACGTGCCCCTTTCTATCCGTCTTGTATTAAATGATCGTTTCAAACTGTCTGGAGGGTTTGGTGACAGCGTCATTGCAACACCTGGAATGAAGCTCTCGGATCTTTTGAAATTCCAGTTTATTCTTCCGTTGAGCTTTGAGACTTTGGCTTCCGGTGAAGTACTGGTAGAGGATTTGAAGATTCGTGTGCGTAGGCTCGTGGTCATTCTTGATGAGTTAGACGGTCACATTAAAACGACGACGTTGACTGATCAAAGAGGTTTGCCATCGGTACACTGGCACAATTTCAGGTACCCAGTTGCCGGTAATCCGACGGCTTGTGCTTTCCATCTTCCAGAGGAACTCATTGAGGGTAAAATTCCCAATCGTCTCGAGTCGATCTCGCAGGATTCAGGTTATCTCTCGTCGTTTTGCTTGATAGTTGTATTGCTTGTTGATAAGGGCGAGAAGGCCTACTTCTGGCCGATGAGACTCGTGATTGCTGATCCTTGAAAGGCATATTACATCTACTATTCTCATCGTCTGGCGTTAATGAGCTGGAACAACGTTATTTTTGTTTCTTTACGTCGTAAGCCACTCAATTTACTCTAAAAACACACCTTAGCCGTGAGCTAAAGCCTCGTGGGTACTATAAATTCTGAAATGTTTTCCACCGTTTGATTTACAATCTGAAACACTTGCGGGGTATTAAATTTTAATATTTTCCGCCATTTCTAATTCCAAGTGCAACTACACCTTAATCTGTAAGCAGTACGATCATGTACCCATGTATCAAGATCTAGGGCTTGCCAGGAATCCACTACGTTAGAAAGAATGAGAATTATTCAAATTTTAACCTACATCGCTGTTAGGTTACAAGCTTAGGAATCTTCGTCACGTTATAGTATATATTCCCTAAAGAGCCTTAATCTTATGGCAAGGCTTTGCCCCTACAGCACCTGGGATTTGGTGTAGTTTCAGGTGAAGTAGTGGATGCTAAATAATATCATAGGATGAAACCTCATCAAGTGTTTCAAGTTGTCGATCAAACATAAAAGACTTGTTTCAGAGTATGTAGTACACGTGAGGCTCAAACCAGTGCCCAGAAGGGGCCGTAACCTAACAATCGCGCATCTCAGCATTAGGACTAGATGTTGCTTATTCCTATAGAATCAGCTGCTGGTTACTTTGATTGACTTATATGGCAGTGATTCTAATTCTAGAAAAAAAAGAATTGGCACAAGGTCGATGGATAAAGGCTCTGGTTTTTTTTTTTTTTTTTTTTTTTTTTTTTCAATAAGGCCAGCGAATGTATTTTTTGCAAAGTAATTGTGACGTGCGGCGCTAAGTGAGGTTGTGATTGTGCTCCTTTTGCTTGAACGCATGCAAAAGACATTAGAGGTATGTTTCGGAAGAGTTTAAAAAATCAGGCTCACCTAAGTGGGCGATCATCTAGATATAGTTCAGTGTTACTACAGTTTATTGAAGATAGCGAATTTTCGCAGTTAACCCCGCTGTGAGTTCAGATTTTAGGTTCTCGTATGCGTTGAGACATGCTGACGCTTCTAAGGCCTCGACAGCCTGATGAACAAAAGTTGAAGAGATACTTTTTACCCTTCTCGCAAATTTCGGATAAGAAAGTCGGCTCAGATGCTGACGCAACCTGTGAAACAAACTGTGAAACAAACTGTGAAACAAACTGTGAAACACCTGTGAAAACATCCGATGTTCCAGCTGTGTTTCGTTCATGGGTTGATGTCTATAAAAGCAGCAAGTTTCCTGATCTTCTTCTTCCACATTTCCCACACGCAGATTTACTTCGACAAGTACAATTGGCAACATGGCAACCTCTGAAGAAGGCATGCAGCATGAGTGGAATAATCTTCAAAGCAACTCTCTTGGAAGCAGTAAGGAAGGAGACTCTGGTGGCTCAGCTGGTTCAACTTCTGCTTCAATGCATGCTGAAAATCCTGACTCCACCGTGAGAGGTCCAAGGTCGCAGTCCGCAACATCTCGACCAAGTGCGATAGATGAGAATCCTAGCAGCACAACACAAGCTAGGCCATCAACCAGAGAGGCCGGAAATGTTGACGAAGTGGTGCCCCATCAAAATGAAACTCGAGCGAACTTGGGCATTTTGGAGGTTTCCCAGACCTCCGGGAAAGAGCTTGAAATCAAGAATGTCGATACCAAAGAAAAGAAGGCCAAGAGAAGTTTCTTTGAGCGTCAGATTTCTTACGTCAATATCAAGCTCATTCAAGTCGTAACAATGGCTTGTTTCTTCACTTGCTTTGGTTTAGGTTGCAGTTTGGGAAACAAGATGTGTCAAGAATACAGAGAGAATATGGCAAAGGTGAATATTTACAGTGACGAGAAAAACAATTTACCAGCTTGTCAAGATGTTTCGCTTGTGAACTTGTACCCTGAAATTCAGTCTACCCTTGCTTTGAAGGATCCGAACCGCCTTTGTTCTTATCAGGAAGAGTTGAGAAACCACACTCTTCACGCCTCGAGAGACGGTCCAGGATGGCATTGTCTCGACGCTTTTACTCAGGAGCTCTTTCTTGAGTGTGAAGCCGCCAAGAAGACTCTTTCCTCTGCAGAAAAAAAATTGAGTTTCTATCATGGATCTGCTGCAAGATCACTTCAAGTATTTCTTGCAGCAACCTTTCTCACAAGGCGTGCTCCTATGGTTTTAGTCTTTTGGGTATTGACTGCTATTATGATCTTAACTCAAGTTTCATTGTTCGCGATTCTTCATTTTGACACAGGTACCAATATTAAAGCCCAAATTGCTTATACATCGTTGAGTGAGTATACTGTTCTTACAATTCTCATTGCTGCAATTGGGTATACCAGAGCACCGAAAAAGGTTACTTCAGAGAGCGCACCTCAAAGTCTTGACTCTGGTGGTAGCTTCGATATTGAATACTTGCATCTGGAAGAGTTGAGTAATTATAGAGAACCAAATGAGTAAGACTTATTGGAATGGACCGCGCAGGCAATTGTTTTGAAACAGTCACCTCATTTACTCATGTGAGGTCTTTGATGGTCTTTCGTGGCTAAATAAAAATTTTGAATACTATGTGTCACTTTGAGGCAGTGTAGAAATCCTCTTCATGGCTCACTCCCTACTCGCCTCTTTTTCATCAATTCGCTTGTCATCTTCCAATAGATCATGGTTAAGTATTATGAATACACTCTAATTCTCAATCAGTGCATCGGAGATACTCAATGCAGCTTACTTTCTATCAAGATAGAAACTCAAAATATAGTCTGGCCGTTTCAATAGAATGTACTCTGCCAGAATTGTATGACAACTTTCCCTGAAACAGACAACGTAGCATAACTTTCCCATTAATTGCTATTGTAGTATTCTTTTGCGGTTTATGAAATGTTCTCCACAGTTTCTGTCCGAGTGGACAAACCCAATGTTAGGTACACCGTCACAGATCACAGGCTTTACCGAGGTCCCGAGATCAAGGGATAAGGGTTGGCCTGTGATCGAGCTTTTACCGCGTCTCGGCTAATTGACAATTATAAATAACTGAAGTCCTTCTAGTTGACATATCAAGGAAGTTTTACCTAGTCTCTTTCCACGTATATACTATGAATGCACACCCCATCCTAACACTCAACGTAGTAATCCTATGAGCCATGTATTAGAGCAGACCCAATTGTGTGAGATCAATGGCTTGTAGCTTTCATACAGAAAAATTATTGACTTATTCCTCTGAATTTTGAGGGGCTCGGAGTATTATTACTGGACCATTATATTATGCTTTTATTACTATACAAAGCTTTTGGGCCTATCTATTGAGAGCTACCGATCACGAATTAGTTGAAGAGACTCAAGATACTACATGTTGAAAGCTAAACCTTCCACTGAAGAAGCCTTCACTAGAGAAGCTAGCAAGTGGATTCGAGCTTCGTTATCACAGAAAGAATTTCGAATATTTCAAGCGTACTTTTAGGGTGTCAGATAAAGGATGCCTTACACCTGAACAATCGATTTCAAAATCTTGGAGAGGTGTATCAAGTGAGTGGGCTCCTACTTCAAATAATAATATAGCCCTTGGTATCAGAAGCATTTTTTAATCGGGAACGATCACGGAATGGTACTCCTTTATTTGGGGAAGATCCTTCTTCAGATAACGTAAAGGGTACTTAGCATTTATCAGAGACCTTTTTCGATGCACCACCTCTGAAGCCCTTTACAGCGGCAGGGCTGACTATGATGTACTTATCCTTTTACTGCCGTACTAAAGTCTACTTTTTTGGATAAATCTGTGCAACAGATGTTCAAGTGACTTTCTTCAGCTTTTTGACCTCGGCGAAATATCAGTGTGAAGAGATGGATATAGCCTGAAAGGTATTCTCAATAAGCTACTTCCAGTTTTTAAGGAAAAGCACTTCGCCCCTTTTATGATCTTTAATTTTTTTCCTTTTTTTGATATTGCTGCTATTCTCATGATATCTGCCATTGTCCTGAGGAATTTGCCGAATCTCATAATGAAGCTCTCAGAAGCCAGATACATTGTTTCTTCCAATCCTCTAAAAACATCCATGTACCTCTTCAACCCCCTATCTCTTCCAATTGCCCTCCATCCCTTTCTTCCAATTTCCCTTTTTTTTTCTTCAAACTTCCTCCTTCCACCTCCACTGGACTTACCACATTCAACCTCCCACAAATGACCAACCCATTGCACCTTCCCCAAACCTCCACAGCCTCAAATCCCTCCCCAAGAGAACATAAATAGAGGCCGATTCCCCCATCCTTTTTTTTTCTTCATCACCACAGAACACAGAATACACCAGCTTGCAATGATCGCCAACTTCCTCAGCGCTACTACTTCCCTCGCCTCCAGGGCATTCACAGCTACCATCAGCACCGTCGTCCACTCCGCCGCCTATGCCGCCGAGCTTCTTGACGATATTTCACAAATCAACGCCAACGTGGCCGAAGCCGTCACCTTTGTTCTCGATGTCCCCGGCACCTACGACGCCTTTGACTTTGAGAGCTACGTTTTCCACGATTTTGTGGAGGCTTCCCCACAGTTGCCAATTTCGGGCTCCTTTCCCACCGATAGCCCAAACCGTTCCCCCATCAACTCCCCAATCGATGGAATGCCAAATCCTTCACGCAGAAGCCCTAGACCTTCTGGCGAATGGCAAACCATCGAGGCTCGCAAGAGCCCTAGAAGAACTTTCTCTTCTTCTCCCGTGACTGCTGCCCCACCATCCGACATTCTGGAATTCAGAAGCGTCAGGCAGAAGACTCACGGAAGGTACAGACAGCCTGTGCCTGATATGGAGAGCCGGCTCACCCAGGGGAACATCTTCCTCGTTCTCCAGGAGTGCTAGGCCTCTGCAGTGATAAAAAAAAATGAAAAAGTAGAAAAAAATAAATATAATGAAAAGGCAAGTGTAGAAGTGCACATGTGGCTGGGATGCACCAGCTGGTCACTCGGGAAGGATGAGGCTGAACAATGTGGAAATTGATAAAGTATTCTTGAAGATGCACAGGAGAGTTTTTAAATTACCACAATGCTTCACCTCTTTTGAAGCTCCTTGTAACACTTTGAAATATTCATGTGTACTCAACCTATGATGTCGCCACAGCATTTGTAATACAACCACATCGTTTGACACCTGCTCGAACACAAACGTCATTGTTTTTCACTAGCTGAATCATTTAAAACAAGACTTCTTTAAAACAAGACTTCTCTGTTTTAAGCAAATGGGATAGGCTTTTATGTAGACTTAAGTATATTTTCCCGTTTAATCAGAATAATTGAACAGAATTATTTAACAGAAATAATAACAAAATGACAACTGTCTAATATTCCACAACACCCTACTTGATCTGCTGTACACTCATAATACCAGTCGCCCGACACCACCCAGGCACCACTATTTTTTACCGCCTTTTGCCCCCCCCCCATCTACTGAGCTGATCTGCAAAAGAAAGTGGATATCATATTCTTGTTCTGCGAATTTAATATCTCTTTTATCTACGACCTTTGCTGTTCTTCACTTATAAACACACCACCAATCCACTCATCCCACCAACATGGAGACAGAACACCTTTATTTCTTCAAAAAGGCAGAAGACCAGAAGGAGGTCGAGGATGAAGTAGCCTCGGTAATCAAGAGATACCCCAAGGCGTATGCTTCCCATGAAGTGTACGCTTTTGCGGGGGATAATACAATGTGGATGATGACAGACCTTGAACTCCGTACTCCAGATTCAAGCTCCCTCGACGAAAAGGCCATTGTGAAGGAGGCCAGACGGAAAGAAGGCATCAGCTATTTAGGATCAGGACCTACGTTGAACGATTCAAATTGCAGACTCGTTCAGTGCGTCACGGAAAGACAACTGTTGAATGTGGACCCTCTAGAGGCTTTGGGAGACAATGCTTTGAACACTCCTATAGACGATAGAGCGCTTTATGAGCTTTACTGTCTTTGGGTTGGAAAAAAACGAATTCCTTTCCAGCCCGGTATCACCAGAAAGTCGGTTTTCAGCTGGCATGATATTCGAAGTCAGCCTTCATCGACAGTAGTTGTTGAACCACAAGATTCGAAAAACGACCATCCCATCGAGGCCACCCTAATGGTGGACTACAATTTTGACCAGGACGTGGAGTTTTCACAGCTATCCAACGTTGTGTGTCCGGGCAAAATGATAACAGACTTTAACATCCGATTGCACCTGAAGAAACCAGCATTCTGTGGTTGTATACGGGGCATAGTGTTGAGGAGAATTGTGGTGAAACTCAAGGAGTTCACGAGCTGTAAAGTTCCCGTGAACGGCACATTTGCTGTTTGCAAAGACGTTAAAGATGAGACTTTGCGGGATACAAAGTTCAAGTTTTCTATTTCACCAGACCATTTCGATAGAACCCCCGGTGAAGCATCTGTTGTGATTCATTCGAAATTCCACGAATGCCGCCTTCCATACCTAGGTCCCAGCTTCAGTTCAGAAAACTGCTCGAGAACATACGCCCTTCAATATGAGGTTTCTTTTGAGTGTACTTGGAGAATTTGTTCTTCGAGGTTCGTTGCTCTTATTGGCATAGGCGTACCAGTGCCCGAAAGGTCCAACTTCTACCCCGAAAAGTAAGTGAAGAGAGTAAGAGATTTGCTTCACGTTGATACATTTCCGAAATCGCCGTTGGTGATGCAAGATGTCAGAAGAAACACCGAAAAAAGAACATCCAGCACCAAAGCTGGTATATTGGGATACCAAACTATATCCGTTTCAGACAAGAAAGGATCGGTCTTGACCACCACCACTATCTCATTGCTCGATCCTCCCGCCAAGACCGAAAAGCCCTTTTCGTATCTCGATGTCAAAATCGACCCTGCCTGTGCGTTGGTTTATCGAAAAGACGGATACTCGCTTTGTTCTGGTTCTCAGGTCAAGCTTGAGAAGTCACTCTGGTTGTCTCTCTATGACAGCTACGACTTCTTGCCCAAGAACCCCAACTACTTTGTCCTAGTGGTTCAAAAAGAGGAGGTGGTACCGGGAATGCGTTTTGAGGAGGCGTTTAAAATTAGCATCATTACAGAAGAAGCTAAGCCTTTGGGCATCAGCAATATAGATATAACGATTGTTGAGAAGACAGTCATTATGGAAGGACAAAAGCAGCTGTGCACTGAGAGGAGTTTTCCATTGTTGAAGAAGTGTCTCGGAATATTGTTTGGTGTTTCTCTTCCTTGGCACCCTTCTGGGAATAAGCAATATGAGTATCCTCTCCCAGGCGAAATCACAAAATGCCAGATCCCCAGACTAGCGCCATCGCTAGCATCGAGTACAATGCACAGGGACTACTTTCTTGTGGTGACGATAACACCAGATTGGATGACGCCGTTTCTTTCAAAACTTGCGGCGATAGAGCGGATTGATGTCGTTGGTGAGGAGACGGAGGCTCTTGAGGAGAAATTATGGGAGCTTCTTTGAGCTTTTCGTATTGCCATGGAATTTTTCTCTATTACAGATATATTGGTAGAAAAGACAAAGGGAGAAAAAGGGGGAAAAGCCGGTTGGTTTATCTTCACTGAAGTCCTTCTGCTACAATTCTTTTCATATTTTGAACCAATATCTCGACAAAACCACTGCTTACAATATACTTTCAGTTTTTGCAGAGTTAGGCTCATTCATTAATTATTTGACACAAGGGGGTAAAAACTCGAAGCCCTTTGAAAAGGCCAAAGATCCCCTTATATCCTTTCCCTTGTTATGTTTTCTGGATTACTCCCACTGTCACTGCTCTCCACCTTTTCCATCGACGTATGATGCCAATTATTGAAAAAAGCTGAACCGAACTTTTTTTTTCTATCGATTATTAAATTAAGAGGATGCCAGGAATAATAAATTCTTTCCAACAAAACCTATATAGTTTTAAGACCTACATAGAACTGTATACGCCAAGTACTTTGCAAACACTTCGTTGAAATTGAAAGTGAAGGGAAAGGCTTTACTGGAAATGGTTGCAAAAAAGGGCTTTTCTAGGAGGTAGTGCACAATGCATGCAAGTCATCCCACCAACAAAGGGAAATCGGAGAATCAGGCCACTTTCGTGGAGATTGGATGGTTGAAAATATTATAAGGTAGATTCAAGTTCGAGAGGTGATGGCTAAAAAAGTTAATTTTCCATGGTGAAGCTCCACTGTATGGTTACTAGTTTCCAACGACAGAAGAGCCCTTTTACCCTTTTGATGGTGTATAGGCACGGCAGTACCGGGGAGTGGTACGGTATTAAGCGCCTAATGCACTGAATTGATGCACGTGTTTCTTGAAACTCAAAAAGTAAAAAGTTTTCTGGAGTTCGTAAATTTTGAAATTTGATTACCTGCATATAGACGCCACAAGTGCATCCTATATAGAGGCATAGTACAGTATCCCTCGAAACGGCTCGTGTGGCGCAGTGGTAGCGCAGCAGATTGCAAATCTGTTGGTCCTTAGTTCGAACCTGAGCGCGAGCTTTTTTTTTTTTGCCATTTTTTTTATTTTATAAATGGAAAGATAATAAATGGTAGTCGTTTGATCTTTTTCCCTGCCATGTTTAATTTTCTGCACGGTCTATTTCGTTCGTCATTCAATTAGCATACCTCCTCATTCTACTATGTGCCCTGATCATAATTTGCACCCAGGGAAACACAAAGCTGGAGCAACCCAGCAGCTATCAGTCTTGCTACGAGGCTTTTGGAAATCCGTCGAAAGGGAAAACCCAGTAGATTCTGATAATTTCAAAGACGTTGACAGCTGCGAGAATGTCGATGTAATGGAGATTCATGAAGGTCCTCAAGGCGGGTTCAACTCGGAGTTTCGTAGACTTAAAAGGAGTCATATATGTTAGACTCTGAAGACTGTTTTCTCTAATTCTCAAGTACTTTTATCGTGGACTGAAAGTCTCCTTTTTCCGTGAATGACAGGTTCATCCACCTCACAACCATACCAACTACCGTTGAACTCAATGAAATCTATAGCGTTCTCTACAATGAAGCTACAGTATCACATCTTTTCAGCCTTCAGACTCGCAATCCCTCTTTAAAGTTGTCCTTGTGTCTCCGTGTGTTCAGCCTGTCATAAGTTAGCATGTTACTGACATCAGCCCATTGAAATCGTGGATGAAAAGCAAAACAAAGATATACAAATTTTCAAAACCTCCAAATCTCATCTATCTCCTCTTCTCCGAAAGATCATTTCATACTGATTTCGCCCTTCGAGCAATCTTTATCACTGCACTAGAATAATCGAGATTATATACTACTCTGGAAGAACCTCACCATCCATCATAGATACACAGTTCAGTCGAACCGCAACTGCTGAACCCTTAAACATAATTCCTTCTCCCCAACTCTTCAAAAATTCATGTAAACCTCAACTCTGTTTTTCTTTTAACTCTTCCATATCTCCAACTCCACCTCCTCTAGTACCCTCACTGGCTGCGAAAACCGTTACTAAGCAGCCCCACCTCTCCCCTACATCACCCACCAAAACCCCAAATCCCACGACCCCAAATCCATAAAATCACCAGATCCCCACACTCATAAAACCATAATACCAAAATCCAAGCTCAATTCCAAATTTTGAAATCGTATTCAAATCCCCAAGTGACTCCCTCGCCACCTCCCAAAACGGTATACTAATGGCGCGCATTGCTGCGTTATATCATCATTTTGCAACCACTCTTCTTCCTATGGCCTCAGTTGAGCTGCGCCACGGCACGCTGCCCTTTCTGGCCCGGCGGCTCCGACAGCTCTTGGACTTCCTTTCGCCCGGGCTTTTTTTGCAAAACGACACCGCTTCGCTCGTGGCCTCGGTGGAAAAAGCACTTCCTTCTTCGCTATCCAGCGCTGAATTGCTCCTGCTAGTCGCCGAACTGGCGGCAGCACGGGTGGTTTTCTTCCCTGATTACGCGCTTTTGGCAGGCAGAATCGAGGCTTTCAGAACTCAGCGGCTCGTGGAGGCCGATTTTGCTGAGAATTTCCAGCTTTTGGCATCCTATGTTCATCCCAAAACGCGCCAGCCACATCCGCTTGTGGACGTGGAAATCGCCCGATTCGTGCATTCCCACGCTGACTTCCTCAATGGGCTTGTGGTGCCGAAACGTGACTTCGATTTGGCCTACTTTGGCATGAAAACGCTCCAGAAGGCGTATCTTCTAAGGATGAACGATATCGTCGCTGAAACGCCCCAGTACATGTTTCTCCGTGTGGCCGTGGGCATACACTATAAGGGGGATCTGACCGATTTGGACAGAATCGCCGAAACCTACACCCTCATGTCCAAACGGTACATGATCCACTCGCTGCCTACCTTATTCAATGCTGCTACTCCCAATAACTTTCTCCTGCTGTGCTTTCTTGTGGCCATGGAGGACGACTCCATCGACGGCATCTACAGAACCTTGCACAAAACGGCCCTTATCTCCAAGGGATCCGGTGGAATCGGGCTCCATGTTCACAATATCCGCTCCAACGGGTCCCTCATCAAAACGTCCAACGGCACCTCCAGCGGGCTCGTGCCGATGTTGCGTGTTTTCAACAACACGGCCCGTTACGTGGACCAGGGCGGAAACAAAAGACCCGGTGCCATTGCCGTGTATATCGAGCCCTGGCACGCTGACATTGAAGATGTGCTTGATTTGCGAAAGAACCATGGCAAAGAGGAGGCTCGAGCCCGGGACCTCTTTTACGCTCTTTGGGTGCCCGACTTGTTCATGAAGAGGGTCAAGGAAAACGGCTTGTGGTCGCTTTTCTCGCCAGACGAGGCTCCAGGGCTTTCTGAGGTCCACGGTGAAGAATTTGAAAAGCTCTTCCTTGAGTACGAATCGCAGGGACTCGCTGTCAAGACCATGGAGGCCCAGAAATTGTGGTCCCAGATTCTCGAGTCTCAGACGGAAACGGGCATGCCGTTCATGCTTTACAAGGATCTGTGCAATCAAAAGCTGAACCAGAAGAACCTCGGCACGATCAAGTCCTCGAATTTGTGCTGTGAAATCGTCGAATACTCGTCTCCAGAGGAGATTGCTGTGTGCAATTTGGGCCTGTTGGCGCTTCCTTCGTTCGTGGACCATAGCGACTCGAAAACGGTTTCGTACGATTTCGATAAACTCCACCTGGTGACAAAAACGCTAGCCAGAAACTTGGACGCTGTCATCGACGCCACAAAATACCCAGTCCCCGAATCTGAGGTGTCCAACAAGAAACACCGCCCAATAGCTATAGGCGTCCAGGGTCTTGCTGATGTCTTCTTGGAACTTCGTATTCCGTTCGACTCGCCGGAAGCTGCCAAACTCAATAGAAGAATATTCGAAACCATCTACCACGGTGCGGTTGAAAGTTCCCTCGAGTCAGCCATCAGAGAAAGTCCATATGAGTCTTTCCAAGGCTCTCCAGCGTCCAAGGGCCTTCTACAGTTCGACTTGTGGAATCTGAAACCAGAATTTTTTGACGACTGGGACGACTTAAAAGAGAAAATCAAGCAATATGGCCTTCGAAACTCCCTTCTTTGTGCCCCTATGCCCACGGCGTCCACTTCCCAGATTTTGGGTTTCACTGAGTGCTTCGAGCCTGTGACCTCTAATATATACCTGCGCCGTGTGCTTTCCGGTGAGTTCCAGGTCGTGAATAAGTACCTTTTGAGGGATCTAATTGATCTAGGCATCTGGACCCCTGCCATGAAGGACCGAATTATCATGGACAACGGCCTGATTCAAGATATCCAGGGCATCCCTCTGGAACTCAAAAAGCTCTATAAGACGGTCTGGGAAATCAGCCAAAAAGTCATTGTGGACATGGCTGCAGACCGCGGTCGCTTCATCGACCAGCTGCAAAGCATGAACATCTTTTTGCAGAATCCTACTTTTGGCAAGCTCACATCTTGCCACTTTTATGCCTGGGAGAAGGGCCTCAAAACGGGAATGTATTATTTGAGGACGCAAGGAGCAGCCAGAGCAATCCAGTTCACCATCGACCACGAAAAGGTGCTTGAAGAAACTTCAAGAGGCGCCACACCGATCTCGACGAAGCTCGATCGTAAAGTTTATGTCGAGAAACGGCCAACCAAGAGATCCCTGAATGAGCTAGAGATTGGAAACATCTCCACGGCCCGACCTCCAAAAGTTGCGAGGGTTTTCATGCTAAGCAAAGAACCAGTGAGACCTTCCCCCACACGATACAACGATACCCAAACGACAAACTCCTCAACGATTGACGATAGAAACTCCGACTCATATGACATATACTCCGACACGCCCGTCTCATGCAATTTGAGCGACCCAGAAAACTGCGATGCGTGCTCCGGTTAACGACATGTAAATAGCCTTTCTAATGTAAATAGCCAACCCTCGTTACGATCACCTAGCGTAGCTTTCTTCCAGCAAAATCAGCCACCTGAGCCATACCGTCTTGGGTGACAAAAAACCTCAACTTGGCCTTCTCCGACCAGATCAACACACCCACCTCTTGAGCGTAGTTACACAAAATATCGAACTCGCTTTGGTTCTTGAAGTCTTTGAACAAGTATCCGTTGAATGTCTGGATTCTGTCCAACTCCAACTGCCAGAGCTTGATTTGGTCAACGACATTGGGTGGTAAGACCTCAAGACGATGCTGAGCCACACCTGAATCACCAGCCTTGGACTGAGGAGCTCCACCTGCGGTGTTGATATTGTGAGAAACATCAAACTCGATCTTCTTGTCGAGCTTCTCCTTGGCCAAAGCACGCATTTGAGGGTGGGCATGGGCCTCGAGGAAATTGATGATTTGTGTAGCCGTGATACCGTTTTGAAGAGCATTACGGATGGACTCTCGCGTGATCGTGCCAATGACCATGTTGGCAAATCTGGTCTTCATGGTCACGAACAAGTTCAAAATGGCAATCTCCAAGGGCGAGTTCGTGTAAGCGTAGATACTGAAGTTGGTTTCGAGAATGATCTGACCCAGCAGCGAGTCGTCTGTATCGGCTTCGGCGCTTTGCAAATGCTGATCCATCACCATCGAAGGCGTCTTGAGACCTGTAGATTCAGACGTGAGGGTCGTAGCGAGACGCGTAGGATAGAATCTCGAGGAGTTTTCAGATCGCTGATACACAAGACCGTAGTCACGCAAATCTGGCAACATGGAGATCTGGGTGTCGCTCAATGAGGCCACCTGGTAGGCCTTGCCGAGCTCCAAGGAGCCCAAAATGAAGATGAAATTGAGCACATCCACAGGGTCCATATGGAGATCCTGTGTCAAGTTCAAGTACTCCAATAAAAGCGCCCAGAGCTGAGCATTGACGTCTTGTAAAAGAAACTGAAATCCCAGATTCGTGATTTTGAGGTTTCCAGCGGACGTGCCGTGGCCCTCCATAAGCCCACCCAGCTTGAGCAAGGAAAGCACGGATTTCGACGGAACAGCAGGCAACTCAGTTCCGACCATGAAATGCAAAATCGTCTCCCACTTCTGCGAGGCAAACTTGTCCAATAGACGAATGCTGACCCGGTCATCCAGCGGTTCTGTGGCCAAAATGCCGAATGCATTGGGCGCCTGGGTGCCTGTAAGACAGTCTCTGAAGTTGTTTCTAAACGTCTGGTGAAGTCGTAAATGGGTTCCTCCGGCGTCCTCTTCGATGATATGTAGCGCCTTGAGTCTTTTGAGGGCGTCAAATTGAAGCCTTTTTGCCTGAGGCTGTGTCCATTTCTCTAGATCCTTCACTGCCACGGGCTTTTCGTTGAAAAGCATGCTGATCACGTAGAATTTGGCAAGTGGAGGGAGAAGTCTGAAAATCGATAGACACGTGGCAGGGGCATCAAAGAGCTTCAGCTGCACGACTTTCGGAAGCCCCTCCAAGTGGCTGTTGACCGTGAGTTTGAAGGACATCTGAGTCAACTGGAGTGATTATGAGATTGCAGGGATGGGATTATTGAAACTTGAGGATTCAAAGGTCAAGGATTCGGGTCCTTATTTATACGCTGACGAGGATGCAGTACCGCTGTTGCTTGCGGGGTTTGTTCAATGGGGGCGTGGTGATGTAGTAGTAGTACTTAAGGTGAGAGTTGATATCGCGAAGATGTAGTACTTCCTTGTTAGTGGCCTAATGGCATCGATAGACAATAAAAGAATTGATTTTCGAAGATATGGATTGTTCCATTTTCTTCGTCGTTTATAATGATTCTGAAAAATGACCATAAGATGATTTGGTGTTTGGCTTGGGTTGTTTTTTGGCTTGGATTTGTGGGTATATGGATAAGGTGCACATTTCTGGCTCCACGATCTAATGAAGGCATCATAGTTCTATTAGAGGTGTTCTTGCACTGATATATTATAAAACAGCTTTCCGGGCGCTTTTAGGTCAATAGTTAGGCACATTTGGCATACTTATCCATAACCGTGTAACAGGATTTCTATGCTGCTAGGGCATTTTTTCATCATAACAGCTTTGAAACGTTCAAGCTCTCAACATTTGTCCTGAAACGTAGTCCTCTTAGTGAAAATAGGTCGTAAAGAAAGCACAATGGAGGACGATTGGGTGCAAAAAAATCAGCCTCAATTCAAGCCTAATACCGTAAAAAGACAAAAAGCATTGGCCCTCTAGCCACTGTATCAATATCAAATAGACACCTCTAGGCTGATAATTGAGCCAATAAATGTCTATTCCTTATTACCATCAGATAAGGCAAATCTCCAAATGTATGAAGTGTCCAATCATGGCTCCAACCTGATCACCCGTGTGGACCCCTCCACCTCCTCCACCGGAAACCGCCCCTATCTATGAAATCAAAACCACTACATGTGGACCAGACCACCTCGTTCCAGGCCATCCACCAAAAAGCCACTGTACCTCAGGACCACTTAGCAACCAAAGACGCTGCGTTTGGTCCCAATACCACAGGATAAAGCTGCGGAAACACTCAACCCTCCTTGGGAAATTCTCCTCAACCTCCTCCTCCCTTCATGTGTCTCGTGTTTTACAGATCATACTCAAGAGTTTACAAGCCGTTGTACAGCCCTACAGCCACAGCAGATGGTGAATACCCCCAGTTCTTGTGATCTTTGATACTCCATCGGCACTCCACTCGGCCGGTTAAACCCCCAATTTCCGTAAACAAACACATTTAGGTAACATGGCATGCCTCGAAAGCGTCAAACGGAAAGCTCCCAAATTTCGAATTAAACCAACTTGTCGAAAACCTATTCTACCGGTCTCCATCCCGACAATCATCCAATCATGTATCTCATCCACCCATGTATCCCTTGGCTGCTTTGCCACAAATGCACCGCCACATGATAATGACAAGCCAGATAAGCTCGAAAGAATGGTTCTTGTCGGCCAGTATTGTGTAACTTCGCCATGTTGATGTGCAAGAACTCGCCACGACGCCATGCTGAATACGTCGTGCCGCCTCCGAATGCCGGGCTTGCACTATGCTGAAAAGCTAATTTTGGCAGCCTCTCTGGAATACCGTTGATGTCTGCCTACTACTTTGCTGGGGGCGAGGGGGCTTTTGAAGACGAGGGGGCTTTTGAAGACGAGGGGGCTTTTGAAGACGAGGAGGGGCAAAATAATGACCTTTTCAGGTGGGTCATCTTAGTCTAGCATGTGCTGTTTCGTCCACTGGTTCGTACATTCACACTTTGTCGATTTTTACATTTTCCAAGATTTCAATGTTCACCTTCAAACTTTTCCTTGTCAACCTTTTCTCTCCCACGTTTCCTCTACACTAGTCGGGCTAACTCGGCAGCAAAATACCCCCTGGAATCCTCGGCAAACTTAAGCTTTTGTATTTGTCCGTTTCGTCATCGGCATGGATGCGGCGTCTCCGGGAGCTGTGCCCAGAATTCCGCGTAGCATCAAGGGTTTGAGTTCCAGGGTTTCAGGGTTTCAGGGTTCAGTCGGTGATAGTTGCCAGTGTATTGAGGTAATGGAGCTTTAAGGTTATGAAGCTGACTTTAGCTTAACCGCTATGTAATCTCATTTCTTGACGGCTCCTGACCTCGACATCCTTAGCTCCATCTCTTCCGTTCTCGATATTGGCGCTGAGCACTTGTGGCTCATGAAAGTAGAAATTGCTCTAGGCGCAAAGTAGCCACGAGCGGTCCGCTGCCATATAAGTAGTAGCGGAGAGATGGCCGAGCGGTGGAGGGTCCGATGACGATCATAACCCCCACGGGCTCATATCAATGTAGAAGCGTTAGAAACGATCGTATTAGGATTTGTAATCAGCGTGGCTAATGCAGAGCATGTGGCTGGGAAGTGCTAGCTGGCGGATGCATGCAGGGAACTACTAGGCGAGTGCACGTTTCGGGCGCGGTTTCTCATGTGCAGCGGGGCGGCTCTGCATCAGCGGCGGTGCGGCGCGCCCGCCCGCAGGAGATGCGTTTGTCAGAGCCTTGAAGGTGGATATTTTTTAAGGGTTCGGAATTACCGAGTGGGGCAGGCGATGGTGTAGAACTAGACAGTAGTACCATCAAAATGGTGATCAAAATGGTGATCAAAATGGGTGATCAAAATGTGTAAGTCGGTGCCATTTGCAGTCAGCCCCGCCTTTGGGCGCCTATTGTTCGCTGCGAAAAATCGTAAATGTTCCATCCCAGATCCTCGACGCCAAGCTGGTGATGTAGATTTCGAGGCGGGTACCGGTGTTTCCACAGACCACATCGAAAGCAGGCGGTCTCGAGGCGTCTCGGCGCCTTCTGGAACGTTTCAGGTGGTCCAAAGGACCCTGGGGTAAAGAAACGTTCACATGAGTCATCCACATTGGTCAGACCATACCGGAAGAACAAAACCACAATGATAACGTCATGCAAAAAGGAAGATACTGAGATGTGACGATCCCCTGGATGTGCCTCGAAAGCGTCATTGTGGAAAGCTTCTGTGCCTGGGACAATGGGCTGATCCTCCGTAGTAGAGGTGATAAAGATCGCCACACGTGGATCCCCAGTATCTTATCAGCACGAGCCGTGTGGAATGTGAGGCTTTGGGACCGAGTATGTGGGAGTCCGAATTGGGCAGTATACGGTGGAAGTGTCCATTGTGACGTTTGGGCGGTGGGCATTTACGGAGTCTGGAGTCTATTGAAACGATTAGAAATGGGATTTACAGAAATGGATTTACAGAAATGGGATTAATTAGACTTGAAGACTTTGGAGGTTGGTAGTGTTGATGTTTTTCCTCTTGTATCTGTGGTGTACACTGGCTATTGTGAAGACTAGCACCCTTCCCGTCTCAGTGGAACCCACAAATTCATGAAAAAGTAATTTCCCAAAAATCACCAAATACGGCATCCAACCCCGGAATGTCGCCTGTTCAAGCTTGATCGCCGTGGGCCCACTAGTTGATCCGAACATGGCACCACATTGTATATCTCCGGAATGACACCCCCACATTGTTCTTCAACTACACTATCATCCCACTTCCTTGACAATAAACCAGATCCCCTTGGCTTCCGTAACTGCCTCTGCCAGCCCAAACCTGAACCGAAACCTGGGTTTCAGAATGCGTTTCAGGTCTTGGCTTCCAAGACCCTCAATCTCCCTCTATCTATGCTGGTCTCCGCCTCAGAACCCCGGCCCCAAGAAACTCCATTTTTCCGCCACCCCCGTGCAGCCACAACGCCCTTGCATTCGCCACAAATCCGATTTGACTCTGAGTTTTACGCACCCCAAGGTATATCTCAACCTGGCCAAGAGAGCTTCTTCAGCCACAGGCACTGGAAAAGCCGGAGCAACGCAATTGCAGTGCAGCGGCTAAACCCTCACTCTAGCCTCAAGCGAAGTCGCTGTATCTGAGGAAACCTGGATAGTAGCTCTAGCGGTGTCGGAGAAAGAAGAGCAACAATGGGCCTGGAGCCGTTGGATCTTGGTTATATGGTTTTGTGCAGCGGCCTCGAGGCCCACCAGCTGGAACGGCGGGATCCTTCTCCGTAGCAAATAAGAGATGGTGGTGACGAATAGATGACTGGGGTGGTTCGAGTTTGGGAAAATACGAATTGTGATTTCCTTTTTTTTCTTGCTTTCTTGTCTTGGTGTCTCACCGTCACCGTCACAGCATGAGGCGGCTTGTGGCTAGACAAGAAAGTTGCACCGGAACTCCACCAAGTATACCTATATCAGATGGTTGCTGTCGGAAAAACTGGTGGAGGAGCCGCGGCTCAGCATATTTTCTCGCCTTATGCACGTCAGGGTCCGCCCAGCATGAGGCGTGCATAAGAATACGGGGCGGCCGCGCACCGTCAGCGTTTGCTGCATTGTCCGCCATGCATGCTGCAGCCCGCCTACATTTGCAGATCGCTTCTCTGCTTCGTCCACTATATAAGTCTTCCATCCCCAGGATCTCCCATATCATCATAATTCTTACAAAGCAAGAAACCAAGCACACCCCTCCTCAACACACTATGATGGCTACCCCAATCACAAAGCAAAGCGTGCCGGCTTTCAAGTGCCGCTCCCCTATGGTGACTCCATCACCTACTGCTACCCAGAACCAGTCAAGACTATTCCTTTCCCTATCAGCAAGATCGAGGCCCCCAAGTTCGAAAACAAGTTCCAGGGCTCCGACAAGCCATACCACTTTTTGTTGGTGGACGACAACGCCATCAACCTCAGAATCTTCGCCAGAGTTTTGAAGAAGCTTTTCCCCAGAGCCCTTGTCAGATGTGTCCAGGACTCTCTGGCGCTTGAGCTCACCGAAGAGCTGTTTTCCCGTTTCGACTGTGTCTTTTTGGACATCGACATGCCCTTGGTCACCGGCATCGACATTGCAACCACCCTCAGAGGCTTTCCAACCCTCGACCACGTTGGACTTATTGCTGTGACCACCAGAGCGCTTCTTTCAGACATGGAGCTCTACGACAGCATTGGCTTTGACCACACCTTCCCCAAGCCTTTGAACGCCAGCTACAACGACATTCTCGCCAAGATCGAGCAGGTTGTGAGTGTCAGAGGAGCCCTCAGGGAGGGCAGACGCTCGAGTCGTTAAGCGTTTAGCAAGCGTTGTGCTGAATTTATGGAAATCGGGAAGGCTGCTGCTGGGACGGCGAAGCCTGGAATGGGTCACGAAACACGGAACTTTATAGACTAATGGTAATGGTACACATGACAGAGTGTAGGAAGTGGTGGGCGATACCGATGGAGGTGGGCTCATGGAGTGTAGGGATTTGATTTAGATCGATGTAGAGTCAGTATCGGGTGAATAATGAATGTGTACGAACGAGAGTGTAGAATATATTGGAACTTGATCCTTGTGAAGTGATATGTGTATGAAGAGTATAAATTGAGCATGGTGTGGTTATGAGATGGCGATGCAAGAATGCGTGGATCAGTGAAGGTATACTATGAAGATATAGAAATTGGAAGTTTCCCTCAATGAATTGTAGCGCTTGCAATGTAGTGACTGTAGACTGATTGGTGGCCACTATCTCTCCAAATTCGACCACCCAGCCCAATAGCTCACTTCTCCAGATAAAGCAACGCCACTGTACTCCAGAACCCTTTGCCCCTCTGGCAGCGACACGCCTGCCTGGAGTGGTAAAACAGCTTTTGCACTCTGAAAGCGAAACTTAAACCACCATTGCTAAAGTGCCCGCCCAAAGCCATATTTCAGCCGCTCGGGGTTCCACCGGTTTTTCTAGAATTCGATCCAGTGCGGTGATGGGGGTTATGAGCAAGCTGGGGATAATTCCGTTCCAGGCAAAGTCCTCACTGGGTAGTTTTGATGAAAAGCGTCACAAAGAATCACGATAGAAACCAACTTAAATGAACAACTCTTTTTTTTTTTTTTTTGTTTTTTTTTTTTTTTTTTTTTTGGGCTTGGTTTCAAAAATTTCCTTGCTTTTCTATGGGGTTTGTGTGCTGGTGATTTGCAACCACACGAAGCGAAACACATTTACACATGCTGCATTCTCAGTGGCACTTGCGGAACCTAGGGCTTCGTTCATATTGAACTCCGTGTACTAGGCCTGGGATGTACAGTTTTGTGAAATCGACCCTTTTCTTTGCCGTGGTTGCGTTGTTTTAGTTTAACAGACATGAAACATGCGCCGGTAGAGCCTGTATTCATTATGCTCCTCAGTTGCAGTGCTTTCAGTATATGCGAGTTAATGGATATCACCGAGTATACCCAGGCGACTGAATTTTCGGTTTTTCCGGGTTGCTCGAGAAACGGAAATGGCTAATTAATCGACTCCTCAATTTCTATTGCAGCTGATATTGGTGTTCTGGCCATGGTATCATGATTTTGATATCGCGACTACTCCACAAGAACTCCTCAAGCCACACCATCTAAGTCTCTCTGATATGCTGTAAATAGGGTCAAATCGCCAATTCATTTTGGATCATGATCTCTAGCTCAAGCATAGTCCACAAAATGGTAAAAAAAGACCGTATACTGCAAGACGTAGGTATGTCCAAGCTGTAACCACTCCAAGTAGATCTGCTAATGAGCTAACCTGAATCAAATCCAATAACTCCATCCCAATCATCTTCAAATTCTCCTCCAAAAACCAACCTCCCCGATATCAACCTCACACCCAATCCCCCAATACCCTTGCGCTACTCCACTCCTTATTCCGGCTCCACCTACTGCTCGGCAGGTGCAACGGCCTATACTAAGTGAGCTCACGGTATGTACCTGGTATTAGCCCAGGCTGCCTTGTTCACACAGGTGAAAAGACCGTTTTTTCCTTTTGGGAGGGCACAGAAGCAAGACACGCATGGATGTTAAAGTAGCCTCTTGTGCATCGTCGCCTTCCAGCAAGATCTATGAGCAGCCATGCCTTGCTCCTTTTTTTAAGCAGTAACGGTGGAAACCCGAGTTTCTTGCAGATCCACGATTTTCTTCTGTCTCAGTAATGCAACGCCCAGCAGCAACGTTTAGGCACCTTACACTGGCCATTTTGCATCAACTTTCATTGCTGAAACAGCCCCTTCGATCCTAGAGCATTTCCCGTTTCGGCTAGACGAATATTCCCCTTCCACGCTCGCGTCACCGCCGCAACACTAGCCACAGGGTCGCCGTCGTAGTAGCCCACGATGCATGGAAACTTGGCTAAACCGAGGTGGAAAAAGCGTGTCTCAGGCTGAGACATCACCAGCCACAGCCGGACTTCCGTTCCAATATGACGAATGTTTCGGACTTCCGCCGGTGTTTCAAATCAACGCATCCTGCCACATGAGCACCTCCAAGGGCTTCTTTCAGAGTATGAAACATCCATGCTGCCTGGCTTAAGTATGCCCTCCTGGATGTGGCTAGTGTAGTAGCGCCGCATGCTATCAGGCCGCCTAGCAACTCAGCAGATTTCTAGAAACCGCAACCTGACGCTTGGTGGGTATTGTGGATTTTAGTCGCTGGAGAACGGCCCCTTGCTTGAATCGACGCTCGGACTCGCCCTACAAAAGAGCTCCTAGGACCACAGTAACCGCCGTGCACTAAAGCCGAATTTCTACTTCTCCTCTTGATCCTTCCGTGCAAGCAGACCCATCATCTTGATTGCACTTTCGATGTTTTCGCCTTTGGGAGCGCAAACGGGAATGTAGTGCCAGTTTGGGTTGATGCTCTGGATGTGTTTCACAAGCTCAGTGTAGCTGGCGCCGTTTTTCGTAAGATCCGCTTTGGTGGCAATAACCATGACTTTCTTGCCCTTCATGCGCTTTTCGCCCACCTCGTCTATCAAAACCTGGAGATCCTGGGCGGGGTTTTTCGATTCGAGCGAAACCACAAAAACCAAACCGCCAGACCGCTCAATGTGGCGGAGAAAGTCCATGCCCATGCCCTTGTTTTCGGAAGCTCCTTTGATGATGCCGGGAATATCGGCCACCGTGAAGGGGTCCTCGTCAATTCGGGTGAAAATCGTACCAATTGTAGGTTGAAGAGTAGTGAACTCCCAGTGCCCCACACGCGGTCTAGCCTTGGAAATAGCCCTAAGAAGCGTCAGTTTACCGGCATTGGGCAAGCCCACAAGCCCCAAGTCGGCTAAAAGCTTGAGTTCTAGCATGAAGTACTCCGTCAAGCCTTGGCGGCCTTTCTTGCTGAAACGGGGGTTTCTCACGTCGCCGGTAAGAAAATGCATGTTTCCCATTCCGCCACGGCCGCCCTTCATGATCAAAATGGGTTTTTCCGTGGGCTTGTCGAAATCCAATCCTCTCAACGGAAACCGGTCGTTGGCGAGTTCCTCGGCAATGATCTCTCTGTCGTAGTCCTTGACCTGCTCGTTCAATTCCGTGAAATACGACCGCTCCTGGTGGTACTCCTCGTCCTTCTCCTTGAATGTCCAGCCCTCGCCGGGAATATAGTCGTTACGATATAACTGCACATCCTTGTCTGGAGTGACTCTCAATCCCATCGTCACATCGGCAATACTAACCCCCTTGAGCTCCTTTTTCACCGCCAACGGGTCCGGAATCCACCGCATCGTCGTCCCCACAGGAACCTCCAAAATGATATCCTCACCTCGTTTTCCATCTAGTTGTCTGGATGAACCTGGACTGCCTCCCTTGGCCTGATAGCTCCGCTGGAGCCCGTGCAACAGTCCCATATTTTTCACAACCTGAACGTAAATATTGCCTCCGTCGCCGCCATCTCCTCCATCGGGAGGTCCTACCGGTCTATGGGCATCTCTGAAGAAAGACACACAGCCATTGCCGCCGTTGCCCGATTTGAGCCGCACAAGCCGGAGATCCAAAAATGTCCGCTGCTCAACCTTCAGGCCCTGCTTGTAGTTGTTGTGCTGGCCCACAAAGATCTTGTGGCTCTGATGGAGATCTCCAGCGAAGTAGTCCTTCATGGAGATTTTGGCCCTGTCGAGCCCAAAATGGTCCGATCCTTCGACGTGGTAACGAATGTCCTTGTAAACTTTCGAAGTGGCTTCGGAAGAGACGCCCTCCTCAAAGGAGTAGCTGCACTCTGGAAGATTGGCGTATGGATCGGGATTGGAGGGTTCTGGAGCTTCGGCGTTAGGCACTTCAGGAAACCCACCGCTCTCGGTGGCTAAACGCCGAGACGTCTGAATCCACCTGCTACCGCTATTTCTGCAAATTCCCCGAAAACAGCGCATGTAGTGGCACCAATTCGCCGTTGGTGATGTTAGTGTAAAGTGGTGAGGTGTACGGGTGTTTTTCACCTCACATAGTCTGGGGTCGATGAGCATCGCATAAACGTCAAAACCTCCATGTCATTTTCCGAGCTTGGTGTCGCCAAGTGGCTTTCGGAATCGCTCCAGGCGATGCAGATTCACACCCCCACGGCCATTCAGGCCGCCTGTATCCCGGAAATCCTAAAAGGAAAGGACTGCATTGGAGGAGCCAAAACCGGTTCAGGTAAGACCATCGCTTTTGCCGGACCAATGCTCACAAAATGGTCCGAGGATCCCATGGGCATTTTTGGTGTTGTTCTCACGCCCACGAGAGAGTTGGCGATGCAGATTGCCGAGCAGTTCGCCGCCCTAGGCGCCAATATGAACATCCGTTTGGCGGTAGTGGTTGGAGGAGAAGATATCGTGAAGCAAGCGTTGGAACTCCAACGAAGACCGCATTTTGTGATTGCCACGCCGGGCCGTTTGGCTGACCATATTTTGAATTCGGGAGAAGAGACCATCAAGGGGCTCCGGAGCGTGAAGTACTTGGTTCTAGACGAAGCCGATAGAGTGCTCAGTAACTCGTTCAGCAAAGACCTTCTGCGGTGTTTAGAGGTGATGCCCGAGGCTTCCAAACGCCAAACTCTCCTTTTCACCGCCACGGTGACAGACGCCGTGAGAGCACTCAAAGAAAAACCACCTGCCAAAGGAAAACCGCCTGTTTTCATGCACGAGGTGGATTCCGTCGATAAGGTCGCCATTCCAGCCACGTTGCTGCTTTACTACGTCTTCACGCCGTCGTACGTCAAGGAAGCATACCTCCACACGGTGTTGCTGCTTGAAAAGTACCAGGATCTGAACGTCATCATCTTTGTCAACAGAACCCACCAGGCCGAGCTTCTAAGGCGTACGCTTCGTAAAATGAACTTCAGAGTGGCATCCTTGCATTCCCAGATGCCCCAGCTGGAAAGAACCAACTCCTTGCATCGTTTCAAGGCCCAGGCTGCAAAGATTCTTATAGCCACCGATGTCGCATCCAGAGGTTTGGATATTCCCACGGTGGAGCTTGTGGTGAACTACGACATTCCAGCTGACCCGGACGATTTCATCCACAGGGTCGGTAGAACGGCCAGAGCGGGCCGGAAAGGTGACGCTGTGTCGATTGTGGGAGAAAGGGATGTGGAGAGAATTATGGCCATTGAGGAGCGTGCTAAGGAAAAACACGTTTTGTTGAAGGAGGCCGACGACGATGCTGTTATCGAGAAGTCCTTGACGAAAATGAGCACTGCCAAGAGAGAGGCGCTTATGGACATGGAGCGGGAGAACTTTGGAGAAAAGCGGGAGATCAACAAACGCAAGCATGAGGATGGCGGGAAGAAGAAGAAGGCGAAGCATAAGTAGGAAGGAATTGCATAGACATGATAGGATTTTGCTGTAGCGGGGGTGTTTGATAGAGTAAGCCCATTGATATGTTAGTATTTTGATGATTGAATTTGCTATGTTAGTATTGTGACAATTGGAATAAATGCTGGTGTGCTATGATATCCGAAGTGTGTTAGAAGTGTGTCATACGTTGCTGGAGCAGTTGATTATCCAGACGGTCGGTTGCCTTTATGTCTAGTTTCGTAAGAACGGTGTAGATCAAGGTCTGGAGAAACCCGAGGACGATCAAGGCGACACATATCGTCATGAAACACATTTCTTCCGGGGTTAAGTGAAAAGCGTGCTATTTCCCTAATCACTTTTTAAGGCACTCTTTCGAGCAGTGCAGAATAATGCCGTCCGTGCTTATCGCTAGTCGGCTGGATAGGTCCGCTGTGGAATAAACAGATTATTCTCAAGTTTTCGTGAAATTCCACCGAATTTTGAGCCACAGCTTCCTGGTTCAGATCAATTTCAACTCTTCTATGACTCTGACGGCAATCTTCCACATCGACAGCGCTCTATTCATGGTGACCTTGCCAGCAAGGTCCATCAAGCATCCACGAGCCGTTCCACGATCAAGGCCACATTGATCCCTATCAACGTCAACACCACCGCCGTCACGCAAACGATCATCGTGACGTTATTAAACCCATAGGTGTGAATCCGTTCCTGTGAGTACCGACGAACAGTCCTAAAGTAGTTGATTCCACTAATAATCAACGTGGCAAAAGCCAACAAAATGAGGATCCCCGCCATCACCTTGTTGAACACGCCGTTATTGAACTTCGGCAACAGGCCGTGGTCCTTTCCAGACGTCCGGAGGTGAAACCCCATCACCATACCTGTGGCAGCAAAGTAGAGAGCTGTTGAAAACCTTACAAACGATAGAAGCGTTCTTTCACTTTGAAGCACGTCTCGAGGCTCGCTCAGGGTGATTTCCAAGACCTTCAGCGCCGGAAACCACCTCCTTCTGGGTTCTTCTGGATTTGTATGTGCAGCATTTTGTGAGTTTTGGGTCGGGTTTCTCAGCGGCGACGGGCGGGGCTGGAACGCCCTTATCTCCGTATCACTCTGGCTCTCGCTGGCGACACTGTCGCTCCGAAAAGGCGAATTCAGCCTGCTGGTGTAGGAAGCAATGACAGAGGGTCTTCCACGCTGCGGCGACCTCAGCTCCGTGGCGCTCGTTTGGGGCATATTTGATTTGGGGGAGGAAGGGTGAAATTGAGGGGTTGTCGTTTCTTTTTTTTTCGTTTCTGGGTGCCTGGACGGTGGGGCTGAAATGAAGTAGTAGGTGTGTGTTGATAATAAAGCCGTACTGTGGGTGCGAAATTACCCCAGGGTTGAAGCCATGACGTATTACAGGTGGGCAGGAAATCAATGAAGAGAAGGAAATTGCGTTTTTTGTGAGTTTTTGTAATAATGCCTGGTTTTGGTTTGTGACTTTGAGTTGGGTTTATGAAAATGGAGGTAAGGTTTCTCCACTGTGGCTCACCTACTTCTAGAGAAACCAAGGTAGTACGAAGGGTATCGAAGACACATTCTGGATCGCTTACTAAAAGATGTTTTGTTGATTTTCTTGGAAACCAGATGGTTCAATTCGTCTTGTGTTTTCCAAATGTGAATCATCAATTGGTGAGTGTCTATGGATACTCATACTCTTAGTAGACCTCTATTCTAGAATCGAGATGCACTGAACACACTACAAATCTTGTAGATACTTTACAGACGTTTTGTTCCTCGTGTCGTCGACTTGAAAATTCAAATCCCTAATACCACAAGTGCAAACCTCCTAACATAGCCCAATACTTCTCTATATAACACTCCAACTAATACTACCACACCAAGTAGCCCATATACCAGATCACCAACTACCTGACCACCAGACCTACAATTCCCTTTCCATGCAATGTGAAATTCTATACTCCATGCAATGAGAATTTCTATACTCCATGCAATGTGGATTTCTATACTCATCCACCGAAATGCTAAATGCTCTCCTAGTCAGCCAACTGCTGCAACTTCTTGGCCACGTTTCTCCTCGACTTGGCCAACTTCTTCTTCTGGCTCTTTGTCAAGGCTGTTTTGAGCTTCTCAGGCGAAGGAAGCCCGTATATCTTTCGAGGCACCTCCTCGTTGCTTTCCTTCTTCCTTATACCCTTGGACAGTCCACATCCATTGAACTGATTCACTGAGCCCGCAGAGCTCACGGGACTGCCACCTCCCTCACCTTCTCCGTATCTATAATTTGGAGATCCAGGAAACTCGCCTTTTTCGATCAACTCCATAAACCTCTTCTCGTTCTTTCGATACTCCACCTCACACTCGTCTAGCCGCTGGTTCCACAAATGCTGGGCCAACATGCCCGCTTCATAGTTTGTTCTTCCCACCATCAATAGCGTGTGGAAATAGAAGAACTCGTCGATGTCTTTCCAGATCGGCAAGGTGGCAGATCCGTGGTTGATGTAAACACTGCCGTCTAGAAAGAAAAAGGCGTGGTGGGCGGCGACGGGGAGCTCGATGATGCCTATTTTGCGGCACAGAGGACACATGAGAGGAACAATTGGTTTTGTCTGGGGAGAGAATCTACTCGTGGAAGAAGAAGGAGTAGTTGCGAAACGGTTGTTTCAGAGCGGCTTTTTATACGTCTGGAAGGGTGAAACGAAAGTTGTCGGGACAAGTTATGTTGAAGTTTGGGCAGGGAAGGGGTGGAGTGGGGTTATTTGGGGCTTTCTTGGGGTGGTGTTGACGAATGGGTGGGAGGTTTTGTGATTTTTGCAGCCATTTTGAGGTCACTGATTATGGAGATAGAGGGTCCGGAGAGACACAGAAAAGGCAGAAGAATACACAATCTAAAGTTAATTTAATATAAATTGTGTCTGCTCTTTATCTTTCTATTAGCTGTAGGGGGTTAGTTAAGCGTATCTTCCATGCTCTCTACTTGGTGGGATGTAGGGTAGAGAACCATACTTGGAATAAGGCGAAAACTACAGGGCTATATACCTGAGGGTAGAAATCCATCGAGTATTATGAAACAATCATAAGGAACTCTAGGGCGGGTCAAAACTACCGTTTCTTAGCTCATTGCAACTCTCAGTCTCAGAAGACTTATAAGCCACATCACTAGCCACCTCCATCTACAACTCATTAAACCAAAAGCAAACGTAAATTAAACTAACTAGACGTTTCAACATAAGACTCTCAAAATTGTGTCTTCAGCTGCCGTCAGCACACTGTCTCTTGGCCAAGTGGGGTGGATCATCTGGATTGACTTGCAAGCAAGCAAGATCTCCGCAATCGGCATGGCTCGTACAAGGATCGCCGGCTCTCGCTGAAATGGCGGTACCGGCCAAAAAGACAGTCAAGGCTAAGATAGAAGATTTCAACATTGGAGAAAGAGCTGTTGAGTTGAACAAGAAGGGAGAGGACGGCCTTATATAGTTCACCGAGAGGTCGAGCCAGGGGTGCCATGTTTGCTCGTGGACCTGAGAACACGTCTGCTTCTCTTATTCTTGCCGGCCGTGTGGGGTAACACAAAACTGGTGATATTCGCTTAAGCGTGTGTTCTACTGAATAGAGGTAATACCGATGTTGTTTAAACCCGGTACAACAACGCAAATTTCAAAATAGATTTGTTGTTTTTCGTTGGTTTCCAATTACTTCCTTCGTTCGTTGGCTTCGTGTTCTCTGAATTGGACGGTCCTCCGTCGACGCATAAATAGCGTCTATAGCGCTGTGCATTGGACCTTAATGGTGTCATCCGGATAAACCTTCCATTTCACAGCTTTCAAGTTATTAGCTGTGAAGATAAGGAGACGTCGTGGTGGGCTTAGATAAGAAACGGGCCACTAGAGGAGCATGATACCTCTTTTGATGGGTTCACATATGCATGGTGACTTCTCTGTGGATGTTGCAATTCTGTACTATTCTGGTGAAAGACGAACTCCACAGTGTAGGTTATATTTGGAAGTTCATTTGATTCTGTTTGATAACTTGAATAACACATATTTTGATGATAGAACGCTCTTTTCGCAGCCATTTTGGAGCTCAGTTGTAGTGGCTAACTAATGGGTGAATGGAGACTCTCTTAGGAAGACATCCTTTTCTGGTTCCATTGTCAAGTTAGAGGCTAGTCTCCATTGAGAAGATTTTGCACGGAACGTGAAATTTTCAGCGTATGTGGGAATGTGGTGAACCTTCAAAGCTCCATCAATATTTTGCAGCCATTGTAGGCTCGAATGAGGTAGACTTCTTTGCACATTCGTTGAATCAGATACAATGTCATACACGCCCCGTAGGGTCAGTCTGACTCTTTCATTACAGAAAGTCGGTAATACTACTAGAAGCGACCACTTATTAGTGTATTACAAGAGGAGCATTTGTGGTCCTTCGCATGGGGCCCTTTGGACAAAATAGTACCTCCATAACTCGACCATATCTCCAGAAGAAATTGTAAAAACTGCAATGTCTGGATCTTCCCTACAACTCTATGCTCAATTCATTCCAATCATGTATTCACTTCTGGTGACTCGGTGGCCTGGGACTTTGGAACGTATCCGCATTTCACATCATTCATGTAAGCGTCAAACCTAGCTTTTACTCTTAACTCAGCATATTCGCTCAACAAATCGTAGGTGAGTTCCTTTTCATTATCGAAGACATCAGACAAATGGTTCAATTCGTACTCGTCTGGGTTCCTGATCTGCACGTCGTACTGGCCAAGGTTGTTCTTTTTCACATATCTGTCGCTGAGTTTGCCAATGACGGCATACTTATCAGAATTCCTGGAAACAATAATATAATCGTCTTTGCTGACTCGAAAGATGCACAGATATGTATCCCACATTGCAAGCTCGTCGTAGGATTTGATGTAGTCATCGACGTGGTCGAACTTGATGTAGACTTCCTCTTTTCCACCGAAAGTGTAGAGTTTTCTGTTGAAGACGGACACATTGGGGAAAACATTTTCGTTTGGGATTTCCCTTTTGTTGTACTTCACCAACCATTTGTCTTCCCAGGTCATTTTTGATTTTTTTGGTTTTGCTGAGTTTGGACGACGAATCCGGCTTATCTTATACGTTGAAAAGAACCCCTGCTGCATAACGCCACAACCTGGTTCCAGTGGTCCAAGCACAAAGCTCGTTTAGCGAAGGGTGTAAGTTTTTCATTGATGGTGAATCTAAAAGTCCCGTGCATTGTGATTTAAAAATTTTGATCAATATAAAAATAAATACTTATAATGATCTTCATCTCAGTAATCACCAACAGCCTTTTGAGGACCACCGCACAGGTGAGTGGCTACTGCGTGGAGGTGCATAATCAATAGAGAAGCGCAAAAGCGACTTTTCGTGAATACACTGGTATTGACTGGTTTGTACTTCTGGCACTTCGAAGATGAAGTAGATTCATCACTGGGATTGGAAAATCTCAAGAATTTACTACAAGAAACAACAATTACGTATTTTTGTGGGCCCCAGCCTCCAGGGCGCATTTGCGGCTTATCTCGTCAATGCGATTTTGTGTCAAAAGTGCATATGACGTGTAATTGACAATCAAAGTAAAAGTGGCACGTCGGGTCTAGCTGATTTCAGAAGTGGGGGATCCAGCTCGAGATTTGCTCGAGTTGCATTTGGTTCCCTCATGGAGGTGTATGTTCGTTAAAATTGCCAAATCTGCTGTGGTGTGTGGAGGCTTTAGAGAGAAATTTATGATATCTTCAATTACATCCCGGACTACCGAAAGTAGTCTACTCAAACGAAGCTGATTTTCTCCAAATTTTGTTCTGTTCCACTTTGGAAGGTCTCATTTGTACAGAAACCAGATCTGTTGGTACTTTACTCTCTTTTAGGAGTCACTAGAAAAGACCGTAGAGGAGTGTGGTCATATCGAAGGTGGGCATAATCTTTCATCCAAGCGCATCTTTTACACGTCCAAGCTGACGATAGCTTTCTTAGGATTCCTGATTTAGGGAAAAAGTCAATTCTTTGATCTCTGCTTTCACATCCACTTAAGTAAACTCATAGCTTGAGAAAGGTATTCTCGATAGTTAAGATCTTAACGGTTTGAACGTTAAAAGTTCTCTCTGGAGATGGCTTTTTACTAAAGCGCTACCTCTGATTTAAAACTAACACGAATTCTTGAAATCCGTAATTTTCAAATTCTCAATATTCTAACCATATTCAGTTACCTCCTCCTTATCCACTTTTCGCAGCCAAATTCGCAAACCACCACATACCACAAACTTCCTCACAAATATCAAAATCATATCAAGTTTAACGAAAACAACAATAACAGTCCACCTAAAAAATACATTTTTCGTGAAGGCCCTCCCAGAAGAAATCCATCCAACCCCACATTCATCCTATTAACCCTACCCACCTGCTCATCAACTTTCCTGCACTCATCTCTTCACATCAACAACATCAACTACACCTTCTTTACAATAACAAAATGGCTGCCGTGCAGAGAGTGAAGCGATGCCCCGGCTGCCACCATACCAAGTTCATCCAGGACATGCTGGCCCTGCTGGGTGATCTTTCCTGTGAAAACTGTGGTATGGTCCAGGAGGAAAACCCCATCATATCCGAAGTCCAGTTTGGTGAATCCTCTTCTGGTGCTGCCATGGTGCAGGGTGCCATGGTCGGAGCTGACCAGGTGAGAGCTAATTTCAGTATGAGAAATGCCATGGAGCTGAGAGAACAGACGCTTCTTAGCGCCAAGCTGAAAATCAAGAAATTGGGAAGTGCCATGAAGATTCCCGAGTACATTTTGGAGTCCGCAAGCGGCTGGTTCAAGCTTGCGTTGGTGCAGAACTTCGTCCAGGGTCGTCGTTCCCAGAACGTGATCGCCGCCTGCTTGTATGTGGCGTGTCGTCACGAAAAGACTCACCATTTGTTGATCGACTTCTCCTCGAGGCTCCAGATCTCGGTATTCTCGCTTGGTGCCACGTATCTCAAGCTCGTGAGAGCTTTGCAAATCCAGAAACTTCCGCTTGCCGACCCTTCCCTATTTATTCAACACTTTGCCGAAAGACTAGATTTCGGTGACCAGACAGCCAAAATCTGCAGAGACGCTACGAAACTTGCCCTGACTATGGCCAAGGACTGGATATACGAGGGAAGACGGCCTGCCGGTATCGCTGGAGCGTGCCTTATGCTTGCGGCCAGAATGAACGATCAGAGAAGGTCCCACGGTGAAATCGTGGCTATCGCTCGTGTGGGTGAGGAAACCATCCAAAAGAGACTTAACGAATTTGGCAAGACGCAATCTGGTGCCATGACGCTTTCACAGTTCCGTGAGTCTGAGGGCGCTGCGTCATCGCTTCCACCCTCCTTCACTCAGAATCGTAAAATCGAGCTGAGAATTCTGAGCATTTTGAGCCAGCGGTCCCGTGTTGTCAAGCAATATAGAAAACTCGCAAGCCGAAACAAATTGTTTGACGTTTTGTTTGAGCAAGAGAGCGACAAGAGGCCTGTGCCAAAACTGGAATCCAATTCCGATATCGCAGCCCAGAAGTCTGACGAGAGTGAGAAGGAGAACACTAGGGAGGGCACGCCGAAGGACAGTGCAGAAGCTGCGACGGCAAATGAGAGCAATAAGGAGGCTGAGACGGGCGAAAGTGAGGTCGACAAGGGTGCTAATGAAACGAATGAGAAGAGCCAAGAGGATAATGCTAAAGGAGAGGCTAATGAAACGAATGAGAAGAGCCAAGAGGATAATGCTAAAGGAGAGGCTAATGAAACGCCAACCAAAGCCAACGCCGAAAACGATGGCGAAAACGATGAAACCGCAAATGGTAATGAGGAAGCCGACGATGATGACGAAGACGATGAGATTTTCGACCTCTTACCGGATGCAGATGACCCTCCACCGCAGCCCAAAGACGATCAGCCCTACAAACCCACAAGCAAACGACTCTCAGGCCTTCGAACGGACTTTGGTCTCCGAAACCGCCGCCTGCGACCCACTTATGACGACAATTCCTTTGAAAAAGAGTATGATGCCTTGCCTGCGAAGCATGCTAGCCGTAAGAGACGCTCTACTACCGCCAGTGTGGTTAAGAAAGACGGCTTGTTGAGGTCAGTGTTGGCTGGAGGAGACCTCACAGAGAAAGATGTGGAAACTGCTTTGGAGATGATTTGGAAAAATCAGCAAAAGACGCTTCAGCAATCACTCTATCAAATCCCGCTGGAAAGTCAGGCCAGAAGTCTTTTCGTCCCAGAGGAGGAAGGCCCTGAGTTTTCACCAACTCCTGAGGAAGTTGATGGGGATGAGGAGAGGCTAGCTAGGCAGATCGAGCTCAACCGCCCTAGAAACTTGCTCAAGAATTTGCCAACTACGGAGTCTCTTCTTAGTAAAGTCTCAGATGATCCTAATTTGGGTGATGACGAAGATGACGACGAAATTGATTCCATGCTTCTCAATAAGAAGATGAGCGAAGATAAAGAAAAGATTTGGACTTCTCTCAACTACGAGTTCTTGATCGCTCAGGAAAAGCGTGTTTTGAAACAGGCAGCTGATGAGATTGCCGGAAACACGTCGGGCCAGCAGCGCAAAAGGAGAAGAATCAAAGATACTTCAATGGATCCAGTTTTGAACGATGCTGCTGTTGCAAATGCCATTAGTCTGATAGGAGAAGACGGGAAAGCTGCAACTCCTGCAGACAGCGCCAGACAAATGTTTAACAATAAGGCGTTTTCCAAGAAGATTAACTACGACTCCATTGGATCACTTTTCCGAAGCGCCCCCACTGCCGCTGATTCATCGGTACTGCCGAAACCCAGTGTGTGAGCTTATCTGGACCAAGTTTGTGCGGTGGTGCACGGATGTTTTTATCGCATCAAGGCCCCGATGAGCATCTCAGCTTTTTCACCAACACTGAAAACAACAGAAAATGGGCAAAAAGAGAAGAGCCGCTATCCTTCCGACCAACATTATCTTGTTGCAGAATGTCGTCCGCAGAGACCCTGGCTCGTATCATGAGGAATTCCTTCAACAGTATTCCCACTATGAGTCGTTAAGAGACATTTTCTTGATGAACCCCACGCCCGACCAAGGAACAGAGTTTGGGGAGCTCATTGGCTTCGTTTCGGCGGTTTGTAACTGCTACCCTAAGGAGACAAAGGACTTCCCCGAGGAACTCAAGAACATTCTTCTCAACAATCACAGAGAGTTGACTCCCGAGCTCCGAGAGAAGATCATCCAGTGTCTTACCATGCTTAGAAACAAGGGCATCATTACCGCTGAAACCTTGATCGCCACACTCTTTCCCCTCTTACGTGCATACTCCAGTTCGTCTCAGAACGCATCCACCAGTTCCCAAAACGCTAAAGCTGTCAGACGTCAGATCTACAGCACGCTTATTTCGCTTTTAAAGTCTATGAACACTGGTGCTAAGAACCAGAAGATCAATAGAACCACGCAAGCATTGCTTTTCGAGTTGCTTGACCAGAGAGACTCCCAGGGTTTCTGGGCTACTAAGCTTACCAGAGAACTCTGGAGAAGAGGTATTTGGGACGACTCCAGAACCGTCGAAATCATGACCCAAGCTGCATTGCATCCTGACATCAAGGTCAGTACGTCCGGTGCCAAATTCTTCCTTGGTGCTGACAAGGAAAGACAGGAGAATTTTGAAAACGACCTGTCTGACGATGAAGGGTTTGACATGAGTGCCTTGAAGCACAAGATGCAGATCAACAAGAAGTCGTCCAAGAGAAGTAAGAAGATGGAGCAGGCGATGAAGTCGTTGAAGAAGAAGAACAGCAGTAAGGGTTCTGCCACATACTTGAACTTTTCTGCCATTCACTTGCTCCGAGACCCTCAAGGTTTTGCTGAATCTCTCTATGACACGCACATGAGCAACAAGGCCGCCAACAAGTACGACTTGGAGCACAAAATCTTGTTTATGAACCTTGTTTCGAGACTTATTGGTACGCATAAGCTTACAGTTTTGGGTATCTACTCATTCTTCCTCAAGTACTTGACGCCAAAGCAGAGAAACGTCACGCAAATCATGGCTGCCTCTGCCCAAGCCTCTCACGACTTGGTCCCTCCAGAGAACATCAACTCTGTTGTGCGCAAAATCGCCGATGAGTTCGTCAGTGACGGTGTTGCATCTGAAGTCGCTGCCGCTGGTATCAACACCATCAGAGAGATTTTGGCTCGTGCACCTCTAGCCATTGAAGCTCCTCTCTTGCAAGACTTGGTGGAGTACAAGGGCTCCAAGGCCAAGAACGTCATGATGGCTGCTAGATCACTCATCACGTTGTACAGAGAAGTCGCTCCCGAAATGTTGCAGAGGAAAGATCGTGGTAAGACTGCTTCTATGGAGCTTCAGCATGGAGAGAAGAAGGGTTTGCCACAGTTTGGTATCGAATCCGCCACCACCTCTATTCCTGGTATTGAGCTCTTGGCCAAATGGAGAAAGGAGCAAGGTTTGGAGGACGATGAGGACAAGGACGAGAACTGGGAGGTTGCCGATGAAGACAGTGATCTGGATGACGAAGGTGACTGGGTCAACGTTGAATCTGATAAGGAGATTGATATTTCCGACTCTGAGGATGAGAAGAAGGATGAGAAGGACAACGAGGATGAGGACTCTGACCTTGATCTTTCTGATGACGAAGAAGCTGAAAAGGATGAAGCTGGTGCTCCTTTGAAGAAGAAGGCTAAGATTGCCAATGCCAAGGCAGAGGAGGCACTTGCTGCTGAAAAGGCCATGACAGAGATGCTTTCGAGCAGAATCCTCACACCTGCCGATTTTGCCAAGCTTGAAGAATTGAAGGCTCAGGCTGGTGTTGAAAAGATTCTCGGTAAGCAGCACAACGAAGAGGAAGTTGACCTGACTACGTTGGTTGGTAAGGTCAAGTACAAGCAGCTCAGAGAGGAGAGAATTGCCCATGCCAAGGAAGGAAAAGAAGACAGAGAGTTTGGTTCCAGAAGAGGCAAGAGAGAGGCTCCTCATTCTACTACAAACAAGGAGAAGGCAAGAAAGAAGAACTTTATGATGATGATTCACAAGAAGGCTGTCCAGGGCAAGCAGAAGATGTCTCTCAGAGACAGACAGAAGGTGTTGAGGGCACACATCACGAAGCAGAAGAAAAAGGGACTTTAGATATGTTTAGGTACAATGATGAATATTCAATGGTCAGCCTCTGTAGCCAGCGGAATTTGCTAAACTCCAGATCTTACTCTTCACTCACAACGCTTTCAACAAATAGATTACATTGGCATTTACAATATATTACACAACAGCAGGTTGCCGAAGGATGGAAAACAGTGGATCAAAACAGAGAAGAATTGAAAGAGCGCCACAGGCAAATTACTGGCTCTCGGCCCCCTCGGGAGCCTTCTTCTTCTTTTTCTCGGCCGAGGCGTCCTTATCCTTCTTTTTCTTCTTCTTCTTTTGCTGGTTCTGCTGGGCCTGGGACGATGGAGCACTGGACTTGTCGCTGCTTTCTGTCTTGGCGGCTTCTTCAGCAACCTCAGCGGCAGCAGCAGCAATGGCGTTAGCGACTGTGGAGTTTTCGGCTGGAGCAGGCTTGGCCTTCTTCTTCTTTTCCTTAGGAGTGGCTGGGGTCTTCTTCTCGGCAGGCTTAGCCTCCTTCTTCTCGACGGGCTTCACCTCCTTCTTATCCTCCTTCTTTTCAGCTGGCTTTTCAGCTGGCTTCTCCTCCTTGTCGGCGGCCTTTTCAGCAGGCTTTTCGGCCTCCTTCTTCTTGGACCCTGGCTTTGGGCCTGGTTTGGCGCCCGTCTTTCTTGGAGCACCGGGAATTGGGATAGGTTCGCCACCCTCAGCGGTCTTGGTAGCGTTGTAGGTCTCCAAGGCCTTCTTGTAGTCCTCAAACTCGCTCTCGTAGGCCTTCTGGAGGGCCTCCTTGTCGGGGCCGCTCAAATTGGCCCATCTCTCGGCGATGATCTGGTTGAGCTCGGTGGCAGGGTAGGTGGGGAGGCCGTTTTCAATGCGTTCTCTCTTCATCTGGTCACGAATGCTGAGGTTGAAGCGCAAGTAGGTGGTCAAGGGCTTCTTGGGCGCGTTGGGGTCTCTCTCGATCTTTCTCTTCTTGGGCTTTTCGGGCTTTTCGGCCTTTTCTGGCTTCTCGGCCTGGGCAGGCTCGGCAGCAGAGGATGGGGCGGTTTCAGCTGTGGTTGGGCTGGACGAGCCAGACTCGGCAGATTCAGATTCCTGTTTTTCCACGGGCGCCTCGTCCTTTGGAGCAGGTCTCTTTCTCAGTTTTTTTTCGACTTTCTTGGGCTCCACGAACCCATTGGCCTTGACGTCCAGGGGCAAATCGGCCAAAGCAGCCTGAGTAGCACCGGTGATGGAGGCACTCAAAGCAGCCAATGAGGAGGCGGAATCGGAGGCATCGACGCCGGCGGCTTTGTAGAAATTGACTGTGGCGGTAGCGGCGTCCTTGGCGGCGTTGGAAAGCTCAAAAAACGACGCCACGAGGGCGTTTTTGGCCTGTTCTAGCGACATGGTGATGAAGAAAAGTGGTGGGGCAGAAAAAGGGAAAACGTCGGCGCCAGTCGCGCCAGGCCAGGTGGGATGGAAAAACGGGGATGGTCTGCAGAAGGCAGGGTTCCCGGGGGTTTGGGAAAAAAAGAAGAAGAAAAAGTGGGATAATTTTGGCCGAATTTTTGGGATCTGCTGTCCTTTTATAATTTTACGGTCTGGTGGACGAGTTTACTGGGTCTTTCTGTGGTGGAGGTGGGCTGGGTCCGGCACCTTCGCGGCACAACAAATAGCCTCCTGGCGCCAGGCCACTGCACTGGAGGCAATTAAACAATACATATTTGGAGGAAATCTAAAAACATTTTTGAATAATCAAAAACTTCACGATTTCTGCTTTTCAAAAATGTAAAAAAATTCCCAAAATTCCCCCAAAAACTCCCTTTTTGCTGGTCCTCCCGCTGCGCCCGTGGCCCCGATTGTTATTTGCTCACGCCCGCGGACTCGGGTTTCTCGCCGTCGTGCGGGCCCGCCCCTGGCCAATTTGTCGCCAATTTTTCGCCCGCCGCCGCGAAAACAAACAACTTTTGGCGCCAGTTTCTTGGAATCCGCCTGCGCTGCGGTGCCCGTGGAATTTGCAAGTGGTTGTGCAAAAAAAAGTGAAAGTTTGTTGGCGAAGGAAGAATTAGGCTTCTGTGGAGCAAATGTAGATCTGATTGTTTTTTTGTGATTTATGAAATAGACTTTTGTGGGTGGAGAGGAGTCTATGGCAGATGGTCTACTTTGGTGTAACATGGAAAGTGTCTCACAGTTGGTACCCGCATCACTATGGGGGTCCTTTGGGGTCTGAAGTTTTCAGCTCAAAAACGATGAGGTATTTTGAAGATTGAGATGTGAAGAATGCAGAATTAGGGTTCTGGAGAAGTAGGATCATGAACATTGGTGGTGGGTTCAGTATGGCTGTTGGTGTCTAGGCATTGGCATTGATGGGCATGAATATGTATCGACTTGGAGGAATAGAAAAGTTGAAGGTACTGCAAATCTACAAAACCTCTGGGTATTACATAACCTGCAATGATTCTTTCAAATGGGTCATGGTGCAGCTGCATCCGGATTCGTATTTGTCTTCCTTTGCTATCTACGGTTCAAAAAAACATTCAATATGGAGATTATCGAAAGTTCGTGTTTGACAAAGAGTTTATCACAATTTGTTAGAAATTGACGGTTTGCGGTTCTGTATTTGCAGCCACTCTTCATGTATTTGCAGCCACTCTTCATGAATTCTTCATTTTCGTAGATCTGTCCACCGTGACCTAAACATCCTATTTTCTTCTTGACCAGCGAGCTATCCTTGTTCACAATGTATTGAATATTTGTCAATGATCACTTTCAGGTAACCTGAGCATCACCATATCTTCACCACCTGGTTCCACCAATTGATGTCATCGACAGAAGTTCTTTCGTAAAACCATCAAAATTTTGAACTCAACGAATCGAACAAAAAATTCCACCAAAAACTACCCTAATTTCTCCGAAACCACCAAACTTCTAATTTCCACCCGCAGTGCGAAGTCATCTCGAAATCTGGGGTAATCTCAACTACATGTTTACACCTCTACGCCGCCTTTCCACAGGCAAAATCGCTGTGGCGTGCCCCGGCCAGGGCATTATTCCAAGAGGCTGTCTTTTCAATTTCAAAAAACACGAAAATCTTATAAGGCCTTCCCTCCAGTTGGTGGATGAGGTGTTGAAGGAGAAGTTCTCCGAGAAACTCATAGAGCAACCTCCCACCGAGGCGGATCTCTGGAGCTTGAAAACATCCAATGCCCAGCCTGCCATTCTCGCCGCCACGTACATCACGTATCAGCTTTTCCAGAAACTCTATGGCATCGATTTGGTGAAAGACGACAAAACAGGCTACTTGTTAGGACACTCTTTGGGTGAGTATTCCGCCTTGGTGCTCGGCGGAGTGCTTGATTTTGGAAGAGCCGTGGAGGTGGTCAAAAGAAGAGGCCTTTTGATGGAACAATTGTTCGAAAAAGGCGAGTATACCATGTTGGTGCTTGTGTTCAGACCCAAGAGCTTCGAAACGGTGCAAGAGGTTGCAAATAAACACGGTGTTCTTGCCTGTGTGAATAACTCGTCACAGATTCTGATCAGCGGTCCAATTGCACTGGTGGAGGCTGCGTTGGCAGATATGCCCAAGGGAGCTGTTCTCAAGCTGGTGAAACTTCCTGTGAAGATTCCATTTCATAACTCGTCGTTGCAGACCATAGAGCCAGAATTGGCCGAGCTAGCGCCAGAGCCTAAAACGCCAACGAAGCCAATTGTCTCGAACTTGACTGGCCAGGTGAGTGAAGGTCACTGTTTTTTGAATACCGTTCTGGACAACTCCAAGCCGGTTCTCTGGAAACAATCTTTTGATTTTCTTAAGGAGCAGGGCGTCGAGGGCGTTGTTGGTTTGGGACCTGGACAGGCTTTGGGTGACATGAACAAGCGGTCTGGCTTGAGTAATCATCCAGTGGTGGGTTTAGAAGATATGGAGGCGCTTGCGCAAAAGTGGGAGGCCCTCTAGTCCCGAGAAAGTGGTTCCGATGATTGACATCTGTATGCGCCAAAATATGTAAGGGTGCTTGGTTGGCGTGGATTTTGATCATGTTGAAGTGACGGTAGGAGGTTGTGTGTGAATCTACGTCACGTTGGTCTTCGACTACAAAAGAAGCAGATCTAGCTCCTTCATGGTACTACGAATGGAAGGTCGAGATCAAACAAAGGCTTTCGACGGTGATGCTCCATACGAAACTATTCACAGAAGGCTCCATGGACAATACGTACCGTAGGGCTGAGTTTCAGTAGATAGACAAAACAATTGTATTGTTTTCCAGCCAGACTTAACTTCCTAAAGCACCTGCCTCAACGGCTCTAGCACATCCGATGAAAATTGCCAGCTCCAGAAAAGCACGATGCATCTCGTTTATACCCTTTACATCAAAATCACGATATCCTCGAAATTTCGAAATCTCAAAACGCCAATTTCCAGAAAATCACTTCTCTGACTCCTCCGTGGCAGCGATGCCATCTCATGTAATACGTCCAAAAAGCGTCTCCATCATAGCCGCCATGCAACCCATAAGCTATTGATTCGCAGCCAATGGACCTCGGTCAATCAGGAAGCCAAGACCGGGTGGTTTAAAAAAAATCAGTTGGAGAACATCTAGATCAACAGAGCATCAAACGAACTTTTCAAATTGAAAGAAAACCAACAAATTAGCCAAAATCAACGGGACAGCTTGAGTGATGTACGAGGATCCGAGTCAGAGGCTTATCGCGTTGAGTCAGGGAAAAAGGTCCCGTTGAAAACGGCCACACCAGAAGAATAAACAACCTTTTTCAGCTAAATCTAAACTTTCTCGTCTACTCAAAAAGCCCCAACGCTCTGTTTGTGAATTGCCCCGCTGGCTGCCCCTCCTTTCGCTTATCACTTTCGTTGCATCTGCGTTGCGAGCCCTGCGTTTGACTCTGTGATTTTTCATCCTCTGTCGATGAGTCGTCATTGAAAACGAAACACGTACTCCATACTTCCAGCTCAATTGCAATTAGACTGACCAGGCTGAGGTATTAAAATGTAGAAGAAAGAATGAAATCAAAATCACCGTTTATTCCCCATTATTGTATATCAACTACATCCCCCACTGGATGCCGCACACTGGTTAATCAGCTCCAACTGACCCCCATCAAAAACCACCCCTTCCCCTCAAATCACAAAAAAAAAAAAAAAAAACTATAAATACAGCAGAGTCCCCCGCCCACTTTCACCCGAAACCCCTTTATTTCGAAAATCCACCAGGCCCAGCCCCCTCCCCCATAACCACCGGTGGTCCGAGTCAGCGCGAAAAATAACCACTTTCTCAATCCTCCACTCCTTCGTTTCTTCTCCATACCACTTTTCTTTTCCATGCCAGCCCAGTTGATCGACGGCAAGGCCATTGCCCAGCAATTGCGGGCGCTGATCCACGAGGACATCGCTGCTTTCCAGAAAAAGCACGCTGATTTCCAGCCTTCTTTGACCATTCTCCAGGTGGGTGCCAGACCAGACTCGTCCACTTACGTGAAGATGAAGTTGAAGGCGGCTGAGGAGGCCAACATCATCTGCAACGTGGAGAACTTGCCCGAAAGCGTGACCGAGGTTGAGCTTTTGCAGAGAATCGCCGAGTTGAACGCCGACATTTCTGTGGACGGTATCTTGGTCCAGCTCCCCATTCCAGCCCACTTGGACGAAACCAAGGTGACCAACGCCGTGGCTGCTTCCAAGGATGTTGACGGTTTCGGCCCCCACAACGTGGGCGAGTTGTCGAAAAAGGGCGGTGCCCCCACGTTTTTGCCTTGCACTCCCAAGGGAATCATGCAGTTGCTCGAGAAGCTGAAGGTGGACATTTCCGGCAAGAACGCCGTGGTTTTGGGCAGATCCGACATTGTGGGCCGCCCAATCGCCAACTTGTTGATCAAGGCCAACGCCAACGTGACCGTGTTGCACTCCAAGACCTCGAAAGAGCTGTTGCAGGCCCACTTGGCCCATGCCGATATCGTCGTGGTGGCCATTGGCGTGTCTGGCTTTGTCCAGGGCGACTGGCTCAAGGAGGGCTCTGTTGTGATTGACGTTGGTGCCAATTTCGTGCCTGACGAGTCCAAGAAGTCTGGTTCCAGAATGGTTGGTGATGTCGACTTTGAGTCTGCTAAGGAGAAGGCTGGTTTGCTTACGCCTGTTCCTGGCGGAGTGGGCCCTATGACCGTGGCCAACTTGTTGGACAATGTCGTGATTGCCGCCAAGGAGCACTACAGAGCCAACAACCAGACCCCTCAGTTCACCAACCCACTCAAGTTGAACTTGCAGAAACCAGTTCCCTCTGATTTCGAGATCTCCAGAGCCCAGAAGCCCAAGAGAATCAACCAGGTTGCCGAGGAGGCCGGAATCTTGGACTCTGAGTTGGAGCCTTTCGGTTTCTACAAGGCCAAGGTCTCGTTGGACATCTTGAAGCGTTTGGAGAACAAGGTCAACGGTAAGTACGTTTTGGTGACCGGTATCACCCCCACGCCTCTTGGTGAGGGTAAATCCACCACCACCGTCGGTTTGGCCCAGGCTTTGGGTGCCCATCTCGGCAAAAACGTCTTTGCCAACGTCAGACAGCCTTCCATGGGTCCTACTTTCGGAATCAAGGGTGGTGCTGCCGGAGGCGGATACTCCCAGGTGATTCCTATGGACGAGTTCAACATGCACGTTACCGGCGACATCCACGCCATTTCCATGGCCAACAACTTGTTGGCTGCTGCCATTGACACCAGAATGTTCCACGAAAACACCCAGAAGGACGCTGCTTTGTACAGAAGATTGGTGCCTGCCAAGAAGGGCGAGAGAAAGTTCCCTGTTGGCTTTTTGGGCAGATTGAAGAAGTTGGGCATTGACAAGACCAACCCGGACGAATTGACCGAGGAGGAGGTTTCCCGTTTCGTCAGATTGGACATTGACCCCGACACCATCACCTGGAGAAGAGTGGTGGACTGTAACGACAGAATGGTCAGAGGCATCACCATCGGCGAGGCTCCTACCGAAAAGGGTATGACCAGAAAGACCGGTTTCGATATTTCCGTCGCCTCGGAGTGTATGGCCATTTTGGCTCTTTCCACCTCTCTCCAGGATATGAGAGAGAGATTGGGCAAGATGGTTGTTGCTGCCTCCAAGGCAGGCGAGCCTATCACCTGTGAGGACATTGGCTGTGCTGGTGCCTTGACTGCTCTTTTGAAGGACGCCATCAAACCCAACATCATGCAGACTTTGGAAGGTACTCCTGTTTTCGTGCATGCTGGTCCTTTTGCCAACATCTCCATCGGTGCCTCTTCTGTTCTTGCCGACAAGATGGCCTTGAAATTGGCCGGTACCTCTGCTGATCTTACTGAGGAAGAAAGAGCCGCTCAGGAAGGTTACGTTGTCACCGAGGCCGGTTTCGACTTCACCATGGGCGGAGAGAGATTCATGAACATCAAGTGCAGAGCCTCTGGACTTGCTCCTGACGTAATTGTCATTGTGGCCACTGTGAGAGCCCTTAAGGTCCACGGAGGTGGTCCTGAGGTCAAGGCCGGTGCTCCATTGGCTGCCGAGTACACCCAGGAAAATGTCGAGTTGTTGAGAGCCGGCTGCTCCAACTTGGGCAAGCACATTGAAAACGCCAGACAGTACGGTTTGCCTGTGGTGATTGCCATCAACAAAATGTCGTCTGACTCCGACAAGGAGCACGAAGTCATTCGTGAAGAGGCCCTCAAGGCCGGTGCCGCCGATGCCATTGTGTCCAACCACTGGGAAGAAGGTGGCCAGGGTGCTGTGGACTTGGCCAGAGGTGTCATTGACGCTGCCAACTCGATCGACAAGGATTTCAAGTTTTTGTACGAGACAGAGCCCTCTGTGGCCGACAAGATCGACACCATTGCCAAAAAAATGTACGGTGCTGGCGAGGTCGAGTTCTTGCCCGAGGCCCAGAAGAAGATCGATCTTTACACCAAGCAGGGTTTCGGCAACTTGCCCATCTGTATTGCCAAGACCCAGTACTCCTTGTCGCACGATGCTGCGCTCAAGGGTGTGCCCACCGGGTTCAAATTCCCTGTCAGAGACGTCAGAGCCTCGGTTGGAGCTGGATACTTGTATGCTTTGGCTGCTGAGATCCAGACGATTCCTGGTTTGCCCACCCACTGTGGCTTCATGAACGTGGAGGTGAATGACGACGGAGAGATTGACGGTTTGTTTTAGACAGCCACCAAGTTCAACACTAACGAGACTACGAAATAGGTTCAACACTAATGGAGTGATTACTGTAGGAAAGGTGGCATGGAAGTGGCAGCGTAGAAAGGCAAGCTATGGTTTGGGGAGTGGAAGTTCTGGATTTGATGGTAAGTCTTCTGAAGGTGACTGGATCAAACAGGTTGGTAGAGTATAGAAAGAGAGATTGAGTCGTTGAACGATATGTTGAGTATGAGGCAACGATTCGGTGGCCGCAAAAAATGAAAATAAACTGTTGAACGGTGAAATTCAGTTGAAGTTGAAAAGAAGGTTGAAAAGCACGATTGGCTCGAAAAGCAATGGAACAATTGTCAGAGGCTTAATAAAATCAGACATGAGTCTGAAAAGAAATCTGAAATAATCATGGTCGAGCGTTGAAAAGATAAGGCAAGTAATGATCCATGTAGAGGGCAGTGTGACGTCTGTTTAGATCTCCTCAAGCAAGTGTGGCATTTCCACGATTGCCTTTCGAGTTTGCCATTTACCGAATGAGTCGCCTGTCTTCCAAATCGGCAAAATCCACCGGCACTTAAATAATTCCGATGTCCCTTCAAATTCCTTCCATTCCGAGAGAAACAAACAATTCCGTAAAAGCCTCAAAATAGCGCTTCAATTGCCAGCTTAGAACAATAAAGTATGCAAAACTGACCCTCCAGTGCCCTAAGCCATGTCCACCATCCACGGAATTTCTCGTATATGGATGGGGTACTTTCTGGATGCCGTTTTTCGGATGCACTGCCGGACCCCACAGGCGTGGAAAACAAGCTCATCGAATGGAGTTATCCACGAATAATAGGATGCACATATTCCACGGCGAAATGATGCGGCGGTCGGTACAAACTCATGATGTGCCGATGGGGTGACGAAAGGAGGTTTCGAAGCAAAGTGCCCAAAACCCGTTTCTGCTGATCGCCAAAAAAGGATCTAACCAAGATCCAATCCCGCTGTGCTTCGATACTCCAAAAAGGAATTTCTTATGTTGCCGGAACCACCTCGGAGAAATGTCCGAGAATCCGTGCTCGCGTGAAGGAATTGTTCCGACCCGCATTAAACCGGCATTTCTTATTGCTTCGGCCTAGGCCCGTCAGGTGACACAATTCATAAAAAGATAAGGCAGTTTTTTTTCAAAAAATCCCTGATAAGCCACTTTTCGACTAAGCCGGGTCCGCCCAAAAAAGCCAAAGCCGTATTCCCCAGATATCTGACGTCAGAGCCCGTTTGGCCATACGGCGATTCGGCAGCACATGCAGCGCTAAACAGCAAAATGGCTTATTGTTCCTGCACGCAGACCCTGTCAAAACGGTGCCGCTCGTCGCTGACAGAAAACGCCCTTATCTGGGATTTCCGAAAAATCGCCCCAGAACTGCCGCTCCGCACTGGCCGCTTATCTGCCTGTGTTGCGCCGCCCCCACTCCCGCAGCCGCCGATGCTTTTTTAACGCTCTTTCGCCTCTCTTTTTTTTCTTGGCCTGAATCCGTCAAAAACCTGTCAAAATGGCTGCTAAAGTCGATGAAAAAGTCGCCATCGCTGAAGAAGGCGCCGGCGGTGAGTATGTTTCCGAGCGGGATATGTCGTCTTTGGAAGGCACCGAGCCCACGGAGGACGAAATGAAGTCGCTCAGACGTGTGGCCAGAAGAATACCGTTGGCCTGTTGGCTTGTTGCTGTGGTTGAATTGGCAGAACGTTTTTCGTACTACGGCTTGTCGACGCCGTTCCAGAATTACATGCAATATCCCAAGCCTCGAGGCGTGTTGAATTTGAACCAGAACGGTGCCACCGCCTTGTCTTACTTCTGGCAGTTTTGGTGCTATGTCACCCCGATTTTCGGTGCCTGGGTCGCCGATACGTACTTGGGCAAATACAACACCATCTGTATCTTTTGCGTGGTGTACATGCTTGGTATTTTGATTTTGTTTGTCACGTCGATTCCGTCCATTTCTGGTGAAACCACCTCGCTTGGTGGGTTTGTCACTGCCGTTATCATTATCGGTTTGGGAACCGGTGGTGTGAAATCGAACGTTTCGCCCTTGATCGCCGACCAGATCCCCAAAACCAAGCCATCGGTGAAAACGTTGAAATCAGGCGAAAAGGTCATCGAGGACCCCAACCTCACCATCCAGAACGTCTTCATGTTCTTCTACCTTATGATCAATATAGGCTCGCTTTCGGTCATCGCCACGACGGAATTGGAGAAAAACGTTGATTTCTGGGCGGCTTACCTCTTGCCGCTCTGCTTCTTCGTTATTGCCCTTGCGGCGCTTTTCTTGGGTAAAAACGTCTACCACAAGGTGCCTGTGGGAGACAAGGTCATTGCCAGATCGTTTCAGTGTACTTTTGTTGCCTTGAAAAAGCTCAACTACGACGCTGCCAGACCTTCTCTTAATCCAGAAAAAGAGTTCCCTTGGGACGACCAGTTTGTCGATGAGGTCCAGAGAGCCTTGTACGCCTGTAAGGTCTTCTGCATCTACCCCATCTACTGGTTGGTTTACGGCCAGATGACGAACAATTTCGTTTCTTCTGCCGGTCAAATGGAGCTCCACGGTCTCCCCAACGATATTCTCCAGGCCATCGACTCCATCACCATCATCATTTTCATCCCCGTTTGCGAGAGTATCGTGTATCCGTTCATCAGAAGATTCACGCCTTTCAGAGCCATCACCAAGATTTTCTGGGGTTTCATGTTTGGCGCTGCCTCCATGGTTTACGCTGCCGTTTTGCAGCATTTCATCTATGCTGCTGGTCCATGTTACGAATTCCCCATGTCTTGTGCTCCTGAGTACGCTGACACTCCTAACAGAATCCACGTTGCTCTTCAGACTCCCGCTTATTTCTTGATTGGTATGTCTGAAATTTTGGCCTCCATTACCGGTTTGGAGTATGCCTACACCAAGGCTCCAGTGACAATGAAATCGTTTATCATGTCGCTTTTCCTTTTGCAGAATGCCTTTGGTTCTGCTCTTGGTATTGCTCTTTCGCCTGTGTCCAAAAACCCCAAGATGGTCTGGACGTATACAGGTTTGGCCGTTTCGTGCTTTATTGCAGGTTGGATCTTCTGGTTCCTCTTCAAGCATTACAACGACAAGGAGGACGAATGGAACGATTTGGAGTATGAGAAGGAGGGCGAGGGCTTGGAGCCTGTGGTTTCCTTGACGAAGTCTTTTAAATGAGTATAGAACACGTTAGATAATGAGAATGGGATTGTAGCTGAATGGTTAGAGGAGCCACAGAAAGGATTATCCATAGAGGGGGAGCTCGTGGAGAAGGAGGCGGATTGAGATATCAACTCTTCAAGGATGATGCAGATTTCCGAGCAGAAGTACCTCTGGATAGGCTCATGAACGATTCTGGTTTGAGTCGCTGTGGAAGTTTTAGTCTGCATGCATTTTGGACGTAAAATGCCTATACGGGCATCTGGCATTCTTAGTAGTCGTCTAATATACCAGGAAAACCTGGTATAGGACGTCATGGGTGTTGGTCGTCATAAATCAGACTGAGGGTCCTGAAGATAGAGACTATCGAGAGTCCTCTGGCAAGCGGTTGAATCATCAAAATGGCAAGGACCAGTGGTTCTTTTAGATTTTGCATATCTCTAAACCAAACCAAGCCTGTTCTGTGCTCATTCCTCACCAAGAAACATTTGCACCCAATCATTTACCCAAAATCCACCACGCCATACACCCTGGTGATTCCAAAAGCTTCCCTTCCATCAGCTTTCGACACCTTTTTTTTTTTTTTTTTTTTTTTTTTTTTTTTTTTCCAATCCCCAATTATTTGCTCTTTCATCAAACCTCCTGTAGACCTCCTCCTGCAGCAGTGACGTTTTGCAGCCATTGAGAATCCTCCCCTTATCGGCCATTTACCCCCACCTTCACCTCATCAAAATCGACCATTCTCTTACCAATTCGCTGCCTTTCACAATTTCCGATTTCGGTGTCTCCTCAGATCCTCGTGAGTTGCAAAGCCTCGTGGAGCTTGAGCCGGTTTTTGGACCAACCCACACCCATTAGAACCCCTCCAAAACTCAATTCACAAACTCATTTCAAACCTGAAAAGATGACACCCCGGAAAACCTCCCGAACACCCCCTCCACCGGCTTATCTCTGTTGCTAATCTCTCCGATCATTTAGGCGCCGGTCCGGTTGCTGAACCTGCACCGTGACGGGGTCAGAACGAAAACCCGTACACCACGGAATGGCTAGGCCCAATCCCCATAAACTCTTCAAAACATTTACCAAAAACACTTCGAAACCGCCCTATTGTCTGATGCCCTTGCCATGTTGGTGCTGTAACGGTTCCTGCACATAGGCGTCTGCCTCACGACAAAGTGCGCTCTGCGTGCACTCAAAAGTCGCAGGCAAATCAAAAGCTCCAAAGTAAAAGCAGCCCTTCAAGCAACACCCTGTTTCTGCCAAACAAGCATCTGCTCTAGATACGCAATTACGCCATGGCACACCGAATTCTTGCACGTGACGCGGCGCACATGGCCCGGAGACTTGCCGTTTCCAGAAGCATATCCGGCCTTGCCTCGGCTCCGATCAAGCCTGTTTCTGCCTCCTTCAAGGCAGGGTGGCAACCCCAGAAGATTGGGTTTTACCAGACCCACCGTTTCTACAGCGTTCTCTCGCTGCAGCCTGCCAAGTTGTTCAAGTACGATGACATGAAGAGAATTGTCGACGAGGCGAAGCCCGAGACCGTCATTCTCGATGTTAGAGAACCTATTGAGTTCCAGGAAGGCCACATTCCTGGTGCCCGGAACGTTCCGTTCAAGTCGTCGCCAGGCGCCTTGGACTTGTCTGAAGAAGACTTTGAGGACGCCTTTGGCTTTGAGAAGCCCTCCAAGGACCTGGAGCTTGTCTTCTACTGTTTGGGTGGCGTCAGATCCACCGCTGCCGAAGAATTGGCTCACTCCTTTGGATACAACAAGCGTGCCAACTACGTCGGCTCCTGGGAAGACTGGGTGGCCCACGAGAACCAGAGAAAGTAGTCTCCGGTCTTTGTATATACTAATTCACTAATCGATCAAGACGTTGATGAGTGGCTCTGTAGATGTGAGTTGGATGTTTGGAGGTTTGTGGAGTTGATGGTAGTGGAGTAGAATGTAACAATGGTCTGTTGCAGCCTCACATGGACCCTTACGCAGCGCTCCGGGATTCTCAGTGACTGAGTGAGACATATCGGAAACAATGATATGAACGAAATTTCGAGGTTCTTTCAAACGACAACCTTTCTGTTTAGCTAGCACAATATGCTTTTATCCATAAAAGATGCCGTATACCGCAAAAACAAGCATCCGATAGGCGTCAGGTACAGCGCCCTATTCTTTACAGATTCCCAAAGATACAACCGCCAGTGATCCAACAACTTTATTGAGATAGACAATTCTATCAGCTTGACCTCGGGACTTAAACTCTGTGACTGTGGTCTGACTTCACTTTCTATCTGTGCCGACACCTCACTTCCTCGATGGCCTTGACTGTAGAGGTATCGGCTTTGTTTGACTCGGGCTTCGGGCAAAAGCCTCCTGAACGATTGCTTTGTTGTTGGTCTTTGGAGGCTTCTTAACCCGTTGTGCCTAGTGGAGTGGTCTCCTCGCTTCCCTGTGGTTCGTCGATGTCGCTGAGATGGCATTCCACGATATAAATGAATCCATGCCCAATTAAAGAAAGGGCAAGACCGATTGCAATTAGTGTGACCAACATCAGTAGCACAGGAAACTGCTTCTCGAAACTCTCAAGGATGATGATCCCAACGTAAGCGACGACGCTCAAGGTTACTTGCTGACAATTGTATATCAATAACTTCTGGGCATCCATGAAGAACGGAAAAGTCGAACATGCTGCAAAAGCAAAAGACATTGCCGTGACTGTCATTAGATTTTGAGTCATGACCCTTTTCTCGTTCAACTTTTCCTTGCAGCCTCGATTGTAACTGATCAGCTGGATTGTGTAGCACCACTGTTGTTCTTCAGCCGGCCAATCTGCATAGCGAACATCTTCCCATGATTCTTGCAACTTATCCAGCCATTCGTCCCCTTGAGACGCGGACCATATTAAGTAGCCATTGGTTGACGCGTCGTATCTATCCCAGATCATGCGCTTGTGTAACTTCTTGAGATCCTGATCACGATTACCCCATATAGCGTGCTCATATCTTTTCCACATCTCTTTAACCTCTTCGCCGCAAAAATCTCTTTCTCTAGCTGGTGAGCAGATCAGTTTCTCGAACGTGTACCAGATGTTCTGTCCTGGTCCCTTACAGGCCTCGGGCTGCTGGTAACACACAAGTTCGAAATCACCTTGTGAAGGGGCGATAGTTTCCTTGACGACGCATGCAAGAACGCCCATCAAGAACATAATGATGAAGATGGCTTGAACCGGAGCCTTGTACGGTCTGAACTTTTTCCAAAATGGATGTTGGCACCCATTGCAAGAAGATTCCCCCATACTAAATTGGGACACGGACACCTCTGAACGCCCGTTACTTGGGTTGTCTGCGCCAGTTCCATTTGACTCATGGTTAAGGCCTTGAGGGCACGAAGGATCGGAGACGGCAATCCCCTGGCAATGCATTCTCAATGGAGCCTGGACCTGCAATGGATACTTTTTCGAGTGTTGCTCAAGAAAGGCTCTGTTTTCTTCTGTTTTCTTCAATAGCGGCTCAAACGACGCGTTGCCCAGTGACTCGATTGAATCTTTGTATTCCATGATCAAAAAATACGACTGAGTTGTTGATGATGTTGTGGGGGTGTTGTGGTGGTAAGATTTATTGTCAACTTCTTGAAGGTAGATTTCAGGTAAGAGGTTGAAGAAGAAAAAGTGGTGTGTGGCAAAAACAAGAAGTGGGCGCTTTTTGCAGCTTTTATAGTCGCGAGCTTGAGACCACTACTTCCATTACGCTGCCTAATATTAATCAATTTGGCTTTTTAAGAAGATCTAGTGCATTAAGCCCCCCATGAAAATGATGAATTGACTACTTCAGAGCAAATTACTGGGTTCACCACTTGAAACGTCATGAAAGTCATGGTAGACGGGTCAAGCCTAGGACAGGGCTATTTAGCGTCTTACTTTGAATTAAGACGTGCTACATGGATGCAAACTTCGTAGATTGATACTCTCTTCGTATTTACAGCATTATCGGTTTACCTAGGCAAGTTCTTCTATGTTTATATATGGTTCCTTCATTAGCTTCCATATCAAACCAGATGAACGAATGCTGTGAAAGTCAAACTCCGTCTATAGCCGAATACTCCGCTCAATTTTCTAAAACACCAGCATACTATGAATGTCCGTTTATGCATTCAATTGTTCTAGACCCACTCTAGCGGATCGGGTCGCCTTATGTATAGCTATCTGTTAGCTCAACGTGCGGCTGACACTCCGACCTCTTCATGCATGACGCGAGATCTCCTTGAGTGGGGCGCTTCATTTGCTTGTTCATCCAATTGAATAGGTTTCGTGAGTTGATCATCGATATCTGGTTCATGATTGCAGGTATTTAAAGCACTCTAAGGTTAAGAAAGCTCCATAGTTGAGAATAGACTCATCCAGAACTCTGTATGTCCCGCAGAGCTGCAAGTCCCTTGCATAAAACATATTTGACTAATTGGGATTATGTGAGCCCTGTGCCGACTCGTATCCCAGGTGCGAATAGCGCGCAAATACTTTGCATTATTGCCTTGCATTTGAAAATTCTCTTTTCTTCCCTTTGTCGCCATCACCTTCATTTTTGGTAGCTGGTGTATTATCTCCATGCAAGTGTCTGTAAGCGAAACCCTACTTTAATTTATATGCCGTACATCCGCAGAGTACATCCCACGTAAGGGAGAGTCAAACCTGACCAGGTTGCAAGCTAATTAAATCCTAAAAGAAAAATGCAAACTTTCAGATTTATTTTTAAACGACGCATTGTATTTACAGTGGAAACGTATTGTTGAAAAGCTGCAGGGCTAAGATAATGTGATGATGTGAACCGCAAATACCTCAATGATAGGTTATGGCCCCTTCTGGGCACTGGTTTGAGCCATTACATACTCTGAAACAAGTATGTTTCATCAACAACCTGAAACACCTGGGAGGTTTCAATCCAACATAGGGATGCCACCTGAAATGAGACCTTATCCCATGGGCTATAAAAGGACGAAGCCTTGCCATAAGTTGAGCCTCTTTAGGGGAGTATACACAAACAAGCTTATAACCTAACACTCAAGGACATATTATGTACTTCAAAAGTTGTGTGTTTGCCAGGGCAACAACCTATGGTCACAGACTTCCAAGCATATAGACACTGGTTTCCCACTTGTAACTATGCAACGAACCATAGATGGAAAAGTGCAATTCACCCTCTAGATAGCAAAATCTCACATAGTAGGGGTCTACTTTATAGCGCTTTACGCCATGTGGAATCTTGACACCGATAATATCTCCGGGTAAAGTGGCGGCACAAGCACTCAGACTGCCGGGAACACTTTCCTTAAACTCACTCCAACGTAGAGAAGCCAGTAGGTCCTCATCAAGCAAAACTGTCTCTGTCCGGTCGGCACACTCTAGCCACTGCACAAAAGTTAAATTGATATGCTTTAATTTGATTTCAATGTCACGCTCCACGCGAGACTCATCGAAACTTTTTGCAAAAGTGAATGTCAACTTTATCAACTCTGAAACTCTCATCCCACCAGCTCCAATGACACCTCCAGTCCCCATTTGGGCTGCCAGAAACTGTCATTGTCGGCTGATGTGGCTTGAACATGGAGTAGATTACTGGGCCTCCTTACAATGACGCAATACCCAACTCTTGCTCTGGGCTGATGAAGATTCCAAGCGATTGAAAGAACCCCAACAATACGATCGCCCAATACAAGGCATGTCGCAACATGAGGTTTGTTTGAATTAGACCCTTGAACTTTTTTCACCAAAACCACAGGCTTTTCAGGCTCTTTTCTTTGCCATGGAAAGCGGAGCGGAAAAGGAATGTAGTCATCAACGTAAAAGTTTGCTATGTATCCGGAAATGGCATAGTACATGCAACCAAGTGAGCCATTTCTTAGACACTGAAGCAGGTCATTGACGAAACTATATCTGCAGTCGTGCATCATACGCTGGCAGTGGATCATAAAGGGCATCAAACCTCGGGTATCCTCCAAATTCATAGCTTTAGTTTTGCAACCACGACCACGGAACGCATCAAAATATTTGATCGTGGATGAATCCACTCGCTCCAGCTGTTCTTGTGCAACATTGAGCTCAATGAATACAGACACGTTGAAATTCGGGATACTCTTGTGTGAGATTCTGACAGATACGTTCAAGCCATAGCTTCTCGTTAAGTCTTTGGTGAAAAACGTCGGGCCAATGTTTGGCAACTCGCAGGAAAACCAATCGGGCAATAACGAAAAAGAATCTCTCGAAAGCGGCAAAAATTCAAAGAGCAGTGTTCTTAGTAAATCCAGTCTGCGCACTTCTCGATAAATACGGCCTTCCTTGCGTACAGCTAGAAACTCTTGTAGTTCGAGACAGATTTCCGAAACGAAAAAGGGCTCGATCAACCTGTCATCCTTCTCGCTTTCACCGGATGCTTCAAGCGATAGTGATAAAAATTCTGAAACTGGCATACCAGGAAGCACGACACGGTGGAACGCATCTTGGTAAAACCAGGATGCTTCCTTGAACTCAACTTTGAGTTTGATAGAAGCTTCATTGGTTATCTCGTGCACAGAAGTCAAGTCCCTTTCGGAACCCACCCAGTTGAGCAGATGAGACATTGGGAATTTCGGACCAGGAAACAATCTCAACTCATCTCCATCCACGTAAAAGCACGACCCCATTGTTGGAATAGGCATCTCATGCCCTTCACGGATGTACTTTGTGTACCGAACTAAAAAAACAACCATTCTGTCATCAAAATGAGGCCCGCTCCGAAAGAAGTAACGCCTCTCCTTAACAACACATCTTCCATAATGGACTTCAGCTCGGGGTCATGAGCCTCGTCGCTTCTCAACAATTGAAGCTCGAAAACCCGGTGAAACTTTTCACCAATATTGTTGCCAGTTACCCGAAATGAAACGGCATTCTCCTCCATTACCTTGGTCAAATCCGCCACGAATTGGTTGAAGTCTCTCTTGTACTTGTAAAACTTGAAGACGGTATCTAGTTTCTTCGGAGGCTCTACTTCTTTGTCGGTATCACCTCGTCCAGTGAATGCTTGAAAGAGCCCCATCATTGCCCTTTGTGAAAAACCAGCTCAACGAGCCCTGTTCGGGATCAGAGGCCTTTTTATAGCTTTGGAAACGATCGGCAAATAATAGCGTGAAAAAGATTAACCAGCCCTGTGACTTGGTATCGCATAGACTTACCTAGCAGTACCGAAAGCACCAGGAGTATGTTATAACCCACAGTCTAGCTTTATTGGGCTCTAATTCAAACACGTTTGAAGTTTCCATCCTGAAACATTGCGCCTTACTCGCTGGTTATCCCCAAAGACTGCAGTAGCATGCAAAGCCATGCAACAGAAGATTTGCTTCAAATGACCAAACCCCGCATCTCCCAGCAGCAACTCTCTTGCCCATCAACGGAACTCCATGGCCTTGAACTCCTTTCCCAACCGTCTCTTTCTCTTTCTCTCCATGACCTTCTCCCGCTGCGACGCCTTCAAATTGTCAAACTTGGCCTTCTGGAGCATCTTACGCTGCTCGGATTTCTTCAAAAAATACGGATTCACCTGCTCACCCTTGCGCATCTTGGCCATTTGGTCCTTCTTGTGGTCCTTGATGATCTTGTTGCCGAGGTCTCTATTCTTCAATGTATCTAGCCTGGACTGGAGCGACTGGATCTTGAACTTGAGGTCCTCCACCTCTCGCTGGGAGAGCTTGGAGCGTTCTTTCTTGTCGTTGAGGATGCTCTGCATCTGCTTGATCTCGTTTCTTCTATACTCATCCAAGAAGGCATAGTCGTTTCTGACCCTGTCCCAGTTGGCCTTGCCGTAGGCAGCATCAAAACGAACGTCCGTGTACAATGTGGTGTCTTTTTTCAGCTTGAGTCCAGGGATCTCTCTGATTCTGCTTACTGGCTTCTTGGAGGAGCTTTCTGAAGGAGCATGCTTGTTTTTCTTCTTGTGCTGGTGCTTTTTCTTTCCTTTTTGGGATGTTTCTTCTTCACTGTCAGAGTCACTCGACAGGGCCTCGCTGTCATCATCTTCATCTTCCTCTTGTTGCTGCTGCCTTAGCTTTTTTTGAGCTGAACTGAGGGCTCCAAACGAGAGTGATGAAAAGTCGTCGTCGCTTTCGTCGTTTCTTCTGTTTTGAATAACATCGCCAATCTCGTCTTCCGACTCGGAATCGTACTGTGGTTTGAATCTCTTGACCATGTTGTATTTAAAAAGATGGAGTAGTTGGTCTTGATGCTCATCTCGCCTACTGTGTAGGACACATAGATAAGAGGAAAGAAGATGAACTGAATCTACAGGGCATCCAACAGGTGATGAATAAAAGTTGTATTATTTTCTGATTAAGTCATTATATGGTTTGGCTCAGGGCTTAGAGCCCTGGTTTTGAAAATTATGATCACGCCTGTCAGACCGTCGAGAATGCCAGAAAGGCTGATACGACGGGACCTCGAGCGGTACAGTCTCAGCAGAGCAGTCTTTTGACAATGTAATCGAGGAGAGTTGGCTCGATACCAGCTCGATCGTTTTTCGACCCTTGCGGGTGTCTGTCTTACCACCATTCCCAATGAAGATTGAAAGCCGGATACCGGTAAGCATACTTTGGCACAATACCAAGGTATTCTGGCACAATTTTCAAGTATTCTGCTGAGATCAAGGTGCGCTTGTTTAGTATCCAACACCAATTGATTGCCCTTCTTTCGCAGCCTCAGTTCCAGTAAGAGGGTCAGATCTGCCGCAAGGGCTAGCAACCTTCAAGCCATTGTCCGGCAAATTTAGCATTATAGGACGTGACTTGTTCCGTTAGCGCCATCTATTCCGAACGCCAATTTGGGCAGCTTATTCGAACGGCGTAGATGAGGCTGTCGTGCTCTTCCTGTGATGACCTTCAATACGGTGAAGCCTCCATTTAAGCCAGAAACGTCCATTGGAGCACAACTTGGTTAACATTTTATCACTCCCAACGTGCACCATCACACGAGAATCCCATGGAACTCGGCCCGCTTGTACTGCCTCGCTAGTGACTCCCACTGCACCAAAAAACGGTCACTCACCGGCAAAACCAACCGTCCCGACAAGCTCAAGCCGCTCACACGAGCCAAGGATTCCACGTACACGATTCTCGTGCGGCAGAGCCCGAGGAACTTCAACAAAAAGAGTACATACGCCACAGGCACACATGTTCCAGGACCGTTGATAAGCAAAACGTCAGGATACGACTCGAGGCGTAGAAGAGCACCAAAAGTAGATGCAATGGAAAACAACGTCGTCACCACCGACAGCAGCCACAGCTGGCCCACAGTACGGGCTCTTTTCAAGGTGATGTAGCTCGACTGGCTGTTGACGGAACTCTCGAGTTTCCTGGCCTTCTCCAACGAGGTCGAGTCGCCCGACGACACAAGCCACGTTTTCTTCACCTTCTCCAACTGCAACGGCTGAAGAAGCCGTATCATCTCGCCAGTGTGGCCACCAGACCCTAGAAGGATCATAACGTGGCCTTCCAAAGAAGCCTTTTTCGACGGGTTGGAAGGATGCTGGAGAGCGGGAAGCACGTAGAGAAGACGTACTAATACAGCAAACACCGGGAGTAGCACTGCCACGGTTGCCGCCACCGCACCCAGATTCTCCAACATGGTAGTAGTAGTTGTTGAAGATGAGATGATGCGCATTAAGCGAGGCTAATCTAGGCAGCCAAGAAGAGCCCGATTGTTTGACGGCAAAGAATGGGTGTGGAAGAACGGCAACAGAGGGAGGATTGTTTGGAAAGAGAGGACGGGTTTGGGGTTTGTTTCATGGCCCTGTGGCTGAGTGTCTGCTGAGACAGGGTGAAACAGGGCCTAGCAGCCGTGAAACAGCGTGAAACGTGGCGTTGAGACGGGGGTAAGGCGGGAGGGAGTTCACAGCGTTTTGACAACGTTGCGTTTTGGCAACGTTGCGTTCTGACAACGTGGTCTTTAAAAGTCTCCAGCCGGTTGGAGAGGTGGAGGAAGAGAAAAGCAGCACCATGAGGCTACCAATAGCAAAGCAGTAGCAAAAGTATCAAAAGCACAAAAGAAGAATGGAGAGAAGTCGATTCGTTCTGGTGAGGCCAGATTTGGTTCATTCAGTCGGCAAAGTCTCCCATGCTGTTATGTTAGTAACAATCCAATAGTGTGAAAGGTGTATGAATCAGTGTTAAAAAGCTCTGTAGTTGTTATTCCACATGGTGTTTCAGCTGAAGAAATTCGTTGAAAGGTCTCATCATCATACTGTTTGTGTAAACATACTTGTAGGTGTAGTTGGTGAAAAAAAATCCCATCGCTGCGCTTATTATGTGTGAAGGCAGGGTTACCCGGCACAACTATCTCCAGGGCCGCCAGGCAAAACACATATTTTTTTGGTTCCAATAGTCAATTTGCTTTTTTAAAGACAAAGGGCAATTAGATTGTATTTTTCTGGAGCGGATGATGTGAAGATGGTCAGGAGTTCGTTCTCTTGGTAGTATGAAGTAGCCGTTGTGCAAAGGGATTGATTTGGCTGAATTGCAAAAGTTTCATTGTTTTTCATTTAATTTGTCAATTCGAACCTTAAGTTACTTAACCTCTCCTTTGGCGGAATCTAATGACCTTAAAATAGGAATCAATGCCTCGCGGTTCGAAGTACTCAATTGGATGACTGAGACGGAATTATGTATAGTTTGCCTTTGATATACTTTCTCTTCTGTTTATTGTTCCAATTTCAGACGAAGTTTATGAATTGTTGTACTGGAGGTAATGGTGAACTTTATGGGTATGTTAGAATGCTGTGGTGGTTCGTGATCCAACTGGAGCATCAGAGTAACGAAGTATATAAATTCGTGTCAGCGAGCTGTTTTCAAAATTTTGTAAAAGAGACTAATTAAGTGATGGCCAAATGGGTCTGGTAGTCCTTTGTTCCTCAATTGTATCTCCTTATACTCAGCTTGTGTGGAAAGGCTGCATTGTCGTACGAATGCCTCCTTGACCGAAATTAGCTTCGTCAATATATCCTAAAAATTCCATCTTTGAAGTGATCTTTGATTGAGTCGGATCATTTGGTCCTCTTCGATGCAAAGCCATAACTGTGTATCACCTTCAACCCACCAAGATCCACTCTTATCGCCTCTTTTCAAACGAGATCTTGCCCCCTCAGAATATCTTTTTCTGTAAGGATTTCTATGGTATCTTCTCAAAAAACATTCCTCGAAATCATCCCCAAAACAACATTCATATTCGTTCAGATCACCCATGTCTCACACTAAGCTCCCTCACTGACCCACGTTTCCAAAGTCAACTTCTCTGACTTCTCCCATTTCCACCCCGTCGGAGTCAGAACATCCTTCACCAACAACACCCTGTCCAAACTCTGTTCACCCAACTTGCCCAACTTGCCCATACTGACTTCTAGGTTGACTGCTTCGGACTCCGTAACGGTTTCGCAGCCAAACTCCACAATAGGTCTACAATCTTCATCCATATACAAGAAAGCTGGAATTCCCGCTCAATTTGAAGAAGTTTCAGAAACTCTCAGAAGCACATCTTGACAATCTTCTTAATCATTTCCAAAACCACCGATTTTGCCTCACTTTCTCTAAACAACCCTTGACCTCGGCCCGGGGTATGGAGCCATGGGTTTTTCCGCGACCTCCAGGCCGGTGCGTGGGCTCCGAGTTGGGCCGGGGATCCCCACCCAAAAACCCCGAAAATGGACTTCTTTGAGCCAGGAAAAACACGGAATTGTAGCCTGAAGCTTGATGTTTCCGAATGTCAAATTATATTTTTGCCACGACGTCTGGGTGTCCAGATATTTGGCGGTTTCTCTCTGCAGGATTACGTAAGCAAGGGCGATACGTGTCCGAGGGCAGTAGCGAGTTCGCGGAGGACTACTATAGGAGAAAAAAACCACCGAAAAAACAATCAGCACTTCACCAAAGCTTGCAGTCTTCTTTCCCGAAGTTCTATTCCAAGTTTGATTCCACCGAAAATTTCCACAATGTTGTCCAGAGTTTTCCGTGCTTCGAAAGTATGTATTGATGTTTGAGGAAATTGAGCGAAACGGGCCTCCTGGCTCTCCTTTACAATGATTGGCGGGTGACAAGATTGTCCATGTTTCTGAACGATTGACCTAGCGGCACCGTCGGTTTGGTGGTTTTTTGATTTTGTTGGTGAAAGAGAAGCGAAAGAGAAGCAAATCTGGACTGAATTGCCGTGATCCAGCTGATTCTGGATTCAGGTACCACAACGGCTACCGGGCAATCCAGGAGTTTCGATGATGAATTGACGCTCTAAGCGCCAGGGTGTCAAGAATGACTGTTTGATCGGCTGTTTTTGTCCAATTGAAAGTAAAATGAAGATTCCCGTTGATTTGACCGTTGACTTCCCTGGCAATCTCCGACCAACATCAACACCTGCCCTCCGCTCCAACACATGTCAGAAGAAGATTCTTAGACGATTCGCTAGTTTCACGTCATTTCCGCTCCCCCACCCCGCCAATACTAACTCCAGATCCAAAAGAGATTCCTCTCTCTTCACGAGTTCCGCTCCGCTGCCATCTTGGAGTCCTCCGGTGTTGGTGTCCCTAAGGGTTTCGCCGCCACCACCCCACAGGGTGCCTTCGATGCCGCCCAGAAGTTGGGCACCAACGAGTTGGTGATCAAGGCTCAGGCTTTGACCGGTGGTAGAGGTAAGGGTCACTTTGACAACGGCTTCCAGGGCGGTGTCAAGTTGATCTCTTCCCCAGAGGAGGCCAAGGACTTGGCCGAGAAGATGTTGAACCACAAGTTGATCACCAAGCAGACCGGTGAGGCCGGTAAGGAGGTCACCGCTGTCTACGTTGTCGAGAGAAGAGACGCCAAGACCGAGGCCTACTTGGCCATCTTGTTGGACAGAGCTACTCAATTGCCTATGATCGTGGCCTCCTCCCAGGGTGGTATGGACATTGAGGGTGTTGCTGCCAAGGACCCAGATGCCATCAAGACCTTCCCCGTTGACTTGAAGAAGGGTGTCACCGACGAGTTGGCCAAGGACGTTGCCTCTCAGTTGGGCTACTCTCAGGAGGCTATCCCAGAGGCCGCTGAGACCGTCAAGAACTTGTACAAGGTCTTCACCGAGAAGGACTGTACTCAGGTTGAGATCAACCCATTGTCTGAGACCCCAGACCACAAGGTTTTGGCCATGGACGCCAAGTTGGGCTTTGACGACAACGCCGAGTTCAGACAGAAGGAAGTTTTCTCCTGGAGAGACCCTACCCAGGAGGACCCTCAGGAGATAGAGGCTGCCCAGTACGGCTTGAACTTCATCAAGTTGGACGGTAACATTGCCAACATTGTCAACGGTGCCGGTTTGGCCATGGCCACCATGGACATCATCAAGTTGTACGGTGGTGAGCCAGCCAACTTCTTGGACTGTGGTGGTACTGCTACTCCTCAGACCATTGAGAAGGCTTTCGAGTTGATCTTGTCTGACAAGAAGGTGAACGGTATTTTCGTCAACATCTTTGGTGGTATCGTGAGATGTGACTACGTTGCCGAGGGTTTGATTGCCGCTACCAAGAACTTCCAGTTGGACATCCCAGTTGTCGTCAGATTGCAGGGTACCAACATGCAGAAGGCTAAGGAGTTGATCAACAACTCTGGTCTCAAGTTGTTCCCATTCGAGGACTTGGACCCTGCCGCCGAGAAGATTGTCTCTTTGGCCCCAAAGGCTTAAGCTAGACTTCATTAGCTACAAATACACATTAGAAGAGAGTGGACAGATGTAGTAGTGGAGAGCGAATAACCATGAGCCTCTTTTGGAGTTTATCGCTGCTCGACAAATTGATTATACTGATTGTAATGCTTCCAAGATCACAATTCGATTGCAATTGATTGAATCGAATGCTTGTAGTCACGGATCGCTCAATAAAATGAGCTTCAAATATTGATAGGAAGAATGAGTACTTAATGGCTACTGAGAAATACAGATAACCCGAATTCCAACGAAACCTGTCCAACACTAACAGCTTGTAATGTTTTCTCCTATTCACAGTCAATTATTCTCAATTGTGTATTGTAACACTTATCCTTAACTGCCAGTTATTGTCAATTGCCTATTGTAGGAAGATTCTTTCGACATCTTCTATCTCTAAAGGCAGTCTCTGAATATTGAGGAAATCGACTTCTCACTAGCAGTAAGATCGACAATACCGTAGATTCTAATTCCACCTTTCAGTCAATTGCCCTCCACTACCTAAAACAAGGATTTTCTTTCAAATACTTTTATCATAATCGGTTAACCCAGTCTCAATCTACTTCCACTGCCATTTGCTCTGTCTATACTATATCTCACCTCAGTGTTACCCACCAACAACATGTCGACCAATTTCCACCCAAACCCCCAAAATCATCAAAATTTCGAAAACACCCAAATTCCACCCCAAAACGAAACAAACCTCACCCCTTTAAATATCAAAAATACCCCTAATCCCCAAATCTCCCATCCCTCCATATCCCTCCATCCTGTGTCGTTTCGCAACCTGAATGTCGCGGTACGTTGCCACTATCAAAACTACTACTACAACGCCATGTTCCTCACCAGATCCGAATACGACAGAGGCGTGTCGACTTTTTCGCCTGAAGGCCGTCTTTTTCAGGTGGAGTATTCGCTTGAAGCCATCAAACTAGGGTCCACGGCGATTGGCGTGCTGACTTCTGAAGGTGTTATTTTGGGTGTGGAAAAGAGAGTCACTTCGCCGCTTTTGGAGAGCTCTTCCATCGAAAAAATCGTGGAAATCGACGCCCACATCGGCTGTGCCATGTCGGGTTTGACTGCTGACGCCAGGCTGATGATTGACCATGCTAGAGTGGCGTCCTTGAGCCATAACTTGTACTACGACGAGGACATGCAAGTGGAGAGCTTGACGCAGTCAGTGTGTGACTTGGCGTTGCGTTTTGGCGAAGGTGCTTCGGGCGAGAAGCGTTTGATGTCGAGACCGTTCGGCGTGGCGCTTTTGATCGCTGGAATTGACGAAAACGGTCCTCAGTTATACCACGCAGAACCCTCTGGTACTTTCTACCGCTACGACGCTAAGGCCATTGGCTCGGGCTCGGAGGGCGCTCAGACGGAATTGCAAAACGAGTACCACAAGTCGTTGACGCTCAAGGAGGCCGAGCTCTTGACGCTCAAGATCTTGAAACAGGTGATGGAGGAGAAATTGGACTGCAAGAACGCTCAATTGGCGTCTGTGACGAAGGAGGGCGGCTTCAAGGTCTACGACGACGCCAAGACCGATGAGCTCATCAAGGAGTTGAACGAGACCGTCACCGACGACACCCAGATCTAATCTAATGAGCACGATACATCAATATACATACGAAGTAGAGGTCAAGAGTAGGCATTGGTGGGGGTACAAGTTAGCTGAAGCAATTGATTGCTGGCACCGGCGCAATCACATTTCGAAGCTACGTAATAGAAGGAGAATGAAGCTATTGTTGTCAGTTCTGGTAGATTCTACATCCAATTTTCATCATACTACAGCCGTCGAAATCACCTCCTGTATTTGAATATACTTACCTCCCGACGGAAGCCTCCAATTGCGTTGCAAATCCCAGCAAATGGTGATTCTCGCTAACACTGGTGCTGCGAAGAAGAAACAACATGTCACTCACCGCCTGGTTAAATGTCTCTGTGTAAGCATCCACAATCTGCTTGAACGAAGCCGCTCTCAGACCAATTAGCTCGGGGTTAACCTCCAGGTCTGCGAATCGCTCGGGCATGTCTCGTCTAAATGCAGCAAACTGTCTCTCATCCATCAACACCAACGACTTCTTGAGCCTGCTCATGTAGTTGTTGATGTGGATCACAACATTCAAGACGTTGTGAAGACTCAGAAGAAGCTTTCCGTCAGTCACCATGGCATCCCGCAACATGTTGTTGAGATATGTGCCGACGTGGTTTTTCAAATCTTGTACGTCATCAAAGCTCTCCTCTGAATGCGTAGAGGAGCCTTGCTTATTACTCATGGCATTTATCTTTGCATCAAACACATCGTTGCCATTGAAGAAGGATTTGATGAAGTTCTTTTCGTTGCTAGAGCTCTGTCGGGGACAACTTGCTGCGATGCATTGACTGAAAACTTTTCGAGGATTGAAAGTAAGGTCAGGAAATTATCCTCAACAATCAGATAATTGAAGTAGCTTTGACAAAGATTCATGAAACCCTTCACGTTCGCATTGAGAGCTCTGCACTTCACCACACTGGTCTTCACGGACGGATGGAATCCTCTGTATCTCCACACAGTGGAGAAGTTGATCTCTTTCCAGGTCCTATCCGTTGCCATGCTTGCGTATTTCAAAAGCATCTGAAGCTTGAAAAGAAGCTGGTATTCAAACACAAAGTTGTCACCAACTATGAGATTAATGGGAAATGGAAGACTCAAGTCAACGTTCACACTTGCTACAGTGTACTGATCAATAGCATCAACATCATGCAGCGAGCGAGTCCTCTCCGACTCGGACAGAGACGCCTGTCGTCTGGACAAAGATTGACTCACAATTCTTTTGATGGCGTTCAGTACAGAGTCTGTGTCTTTCATCTCTTTATCGGCGTCAAAGGATTCAATGGCAATGATCTCCTCTGCAAGCTCGTAGAAGTTATTAGTGTCCACGCTGAACCCCTCGCAGTGAGGAAGAATGTCCGATATACTTGGTTCGCCAGATGATGGCTCGTCAGAAGGCTTCCGAACGACCTGATCATAAAGCCGTTGGACTCTCGCAGTAGGTACCGCGTGTTTATCCCTTGAAAGATCGTGAAAAGCAGCAGTAATAAACTTGTCAATTTGAAAGGACTTGTTCAAAAGGTAGGTCTCGTGTAGGTTCTCTATGAGGGTCTGGAATTGGTAGCCTTCTAACAAAAGCCTCAAGAGAAGCTTATTTGCCATTTTGTAGCTGTGAATAATCTTCAAGTGAAGGTCTGGCGAAAACAAACTGTCAATTGGGTTGGAGGAGACCTGGGCAAACTCAGGGAGATCCTTGAAGCTTATTATCCCACTGCACTGGCGGAAAATGTTCAAGTATTTTCCAGTCGCCAAGATCTTCTGTTGTATGTCTTTGCTGGAAAGCTGGTCCGGTACTCCGTCGAGCTTGACGACATAAAGCTCACTCCAGTACTTCTCCATGTTTGAATAGAAGATGTTTGCCGGTAGTTCGTTCTTTTTGATGAGAAACTCACCAAAAGGATCTTGTATGTGGCCTTCAATAAGCCATTCATTGAGCAAGGATACATAATCTGTGGATATGGCGTCGAAGAGTTGTGTTAGAAACTGAAATGCCACGGAGTCTCCCTTGTAGGAGTTAATTCTTTCAGTCACAAGCTGCAATACGACCCCACCTTTACATACAGAGAACTTGTTTGTATCGGTTGACGAGCTAATGGAGCCGTTCATCTCGAGATCTTGTTTGACAAATTCAAGGAAGGAGTTGAAAGTCGGAGATTCCGTACGTTCTTCAGTCCTCATATGGATGGTGTTGACAATCTCGTAGAGATGGGCCATTGTGTTGGCGCAACGTTGCATTATGATGTTGTCCATCTCTGTGACCGAGAGCGGGGCCTGCTTGACGTGGTCTTCAAACTCCAAGATGAGCTTCTGGTATTCCTTGAGAAACCCCCTGATTTCAAAACAAAGTCGCTGGTTCACTCTTCCCAAGTTCGGATGGTCATATATCTGCACAAAGTTGTCGAGTCCCGAGTACCATTTGCCGTAGGTAGCGAGCTTCTTGGTGATGCTCTTCAAAGCCACGTTCAAGTGCTTGGCTGTCTTGAACTCGGGCCCACGGATACGATCCTGAACTCTTGTGGCGTCGTAACGTTCACTGTAACGAACATAATTGCCCTCGTAGCCTATCAAAACGTACAAGAGGTCTCTCACCACAAGCACTTCTTGTGTTCTTGTATCGGAGATATCCAGCAAAGACCGTGGTTTGAGCGACAGGACAAATGAAGGTAGGGCCACGTTCTTACTCAAGTAATTGGCAGCCAGCAGCTGTACAGAAAGTCCCTGTACCGGAGCTGAACTCATCTGTAACGTTGTGTTGTGGATGCGATAGTGTTTTGATTTCGCGAGCGCGACTCAGTAGTAGTAGTAGTAGTATGCAATGGCTGCGAAATATCTACGCTCACTGATAAATGGCTGAAAATCAAAAGTCGTCACTGCTAAAATCGTCCTCAAGCTCCAATTCCTCAAGAGCCTTTTCGGCGTCTGCCTGTACCTTGGCAAGACCGCTGACTTCTTCCAAATAGCTCTTGTTGTTCAAACACCGCTTCACAAACTCCCACTTCTCTTTCTTGTACCCCTGAATGACTGCTGGAGAACATGCGCTACAGCAAGTGTAAGCAGGGGCCCAGAGCTTCGATTGCTGGAAGTTGTTGAGGAAACCACGGATCTGATGGGGAACGTGGCCAAACTTGGTGCTTTCTTCAGCCGAAGCTCGCTCTTTCTCGGGATGCTGTAACACCGACACCAAAAGCTCAACAGCAATGGAAGACGCCATGAGAGCTCCTCCAGGACGCGTCACCGTGCACATCTGGTCCAAGGTTCTGTCTGAGAGAGAATCGCTTGGCGCCACGACGTCATTGCAGTAGTAGCAGCCCAAACGGTTCTCCATTTCGAGAGAACCATGTCTCATGACAAGGTAGGAGTCAAAGCCGAGTGCAGCATTTATAACGATTTTGTTGTGAGCTAGGCCCATCACCGTAGGGAGCCAGCGTGATTCCCGTGAGTCCATGAGGAGAAACACCACGTCGTGTTCATCAAAGAGCTCGGCCAAAGTCTCGTAGCTATCTTCTAGATTGGAGCCTTCGGCCACAGGATGGCCTATCATCGGCACTGTCACGTTGAAGCCCCTGGACCTGACAGACGGAAAAATCTCCTTCAAAGCAGCACCGGCCCTCTCAGCCTTGGGTGCTCCCTGTCTGTTGATGTCGCTGAAGCAGTCCTTGAACCCAAATAGCGGCTGTCTCACGGGATTGGAGTAGGAAACACGGCCATTATCAACGAAAGTAATATCTCTCACGCCCCAGCCGAGAAGAGCACGGGCTACGTAGCTTCCGAGGGTGCCAGCACCCAAAAGAAGCACCTTTTGGCTCTTCAAGATATCCAAATCGAGCTGTGGGGCCACACGCCATTTCATAAGACGCAAATTCAAATCCACCGCCTGTTCTGCAAGCTGCTGTGGGTTAATGAGCGACCCGAGATCTGCCAATTTCGGCCCTAGTTTACCTTGTACTGTTCTTTCCCAACCCGTCACTTTTGGCGGTTCCAGAACGTCAAAATCCGAGTCCAACGCCAACTTGAGCGTTTGAGACAGACCATTGTTGCGGTAAACAAGTAACTTGACGGATTTTTTGCCCTTGAGAGCAAGAAAGTAGAGCCAGTTTCTGAGCTGCACCAGCGGCCAGTTATCACGATTGAGGCACGCGTCCACGTAGACGAAGGTCGAGGCGGAGGTGTCCAAGGCGACGATCTCCTCGTCTACCACGGAAAAGAACGCCTCCTTCGGGTTCCTCTTGAGAAACTCCTCGATTTCAAGCTCGTACTCGTTATTGTTGCTCAGCTCCACCAACAGCCACGGCGAGTGGAGCAACGGGTACGCAAGCCAGTAGTAGTACTTGTACTTCTTGAGGTCGGCGAAAGCCAAAAGATAGAATTTCTGTGTGAACAGGCCCGTTTCCATATCCGTTCTGAGTGACTCTCCCCACAGCTTGAGGCTGCTGAGCTTATCAAACAGTTTGAACTCCTCGATGGTGTTCACATTGATAAGAGAGCCAGGGACCTTCGAGGTGGTATGGTTCTCCTCGTACTCGTCGAAACTGGAGTAGTCCAAGTTGATGATAGGCGTATCGTTGAACTTGTTGAGATGAAGCGGCAGGGTCATGAAACCGTGGATCTCCCGAGGTCCAGCATCGAGTTTGTATTCGTTGAGCTTTCTGTCGGATAGTTTGGTGAAGAAGGACAGCTCCACAAACAGCTGTATCGGGGTGTACTTCAAAGACATGATGTAGTTGATAAGCGCGATTATCCGGGGTACCCACGATGTAGGTGATGGAGGGGTGGGCCGGAGAGTGATAAGTGGGAGGAACTTTTATATTATGGATTTAGCTGATTTTGGAGGATATTTTTGGTTTCGAGGGGTAATTGAATTTTGGCGGTTTGGCCGGTGTACTTGAAAGTGCCTCATGGTGCAGATTGATAAGGCCTTAGGGTATAGTGGCAAAGAGAGCACATTAGTAGAATTGTAGTTTTAGTTTTTGGAAGTGAGATATTAAGATGATTGGATTTGGGCTTTCATAGGTAAAAATGGCTCTTTTTGGGTTTTCTTGATTTTGGCTTACTGTGGCTGCAAAATGGTTGTTCAGAATAGTGGTTGCAAGTTCTATGTGACAGCACCCATATTCCGATGACAGTTGTATTTCGTTGTCTTACCACTTGATTCCGATAAGCTGCCAAACTTATACAATAGAGAATTGTGACCTCAAGATGATTCTAAAGTTTCCCACAATGTCCTCTTAATATCTCCATATCGTCCTAACATATGAACGCTGTAAATACTGTTCCACAAACCTCACAATCCAACTCTTCCATAAACATCAAGCTGCCTACTCCTGCCGCCTACAGATTCCTCCGACCAGGTCCAGTCTATTATGACGAATGCCGCCTGATTATCCAATGGTCTTTGACCGTATACCCATGCTAATTACTCCAAAGTCATGCCGTCAATCTCGTCCAACAACTCGTCGATGGCAATCTCCGGCGCATCGTGATCGTCGTCTTCCATGTCGTCCTCGTGCTCTTCTGTGTGTGCTGGCTGCTCGCCCGCCTTGTACAAGTTGATGGTCTGTCTCAACTCCTGGTCCTCCTCCAACTCCTGCAAGAACAACTCGTAGTCTCTTTCGGCACGCTCCTGCTCCTGCTTGGCCTGTCTGGAGTCGTCGTTGGCCACAAGGTCGTTGTGCTCTCTTGCCATTCTCTTCAACTTCCACTGTCTGTTCTTGGACTTCTTGGCCTTTCTCGTGTAGTACTTCTTGATGAGCACCACCTCGGGCGTGTTGTCGGTGTCCAACGAGTCCCACAATTCCGAGTTGATGTTGGTGTTGGTGAGGTAGTAGCCGAGAACCAGGTCACCAGGGTGAAGGATGGCTCCAAGGTGAGAACGAACATAGAAGGAGTGGTCATTGACTCCCAAATCGGCCGCTCTGCTGACGGTGATATCGGCAAGAACGTTTTTGCCCTTGACGTCGCCAGTGGGCTCAACGTCCAACACGATAAACTCCACAAGTTGAGGAACATCCAAGAGAGATGGGAATGGAGCTCTCCAGAACACACTCAGCAAGAGGTCCGCCGTTTGAAGCGTGTTGGGGTCCAAAAACTGAATCGTATTCGTCACCTTGGAGCAGATCACAAGACGAGAAATGTTACCCATCTGGTGGGCAAGTTTCTTGGGGAGAACCACCAAATCATCACGACAAATGGGTGCAATGTCAACGGAGAAAGTGAACTTGTAACTCGACAGGCCCGACTGCGTGTCTATACTGATAAGTTCCTCGGATCTCTTTGATTTGATGGGAGCCACGGCGCTCAAAAAGTCCACCATCTTCATGGCATGATTTCTCTGCGAATAGAAAAAGTCCAACCCGTCCTTGGTCTCCTGAATGGAAATGGTATCAACGTGAGCGTTGTGCTTCAAAATCAACTGCTCCAAGTACAAAAACGTTCTCTTGTGGGACACCTTCTGTCTGATCTGGACAGTGGCTCTCCAGGTATTAGCAGTAAACGACTTGGCACAGTCTGGACACTGCATAGCAATGACAACGTACTCAACCTCGAACGTCTGCTGCACGATGGTGTTCTGCAAAGCCTCGCCCTGAACGGTCAACTTGATTCTGATTCTTCTCGAGTGGGGTTCTGTCCAAATGAAGGAGGCATCGATCAAACGAACCTTGGACAAACCTTTGAGTCTCCGCAAACAGATGGCCAAAAGCTCTCTGGACTCCAACTGGGCCCTGACCCACTGGCCCGGAGGCTGCAAAAAACGCTCACAGTTTCTGCAAAAAGAGATATTTGCCTCCCTAGGAATGCCTTCGGTGATATCCACATTAAGCTTGATACAGTCGTAACACATTACAAGCCCCAGCAGGCCGTCCATGGGCACACCACAGTTGCAACAGAGCACTGTGGCTACCTGGCCGTTGCCTGTTGTTTGAAGCGGGGCGTAATCTGACATGGTGAAGCAGAAATCGTAATAAGGGTGATTAGAAATGGAGCAATGGGATGAGATGAGGCGAAAAAATGGCAGCTTGGCACCCGTACACCAGCTTACCCCAGGTTCAACAGCCCTCCGCCAAATTCCCCAAAGAGGGTCCCAGGCGGCTAATTATGGTATATCCGGTAAATCTACAGCTTTTGGACCCAGGCAATGTGATTGGATTTTCAATTGAGCTTCTGGCTATGGAGCTATGTGGTGCACAGGTTTAGTCAGTAGATCCTCTTCAGGAGTCCGTAATTCTCGGAAAAAACTGAGAACCATCTTTCAAAATCAAAATTCATAGTTTAAACAATACTCGAGAATATTTTTCATCCCCCTCCAACGTCTCAAGGGCTCAATTTGGTGACACCACTTTCGGCAATTTGCAACCTCCTGCACACACCCACACTTGATAAAAGTTCAACACTACAAACTCAACCAAACCTCATGGTGGACAGAAAACGTGGGGCATCGTCGAGCGAAGCGCCTAGGAAAATCCGCAAGGGCGCTCATGCAGAACGACTCAAAAAGGAAGAAGAGGCGGAATCGCCGGACGTGTCGCCCAGCCCGAAGCCTGAGGATGTGAAGATCAAATCTGAAGACGAACAGGAAGAAGAGGAGGACAACGACGAGGACAACGACGAGGACAACGACGAGTCTTTCACAGAAAAGGAGAACGGCGATGTCAAAGAAGATGATGAGGAGAACGACAACGAGGACGAGAATGAAAACGAAAACGACAACGAAAACGAGAACGGCAACGAAAACGACAACGAACAAGAGAATGGCGACGAGGACGAGGATGAAGACGAAAAGAGGCGAATAACCACCTTCAACTTTGATGGCGTCGAGTACTCCTTCAAGGAGAGGCCGTCTGTGCTCGAGGAACGCGACGGTAAGATCGAGTTCCGTGTGGTAAACAACGACAACACGCGAGAGAACCTAATAGTGCTCACAGGGCTCAAAAACATCTTCCAGAAACAATTGCCCAAGATGCCTAGAGAGTACATTCTGCGCTTGGTGTACGATAGATCCCATTTATCCATGGCTGTGGTGCGTAAACCGCTCACTGTGGTTGGAGGAATCACTTATAGACCGTTTGACAAGCGGGGTTTTGCCGAGATTGTGTTCTGTGCCATTTCCTCCACAGAGCAGGTCCGTGGTTACGGTGCACACTTGATGAACCACCTCAAGGACTACGTCAGAGCAACCTCTCCCGTTAAATACTTCCTCACCTACGCCGACAACTACGCCATTGGGTACTTCAAGAAGCAGGGCTTCACCAAAGAAATCACCCTAGACAAGCTGGTATGGATGGGATACATCAAGGACTACGAAGGCGGTACGCTTATGCAGTGTGCTATGCTACCCAGCCGGTTGCGTTATCTAGATCTGGGGAAGATTCTTCTTCTTCAGAAAGCTGCGATCGAGAAAAAGATCAAGATGCGGTCCAAGTCCCACATTGTCCGTACAGGTCTCCGTGTTTTCAAAAATGCCGGACCAAACTTCAAGCTTCAGGCGAAAGACATCCCTGGTCTTCTAGAAAGTGGATGGCTGGAAGAAATGGACAAGATAGCACAGAAGCCCAAGCGTGGGCCACACTACAATTTCATGATGACTCTTCTTCAGGAGCTCACCAACCATCCATCCGCCTGGCCATTCGCCGTTCCTGTCAACAAGGAAGAAGTGGGTGATTACTATGATGTAATCAAGGAACCCATGGATCTCAGTACGATGGAGCTGAAGCTTGAAAACGATAAGTACGAGTCGTTTGAGCAGTTCCTTTACGACTGCCGTCTAATTTTCAACAACTGCCGGTCGTACAACGCCGAAACGACCACATATTACAAAAACGCCACAAAGCTTGAAAAGTTTCTTAATAAGAAGATCAAGGAGAGTGCTGATTATTCGCACTACTTGGACTAAGACCGTTGGGTGTGCATACACGCTTACATCCATACCAGCGGGCGAGACCAAGGAACCATTATCATCAATTGCTTCCTAGCTTATATTCACAATGGTCTCTTTATACTCACACAAGGAATCTTCCGACGTTGCTAAGGCCGTGGGTGCTTACATAATCAAGATCCAGGACGAGGCTGTCAGCAAGGCTGGTGTTTTCAAAGTTGCGGTGTCCGGTGGATCACTCGGCAAGGTGTTGAAAGCTGCCTTGATTGACGACTCTGAGCTCTCCCAGAAGGTCAAGTGGGACAAATGGGAGGTTTTCTTCAGTGACGAGAGAATTGTGCCATTGGACCACGCCGAGTCCAACTACGGTCTTTTCAACGAAAAAGTGCTCCTGAGCTTGCCAGCCGGCTCTCCCAAGCCCAAGGTTCACGCCATTGACGCTTCTTTGATCACTGGCTCAGACGGCCAGCTTGAAGGTGCCGATAGCGGCAAGGACGAGGCCCTTGCACAGGCTTACGAGAAGCTTTTCGCCAACGACGCCCATCTTGACTTGGTTCTTTTGGGCTGCGGTCCCGATGGTCACACCTGCTCCTTGTTCCCTGGTCACGCTTTGCTCCAGGAGAAGAACAGCCTTGTTTCGTTGATCAGAGACTCGCCCAAGCCTCCACCAAGAAGAATCACCATCACCTTCCCCGTTTTGGCACAGGCCAGCAACATTGCGTTTGTTGCCGAGGGCGAGGGTAAGGCTCCAGTGATTGACGAGATTTTCAACAAGCCCGAGTCGCAGTTGCCATGCAAGTACGTGAACGACCTCAGTGTGCCAGTGTCGTGGTTCGTCAACGACGCAGCTCTCACCAACGTGAATGTCACTCCTTCCAAGTACTGAAGGCGTGGGTCTCGCCTATGAGGTGCCTGCTGGTCAATTGGCGATGATGCTCAAGTGCCGCTCAATGGTGATATTGGCATGTGACGAAGCCATTAGACAATAAACCCGCCACTCAATTCCCTGTAGAGCTACATTTTACCAACCGCCCAAAGACTTTCTATCCTCTTCCAGCAAAAATCACATTCTCGTTTCCCTGCCTGCGGCGGTGATGGTTCTGATAAGTCCTCCGTGTCGGTATCAATGCGCACAGTGAATATTCATCAACAAGTACCAATGGGTAAGTCCAAGCTGAACCTCCACGCCCCACACATACTGACCGCAGGTTTAGGCGTTGCATTGTGGCTATGTCCAAAGAAGAACCTGGGTGTCCAGGATAAATTGCAAACCGTCATGGGCCTGCTTAACACTGTGTTTCCAGGACTGCCCCCACGGTTCGAGCCTCACATCACTGTTTCCACCAATTTGGCGGTGGACATGAAAAACCCAAAAGACGACGTCAATCGTATTCTTTCTCTGTGTGCTGCGGCGCTTCTGCTGCTTCCGAAATCAGACACTCCGTGGATTCGTTTGGGCAAGGTAACCAGCCAAAGAAAGTACTTTCAGAAACTCTACTTCCAGGTTTTGGCTGAGCCTACGCTCTACCTGTTTGCACGTATTGTTCAGGAGCTTTTCGTTTTGCTACCAGCCAAGACGAAGGCAGAGCACCAGCAGAAGAACCCCCACTTGTACCATAAGGACCACAGCGGGAACCTCGTAAGAAGGAAACTGACAAAAGAGGCTAAAGAAGTGGATGTTGATACCGGAAAGCTTCAACGTGAGCTGGCCAGCGAAGCTGCTGCTTGGGCTGTGGGTGAATATAATCCTCATCTCTCGCTAGTGTATAGCGACCTTCATCCGATCGATACTGCCTTGTGGCATACCATTCGTCTGCGGGTTCTGGACTATTTGGGAATCGACGGGTGTGACTCTGATTCGTGGAATATGCTGGGCAATGGGCTTTCCTGGGAAGGCGGCGTGTTGAAGTTGGTTCTTTGTGAGGGTGACGTTAATGAGTGGGTTGTGCTTGGATCCGTTGATGTTTGAGTGGTTGGTGGTCATTCGCTTCCTTTGGCTGACTTTTAAGCTTAATGAAAAGGATGTCTTAATTAAGGCCCACCTTCACATTAATTGAGTGGCCGGGCAGGACGTTTGCAGAGCCGGCCACATGAAGAGTTCGAGAGCTGCCGGCTCCATCTGTATAATTACCATAGATGACTGTATCGATGTAATAGCTGGAGAAGTGTAGGTAATGGGTGTCGATTCTTTTGATGGCTTTTGGGATGGCAAAGTCACCCAAACTTTACCGGAGATTTGAAGCTGTAAGAGTATTTATGTCACATTTGGCTGTTTGGAATTATGAAATCTCAAATTAATGGAAGTAAGGTTTGAAATGATGGTACATTCTGGAATTCCCAATTCTCTAAAAGGAAGTGGCACCATTTGGAGCCGAATTTCAATAATTCAGGGCCTTAGAGGTCAATTGAGCTTCATATTTGCAGAAATCTTTTCTAGAAAGCTGATGGGCAAAACATTTAAAATTCGCCTCTTTCTAGATTCCTAGGTGGGTCTTCCTTGTGATTTATAGTGAGCGCTAGACGTGTATTGCAGCCAAACAGACAAAGTATCCATATTTACCCAAAATGACGAGAAAAATTCACAAAAACATCACTCAATAAGTGAATCTCAATCAAATAATCCTACTAAGCAATTTCCAAGAAATATTACAGAATCTCCGATTTTTGAACCATGATTGTAAGTTTCCTGTCCTACACGCATCTCACTGAGTATTTACTTTTCCATGATATCTACCTTGAAATTGCGAAACACCTACTTCAACATAAACTACACACGCTTTCCAAAAATCCAAAACGCCAACCAATACTTCAAATAATAGTGACATTCACAGAGACAGTCACACACATTCCACCCCATTCACTTCAACTGCATTTCCTAGTCACCACAACCTGTTCACATGACAGTTGCACCGTCAAAGCTAGCCCTCAAGGGATCCTCCAAAACCGTGGTGGATTTCTTTGAGTTCGCCGTACACAGCATTCTTTTCCAACGTGGCATATACCCCCTGAAGATTTTGTTACTGTCAGAAAGTACGACTTGCCCATGCTTATGAGCAGCGATAACGATGTCAAAGACTACATTGGCAACATCATGCAGCAGCTCCGGAAATGGATATACGGCGGACGCTTGCTGAAACTCGTTGTCGTGATAATAAATAAAGCCACAACCGAAACCGTCGAAAGATGGGTCTTTTCAATAGATATACAGAAAGAAGGCGAGGAGACTGATGAAAAGCCAAAGGCACAGATCCAAAGGGAGATCCAGGCGATCTTCCGCCAGATCACCGCTTCGGTATCGTACTTACCATTTTTGCAAGACGATGAGTACACGTTTAATGTGTTAGTTTACACAGATCCGAGCTACGATAGCAGGAGGATACCCAGTGAATGGGCAGATACCCATGGTGATGGAAAGATGATAACCGGAGAAACTGACCAGGTGGACTTCTCCACGTTCAGTACAAATAATCACCTGGTTGGTACCTCGGTAAGCTACAAGCTTGGTTAATGACTTGTCTATAGAATACACAGCTACGCCTGGACGTTGCGTTGATTTTCCTCGCGGACCTCTTCGTTTTTCATCTCCTCTTTCTTGATCTCTCCTTGCTCACCGTTTTCCTCTGTGGTCTTTTCTTTTTCATCGGAAACCTCCTGGTTTTTGAGCTTTGACTCCCAGAATTCGCCCTCTTTACGAGCTTCAGGCTGCTCACGGCCATCTTCTCTATCCTGCTTCTGTTCCTTTTGGTCCTTCTGTTGCTGCTGTTTCTGCTGCTTGTTTTGTGGACGTATCACTGCAAGCTCCTTGTCAAAACGCCTTCTCTTGTTACTGATGATGAAACGAGCAGCACCTCTTGAGGCTACCAGGTAGTCCCATTTGCGCAAGTACATATCCTGTTTGAGCAATTGTGGCGCCAGCACGCTCTGCTCGCTGAGAACCTTCAAATCGTTGAAACGCAGCTTCAAGTCCATGAATTTGAAGATTTGTTCTTTGCCAGTGTCGGGGTCGACTGGTGGGATGTACTCGTTCAAAATGGAGAACTTCATCTGATGCACATAGTAGTCTAGGATATAGACAATACCCTCGTTGACAAGGGTCTCAGGACAGCGGAACTGAGCCATGGAGTCTATGTTTTCAAGGATTTCGCTGGTTTTCGTGGATCCAGGCTCACCGTGCTTGGAGATTATACCCTTAGGGTCCAAATTAAGCGATACAATGACGATGGCCAAAGCAATACAGTGCGGTGGGATCACCAAGCAAAGCGGCGTGGACATTATGTCAAAGGCCACGAGCCAGCCGAAAAGCGTTAGACTGTAATCGAGACCGAGCTCTTTGGAAAACAGCGTCACCAAGTAATCCACGGATGGCACATTGGCGGCACCGTTGAGGAAATCAAACTTGAGCACCTGGAGAAGCTTGAATTCTAAACTCATGATGATTTTGCGCTGCATCTCGATGAGAGGCAACAGAGTGCCGGTGCTCTTGTTCACCACTTTGACATCCTGGTCCACCTCTCGAAGTTTGTTAGCCACCAGCTGCATGTCCCTAAGTTTCTTAATACAATCTTCGTGCTTGGTGGCCAAAAAGAGAGCGGTGTAGGCAACCAAGTAAGGGTCTTTTTCGAGTTCAGTGAGTGACTCGTTTTCTGGGTTCTGGTCCAGAGGTTCTTCAAACGGATTGAAAAGATAGAACCGCAGGTAGTAGTTCATGGCGGTGGCGAGAACACGAAGCGGAAACTTCATGATCTTGACCACCTGGAAAAGGAGCTGGAAGATCTGGTGTTTTCGCTGGTTGTATGCTAGCTTCTTGTTTTCTGGAATAGTGTTTGAATGAAGGTATGAAAGCTCAGCCAAGGTGAAAAAAGGTCTGGAAACCTGAAGCACAGTAGGCACATCAGCACCGTTCTTGGGATTCGGAGCACCAGGCTCCTTTCTTTTGTAGACCATGCTGGTTGGTAACTATAGCATCTTTAGTGAGCTTTAGGCTTGAGATGGGTGGTGTACGGGTGTAACATTGGGAGCCCCAGTAGTTTCGGTGGAATCGACCCATTGGCAGCCATTGAGCTACGGGTTAGTAAAGAGAGGTTTATTCAAACATACTACGGACTTAAGCGGAGAAGGACAAGGAGACACCCAACTTGTGGACAGGCTCGGCCAACTTCAAGGCGTCGAAGGAGGCACCCAAGCCCAATCTCACGCCGGGTCTCAACTCCTGGGAGTAGGCCAAGGCGGTCAAACCGGAGTCGGCAACCTTAGCCTTGACGAAAGCGGTGGAGTCCAACTTGTACTTGGTGGCGAACTCAACGTTGACGTTGGAGGACTTGACGGAGTCCCAGGTGGCCTTGGCACCGGCCTCGACCAAAGGAGAAACCTTGTGGTAGTAAGCAGCGGTGAAGACAGACAAGTTGGAGGTGGAGGTCACGGCAACGGTGTACAATGGGTTGGCGTAGCCGACACCGACGGAGTACTTGTTGAGCTTGGCGGAGGCAATGTCGTAGCCCAACTCGGCACCGGCGGTGAAGCCGTCGTGGGCAACGGTCAAGTCAGCGGTGGCAACAGGGCCCTTGAGCAAGTCGAAGAACAAGCGGGCGTTGACGGCGGACTGCTGGTAGAAGAAGTTCAACTTGGCGTTCTTGGAGCCGTTGGGCACAACAGAGGTGTCCAACTCACCCTTGAGGCCTGGAGTCAACAACTCGGACAACTCAAACTTGGTGCTCAAGGTGTTGGCGTTGTTCCAGCCCTGGGTCAAGGTCAAGCCGGTGGCCTTGTCGGCGTACTTGGCCTCCACAGAGGCGGCAATGGCATTGTCCTTTGCGGTCTTACCCTTGACGGTGAAAGCGACACCGTTAGGAGCGGTGGACTTGACGTCCACGGCAGCGGAGCTCAAGTGGAAGAAGTCCTTGGAAAGCAAGTCGTTGGAAGACTTCTGGATGTCGGAGAAAGCAACAGGGGCCATGGTGAAAAGAAAAAGGTGCTTGTTGTGGGTGCGGTGCGAAAAACGTGGATGAGGAATGGGCTCGAATTTATATGTTGAGCGGCTGCCCCACCGTTGGGGAAACGAGGCCCCATACTAGCGCGATTTCTGGTGCGAACGTGAGCTCTGGTTGGGCAGTAGCTGGGGAAAGATTTGGTGGTTGTTTTTTGATTTTGATGTTTGGATTTTGATGAAATGTGGGATGAGGGGTTTTTTGGTTGAATTTGGTCAACTGGGGCGTGGGGTGGCAGAGGATGGCCGAGTGTGGTAGAGCCGATCTGATAGGCCAGGAGGAGCTAGCGATAGTATGGTTGATTGAATGGAAGAAGGGAATTGAAGGTGTGGAGGGTGGGGGAGGCATAAAGAGGAGGCAAAATGATCAATGTAAGGTGGATGAATGGACGTGTTTGGCGGGTTTGGCGGGATCAGTCTATGGGCTGATAAGCGGATGGTAGGGATGGAGCGCTTCTTTTGTTCACTTATCATGAAATCTATAAACCAAGGCCATTAGATTCATTCAAGGAAAGTCCAGTTTGAGATTCTACCTTCAATTGGCTGAATTGGGGTTCAGTCGTATACCTCTATTCCTACGCTACCCCAGCTTACCACGAGCCACACCCCTACAATTTCCCCTATGACCCCATGAAACAGGCCAATTCTACCACCACTGAAAAACCACACCATTTGAATTATTGAAACCCTCTGGCATCCTCCAAATCCCAATCCCACCCATGAAGACGGATCCACCTGGGTCTCGGCGTTAGGCGCACGTGCTGTGGCGGCGTGACGACAGAAATGGCCTTGCACAAGAAAGAATAGAAGAATCCGGAGACTTCACAGAAACTCCGTCTTCCTCTTTCTGCCTTACTTTTGGGTATCTAAGATCCACCCCGAACGTTGTGGCTTTTCGCAGCCATCCGGGTGCTAAAGCACACGCTAAAATTAGTGCTTTTAGGCCCATTGTGTTTCCGGTGGAAGGTCCACCAGGTCAATTTTGTCTTCAAAGCCCAATTCACCAATTCTCTTCAAATTCCAATCACCTCTTCTGTTGGGAAAGCTAACCCCGGCTGATGACCTCTGTTTACGTTCGGTCACGTACGTGCTATTGTTCTCCCCGCTGAAACCCACATTTCTCAAGCCCTGTTTCCACAAGCCATACGGGCGAGAATGGGCGATTTTGGTCACATTTCGAGAAATCAGCATTTCCCTAGAATTGCTTAATTGACCAATCAGGACGTTGTTGCAGGTTCTGTTAGCACATGCGTTCCGCCCTGACTCTGTCTCAGTTTCAGCCACAACGCGAGCTTCCCTCTTTGTTCCTGGATCTGACCGTGAATTCGAATGTAGCCAAATGGGGTCAATTTCCGAGTGATTTGGGCTCGCTTGACGTCTGCCAAGTTTGACAGCGAAGGTGAGTCGAAGAGGTGCGATAGTATAGGGATTGTGAATGGAGAAAAAAGAGGAATCTGTGTGTTGATTTGGGGACTTTCATTGTTTTTACTTGAAAAGGTCATTTGTGCTTTCGTTGGGGGTAGGTGTCTCCATTTCGCAGCCAGTGACAGCTGCTTTACAGCTTCGATGTGGAAGGTATCATCTGTTGAAGTGGAGAAGAGTCAATTCCAGTGGAGTGTTTCAATGGTAAGTTCGTATGCTCATAAGTGGTTTTGCTATAACCTTGTGTGTATTTCGTGGACTAGATCCTATACTGTAGCTTATACCCCTAGGGTGCACCCTAGATATCATATCCACAAAATCATCGAAGTGATTCCAAACTCAAAGCCAACCATTTGCCAACATTCAACAAACATTAGCCTACTTTCTCTTTTCATCGAAAACTGAAGACCCTTGACTTCTTTGTTTCACCTGGATCTGACCTGACTCAGTTTCGCAGCCATTATCATCACACCATATAGGCTCTACTACATAACCGACCACTGCTTCTACACAGAATTGAGCACCAGCCAATTGGGCACAACCTCACCTATACAAGACAACCAGCCTAGAAACACCCTGTGACTGAAAAACTGCCAGCCCATGAAATTCTACTTTGTCAATACCACTCCAGTCCTAGTGAAATGCCTCGAGGATGCCATAGCAGAGGTGGCTCCGTACCTTCCGAACCAGATCAAAATGTCAGTGATAAACCGCCCACTTCGTGACTTTGTGATCTCTAAAGATCCCGAGAACACAGCCATTGTAACGCCAGCAAACTCCTTCTCGTTCATGGGAGGTGGATTCGACAAGGCAGTGCTTTCATTGATCTCCGAAGACCACAAAAAGGAACGTGACGTTGAAACAGCCATTCAAAACTATTCTTTACTGCAAAACCACGGCTTCCTTATTCCCGGGTCAGCCCACCTGGTCAGACTATCTGAAATCCCCTACACCTCAGGCTCATTGGCTGTTAACAAAGGCGTTCTGACGCTAATCCAGGTTCCTACTATGGAAGTTCCAGGCCCAATACTACACGAAAAGGCTTTCTACAGCACATGGGCGGCACTCACATCTCTTACTTCACTTTCAGACATAGAGGCTGCCGTTTTTCCAGCTTTTGGAGCAGGTTTCGGCGGAGTTCCTCCAGGAACATGTGCTAGGCTTATGGTGGGTGCTTTGGCCCTCTGGTACATGCCAGCACCGTCTCCATTGGCCCGTTCAGCTGGTGTTCTCTTGTACCTACGCAAGGACTATAGAAAACTAGGGAAATCCAGCGATTTGGCTGCCATTGAGCAATTCTACACGGAGCACGGGAAAAGCTCATTTACCCAAACTGGAAAAGAAGCACAGCATTGGCCACTTCCATGGCACCGTATGGTCAAGGGTCTCAATTGGGTGCAAAATCAGTCACCCTAATATGCTTCTACATCAACAGTCGCGCACACGCGTATGACTACTACTCGCTATAAGTACACCCTAGGGTTTATCTACTGCCCGGAAACGGAGCAGGTGTTATTTTTGAACAGACAGAAGCTGCCATGGATGGGCCGCTGGAACGGCGTTGGAGGCAAGCTTGATCCTGAGGAATCTCCTTTGGAATGCATTATTCGGGAAACCGAAGAGGAAACCGGTTTGAAGGTTTCTCTGTATAAAGACAAGGGCGTGTTGCGCTGGGCACGCGACGGAGCCGATTTAGGTGGTGTTCATTTGTTTGTTGCTGAAGTGCCGCTGCTGTTTGTGGCCGATTACAAGACCCCTCGGTGTTTCTGCCATGAAGGTGTGCTTGATTGGAAGAAGCTTGATTGGTTGTTGCACAAGGAGAACACCGGGGTGGTGGACAATATCCAGATTCTACTTCTGGACTTGATTTTCAAGGAAGATCGGAAGGTGTGGATCGCCGAATACACCGATGGGGCCTTATCCCGCTGTGAGGTCATTGAAACTTTATCGTGAACGAGGAAGCTCTTTGAAAGACCCAATCTCCCTTTGCATTTGGTAAGTACACCTGTAGTAATACTAACTGGCATGCTCCTACAACAATCTCAATTCCCATTCTATTACTATGAGGCAAGCGCCTATGACCGAATCATAACTACGTCGTCCAGAGCCTGGCGGTACCGTCAGCACCGGCACTGAACAACCATGCTTCCTTGGGGTGCCACACCAAGTCCAACACTCCAATGCTCGACACAATCTTGTGTCCCGTCAACTTCTTCAATGGCACCAACAACGGATTGGTCATGAAATCGTCGTACACAGTGCTGTGGAAAACATGAATGGTGCCGTCGTCAGACGCCGAGGCAAACAATGGCATCTTGCCCTTGTGGAACTTGATCGAACGAACGGCCTTCTCGTGGTACCGAAGCGTCTTGTAAGGCGTGGCAGACAAGTCCAAGTCGTGCCACAAGACACGTTTGTCGTAGGAAGATGCTAGAAGATGGTCACCTCTGGGGTGAATGTCGATGCTGGAAAGCATACGGGCACCAGGCATCAACTTCTTGACAAGCTGCTGCTGTGCCAAGTCGTACACACGGATGGTTCGTTGCGACGAGACGAAAAGCTGTGGCTTGAATGGATGGAAACGGGCGTCCATGATGGTGCCCTTGGATTTGCGGAAAGGCGATTGAGAAAGGTGCTTGGACAACTGGTGGATAAGCACGGCAGTGTTTTTAGCTTCGGGAGCAACCGTGACAAAGTAGTCACCCTTTCTGTGCCACGAGAGCTTCTTGATTGGTTTCTTGCACTCGACAATGGCAGCTACACCTTCCTGAATCTGGGTAGCGTTTGGAGTGTACCACTTGGCAACATCCTTCTTGGGCTCCACGTCGTTCTTGGATGTTTCGTCGTCGTCGTTGACGTTGATCTCTGTGTCCTTACGCTTGTTGCCGAAAGTGTCGTAACCCCAACCGGCCTCGATCTTGACTCTAGCGCTGTTTTCAAAGTCGAAACCGAAAACTGGCGGCACGAGAAGGAAAATTCTCTCTGCAGCGGCAACAGCCAAAATGGCCATGCCAGGCTCAGGATGCCACTCCAAAGCGTCGATCTTGTCTTCTGGGTTCTCCTCGGTGTTGATGGCCTGGAATTTGTAAACCAGTCTGCCCGTGAGAACCTCCCACACTCTGACAGAACCATCATCGGAGCCAGTGGCCAACCAAAGTCCCTGAGGGTCAATGGAAAGTGTTCTGATTCTGCCGGTGTGGCCATTGTACACTGTGGAACAACGGATAGGGAAAGGTCTCAAGTCCTTTGGCGAAGGAAGCTCGGGAATCAACGACTCGGGTCGATGTTCAATTTGGCGTGACGAACACGAGGAGCCAAGTACAAGTCCAAACATCTCTCGAAACGCTCTCTGATGGACTCGGAGTAACCAGGAACCTTACGCAAGGCAGAGTACTTCTGGGGCATGAAGTTGGTATCTCTTTCAGCAGGATTGGCCTCAAGCCACTTCTTCTTTTCCTCCTCGTCAAAGAGGTATTCTTCTGGTGGGTTATAAGACTCGTCGTTTGTTGGTGGAGGCAATTTAGGTGCCCTCATGTTCATGTAATGGTTGTTTTCAGGGTCCTCGTGCTCCCACAAGTCGAAGTTGTTCTGGTCCTCCTCGGCCTTGGCCTTGGCGGCTTCTGGAGACAAGATCTTGCCCAGACGAATAGCACGGACAATCTTCATAATTCTCTTAGCTTCGTGCTGAGAAGGTTGGAAACGAGATTTAGGTTCTGGGGCAGCAGTGAGAGGCATAACCTCCGTTTTCAGTGTGAACCATTCAATCGTTGGCTCGTAAGGGTTGATAGACTCATCGGTCTGCTCCTGGTTCTGGATCTTGCGGATCAACTCCAACTCATCCTCAGTAAGCTTGAGAGACTGGCCTGTGTTCTGGTCCAAAAGACCAGTCCAGCCCTCGGGAAGTTCAATCTGCTCCAAGAGCTGGTCCAATGCAGAGCCTCTAGCGGGTCTCATGATACGCTTACCGTTGATATCGTAACCGATATGGGCATCTCTTCGTATGCTGCAATGGGGATGTTGCCGATGGTGTTGAAGTTTTCAGCGTCCGAGTCGTCCGAGTCATAAACAGGCTCGATCTCAGGCTTGATGATACGGGTACGGCCATCGGAGTATTTTCCCAAAATCTCACCGTTGTCCTCGTCCTCCAATGTCTGGAGTTGAACTCCACTGAGTTTGTCTGTCACAGCAGAAGAAGCAGAGGCAGCGTCCAGCTCGTCGTCAGACTCCTCCTCCTCATCGTCATCTTCATCTTCATCACTGGAATCGTCTTCATCTTCATCCTCAGCCTCAGGCTCCTGCTCAGCAAGAAGTTGGTTGAGCTCAGCTTCACTATCATCGTCTTCCTCATCGGAACCCTCCATGGTCAAAACTCCCTCGACGTCGAGCTCGGGCTCATTCTCGGGCTCCTCTTCGGATTTTCTCTTTTTTCCAGCAGCTCCAGCCTTTTCGGCACCCTTCAGCCTGGCCATCGTGTTCTGCTTTCTTGGTGATACTGAAAAAATCATCTCATCGCGCTACACCTTCCCAAGTACAATCAGGCCTCATTTCTGCATGAACTCGATACACCGCATAAACGCCATCAATGAAAAGGAACTAGAATCCAATGTTTCTGATGCTGCCTCATGGCATCAGGATTACGCTGACACCTCATATATATATGTGGGTAACCTCCATGAGAAGATTCAGGAAATCGATCTCGTGAAGATATTCTCCCAGTGGGGAAACCCTACTCATGTTAACTTGATAAAGGACAGAGACAGCGGGAAATCTAGAGGCTTTGCCTACTTGAAATACGAAGACCAACGATCTTGTGTTTTAGCAGTCGATAACTTCAATGGCGTGCTAATATACGAGCGCCCACTAAAGGTTGACCACACATACTACCAGCTACGGGATGGCCAGGAGGAGGACGATTTTGCTGTTGATTATCTGGAAGCAAGGCCTGCTCAAATCGAGGCTCCAAAAAGCCCGAAAAGGGAAGAGAAGCAGATCAAGAGAGTGGAGCATGTGGAAGAAGCCAAGACCATCGAGGTTGGCTCGTCAGGAGTCGCGGAAATGGCAGTCTCAGAGGCATTTGTTGCTGATGACGATGACTTCAACGACCCAATGGCCAATTTGGTCAAGGTGGAGGCCCCAAGTCCGAAAAGAAGCACAGGAAGCGAAGACACAGGGACAAGGAGGGACACAGAGACGAGGAGAGGAAACACAGAAGGAGGGTTGAAAAGAAGGATGTAGAAGAGACTACAACCAGTTGATTGCTGAGTTTTCTATGACTATTTGTGTGGTTGCAAATTATCGAATATTGCATGGTTACAGACTAACCTTTGGTGACCTGGGACAAAGCATAACCCTTATAGTATGCAAAGAACTTTGTCTTCTCCTTGACGTTCATGTCGTCACCGACTAATGACAAGCCGTTGTCTGGGAACACCTCTCTGGCAGCCTTGATGGAAAAAGGTTTCAGATCCACATGTGGCACGATTTTGGCTTTTACAAAGACCTTGCCAACAGTCAACAACTTGCACAAATATTGAAACAGTGTCACGTTTGGAACGGGCAATGTGATGAGGTTGGGGTACACTCTGAGGACGATGGTCAGGTACGAGAAGCCAGAAAGCTGAAGCAACTTGGGGTCAATGCTTTTGTTAAAAGGAAGCACGGCCTTGTTGTTGGAAGGCGTGCCCTCTGGGAACAAAATGACAAACTTGTTCTTGAGAGCAGCATAGTCGTTGAGCTCTGCTCCAGGCAAAGGAGCATCGGGCTCCAAGAAGGGAACCTTGGCAAATTGCCAGAAGCTCAATGCATGTAACTTTCCGTCTTGAGGAAGCACCACGACGACAGAATTGATTGAAGTGGCGGCCGAGATCACGTACAAGAGCAACACATCGATGGGTGAGATGAAATTTGCAACCACCAAGTGGTTGAGACCTGGCCTCTTCCTGTCAATCTCAGCTGTCTTCAGTTTCCTCACTCCCTCAACCAGCAAGTCAATATCTGAAACGCCGAAAATGTGCTTGAGTATCACCAGAAGCACAGGTTTTGGTGCTATCAAGGTGAAGGCATACAAAATGTACAACAAGGGCAATTTGACGGCAACAACCACAGGATTGACAAGAAACTTCTTAAAGGGTTGCTGTGGGTTGTCCACCGGCATGAAGGGCGAAATGCCCGTGCCTTTGTCTCTCCAATTGGAAAACTTCTCCATGGTGGTTGGTGATGGTGAGGAAACAGTTGATGAGCCGGTTCAGGCACGTGACTCACCCAAAACCAACTCCATCGATTTTTTACTTCTTTTGTTTTTATTTGAAAGAAAAACCGAAAATGCCGGTCATATTCGGAATGTGTGGCGTTGGAGATGGTGGTTCAGCTCGAAGGTCTGCGCACCTATGAAAGCACACACTGAGTGAAGGACAAGGAGGGTCAGGCTAGAGGAGAAAAATGTCGGTGGCAAACAAAATAACTCAAATAGGGGTCAGTGCCATTCCACAATTTACCCTGGCGATTTATCCCTGTTTTGCCTTGTGGATGGCGTGCTCTGATTGGTCGATTCGCAAAACAGCACAACAATTGAAACACACAACCAGCGGGCCGGGCCCACGGGCGAAGCAAGGTGCTTCAGATGGCGTTGAATTAGACGGCGGCACTTCCGAGGCATTTGATTCTCTGACGGTGCATTCTGATTGGCTGCAAATCGAGGTAGCAGAATGTGGACTGGTCTAGAATTACGTGACCTGGAGCAGGTTCATTTTGGGAACGGGGATCCATCAGCGATAGCGTGCTGCCTAATACGGAAATATACCAAGAGGGTTCTGGATTCTGATGTTTGAAGTTGGGTGCATCGTGAATGCTGTGACATGGACAGGAATAAAAGACGAAAGCAGTGCTCAGAAGGAATGGATTTTCTCCTGTTATGATTAGTGCTTCCTCTTTAAACTATAAAGTATTCCTTCTAAGATATGAATAATGCCTCCAGCGCCTTAGCCAATCAGTAGTGGCATCCCGATGTGGATGGACCTGGGATATCAACAAAACAGTACCCCACGGAGTGGACCATGCCAGCCCAAAAGCCTCCATCAGCCTTGACATTTACTCAATTGAGTCAGACTCATCTACAAATCAGATTCATGTAACATTATTGACCACATACTAATATACACAGCAAGGCAGCCCGTGCTGCTTGCGATATAATACTTTCACAAGAAAAATCAATTTTCGAGCAATTACAACTCCTGAGAAGCCTTGGCGTTGGCCTTCTTGGAGGGCAACAAGGACTGGTGGATGTTTGGCAAGACACCACCCTGGGCAATGGTGACGTGACCCAACAACTTGTTCAACTCCTCATCGTTTCTGATGGCCAACTGCAAGTGTCTTGGGATGATTCTGGACTTCTTGTTGTCTCTGGCAGCGTTACCAGCCAACTCCAAGATTTCAGCAGCCAAGTACTCCAACACAGAGGTCAAGTACACGGGGCACCGGAACCGACTCTCTGGCGTAGTTGCCCTTTCTCAACAATCTGTGGACACGACCGACTGGGAAAGTCAAGCCAGCCTTGGCGGATCTAGAAGTGGATGCTTTCTCAGAGGAACCTGCTTTACCTTTACCACCGGACATTTTTAATAATTTGTGTTTTGGATGATGGGAAAAAACGAGCAAGTGTCTTGCTTATATACGCAGAGGTCTGTCAGCCCCACGCACCGCGCTGGGATAGAAAGTGCACAGGGGAGGAGCAGGAGACATTTCGGGAGAGTGCGCGAGGACGGGATGCGATTTACGTCAGCAGGGTGTAAAAACAGGCATAATTCGCACGCCTGCCACCGCCGCCACTGGGGTTCGATGATGGCAGCCGTTGGCGCCAGATCTGGCTCCGAACACTGGCCTGGCAGTAGCCACCGGAAATTGGGGTGGTTGGGCCATCCAAAATTTTGGAGGTCTTTAAAAAAAAAAAAGAAATAAACAAAGAATCACAACATGCCGGGCGCTACATGCACAACTCTTCATCTCACCGCGCCGTCACCGTCACCGTGGCGTCGTTTGTTATGGGTAGTTCCTCAGTTGCAGCCATTCCAGAGAATCCTCAAGAGCTCTCCAGGTGTTTGTTTGTATCCGCGAGTGCGTGCTGCTTTTTACACCAGACACCGCGCTCTCCTCGCCTGCAGTTTTCTGCAGGACACCTACCCCCGCCAGGCTCACTATATATGGAGCTCGTTCGCAATCAAAGTGACTTTTTCCCATCATCCCTTTGAACAGACATCATGGCCCCTAAAGCAGAGAAGAAGCCCGCCTCTAAAGCCCCAGCTGAGAAGAAGCCAGCCGCCAAGAAGACCGCCTCTTCCGGTGAGCCAAAGAGAAAGACCAAGACCAGAAAGGAGACTTACTCTTCTTACATTTACAAGGTCTTGAAGCAGACCCACCCAGACACTGGTATCTCCCAGAAGGCTATGTCCATCATGAACTCTTTCGTGAACGACATCTTCGAGAGAGTCGCCTCCGAGGCCTCCAAGTTGGCTGCTTACAACAAGAAGTCCACCATCTCCGCCAGAGAGATCCAGACCGCCGTCAGATTGATCTTGCCAGGTGAATTGGCTAAGCACGCCGTCTCCGAAGGTACCAGAGCTGTCACCAAGTACTCCTCTGCTGCCAACTAAGTTATGCCGCTGACTTGCTTCACTGTGTGATAGCACTTGCACATGACTGGCTGCTTTCAGTGTAATGTATTTGTATATTAGTAATGGAATTGTATTGGACTCCGCTGTACAGTAGGTTGCTGAAATCTAGCCACAATGATACTATCACCACGCTATTCGTGCCTTGTTTATTTTCAAAACACACCACGCGCCATCATCTCACTACACTGTCATATCCATAATGTCTATTTTCTTATCACAGAATGTCTAGTGTATATGCTATGGAGCCTTAGTCAAGACTCGTGACCATGTTGGCCCACAATTGATGGCGAAATCGCCACTGCATAACAACGAGCTTCAAAACACAACGCCACCAGGGTCAGTTCAGTGACCCCATTTTCTCCGTATTAATCGTTCTTTCTTGAATTCTTACTCAACTGCCACCGGTGACGTGCGTCGGCTAGTCACAACATCATCTTTTCTCCAAACCCTAGCAAAAGCAAACCACACGAAAAGTTAAACAAGTGATGTAGCCAGTAGGTGTGACGAACGCCGTATACCATACAGTAAAAGACAGTGTACACTAGGACCGCCATAACGACACGGAAGTAAATATTTTTCCCTTCTCCCTTGCGTGGAATTGGAACCCATCCGCTGTATTGGCTCTGAAGTTGTGCCAAAGCAACGATAGGCGCCACAGCTAAAAAGTTGTGGTGTGACGAGAATGGCGAGGTCCAATTGATGCTAAAATTGTGGACGAACACGATCAAAACTGGAATGTTAATGGGCAAAACCCAGAGCATCAACAACATCAAGCTGATATTGTAGTTGCAGGCTGTCTTAGCGTTACGGTGGGCCATGAGCTTGATAACAGTAACGATTTGCAATGCCAATGCGGTCAAGTAAGCAAATTGGTATGGTAAGTAGAATGACACAAGAACAACAAGAAGCGCCAACACACCCAACCTGGTTTTGTTCCATTCAACAAGAGGTGCCTCTTTCTCCTCAAAGCTCCTTGGGAACATTTTCGTCAACCTTCCAACGTAAACTATGAGCTGACCGGTGTAGATTAGGAAGTGGTAGATGAACCAGTTGATGCCAATGGCCATAAGGAAAAATAATGGGCCGAAGTACCAAAGACAGTCTTCCTCGAGACCAAGGTAGAAAGTATTAAGGGTATAGTCAGGATGCAAGCTGATATTGATCTCGTTTCTGCGGTGCCAGACTACCGGGTCAGCGAAATTAAGAATAGCCTGGATGGTCTTGTTTTTAACAATCACCGAAAGCGACCCGAATAGGACAACCAAAATCGTAAAGAGCTTGCGTTCGCAAACACACCCAAGGCCGTACAATTGATCAGGGAACTTGCCTGTGTCGAAATATCTCAAACACTGGAAGACAAACACCAACAACGAGACTGCAAGGCAGTGGGCCACAACGGCTAGTCTGTAACGAAGCACCAAGAGTCTCAAACTGCCCCAAATATCAACAGAAAAGATCACCTTGACGTCTTCCAAAGGCTTGTCTGATTTTGGGTTCTCAGGGTCTACCCAAAGTTCAAGATTAACACCTTGTTGCTCTCTGGTTCTGTCAAATGGCGTAAATGGAGCAATTGCATGGACACTGATATGGGTCTCAGCGCCATCTTTGACGTTGATGTGCCACTTGGTCTCATATGGCTCGTCTCTCCATTGGCGGATAAAAGGAGAGAAATCCTGGCCCTTCTTCTCCAAGTTCTCAAAGCGAACCTTGTAAGCGAGAATGCTGGACCAAGCTCCGGGACGTAGATGTTCAATGCCATAGGTCTGTCAGCAGGAAGTTTAGCCTCGACGTTCGACACCAAGAGGCTGCTCAAATCGGACTCAAGTGTGACATTTGTCTTGCTGGATGATATAAGATGGGCCACGGAAAAGTGCGAGTCGGATGTCTTCAATGGTTCGTGGATGATGATCATATCGAAATTGTCCAAAATCTGGGGCCCAATCTCACAGCCGTAGAAAGATTCCTTGTCGCCGTCGAAGGAGGAGTCCATCAACTTGCGCACATCGTTGCTAGAACGAGGCACCTGGTGGATGTGGGTGAACAAGTCAATACATTCAAGTCCGGCAAAGGAGTTGTCTGGATCGGCGTTTTCCTTCTTGGCCTTCTTACACATAAGAGCACTGGCCGTCTGGGACTCGGCAATCATGGCGTCCTCCCAGTATGTCAAAACTTCCAGAGAAAGGAATTGAAGGGTCTGTCCGGGCTCGGTCATGATGATGTTGACCTTACGAGGACTATGGCGCCTGTTGGTCAATTTAAGGAGTGAATTGGGTCCGAGAAAGTTCACGGTACTCTTGTCCAAGGTGACTCTCACAAAGTCTTTGGTCAAATCAAAGTCCTGCTCCGTGTACTTTTCAAAGCCTGTCATGAATAACTGGCGCAGAAGCTCCATCCGGCGCTCCAAGGGGTACGTTCTGTGAGGAGATGTCTTATCAGCAATGCTCAAGAGCCACTTGGCAATCAGTCTTCGGAGCTGGCGGCACCACACTATGGCCAAATGGTCTGATGGGGTCCAGACATCCTGAATACCGGTAGTAAACATGGTGAAACCATTGGAGGGTGGCACCAAGTAGCCCAAGGTGGTGTAGTCGGCAGGCAAAACGGAATCGAGAAGACCGCCTGTGAGAGAAACCACCGAGACATTGTGGAGTCTCTGGTGAGCCAAGGAGGGCTCTTCCAGCTTCAGGTGAAACCCGTCGTACCAAAAACGGTCGATAGCAGAGTAAACCCGCAAGAGATCACCGTCGAAAGTGAGTGGAGGCGCCGAGTGGGGCGACGAAAGAGTGAGGATGGTATTGACGGATCCTGGAACGTAATTGGGCAAAGTGAGCATGAGTCTTGCGACGATGCCGCCCATGGAGTGGCCCATCAAAATAAGAGACGTGGGCGGGTTTTCGTTGTGGGAGTAAAGCAGGAGAATGAAGGCCACGGCGTCGTTCAAGTACTCGGCCTGGTCCAAGATGGTACGGCCATGGAAGGCCAGGAAGTCCTCGTTGAAGTCGGCAGCAAAGAAGTCGTAGTTTTTCTGCTTGGGGTTGTCGACCACGTTGATGTTTGGATCGAACCACAACACGGACGTCTCGGCAGCTATAGATCTAACCTGACGGTACGACCCGGCGTTTCCTGGAATGAACAAGATAGGGATACCGTCGAGCGCCTGGAAACCCTCTCCTTCCTTCTTGGGAATGGTGTCCTTGCCCTGCTCCCTATAAAGCCACAAGGAGTACTTGGAAGCAAACCGGGTATGCGTTTTGTCAAAAGACCGTATTCGAGCGTACGATGGGTACATTGAAACGGTTCGACATTCGGGAGCGTCGGCGCCGGTGTGGTTCCCGTAAAGGTACGACTGGGCAATAAGCGAAAAAAAGAAAAGCCCTAGTAGGGCCACGAGAAGGACCGGTCGCCTGATGTCCATCTGTGGAGGAAAACGAAGAAGGTGGAGGTGAAATTATGTACAATGAGGTTCGCGCTGTTGATGGTGGAGGCTCAGTGGGGTAGGCCGAAAGAGGAAGGACGAAGATATGAGGGTACGCGTGTGAATTCGGGGGTTTGCGAGGTTCCTGAGCTTTTGGAATTTGACATGGATTCTTTGATTTTTGATTTTTTAAAGTAACCCTTTGTGGAGCGTACGGCTGATGGCTGCGAAATGAGACTTTTCGGTTAAGCACGATGGACAATCGTTGAGGCTACAGGACGGTTTGCGAGCGGGTGCAAAATAAAGTTTCTTCTGGACAGATTTTGAAATAGGGATAACGGGGATTTTGGAAAATGGGTAATGGTGACTTGAAAAAGGGTAAAGGTCGGCTCGGTCCTCGGCACGCGGAAGCACCGAGGATACCCCGACGTGTTCATTGTTGGAGCATGTACGTTAAGGAGGATCCGTTTAGTAATTTTTGGTGGATTGCATTTTTGGTGGATTGTTTATTTAGTGGTGCAACGGTCCACGAACGGAGATCAGGGTGCCATTAGCTAGGGGTTGAGGTCAGCTGAACGTGGAAGACGATCAATAAATTTGAAGAACTAAGCAGGTTTCTTTGGTGACCAGGGATCGGTATTTGTCGATCTTGGCGATGGAGGGGTGAGTGGAATTCCGCTTTCGCTTAGTTATAGGGCACATAGCGGTGGACCCGTACCACACTGTGACCAACACCATGGAGACCAGGAACACCCAACCAAGTCGTTTTCCAAGGCATTTTTTAATTTTCGTATTCTCCCTAATCCCATCAGATCACCAAAATCCCCCACGAAACCGCCCATATCGCTAAGACTACCCCATGTACAGCCTCCACTTAGACCCCATTTAGACTCTGGGGAGATGCATGGACATGCCTCGGTGAGACATTGGTGTGGCGCTGCACCCGATCACATGTCAGCCGAGACTGGCACTAATTCAACTGAGACAGCCAAAGCTACGTATTCTTTGGAGCCCCCTTCCAATTCCGATTACAAAAATCCCAAAAATTGAGTTCGTGGTGGCAGAACGGGCCGGCTTTATAGAGATAAGACACGCGACCTGCACATACACAAGCGATAGCCAGTGCATATCCCCCCAGTCTGTATGACATCATAAGCAACTTTTATTTTCGACATTTCTGTTTCTTAAACAACACCAATTAAGTATGGGCAGAATCGAACTAGTCACACAGCCTTCGAAAGAGAACCTCAACGAGGAAGCACTCAGGGAGGCCACTTTGAACAAACTACATAAGTTGGTCAATGAGAATCGAGATGACGACGACAAGGAAGCCACCAAGAAAGAAAAGGAAGGCCAAGTCCACGGCCGCAAGTCGGAATCTCCAGTTTCCTCTCCATCACGAACTCCATCGCCCGAAGTCGACTACGACGGTTTTGAGGTTCCTTCGGGAAAGATCCCCATTGACGGTAACTTTTCCACCAGTGAAGTCAAGGAGCTCATAGAATTGGCCAGAGAGGACGGCGCTTTGGGCGCAGATATTGACGTCAAGGTTTTGGAGCGCAATGCCTTGGGTAACAGGGTCGTGGTGAGTGAGAAGGAGCAGCAGGAGAGAGAAAGGAAGGAGAAAGAGGGCGCCGAGGGTAATGAATCCCTGGATACCCAGGACGGTGAGTCCGAGAAGGATGACTCCAAGAAGGATGATTCCAAGAAGGATGACCCCAAGAAGGATGAATCTAGCGAAGAGAAGGGGCCCAAGGACCAGACAGAACAGGAGAGCTGATAGACGGCTATATTTATTGAATGAAGGAAGATTGAAGAGCAGTGTAGGCCTAGTAGAGCAATTGATCCCTCCCTCATACAAAGCTTGGTCTCTGAAGGGACCCCAATTGATCGGTTTAGAGCCAGAGGCTGCTTAAGCGAATAGCCTAATGTGCATGTCTACAGTGCATCAACCAAAACCATATTATTAACCAGCAGCTCAATCCAGGAAGTTCTTCCCGTCCAGCTCGCTATCGTAGCTCCTCTTCTTCTTACCACCTCCAAACATCTGGTGGAATCCAGCCACACCAACCTTGATCATCCACACCCACGCTACAAAAAGCGTACCAACACTCAACCACATGCAAACGAACATCGGCGTGCCCAACAGCGCCAGAAAGCCTGCTTTCTTGAACGCATTGACGCCTTTGACGTGTGCAGCCGTTTGCAACGAACAAGCCAAAATATCAAGGAAAAGAGCTCCGCCAATGACGAAAGATGCAAAGAAGCCTGTAAGGAAGCCAGTACATGCACAGCACAGGATAGTCACGGGCAACAAGGATAAAATAGAGCACAAGAGCGCAAGCAAAAACATCAGGTAGGCGATCTTCGACAAGTAAAAGTAGGTTTTCTGGTTCTTGTCGAATTCCTCCGGAACATGGCTTGCACCCAAATTCCGGCTAGGATCGTATGGGTAAGCCGGCAGTTTTTTGGTACACTGCACCTGGCCATCGCCGTAAGGCGTACACATGGCGTACATGGTCCAGCGTCTTTCGAATTTGACGGTGGCCTTGGAAAAGTAGAATTTGTTGAGGAACACCAGGTTGTCCAGGGCACCACTGAGGTTGATGAAGAGGAGCATCACCGTGGAGCCGGCGATGAGCACAAAGGGGATGAAGGTGGCGAAGCGATGAAGCATTTTTCTGTGGATCTGTAGAGAATGGGAATTTGGGTTCTATTTATACTGTTTTACGGGGTACTGATAGCTCTGCTACTGGCTGCGAAAAGGGCCATGCAGCCTCCTCCAGGGCCTCCTGCAAGATTTCCGAAATCTCAAGATTTCGGTACAAAAATGGTACCGTTACAATGGTGAGAGTTCGAGGATTCCAGTGGTGCCATTATTTTCTCCCTACCTCCAGCCAGTGTTGAATTAACGGGGACCCTCTACCTGCTGGACCTGCGCACACCGCCTTTCGTGCTTGCTCGCCTGCCTGATTTGGACAGACGGCTTGTGATGCACACCAAAATGACCTATAGTGACAGAGAACGTGCCTTTCATTACGACGCACAATCGTGCTGGATCATGGGGTAGTCCATTTTTGGATTTCACCGTCAAAAAGCTCACGAGCCCATTTTCTTGATTTTGGCGAGTGTGACGGCTTTCAGTGATCAACGTTTTGGATTAGGAATCTGCCAGTGTTCATCCGTACCTAAGCCTAGCAATTTGGGAAATTAAATTAACATTTAGTAATTAAAGATTTGACTGAACGGCTGGCTTATTTCAGGCTTTTGTACTAGGGGAATGCTATAGTAGTCACCCTCCAGTGCAGATCCCACGTTGGCCCCTTCGAGCAAACCAGCTCAAAGTATGCTAATTTATCGAATTTGACTAAAAAAAAAAAAAAAGACCGACTTTGATTTCAATGTCCATGCTTTGTCTGACACCTCTAGTTCCAGTAGTCTTATCGTGTCTCCTGCACCTGTGCACATCAGCCAGCGTAACAAAGCACTCTTCTTATCATAACAAACCATGTCTGTGGAAGAAGTCAACAAAAGAGTCGATGAGCTCTCTGCTCTTGTTCAAAAACAGAGCGAGGTGATCGCCAAAACTGGAAAACAGATGATGGAGTACCAGGTCAAAGACGTCAAATCCAGAATGGCCTCTTTGAACACGGAACAGCCACAACAGAAGATTGATACGGATGAATTCGCCACCAACGACGATTTGGTCCAGTTGGTCACGGAATTACAGAATCAGCTCGATTTCTTGGAAGACAGAAACGTCAAGAGGGTCTACAATTCTCATATTGCCCAGGATGCCGAATCTTCTACACAAATCGCTCCATTGACCAATAAAGACGGCGAACATCCTCCTGAGTTCTACCCAAGACGCTTGGAGAATTGAAAAACTTGGATGCTGCTTCGCTTTTACAATTGTGTGAGTTCTTCGAGCTCATTGTGGAAAACAACAACCCTGAGGAGGTGGCTGAACTTTTGAAGCTGGAGACACTTAGCGCCGAAGATGCCGAGAAACTCTTCAATCCTAAGTCCAAGTCGCTTGAGGAGAAATTGAAGGCTTTGAAGAAAGAGGATGAGGTGGAGTTGTTTGACGAATTGGCCCGCTTCATCGGCGTGCGTGTTCGCAGAGGCTCTGGATGGTGAGGGCCCGAAAGGGAGAGATAAAGAAGACGAAGAAATCTACAAAATTGAAGGAAGAGCTGAAACGTGTTAGATAGATTCTGATTCTTTGCTTGAGTGTGGAGTGGTGAGAGGTTGGGTGTGCCAGCAACGTGGGGAAGACAGAGTGCTCACATGGCCATACTATGGAGGCGTCAGAACATAGCAATACTGGCGTTGAATGCACCCAGGGGCAAAAAACCTGCCTCTTGTGCTAGTTCGACCTCCAGTCACGTGTTCATACTATCTCGTTAGGGCTGCAGCCCGGTGCGCAGTGATGAACGCCTGGGTGCAGGCCCCCTCCAGGAAAAAATCTTCTCACCTCCACCCAGTGAAAAACTCTTTTGAAGGTTTTTAACCAGTTATCGCCAATCACTAACAATGGGTATGTGACCACCAACGTCCTAAAACACGGCTCTAGAGACCTCCCAGCGTCTCTATCGAACCCGCCGGTATCAAATTCCCCAAAAATAGTACTAACATGTCCAGGTAGAGTTATTCGTAACCAGAGAAAGGGTGCTGGCTCCGTCTTCACCGCTCACACCAGATTGAGAAAGGGTGCTGCCAAGTTGAGAACCTTGGACTATGCTGAACGTCACGGTTACATTCGTGGTGTCGTCAAGTCTATCATCCACGACTCCGGTAGAGGTGCTCCTTTGGCCAAGGTTGCCTTCAGAGACCCATACAGATACAAGATGAGAGAGGAGACTTTCGTCGCTAACGAGGGTCTTTACACTGGTCAGTTCATCTACTGTGGTAAGAAAGCCTCTTTGAACGTCGGTAACGTTTTGCCTTTGGGCTCTTGTCCTGAGGGTACCATCGTCTCCAACGTTGAGGAGAAGGTTGGTGACAGAGGTGCCTTGGGCAGAACCTCCGGTAACTACGTCATCATCATTGGCCACAACCACGACGAGGGTAAGACCAGAGTCAAGTTGCCATCCGGTGCCAAGAAGATCATCAACTCTGACGCCAGAGGTGTCATTGGTGTTGTTGCCGGTGGTGGTAGAATCGACAAGCCATTGTTGAAGGCCGGTAGAGCTTTCCACAAGTACAAGGCCAAGAGAAACTCCTGGCCAAGAACTAGAGGTGTGGCCATGAACCCAGTTGATCACCCTCACGGTGGTGGTAACCACCAGCACATTGGTAAGGCTTCTACCATCTCCAGAGGTGCCGTCCCAGGTCAGAAGGCTGGTTTGATTGCCGCCAGAAGAACTGGTTTGTTGAGAGGTACCCAGAAGACTCAGGACTAAGTGTGTTGCTCACTCTGATGTATAGTAATGAAGCACAAAACATAATCGACATACACTATACTGTAGATGTATTCTAGGAAGAAGTATTAAGCGGTGGACTCCACCTTGGCAGGCTCTACCGGTGCTTCAACTGGCTTAGATTCAGCTGTTTCCTTCACTGCGGTCTTCTCCATTGGTTCAGCTTTTACTTCTTTCACTTCCTTGCCAATTTCCTCCTTACCCAACTCTAAGGCATCGGCGATAGTAGGAGAAGTGGAGTCAATCTGTGCCTCCTTTGGCAGTGCTGACTTCTCTGAGATCGCTGAGGATGGTGTCAATGCTGATTTACGAACGTAGGCCTTGTCGACATGGAACGGGTTTCCATCGAACAAGCAGTTTTGACACTCTTCCATCACCCGGTCAATGGTGTTACCATCCTTGAAGTCAAATTTAATTAGAACATTGCTGCGGCTACTCCAACCCTTTGCAAACCTCTTGGCTTTTGTAATCTTGACCTTAATCGGGTTATAGGCTTTGAAGTACTCCATGATCGCGTCTCGAGTAGCCTTGCCCTTCAAACCACGAATGAAGATGGTGTCGTTGGAGTAAGCATCTTCTTCTGGCTCCAGCATTGAGGACGTAATCTGTTCTCCTGGTGATTCTGGGGATGTAGAGCTCTTCGTCTTTCTAGATGGTTTGGCGCCGTTGTAAGTAGACAGACGTCTCAATGATCCCGGAGGTACAGTTGGATTAGCAGCAACCAGCCCGTTTTGAGCCTGAGAAGCATTAGGAGTATTCTTGGTTTCCTGAGCATCCAGCTTCAAATCATGGTTCTGGGTAGAAGTCACGGCATGTGCAGCTTCTGACTTGGCCTTCAACCCGTTGAGGATCTTCGTGCTAAGGCCATTGGCAGCGCCGTCTTCCTCGTCCTTCTTCCCAGTAATTGGCTGAGCTGCAATTTCAGGCGACCCAGATCCAAGCTTACTAAACCCTCTAAGTGTTCCAATCTTCTCTCCAGGAACATATGGGACGTGATAGCGAACGGTCAAGGTTCTCGATTTGAACTCCGTCGTGTGCAATGTTTCAACAGCAACATTAGCGTCAGCAAGAGTATCGAAAAACGCGTACCCTAATCCCATTGGCTTACTTTTGGAGTGTCTCAAGGGATAGGGCGACAACGGAATCAATACCTCCTTACTGAAGGGTGTTAGTAGATAATGGCGAACCCCAAGAGGTGCCACTTACCAATTGAAAGGAGCGAGGAGCGAAGACAATTCTTCCTCGGAAGTGTGGAAGTTGAGATTAAGAATCTGGACTTTATGGAACATTGCGGTAGACGTGTTGGTCAAAAAGTGGCGGATTTCACGTCTACTTATACTCGGGGGAGCACTTTTTTGCAGCCATGGGGTCCGTACAGTCCACCCCTTTCAGATTTGCATTACATATAAAGAAGGGTCTTTCGTAAATGATTTAGTTATTTGTTTCAAGACTCTTTTGATGAAGTAAAAATAAATTGATATGCTTGAGTATGTATCATGTGTGATGGAGCTGGCTAGGAAGTGACGGTTATCTAGTATAGTCACAATGAGACAAAACGACGGAATTAAATGGCAAGGAGACTTAAAGTTATCCGGTTAATGGACAAACACATTTGCTTCTAGGAGACTCTCGCAATTCTGATAAATAATGGCACGAGTCAAGAGGGAATACCCGGCATAAACTGTAAGTGAAACACAGATAATGTCCCATCAAACCATCTCAACTCAGAATCGGTCGAAATCGAAAACACCAGTTGGTAAGTATTGAAAGAATTTACTCAGGTTCGTTTCTGGAGCAAGAAGCAGAGCTTATGTGGACGATCCCGTAGCGCTCAAATCAGAACCTAGTACCAAGAGAACCACCACCACAAAACCGATTGGTACCAAAATCAATCAAGTGAGGGTATACTCAAATAGGTTCCTGAAGTTGCTCATAGTCCATTATGGGCATATACCTCCCTTAATTAACATTGAGTACTTCAAAGTGTTGCAAGTTCATTATTGAGCAGCATGATCTACAAATGAGAGTTTCAAACAACAACTTGTGATGGGTTTCCTATAAGACTAACTTTAAGGTCTTGCTCATTCCGATCATTATCAATAACTTCGTTCACTCTCAAGTTCCCAGGTTCGAACAAAATGTCCGCCTGCTACACTGATGGACATTATTTTATACCATTTGAGTACTTACGAACACCACTTAGTTGCTCTCCTTCTCGGCAGCCAACACCTTGGCGGTACCACGCAAAGCGTATCTGTGGTTTCTTCTGAACTTGGCGTCCACGTTTCTCAAAGATCTGTATCTGTGAGTCTTAGGCTTCTTGATACCGTTCTTGTGGGCCTTCTTGTTCTGGTTGTGGTTGGTGTGGTTCTTAGACTTAGCCATTTTCTGACGGTTAGTACGGAGTTTGGAAGGATTCGAAGTGGTTATGGTCAAAACAACGTTAGATCTTGATGGAGGGATGGAGCATTCTGGGGAGCTCTAAACAAACGGAGGTTCAAGATTTTCAATAAAAAGGCATTTGGGACTTTAACAGCACTTCGATATAGGCCCTGGACGAGTTTCTGGGGCGGATGGAGACATACCGATTTCTATGTGGTGGAAGAAAGGGAAACTTCTTAATGCGACAGGCTCTTTTTTGCTAGAGTGAGAGCGAAAATTTTGAGGACGGTGTGCAGGGTGAGAGCAGTCACCATGGTCACGTGAATGTACTATAAGCACGACACTCTGAGGGAGAAAACATGAAGTCGGGGCACAAATGAAGCTATTATGAAGAATTAATGAAGAATCAAAGAACTTTGTTGGAATAGAGATGGGTGATTGCTGTCTTAGCGATTTCTGGTCAGATTTTTTGGGGTGTTGGGTGGGTACCATAGGGTCTGAAAAATCGGCTGCGAAAAGGGTAACAGACAGAGTAGTCTCCTAACATATGGGAAGAATGGACTTTGTGAATCTTACTCGAACGATAGATTCTGAACCTCAATAAGAACGAAGGGTACTCAACTTCGAACGATAATGAGCATTTCCAATATTCCTTCCAAGGTACACTGTATGGGCACTACTGGCTCTACATCGACAGGGCATCTCACGAAAACCTGCCGCCAATTCTCTATTTCCGTAACATTCCTAAAACTAAGTATCTTCCGATTAAGCCTGACCGGAGGCCTGGGCAACTTCCAAAGCCTTGGCCTTCTTGGCAGCCTTGTCGTTGTGCTTCTTACCCATGATACCACCACCCCAGTGCTTTCTGTGCTCCTCGTACTTCTCAATGAAGTTGGCGTTGATAGTAGAGACCAACTTGGACAACTCGGCCTCATCCTCGGCAGAAACCTCGGTCAAGGCAGCCACAGAGGAGGTCTTCTTGTGCACCAAAGTGCCCAATCTAGCCTTACCCTTGACGATAGCGTATGGAACGCCCATCTTTCTACACAAGGCAGGCAAGAAGATGACCAACTCGATGGGGTCGACGTCGTTGGCAATCAAAACCAACTTGGCCTTCTTGTTCTCAATGAGGGACACAACGTGGTTCAAACCGTACTTCACCACAACTGGCTTAGGAGAAACGTCGTGGGCCTTCTTGCCTTCAGCGATGGCAGCAGCCTCCTTGGTCAATCTCTCCTTCTTCTCAGCAGCAGTCTCGGGTCTGTACTTGTTGAACAACTTGAAAGTCTGGGCAGCGGTGTTCTTGTCCAAGACGTTCTGGAACTGGGCAATGGCTGGAGGAACCTTCAATCTCATGGACAAGATCTTCTTCTGTCTCTGCAATCTGACGTACTGGGGCCATTTCACAAATCTAGACAAGTTTCTCTTTGGTTGAATGTCCTGGCCAATGCCGTAGTTTCTCTTTCTCGTCTCGACAAGGGGGTTAGCGGTTGGGGCCTGAACGGCCTGGCTCTTAGCAGCCAATGGGAGGGGGGCAACTTTCTTGGCGGGCTGTGTCATTGAGATCAGTTAGTCTGTTGTTCTCCAATAAACTTTCAACGAACAGTCATTCCAACAAATCTCTACAGTATCCAGAGGATACTCAGCCTTTGCACCAAGAAGTGGAAACACATTCTTGTTACAAACTGTCTGCCCGGCTTTGCCGAAGTCGGTTAGCGGTTTGGCTTCTTAACATCGGTTAGCCTGACGACACGTTTCTGTCAGTGAGTTGGCCAAGGGGCTTTCTACGAGCCTTGCTTGTGCCAAAGAAAGGGATCCACTTCCTGGTGCCGTAGAGGCGTGTTCGGAAGATCGTCTTAGTTTAGCGAATGAAACGTACCATTATGTGAAAAAGAAGTGGTTTGTGGGTAGAAAAATTTTCCAGCGCTCTGAGAAGTAGATGTAGTCTGTGCACTCCTGGGACCGGGTACGAATTAGGCTAGCAGGGATTTGATTGAAAGGGAATGTTTTGGCAATGGAAAGTCAATGAAAGTTGGCAGTTCTGTTGTAATATAGGGTTTAAATTTTGAGATATTTGAGATAAGTTTACAATGTAATGCATTGGCGGCGACCCAAGAAAGGTGCTCCGTACCGCTATACTGAGGCTGTCGTAACGTTAAAGAAGCAATAAATGGCATGGAGTTTTGAGATTCATTCACATTTCGATCCCCGTGATTTGATCTTCCATATTCATAAATAATTTTTAATGTCCTAGTGTCACCCATTTAGGACTAGCATCAGAGATGCGATTTGGCTGCAAACAGACCACAAATTCATGGACCAATGTATACACACATAAGCGAGATAAACGACTATTCAGTGGAAAATCCCTTTGTTTTGATAATACAAAAATCAAGTAAAAGAACCGTTGTTTAAGCTTTGTTTAAGAACGAACTGAACCAGCATTGGTCATAGCTCTTCATACTAAAACAAATTCACTTTCAACGACACCACAGCGTTCCATGTTACTTAAGAAAACATAAAATCGTAAATTCTTTTAGCCAAATCACCATTTAAATAACTCTAATTCATATTCCTAGTTAATCCGATGCTGGAGGCATTGCCCGGAGTGTGGTCTATCTACCCGTCTGCCCTGCAGGTCCGAACACCCAGGTCCATCCTTCCATCCCGAAACTAACATCTATTCTTTTCAAATCTTTAAAAAGATGATCGTCTACTTCTCATCTAAAATTCTACAGATACCTATACTTATATCTTGCTACCTGCCATCCCCGGGACTACACGTGCGGTATGGCCCAAACCGCCCTGAACTCCATCGACCATCCTTACCCACTTCCTTTAAGCCACCCCTTCGACATCCTCAAAATCCCAATATAAATAGACCGATCCCCCTCCCAAACTCTATTTTTCTCTTTTTTTACGCTCCTCGCCAGATCGCTAGTGCCCATTTGGGAAAGCGGTTCCGGCTTCTACTCTATCGCGGAAAACAAAACCATCATCACCATCATGCTTCACTACTCCCAGTTGGCCCCACTAGCCGAGACGGTCGCCACGTGGCGTACCAACGTCTCTGGCATCATGGGCTCCACATCGTATGTTCTTGATCTTTTTGTATCCGTTTTTTGCTAACATCAGCCTTGCGTGTTGGATCGTTTTACTCATGCCACAGCTCATTGAGCAGTGGAGAATGAAGTCTGCTGAGGGCATTGCCATTGGCTTCATCACCATCTGGTTTTTGGGCGATGTGCTCAACTTAGTTGGTGCCTTATGGGCCGGTTTGCTCCCTGAGGTCATCTTCTTGGCCGTGTGGTTCTGTATTGCAGACTTCTTGATGATCGCTTCCTACTTCTACTACACGAGGGTGTACCCCAAACACCACAAAAAGCCAAAAAGAACAAGCAGCAGAGGCAGCAGAGGCAGTCACGGCTCCCATGAAAATGCCCCTTTGTTGAGAAGAAGATCTTCTACTTTGACCGATATCGCATTGGAGCCAGAGTACCATAGCATCGTGACCCGTTACGTGTTGCCTATCATCTTTGTTGTTGCTGCCGGAGTGTTGGGATTTTTGTTTTCAGACGCAGCAGCCGATGACGGCAAAAGCCCCAACAAAATCGACGCTGGTCCACAAATCGTGGGCTACTTGTCTGCCCTCTTGTACTTGGGCGCCAGAATCCCTCAGATCCTCCAAAACCACAGAAGACGCTCCGTGGAGGGCTTGAGCTTGCTTTTCTTTTTATTCTCCAGTTTGGGTAACCTCACTTATGCGGGCCAGATTTTGTTCTACCGCTCGGACTCTCAGTACATTGTGTTGAACTTGAGTTGGTTGTTGGGCTCCTTGGGCACCATTCTCGAGGATGGCATCATCTTCGTGCAATTTTACATCTACAAGGGACATCACCAGCATTTGGAAGCCGTTGTCTCCCCATGAGCATTCATTTCTACGCTTAATCGTTAAAACTGTTATAGTACAATATACCCATATTCATTTGCGTCTTTAGTCATATCATTCGTAGTGCTGCAACGGACAGAAGTCCTCGATTGTCCAGTCCGTGCTGAAAAGGTTGAAGTCTAGCAATTCGTTAGGCGTCACACCAAAGAGTGGTTGTTGAGGCTGTTGCTCCACCGGCGTGGGAGTTACCAAAGAAGGCTTCACGTCTTTTGGGCTCTGAGCAACATTTTCGTTGAACGACAGCGTTGTTTCAGACCGTGGCGTAACAGGTCTAGTAGCATCTCGGTGAGCATTTTTGAAAGGGAACGAATCAATCGCCACTCGCTTGGGAAAGTTGGTCGAGTATGGATCAACATCTATAAGGTAATTGAAGTTGATCCACAAATTATCTGTCTGGACGGTTTTAGCAAGGTCTATGCCTCGAAGATCAGCATCGTCAATCGACCGATTACTATAGTAACATAAGTGCCCGATGTCGCCAGCATTCGAGAGTTCTGGTGGGACATCAGTAGGGATAATGTTTTCAAGCTCGTACTGCTGACGTTCAGTCCAGGTAACATTGGCCTTCTTGAGCAAATCAATGTCGGCATTATAAAGCTTGTTCTGGTACACCATGTTGTAGCCGAAGCTGTTAGATTTTGTCGTCTTCCAAGCATAAAAGTACCGCTCGCCAAGTAACTTGTTGAGCTTGAGTTTTCTCAAAACAAAAAACTCGTTTTTGGTTTCGAGACTCTTGAGCGAACTGACCATGGAACTGTTAGTTTCTCCTGAGCTCTCCAACACAATTAAGCTGCAGTTGAGTCGAATTGCAAATCCCAAACATGCAACGGCAATGATGTGAGTGTAAAATAGGATCAATGGGGACATGATCATGGTGAACGTGTCGTCAAAGAACCTGTCGCAAATGAAGAACAACTCTGAACAAAAGTAGTTCATCTCGCTGAATACAATGAGCACCATCTTTCTGAAAAAGAAAAAATCATAACTGTGGTCACCCTTGTACTTGTAGAACATGTGCAAGAAGTAATAAATAGTGGCGATGAAGAGCCTCAATGTGACAAGAATTCGTAGGTTGAGAATCTTGATCGACGGGTGGACATTCGCTGTTTTGTCGTTGAAATAGTCAGGCACCACACCGAATGCCTGCCCGAGCTTATACTCAAAATCGTTGAGACATTGAACCAAGTCCGAACTCTTATGTAAATTCTGAAGATCGACACAAATTTCAAGAAGTGCGAGGCCAGCTAGTTGTGTTTGGTAGATTTTCGCTAACGAGGCAATGGTCTGTTTCTCAAACTGCTCGTCGGCAATGTTGGAAATGCCGTTCGTGTACTCCGGTAATTTAGTATCGTACAGGTTGGGTCGGATCGTGAGCGGACAGAAGAATTGATAGGAGGTGTTGAAGTCCAAAGTCACCAAAAAGTACCAGACTTTACGGCGTAGGAGCTTCGTTTTGTCGTCCATTGGGTCCCACAAGGAGTCGGGGTCTCTATCAAGAGCCAATGAAATTGCCATTTGCGTCAAACTACCGCAATTTTCAATGGTAGCCATTGTGTTGCAGCCAGCCTCGCTCTCCAAGGCGACCGAGCGGTATACACACATGAAGATGGAGGCCTGGAGCACGACAAAGGAGGTTTTGAGCGGCAGTCGAGCTTTTTGCAAGAAGCTGGCAGCCAACTCAATGGCATCCATGGTGATGGGGAATTGCATGGAGAAGTGCTCCTCGTCAGCAAAAGTGCCCATCATGCTGAGCTTGGCCTCGTTGTGGTCCTTGACATTGGAAAATTGACTCATGTATGAGAGACGTAAAATGATGAGCACGTACGCTAGCACGGCAAGGTCCTCTCTATTCTGGATGTTGACATTTTCAACCACCTGGCCGTCGGGCGAGTACTGGACGATGCGGTCGATCTGGGCGTAGGTCCAGCTTTCGTCGATAATGGGGTAATGGGCGTAGAGCTTGCGGAAAAAGCGTCTCATCAAGGCGACTACCAGGAGCTTTGGCGGAAGCACTTTGCGGAGAGAGACGGGGATTGGGTCGGACTCGTGAAAGTCTTTTGTGAAGGTGATGGCCAAGGGAAAGCCGTACTGTGAGATGAGGTTTCGAGTCCGTTTGGTCAAAGAGCCGCCTGCGGCCGCTATTTCCTGGTAGCTGGGGATGTAGCGATCGGCAAAGACCTGCTTGACATTGTCGATGGTGGACTGTTGCACGGGTTTGGCGAAAGTAGACACCGTGATGAGCTTCATGGAGCTGGACTCCTCGTAGTCCCAGAACAAACGAGCGCCCGGTTCCTGCTGAGATAAAACAATGAACATGAGCGGTCTGGCGGTGCGCTTGAGCCCCGTAAACCGCTTGAGCGTGTAGTTCATGCCTTGCAGTAGCACCAGGAAGTCCATGTGGAAGTTGAGCACGTCGCCCGTGCCGACGATGGGATTGACGCCAATCAAGTACTCGTTTTCCTCTAGCACGACGGTCGGCAACGGCGTAGGAGGCGAATTGTGGGATGTGGAGATCAGGCCCTGAGTATGGGCTCTGCTTCGAGCACTGAGGTGTCTTTGAATATTGGCATTCAAGTCATTGGGCAGCAGTTTTTCAAGCAGATCAGACCCATTGGACGCGCCCAGCACCACCGACGACGTTCTCAGCATCGGCGCCTCCTTCTTCACCGGAGGCCCATACTCACATTGTTCCGGGCAACCTCTCTTGACACATTGGGAGCAGGGCTGCTGGAGATCGCACTTTGACTTCTTCGCCCGACACCGGCGGCAGACCTTGGTCAGTCTGTTCCGCTTACGGGGACGAGGTTGGTCGGACATGGCAAAGTGACGAAGGTGTTTTGGGGAAACGAGTGCCCTTAGTAAGAGCTGAGGCTGGTGCGAAAAGTGCAGTGCAGAGTGAAAGAGCGTGAACGTGATATGAATACGCACTGGTGGGGTTTTTGCGGGGCCGAGGAACAGAGACGTTTTTATGTCAGGGAGATGAGGATGCTGCGGTAATTTTATCCCCTGTGCGTTTTGGGCGACGATTGAGTTTGTGGGCTTTTGGCCAACGGCCAAAGTTTCAAGGGTGGTTAGCGCCGCGGAGCCGTTTTCGGACTTTTCTGTTGTTTCCTGGTCCCCTGAGCGGCGCATGAGAACGGGTACTTTTTTTCATTTTTCTTCCACGATTCGACGCACTTTCCGCATGGCCCAGAGATGCTCGAGTACAGTGTGCTGTTTGTGGAACATCTTTTTTTTTTTTTTCGCTCGTGAACGACGTTGCCAGATGAAACCAAAGTCCGTCTCCGAGGCCGATCGAGATTTTAGGCAGCAGGCCGAGGCTGGCGGGCGGGGTTCAGCTTTTTTTTTTTTTTTCTTAGGCTTTTTTGCCATCGAGACGTTGATTTTTTCAGTGGAACGGATTCCGGTTCGTAGATCCCGAGGACTGAGATTATGTCATCACCTGCGCCGCTGATTGTACGTCAGTGGCAAAACTGTTGGGCCCCTCCTCTTCAATTGTAGCAAAAGCAGATGAAAATCGGTTTTCACGTTGTGTTTCGTGGCTAGCGTAACACCATGTGGTGCAATGCAGATCCTACTCAACGTGCTTGGCCTTCATCCAAACCCCACCTCGATCTGGGTGTTATGAGCCGCCGTTGTGTCAATTTTCTTGACGTTCCGCTGGCTTTGCATGCTGGATATGACAATAGACACTGAATCACAAGAACTCAGAAAGCCAACGGGCCATTGTGTGAAACTTCGCCACAGACCTCGTATCTCCGGATTCTTTTCACAGGCATCAAAGCCTTACCAATGCTATCCCTAATGCCGTTTCCACAACTATCAGAACTCCGCTCCGTAGTTGCGTAACCGGATCGCAAGCTCGCCAGAATTGTCAATCTCAATCAAGTTGTTCCGATGCATGAGCTGAACAAGCTGCTCTTCGGGACTACCAGCAGTGATGGGGACCCATTTCTCTGAATCTTGCACCAACCGCAGCACAAGCTGCTGGAGAAGCTGCATGGACTGCTTGATCCTTCTCTTGAACGTGTCTTCATCGACCATGCCGGTGTTTTCCCAGTCCAACATCGCATGAAGCTTGGTGACTACCCTAGCCATATGCTGCTGAAGCTTATCTTCCACTTTCTTAATCCTCGCCATGGCCTCCCGAACCAGCTCTGTCTTCTCTGAAAGCTCGTCGTCCACGTGCTGGGCATTGTGTAGCTTTTGCTCCATGGCCTTAACTCGACTGGGGTGTCCAGCTATACGCTTCTCTAAAAGCGCCAGCATGCTCTTGTAATCCGCCAAAGTTGCTCTCAAACCCTCCAATTCTTGTTGAAGTTCAGAATTGATGTCGCCAAATTCCTCTGTGGCGGCAGTCTGCTGAACCACAGCTTCTCCAGTGAGATGAGCTGCTGTAGCCGTGCCTAACAGGTCGTTTTTCATCACCGTGTAGGGGAGTTTCTGGTACACTTCATAGAGGGCTAGCGTGTGTGCCTTTTGACGCGTCTCTTCGGTCCACAGCTCGTGTTCATTGGCTGGTTCGTCTAGCTTTTCTAGAGCCTGTTCTGCTTGACGTAGAAACTTCTGCGTTCTGTCGATATCCCTGTTGAGTTTTTTCTCGTAGGCTTCTTGGATGGGGTTGGAGATGGCGACGTCTTTTTTCACGTGCTCCTGGAGGAGCTTTTTGATCCTGTCTCCTCTGTTTTGGGATGGAGTTTCCATGTTGTGGTAGTAAGAGCGCGATGTTGATATCGATGTTGATAATGATACAATGAGATGGAAAAGTGGATTGACCGATGAAGAAAAAACAAAAAGGCCAAGTCGTTTGATTCGTCTTTTGATCGTAACATTGGAATCTATGATTATGATTTTTCACTTTTCTAAACCAGGAAGCTATCTGGCATTCTGCTCTATTAAGATATTTCGCAGCCATTCTACAAAACACCGTTTTTCAACATCGCCATTTAAAATCGATTACCAACTCTACAGGCTCAATTGAGCCATAGGTCATAAACATCGTCCCATTTTTCTATAAACCGCCGATTCCCTACTTCAAAAGATCATCCCATGTTGGTAGAGTACCTGGACTCAGTTCCAACGCTGCCTCGTAGTCCTGCTGAAGTTCAGGCCCCACTATGTCTGAAAGTCCCCTGATGTTCTCCACAATAACGCCTTTCGTGGATTTCGTTCCCACCTTGAACTTCTCCACTCGCCGAAGAAGCACAATCCAGGACCCAAGAAGATCATACTTATGAGACCCAAAAAGTTCCCTTCCCTGTTTGTCTTGAGCCTCCTTGAAAGCTTCCACACTGGCATTCTGCACCAGAAGAGCCAGGTCAACGACCTCTGCTCCGCCATCGGCATCAATCAAAAATGGATTCGTGATTAACTGACAAAGCGTGTAGTTGAGTCTCAGAAAGCCGCCTAGAACAGCTCCTCCAAGACGCTGCCTTATTAGATTTTCAGCCTGTTTGAGCAAAAATGTCAAGACCCTGTTGGCGCCGTTTTCGCTTTCCCTTCCTTGAACGTGTGAGATGGAACTGAGTATGTTCTTCTCGAGAACAGCAGTGTAAGACGATATAGGTTTCTCTCGAAGCTCCATCAACCGGTAAAGTAGCGGGTATGCTGCACTCAAAAGATGCAAAGATACATCTGCTGGCGTGAGGCTCGGCAAATAGTGGAGGCACGATTCTGTGGATTCAAGAAAGAGGTCCACATGCCCCGACCTGATCAACACCTTCTCATGGCCAGTATTCAAGACCCGCTCGACCAAATGGCAGCCCTGTGCACGAAACACGGGATCTGAGTCATCAAGAACGTTGAGGATGAAGGTAATGGCTATGGGCCAGTTTGCCTGGAAATCTAGACTGTCATCAGGCACAGCAAGAAAGCCATAAACAGTAGATAAGGCGGTGATGTTTTGCAGCGTTTTCCACTCCTTCCGCTTATCATCCTCAAATATGCTACTTCCAATGCCCGAAAATCCAAGCGATGGACGGAGACCACTGGCACCTAGACCTGTTCTTCTGTATCCACTCAGGGAGACCTTTACGTTGGGGATCGATAGAAGGGAAGGTCTAATTTTTTCCAAAAACGGAAGGGCTAGTTTTTCGTATTCTGGTTGTAGTTTTGCCGCCTCGGTGGCCAATTTGACGTTGCTCCATGGAACCCATGGATTCAAGTATTGGGATACAAGCACGAGGATATCGAGCTTGTCTTCTTCAGTCAATTGGTCATAGACCAAAACAGCCAACTGTAGGAATGGAAGTTTCGGAGAATCCTCGGTGGTTTTAAGGAAATCGTAAGCCCCGTTGGTCCATTGTAGACCGTGTCTGAGGTCCTTCAACACAGTGGTATACTGTTCTGGAGAAAGGCCATTTTGGGCGACGTGCCTTTTCAATTCTTCATTAGAGCCGCCTCCAAGAAAGCCTTTATATAGACCATCAAAGGAATTAAGCAGGCCGCCATTCCCCAATCCATTCAGGGAACTCATCTCTGGTTAGTAGTAAGCGTTGATGTGTGAATCTGCAGGAGGCATCGAGTCCATAGACATGTCAGCTGGAGAATTAAGAGGCGGAGAGTCTTTTTTTGTAATTGAAGAATATAGGGTAATTCAAAAATTGCGATTATTTGCCTAATCTCCAAAGATAAATTGTTTTGTCATCTTGACGGTCTCATCGTATGATGTTCATGGTTTGCAGCCACCAGAACCATACATCCAGTTTACCCTGAAGAATTCGAAAAACACCAAAAGTCCCCCTCCAAATTCAAATTCGCCAGTTTCAAACCACTTTGTCGGAAATCCTAATGAAACTCCCCACACCATCCTCCGTTCCACTAATAGACCCTCTGGGCTGAATTTTCCACATCGGATTCCGCGATCCTACCCCAGATCTCAAACCAACCACTCATGAGAATCCTCAGATTCACCAGAACCCTCCTGAAGTCCGCCGTGACCATCAGCGAGGAGATCCGCCTGGCGCTAGCTGAAAAATCCAAACCGGTGGTGGCCTTGGAATCCACGATTATCACCCATGGCTTCCCGTATCCTGCTAATATCGAGATGGCCAGAAAGGTCGAGGAAGCAGTACGCAATTCCGGTGCTGTTCCGGCCACGTGTGCTTTCATCGAAGGAAAACCGCATGTGGGGCTTTCAGACACCCACTTGGAGCAGATGGCCACGCTGAAGGCCGTCAACAAGGTCTCCAGAAGAGACATTGGGGTCACCATGGCTAAGGGCCTCAATGGCGGTACCACAATCGCTGGAACGATGATCTTGTCACATTTAGCGGGAATCAAGGTTTTTGCCACGGGAGGATTAGGCGGCGTTCATAAGGACGGGCACATTACCATGGACGTGAGTGCCGATTTGACGGAATTGTCCAGAACCCCAGTCAGTGTGGTGTGTTCCGGCCCCAAGCTGATTCTCGACATTGCACGTACCATGGAGTACCTAGAAACACAGGGCGTGTTTGTGGCGACCCTCAATGACAATAAACGCAGCAGGGTCGAGATTCCAGGCTTCTTTTGCAGAGACCTGGGCGTCTTATCACCATATGAGGTTTCCTCATGGAAGGAAGCAGCGTCCATTGTGCACCAAGCCAACAATGTCATGGGTCTTACTTCTTCTAGTTTATTCTGTGTTCCTCCTCCGGCAGATGTGGCGCTTTCCAGTGATTTTATCGATAAGGTGATTGAGGAGGCTACAGCCAAAGCAGCTGAACAGAAAATCCTGGGGAAGCACTTGACGCCGTTTTTGTTGAAAAGCGTCGCCGAGGCCTCCGAGGGAAAATCTGTCCAGTGCAACAAGGACTTTGTCATTAATAATGCCATCGCTGCCAGTCATTTGGCCAAAGAGCTTCTCGATCTCGAGAACGCTTCAGTAAGTAACATTTAGCATTTCTTGTGGTTTGTACTAATAACAGACGAGCTTTGTCCCCTCGACCAGCATCGGGAAGGCGACTAATGAGAGAAAGACTTCCTCAAAGACTATTGAACCATCAAGGAGCTTTCCAGAAAAAGTGGAGACTCTCATTATCGGCCTGGTTGCACAGGATACCATCAGTGTTCTAGACAAAAAAGCTTCCATGGGCGACTCTAATCCCGGAAAGCTGCGTTCTTCAATTGGCGGAGTTGGCTTCAACGTTTCTTTGGCACACAGGTATGCCTCGAACTCAACCTATAGGTTTGTTTCCATAGTGGGAGACGACTTTGCTGGAAAACTGCTTCTCAACGAATTGGAGAAAACACACGGCGACGTGAGTGGCATTAAGGTGGAACCCTCATCCTTGACAGCCCAATACACTGCCATGCTTAATCCTCAGGGAGAGCTTCTTTTGGCTTGTGCCGATATGTCTATTTTTGAAGAAACAGCAGTTCTGTCGTTTTTGAAAGAGCAGGTCTTGAAGGCCCAGCCGGAGACCATAGTGGTTGACTGCAACCTTTCATCTGAAGTTTTGAGTCTGTTGCTTGAAGTTGTCAAAAAGGACTTGGGGTACCAGCCCAAGCTTATAGTTGAACCAACCTCAGGACCCAAACTGGGCAGAATTGCACAGGTGAACACACGAAACTTGGGCGTTTTCCCGAAAAACACTATATCAATGGTCACGCCAACGGTTGCCGAGCTAGAAAACATCCATTCAAATTTCAGCCGTCGAGAGTTGTTTGACGATTATGATGAATGGTTTCCAGCACTCGACTCCCTAGGCATTAACTCCCAGTTCAGAGAAAAACTAGCAGCCCAGGCCAACAAGCACGATGTTCTCAAGCTTCTTTTGGAAAAAGGCGTGATCCAGCAGTGTCTCCAGCTCGTGCCCTACATCCCTAATATTGCCGTGAAGCTAGGCAAGAAAGGCGTGGTTTTGGTCAAATTGAGTACCGATGTGGACAGCTACAAATCAATTCCCACAACTTCGCCACATGCTCCAGCTTTTATTTACACATCTCAAGGACAGGTGGTGGAGGAACAAAGGGTCGGCGTTGTTATAGAGTACTTCCCTATTCCACCAGAAAACGAGAACCTCAAAGTGGTCAATGTGACCGGCGCTGGGGACACCTTTCTTGGGGTTCTTTCCTCCTACATTTCCAAAAACGACTGGCTCGGTTCTGAAGTCAAAAGCATCGAACAAGAATGGGCCATGTGGGAGAGTTTCTACAATGCTCAGTTAGCCAGTGGACTCAGCATCCAGTCCCACGAGGCGATAAGCCCAGAGATCAAGCAGCTCAAGCCAGAAGAAAATTGATGCTACGGCTTTCTTTATTTTTTTCTTATTTTTATACATTTTCGGGGAGCAGTCAGGCCACCTCGGTCGAGTGTCTCGAAGGAATGTACTTGTGGCTTTCCATCTCCTTCGCAAACCGGACCTTCTTGGCTGGGGAAGACTCGCCAAGCTTCATGGTGCCGAGCTTGTTGATCACCTCTTCGTCGATAACGGCGTGACCAACAGAAGGCAGCTGCCTAGGCGTACACAAGCCCGATTCACATTCGACCACCGCCTGCTTTGGGCCGTTTCGAAGAATCGACTTTGGTGGAGCCCGCTGGAGGAACTGGCTCAGAAACTCAATTTCTGAAGCGTTCCAGGCTCGTGCCATAAGCTTGTTCTTGAACTTGCGGAGCACCTCGCTCTTGGGCAGCTTGTGAGAACGGCTTACAATGGAAGCGGCGTTTTCCTCGTGCTCTGTACCAAAATCCCACTCGGGGTCTTGCGGAGACGCTGGAATTTCGGAAGGCCCAGTGCAGAAGCTGCTGAAGACGGTAGCTCCATTTTGGGAAGGTGCAACCTCCGGTGAGGTTTCAGAGGTCTCCTCCTCTTCAGAAGCATTCTCGAACTCTGGCACTTGAAGGTAGCTCAAGAATTCCAAGGATTCGTCGAAGCCAGGCACCGTTTGCTCGTTCTCCGTGATGATGCATCTCACCTGCTGTGGAGACAACCTTTCATGTTCTGGAACAAAGTGCTGGAAAGCGGCCATCAACTGGCGGTTCTGAACTTCAGAAAGCTGCTCCACGGGGGAAAGGGGCTCTGGCGTTGGACTCTCGAACTCATCGTCAGACTCCATATCGTCGGTTGGAACCAGAAGCGGTGGTTCGAAATTTTGAGGAAACGACCTTGCCATAGCCAATCCCAGGGAACAGGGCAGGGGCTGCAAAAGCTGTGAAGCGGGCTCCACAAATTGCTGAATTGGAGGCAATTGCTGAGGAGGCAATTGCTGAGCTTGAGGCTCCATCTGAATAGCTCCCACAGCTTCCTGCTGAAAAGCACTAGTCGCCATAAACTGAGTCTGGGGAATATACTGTGGGAAGTTGGGGAATGCTGGGGACAGAAGGGATGAGTAACTGGAGGCAAGCGCTTGAAATTGCCCAAAAACTCGATGGGGACCAAATACTGGTATCCCAAGCGGTCAGTGAGGATTTCAAACTCTGGCTGTGCTTGTTGCTGAAGCAAAACGCTGCAGTAGTGCAAAAGGCGCTTGGCGTTCTTCTTCGTGGCAACACGCATGTTGCTCATTCTGTCTTGGTTAGTTGAGGTGTTCTTGTTCACCTTGAACGAGGTAAAGCTTTGTGGGTTGATCTTTGCATCGTTGGTTGGGGCGTAGCGCCCGAGAATGCGCTGCAAGGTGGTCTTGCTGTTCTTTTCTCTGAGAAGTCTTCTGCTGTGCTGGGGAAGAGTCATTGCTGTGGTGGATGGAGAGAAAACTACGGAGGCATTTTGGACGGATTCTTATAGTTCGAAGGGATGCTATGGTCATTCCTGGGGCGATAGAAGAGGAAGGTGGAGGTAGAGAAATATAGAGTGAATAAAGAGCAGGTGTAATTTTGGAAGGAGGTTTTGATGTTTTGGGGAAGTTCGAGGTAGTTGGAGTTGCGTAATTGGGAAAAGCGTTGATAATTTTTTGAATGGTCCACGAAAGGTCACACGGAGAGTTTGGGGATTTCTGGGGAATTGCTAAATCACTGATTTAATTTCAATTTCTGAAATTTCGAAAAGTCAAGACAATTGGGTTGTGTGTTTGGAAGCTGGTGGCTGCAAACCTCGAGGTGGGCATTTGTCAAATGGCAGCATCAAGAGAAAATCGACCAACTTTCCAGAGAAAACTATGAATATAAGAAAGTTACAAAAAGAAGGCTTGCCATGCAAAGAGAGTTTGACATTCAGTTAATGAAGAGTATCTTGGAACTTGCTTGTTTCTTGACTCTGTCACTACAGCTTCGTCAGCTAGCAAACGTCAGACAAAAGCCAGTGATCCAAATATCCAAATCCCACATTATAGGCATTAAATTGCTGATACTTGACTCGAATGGTTTTAGCAAGTGTAACTTTTCACCTGGTCAGCAATCGGTTCCATTCCGTTCTCCCATATAGACTCACTGTGACTCAATTATACATCCCTTCTCAACGAAAGGTCATTGAGTTTCATAGATGTAACTTAAGAAATATAATAAGCTCCCAGACTCTAAACAAGGCTTTTAGCCAAACTTCAAAGAGGTCCTCTTAATTCTACAGTCCAATCACCTGCGATGGTGATATCGGTGTCAACCGCTGGCCAGCCTGTACTTCAAAATTCGAACATACTTTAAAAAAAATTCAAAAAGCGTAATGCCTACTCTTATAATATTAACAGTGCAATACGTTTATCACACCAGTGCTGCCTTGATATGACCAATTCATGCATCCTCTTAAGATCCACCACTCAAAGTCATCCACCACTCAAAGTCATCCACCAAAGTCATCCACCACTCAAAGCTACCCACCTCCACAAATCCACAATTTTCCCACAATACCCAATTTCAAAAAACTCCATCCCAACGAAATGCCAGTGTTCTGCAATACGAATCGGTGGCCTGCGATAGGGTACAGAGGTATCTAGCACAATGCAACACAGCCATCTCGGGACCTCAAATAAAAAGTACAATAGTAAATATAATACTACAAATGAAACATCAATTAAGAATCACTTTTGAAATTCAGCTCCTCGCCATCTTCACACTACCTACTCCATATCTATACCTCGCCTGCAGCCTGTCAAACCCACCCTACGTTATCTAACATCCAATTCACTCGCCGACCCTCCGAATAAGCCCAAACCCCGAGATCACCTCTTCTAAGCTAATAAGCAAAATCCTCCAAATATTCAAAATCAACCTCCAGCCATCTCCCGATCCTTCCAACCACTCATCCCACGTCGCGATGGCCCCACATTTTCCATCTACTACTCACTCCTCCTAATTCCAACCTCTCTCTTCCACAAAATCTTCACAAAATGTTCCGTTTTGCCAGCCTCGCAAGACCGCTTGCAAGAACAGCGCCTCTAGCGCTCGCAGGCGTATCCCTCAACTTCATTGCCAACGATACAGCAAAAGCTGGAATCGACGGAGTGGACGTGGATTCGGGAATTGATCCTTTTCCCACACAGCTTACCAAGTCAAACTGCTCCGTGGTCAATAACGTGCAAAAATTGATCGCTACAGGCATGCGGTCCGTCACCTTCATCAGCTTCAAGGTGTATGCCGTGGGGCTCTATGTTCCCAAGAACTACGAAAGCCAGATTGGCAAGACCGTCGGGCTTTGGCTGAAGGAAACAGGAAAATCGCCAGCGGAGCTTTTGGAGGATAAACAGACGTCGCAGGAGATGTTGGCGGCCATGTCGGAGAAACTCAACTACACCATCAGAATCACGCCAGTGAGAAATACGGACTTTGGCCATTTGCGTGACGGCTTTGTCAAGACGATTTTGGCGTGTCCATTGGCAAAGACGAAAAGAGAAGAGGTGGCTGTGGGCGTGGAGCAGCTCAGGGATGCTTTTAAGGGGTTCAAGGGATCTGTGCCTAAGAACCACTCTTTATACTTGGTGAGCGAAAACAGCACCATCACAATGCACTACGAGGGCAAGAACGGCGACGTCAAGACGCTTGGCAAGATCACCGAGCCCAGCATATCACAGGTGCTCTTTGTGCTGTATTTCAGCTCTGCCAAGCCCATCAGCGAGCCGCTTCGCAAGAGCTTCGTCAGCTACGTCACCGCCACGGTAAATTAGGGTATGTATTGTCATTGAAAGCGAGCGTAACTACATAGGGCGGGCCTTACATAATGATGGCCTCGTGCTCCACATTGTTGGAGATGGACTTGTGAGGCAACACCTTGGCTCCGTTCACGTAGATCTCGTTCTTCACCTCCACATCGTCACCCAACACGGTAACACCCTCGGTTCTGGCCCACTTACCGATTCTGGAGTTCCAGCCCACAATGGTGGACTTGACCCATGCGTGGTCCTTGACCTCGGAGTTGGCCAAGAGCACCGATCTCTGGATTCTGGCACCCTCACCAATGACAACGTTAGGACCAATCACCACGTTAGGGCCGATCAAGGCGGTAGGGTGGATCTTGGCGCTTGGGTCCACGAGCACATTGCCCTGGTGCACCCACTTCTCGTTAGACAACTTTTCAGGGGATCTCTTGGACAAAGAGGTCAAGTAGAGACACGTGCCGGACAAGAAGTCCTTTGGCTGACCAACGTCCATCCAGTAGCCCTCCAAGTCGAAGGAGTACAACTGCTTCTTCTCGACCAACTGTGGGAAGGTCTCCTTCTCGATGGAAGTAGGCTTCATCTCAATCAAGTCAATCACGTTAGGGTTCAAGATGTACAAACCAGCATTGATTCTGTTACCGACAAACTCAACTGGCTTCTCAACGAAACGGTCAATCAAGTTAGGGGTGTTTCTGTCGTGCACAATGACACCGTACTTGGAAGGCTCGTCGACCTTGGTGGCCACAATGGTACCGGCGGCACCGTGGTTCTTGTGGAACTCGGCCAACTCCTTGAATGGGTATTCACAGATAACGTCGGAGTTCAACACGAAGATAGGCGAGTCGTCCTTCTTCAAGACCTTCTCGGCGAGCTTCAAAGGACCAGCAGTGCCCAAAGGCTCCTCCTCGACAGAGAAGGTGATGGAAACGCCGTACTCAGCCTCGTACTTCTTCAAAGTGGAAACCATGACCTCAGGTCTGTAGTTGACAGCCAACACGATGTCGGTGACACCAGCAGCAGCAAGAGCCTCGATCTGATGCAAGATCATGGGTCTGTTACCAAACTCCACGAGGGGCTTTGGCAAAGTCAAAGTCAAGGGTCTCAAACGAGTACCGTAACCGCCGACAAGAATAAGGCCTTTCATTGTAATGGTGTGTTTGTTTTTGTTATACGCTTTGGCGTCAGAGAAAAAAAGGGAAAAGCGTTGAAACTGGCCACGGTGGGTATATATATGGCGAGGCGCGAATGGGGAAAAAAAAGATGCAAAATGCGAACAAAAATAGGACCGCGCCCAGGGGCCATAGCGCACTAAGTTAGTGGTGGCTTCTTTGAAAATGATGATTTTTTAAAAGTCGTTTCTTGAACATTTGAATCTCTTTCATTTTCAAAAAAAAAACCTCCCTCCTGGTTTTCTTCTCTGTGGCGCAACACGTACTCCGAAGCCCGTGTGCACACCGACATGGGACCACGAGCCCTGGAGAGCCAGCCCATGAGGACAGCTTTGGTCTGCTGGATTTTTTGTTTTGATTTGTTCAATGCTGGACGCTGGTTCCTGATGATCCTGTGTTTTTTCACCCTGGCTGTGCACGTATCTGTGGAATTGACAGCCGCGAGCCGCTCATGCTGGCTGCTTGGTTGACCAGCCTCCAAAGCTTAAATTTCAGATTTCGAATTTTGGGGTTCGCCGTTGGAGAAAATAAAACAATTCGTTTGATTGAAAATCGGTGAAGTCCGGCTTTTTGCAGCCAGCATTCCGGCCTCCTCCGGCCCATAGTGGTCCGTCAAACCAGCCCACGTCAACACTTGATCTGCATTTGCCTGCTCGGCTTCGCTGCTTCGAACAATAAGTGCCCAGCTTCCGATCGTCACCTGGCCGCTGCGAAGCCATTGTCATTGGCTGCTTGAAGGACGATTTTTTTCGATTTTCAGCTTTGTTTCTGATTCGCCAGAATCCATTTTTTGCAACCATCACCTTTGCTTTTCCAAACACGTCCTATATCCTCGTGGGCTGACAGCTGCACGCTAGCGCCGTGCATGGCGTTCAGGAACCACATCGCGCCTGGTGGTGAAAAACGCCCAAACGGCGATGTGAATTGTTGGGGTGAAGCGTTGTCTTCTAACTTTTTGAAGGTTTTAGCAAAATGAGGCGAAATGAGGAAACAGGATTCGATTTGGAAGTTGGAGTTTTGGGAACCTCGGAGGCACAGCGCGTCTCGTGTCATGTAAGGGAATGCGTAGATCCACCATTTGCACCCGTGTCTTTCTTGGCTCCACGGTGTACCGAAGCGATTTATGCGTTTAGCATTCTGATGTGGCTGAAGCGAAGACGTATTGTAAGATCGACAAACGAATTGGCATCATTGTGGTCATCTCGGTTGATGGCCTGTTCAGTATTTTTCATCGCAGCAGCTTTGTGCTACTTTATTCCAGTCTTTGTGGTCTTTTCGCCGATTCAGCATATGGTGATGTTCCCTCGGGCAAGTCAATTTTCCAGCAACATTGAGGTGCTGAGTGGGTTTCTCTCTCCTCTGCTATTGGACTCAATCCTGACTAATTTGTCCAGCCTCGCATCTGGCAGCTTAATAGCAGCCAAATAGACTTCGATGCCTAGATCTCCTCTTCATCTTCTGACCTTCCCTCATCTTCGCTCCCCTCCTGGGCCTCTAGAACACCTTGAGACCACGACGGTACCAGAAGACCCTCCACGCTACAACCACAAACACCAAGCTCAAGAACAAACTCACGCCGGTGGTAATAAAGTAATGCACCAAACAGCCGTCCGTGCCGTGGTCGTAGTTGCCTCTGTTTTTACAACTGTCCATTTCTTCCCCGTGCAAAAGCGAATACAGAATGCTTCCGATAGCTGGGGCTACCATAAACAGACCCCACGTCGAGCCCATAAGATCCACGCCCCACACGGAAGCAATCACGGTTGGGTAAATTGTGAAAAGACCGCCGTAGCAAATACCGCTGAGTATGGAAATTGTCGTAAAGCTGAAGCCATAAATGACCGCAATCTGAGCCATAATACCCACCACAATGAAGCCCACCATGAGCCAGACTTTGCAAACTGGATAGCGGCGCTTGGAGCTCAGAATATAGTCTGCAACCACTCCCACCACGAGCCTCACAGCAGTAGACAGAAGGGCAATCACTGAAACCTGGTCTGCCAATACACCCTCTCCACCAGTAGTGGACTCGATAATCAGGCCCAAGTTATTCTGGAAACTCTCCATGGGTCCGATATTGAGCAAAAGCGAAATGAGCAACGCCCAGGCCGATTTGTCCTTGAGAAAGCGAATGTAACGGGCCTTGTGGTCCACAGGTTCAATGTGTGATCTTTGCGGAAGAAGCGCCGTCTCCTCGTCGCCGTTTCCCATGATGCTGTCTGCTGGAGTGCCCATTTCCGAGTCTGGAATTTGTGGTTCCTCGTTGCCAAAAACGATATCCGTCTCTATACTCACGATCGAGTTGGAAACGAAGTTCAAGGCGCCCATGAACAAGTACAAAACGGCGAAAAACATGTACACCTTCTCGAGATCAAGCTCACGCCCGTCCTTAACGTGGAAATAAGGCACCTTCATAAGCTGGGCGCCAATAAGCGAGGATACACCGTAGCAGGAAACAGGCAAGGAAATCGCCAACGCCTTGTGGTCCGGGTAAATTTTAGCACACGTAAGCAAACTCGAAAAGTACAAGGACGACGTGGCCAAGCCAATAAAGCAAAAACTGAACGCCATCACGAGCACACCCATCTTGTTCAATTCCGCAAAAGGCTCCTCCAAGTGACTCAGTCTGACCAGGTTCACCAACAACGCATTCACAAAGTACGCTGGGCAAAACGCCCAAATTGAAATAAGCAGGAGCAACGCCGGACCGTAGCAGTCGGCCAAATAGCCCAACACTGGTAAGCATAAGTACATCCCCACAGCAGAAAGCAGGACTATCACATTGATCTCAGTGTAGCTTAAACCAACGGTATTATGAAGCGACAGGGCATAAAGCGAAAAAAGCATAATCAGTCCCAGCAGGAGACAGGTGGCCAAAGCTATGGCAAAGGCGATTTTCTTGAGGTGTTCAAGATCATATCGTTTAGAGAGACCTCGGCGGATCCGTCGGGTCCATCTTTCTAAGTGGTATTTCATGGTCTATAGTCTATGAGTGGGCTGAAAAGGATGCAAAAGGAGAAAGCCAGGGGGATTTATGACTCGGTTTTCTTCCTAGGTGGTAGTAGTTTAATGTGTATCTTATATGTGAAGAGACTCTGTCGCAGTGATGCATATGACTCTGCGCCATGACATAATATCGGTACTGATGACTACAACGGAATAATATCAAGGGGCCATATCTCGTGGAAATGCTATATACCTGTTGGGCTCTATGGAATGCGGGCTCCAGCTTTAGGGACTAGGGGCTCATGGAATGTACTTCAAGAAACGGTCAACTTCGCCCTTGGATCCCAACCAAATGCCAGATTTGTCGTGGATGCCCTTGGGCAAGATGTCCAAGATACGCTCACCCTTGTCGTTCACAGCAGAGCCGCCTGCCTGCTCCATCAACATCGCCATGGGGAAACACTCGTACAACACTCTCAACTTACCGTTCTTCGACTTGGAGTCGGCTGGGTAGGCGAAAATACCACCGTACAAGAGCGTTCTGTGGATGTCGGCCACCATGGAACCAATGTAACGGGCAGAGTAAGGCTTACCCTTCAACTCTTCCTGGGGCTCCTTCAATTCGGCAATGTACTTTTGCACGTACTCAGGCCAGTAGAACGAGTTACCCTCGTTGACCGAGTAGATGGCTCTGGTAGGAGGAATCTTCAAGTCAGGCTGGGTCAAGATGAACTCGCCCAACTGGGTGTCCAAAGTGAAACCGTGGACGCCTCTGCCGGTGGTCAACATGAGGTGGGCAGAAGCACCGTACATGGTGTAGCCGGCGGCAACCATGTCAGTACCCTTTCTCAAGACGTCCTTGATGGAGCCGGTGGAGTCGTCTCTCAAACGGTAAACGCCGAAAATAGTACCAACAGAAACACCGGCGTCAATGTTGGAGGAACCGTCAATTGGGTCAGTGCAGACGGCGTAACGGCCATCGCCCTCAAACACAATGAGGTCCTCCTGCTCCTCAGAGACAAGGACCTTGACGTTACCACTGGACTTCATGGCGTTGATGAAGATCTCGTCACCAATAACATCCAATTTCTTCTGCACGTCACCGGTGGTGTTGGCGGTACCGGAAATACCAATGAGGTTGACCAACTCAGCTCTTCTGATGTTGTGGGCAATGAACTTGAATGCAAACTGGAGCGAGTTCAAGAGGAGAGACAATTCGCCCGTGGCGTTGGGAGCGAACTTTTGCTGCTCCTCAAGAATAAAACGAGTCAAGGTGATGATGTCGGTTTCGACATTCATCTGCTGGGAGACGGTCTGGACCATGTTGCTAGCTTGTTGTGTGTGTGGAAAAGGAAAGGTGCAAAAACAAGTGTTTGGGGATCAAAGCACATGGGTTACCCCAGGTTCTTATAGAAACCCGGAGGTGCGTACGGAAAGGTTGCGGTAGCCTGCATGTAACCGGGTTTGGAGGCCGTGCTTCACCGGGGTGCTCGGCTCAAAGGCCCACTACTGAGACACTTGTCGCGTGGGATTTAGGTCCCACAGCGCCCGGGGTCCGGTGGTATATGTCCGCAACCAGCCTCGTCTAACATTATACGAAATGGGGGACTTCCTGATAAAACGGTGAGATTTTCAGTTGACTTTCAATGGCGATTAGTATGGCAATTTCACTCGCTTCGGGGTTAGGGTCCGGCCACGCTTCCATCGCATGATGACACTTGCGGCGCCGAGTCAGTGGAACAAACAAATGTTAATAAGGTTTGACTGACGCTTTTGCTGAAGCTTTTTAGTATTGGGGGCGCCCGTGGGGGAGTCATTTTTGTGGATTTGTCAGTGGGGCCCGATTTGCACGTGCTGGACGCGACAGGAATAACGGTTTTGTTAGTCAGGCTGGAAACTGCCTGGCCTGGCTGGTGTAGTATACTTTTGATGGCGCGGCTCTGGTTCGCTTACTCAGTCAAAGCCGCAAGCGATTGACCATTAATGAGTTTGTGGCTGTGGGGAAATTTGGATGATTTGTAATGAGTGGTCAGGCAGAAATTGTTGGAAATCTTTGGTGGTCCAAGTCTGTTTGGGTCATTGGTGGGCTCACTGGGTTGGCTCACTGTGGACTCACAGTTTGGTCCGAGGAAAAGTACAATATCCAAAGGAACATTCAGCAACAACTGAAGCTCCGGGAATTGCTCAATTGCGTTGCTTTCGAAAGCCCAAAACCCTATGTCACCGATACCCACGAATCACCCATTGTGGTCTATCTCTCTATCATCGGTTCCTGCCTTTATAATTTACAGCAGTTGCATCCATTACATTTCCAATCTCCACCAAAGTTGTCCCCTCAAAACCACATTCTGAAACACCCTTTACCCTTTGTGCCTCGGCGTTTGCCGTGCTGCCTCGAATTGCTATTGCTATCGCACTGCCTTGAACCAGCTTCTTCAACCCCACCACACCAATCTAAATCCTCTAGAAATGGTCTATTTTCACTTTTTTCTCTGTGCTGTGAGCTGCCGGGAAACCTCCGTCACAACGTTCACGTGGCGGTCTTCCTTCTTGTTTCCTACTGCTCTGGTCCATCCAGATGGACTCTCCAAGGATTGGTAGATTCTGACTTTTTCACCGGCTTTGTCCTTTTTCGCTTCTTCTAGCACTGCTGTGTACGCCGCATGGAGAAAAGCAGCAACTTCTTCGCCGTTGAACTCAACAAACTCTGGTTTAGTCACGGGTTTCTTATCAGTCGGTGTAGTGTTGATCTGTCCGCCGGGCGCAACTGCCTCTTTGGGAGCTGCTTTGGTATTGGAAGCGGCACGTGACTTTTCTTTGGTTCCTTCTTTTACAGAATCCTTTCGTTGTAGCTTGCTGGCCCAGTCAGACATGATCTGTGGTGGAATTGGTGGAGCCTTTAGTATGGGGAGCCGCGACATCCACCTCTTTTTTGTCAACGATCGCGACAATGTCGTCGCTACCTGATACCCGCCATCAAAAACCGTCCCAACTCGAGAATTTCTTCATTTAAACAACGTTTTTGAAATACATTATCAGTGAAAGCCGTGCATTTTCCAGTGCTTTTCCAATTGAGGGGGTATGGCGATATCTGTAGAAGGTCGTGCGGAGCTTATAAACTTAACTACAAAATGGCGACTTTCTTCGAATCGTCTCCAAAAGCTACCAAATTTGCCTAAAATAGAGCCAAAACCAAATATCACCTCACTTCTTCTCCCCGCCCCCCATTCCGTGCGCTTTCCATCACAATGGACGTTGACAACACGCTGAACGTGTGTTGGTCACGTGACCCAAATCCAACGACACGTCAACGACCGCACAAGATTTTCCAAAACCACCTCCACTTTCAAACCACATCATGAGTTTCCGTGTTTTGGATCTCGTCAAGCCGTTCGAGCCCCTCGTGCCCGAGGTCATCGCGCCCGAGAGAAAAGTCTCGTTCAACCAGAGAGTCATGTGGACCGGTGTCACCTTGTTGATTTTCCTCGTTATGAGTGAAATCCCACTTTACGGTATCAACTCGTCAGACGGTCTGGACCCGTTGATCTGGCTCAGAATGATGCTCGCGTCCAACCGAGGCACGCTTATGGAGCTTGGTGTCACTCCCATTGTCACTGCTTCCATGGTTTTCCAGTTGTTGCAGGGAACCAAGATGATCCATGTGGACATGAACAACAAGCAGGACAGAGAGCAGTTCCAGAATGCTCAGAAGCTTTTGGCCATCATGTTGGCATGTGGTCAGGCCACCGTGTACGTGTTGACCGGCATGTACGGTCCTCCTAAGAACTTGGGTATGGGCATTATCTTGTTGTTGATCTTGCAGTTGGTTTTCGCTGGTATCATCGTTATCTTGTTGGACGAGTTGTTGCAGAAGGGCTACGGTCTTGGTTCTGGTATCTCCTTGTTCACCGCCACCAACGTGTGTGAGAAGATCATGTGGAAGGCTTTTGCTCCTACCACCTCCTCTGCTGGTAAGGGTGCCGAGTTTGACGGTGCTGTGATTGCCCTCTTCCACCTCTTGGGCTCCAGATCCGACAAAAAGAGAGCTATCTTGGAGGCCTTCTACAGACAGAACTTGCCTAACATGCTCCAGGTCTTGGCCACCGTCTTCATGTTCTTGACTGTCGTGTACTTGCAGGGTTTCAGAGTCGAATTGCCTATCAAGAGCACCAGACAGAGAGGCCCATACGCCTTGTACCCTATCCGTTTGTTCTACACCTCCAACATGCCCATCATGTTGCAGCTGGCCTTGTCGCTGAACATCTTCATTGCCTCGCAGATTGTGTTCATGAGATGGCCAAACAACATGTTTGTCAAGCTCTTGGGCCAGTGGGGCCAGAAGGGTGGCTCTTCTCAGTTGTACGCTGTCAGCGGTTTGGCTTACTACATTCAGCCTCCTCTTTCCGTCACTGAGGCCATGTTGGACCCTATCAAGACCGTGATCTATGTCACCTACGTCTTGGGTGCTTGCGCTCTCTTCTCCACCACCTGGATTGAGATTTCCGGTACTGCTCCAAGAAATATTGCCAAGCAGTTCAAGGACCAGGGCTTGGTTATCGCTGGTCACAGAGACACCAGTGCCTACAGGGAGTTGAAGAAGATTATTCCTACCGCCGCTGCATTCGGTGGTGCTGCTATTGGTGCTTTGTCCGTTGCCAGTGATATGCTCGGCTGTTTGGAGAGTGGTACGTCCATCTTAATGAGTGTGACTACCATCTACGGCTACTACGAGTTGGCCGTCAAGGAGGGTGGTCTTTCAAAATCGGTCGTTAGCGGCTTCTCCGACGGCATCTAAGCTCAAACTACAGCGTATACATTATTATTAAAAATGCATTATCCATACGATAGGCTCCATGTAAAGAACAGTATCTTTCGATGGATGAAGGTGAGGCACATATGTAGGTTGTGCTTGCCTGGTTATGCTCCCGAGGATCCGAACTGGGCGGCCCATTTCTCGTATTCGCCTAGCCCCTCGCTCGAGACACTCGGTCTGATGTATTTCAAACTCTCAACGAAATCGGAGAGCTGGATAGGACGGATTTCTTCTGTGGGCGTGCTCAAAAGCTTATCGCCCAATGAACGAAGCGGACCCATGGCACTGTCTTTAGCAAGCAACGTGATATCACTTCCACTGAAGCTCTTTGTGAGGTCAACGAGTTTTTCAAAGTCCTCGTCCAGAAGCGTGTGTTTTTGATATTGCAAAAGCTTGAAAATTTGCAACTTCCTCGTTTCGTCTTCAGGAAGCGGAATGTACACACGTTTGGCGAATCTTCTTCTGGCAGCGTCATCAATGCCCCATGGCAAGTTTGTAGCACCCAAGATAAGCACTCGACTCACATCGCCAGCGCTGGAGTCCCTGCCTGCGGCAGCAGATGACAATTCGGACCATTGGACCAAAAACTCGTTCTTGATTCTTCTCATGCTCTCCACTTCGCCCTCTGTTCTCGTGCCGAGAAGCGAGTCAATTTCATCGATAAAGACGATTGAGGGACTCAATTTCCTGGCTAGAAGGAACAATGCCTTCACAAGCTTCTCACTCTCACCTAGATATTTAGATGTCAAAGAGGATGAGCTGATGGAGAAGAAGGTACTCTTCGATTCGGTTGCCACGGCTCTGGCAAGCATTGTCTTACCGGTACCAGGGGGCCAAATAGAAGCATACCTCTTGTAGGTTCTCGAAGGCCACGGAACAAGTCTGGACGCAAAAATGGATAGACCACCGCTTCCTTAAGTGAGTTCTTTGCACTTTCGAGACCTACGATATCGTCCCAATAAACCTCGTCACCTCTCACGACAATATCGTTCAAGATCTGGTTTGCGGCGACTTCGTCAATGCCTCTGATAGACTTGATCAAGGCTTCCTGCTCAGATGGGTTCATGCCATCTGTTTCCCCTCCATTAGCAAATTCATCATCGTCGTCGTAGCCACCGAGAATATCGTCCATTGTGGGAGACATGGGCAAGTCGTCTGTGGCAGCTTTGGCAGCTTGAGGCCGGGCTTTAGTAGCAGCTGCAGCCGCTGGTTTGGTGCCCGGTTTGGTCGCTGGAACGTATTTGTATGTAATGTTGGAGCTCTTCTGGCCTGGTCTGGCGACCTTGGCAGCAGTTTTCTGAGGAGGTGCTGAGCGGGTCTTTTGCAATGGTTTCGTCGTAGCGCTCTTGGCAGCTGCTGTCTTTGCCTGGGCCTGTTTGGCCTTGGAGCTGCTTGCAGCCATCATCTTCTTGACGTCGATACGAGCCGGCTGCTGGTAAACGTACTTTTTCGGTGGTGCCGCCACAGGCACGTCGGAGGTGGACTTGGAGTTGTGTGTGATTGCAGGCTTGTCTAGCGAGGCCAGTGGCCTAGGAGGAGATTCAGTGGGTACTGGGGGTGGTTTGACAGATACCTGTCTTGCTCTGGGAGGAGGCGGCGGTGGAGGCAGCTTTTTCAACGTCAAGTCGTTCACCAGCTTGCTGAGGCCGTCGTCGAAGAAATGGAGCTCATCGCCGTTCTCATCCTCCAAATCAATGAGGTTGCTTGTGTTGGAGTTGAACAGGCCATTTGACGTGGACGCCAGGTCGTGGGAGTTGAGCCGCTCCCAGTTGCCGTTGCCAGCGTACTCTGTCTGGTCAAAGTCGTCAAACATCACCTCTTCCAGCTTCGCAGGTTGTGGTTTGGCAGGCTTGCTCCACAGCTTCGCCACAGCCGCCTGGACAGTGTCTCTGTTTTTCTGCGAGAGCTTGTACGACGCCGGCTGCGGTCTGAGCGACTTCATCATCTGCCTCTGGTTGTTGCTGTTGAGTGATCGGCTGGACGGATTGCTGTTTCTTAGGGAAGGTATGGTCATCTTGTGGTTGGAGGAGCCGTGCAGCAGCTGGACCACAGGCTCAGTGGAGCGTTTGCGGCGGCGATTTTCTTCGTCTAGACGGAGCTGGATCCTGACCAAGTGCTTGACGTTCTCGTCTCTGATGGCCTTGAGCTCCAGAAGAATGGTCTGCTCGTCCATGCCGATTTTGGACGACTTTTCAAAAATGTCGACCTTGTAGAGCAACAGCGTGTGGAGCGACTTCCAGCCCTTGAGGGCGTCGGCCAAGTGGCCCGTTTCCTCCAAGTGGAGGTTCTTGACAGACAGGTTGCACACATCGTTGTAGGTTTGCTGAAGCTCCTCGAGAACCAGTAGCTGGGGCGGTTTCCTTCTCAGGAACATATGCAATGGATGGTAAAGGAGTGGGTTTTTGGAGGAATGCTGACAATGCTACGGATGGGTGGAATGTGGCCCAGGAGCTGGGGTGGTACAGATGGATAGCTATTTCTGGCGAGGAGGGTAGTGAATGTATGGAAGCAGGCTATGTGCCGGAGTTGTGTTCCAACGGTGGACCAGATGGTTGCTGGGAGGGAAGCAATGGGGAGTTTCTGGTGATTTGTAGAGGGGTGTCTGGGAGAAGGGTGGAGTCAAGGATATGCTTTTTCCTTTGCAACTGCTTTATGTTTTAAGTGTCGCCTGTCCGAACGCTGGAGGCACACGACAAGAAAACCAGCCGAGGCTGAGAGCAAGAGATGAGGTAGAGGTGTTCTTGGACGGATGTCGCCATGGCAAGGAATTGGTGGGATCAAAAAGAAGGCAGCCACGGCTGTGAGGCCAAAAGTGGCCCCATGTGGCGGGCCAACAGGTGCATGGAAGCACGTCGTACGACAGTCAGCCGTGCCATACATAAAATGTAGTGATATAACGGGATACACGGCGGTTTCCAACCCTCCGCATATTCTGTATAACCACGTTCTTCTGACCGGACAGTTTCAACTACAAGCACATTGCCCATGGCCAAGGAGCCCGCTTCCTCTCTGACAAGTGGGCCTATAGCGTGCCTCCCTAAGTGAATAGGCGAAACACAGGCGTCACGAGCTTCCAGCCGAAGCTGGGCGAGTGGAGGAGGACGCCGAGGTCTGGGCGTGCAACTAGCCGTAATTCTGCAAAAGCCCGGTGTCAACTTTCTGAAGAGCAAAAAAAAATGGGCGCGATGGCTGGTTATATAGGTAGGTGAGTGTAGGGCGGGTAACCCCAGGGCTGGGCAGAAGCTGGAGGTTGAACTTGATGTTGTTTTAGAGTGGCGGGTTAGGATGATTTTTGGTTTTTGTGGAGTTTGTGGATTTGAGTGTTTGGGGTATTTTTGGGTGGCTTAATGGGATTTTTGTGGTGTGATTGGCGGTGTGAATGCTATAGTACCGTTTTTGATGGAAGGAGGCTATTAGTGCTGTGGGACAAGGTGTCAGGGTCAGCTGTGTTTCAGAAAATCGTATAATCTTGCTTTTGGGCTGATTTTTGGGATTTCCGATTTTTGGGGGAATTCTTTTTTGACAGCTATTGTTGGATCTCGGCTAAGTACGCGAAAAGTCAGAAACCAAAATGGGTTGTGGATGAAAGAATGACGAGTTTTTTGACAATGGAGAACAATTATAAGAAAAGTAGAAGTTAGCAATCGATAAGCTTAAATATCTTGAAAGGAAAGCTGACCAAAGGTTCGGAATCACCGTGGTTTAGCGTGGTCAGACCGTGGAAAGCTACACATTCAATGGTTTTATCTCTGTCAAATGAGATAAATAATTAATTAAAGAGGCATGAACTGAATGAAGTGAAATACATCATTAAGCGAATGGGCCCTTTCAAGAACTCCGAGTAGTGCTATAGTGTACCATTGGAATGGCTGCAAACTATCAACACTTCGGTCCACCTACACCATCACCAAAGCCCATTCACAATGCCACATCCTTGAACCAACCCAACCCCTCTCCATCAAACTCCCTCTACCCTACATCGCCTTTCCAATTTTATTTATTTTTTTCTATTTTTTATACTTTTCAACCAATTTTTTTTTAAATTTTAAGTGTTCTTCCAAACACCAGCCTACTTCCGCTGTGTGTGCTCGCAGACCTCGATAAAGGCCTCCTTGAGCAGGAGAAGAAGCTCCTCCTGGCGGCAAAAGGCAATGCCCAAGTCGTTGTAGTGGCGGCTGAGCTGGCCCTTGGCTGAGCCCATGTTCAAGTTCTTGAAGAAAAACGCAGTCTCCAAAAACTCGTCACGGCCCAACTGCAACGAGAGCTTCTTGCGGGCCTCGGCATTCAAACACCGACAGTGTCTTCTCAAAAAACGGCTGTAGGCAGAGTTGATCTTCTTGATGAAACCCTCCATCTGCTTCAGCTCAGACTGGAAGATATCAAGCTTGGCCTTGTAGATCAGGGCAAGCGAGTCAATCAGCTGTCTGACGTCGTTTTCGGCGGCATCTAGAGCATAAATGCGCTGGCCAAATTCGAAAAGACGGCGCTTCTGGCTCAAGTTGATGTAGCCTTCATGGAGCTCCAGACTCATAAAGTCCAACTCGGCAGCCATACCGTGGCCCACAGCCAAGCAGCGGCTGATTTCGCTGCCAATGCTGAGAAATTGCTGGAAATAAGCAAGATACTCGTTCATCACCGGCTGGGTGAATGTGTTGGTGAGGAAACGGAAGGCCTCTCCAAACTGGCCCAAGGCTCTGCTGACATCCGCCTTGTAGTTTTGCGTGTCGACAGCAGGAAACTTGGTGTCCTTGAGCAAATAGTCAAGCTTGGCCTCGGCTTCAGCGTAGGTGAAGTACTCGTTGTACTCGGTGGAGGAAGTGTGCTGAAGAGGTTCCAGCTTGAGCTTTTGGGAAAGTATACTCTGGACCACCACAGGGCGTCTGGGTGCTGAAGTGCCGAGAGCAGCTGGAGCATCGTCTGAATCAAAAATGACAATTTCAGACGAGGCTTGAGCAAAGGATACCCGGCTAGAGACCCGGCTGTTTGCAGCCAAGGCCTTTGTGGAGTGCTGTCTCACGAACTCCAGTGTTCTGACAGTATACTCCACATAGCCGACGTCCGAAAGCGGTCTGGTCTTTCTGGAGGCCAAGGCGGTCAATTGGGAAAGATCGACCTTGAGGCCTGGTTCGGAGGTGACCACAAGAGAAGGTGTGGTTGAGTTCTGGTTTCTGAGAGGAACCAAGGCTCTGGAGGGGGCTGGCCGGGAAGCGGCTCTGGCCAAGTGGAAAGCCAAAATTTCATAGGTGGTTCTGGGGAAATTGGGCCAGATGGTGAGGCCAGTGGGCTTTCCGGTGATGAGGTTCTTGAAGACATCCAATGCGAGAAGTGTCTTGCTGGGTCTGGCGCCAGGAAGGCTCCGGGACCGGTACAAGGCGTTCAAGCACTTTTTCAAATTTTGGGAAACCTCAGAAACGTGGGTAGTTCCCAGAGTCACGCCGGAGGCTGGCTCAATGGGTATCTTGTCGTTTTGGGAAACTGCAGCACCGGGGCTGTGGGCAGAGTCCACGTAAAACTTCTCCAAGAGGCCGTCATTTGGATGAAGCGTAAGAGACACAAACTGGATGGCAGCAGGTTCTGTTCCAGCGTTTTGCAGCATTGGCATCTTCTCGTTTCTGGACATTCTGGAGTTTCTGCGTCTGGAACCCCAATGACGGGGCAGGGAGAAACGCAGAGACAAATAAAACTTTTGTGTGGTTGACTTAAAAGCATTTTTGATCTTCCTGAAGAAGGAAGGGTTTGGTAGAGGCTCCGAAGGGAGACCTCTCTCGCGGAGTCTGTGAGCAGTTTGCAACTTGTCGAAGAAGCTTGAGGAGGCTGCGTGGTGGCGAGAAAAAAGCATTGTGATGTGGTGGGATGGAGAAGAAAAAGGGTCTGGGGAGGGCCCGTATTTATGTTGTTCTGGCGATGTTGGAGTTGCCCATAGGCGTTAGCGGTTTGTGGAGGTCAATGGATGATGCGGTGGGTCAGGCGTGGTCATGAAAAATGGAAAGGAAGGTGGAAATGTAGGTTTTGTGATTTTTGGAAGGTGGAAATGGTGGAGGGTCGCTGGAGTTACCTTGTTGGTAGGAGTAGTCATGGATTATCACCATGGTGAGTTGGGGCGTCATCTGGAGGTATTTTATTTTTTTGCAAGAAGGCCAAGGAAGAATTGGGAGGCAGGGGGCACGCGGAGGAGAAGAAAGGGTTATTTTGATTTCCAGAGAAATTTAATTTTTGGTGGGTTTTTGGTACTAGTCGGGGTGGTAGTAATTATTTCGCAGCCATTGACGGAGTGGATCCAGAAGGATGTCACCACACAAGTTTTAAGAAAAATCTTGGAAGCTAGGCAGAACGGTGAATTAAGTATTTCAATTCAGCATTATTAATTTACCATCGGTTTTGTAGTCTATGTATCAGAGGTGAGTTGACAAGTGTAACTACATTGACGGAAACGCCATCTCGTGGGTTTATAGAGCAAGAAATTTTGCAGACTAACATGCTATTGGAGCTTGATATAGCCAACTTAGAAAACCATTGTGATTGAATCACTCAATAAAGTTATGTTTTTGGATACCAGTATCATCTTCACCGAAGGGTACCACTACACCAAAAATTTCTCAAGTCAGCGAATGTGCAAATGTAAGTCTGACTTGAGTTATTTCCTTATCGCTAAAACTGATTTCAAGAGAAATGAAAATGGCCTATGGAAAGTATGAACTTCACCGACCAGAACAATTACACCACACTGAGAGTCTTCAGGCTCATCATACACACATACCTTACACATCAACCAGCCAGAAAAGCAACACGATAACAAAACCTACACAACAAATCTCCCTCTTTTATTTTTCTCCAAATTACATAAATCTATGGTCTTCCGCCAAGGCCCACGTGACTATCACACGACCAGACCGACTACCCAGATAGGCAGTCTCCACATTTCAACTACTCCATCACCATGAGCTTGACCATTTACGATACGCTTGAATACGCTGGACTGCGGCTTCTCGACATAATAGCCTTTGTACTAAGCAACATCATCGTCGCCACCGGCTATGCATTTGTCAATTATCCAAACGTCTCCACCCTTGTGCTTTCGGTGTTGACATTGTACGTCTTGTACAAGATGATCCGAAGAATTGTGCGTTTTTGGTTGAACATGATGGTCGCCATGATAAAGTTCACCGTGATCGTGCTCTTTTTGACCGTCCTTGCTGCTGTGTACGTGCGTGGCTTCAACAGGTTCTTCACTAAGGATATCTACTTCCTTAAGGAACTTTTCACCAGCCAGGCCGAGGCGTCTGATTTCCTGTTCAAGCAGTATGCTTATAATTTGATGGACGACGACAGGTTTGAGTTTTTGCACGGCGCCAGGGACTTCTTCGAGGGAAGCAGCTTTCTGATTGACGATTCTTACGAATACGGCGAAACCTACGACCAGTTCAAAAACGTCCTCAACGACGCTATTGGCGAGGACGGCTTCCAGCAGCTCAACGCCCTCTTCAACAACCGCAACCACTAGACCCGGGGTTGCTCGGGCTGTTCTAAAATGTGTATATTTATTCGATGCATGGGTTCCCCAGGGAGTTTCTATTAATCATTTTTTTCAACGGCAGCGGGGGTCTCCGCCTCCTTGTCCTTCTTCTTTTCCGGCTGCTGGTCAAGACACTGAAGGCCCCTGTCCTTGACCAAACACAGTAGAATGAGACAAATGGCAAGCAAGGGTATCGTGAAGTAAAAGACGTTTCTGATCGACGCCATGTACATACTTCTGACGGTATCCTTCTGAGCTTCCGTGAGCCCGCTGAGGTCGGCCCTGCTATAAATATTGGCCTTCAAATTCATCAAAAACAGACGAGGCACATTCAGACTGCCGAGCTCCAGGTTGATCTCGTTGATCAACGAATTGGAAATAATCAAGGTAGCACAGGCAACACCCAAGGCACCTCCAAAAGCTCTCAAGACGTTTCTGGTGCCAATAACAACGGCTCTTTGCGCCATAGTCGCATTGGCCTGAACTGCAACCATGGTGGGCTGGAATATGAAACCCACACCGACACCCATGACTAAAAGAGTACCGATAATCATGCCGCTGCCGGTATTTTCCTTCCATGCTATCGTCATGCCGGCTCCCGTAAGCCAGAACAGGTATCCGCCAATCAAAACGTGGATCCAGTGGCCAGAATAAGAAATGATACTACCGGCGGTGATGGACATGGCAGCTTGCATGAGAACCAAGGGAAGCAAGTAGTATGCCGAGTGCAAGGCGTCCTGGCCCATGACCAACTGGAAGTAGTAGGAGACGATGAACAAGAAGCCAAAGTATGCAATGCCGTACAAGAAGGTGGACAAGAGCAAGACGCTCAAGGACCAGTTTTTGAAGATGTACACTGGGATCATGGGCAATTCGGGCACCTTCCACTCCACAATGAGGAACACAATGGAGCACACTCCTCCAACGACGAACATGGCAATCACCAAATCGCTATCCCAGGCGTAGGTAGAGCCTCCTCCACTGATGGGGATCAAAAGAAGCGTCAACCCAGCGGTAGCAAAAAAAATCCCCACATAGTCGATTTTCTTCCACTTCTCCCTCATGGAGAGCACCAGCTGGCCCTTTCTGTTGTCCTCGGTGACAAAGTACACAATGACAAGCACGACGAACATGATTGGGGGAAGCGTTCTGTAGAAGTTTCTCCAGGTGGAATGTTCCACATAAAGCGCCATAATGATAGGACCCACGGCATTTCCAATACCCACAGCACTTCCCATGATTCCTTGAAACTTGCCCCTCTGTTTGAGCGTCACGACATCACTCAAAATCACCATTCCCATGGACTGCGTTCCTCCCACGCCAATGCCTGCAAAAGCCCGAAATACGTAGTACTGGGGTCCCGTTTGCGCAAATCCACAGAGCATATTGGCCACAAGAAGCATCCCGAGGGAGCCCATGAGCATGTTCTTTCTACCGAAAATGTCCGCAAAACGACCAAACAAAACCTGGCACACGCAGTTGGCCAAAAGCGACGAAGTACCAGCCCAGTTGATGGAATTTTCCGCTCCTAGATCACTAGCTATCGCTGGAAGGGCAACTGTGGGACTGGTCTGGTCCAAAAAGCACACAAACAAACAGAAAGCATTCACTAGTAGGCAGATCACAAGTTTCTTTCTGGGTAGGAGGTTGACGTGAGAATTGCCGAGTCTGTCTTCGAGGTCTCTCTTAAGAGGCATCTTCTCAGAGGGTTCTTCACTGGAGCTCCTCTCGTGGTTTGTGGATTCATGATTTGGGGAATCCTTGATGTTTGACATTTTGCTTGACCAGCAAGCCACACAGGGAAAACAAGGAGTATATATATTTCGCTGGGTTGCGTTGATGGTGGAGTTCGGAGTATGCTCGGTGATGCGCACGGTATAGCCGAGGGGGGGGTTCCAGCTAAGGGGAGATAAAAGTGGGTGCACCGGGAGATTAAAGAGAAAACTAATATTATATTTGAGTTTATAGAGGCCGTCGGATCAAAACGGTATTTTTAAAATCTTCTAAATCACCGATTTGACGGATTCTTCAGGTGGGGCAGGGAAGTGCGAGCGTCGGCTCCGAAACGATCGCTCCATTGTAATGTGGGGCGGGAATCTAGTGCCCCTCTCCGAGAAGCCAATGAATGCCGTGCAAAATGAAAGCAGGTCATTGAAGAGATGTGACTCACGCCAGGTGGAATTGAAGAAAGGAAAAAAAAAAAGAATGTGAATTTTAAGTGAAAGGGTGGTATACTGTGGATGGTTGGTGAGGTGAGCTTGTAGGTGAAGGTGAGGAAGGTTCAAGGAAGAGCATGCAGAGGGCGTTGTCTGATCATAAATTCATTGATTTGAGAAACTTACAATATGGCTAGATTTTTGGCCTTAGAGAGTATGCTGTGGAATTTGAGAGTGTAAAGAACCTAGTGCCTAGAGCCTAGTTCTCGAAGATTGATAAGCCCTACCTTGATTTTATTTTAACTGATATCTCTTTACTAGAGTAAATACTACAGTTCTATAGAGTCGCCCTCCACTAAGATGTTAATATTCTCAATTTCACGAGACCCTCAGGTGAGTTTCCCGTACGTGTCGCCGTGTTTATCCACCCATAGGACATACCTGTCTTACAGCCCCTTCAGCTGTTGAGTAAACCTTTGGAAATGTGAATATCCAAAAAATGGCAAGTCCATTCGCCTCTTTCAAACGGGAGTGGGTATGAATGGAAAAATGGGCCCAAATGGGATTACAGATATATACGCTGTGCTTCTGGCAAAGATAAGCAGCACCTTGAGAGACGGGGGTGACTTTTCGATACACACGACAAAAGTACGATTGGAAAGATACACCTTAGATAATTGTTTCACTTCTTGAATTGTGAGTGATTACTCATTTGCACTTTATAGCCCATATCGATAACCCTGTAACATGCTTCCACTAGAATCGCAATTATATAAGGCCATAATCGTCACACCCAATTGATCCAAAAACCGTCTTTGAGAACTTTTCACTCTTAATTTTTAAGAAACCAAATTCTTCAATCAACTATATATGAAGATCGTGTAGAGGCCACTGGCTGATGCCTGACTATCTCAAACCATACTGAATGCGGAACACCGTATCTATACGAGTCTTTCGGGATTTCCGGAACGCCAACAAATCCACACCAATACCGTCATTTTTTACAATCAGGCCCCGCTATTCTATTAAAACCAATTCCCTTAAAATTACCACCAAACCACATCACCGCAATCAGCCTCACAGAACCATTTCGCAGCCATGTTTCAGATGCATCTAGCCGAGGTACAGCATTTAGATCCACCCAGTGGAGGCTCCATAAAAATTGACCAAATCCCTTGAAGCTCAGCAATCTATACTCTATACTAACCTCTTTAAACCAATTGAATTGAATCTCGCCAAAATTTCTACCTAATCTATCCCCTCTTCATTGCTCATCGCACATACCCACCTCTTCAAAACCCCACTGAACACATCCCAAACACCCCAATTGAGCCATATCCGTGCCGCTATTACCGTCAACCAACAATATCCTCCACCAAAACAAAATAGAAAACAATGGTGCCTTGGCAGCCACGTTGAATCACGTGCGCACATCAGCACTATGTGTATAGCATCTTCAGCCTCAAGCAACAAGAAGTCTTCTTTCAGCAATGGTCAAAGACACACAGTACTACGACATTTTGGGCGTCGAGGTGACCGCCACAGAGGTGGAATTGAAGAAGGCATACAGGAAGCAGGCCATCAAGCTCCATCCTGACAAGAATGGCAATGATCCTGAAGCAGCAGCCAAGTTTCAAGAATTGGGCGAAGCGTATGGCATTTTGCAGAATCCTGACCTGAGAGCTGCTTATGACGAATTGGGTGTGGAAGGCATGAAGGAGACCAAGGCGGGAGCCGAGGCTGCCGACATTGATCCTGCTGAGTTTTTCAAGATGATCTTTGGAGGCGACAGTTTCAAGGACTGGATTGGCGAATTGTCGATGTTGAACGACATGGCCAAAACAGCCGACATTATGGGCGAAGGCGAGGAGGAGACCGAAGAGACCGAGAAGCAGGCCGAGGAAGCAGGCCAGAAAATGCAAGATTTGTCTGTGAATGAGAAACAGCTGGATCTGGCTGTGGGTGCTCATACTGGCGAGGGACGCTACACCGAGTTGAACAACGAGATAGAGCAGAAGAAGAAGCACAAGGCCAAGCTCAGAAAGGAGCAGCGTGAGAAGCTCGAGCAGTTCTACAAGGAGTCGCAGGAAGCCAAGGAGAAGCGTGTTTCCGAGTTGTCCGAGAACTTGTTGAACAGAATCGAGAAGTACAGGGTGGCTGCTGGAAACGAGGACGCCTTGAGGCAGTACACGTCCAAGCTTCGAGAAGAGCTCGAGGACTTGAAGGTGGAGTCCTTCGGTATCCAGCTTTTGCACTTGATCGGTAAGACCTACACCGCCCAGGCCAAGGCCACGATCTCTGCTTCTAAAACGTTTGGCATCACCAAGATCTACACGTCCATGAAGACCAAGACCAACCGAATGAAGTCTGGTTTCTCGATCATTAAGACTGCTCTCGACGCTCAGGCTTCTGCCGAGGAAATGGTCCAGGAACAGGCCAAGTTGGAACAGGCAGGCGTCGAGCTCACAGACGAGGACAAGTACAAGCGTATGGAGCAGGAGAGAATCATGACCGGCAAGTTCTTGAAGACAGCATGGGCTTCTACGAAGTTTGAGCTCACGGGCGTTTTGAACAAGGTCTCCCACCGTGTTTTGAACGACAAGAGCCTCCCCAAGAAGGAGCGTGTGGCACGTGCCGAGGCCGTGCTTTTCATTGCCAAACAGATGTTGCAGACGGAGAGAACTCCCGAGGAGGACGAGGAGGCCCAGATTTTCGAGGAGATGATGGCCGACGCCTCCGCCAAGAAGTCACGTGGCCAGCACGCCAACATGAGTGAGAGAGACTTTGAGCAGTACTTCCAGCACTACGACCCGGAGGAGGAGCTGCCTGAGAAGAAGTAAGCTCTTTGAGAAGTTTTAAATGGCTGCGCAATTAGTAGAAGCAAGCGGTCTGGCCTGCATACAGCGCGCGCTCAGTCTTTCGCAGGCCAAATGTGAGAAAGACTTTATCGCTGACTAACTTGATTCTCCTCAACTAGACTTACGAATCATGGCGCCAAATTCAAGACAAGTACTTGGCCTCTACAAGAAGATGCTAGAGAAGGCGTACAAGTTCGACAACTACAACTTCAGAGAACACGCCAAGCGCAGAATCCACGACTCGTTCAAGGCGAACAAGAACGTGACCAAGGAAGAGGAGATTACCTCCTTCTACAACGAGGCGATCAACGAGTTGGCCATGTTGGAGAGACAGTCGACGATCTCGCAGATGTTCACGTTGGACAAGCTCGTTGTTGAGCCTTTGAAGAAGCACCACTGAGCCGGTAGCATAAACTGAGCCGGAGTGCTGGCGACTTGTACAAAGATAATGGGACGATTACACGAATCTAGCGCTGCCATCGCAGAAACGACGACACGGAGTTAATAAACACTTGGTTGATATACACTGGTTTGATGACTTACTGTAGACCCTACTAACCCTGACCCTACTAACCCCGGGGCATGTCCCACGCTTCCCTGAGCTTGGCCCCTGCTTCAGCATACTCCTGGACTTCCGCCTCGGTGATTTCCGGAAACTCCCTTCCCACGGGCTCCTGCCCTTTCAACGCTCCCAAAGCCGTGAGAGTTCTCATATACTCAAGAGCATCAGAGGCTCCGATTGTGTGGTATGCTCTGCGTTCTCCTTTCTCCTGGAGCCGTTTTTCCGCCCACAAAAGCTGTTGTTTTCTTTCAGGCAAGCTGACTCTGCTGGCAAGGTACCGGGCGGCCAAAATAGCCTGGTACTCGAAAGCCCGGAACGAAATGGCGTCGGTGGGTACACCCAAAATGACCAAAAGCGGCTCGTTGATGAAAAAAGTGTGCTGGTACAATGAGGGCAAAACCAAGCCGTTGCGGGCAATGTCGCCGTACTCCCGCCGGAGGAAGGGAAACAGGAACTGGTACCCTGTGGCGTAGACGATGTGGTCTGGGTTTTGCACCTCGGAGCCGTCCTCGAAAACCACGGCAAAACCGCCGTCCTTGAGCTCAATTCCACGGATTCCCGGCTTGATCTCCACATTGGGCCGCCTCGTCTTGCGCTGCTGCAACGTTACTTCTCGAATCAGCTGGTACACCTTGGAAGCGGTGTCTGCAGCGTATTTCGTCAAGTCGGCACCCAGCGCTCTGGCACCCACCACCACGACCGTTTTGTCTTTATAAGGCGCCAGGTTACGGTAGTATTTGGCGTGCTGGACGACGCTGGGCCACTGTTCTTGCACTTTTTCAAGACCCGGTGTGGCTGGAATAAACGGTACATGGTAGTGCCCCGTGGCGACCACCACAGCATCGAATTTCTCCTGGTACCACTCCTCGGTGCTGTCCTGGAGCAGATGGCGCAAGGTGAGCAAAAACTCGTACGGGATCTGCTTGTCTTGGTTCAAAACTCGTTGCACATCCTCCACTGCGGTATTGGTGACGAGTTTGACGGTGGAATTCTGCAGATGGCGGCCGATGTACCGGTCGATATAGTTTCTGACGTCGCCCCGGTCCGCATACTTCTTCTGTTGGCCCGGCAACCACGCCTTTTCGTCGCTGTACGTCATCATGTTCTCGATGATGTTGGTGAGCATGCCGTTGTAGCAGGGCGTGTGGACAAAACGCTCCTGGTTTTCGGAAAAACGGCGTATTTTGGCACTCCCGAGTGGCTCCTCGTTGAAAGGATTCTGCAACGGTGGATCAAGCACCTCTGCCAGAGCTCCAGCCTTGATTAGCTCATGGGCTGCATTGGGACTTTCGTCAAGCACCCAGATACCGCCGTACGTGTCTCTTCTTTCGAAAAGCACGATCTCGTCAAACTTCCGTTCCTTGACCAAAGTGTCCAAGGCTATAGCGCCCGAAGCTCCTCCGCCAATGATGGCGATTCTTTTGATCTGACCGTCAGATACCGCTACTGGAGTATGCAAGTCCTGGAGAAAATCCGGCACTACGGTCGAGGGCATGAGAAACGGATGTTATGAAAATTTTCATGCATTGGCGTCGCTTATCTATATATCTTCGTTTGTGTAATAATGAGGTGATCCGGGGGCCGAACTGTGGTTCGCAGCCACACATGCTCATCTAAGTGCATAATAATACGTCAAAGCCGGGGTGCAGCGTGCATGCATCTAAAGAGAGGTCGAATAGACGAGGCGTTCAATGGGCATTGAATCAATGAGATCGAATGTCTTTTTTGAATAAATATTGTCTAGAGCCGCCGGTAGAAGTCGGTGATGTTGTGGCTCTGGCGGAGCTGCCGTCCACGGAGCTTGAGGTAGAGAAGCATGAGCCCACACACAGAGATCACCCCGGCGATGATGGAGAACAAAACGCCTGATCCGAGAGCTTCGGTGAGAGGTACAGTGACAAACGTCGCTATGGCAGCGAGAACCTGACGCACCAAGTTGTTGAGAGCGACGCCCGTGGCTCCTTTGCCTGGAAGCACGTCCACAACATACGTGAAGGTGACACCCACCAAAAGCATATAGGAGAAGCCGAAAAGCGCCGTTCCCACAAGCGGCGTCACCCAGTGCTCTCCGTAGTGGATACACCAGCCGAAAATGAGACACGAGATCGGATAGCCGATGACGCCGATAACGCAGTTCCACGAGATCCTGGCTTCTCCAGCTAGGTCTCCATCGTGCATCGCTGCGTACCGCTTGAGCCGCTTATCGTGCCATTTGCCGCCAAAAATCGACGCTATCACGTACGTCACCGACATCGGAATGTACATGAGACCCACCACCACCAGGCTATAGTTGTACGGGTCTCTGCTGTAACCGTACGTCAAGGAGGCATTGAAAAAGTACATGCCGCCGAAAAGAATGGACGAGTACATGATCGACAAGAGTGCCGGTGGGTAGCCCAAAAGGACCACTGAATGAAGCGGCCGGATCAAGTAGTCGTAGAGCTGTGTGGACCAGCTGGTGTGGCTTTCCACCAAGGAAGCCTGTTTGGCTAGTTGCTGGAGCCGTGCAGAGTGCTCCGAGTTGTTTGTGAGGTACCTTTCCGGCGCTATGGAAACGTCAGCGCCAGACATCAGGTGGATCGAGCGTTCCCGGGTCAAAACGGCACCTATAGCGGCTGGATCCTTCTCGTTCTTGCCCTCGAGCTGCTCCTGGAGCCGCTGCATGACGAGAGTCATGTTGTCGTCCTTGCGGAGCGTTTCTGGCAAGAGGAAAACCACCAAAACGAGAATAAGGCCACAGGCGATGACCATAACCCACATGGTGGCTCTCCAGCCCCAGGCCTCCGAAACGGCACCGCCGATAACCGGCGCCAAAAAGATCGAAACGAGGTTGCCGAGGTAAAAAAGCCCTAGCGCAAAACCTCGTTCTTCCTGGACGTACAAATCGGCCACTGTTGCAGCACCACAAGCCTGAACGGAGGAAGCACCGGCTCCCGACAAGAAACGAAGCGCTATAAGCACGCCAATGGACGGCGCTAAAGCAGCACCGATGCAAAAGGCCAAAAACCACGTGAACGAGATGATGTAGATGGTCCTTCGGCCGTGTCGTTCCGAGAAGTTCAGCCACCAGAGCGGGAAGATGCCCAACGACAAAATGTACGTTCCCACAGAGATATTCACCACGCTTTCAGATGTGTTTAAGCTCCGGGCCACGTCGGGCGACGCCGGATACAATATCGACGTGCCCATGGGCCCCAGAAAGCACGCAAGCACCACAATGAAAAGAAGCACGTATTTGGTGCCACGGCCATAACAACGGGCATCTTCAATCTCCGCTATAAGCGTAATGTGGGCCAAAAGCCCCCGGCGGGCGCCACTAGCGACCTTTTCGTTCCCCGAGGCTCACCATCGCTGGCTCCACATTTGGCCTGTTCAAGGTCGTCCAGGTCCCGCTGGAGAGCTCTTGCCGCATGCTCCAGGCGAAGCGAGGCCAGGTCGAGCGACGGCTCAGAGGCAGAAATCAGCACAGGCATGTTTTGTGTGGTTGTTCATGGGCAGCAGGAGCATGGAGGAGGAGAAGCGTTTAAGTCATCAAGTCACGATACCTGCTCGACCAGCCCGAGCGAAGGGAGGGCGCAAAAAAAGCCCGGGATATACGCTGCGAATTGGCATGCGTTATTTTTTTCGCTTTGACGTATGGCGTGGGGAGGCGTGGCGGGACGTTGAGTGACGTTGAGGGACGTTTTCGGACTTCTGGCGGGTTCTCCGTATGGCCCGGGGAATCCCGGAAGGTGGGGTCGCATAGTGGATCCGGTTAAAAGTTTGATAATGAATTTGAATTTAGACGTTGTTTTTGCATTGGGCTTGGATTACGGCTTGCTGGATTTTAGTGAAACGGTTTTTGTGTTGCTTTGATGGTGGCATTTGCGCTGCTGTGCTGGATGTATGAATGTGGCTCAGAAACGGTCCCTGCGTCAGGGGGCATGATCGACGAGGCAGCGAGACAGCTTTGCTGCTACGAGCTGCCGAGATAATGCCAAAACGGAATTGCTTCCGAAGGCATCCATGTAGGTTTTGCCGAGCTAGTGCAAAAAAGCAATTGCTGCAGAAAGCCAACGTGCGTTTTTTAAATTTCTAAGGCTAGTGCAAGGAAGGAATGGCTGCAGAAAGCCAAAGTGAGCGTTTTTTTGACTACACTCGCGGGGAAATTTCTAAGGCTAGTGAAAAAAAGGAATTCCTTCAGAAAGCATCAATGTAGGATTTGACGAGCTGCAAAAGAGAAACGACCATTTGTACGGAAGCTCAGAGCCCCACGGTGGTCCACCTTCTGGCGCAAATTATATTCAATTTCGAGGCAGCGAGGCAGCTTTGCTGCTACGAGCTGCCGAGCTAGTGAAACAAAGGAGTCGTTTTGATAAGCGTTAATATAGGTATAGAATCAGAGAAGCAATGATGTGGCGTTGTAGAACTATTTAAACTCATTTATTCCAAGTCTTATCGAACTAAGTGACAGGGCATACAGGGGAAGACGTAATTTCTTAATCGACGCTGTGGAGTCTTATGACGAGACCAATGAAAGAGACCACCTGCGGATCCTAGGCTATCTGGCTTTCCACGAGCAGATTTACCTTCGGAATGAAATTAACCGTTGTTTTTGCTCCTTTTCATGAAACTACGTAATTTGTCGTTTGCGCCCTTGCTTTAGAAAACGCATTCTCTTCAATTGCGTCTTGGTGACAGGTCGATCATGGTCGAGCGGAAGCGAGTCTGGAAGCCAGACAGACCAGTGGTTCGAATTGACGGTGTTTTCATTGGCCTGATGAATATCAGGGGAAAAACACGGTTTATTGTATCATGGTGAGGGATTGTGAGTCGTGACATTACCTTGGGCTGGTAGTGCCATCAAAAGTCGATAGTGTAAAAAAATGGAAAAAAAGGGAATCTTTCAACTAGAAGCTCTCTGTTGCAATGGAAGTATGATTGAAGAAAGACGAGATTGCAGACACAGGGAAGTTGAAGTTAGATTAGCTATCGTAGTTAATAGGTATAGTAAGAAGACCGCAGGAAGCGAGGCGATGTCAGCTAAAGTCTGATAGTGGAATAAGAGGCGAGGTTTTAGGCCCTACTCGGGGACTTCAGAAGAAAACTTGACATTTGCAGAAATCGTACTGTTGATGGTTGTGCCACTATCGTGTGAGCATGATTGTAAGTACCAGATAAAACAGCAGCGTTAAGAACATAATAGACGCAAGATGGAATATCGAGCTCTAAAAATAAGCGATTCTTTTTATCAATTCCCAGAATTAGCCCAGAAGGGTTGCCTGGACTGGCCTTTGCGAACGGAAACACTACTCCACAACCCACTCATGTTTCATGGATCTACACAAAATTGTCAATACTGTTCATTTATACGCTATATTCTGCAAACCTATAGCCAGAACAAAACCACACTCAAGGAAAGTGTCGAGATCAACAATGCCTGGACCAGGCTGACTCCATTTCCTGAAGCTGCATATCCAAGCTTTGCCTTCTCAAAAGATTGATTTCTTGAACATTGAAAAAGCTGGTTTACAGCATTTCCAGTCGACTTCAAATATTCTACATAAGATGACGATCCACAGTACGAGGCTTGTAATTCAGACAAAGAGGATGCATCGACATGATGAATTTTGGGTAAGTCTGGAAAAATCCAATGAATCCTTGAGTCTTATATAAATGGATCCTTCCGACATCCGGGCATCTTGGCTGCAAGAATTTCAACATAATAGGCCAAACATTGTCCTGTGAATTCCTGGATAGTTGCATAACCCCAGGACTTGGTTCCGGGTTGGAGAAGCCAGCATACTTTCTACTAACGTTTATGCCTTTTGGAATCTGTGCAAAGCTCCACCTTCAAGGGTTTCGCCAAGCCATGAAAGGGCTCTTACGCATAAATGTATCAATTTCGTGCTGTTCGAGGTTTCCGCTTGCTCAGTTGGAGAAGTAGAACAAAATCAAAGTTTTCTGATACTGAAGAGGTTTATGTATTATCATTTTGTAGTGGGATTTGAAAATAACAAGTTTTTCTTTGTGTTAGGAGCCCAAGTCACAAGGTGATGTCCATTGATGACCGGAATCGACCGTATTCAGTTAGTATCAATCAAAAAATTGGGAAGAAAAGAAGACTGTTCAATTGAGCGACAAGGTTATAGATTCTTTGCTCATATAGTGTAATCGTATGAATTTGATGGTTCTTTTCAGATCTATGCGATAGTCTGACCCCAGATTTTAGAGTCGTGCGTCATAGACGGATACTGTGATCCATCTCTTTGATGAAGAGAAGAATAGCAGCAGATCAGGTGAGATTTGGTGTTTCTTTTTGTGAATGGCGTTTTTGATAGTTGAAGGAAGTTGCCATGCTGAATCAGTAGCAGCTCCAAAAGGGGATTGAAGTATGCAATTTCTTTTGGCCTTCCTAAGAGTAACTGACTGTAGTTAAGCAGAATAATAGAAATAAAGAATGTTGATGTCAAGGTACTCCTTACAAATCATAGCCATGTCTAGTATCCGCATATACCATCTGCGTTTATGGCACACGAGGACACACAGATAATGGCACACGACGATATAAAAAAAAAAAAAAAAAAAACTTCAGCAAGACAGTCAGAAATTGACAGTTTCCAAGAAAATCACCTTAAAAGCCCTGGATTTCTTAAAACGTGATTACTTCTCGGAGATGCGATGTGCCCCACACTTTATTATGGCATGTGTACCATCGGGTTTTGCCCCTTTGGGGGGCTAGCGGGTTGCTGGTTCGATAGTAGACTTTGAAGCATTCGGTCTCATCGCCTATTTGAGAGGACTTGCTTAGATGGCTCAGCAGTCCTAGAAATGAATTAAAAAATTACAGTACTATTAACACTGAAACTATGGGGGCTTCAATTGTACTTGAAATCCCGCCAGTCTTTTCACAGGCTGCTTCAGGACTGGAGAAGAGGAAAGCGATTTAACGAAATGGCCTTGAATTCTCATCCACTCCCCCATTATTACCTCCTTACCCATTTCTCGATATGCACAAATTAGCGATAGCCACCCACCAGTTCCCTCCACAAACCAACCATAAAACAAAGAAAAAACATGCCCACCCAAAATCACCACAATTCCACTCCAACAATATAGTAGAGAATAAGTAGAAAATTGTATAGAGTTTTCAGAAATAGTTGTATATATTATTAGGAAAAGGATCAGTATAATGGATTATTTATGAGGCTTTTTAGTATAACAATCTATTCCTTTAATAGATAGACTAATCAACGTAAAAACATTGAATCCATTCCATACTTTTTATTATTCATAGATAAATCAAGTTTTGCCCGGCCACCACTCTCGGAAACACCCCACGTGCAGAATATACGCCCTACATCTCATGCATGCACTAATGTGTCATCTCTCGCTTACGAACCTCATCTGTCAATTTTCCACTACACAATGGTCTACCATCCCGATTTGGATCTCCACAAACCCTTGGACAGAGAGGTTCCAGCGACCATTCGCCGCAGCCCGTTGCGTCCTCGTTTGGCCCTAGCCGCCTTGACGTTACATGGAGACTTCTACAGACAGCTCCAATCGAAGACCAATGCCCGAATTTTCTGGCACCCAGCCACCCAAATCTTCATGATTCTGGTGCTTACCGCCACCGTGGTGTACCAGTTCCACGACTTGTGGGCCGTGCTGGACACGTGGGCCGAGTTTGGCGATCTCGTGTTGCACAACAAGTACTTGGTTACGGCGGTGTTCCCATCGCTCATTTTTGTTGCTGGAACGGTGGGGCTCACGAGCTTTCTTCTTACAGACGAGATCAGGGAGATCAGTGACAAGTTGGGCGGCGACGCGTACCAGCAGCGGCTTTTTCTGTTTCCGTTGAAGGTGTACGCCAACTCGTCACCCAAGGACTTGGAAAACAAGGCCAGCGCCGAGTTTTTGGAATCGGCCTCGGCGTCCACGGAGCTCATAGAATACAGAGAGTCGCCCATTGCCGTCGTCACGGTGGTGCCACTTTCTGAAAAATCTACTAAAGACACCTTCTACGCTCACATCACCGGTTTCCACGTCAGGAAAGCGTACAAGGAGGCCGGCTTGCAGAACGATCTTTTGGACATTGCTGTGGAGAAGGCACGGGCCTTGGCGGCGGCCTACATCAAGAAAAACAAGCTTAAAAAGAAGGCTCCTCGGACGGTGCTTCTATGTGACGCATACTCTGTGGACGAGCTCAACCGGCCTGTTCTCGAGAAAAAGGGCTTTGAGCTTAAGCTGGCTACGACACAGCTTGACCCGTTTGCCGAGGGCGAGGTCAAGGGAGAGAAGTTCTTGAGTTTGATTCCAGATAGTGTGGTGAAGAGGTTTTTCGGCGTATACAGACAGACGTACGAGCTTGAGCTTGATAATGAGGGACCCGTGGAGGCCAGCGGTGCCGAGGTGTCCAGCTCGACGGTCAAGTCGAGGAAAGGGTAGCCCCAGTTTGAGAGACCACTTATCAGACCACTAATTAGGGAACTTAAACAACGAAGCGGTACTGAATAAACCGATAAGTAAATCGTTAATTGAAAAAGCGGCTCTAACTAGCTGTTTATTACTAAAAGCCAAGCCGTTTATCGAATAGTTTATAAACAAGCCAAGTGAACCGTTTAACCAACTGCTAAGCCAGTCAGCTGTATACTGAGCGGACTGCTCATTGAACAAGCCGGTTGATGTAACCACCTGTTGGGAACCGCTTAATAACAGATCGCTTATCGATAAACGGCAGAGATCCGCAAATCTAGCAAACCACAAATCAATAGATCACTGATTCTGATAAACTTCAATAATCTAGCAAACCGTATATCAACAAATCACTGATCTAGCAAACAGAGAATTCACAAATCACTGGTCTAGTGAACAGAACAAATGACCGACAACAAACGGCTCAATCACTCCACCCAACCGCTAATCTAACAAACCCGTTGCCTTGGAGCGGCGTGTTTGCTTCCGAGTACGATACACATTGTACCCAATGTAGGAGAACACACCAAGGAAGAAAGCAACAAACGCCCACTTCATGATGGTGAGCGACATGCGGCCAATCCGAACCATAAGCGTGGCATCCGGATCGCCGTACTTTTCCTGTCGAAGCCTGCGCTCCTTTTCCTTGATTCTGCGCTCGGCAGACTTGAGTCTTCTCATGGATTTTCTGGCGTTTCTTACCTTTCTGTTTTTGGTAGTTTTATCGCTCACCTCCTGCTGCGTCTCGATCATGTTCTGGAAGTCCTTGATGGACGCCACAAAGTCGTTGGACTCGGGGTGGTACAATGCAAACACCTTGTTTTCAATGATATCAACAGAATGGGAAAGCTCACCTGTTTCGGCACTGAAACCGAGGTATTTCACCACGGGAAGCTTGACGTCCGAAACGGTGAAGCAGTTCCGCCATTTCTTGTCGTTATCCGGCTCGTAGTTCAAATCCAACGACAAGTAGCCGTCCTTCAAGTACACGATTCTCATACGAACACTGCCAGACTCCGGATTGACGGCTTTTCTGGCCCGGCAGGACGCCAACATGGTATCGAAGCCGTCGGCCATTTTCGAGTATTCCGTACGTCCGTCGCCCACCATCGCCACAATGTGTGGGAACAGATTCTGCTTGCCGTTTCGGTACGTGTCAACAAAAATGCCCAATCCCGTGAAGTAGTTCTTAGCGCCAAACACATCGCCCAAGGGAGAAGCCTCATCCAAGAACCACACCGCCATTCCGTCCGCATACAAGTTCCTTGTGTTCTTGCTCTGAATGTGAAACGTGAGCTCCATCTCAAAGGACTGCGCCTGGATGGGCATTTTGGTGAACATGTTGGCCACCTGCTGCTGAGAATCCGAAACCAAACGCACCAGGTCCTCTTTGATCTGGTAGTTTCCAGCCAAGTTCCAATTGGGCGACCGGAGCGTCTCGGCATCGATGTACGGCCGCCAGAGCCCCTGTTCACGAAGCTCCACCTTGCGGACGTGCACTAGCGAAGCCTGTTTATCCTGAAACATGTCGTTGATCTGTTCTGGAGTATACGAGTCCAGCGGTCTGTGGAAGGCTCTGACGATCAAGAAAATGAGCGCTAGGCCGAGCGCCGGGAGCCAGAGCTTGGAGCGCACGTTGAGTTGGCCCATTGGAGGTTTTTGTGTGGGTTTTTCGGGGTGGGTGGTTTTTTGGATGTGGTAGTAGGTCAAAAAGATGATGGCTGCGAAACCTACAGGGTCCGGTGGGAGTGGAAGCGATGTGGAGGGCAGTTTGTGGAGGTGGAGTGGTGTACCAGGAGAAGAGATTAAAGGTTGTTTCTTTGTTTTCTTTCTCTTTATTCCTTTGGCGGCTTCGTGATTTTGGTACTTGGATTGGGACTTGTGGGTCAGTATGGTGCCGAGGAAAGGTCTCGCATGAAGATACAGACAATGAGGAGACGGTGAAGATTTTCGCCAAGCTGCAGTGGCGGGCAGGTTGTTTGGTTTTGGGTTTTGGTATTGGGTTTTGGAGGAATTGTCAGTGAAGTCGGCATCAATAAACATTGTCACTACCAATCGCATATCATCGTTGACGTGATTCGAACCTCTAGGCTTGACAATCCTGGACAATCCGGGATCTCCTGATTAAGTCTTTCTTATGTCCTAAACATATATCGTTAGAGTGAGCCGCGAATTCAATTTCACTGTGGGATAGTACAACTCACCAAGCTTGAGATCAGTTCCTTTCGCCCAACTTTGTCTATGGGAATTTGTAGCTCCGTTGATATCAAACGGTGATAGTCTCTCAAACCCTAGTGGACCTTGTCCAAGTGAAGGCTCGCTCATAAACAATCATATATCGGGTCCAGATTTCCCTTATTTTCGAGATCCCCAATTCATCAGCTCAAGAAATGACTTGTGAGTGCCCTCTTGACAGATTCACATCTACCCAGGTATCGCTTGGATAACAAACGAATCACTCTCGCTAAGATTAGTAGTCTCTGTTCTCTTCTGTGACTCAGGGGTTGGTCTTGGAGAATCACCCTTTGACCTACAATAACAGCTTGTGGCTGCTAGTGCAGAATAGATAGAAGATGGAACCTCAATCAAATCTGATGCACTAGACGCTCAGCTGAGTGTACTCTCTCAAGAGATCACCCGGTCCGCCAGACTTAATTATATAAATGCAGTTTTCGCCTAATATGTTTTCTATCTCATAGAAAGCTTGGTTACTTCTAGAACCTAATTGTGGGTGGAATCGTGTGGCGGTTTTACATGTTGATGGGACATGATCGATGAAGAGTCAATGTTGGGTGGATGGAGGAGGGGGTCTTTCTAGTTGTGTAGATGGTATATCATGAACGGTCAAGAGAATTATATATTGAATGTTGTTAGTAGTCGATAAAGTTCTGGGAGATTGAATTGTCGATTTGCATGGGCTCGTTTGCACCCATTAGAAGTCGATTGCTTGTACTTCGAGAGCTACTTAGTCGGATTCCATTAGCCTTTAGAGAGCTATCAGAAGGCTGAATATTCATCGGTGAATTATATTAAAAGGGAGTCAGGCTATTTGAAGGGCTTCAGGCTGTGTTTCGTTCGAACATAGGTAGACAAGGGAATCTACAGACCCTAGACAGGCTATGTTCCGCCACGCTTTGACTAAATATGCTCTGAAGATGAACGTTCATTTTTTTCAAAAGTTCCCACTTCCACTCTTATTCACCGACTAGGTGTGACATTCACGTATCAGTTGTTGGTTGTGGTAGATCGGTAAGATAAGACTGTCATTTTAGCGGTCTAAAAACTACCTTTTTGATGATGTTTTTGATAACAAGCTGAATAGAGTCTTTCAGAGTATGAACTTAGTCAATTCTGATCCAAAGACGTTGGACCTAGAGTGCACCTGAAACTATGGTATCACCCCAGAATTGGTTTCATATTGCCCACGAGATCATTATCCATTCAACAAGGGCCACAAACCCCGCTAGATCATATCTTCAAAAATCCCCCTTCCCTTATCTCTAAATCATCCATCCAGCACAACCACCCCAACTCCATCTTACACTGAGCCTCCAGCCCGTTTCCTGCAATATTCCTTACTATTTACAATCCTCCAAAGAAACAGCCTTCATCGTTCACCATGCAACAAACATCAAAACCCACTTACTTACCGTACCAAACGGTTCTTATGGCATCACCCCAGGTCTCCTTCTTCTCTCCCTTGATCTCAGAGAGAATACGGTCGTAGTAGCGTGGATTACCCTTGGGCTTCAAAAGCTTATCGTCAAGCTTGTACAAGTTCTTGTACTTGTCGTTGACCAAGTCCCGGAGCGAAACATACTGCAACTTCAAGTCTTGTTCGGAGATTTTGGCGATTTTTTCAGGATTCAGAAAACGCTCGATCTGCACGTCCTTGAAGGAGGCGTAGTGGTTGATTCTGTCCTTGGGGAGCGTCCTTAGAAGCGAGAGGATCTTATCGGTGATTTCTTTTTTGGCCAGCATTTGGAGTAGTAGGATGTTTTATCAGTGCATCGATGGGCATAAATGCCAGAAGTGCACCCGTACACCAGATGGTAGGAGGTAGGTGGAATCCACATTTTGGGCCATTAAGAGGGGGGATTAGGTGATTGAAGGTTAAAGATAGATTTAGAGCAAACTGGTACACAACGTAGTGGTGGGCCTTTACTTAGTCTGTTGCAATTTGGTCGAGTTGCTAGCAAAAGTGTATGATTTGGATAGCGCACTATGAAGAATACTGACCGACTTTCTGCTTCCATAGATAGCGATGACAGAGCTCTTTAGCTATTTTAAAAGCTGTGCCGTATCATCCAATTACACTTTTTGTTCATTTCGTGAACCCAGAACCGCCCTTTCGGTTGCACTTCAAATTTCGCAGCCATTCCGACCTGTCAGTCTGGATACTGATATTGGTACATTGACAGCAACAAGGAAAAACAATGGATTGATATATTCATCAAAGTCAAGTTTTCTTATCTGGAAAAAGAGCTTTCCGAAACAGAACACCCAAATACCGTACTTAACTGTCACGCACTCTTTCGAGACTTCCGCTTACATCAAAGAACCCTTTCCAAGGCACATTTTTCTGATCAAAGACAAAATCTATCAGTTTTAGCAAATCTGAAAAATACTCAGAAAAATGGAGTCACCCCCGCCTCCCCATTCAGTGCACCTCTCCAGATGCTGTACTTAGCCGCATCCCAACAAGCCAACCTACTACACCACAACCAATATCCACAATTCTCCACTAACAAAAACCCAAAAGTTAAAAAGCTTAAAAGAATCATCCCCAGTTCTCTATACAGAACGCTCCACCGGCTCCACCGGCTCCACCAAATCCTCCAAAGTCAATTTCCAAAGTCAATCGCCCGCGTGCATGGCACGCTTTTCGCTATCACCCACCAACTACTTTTCTTCATGAAAGCCCCAACACCCAGAGTCATTTTCGTCCGCCACGGCCAGACAGAATGGTCCAAATCGGGCCAGCACACCTCCGTCACCGACATCGACCTCACGCCGTTCGGAGTCAAGCAGATGGAGAGAACCGGACATCAGTTGATCGGACATGAAAACTACCAGATGATCAAGCCAGAGAGCTTGAAGTTGGTGATTTCGTCGCCCCGCTTGCGGGCCCAGCACACCGTCAAGCTTTTGCTTCAAGGGTTGTCGGAAAAACAGAGAGAAGCCGTTTCTGTTGATGTCGACGAGAACATCAGAGAATGGGAGTACGGTGACTACGAGGGCTTGCTTACCAGGGAGATCCACGCTTTGCGTCACGAAAGGGGTCTTGATAAGGACTTGGCGCCCGGCGACAAATGGAACATCTGGCGTGACGGCTGTGAAAACGGTGAGGACTACCTTCAGGTTACTGAGAGAGTCGATAAGGTGATTGGGAAGATCCGGGACGTCCACAGAAAAGCGCTTGACAACCAGGAGGCGTGTGACGTTTTGGTGGTGGGCCACGGCCACATTTTGCGTTGTTTTGCCGCCCGCTGGGTCAACCAGCCCATCAACACCAACCCCAACTACATGTTGGATGCCGGCGGAGTGGGTGTTTTGAGCTACCAGCACCACAACATCGACGAGCCTGCGTTGTACTTGGCAGGCGCCTTCACGGTGCCCGTGGAGGAGGAGGGAGCCGACCTTTAGGGGAATTGCATTTAGACAGACAATAGAGCAGAGGGTTTTGCGCTGTAGCTGCCCCCATTCGAGGGCAGGGATAGGTAATAAGATGAAGCGTATACTGTAAAGAGGCGATAATGCCAAATTTGTAGAGAACCAAGCTAGGAATCGGTGTGTACTGGAATTGTAGAAAGAAAGGCAAGTATGGTAAAGGGAGGAGCCCGTCAATGCTTTTGAACAATTTACTGAGTTTTTTTGGATATCAAAGTGACCGAATCGAAAATCCACTACTATTCAGATTGACCCCTAGGCTATTAGACTTATCATACTTCTCGGATTTTAAGCATAAAGCTAGCACATAAGATTCTCAAGAACGTTGCAATGGAATTAAATACGTGGCCCTGAAATCAAGTACAAATCATACTCAATCCATGGAATAGAGCCTTCTATTTGAAGATTTTAGGAACTTCATTTCATGCCAAGAAGACCGCACATTGTATTCTGTCAGCAAGTCAAACAAGGAAGGAGGGTCCGAAAGGATCACAAGTCCGACGTATATCTGATAATGAAGTAAATACAAGTAAGCAGAACCATTCCATAAAGAAATGAATGATAAAACTGCCCACCACTCTCCATATCCATAATCAGTGCCATCCTCCACTTTCCAGGCAGTCCATTACTTACAGATCTTTTGATTCAAATACTCCGAAAAGTGCTTCACATAATAGCCAAATTGCTGGTTCACCTTACATTCTGGGCTTCTTGAAACCTAGTCAAATTGCAGTGGTCAGCTCTCTTGTGTTGGAAGGAATTGAAAGATTCTGATTGATGCGTCATGGATCATTTTGGCTCTAATTTTTCTACTAGATTATGCAATCAGCTCTAAATCAGAACACATAACTTTGATGATGAAACTTTGCCTGTAAACCACCTAAACCGCCCATGCCCCAAATCACAAAGAAGATGGACCTCTCCTCCAATTAAGGGATCCTCTTTTGAGAATGTGTAGTTCGACTTCCCTGACACCGAACGTCTCCATGATAGGATCTAGAAGATGTCTTCACTTTTTTCAAAGCCGGCCACAAGTTACCCAACCAATTGAGAGACTTTCTCGCCCTGCCAGATATCTTGGTAACGAGCATTAAAGCTGCTCTTGGGCTTGTATCTGGATAGGTGACCTCCAATGTCCTTTTCGCCTGGCTCTGCAACCTTGATAGTTGCATTAAGCTGTTCAAGATGGGCGACAAGCACACAAGTGACCTGTTCCGCCTGTTTTCAAATAACGAAGGCTTTGTTGTTTAATGGTCTTGCAAGAAATGTGCTTGAGCCTAAATATGGACAAGCCTGTGATAAGATTCCACGAATACAAAAAGACATTTCTCTTTGATCTCCTTGGCCTTTTCCTCCGTATCAATAATCAAGTTCAGCGAGGTTGATCTTGTTGAGCTGCTTGTGGTTTGAAATGTGGGCATCGGTGTCATCCATTCCTGAAGGTATATCAGAAGCATTCCACCAACAGGATTCATAAGTGGTTTCAGAAGTATCTGCTTGTCTCTACACGTCTAGACAATTCCACTCCAAAACAAGTCGTCGTCTAGAGAGTCTAGAAGCGTCCAGACTATCCAATCCTTAAGCATTGCCCAGTACTAGCGGGGCGCCACTTTCATAGACTGCTGAGTTTCTGTCATTTTGGTGACGTTTGTCCATCAGCAGACGGGACACAGAATCCACATCGCATATTCTCGAGGCAACAGACACTAACGCCGCTGGTTTCACAAACGAGAGGGAGTTTAAATACTTCTTTCGGCTTACTTCGTTGCTGCAGAGAAAGGAAGGTTCCATCGCCAAGGTATCCACGGTCAGACGCAGTATCAACCGCCGGTGTCAGCAGGGGATCAACCGCCAGTGTCAGCAGGGGATCAACCGCCAGTTACAGCAAAGTATCAACAGGGCCAGAACTGAAGGTTAGTTGAAGACATACACCCTTCACTACACTTCGCTTCATTTAGCCTTATTCAGCTAAAAAGCTTCAGGCTTTAGTTTCAGCCTCAGGCTTCAGTTTCAGGCTTCAGTTTCAAACGGCTTCAGCTTCAGCTTCAGGCTTCAGTTTCAAACGGCTTCAGGCTTCAGTTTCAAACGGCTTCAGCTTCAGCTTCAGGCTTCAGTTTCAAACGGCTTCAGCTTCAGTTTCATGCTTCAGTTTCAAACGGCTTCAATCGGCACAGCTCAGCTTCGGCTTACGCCTCAGCTTCGATAAATTTCAAAAAGGTCGGCACAGCTCAGCTTCGGCTACGCCTCAGCTTCGACTAATTACTTACCAGCTCGCTTCATTCAGTTCGGCTTCGCCTCACTGAATTCAGCTTTCCACTGCAGGGTCCTAGGTGCAGATGGTCATCTCGGGAGGGGCACTTATTCCGTCCGGAGGGGCATTTTTCACGACAAAAAAAGTCTTCAAAGCCAAATCGAAAAGAAAAAGCCCTGCAAAGCCTCTTCGGAATCAAGCGAAATTTGCACCCACATTGCCCCGCGTTGACACTTCCGTATGCGCTAACACGGCAAAACGTGCCAACTTTCCACCCACGCCCAGATTCCGAAAAATCATCAAACCAAAAAGAAACTGCAACAAAGAGAAACCACGGAAATTTGGCTCATCTCGCCGCCTCCAACGCCAAAACACTCGGCACCACGGAATTGCCAGGCGTACCCCGCGAAAAAGCCTTATAAACGGCTTTTTTTCTGCGCAGATGCCAATTTTCATCCTCCCTTTCTTCAACCACAATGCAATACAAATCGGTCACCGGTTCCGACGTTAAGGCTCCCACCGTGCCTGTGTGGCTTGACTGCGATCCAGGCAACGACGACGCGTTTGCAATTCTTCTTGCTGCTGTCCATCCAAACTTCCGCCTTTTGGGTATCTCCACAGTTCATGGAAATGCGTCTTTGGACAAAACAACCACCAACGCGTTGGCCTTGCTTGAGCTTATGGCCTTCAAGCAGGACGAAATCAAAGTCTACGCTGGTGCCGCTAGGCCGCTTGTGTGTGAACCCCAGCATGCTCCAGAGGTCCATGGAGAGTGTGGTCTTGGAGGTGCTGGATTGGCTCCTCCTACGTTGAAGGCTTCCGAGGATAAGGGCTATTTGGAGGCCATGAGGGACGCCATTTTGGAAAACAAGGGCGAAATTGTCCTTGTGGTGACCGGCGCCATGACAAACTACCACCAGCTTGTGGAAAAGTACCCTGAGGTGAAGCAGCACATTCGTTATGTTTCCATCATGGGCGGCTCTGTCCATTGCGGTAACGTGACGCAGTACGCCGAATTCAACATGTACTGTGACCCGCACGCCGCTGCCTCTGTGTTGGAGGATGCCGAATTGTCCGACAAGACCGTCTTGAGCAGTTTGAACATCACCCACACTGTGTTGGCCACGGACCGCGTGATCAAGGCCCTCTACGACGCCAACGGACCCAACAACTCGAGAATCCGCAAGTGCTACTACAACCTCATCAACTTCTACTACGAGTCGTACATCAGACGTTTTGGCAAAATCAAGGGTCCTGCTGTGCACGACCCATTGGCCATGTTTTTGGCCTTGACCATGGCTGCCAGAGACAGCGACGAATATAGAGACTTCCACGATGCCTGTGACTTTAATTTTTACAAGAGAAAGACCAAGGTGACCATAGACGGAGAGCGCAGAGGAGAGACTGTTTTGACGAACGGCGACATGGACCCATTGAAGAAGGAGAAGGGTGGTGCTTACTTTGGCCAGTCGGTGAACATGCACTTGTTCTGGCACTACATGTTGCGTGCGTTGGAACTTGCCGATGAACAGATTGCCGCTCGTTCTTAGATATATAGTGATGGTGATCAATCGGCAAGAATGCTAGCAGTGCTCCAGTGGGCTTTATCGAAAATGCATTGTCAATTGAGTGACACCGCTACTTGAGTGAGACTGAGTGAGACTGGTAATGATGATATCGTTAATTGGTAATTTTGTTGTATCGATATATATGATATCGGTAATCAGTGGTACCGTTTTCTTATTGGTATCGTTAATCAATTGAATCGGTTGCCAATGGTACCGATAGTTCACGGTATCTTCAAAACTAATAGTATTGCAATGGAGCGTCCAGTTTCGAAACTTCATCAATCTTTCATAGGTAATATCTATCATTAATTAGACTAATCAAGTACAATAATATCAAGTAATATCAGTAAAGATTGGAAAGAGGATCGAAAAGGATCGATAAACAATGGTGCTTTCCTCGTTTCAGTAATGGAAGACATCGCTAGTCAAGTTCTATGAAAAACTATTGATGGTAATCGGCAAATAGTAGTACCAGCAGTGCTCCAGTAAGCTTTTCAAAAATTGGTCGCCAATTGAGTGACACCGCAAATTGAGTGACATCGGTAATTATAATATCGTTGGTTGGTAGAATGTTGTTGTATTGATATTTATGGCATCGGTGAATGGTTTCGGTGATCAATGGTATTGGTAAATCACGGTATCTTTATTGCTATCACAAATTAACAGTATTTGCAATTGAGTGTCAATTATTACCCACGGTTTAGGTCATTCACCAATTGCCGTCAGTAAATCATGGCATCATCAATTAAGCCAATTGAGTGCCGTCCTATTCAATGGTATCGGTAATGAGTGGTTAAAGGATTGAACTGTATTGATAAACAATCCTGGTTTCAGTGATGCAAGGCATCGCCAATTGAGTTCTACCAATATTTAATGGTACTGCTGAACAATGCTATTCGTAATTAATGCTATGATCAAGTGCCGCTAACTAGCAGTTATCGGTAATTAATGATTCATTAAGTGCTATCGGTGAAGTGCAATTTTAGTAAATTAAATTATGCCTCCGGCTAAGCCGTTTTTATGCTTCAATTCAGTTCACGCCTGCGCTTCAATGGGTACTTTTGCAGGATCCAAGACGGACTCATACGGCTCCTGAATCTTTTCCTGTGACCCACTGGGAACCTCAGGCTCAACGTCTCTGGCCTCCTCATCTTTTTTAATCTCCTTGGCCACCTCAATACCAATCTCGCCAATACAGTCTTGCGCCCAGATCACATCGAGATGGTTGTAGGTGGGCAAATCGTAAACCTTGAGGTTCTGGCCCTCTTTGTAGAGTCTGCGTTCGTAATGCGTCATATGAGAAGCCAACCGGCGGCCATCCACAAGGTAGTCTTCGCCGCAGATGAAGATGGTCATGGGCGTGACGTCCTCGGGTTTTTTGTTGAAGGAGAACCACTCAAACTTGTATGGAAAGAAGGTCTTTTCGTCGGAAACGGGAATATCCTGCTGCTCCTGGGTTCTGGAGTAGCTTCTATCGAGATTCGGCAGAGGCGTGCCGATCTGCTTCTCTTCGTCTTCGTTTGTAGAAACGGGCGTGAAGGCGTAGTTGTCGCCGTTGGCATAAGCCTCCTTTGTTTGAAGCTGGTTCAGGAAACCCTCCTCCACAGAGTACGAAAGCCACCACGACATGAGCTTGGCGGAAATGTACGACACGTTCATCACAAACTGAATGTGCTGCACCTTCTTGTCCTTGTAGTTATTGCGGATATTCCACCCGAACAAGTACTTGAACATCTGGTACGAAAGAATGGAGTAGAGCTTGGTGGTACCGATGTAGCGTCTGCTCCAGCCGAGGAAGCCGATGAAGACGCCTTTGCCAAAAATGAGCTTGTACGCTGTGGGCGAGCGGTTGTGAATAAACTTAATGAACGAACGGTCGTGGAACAACAGACCAGGAAAGATGGCTGGAGCTAAAGCGAAGAAATGGATGATTTTCCGGTGGTACTCCGCCAAAGCCGGGTTCCGGAACAAAAGGAACGACTGTGTACACCCCTGGGAGTGGCCCACAAGGTACAATTGCTCGTGGTTGGGCTTTCTGGAAAGCACATTGTCTATGATACATGGAAGGTCAAAAGCAGCGAAAACCCGGATATCCCAGTCCCAAAACTCCTCGTTGTGCATGAGATTGCCCTTGAGCGTGGCATGGCGGGGCTTGAATTCACATCTGTTGTTGCCCAACCACACATCAAAGCCCTGGTGAAGAAAGTAGTATGGAAGCGAGTTTCGTCCCGGAGCTAGCCAGGCGCCCGAGGCCGATAGAAGCCCGTGCTGGAGCAAAATGGGCGTTTTCCGGTCCCGCTCCGCCTCCGACTCCGCCGGGTCCACGAGCCGGTGCAATGGCAAAATGTACCCGTCTTTTGTGGTGATGTCGTATTCCTCCAAATCGAGCCCTAGCTGCTGGGCATAGTAGCGCAAGTCCCGCGTGACCTTGAGCTTCTTCATGTCCGGGTACGGCTGCTGCGGCCTGTACTTTTCCGAGCCGTTGTTGTCCTTGGGAACATTGTTCTTTTCTCTTCCAGAAAACACGTCTCGGAGATGCCATATGTTGGCTCCGGTGGTGAGAACCAAGACGAAGATGAAGGAGAGGAGGCCCGAGGTGACGAGCACCACGTGGCGCATAAACACGCCGTGGGCGGCCTTCTTTTCCGGGGGTTCGAACATGTGGGAAAAGGAGGAGGTAAGTGTTGATGTCTCTCATGAAATTGAGAGAGCGCATACAGAGGTGCAGCTGGCCTGCATTAAACCCGGCAGCCCAGACGGACCGGGAAAATGTGGGGATGCCGTTTGGGGAATGAAGGCAGGTGGTGTTGGAAATTAGGTGGTTCTGTGAATTGGAGAATTTGTGGATTGGAGAATTTCGTAGTTTGGATTTTTGTCTGAGACGCAGTGTGGGGCGCTTGGCAGGAAAGGTGGTAATGTGGAGAGGAGGGGGAGAATTTCAATTAAGGTTCTTGTGTTTATGCTCCTGATGGAAAATTGTTGAACTTGCGAATTGCTGGAAATTATGTTATAGAGATGGTAGAGAAAGCTGACTCATTGCTCATGCAGCGAAGGTTGGAACATGTGAGGAGGAACAATGGGGTATCCAAGCGGCGATGGGTGCTTTTGATTGTTCAGGCACGTCAGCGAAGCTTTGCCATTGTATGAGCACTGGTGTGGTCATCAATTTATTTGGGTCGGCGTTGGAAATGGAATTGATCATGTTGGGAAGTTGTTCTTGCCATAATGAGACTATGACGATAAGTATGGAAGCTACAAGTAATCAGTAAGATGTATAGTGGTGACAGCAGTGGGGGCCCACTTTTGCTTTAATTTCATTAAAGCGCTGACTGAGAGTGCAGTATAATTGTTAGGGTAATGGGGAGTCCATCTTAGCTATAGACACTACACCAGCTTTCAATGCAGCTATAGACATTACACTAGCTTTCAATGCAAGCTAGAGAATCGGGGTGGAAGCTCTCCTCATAAAGCCAGACTGTTTGGGTGAGCTGTGCTTCACTTCTCTTTTGGGTCTTTTCGTTTTCTTCATTAATCTAGACTATTTTGGTTAGCTGTGGGTTTACGTCTCTTTTGGACCTATATAGATTGGCTTTCGGATTCATCTGATTGGAAGAAGACCACAAGGATAGTTGAGAGCACTGTTTTCACAATGGTTTAGCTAGCTGATTTCTCAAAACGCCGTGAGACGGAAGAAAGACAGTATCAATCTACATGTTATAGAGCCTACCAGAGTATCTTTCCCCAGTACGTAGATGGAACACCCTAGGAACTTCTACAATATAATGATTACCATGTGGTCCAAATTCAGAGCTGAACAAACAAACTACCCATGGCTTAAAAATCTTCCAAACAACTCGCTCTTTCATTTTCACTCTCAGTAGCCTACACCTCCTCCAGCATCACCAACATCACCAACATTACCACTATCCCACAACTACTACCACTCCTCTTCCTGCTTTACCCTACGCCCAAATTCAAGAAGAAAAACCTCATTCACGTACAAACGGCAAGGTCAAAAAACTTCAGCCAGGACCAACGGTCCAGAGAAACTGTCTGAAACAAACAAGACAACTTCTCGACAACAGATGGTCGTCACCGCAACTAATACACAATGCCAGCAAGGTCGTCACCGGCTAGCAGAAACCGCATCATCTTCTCCCTCACCTCCACTTCATCTCTTTTTTTCTTTTTTTTTTTTTTTTTTTTTTTTTGATTTTTTTTTTGGTTTTTTTTTTTTTCTTTTCCAACTCCTTCATCAACACCATCATCATCACCATCAACAGCAACAACAACGCCATCATCACCCTCACCTTCCACTTCATCCAACATCATCATCTCAAACACCCTCACCTCCACTTCGTCTCTTTTTTTCTTCTTTTCCTTTTTTCCTTTTTTTTTTTTTGATTCTTTTTTTTGTTTTTTTTTTTTTGTTTTTTTTTTTGTTTTTCATTTTCTTTCTCTCCCATTCACTCACTCGTCATCATCCCAGGGCCACGGCAGCCTTCTTGGGAGGGGGTCCTTCCTTCTTCTTGATCGGAACAGACTTAAAAAACGTACCAAAAGCCTCGCACTTGTCCTTGAAAGAACCCTTGGTACAGTTCACTTGGGGCTTCTTCTCAGGCTCCTTGGGAGCAACAGGCTCCTTCGTTACAGCCTTGAGCTGGGGGCCATTGGCCAAAAAGTTCTTGGATCCTCCAGGAGCAGCTGTAGGGTTGTTGGCTGCATTGACCAAAAAAGCTGGAGGAGGTGGTGGGGGTGGTGCTGCAGCGTTTATAAGAAAAGCTGGTGGAGGAGGTGGAGGAGGAGCTGAAGCATTGGTAAGGAATGCTGGAGGTGGTGGTGGTGGAGGAGCTCCATTTCCATACTTGGGATGGGAAGCTGGAACAAACACCTCGTCCAGGTCCATGTCGATGTGGAACTTGGGAGGGCTCCTCTTCTTAGGGATTCCGACATCCTCGCCATTGAGCTTCTTTGTCATGAGTTCGTCAAGCTTGTTCTTGATCTTGGCGTTTTTGTCGTCAGGCGAGTACTGCTTCGTAGGAACCTTGTACTTCTTCTCCTCTTCCTGCTTTTTGGCAATCGTCAATGGGTTCACAGGCCCGTCAAAGGACAACCTTCCGTCGTTGATAAGGTTGACCTCGAGCCTCAGCATCATGCCCTGGAAGTTGGACGAGAACTTCTTCTTGTTGGAGTAGTCGACCTTGGACTTGATCTCGGACAAGTCGAGCTTCTTTTTTCTCTTTTCCTCGAGCTCGGCTTCCAAGGCAAGGTAGGCGTCACAGGGAGCCTGTGGGTCCTCAATTTCCTCAGACTCTTCAGACTCTTCCTCAATTGGAGGTCTAGGAGGAGGAGGAGGAGGTGGTGGACCAACAGGAAGCAAGGATGGAGGAGGTGGAGGAGGAGGAGGAGGGGGAACAGCGCCAGATCCAGCGCCATTCAACTTTTGCTCTTCCTTTGGATTCTCCTTTTTCTCCATCTTTGGCTCATCCTTAGAGTCTTCCTTCGACTCAGTCTTGGGCTCAGTCTTCGAAGTCTTGGGCTCAGTACCGTTCATTCTCTCCCGCAAGGCGGCAAGCCTCTGCTTCAATTGGGCCTTCTTCTCCTCCTTGCCCAGTTCGACCTTAGGTAAGGGATCACATGGCAATGGAAGAGAAAAAGCTTCCTTTTCTTTGTCCAGCTCAACCTTGGGCAAGGGATCAGATGACAAAGAAAGCTTCTCAATGCCTGGCTCAACCTTAGGTAAGGGCTCCGAGAGCACAGGAGAAGCGGAAGTTTTTGAAGCGTCAGAGGAGGCCTTGGTGCTGGAAGACTTGTGTAAATCCTCAACAGCACCGTCCATCTTCTTTCTCAACAGGGCAAGATGCTGCTTGAGCACGGCCTTCTTTTCCTCCTTGGAGGGGGAGTTTTCAGGCTTGGGCTCAGCAGCATGGAGTGTTTTCGAAGGAACGGTATCCAAACGGCTTCTCAAGCTGGCGATGCGAGCCTGGAGCCTGGTCTTCTTTTCTTCCTTTGGGAGAGCGGCGAAATCAGAAGCGGCGGGTGGGGCCTTCTCAGGAATTGAAGGTTCCAGTGGCTCAACAGACTCGACAGGGGATTCAACTGGAAGAACTGCAGTGGCTTCGACGGGAGATTCAACAGCCACGGCAGGGGAAGATTCATCAGTCTTTGAAACAGTTCCAGCAACAGGCTCAGAATCAGTCTCAACAACAGGCTGGGAATCGGGAGCCGTAACGGAAGACTGGGGCTCAACAACAGACTGGGGTTCAATTACCTTTTGAATGACAGCCTTCAGATCAACAAGCTGAGAGCCAACAAGCTGAGAACCAACAGCCTCAACATGCTGAGTCTTTTCCATGTCAGGCCGAGAATCACCAGAGACGACAGACTTGGAATCAAGGGCCTCAATGACGGGTTGAGCTTCAACAGCCTTCTCAACAAAAGACTCCGATTCAACAACCTTTTCAACAGTAGGCGAAGCTTCGACAGTCTTCTCGACCACAGGCTGAGAGTAAGTAGTCTCGACGAATGGCTTCACAACCTTTTCGACATTTGAAACCAGTACAACATCAACAGGTGCCTCAACAGGTGCAACAGGAACAACGTCAACTGTCTCAGGCTCGGAGACCTCAACGGGCTGAACAGAAGGGGCCTCAATTGGAGCCTCTGGATTCTTCAATTCCACAGAATCCTTAGAAGCTGGGACACCCTTGGGAGCGTCAGCCATCTTGGCCTTCAACAACGCAACCCGTTCCCTCAAAAGGGCCCTCTTCTGTTCCTTCGTCTCCTTGGATTCGGGAGCACCATCGGCAGAAACATCACGAGAGATGTTTGGGGACGACTGCTTCTCCTCAGGCAGTGGCTTCTCAACGGCAACAGCCATAGACTGCCTGAGGAGGGCAAGGCGCTTTCTCAACTGCTCCTTCTTTTCTTCCTTGGTGAGGTCAAGGGAGTTTTTGGGAGCTGGGGATACTGGCTCAACGGGTTTAGCGTTGGTTGTTTCAGCGGCATCGTCGCTCACCTCCTGGGATTCTGTCTCAACGGCAACAACAGAAGCTGACTCACCGTGGGTGGTATCAGCGGGAGGCGAAGAAACGAGAGGCTCACACTGAACGGAAACAGGCAATGAAGGAGCGACTTCATTTTCCTGATTGTCAGGAACGGTCTCAGAAACTGGTTCAGTTACCTCCTCGATAACCGGCAAGACAGGCAGCGGGGTCCTGGATTTCGAGGGGGACTGGGGGACAGGGGGTGGAATTGAAGAGACAACAGGTGTGGGCTTTGGAGAGGTGGGAATCTCCGTGGTTTCCTCAACGGCCTCAATTGGCTCCTCAATTGGCTCCTCAACGGCTTCAATTGGCTCCTCAATTGGCTCCTCGACGGGATCCTTGACAATCTCCTGAACAGTTTCGTCAACGGTATTGTCAATAGATTGGTTGACAGGTTCCTTGACAGGCTTCTCTGAAGAGGGATCAACAGGCTCCTCAACAGGCTCCTCGATAGGGACCTCGACCAGTTGCTGAACAGGCTCCTGGACGGGCTCCTCATTAGAAGTCTGAGTAGATACCTCAACGGAAGCTTCAACAGGCGCCTCAACAGAGGGCTCAACAGGAGCCTCAATAGAAACCTCAACAGGAGCCTCAACAGAAGCCTTCGAAGAAACCTCAACAGAAGGCTCAACAGAAGCCTTTACAGAATCCTGAACAAGCTTCTCAACGGGATTCTCAGTGGGCTTCTCAGTGGGCTCCTGAATTGGCTCCTCAAAGACTTCCTCAACAGGCTCCTCAACGACTTCCTCAACAGGTTCCTCGACGAGCTGCTCAACAGGCGACTCAGTAGAAACATGAACAGCCTCCTCAGCTGCCTCCTCAGCCTCCTTGACGGGCTCCTCAACAGGCACTGGCACCTCAACAACACCACTACCAGCCTCACCAAGAGAAAACTCCTCGGCAGCCTGCTTCATCACGTCGTCGGCCATCTTGAGAATGGCGTCCACGCAGACATCCGAGCGGTAAGAGACGTACTCATGCTTCAGAGGCTCTGAAAGAACATCCGTGGAAGCCTGGTCCTCAACACACCCAGGCACAACATCACGGACAGATTCAGACTCCAATTGGACCTCAGAAACAGAAATGTCAAGGGCGGGCAATAGACCAGCGGAGACAGCCTCCTCTGGCTTCTGAAGCCCAGCCGACATCTCCAGTGCCCATGGGTTTGCAGCCATTTCGTGCATGCCGGCAGTGTAGAAGTCAAAAGCCGAGCATGCGTCGCCCAGTCTGACGCTGGCAACCACGGGCGTGGCAGGGGAAGGTGGCTGCTCTGGCGTAGAGTGGTGGGAAACGGGCTCAATGGGTGCAAAAGCTGGAGAAACCGGGGTTTCCACAGCTGGAGAGGGATCCACGGCGGCTGGTTCAGCCTGCGAAATTTCCCGTGGAGCCTCCAGAGCGACAGAAACCTCGGGAACAGAAACATGCTCGGGCTCAGCGTCGCCAACTGGAGAATTCCCCAGATTTCGATCATCTGGGTCAACTCCAGGGTGCCAGAGGGTACCGGCATGGAGAATTTCCTGCGACGACCACGCGGACGCGGGAGGCGAGTAGTAAACACGTCTAGCGGGAGCGGCACGCGCCAAGACCGTATCTATACTGCGGGCCTCCTCAAACTTGGGCGTGATGGCATCTACAGAAACTCTTACTTTAGCACGAGGGCCCTGCGGGTTAGGAGCCCGGGGCCGGACGCGCATGAGGGTGCGCACCGGATACTGCACAGGGGACGCGCGGTCTTCCGGAGGTGCGTGGGCGTGCGCAGCCCTAATCTTGACAGGATGCGCGGCGGCAGCTGCGTGCGCGGCCGCACCTTTCGCAGCCAGAATGTCGTGCGACAGAGACATTGGGTCTCCGTTTGTGCCAGCCTTGGAAACACCTTCCAAACCATTTCTGCCACGTTTCTTGCCAGGAATCAAGAACCCGAACTTTCTAGCGAGCCAGGAGGGACGCTTACCGTAGGCGGCGTCCGGGGCAACTCCCAACTCAAACTTAACCTTGTTCTTTCTCTCCTTCTCAGGCTGGTAGGCACCTTTAGCGCTGACTTTCTCCTTGCAAGGACCAGAAACCTCTTTCTTTGGCAAAGGAGCAGCGCCAAAGGCAAAGCGGGCGGCAGCCATGGCATCGGGGTTGGCATCGGCAGTCAAGAGAGGCTTGTTCCTTTTGACAGGAGCCTTCTGTGCCTTTGTGGCTTTGGGAGCGATGTACTCAAACGGATTGTTGAGACGCTTGTGGGCGTCCTCCTCCTCTTGAGCCTGCTTCTTCTGGGCCTGCTTCTTCTGGGCCCGCTTCTTCTTCTTTCTCGAAGAAGTTCCGGGCAACTCCTTGAGCTTGTCCACGAAGGACTTCTTGGGCTCGTCGGGAGTTTCGTGCTTTTTGGGCAAAGCACCTTCCTTTGACCATGGGAGACGGCCAGAGGGAAAGCTTGCGCAATACGCTCAGGAGTGTTGTCCACTTCCTGAACGGGGCGGCATTGATACTTCAAATTTCTTGGTTGCATCTTTGGGACTGTGGTGGATAGGGAGAAAAAGAGTGTGCTTGTGTCACTCGCTCTTTATAGTGGTGCTGCGGCGGCGTGCAGGCCAACGACGTCGTTACTATGTACAGCTTGTATAGGAGAGCGTCTCTGCGTGGTAGAAGCGATAAGGGTGTTTATGTGGTTTGTGTTTGGGCTACAATTGTAGGGTCGGCTGGATATGGTCTGACAGCCTTGTGCATTAGCGATGCAGGGCGGGTAAACAGAGTGGGTTGGGGGTTCGGTGGAATGGGGCTTTAAATTTGGGGTAGAAAGGGGTTCGGTGGTGTTGGCGTCGAGAAATGTGGGTGTGCTTTTGAGGAATGGTTGTGCGATTATGGAAGAGGCACTTCGTCCATCAGATAAGTAAAAAATACTCTGGCTCACAAGAAAGTGATGCTCCAATGCCTTGAAAACCCACGGAAAGCGGGAAGCTTCCTGCCATTGGTATGGAAGCTCTATTTGGGTGGAGTATAGGTACTTAAGACATGATGTGCCTATAGAGGAAGCGCCGCACGTCAAAAAAGCGGCTGAGAAAGTAGGTGGAAGACATCAACAGACACTAGTTCGGTTGAGCCAAAACTTGATCTCATCCTGGTCACTGGTTTTGTACCTTCTAGAAGGTTCTCTCGATGCCACCATGTCTCCCACCGTTTCAAATAGGCTCTAGGTCATTCATACCATCTTTGTCTTCCATGTCCTCCAAGTTCCCCAGGTCATCCAGACTGAAGTTCAAAATCAAGTTCCCCGAAAAGTGTGATTCAATGGACTATACACGCTATCTATAGATTTTCTAGTTCTGGACAGTGCGTTGATACTGCGAGGCTCAAGCCTGTCATAGCTGCGCGACATACAGACCACGCATAGAAGCATACTCATGTGCGTCCACGATCCTCGAGAACAATGCAAGTTTACAGATATCATAATGTAGCCTGTCCCCAGAAGCCGCAGGGGAATTGATATGTTTAGGTTTGATTGAAAAACGGACATTGTTTTTTCCCATTTCCCCACAAATAATATTTCTGCCTCCTCGAATTATATAAGCACCTGTCGCGAAGCTCAATCACACTAGAATAAGACCTTCCTAAATTAGAGGGCCTCGGATGGAAAAAAAAAAAAAAAAGCCTTTGAAGCGAGACAGCTTCCTTGTCAACACCTACGGGAAATGGAGGATGGGCACCTGGTTGTGGTCTCATAGTTACTTCGGTTAGGTTAATATGGCTGTTGAGCCTCAGAGCTACGTCATTGATTTTCATTGACTTATCTGGCTGAACCCTATCTTAGCTTTGCCTACTTCGGCTCCTCTTCCTCGATGATGTATAGAAGTTAAACCTGGAAAGAAGCTCTTAAAAGGTCATTGACGACAAAATGGGCTCCAGAGACCTCCAGAGGCTTCTGCAGGGCCCCAGAGTGCTTCGAGAGCTTAAATTGAGAGATACTATAAGTATGGAGCAAAAAAAAACGAAAAAAATTGTAATTCTGAAGCAGGACGTGACCCTTAATTTGCAGCCATATATAGAACCTGTATACTAGTTCACCCAAGTTGTGACTTCGTGGCCAAGTTGGTTAAGGCGTAAGACTGTTAATCTTAAGATCGTGAGTTCGACCCTCACCGAGGTCGCATATTTTTTTTTTTTTCTTTCAGACATCCTTAGATGCTTGTTCATTTTGATCTGAAGGCACAGACAAAAAATTACCTGAGTCAAAAGGTTTCGAACAATCCTTTGTTTCGTGTCCATCGAGAGCGCATTCGAATTTCGCAGCCATTCAAGACCACCACTCTCATAGAAATATCCGGCGGTCAGGCAACTTCTTCCAGATCTGTCTTGATTTAGTCTTAGAATGGCTTGATGGCTTCTATTCTTTTGGAATGCCGAAGCTCTCCAAACCTACAATCATCAAACAGAAGCCTTGGTACATCACATAGCTTTCGGCCTCATGACCACACCATACACATTTGGCCATGAAGTGGCCCCTTTCTAGTTTCTAGTAGGCTACTATGAGCCCCTTTCCCATCATTCAAAACTCCCCAAACTAGCCATATCTGCTCTTCATTGTCAAAAAAGGTGCTGGGCCAGTGACCACCACCTGCATATAAAATCAGTACACCCGTACACCAAAACATTTTTCTCATTGGATGGACCGCCAAATTAGGCGACTTTTGCGCCTCTGGCGCAGCGGTCAAGCTCCCTCGCAGCAAGCCGCAAGTACCCGCCGACGTAACAGGTTCGAATCCGGCCTGGGAAATCCAATGCGGGTGGGAAATTCGGTGATTCTCCCCATCCCCTTTCTTCGGAAAGCGGTCATTCTGCTCCTGAGAGCCTCCAGGCGTGGACTCACGCTGGGCGTCGCCATCAGAAACACAGCCATTTTGTGTGGCATGGGAGGCGGCGCGGATGGTTGGTCTTCTGCCCTAGGGCGGAAAGGCTGTTGAGTGCAATTTGCGGCCTCTGGCACCCGATACCGATCAATGCTGCGAGTGGGCCTCTTTTTGGGAAAGTTTAGAAAAAGTTTTAAAGAAAGTTTTTTGAAATTGGTGAAAGATTTTTTGTTTTGTTTGGATTGGTGAGATTTTGGGGGAACGTACTTTGTGGTGGAGTTGTGTGGTTTATGTTGCTATGGGAGGACTTTCGCAGTATGGATTGGTGGGACTTTTTTGCACCCATTGATTTGTGAAGAACAATAATTTTTTTTTAACTGATATCTCTTCATTAGAGTAAAAACTATATCTCTATAGAAACAACCTCCAGTAAGATCTTAATATTCTCAATTTCACGAGACCCTCAGGTCAGTTTCCCGAACGTCTCGCCGTGTTTATCCACCCATAGGACATATGTGTCTCACAGCCTTCTTCAACTGGATAACGTGATTGCAAGTTTGGTTCTTGGGATACTTATGGCTGAATTGGACAATTGATGTTGAAGATTTGCGGTCAAGTCTGCCTCTTTTCGTTTTGTTGGAGTTTGGGTGCTTCCGCAATATACGCTGGAGTGTACTTTTTTGCACCCATTCGTTTGCGGTGAATATCTGTGACAATTTGCATCGAGTGCCTATTATGTTGGGTTTAAAGAGCCACTATGTATAAAGGAATGTTATAGGCCCATGCAATTAGAGTAATTGATGAACTAGTGCATTCTGGGGTCAGTGCAGCCTGGTTTGAAGGTCTCTTCCCAACAGAAAGTATACAGATTGCCTTAGCCCTTTCGTTTGGAGAAGATTTATAAGCATTAAAGGTGTCAAGCATTAATCGTGAAATCATCCTTTCGTGTCGGTATGGTCCCTAGTGTAGTGATGCAGCTGTACTGACGATACAGCCGAGGAAGGTATCACAACCCTTGACAGTAAACCACTATATCTACGTTTCCGTCATCATTTTTAATTTTCTTTTATTTTCATTAGTTTATACACTTAAGACCAATGGCTGTAGAGCCTCAGACCACCTTCTCGTCGATGGAGCTCACCTCAGACTCACTGGTTTCATACTCCACCAGCTTTTCAAAAGTGCTCTTCTCGTCGCCAGAAGAGTCAAACTCACTAAGCGTCTCAAATACGAAGGAAGTCTTTGTCAGGACACTCAAATCCCTGAGAACCTCAACATGAGCAGTTGAGGTGGTTGCCTTGGACTTTAAGGAAGTCTTGGGTAAAAAGCTGTCGCCAGACTTCCAGAGGGCTGAAATTCCACTCAAGTCAACAGTGGCAAATGCCTTGGAACCTTCGCTCAAAAGACCCTGCCAGAAGAAAAACTGCTTGGGGAAGTAAACCACGTCTTCTTCTGTCCTGGCAGTGTTCTTCCAAAAGAAAAAATCGTTGGGGAGGAAGGATTCGGGGTGCTCCTTGGAGGCACCTTGGAAGAAGAAAAAGTCCTTAAGGAAGAAGGTCTTGTTAGTCTTGGGTGTGGAGGTCCAGACTCTGAAGAAGAATGGGAAGTCGCCAGGAAGGAACACCTCATACTTCGACTTTTCAATTGGAAAGTCAGGCTTGGCGATGGTGTAGAAATTGTAAAAGTCTCCGGCAAGGAAAGAATCTGATTGGGTTTCCCAGGCATGGAAGAATTCTGCAAAGTCGCCTTGTAAGAGGGGAGCGTTGTTGAGGTTGACTGATTCATAGTTGATGAAGTTTTCAGAAGAATTAGCTTTAGTGGACTCGGCGGTCCAAAAATCATAGAAGCCTTCAAAGTCGCCGAAGATAAACCTCGTCGTGGTCGACTCTCCAAACATCATTCTTCACAATCTGGCCATAGAAGTAGAAACAGCCAGGCAAGTATGAACGACGCTTCGTCTTGACCTTTTCATAGTTGAAAAAGTCTCCAGGCAAGATGCTTGGGGAGACCTCCTTTGTGGATCTCCTGAAATGGGGAAAGTTTTCAGGAAGGTAGTTTACCTGTGTCTTTTCGTTGAGCATGGCTCTGAAGAAATGGAAGTCATCAGGTAGGTAAGAGTCCGAGGGAGAAATATCACCTAGACACTGAGTGTAGCGGCAGATAGCACTAAATGTTTGGTGATTTTTGAGGAAGTAGGTTTCGAAAAGTGTGCTGCTCTTAATGAGCTTCTTGGTGCTCTTAATGAGCTTGTGTGAATAGGAAGCCGAAATCACTGTGGTTGAATTGCAGGCAGCAGACATTTGTGGTGGATGGTGGAGATGGAGAAATTGGATAAAGGCAAAATCGACGTATTCTTATAACCTTGGGGGTGTTCGTAGAGTGCCTGGCATTTGTGAATCATTCCACCTTTGGTGGTCATCGCCGAAGGGGAGATATGTTGGAAAAGGAAGGCGGACACTACGAAATCGAGAATTTTGATGGCCACAATATGAAAAAGTCACGGATATTGCTTTGTGGGAATTGGGGCCATCAGTGATAAGCCTAACAGAAAGCGAGGTAAGTCCAGTGAGGTCTACCGAGAAAAGAAAGTCTTAAAAAGGAAGTCTAGTCGGTCCAGTCACCGTCAGATATGAAACTCGAAAAATTTTCGTTGGGTGAGAATAACTGCAATTGGAGCACGTAGCATGCAAGGGACTGGTAGGCATTGACAACTAATTGAGCGAAAGCACAACGGTAGCTTGCTGCACTGGTTCAAAAACGGTTCTCCACAAGAATGTAGAATAAATGTCTTTGAATAAGGGTGGCTGAACTTGGTTGAAGTGGTTCTTCACAAGACGACTCCATTGGACCGCAAAGACTTGTCTTACATTTCACCACGTTCATAACTCCCACATTCATAACTCCCACATTCATTAACTCCGTTTGTCATATTCCCATAAAGCTAGCAATTAAGCTGCTCTGATTTGAGCTGTTGTAAAAAAGGCATTGAAAAGACTGGAAAAATAGCAAGCTTCATGGCGAGAACCAAGGCAGAATAAGCATAAAGAGCTTTAAAACTCCCACCCATTGAATGCCATCTGTCTCTCAAACCAGGTAAGCACGGTATGGCCCACTTAAAAGAGCTCAATCAATTCATGAAAAGGTCTCTATAACTCTCATTTCCTGTCCATGCCTCCATGCCATCAAACCTACCTTGCAAGTAAAGCCCAGCCCGGATCAACAAAATCCCACAGACACCCCAAAATCCCTGAAACCAAAAAAGCACCAAAAGCACCAATTCCAAAAAGTCTATCATATCATAAACCACCAAAAAACTTCCGCCCACCCACCTCCCCACACTTCACCGTTTTGCAACCGGGAGTGCAGAACAACACACTAACGCGAACTACCACCCAGCATCACCACTTCTTCTCATGATCATCGCCAGCATACGGCGGATTTTCGCCTCGTTCCGCACCGAGGAGGAAGAAAGATCATACTCGAGATCGGCGTTTTTCAATCTCCTCGGTTTCCTCGGTCTGTGTGTGATGTTTTCCTTTGTAGCCCAGAAGCTCTCGAAGCAGGCATAGCTCGATGAAGCAATACAGCCCGAAAGCGAAGAACGCAATCTCCAACTACCAATTGCCAATTGCCTACACCAAAATTTCATCATCTACATTAGCATATGTACAGTTCGTCCTAATATACAAGTGGCCTGTGAAGCATTTTGTCTGTAGTTAGTCTCTCAACAAGACCTCCTTGGCCATCTCGTAGGCGGTCCAGGAGATGGCGGTGGCCGGCACGTTGAAGATGATACGGGGCTTGATACCACGGGCAAAAGCGCCCATGCCGCCCTGCTTCAACAAGGCCTTGGAGGCCGAGACAAAGCCGTTGATGGAACGCAACAGCTCGTTCTGCGACACACCTCGGGTCTGCAACGCCGTCTTGATACAGTCCAACGGGTTGGTCAAGGCGGCGGCAATACCACCGGCAATACCGCCCGAGATGCAGTGGTAGTATGGGTTGTACTTGTTGTCGGGGTTCAACAACTGCGACAGGTACTCGTAGAAGCCAAAGTTCAAGGCGGCAAACGGGATGTTGGTGAAGAGCGTGGTGGGGTATGAGATGAAGAACGCCGACAAGCCTTCGTGGCGGTAGATGTGGGCGGCTGTTTTCATTAGTTTGGCGGATTTGGACTGCGACGCTGTTGCTGCCGTGGTTGAAGCGCCCAACTGCATTCTCTGCTTCAAAACGTCAAACGGCGTCATCAAGGCGTCCGAGGCCACGGTGGCGGCAATGCCGGCGCCCGAAGCAATCAATGGGTGGGACTCGTCGGTGACGATTTTGGTGGATTTCTGGTTGGTCAAGCGGTTCACCAACATGGTCTTGGTGGCCTCGAAAACGGAAAAGTACACAGCGTGGGCCGGACCGGCGCCCAAAACAACCGAAGAAACACCCCGCCACAAGGCGTAGGCGCCCTCCAGGCTGGAGATCTTGGAGATGGAGCCAACGACCGACTTGCTCAAGGGTTGGCCCAGCGCAATCATCTGCATTCTCGTTTTGATCAGGTCGATCGGGAACATCACGGTGTGCTCCATGATGCCGGCAAACGCTCCCGCCAGAAGGTGGGCTGCTATGCTGGCGTCATCTGGCAAGGCCTCGTAGTCGATTTCGATGGGCTCGGCGCTGAGCATGTGGGGGTGTTCGGCCATGGCGAGATACCTTCTTTTTTTTTTTTTTATTCTTTCTTTGGGGTTTGGAAAGGGAAACGCAGGGCGTGGCAGGGCCGGGTTCAGCGAAGTGGGTGTGGATGAGTAGTTGGAGGTGAGTCGGGCCCGAGAAATTTTCAGGCCCGAACGCAGGCAGGATGGGGTAGGGTGATAAGATGGAGTAGATAGCCCGGGGCGAGAGCAATTGGGGAGGGATTACGGAGACTTTAAATAAAAGCTGAGAAGATTTAAATCCACTTGGTTTGGTTTCCCCTGCTGACGCCGTTTTCTGTTGCTCTGGAGATTCGTGAGCTGAGGTCTCACTGGGGAGGACAGGCGGAGAGGGGTCGGAAAAAGAGGCCGCAGGGCGTGGAAGGCGGTGGGTTCGGGGCCAGAGAAGGCGGTTTTGGCGGGCGGATGGCGCTGTTTCTACGGTTTTTCCGCTGTCGACGGAGCCCAGGAACCCAGGTGGTTGCTTTGGTCCGCGGTTTGCAGCCAAGCGGTGGGGAGGTGAGGGACGGCGACTTCTGTTTAAAAAGGGATCTATGGTAAGAAGAAATGTTTTTCTTTTTTTTCTTTTGTTGTTTCTCGTTTTGTTTCTCGTTTTGTTTCTCGTTTTGTTTCTCGTTTTGTTTTCGTTTTGTTTTCGTTTTGTTTTCGTTTTGTTTTTCGTTTTGTTTGAGAGCTTTTTGGCGGGGTGCTGTCACCTCGAGGTGCTTGCTGGTGAGTAATGCCGCCTGTGCTGGCTGGCAGCATGCCGCAGAAGCCTGACCGTTATCCGGCAGTTCCAGCAGTAAAAACCGAAATCGACAAAAACAATGCCCGTTTTCTGCCAACCTACAAACTTCAAACGCTCAATTCAAATCCCCGAAAAATGCTCCAAATTGTCCCCCTCGCTTCGTCCGAACCCGGAGAAGCTGCGCTGGTTCGCAGCCGGTGATGCTCACATGGCACGCAGGCCGCTAAACGGCGAGGAATTCAGCCGTGCTGCCGGCGAAACGGCGGCTATCAGGGCCCAATGGGCTGCTGTTTGCGAGAAATGTTTGCAAATGGCATGCTGCCAGCGGCGGAGCGAAAATGGAAGTGGTGGTGTGGGCCCGAGGTTCGTTCTGGTGTACTGCGACAGCCTGAGCACATGAGACTCACCGATCGGCGTGGAGGTGATCGGCGTGGAGGTGATCGACGGATTTGGTATAAGGTTTGGGGTGGTTGAAGCGGATTTTTTCTTTATTTATAGGATTTCACGGATTTGGCGATGCTGAGAGCGGCGACGTCACTGGCTGAAAGGTGCTCCATGGTTGGTACCGTGAAGTGTGGAATGGTGCAATATTCTCCTTCGTTCTTCTCTATCAAATGGGCATTCCTGGCATCGGACGGATTACAAATGGGCTTTGAAAGCTTCAAATTACTGGGGGTGTTAAATTACTGGGGTTGTTGAATTACTGGGGGTCTTAAATCACTGGAGGTAAATTGGCCTAGGGCACCGCCATGGAGTCGAACTGGCTCACGATGTTCCGGATCCTCTGTCCTGGGATGCTCTTCTTGTAAGCTGTAGTCGGACGTGAAGGAGCTGTGGGCGGACGAGACAGCGCTGCAGACGTGGGTCCCTTTGGTTCTTTGGATTGGGAAGTTGGAGGCTGAGCTTTGTGGATCGAAGAAGGTGCTTCTGACTCTTCAGGTTTTGGACCAGAAGAGGGGGGAAAGTTCGAAGGAGGAATTCCTTTAGAAATTGAGGAATTGTTGTCGTTATCAAGGCTTCTGGAGCTTCTGGGGTGGTCTGTGGTTTTGTTCTTACTTTCAGAAGGACCGGCATGGAAGACGGCACTTTCACACGGATCTTGTGGTTCCAAAGCCTGTTTTGGAGATGTCGTTGGGGGTTGATCCAAAGAATCCACAGATATCTCGAGAAGCTTTACTAACGGTCCCTCAATTGGATCGTCAACATCAGATGGTGGGGTTTTCGGGTTTCCAATGACACTGTCCATGCTCTTCAACTCAAATCCCACCAAATCGTTCATTTGAGAACAAGAACGGCCTGAAGTACCTTTTAAGCCCTTAGAAGTATCTGAACTCTTAAGAACATAATCGGCTTGACGGACACTATGATTCAGAGGTGGCCGTGAGGTAAAGTCATAACACGGATTGAGGTGATAGATCGATGGCTCCTGCCATGGATTACCGTCAACTATTTCTTCATTCGACCCTTCCTCTGACTCAGCTTTTTCTGTCCCTGTATTCGTTTCTTTGATGTCATTTTCCGGAATCGAATGCAAATCAAGAGTCTCCTCTTTAACACAATCCTCCTCCCAAGTATGTCCAGCAGTTTGTTCTCCACAAAACTCCTCCAATTGAAGCCTCCGCCCCTCTCTGTATTCATCAACCGCCTTTCTTCCCTCAAGCATGCATTCCCATAGAACCTCCCAAGAAGCCTGTCATCGAGAGAAACACAAAGCGCCAGATATTCCCACCGAGGTGCAAGATTGAAGAAATCTGCTTTTTTGAGACATACTTCCTCCACTAGGTTGTACGCTGCACGTTCGTACTCGTTTTGATTATCATCAGCGTGGTAGCTCAATAAGGCAGTGAAGACGTCACTCAATGTGGGAAGAACTAGCTGTAGTATCTCGTCTTTTTGGCATATTCCTGATGAGCTCTGATTGACCGTGACAATTGAGCTTTTTGGGGAATATGTATCCAGTACTTCGTCGTCCTCGATTGAGCTTTCTTCAGGTGGTGCACCCTTCAGTACACTGGAGAACCCATACTTCCGGTCCAGTCGTTTTTCAAATAAATGTGACCTTCTAAATTTGCTTTTCACTCGTAAGACCACTCGACGAAAGCGTGAGACGAAATTGACTCCCACAAACAGAAATGCGGTGGAACTTCGAGAGGTGTAGACTGGAGGCAGACGAGTTCGCCTGTTTTTGACATGTTCGAGCTCTGGTACCGCCAACACCCGTTTGACCCTATATTCTGGTACATTTTCCGCCTGAATTTGGCAAGAGCACGATGGGGAGACTGGCTCGTTATCAGCTTCAGAGGGATTTCTGAACCTCAGTGTGTGAACTAAACAAGGTACCACTTGAACGTGGATTTGTTTTCCAGTTTTAGAAGACAAGGCCTGCTGTGTTTTGGAATAAGCCTCAGCCTGAGAGTTACAAGAAATTTCAGAAATGTCTGGACTAGCCGCTCTAATCGACTTTACTTCCTGTTTTGCAGCCATTTCTGGAGACCCCATGGAATCAGGAGAACGGCCTCCAGGATCTGAAACATAGGAAACAGAACGGCACGAAGACCACGAAATGTACCGAGGTCTCTCCCTGTACTTGTAAGAACACTCAGATGGGCTCTTTGAGTCAACCCTTTGAGAATTTATATCAACGATTTGACAAGATTCACCCACCATTTCTTCATGATCAGCCTGATCCTCCAATAAACTCAGTTCTCGAATTTCTGAAAAGATGTGTTTATTCTCCTGGAGTCTATGCCTCCCATCAATGGCCCTCGGACTCGCCTTTCAACAAGAGCCTTGGTTTCAAGCTCAATGCACCTCGATGCCATTTTGGACAATTCTGACCCGTGAAGCTGATGAACACTGAAACTGTAAAGCTCAGGATGCTTTAGAAAGCCAAGGTACCCTTCATCCATGGAAAATGGTGTTTGTGAAAGTTCCACATCTCTTCGCAATTACCCTACAATCCAACCCTACAACACACTAATGCAATCATAATTTTTGACAACCGTCTTCTATAAATATGCAACAAAAAAGACTCAAACCCACGCAGAGTGCTTGAAATCGTGGCCCTTCTGCTCAGGCACAATCGTCAAAAGCTCGCCTGTTCTGATGTGGTGCTCCACATTGTCGACCGTAAAGTCCTCCATGTTCTTGAGCGCCTGCGTCGTCCAGGTACCCATGTGTGGCAAGGAAACAACGTTAGGCAATTCGTACAAGTCCTTAGGAACCTCTGGCTCGTGCTCGAAAACATCAGCACCAAAAGCACCAACCTTACCCAGCTTCAACTCGTTAATGAGCTCCTGCTCGTCAATGACAGCGCCTCTAGCGGTGTTGATGATGATCACGCCGTCCTTCATCTTGGAAATGGCCTCTTTGTTGATCAAATGACGAGTCTTGGGGTTCAATGGCACAGACACAACCAACACATCGCTCTGAGCCAACAACTCGTCGAATCCCACGTATTCAGCGCCCTTCTCCAATTCAGTATCGAGTCTGGAACGATTGTAGTACAAGATCTTCTCAAACCCAAATGGCTGCAAACGGTCTCTAATAGCACGGCCAATTCCGCCCATGCCCAAAATACCCACAGTCTGTCCCTCAGGGTCCTTGCCCAATTTGACGCCTCTGCCAATGTCCGGGTTGGTCCAGTTACCCTGAACCAAGGAGTCGTGGCCAATTTGGTACTTTCTCATTGTAGCAAGAGTCAAGTACACCGCCGTAAGCGCCGTAGGAGCCTCCACAGGAGTGGTGACATTGGAAAGCTGAATGTTTCTGTCTGTCAAAGGCTGTGGATCAACCTGGTCATAACCAGCGCCATTATGGGAAACAGCCACAACAGAGTCAGGCAAGGCGCTGATGATTTCAGAGTCAAAACGCCCCGTTTGCTCCACACTGGGGAAAGTACGAACCACGTGAGTCACGTTGCTGTGTTTTGTCTTGAGCTCCTTCAAAAAGTCTTCTCTGTTCTTGGCTTCACTGTCCACCACAGTAGCGATTTCTTTCAACTTGTCCCACTTTTCATTGGAAAAGGGCCACTTTCCGAGTCTAAGCACAATGGGTTTTTCGGCAGTCATTGATAAAAATCTATAGGCGTGTCTTGTAAGGGTGTTTTTCATCCAGAAAGCGGAATCCGGCGGAACTCAATGGCTTTTTATATTGAGCTCTGCTCGCGGGTTTTGAGGTGTATTCCCCAAACTTGGTGTATGCACCACACACCTAACTACGAGGATGCCAGAGATAAGCGAAAGCTCCCCACGTTTTGGCCAGAGTACCCCACGCTTTTTGGTGAATTTGGGGCACCAAAGTGGAGGATCTGTGGAGGGACACTCAGTATTTTCCACGGTCAGAGGGTTTATTCTAGACTATTTTGCGTCACCTTAGAAGATGAGGTGCGAGCCGCGGTATGGGAAGGTGTCGCTGATTTTGGAGGCGCCCTCGGCAGAAACCTGGCTTCTCTCTGGGAAGTTCTCAAGACTCTTAGCGTAGGTGGCGACGGAGTGGGCAATCAACTTGGTGTTAACCAACCAGGCTTCGTAGTCGGGTTAGACAAGTCGTCGCACAACTGGTGGTAGCATGGGTCAAACCACTTGCCAGCCTCACCGCCAAACTGCTCCTGGCCCTTCTTGGTCTTGACCTTCTCGGCACCAGTAGCAATACCACCAGCAGGAATGCCAGCGTCGATGAAACCAACGTAGTCGCTTCTGCCGTCGAATGGAATCAAGGTGTAGTTCAAGCCCTGCTCCTTGTACCAGTCAATGTAGAGGTCCTTCAAGTCACCAGAACCGTTAGGGTGGTCCTTGTTGTTGGCATCGTAAACCTCGTACTCGTAGTTTGGAGAGGCCATCATGTCGTAGTCCATGAACAATCTGATCTTCTGGTTCTCCTCGGGCGAAAGGGCCTGAGCGTAAGCATAAGAGCCCAAAAGGCCCTCTTCCTCAGCAGCCCACCAAGCGAAACGAACGGCATTGTTGACCTTGTACTTGGTCAATTGCTTGGCCACCTCGAGCAAGGAAATAGTACCAGAACCATCGTCATTGATACCAGGACCAGCAGCAACAGAGTCAGAGTGAGCACCCAAAGAAACAACGTTCTCGTGGTCACCCTTGATGGTCTCAGCAACGACATTGAGGGTCTTGATCTTCTTCACATAAGAGTCGACAAAAAGAGTAGTCTCGAACTTGTGCTTAGGGTTCTTCTTCAATTTGTCAATGTACTCCTGAGCATCCTTCTTGGAGATGGACACAGTTGGCACCTCGTCGCCAGTTGGCTCGCCCAAGGTGCCCTGCAAAGGAGCCTCCTTGTCGAAGATGATGAGACCAGCAGCGCCAGCCTTACCAGCATTGATAGACTTGTTACCAAAAGCACACTCGCCTCTCTCCACCAAGACAATGTTGTCCTTGGTCAACTTCTTTGGGAAGTCAGAGACGTCACAGCCGTAGTTCTCGGCCAAAACCAAATTGGCGTTGATAGGCTTCTTATCTGGAGTAGGAGGGGTGAGTTGGAGAGCCAGCAAGGACTTGGGCTTCACACCGTCAACCAAGAGGGAAACAGAGTTGACACGACCGTCAATGGCCTCAAACTTCTGCACATCAATAGTGTAGTAGTCGCTCAATTTGCCCAACTCGTGCTTGATGTAAGCAATGGTGGCCCAGTGACCTGGAGAGCCAATCACACGAGTAGGATGGCCGTACTTCTTCTCGGATTTCTGAGCAATTGAGTACAATTTTTCAGCTCTTTCCTTCAAAGCCTCCGTGGAGATAGCAGCCTGCAATTTCTCGGTGTCGACCTCAGGCTTGCCCCATGGTGGCCATGGGAACTTCCAAGAAGAGGTCAAAGGCATCTGGAGGTCAACGTCTCCAATGATGACATCATTGAAAAGATCAATGGGGGAGGCCGCAGCCGTACCCAAGATAGCGAGTGAGGTGGCAATTGAGAGCTTCATGGAGTGAAACGGTCTTGCCAGTGGATAAAGAAAAGAAGTATATCTGCCTCTGTCGGCAGTCCGTTCGTATGGCAAAAGACACCCGTGCACCATAGCACACGGCACCTGATAATGCGGTGCCACGCGGCTTAACAAGGCCAGAATTTCGCAGCCATCATACTCACGCTCTTCTCTTCTTGCGTTGTTGTTTCCCTTGTTGGAAACCGTTTCCGGAAAATTTGAATCCACCATTGCCGAAATTAAAACCAGAGCCACCAAAGTTGCCAAAATCGAATTTGATATTTGGACCGCCCTGGAAGTTAAATCCACGATTGCCGCCGCGTGTAGGACCTTGAGAATGGCCCAGACGTCCTCGGTCATATGCTTCTTTCGACTCCTTATCCGACAAGACCTCGTAGGCCTCGTTGATCTCCTGCATCTTTTGCTCCACTCCCTTTTCATCTAGATCACCGCCCTTGTACTTGTCCGGGTGGTACTTCAATGTCTGTGTTCTGTAGGCCTTCTTGATCGTCTTATCGTCAGCGTCAGGCAGAATATCAAGCACCTTGTAAAAGTCCTTTGAAGGGTCGCTTTGCATCTGCTGCTGCTGTTGTTGCTGCTGCTGTTGGCGGTACCATTGCTGCTGTTGTCTTTGCTGGTCTTGTTGGAACCTGGCCTGCTGCTGCTGCCTTTGCCTCTGCTGGATCTTCTCAATCACGTTCCATCTTTTTCTGAAAGCCTCAGTCTTGCCAACGTGTTTGCTGAACTGGGAAAGAAGCTTCTGAGCCTCGGCGTAGTTCTTCTTCTTGAGCTCTTCATCGATACGAGCAGCATGCTTGGGAAAGAAAGGCTGACCATCCTCCACGGCGCCATCACAATAAACTTTGCAATCAGCAGACTTCTCCGAGTAGAGAGCAGCTTCGCAACGAAGGCGAGTCAAGTCTCTATAAAATTTGAGGTGCTGGAACAACTTCTCGTCACCAAGCTCCTTGTCGGCAAAAGCGTTGGCCATCCATAAAAGGTAGTCGAAGTTGTTCTTCACTGACGAAGGCACGTTCTTGAGGTCACGCTTGGGTGCCTTGATAGGGTCCTTGTTCAAGAAAGTATGGATCTGATTCCAGTCGAACAGGAACGAGCCGTACTTCTCATCACTAAGGTCGCTGGCTTCGTCTGAAACGGGGTATATGTAGCCATCGAGGATCGAGTAATCCTCAAGCAGCTTTAAAATGGTTGCAAGACGAGCAAACATCTTGGAAAGGGAACCGCATTGCTTGTTCTCGTTCTCGATCCTCAAACAGCTTTTGACGGCATTCCATGCATCTTGGTAGTTCGATTGCGTGAAAAAGAGGTACTCGGCAAATTCAGTGTACCTGCCCAAGTCCTTCTGTGGAGCCTTCTTGAGCAAAGCAGAGTAATCCGCAATCATGCCCACCAATGTATCTTCAGTGAGGGCCCGATCTTTGCCCAAAGTCTGAGCAGACTTCTTTTTGCTGCAGGCCAAATGAAGCTCGAGGACGGCAATGTTTTCAGGTGTGAGAGGTCGGAGCGTCGTTTCCACAGCCCCTAGGCACTCATCATAATCGTACTTCAGTTTGCCTTCTAGAACGCCTTTGAACTTGTCAAACGTCTTCTCCCACGTCTCCATTTGTCCGGCCAACTCCTTGTCGGCATTTTTATCCATGACCCGCCTGACAGCGGCAAATTCCCCCCGCTTCACCATGATCTCCTTGTATATGTTTCTTGCAGGCTTTGAGTCTGGATCCAAGGCAAAGACAGCCTCGAGGTCCTCGATGGCAGAACCCATTTTGTTCAAGCTCATCTCCACAAGAGCCCTATTGTAAAGAGCCGTAGCTAGCGTTTTTTGGTCAGACAGACCCTGGAGGTCCAGAATCAACTTGTCAAATTCATCTAGAACCTGAACTGTAGGACCCACAGTTCTTAGAAGACTTTGGGCTTCTCGAATTCTCGATGTGAAGTCCTCGGCGAAAACCGAGACTAGTAGCAGTACCAATAAGGTGACTAGCAAGATTCTAGACATTTTGTGAATAAATAAGGAGGAGTAGTTGTGGTTATGGGTGCGACTATGTAAAGCTAGACACGTTAACGTTTTTCGCACCCATTTCCTACACCATCTACACGGTTGTTTTTCCATTAGATCATTTCTATTATGCCATGGCAGCTCAGCCTACTTGAAGAGCTTGGCCAAAGAAACGGCGCCTTCGTCGTTTCTCGACATCACCTTCGCCACCGCCAACTCAAAGTCCTCTTGCGTCACGTGGATTCTTCTTTCTCTCAAGGCGTACATGCCTGCCTCTGTACAGACACCTTTAACGTCAGCACCGGAGCAGCCGCCCATCTTCTCGGCGATTTTTCTCAAGTTGATGCCTCTGGTCAAGTTCATCGACCTGGAGTGAATCTTCAAGATATCCGTTCTCGCCGTCACCGTAGGAGCAGGGAATTCAATCTTTCTGTCGATTCTACCGGGTCTCAACAAGGCAGGGTCCAAGATATCCAATCTGTTGGTGGCCATGATGATCTTGATATCCTTGGAGCTCTCAAAACCATCCAACTGGTTAAGCAACTCCAACATGGTTCTCTGCACCTCGGAGTCTCCTCCAGAGGAGCCCTCCACTCTTGATGAACCAATGGAATCGATTTCGTCCATGAAAATGATCGATGGAGCGTGTTCTCTGGCCATGACGAAAAGCTCACGCACCATTCTCGAACCTTCACCAATATACTTCTGCACCAATTCGGATCCCGAAACTCTGATGAACCTACAGTCCGTGTGGTGAGCCACTGATCTGGCCAAAAGCGTCTTACCGGTACCGGGAGGTCCGTACAAGATGACACCCTTGGGCTGCTCGATACCCAAACTCTCGAAAAGCTCTGGATGCTTCACAGGCAACTCAATCACCTCCTTGATCTCTTTGATTTGCTTGTCCAAACCACCCACCATATCGTACGTGGAGTCTGGCACTTTTTCAAGCATCATCAACGACACCAATGGGTCGACCTTGTTGGGCAAGATCTTGTGCAAGTCGTATGAATCAGCCTTGAGACACACTCTCAACGAGGGTGTCAATTTCTTGATATCGATGTCTTTGGTGACATTGACAATGTACTTGCCTTCAGGGTGAATCTTGACAAGGACCTTTTTCAAGCCCATCACTTTGACGACTTCACCGACATACGAGCCTGGTTCCTGAAGAAGCCTCAACTCGTCTTTCAACTGACGTACTTTACTGTTGAGCTTGTTTCTCTGAGCTTCCAATCTTCGTAAGTTTTGCGTTGTATTTTGGATTTTGATTTCTGTGTCCTGTATCTGCTGCTCGAAGTAAGGCTTGATGCCTCCTTCGTGGACGTAAGGAGTATCGACTGTGGTCATATCGTTGGAGTTTGAATGGGCTTACTGAGGTTTGCCTTCTACGCTCACTTCCACACGACCAGTGGTGTAGTGTGTACTGCAGGTAAGACCACCTTCCACCACAGCCCAAACCGACAACTCTCAAGATGGGGGAGGGATTTAGATAATATGGTAAATGTGGAAATAAACTTAGAGCAGTTTGGTTTGATCGGCGGTCTAGGGGTTAGCGGGATGCTGGACTTGTTGTTGTTTAAAATGTCACGTGACCACAGTTTGATCAGAGACAATCAACCAAGGGTGAAGAGAAATTAGCTAGTTGAGGTAGGTGTATTGTAGCAGCTGTTATAAAGTTTACAGGGATTAAAAAAGTGTATTATGTCGAGTTTTGAAGCTCGCTTGAAGTATACTGGTTGCTGCGCCCTGTCAGAGACACCAGATTACGAAAAAGAGAGACAAGAACTGGTAGTCTCAAAAATTCCAGAACAGTAGGCGCTGGAAATAGTCAATTTTGAATTTCTTGTGTTGAATGCACTTTTATGGTGAAGTTTTGAAGAAAATTAGATCGCATTCACTTTTCGCAGCCATGAGCTTATCAGTTGGAAAAGTACCGAAATAGAATAAACTTTGGGTAAACTTTAGGCTCTCAAAATTATGAAATCGAGCTCCTTTTCATTACCCAAATCTGACAATATCCAATTTTTGAGCTTATCAAAGGAATTGAAGTCATTGCTCCGAGCCATAACCTCTCTATACACCTTCCCACCAGGACAAGTCTTCAAATGAACGACCAAACAAGCTCAATACATACTTTATAAATACAAGAAGGTTCATGGCTAATTGCAATAAATTCAATCCCCCTTGGGCCCTCTCAATTCCCCAATCGCTCATTCATCCTCCTCTTTCACTATCGACCAATCAGACACCGTCTTTTCTCCAAACCCCATTTCACGCAAATCCCACAATTCTCCAAAACCAATCACTTCTTCTTTCCAAAAACCCCCGTTTTCCCGCTCTACAGCCGGTTGCCAAGAGATTGTCGGTTGGTGCTCGGTGCCTGGATTAATGCATAGGACCAAAAAGGATCGCGAAGTAGGCCCTTTCAGAAACATCCATGATTGCGAAAAGATTGGTGCTTGTGGCGTTGATCGCCGTGGCAGCAGCTAACCAGCAATACTGCAAATGTGTTTGTTCCGGTAATACCGTGGTGGGCAAGATCGACAAGTGTGTGATGTGCAACAGCAGCTGGTGCTTGGAGAAGAACGATAAGCTTTGCGAGGAGAAGGAGGACGAGGAGAAGATTGTGATTAGTTGTTTTCAGATCGAATCAACGAAGGAGAAGGTGATCATTGTGTTGTTTGTGCTTGGGGTTCTAGGGTTGCTAGCAGCGGGCTACTGGAGGTGATTGCCATGGAGATGTGGATACTAGGTGAGAGAGGTGTTTGATATAAGCACGGGAGAGAAGGGCTTGAGACGTGTTTTGGAGGTGAAAAAGTGTTGATATTTGGACGAGCTTGATTGAGTCAAGCTGTGGGAGTTCGTCCATACGTTCCCAGGTGATACAATGCTGAGCGGTTTGATAGAAGGAGGTTCCGGGGAGAAGGCCCTATGGAGGAGAAGTTGAAGTGTATTGTGTCAATTCAGGTTTTGCAGGGGATGTTGGCACGGATTTGATGACGCCCGTTTGAGAGAGTTGCTGGTAATATATTGTCACTACAATGCAGAAAGCGGGTTCATTACTTTTGTGCTTCAAATCAAAGGGTTGAAAATGTTGGTTGGAGGGAACAAATTGTCAAATAGAGCTTCCATGGCTGTCGAAACCCACAATATAGATTTGAGCAGCCTTTAAGCAGTCTATCACCCTCAGTCCGCCTTTAGACCATGAATTCTCAGCACGGCCCGAGGTTGTTGCTTGGAGATAGCTCTACTATCGAAGCCTTCTACAAAACTGACAAGAAGCTTCTGATGTCGCCCAATGGCCAACACCACCACTTCATGGCATACAGCCAATCAAGGCACTGCTTTCACATCCTTTGGGTTCGCTCCATAAGTGTTCAAATGTCTGGAAACTGCTTATTGGTCCGCCAATGATATCAAACTCTTATATTCGTTGCCATCCACCTTCAGCACACTCCGTACTTACTCATCCAGCCGGGCCAGACCAATGCGGAGCAAACCAGACCAATTGGTGCATCACGACAAAACGACTCAAGTGGGTGCTATCACGGTGAATCATCCAGAAGATTCCAGCAATTTTGCCAATTTCCAAAATCTCCCAAAATTTCGACTTTCCACTTGCCAATAAGGTTCAGCCTTCCCTGAAGGCTTGCGGTTGCAAGTCTGAATCAGGTAACCGGTGCGACTCCGAAGCCTCACGAGCAGCCCTAGAGAAATAGACGAGGCATCCTGATTGCCCTGGGAAGGGTTCCCCACGATTTCATCAAAAATTCGACTTCAAAAAGAAAAATAACGAAAATTGCAGAAAAAAAAAACACAAACTCATCCGGGTGCCACGGGCGGACCTGGCCGAGCAAGCCAATGGAGACGGTCCCTGGCGGTCGCAGCCCAGGAAAACGCCAATTAGCAATTGCCGAGGCACCAGGCCAGTCACACCGGTCAATTTGAAAAAAAGACAAACTTTCATGCCAAAAGTGACGCCAAAAAACACACTCCCTCAAGCTGCCACCCCAAATCACACCAGTTTCCGTATTTTTCACTCCCGCTGCTTCTGTGCCTGGCCTGCGGATGGCCTAATACAAGTGCAGTGCGAGAAGGAAGGTCCACCGAAGCGCCTGACGGCGCCACAAGACGATTTGCAAAAAATAAAAACCGTCACGCCTCCACAAACAACGTATATAGACGAACCCTCTAATTAAACTCCCCCATACGGCAGGAGAAAGGCTCAAACGTCGGGTATTTGAACGCGCGAGAAAGCGCACACATTTTTTTTTTTTTTTTTTTTTTCAGGTTTTTTCTTCATCTTTTTTCTGGACTACCTTCTTTCTTCAAGAAGTTTTCAGAACAACACCACTTTTTCCCACCACCATGTCTGGCACCCCTGAGTCCCAGACTGAAATCCCGGCTTCCCAAAAGGGAAACGCCCCTGTGCCTCCCGCTGCCCAGGCACCTCCCCAGGCTGCTGCCTCCACTGCTCCTGGTGAAAACCAGCCTGTGGGTCAAAACCTCCCTAACCAAAACTTCCAGGGTGGCAAATACCCACAGCACTTCCAGGGGAAACCCCAGAACAGACCGCAGCAGGGCGGCTCCCAGGCCCACGGCTCCGCTCCCGGTACTCCACACCAGCACCACCAACCGCCCCACCAGCATCATCAGGGCCAGGGCCAAAGAGGAAACTACAACAACAACAATAGCAACAAGAACTACTACAACAACAACAAAAGGAACTACAACGCCAAGGTTGGCGCGCAGAACCAGTACCAGTATCCTCCCAACTTCAACCCCAACATGTACAACTACTACCCAATGTACTTCCAGCAAGGGATGGTTCCAGGGTGAACATGCCCGGCTACTCCCGCAGCTGCCGCTGCTCTCGCAGTCGCCTGTTCAATCTTATCCTCAGGGTGCCTCTCCTGCTGCTGCTGCCAGCGCCGCTGGACCTACCAAGGTGAAGATCACAGACAAGGACGGAAAGCAAGTCAACTTGGAGGACAAGAAGAAGCTGTCTGCCAGCTCTTCTGCTCTGACCACGCCCGTGCCTTCTCAGGCCCAAATCGTGCCTGGATCGGCCTCTCCAGCCAAGTCCCAGACGCCTGAATCCGAGGACCAGGCTGCTGCTGCCGCTGCTGCTGCCGCTAAGAAGAAGGAAGCCGCCGACGAGTTCCGCAGAAAGATTCTCGAGAAGGCCAAGGCCGCTAAGGAGAAGAAGGAGGCCGAGGCCCGTGCCGCCCAGGCTGCTGCTGAGCCCAAGGAGGAGGTGAAGGAGCCAGTTCCCGAGACCAAGCCTGAGCCTGTGGCTGAAACGAAGCCCGAGCCAGTGGCCGAATCCAAGCCAGAGCCAGTTCCAGAAACGAAACCAGAGCCAGTTGAGACCAAACCAGAGCCTGTCACAGAGACCGTGAAGGAGGAGGGTGAGAAGAAGGAGGAAGCTCCAGCTCCAGCTCCAGCTGAGACCACCAAGGAAGAACCAACGGAGCCAACGGAAAAGGCCGAGCCAACGGAAAAGTCCACCCCTGTGGCTGCCCCAGAACAGTCGGAGGACATTGCCGAAAAGGACGAGGAAGAGGCCGAGGTCGAGGAACAAGAGAAGGTGTTCGACCTCTCCGCTTTCTTTGACAGATTGGCCTCGTGCAGAGCCATCGAAGACCCCTTCACTTACCCATACCCATACCCCTTGACCGGCGTCGACGCCAGATGGAAGGCTGGCCAGAAGAAGTATAGATACGACCCGCAGTTTTTGTTCCAGTTCCGTGATACCGTGAACTACCCTATCGACGATGCCTGGAAGGAGAAGCTTGAAGGTTTGGGCATTGTGCCTAACAAGAGATCCGGCCCTGGCGGTCCTCAGCGCATGAACTCTTCCAGATTCGGCTCTCAGGCTCCAGGCAGAATGGGCGGAAGCATGCAGAGACCTGGTTCTTTCGACGGAAGACAAAACTCCAGATCGGGCTCCAGAAGAAGAGGCGGCTCCAACGCCGGCAACCCAAGAGACCGTTCGTTGAGAAACAGAAACCAGTCCAGAAGAGGCCCAAGAGAGAGAGACGATGATGCTCCATCCAAGCCAGCCGAGGACGTGAAGCCATTGGTTCCTTCTGCCAACAGATGGGTGCCTAGATCCAGACAAAAGACCACCGAGGTCAAGACTGCTCCTGACGGAACGGTGCTCCTTGACAAGGAGGATGTGGAAAGAAAGGTCAAGTCTGCATTGAACAAGTTGACGTTGGAGATGTTCGAGCCTATCTCGGAGCAGATGTTGGACATTGCCAAGCAGTCCCGCCACGAGGAGGACGCTGCCACCATCAAGCAGGTTATCTCCTTGACGTTTGCCAAGGCCTGTGACGAGCCTTACTGGTCCAGCGTTTACGCCCAGTTCTGTGCTAAGATGGTGAAGGAGATCCCCGACGAAATCAAGGACGTGAGCATTCTCACCAAGAGCGGCGAGCCTGCCATTGGTGGTGACTTGGCCAGAAGAATCCTTTTGGCTACCTGTCAGACCGAGTACGAAAAGGGCTGGGTCGACAAGCTCCCCACCAACCCAGACGGCTCTCCTTTGGAGCCCGAGATGATGTCGGACGAGTACTACGCCATGGCTGCCGCCAAGAGAAGAGGTCTTGGTTTGGTCAAGTTCATTGGTAACCTTTACATCTTGAACATGTTGAACGACCAGGTTATCTTGCATTGTTTGAGAGACCAGTCCAAGAACGTGACGGACCCATCGGAGGACTCGTTGGAGAACTTGGCTCAGTTGATCAAGACCGTTGGTCCTAGATTCGAGGCCTCGGAGAGAAACAAGGCTGCCTTGAACATGATCTTTGACAACATCCAGCTGATCTTGGACAACTGCAAGCTCTCGTCGAGAATCAAGTTTATGTTGATGGACTTGCAGGATTTGAAGAAGAGCAACTGGAAGTCGCTCAAGCAGGAGTCTGGCCCCAAGACCATCAAGGAGATTCACAACGAAGCCGAGTTGAAGAAGCTCGAGGAGAGCAAGGCCCAGGCCGAGAAGAGAAGAAACAAGGGCTACGGTGGAGGTGGCTACGGCGGTGGTGACTCCAGATCAAACTCCACCAGAGGCGGAGCCTCGTGGGGCAACAAGAAGGAGTCCAGAGCCCCCACCAAGGACTCTAGAGGCTTCCAGTCTGTTCCTCGCTCGCAGCTGAACAGACCCACGCCTGACTCGAGCTTCAGTGCTTCCCACACTTCTCCTAGAGAAAACTCTAAGAGAACCGACTCCATGGCCTCCAACATCTTCGCTGCTTTGGACGGCGACAACGACGACAACGAGTCCGAGGGCGCCGGCCACTAATCCTTGCATGTTTCCCCTGCATTTCCTTGCATCCCACTAGATTCATAGGTAATCTGTACTATAGCACCTTGTCGTGATAATGAATTGACACTGATATATACACAAAAAAAAAAAAAAAAAAAAAAAAAAAAAATAAAGTTTACGTTGTAGGTTCTTCTTTTCGGCGGTGGAAGTACTGGCGGAAGGCAGCCAGGAAACGGTGTTTCGATGGACTCTCTAAACCGTCCATTTCTGGTGCTTCCAAGGTCTTGAGAACCTCCTCCAGAGCATCCGCCACCAAAGCGGTGTATTTTCTGTGGACGTCGGAATTTCCGTGATTTTGACCCTGAGCCTCCTCGATTACCTGAATGGAGAAGTTGCCCATCATGAGGAGCAAGTCGACGGAACACTCAGCAGTGGTTTCAAGAAAACCACCAATGACGCTTATGGACTTGCGGACGTGCAAAAGGGCCAAACAGAAACCGAGAATGGCCGTTTTGAGAAACAGAAGAATGAGGTCGCCGATAATGATGCAAGGCACAAGAATATAAAGACCAAGGGTGTGGAATCGGAACATAGTGGAGGAACAAAAGTGGCTGCAAATCGGTTTCTGTGCGCACATAGTTATGGTGAGGATGTCTCAAGAAGACTGGTTCCCTCGTTGCCAAGGGTGTAAAAGGCCTCCTCAAAGTCGTACACTATTTCTGGTGTTTTATCTGAGACGTCCATCTTTTCCGTAGCCGGCTCCTTTAGCAATTCCTCGACCATAGCATCGTCCTCTACTACCTTGAAAGTCGGCTCAGTAGGTTTGCTAACATCCCGAACCACCTTGCCAAAAAACGCCTTCAAATCTGATATAGTGTCCGAGAGAAGCTCGCCATCTTGCTTCAGCGCTATAGTCAATTGCTCGATGCAATTGGTCAAGGCAACAGGCACATCGATGGTAGCTTTCTGAAGCGACTTGTGGACAGCCATGATCTGCGGTAAAAGCAGCGACTGAACCTTGATATACGTGCAAGAGTACAATAGGAGATACTTTGTGATCACATGCAACAGTTCCCCTTTTGAAACAAGCTGTAGCATTGTGTGTGCTGCTGCTCTCACAAAGTACTTTGTTCGTGATACTCTATTGGTGAGGTACTGCTCCTCCTCGTCGTCCAGGTAAATGTGCCCTTTTTGGTCGCTTTCGTCATCTGTAAATGCATCAGTGGGGTCTTCGTTGAGACAGCTTTCCAAATCAGACGCCATAGCCTGGGCAGCCTTGACGCTTATCGTGACCAAGAACTCGTTCAGCTTATGGCTATATTGCACAATCTGGGGCCGTTTTTCTGTCCTTTCTGCCACACTGGGATCCCTCTGGTTCATGAAATCGTAGAGCTGCTGAATGAGCCGAATGCTCAGCCCATTCTGGAGTCCTAGATGGACTTTGGTGGAGTTTCGAGCAGATTCCTCGACCTGGCTTTTCGACAAAAACGAATCTTCCCTTGAACGATGGCTTGATCCGAGAAGTTCCACAAAATTAATTGCTGTTCGACTGTCTCCGTGAGCATACTTTGCAATCACCTCACTGGCACCATCCTCGAACGTAATAGGTTGCAAGTTGAAAAGTACCCGCCGGCGGATATTCTCAAAAACAATTGCCTTCTCCACCACAAGCCTCAATTCCTCATCTGTCAAGTTGCGGAGTTCAAAGAGCTGGCACCTCGACAAAATGGCTCTTCTGATGCGTTTACTAGGACTCACTGTAGTAGCAGCCAAAAACACGAAAGCGCCACTTTCCACAAAAGGAAGCAAAAAGTCCTGTTGAACAACCGTGAAACGATGAATTTCATCAATAAACACAGCAACCCTCAACCTGTCCTGGCCTAGTCTCTGACGCATCAAGTTCTCTTTAGCTAAGGCTTGCAGTAGATCTCTGAGTTCGCTTACCGTGGCGTCTGTAGCTGAAAATTCCACAAATACGTAGTTCGTCTCTTCCGCTAAAAGCTTAGCTAGCGTTGTTTTGCCCACTCCAGGTGGACCATAGAGGATCATCGATGGTAGATAACCCAAGGTGATGAAGTTGGTGATGGCTCCATTGGTGCTGTTGAGGAGATGTTTTTGACCTATGACGTTCTTAAGGGAATTCGGCCGAATAACTTCAGAAAGTGGCCGTCGTAGTGCCTGGTTTACGGCATTTTTGCCAGATTCCATAAAGAGTTGAAGATCAACAGATACTACTACTTAGCGCGTTGCCTGTATGGATCATATAGGTGCCATCATGTATCTACAATCAGTGTAATGTGTATCCTAGTAATTTTACATAGATCCCTAGCAATGAATGGCTGTCTTGCTGGAATGCCAGTCAGCGTAGCCACTATGGATTGTTATTGTACATAGAGCTTCAGTTCCCCCTGCCATCCGACATCATGGGACTCTGCAAGGAGGACAGGAAGCGTCTTTTCTTGAGCACCTGCTTCGGGTCCTCTTGCGTCACCGTGCGTGGAGATGGACTGGAAACAGAGCCATTGGTGCCGCCCGCCACAGAGCCCATTCTCAGTAGGCCGGCTTGATTCGAGGTAAATTCTTCGAGGGCCTTGAGCGGGGAGGCAATGTTGTTGCTCGACAGATACGCCATGAGCGGACTGAGTATCGACATCATGTCGCCAGTCTGTAGCGTCCTCATGGCTCGGTCATGAAGACCGCAATTGCCTAGTGTCTGGGACGCCTGGCAGTTATCTGCGAGACTGCTGATGATATCCTTCATGCCCATTTTTGAAGTATTATTATTGTTGCTGAAATTTTGCCAGAGGTGCTCCAAAGAAGCTGTGCCAATGGAGCTGCGGTAGTCGAGCATCCGACAGTCGACCCAGTCGATCTTAAACTCTCTATTCAAAAGTACGCGACAGAATCCACTGGCGGTGCCTAGAGAGCCGTCCAGGTAATTGTAGTTCACGGTGACCTTGGAGCCGATGAAAATCAGACCGTTGTTCATGACTTGGAATTTTGTTCCCGAAAGGAAAAGCTGAAGCGATGCCAATGCTTGCGATGCAACGTTTGAAAGAAAGAAGCGAGGGGCGCTTGTCACGTCAAGCTCAAATGTTCTTGGGCCTCCTGAGTTGGACTCGAAGGGAACTCCGTCATTACCTTGTTTACGCGCCGGGGTGTTCGTGCTGAAGCGAATCGTACCATTCGACACAAAATATGCCAGGACAAGTCTTGTCCAAAACTCAATTGTTCGCAAGCTCTCCATGGGTTCATTCAGCACGAGCTCAATCAAATCAATTAAACGCACCACTGCGGCATTGCCCAAGTTACGACGAAAGATCTTAGCGTGGACCTCATTTTGCGCAGCCTGATTAGCTGTCATCTTCTGCATGGCTTGTCCAGCCGGTAGACCCTGGGCGGATCTTCCCTGATTTTGTTGATTTTGTGCACCCTGGCTCGGTGCTCCGGTCAGACCCTGTGCCAGCGCTGGGTTGCCGGAATAGCCCTGAACGGGCGTATGCTGAGCTGAGTGAGGTCCCGAATGGGTTTGTTTAGCCAGTCCGGGGCCTTGCAGACCGTTTGCCAGTCCAGGAGCCTGAGGTTGTGCTGTGGACTGCTGCAGTTGCTGTGATTGTGGATGGGGACGATTCTGAGCTTGCAGATTCTGCAGAACGCTACCGTCACCTTGACTCTGTGGGCCTTGTGGACCCTGGGGCCTCTTACGGCGTTTTGGAAATTCTGACGCTGGAAATGTGCCTGTGCTTGTGCCTGTTGCGCCTGAGCCAGTATCGGTTGCAGCAGCTGTCCTGGTTGCATCATGCCCGGGCCCATCTTGTACTGGTTGACCATCGGAGGGCCTTGCAGCATCATGTGGGGTCCTCCTTCGAGCTGTGCCTCGGGCTGTGGGCTGTAGCCGCCAAACTTGGGCTGCTGGTTCTGCGACAGACCGTTTCCTTGCATGTACTGTTGTTGGGCCTGGTTCGGAGAAATCTGGCGTGCCATGTGCGGCAGCGGCAGTGGTCCCGACGTCATGGAGACGCCCGGGTTCATATGCTGGTTCATCATCATCTGTGAGCTTCCGTTGCCGTTTGCTGAAACGCTCATCAGACGCTGTTGCTGTGGATACAGCACGCCGTAGTTGGGCAGCGCCTGGGGCATGTTGCGGTTCAGCGGATGTTGTTGTGGCGGCATCATGGGCGAGGAGTACTGGTTGTGGAGCTGGCCCACCGGCGGCGAGGCGTTCTGGATGTTCATGAACGAGCCGTTGGAGTTGCCGTTCATCGCAAACGATGGTGCCACGAGAGGGGTTTCTGAAATGGAAGGTGGTGCCTTTTAGAAAGAAAAAAAATATTTTCTGGCCCCTGGCTCAGGGATTCTCCTCCTTATATGCTTTGGCTTCTTGAGTAGCACGCCTGGTGGTGGAAATGGGCCTATCCTTGGCGAAAGTCACGGGACCGGTTTCTTTCAAAATACGACGTGGCTGACGCACTGAGTGTCGGCGCTTATGTACCTGAAGGCCCTTGTCGCTGGCGCTGTCGCTGTGGAAAACGAAGAAGGTGGTTCTTGATGGTTTTGGCAAGAATCCATACATTAGCGTCCAGGGTCTTCCGGGAGTGCATACAAGCGCCCTCAAGGCTCCCATACGCAAGGTCGAGGCGGGGCGCCCTGATGATTGTCCGCACTGGGTCCAGCGGGAGAGTTGAGAGTGTAGAAGTAGAAAGGAAATTGGGAAATGGGAGGAAATGGAAAAAAAGTAAACTGAAAAGGGAATTGGGACGTTTTCTGATTGGCTGGGTTTCGATTTTCCGGTGTATGGATACAGGGAGGCCCGCAGGCCGCTCGGCCAGCTCTCCAGGCAGGTCTCCAGAAGCAGCAGCACACGAGAAAGGGCATTGGCTGAAATAAGCAACTTGCAGAGAAGTATTGAGATTGTGCTTTTGGATGACTTGTTTTTGGTCATGGGTCTTGCAAATTGGCCCCACCGAGTGGGTGCAGCAGATCCATGTCCCCTCAGATCATCGATGGAGAAGCATTTCAGGGAGGGTTCGCTGGGGGACGTTGGGACGTTGTAGATTTTTGAGCAATTCGGGTTGTTCGATGGACAAATTGAGACCAGGCTTCGACGAAGAGTCAATGATGGCTTGGGTGCCGGCTCTTCCAATTGACTCTTTCTCCGTTCCGCCATAATTTTCACGATGCCATAGCAAAATCAACCTCAAACCTGAAATTCACTCAACTGGCCCCTTAACAGTCCCTTCTGAAACCTCCACTGACATGTCTAGTTTAAACTTCCTTCTTCAGCACCAGCGAACTATAAGCCACCTTCGAGGCTTAGACCCGGCTACATATCTTTCAAGCCCCAGCGAGGTTTGGTCCTGTCCAATGCACGTGGAAAAAGAATGCAATGATTTTCAGATTTTGGCATCAAGATGGTTCTGGCGAGATTGACCTATAGTCGGCATTGTTGCAGAGGCGACCAATTAAACAATGTAAGCGATTGCGTCACCTTCTTCTCAAGCCACTTTTTTCCGTAGCAGCACAAGTTGGGCCTAGGCAAAGCCGCAAGTGGTATAGACCGTGTCGATATGTTGACGAGATTTCAGCTTCCCCTCCATGAAGGGAATATTCCAACGACCACCCCACTCCTTCTCCGTTTCGGTTGGTAAGTATCCGATTCACTCTGCAAGACTAAGGGTGGAACTTTCAGGCTTGCAAACCCAGCGGGTCAAGGCGGGATGCTGGATAACTGGCCTTCTGGGCTTCAATGTCGTCAGCTTCAGGTCCAAGTCGTCGTTGTCCTTGTCTTTTGTCTTACCGGCTCTTCTCTTGAGAAGCTTGTTCAAGGTGTCCCTCTTCTCCTCCTCAAGCTGCTTGACCTTGTAGTCTGCTCTCCGCCTGGCGTTTTCGGCTTTTCTGTTGGCGATTTCCTCTGCCGTCTCGGCCTTCTTCTGTGTCTTCCTATTAAGCGCTAGAAGCTGCTCGTCCATCTCCTGGAACATGCTGTCATCCGATTTCTTGACATTGCCGTCCTCGGCAAAACGAGCCCTCTGTCTCTCGGTAAGCTTCAGAACATCAGGAACCTCTGGTGTGTACTCGAATTCATCATCGTATGGCAGCTCGGAAACAGCATCCCTCGAAGAGCCTGCTGTTCTCCGTGGAATCCGGAGTTTCACAGAAACCTTCTTCTGTGGTGGCTCATCAACATATTCGTCCAGAGGCACGTCGTCCTCCTCTCCTTCGTCATCTTCTTCATACATGGTCAACTGCCTTTTACGTGTTTCTCTAGCACTGCTGTCACTTGACACCGAACCAGCTGCAGCTCCTCTTGTTCTTCTCTCGTTGGCATGAACTTTTGGCGTGTACCAGTCATTCTGCAACTCTTCCATTTCGTTTGAGTTGGTTCCTTCGTCTTCCTCGTCACCCAATCCGATATCGTCGGAGACCTGAGCATCACTCAACTCCTCGGATCTCTCGCCGAGGTCGGACATATCGGCGGAGTCTTCGTCGTCACTGACTGCAATCTTAGGTGGCATTTGGGGGTAAAGAGCTGGGTTGTAGTTGGTTGATCCAAGAGGAGCGTACTTTGGTGATAAGTTGCACCCGTACACCGTTGACCTACGACACAGCCTATACTACGTAAAACAACAAAAGGTATGCTATGTATTGATTCTAGTAAGCCTGGCCGCTCATGAAAAGACCCTTGATGCCACGAATCTCGCCCTTGGCCTCCAGGGCCAAGTTCTTCTCCTTGGACGTGCCATCTGCCTGCAAAACGTCTCTGAAAAACATATCTCTGTGGCTGAAAAAGGCATTGTCCGTCTTTTGCTGAAACTGCTTGATTGACGAGTCAACCAGGCGGTAGCTCGGCAACTCGCCGATCAGGAAACTTGTACATTGTTTCAAGCCTGCGTTCAATACACCAAGCTTCTGATAGAGCTTCTCCAGGCCCAAGGTACGAATATTCTTGAGCTCGGTATCATCTGACGCCTGGGAGTCCAGAGTTTGGCACACAGCCTCGGCATAAAGCTTCTTGGTTCCAGGTCTGTGGAGAGCCACTATAGGAATATGCTCCACTCTGCCAATCACATTGAGGTACAAGTCCCGTAGTTTTGATCTCGCCAGCTCAAGAAGGTCGAGTCTTCTGAATGCACGGGTTTCTAGCAACGGCCTGATGCCAAAGATTCCTATGATGTATGCCAAAATCAAAAGGGCTGCAGACCCGTTTGTCAATTTGAGGAAATACTGAAAAAGACGGGATCTTCTGCGAGCCACGACTCCAGCAAGTCCTGCAGCGTCAAATGCAGCCTCCGGTATAGTGACGATGGGAATCGACATTTGTGTTTTGCTGGTGTTTTCTGGAAGTGTAGGTGGATATCACGGAGTATTGTGGGGACGATTAGTGGACCTCGGTGGGCGTGGTGCACGGGTGTAGACATGTTTCTAGTAGTGGAGCCTACGGCAGTGAAAGGGTAAGTTTTTAAGTTTTTTGATGTTTTGCTTTTCCTCTAATTTTTCGATTAATTTGCCCCTAGCAATGAGATGTGTGTCGGAGCAAATTGTGGCATCGAAACTAGATCATTACCAACTACTCCCTCAACCGTTTCTACTGTCTCAACGGCCATCACCCAATTCACAAGTTCACCTATTTTTATTTCAAATGTTATCATTGTCGAACTTTTGTGTGAATGTTGATTGTTTTCTGTTTCCATCGGTCAGAAACGCTCCTTCGTGTCTAAGCTACCTATATTGTCTCCACCACCGGCTCCATCTACACCTTCTTTATAATTTTATTTATTTTTTTCTTATTTTTGAGTTTTTTTTTCTATTCTTTTTTTTTTTTTTTTTTTTTTTTTTTTTTTTTTTTTTTTTTTTTTTTTGGAAAGAACGGCCAGAGCGACTTGGGGAAAACGGGAATCAATCGATGCAAAGAACCTCCACTTTCCATCAATTACTCCTACGTCCAGCAGTCATGCCTTGCTGACCTTGTAGTCCTCCTTCTGGCCCTCAAGAGGCGAAACTGCCGCCTTTCTCGCAGTCTTCTTTGCCTCTCTCTTCTTCTTATTCTTGAGAGCCTTTCTTCTCTTAGAAAGCTTGGAGGTCTTCTTGGGGACTGAGGTTGCATCGGCTGGTTCAGCACGTTCTGCTTCCTCATTGGTCACAGCAAACCTGACTTGCTTTGACGGCTTTTGGTGGTAAGCCTTCGAAATCTCCTTGAGAATCAGCTTAGGAGGAGGTCTTTGTGCAGCTTGGCCTGACTTATTCTGATTCTCCTTCCTCTCCTTCCTCTCCTTCTTCTCCTTCACGTCGTTGACAACAGCGTTGAGCTGCTTCTTTTCAACAACCTTCCTTTTCTCCCGGACCTTCTCCTTCCAGTTCTCCACATGCTGCTGCCAACGGAGCTTGTCGTGGAAGGATTCCCGGAGCTTGTTGAAATAGATGCTCTGGGCAATGCACTTTGATCCAAAGTTGTCGAAAGCATAGTACTTCTGCAGCATAAAAAACTCAAACTCCCCAGGAGCCCAATTGAAGTACACTCTCTTGTTGTCGTGGGTGACTAGCTCCCTGGTAGGAAGCCAAGTAGACTGCAAGACGTCTCTGACAAAGACGCAGCCTTCTCCGTACCAATATGGATGAACGGTGAATTCCACAGCGGTAGGCAATGTATCGATCATTTTATTTGAGTTTTGAATTTGAAATTGCAATTGTTTTTGGGTTTTGAATTTGAATTTGCAATTGTTTGAATCGTTTGTTCGCTTATGTTTTGCTTATATGGTATCAACTGCTTGCTCAAGGGGAATTGGACAAGATTGATGTGTGGTGGGTGATGATAAAAAATGACAGTGGATCCTGCTGGATATATAGTTGTGAATGCCGGCTGTGCCACCATCTCACCGAGTAGTGGTGTTATGGAATGACCTCGTTGTTTTGATGACGGTGATGAATGAGGTAGGTGGAGGGTTCGATTGAACAGCACTTTCTCCATAAGTGGAAGGCCTGGCAGCATTGCAAAATATTCTGTACGTCTACTGCAATTAAGGTAAGTTTAATATTTGATGACCAGCTAAGGCGGGTCTACTGTTTGTGGACGTAACTAGTAGGTAGTAGAAATGAAAATATCACGGTAAGTGGTGGGGATGGCAGCCCTTCGGGAATGCTGAAAAAAGTCATTGGCAAGCAGTTGGTAATTTTGGCAAGAACACCAATTGCAAAGCATTGTACATTGACAGCTTTCAAGTGTTTGTGAAAGCGTTGGGTCGAAGTACCGGTGTATGAATTCAAAACTCAAGACACAATGCCAGCAAAATAGTCTCCAATTGAACAGCAACTATAATAGTTTTTTTTTTCAGCATATGTCGTGGATTTGTTTGCACGTAAGGAGCCTAAGCGTAGACTATCACCTCACATATATCATCTTTCCTCTAGCACACCCACCATTACATTCCTGACCATCAACCAAACTTTTCTTTTATCCTCATCCCTCAAAGCTCCCCCTAGCAGCCAGTGTGACCACCACCTACGCCTCACCCTCAAATTTCCATCCCTTTCTATGTACAAGTTAATCTATAAGGTCACCGACGGATTTCGTGTAGGTGCCCCGTCTATCGTTGTCTCGTTTCTTGCGGCCCTTCAGCTGGGTCTTTTCAACCAACTGCCGCTGTTCTATCTGTCTCTGGGCTAGAAAGCCATGCACTTTGACCACCGTAGAGGCCCTAGGAGCCCGAACCTTCTCGGTACTCTTGGTCTCCCGCTTTTTGGCCTTCCGCTTTTCCGTGCGTTTCTCGATATCTTCAAGTTCACCTTCTGTGGGCGTCCACTTGGACTTGAGGATCCTTCGAATGTTCTCTGGGTTGATCTGGAACACATCGGCGATCTGCACGGTCTTTATCGTGGGAATACGTTGTTTGAGCTCACGAATCTCGGTTATTTGCTGCCTAGTGAGCTTTCTGGTTGGATTCCACGATCCGTACCTTTTCTTGAGCGACTGTTCCCTCTTTACCCATGCTGGGGCGTTTTTGGCATGTTCTCTATCTGATTCCCTGATTTTCTGCTCGAACGCCGTTTCTGAACGAGGAGGCTTGGCGTACGTTCGAAGCGGCTGCCATAGATTGGATGCTGACTTTTGTGTGGAGTTATTCAGCCGGAGGCATAGTCGGCACCACATCTTCACGGAGTTCTTGGTAGAAGAGTACAGAGATAGTATGTAGGCTGCGATGCGTGTGGAGGCCACCTTAGTGAAGCAAAGAGGGCAAAAAGTGACGAAAACAAAGAAAAAATAGACGATGGCCTGATTGTGCAAAAAAAACACGAACAGACCGTGTTTTCATTATGAAACCATCCACGACGTGACTATGGCATTGTTAGACGCCTGTCAGAGATTTGTTTTCGCAACCTTCCTTGTTTTTCCCACCGTCCTGCGATATCAGCCGTAAGAGATAAATGTGGCATCTTAAGAGCAGAAAAACAAATGACATCGAAATTTTTACTGTCGTATTTTGAAACAACCAATCAGAAAAACGCCAAATCCCACCCTCCCCAAAATCCAAATCAAAAACTGAAACAGTTCGGTGCCTGAGACCACAGTCCTGTACGCAGCGCACAACCGAGATTCCCTTCTTCCCCGATACGAAAGATAACACAGCTTAGCACAACTCTCCGGTTGGTAATTGCTGCGCTTCTGGAACTTTTCATGAACTTTCTCAAAAAGTTTATAGGAGCATCGCCCATCGACGAGGTGGCCCTGATTCCGTCTGGTAAACTCTTCCTTACCAGAGCGCCTTTCCTGCCCAAGGGAGCCCTAGAGTGCTTATACAACGATGCCCTTATCAAGATTAAGAAGACAACGAAGGAGCACTACTACCAGATTTCCATTATCAAGGCGTGCCTGGAGGGCGAACTAAACCTGGAATCTGTCGACGACGAGGGAGACGACGGAGAGTCGGATGATAGTAATGAGGACAGCGGAAACAACGACGAAAAGGCGTTTTCCATTGACCCTGAGCTCAAATTCCGTGTCTACACCAAGAGTGACGGAACACAGGCAATCTCATGGAAGGACGTGAACGGAGATTTGGGCGACCGCTTTGAATTCTCCGTCGACGAGGATATCAAGTACACCGAGGTGGACAACTTCACGTTTAGCTTGTACAAGTGTTTGTATGAGCTTCGGTACCAGAAGTCTGCTGACGACATCACCGACATAAGCCAGCTCTCTGAGTTTGTGTATGACCCTACTACTGACGACGAGGCTGTGGAGATGGACAGGTTCTCTCGTTTTGCCATGTCGTGTGCGTCCTCGCAAGAGCTACGGTGAAGAGGAAAGAAGCATTTTCGAATTTATTGATGCCTGATGCTAATTGACGGTGCCCGCTGAGCGAACCGCCAAGACCTATATTTATCGACAGAACACGACCCAGAGGGCCTTTTTGGTGCTCTAACCATCCCTGAAACCAGCAGGGGCGGCTTGCAGGTGCTCGCCATGCCATGTCGTTTCATTCAACGACCGCCAGACCGTTCAGCAGAACTGGTTCCCCTTACCCGGTGGCGAACGAGCCGAAACCACTATTTATACGATCCTTGAGTGCAACCACACGTTGCTACCTTCTGAAAGTGAACGCTTTCTTGAGCTCGTCCCAGAATATGATTCGTACAGCGTTGGCCTTGTGGAACTGTGTTGGTTTGTAGTTTTCAAGAAAGAGCTTCTTGCCGTGCTCTAGGGGCTGCTCCTCCAAAGGAATTCTGTTTATACGAGCGTGAATCCTCCTCACCCAAGCGTGGAAAGCAGGAGAGCTCATGAGCTTCCTGTAGAGGATCTCCTCAAGGGACATTGGCGCCATTTTCGGGAAGATATGGAGATGCTCTTCGAGCTTGGGTAAGTAGGAAGGGTCTATATGTGCACCCGTGCACCACGCACTCAACACAGTATAGTGAGCGTTCAACGTGTAACACCTCAACAACCAAATCAAGGCTCACCATGATTACCGACAATGAGTTGAACACGGTAGTGTTGACATTTGGCTTTGTGTCTGTGGCCCTTGTGCTTGTGTACCATGCCATTTCTACCAACACGAAGCACCACCAGGAGTAAGTCGATCGTGTATAGCATGAATGAAGAGCATATGAAGCGACGTGTAGAGGGGGATTAGTGAGCTAGTCATGAGGTTTAGAGAGCTGTTTTTGAGGTTTTTCTCGAGGAGAAGGTGAAGTTGATGCGGAGGGTGGTTTCAGGTGATACACCGAGTACAAACCGTGGAAAACTGGGTATTGTAACTACTGGGAGGACAGGTGTACCCAGGCAGTGCAAGCGAAATGGCGATTCAAGGCCAGATGTGAAGAGAAAGGTCGTACTCATGGATGTGGTGAGTCAGTGGTGATAAGTAACGATATGGGTGGTGATAGGGCACAGAGATAGCACAGTGCACAACAGATATCTAAATCGGCCTCAAAATGTCAAGATTTTTTTCACTAATCACCTCACTTCGCCAGACCAGACAGCTACAGCCCAATTGGACGACCAAAGTGATATCTGGTAAATCGACACCGCCAACGAATGCCTATCACCAGGAATCACTATCACCAGGAATGTAAGGGACACTTCCAAGGAGGCAGGTGTCCCCGAACACACTACGAATTACGAGGGTATGCCAAATCTAAAGCAGCCGCATACATTCCCCAGATGCATCAGCCGTGCTGGATAAGCATTTCTCGAGTGAATCGGGCAATCCCCAGAAACGCTCCAACGTCAGGGTACCGGGACGAATCAGGAATCGTTGGTGGCTGACCCCAGGTTTGTGCACCCATTATTCGAAAAAACCGTGACCCCTTCAACCGTCTTAGGACAATGCTGGAGCCCGATCCTGAAGCCCCAAGGTGCTTCACTTGGCAGAAACAACAATCCCACTGGGCCCAAGCCTGTACTGGCGCCTCGCTTCGAGTTACACATACGCAGGGAGACCTCACAATGAGGTCCGGTGCAAACCTGCCATTATCGCAGAATGGGTGCAACAGGGGAGACGATGGAGGAGGAGGAGGAGGAGGAGGAGGAGGAGATGTCGGAAAAGAAGGGGCCAGGGGAGACATTCCTGGGTTTGTTTTGATTGTGGTTTTGAAGTTTTCAGGAAACGCCCTGTGGTAGGGTCCCTGGGAGATGGAGATCCCTTGAGGTAGGCGGTTGAGTTAGGCACTAGGGTACCTAGGGTCACAGGACACCCAGGGCAGGGCCCAGGGCGCCCCACAACTAGACCGCATTAGGCCGCACCAGGGCGCACCAGGACGCAGAGACTGACCGCAATTAAGGTTTCTGCAGCAAACACCGCAGGCTCGAGGGGAACGTGGAGGCCTGTGGCTGGCGAGATTGGCAGCCTCGCGCCAGCCAACGGTGTCGATCGAAAATAGCCCGATCTGCGGCAGTCACCAGACGGATCGGCTGCTGACTCGGGTGCATTTGACGTTGCGGAAGATTGGAATTTGAAATCAGGCCAGTTTGTGGAATTTGAACTCAGGTGATACACCTGTGGTTGTTCAATTGAATGCAGCAGGTGAAACACTGGAGTGATTAAGGTTGGTATCGCTGACCGGAGCGTATCTGCGATCGGGGTCGGACTGTGCTCGGCAGCTCAAGCCTTGCGCTACGTCACACCGCTGTTCCAGACAGGCCCAGGGCAGCGGAGGGGTCTGGTCTGAGGGGAGCGGCCAGGGCCAGGTAGCCACCCCAGATTACGTTTGGGTCCAATTCTCCAGTCCCAGCATGCCCTCCATTGCAGCATGCCCTCCACTGCAGCATGCCTTTCATCGAGTGCCAAAACTAGCCAAAGCCATTGGTAACCCACCGCTTAGTGCCAAAACTAGCCCACCGCTTAGTGCTCTAACTAACCCAGGGCTCTAACTGTGCGGGGTGCAACGGCTGGCACGAGCGGCTTGGCCCTGTGATTTAAACCTTTGTTGCCTGCCGGGCGCCTGTGTCGCCTGCCTGCGGCCTGCCTGCGGCCTGCCTGCGGCCGGCCTGTCCAGCGAAAACAATAGGGAAAAAACCTCCCGCGAGATCCTCTTCACGCCTGCGGCTTTGCTCTGCACCCGCCTCCACAGACCGTTGGCCCCGCGGAATTTGTGGCTGCAACGCTCCACGCACTGCCTTATAAACAGCCCCCTCCCCCTTTTTTACCCATCCACAAAAAACCAACAACTCTCCACATTGATTTCATAAACTCAAGCTCGCAATGCCACCCCTTTCGGCGTGCTCCATCCCACCGCTCGAGGAAATCGTGGCCCCGAAACCGCCCTAGCCAACTGCGGGCCTTACTCCAGAGCCAATTTCGTCGCCTACCTCGCCGCGGCCCACTGCACCGAGAACTTGGAGTTTGTGGTTGAAATTGACAGATTTTATGCCGCCATGGCACGGGCCGGGAGGAATCGCTCGCCCACCAGTGGCGCGTGCTCCACAAGGTCTTTATCGCTAAAGACCTGATCAAAGAAGTCAACATCCCTTGGACGCTCCGGTGCCTGCTTCTGCCGGAAACACTCCCCTGCCCGCGGAAGTCGTGCAAACACGCAGCGTCGTCTACGAGCTTTTGCTCGACAGCTACAACGAGTTCATCCTTCACACCCGTGAATCCACAAACGACAGTACCACGCTCCGGCGTCGACTGGAGGCCGTCCCGCCCGACCAGCCCTGGCTGCCGCACGCAGACGTCGGCCCGTGTGTGCCGTGCACTGTGGGCGAGACTGAATACCACCGGCCTAGTGCTGCGGGTCTCAAGGACCAGTGGGAAAAGGCCTTGCTTGATTTTGAAGTGGGCAAGTCCGATGTGAACGAGGTGACCCACGCGGAGCAGCCGAGTCTGAATTCTTCGAATTGCGGCCTGCTGCGCAGTAGAAACGGATCTGACGGCACGGTGAGTCTGTCGCGAACCTCGCGGTGCTCTTCGATCGGGTCGGTGGTGGAGGGCATCAAGGGGTACCTGGGTTTTAAGAAGGCCGTGAGGCGGTTGCGGCGGGGAGCGATGAGCCGGGTGAGAAGTGTTGATCGAGCAAAGCGTGAAGCGCTTTGCGAGATGACAGCCTTTGATGTTTGGTATTCTCGATCTCGGTTTCGCAGCCACCTACATCTGATGCCCGGTGCATGCCCGGTACGATTGAGCCGGTTTTTTGAGGCGTGGAAAGTGAGAAAATACTTCAATTGGCAATTGCAATTCAATGGGTGAGATTCCGGCCATTAGCCAGGAAGGTAGCCCACTGTCAATGTCCTCGGTTGACAACGAAAATTCGGCGTTTAGAGATAATTCCCACGAATCGGTTGAAATCTGCCTTTGTCCGAACTGCTTCCATCCTTTGGACTAGTTACACAGACTTCATCCCCAGCAGCTTCCCCAATCCCCGCCAACTGCCAAACTCTCCCGTTCGAATTATCTTCCTCCTCGACCCACCCCTCTTTTGCTAAACCGCCATTTTGCCGATACCGCCTACATCTCATGAAGGACTTTGACGTCTCGGCTGCTACACCTGCCGATTCCTGTACACCCGCTTTTGACAACGACTGCCACTCTTTCTATACGCCCCAGCGCCTTTCTGGACTGTGCATTTAAGGCCATTTATAGACGAATAGACACGACTAATGATTGACTTTTTGTTTTGATTTCTGCGGCGGCGACTGCGGCGCTGATAAGATAAGACTGGTGATGTCAGTGACGTTACGTCTTACATACAGTAGCTATCAGTAGGTGTTTCAAGATGGAGGCTTTGACCAATCCAGGTATTCAACTAAAATTTGGGGAAATTTGTCCAATCAATTTTAGTTGTTATTTCTTCAGAGTGACCCCAGACATCCCTAAGAAGAAATTGTTGCCAAATGATTATTCGCTTGTTCAGTTTTTTACTGTAATTCATTGATGATGTTTTCAAAAAGCCAATTTCTAATTTGCTCTCTATATGCCTCCGTAGAATTCTTAAACCATTAGCTTAACTATAAACTTCTACACTTTGTGAGCGAAGCGATACATTTTTGGATTGCCGGGCTTGCTAGCCATATCTATGTAGAATTAAATGTGTGGTGGATTACTCCCGCTTGGCCTTCTCCTTCAACAAGAGAAGCTCCTCGTCGGAGTTGCGGTTCCCCTTTTCGATAATGAGATTCTTGAGAAGCCTGTTCTCCATCTCGAGCTCGCCAATCTTCACCTCAAAGTTCTGGATGAGATCGTGTAGCAGCAGAATCTTCGACTCCATCTCCTTCTCCTTCATCTTCTTCTTGATTCTGAAGCGGGCGCTGGCGGCTGTGTTTCTCTTTCTTTTATCCAATTCCGTGCCTCTATCCGTGGACCTGCCCTCGCCATAATCGCCCGTGCTCAGCATACTGGGCGTCGCGAGGGCTGAACTGGTTTCTGAGCTGAAGGCCGAGGCCACAGAGCCTGGGGTGCCCACGTTGGACTGGTACGCCATTGTTGGGGCAATTCCCAAAAGAGAATTGTTATCTAGCCCTTGGAGAGGACGATGCTGGCTCTGGAAAGGGTCTGCAAGATCGTGAGTGAGGTTGCCCTGGTGCTGAGCGATCAATGCGGAAAGCAAGTCGATTTGGTACAGACTGAGGCCAGCCTGCTCCAACGACGACTTGGCGCCCGGAGGAACCGGGAACTTCGGGAGATTTGAGAGGTCCCGCTGAGGTTCACTTAGAAGGTTGCTGTTTTGATCGTCGGCGGGGCCTGTGGAAGCTGTAGGTTGTGGAGCTGCCTGACTGGGGAGCGTAGGAGGAGTAGCCGTTTCAGGATGGTTGTTGTGATGCTGGAGACGGTTTCTTTTCGCTAGTTTCGTGCGTTCGTTCACACTAAGCCCGCGAGGATCCTTATCCTTGAAACTCCGGCGGTGTTGTCTTGCTGACTGGCTGAACCACGCGTCATTGTCGTCGTCGCCGCCATTTGTATCGAAAGCCGCCAGACCCGAGGCAAGCTCGTGGTGGAACGGCGTGTCGTCGTGTTCGTTCAGGTCGTCTTCGTGTTTTGGCTTGTCTTCGTCAGGAAAGACGAACGAGTCGTCTGCAAACGCTGCTAGGTCAAGCAGCAACTGGCTATCCACGTCGAGGTTCGGCGTGTCTTCGGCGGCGGTATTGATGAAGTTGTCGATGTACACCAACTGGTCTATCAAGGCGTTGGATGTTTCTGGCATTTGCTGCTGGGACTTTTTGAGTTAGACTAGAATGATGCTCTGCGAGAGTGCATTTCAGGGCCGAGAAATCGGTTGGAGAGATATTCCTGGGCGGCCTTGTTTATTAGTGGTCGGGTTGGAAAAACAGAAAAGAAACTTGAAGCACTGATCCAACTTGCCTTATAACGCCCCGCCAAAGATGCCTAATTAAGCGACGCTAATACTGTGGATCGGTTCGCTACATCATCCACAGTTTACGTCTTGCGCACAAACGTGAGCACTCTTGCGCTCGACAAAGGCGCCATAGCCGCTGCTGCAGGGGTTGTGTTGTATTAGCTTGCTGCACATTTCAAAAATCCCCTAGACACTCCTCAGCCCCGTCTGGACGGACTTGTCCATGGCTGCTTAACTATGGCGATTATGTCATGTCACGTGACTTGTGCTGGTGGCCATAGCCTGCGCATCGTCTAATGTGCGCTGCGTACACTTGCCAGATGCGCCATGTCATGTGCTGCCGCCACGAGGCGCCCTCCCAAATAACCAGGTTAAGTAGTGGTGCACGGGTTTTCTCCTAAACCCCCCAGGTCCACCGCCGCTTCGGTAGATAGGCCAAAAATCTGGGCCGGTTGGTAGCAATTGAAACGTGGTGACGTCTGAAAGTGACTTTTTTTGGTGTCTTTGTGTTTCGCCTCTTTGTGTATGAGATCACGAGTGATGTTGTAAAAGAAACCGAGCAGCTTATAGCCGGATGCAGAGAGCAAAACGCTACATAGCGGGCTTGATCTGTATTTGTTCAAGCGGGTTTCTGCATTAGGAACGGGACAGCAGGCGGACCTAGTGGCTGCAAATGCGGCGGTGGGAGACCTGATGAGCCTTGGTGGGGTCAGTTTTGTTGGAGATTAATAGTAGAAGAGATGGTAGAGATGAAATTGAAAAATTGGGTTGAAGTTGTTCGTTTGAAGTTTTGGAATATTCCGTGGAATATTGTCTAGTTCTCAATTGAAGGCGTCTTCTGTTGGCGTACTTGCTGCAGCTCTGGAATTTTGCGATGCAGAATTCTGATGGATTGGCGATTTGCAATCGATGGCTCAATTGGCGTTTGGCATGGAAAGGCGCTAAATGTGAGAAAATGGTTGAGATGGTTTAAAGTGAAATTAGGATTTCCCTTATTGGCGAAGATTCAGAACGATGTAATGTTGTACTTTCTTGAAATCTTCCAATTACATTGTATCAGAGGCATTTGGGAAGCTCTTCAGCACTCCCTACTTCCTGTGGTCTTTATTTAGTTGTCTCAATGATGTGGTGAATTGAGTTGGTTCCCGGCTTGTTCGGCAATTTTATGAAAATGAGCTTCATCGGTTGATTTGGCTAAACATGCAATTCACGCCAGATCAAAAGTAAGGCGCCGCAAAGGCAACTTTTATATTATTCACCGTGGCGTACATGAGGTGCATTCCGTATGTGGACGGAGTCTTCAAGGCTTGTTCTTCCCAGGCATCAAACGCACCTCATCAACAAGCTTTTGCGATACGCCTGGCTAAAAGCTGTCTCTTCTATTTGGAATGGTCCATTTTCTCCATTTTCCTGTTAATCACACCTAAGTTAATCGTCGCTTTAGTTATTCATGTATGCTGAGGAGAATAGAAATGTCAACGTCTTTCGAGAAAACACTGACAAGGTCCAAGACCTCATCCCTAAGTACAACGATAGTCCTTGAAAAAATATTGGTCGAGATGGCCTTTCTAGCTACCTTTCGGGTAGCTTAGCTATAATTCGGGTAGCTTAGCTATCATTCGGGTAGCTTAGCTATCATTCGGGTAGCTCGGTTAACGGAACTTTCGTGTCCTTGTGGCCTTGCTCAATACTCGAATTGACTGCCTCGAGCACCACTAATCATTCAATCTTTCGAGTCAAACGACGTTTTTCTTTGCAATAGAATAAGACGGCAAAACTTCACCTCTAGCTTTCGATCTACCATTTGCTAAATCGTAGAATCACACTTTCTCCGCTGCTCAATAGCCTCATGCTTCGATGGAAAGCCCACTAAAAACACCATCAATTGTTATTCTCCTTCCGCTTCTCCCTACATTAGTCAATCCAACAACACTTCCTCAAAAACCTCCCAAACCACTCCCCTCGGCTGTTTGGCATGTGCTCCGGTTAACAGGGCGAAAGCCCTAGCACGCCAAGAGTACATCATCAACGGTTGCATGATTTCCAGCCAAACATCGCAAGACCCGGATTGATCCGTAAATCACGAGGTAAGAAAAATATCAAATAAGCCGAATTCCACAAATCACGACCAGTCGTCCCAGTACATAGCAGCATTACAGCTACAGCACGGCTGCAACACCACACATTGAACCTCCAGCCAAACAAAGCACAATGATGGATTCCGGTCTATTCCGTAGAATCTCCCTATTCAGCGGAGACTTTAGAAGATGACGTATTTGTTATTGAGTTTACTGCTCTCCTTCGTTCTCTACTAGCACCGCTTCGGCTTTAGGACCCTGCCACAGCATCCGAAAATTAGTCAACCGACAATTTTTAGTGCCAGCGGGGAACCCAAAATAAATCAATTAGGAACCGCCCGCTCGGCGTGAAATACCTTTAGTTCCTAAACCCAGTCTCCGCTTTCGGCCGTTAGCACACCGCGGGCGTTCGGGTATTACAGGGTAATGCTCGCACTTGAAAGCCCGTGGTTGCGCTATCGGGGCACTATCTCCTGCACACAGCGCGGCGTAGCGAGGTGCGGCTACAGTACATTTCACAGCGTCTGAAAAAATTATGTGAAAAATTCTAGCTATACAAGAAGTGAATACACCATCTGGGTCCCCTGACCCAGCCTAATTGTAAAATTTTTTAGGTAGAACGTAGCCCAAGGTCGAGAGACCAGCTCTACTCCTTTTTGGCCTTGGATCTGAGCTTCAAAGGCGACTGGTTGACGGCCTTCAATCTGTACTCTGCAAACGATCTGAAAGAGTTGCCCTTGGTAGGCTGCCACTTCTTGGGTGGGGCAGCGGCACGGGCCACGTTGCTGAATTGGGTGACAGACTCTTTCTTGAAGGCGGCAAAGGCAGAAGTCGAAAATGCTCTAATCATGGGGTATAGGTGGATGGGAAGAAAAAGAAGTGGATCCCGCAGCTGATTTATATAGAGCTTTCGCGGCACGTTGGGTGCTCGGGTATTCCTGTGCGCTAGCGCCTGCGACGCTTTCTAAGCAGAGGGGTGGTGCCACCGCGGAGAAGCAACCAGGCACCAAAAAGCGGCCGCTTCTACCGACCATCACTTCTGTGGATTTGTTCTTCTGAATTACCTCGCTAGTTTTGTTTCGTTTCGTTATGTTTTTTTTTTTTTTTTTTTTCCTGTTTCGTTTGTTTCGTTTTTTTTTTATTATTTCATTACTGTCATCTCTTTTCTTCCACTTACTCAACTTGCTGTGGCGCCACACTCGCTACGCCCTTCGGTCGGCCCACTTTCCCTCCAGGGCAGATTTCTTGTCTCCTATGGCCCGCTGGTGCGGAAAAAAAAAGGCGATAAAAGCTGTCATCTCAGCCAATTCCAAGCGAGCCCTGCACCGAGCACACTGATAAGGCCCCAGCGCCATCGCACCAGGCAGTGTTAGTCACAGGCGGGGATTGCTGGGCCCAACGTTCGTGCGGTGGAATGGGAGAATTTTTGCGGGATCGGAGCGGAGCTGAATGGAAAAAGGGGTCGTTGCGTTTGGTGCTTTGGTGCTTTCGTTTGTTGCGTTGTTGCGTTGTTGCGTTTGTTTTGCGTTCGCTGTCGTGGAAGCCTTTGTGCGGTGGTCGGTTTCTTCGGGATTTGGCATGGCTGCGAATTTGCGAATTGCGAGGTTTGGTGAACTCGTGGGAGGTAGGCCAATTTTCTGTTGAATCGTCTTTTTCTTTTTTTGTTTGTTTTTTTGTCTTTTTCTGTTAAGCATCATCACTCTGTCAATTCTGTTACCAAACCGCCTGCCCTCGCCGTCACTTCCTTTGTCTTTCCCCTCGCAATAACCTACCCGCGGCCTCGTGGTTGCCTGATTCTGGAGCAGCCGGTGGTAACGAGACTCGAGCGGGGACGGGGCCTACAATGTCAAAGCAAATCAGCAGAGGGGACTTTTTGGGGAATTTTGGAAAATTCGGCGGCGCTGGTGCAGTGTGACGTTGGTCGGCGGTGGGCTGTAGCTGAGCACGGGTTGCTTTGGCCCGCTGTGGCGGTGAGGTGTTTGTGTGCTGACCTTTTTTCGTACTTTTGCTTGAAGTTTGAAGTTTGGGGTTTGCAGCTCATCGAGTCCATATGGATGTTTCGAGCGGTGAAGAGGTTTCCTTTCAAATTGGGAGCCGCTATTTTCACGCCTGGAAACTTATGGTCTGTAGTTTGATCAAGGTGGAGTTTCGAGATCAGAAAGTAAGCTGACACATTCTGACATTGCATTACTCGTTACTATGGTTAAACGTGCTTGCAACTCAGTAAAACCACAATCGAACCTCTTTCATGGATCTACTTTTTCTTTGTTTTTGCTTGTAAAAATCTTTGTCCATAAGCCCTTCTCAGCAATATGACTTGGACTTGTAACGGCCAACTGTTCTGTTGACCTCATAAATATTGTAGGCTCTCAGGAGCAGAGATTGAGTTTTGAGTCACACAATGAATGACGGTCAATTTTGGCCCTTCTTGGAGTTGTTCATTTGAAATTTGTCTCTGGTTTAACTGACATTGGGCTTAATATCAGAACCCTTCAACCTTGATTCCTCCACTGTTTACCTGATTAGTTCGTGTACCGGCCCGAAAGCATCAGAAGCTGCTTAATAATCGACAATTTACCGCTCAAAGCCCGATGTTATCATTTTGTTAGCCTGTGGGTCTAAATGATGGCCTCATCAAGCCGAATACCCAGCGAAGAACCTTAACCTACAGCAAATACCAACTCGTTCTTTTTCACAGAATCACCCCACTCCACCGTATTTCATAATATCTGTCTTCTAATCTAATCTTTAATCTCTTCCTAACCACATGTAAAGCCCCTGCTTGGGCTTGCATCGAGGCACATCAGCATGCCTCGGACCCACGATTTAGTCTCGGCACCAAATAAATGTATTTTTGGTGAGCAGCACAAAATTAATGAAACCTCCCCTTTCTTCTCATCCCATCTTGCCAATTCGATCCTCAAACAATGTCTTCCTCCAAATGGCAATTTCTTAGTATGGGCCGCCGGTAACGGACCTCCAAGTCCCGTGCGATCACAAAGCGCCTCTACCAGTGGATCTCATTAGACGCCTGGCGCTTCACTGGCCGACGCTGAAAATTCGGCCTTTTTCAAAAAAAAAAAAACTCTTCTTACAAGCAATCTGGCTACATCTCCAATTCATTCTTCGCAAAACTTTCCTCTTCCGTTATTCTTCGCCCATTCTTCGTCACCCTTTGTCACCTCATCGCCATTGATTCTCGTCTTGGCTGCGCTCGGCGAAAGTCCGAAAGAAATGTGAAAAAGTCACAAGCTTTGTTCCTCAGCCTTATCGAGCCCAGGGCCTGCTTATTGGCCAGGCTCGCTGGACGCCGCATGGGCATTTGCAGCGATGATTCATCGGCGAGACTCCGAGATTTTTCACCCCGTCGACGTCACCGCCATTGAGCGCTGTGATTGGTGGATGATCTCGAAAAATTACGTCATCAACGGGTTTCTCTCGCCAACGAAAACCTCACACCACCAAGCCGTTGAAGTTTTGGAGAAACTGGCCAATTGGCTTGTTACCATGTACCGCCGCAGTGACTGCGCAAGAACCCATACTGAAGCCGCAACTCATCCGCGGACCATCCGATAAGCCAATGCTTTTGAAAAAAGAGTAGTAAAAAAAAATGATTTTCTCCATGGCACTTTAAAACTCTTATATTTGTCTTCCCTTTCATATAGTGTTCTAAATCTACATCCTTCGCAGCCATGGGCGCGCCGAGGTGCTCGGACTTCAATCTCCTAGGCGCCGTGCAGGACAGCCCCAAGCGTATCCTCGGACTTTCTTCGACATATAAAGTCGGCCGGTGCAGCCTGAAATCTCAATCGGCAGCCTTTTTTACATCCTTATTTATTAGCCGTTTTCTGCAATCACGGCCGACGCCGATCCTTCCCAATCGCCCCCGTTACCCTTCCATCTTCCTCAGCACACCGGCTTTTTGCTCCGTGCTCTCTGCAGTTCTCCGGCAACGTTATCTTTAATCTATCGCTGCTTTCCCACTCCAGCTACCTCCCACTTTTCTCATCATGACTTCTCTTGCCACATCCACGTCGGACCGTGCCAAGATCAACCAGATGCGGAGAGACTCCACCGTCTTGGGGCCCATGAACAAGATTCTCGTGGCCAACAGAGGTGAGATCCCCATCAGAATCTTCAGAACTGCTCATGAGTTGTCCATGCAAACAGTGGCCATCTACGCCCACGAGGACAGATTGTCCATGCACAGATTGAAGGCCGACGAGTCCTACGTCATTGGCAAAAAGGGCCAGTTCTCCCCTGTCCTGGCCTACTTGCAGATTGACGAGATCATTGGCATCGCCAAGAAGCACAATGTGAACATGATCCACCCGGGCTACGGTTTTCTCTCTGAGAACTCCACATTTGCTCGCAAGGTCGAAGAGGCTGGAATTGCCTGGATCGGTCCTTCCCACACCACCATTGACTCCGTCGGTGACAAGGTTTCTGCCAGAACCTTGGCTTTGAACAACGACGTGCCTGTCGTTCCCGGTACTCCAGGCCCAATTGACTCCACTGAAGAGGCCGCCAAGTTTGTTCAGAAGTACGGCTTCCCTGTCATCATCAAGGCTGCTTTTGGTGGCGGTGGTCGTGGTATGAGAGTCGTCAGAGAGGGCGACTCCATCGAAGACGCTTTCAACAGAGCCAAGTCTGAAGCTTTGACTGCTTTCGGTAACGGCACTTGTTTCATCGAGAGATTCTTGGACAAACCAAAGCACATTGAGGTGCAATTGCTTGCTGACAACTACGGCAATGTCATTCACTTGTTCGAGAGAGACTGCTCTGTTCAGAGAAGACACCAAAAGGTCGTTGAAATTGCTCCTGCAAAGAACTTGCCAAAATCTGTCAGAGACGCTATTTTGACTGATGCTGTCAAGTTGGCCAAGTCTGCTAACTACAGAAACGCTGGTACCGCTGAGTTCCTCGTTGATGAGCAGAACAGACACTACTTTATTGAGATCAACCCTAGAATTCAGGTTGAGCACACAATCACCGAGGAAATTACTGGTGTTGATATCGTCGCTGCTCAAATCCAGATCGCCGCTGGCGCTTCCTTGCAGCAATTGGGGTTGCTCCAGGACAAGATCACCACTCGTGGTTTTGCCATTCAGTGCAGAATTACTACTGAGGACCCAGCCAAGAACTTCCAGCCAGACACTGGTAAGATTGAGGTCTATCGTTCTGCTGGTGGTAACGGTGTGAGATTGGATGGTGGTAACGGTTTTGCCGGTTCCGTCATTTCTCCCACTACGACTCGATGTTGGTCAAGTGCTCTTGTTCCGGTTCCACCTACGAGATTGCCAGAAGAAAGATGTTGAGAGCTTTGATTGAATTTAGAATCAGAGGTGTCAAGACTAACATTCCTTTCTTGTTGGCTTTGCTTACCAACGAGACTTTCATCCAAGGTAACTGCTGGACTACTTTCATCGACGACACTCCATCCTTGTTCAGAATGATCTCCTCCCAGAACAGAGCCACCAAGTTGTTGAGCTACTTGGGTGACTTGGCTGTCAACGGATCTTCTATTAAGGGCCAGGTTGGTATGCCTAAGCTTCTCACTGAGGCCTTGATTCCTATCTTGCACGACCCCAAGACTGGCATTCCCATTGATGTCGAATCTCCAGTTAAACCAAGAGGCTGGAGACAGGTTCTTCTCGAGCTTGGCCCCGAGAAGTTCGCCAAGCAGGTCAACGACTTCAAGGGTACCTTGATCACCGACACCACTTGGAGAGACGCTCACCAGTCATTGTTGGCTACCCGTGTGAGAACTATTGACTTGCTCAACATTGCCCCTACTACCGCTCATGCCTTGAACGGTGCCTTCTCCTTGGAGTGTTGGGGTGGTGCAACTTTTGATGTTTCCATGAGATTCCTTCACGAGGATCCTTGGGCTCGTTTGAGGAAGTTGAGAGAATTGGTTCCTAACATCCCATTCCAGATGTTGTTGAGAGGTGCCAACGGTGTTGCTTACTCCTCTTTGCCAGACAATGCCATTGACCAGTTTGTCAAGGAGGCTAAGGACAGTGGTGTTGACATCTTCAGAGTCTTTGATGCTCTCAATGACTTGGACCAATTGAAGGTCGGTGTTGATGCCGTCAAGAAGGCCGGTGGTGTTGTTGAAGCCACTGTTTGTTTCTCCGGTGACATGTTGAACCCCGACAAGAAGTACAACTTGGAATACTACTTGAATGTTGTTGACAAGATTGTCGAAATGGGTACTCATTTCATTGGTATCAAGGATATGGCAGGTACCATGAAGCCAAAGGCTGCATCTCTCTTGATTGGTGCTATCAAGGAGAAGTACCCAGACATTCCTATTCACGTTCACACCCACGACTCCGCAGGTACCGGTGTCGCCAGTATGGATGCTGCTGCCAAGGCCGGTGCTGACGTTGTTGATGCCGCTTCCAACTCGATGTCTGGTATGACTTCTCAGCCATCTATCAGTGCCTTGCTTGCCTCCCTTGAAGGTGAGGTGAACCACGGTTTGGACGAGAACTTGGTCAGAGAACTCGACAACTACTGGGCTCAGATGAGACTCTTGTACTCGTGCTTCGAGGCAGACTTGAAGGGTCCAGATCCAGAGGTTTACCAGCACGAGATTCCTGGTGGCCAGTTGACCAACTTGATCTTCCAGGCTCAGCAATTGGGCTTGGGTGAGAAGTGGTTGTTGACCAAGGAGAAGTACAAGGTCGCCAACAAGCTTTTGGGTGACGTTGTCAAGGTTACCCCAACCTCCAAGGTGGTTGGTGATTTGGCCCAGTTCATGGTCTCCAACAACTTGACCGAAGAGGATGTCATCAAGTTGGCTCCTGAGCTTGACTTCCCAGGTTCTGTTCTTGACTTCATGGAGGGTTTGATGGGTACGCCATACGGTGGATTCCCAGAACCTCTCAGATCCAACATGTTGGGCAACAAGAGAGCTAAGTTGGACAAGAGACCAGGCTTGACCTTGCCTCCAATTGACTTTGTCAAGGTGAAGCAGGAATTGGTTTCCCGTTACGGTGACAACATCGACGAATGTGACATTGCTTCCTACGTCATGTACCCTAAGGTTTACGAAGACTTCCGTGCCATTGTTGAGAAATACGGTGACTTGTCTGTCTTGCCAACTAGATACTTCTTGAAGCCATTGGACATTAATGAGGAGATGGTTGTCGACATTGAGCAAGGTAAGACTTTGATCATCAAGTTGTTGGCTATTGGTGAGATTTCCAAGAAGACCGGTACTCGTGAAGTGTTCTTTGAGTTGAACGGTGAGATGAGATCTGTTACCATCGATGACAAGACCATTTCTATCGAAACCGTGACCCGTCCAAAGGCCACTCAGCCAAACGAGGTTGGTGCTCCAATGGCCGGTGTCGTTCTCGAAATCAGAGTCAAGAAGGACCAGGAGGTCAAGAAGGGTGACCCTGTTGCCGTTTTGAGTGCCATGAAAATGGAGATGGTCATCAGTGCACCAGTCAGCGGTAAAGTGGGAGATGTTTTGATCAGAGAGGGAGACTCCGTCGACTCTGCTGACTTGATCACGAGCATCTTCAAGTGATTCAGTTTATGTTGTAACCAATAATCATAATATACATGTGACGAATGAAAAAGCTTATTAGTATTTTGGTCGCTTCGACGAGCGGTCCAGTGAGTCCGGTCTCTTGTAAGAGTCGATTTGACTCTGTAGTTTCTTGTTTTGATCTTCTAGTGCCTTAAGTTCAGCTTCAAGGTCAGCTGTCTGTGCAGCAGTCTCATCGACGCCTTCTACCTGATCTTCATGCTGTCCCTTCCAGCGAGAATCTTGCAAGGCATTCTTGACAAATGCCGTCTGGTTCAAAATCTTGATCCAATCTTCTAGTAGAGCACCTGCACTATCAGTGGCACTTTTGGTATCTGCTATATTCGTTTGAGCATTGGAAATTGTTTCAAGGAGTGTATCAACTGTTTTATTTAGGCTTTTAACTTGTTGAAGCTCTTTTTCAAGCGCCAATTGTCGCGACATGATGGTTTGTTGTATATGAGTTTGTTGTTGTGAGTTGAGCAGTAGTGCACTAACGTCTGAGATCTCGCATCTACCTTACATATTTCCATCAGAACCTGAAAGATATACCAAACATAGGTCATAGACTGAAGACTTATTTCACCAAAATAAAGCTGCTTTCGTCAACCAACTCATCATGTCTGAACAGCCCGATGACTTGCCCACACGATGGGAGGTGGAACTAGAGTTTGTTCAATCGCTTGCAAATATCCAATACGTCAACTTTCTAGCGCAAAACGACTACTTTAATGACCCAGCATTCATCAATTACCTCGAGTATCTTAACTACTGGAGGGATCCAAAATACGCCAAGCACTTGGTGTATCCCAACTGTCTACACATCTTGACGCTACTACAGAACGAAGAGTTCCGAAAACAGATTACAAACCCAGACCTCATGAACAGTCTAATGAATGATATGGTGAAGAAGTGGCAGGGGGTCGACGAAATCAATTCTATTCATAATGAGTCTAAGGATGGGAAAGATCTGGGGCAGGATAAGCAAAATGCATCACAGGCAGACGCCAACAAGGCTGACCAACCAAAGGACGACAGTACTATGGAAGTGGATGGCCAGAGTAAACCACAAGAAGAGCCAGACGGAGAGGCGAGTGATAAAGCCAAGGAAACATAAAATGTCGAGACCAACATGACCCACATTTTGGTCATTCAAGAGCTCCTGATAAAGAGAAGCCTTGAAGTGTATTATATACGAATCATAACTCCAAATTTTCAAATTTTATCCTCGTCAGCGCAACCACCGAAATACCATCAGGCTGACAGGATTTGGGTGCAAGTACATACATGTCGCACTCGCAAAAGTCAAAGGACACCTCTTTAGATCAGTAATGCCTCCTGTTTCTAATCCTTCAGAAGGGGACACGAGGTATGATAAAGACTTCCAAAGACTCGAAAGCTTTTCACGAAGCTTGAAACAAAAATGGAGAATCTCAGTTGCAGAGCTTGCTTTCATTCTCTCGTTTGCCCTCAACTTTGCCATAGGCAAGTTGCTCCATCTATACTCTGATCAATCGGAGGTTTACAACTACTACAATGACAAAAACAACATCTTCAACCAGTACTTTGTCAAGAAAGGATGGGCCTGGACCACGATGGTGATCATTTTTTTCTACGCTGTGGTGGTGCTGAGGAGGAAGAACGAGCCTAGCCAGAGAGTGTTGATCACAGCAATTGCTAGGTATTTTGCAGCGACATTGTGGTGGGCCTTGTTCACCCAGTGGTGTTTTGGGTTGCCCATCATGGACAGGGTCTTTGTTTACACCGGCGGTAGATGTGTGGTTCCTGACGGCAAACACTGGGCTCACCTCTTTGAGGAAATCGATGGGATGTTCCACTCGCACAAAGTGTCTTCATTTGCTTGCCGTTCGCTTCGAGGCTCCTGGGAAGGCGGCCACGACCCGCTGGGGCATGTGTTTTTATTGGTGCATTCGTCATTGTATCTCTTTTTTGAGATCAAGCCCTACTGGAGAGGCTGGAGCCAGTTTAGAAGAAATATCGAGAGATTGAGAGGGCCCAACTTCCCCGCCAAACTCGTGGACACGCTCAACACGACCCCACAGGTTGCCGCCATCATCTTGATGGCACTCTGGTGGTTCATGTTGCTCATGACCAACATGTACTTCCACCTGATCGCCGAGAAGTTGGTGGGACTTTTGTTCGGGTACGCTGCCATCGGGGTTGTGTATATTCTCCCGAGATGGTTGTGAAGAGGAGTCTAGACTGGGGGCAGTTTTGTCGTCATCGGACCACAATAGGCTTGGGCATGCGCCGTGGAAACCGGCTTCCACTGGCGAGCCTGGGGCTTGGGATCTCACTCAGTGACCAAAGCAGCCATGAAACCCACAAAACCGGAAGGTGCACATTACGTGCCCAGCGCTAGAGTCGAAATTACTTGCAGACACGCTTTGCCAGGCATTTTACGAAAAGAGCATATCTCGGTGCGTGTCCCAGGCGGGAACGGTAGGTGCGTATTATTTGTTTTCGCGTCGCGCGAACCTCTCCAACTCGTCTAGGTAACAAAGCCGTTGGTCCAATACAGAATAATATACGAATAGCCTGATAAAAAAAACCCCCCGAAGAAGGTTGCCTGTAGCTGCCAACGCAACCACCACCCCGAAAATACAGCCAAATCAAAAATCTCCAAAACCTCCCCCCTACCCTTGGCTGCAAACCCTGGTGCCTGTCAAAAACGCGACCCCGAGTTTTGTCCTGCGTTGTTGTCGCTACACGCTTTTCTAACCTCTCTTCTGGTGAGACTTGCAGGCATATTAATTGTTTTTAGCAGCATTTCGCAGCCGTTCCTTGCACCAAGAAGGAGTGGTGGGAGCGGCGTTGTCCCAATTCGTTCCACCTCCACGGCGTACAAAACTTCTTTTTCTTCTTTTCTTCTTTCCATCCCACCAAACTTTATCGCTGCTTTAGTCAAATCCAGCCGGCTATCTAGTTAAAGGCTCCACATCCCATGCTCCTCCGGCTCCTACTACTCCTCCAGGCGGTGGTCTATGCCATCTACCTAGGATGGCCCATGGATGAACAGCTCCCCAATGTGGCTCGTGTCAACCAGCCTTACGAGTTCACCATTGCCTACCTCACGTATCGGTCCAACAACGGTGGCTCCATCTCCTACTCCGTCTCGGGCTTGCCTGACTGGCTTTCCTTTGATGAGCTGTCTCGAACCTTTTCAGGCACGCCATCGGAGAAGGACGCCTCGTCTTTCGAGATAAAATTGACCGGGAAGGACGACTCGGACGACTCAGAGATGACGAGGGAATACACCATGCTCGTGTCCAACAGCACAGGCATCAAGTTGACGTCCCAGGATGTCATGTTCACCACAATTGCTAAGTACGGCAACACCAACGGCAGAGGTGGTCTTGTTTTGTCTGAAGGCGAGGACTTCAACATAAAACTCTCCGAAGACATGTTTGAAGAGAAGGACGATGCCCTGCGACCAATAATCGCCTACTACGGCCGTTCCCGCGACAGAACCTCCTTGCCCAGTTGGGTCACTTTCAACTCTGACGACTTGTCGTTTTCAGGAACGGTGCCCCACGTCACGTCCAACATAGCGCCTTCGTCGTCCTACGGCTTCAGCTTCCTCGCTTCCGACTACTATGGCTTCTCTGGAGCCGAGGCCACCTTCAGCATCTTGGTTGGCGCTCATTCCTTGAGCACCTCGCTCAACGAGTCAATCAAGATCAACGGTACTTTTGGCTTGGACTTTGAGTACCAGGTGCCCATTTTGACCTCGGTCTACTTGGATGACTCCACCATCGAAAGCGCCAACATCTCCTCGGTGACCGCCGACGACCTCCCCTCCTACGTAGATTTTGACGACTCCAATTACGTGTTGAGCGGAACGTTCCCAAACTCCCTGAGAAGTGATAACTTCTCGATCGTGGTCAACGACAACTACGGTAATAGCGTGGATTTGCCATACAGATTCGAGTCAATCGGCTCCGTTTTCACTCTCAAGAACTTGCCAGACGTGAATGCCACAAGAGGCGAATTCTTTGAATACCAAATCATGCATTCGCTTTTCACCGATTTTAATGATACCAAGATCAGTGTCTCGCTCGACAATAACACGGACAGCTGGTTGTCCTACGACGAGTCCAACATGACACTCCTGGGTCAGGCTCCATCGGATTTGAAGCTGGTCAAGGTGCTGATCGATGCAGAGTCGTCATTCGACTCCGAGTCTAGAGACTTCTCCATCAAGGGTGTTCGTAAAGAGGTCACATCTAGCTCCTCCACTAGCTCGAGTTCTTCTGCAACTGCGTCGCCAACGTCCAGTTCGTCAGCATCTGCATCTACAACGTCCGATTCGGTCAACAGATCGCTGTCTGGTGGTAACAACCGCAAGGCCTTGATCCTCGGTCTCTCAATTGGTATTCCTTGTTTCTTCCTCATCTTGGCTCTTCTCTTAATCTTCTTCTTGTGTTGCAGAAAGAAGAGAAGAAATGACGAGGAGGAGAACGACAAGTCAATGGACGAAACCGTTATTGATGGTCCAGGCATTGGAGTGACGCATGACATGGACGATCACACTGAAACACCTTATCAACTTGGTGCCTTGAATGCTTTGAAACTTGATGATGATTCGGCTTCTACGCTGTCTTCTGTGACCCACGTCGATAGCGATTCCAACTCAAAGTATTTCGACGCTTCTGAGAAGCCAATGAAATCATGGAGAGCCAAGGACGAATCTGACTTGACTGCGATTAAGGACAAGCTAATGCAACAAAGACATGCTTCTGAAATTTCCAACAGTACTGTGAACACGGAGGAACTCTTCGCCGTTCGTCTTGTTGATGATGAAGCAAGAAGATCCACATCCCAGTCTCCTGGTATGACTCCACTCTTCCTGAGAAACTCTCTCGACCATATCATCGGAGAGAGCGGTTCATCAGCTAATATCCAGAGACTCGACAGCGATGGTAACATTGTCGTCGACTCTCAATCTAATACCTCCCTGCCAAGGAAAAGAGCTGCTCAAAGCATGAATCTCAGAAACATTGCAGAGGAAGATAACCGTCAAAACAACAAGGACACGTTGTACCACAACGACAATAATGAGTCTTCCAACTATCACTTGATGTCAAGATACTTTAATGATGCTGACTCGAGCATAGGAGGAGATGAATTCAAGGCCGTGCAAACCTCGGTAGGAAATTACGAATGGAGAAAGTCTAAGGATGCTCTTGTGGACTCTCCAGACTCCGAAACGTTCCTTCTCAATAATCCAGAGCACACCCCAGTGAATACGAATCTCGATCCATCCGGCAACTTTGCAAAGAACGCATCGAAGACTTCCGTTTACTCCGATGATCTTCGCAGTGATTTCCCATTTGGCTCAGGTAATGATAGCAAGGCCAAATTGGTTGAGTTCACCCGGAAAGGAAGTTTGAGGGACTCTTCCCATACTCCCAACATGGAGTTCTCAGGTGAGACTGCTCAATTCCACGACGGCGAAAGCGGTGAGAGTGATTAATTGAGTTGTTTGTCTTTGCATTTCCTTCGGGATTCACGGTTTCATGATTGGTACGGAGTTAGATTCATTTCATTGTTTGTTTTTTATCACTGACCTCGATTCACTCGCTTATCGAGAGTCAATTAATTCCTACAAATGATTAATTAGCATATAAATTGTTTTAAGTTATAAGTTGCTTAAAGCTTTGGCTTGGGCAAAGTAGAGACATAAAGCGCAGTATCTTGAGCTCTTCTTCTGGCCTCAATGTACTCCATCATCTCAGAGTAAGTTTGTGGAATGACAGAAGAGTATCCGGGTTCATCTGATTTGTAGCTCTTGGCTGGCACGAAGAAGGAGTAAATGAAGCATCCTGATTCCGTGAATTCAGGAGAAGCCAAGTCCTTGATCTTGGTGTCAACCTTTACCTGAATTAGGGTGCCTGGTTCAGACAAGAACGCATCAGGGTTGGATGAGATCTGGTTGGTAGCAGGTAAGTCGAGAGGCGAGTGTTTGCCCTTCTCGACCTGCTTTTTATGAAGATGCTCAGTGTAAACCACTGTAGATGTCATTGAAAGAACCGAGCCGACAGGAACGGGTGCTTTAAAAGTAGTGGAGTCCAACGAGACGAATCTGGCATTAGCACTTGAGAATGCTGTAGCAGCACAGTAAGCCAACTCGAAAGATTGTCTCAATAAATAGCCACCAAAGATCATGTAGGAATGTCTGTTTCTGTACTGTGGTTGCATAATTAGGGTGGAAGAAACGGTGGTGTCCTTCATGAACTGGACATGCTTGGTGAACTCAGGAGTCAAGTTTTTGGAGGCATTCCACATGTCATGAACAAGTCTATTCTCTTCATCAGTTGGCTGAACAACACCCTGGTTCTTGGCTGCCAACTTCTTCCTTGCGTTGAAAGACTCGGCTCTTCTGTAGTCCAACCACTCCTTCTCGCTGACAGGAAGTAGTCTGTTGATAGCAAAAGACTTGTGGGTCATTGGGTTACGGGCGACAAATGTGAAATTGGCCGTCAAAAAGACGTTTTTATTTGGCAAGGAGTTGACATCGATATTTTCAGGAACAGATCCTTCAAAAGAGTAACCCTTCACCGTAATCTCCATCGAAGACTTACCAGTCCAAGTCACGGTGCCGGCAAGAACGAAATTGTAATTCTGGATCTCATCAACCTTCTTGACCATGTAAATTCTGTCAACAGATGCGGTGACATTGACAGGTTCAGCTGGCGAACAATGTCTATAAGCGATTCTGCCTGCCAAGGCATCCAAGTCCTGAAACAATTGACCCATTCTCAAACGGCCAAACGCGTTGATGTATGTGTCACAGAGCCACTTGTCATCCTTGAAAGGCAAAACAAGGAAGGAAAATGAGTCGGCTCTGGTTTTTTCACCCACCTCGGTTGTCTTGGGATCAATGTATGAGAAGGAATCAAGAACCTTTCCTTCAGCCAACTGCTTGGATCTTTCTCTCAAAGCGTCCATCCATGTTGCAGTGTGGTATTGCTTGCTTAAGTCTCTGGAATCGGATATGATGGTGGCGGAAGCATCGGCAGCTTCAGCTGGGATGGTGGAACCAGCCTCGGTATGTTTCTTCATGGTGGTACCCAAAAGCTTTTTTTGCGTGATAAGACGCAGGGTCGATCTATATAGGAGGGAAGATCTGGATAGTCTGAACATTGATTTCTGCACCCGATGACACAGAAACGGCAGAATCCAAAGTTTATATAGAAATGACTAAGGTGTGGATTACCATTGGGCTAAACGCGGTGTATGGGTGCGGGGCGATAAAGTGCCCGGCGCTGCTCGGTTACAGATAACAGAACCAACAAGTTTCTCGTACATGGGAGGGGCAGGAGGGGCAGGATACGAAACGGTGTTTTGGGTTTTTCCCGGGCTGTGTGAGATGACATGCGGTGAAAGTTCGGTACATGCTCCGAAATTCACCGGGGTGCAATGCTGAGTCCGGCTGCGTGAGGGCCAGGTTGGGTAGACGCAGTACTGACAGCTTTTTGGCATCTTGTAGTTGGGCTGGGCAGTGAGGATAGGCTGAGAGAATCTGGACTCGGAGAGCACTTGCCCGGCAAGATAAGCTGGCGTAAATTCAGGGGCAGATTAAGTCTGGCAAATAAATTTTTTGAGATTTTTGATATTTTTGTTGAATGTCAAAAATTAGTGGCTCAGTAGATAAGTTGGGACATCAGTGCATCAAATTGGCAAACTAGGGGTCTGTGCCAGGGGTATTGAATTGAATCGTCCCCTCAATCTATGATTATATAATATGTGTTTATCAAGATTCATTTTTGATTTTTAGATTTATAAATGCGTTGAGTGGCATGCGATAGTTGCAGCCACTGGGTCTTACTTCGCAGTCTACAGACAAAAACCACCAAGCACTGCGAAAATCTCCCGTCAAGAAACCTCCAGCTACAACCATAAAACTACCCAAAATAAAAAAAAATCCAAAAAATGCCTTTAAACTTTCCCGTCCCAATATTTAATAAAACCTATTCAATTGAATTTCTTTTAACACGCGGCGCACCCGATTTTGCCTCCCCTTCATCACCCCAAACAACCGCCAGCAAGGCCCTGAGAGAAGTCCGAATCCGAAGCGATAGGCTGACAGCAAAGGTGCGAAAAATGGCGGCATTACCCAGTGCCAGGGCACCCGGAACTGCACCTCCGAGCGCGAGCTTCCGCTCCGGTCCTCATCGTTCCGTTCTGTGTGCGGTTTCCCAACCAAAAAATCTAAAACCACCTCTGCAATTTCGACCCCAGTTCGCTTCGTCGCAATTCCCCCTAATAGAAGCTCCACAACTGTAATAAGATGTCCAAGTTGTCCAGTGTCGCCAAGACATCCATGATGGCGGTTAGAGCCAGCGCAAAGAACTCCCTGAGATTGGCTTCTGCTGCCTCCGGAACCAAGACTCTCACTGTCAGAGATGCCATCAACTCCGCTTTGGCCGAGGAATTGGACAGAGATGACGACGTCTTCTTGATGGGTGAGGAGGTTGCTCAGTACAACGGTGCATACAAGGTCTCCAGGGGCTTGCTTGACAGATTTGGCGAGAGAAGAGTGATTGACACTCCTATCACGGAGATGGGTTTCACCGGTTTGACCGTCGGTGCCTCCTTGGCCGGCTTGAAGCCTGTTTGTGAGTTCATGACTTTCAACTTTGCCATGCAATCTATTGACCACATCATCAACTCTGCCGCCAAAACCTTGTACATGTCTGGTGGTAAGCAGCCATGTAACATCACCTTCAGAGGTCCAAACGGTGCTGCTGCCGGTGTTGCCGCCCAGCACTCCCAGGACTACTCCTCTTGGTACGGTTCCATCCCAGGTTTGAAAGTCATTTCCCCTTACTCTGCCGAAGACTACAGAGGTTTGTTGAAGGCTGCCATCAGAGACCCTAACCCTACCGTTTTCTTGGAGAACGAGATGCTTTACGGTGAGTCCTTTGAGGTCTCCGAGGAGGTCTTGTCCCCAGACTTTGTTCTTCCTATCGGTAAGGCCAAGATTGAGAGAGAGGGTTCCGACATTACCTTGGTTTCGCACACTAGAAACGTTGGCCACTGTATTGAGGCCGCCGAGACCTTGAAGGAGAAGTACGGTGTCAACGCTGAGGTGTTGAACTTGAGATCCATCAAGCCAATGGACGTTCCTGCCATCGTCAAGTCTGTCAAGAAGACCGGTCACTTGGTTACCGTCGAGGCTGGTTTCCCTGCTTTCGGTGTGGGCTCTGAGATCTGCGCCCAGATCATGGAGTCGGAGGCTTTCGACTACTTGGATGCCCCAGTCGAGAGAGTTACTGGCTGTGAGGTGCCAACCCCTTACGCCAAGGAGTTGGAGGACTTTGCCTTCCCAGACTCTGAGATCGTCTTGAGAGCATCGAGAAAGGTCTTGGGTTTGTAAGAACAGTAACCCACCACCATGTCATTGAATAGAACGTCAATTACGTAATATAACGAAGCCAACTAAAAATGTAGATCTTTGCTGCTTATATGTGCATATTTTCTTTTACGCTTCGTTGTTGATTTTTCACAGGAACTGCAAGGTACCAACGCGGGGCTGTATCAGCGCGGATTCAAACTATGATACACGTTTGGAAGTTGTACATCACATTGTTTTCCAACCAACGCGATCCAAATTTAGCAAAAGTCTGTGCTTTATAGAAATAAAACGCAATGGACGTCCATAAGCGAAGCCACCATCCTACTAGGTCGGAGGACGTGAGCAACGAGAAGGAAATCTTAGACGAGTCTACCACTTTTCAGCGAACCCGTCCGGCGTTTCAAGAGGAAAATGATGGAATTCTTCCCACAAGCATGCCAGGTGCGCCAGAAAGAAAAAGCAATCATTCGCTTCCAAAGAAAGATCTCAAGGCTTTCATCATCCTTGTGATATTGTACACCCTTCAGGGCGTGCCCGTCGGATTGGCATTTGGCTCTGTTCCATTCATTTTGAAATCCAAGCTCTCCTACGCCCAAGTGGGAGTCTTCTCCTTAGCATCATATCCATATTCATTAAAACTTCTATGGTCTCCGATTGTCGACGCCATTTACAGTCGGAAAGTCGGTCGACGGAAATCCTGGATTATTCCCGTGCAGCTTGTATCGGGTGTCACCCTTCTTTATTTGGGTTTTATTATAGACAAGTCGATGGCCAATCCGGCCCCAAACTTGATAAAGATCACAACATGCTTCTTTTTGTTGGTGCTCTTCTGCGCCACTCAAGATATTGCTGTCGATGGATGGGCTCTCACTGTGTTATCGCCAGAGAGTCTTTCCTTCGCGTCAACAGCCCAAACAGTGGGAATGAACTGCGGCTATTTCCTGAGCTTCACAGTTTTTCTTGCCTTGAGCTCACCGGAGTTCGCTAACAAATACTTGAGACTGGAACCTCAAGAAGATGGGTTATTCGGACTTGGAGGCTACCTCACGTTTTGGGGCTGGATGTACATCTTGATCACAGCTCTTCTTGTTTTTGTTCCAGAGGATCCTCCCCATTTAGCCAAGCACAATCACGAGAAGCTCAACGCTGAACACTATAAACATGAATCAGCACACAATAGACCACTCGACAAGACAAAGCAGTACATGCAAGATTTGTTGCATGTTTACAATTCCATGTATCAAGTCTTGAGACTTCCCAACGTGCAAACGTTTGTTGTCATTTTACTTTTTGCAAAACTTGGATTCCAAGTTAATGAAGCCGCTACCAACCTCAAACTCCTCGAGAAGGGCCTTTCCAAGGAAGATCTCTCAATTACGGTACTTATCGACTTCCCTTTTGAAATGATCTTTGGCTATTACTCTGGAAGGTGGTCCTCTGGAAAGAGTCCTTTACGTCCATGGCTATTTGGCTTTGCTGGTCGACTCTTTGCGGCTTTATGCGCTCATATCATCCTTCTTTTCTTCCCCAACTTACATGGAGAAGCTGTTCCATTCAGGTTATTCCTCCTCATCATATTCCAGCATCTACTCAATTCGTTCATGTCGACAATACAGTTTGTGTCGCTTTGTGCATTTCACACAAGGATTGCAGACCCTTCAATTGGGGAACGTACATGACAACATTGAATACTTTATCCAATTACGGAGGCACATGGCCCAGATTGATCATCCTTTACTTGATTGATAGGCTCACAGTCGCTAGATGCGAGAATGTGGCTCGGCCCTATGACTTATTGTCCGAGGAGCAAAAGAGAGAATGCACGCAAGCAGGTGGATCTGTCGTTCTAATCAGAGATGGCTATTTTTACACAAGCGCAATCTGCATTACTTTAGGAGTTATCATATGGTTCTGGGTCAAGAGAAAGGCAAGATACTTGCAGTCACTTCCCCAAAGTGCTTGGAGAGTGAACAAAAACGTCAAATAGATTTATTTATCGAAGTGAATTTCATAGAAGCTAGACTTGCATAAAATTACTTCATGGAAAGCTATTCCAATCAACGAAGGTTTACTAACATTACTTCGAAGCTTATAGTGTCGCGAATTCGCGCATCTTCAATCCAACCTACTACTTGAGATGATTGAGGTAAACGCCAACGATAGGTTGGGAAAGAAGATCAAAGTCAAATGTCTTCCTGAAGACACTATTGGTGACTTGAAAAAGATACTTTCGATGCAATTGGGTACCACGCACGAGAAAATTGTCTTGAAAAAGGGACATCAGATCTACAAAGATCACATCTCTTTGGACGACTACGAGATCAACAACGGTTTCAACTTTGAGCTCTACTACGGTTAGATTCGAAGTTTATCATATTCTATGAGTCATTAATTGGTCATGAGAAGAGCGCTAGCAAGGTGCTCATGCAAGAAGTTATAACACAATCGGAGAACTGAAGGAAATGCTCAGAGGAAGTACTCTACCAGAGTACGTCCGCGGCCATTGAAGTATGCGCTGAATATATCCTTGCTTGAGTTGAAGCTGTCAGAGCTCACACCGTTCACACCACGTCCCTCAATGGTGTCCTCGTCATTTTCAGGAGACGCTTCGAAAACATTACAGTACTGGCCGGGCAAGATGTCTTGAGGATGACTTGCCTTGGATGTATAATTGGAATGCGAGATTTCCAAGACACTGGCACGGTTTCCGCATCTGTAGCAGTAGTTGGGCGCAGACCAGATCGTGAGGCACATGCCGTGCCAGTAGCTGACAAAACCTTCATTACAGAGTTGATGAGCCCGAACCAATTGGGAAAGGTCGTTGTCATGATTAAACTTTCTCATCACGTCATATCCAAATAAGTAACCAGCGCCTCTAGGAGACAATTTGAAATCCAAAATTTCAGGATCGGGGTCCGACCAGACCAAATCAGCCATGATACCATCGTGGGGTACTTCTTTGAACCTGTCTATGGCTCGAATCTGGTCGAGAAGCTGACACGAAGGCGAGAGTCCTCCGTGAGTTGCAAAAATCTTCCCGTCTATGGTTGCACCTAAGGGAAGGTAGTCAAACAAATCCGTGATATACTGCCACACTTTGAGGGAACCATTGTATTTGTTCAAGACTTCTGTGTAAAACCCATAATTCGTTGTGATGGTTCGGGACTCGTGGTTGCCTCGAATAAGAAAGACTCTTTCAGGATATCTTAGCTTCAACGCTATTAGAAGCGAGATTGTCTCAACCGAGTAGTATCCTCGATCAACATAATCGCCCAAAAATAAATAGTTGGTGTCAGGAGGCGATCCGCCCACCTTAAAAATTTCTAGTAGATCGTGAAACTGACCGTGTATGTCGCCGACCAAAGTGCAAGGGGAAGATAAAGACATGATATTGGGTACGCCTAAAAGCTGGCTCTTGAGTTGGTGACATAGCTGCAGCACAGTCTCTTCTGGCAAGATTTTTGGCGGTTTATGCTGAAGGAGTTGCTCTAGGCAATAATCTAGATCCAGCACGGGGATCAGGAAAGGGATGGTCATATATGTTGGGACAGCGTTTTTGGATGAGACCAAATCAAGCTTACCGAAGCGAAACTCGAAACTAAAAAGCAGATCCGTGCACCAAAATCTTCTACGCGCCTTGGCATGGCTGCAAAATTCTGGTCCGAGAAAATGAATATAAATATATGCCTGGCTGAACTATTTAGCTTCGATGGCCTCTTTCAAAGCTGTGGATAACATCTTCAAGCCTTCTTCGATAGTCTGCACGGGGATGTTCAACGCAGGAACAATTCTGATCACATTGCCGCCAGCAGTGATCACTAACAAGCCGTACTCACGAGCCTTCTCTACGACAAGTCCGCTGTCGAGCTTAGATGTAAGTTGTAAACCCAACAACAATCCCTTTCCCTTGACGCCCTCGACATGATCTGGAAACTTCTCCACAATTTCGGCGAGCCCTTTCTGGAAAAGTGCACTCTTCTCAGACACTTCCTTCAAGAAATTCTTGTCACTGACAGTTTCCACAACATGCAAGCCAACGGCGGAACCCAAGGGGTTTCCTCCGTATGTTGTACCGTGGTCACCCACAGACAATGCCTTTTCTATCTTTTCGTTGGTCATGACGGCACCAATTGGGAAGCCGTTTCCCAATGCCTTTGCCATGGTGACAATGTCAGGGTGGGCTGTCGAGGGCAAGTCACAGTGGGCCCATAACAGCGAGGTCCGGCCTAGTCCACACTGAATCTCGTCATAAATAAGCACAACATCGTTCTGCTCACACAATTGCTTCAATTCTATCAAGAACTCTGGTTGCACTACATTCACACCACCCTCACCTTGAACTGGTTCGATGATCACAGCGGCCGTCTTGTCTTTGCTGATGACTTTTTTAACGGATTCAATGGAGCTTGGGTCTGCGATGTGCACGCCAGGGATCAATGGTGCAAATGGAGCCTGGTATTTGGGATTTGCAGTCACAGACAAGGCACCCATGGTACGGCCGTGGAATCCGTTTTCAAAGGCAATTATCTCGGTTTTCTGTTCATTGATTCCTTTGGCATACTTTCTAGCAAACTTAAGTGCCGCTTCATTGGCCTCAGTGCCAGAGTTACATAGGAACACTCTCTGTGCGTCTTGCATACCATCAGACTCTATGGTTCTGGCCACAAGCTTGTTTGCCAACTCACCAGCAGGGATATTATAATACAAATTGGAACAATGCATCAAATTCAGTGCTTGTGTTTTGATAATTTTGGTAACTTCCTCATTGCCATGGCCTAAGCATGTAACGGCAATTCCGGCTGTGAAGTCAACATAGCGTCTGTTCTCTAAATCGAAAAGATAAGAGCCCTTACCTCTGGCAATGACAATATTAGGTCTAGCGTATGTAGTGACCGTGTATGGCTTTGAAACATCGTCCACGAATCTCCCGGTTACTGAATGTGCACTTGCATCTGCCATTGGAACAGAGTAAAACCGGCTTGTGCTTGCTCCATTTTTCGCTAACAACGATGAGAGGACCGTCTTGGTCGACCTTTTGGAGGAGGTTGATAATATTCTGTACATGAGAATTGGGTGAGTAAAGAAGACCACTTGGTATTGAGATTAGATCTATCGTAGCGAAAATTTTTTGCACCGCGCTTAGGTGACTAACACTTGCCTATTTCGTACAGATAACATTTTCATCAGCCGTTCAGCACCTATCGATATCAATAGTGCTTTCTACCTTGCTCTCTTTATCAAAGGTCTTGAGAGCATTCTGAAATACTCGGTTGACCTCGAAAATCATCTTCGACTCATCATCTGAGCTTGCTCCTTTCATAATAATCTTCACACCGGCGATATAAAGCTGATGATTAACTTTTGTGATGAATAGATGCTCCAAACTGTAAGCTGGCTTGAAATTGTCAAGGGCTTGAACGTGTTCCGTAACAGAGCTTTTGAGGACCTTGTAGTCGTATTCGGAATAGGGAAAGGAAATCAAAAGGATTCCGCCCAAGGTTGTCACCAATTTCCATCCAGCATAGCACAATGTAGAGGCCACTATCAACGTCGAAGCTTCATCAATATCGAACTTGATAGAGGATTCAAAGCTTTCGGGTAGGAATGGAACGATGAGGAGGAATGATGAATAGAGTAGCGTGATAAGGCGCATGGGATTGTGGAGGAAAGTTGAAACCAATTTGAAAGCTTTATCCTTAATCAGAGGCGACTCATCAGCCAATTTGTCCAAGTAGCCATCGTACTTTTTATTTCCCTGACGGTTCGTATTATCAGTGAGAATCTCAGATATCTTGTTTCCGTCGCAGATGAATGAAGACGTCACCCATGTCATTATTACAACAAGCGCTACCACGGCTTCGTAGGCAACTGGAGAGCTGGACTTGCCAGAAGACTCATGTATGTGATGTGAGCCATGTTCCGTAAGTTCGGAATCTCCAGAAACAGCTAGGTTGACGACCATCTCTTCAATAAAGTGAGACACAAGATCGCATCCGACCATCACGAGTGACGTACTCAAGCCGAAGCCGAGTAGAACTTCAAGTCTGCCGATTCCAAAAGGATATGAGATAGAAGGCTTTTTCCAGACATCAAAGTTGGACAATACATCAACGGCTGCGACGACAAATGAGCCTAGCGAGTCGTAAAAGACAAGATGAGCAAGGGTTGAAAATGCCGATTCACCCAAAAGTGTACCTGCCACAAAAACGATAACAGAGGTCAGGAAATGAGCTGCGGCTAATGCCACCTTGTATTTCTGTGAGACAGTTGCGGAAGTCCACGATTCCCGCCAGTTGGGAATGGGGTATGAAGAGGGTATAATGTCCTGGGAAAGTGCGGTGTCGGCAATTGGAACGGGTTCTTGGAACAAGTTCATAGACACCGAGGAGTGTTTGTATCTGTGACCCTTACGATGGGCAGGTTTCACAACGAGCGAAGAGTTCGAGCTGTTGGAATGCATCATCGGCATATCTTGAGGTTTGAAATTGAAAGGACCGCCTCGCACCGGCGAAGAGCCTCTGAGTCCCTGTGGCCCTCTCACGGGTGATTGACTAGTGCCTCTAGAAGACTTTGAACGTACAGGTGAAGTTGATCGAGACCGAGCTTTCCTGGACTCTGACGAGGGGGACATGAAGCTGGGATATGGGCTGACCATTGAGTGACCCTGAAAGGAGTTTCGTTTCTGTGACCTGTAGGATCTGAACTGTCCATCATCGTCGTTTGTGCCGTTTAAAGACGACGGAAAGAAGGCAGATTTAGGACGCTCTGCTTTTGAAGGTTCTTTCATGTACGGGCTTCGGGTATTAAACAGCTTCAGAATAGGAGACATAGGAGTATATTTCGCTGCATTCGTTGCACCTTCTTGGTATGGAGTTGGAGTGCTTTGACGGATATAAGCATCAAGCTTTTGATCATAGTCACTGGAATTGTGGGAGACAACCTCACCTTCATTATTTATTGACGGCTCATTGAGGCTAATGTCCGGGGCGTTGCTGGGTGTATTCAATGGTCTCGTGTCAAGAGATTCTGTTGAGAAGTTGTTGCTGAGGAAAGAGAGGTCTGGGATACCCCATTGACTCTGCTATGCCTTTTCTGTTCTTGTTCATGCATTACCAGACTCGGCTGTGTCGGTAGATCTGTGTCCCACTGCTTTGAAGAATTTGTATTGAAGCTTTCCTTGTTCATTAAATATACAAGATTATGTTCACTGCGCGTTGGTTCAAGCTACTTAATCTATTACCGCGCAGGTATGCTTCCAAAAATGCAGACCTGAAGCACTTGTGCAGATCGTCAGGCGTGTGATTCACGGAACGTTCTCTTTTGTTGTGTAGGCTCTCAAAAGGGCTAGATTGATGCAGCCGTCGTTGATAGCACCTCCTGTTTCCTCGATGAGCTGAACGCTTCGTATTGTAAACGGCCAGCTTGTGTTCTCGTCACGGTTTAATTCACCAAATGGACTGTCAAACGCGCCGGAATCACGAGAAGATGCTAGCACGAGGGAGTTGTTATTAAAGGATTTGATATCGCTTCTCCGCAGAAGCTCATCTCTGTCCAACATTATGAGACATTCGGCATCAGCCCCTTCATCCATTTGAATCGAGTGATTTGTGGGTTCAGGAATATCGAGGATTGTCAGAATAGCAGAGATCGATTCTTTGGGAGGCCGTTTCACACGTTCATTGGATGATGGTTCATCACTTGCACCCTGATCAGCTATGCTTTTAGGAATTGAAGGTGATTCAGCGGGCACGCTCTCGTCTTCTTCCGCTCTAATTGTGAGCTGTTGGGTCAAAGAATTCTTGAAAAGATGCAATAGATCGTAAAGAAGGATCTTCAACCTCTCGTTGTTGTGCATCATAAATTTTGTATTGAACAATCTCACAAGCTGATGAATGAGTTCAAAGTGCTGCAAGTCGAGTTGCATCATGAGGTCAATCAAAGATCCACTTTGAATGATGATGATTCGCAATAGGATTGAAGTATTGTCCAGTAGCATTCTCGCTACTTCATTGCTACCATCAAACCCCTCCACACATGATATGAACTGGGAAATATAGCTTAAAAGATCCTTATAGTCCGAGACCGACAAATCGATTTTATCCACGAAAGAGTCATTGATCTTGCTAAAAAAGTCCTTGAAAATGGGCGTGAGATTTTCAGGGGCCAGATCAGGCGAGGTGATCATGGACAAGCTATTGTTTAAAAAGAGACTCTCCATCTGCTTGAACACCATAACACGGAACCTCAAGTCGCACAAGTTGAAAAGCTCTCCAAAGAAGGATGCGTTGAGAAAGAAGTCCACTCTGCTAAGTAACGGATCCAAGATGGCCTCAACATCGTCATTCTGTTGCGCCAAAATCGAAATGATGACTTGCATGATCGGTAAATTAAACTCGCTCATAATAGGGACAATGGAGGAGATATTTGCAGACTCGAGAACAGATGAGCTTACGCCTAATAATTTGCTCATCATATCAAGCATCTCCAGCTGGTTGAAGTGTTTGGTGATTGATCTAACGGTTTTGATTGGATGTTGAACAATCATGCGAAGAAGCTCACTTCGAAATTTTAGGTTAGTGTTGTCGTATGGTGAATTGGCAGACAAAACAATCTCAATGCAAGCCTCAGGGTGATTCTCCTTGTATTTGAGTTTCACGGATTGAAACAAAATAGACACGGATCGTGATAATATCACCGAGGCAACTTCTCCAAATAAGTCATCTCTCAATCTCTTTTCATAAGCTGGTGGTGCTGATAAGCTCTGGATAATAGAGAGCAATGTGGTGCAAGTCATTAATTCAAGCGCAAGGATGAATTTTGTGACAAGTGAGAATTTCTCGATGTCGAAATTCTCTTCCATCAACTCCTTCAAAGCCACAACAAGGTCGTCTTCTTTGGAAGTTTCTTTAGCCTTTATATTGGAGATCAACTTGAAGATCTGGAACTCAGTCTTTTGCCCATGTCTCTTTCGATAGAGCGTAACAAAAGCTTTATCTGTGCAATTGGCAGCTCGGTCGTAAAGAAATCCAAAGAAACCTGGCAAAATGAGCACAAGTCTTCGGTGATGTCTTTGTACTCATCGGCGGTAAGAGACCTTTTTTCGAAGGTTTCCAACGACTGAACTTCTTCTAGTATAAATTCAGTTTCGTAGGACGACTCGCTGCTTTTCGACTCATTGAATTCAGGTGAAGTGGAGGCAGGTCTTTTTCCAAGAGAAATCATTTCACTAGATTCATTCGGGGAGTGGCGCCGTCTTACACCTGGAGTTCGTAATTGACGACGGATGTGTTCCCACAAAGGCCCAAATTGAAAGACATCGGTTTCACGAGATAACAAATCTCTATAATCTTGCACAATGAGCTTAAATATGTCCAAAGATGCCGACGGAGACTCTGAAGAGTTCCCGGCTATGAACTCAAGCAAAATTGAATGGTCAAGAATGAGTCGACTTATCAAATAAAGGGAGTCCATGTAAAATATCAACACCTTATTTTCATTCTTCAAGATGAACTTGATGAACAATTTGAAAAATGCTGTAAGGTTATTAGACTTGATGAAAAGTTCGTAAACAAATGCCACGACATCAGGAGTTATGTGAACCAACTTGGATGCCTTTGATATAGACGTCTTGAATTCAGATGTGAACCAGTTCATCACCATGAATTGGAGGCCAACATTAAGCTCACTTATACTATTGAAGACGCCCAGATCTGCCTTCCCTATTGTGTTGTTCAAAATATGATCCAAAACCCCTACTCGTAGAGTTCGAGTGGCTTGTTCAAATAGGCCAATGAAGTCAATTTGCTCTTTTGCCCACTTCTTCAAAATATGATCGCATTGGCGATTGTTAAGGAGTGGAAGGTTTTGGAGAAGCAGAAGGTGGAATCGACTCTGAGGGTCAAGGTCATCCAGCATTTTCTCATCGCTTGGCTTCGAGGATAGATAAAAAATTCCACTGGCTATGAGCTTTCTCAAATATGCAGATATAGTGATGATTTTAAGCTGATATAGCTCATTGACGAGAACGTACAAGTTGGTATGTGACAATTCGGAGGATGGAAGTTCGGCCAAGCAAAAAATACTCTCCAATATTTCATTCTCCAACTTGATTCTCAGCTTAAATGAGTACTTGCCTATAGCTTGTGTGCCATGCATCTTAAGCGCGTTACAGACACTGATGAGTTTCTCTCTGGAGACACCCATATCGCGATAAGCGGATACGCACCAAAAGATCATCGCTTTCAACCTGATGCTTTGAGGTTGAGCTGATCTTGCTTTATTTTGAGCGCCGGGGCTGAACATCAAACTAAAAGCCTCCCTAAGTTTTTGATGGTCTAATAGATCGATTAGCTTGAGCACGTCATCGTTGGATCTATGGATATAGGCATGCGAGAGCGCTTGCTCATGTAGAACAACGTCTGGTGAACCACCCTCTCTCGCAAAAGGTGAGGTAGAGTCACCACTGCAATTCACTATCAAGCTTTCGTTTCTAAACTTCAAAAGTGCCAAACTTTTTTCAAGGAGAGCTCTTTTAGGTGGATCATTGTACAAGTTGGAGCTGTTGATGATATTATGCAAAACATCTCCAAGCACAATCCAGGAAGAGGGAATTATGAAAGAGCTCGTACTTTTGTGAAACAACTCGATAATCATCTCAGAGATGAGACTCAAACACTCGGACTTGATTGCATGCGGTACCTCAATTCGTGCATCAGTGGGCTTTTCACTCAGGGTTGGCAACTTGCTCACAATAAGATAATTTAAGAGCAACGATTCACTGAGATACTTGCGTAGAAAGCTCTCGGCGATTACATCCTTCCAAAAGACTCTGATGAAAATTAATGCGATTAAGAGTTGGCCGAACTCGGTCAATTGCTTGCTCAAGATGTCAAGATACTTTTGATCAGTGTCACTCGCCTCCTTCAAGTCGATTCTTTGAAGTTCTGTTAGTGTCAGGATATCAAGTGTACCAGTGAAGTGATCTTCTTTTATTAGCCTCAAGATCAAAGTTAGGAAAAATGTCTTGTCGAGAAGCTCCTCAATGTACATTGCCAGAACATACAGAATCAAGTAATTCATTCTCTCTTGGAAGCGGCTCTTGAGGTCATGGGAAGACACAGCTTTCATCTCTTTGGAAAATTTCAAGACATAGTCTGCAACCTGTTGCGTCCACTCTTGCAACCACCTTCTTTCCAAAACATCATTTGATCTCGTGGTCAATGAGCTACTCGACAGTGTCAGGGAGTGTTGTCTCACCAGCGCCTTCTTTTTCACCAGAACCAACTCACTGAACAAAGAACATTTTGTAAACCAAATAGCTCGAGAAATAGGAACTTGCCGACTACACATGGCATCAACGAGGACTTTATTTCGCAAGCCATGCGGTATCCGTGACGATATTTTATGCAATGGTTGATCGGGATTGGCCAACTCTTTGAGCCATGCTTCCTTTTTCAGTGCCGTTAGTGTCACACGCAGTGGAATCTTAAAGCTGAATGAGCTTGCTCTTATCTTATTGATCACCTCATCTCTTGTTTTGTAGGACTTAGTCAAATGCTGGGAAAGCTCACGAAGAATACTGTTGCAGTTCTTCGATGAGGAGAAGACCGTCTCTTGCACGAGGTTGCGAGCTGAGTAGTACTCATTAGAGACCTTGGGTGTTTCAAAAAAACCCTTATTCAAGTAATTCAGATTTTCAAGCTTTTTTGTCAGATCACGATCTTCCTCCCATGGAGAGTAATCTGGAAATGTTTTTTGGCTCAATGTGTCATCGAGAGGGTATATCGTCACCGAGGGCCTGGGCATGCTGTATTTCATTGCAGAAATTGCATCCTTCACAGAAGGATTGTGGGATCCACGTTGTCCACTTGTAGCCGGAACGTTCCGAATCCGGCTATCTGTCATTGAATATAAAATGGAACCGAGCGATTATGACGTTATCAATGCTCTTCAATGATGGTGATACATACGCACTAAGTATCTGTGCGCATGTACCATACAACAGTATTGTGCAGAATCCTTTGCACGAGATGCTACATTCATTATGCGAGTCTATTCGATTATCATACTTCTAATCAAGTGTGAATAAAGCTTACCACTCATCGTCGTCATCTTCTTCGTCGTCACTGTCGTTACCAGTTGCACCTTTACGTTTCTTCAAAGCATCAGCGAGAGATCCTGCCAAAGTGACATCTCCACTCTTTTTCGCCAAAATTGCATCAGCCAAGCCGTTTCCTAAACCATTACCGGAAGAAGTAGTTGGAAGCATTGCTGGCCTCTCCGATGTGTTAGCTTGTGGCTCTGACGCAGTAGCTTGTTGTGCTTGAGGTGTTGGAACACTTGGGGCCTGAGGGGCAGGCTTAGAGACGTTGTTCGAGAACAAATCAGCTGGAGGCTCAATCTCTTTCATATAGTCCATTGGTGACCATCCCTCGTATGTTTCGTCCAAATCCTTCACAAGACCCCATTTGCCGTTAACACTTGCAACATAAACCACACTATCTTTGACCAACGCGACCGAACCAGCGACCGAGCCATCATAATCGAACAAAACACGATAAGTTGGAAACTTTGGTTCGCGTGCTGGTTTGGATGGTGGCGCTGGTGGTGGCGGCGGTGGTTGAGGTGCAGAGCGCTTCACCTCGGGAGCTCTCGTTGATTTGGCAGGAGGTTGAGGAGCTGGTGTTTTCTTGACAGGTCTTGGAGGAGGAGGTTTAGCCTGCGACTGTTGTTGCACATTTTGACCAGCCTGTGCGATACCGGGTGGTGCTGGTGGAGGTCTCTTCAGCTGTTTCAATCCAGGCTGAGTGTGAGTGGCTGGCAGAGGGGCGCTTCTGGGTTGGGCTTGCTGGTATGCATGGGCAGCTGCCAGTTGCAGAAGAGCATGAGATCCATTATTCTGAGTGCTGTGCAAGTTATTGTAAGTCTGCGCATTTGACCTCATTTGGGCACCTCTGTTGTAATACTTCTGATAATCGACAGAAGTTGCTTTAGCACGGGGCCTCTTAGGATTTCTGCTAGAAGCCGGCAAACCTTGTCCGACAGTAACGTTACCAGACTTGTACGTGTCACCATTGGCAGAGGATGCCCCCACAATAATCTTCACGGTATGCATCTTACCAGGCTTCTTTTGATATTCAATCGTAGGCCCAATCTTCACCGTAATACCTCTGTTCAACTGCTTTAAATGAGTAACCAATTCCGTCTTGAAGTCCAAGCTTATGAAAATATCTGGTGTAGTCGCAGACGCGTGGTGCATCGAAACTGCCAACCAGTTATCCAGGAATGATGATAAACCAAGATAATTGATACCATTTATGGGCAAAGTAAACTCCTTTTGCAATGCAAGACGTTTCTCGACCACCACCTCGGCGACAACGTACAAGTTGGAGTTTGTGAGGATGAAGATTCTTGGAAGTCTCTTAGAAGATCTGCCAAATTTGGACAAAAGAATCTCTCCCTTTCCGGAGAAGACGACATACTCATTGATGCCGGCTTGTGATACGACAAATCTTCCGTAACCGCTTGATTGGTTACAGCCAAGATAGTCACCCATGTAAGCTCGAGAACCCAACAAAGACATTCTTCTTCTCTCCTTTCTACCACCAAGAATATCAGTTCCCTTGTCTCGAAGCTGCTCGAACTTATTACCATGCTTCTTTGTCCTCCAAGCTGTTTGGAGGACTTTAGCGGCATCCTCCTTCCTTTTCATGTACCGTCTCCAAGCCCTCTGAATTCTGGCAGCCATGTTATGCCAGTATTTGTCCCTCATGTCCTCCAATGCAAACAAGGTCTCCGGAGTTTTGATGAAAACCTTGGTAGTTCCCAATTGGTATTCAGTGGGAGGAATATGACATGACTTGAGAATCTCTTTCACAGCAGTGATATCGTCGCCATGCCAGATGTAGTCACCAGCGTAACCAGTCTTGGGAGATAACAAATAGAATCTTTGCACAAACTTATCGAAAGTTGTTCTATAGGCGAATCCCGCTCTTCTAATTCTCACGTTCTCTTTCAAACCCAAGTATTTAATCTGATGCAACACTTGCTGATTCTCGTACTCCTTAGGTCTTTTGGTTTGATTGGGTTTGATTGTTCTGATATAAGAAGGTTGGCACTGAGACAATGTGTCAACCAAAACGTTTGCACTTTTCTTTATTTTATCAGAAGCAGTCTCAGGTCTCTTCTTGCTATCCGTCACAGCCGCGAGGAGTTGTGGTGGGAAAAGCTCAGCGGTGACAAATGCGTTCGATGACGTTGATAAGACTTCAAGAAGGTCTCTCAACATATTGTCTTTGTTTTTGTCGGTCATGCCAGAAACCTCGTAGGTAACATCACCGGCGTAGTGCTTGATGATAAACTTACCTCTTCTATCTTCGAAATGCTTGTTACTAGCACCAACCATGGACAATCTTTGTGCAAAAACTTGGTCAGCGGCATCGGAGTCGGCATGTGCTGTCTTAATTGAATCATTTAAGGCCGCAAACAAACCGGGTTGAGGTCTAGTAGCCTCAATCAAATCACAGACAACCTTATTATTGAAGTACTCAATAGGAGTCCATTGAATTTGTTCTTGAACGTACTCCTCTTGCTCTGCTTTTAAAGTAAGCTGAATGAAGATCTGCTGTAATTTCTCGTTCACGTAGTTGATGCAAATCTGTTCAAACGAATTCTGTTCAAAAATCTCGAACCCATAAATATCCAAAATACCCACAGACTTCTTTTCGTAATTCTGAGAGGGATCCTTCAACGATCTGTTCACTCTCTCCACGATCCATTCGAAAAGGTTATTGTAAATTCCCTTGGCTAGAGCATCCCTCAGCGCAACAGCTTGGACAATATTCAAAGGAACGTGATATGTTGAGCCTCTCCTCATACCGTGCGAGGTTTCAATAATTCTCTCGACAATAGCTTTTTTCAAGAGTTCTGAGTCAACTTCCAAGAGGTAGGCCACAAAATTTGTCACACCTTCATCTCTTATAGCTGCATTACCTTCTTCGTTTTCCACAAATGAGATGTTACCAATCCAAAGGATCGCTGCTAACATTCTGAAGATGTTGTCTTGCTCGACTTGCTGTAATCCGATGATATTCATGGCATTCAACGTTTCTGAAAAATCCTTCCCATCATCTATGCCATCTGCAGATGTACATCTCGCTGCCGAAGTATAGATGTAAGTTTCAGGGCCTTGAATTCCGTACAGCTGCTGATATTGCTGAGGACAGTGCTTCGTAAACTGGTAAAAAATATGGAAATTTCTCTCGTTGGTAATTTGTTGAACAACTCTTTGTTTCTCCAACAAATAGTTGGTAATGTGCGCAGCAATGGGTTGGTAGTTCTGAGGATTGAAGAAGATTTCAAGGTACTTTCCGTGTCTAGAGGAGTTGTTATTTCTCAATGTCTTAGCACAACCAAATGATTCCAACAAGGGGTTTGTAGCCAAGACCATATCCTTGATTTTACCAATTCCTGACGAAGAAGAATTACCATTGAGCTGGTCATCCACCGACACGTTTGCAATGTATTGCATGATCTGCTTCGCAGCTTCGGTTTTACCGGCACCGGATTCACCAGAAATGATGACACATTGACTATCCCCATATGACTTCAAGTTGTAGTACATCGCTTCTGCAATGGCATAAACGTGCGGTGGTACCTCCAACCTATTTTTACCCTTGTACATGTTCAATGTCTGCTGGGTATATATGCCGAGGTCTTGGAATGGATTGACCGAAATAAGAACATGGCCAATGTATGTGTAGATGGTACCATTCATAAATCTTTTGTGTAGGTTTTCATTGATGGACTCGTCGGAAATCTTCGACAAGAGAGTCAAGTCCGAGACACCCACCTCTTTCTTCTTGTGCAAATCAAACTCAGCCTTCTTGATCCCGGATCTTGCAGGCGCCTCTTGTTGCTTGACCTTGGAACGGCCACCTCTTTTAACAATCGCCATGTTAGAGCTTTACTCCAATTATAAGAGGTTGTGGCGTCAGTCTTCTAACGAGTAATGTGAAGTTTGATACCTGTCCGTTGCGAGTCTTAGCACCTGCGGAGGGTAGTGTATAAACCGGTTGCTCGGTGCTCATATTTCGATTTAGTACCCGATATATAGCCGATCCTGGAGGTGCATGCAGAAGACTGTTAGATAAGACAACGGTGAAATTTATTAACGCTTTTCTTTTTTGTTTGTTTTATTCATAAAAAAGTAGTCTTCTGTGATGAGTAGGCTTTACATTTATTATTTTAAAGCGCCTTGTAAGGGTGATATGTAACCTTTTAATCAGCATCTGTCCGTTTAGTCATTTTCTTGGCAGTATTCTATCACCACAGAAAACTTGACTATCTATAACCACATATGAGTGAAAATCGCTCTTACAAAATTCCCCTCGCTGACATGATGCTCTTAACATAAATGCAGCAGCTCCAGATTCAACTAGACCAAATTCTAATCATCTTGTCCTTTCCACCAGAAGACACCTTCTTACCGTCCAAACTCCAATCGACACAGTAGACTTCGTCTGAATGACCCGGAAGATCAGTAAGTAGCTTTTGCGTTTTTATATCCCAAACTTTGAGTGTTGTGTCTTTCGAGCAGCTTACTAAGAGCCTGCAATCAGCAGACCAGGCGGTTTGGTAGACTGCTGCAACATGACCTCTTAAAGTTCCCAAAAATTTACCGCTTAAACCATCCCAAAGCTTGATGGAATTGTCAAAAGATGCGGAAACAACGTGTCTTCCATCTGGGGAGAAAGAAACGTGGTTCACCAACTTTTGGTGACCGGTCATTCTGCAAACCGGCTTGCTTGACTTGAGTGGCTCCCAGAAATACATGGTAAAGTCATCACTGGCAGTGACAAGACGTTCGCTTGTTGAACCACCGACTTGTGCGACCTTTTCAAATGCCTCCTTTGCCCTTTTCTTCATTTCAGAAGCTGAAAGGGACTTTGAACTACCTTTTGTGGAAGTATGATCAAATCCGCCTTTGCGAATAACATAGTCGGTGGATACTGATAAATGATTCACCCAGTGTGCATGACTCTTAAGCGTCTGAATGCATTTTCCCCCAGCAGAGATATCCCATACCTTTATGCTTTTGTCGTGGGAAGCACTGTAAACTATATTCGACCCGGACCACTTAACGCATGATACGGAGTTTGTATGGCCACTAAGCGTAAGAAGACAGATTCTTCTAGAGGTGTCCCAGAGTTTCACAGTTCCATCCTTTGATCCAGACACGAGTCTTGGTTTCTCGCCGTCTTTCACCAAATGTAAAGGTTCCCAGGCAATACTCGAGATCCATTTCAGATGACTCACCAAGGGTTTTCCAATTGCGTCTCCTGTCTCAGCATTCCAAAGCCTTATTGTGTTATCCATAGAGCCAGTAGCTATCATTGATCCACAAGGAGAATACGCCACACACAATACCCAGCTGGTATGGCCTGTAAGAGTCTTGAAAGGAGTGGATGTGAAACAGTCCCATATTCTTGCCGTTGAATCACCGGCTCCCGAGCACATACGACCAGAATCATTTGGTGCAAACAGACAACAGAGGATGGTTGAGCCATGGCCAGCAATAGCTGCACTGGATCTTGTGACTGGCCGAACTTTGAAAACAGCCCTAGGGGCGTAGACAATAGTCAAAAAATCCTCAGTGGTCTTGATGCCCGGCTTCAACACCGAGTGGTAAAGGTCATCTTTGATATCGAGGAGTTCGTTTTCTTCATTTTTCAACAATGCAAAAGAATATGGCACGGGTTCCGAGGATGAGCCCTGAAGATTATTCAATAACTCCTCCAACTGTTTCTCTGTTATACCGCCGGGCACACGCACAGATCCTCCAACACCCTCTCCACTGTCAGCGGCCTGAAACCTGATAAGAACATTTGGGAGATCATCAGGAATCACCCTGGATTCATGATTTTCTTGGAGAAGTCTTTTTTGTTTCTTAGATGGTGGCGGTACTAATGTCGCCATGGCTGGAAAATGATACTACTAAAAATTATGCTAAATATTTAATCCGATGCTCATCAGTACTACACGCAGGCGTGGAACACCAGCTGGGTACCCAAACCCATTACCTTTGATTTTAATGAAAAATAGAGTCGCTAGCTTTCCAAAGCATCAATTGATTCTAGATTTTTTTTTAAAAAAAAAAATAAGTGAAGAAATCAAATATGCTCCGTTTTGCACACCGCACTCCCCGTAGTAGCTCCTGGCGAGCACGATAAGGTGGGCTTTGACAGGCACTTCAGTATGCATCTCCCATAGTGAGTCGTCCTAACGAGAGCCGGGTAAGTTCTATTCGCTATCACTATATCTTCGGGTACTCCGTTTTCCTTGACATCGCTATCGTGCAAAAATGCAGGAAATTCAGGGCCTGCGAGTGATTAGGGAGCCTGCACGTCTTATCATTTGTGGGGTTTAATTACTCTTAGCTAATTGCTCAGACTAACTCATGGCATCTCAAATAACAAATCTCCCTTCAAACGTTTTATCCTTGATTTTCGAGCAACTAGATCAGACTTCATTGTCAAACTTCCTTCAGATAACTAACTCAAATCTTGACAATACACTACGTCTCGCAGCAGAAACCGTTAAGTATTCCAGCATAATTGTATCAAACCAATGGCAAAACCTGATTAAATTGCTACCACGGGCACTTCAGCTAATGCCAATCCATTCACTTGACTATTACCATCATGTTTCGTTGGATGAGTTCAAGACCCTTGCGCACAAGCTAGGTCGTCTTTGGGACTCTAGATTCCCCGTTAAAAGAAGAATCTACTTAGTTGTGAGATGTGATGTTTCGAATCAATCCACGAAATACAAAACCATCCGAGATTTGCATTACATGCTCCTGGAAATGCCCTTGTGTGTTCATACTGCAATTAGGCTTGTAAAGCTCTGTCTTCCCGTTCTGAATGAGATGGTCCCAGACCAACTCAGCAACGAGGCTCTGACTTTACTATTTCAGAAGTTCGTGGAAGATCCCATTTTACATGAATCTCTAGATTCACTTGGACTCCAAGGACCTACTTCTGCGCTTTTGACAAGCATCCCAAATAATCCCATTAGCGATTTCTCACTGTTTAGAAACCTAACATCTTTACAGCTTAACGATCTCAATCTAGAGTCACTCAGAGGATTTCAGTTTCCAATATCCTTGCTTAAACTAAACCTAGCACATAACCGTCTTCGGAATCTTAAGTGTGAGATACTTCCCCCGCAGCTCGAGGTGTTGAATCTTTCTGATAACAAGCTTAAAAGACTCATTGGAGATAAAATGCCTAGGAATTTGAAGAAATTAAATATCAGCAAAAATATGCTCCAAGAAATATGTGATCTACCACCATTGATTGAAGAACTAGATATCTCATTCAATGACTTAGCTATAACAGCTCTAGAGCATACTCTACCGTTGAGCACACTATGCATGGACATGGCTCAATTTTACTTGATGCCGAAAAACATAAAGGAATATCTCGCGAGCCGACACATCCTGGTGAAAAATTATGCCATCCGTGAAAAAGGTTTCGTATGAAACTTCTAAATTTCATCGAAAACGGTTCCCGTCAGCTCCACATCTGATCCCTCAATTACAGAATCTTGCATCAAACTAGGTGATTCGACCGAATTTGAACTGTATTGTGTTGGGTCACTATACTTGACTGGTGAAGAGGGAAAGTCATTAGTCATTTTGGGCCGCTTATTCTGTCTCTCAGATGATGGTCTTAATTGCTGCTGTGTAATGACAATTGACTCCTCAAGGAAGGAGCTCAATGGCTCTTCCTCGGAATGCAGCAAGTCTATTAGCCAGGAGGCATTTTTGTTATTCTCAGCGTCCCCCAGATCCATAAAATCGAAGTACACCGGTTCCATGATATTTCCAGCCACATTCTCCTTATCAGCTTTAGCGACGGCCACAACTCTGTCACAATTCTTGCTAGCTTCGTCCTTATTATCCAAGTTATAGTGGCTATTAATGAGAAAATCATTGTAGAATAGAATTCTTTGATGAATCTTGTTTTCATTCAAACTCCGATTACCCAGCTGTCTATGATCGTATTTGGTAGGCTCAAACCGAGATTTGCTCCGCATTTTAGGGGATGGCTCCACGGTCGAGTTCGACTTGGCAGGAATGTAATTGTCCTCCGTCTCAGAACCAGTTTTCAATGTATTCATCTTTACGTCCATGCATCCTAATAGCAATATCATCAGTTGTTGGCATGTAGCAAATTCGTTGAGGTGTTTAAACATCACATCGACGTGACTTTGAAATTTTAAGAAAGGGCTTTCCCTAAATAAAGTCGAGTCAGGGAGATCTGGTAGGCTTTTGTCGGCAGTTGTGGCAGGGTCGGTCTTGTTTAACTTCTCGATGTAAGCTGTATTCCAATCAACTTCAAGCTTGAGCAAAGCCTCTTCGAAAGCGGTCACAAGTTGAAGTCGATAATACTCCAACACTTCGTGAAAATTCATTATGACGATAAATGGAGAACAATCGTACTTTTCCAGTCTTTTGATCATGAGAAATGCGAGAATTTGACTGAATGTTGGAAGTGAATACCGAGTGATACACCGTTCGAGCAGCTCGTTGTATCTCGGATGTTTACGGAGAAGCTTCCATGGAAATTGATTGAACGTCTCCAAAACTATGATTTTCCCGTCCGATTTCAGTTCCAAATATGAAACCATCATGTTGCAGACCACAGCAAACATACAGTTGTGTAAAGGTGTAGATTGAAAGTCAAGTATTGCTTGAGAGCCGTCGACTCGTATTAGTGAATCAAGACTATCGACACCAGTCGAAATTTGATTCCATTCTGATGGTTTGTGAAGAATATCAAATAGGGAGACCATGATCAGAATACTTCGCCCTCTTCCTTAGCTCAAACTCTCTGAGCAAATTGGTTATTCGGATCTAAAGGTGCTGAATTTCAAAATGGTGGATTGCTATAGATTCCATAACGCTTTTAGTATCTAGAAGTATTACTCGAAGAGCACCGGTTGATTGCGCGCTCAGTTATCAAGAGGGCGTCTGAAGATCGCCTTTTGTGCACCTGCCTAACTTTGGAGAAGGGCTGTAAGAAAAAACAAAAGGGAAGAATTGAGATATCTAGCAACAAGAAATGGAACAGTTGTACTTGCCCCTCCTTTAATTTCAAGACGATATACACTAAACACTCTTCCTTACTTACGTTTCGCAACCTCCGAAGCAACATCCTTACCTCTCTTAAGTTTCCAGAGAACGATAGGGATATAGTGAGGTCGAATCCATCTTCACATCGATAAGAGAAAAGTAATTACCACCCAATCATCTTTTTCTCGCAGACCCTGGTATCAATTGCTTTATACGATAATTGTGATCAGCTACAATTAGGGGCGCGATTCAACGGACGTCACTAAACCAATCATTACATTCAAATGCCCAATCAACTGCCAATCTCCCAGAAAGACCAGTCTGCATTCTCGTCCCGTCATGGAATAAGCCACAGGAATACCGCTTCAGGAGTGAGAAGGCCAGCGCTATCCAGAACTCAGTCAAATTATGCTAGCGCAACAAATTCAGGAACTTCGAATACTGTATTGAACTCCAAGTCAACCAAGGCTCTGGGAAGGGAAAGATCCAGTAGCACAAGCTCAAATGGAAGTTCTGCTCCCACACTTAATGCTGCAACAACTGGGGACTCTAGAAAGACTCGTGTCAAATCAATGAGTCAGACACTCGCCAACAATCTCCACAACAGCAATCAGTATCTTGCCCAAGAACGGGCTTATCTCAGAAGGATAAGAAACCAATGGGATAATGATTACTATACCAAAGGAATTAAAAGTGCGGACGATGAACTGAGCAAGGGCGAGATTAACAATAATGAAGATGATGAAGATGATGACGATTTCCTGACCTACGGTAACACTGACCTTCTAATAGACATGGATGATGAAAAATACCAGATCGACTACAGTCTCGCGTTTGATATCATGAAGTCATCAAACTCTAACATCAATTTCGATAAATCAAATCTGATAAGCGAGGATACAGTGAAAGATCCAGCAGTTCTTGAACGTCTTGACTGGCAGGCAATGTTATCTTCTGTACTCACAGGAGATGTTGTTAGGTCAGAAAAAACTAAAATTATCGATAATACAAGTGTCAACGACGGCCAAGAGCCCTTTTTGCATACGAACTACAAGGAGAACCTATGGTTTGGAATTCGTGCAAAGCTATTCAATAGGACAGAGGATGATCAAAAGAAGATAATCTTCTACCGCAGAACTCTTACTGAGCAGTTGATTGAAGAGATAATGAGCTTCGAACTCTCATACGATAAAGACAGTAAATCACCGCGCCAGCAGGTTGTTGAAATTCTTGAGAAGTACGAGAGAGTATGCGATCAATGGCAAAGCTTGGAGGATATGAAGCATGACAAGCCCGCGTGTCGATCCGAAGCATTCCAAAACCGTATTGACGCCCTCAACGCATGGTTAAGTATTACCGATGCAATTGAAAGAGAATCGCAGTCATTCAAACTGTGGGTTGGGAATGATGATCTTGATATTATGAGGGGAAAAGCAGATGCGCTGGTACCCAATGAAGCTGAACTTGAAAGGAATAGCCTCACTAGCTCTAAAAACAAAGTTGTGAAAAAAATCTTTGAGGAGGATAATAAGTCTTTGGCTGAACGTCTTATGAAGGAGAAAGACGTTCACACTATCTTCCGCAAACGAATTTTTATACCGTTAGCACCATGGATGGTCAAGTCAAGAGAGACATATATCAATCTCGGCCATATCTTCGAGATGCTCAAACTTCCTGATTATATCCATGACCTAATCCAGCTTTGCCTCATTCCCTTGCGTCTCATTAAGGAGATTATCAACATACGAATGAAGTATGCCTTGAAGCTTCAAAATCCCACTTTGATGATGATTGACCAGATGATTGAGGATTTCAAATCGTACATCACAATCGCGCTAGAAGTGAAGAATGGTATAATGAGCTATTGCAAGCCTGATGAGAATAAAACGTGGCTCATTGAAGATTTATTCGACTCGGATATCCTAGATTTCGACAAAGTCGTTCTTCAGTGCGTCCGCTACTTCCTCGTTCTTCTCAATAGGAAGCTTATAGATAGCTCCAAAACACCAAGCACGTTCAGAACAAATAAGGAACCGGAGGAATTGGAAGACACTTGGAACTTTCTCAAATCACTAGGTGAATTCATTGATGGGGGCAGCATAGTCGTTGCGGAGAATATTACTCTCATCACGCTGCGATTGTGTCAAAAGCTTTTGTCGTATCTCAACAACCAGATCAAAAATCCCCCCAGCTCTAATATGAGCTCACTGGAACTTATAAGGTGGTATAATTCTACCACAGAAAACTTCGGGCAGTTGAGAAGAAAGCTTGCGAGATTCACAAGTGAATTGTCACGCTCGTTCACCAATTCAGTGGCTTTTGAAATACCAACAAATAACGGGAGTCGAACTAAAGCCTTGCTAGAGGCCTTGAAAAGTACGAATCATTTTCTTGTCTACACCGGTACCGTCGAGGCACAGGGGATGTACTTTTTCTCAAGTCCTGAGTTGCGAGATAACGAATCTGAAATTTTGAGGATCATAAATGGATCGCGGATTGGTATCGATCAGTCTGAGTCGTTCGATGAGTTTGTTAGCCTCTTGAACATGGTGAACGTCTCAGGTATGGAGTTTGCTATCCCAGACGAGTATATTCTGAACCTCGGATACGTTTTGGCTTTGTGTCCGCCTAAGCCTATTGTTTGGGAGGGTGATATGATCACATTGAACATAAAAGAAGTCCCTATATCAGATGTCAAGGTGGGTCAAATGCTTTTTGTGACAAGTGATCCAGAATTTAATCTTATGGAGCTAAAAAGTCGCTTTGTTGAAACGGTAACAGATGCAATGGGTGGAGGAAACACCCTTAAAGTCGTGGAGCAGCGCTCTTCGTTGGCGAAAGTCCATCATGAGCTCACCAAAATCAACAAAATTTTCTTCAAAATGACTTTGGCGATACTTGATTCTGTGAAAATTATTATGGAACGATGCAAAAAACTTATACCAAGCGGTGGTTACCAAGAATTGGTCAATTCTTATTTCATTTATGCCAGAGACTTTGGAAAGGGTTCGGTGAAGTGGGCAGACCCCCTGAAAAAATCCACTGTGATAATGAAGTTGATTCAACTTTCCATCCAATGGGTAAGCTTTATTTGCGATGATTGTATCCCGACAGACAGGAAAACCTTTCGATGGTGTGTGCTTGCTCTCGAGTTTTCAATGGAGATGACTCGCGGATTCAACGTTTTGGTTTTAAACGAGGAACAGTTCAATAAGCTTAGACTCAAAGTGGCTCGATGCATGTCACTCTTGATCTCTCATTTCGATATCATGGGAGCTCGTTCAAGCGAGGCTGAGAAGAAGAAGTTGCTTAAGTGGACATCTCAACGTCACAAAATTGAGAATACTACTGACGATGAATATATTCTTACAGCTTATCGCGAAGATGTCATGAGGGAAATCGAGGAAATTGAGAATTACAGGGCAGAAGTTCAAGAGCAGCTCAACTCTATTGGTCGGGTGTTGGATGTGTCTGATCTGGAATACCATTTTGTTAAGCTCCTTGCTTCTTCTTTCTCGAGTGTTTCGATTAGATGGCAAAAAGGTAGGTTCATTGGCGGCGGCTCGTTTGGTCAGGTCTTTGCCGCTGTTAATTTGGATACTGGTGGTGTGATGGCTGTGAAAGAAATTCGATTCCATGACAGCCAATCAATCAAAATTATTCCGTCTATCAGAGATGAGATGACTGTGTTGGAAATGTTGAACCATCCTAATGTCGTGCAGTACTTTGGTGTGGAGGTTCATAGAGACAAAGTCTACATCTTCATGGAATTCTGTGAGGGTGGCAGTCTTTCAGGTCTTTTAGCTCACGGTCGTATCGAGGACGAAATGGTGATTCAAGTCTACACTCTACAAATGTTGGAAGGTTTGGCATATCTTCATCAGTCTGGTGTTGTTCATCGCGATATCAAGCCCGAGAATATCTTATTGGACCACAATGGAGTCATCAAGTTCGTCGATTTTGGAGCTGCTAAAGTCATCGCAGCTACTGGAAAGACCCGGGATCGACTATGCAATCATCGCAACCTGCGAAGAATAATCCGGAGAACTTGAACTCAATGACAGGAACGCCAATGTATATGTCTCCTGAGGTTATTACTGGTCAGTCAACAGCCAAGAATGGAATTGTTGATATTTGGTCTCTTGGTTGCTGTGTTCTAGAAATGGCTACTGGAAGACGCCCTTGGGCTAATCTTGACAATGAGTGGGCCATCATGTACCATATTGCTGCTGGGCATAAGCCACAATTGCCTTCACCTGATCAGTTGAGCGAATCTGGTCGCAAGTTTTTATCTAGATGTCTCGAGCATGATCCAACGAAGAGGCCAAGCGCAGTGGAACTCTTGAGCGACCCTTGGATTGTGCAGATTCGACAAGCGGCCTTTGGTTCTAGCGATGGCTCCACACCTTCCTCCGAACATGGTCCTGCCATTACTCCTACCAGTGAAGCGTCAGCCCCATTAAGCTCTTCGTCGGATCACAGCCATCAGTTTGGCGAGAATTAGTTAAGTATTCGCAATATAGACATTCATTAAAAATCAGACCCAAAGGTCTGCTATATACAATCAGCTTGCAATCATACCATATCATAACCTGTAATTCTCCTCAAGAAACGATACAATTTTTTCGGTATGATCACCCTTGATACTCACGAGCCCTGTAACAGAATTAATTTTCAACTTTTCTTGAATTGGATTTGTTGTGTCGAGATGTTGCACAAGCTCTTTCGCAAAAAGATGAACATTACCGTCCACACGTTTGACTTCAGTTGAGACCTTGGTATTTTGTAGACGCTTGTACACTGGCCAGTAACCGTTCGAAGTTTTCCTAATGCTGTATAGGCGAGCCTTGTCGTACGTGGAATTAGGAAGATCCTCGACACTCAAACTAGAGAGCAAAGGAGCCGCATAGATAGGTTTGGCTCGTATTTCTGGATTAATGACACCAAGATTTTTTGATAATATCCTGCTCACTTTCATATTCGAACAGTTGTATTGGGCCTAGTGATCGATGGATTTCAAAAATTTCCCTCTGCACGTGAGGATACTATACCTGTATATATATACTTCCGCGAGTGGGCAGAAACTATAGACGACCGCGGACCGATAAAGCGCAACAAACACAGTCTTACATCGATGGAGCAGAAACGCCAGTATCATGTTCGCGTATGTGTTTCGTGAATAGTTTCTTCTGATCGAACACCATTCCGCAATCAGCGCATGTGAATCGTTTCTGATGCACCCGCTTGTGCTTCGCTAGATTAGAGCTCTCACTAAAGCTCTTTCCGCAGCCAGGATACAGACATTTTAAGGGCTTCTCGCCCGAATGCACCCTCGTGTGGATTGCCAACGCGGAGCTCGTAGTAAACCGTTTGTCACAGTGTTTGCATGCGAAAGGCTTCTCGCCTGAATGAATTCTCATATGTTGTTTAAGAGTAGCAGCAACGGCAAAGCTCGCTCCACAAATCTCGCACTTGCAAGGTTTGTAGTTCGTATGTATATGGATATGTCTGTAGAGCTTCTGCCGTTGCATGAAAGGCTTTCCTCCATTTCTTTCACAACCGACCCAACAACATCGATATTGGCGTTTTCCCAGGCCGATATGGTCGTGCTGAAGGTGAGCTTGAAGGTCGCCATCGGATGCATGAACCTTTCCACATATAATGGGCTTATTATCGATATCGGTTCCAACCTGCCAATTGCAAGTGAAAAGAGGATCTATCGGCTGACAACACAGTATCTTCTTAGGTTTGATCTCCATCTGCGTAATGCTCACTCCATTTGACGGGCTTTGTTCCTCTTTCTTTATGAATGGCTTTGGGGACCCGAGAGATGACACGATGGAGCTTGGTGTGAGTAACGGTGAGCTTTTGAGGGCACTATTGACTGTGTCTGGTGCACTGCTTGAACTTATGTCCTCATTCAATTCTCTATGAGTACTGAGATGGCTCACAAATGACTCGTAATCTTCGTTTGTGAAACCACAATTATACCACTCGCATTGAAATGCATGATTTTGAGATCTCTCGCGGTTGTCCAATGAATATTCCTCATTGATATGGTCACCGATGAGATGATCCAAAAGAGTGTTATCATCAACTTTCTTGCAACAATTTTCCCACTTACATGAGTATGAGGAAGGAGCGTTAGGTGACTGTGGTTGCATTGCGGAATTGTCAAAGTGAGTTTGTGAGCCTATCTTCTCGTGCTCCTCTCCGAAAAGCAGATTAAAATTGTTGAATTGGAGAAAAAAATCAAAATCATTTTGTTCACAAGAAGTCGTAAGCGCAGACTCCGAACTCTCCTGTTTAAAGGATGGCACTCTCGCATGGAAGCAAGATTGATGCAAGTTATGATGAGCTTTCAATGCCTTCATATCATCAACCAGTTGTAGTTCATCGGACAACGCCGTATTTGTCACCGGAAGAACATCTGGTTTCGCATTTCTAGAATCTGCGGTTTGGTGGCAACGATGAGGGAAGTGAATTTGGATATTATCGTAACTTAGTGGCTCGACCTTCCTTCTCTTGGTAGCAAAACTCTCGATTTCATTGAACTGCCTCTTAGGTGCCTCTTCTTCTTCATTCTTGACATCTCTCAGCAGCTCGACACTCTTTTGAACATTTTCTAAAAGATTTCGAAATATCGCCATCCTTTGCAGCTGTGTTTCACATAAATTGTTCTCGTGATCGAATAACTCATGGTTCTCAAGACATTTAGGATCCTCACAAATTGCCTCAACGTCTCTGAGGCAACTGGGATCATCACAGCATTCGACTTCTGGAATTTGAGTCGAGCAAATTTCATCATCACAGGACTCGATGGAGCAAGCGTCATGGCTTCCCCCATTCGTACAATTTTCGTTGACACAATCTCCGGATGAGCACCGATCAAGATCGCAAACTTTGGGATTCTCGCAATTTCCGAAATAACAATCGTCTAATTCGTTGCAAAATATTCCATCGCAGTCTTTACTAAGTTCCACGCAATTATCAGGTTCAGCAGCACCAGTGCTTTTCTCCGCTTTCTGGTTAGATTGATGGTCGTGATTGTGAATATGACCATGAATGTGCATATGATCGTCGTGCTGATGGACATGCCCATGGATGTATCCATGAGTCAAAACATGTTCAACCTCTTTCATGGAGGGCAGATTACCAATCGTGGGAAAGACAGTCCCCAAGCCTAGGCTATGGTCAGGCATCTTGAATGTAAATGATTGGTGGTAAGAAGCGAGGCCCGCCTCAATCAATTACAGTGGTCGACGTCGATTATTCAGGTATAGATTTTTCAAAGAAGTGAAGACCTTAATTCCTCAGCTCTGTATCCACCTAAACGAGTGCCGCTTCTTAGTAAGTGTTCACTTTTCACCCTGGTGGTTACTTGAGATGATCAAGTGAGCTCGGACTATATGAAGGAATTTTTGGTGTACTGGTGTTTGCAATATTCTGTTAAATCAAGGATCATTTGGCTCGAAATGTCTAGTTCACGTAACTCAACATCTGAATATGCTGACCAGCACTTAGGTTCGCTACGATCTCGCAAGGAGAGAGGTCTCCGCGTAATCAGTTAAGAGACTGCCCTTGTGACACTATTTTATTGGCTTGCTGACTCCTAACTTGTTTGAGATCCTTGATACTCAGTTTGATCGCAATAACATGTTGTTAGTAAACGTAAGCTTGACTTTCGGGAGTTTGTTGTGACGTGCATAAATCATGCATAAGTGTAGATAAACATGCCCCGCGCTTACTTCATTCTCCATCTTTCAAACTAATTTATGCATATCCTCTCAGATCCCCTTATTGTTTCCGGAATTTTATCAATAACACACAGGATCTCGCATCCCAAGTACTTATAGTGTTTACTTATATGGCCTGGTCAAATATCTATCATATATCTGACTAGAAAACTCACTAAACTGGTCGCTTGAAAGCTAGCATGCAAAGGATATAATGCGCAGGTTTACACTAATGCTTCGCATTGGTACAGCTAAAATTCGACTCTGCTACGAAGCAGTTCAAAAATGGGCACGAAGTCGCAAGGTGAAAACAAAGGGTCAAGCAGATGATGACATATCTGAAGACATGGCAGACGATACTTTGGAAGATATTGTTGATCGCTACTTTGATCCGGACTTGCAATTTTACTCAATTTTGTCATCTATAAAAAGCAAACCCTTTCCTGAAGATGAGACGACTTTCACCAGCGTAAGGCAGCAAACTGACATGGCAACTTATCAGAAGTACCATCATTCAAGCAACTCGTCGATGATGGAGGACGTTCCGCAATTAGGGACCCATTCTGCAAAAGGGTGTACTCCAAAAAGTAAAGTCTTTATGTCTCAGGAAGATAGCCAAGACTCACTAGAGATATCAACAATGGTTTTTGAATTCGATGAAAGTGCTGATTACGGGTCTTTGCTCATGGCTGATCCAAGACCATTCAATTCTAGCAATGATGTTCAGATAGTTCTTGATCCAAGATATGTAAGTGAAACCCGCTAGCATACACCAAAGGCGGTTTTATTTTTTGTACAGATCAATCTTTGAACCATGAAGCCTCTTTGAATAGCAGGCTCTACGTGGAAAGATAGAACGAACTGGATATGTTTACATCAATAAAAAGCAGCTGTTATTTGTTGACTTCTGTCCATTGGCTGTCTTTTTTGAAGACATGTTTTCCCTTGAAAGCTACATAGACTTGTATACTTCTCCTTTTATTTTAATGCTATCACGAAATATCTGCCGCAATCCAACTTGGAGGAAAGGAATTCACAATATCTTTGAACGTTTTATTAATTCACCTTTCAGTTGCCAAAACTATAATTATTCGTATCACCAACAAGCTTCGGAGCTTAGGGCACTGAATACCCGGGCACGTGATTATCTGCATGCGGACTTCCTCGCATCCCGTTTTAGACACTTGACGCGTAATGAGCATACCTGAATTAGTATTGAACGAGATCCAAAGGGGAAGACGATCGAAATCTCGTCGAAGATTGAAGCCTAGTATGCTTTCTAAGCAGTGATGAATAATAAAATTTTATACAGCCATCATCGTAAGGTTACCTCTCCAAGCGATTAAGAGTAAACAATCTTAGCGGTAAACACACGACTCGCGCCTCAAATCGTGTCTGGTCGGTCTATAACTCCCAAACTTTTCTACTTTGGCTTTCTTTTCTTGTGGATTATTTCATACAACTTTGTCTACTTAATAAGGAAGACCAATTCAATAGCTCTGTTATGACGTCCGCTGACGTGGTATTAACGAAAAACAAAACAAACGAACGCATGATGGAACCCCAATACAATACTAACTTGGACGATGAAGAAACACCAATCGATACTATACCTGTCACCAATCATACCAAAACTACTAAGGATTTGGAGAGTGCCCATCTGCCATCTGGATCAATTTCGCTGGTAGAACTGTCTGAATCGACCAAAAGGCTTATCAACTCTCTTTCACTGCAGGCGCTAAGTGGATCGCTACCGGTAGCTGATTTAAACACGCAAGTAGCCGAGAAAAACGTCGAAGGCTCCCCAACTACAATGACAACTCATTCCGCTATTCCATCACCGGACTCAGAAACCTTTTCGCAGCGTTTGCCCAAGCTAGACAAGAAGCCAGTGAAGTTCACCGTTCGCAAAGTATCTAGGGACACTATCAACACAAGTGCTGGTATTAATAATGGTCAAAGGCAATACTCATATGGTAACACCATTGACCGTCTGGAGCCAAAAGAGAGAAAGCCACTCTCGAAGAATGAGCAGCTTCAGCGAAGCCAAGCGAAGTATGATGGATATGCTGTTCGAGTTGAAAAGATCAACAAAGAAATCGAGTTTTTGAGCAACCTTCTCCCACCTTACAATGTGGAAATTGACTACTCTACACGGAACAAAATTGCCAAGGCCATAGAGAAGTTGAAAACGAAGCAAGATGAGATACAGAAAAAAAAGTATAGCCTTGGTATCACATTAAGTCGATTATGGAGAGAGCATGACGAGCGGGAACTATGGGTTAGAGCTAAGAGCAACCAGTGATTCAAATTAAAGATGTGAGAGTATCATCAAACAACACACATTACGATTGCATGAATTGTTCAACTTGTATCTAACGTAATGATTCACCGTTGGCGCTTAGCGTCAAATGTCAGGAAGTTAGATCGTCTTTCTGAATAACGACATGTGAAAAGCCAGCCTTAGTACCGGTAGTAGCTTCATCCTGTTGAACTTTCTTGGAAGACGTCTTCGAATCTACTGCAAAGCTCTATGTTTCATGGATAACCAGGAGATGCCATTGGTTAGAACGCTAATAGATAACCCTTCTGATCTCAGTGTCCCATACTGCTAGGAGATCCAATCATGGGGCGTATGTATGTAACTTTATGAAATTTGAAATTAATGCAAATTAAATTGAAGGCTGATTCTCATCTTTTGAACCCAAAATGAAATTTGAAGGAATCTTTGGTTCTAGGATTTCGGTCAACGAATAGAGTATTATTGATAACGGTTAGGTGTGATATATTGTCGATACTAAACAGTTGAGGCAAAACCAGGCTCAAGCGAATTAACTTTGCAATTCCAGAATTTCATTCTCATTTGCCACCAAGCCCATCACAACCAAGTACATATTCAAGTTATTCAACATGCTTTGCTTCTCGTGCAACTTGTCCATATCAGTATTTGCGATGGCTTTTGCTCGATTCATTACTCCAAAAATTTCATCTCTGACCTCGTCAACTATGATACGCTGGTGGCTTAGCTTGCCTCCAAGTGACAAAGTTGCCAAAAACTGCCAAACGTAGTCGTTCTGAGAATCGTTATTGGAAGGTGGGAATATCGCAGCCAATCTTGACTCTAGAGCAGTGAACAACTCGTCGTAACAGGATGTCCATTCAGACAAATCTGTAGCAGATATTGTTCCCTCCCCTCTGATAAGTTCTGCTCGTGAGAGCAAACTTGTAATAATAGACAAACCAATCTTCGTTGTTGATACAAACGACACAACGTTATGCTGGATTAAAATGACAAGAAGCCCTATGATTTCATGAAACTTAAATTCTTGAACAGAATTCATCAAAATTTTGCAAAAGGTTAGCGAATAAATTTCAACGAGCCTTAAGACTTTTGATGGAATGACTTTGTTTGGATAGATTGTGTACGATCCCTCCTTGATAACATTCAAGTTCTCGAGATTTGACATGACCAAGGTCACAATTGTGAGTGTCTGTTGCCTAGATAAGAACTTGAATAAACGTGGAAGAATTTTTAAAGCCTTCTCATGGTTCAAACATTGTATGAAGGGATTCACAAACAGCTCATCATCTCCAGAAGAGGAAGAGCTATCCAAAACGTGCAATGAGTTCCATAGCGATGATGTATCCACATGTGCATTAGTGCGCGAGTCACTCTCGACAGCCATGAGGTTGTTAATAATATCCTCCAAGATAGCCAAAATGTCCTTCCTCGTGTACTTCTTAACCCGTTGGCTTGGAGCGATGGGTTGATCATCGGAGGCACTGCTCGAAACATCCTTTGCTCGTTGAGCCGCTTTGCTTAAGATGGTTAATTGCTGCCTGGGTTTCTTTCCTGAACCAACAGATATTTTCCCCAAAACACCCTCTCTTTCATTGTGAGGCAAACTTTGACGCTCCTTTGCTACACTAACAGCCTTTTGAACTTGTTGCTGCATTCTTTGTAATGCAACATCCGCACGTTTGAATCTACCACCAAGTCTATGTCCACTTTGGTCGAGATAGGCTTGCGCGATAGAATTGGGTTCTTGTTGCCCATGAGAAGGTGCCAAAGCACCTGGGGTGGACTTCGGATGGATGACGCGGTACACTTGAGCGTAAAAATCCTCGTTGTAGGGGTCATCCGTAACAATCTGGGAGAGCTGAAATCTTGTAACAAAGTCTTTGTCTTTTGGGTTCATCACACCTGAGTAGCGCATGATACGCGCCACCTTCTCCTGACGTTTCAACATGAGTGCATGTTGCTCTTCATTAATAGATGTCAGCTCCTCAGGGCGGATCTCCTCTGTCTTTGCATCATGACTCTGTGACGCCGCTCTTTGAGATTGTAGGCGCTTAATTGAGGCATTTGGTGCTCCTAAAATAGGGAACTCACCCAAATTTTCGGCATCTCTAGATGTAACTGATTGATTTGTTCCTGACTCATTTCTCAAGTTTGGTTTCACGTTCACATCCCCCAAAGTGTGTTGAGGAACATTCTCCCTTGGTTGAGTGAAATTTTCCGCTTGAGGAATGCCAATCGAGTGTTTGGCGTCGGTTGGGATAGGAACGGCAGGGAAGCCTTGTCCTTGATTCATCATGTACCCGTTCGGATGTTGCATGGTAACAAATTGGGGCGGTGGAGGTACTCCATATGGACCAGGCGGGGGATGTAACCTTGTGGGACCATGAAGCCACCAAATTGATTTTGTGGAAATCCACCAGGGTAATACTGCTGCTGTGGAGGAACAAAATTCTCACTTTGTCTTTGTGATAAATTGCTTTGAGACAACAGCGCTTCAATCTCCTCCAAGCTAAGGAACTTTTTCTCCTGTTCAATAGGTTTCGATTCATCCCGCTTGTTGTGAGCAGGCATCCCCCACAAATCTTTCATGAAATCCTCATCGTTTGCAGCAGCTCGCGCATATGAAACATTAGGATTGATGGTCTGAGATGACGAATGTGATACGGCTGAGTGCCCGAAATCAAAATCTTTGCCAACATCGGAAACACCAAATGTTTCGCTGTTCAAGGCATCATCGTCATCAACTTCACCCAATCCCTCATAGGTTTCCTGGAAGTCATAAGAAGTGTTTGTATGACCACCCAAATGAGATCCCTGTTGGCCTGGAGCAGGAAATGACATTATGTAATGAAGCTCAAATGTTGGTTGTAGGTGAGAGGACTACGAAATTTTGGCTTGCAGTTTCGTTCGCACTCGACGAAATTTAGGAGATGCACGACTTAATAAGGGCGCTATTTAAATATTTGAAGAGCGCTAGACAATTTGAGGGACATCTCGTCCCACTCGGCCTCTTCGTCACTCAAAACTGTGATGGCACCCCCAGCCCCAATGCGCCAAACCTGCTCTTGTTCGGAATTTTCTTTGTCGTGCTTATAATGGAACAAGGACCGTATTGTTACAGACCAGTCCGCTTCATCCGTGATTGACCAATATCCTGCTACCCCACTGTAAATACCTCTTCTTCTGCTTTTCATTCCTTCTTGCAAGGCCTCAATTTCATGAAGAAGTTCAATTGACCTCTTCTTTGGCGCTCCGGTCATCGACCCTGGAGGAAGCGACTCTGCCAAAACCTCCCAACCACAACTGTTGTTAAGCTCCCCCCTTATTACGCTAACAAGCTGATAGACAGTTTTATACTTCTCAACTGTCATCAAAGCACTGACATCAACTTTTTTCACAAACGGATTAAGATCATGCCTAATAAGATCAACTATCATGAGATTCTCCCCATTTCTTTCGGTGTTTTGAGGAGCGATTGCGCCATGTCAAGAGTTATCGAGGCATCGTTCTTAACTGTCCCCTTAATCGGTCTCAATTCAACAACTTTTTTCTTTCTATTGACCTCGTCATCTTTCCAGCATAAAAAACGCTCCGGGGAAGATGACAAAAGAACACAATCATCAAATGCCATGAATGATGAATATGGTGAAGGGTTCTTGTGTAAAGAAAGAATTTTATACATCTCCCACGCTTGGACATTGCTGGGGAGCTTAATTTTCAGCTGGGTCGTCAAACAGAGCTCGTAAGAGTCTCCCGAATGTAAGTGTTTCTGACAGGCCTCGAACTGCTCCCTATATGCTTCTCTGTCTGGAAAATCGAACTTAATGAGACCGTCTTCACAGAGTTCTTTGACACTCTCGGGTACGTCGCTTTTACGAAGATTTGGTATATGCGATTTAACAAGCTTTTCCGAAAAGTTTGTCATCCAGAGTTTGTCATCCATTCTGATGGAAAGCAAGGCCCAATGTTGAGTTGTGTGATCAAATATAAGGAATCTCTCGATGAATAAAAGTTTCAAATCGGGCACATCCTGGTGGCAAAGGCTCCTAGCATTGTCAAGAATAACATGCTTACCCTCCTCATAGGAAATGAGGCCCATATACCCTCCGAAAAAGGGACTTGACCTTATCGGTAGATGCGATATACTTTGCTCAGCCTTCTCTCTGTCCACAAAACGCCTCCTCATTCTGTCTTGAAGGAATTCCCATACTGAAGACACGTCAAGCTCAAGATGTTCCTTCTCGTTATGCTTGCCCACTCTAACGATATTAGGTCTGTTGAGAGAATGCGATACTACCTCGCTTTCACCGGTAATGGGAAGACCTATTATAGACCAGTCTCCGGGTTCGGCTGCTGAGTTGAGAAGAAATATCTCATGACCCCACATTTGCAATTTATCGCATAAGTCAACCGGTGAAGGACACTTCCCATCAAATTTTAACGGCAAGCCAGAGACGCAAGTGTCTTGACTGGGGACAATATTGCTACCCAAATCAAGGTTGGGCGAGACCAGTGACGTTGAACCATGATCGAACTCAAATTGTCGTCTTCCGTTTCGATTAAATTTGATTGCCAACTTATCAAAACAGCAAATGAGCTCTTGCCCCTTCTTTGAGCATATTGACTCCGGATGGTATTGAACGCCATAAAACGGCATGCTTTTATGTTGTCCGGCCATAACTAAATCTATTCCATTGTCCTTGCATGTGGCCAAGGGGATGATTTCGTCATTGAGATCCTCAAGTCGAATTCCTAGTGAATGATATCTTACGCTCTCAAATCCTTCAGGGTTGTCGCCAAAAAGGGAGCATGCCCTCGGTTCGATCGTGAAGATTTGTCCATGTCGCACATGGTCTAGCTCTTCAATCGTATTTCCGAATGAATGGCAAAGGCTCTGAAACCCGAGACATACCCCAAGTATGGGAATAGCTTCAGAGTGCCTCTTGCTTAAGTATTTGAAAATCCAATGTATTATGCCCACGTCCTGATGCTTCTCCGGATGTCCTGGCCCGGACCAATAACGATGTACTCAAACTTCGATATCCAATTCGAAAATTGTTCAAGATACTCATTCGGTTGAACGAAGTCATTTTGAACGCACACGACCTCTTTACCAGTCTCCGACTCTATCAAGGCTCGGAGATTGTTGCTGAATGAATCGTAAGAGTCAATCAAAAGAATCATATCCTCAGAGTGAAGAACTGGTGCCACAGACTATTTTCTATACAAAGACTGCACATGACTATATGCAAGTTTTTCATTTGTGTTTTTCTTTGGTCTTGTGTCGACTTTCAACGGTTTCCGCGAGATTCATAATTACATTGTACTTGCTTCATCTTCGTCACCGGAAACGTTTTCATGTAGCTCTATGAGCCGCTTCTTGTAAAATGATATCTTAGCCATCAGATTCTCCCAAAGAAGCATCAATTCATCGAAATCGCCTTGAAGAGTTCTCAAACGATCCTTTTCAAGTGCCATGGAGACCTTTAGCTCCTCATTTTGTAGCCTCAAACGATCGATAGTCGTTTTAAGATCATGACTTACAGAGCAGGATCTTTGTGAGCTCTCAATAGAGCGTCCTTGCATTGTCGATACTTCGAGGGAGCCCCTCGCTTTCGAATCGATGTTGGCCGCTACTGGTACAACGTCATCGTATTCAGACCTTTGAAGTGATTCCACGCCCCATCGTGTCCTTATCTCAGCTAGTTCTGACTCCTTATCAGACAACAGTTTTTTTAAGTTGTTGACTATAAGAGCTGCTGATTTGAGCTTTTCCATCAAAGTTTTCGCCTCATATGCTTTTTGATCCTTCTCAGTTATAGAGTCATTGAGCTTCATTTGCAAGTGATGTATGTTCTGTTGCGCTCGCTGTAGCTCATCTGCGTTATTGCAAGATTTACTTTCATTCCCCAACTTGTTGTCTTGGAACCTTTTGACTTCATTAGTGAGCTGTTGTATTTTATTTTGCGATTGTTTGGAGGCACGCTGCGAAGCTCTAGTTACAGCTTCAAGCTCAGCTTCAGTTGTTTTAAGACTCTCTGTGAGACTCCTGAGCTCCTTGTTCATCTTGTTTATACCATTCTCTGCAAGTTGTTTCCCATCACTAGCCTCCTTGAAGCGAGTTTCTAGTTCTTTGAAATCTCTGAGAAGCACGGCTTTCTCTTTATTCGTATGTTCTAGATGGCCCTTGCATTTGGTCAAATCATAACTCAGTTTGCTTTGCAACTCTTCTGCCATTTTTATTCTTGAAGAAAGGTCTTCATTTTTAGTCTTTATCTCTTCGTTAGACTTGCGGAGCATCTGAACTTCGCTTTCCACGCTTGTCAGCTTTCGTTCAGCATTTGCTAAAGTTGCTTTCAAGTCAATCACAGATTGTCGTGAATCCTTCAATTTGTCCTCAAGCTCGGTCACACGTGCATCAGCTGAAGCTTTCAAGCTTTCGTGCTCTTCCCTTAGATCCTCGAACATCTCATAAGTAACCTTGAGAATCGGGTCCCTTTGAGGGTCATGAAGTAAAGCCAGTCTTATTCGATATGCGTTATCTTGAAGAAGATGCAAGTATTGTGGTATGAGGAAGACTTTGGGGAGACCTGTCTCATCTTTAGTAATTTCTTGGGTGAACAAATCGTTAATTGTGCCTTCCAAATATTTATGAAACATCTTCTTCACCTTCAAAGCGTAGTTATCGGCACCTATTGTCTTCACGATAATATTGTGTAATTCTAACCGAGGGCAAGGCGACGAATTCCTGGAGAATTCAAATGCTATGCCGATAAGGATAAAGCATGTACAATCTGCTAGATCGGTTGCATTAGATCCACTACTCATAACGGCCGACATGATAGCTTTCACTGAATCAATATCTCGCAAGAAGTCATCAACGGATTCGAAATCTTCGTATAGCCAGAATGAAAGTAGCGAGGTGTATGCAACGGGAATTCTAGAGTCGTTCAAGTGAAGAGTCGTGACCAAAATCTGTGCTATCGCCTGAATGAAGCACATCACCTCCTCTCCATCTTTCTCATTTCCAACAGTAACAGCTCTTGCAATACGCTTCGCTTCTTCGCAATCTTCAATAAGACACATCATAAAAAATGCAGCAAACCACGGTTTGTAAGAATTAAGTTTGATTCCATCATCATAGTGCAGTAAAATTGATATTATGTTGGATTGTTTGTCAATTTCAATGTTGCTCTTTCGCTCGCCAGAATCATCTTGATGAAGTGATCCACTTTCGAAACTTCTAATCTGATCTTCGAGAAAACCAAGTTTAGCATCCTTGTTTCTTTCAACGAAGCATTGAAAACAGTAAGAGGCAAATAAACGAATACTGAAGTAATGAACAGAGTTCAAATGAAGTGCCCAATTTAACAAAGCCTGTGGCGCGGCGAGACAGTTCACTGGATTTCCAATCGGAAGCGATGGATCAAAGCTTGGAACATCAAACTTGGAAAATTCAAATTGCACCTTGTGGTTTCCAGCCATGAGATCACCTGTGATCCTTAATGCCAAGGAACGAAGAGCAACATTTATCTCGAACGTGAATGCAATTTTTAATACTGCAATGAAGACCCCATGTTCAAAAAGTAAGTTTTGCTTATATGTGAAGTCGTGACTTTCTTTTTCGACAAATGTACGACAAATCTCCAAAATCATCTTCATGTTGCTTACCCTTTGATCGTGCCATGTTATGGTTTCTAGTTGCAGCGTTATATCAAACTCTTGCGAAAATGGATCCGACAAAAGCTCCACTAAGACTGGTATGCATCCAGTCTCTAAAAAGTACTTTTGATTCGAAGCATTGTAGGCAAGAAGGTTAAATAATAAAGTAAGGCAATCTTGTACAATAATAGAGCCTCGAACTCCTCCTTCTTCTTTAATCACGTTGAAAAGAATTTCGAAAGTGTTTTCAAATGCCACAATCTTCTGTATGTTATTATTGTCCTTGACCAATGCCATAAGAAGTAATATCGCCTCATTTCTTATTTGATCGTGCTCATCATTCAATAAATTAACTGCCAATGATATCGACGAAGGAACCATGGTAAACAAGTCTCTCAATTTGACTGGCCGTGTCAAAAGGAGGGCTTCCAAAAGTTGAATTGCGTATGATCTCACATGGAAATCTGAGTGACTCAGCAAAGAGTCCATCAAAGAAGAGAGATATTGGGGACTCACGCTGAACTCATCAGCAATCCATAGAGAGAATTGATCCACCTCAAAGTCCTCAATTGACAAGGGTGATGGATACTTGCCATTTTGGAAGCGTGAGTGGGAGCTAATCCAACCTCTTGCTGCATCGCCACTATCGGCGCCTTTCATGAATAAAAGAAGTAATGTCTCCAATATTGCTTTTATTGAACCGACGTCATCGCAATCTGTTACGATTGCCTTCAATAGAGCCTTGGACGCATACTCAACCACCACTTCCCTATATTGCCTACTAAAGCTTTTCAAGCCAAGCACTGCTGACCGTCTGTCGGCGGGGAATTTTGAGTTTTGCAAGCGATCCCCTAGAATCAGAATTGCCTCTTCTGGTTTTATTTCCAGACTGGGCTTCTTAAGGATGCTGCCAATGTAATCCATCGAAGTCTTTGATCAAACCCCGTCGTTGTGAACGTATCGTACGCGACCTTTTATTAGGACACTAGACGACTGTATGCACGGTCTTCGGCTTGATTTCGAATAGTATGTGTGGCAGATGGATAATATTCTTTGACTTGTCTACACAGATCCCAAATTATTTGGTTTCCTATTTACTTAGTTAAACTGTTTACCTCATACAAAATTTCGAAGATTGTCGTATCGTCTTCTCTACGTGGTCCTTCCTCTGCTACTTGTTTCCTAATTCATAGATTTAGTTTATGTCATCGGTCAAACCATTAAATAACGTTCATGGCCTTCAAAATCTAGGTCAAAAATCCAATGCCTGGAAGCGTGGAAAGCGACGGATCACCGGAATAGGAATCTCTGGTGCTAAATATATCTGGCCGTTCTCGTCGATTCTTTCTCTATCACTGCTTGCTACCTCATGGATTTCCTTGATGTTTTGCTCCAAAAAATCCGTCACAATGTTCCACAGGCGCCAAATTTGATGAGCCTCTTCCCACATACTTCTCCGCAATAAGGTATTCACTAACTTTTCGGCATCATTGATGCTCGAGTCCAACCTTTCTACTAATCTTCCCACAGATCTAATAAGATACTCCTCTTCGTAAACGGTGCCCTTCCTACCCTTCGCACGCTTACGCTCTTCTCGCTTCCTATTTTTCAGTGTCCTTCTGGACTCCCCAGTTCTTGCCGTTTCACCTGTTTTGCCGGTATACCTGGTAAAGAAGGATTGAGTGGTAGAAGCATCTGACGGAGCCACCGAGACATCATCCGGGCATCCATAATAGAACCGTTAGAGCCATAGAAATTAACCGGATCAACTTCTCTTTTCTTTCTGATCTCTCGAAGTCTGTTAAGTTGTGAATTGAGCTGACCATTACAATCCGCAAGGAGCTCTGACATTATTCCAAATGACTCTTTGACCTCCTCAGTGAAGGTATTTTCCATCGATTCTGAATTGGCAACCCTCGCGGTGAGCAATGCTGTATCAAAGTCAAAGGCTTTGCAATATAATTTGACAGCATGAGCCTTATTATCTAAAAAGTTCAGTTGTATCGTAGCAGCGTCTGCATAGTTACGGTCGTCCTCTAGCTCGATCGCAAGCGTTTGGGCAACCGCTTGATATTCTTCAATATTTTTGATTTTCTTTGCAATTGACAATGCCTCCTTCCAAAGTTTGGCTTTAACGAAATTATCCATAGCCATTTGACTCTCATCAAGAAATTCAAAGAGTCTAGCGGCTTCTGCAAAATCCCTTGTATTAGCAAGGTGTATTGCAAAATGTTTTAGTATCAGATTACGAGTCAGCTCAATATGCTTTGTGAGACGTAATGCTGTACAATAAAGATTATGAGAAATCATGTAAGTCTCAAATTCCTCAAAAGATTCATCTGCTAATTGGAATAACCATGAAAGCGCTTTTTCGTGAAGCTTCAAATGATCATCGATCAAAAAGTTTCTTCTTGCCAGCGAAGCATCATACAACGTTTGAAGGAACGGAAGATATTCCTTGGGGTCCATTTGTGATTTCTGTGCGACCTTAAGTGCAAGATCCACATCATAAATGCCCAATGCTTCATCATATAATTTGAGAGCTTCTCTGAGGTAGCAGAGATGTGTCAAAGCATGATCCTGAGCGGTCGTGTCAGCTATGCCTGAAACAAGTTCAAGAGCACCCTTATCTTGCGGAGGCCTTTGACATGCAAGTGCAGTAATCTGAACCTGTAAATAAGTATCAGAATAAACATCTCGAGAAACCTCCTTCAAAATAATTTCGCAAATTTTGTTGACTTTATTGCCATCGAGCTGCTCTTGATTTAGGTAATTCGTGTTCGCATCATTGCGTTTCTCTTCACATTTGAGAGTGTCAGAGTATTTGTTTTCTGTTACATCACTCCCATGTAGACAAGACACAAAGAGATCAAGATACTCCACTTCCTTGATTTGATTGATGAATAGTGCGACATTTTTCTCGAAAGCAGTCGGGTCAAAGTCGTGAAGAATATCCAAGTCGATTCTATGGGTTCGACAAGCTTTGAAGGCTTCAAGGTAGCGCATTTTCCTTATGAAAGTGCGCACGGCTTGTAGCACCATAATACGTGGGAAAACTGTCTCAAGGTTACCACGCAGGGCCTGCAAAACGACGGAGTATTTAGACGGAATAGCTGTCACCAACATTGATCCACGCTCGATATCACGGGTTCTCTCGTCGTTCAAGTCTCCTTGAGTAATGTATGACAAGTCCGCCGTCAATAAGTTTTCTAAGTGCACGAAAACTAGCTTAGATTGTGCGGTAGTAATACAAAGAAACTGGTCAGTGAGTTTAATCGAAGTCACCCCATTGGCCAAAAGTCTATTACCACAGAATAGCTTTCCGCTATCTGACAAACCAAAAGCCATGAGAGTACTTCCATCTTGGCTTTCGAATTTTATTCCTTCCATCTGGAGGCATAATTGAGAAAAGCTCTTGATGCCATTGAGCTCTCCTTGTCCGTCAAAAGCGAGCAACGACCCATCATACAACTCGACCAAGGCAGCCTTGGAGTCTACCATAGGTTTCATTATCACAGCCTTGGAAGGTAATTTATGTTCGAAACGAACTGCGCCGTCCGTGGGGTCAAGGGCTTGAATAAATGAGGTTTCAACACTGTCCGATAAAACGAAAAGAACACCAGCGATTGCACAAAGTTGCTTTGGATTAAGTTTTGAGACCACGGATTGGACGGGACGAATATCTAAACTTTTCATAGAATGTGCTTCCAGTAGTTGAAGATCCATAATTCCGAAGATTACCTTGGTGTTCGTCAATGCATAGATGCTTGAGGTGCTCTGATCAATTGCGACCGACCTCACTGGCAGCAGAAATTCAAATTCAGCCATACTCATTGGTGGAGGAATATTCGCAATTGCAAGAGCTGTTAGCTTGACTTTAGAGCCGTCAATGACATTCACGATTCCCTCATCCAACCCCCTTACCGAAGGACCATCACAGATTACGCTGGCGAATGTCAATACCTTGATCAGATGCAGCATCAATGTCAAAATAACGGTGAAGGCCTTTTCAGGGTGAAACCTTACAGAAGTGAACAGTTCCTCTCCATCTGCTTTAATTTCTTGCTTCAAGTACCAATGGTAATTTTTAGTCGTCCAGAATTGTGCTCTGTCATGATAAAGTATTGCTAGGATGCCTCCATCACATGACCATGAAATATCAATGATCCTTTGATTTAGAATCAGGAACTCACCATGTCGAAGTCCGTTCCTTTCAAAAAAGATAATTTCTGAATGCTTCGAAATCCCGTCCACAAGCACTTCTCTCAGCGCGGCGAGCAAATTTCCTTGTGACTTCCAACACAATGGTACCTGTAGACCATCGACGGCTTCAGAGATTGCCTCAAGGTTTCCATCCCTACTGAAAAAGCGAATAAGACGCCTTCCTTGTTCGGATTCTTCGTCTCTTCTGAGTGAGACAGCAAACACATTGCAGTCGTCCCTCCAGGCGATATAAACTTTCCCGTCATCCCAACGAGAGTGATCACCCTTTTCCTCTGCTTTCACCGTGGGATCGCGTAACTCTGACGCCTCCTGCAAGTCCAAACCAGCATACTTGAGAGCTTCACGCTCCCTTTCAAGCGCCTTAAATCCACGTCCTTGAAACTGGGTTTCCTTCTTTCCCCAGCCCACTGATACATTAGAAACAGCAACTTCATCGGCATCCATTGCATCAAGTTGTAACTCTAAGATTGGTTCAAAAGATCTCGAGAGAAGAATCATTTTAGAGGTGTATGTGATCAACACAAGAATTTCTTCATCTGGAGACCACTCCGCAGCTTTCAATTTTGTGTCCAACAGACCGACAATCTCCAAGGAGAAATCTTCACCAGCTTCCTCATGAATCAGCGCAGCAACTACATCACCATTCTCAAATATAAAAATGAGAGTGTTAGTTTCTGCGAATTGCTTGAAGCAGATTAACTTGGATCCATTGCACGGGTTCTCGAAGAAGCATAACACTTTCGTTCCTCTGTCCTTTCCCACTTGCTGCACTTCATATACAGCCTCACATGACGTTGACAAAAGACATGTTATAGCATCATTTGTACTATCGAATAGACTATCCCTCACTTCTAGGTCAGGATAGTATCTTGATCTGAATTCTATTCGACCCTCTCCAAGAATTACCAAATTTCTCATATTATCAGATGCAAAGGCAGAAAATCTTTAATCGGTGCGTACAGCTCCCAAACTTTGATTTTTCAAAAGATGTGTGACGAGGGGCTAACTTGGAAAAAAGTTGATGCACTTAAAACACATCTCATCACGCGCGCATGCATGATAGACAAGTAGATACAAGAATCACTCATTGAGTAGAGAAGGGAAAAATTCAAAAAGTACCGAACTTTAAAATTAATAGTAGAGCTAAATTATGTCATTACAAAGCTGGCAAACGCAAACATTAATCCGACACGCTATGAGATTGGATATCCCTGTACGAGGATGCCCAATTTAAAGATGGGGACATTACTCTATAGAATGAAACATCTGATGAAAAAGGTCTGAAAGCATTTTAAAGTTTGACAGTATCAAGTAAGCGAGGAATTGATAAAGGTCCTTTAGTGTACTAGCGCAATCGCAAGATCACTGGGTCGTGCACATTCAGAAAATGCCGACCAAGCTGCCGCGCCTCTACAAATCGGTTCACTGCTAATACATTCATCAAGACATGACCGCAAAAGAAGAAGCTGTCTTTCGTATGTGAGATATTATAGACGTTCTGTTTAATTACTAACCTAAAGGTTCCGCGAAGATGGCCCTCGTTGAGGTCTACGTTCCATCAGAAGAATCAAGGCACATTCTTCATGAAATTGGTAATTTGGGCCTGATGCAATTCAAAGATTTAAATAGCGGCGTGAATGAGTTTCAAAGAGCTTTCGTTCAGGAATTGAGAACTCTCGACAACATTGAGCGCCAGTATACTTTTTTGAAATCGGCTCTTGACAAGAAAGGCATTAGTCTCAACGCTCATCCTTATGAGACTAATGACGTACAAGTGTCTGATATAGATGAGTATGCTCAAAATGCTGCTTTATTGGAATCCCGAGTTCACCAATTGTCCAATTCTGCTGATGGCCTTCAGGAAAAGAAACTGGAACTCATTCAATACAGAAGCGCGATCAAAACTGTGGACAATTTCTTCGCCACTGGCGACTCCCGTGAGGTACTTCCGCCTTCAGTCGTTGACGAAAGCTTGAACAGTGGCTCGAAGTTTGTAACGGGGGCCATAGATCGTGAAAAAATTGGTATCCTTCAACAAATACTTTGGAGAGCATTGAGGGGTAATATGTATTTCTATACCGAGGAGATCGCGCAACTCGTATTTGATCCGAAGCGTGGTTGTGATGTGCCCAAAAATGTTTTCATCATATTCTCCCATGGACTTTTGATTCATCATCGAATCCTCAAAATTGCGGAATCTTTGGACGCAAAAGTCTTTGACATAAACATGGGCTCGGATGAAAGACTGCGTCAGATTTCTCATCTAGATGGGGAGCTTAGGGATTTGAACGTTGTTTTAAAGGAAACTGACAACGCTCTCTGCTCTGAATTAATTGCTGTTTCTCGTGATTTGCCAAAATGGTGGGAGGTGATTGCCAAGGAGAAGCGCGTTTACCAAGTGATGAATCTCTGTAATTATGACATTCTGAGAAAAACACTTATTGCTGAAGGCTGGGTCCCTGAAGATGAAATCCAGAGTCTTACTGCGAAGGTTAGGTCGCTGAGCTCTTCCGAGTCTGTTCCGACGATCGTGAGCATCTTGGAAACATCAAAGACTCCTCCGACTTATCACCGAACAAATAAGTTTACATCAGCCTTTCAAAGTATCTGCGATACGTACGGAATTGCATCTTATCAGGAGATCAACCCCGGGCTTCCTACAATTATTACTTTCCCCTTTATGTTTGCCATTATGTTTGGTGATTTGGGCCACGGATTTCTTATGTTCCTCGCTGCGTCAATTTTAGTTCTCAAGGAAGAACATATTAGCACCCTTAAAAGAGATGAGATTTTTGACATGGCTTTTTCAGGTCGCTACATTTTGCTCATGATGGGAGCTTTTTCGATGTACACTGGTCTCATGTACAACGATATCTTTTCTAAATCGCTCACATTGTTTTCTTCAGGCTGGCAATGGCCTAGTGACTACAAAGAGGGGGAACTTGTGACTGCGACCCAGGTAGGTGTCTATCCATTTGGCTTAGATTGGGCGTGGCATGGCAGCGAGAATGCGCTTCTTTTTTCGAACTCATACAAGATGAAACTATCAGTATTGATGGGTTATTTACACATGACTTATTCATATTTTTTTTCATTGCTGAATGCTATATATTTCCGAAGCATGATCGACATCATCGGAAATTTTGTCCCAGGATTGCTCTTCATGCAATCCATATTTGGGTATTTGTCGCTTTGCATTGTGTACAAGTGGTCAGTTGACTGGATCGAGTCCCAAGAACAACCACCCGGTTTGTTGAACATGTTGATAACGATGTTCTTGTCTCCTGGTACAGTCGTTGAACCTCTCTACAGTCACCAAAGTGTTGTTCAGTTGACGTTACTTCTGATCGCTTTGATTTGCGTTCCCTGGCTAGTTTTTGTTAAGCCGTTTTATCTCAAGCATAAGATGTCGTTGAAGGAATCCAGGGACTCATATGAAGCGATCATTAACGAAGAAACTGATTTCACAGGCCAAGCGGATGATGCAATGCACACTTCGTTACAGGGAGATGAATCGCTGGTTTCACATGAGGATGAGGAAGATGAAGGATTTGGAGACATCATGATCCATCAAGTCATTCACACCATCGAATTCTGTTTGAATTGCGTATCACATACTGCATCTTACCTTAGGCTTTGGGCACTCTCTTTGGCACACGCTCAACTTTCGACGGTTTTATGGACAATGACGCTCGAGAATGCTTTTGGCCCTTCTGGCGCTCTTGGGGTCATCATGACAGTTTTTCTCTTCGGTATGTGGTTTTGTCTTACTGTTGTCATATTGGTGATAATGGAAGGAACTTCAGCAATGTTGCATTCTTTGAGATTGCACTGGGTTGAGTCTATGTCTAAATTTTTTGAGGGTGAGGGCTATCTCTATCAGCCTTTTGAATTTGGGCAAATTCTTGAGAACCGTCTTTGAGTGTAGGAAAATGCAGGAAATAAAGATTGAATACAAGTACACTCTGTAACTCATCGCGTTGAATCGTTATTTGCAGTCTCACTGGACCTCGAACAATTTTGAGTTCGATTTACATCGAAAGTATCACTAGACCAGTATGCTCGATTTTGGTGATATCGCTTCCCAGCTTCAAAATCCGTCGACACCTCGTAGGATTGTTCCCGTTTTGAGATACATCTCCCGTGAGTCGCAGAAAGAAACTGTATCTTCCTTGGAGAAGAACCAATTGATTCACATCAGCAAAAACTTGACCAGATCGAGTTCAGGGTTTGATGCATGGTGTGGCGTTAACATTTTGGGTGCCTTGCTGCTTGATAAAAATTTTTGTGTACAAAAAGGCGCTGAAGTGCTAGATCTCCTTTGCAATACGGTGGGTAAGAACGTCACTGATCGCAAGCTACTTAGATCATGCTTGCGGTGCATTGAAAGAGTGCTTGGGGCATTTTGGCTTGATCCATCCCATTCTAGAGACCTTTTGACGCAAAGGTTGCCAATTTTGATCGGCCTTTGCTCGACTGCCTTATCCAAAGACCCAGGTGTCACATCCCGAATTTTACAATCTATTATCATCCATCATCCAACTATATCCCGCCCGTTCATCAACGACCTCTACAAACTGACGTTCGGGATTATAAAGGCGGGGCCTATCGATCACTTGCCGTTTCAAAATGTGTTAAGGCTTCCCCTGCAATAGCGATGGTCGAGAAAGAGGAGCCTCAAAAACATTGGTCGGCCTATCTCGCAAGTATTCTACATGAAATGGTTTTGACTTTCTCGATTTTTGAAAATTTCATGAACATAGGCGAAATGGAGTATATGAGAGCAATGTTTGAGAACTTCTCAATAAGTGAAAGGCTTGAATTATTCCCTCCTTTACAGATAGAGGCTAGCTCCTCAAGCTCTTTGATGCAAATCTTCGAGAGGTTTCATAAATTGATATCGATTCTTGAGGTTACTCTCGCAAGCCCCACAAGTGATTCCGTGCAAATTCCAGTGGGACTTATCATGAAGATAACAGAAGGTATTTTGTCTGTTAATGTTGCGCTGTGTCACTTCAAAGCTCATTTCAGGGGTGACAAGGCAAAAGACGACGTACTTCAGAATTTGCTTGAGGTGCAAATTTCATTGCTTAACGTGATTCGTTCATTGGAAGCTCGATTGAAGGGCTTCGTTGTGCCATACTCACATCGCTTACTAGAGCTCTATGAGCATCAGGCTCGTTGTCTCAGGAGATACAAATCGGATCACAATGTTGCACACCTAGATTCCACCGTGCTAATCGAAGCTGCTGGCGCCTTGATGTGCTTGGTCGGTTTTTTCCCACATGCAACTCATATAGCTTCCGTCGTGACAATTGCAATCGATGATGCAAAGATTGACATAAAATCCCATGCCAAATTGTCAAAATTTCACACCTCAAAGGATTTTCTGAGGCATAGCTTTTCCTCGATAAGGCGTCGATCTGGAATGACTTTTTTCGACAAGGTGTCTCGATTTTCTTCCGTTCCCTATACCACCATTGGCATCATTACCCGACAGTTTTTGGAGCAATGGATTTTGTTTTCGGATTCGTTTTTGGGCCAAGATACGAGATTTACGACCGAATGGAGTCAAATTGTATTAAGTTTAGCCAACAATGGACCATCTTCGTTGCCACTCCTCAGACATTTGAAATACGATGACGATCTCGCAAGTGTCATGGCGAGTCCCCGATTCCCTTGTAATGTCCTGCGCGTTCAAAGCGAGGATTTTGATTCAAGTGGCCCAGACCATCCTGAAAATCTGAGTTCAAAACGTGGATTATCAGCGTCTCCAGCGTTACTGAAGAAAGCAAAATTAGAGATGATGAAGTATGATGTTTCCGATCCGAGTAAAAATTCCTCGAAACGAGGTGTGATTCAATTGACTCCTTGCATTGATCACGAGGTGAGAGCGACCGTCGAGCTGCTGCCCATCGAAAATGTTACCGCAAATGTCACGTCTTCGTCTGAAGATGAAGATGAGATCGAGATACCTACTCTTCAGATGGAAACGGATTCTGAAGACGACTCACATTGAGGTACAATCAATAAGCGAAACTGTTCGAACTGGTTCTCGAGTCCATAAAAAGAAGCAGTGGTGGAGACTATAGAAGTTCAAGATCCCTGCGTAGATCAGCTCTACTTATGCAGCTGTCGAGTACTCTTATCGTATGCACTCAGGGTCCACTTCATACATCATCATAACGTTACTCGTTCACTAACAATACACTTACTTTAGCATTTCTAATCTCCCTATACCATGAATTGTGCACTTCGTTTTATGCTAATATTAGTGATTGTGGGGGCAAGAAATTCAGTACTGCTCTAAATCGCGGCTTCATCCTTCGCAAAGTGACAATACAGGTCAACTTTCGTTCAACTGCTCGATTATATATATCATGAGAAAGAATTGTGATGGGGGAGTGACACCTGCTGGCATTGTTTTATTCATGCTTGTCAATGACTACTTAGACGGAAAGATCCCGCGCTCCCGAAATCTCTTATTCTTCATCGCGTCACATATCCAATCAACCGCTACCTTCAAATCCACTGCACCTCTGGCCACTACCTTAGTCGACTTTCACTGCTCCTTAAAAAGCTGCTTTCTGACGAAGGAACCTAATGGACAAAACGAGCAGCTTGATAAAATTACCTCATGGCTACATTGCTCCATTGCCGCTATCAATGGTCCGGATGACCTCTATAGGTGGTCCAGGGAAACTGTGAAGAAGCTGACACTCTCCGAGCATGATACTCACGAGTTCTGCCATCGTCCCACTACGAGAAGCCCTTTAGGTAATTTCATGAGAAATATCAGCATAATGATTCGGCTTCTAAGTTTCGAAGAGTATGACAGCCTTTACTCAGCTTTCGATAATTTTATCAAGAACAACCATGTGCCAACTATCGCAGAAGAGAAAGTTCGTTCGCATGGTTCCCCAAAATTGTTTGCAGAAAGACAAACTGGGGTCGTGTCCCCTCTGGAAATTCGATGTTTGACACAAGTTCAGTCGAAGGTGCTTCAGTCCATAGGAATTACGACACCTCTGACTTTTGAGTCAGCGCTCGAAAAGTTTGCTTTCGCAACATTATCTGCAATAAGAAGCGAGACAAATCGTCGGCCTCATAGCTCAAGCTATTTGGCATCTTTTCATTATCTACGATATCTTGAGTATCTCAACGACGGTGATTATCATGCCTCTTTTGATGCTTTGCATCAATACTTTGACTATGTTGTGTCTGAAGGCTCAAAAGAATTCTATCATTTTGCTCTAATTGCCAAAGCGTCGCTTCATGTTGTCTTCGGTGAAGAGCAAGATGCTCTTAGGACAATCGAAGAGGCGGGGAATATTGCTAGAGAACATAAAGATGAAGTCGCTTTGACATTCGTGCTTACATGGCTTTACAAAGCTCTGGACAAGTGGGCAAGTTTGCGATCCTCCAAAAAGACGCTTAAACAGAGAGATTCAAAACTTCTCGAGCTTCTTGTGGTGAAGGATTTAGAGCAACAAAGCCTCTTAAACGCCAATGTCCTACAGTTGGAATATGAGAATATTCTTCTTTGTGGCGCAAGTCAAAAGAAGTGTTTTCAGGCGATGAGCAAAAGCCTATACTGCTGGCTCAATTGCAATTCCAAGTCGCTAGGGAAGGTCTCTCGCATTGCTTCTCGTCATTGGTTAAGGTCAGGCTACCCAACCTTGGCTGAGGTGTATCTCAGAGTTTCCGAAATCTCACTTGGTCGTGAGGCATCGCAATTCAATGACGAGACAGCTTTGTCGGCATGCGAAATCTTCTTTTGGAAAGGTGAGGACGAGAAAGTTTTGAAATTAATAACGCTGTTCAGTGACCCATCGCTGTCATCGAGAAAGTTCAATGAGGAGCTCTCCATTTGGAAGATTATCTACATGATTAAAATGCAATTGAAAACCGGGGAATTTGTCACCGCAAAAGAATTACTCAACTTGATTGATGCAAGTTCGAGTAGCAGTGCGATTAAAAGGGAAGTGAGTCGCCTCAATGTGCAATTGTTGTCTTCGTGTGATAACAAACGAGAGGCTCTCAGATTACTTCAGTCATGGGCTAAATCTAGCTCTTCAGGGCAAGAGAGTCCGTCCGACTTGATATCCAGTTACCTCATCAAGTCTGAACTTCTTCTTCAAGCTAATCTTTTGGGTGCATCATTTGTTCTAATCCTTGAGCAGATGACAAGGGCGGCAAAGCATGGTTTGTATTGCTTGAACATTGAATTGGCTGTAAGGTTAATCCACTGCTTTTCCGCATGTCAAGATAAAATGATGCTATTTGAGGTTTCAAAGGCGCTCCTTCCAATTCTTCACCGCTCAAATAATCTAAACCTAATTTCGCAGATCTATTTACAAATTGCTAATCTAAGAATCAATTTGCCCCATGCCACTTCAGAGCCGTTCAAGCTTGCAGTCTCAGGTATTGAGCCCAGTGCAGAAATACCCTCCAACAACGTTCGGATTCTGACAAACGAGGAAAGTGGCAAGATGGAAATGTTACACCAAGGCAAACGTGCGATGAAATCGGGTGTTAAAGGTCTTAGAAAGACGCGAATTCCGCAAGGCTCGATTACAGCGTCCACAAATCTCTAACGCTTATTCTGATTTGTCTCTCGCATCTTTCGTGGCCAAAATGTATGCAGCGTTCCTCATTTGCACAACGTTTGCGACCTGCTTGAATAGCCAAATCGGAGCACTTAGGTATGCTAGTGCCGTTCCCAACCAAAAAAAGTTGTAGTGATGTAAGTAAAGTGCGACATAAAACAACTCGTTAACCAAGCAAACAAGAAATAACACTTTACGATTATTGTAGTATAATGAAAGCAACTTGGACTGCTTTTCATCAACATGCTTGTGTGATGCTGATCCCGACGACAACATTGCATACATGTGCATGTAGTGTGAGGCTAGGTCTAGTGAGACAAGCATTTGCCACATAATACAGAAACTTGGATATATGACACAAAGATAGCAGATGAGTGAAGTTGTAGCGCATCTATCGGTTACCATGTCCAACACAGCGCCGAAACTCGTTCCTTGGTTAAACCTTCTCGCAGCATAGCCATCGAAAGCATCTAAGAAGCCGGAAATGCCATATAAAACTAATGTCCACTTAGGATGCAGCCTCATAGTGATGAAGGATAGAGTTGCAGTGAGTATACGGAAGTACCCAATCAAGTTTGGAACAAAAAAGAACACATCTTTCACAGTGACTTTAACCATTTTTTAAGATGACACGCGCAATCTCGTGGAGGTATCACCAAGGATTTAAGCAAGGAGGAATTGACGTTTGTGGTGGCACCCAATCAAGCTCGCCTATTGGAATGACGTGGGTATGGTGTCCGCAGGAAGTCGAGTTGGCAAGATTGCTCGAGGAGTAGTGAAATTTTTTGAGAGGTGAATTCGCGATTTCATTGCACGAGAACATTCACAGCTACATCTGATTATAAAAGGAGGCTTTCTATTTTGCAATGGCTGCAATTTCTCTGAAGACCCTTTTCGTTCAAAAAAATTTGAATTTTCCTCGAATCATGTTAAGAGATTCGTATCCTTCGCAGAAAGATCGCCTGAGAAGATGTTGCACCGGCCGCCCAATCAATAAGAATACGAATAAATTAGAGGTATGTTTCTCTCTGCTTAAGGATGACTTTCGGGTTTCCAGTTCTTGAATGAGTGATCAGATATTGAGGGGCCTCAAATTGCCGAGCACGAAACTTGCAATGGTGCACGGATCAAGTCAAATACGAACAGTGACTACCTGTGCCACAGGAATCATGAAGAAAGGTTTATCTGACCTCGGAGAAGACATTTTAATTTACAATGTCTGTACGCTCCTAGCAATCAAGGATATGAGAAGCCTAGCAGAGACATGTATTTTCTTTTATCGCATGTTATCGACAAATGCCGCCTATCATTTGATGTATCTCAAAAGATTCGGATCGTATGGGCCGTTCAGCGCTGAGTCCCATAACTGGAAACATTTATATACTTTACATTCCTCGAGGCTTGTGAGCCTCTACACCTGGGGCAGTGGTGGGCATGGGCGTTTGGGTTATCTTGTTAAGGACAAACCCTCAAATGTGCGATCTCCTCGAACGCTCGGGATATCCCGTCCTTGCAAAACTGAAAATTTCGACGGTTCAATCATCCAGTCTATAACTGCTGGCGGCTATAGTTTTCAGATCCTCTCTGAAGGACAGATTTTTTGTACCGGTACTTCAACATCTCATATCGGCCACCCATCTCCACCAGGTCCTCTGGAAAAAGATAATCTTGCTTTCCCAAACCCTTATCTTGTGAGTCCCCATCGGTTCTCATCCTGCAAGAGAGAATCAAAATTTGTGCTGAAATTGACAACTCCTCCAAGAAAAGAGATCATGTCGATTTCAAGCGGAAGACAACACTTCGTAGCTTTGGATGATGAGGGTCGACTTCTCACTTGGGACACTGGGATGGAGTGTTGGGATATCGGAGTCTATTTGTCCTTCCCATTCGCTTTTGGTCGTATTTCAAGAATTTCAGCCGGATGGAATTCAACGGCCTGCTATTTCGGTAACTTCGGCTTAGTCGTAGTTCACTCTCGTGAAAACTCCATGATCACTGGACAGTCAGAGGACTGGCCAACTGCTGAAGCTATATTCTCGATCGTTCCCAATCTGCAAAGTGTGATTGATTTTGTCGCACTTGAAAATTGTGTTGTCTTCATAGATCAAAGTGGATCATTGAAAAGATATGTTTTTCCAGATGAGGGCGCAACTTGCGGTAGCGTCGAGTCACTTGAATCTTTCAACGAGTGGTTGATTTATAGATCCATCAAAAAAAATTCAAACGTGGCATTCACCAAAATTGTCGGCTGTTTTAAGACGTTTGTCGTCTTCACTGATGATGGTCTGATTGTGATAGGGAAAAAGCAAGAGCATCTGTTTTCCATGGAGGTTCCTCGAAAGCTTCAGAATGAATCGATCGTTGACATCGTGGTGGGTGACTACCATTATCTCGCTATCACGAAAAACGGTGATCTTCTAAGCTGGGGTTTAGAACTGCAATCAAACGGATGCTTAGGTTTAGGTAGTGAAACTGATACTGGTGTCATGCAAGAAGAGGGTACAAGTCTTAGAGTCGTCGATCCTACCGTGGTCCCTAAGCAAAATACGAACGGTCAATGGTTGAGAATCGCAGCCGCCGGCTGGCACTCTTGTGCTGTATATGTCAACAAATCACCGTGAATTCTAGTGCTTCTCTCATTGACTGTTCTCAAGACCCCCATTTAGTCGTTCCAATATGATTTGGCATAATAACTTATTTGGAGGTTTTTGTTTTGTGTCTGTTAGCGAATGATTTACTTACATCAAGGATGAATCGGGGAGTTTCAAAAGAGTAGAAAAGTGTGGGCGATCGCTGGCAATTACGAAGGAAGCCATGTATTGTCTTGTATTGCAATAAGTAGACAGTTTATCTGATTGAAGGCGAACTCAGTTCAAGTCTGTTTAGAGAGATGCTAATTCATCAGCTTCCAGACTAGCACCGCTTGACCTCACCTAGCGGACTGGAATACTCCCCTAAGTGGTCACTAGGCCCTGGCTTCATGGTTTGTAACATCGATGTTAATTGAAGAAACATAATAAATCACCGGTAAGGTACTTTGACTCACCGCATGTTTATTGAGCCGTGTGACATTTTCGACCCTCTTACATTACACTTTTCCAGTTTTTCGCAACCATTATGAAATTTCGTAAGAATTGTCTAAATAGCGCTCGTTTTGTACATTCTCCTAATTATTCGTAAACTAAAATTTCTTTTATAAGGATTTTTTTTTTTTTTTTTTTTTTGTTTAAAAAAAAAGCTCTATGTTAAATTCCTTGGATAGATTCTAATATTGATGTAGCGTGTTGCAGTAGCACACCTGTTGTACGATACCGTGAGCTCACACGTCACGTGAAGTATCCGGGTAAGGGGCCTGATCACTGTTTTGTAAACGAGGCGATCTTAAGTGCTGCGTGAGTTGTACTTCAGGACACCGCTTTGAATTTGTTTATCCAGGGAACAGACCCTTTGAAGGTATTTGATTGCGTCATACCAAGTTCTATTGAGAAAGAAAATAGCGCACACTGTCTCGATATAAGAATGGAACCAAAGCAAGAAGAAGGGCTCCTCACACCGACGCCTTCACACACCCAGACTGTCACACCCAGAAAGAGGCGCTCATCATCAATAATTCAGCACCTTGAGCCTGACACATTGGATACTAAGATTGACCAGTCATTAAACCCAAACCTCAATGCCGACTGGGTTCACTATAAAGGTGCATGGATCATCCACATTGTATTGATAGTCTTCGTAAAGCTATTTTATGATTTTATCAGCGTTCTCGATAATGATTGGCAGTGGGCTCTAACGAATGTGACATACAATATAGGGTCATACATCATGTTCCATCAAGTCAAGGGAACTCCATTTGAATTTAATTCAGGAGCTTACGATAACCTCACAATGTGGGAACAGATCGATAACGGTGATCAGTACACACCAGCTAAGAAATTTTTGATGATGGTTCCAATTGGGTTGTTTTTGATCAGCACCCATTATTCGAACTACAATTTTTATTCTTTCACAGTCAGTGGTTTGAGCTGCTTATGCGTGGTCGTTCCGAAGCTTGCGATATCTCATCGATTGAGAGTAACGCTTTATTAGTTGTTGCTTTTTAGATTTGCGGGGATGACTTAAGGTTGCAATCTAAATCACGATTGACTAGGCGTTAGTGCTTCCGGGTTTCCTTTATACATATGATAGCTCCATAACTCATGAATTTTCGAATTGAATCATTAAATAAAGACAAATGAGTTTTCACGGTCATTCGCTCTTGATAAAATTGTATTCTGAGTTAAGTGACTCAGATTTCGAAATCAGAGTCATCCACGTGACCTATAATTTTAATTTCTGATGCATTATATATACCCCTTCCCCCGCTGACCACGAGCAAATTTCAAAGTAAAAGAATTATCCTCTTATCGAGTCAACTTGGATTTTTGGAATAATTTTGATTTTAGCTGTTCTTTTGATTTGACTTAAAAGCAAGTATCAGAGAAAGAGTGTAAAATGAGCTACGCCTTATCGAACGATCACAAGCAACTTGTGGAGGGCACCTTGCTTGAAACTGACCCGGAGGTTCACCAAATCATCAAAGATGAAGTCTCGAGGCAAAAACACTCCATTGTATTGATTGCTAGTGAGAATTTTACTACGAAGGCAGTCTTCGATGCATTGGGAACTCCTATGTGCAACAAGTATTCAGAGGGATATCCTGGCGCTCGTTACTATGGTGGAAATGAGCATATCGATAGGATGGAGACGTTGTGCCAAGAAAGGGCATTGAAAGCGTTCAATGTATCCTCTGACAAGTGGGGCGTCAATGTCCAGACTTTGTCCGGTTCTCCTGCAAATTTGCAAGTTTATCAAGCTATAATGAAACCACACGAAAGATTGATGGGTTTGGACTTACCTCATGGTGGACATTTATCACACGGGTATCAGACGGATTCGAGAAAAATTTCTGCCGTGTCTACCTATTTCGAGACAATGCCCTACAGAGTGAATTTGGAGACTGGGCTCATCGATTACGACATGTTGGAGAAAACTGCAGTCCTTTACAGACCCAAAGTTTTAGTGGCTGGCACATCGGCTTACTGTCGCCTCATCGACTATAAGAAGATGAGAGAGATTGCCGACAAGGTGGGAGCATATCTCGTTGTTGACATGGCACATATTTCGGGTTTGATTGCCGCTGGCGTGATTCCATCTCCTTTTGAGTATGCGGACATTGTGACTACCACTACTCATAAATCATTGAGAGGACCCAGGGGCGCCATGATATTCTTCAGAAGAGGCGTCAGGTCAGTCAACCCAAAAACTGGCCAAGAGGTCCTTTACGATTTGGAAAATCCTATCAATTTTTCCGTCTTTCCAGGACATCAGGGTGGTCCACACAACCACACAATTGCAGCTTTGGCTACTGCGTTGAAACAAGCTGCCACGCCTGAGTTCAAACTGTACCAGGAGCAAGTGCTCAAGAATGCTAAAGTTTTGGAAGCTGAATTCCTTTCCAAAGGCTATCTGCTAGTTTCAAATGGTACCGATTCGCACATGGTTTTGGTTTCATTGAGAGACAAGCAAATTGATGGTGCTCGTGTCGAGGCTGTATGTGAACTCATCAACATAGCACTCAATAAAAACTCAATCCCAGGTGATAAGTCTGCTTTGGTTCCTGGTGGTGTGAGAATCGGGGCTCCAGCAATGACCACTAGAGGTATGGGTGAAAAGGACTTTAAAAAGATTGTGGAATACATCGACTTCGCCGTTAGCTACGCGAAGCAAATTCAAGGTGATTTGCCGAAGGAAGCCAACAGACTCAAGGATTTTAAGGCTAAGATCTTGCAGAAAGATGAGAAGTTAGAGGCCGTGAAACAAGAAATCTATGAGTGGGTTGGTACCTTTCCATTGTCGGTTTGATTGTCAATTGTTCTGATAGCTTCTTTAAGTAGACTTTTTTGTTGACGAAATAAAATTCATCTTGTACATCGAATCATGGAAAGGCCCACCAGATTTGGGGAACGAAAAGACCACGTCAGGCCACGAGAAAACAAAATAATTACATGCGTCATCACGCTACTACGGTGCAATTTGGAAGTGCGAGCACTGTTGCGGTGACGGGGAAATGGAGTCCTCAGCCCACGACCGCGCGATATAAATTCGAACTCCTCCCTTCGAACTCAACCTACATCCCAACATTGTATCATTATGAACGAAGAGTTGCAAACAGCTGTCGACAGTATCACAAAAGCATTCGAAGTAGACAAAGCATTCCTTCGTAAAGCAACCAGTCATTTCCTCAGCTCCATGGATGCTGGCCTCGCGTACGAAACCCCTGCCCGTGAGTATATGCCTATGATCCCCACTTATGTTACCTCTATTCCTTCAGGCAAGGAAAAGGGTCTATTTCTAGCTGCTGACCTTGGTGGAACCAACTTTCGAGTGTGCTCAATCAATTTGAAAGGTGATCACACCTTTGATCTCGAGCAGGCCAAGTTTCCCATACCCCTTGATTTGATGCTGGGGTCAACATCTGATGCTTTATTCGCCTTCTTGGCAGGTAAGATCAAGAGCTTCTTGGAAGAAAAGCACAGTGAGCTTAAAACTTCTGGCCCCGTAAAGCTTGGCTTCACCTTCCTGTTTCCCGTGGAACAATCGGCTCTTGACCGTGGGAAATTAATCCGTTGGACGAAAGGTTTCGACTTGCCAGACTGTGTTGGCAGAGACGTCGTAGAATTTCTCCAAAAACACCTCGATATTTTGAAAGCACCAGTTTCAGTTGTGGCTCTAGCAAATGACACCGTGGGAACGTTGTTGTCCAGAGCGTATTCAAACGATCCTAAGAAGTCTGGAGCAAACACCGTGATAGGTTGTATCTTTGGCACGGGTACAAATGGTGCCTATTATGAAAAAGTTTCAAACATACCTAAATTAGCCTCATCAGCTTTACCAAAGGACATGCAGGGGATGGTTGTAAACACTGAATGGGGATCTTTCGACAATTCGTTGGATATCTTGCCACGAACCAAGTTCGACGAGATTGTGGATTCTGAAACATCCAATAAAGGGTATCATTTATTTGAGAAGAGAATCAGTGGAATGTTTCTTGGAGAGCTCTTGAGAGTTGCTTTGATGGAATTGTTTGAGAAAAAGTTGGTTTTTCAAGATCTTTACAAGGAAAGGGGTGGTACATTGCCTCACCGTCTTACTGAGCCTTTCCTTTTGTCATCTGAGGTCTTATCATACTTGCAGATTGATGATTCGACTGATCTCAGAATGTCCTCTCTTATCCTTGAAAATCATCTTCGTCTTCCCACCACTTATGGTGAGCGTGTGGCGATTCAACGGCTTACACAAGCTATTTCAAACCGTGCAGCTTGTCTCTCTGCAATTCCATTAGCAGCAATTGTTATGCGGGTGAAGGACCAGTATGCAAACGATCAAAACGATTTTGAAGTGGGATGCGATGGATCTGTCGTTGAATTTTATCCTGGATTTCAAGAGAGGATTCTCTCTGCCCTTGAGTATATCGACCCATTAAAGGGAACAAACAAAAAGGTACACTTGAGAATTGCTAAAGATGGAAGTGGCGTCGGCGCTGCTCTATGCGCTTCCACTGTCTGATTGTCCCCAATATTCTTGTTGAGTATATTACAATAAAACTTAAAAGCTTCTCGACATTTTCCTTAGCATATGAATGCACTGTTCTAGTTCTCAACATATAAGCTCAGAGCCTTGGTTGGATATGTCAACAGCATGGAGAAGGAAAACGACCCTATTCTCATCAAGACTACTGTGATTGAAAAGCTCACCGACTTGCATAACGAAACCTTTGCATTAATGTACATAGCATCTATAACTTAACTCATTTCACGTTTTTTTAATGGCGCCAGTAGTTTAGTGTTTCGGTCACCCATAATGTCCTTTTCAAGAACCTCCTTCAAGGGCTTGGAGCCTATTCCAAGTACCGCACATTTCACTACTCTAATACAACGAAAAATTGAATTTAGTGCCAACTAGCTCAAGATCGCCTTCAGGTGATAAACTCTGATACATGGAACTCTTGAAAGCGAATCTCTCAGTGCGACAATATGACCTAGGGACATCTTCTTCTTAGGGATTTTTTCTGGGTTTTTTTTCTTCTGAGAATATTGCGCACATCTTCAAGGAAATGGTCGTCTCCAAAATAATTGATGCAATCCTTAAAGACTAAAAATGCAGATTTCAGTCTTTCTCTGTGTGTGACAATTAGATTTTTGCTCGCTGTATCGAATCAAATTGTCTTGAAGCATGGGATTGCCTTAGTTCACTTTAAACTTTCTTTATCTCAGTGAAAATTCTATTCTTATCAATGCCCCTAGGCTCAAACAGAATTTTAAAAGTAAGATTACTTATATATATATATGTACACCCCAAACAAGAGAAAGATCTACTTCTTTTATATTTAAGTGATATGTTTTTCTTAGAATAAAAAAACTGTGTCTCCATGGAAACAACCTCAAATAAGATCTTAATATTCTATCTGTGCGAGTCGTATACGAAAACATGGACAATAAAGTTCATATTCGAATAAACCACACGAAAAGAACGACGAGCCACATTTAAGAGAAACGAAGTTATAGCAATTTTCTTGGGTAAACTTTCAGCGTAACGTTGTCGGATAGAGGTATTGAAGGGGTTTCGTTGTCACCTCGGCGAGGGATAGTAAATCTCGAGGTCCATAATTTTTGTAGTCTCGCTAATTAATCTATTACATGGAATCCCAGTCTTCTAGGACATGTTGCCGTCTAACGACCAAAGATACAAGTTGTTCGTCTTGATACTTTCCACTTCCGCTTATAATTCGAAGAATGGGGTGATAAGCATCTGGAAAATGTATAAAGGGCATTTAAAAGACATTGAATTTATTTGGAATGGTAGTGCAAATTAATTCATTATGGTCATTCTAGTAAGTTTATAGCTTTGTATCATTCCACTAAAGTCATAAATACGTGAGTTGGGGCGGGCATTATGTAATTTTTCTAAGTCTTCAAGGTGGAATTCATTGCATTCAACACGAAGCACATCCTGCTTTTTCTATTGCCATATTTCTGAGGATTGATTTAAGAAAGAAGCTTCAATTCCTTTAATTCCCGAAAGTGTCCTGTTATTTTCGTTAGCACCTCCAATTGACTTTTTTTGACGTCTCGTGTTCTTTGGGATAGTTCTATATCGAAAACGTTGGAATGCTGTCGGCAGAGACATTATTGATTTGCTGAAGACCCTGAACTCGTTTCCGTAAACGTAAATACATATCCTATGCTATTAGTGTCGTGCATAGAGAATGGTGTTGTATACCTGTGTTAGGCACTGACTTTCGTTGGATAAAAGGTTGTATAGCTAAGAGTATCATACGTTGATCTTGTTGTGTGTATTCTATCTATCATTTTTTTGTTTACAACTAGCAACAGTGAAGTGTTATTGTTATTTGAATGTAGCGGGAATTTTGTTTGTGTGAGTGGCAGCAAGTTTGCCGTTGCCATTCCCTCTTATTTACGAACATGAATTGATAAGATCATGACGATTCATACATGTCGCGTGCGGGTTCTAATTGTATGCGTTAGTTGTTCATAGATATTGTGAATAGTATTGTTTCGAAGAGTACGAGGGCAAATAGGACTGTGGGCATTGGTTCCATGATTCTCTTTTCGCTTTTTTCTACTTCATTGAGGCTGTGTGTGTTGAGCTTTGTCCCAAGAGGAGATGGAAAAGAATGCCGTTTCATAAGACAATTGAGAGTTGTCCTTGTAGCATTGAAGCTTGTGGTCACTAGATCTATTAACGATGTGGCTTATACTTCGGAAATCACTCTGTATTGGAGTCGTCTACAGTAAGAGCAAAATTGATAAGTAAACCAATTGTTCCCTCCTTTGCACCATTCATTCCATCCTTCTTTAAAACCCAGTTGAAATTATTCAAATTTTCGTTGGCATACTGTGCAACATCAATATCCAAGGTGCGATTCCCGTACGTTGGGATCAGAATTTTGTGTTGTGAATTGCCCAATTTTATCAAATCGGTGTCAAATTGAAAAGTGTAAGTTTGACCTTCTAGGAATGTGAATTTTGAAGCATTGTCTGCATTAGTAAAGAACTTCTTGCGACCTTCGGATTTAATTGGAATATCTTGGTTGTCTAAACCTTCATTCAAGTTTTCTGTGCTCCCAGCCAGAGGTACTATGGAATCTTGCCCATCAGTATTAGTGATATCTTTGCGGACATTTATTTTGCTGAAGCTGTTGAGGGCGTAACCATATAAATATGGCATGTCACCGTAAAGATCACTCTTTATCGACGGATTGATAAACCAAGAAAAGAATTTGAGACCTGTGGATAATAAGGAGACGGGAACCCGATCCTTCACAGGTGTTAAGCATTCGTTACCAAACAAAAGTTGTGTTCCCAGAATTGCCTCTGACGGCTTCAACGTAATCAATAGTCTGAAATTAGGGGTTGACTGATTGTCAGTTTCAGGCCCATCTTCGGTCCCTGGAGTATGTTTGTTGCTTCCATCGAAATCCTTGATATAAATTTGAACCAGGACTAGGCCCAAGTCTGATTCAAATTGTAAGGCACGACCACTGTTCACGGGAACAGTTTGAAACGCATCATCGTATGTGGTACTAGCAGTAATATGGAGTTTCTTGGACATTGTGGTGAGAATGTGGGAATAATGTGGAGTTGATGTCTGTGCGCAAGCAATTCCTACCTCACTGAGTTATTGCTCTGCACCAATTTAAACTGACCAACTTGAGGAAGATGATGACCACAATCATCGCTCTGGCTGATGAGTAAAAGTCGGAATTAGCTTGATCAAATGATTGAAGATTAGGTGTACATGTTGGGGTGAGCCATTGTCAGACATCCTTAGGCAGCATAGCATAATTGAAAGTCCTGATACAAAAATGTATTTCTTTAACGGAGAAATAATTTGTACTTCTTTTGAAATGACTGTTTAAAGTATTGTGATCTAGAATGATTTTGATTAGTATTGCACACAATGGAAAATGACAGCAATGCGAACGGATTACCCGGTTTTTTGGGAACATGGTATATATACAAGAGCGCTCCCTGAGTCATTTCCTGAACCAATATTTTCTTCAAACAAAAAATGTCTAACTCATTGGAACAACTCAAAGCCACTGGTACTGTTATTGTGACTGATACTGGTGAATTCGAGTCAATTGCGAAGTACACTCCTCAAGATGCTACTACCAACCCTTCATTGATTTTGGCTGCTACCAAGAAGGAGGAGTATTCAAAGTTGGTGGACGTCGCAATTGAGTATGCTAAGGACAAAGGTGCCTCTCCTAAGGAAAAGGCTTCAATTGCGTTGGACAGATTATTGGTCGAGTTTGGTAAGGAGATCTTGAAAATCGTACCCGGCAGAGTTTCGACCGAAGTCGACGCCAGTTTGTCATTCGACAAGGAAGCCACTGTGAAGAAAGCCCTTGAGATCATTGAATTGTACAAATCCATTGGTATTTCGAAGGACAGAGTTCTTATCAAAATCGCTTCTACTTGGGAGGGTATCCAGGCTGCCAAAGAATTAGAAGAGAAGCACGAGGTTCACTGCAACCTTACTTTGTTATTCTCTTTCGTCCAGGCTGTTGCTTGTGCCGAGGCTAAAGTTACTTTGATTTCACCATTTGTCGGAAGAATCTTGGACTGGTATAAGGCCTCAACTGGTAAAGAGTACGACGGCGAAAGTGATCCTGGTGTGATCTCAGTGAGAAAGATTTACAACTACTACAAGAAGTTTGGCTACAGTACCATCGTTATGGGGGCGTCTTTCAGAAACACTGGCGAGATTAAGGCTTTGGCGGGCTGTGACTATCTCACAGTTGCTCCCAAATTGCTTGAGGAATTAATCAACCTGACCGATGCAGTACCTCAAGTTTTGGAGAGCGGCAAGGCTAAGGACTCTCAAGAGGAGAGGGTCTCTTATATCAACGATGAGGCCCAATTCAGGTTTTTGTTCAATGAAGATGCTATGGCTACCGAAAAGTTATCTCAAGGCATTAGGAGCTTTGCCAAGGATGCCCACACTTTGCTTGGCCAGTTGGAGGCTAAATTCGAGTAAATATTAGTAATAATTGCTTTATACACAAGCCTGTATATAAAAGTGTTGTAGCTTAAGTAAACCGGAAAATGTTAGTGAAGAATTAGTACTAGATTCTGTCTATGAGGCCTGAAGTTGCAGCGAATGTGGTTGAACCCTATCCCATTCATCTACACGATGAAGTGATAGCGGGCTTCTCAAGAGGATCATCGGAGCTCGGAATTCCAACAGCTAACATTCATGTCACTGACTCACTTCAAGCTCTAGAACCGGGTATTTATTTTGGCTTCTCAAAATTGCGTTGTCGGAATGAACTCCAGCCTGAAATCAAGTCAAGTGTCAAAGGACAGGAGATTAATTTTAACTATGGTCAGCATTTGAACAAGAAGGACCTTGAGGTTTTGCCAATGGTGATGTCTATAGGGTACAATCCTTTTTACAACAACAAGGAGAAAGCGGCGGAGGTTCACATTATACACGAGTTTCTGGACACATTTTACGGGGCACAAATTGAATTGGTTATACTTGGATATTTAAGACCTGAGCTCGACTACATAAGTAAGGGTATGTTTTAAGCTTTGGTAGGCCTCGTTTCCGTTCCACGTTTTATTTTGATACTAATAATTTAGAAGCATTGATTAAGGATATCCAGACGGACATTTCTATTGCAAAGACTACACTTCTGAGTTCTCCATATTGTGAACATACGAAGCTTCTTAAGAATTAAAGTGCATAAGTCGAGGGTCAGTAGGCCGTACAGACCAGAAGCTGTCGCATTAATTACCTAACTTCCAGGATAATGTCCCGCGAAAACCGATTAAGGATGTGGTTCCTTTCTGGAGTAATTTGAAACGGCTTGCGAGTTACTAACTGGTTTCTTAATGACTATTGTTAGACGTGTGGATGATACCCACTGCTTTGCAAGTGGATCATCGACGTAAATCAAGGTGGATTTTCGAACAAGTTTTGTCAGACGTTCTGTATTTAGAGAAATTTGTTCATCATCGCAATTCATTCATTATCATGTTCACGCGAAAGAGTAATAGTCGAAACCATTTGAAAATTCTGATAGATTGATTGATGTAAGTGATGAATGGTGCATAGGATTGGATTATTTACAAGAGTACAACTCTTCAAGAGCAAGTAAAAGTTCATGGAGAGTTTTAGAAGCTGAAGTATTACAGCTAATGGCTTGAGCTAGGTAGTCTCTGGCCTTTAAATAATTTTCGTCAAAAACTTCCAACTTTACTAACTGTAACAAAAATTGGGCGTGACATGATACTCTCGTTCGATGTAACGCACGCTTCAAGATTGACCGCGCTCGCTGCAACAACTTCAAGGAAACAGTGTACTCGACGTATTCGTCTACAATCTTGAGGGAGTACTCGGTGGAAATCAAAGCTCTTTCGAATAAGGGAATCACAAATACAGGACCAAATGTGTTTTTCAGACTCTCCAAATACCTGAGCCATAAAGCTAGGCCTTGATTATTTGAACTGCCAGTAAAGTTGACAAGGTCTCTCTCGAACGGAAATATCAAAGAATTTAGAAGTTTTTGGTTGGAGATGGTGTCATAGTGGTTATGGTTTAATAGTAGCTCCTTAGTTGAGCCCTTCGATGGAAAATGGGATCGTAAATTGGACTGAAAAATAGCATGGTTATAGTGAGGAGCCATGGCGCATTGAGCGTTTAAAGACTGGACTTTTGTGACAAACTCTCCCGCGTCAGAATAAGTTTGCTGAAGAAAAGTGATGTATAGTTGATGAAGCTCAGATGAATAATAGCTCATACCGACTTTATAGCGAGCCTCCTCAAACAACTCAAGGATATAGTTGTGGTTGTGCTGCGAATGAAGTAGTTGGGAGCGTAAATAACTTATCCACATCAATATGTCATAATCAAGGTAATTGAGACCACATAGAATGATTTTGTCATTGCTGAGTACCTCGTCATTTAATCGATTGTGTGATATATCCTGAATCCAGCAAGATAGATATGGGAATTTCTGAACAAGGAGATGAGCAACTTGTAACCAGATCTCCGAGTATTTCTCGCTTTGGAGACGTGGAATGGTTCGAAGAAGCGTCTCGAGCTCATACAAGGACGCTTGCCATGCAGAAGAAGATTGAGGATCCTTTATCAACTGCCCTGTCCTGAGATGACTTAGGTTTGAAGACATTGCTAGCGGTTTTTTAGGGTCAACCTCAACATTACCGAATGCAGAACCCTCGAATAGTCCCCAACACCTAGTGCGATCTTTTATGAACTTTTTATGGGAAGGGCCAGAAGAGACGAATTGCACGAGCAATCCTACGAGCATTTACAGAACAATACGTGAGGTAACTTAAAGGAAAGTCCTACCCTTTGAGCATGTTGTCAGTATACAATTAAACATTTCCATTTAATAAAAGGTAGTTGGTGCCTTGAACTCATACAACTTCTTGGACTTTTGGACTCTGTGAGGCAAAGGAAATTTCAAGTTCTTGGTCAAGTACTGCTTGACATATTGCCTCTTGACATCCTCAGTCTTCTTCAACTCAACCACCTTCAAAATGTGGATGTTTCTAAATCTGGCTCTGTGTCTAGCAGCCAAGTCTTGGTACATAGTCTCAACAGCACCAACCCTGGTAACGTCCCTGTATTCCTTGTACATGTTGTGGATGCCGGATCTCGATTCGTATCTGATCCAGATACCGTAGGTCTTGACCTTGGTAGGAGATGGGTCAGAAATCACATTGAGAGCAACAATTTCACCAGATGCTTTCTTGACTTTGTACAATCTTTGCAAAAAGTACCAGTAACGAGACTTGGCGACAACAGTGTTGGGGGCAAAGATCCTCATTCTGAACAACTTGGGCTCTGGAACGGCCTCAGTTGGGAGACGACGACCAATGATCTGATATTCATGCAATCTCGACATCTTTTTGGTTAGTACGTGAAAAATCAGGAAGGACTATAAGCAAGCTGTAAATTCGCTTGTGCTTGAAACGTACTTTTAAGTGAGTTCGGATGAGAAGATGGAAAACTAACTTTCTCTTTTGTCAGCTATGGTGTGCACTACGAAAATTTTTGCCCAAATATGCAGGTTACATGCTCAACGTATCAACTTCGAGAGATGCTTGATCATGTGACGCTACTATGTATAGGGCTCAAGCCCTAAATACTATCGCACGGAAAGAAATGGTATACTTACATGAACTGTTATGTGGCTTTTTGTACTTCTTCAATCTAAACGAATTTTTTTTTTCTTTTTTTTTTTTTCTTTTACAAACATTGCTTTGAAGATCATCTGCTTTTCAAAATGGATTCGGCCTTCTTAGCTGCTTTTTGCTCTCTACGTCTTTTAGCTGCAGGTCCAGCTTCAGTGTCTAAGAAAAAATCGAACCAGGTAAAGGAGCTGGCATAATTACCCACGAAGTAGTGATGATGTAAGTCATGATGAGCTGCACCTGCCCAAAAAGGGATGAATTTGTTGAGAGACCATGGGAAGTCGTATCCTGAATGGGAATCTACTGCCTGCAACAATCTCAAAACGATCCAACAAGTGATGGTGAAAAGATGTAAATCAGGAAGAAGAATTCGATCTTGCGATTTTGCGACGTACGCGTAAATAATTGGGAATCCAACTGTTCCGATACCCAAGGACATCACCTCTATCGGGTGCGCATATTCTGCAGTAAAACCGAAAGGTGCAGCATATTTATGGTGTTGTTTATGGATGTTTTTGTAGAACCAGCCATAGTGAAAAAGTCTATGGGCAACATAGTGCCAAAAATCTTCACAAATAAAAAACAATAAAATCTGGACTATCATAGTTTTCAACGCTGGAAATGGCACATCGACAGATATTTTAAGCGATGAGCATAACGGATGGAAAAGCCAAATCGGTAATGCTTCAACCAAGAAGTGAGATTTCAAGACAGCTTTAAAGCATTCCCATTGTTCTTTTGCAGAAGGAATTTTATCTGGCTGAATTTTCCACCTGTTGAAAAACGGAATCATGTCTATAATCATCCAAGGGACACAACGACCAAAGTATGCAAGCTCGTGAATAACAAAAAAAAGTAGTCCAGTTGCCAAAAGATCGTTATTCATATAAATATACCAACTAGCCCACAACTGTTCGATGGTGTTGAGAGTTTTAAAACCCTCATGGACTGGTATGACACTTTCGCGCAGAATTGTCTCGTAGATCAGGGAAAACGACGTGCTGTTTTCGAACTGCCTGGCCAAAATATTCATATCGGGTAAGCTGTGTATAGTAGTTTGCAGTGTGGGTAAGTAAACCCTTTAAATATAGTCCGAGCTGTCGTATACTCGTTCGGTCGTATGATGACATGACTTTGAAGCCATCCGAACATATGACCTGATAATATGCATCACCTGTATCTCGCAATATTTATACGAATGCAACGCGTTGTCAATATTGTTTTCTTTCACGATCTATACAATTGTGCTTGTGACACGAATTATAATCGTTCATGTTTTAAGTGCCGTCATTATTACACTCCATTCTTTGTACTTTCTATTTAAAAATTTTGCAACTTTGCTACGGCTAGAATTAACAGCAAGGTCTCAATTATTGTTCCATTCATTTAACAAACCCTTTGAGAAGGAAGGATATCCGCTATCAAGGAATCAGTAACGTAATTCAGACCTATAGTTTGAGATGATTTATGGTTTTCAATGTATGAGAAAAACTGGTCGAAGAGAAATGATGTGTCAAGTGGTCCTCCCTTCGCTTCAGGATGAAACTGAGTGGAAAAGATGGGCCTCACTTTGTGGCGCATACCTTCATTCGACAAGTCATTCAAATTGAGGAAATACGGCTCCCAATCACTAGACAAAGTTGAAGCATCGACAGCATAACCATGATTCTGAGATGTAATATGGCATTTTTTAGTCACTAGGTCCAACGCAGGAATATTATGGGCCCTATTTCCGTACTTCAATTTGACCGTCCGAGCGCCGCTTGCGAGCGCAAGTAGCTGATGTCCCAAACAAATTCCGAATATTGGTAATTCAGGATTACTCGAGATTGTCTGCTTCAAATTGTAAACAGTTTGGGAACAATGAGTTGGATCTCCGGGACCATTAGAGATGAACAACCCGTCAAACTTTCTTGAGATAGTGTGAATAGGATAATCGTATGGGAATACAGTCAAAGAAGCGCCTCTTTCGACAAGACAACGAAGAATGTTTTCTTTAGCTCCACAATCGATCACTGCTATGTGATATCCTTTGCTGAACTGTTCAGGGCAACGAACATGGAAAGGTGCCTTAGTTGTGACTTGGCGGACTAAATTAACAGATCCAGGATCTTCGAAAGCCTCATCCTCATCTGCATCATACTCCTCTCCAATACTAATTTTAGCCAAAGATGAGCCCTTGCTTCTCAAATAGCTGACGAGCTGGCGAGTATCAACTCCACTTATAGCAGCTACTCCGGATCTCTGACACCATTGTTGAAGTGACTCTACGGCCGTCCAGTGTGAATACTCAAGAGCCACATCTGCCACAACTATGCCAATACACTGCACCTGAGGAGATTCAAGATGTTTCAACAAGTTAAATTGGTCTTTGGCAACTGACGACGGGACACCGTAATTTCCCACCAACGGTTGAGTGAAGCACAAAATCTGACCCTTGTATGAAGGGTCTGTCATCGACTCAGGATACCCAACAAGGGAAGTAGTGAAAACCGCCTCTCCACTTACGTTCTTGTTAGCTCCAAAAGAAAATCCGTTGAAGACAGGACCATTTCTTATGGTGAGCGTTGCTCGATCTAACTGATTTTCAGAGGGGTTCGATGGCAGCAGAGTGGCAAGACATCTGAAACGAGATGAATTGAGCCTGAAAGGTTTAGGGCAATGCCAAATCAGACGCATCATTGTGTCTTTTGATTGATGAGGAATGTGGTGGGCAGAACGAGAAAAAAAAAATGATGAGTCAAGATAACCCACCGCGGCAACCTCACAATTGCCCAATTAGGATATTCATGTAGGACATCACGTGTTAGTTGACTAGCCTTTGCAACTTAGACTGACTTTGTGTGCAGTTGAATCTGCCTTAACCCACTAAGACAGGCACTTCAACCCTCATCTCGTTTGTGCCATTTTCCGCCCCTTTAAATTTGACAACAATTTGAAGGGCATATAACCTACCCACTAGACAATTTTGGAAGCTTGGCACAAGAGTGTAATTGTGCTTGTTAGATATCTTGAGAGGTAAGGTCAACTCAGTTCTCCATTCAAGCCTCTTATTATGCGTCTCGCGTGCTGTCCACTCATATCGCGATGAATCCAGATTGGATGAGAAATTAATTGGCTGGAAGAACTTTTGAATGGTATCTTTTTTGACTCCTAACTTACTCATTCCCTTTAAGTATGAAAAGGTTCGCTGCGATACGAGTGTTCCTTTATCCCGCAAATTTGTAATTTGTAAATTAATGCGATCCTTGAGTATCAGCAAAGTATCATGAGTGTCATTAGAGTTGCGATCTCGCCGAGAGCTAGCCGGGTTTGAGTAAAATAAGTCGTGCTCCAATGACAACGGAAGTGGATACTCGGTTCGATATGTCCATGCGACGATGTTAAAGTCAACATGACTGATTTCTGGTGGCTTTTCGAAAGACTCGTTGCCTAAAAATGTGATTTTGGTTTGAACACTGTTCATCAAGAAAGCATCGTCCCGATTGTATAGTTCTTCCATATTGCTGCTGACAGGTGCAAGAGCGTTCTTAGCATCATCTTGCATAGGAAGCGATTGCAATTGGGAACAGGGGTTGCCTTGGTTATATTTCTGAAGTAGGCGCGGAGACACGTAGGGAATTAGTTTATCCGGTATCGGTACGGCCATTCTCAGTTCTCCGACCGCTGAAGAAACTGGAAGGAGTCGCTTTCGTTTCTTCGCAAATATAGTGGTGGCATGTGACTCAACCTCTCTCTCTTGTACCGACGTAAATTTGGAGAATTGATCTTTTGAAGTCTCTATGTTTCGCGATGGGGACTTTTCCCATGTCTTTTTTAGATCCTTTGACGAGTCATCCAATGCAGTAGTCTCAGAGTTAATTTCATCTTCAATCAAATTGTTCATTTGATGAATCATATTCCAAGTAGAAGATGAGGTCAATTGATTAAAAAACATTCCATCTATTCCAATTTTCTCGAAAGTTTCCTCCTTGAAATCTCTGTACGCCCTGCTATATGCTTCCACTTGAGCTTTGACATCTGGAACGAAACGTAAAAAAAACTGGGATTTCTTGGACACGACATAGCGTGATTCAACATTCGATAGTGTTTCCAGCTTTCCCGAATGTTCCTTGTCAATGAACTTGGCCTCAATTGCATAGCTTACACTTAAGTTATCAAATGAGAAGTCCCGAAGTTTTATAGGGGACCCTCTCACACTGGATGTTCCATAGCCAAGTGCTTTATTGACCTCCAAAGACTGCCCGTTGGAAAATCTTTCATCGGTCCCAAATGAGGGTGGAGGCATGGTATGTCGCATGACATCGTGAGGGCACGCATTGTCAAGAAGCATCTCAGGAAACTTAAAGGTTATGAACTTCTTATACTTTTCCCCTGCCTTAAGAACCCTATCATCAGGGAGTCCAAGAATGCAACCATCATAGTGATCTCGACTGTCTGCGTCATATTGGATTCCAGCAGAGCTTGGTATAACGCCGTAATTGTAACTTGCGTTCAAGTCGTACATTTTGAGAAATTTTTTTAACATGAACTTTGAAGAAATCTTGCTCGTATCATCTTGTCTTGAATCCTGAGGGAGGGCCTTGACAGTTCCTTCAAGACTAACGACAAATAGACCAAAATCGATGTCCTCGTGTGAAGTGTTGTTGATGATGACGTAACCATTGACTATGTCACCACAAGAGTACTCTTTAAGTTTATTCTCCAATTCATTTGGCTCGTTGGGCCTCGGAACATTTTTTGTAACAAAAATGTGGATCGTGAGAGGGGAGTATCGCGCTATCGGGAGTTTGTCGATATTGTCAAGAACAGAAGTCCCATAACTCTCATGCGATAACTCCCCTCGATTGTGGGATTCGTCTAGCTGTGATATCTGAGGGTGATTATACATATCGTCACTGTTGTGTTCTACCCCATCATTATCCTCGTTGGCTGTAAATCGATAGCCAGCTTCCATCTGATGATCGTCGAGATCTATAACTCTCAGGGAAACTCGAGGCATTTGATCAGATCTCATAATGCCATCTGTACTTACTGAACTCCTTTGATTGTCGCCATAAAGGGGTGGGTTACCTAAGTCGTTCTCATCAAATTCAAAGTCATTTCTCTTGAGTATCGATTGATACAACTGAAAGGACGGAAGTAAATCGAAGTACTCTGTTTCTGTCCCGGACGCCGATGTCTCCAATGGTGTTGCCGACAGTAATCTATTGATTTGAGCTTGGAGATTTTTGCTTGGTCTGTAAGGTATGTTTCGACGTGAATCAACTTCATCGAATGAGCACAATCTTGTAGATGTACTATGATCATGTTTGCTATCGATCAGAGGGCTGAGATGCTGCCGGAGCTCCTCATATGATGGCGGGTTCGAAGACGGCTCGGGACTTCTCTCTTTCTTCCTCATGGCATTATAAGTGCGGAAACTCTGGGGGGTATCAAATCGCGAGAGCAGTGATGCGAAGTTTGAATTATCCCAGCAAAACTAAATTCCAAACTTCAAGATCGATGATACTTTACCTGATGATTGACTTGCTTGAGTTCTTCAGAATTTAGAACTTGTTCTTACAATCTGAAGTTCTTGACATACATCTGGACATACTTGTTTCGCTACAATTGTTAGTTACTTCGACGAATTTATTAGAGCTTTCATTCTGAATATTAGTAATGTTTACTCGTGTGGCCGCGTCAGACTGACATGCAAATCGTAAAAAGTTTTAAAATCAGTAAATCATTGGTTATGATTCATCAATCGGCGGTATAATAGCAAAAACATACCTGCTGTTAGTAAAGATTATAGTTCATGGGATAGTAATCTGAGGATGTTTCAGGAACCACGGCCGGTCAAGGCCGATTGATCATCAATGCGAATGATTACAAGTCACACGCGCAGTAGACCGTCGTGAAAAGTGGTAAATCATCATTATCTTCTGGTCAAGCAGACATACCTTTCAGTGTATCATTCTTTGACAACCTAGCTTCCGTATTCTATGTTGAACACTATCAGACTTAGGTAAAAGTTCATCAGTCGTCAGACATATGCTTGTCTTTGATAATTTCATCTTGTAGCTTCATCACAGAACACGAAAGCTAAGTGCCAAAAAATTCAATGCACATAGCAGAATTCGATCAACTAAATTGTTAGAATTATCAAAATATGAAGCATCAGGAATGCATGAATGGTATAATTTTGGTTGTCAACATCGAGAAACTCGAATCTGACTCGTCATCTTGAAGTTCATCACGTCTACTGTTGGAAATACATACTAGTATAACACCATCCTTTAGTTAGTATCATTGCCATAAAGAGACAACATCAGTTCTACGGGTTTCTGACGCCCGATCTTAGCCTGTCACTCATGATTATTCAGTGCCCAGTGCATTGATTCCTCCTTTCAATGTACGGAGCGACATACCTTAGGGTTAGTAAAATACTTCACAATAAACTGCCTTGCCTTCAGACTCTTGCAAAACGTTTCAAACTCATATAGTTTCGGTTGGTAATTCCAGCTTAGTTTTGTTGTCTCATCATGAAGCGAGGTACCCATCTTGATTAACTTGAGGATTAAATACATACGCTTCAAAGCCTTGGGGTTAGTTCAAATTGAGGGGATGCGAAAACTCAGAGTATCAATGTGATCATTCCAAATTGGTCACAAACTCTAGTTTGTTTGTTAAGTGAAATCATCTTAGTCTTCTGACCTCACATACAATCACAAAATAAAGGTGGTACGCGCGAAAAAATTTCTTACAATAAATTTTTGTTTAAATGCGATGTGTGCTCTGTATATTATGTGCGGGTAATACCTTTGAAATTCGAGTGCAGCCTAGTTCTTCGCAATTTTAGGGCCCAATGGTTTCTTGATTCCCCCCAAATTTTCGTCATCTTGAAGTTCTAAAAACTTTCGTTTGACTCCAGTGTTTTCTTCCAACCCAGCATTTTCAATAAAAGATTTTAAATCTGTTTCCAATTGATGATTCCTTTTCAATTGATCAAGGTATGTTTCGGCTGAGCCGCAATTTGGACAGTGAAAGTCGGAATCTATCAACGCTTCCTCGAGCTCCAACTGATTATAGTTGAAATTTTTTAGTCTTTTCAAAGTTTGGCTGGTTTGGCAACAAGGCGTCATAAATATAGGTGGGACAAGCACGCTGGGTTCCTGCCTCAACGGATTCAAAAATTCTCCTCTTCCTTTAGACACTATCACATCGACCAACTCTTTTTCGAACTTTTGTAGTGCCTGATTATTAGCACTCTGTTGTTTTTCCTGGTACAGGGACCACGTTTTTGAATCAGCGAAGGTCATTACATAATCGCCATCCTCAGTGACTTGATATGTATTGCCTTCCTCGTCGACCAAATCACCATTTTCATTAGTATGCATTTTGTTTTCACTACTTTCCGGATTTGCTAGCCTATATTCAACAGCTTCTTTTGAAATTGTCTTCATATAGCTTTTTGGAATACCTGTAGTGCGTTTGATTTTTTTACCTTCGAATGTAGGATCCGTATTGGTGGGACAATTCTTTATCCAATGATCCTTACCTCCGCATCGGTAACAGACGTAACCTGGTGGAGGAAGATCCTCGAGTCCAGGTTTGCCGTGAACGACCTTATGTGTAGATAACTCTTCCTGGGTTTTGGCCCAAGCATCATCTTGACGCTCCAACATCAATCTGATTTTCTCCTCCTCTGACAAGCTTTCGTCGATAACTATGTTTGATTTTGGCCGTGATGCTGCAAATGTGACAGGTGCAGCTTTCAGCTTCACAATGCGTGGTTTACCGGTAACATATCTAGCAGCGCTCTGAAACCGCCCACTTTGGGTATATAAGGGCGACCGCTTAGCCAAAACAAAAGTCGAGCGAGGTATGACATCCTGATCATTCTCGTATTCCAACTCGGGCTGTTCCAGATGATAGAGCCTTAGTGAAAAATCTTGACCTTGACCGAGTTGATTTTGAATGATTATTTCATGCTTCAAATCAAAGACGTTTATACTTGTTCCATCAAAATGAATGGTGGACTGGGTCTTCTGATGAAAAAATTTATAGAAAACTGATGAAGACATGCTATTGTAAGCTCCTGACCTGTTAGCACGTTTTGTATGTTTTCTCTATATGCCGGACGGTTTTATCCATTTGTCGAAGCAAGTCCTAATTAGAGGTCCAACTCGAAGAACTACTGTGACACCGTACCAATAAAGCATGATGTTATATTTTGAATTACATTAAGTATCCAATGAAGGTCGTTTCGTAGAGCTTCTTGCTTAGAGCTTTTATCATAGAGGATACTTTTGGTGCCATCGGACATCATTTTTAATCCATATAAATAATTACAAAAACGAAAAGTTTTCTGAGTCTCCTTCTTTGCTAAGAGATGCTTCACCAGTCATCTGAGACGTCCGATTAAAACCAGTGGTTGATGCCGTCGTTGTGTTACAGCCTGTACAAACAAAGTAGCGACAGAATGAGCGTAGAGAAAAACATCTTGATCAATCATCTACCATGGGATACACCCATATTGATGGGCTAACGTCCATTTATCCTACAAAAAAGGTGAGACTCCCACTTCAATACGATGTGTCTGAATCGGTAAAAACTCATTCCTGTGAGGACACGTTCTTAATTGGCAGCACTGTTGAGCATACGTTTAAAATCGAGAGTTTTATCACCTCCGTTCATTTTAGACTTCATTCGGATCGAAAGAGGCTAATTTTCTTTCCTCTCGTCAATCAAACCACCAATTTTCAGTTCCATGTCCAGCAAATCGAGGTTGAACTACCACAGAGGGTTTTTAGTGACAGGACTCTACATGTGCATGAGGGATTTAAAGGTGCTGAAAAAGATCCTTTCGTTGGTATCGATTTGATCGATGAACAGTACCTTTTTATCTCCATAAAGATTAACCTCTCAGACTTCATACTTGAAGAGAATCGAACTTGCCTATCATTGGACAACTTTGATGATTGGGTACATATCTCGGTGCCCTACTCATTCGAGCTAAGAGCGGAACCTTTTAGAGTTCACGCGTTGACAGAAAATGATGTGATTGTTTCATTAGAGGATGGCGCTCTTCTACATTTTAAGAGGCCGTCTTTCCTACAAAATTTCGAGATTTTCAATTTTACTCGCCCTAATGTTACTCGAAAAGCTTTTATGGGCGAACTCTTTAGAAGGAAAGAAAGACTTACTGGATTATTGGTTGCTGATGCGGTGTCAAACGTTGCAATGGTCGATCGTCTGTGTTTCTTGGCTCTCTCCTCAGATAAGGCTCTAACCTTATACGACTGCAAGCTGCATTCATCCATTGATCAATTCAAAATTTTTGAAACTTCAATGCCTTCCAACGAGGTAACTCAGCTACCAAGAAATTCCTTAAAAGTTATAAATTCTGGAGCATCGTGTCTTCTGTTCATGCTTGACCCAACACTTTCAAAAAGAGATGGCTGTCCATCTGTAAAGATTCATGCACTTGAACTAAAGAATGCATCTAAAATTATTACAAAAGAAAACTTCTCCTTCGATGTTGAGATACCGTCATACTCCAGTAACCAGCTGCATAACGAGGTATTTCATATTCATGATTATTCGGTCCTTCAATCAGAAGTATTCATCAAGCATCAGATTCTTTGGAGGTATAACAATTTGAGCATGTATACCACTTACTTACAAAATATGTCCACGGGAATGTGTTGGCCAATCCTAGCTACAATGCGGATACGGATATCGACACCTCATTATCGAAATTTGAAACTCATGACATGAGCAAGATTCGTGAAATGATCTGGAACTCTGGAAGGTATGACGCAAATCTTGTTACAAAGGCAAACGAGCTTCTCTTCAAAAGCTTAGGAGTTGAAGTCTCGCCAACTTATGATACAGTTTCAAAAAGCAAGCTCGATAACATGGTCGAATCTATTAGCTCCTCAACCGGTGTCACATTGTCATCCATATGGTATAAATTATATTTGATTTGTGAAGAATTCAGAAGGAGTGGTCAGAAACCATTGTGCTTACATCAAACGAATGTTTCAACTTTTATCATTGAGGCCAACGGTGTGGGCGTTCTCAGAGAGCTGCATTTTTTCGAGGATTTCTCGGGTCATCCAGCTAGTACATCGTTGAAGAGCATACTCAAGATTGTCAGAGCTAGAATATCATCATCCGCTTTGAATCAACTTCAATTGTTTTTAGAGTCTGCTTCGGAGTTGACCGAACTACAAATCGGCGAAAAAGCGCAAGAATTACTAGAGGGAAGGTTCAAAGAGCATGAATTAGGAATGCTTCTTGAAAGTCTCGATGAGCAAACACTTGAGTTAATCGAAGATTTGGTTTCGAAACCATCTAAAAGTGACATTGAAGGCTACGTTGATTCCGATGTGGAACTTGATGAATTTACTCGGATGTATGCCGTCAAGACTTTTTTAAAGATTATTAACTCGCATCGTGAGATACTATTAGAGGTTGGGAGTATCTTTCTCCTTTGTGAAGCTAATCCGAAAGTGATCAGTTCATTGAATGCCATTCGTCGCGCAATGTTTCTCTATAAATTTCTCGAGTTTTCCTTTGGGATAAGTTTTAAGCAGTCTGATAAAATGCAAGTTCAGACAGAGTCTATTGGAAAAAGTGATCTAGCTCTTTTCTGGGATTGCTTCAGAGAAGAAAAGTTGGTTTTTCATCACATAAGCGAGTATCAGTTGAACGATGCTTTCGATGTTTTAAGACATGTGCTTTTCTCAACCAGCTTTGAGCATTTTATCCTAAGATTGATTATTCGACTTATCAATTGTGGTGAATGGGATTTGGCAAAAACAAAGTTTGTTGCGTTCTTAGACACTGAAAAGGTTGCACAGAAGTTTGTCTACGGTCTCGTGTGCCTTTTTACTGATGATTTGGTTACGTTTCATGACATCGTTGGGGACTTCGAGAATTTTAGATTGTTCTGCGAGTCTGAATCCTTCGTCAAGGCTCGCCCATTGCTACAAGAGCTGCCTTTCTTGAAATGCGTGCTTCTCGACGAGGCTTTCGATACTGAAGTCGAGGTGAATCGAGCAGCGCTTTACAATCACAAACTCTCGGAGATGTGCGAGAATTACTCGGTGGTGCCCAACAACTCATATGAGAAGCGACAAGAGATTATTCGTCTTGGAGTCCAATTTGAAGAGAATGCTGTGAAACTACTTGATTCGTCTTCCCAATTTGACCATCTTCGTCTCGACTTCCAAAAGAAGCTTTTTCATTTGTCAATCCAGATGCATGAGTTTAAGGGTGCTATCAGAGCCCTTGAGTCGTTACTGCAACAATTAACCGCTTTAGAACTAAGGTGCTCCGTCCTCGCTTTACTCAGAGCTTTGGTAGATAACGACAAGCAGAATCTCTTGTTCGAAGCTCTGTGTAGTTTATTTTGCGAAAGCAATCGTTCGGTTGTGGACAAAATACTATTGGAGGAGGCGAATGAAGACCTTGTGCTTTGGAGGGCGCTCAAATCCTATGAGCTTCTTTATTCATGGCGCCTTGGTGCCTTAACGCAAACGAACTCAAACACTTGTGGTGATAAGCGTGGTGCAAGTGAGGCTCTCTATATATTTATCACGAGATTTCGAATGGAGAAGGAAGTGCTCAAAGATGCCTCAAGAGCCAATGACGATTACAGAAAGTTCAAATTAAAGATTCTTGAGCTTTACATGATTATTATCAATTGTCTCCAATCATTTGACGACTCAAGCGAAATGTGGATCAAAAAGAACAATGGCTTTGAGTTCGAGATCATGAGAATTGAAGCATTGCTTCTAGAGCATTCCGACTGGTTGCGAGAGCTTGAAAATGACATACCTTTTGATGGGATATAGAAGCTTAGCCAATATTACTGCCCATATTGCCGCTGCCCTTGGGATGGTCGTCCTTCCAGTCATCCCAGGCACGTGCTTCAAGTTCATCGTCGCTATTTTCGGATGACAGTTCAGCCCTCCTTGTGTCGTCAGCTGAAAGAAGTTTTCCATGCAGAAGCTCATAGTCAAGGTATTCATCTACTGTCATGGAAGGCAATGTCTGGCCAGTTCCAAACACGGATTTTCTCAACTCTGCCTTATTCTTCGTAATGACAAAAGGTTGTAGTATCTTCCCTTTAGGACCAATTATGTCGCTTATAGCCTTTTTCTTACCTGGGACCACTTCTACTCTAGAGTGAATATCTCGGGAATTGCTTACTTTTGCGTTTGACTTGTGATGGGTTTTCAAGCCCTCATCATATTGCGTTTCGAGAAGCAGACTTTCAAGTTGAATCAGAATCAAATTCTCGGAAGAGTGGAGGGCAAAGAGGCAAAGTTCAGTTTTGTAGAGCATTCTTAAGTCTTCTTCGGATTGTGATTCCAAATCTAGGCCCTCAAGCTTCTCCGACTGAACTTCAATCTGAGCTTCCAATTGCTTCCTACGTCTGAATCTCTTGATTTTGGCTTGTCTTTGCTCGTGTGGGTTTGCCGTTGATTCGTGGTTTTTTTTGAACTTATCCCAAAAGTCTGGAATATCATCTTCCGAAAGAATAGAACCATGAAAGTCCAACGTTTCTAAGTAACTTTGGTAACCCTTTTTCGCCAGTGAGAGATGATCAAGTTTCTTTTGTCTTCCAAGATTATCGTTTCCGTTCGAAGGCGAGTAGTGCCCATTCATCTCCATTTCAACACAAGCTATGAAGTATTCAAGAGCTAAGTACGGGATATACGCAGTGCTTATTTCTTCAAAAGACTCACTTTTGTCAAATAAATCTAGATGGTTCACCATCCGTTTAATTAGAAGGAATTCAGCTTTGAGCTTATTTAAAGCGTCAAGGATAGCATTATTTTCATTGGGAAGATTCTGCTGATCTTGAAGACTTTTTAAGTTGTTGACAGCTGCTTTAAATCTCTCTTTGACAGAAAGATCCGAACTCATTGTACTTTCTGTTATAACGCCTAAGTGCTTATTTCAAAAACTGTCGTACTGTACAGGAAAGGCGTGTCGACTTCAGAGCTCATATATCCTGGACTACCTTCCTTGCAAACAGCTGAAATTCTACGAGAATGAATATTTTAAACAAAATAATGTTAAGAATATTTACATCCATGATCCAGAGATAAATAAAAGAGAAGTAAGGTTTTGTAAAGCCTGAAGATCGCATCCGTACACCAAGGCTTCATTGCGCAAAGCCTAAGCGATGTGAACTCTCGACAGTACGAGTTGATGAGTGCACCAGCATACTACGAGCTTTACAGAAGAAGCACTATCGGGACTGCTCTTCTTGATGCTCTAGACACCTTGATCAGCGATGGCAAGATTGAGCCTCAGCTCGCACATGGAATATTAAACAATTTTGACCGAGTTATATCCGAAAATCTAAAAGCTGAGAAGGGGTTCTGCAAATCGAAACTAACCTTCAAAGGCGACTTGCACACTTATAGGTTTTGTGATGATGTCTGGACATTCATTATAAAAAATGTGCAAATCAAAATGACCGACATATCAAATAATGATGGCAATGATAGCGACATATCTGTTGACAAATTCAAAATAGTGGCCTGCAACTCACGGAAAGCGGGCGAACCATGAGACTAACACTTTGGCAACTTGTTTCGATTTATAACTATGTTGAGCTATGTCACAATACATTTCACGTTAACTTCCGCCTCAAGGCTTTCCATAGTAGTTGATGCCTCTTATCTTCACCATTACGATGTTCACTCCGTAGTGGTATTTATGCTTACGAGATTGCTTTTTTGTAAACAAAAAAATTGTCAAAATATGGATAATATCACAGTGAATGTGTCTGCGCCTACAATATCTACCAGATATTCATGAAGGCGATTTATACAACCATTGTCTGCCTGCAAGCGGGGTGTGAGGGTTGGCATAAGCCAGTGGCAGATACGAATCTGGGGGAATGTAGGTGAAGGGATGTAGGTGAAGGGATGTAGCCATGGGAAGTAGCCATGGGATGTGTATTAGGTTTCGAGAGACATTCAAATATGTCATGAGGAGCTCTACTAACGTTGTGCTAGATGGCTCATACAAGGAAAAATAACAAATACAATCCATAAACAACATTTGAGAACTATAAAGTTGACAATAAAGTCATTTTGCGAAGCAAGAACAAATACAGTATGATACATAATCAATTTGAAGAAGAGATGGTCGTCTATTGCCTCTTGGCGTACTCGGCCTTCTCCTTCTCATACCTCTTCTTGTCAGCAGCAGCCTTGCTCTCGTATGGCTCCTTATCAGTTGGCGTCATTGCCTTCCACTTGTCACCAAGCATCTTGCCGACCTGACCGAAAGTGATGCCAGGGTTTTCAGCCCTAACAATGTCTCTATTCTCATTTGCGAAAAACATGTAAGCAGACAATGATCTCTTTGGAGCATTTGGGTCCTTCTTCTTTCTTGATGACTTCTTCTTCTCGGTAGACACTGTAAGTTAGTATATGTTAGCAATGGAAATACTGCACAATGCATTCACATTTCCACGGTGCAACTAAACAATCTATGGTCTTCAAAAATTGAGGAATTGAGCTCGAGATGACAAGGGGTATTTGACTGGAAAGTCGACTTCAATCAACTTCGTCTCGAATATAAACAAATCTTACCTTTTCCCACTCGTACTCCACTTCGACGTGACGAGCAACATCATTAACTCCACCGAGACATCGTGTTTATCATCAACCAAATTTTAATATATTCAATAATTGACTGGTAAGGATTGTGTTGTCACCTAATTTGAATTTTATAGCAGGAATCGCATTGCGCGCCAGTGCTAAGAAAGATACATACTTTTTGACTATGCGTAGTTAGTATGAGAAGAAATTAAGTAGGACTTTTTTTGTGTGGGAGCAATAGTACCCCCTATATATGAGGCCGCCCACAAGGCGCGGAGAGAGTGATGGAAATTGCGCAGTGGTTGCGTATATTTGAGTATCAAATTGTCCTTACCAGCACTGCCTATTTCCCACTCTAGAATTCGCTCAATCTCTCTCTTTCTGTTGAAACGTCCTTTTCAGAGATCTACACCTACCTAATAAGAATTTCCAGGCAAGGTCTAGGGCAACTGCTTTTTACAATTCGTGGCGAAGGAGTGCGATTTTGTGTTATAGCTCACTTGCTCTCAGAAGGCCTGTTGTGCATGTTACATCAAAACACCCGCTTTAGGTAGTGTTCGTCTGGGGCCAACTAGTGTAAACAGTCGACCTACTGTAGAAAACAAAGCAGAACAGCTTAATTTTATTTCGCTACAAACTTATATGACTCAATACAACTGATTTTCAATGATATGTCGAAATCAAAACTCGTATACATTCCGTTGAATTGTTCTTAAGCCCTTGAATCAATACCAACCTCGGTATTGGTTGTTATCCTGGAAGTTACCGTACTGGTGATACTGCTGGAAATTTGCGTATTGAGGCATTTGTTGTGGGAATGTTGGTACAGCATTTGGCACAGGGCCACCTTGTGACTGACTCCCTGTTGCCTGTTCTGAGCGTGCTGAGTTTGGGGCTGCTGCTGCTGCTGCTGCTGCTGCTGCTGCAGTTGTTGTTGTTGTGGCTGTTGTTGTGGCTGTTGCGCGTGATGATGTTGTTGGTCACCCTCACCAACTTGTACAACACTCTGAGGGAATGGTTGCGACGATGGATACAATGGGATTCCTGCTCTAGAACCGTATTGAGTTGGTGTTCCGTAGTACTGACCGTAATTTTGATTTGCTGCATGAGCTGCATGTGCGTCTTGATGTTGTGGCGCATCACCTTCAGCTCCACTTGAGTGGTGACCGGCGGAGGATGCATCACTTACCTGCTGTTGCATTCCAAATCCACCGGCAGCGTTATTGATACCAGCTCCATTTCCGTAGTAAGGCGTATTAAAATAATTGTAATAGTAATTAGGAAATCCAAAGGGAGCTGATCCAGGCACTTGCTGAGTCTGTTGAGAACTATGCAAATGTTGTTGAGCGACATTTGTTCCTGGAACAAGGGGAGACAGGCTAACCTCGGCATTGGCACTGCCACTTTGAGGACCGGTCTTCACTTGACTCGCGTTTCCGATAGAGTTATGGTAATACGCTGGTGACACCGACCCTAATCCAGCTTGACCGAAGGCCCCGGCATAATCGTATCCCGGGTAACCAAATTGACCGGGCAAACTTGCAGCACCAGCCAGTTGTGGAAACAGCTGCTGAATTTGTTGGTACTGAGCATAGTATTCTGGAACTTGTGGAGCTCCTTTGTGGAATTCTTGGCGCATCAGATAACCATCTTGAGGGGTTGCGCTGCTTTCAGATGGAGTTGTTGGTCATGTTGTTGATCGTTGGAGTGTTGAAGTTGCTGGGCACTCTGAGGTTCTTGAGTCTGTGAAGTGTTGAACTTATTGATATCATCCCCGGCAGTTTGGAAAGTGCCCTCTGACGTTGGTTGATGAGATATGGCGGGGCAGATGAAGGGGGTTTGGTGGCACGTTGACGCTCAACCTCCTCGACGGCAGCATTTTTTTCGTTCAATGATAAAGATCCAAACGAAACACCAACATTACTGACCTCTTGCGGCAATACAACTTCCGATTCTTTGACCGCCGAAGGCGAGATTTGTTTTGCTTGGGAATCATAAGCGGTTACAGGGGCACCTTGCTCGACAACTTCATTTGTAACAAATTGGCTATGAGCCCCATCGTCCGCAATGGGCACATCATTGACTTGGTCATGCAGTGGTGGTTCAGTGGATTCCACTTTAGTTGTCTTTGACTTAGGCTTAATTGCAGATGCCCAAGAGGTTTGTTGATCAGACACCTGCTTGTTGGTGTCATCTTCTTCCGAATGACGAGCAACTTCCTGAACTGGATCCTGGGTTGTCACTTCATCCTTCTCCTCCCCAGGGCCCTTAGTGAGCTGAGTGACACCTGATTTGGTTCTGGGTCTCGAATCCTTGCTCAATGCAGCGGCCCATGAGCTCGAGCTCTTTCTGCCATCAGCTTTAGCAGACTCAGTCTTCGAAACAGAGGTCTTTTGGCCACCTAGATTTGAAGTGCTTGTGTGAACTGGTTGAGCCAGGTGTGTTTCTTTCTTAGATATTTGAGCACCCCTCTTCTCTCTTTTTTTATCGGTCTTTGGCTTCTCCTTCTGATGTTTATTGGGTCTCGAAATCAGTTCATGATGCTGTGGATTATTTGTAGATGGTGCATGGTCATGATGATCATCTTTCTTTCTAGGTTTCACCTCTTTCTTGATAGGCTCCCACTTTGCAACTTTGTTATTGACGATCAAGTCGATTACTATCTCAACATCATTCTTGTGTTCGCTCAATAAGGTTGATAGATCTTCAGTCTCCCAATCAGGGAACATTTCACTTAAGCTCTGTAATTGAGTTGACAACGACAAGCTATTATTTGAGGCGCCATTTACCCTCTTGCCTTTATATGATCTTCGTTGTGACATTCTTGAGGAATCAATTTCACTTATATGACTTGGATCTAGGCACAATATATGCTCTTCCCGACCTTCTTTAAACCTTGGCTATGATTATTTTCACAAATGAGGAACGATAAAAGGTTCAGCACGGTCCCGTAAAAAGTAACTGGATGTTTCTATAGATGCCAAGTTGTTGAAATAGATTATCGATTATCTCTTGGTTACTATCGACAATTTATGACGCACCACTCGCTTTCACTTTTTTTTTAGGGTGACGGTAGTGAGTTTTTGAGCTTGTCGAATTAGTGGTCTATGCACGACACCACAGCATTTAGTCATGTGATCTACGGACAAGTCAGACATGAATTCATTAGATCTAAACACACTGAATTTAGATAAAAGCGTAAATTTAAATAAAAAGGTGAGAAATCAGATTATTTAGCTGAAGTTAATCAATTTCGACTCACAACCCCGTTCAATGGTGAATCAAAAGAATTCGAAAGAGACGCTGTGAGCCATTCAATTGCGATATTGGAAAAATGCAGCCTCTTTGATGGATCCTGATTTGTTTACAGAGAATCGTTGTGGGGCTCTCTACAATATTGCTTCTTATTCTCTTCTTGTCTTTTTGATCAAAGCAAAAATTTTGCTATTTAGCATGTTTTGGAGGGTGAAAATCGTTTCTAAAAACCAAGTGCAACACATTCAGCTCATCTTGGAGTGGTTCCGCAAAAAACTGTTTTGCAGATAAATGAGCCATGGAAGTCATGAGCTTTTCAATTATACCTTTCAACTCATAACCTGTTTGCTTGAAATCAGGATAAGCATTTACCTCCAAAAGCTTGACGGAATGGTCCTCGTCCACCAAAAAGTCAAGTCCGTAGAATTCTAGAGCATTTTCCAATGGCTGAAAGTTAATCTTGTCGACACTCGTTGCAGCCTTAAAGAGCTCGCCGGTTATGCATTTGACCTGATCGAAAATTTGATTTTTTTTACTTGAATCTAATCCAGCTAATTGCCAAAAAGGAATCACCAATGGATCTTTTCCTTCTTGGAGACAGGTATTAGTCAAGTGTGAGGTCAAGTCTTCGAGATCTGATACGCCCATGTAGGTCAGTTCTGCAAAGAGGGTAAGCATTTCTTCATAAACGAAAACACTTATATCACCAACAGCAACAGCGTAAACCCTCAAATGAAACTTGCGATTATTATAGAATTTAAGAAGAAGTGGATTCTCCTGATATTTTTGAACCACGAAATGGCGAAGTTGAGAAACCATAATACCTTCTTGTTCACCTTCGTCATCTGATTCGTGTACATCTTCCTCAAATGATTCGAAAATTGCTTGGAGCTCTTCTGTGTTTCTGAACAAACGAATCCCTTGGCCTTTGTCTGCCATACTGGGTTTGAGAATCCATGTTTTTTTCGACGTCTCCAATTCTTGTCTTAATTCAAACGCCTCATCCAAGGCGTCATCCAAAAATTCTGCATAATCAACTTCAATCAGGTACGCCTCTGGAAGGGCACGTTTGAGAATTGAAGTTGGAAATTTTGCACAATAATGCAACACCGTATTAGCGAGATAATGTTTCCTTATGAGCGCCTTGCGATATATAAACGACGAAACGAAGTATTGCTTCGGATGAGACTGTAGTAAGTCTATGTCAAGCTCTTCATATTCGCCATAATGAAAAACTTTTAATTGTGCATCCGCTTTGATATCCTCCAAGATACGCTTCGAATTGGAGATTTCGAAGCCTCGATTTCTAAATGCTGAAACCAAAATATCATAGGTGTAACTATTAGGTGACGTTGTGATCAAAAATATGTTTTTTGGGACATGCCTGTCAACAATCAACGTTGAGCAATTCTTTCGAAACACGTCCCCAACTAGTGGTTCTACTGCTTGAAAAGCAGCCTTGAGAGGTGTCACGCTGACATTGTCATTGAGTAAAACTCTGTTGTCCGAATGCTTCGCATCTACTAGACCATCCTTGTAAACCTGCTTGAAATCCGGTGCCCAGCCAAATCTTCCATTACCAAGCAGTGCATAAATCAGTTTCCAAGAATTGTTTTGAATTGGCGCATACATCACACTGGTGTTATTGGTGTCAAGAGATGGGACCAATGGAATATTGACGCTGTAGAGATCTACTTCGAAGTTTTTGGTGAGGTTTTCATGTAGCTTCCTCGCAATCTTAAGGGAAAGCTTTGCAGCTTCTTTCAACTGATTGTGATCCTTTGCTTGACTTCGAAATTCGTAAGAGAGGGCAATCGCCTTCGCACCATGTGTGACTGCCTCCATGGCGGCACCAACAGTTCCGCTTCCAAGAATATAGAGATTCCCTGAATTCTTGCCATAGTTCGGTCCACTGATGACGAGATCTATAGGCTCATCATGTGATGTTAAGTGATGTAACCCTAAATCGGCACAGGCAGCTGGAGTGCTGTTCACGAGATGCCACTCTTGGTGTGTTTGGCGTAAAGATTGATGTCTCTCAGCAAAAGGGCCTTCAAAGGAGTTGATTCCCTCATTGTGGCTCTCCGTACTAGGTAAAGTATAGATGTAAGAAACTTCAAGCACGCGACCAGCAAAATGTGCTTTTCCAATCCACGATCTCTGCTGGTTGGGGATTACAATCGTCACTTTCCAGTCCGTTGATCTTTGTACCTCATCTAGAAAATACTTAATGTAAGGGCTTGTGTTGTCATCTGGTGGCCCATCATCGTTGGTAAGTAAAATATGCATGTACGGTAATTTGACTTGGTGGTAAAACTAATAGGTGGTCGCATTTGAAGTGAGGTTTTCAAAATTTGCGTGCGTCATCCAAACAATAAAGAAAAGAGAGATCTGGATCAAGACTTTAAAATTCCAGATCCTGGAAAATTACTTATCCCGCACAACCGTATAAATCTATATCCTTGAGGGCGATGGTAGATAGAAGAAATGTAAAATAATTCCAAGGGTTTCCAATTATTAGGTGGCATTGATGCTTGTTCGTCTATGGAAGTCGCATTTTTCGATGAAGTAAATTGATGAGCGAAACCGCCCTGCAAGCCTGATACATCCAAAAACGATTCCAGTTGTCCTAAGATTTTGAAGATGTCGTTTTTTCTTGGTGATGCAGCGCAGTATACCAATCAAGAAGTCAGTCCCGAGAAGATACAAATGGCAGAAATTCAGTTCTACGCCGTCAGCACAACCTTCAACAGTGTCCTACAAACATGTCGAAGTAAGTGTATCATGCCCGAGTACGGTGAAGGCGAGCTTCACACTGGAGAGGCATCTTGTCTAGACCGGTGTGTGGCCAAATATGTCAAAACCAACGTTCAGATCGGGTCTGCCGTCCAAACGAACTTGCGACCTGAAACGATGCCCGAGTATAAGGTCTTGGAGTCTAGGTCTCACCACCAGTAGGAAATGGGGGAACAATCGAATTTTTACAAAGATTATAAAATAAACGTGTTATTCGTTCAACTATGAAGTAAGAAGCCTACAACTGATTCTTAGTGTGGAAAATATCCAAAGCCTCAGCGATTCTGGCACTCATGGTCTTCTCACCCTCTCTGACCCAAACTCTTGGATCAAAGAACTTCTTGTTAGGCTTGTCCTCGCCATCAGGGTTACCAACAGGGGTCATCAAATAGTCCTTCTTGTTCAAAACATAGTCCCTGATACCAGTAAGGTAGGCGTATTGACAATCAGTGTCCAAGTTCACCTTCACCACACCACTGGCGATAGCGGTGTCGAACTCCTCTTGCGAAGAGCCGGATCCACCATGGAAGACAAGGTACAATGGCTTCTTGTTGTCAGTGCCAATTTGCTCCCGGGCGTACTTCTGGTGTTCACCCAAAATCGAAGGTCTCAAGACAACATTACCTGGCTTGTAGACACCATGCACATTGCCGAATGCAGCAGCGATGGAGAAGTTGGGGGAAATTGGAGCCAATGCCTTGTAGACAGCAAAAACAGTTTCTGGCTGAGTGTACAAAGATTCCTTGTCCACGTTCTCATTGTTGACACCGTCTTCCTCACCACCAGTAATACCGATTTCCATCTCGAGGAATTGGTTCATTTTCGTCATTCTCTCAAAGTACTTGGCGCAAGTAGCAATGTTCTCGTCGTCGGTTTCCTCAGACAAGTCCAACATATGGGAAGAGAACAATGGCTCACCGGTTTTGGAGAAGAACTCTTCATCAGCCTTCAACATTCCATCGAACCAAGGCAACAACTTCTTAGCACAGTGGTCTGTATGCAAAATAACAGGAATACCGTACACAGGGGCAATGGCTCTGATGTAGTGAGCTGCGGCGATAGAACCCTGAATTGAGGCGGTCTGGTCCGAGTTGGAGACTCCTTTACCAGCAAAGTAAGCAGCACCACCTTGAGAGGTTTGCAAGATGATTGGAGCCTTGTTGTCACGAGCAGCCTCCAAAGCAGAAACCACGGTTGACGAGGAAGTAACGTTGATAGCTGGAATCGCAAACCCCTTCTCCTGAGCGTAATCGAACAACTTTCTTACATCATCGCCGTAGATGACACCAGACTTTTTCAAAACTTCAGCCATTTTGTTATTTGGTAATTTCTTGAGTGTGTTGAAGGAATTGACCTATAGTGGGGAAAGAAAAGTAAGTGCTCGGGATTAAGCGCATATTTATAGTGGAGGGACCACTCCGCTCCGGGACGCTCACCTGACCTGGTGAGAATCACGACATGCGACATAAGCGACATCATACGCTTAGAAGCAACGCATTAGATCTTCATGCGTTTACAAGCCGGCCTGAGGGGCCTATGTAGTTGCCATTGCTGTAATATTGTCTAATAAAAAGTATTCTTTTTTGTTCTTCACCGCTTGTAGCAACTGTGGATCTTTGATTAGAGTGCTATTCATTTGCCCTCTTTGAACTTACCTACTTGCAGGTGAATGATTGCCCATACGAAAGCTGACATATCTTAGGTTTTTCCAAGACGATCTAGGTGCTATGAGAGTACACCTTATCTATAATTCAGAAATGGCGTGTCACGAGACAAAAGGTACTAAAAAACATTACATAAATAATAAAAGAGGATCAGTTGACAGCATTCTCACAAGGTTGACAGAAGCTTCTCCGAATGAAAAGTTATCTCATCCCTTAGGTACTTCGCAATCCACTGCTTATTGAATTCATCTTCAAATTCTTTTTATCGCAGCGGAACGACATTTCTGACTTCATCCCATATCTCGAACTTTCTTTACTTTGCTCGACTTCTTGCAATACTTGCGCATTGAAGCGACTGGCCATACCACTGGCATTCTAGCTCCGGGATATGTGGAGCACGTGACTTGTTAGGTGTGAGCTGCGTGGTACCTTCTCCGACAAATCCCGGGGCCTATAATTCTTGCTACGTCGAGACCTGAGACACCTTGTGAACCACGACAGCTAACGGTTAAAATATTTTGCGGCCATTCTTAGGAACAATTTGCTTTTTCAGTGATTCCTCGTAGAACCGGAGTAGCCATAGGAGTCGAAATGCTACCAAAAGCTCGCGTACCTTCACAATCGTTCCGCTAGACCGGCGAAAACGTTGGTACGTGTGGGGAAGATATTATAAGCCCAATTTGCTAGCTCGAGAGTTCACGAACACGTCGTCTAGTGAAAGCAATCCAAGTTCTGTAGTATATTAGAAAACGCGTTGCGTTAACAACATATTATTCACAAAATTGGTGAAAACCTCTAATCTCTTATCTTCGTGAGTGAGACAGAGTTTAGGGATTTTGATCGACCTCAAACGTCTAAACTATCTTACTGGCGTGGTCCATAATAATCCTCTGGTGATATAGATCTACGAAGCATGGGCATTATCTTGTAGTGTGGGCACCGAATAGAATCAGTTACTTGTCTGAAGTCACTTGCCAACTGCCTTACCTCCGTGCATCCCATTCCGCACGTACTTGACATCAAAAATTGCAAGTCGCCAGAATATGCATAAAATCGATTTTGTTGACAATGATCTCCGATTTCACTCATTCGAACCGAACATAAAACTGCAGTTTTTTCACGTTTGTGATATAATTGATAAACACCTCTCAGAGCCGTACTCAATTTATGTATATTGGTTCTTCTTCCACAGGTGGTCGCAGTACTGCTTTTTGGTGAGTGACACGAAGACAGATGAGATAATCGGTGTAATAATTTCGAAGGCTGAACCCCATAGAGACGTTCGTATGCGGGGCTATATTGGCATGCTTGTGATTCTACCTGAATATCGGGGCCGGGGGATCGCCACCAAACTTGTGCAGTTGACCATTGACAAAATGATTAAATGGGATAACATTGACGAGGTGATGTTAGAAACTGAGGTCATCAATGGAGCTGCTTTGAATCTTTACGAGCTGTTGGGTTTTCTCAGAACTAAGAGATTGTACAGATATTACTTGAATACGCATGATGCTTATCGCCTACTATTGCCTTTGCTGGATAAATCAGGCAGACGAATTGCATACATACCTACAATAGAAAATTGCTGATGCAAGCTTTCCAATTCCGGAAAACGCTGGTGTCGCTTCCAAGCATAAAAGACCTTGTCTATCGTAAGAAATCACACATGATACTGCATACAATACACTGAGCGTAGACCACCCATTTCGTCGTAACTCTTCTGTGCTCTGATCACAATATACATAGGAGGCTTACTATGCTAGACAACCGCTCTCTAGATGTCATTTCAAAGTTTAAAAGTGCTGTACTCACGAAGGTACATGAAAGTGAAAACACAGCGACGGTAAGTTCGCTGAATAGAGGAAGAAAGCTTCGTCATGGGGCAAAGCAGCAATCGATGAAGACTAAGATTGTTGACTATGATGGGTCTGGTCGTTTGGTTATCACAAATAACAAGTTTGAGCGCTCATTTCATCGCAGGAAAATGCGCTGGCTGGAGTTTTATGGTGCAAGTAATGTCGAGCTTGACGACCCGGAGCCTGAATCCGCCGAATCGGATGGAAGTTCTGATTCCTCAGATCTTGAGGACGATGAAAATGATGAAAATCTTTTTGATGTCATGCGAATAAGTGAAATCCTTGCGCCATTAGGCCACCCTTCCGAAGTTGTCACACATCCAGCGATTTCCAAGACATTTAAGCTGTCATGTTTACCTACTTTAGCCTCGGAGTTCATAGAGCTCATCGAGGTCGAGCAAAATACCTTGAATCATCTTAACAAACTTTTAAGAGTTCTTAATGGCGAGGATTGGTTTTACCTCCTAGAAGAACACCTTGGACTACCCTCTTATGACCATGGACTAGATGAATCAGAGCCCAAGAATGATGGTAGTACAATTGTTCAGGACACCGAGGTCGGAGTCGCTCAAGAGCCGCTGGATCGGCAAGAGACTTCTGAGAACAAGAAGAACGCTACAGGAGAAAATTTCGACGGCGAAGATCCCTTTTTCGCCCTTCCTCGTAGCCTAGCAAAATATGAGGACTTCCAGAAGCCGCGGTTTGATGATAGTGATCCAGAGCAGGCGGAGAAACTCGAAGCCGTACAACAGGATCTAACAAACTATTTGCAATTAAGTATCCAGCGCCAACAAGAGTACATCAAAAATCTCACGACAATTCGAAATGGTATCGTCAAGGCTGATAGATATCGCAATGATTTGCAGCGTTGGGGGAAGGAGATGAGTGAGCGGAAGAATTAACAAATTAGGTTTCAATTATTCATGTTTTTAAAAATAGTATCAAAATTTAATGTCCTCTTTTCATCGATAAATGAGCGATGCCAATAAAAAATTAGTTTTATTCGCCGGCTATTCTCTTCACGAGAATTGCACATAGCTAATCAAGCGACGGGCGTGCGAGAGACATGGATCGCGTCTTGAATAATTCGCGTCGCGCAACCTCTTCCTTTGAGTACTTACAAATACTTTCTTTTTGTTTTTGAGACCAATCACGCAATGCTTGAGGGAAAATTTGACGAAGCTAGCCTTCTTAAGAAAATCGTCGACTCTATCAAAGATTGTGTGAAGCTATGCAATTTCAACTGCACGGAACATGGAATGACTGTTCAAGCAGTTGATGATTCGAGGGTTTTGCTTGTCTCCCTTTTGGTTGGCCTGTCGGCTTTCTCAGAGTACAGATGTGACCGTGACATCACTTTGGGTATTGATTTGGATTCATTCTCCAAAATCATAAAATGTGGCAACAACGAAGACTACTTGACGTTGTTGGCGGAGGACTCTCCAGATAACGTCATGACTATCTTTGAGGACAAGAAGAAAGAGCGTGTGTCGGAGTATTCCTTGAAGTTAATGGACATTGACTCGGAGTTCTTAAGAATTGACGACATGCAATACGACTCTGTCATCAACATGCCGAGCGGAGAGTTCGCAAAGCTTGTCAGAGATTTGAAAAACCTTTCTGAGTCTCTTAACATTACGGTGACTAAAGACTCCGTGAAATTCAGCGCTGAAGGTGAGTCCGGTACTGGCTCTGTTGTGTTGAAACCCTACACTGATATGGACCGCCCCGAGGAATCCGTCTCTGTCAACTTGGAGAATCCAGTCGACTTGACTTTTGGATTGAAATACTTAAATGATATCATCAAGGCCACTGCTCTTTCTGGAACTATCACCATCAAATTGGCCGACAAAACACCCGCCCTTTTTGAGTACAAGTTGGACGCTGGTGGTTACTTAAGGTTTTACTTGGCTCCCAAGTTCGATGAGGATGATTAAAGAGTGTACGAGATTATCACTTGCAAATAATAATTTTGAAGCCTAATTTGTAGTACTTGCTAATCGAGAAAATTGAGGTGTCTGAAGAGTCATTGAGCGAGTTTCTATTAATACGCTGAATGTGACCTACCAGTAAGTTTCTTATGGCGGCCTATTATTAGAAGCGTCCCACGCTAGAACCTGTTCCTGTGAAACAACGATTGACCCTAGAGAACTCAGAGCTATGGATGTCTCGAAAATGCACGATACATTCTTGGATAAAATACCGTCAAATTTCCTTTATAACCATCCAATACCAGATCAAAAGTGTGGGGCAATGCCTGATCGCGTGGCAAACCGAGCCGCGAATTTGGGATCAATGACTCCTGCCTTGTATTCACTATGAACAAGACATCAGAAGTGGCTTGGATGCATAAATTAAGACATGTTGAAATAAAGTTGCGTCATCTTACTCCTGCTGCTGACTTTCGAGCATTCAAATCTTGATAGTCCGTACCGAATGTATGACCAAAAAAGCAGGAGTTGATGGACGTTAATTTAATTGTGAGTAGACAGGAATCCGCATTGGGAAGATCATCAATAAACGATTTATTGATGATAGTGAACCCTGGGATATTGTTGACATGAGATACACCCCCTTCCCGTCGCATAAGTCCTGTAAATTTGTTTCACCTCCTCCTAGCAAAATAATTATTTTGAGTACACCTCTGAAACCTTCTTTCTCACAACGGATGTAGATAAATGAAGTTAGATCAAAGAATTCGCAATCGATGCATTCCCAAATTCTTGTACATTTTGTTTCGCATATTTTGATCTGACTCGTCGAACAAAAAGAAGTATGTGGATCATCCCTCTTCAAGAATGCGATACTTTATCTTTTCCCCTCATACGGAAAGAGATCTATATAAACCATGAAGTATGCGATTTTGATTGACACAATCTAACTTTGCTTAAAAGTTATGACCGTACACCAAAATAAACCTGGTTCTGCGGCGGGTCAATCTTCTTCCAACAGTCAGGGAGTCACGCTGACCTCGGTTAATAATTACAGTCATCATGGAAATGAGGGCGAAGATACTAACCTCGAATTACCCCCACTAGCAGCATTCGCCCATGAACCCCTCCGAGCCCACACTGCTCCGGGCTTCAGAAACTTGACGGAAGCAATTCCAATTCAATCCCCCCACAGACAATCAGATCCCGGGTCGAACTACACACTCGGATCACAACCTAGAGAAAGCGGGTTGTTCACTCATAGCGTAAAATCGGCAGATGCGCGCCAGGGTCCTTCGCTATTTCCTAGACGTGCTCCTGCTCAAACAAGTGAATTTGACTCACAAGACTCGCTTTTTAAACACATAAGGAACGCTCAAGATTCGGCACAACCGAGCCGCACACACTCAGCGTCTGAGAATATGGAATCGCTATTCAATGTACAGAGTTCGAAGCGTTCGATCTTCCTGTCTCCCCAGACTTTAAGTCGATCTGCAGGCACTTACCCTATCTCGCTGATCAGCAGAAGGCATAAACGTTCGCAGCCAACACAATCAACGATCGTGCACAGAAATCAGATTTCAATATCCAGTCACATGGATATGTTCAGTTTGAACAACTCCTTAAGTGACAGACCTGAGGCACCCAACCAATACACGACTCAACTGTCAATGTCTTTGCTGCTGCACGAGGACAAGCTGCATTCATCAAATGCACCTGTCATGCCGACAGGGTCTGCTACGATATTCCCGCATCAGCAATCCCTGTCAACATTTACCGACGCTTCAACGTTGACCCATTCCCGTGATGAAACGCTACAAGCCATCCTTTCTGACATGCTCAAGCTTGACGCGTTCAATCTAAACACTTTTCTATTATCGCTACTTCGTCGAGTTGACAAATCGTTACCTTTGGACGAGTTTTATAACGTGCTTTACAACCCAAAATCTGACAATGGTGCCCTTCAATCTGCGATAAATAAAATCGATAAAACTGAAACTAGTGACGATCTGGAGAGCGGCATGGAGATTATTCAACGTGTGCTTGAAGTTTTTCGATTTCCGGAGACTTTGTACAACCAATATCCGTCCTTGGACGGGTCAGACTTAAAAGCGTCTAACGTGAATCTTCACGAGCTTCTTCGATCCCTATTGGCTATCAAAATCTTGCGTCATTCCTTAATCGAAACGGAGGATGGAGACAGACATTCGGAGCGTTCACCCATCCCAAGACTTGACATTTACAAAGTATACTATATACTCTGCCAGAAGCTCATACTAAAGTACCCGTCATCATCAAATACAACCAGCCTACAACAAAAGCTCATATTTGGACAATCGAAATTGGGGAAGCTTATAAAGCTAGTGTACCCGAATCTTGTCTCAAAAAGATTGGGCCGTCGCGGCGAATCACGATACAACTATTTGGGTATTCGTTGGAATGACAACGTTGTAAGCGATGAGATAAAGGCTTTGTTCAGAAACGACTTGCCCGAGCTTGCAGACATATTCAAAGTTCTGAAGAAGGTGGCGGGAGCTTCCCACAGCAAGTCCACGCTACGCCGACAACAATCATCGAGTCGACCCTCCAGAACAAAAGAAACAGAAGCATTAGTCAAACAGAAATGATAAACCGAATTAAAGCTCAAGGAACTTTTGTGGAACCAACTCATTTCTTTCCCGAGGGGCCCTTTACTCTGAAAGCCTTTCTTGATGAACATTTAAATGATAACATCGAAAGGAACTGGTTTGCTGCAGCCCTTAAGCTTTCTTCGGATGCATTGGAAGAATCTGGAGTCTCATCCGATGAAATACACAGGCTCCTTTTTGGCGAAGATGAGCCTTTAACGGAAGAGGATGATATCTTACTTCGAGGAATAATAGACATTGTCTTACCCAAGTTATCAGCATCTCCAAACCAGCCCAAGATATTTCTTCATCTATTCATGGTGATATCACTCAAGGTTTTTCCTCACCTCCTACTGTTACGAAAGCCACTTCACACTGAAAATATCAAAAGACTTACCAGCAAAGTTTCATACCTCATCAAGCGAATTGAAGGTGAGATGAGCCCACTAGTGAGTCAAAAGATGCAGCAACATGATATAAGGAACTTCTTGGGGATCCTTTCCAGGATGATTCACTTAAACCAGTTGTTAGCAGCATTTTTCAAAGCTGATCTTCAAGACTACATCTTGAAGGAAATGCAAGAGGATGTCACACGTGTAGCTACCGAGGGCCTGAAGGACGGCCTCAATGAGACTTACAGGTTGATCTCGGAAGCTTGCATCAGCGTGCTTCTTGCTAATCGATACAAGCCACAGTTTCGAGGCGTTCCCGTGAAGAGCAATATTAGACAGTTTCTCTTCGAGTCTTGTCATACTATAGAACAAATGGTGAGCCATGATTTAGCACTGTTTGTCACAAACGTTATGGAGGGTTGGTTACCACAAACTGAGGAGAGCTTTCATGGTGCTTTAAAATTTAGGCTACTACTAGCGACTCTCAAGCTCGTTGACGAGGGCGTTCTAAATGAAGACATGAAAGCTAGATTTCCCGCACTGGTAATTCGGGGTTATACTCAAGAATTGCCATTCAAATTCTTCAATTCACGTACAGGGCCCATACTTCCATGCTTGGTGGCAAGACAATAACACCTGCAAACCCAACCTTTCGACTTTGGTACGTTTTAGAGAGCTTTATTCAGGAATATTTAGACGTCCTCGCCGAGATGAATAGTCTTCATCTTAAAGCAGCCGAATAAATAAGAGCGTGAATGCGGCTAGCATCACGCCGCGCTTACTAGGGTAAACCTTTATTAAGATAAGCACCAGCCGCTAAAGTGCAGTACAGGATGATGAAGCCGATTCATGCGATACTTCTCTGGCCCAATTTCTCAATTTCATGAACGACCTCAGATCCGCCGTGCACCATCAAATAAAATGCTATGAGCTAACCTCAAAATCCAAATCTCTTTTTAGACTAAAATTGAAAAATGAAAGTCGTATCTGTAAAACCATTTCAGATAGGAAGCAAGACAAGACCATACTCGAACTCATCCTGAAAAGGAACCGTCTTGATAGGAAGATCAATGAGATGCTTAATGAAGCAGCTGAACAAACGGACCCAAGAAAAATTATAGATCTCGATGAAGCCAAGAGTTTTGTCAATCGTTATCTCCTAAGGCAGAAGGAAAAGTCACAGCAGATATCGTCTTTGATCGACAAGCATAAAAGATTTCAACAGGATGCGGCTCAACAGAAAAAAGTGATACTCGAAGACCACGAGAAATTATCACCCAAAAAGATCTCAGGGTTAACCAAGCTAAGCCAGCTCAATTCTCTGGAGAAAAGCAGGCTTGACGAGGAGCTAAAGAAGAGGCTTCAGAGCCATTATGAAATGGTCGCTGACCGTCAACGCCAATTAAGTCAAGAATCTGATGCCATGCTTCACGAACTTGGTGTGCCGTTTTTTGTTGAGAACAGTCAGTTTGACCATCTCAACCACAACGAGGTGACTATGCTAAAGACAAAAATCTTGAAGCATCTAATGAAAGCACTTCTGTAAACACACTTGAATTAGGCTATTTAGTTCTAACTGTATAGTCGTCACCAGACTGTGTGATATAACGAACCCAAGGGTATGACTGATATTGTAGCTTTGGTTCATTGATGCGTAAGTAGCGTACCTGAATTCCTGATGTAGTGAAGTATGGAATTGTGAACTTCACTTTAATTGGCTTTTTCGACACAATACTCTCTGGGTCTCCAACTGCAGGTAACCCAAGCTCAGCTTTCATATGGAATTGTTTTCCGCCTGGGAACGTCTTGAGCTTCCATATCAAACAAGACTTCTCCGGTATCCACTTGATAGTTCCGTACTCAGGGGTAAACTTGGGCGTATCAGCGTCTTCCGGTATAGGTATGATCACCTCAACGTTGTTTGCGGTCGATTTCTTCTTGATCTGGGCCTTCACAGAACACAAGATCTCTATACGGCTGTGTTTGTGAACAACATATTTGCAATTAACAAGAATCAATGGTTTGACAAGAAACTGGGCCGACAGCAAACGATATGACATCACCGTGAATTCGCCGTCAGGTGGAATGAAAGTGATGATTCTCTCATTTTCAAACTTGGACAAGCGAACACACTGGTGAAACTTGATATCCTCCATCTCGATTTTTTTAGAATTGGTCGTCGACTCTGTTGCTGTATCATCTTGCATGTTTGATGTGAAGATACCTTTGTCATTGAGTCCAAGACGAAGATCAGGCATACCACTCAATTTTGATTTCATCTTCACCTCTCCAAGAATCTCGCTGTTCAACACTTGTCCATTGGCATTGATCAACATGTTGATGGATTCCACAACGTCTAAAAATGCCTCATTCTTCTTGTACATGATACCATCCTTTCTCCAACTGACCGCGTTAGTGACAGCACTAGGAGGCTGCACGACTCTCGATGGAGTTTTCCTGATGAGTTTATAGTAGTCTTGCGTGATGTACTCTTTCAAAATCTTGGTGTCAGTTGTCTGTGGAACTCCAAAGTCCATCATCTCATCCAAAAGTTCGTACGTAATAACAAAGTTGTCTCGGATAGATTCTTCCTCCAAACTCTTGAAATATTGCTGGAGAACTTCGATAATTTTCGACAAAAACACCACAATCCCCATGACGTTTTCATTTTTTCGGGTCAATGCACATATGTATAGGTTGTTGTGGTTGATATAGACATAATTGACGCCCTTGCTATTGATGTAGGGCCTGTAAAGCGATTCGTCATCGTCATTTTCAAGTTCTAGAAGCAAAAGCGGGAAGTTTTCTATCGTGTTTGCAGGAATATCGCCTTTGTAATCCCTCGATAGCAAAGGCTTTCCCTTGGCGTCCAAAAAGTGAACTTGAGAAGCCATAGTAACGGCGATATGGGAACTGTATATGTGTTGAAATGAAATGTCAGTAACGTAGCACATCCGTACACCACGACCTTCGGACGTCAACCTTCGATCCGACTCTGTCAACACTGTGTGCGAAGAATGAGGGGCAGCGACAAGCGGTGAGACAAAATAGTGAGGTTAACATAGAACTGAACGACAACTTGCTATTCTCCAGTCGTTCTATGTATCAAGGCCGATAAGTGGGTCGCCGTTGCAGCCGAACTGTCGACTGCATCACCTTTGAAACGCCTTTATTTGGATAAACCAGCAAGAAGGAATTGTTAAAACCACCAGATAAGCCAATCTGGCTAAAGCCGTTGTAAGTTGTGCGTCGATGTACTGAACAGGACGAATCTAGGGTCACCTTAAAAATATAGCGATACGCACAAAAAATAAAAGAAAGATCTCAAAATAGAGTTTTTCGAGAGGGTCCTTTCTGGCAGACAAACAGATCAATGGACTAATTGTTGAAGGCGGAATCCGAGGCGTATCGTGGAGACGGATATTCCAGAAGATTGGCGGCCAAGATGGAGTCATCTGAAGCATATCCCACACATTACTAAGTAAGCTCTACAAACATACACAGCCATGAACAGTGGTATAAGCCCACCTTGATTTCCAAGACACCCTGATCAAATTCCACCGTGGTACCCGCGACTCAATCAATGGTATATTGCCGAGGAAGTGCATGTTACATAATATGAAGAGGCGCGCGGTGGCTCGGCTAAAAGCTGCGTCGTTTGCAGCGTGAGCGTGAGAAAGAAGGAAGCAAGCCACGCAAGCCTCAGTGTACGGCGCTGCCGTCCGTAATAGCAGTTGTTCGTTGAAGACGGGGAGGTGAGAAAAAGAATGGTGCTATATTCCTTTTTGATATCGTGTCTGCTTCGCCTTGGGCGTGCCTGGCAACATAGCCCTGTTATGCTTGGCGTTGCCGACAAGAGCCAAGTTTCTGGGTGGGTCTTGGGATCCCTCATACATAACTCTTGATTTCTTGTCTTGGCTTGGGTCTCAGCATGAAGGTCCGCCTTGGAATACTGCACACAAGCACACAAAGCCTGCACGAGGCAGCGGTTTTTATGCTTTGTTTACCCTACCACCCCATCGATTCCACTTAGCAAAACAGCAACTGTACATATAACCACAGGTGATTCGGCCGTTCCCACTGCGTATTTCTCCCGCGGCCGGTGTAGCGCTTCTGCGGCTGTGTGCGTATTTCGCGTTCGGCTTTTCGTGGCTCAATGCACTAGCCTGATGCTTTGCGTCTGTACTTTTTGTATCTCTCATATATAAAACCACTCACCCAAGCGGTGCCGGAGGATCTTTTTCGACACCACACATTTCCTAACGTTCGCTACCATAATGTTCTGGTCCCTTTTTTTCCTTCCGCTACTCGCCTTAGCGGCCGACATCACCCCTATCGTTACGAAAGGTAACGCTTTCTACAAAGAGGGTACTGATGAAAGATTCTACATCATGGGTATTGCCTACCAGCCCGGTGGAACCTCCGACCTTTTCGACCCGCTCTCTTCTCCTGAAACATGCAAGAGAGACATCAAATACTTCAAGGAGCTTGGTGTCAACACAGTTAGAGTGTATTCCATAGACAACACCGGCGACCACGACGAGTGCATGGAGGCCCTTGCAGAGGCTGGCATTTACTTGATCTTGGATACCAACATTCCAAAGGCTTCCATTGCTAGAGATGATGGTGCCAACTGTTCTTACAACACCATGTACCTTAACGAGGTTTTTGCAACCGTTAAGTTGATGAGTAAGTACAACAACACCTTGGGTTTCTTTGCCGCCAACGAGGTTATTGATGACACAGAGACCACCCCAGCCGCTGCTCAGGTCAAGGCTGTTGTTCGTGACATCAAGACTTTCCAGAGAGCTACCGGTCTTCGTCACATTCCAGTTGGTTACTCTGCTGCCGACGTCAGTTCTAACCGTCGTCAGTCTGTGGAGTACTTCAACTGTAACGATGACGACTTGGCTCGTGTTGACATGTTTGGCTACAACGACTACTCCTGGTGTGGTGACTCTTCTTTCTCGCGTTCAGGCTATGACAAGAAGGTCAAGGAGTATGGCAACTACTCGGTGCCATTGTTCCTCTCGGAATTCGGCTGTAACGAAGTGACTCCACGTAAATTCACTGAGGTTGGTGCCATCTTCTCTGAGAAGATGTCCCCCGTTTTCTCCGGTGGTATCGCTTACGAGTACACTGAAGAGGAGAACGAGTACGGTTTGGTCGAGCTCAGTGACGACAACTCCACTATTTCTAAGAAGGACGACTTTGACTACCTCAAGAGTCAGCTTTCCTCCGTCACTTTGCCAACTGGTTCCGGCGGTGCTCGTACTGACTTGGACCCAACCACTTGTCCTACTACCGACAGCGACTGGGAGGCCAGTACGGACATTCCCGACACTCCAAAGGGTGCCTTGAAGTACTTCCATGGTGCTGAGCCATCTGGTAATGGTTTTGATGCCAACACACAGTGGGCTTGTGTCGATTCTGAGAACGACGTTGACGACTCCAGCGACTACAGTGGTGCTTCTGGCTCTTTCACCCCAAGCGCCCGTTCCTCTTCCACCGGTGGTTCTAGCTCCAACTCCAACTCCAACTCCAACTCGGACTCCACCACCACCAGAAACGTTGCTAACAACATCGGCGCCATCTCCGGTTTCGCCTCATTGAGTGCTTTCATCTTCGCTCTCATTGTCTAAATAACGATAAATTTACATGCCAATTTGACTATGAACTTATGTATTCTGCTTGATGCCGTACATCATCTCCTCCTTGTTGATCAAGTGGCCTATGCTGTCAACCTCTTCTAATAGCTTGTCCACATCGTAGATCCAGTTGTTCAACAAATCGTTGATATTCTCGCTATTGCTTGTGATCTGCGCGGCGCCTGCCGTTGAGCCATGCTTCAAATTATCGAATTTGATGATGCCTTGTGGCCTGTTGATCTTAGCACTAATCATGCCTTTGTTCACCATTCCACTAACGTGTTCCTCTGCCTCCTGGGGACTCACCTGCAACAAAAATGCTAACCTGTCCAACTTGATGAACAGATAGTACATGTTGATTATACGCAAGTTGTGTTCAATAATACGGTTTTGCAAATTCGTATTGTTTGTTTCGTTATCAGCAAAAACAGATGACTTGCTGAAGTAGTTATTACGGTAGTCGCTTTCGATGTTCTCTGAGTGAATGAGCTCATTTGTTGTGAAAATTTCCAAAAGCTCGAACACTTTGGCGTCCACATTTTTGGAAAATGCAGAGTTGGCCTTGATCTTGTGAATCAAATCTGATTGTAAGTTGTCAAATGGTGACAAGATGATGTAGTAGATAATAGACACAAGTAGGTCTTTGTACTCCGCTGAGGTTTTAACAAGTGGAATCTCAATCAAAAGAAGCGAGTTTCTCACGATCATAAGATAGTCATTTTCATGCTTGTTGATTTCCAACAAATACTTCAAGTAGGTTGCTTTGTATTCGTCGGCCTTGTCGAAGTTTTTTAACGTCTTCAAAAGGATCTTTCTGCTCAAGATTTTCGCTTGACTGAAATCTTTCTTCTGCAAAGTCAACCGAATTTGCTCAAGGATATATTCAATCTTCTCTTCGAAAGGCATGAGCGAATAAGTCTCGACCTGCAAGTCACACAAGATTTCGGTCGCTTTATCTAAGTCATTCTTTTTCACCAAGTAGATCTCCGCAAGCATCTTAGAAACAACAGCTCTTTCAACCTCAACAAAGATCTTCTTGTCAGTGACAGTTCTAATCGTGTCGATGACTTTCATCTTCTTTTCCAATTGAACAGGCTTGTCGTTATCCAATGACTTGAGGTTCTTGATGATTTCCTGAATCATCAGTTGGATCGACGTCTTTAATTGACCATGCTTCTTGGTCAAGGGCGTGATCAATTCATCTAAGTAGTCCCAATCATCGTGATGAACGAGTGTTTCGACGATCTTGTGCAAGATTCTTTTACTCAGAGCCAAATCGGACGACTGACGAATCTGTTTCTCCAACACCAAGTACTTCTCAATAGCCTGCTTGTAGTCAGGGGTTTTCTCGATTAACGGAATTTGCTCCTCAAGAGTTTCAGAGAAATCTTTCTCTGCTTTAATGGGGTCCTCTCTTGACATTGTGCGTTTATCGGGTGTGAGAATGAAGCTTTGTCTTGTAGGTGAGTTGTTGCCACATACGTGCGCGCCTCAAATCGGTATGAATACCTTCCTATATAATCTATACTCTGCAGTTGTTGATATCAAATACCAAGATATCAGTACCACCACATTTTTTCAAATCGTCCATAACATCACTGATTCTAGCTTTTTCGACCATGGACGAAATTGCAACCCATGGCTCATCCGTCTCCTCACGGTTCTCCAAAGCTGAGATAGTAGCAGCTCTTCTGCCTGGAGTAATTTTCAAAACCTCAGGAACGATGGATCTTGGAGCATTGTAGGTACACAAGACAAATCTTTGAGCAGCCAAGATACCTTCGAATCTTTGGTGAATGATTTTCACTAAGTCAGGGAAACGGGGCTTTCTAGACACAATCAAGTGAGCCGAGGTATCCAAGACAGTAGCGATAGGTTTCAAACCAGCGGCCTTCATCGTCTCTCCGGACTCCACCAAGTCAACGATGGCATCACCGACACCCAATGCACAAGATGCTTCCACGGAACCACCGACGTAGGTAATTTTCGTGCTTCCTTCTTCCATGCCATGGACCTTCTCGATCTCGGCGAAGTAATTACTAGCTAGCCTTGTGAATGATGTGACGATCTTCTTTCCAAGCAACTGCTCAGGCTCATCGTAGGATCCAATCTCGGGAACCTGGACCTGTAACTTACACTTGCCGAATTGCAAATCCAACAAAAGCTCCACAGACTTCAACATATCAGCTTCCTTGACCTGATCCAAGCCTGTGATTCCCAAGTCACATTTACCTTCGCCGACGAAAGTAGGAATATCAGCGGCCGGAAGGAAGATAAGAGCGATGGGCAAATTGGTCGAAAGGGCAATATCCAATCTGTTGGAGCGTCTAAAGTGGATGTCAGCACCAGCAAGGAAGTTGCAACATTTTTCATATAATCTACCCTCTAAATTGTTAGCAATAGTTGTAAAATGGTCTTTCCAAAATCAAACATACTTTTGGGCACAGCGAACATCAAACGGTCCGGAAGGTGGTTAACTAAATCCATTCTGGTCAGTGTTCAACGATATGTAAATTATTAGTTGATGTTCTGCGATGTGCTTTCGCGACCGTCGATAACGATTTTCTTAGGCTGCGGATATGCTCAATGACTCAACCTACCACATGGGACATCTGCAGGAGCCACTACAGTTCTTCAAGTTTAGGATTTAATGCTTTAAATAGGATTAATGATACCAACCGATTCGAGACCTGGACATCTTGAGGGAAATTAATTTGCACCTTTCCCTCCATCTCTAGCCGGTTGGTGGGATGACGAAACGGGTTCAACGAGCGCATGCTGAACCGTTACTTGGCGACGACTGAAGTCATCGACAGATTGGAAGTATTGTCCTCAATATCCGACTTCACTAGCGAGTCACGATCGCTATCGCTGGAGTTGTCCTGGAAGCGCTCGTATGCAGTTGTGGAGGAAGACAAGCCAGGCAGAGGAGAAAGCTCAATCTCCGCCTTGGCGTGTGATTCTGATGTGAGTTCTTGCTTCATGGATGAAGAGCTTGGGTTGCCGTTACCGCTTCCGTACCAGTAGACATTGAAGCTCCACGTGAGTAGCATCTTAATCATGTCCCAAGCAGTAAAGTCGGGCCATAACTTATTGCTGAACATGACGGCACACGATGAGGGCACCGCTTGCCACAATAAAAAGTCCGATAGCCTGTAGGTTCCACTTGTGCGGACCAAGATATCCAACGGAGGAGACTCAGAAGTGTACAAGAAGTCGTCGATGGTAGACTCATCGATGAAAACTGAGGTATCCTTGACCGCCTGGGTAACGATCTTCTTCACCGAATTAGTCATTTCGTCTCTCGAGGTGTACGGGAAGCAAACGTTCAAGACTGCTCGGGTGTTGTCTTTCGTGATTTCTTCCGTTTCTGCTAATATCTTTTGAACGTCTTGCGGCAATAGAGCAACGTTACCCAAGATTTTGATTTTGATGCCGTACTTCTCACAGAGCTCACCCTGTTGGCTTATTTGCTGGAACTTGGACCTGGCCAAGTCCATCAACCACTCAACCTCATAACGCAGCCTTTTGAAATTCTCGATGGAAAAGGCGTAAACTGTGGCACATTCGACACCAGATTCGTATAGAAGCTCGAGGATATTTGCCATGGAGTCGAAGCCCAAGTTGTGGCCCTCTTTGAGCTCGATTTTGTGGTTTTTGGCGTATCTTCGGTTACCATCCATAATGACACCTACATGGCGAGGGGTTGGGCCGGTTCTGATAATGCTGCCGACGGTCTTTTTCACACGGGATACCACCAGTGTGTAACCGGGAAATGTCGAAATCCACTCGGACATGCTAGTGGGTATCAACGATTAGGTGAAACGGATGTGGATGCCTGAAACAAAAAAGTGTATGTTACAAGGGTGACTTCGATTGCGAAGGTGAGAGAGCCTGCAGCGAGCAAAAAGAAATATTTGTGTTGAATCAGGCAAGTTCGGGGGAAGAGCCATGTGGTTTAATTTTAATATTTTGGATGATATTATTTAGAGCATTCTCTCATTTTAAAGGATTCTACTGGTGGTTGAAATGTGCTGTTACATGGACTAGGTCGCTCACGGAAAAAGGCGCTCTCCCACTTGGAATATAAGCCAGCACTACCCGATTTGGAAAGGTTATGAATGTCATAGAGAAGTTGATTGGATCTTGAGAGATTTTGAAGTGATGGCCTCCCGGTGCACTGTAAGAGCTCAGGACACGATGTTCCATCTGATAAAGCACCAGCGGTTACATTGTGCGATAACGCTAAAACGAAGAACCAATGGCTCATCTGGGTATAGCGACATGTTACTTGGGGATAGGGTTCAACCTTAGCAGTAGAATAAGTTTTTAGCTGTTCTGTGCTTCAAAATATTGAAAATCTCATGACGCCTCGGGTCGATGAAACCGAGGTACCGAGGTAACTGCGGCTGGTTTTCGCAGCCATCAAATGCATCACAGCCGGGGCTATCTTGCAGTAGGCCCTTGAGAAACTTTCTTCCGAAATGGCATAAAATCTAAGATGCTGAAAACAGTCATTAGTGGATTATCCTGAGGCTATATCTTGAGTAGGGGAATGGAAGGAAAAATGTGGAACAAAAATTTTGACTCTGCCTTTCCTCAAGTAGGGCCCGGTTATTAGCATCAAACGGGTTGAACTTTTGAGGCAGGTGATCTTCTCAGATAAGGAATCCCAAAGATATGTGATATATTCGAGAGATAAATCAAATGAGTGGAGACAAATGGGTCTTCGACTTGGCAATCTCAAAGGCGCCATTACTTTCCGTCTCGCTCGCCTCGAACCTCACTTTACTACCGAGCGAGCCTCGAAGCAACCAATTACTCCCAAGTGCAACAAGAAAGATGTAGAAGTCTAACACCCAAAAAGTACGAAGTCGAATTAAAACGGCTCACCTCCATTCCTAATCCACCATGACCAGCCGCCAAGCGAGTGTTCAAGCTTCTGAACTGACTCCTGATAGCCGATCTCTCAACAGACTTACCCCTGTACAGCATTGACCGAATTACGCAAATTGCACCAACCGTCTTTGTCAAGTCCTGCGACAAGTATTGCAAGTATTCCTCAAGGAAATACTAGCCACCCGACTCACCATTCTTTCAATACTTCGATCGCCTACATTTCAACTTTTTTTTTTTTTTTTTTATTTTTTGAATTTCTTCATTTCCGTTTTGTTGGAGAATGTTGGCGAAGGCTGGAAGCCTGTGGGAAGCGATGCACCGCGTGCCTGTCGCCAACGTTAGGTGCCCTCTCCGAGAAGCTAAACCAGTGCGGTGAGGCACTTTTTGGCAGCGTTTTTGCAACGCGTCGCGCTGAAGCTGCGTCTCGCTTCCCAATTGAGAAAATCTTTCTTTTTTTTATTAAAACCCTGCTCTCCAGGCGCCGTTCATTTGCCAGTTCCTCGAACCTACATATTTTCAAATTATCGTCAATCCCTCCACTCCAACCTTTTTCTTCCCCTGCCAGAACTTTCTTTGCCTTTTTAAGCTTCCCCCTGCTCAGGCTTAGTCTATTTTATTTTTATCCCCCCATCCATTCACTGTCACTCGTTCCATAAATCATGCCGCTTTCAAGACAGGCCTCCCTTTTATCGGCCACGTCGAATTCCCACAGCCATCCAGAGAAAATTGGCCCTTGGAAGTTGGGAAAGACTCTCGGAAGAGGTGCCACCGGCCGTGTGCTCCTTGGTGTCAATAGTTCTACGGGACAGAAAGCTGCCGTGAAGGTGGTTTCCAAATCTGCTTTGAACGATGAGTATGACAAACCCACAAAAGGTGGTCTCCCCTATGGCATTGAACGTGAAATCATCATCATGAAGTTGCTAACCCATCCTAACGTGTTGCGTCTTTACGACGTCTGGGAAACTTCCAAGGCATTGTACTTGGTTTTGGAGTACGTCGAAGGCGGCGAGTTGTTCGACTTGTTAGTCGAGAGAGGCCCATTGCAGGAGCAAGAGGCCGTCAAATACTTTCGTCAGATCGTGTTGGGCACTGCCTACTGCCATGCCTTGGGTATCTGCCACAGAGACTTGAAACCTGAGAATCTTCTTCTTGATGCCTCCCTTAATGTCAAATTGGCTGACTTTGGTATGGCTGCATTGGAAAGCAATGGCAAATTGCTTGAAACCTCCTGTGGATCTCCTCACTACGCTGCTCCTGAGATTGTGTCAGGCTTGAAATACCACGGTGCCGCCTCCGATGTTTGGTCTTGCGGTGTCATTCTCTTTGCTTTGCTCACAGGAAGATTACCCTTCGATGATGAGAACATCAGAAACTTGTTGTTGAAGGTTCAGGCTGGTAACTTTGAGATGCCCGAAGAATTGAGTAATGATGCCCAGGATTTGATCTGGCGTATGCTTACAGTCGACCCAATGGAGAGATTGACCACTCCTGAAGTTCTTAACCATCGTTTGCTTAACAAATACCCCATTCCTAACGAAGATCTCATCAGTGTCAAGTCCTTACCTCATCCAGAAACGGCTTATAGATCATTGGGCTCGATCAAGAACATCGATAAGCAGATCTTGCTGAACCTTTCCATCTTGTGGCATGACAGACTGGAAGACGAAATCGTCAAATGCCTCCTCAAGGAAGGTCCTAACCCAGAGAAGACATTCTACGCTTTGCTTCTCAGGTATAGACATACCCTGGACGAGGCTGCAACTCCTTCGACGTCTGTTAATGGCTCTCCTGACAAAAGAATACCCCGTTCAGGATCCTCAATGTCGAACAGAGCGACTCCAAAGAGAAGAAGCAGTAAGATCAATGCTTCCACCGCAAAAAATAGACCAGTGTCTTTCCAGAGACGTTATGGAGCCAACAGAAACTCGATAATCAACACAGGCAGACTTTCCGCTGCTTCTAGCGTTCAAAACTCCCCATTCAAGTCTCCTGGCAGAAACAATAGAGGCTACAGTCAGTCACCATCGAAATCACCTCGCAGAAAGCCAATTCCCTCCAGGCAATCTGCAGCAAACTTGCCCAGAAACCTCTATAATGATATTGTGAATGCTCAGGAGCAATCTCAAGGTTCCCTTCCGCCAACTTTGCCATCAAAAGATTCCATCTACGCTTCTGGAGAGCAAGATCCTAATTCACAAGTTAAACCACTCGATGGCCAGGGCAGACCCCAAGAACTTGCACTTGAATCGGCGCCACCACTCGCTCCAGGCCCCTTGTCCAACTCTGCCAAAAGAACTTCCATGGCTTCCAAAAGAATGTCTAGACGCAAGTCGATCAGACAATCTCTCACCTCAGGTCTCAAGAGAAATTCTATCACGGTGAAGTTGTTATCCACTTACGCCAAGTTGTCCAATGAGACCGACTGGGAGTATATGGATAAGCAAACCAAGCGTACTTCTGCAACTTTTGCTACATTGTGTGATAAGATTTTCAATCAGGAAGATTACAGTGTCGACGATGAAAGGCTTGAAGATGAAGAGGAGAAAAGAGCTAAAGAGTACGAGAAGTTGATGGAGCTCGAGCGCAAGAAGCATGAAGCAGAACTCAAAGCCAGAAAGGAGTTAGCCAAACAGAAGAGACGTCTGAAGAGACGGTCGTTGCTAGCTTCTTCGAAGAAGTTGTCCATCACTGTCACCGAAGACAACAAGGGAGAGCTGGAATTGAGTCCTGAGGGCGGTCAACTCCTGCAACCAAAGAGACAATCCAAGAACACCAGTAACTTGCGGTCCATCTCCGAAGGTGGTAAAGATGATCCACTGAACGAATTGACTCAGCAGGAAGTTGAAGCTCTCAAAAAGCGGTCTGTGACCCAACCTAATCCTCGTCGTCGTCTAACCCCAATCTTGACAAGACGTCCTGTTTCACGTTTGGACCCCTTGTGGACAGCTCAAGACATCCACAATGCTGGTACCGAAGGTGAAGAGAAAATTGAGAAGAGCAAGAAGAGAGTGAACAGGGAATCGATGATTTCCGTTGGTAATGCTGATGACGTGCAAAGGCTCTCAAAGGACTTCGAGTACGAAAATCAGGAGTTCCATCTTTCAGAGAACGAGAAGGAAGACGAAACTGAGTTGAGTGAGGAATACATGAGCGAGATTCGGAAATCCAAACTCCTCAACTCACAATACAACCTTAAGAAGAACTTGAAAGAAGCAGAGTCTGAACCTGCTCCCAAAAGCAGAGGCAATAAGAGAAATTCACAGAAGCTCGAGGACAGAAAGACATTGATTGGAAGCGTTAATATACCCAAGGTTACGAGAAAGTCAACCCAGTTCTCCGCTTCAAACAAACGCTTGTCCATTCTCACCATGAGATCTACTAAGGAATCATACCGTGACTTGAACAGTATCCTTGATGCTCATAACGAGGATATTGATGAGAGCGAGCTTGCCGAAGAAGAGAAGTTAGACAATAACATGCCTCAGCTCAGAACAAGTTTTGCTGACCGTTTGGATCGTGCTGGATTTTCGAACGATGACGAAGAGGAGATGTCAGAGAATGGATCAGTGATGGACTTCGATGAACATCTTGCTAACAAGCGCTCTTCTTACTACGCGGGCAACAAGCCTAAGAGATACCCAACGACTAAAAGACATTCCGTGAAACCAAAGAGGGGTCCTTTGGATGACGATGAAACCCTTTTCGAGGCTAAGATTAGTCCTGACAAGAATGCCGACTACACTTTTGCAGACGAAGGCGACAACAAGGTTGTCGATAAAGATGACGAGGATGTATTTGACAACATCAAATTACCAAAGGACAAGAAGAGAACATCGCAAAAGCCCAAGAGGGAATCTGGTAGGGATCGAGTTTCCACAATGTTGATTCCTAACATGGAGAAGGTCGAGTCTGAGACTAGACAAGAACGCCAGAAGCCAAACGGGAGAGTGCATGATGAGAAGGGTACGATCAATAATCATCAAAAGCGTACTAAGCCATTGGTTGACAAGACCAACACACAACATGCTCCTCCAGAACAGCCTCAGAAGAGAAATAGATCAATTTTCCGCAAATTGTCCTGGGGAACGAAGAAGTCTTTGGATGATAATGAGGCTCAACAGCTCCCTTCACCAGCTGACTCTAGGGCAAACTCGGTCGAAGAGAAGAAAGGCGGCTTGTTCTCCAGATGGTTTTCATCGTCTAATACCGCTCCAACTGCTGGCGATATCAAGAGATTCAGGACAATTTTGCCAAAGCAAGAGATGATCACTGCATTGTACGCGCTTCTCAACTCTTGGTCTAATTTTGGTTTGAAGAACCTCAAGAAAGACCAGGTCGGGTACAACATTACGGGTGCTATTTCCAGCAATAACTCATTTAACTTGAAGAGTTGCAAGTTCAGAATTAAGATCAACCCAGAGCCTTAAACCAAAAGTCGGAGTTGATTTGTGCTAAGGTGAAGGGTTCAAGCGCTACGTGTGCAACATTATTTAAGGAGATTCAAAAGGTTTTGGAGAAGGAAGGAGCTTTGGAGACCTAGACGAGAGGATTAGGTCGTGAGCATTTTATCGAAATTGTATTATAATTGAGATGTTTTACATCGTGAAATCATTCTAGAGTAAGATTGTAGATTATATGCAATTGTCAATGCCTGATACAGCCTTTATTAGGCAGTTTTGGAGGTGGATTCACCGGAGAGCGATTTGATCTTCTTTTTGATAACCTTTCCAGGATTCAAAAGGTAGACACATTTTTTATCTATCAGAATGCACTCTTCACGGCTGGTTTCTATCTCTGCTTTTGCCACTGATATGCACAGCTTTATTGTTTCCAACAATTGTTCATAAATATCAGCTTCTTTTGGTTCCTCCGAGACACCAGACTCATTGGTGTTTTCGCCTTCTTGCTTCGGAACTTCCTCGTTTATGGTCTCGAGTTTCACCTTTTTATTAGTCTTCTGGAATTTCTCCGCCAAGTATCTGCCAGTCACCTTGCTGTTACAGTCAAACAATGCTGCTAATGCTATCTGTGGTGGTGTGAATAAGAACAGGACGTCGCCTATAAGCGCATGGTCATTAAGCCATCTTTTGGCTTGATCGTATAATCCTCCAATAACATCAATATTGACATCACTCATAACGGGAGACGGATGCAAAAGTACCTGCTGTAGGTCGAGGAAGAAGCCATATAATGGACGGAATGGATGGTGAACAAGAAGTGTGAACTTAAGTGATTGCAAGACATCGAACTCGAGATTGAGAATATCCAGTTTTTCCGTCTTTGGAAGAAGGTCACAAAATGAATCTATGGATATGAAATAGTTCTCCAGCTTTGCGGCTAAAAAGACACAAGTGAAGACGATGTTTTTGGGATGGTATGACATTGGGGAGTTGATCAAGAAGAATCTTTGAAAGAACGACACTGCCGTGGCCTTCACTTGGGTAGGCATTCGGAAATGCGTGCATGTCTGGATAATCTGCTGTGCAAAGAATTGTAGGTATTTTTGCTGTTCATCGAAGGTAATGAGATTTAGTAGCTTCTCAGATGTTAACTCGTCCGAATATTGCTGAAAAGCTTCAGGTTTTTCCTTGCTCATAGTAGCTTTGACCTCGTTGAATCTTTCGATGGCGGCAATTCGGCCATCTTCATGAGTGCTTCGTTTCACGCTATCGAGTTCCTCGATGGTGTATGACCAAAGTTGAAATTGAGACGATCTTCGGTACAAATCGTCGATCGAGACCTCTTTCTTTTTGGTTTCCAGAGGTGGTTCCTCTTTGATTTGAGGTTCGGAGTTCGTCATCACCGTTGAAAAGATGTCAGTTAGTTCTGTGTTCTTTCGATTCTCTGATATGCACTTCCTACATGCGGGTGGTAGCAAAACCAAAGAAACCTACAAAGACACATAGATAGTTTTCTTCTTCAAAAATAGAATAAGGTCTTTTTTCCTCTTTTCTCAGAAGAGCCTGAATCTTACTGATCCGTTTCTTTTACGCAAAAGTTTGGGACCTACAATCGGCGATCTGCGTATGGTTGACCGATTCCTTACATCTTTTATAACCTGGCAATCGCCCAGTCAGCTAATATTACACTTTCCACAATATTATCTAGCACTCACCTTACATGATTCCCCAAACATCCTCGCAACCGTGGCAGAACTTGGAACATGCCACAGAAGCAGATAATGGGTAGTTTGAAAGACCGATCTTCTCGTCAACATACTCATCGGCGAAATTGTCCTGTCCTCTGGCCATAGCACCAACGAAAACGCATATGCTCTCATCCTCGTCCAACGTCTCCGCGTAGTCTTGCACTCTTCTGATCTCGGCATCGAAACTCAAGGTGATTTTGCGGCACTTAATTGGCAAGTGGTCTGTGATGGGTTTTTGATGACCTTGAGCAACTTCTCCTCGGAGTTGACCAGGCGAATGCTGAGCTTGTGCAATAGTTGGACCATCAAGCCGGAGAATCTCTTGAAAGTTCTGGGTATTCTGACACTTGGATTAACCTCAATCAACACACCCCTGGCAGTGTGAATGAAAACCTGCAATCTGCCGGCTTTGTTGATAGGAGAGTCCAACAAAGTCAAAAGACATTGGTGTGTGATATCGGGTCTGGCCTCGGCGATGTCACGGCCCATCTTTCTCAACAAGCCTTGGTGATCATCACAGTTCAAAAGAGCATACTTGTCGCCCGCAGAGGCACCAGTGCCAATTTTGTGAGTTTCCAAGCACGCCTGGGATAAAACAACGACAAGTCTCTTTGTGTCCTTATCCTTGGATGTGAGAACCTGGGGTCTGGAAGGAACGAAGGATGCTGGGGAGCAGAGGTCGATGATTTTTGTGAAGCATCACTGCTGGTGGATTCTTTCTTTACCTGTGTGTCATTATTTGCAGCGAAATCTTTCGAATTTCCCTCGGCCATTTTGCTGGAGGTGGAAAGGACAGTATACTATGTATCGATCGATGAGATGGAAAAAAATCAGCGAGCAGCTGCATGGTGCGTTGAGTTGAGAGGATAGAATGAGGTCGAACCAACAAGGAAAAAAAAAAAAAAAGAAACTCGATTAGAGCGATCGGCTTCGATTATTCAAATCTTAATCGTGGAAGCAGAGTTTTGTCATTTCCAAATTTCGAATATCACTGGTCCTCTTAGTCCCTCCTACTTCCCAGAAGTGCAGGAAACAGTGTTAGTACCTACGATATCGCTCGAACATAGATCACCACACATTATATCCAAATCGATTAGGCTATAGGAATTTTTCTTCCATAGCCGCTAATTAGAGCGTCATGTCTGATGATGGATTTGACGATGACGATCATCTCCTAATGGAGCTCGTAAGAGCCACCCAAAAGCCTGAAGCTCCTTTGGCAAATACCACCGAACAGAGAGCTCAAAACCCACTGAATAATGGAACCCTCAAACCAGTATGGAACAAAGGCTCTATCGGGCCGACGGAGAGATTGCAATTCTCAGAGCTCAGTTGCAATCGCTCCAGAGTCAGAAGACTGACGAGCTAACGCGTCTTCAGAACCAGCTTGAATCGGCTAGATTGCTGGGAGAGGCACAAGCCAATGCCTTAAAGCAATCAGTACAAAGGTTAGAGGACGAGAAGAAGTTTCTTGGTAACGAGGTTCGTGCCCTTTCAGCTTCCAAGAGAAGAAAGATAGATGTCCCTGTTAACACCAAAGATGATTCGGTTACTCCAGCTCCTCCAAGTCACCACTTTGTGCATAATATAGACAAGAAGCCGGACTTCCATGCACCCAGTTCTTTCTCGATCAACGTGAAAGACGACTGGTCTCAATTTTGCAACCACATATGGAACTCCACCATCTTGGGTAGCCTGAGGACTGATGCCCAGTTCTTGGATAAGATTTGGCTCGAGGCGCCGATTACTGTGGAAGAGCGAGTAGTGGTTCCGGTTGAAACTTCTCTCATGTCATGCATCTGGAGCTTCATACTACGACACCGAGACGCCAGACTCGACAATTTGGTCTTCATCTTCTGTGAGTATCTCGTGCATCTTATCCAAGAACTTCTCCTGCGGCAAAATCTGGCTCTCGCTGTGCCGTTTCTTCTTTCATTGATAAACTCGGCTATTAACTTCAAAACGGGCGCCGTGAGTGAGAAGTTGGTTCTTCTCTTGACAACGAAATTAGCCAGCATCCTGGATCATTTTCTGCATTTGCTTGATTGGACATTCGAGGCGGACGATCCGCTTCTCACTAACCACGGAAAAACCTATCAGCAACAGGTCCTCGAGAGATTCACTATCACTCTTCTCTTTGACGTGATCGAGAATGCTACTGTGATAGCGACCCAGTACGGCGCTGACTTTGTGAAGTCGCTTTGGACAGATCTGATGGATGTAGCACTTGTGCTTAAGCTTCTTCCCGAAAACACAGAAAGGTTCAAATCTGCAGCGCAAACTAATTTGTTGTATAACTTTGTTGAGATGCTTTCATCCTCGTTGATCGAAGATGGAATTGCAATCCGGGATGAGAAACTTGAAAAGCAACTCGTCTCTTCCCTCATCAAAGTGTTTCTTATTGATGTGGAAATAAAAGAGGACTCAATGTTCTACGGCCTCAATCGACCTTTGGGCTCGAATCTTGATTTCGCTAAGATTCTACAGATGGTACCATCCGACCCATGTCGGTAATTGGCCAGCCCTTTATTTCAATTGCATGCCCAGCAGATGAAAACAAGCTCGACAAATTCGAAAGGTTCGAAATGCTCGAGGCACACGAGCATCACCTCTTGAGTTTGAGGCTTCGAATTGCGTCATTTCTTGAAACACTAATCATGTCTCCCTCCGGTAATACTATGGAAATTATCACTTGCAAGGAAAGTATGAAGTCAATTGTTCGGATCATTGCGTTGGAGCAAAATCAAATCATTCATCAACCACGCTCTAAACATGTGCACATGAGGATTTCGATCGTTGCCATATTCCTCAAAATTCTCTACTTCATTGCAGGAGAATTCGAGAATATCAACACTATCATATACCCAGAGACCCTCTATGAGTTGTTCGTCGTTCTTATGCGTATTGCGTTTGGGTCCGATCACCTATCACAGGAAGCTACGAGACTACTCACCAAGATAAGAGCGGAGGGCCATGTACATGTGCCAGTTTTCAACAAGTGGTGTGAACTTCGAGCCAGCCAAGTGGCTCATTTTAATGTTTATGAAGGTGGACCAGATAAGTTCGATGAGTTGGCGGCCATTGAGACAGATTTTGCCAATGGACTCGAGGTTCCATACGAGCAAGACACCGTGGAGATAGCGAGGGAAATCTTGAGTCTCTGTGTCAATCATGATGAGGCAGATAACCTATACTTCAACATGAACTACGAGGAGGTTTAATAGAACTTTTTTTTTTTCTAATGATGTATTAGTTACAAAACCGTATTTTCGCATGACACGCTTAAGCAGACTTAACAGAGGTCTGGAAACCGTTGTTGAATCTTCTGCTGACGTGCTTCAAGTAGGCCATTCTACCGGTACCGGTAGTTCTTCTTCTCTTAGCCTTCTGGGCCCAGTTGTGAGATCTCATCTTAGAAGATGGGTAGCCACAAGAAGCACAAGTCTTCTTCTGGGCGTGCAAAGAACGGCGGCCGCATCTGTTGCAAATGATGTGAGACTTGTTGTGTCTCTTACCCATAGATGGAGTACCCTCTAAACAAGTTAGTATTGGAGCAGGCGTGGAACCCTACAGATCGTGACAAACATGACAAGGAAGTGGGAGTTGGAACTGTGTTTCTTGAATGGATTGAGGATTATTTTGAATCTTTGATTCGTTGGGAATGGAACACTTTTTTCAGAAGGGAGTTGACTTTGATCGAATTAAACGGGATGGACATCGACAGTGGGGAATGGAAGAGACAAGAAATTACTTGCTCATGATCTGACACGTTTGACTGATTGTATTGGGCTGGAAGTTTGCTTGACGTTGTACATACTACCCATGTTGACTGATTATTGATGTAGATGTGGAAGAGAAATCCGAATATGGCCCTTTTTTTTTTCGCAAGATGCCAGGCGGAGAGTGGGTGCCGGAAAATTTTCTGTGAGCGTGGTGTATATAGAGCACCTTTAATGGCGTCACGTGTAACAGGGCTTCAGCCCTAGACATCAAATGAGAGAGACAAGTGCGTCTTTTCTTAGAGCACAATGAGACCTAAAAAGAAGGGGAGGATGGTACGAATAACGTATGAAACACCACGTATATAAGAAACTATGACTAGCTCAAACAAAAAATAAAAAAGAAATGCGCAAGCCCGGAATCGAACCGGGGGCCCAACGATGGCAACGTTGGATTTTACCACTAAACCACTTGCGCTTTAGATGCATGAAAGAGGCTCATGCAGCTTTATGAGTTTAAAAATACATGATGTACTGCACAAAGTATTTCACATCCGTACACCTATTTTAGTATGGGGTCCTCCCCTATGGCTTCAAGACCGCTCTATGGTAAGAAAAAATATATTAGACGAATTGTGGATCGCCAATTCTTGTACTAAGAGGAAGATTTAGGAATCAAAAAAAAAAAAGAATCAAAAGATTTATAGGCTGGAGCTCTCAATTGTATCTGCTATGCCTCACGGTTCGCAGGAATGTGGAGATACATTGGGCCAAGGTTGTATTACAAAGTTGCAATTTTTTCAACAAAAAGGCGACAATCTGGCTTCTGTAAATTCACCACCTTGAAACCGAGTCAGGCAAGCATCAGGCCAAGGGGTACGTTGTTGCAGTCAAACCTCAGTTTGGAGTACATTTGGCATTTCACATTTCCTGACTATGGCTCATGCATGTTACTCAATGGTCACGTCTGTAGCAGTATCTGATTCACTTAAGTCATTCATAGACAAAAAGATGACTTACTAGAGATCAGGGGCACTTTTCATGGGCCAGTAAATTCACCTTATCGTGTGATCGATAGAGGCGCGTCTAGACGAGTCAGCCTTATGTTCACAGTCTGAACCAGCAAAGTGAACCCCGTAACTAAGAAAGCCACCATCAATTGAATTACAGATCCCTTAAAGAAATGAAATCAGGGTCAAGATACAGACGAGGTCACGGTTTCTTCACGTGTGGACAATGCGAGTCACTGTGTATCGCGTTTGTTTGTTTTGGCGACACGCTGATACACAGGTAGCTTAAGTACCTGAGCCTGTAAACACTATTCCCGCCATCGATTCTTCCAAAACCCATCTTTGAAGAACATGGATCATCAATTTCCTCCCTCTTCTCCTGTCACTCATGACACGGAGTCGAGAGCAGACCCCTTCATGAAACCCAAGAATACTGGGTACGACTTGCCCAGAGAGGCAGGTTCGACTATCCTACGCCAAACCCATCCTCCACTGTGGGAAGATCGTCATCCCCAGCCAGAAATAACGACGAGAAGGATGTCCCATTTGAAGTAAAGCCAAAGCCAACTGTGTCAATCAACAGAGATTTCAACATCGTGAACCCTGATGCTCTGGTCTTGAGGGTCCCCTTGATGTCCTCCAAGCCAATCGTGTTTGTCGGCAGAAGTCTGAAATCTTGCGACTATTACTTCAAAACTCTTGATAAGGCTGTCTCTAGGACTCACATCAAAATCGAACATGCGGAAGAGAAGTTGAACCTTACGTGTTTGGGCTACAATGGCTTTGGCATGGTATTGCCTCGTATGTGTGAAGTCCGCAAGGTTGAAGGCAAAGAGTCACACTACACTTTAAAGGAGGCAAAGAAGCCTTTGAAGTTGCAAAATATCTCCAAAACAATTCATTTGGACTACCAGCACACTGAATTCCATGTCAGCAGGGGTGAGACCGTGGAAATGCCTCGCTTCACCAACGTGCTTGTTCAAATCAGAGATAAAGTCGTTTTGGTAAACCCAGAAGACTTTGAGGAGGAGTTGACGGATGAAGAGACTATTCAACTCGTCAAGCCCTCTGTCCAGGAGGAGGAGAAAGAAAATATTGGTGAGCCACTTCAACTCAACGATGACAAGCTTGCCTCTTGCACTAAGACAACTTCTACCCCAATCAATAATACCAAATATGAACCAGAAACTCCTAAGAAGTTTCCCTTCCGCATAACCTCTGAAGAGCCCACTCCGATAAAGACAGCCAAGCAGAAGACTACACAATTCACCATCCTCGAGGACCAATCTGAGGAGAAGGAGAATGAAGATAAAGAGAATGAGGACCGTCCAGTTGACGTAAAATTGGACATACCCAAGCAAAGCTTCAAAAGGGCAACTACGCCTTTGGCCGATCAAACAAACCAAATTTCAAAAAGCCCACTCTTGAAGCGCAGAGCTGTCAGCGAGGAGCCTGTCGGAGTTAAAAAGCCAAAGAAGGAGCCCGCAAGAGATTCTGAGGGTAAGCTCATCATCGACGATGCATGCATCAAGGGATTGAAAAACGTGAACGAAGTCAACAATATTTTAATTAATCATTTGGCATTCTCGCGACTTTCGTCAACGCCCGCCTCATACTTGAATACCATCCTGGCGGTCGTTTCTGAACTCACTCTCGAGCAGTTACGTACTGTTCTTCATAACGTCGGATGCATTGGCGTCATTTACAGACAAGGTAAGGATGCCGCCGGTAAGCCTCTCGAAGAAGAGTATTATTACATCCCGAAAACGACCAGGACCCTGAGAGAATCAAGTTGGTTGGTTCCATAAAGGGCCATGGTGGATTGAGAGCATGCAGAAGAAAGCACAAACAATACTACTGGAAGAAACCTGCTCCAATCAAGAAATAGATTTACATTGAGCTCCTAATATAACTTCATTCATGCCTCTGTCTTAATCCTTTTCACCGTCGCCTTACTGGTGATGCTCGACCTTTTCCCGTTGACCTCTAGCTTAACGGATTTACTCACTACCGATGGGGTGGGTTCAGTCTTCACGCTTGACTCCTTCTTCACCTCAGTAAATTCAACATCATGCTTAATTTTAGCTCCGTCTCTTTGATTAATGCCATTGTTCAAGTCCGAAAGGTCTGCTGCAAACATCACCAGCTGTGCCCATCCTGCGTACTTGCCAAATAGCTCCTGGAGGTGAAGGCGAACCTGATGATATGAGACCTTGTTCATAGTTTTAGGACCTTTGTATTTGTAATCCCTTGTAGCGATCTGTAAAACGTGTGTGTCAACAGGCACGACATCGTGCTTGTCCAAGGCCATGAGACAAATGCAATCGGCAACCTTTGGTCCAACACCAGAGAGCTGAAGAAGAAACTCGTGAGCATCTTCGTATGATTTCAATCTTTGTTCATGAAGTATATCCATCGAAATTTCTGGTACCTCAGGGTCCACAAACATCTTTGCAGTTTGGTTGATGTATTTCGCCCTGTAACCAAAACCCAAGTCTCTGAGCTTTCCTTCTACCTCTGGGCCTGCAAGGACTTCTGGCAGTGGGAATGAATAGTAGGCATGGTCCTCAAAGTCGTTGATGTAGGTACCGAACTCCTGGCACAAGGCATCGCACATTTTTGAGATCCTCTTAACGTTATTGTTGGACGAGCAAATAAACAGTATCACTGTCTCCCATGGATCTTGTCTGAGCATTCTTATTCCTGGAAACGTCGCAAATGATTCTGCCTTGCTCTTGGCTCTGTATTTGAGCTCTACCTCGCTCCATTGCTGGTAAAGCTCCTCAAGTTTGACGTCCAAGTTGAAATAGTCGTGAATAAATGCGTGAGTCTTCTCGTAAGCTTTGGAAACGGCGTTCGACGAGTCCTGGCCGTCAGAGAGAACGCAGGCGTAGTGGATCAGCTCAGGGTCCTGTTTCAAAAGAACGATCTGATCGTTGGCGGTAAAGCTCCAAATCGAATTAACATTTTTCCAACGGAAAGTCTGGCCACAGCGTAGTACCCTTGCCAAAGAGAGTTCTATCTGAGGGAGTGGGATCAGCTTCCATACCAAGTTGCCCGTCATGAGGAAGAAAAGGTAGTGAAGACTACTCCATACATCCCCAGGCGCGTCTTATCGCGATGGATTCCCAAAAAGGAATTGTTATTACTATGATCCTTGTAGCGTGAGTAAGCGACAATGGAAGCAAAATTACAAACAATATCCTTTGATTCCATTGGTATGAAGAACCCTTCTTCTCAAAACTACATTTATAGAGTTGTCTGGAATTTTCGCAAAGTATCTTGATTCTGACATTTTTGTTAAAAGTCGTATGCGCACTGAGAACTTGGGGTAGATCGCATCAATGTATCCCAATATTTTTAATTAGTTCTTCATCATTAAAAGCTGTTATTGTTCAAAAAGTATTTGTACCCCGGCAGCTTACTTGTTTTCACCCCTCCTGATTAAACAAATAGTCGAGACCTTTGCGAAGGTCTTCAAGACTGTTTTGAATCAAGGTGTAGAAGTCCCTCTTTAACAAAAGATGGCATGACTTGCGGTAATGTGTAATTCCATAATAAGTGTGGAACAACTCCGCTTCATGAGGTTTTATGTACAAGGAGCAGTGCCAGTTGTAGAAGGCAGTGTAAGCTCTTGTCGTCTGCTGATACAAAATCTGACATTTAGCGAGGGCTTCTGTGATATCTGTGCCTTCATCAGCCCACATAATGGAGATTTTCTTAAAAGCAGATAATGCCTTATCGCATGCTTCTTTTTTGGATTCTCGCAGATGACTCTTATTCACTTTTGCGGAGGTCTTCTCCAAGAGGTCCGCAAACCGACGCATCTCATTTCCTATCTCAGCAATTCTCCGTCTTAAGGGTGCGTTCACCTCAGTGGATAGGTATCCAAACAAGATACTGAATTGATCGAGGATCTCTTCGACCTTTGCATTCAGATCGGGGCAAGTCTTGGATGAGTCAATTAGATGTACGACCTCCTCCTCAAGCAGATTGTCCAAATGGTAGAGAACAGCTTCTCCATTTTCGTAAAGGATATCGTTGTCCGTTTGAGCTCCTATCTTCTTGAGAGCACGAGAGAGCTCTTTCAAATTATCAAATGACGGGGGCTTTGCAGTCCTAGTGGTACTGGTCTTGCATAGCTTAGAGGTTCCTTGCTTTGCTGCATTCTTTTCACAATTTTCTGGAGCTGATAGGGTTCTTTTTGTATCATCATCTTCCTCTGAAAGCTTTGGCCTAAGATGGAAAGTTGAGAGGAATCTTGCTCGCTTTGTTGGCTTCCTCTTCATTTGAAGTGAATCCTTCGTTGTGTCCTTTGCTCTTTTTGGTGCAGACAAGAAGTCTTCCAGCTTTACTTCAACATTCTTGGTCTCTTCACTTCCAGAACCATGCTCTTCGGGTTTAGTACTTTGGCTATTGGTATCGCCATGGTTGATTGAGAAAATGGAGTTGCTTTTCAATGAGTCTTTACAAATTTCAAATGATCGGCGAAGCGTGGAACATCTCTTCAACTCTTCCTTTCTCAAAGCTTTCTTTTTTTCTTCTGGTGAGTCAAAAACCTCCTCAATTGATATGGGTTTACTCTCTTTGGTTTTATCCGGTAGTATGGTCTTGTTATCATTTTGCTCTGCCTTCTTTTTGGTAGTCTTTCTTCTGATAAGATACTTTATTGACTTGCCTAGTGGATTTCTCAGGATTTTGTTCCCGTTTGCGGAAGTCATCGTCGTAGAAGCAGTGGTGCTGGCAGTGTTTTCTGGCATGATTAGTTTAGTGTAGCTAAATGAGCCACGTCATTGGGAACTTTGTAATTTATATTCAAGTAAAGTAACAGATGCTCTTGGTACTAAACCTTCCAGAAAAGTTAGGTTGCGTCATTCCTTTTGAAATAATGCTCTCTTGGAGTTTCCGAAACAGGTGGATGTGGGAGCTTGTGGGAAAGAGCTCATCCAAAGCATCTCGGCCAGTCAACCCGGAGTAGAGTGTGATTGAAAAAAATCGAGGATCAAAAATGTACACAGTTTAACGGACTAGGGCTTTATTCCCAACGTAGAAGACATCAATCGCCGTGCTTTGTAACTGGAAGACCGGCAGATGGGGGCTCATTTTTTGAGAGAAGCTGTCTTACAACGCCTTTATATGAGAGCTTAATCAAATCACTTATTTTTCTCGAAGCTTTATTTTGCCTCGAGTGGGTATTATTCTTGGTTCAGCATCTGGCTTCGATTTTGCAGCCAATCCAAGAGGCGCAATTAACCCGGGGCATTGGACAAATTATAAATTTTATAGCATCTGTTGGAGTTTCAATAGTACACAAAAGTAATCACTCTTCTAATTTATTTTTGATTTGGCCATCTTTATCTAGTATGGAGCTTGATGAGTGGAGCCTACTTCTAGACTGCACGAGTCGCGTACATCTATCAGGGACCACCAACCAGGTATATCAAGTTCATGGATGAGAAATGCCCCATATGCTTCAAATCGTTCCCGATAGCTTTTTTAGAGCGTCATGTTAATACATGCTTGGACACACTTGAGCTGCTGCTGCTGCCTGCCCCAGCACAGGAAACTGGAGATTCAGGCGATAACGGGGCTGACAAACTGAATCAAGAAGACGCGAAGCACCAGGACGCCTTTGCTGCGTTGGGTTTGAAAGCAGACTCAAGAAAAGCAAATGATAAAGCCGGTAAAAAAGGAAAAGCCTCCCTCACAAGCATCTTGATCGCCGAGAGAAGACTCAAACGGAAGCAGGAGGATCTTGAGCGAGAGATCAAACGACAGACATTGGTCTTAGAGAAAGATGTACCCCACAGACTCAGACACAAGTCGATAGTGGGCCAACACAAGTTACAGGTCTGCCTGAGATCGATGTTGAATCGTCATTTTCGAAGAACGGAGCCCTCGAAAACTCACAGCCTACGAATACGCAGCATATACCCAGCACCCCGGAGCTTGAAGAGGAAACCAGACAGAAGCTCAAGAATCAGGAATTTCTCAAGCTACGAAGGGAAGCCGAACTACCACTCGCACAAAGACTACGACCAAAAACTCTCGATGATTTCTTTGGTCAGGAAAAGTTGGTCGGCCCACACGGGATCTTGAGAAACATCATGAGTGCCGAGAACATTCCGTCGTTTATACTCTGGGGAGTTCCAGGAGTGGGTAAAACATCTTTGGCTCGTATAATTGCATCTCTGTCAGACTATAAGTTTGTCGAAATATCTGGTGCCGATAGCAACGCCAAAAAGCTAAAAGAAGCATTTGCAAACGCACAGTCAGAAAGACAGCTCACCGGGCAGAAGACCATTTTGTTTCTCGATGAAATTCATCGATTCAACAAGGCAGTCCAGGATATACTTCTTCCAGTTCTCGAGAAAGGCACAATCACTGCCATCGGGGCCACAACGGAAAACCCTTCTTTTACTTTGAATAATGCATTACTATCACGGATGCACACATTTGTTATGGAGCCTCTCTCGCTGGAAGCTCTCGTCAGAATCTTGAATCGAGGTCTTTATCTCATCAACAAGACCAGAAAGTTGGTCCACAAACTCCATTTGATCGCAATAAGCAGAGATGCGATTGATTATATTGCCCGGACTAGTACAGGGGACTCTCGTGTTGCACTCAATATCCTTGAATCAATTAATGCGTATCTTTCAGGCTTATCCTACAAGGTCATCTCGAAGAAGGATCCGGAGAAGGAATCGGTGGACGTTAATGCTAAAGTGGGAGTCATCAAAATTGGTATGAAGGAGCTCAAACCATTATTGGAAACACATAACTTCCACCAAATGTACGATAGAGTTGGGGAAAATCATTACGACACCATCAGCGCATTCCACAAATCTGTCCGTGGATCTGATGCAGATGCAGCCGTATTCTATTTGGTTCGTATGATTCATGGTGGTGAGGACCCACTTTTCATCGCAAGACGGATGATTGTGATAGCCAGTGAAGATGTAGGACTTCGGGATTCGTCGTGCTTGCCATTTGCTATTGCAGCTATGGAAGCCATTCAATTTGTTGGCATGCCCGAGGGCGAGATCATTTTGGCTCACTGTGCTGTGAAACTTGCCAACGCTCCAAAGTCAACTAAGTCATATCGTGCTTTAAGAGGCGCCCAAAGCTTGCTTAAAGAAAACCCGGATGTCATGAAACTCCCGATCCCAATGCATTTGAGAAATGCTCCAACGAAGCTTATGAAGGAGCTAGGTTATGGCGACACCTACAAGTACAACCCGAATTACAAGCATGGCAAGGCGGCTCAGGTGTACCTTCCTCCTGAACTCAAGGATACTAAATTTGTTGATGCCGGGCACTTTAGAGACGCAGATGAGGACGATATCTCTGCCGAGCAATACCAAGAGCTTGACAAGGAGCGCCAAACTTATGAGGATTATAAGAAGGCCAAGAGACAAAAGACTGTCGATGATAGAAACAAGCAACGCAGCCTTACACGCAAGGCCACAAGTAAGCTAATTGCGGATGACAGGCCAGAGAGATTAAGCAGTTATGACGAGTTTTTGGACAGAAGCGATCAACCGGAGTATTTTGATGGAACCGAGCGAGATAATTACTCTGATGACCCTGAAGCTTCGCATAATTTCGAATGCTCTTATGACGAGTTCGTTGATAATGGTGGCGAGAGGAAACACGCGCTGAACGTGAGCAGCCCTCTCGATTACCAAGAATCCCCGTCTCACTACCCTGATAGCCCTATTTATTACGATGAGATGACTACTTAATATGGGTCTCTGTATATACGCTGGAGGTTGCTCGAACAAACGGATCACTCACTGGATATCCGTATTCCGACTTTGATTTTGAGCTGAGTGGCTGTGGCATGCTGATGACCTTCGGTAGAACCAGCTTGTCCATGAGCTCGCGGATGGCTAGAATCGAGAGGCCCACAACGAAAAGCAAAAGCCAAACTCCTAGAAATACACATGAGACAATGAGCTCGATAAATAGCGACCTTTTGTAAGATTTGATGAGCTTGTCGCTTGAACTCTTGATAACGGACCCAATTCCACCGTCAGCGTCAGTCGTATCTTGTAAGGTATTAGTCATTAAACGCAGCATATCCTCTTCAGGTATTGAAGGAAACTCAATCTTCAAGTTTTCGTTGATCCATTGAAGACCATCCTCTATTTGCTCGAGTTTGCGGCCGATAGTGCAGTAGACAATGGTCTGTAAAGGTGAGGCAAAGGGGGTTCCACCGAATACTGAATTAATGGTTTCGTTGATGGAATTTTCAGCTTCAAGCAAGGTCTCGTATAGACCCTCGGAAGTGGTATCAATAGAGCCAAACAATGCTTCATTTAGACTTTCCAGCAGATTATCAAGTGCAAATTGTGTATCCGAAATGTACCCTTCGAAACTTCTTTGGGCGGTTGAGTTCTGAAGAGCTGCATTGTCTTGCGTGAAGAAGTTCTCAAGCTTGTTAGACGTAATAGACAAAGGCCAGTATTGGAGCCCAACTACCAACAATCCTGCTAACCCTATGAGGAGACAATTTGTCGCAGTCGAGGAGGAGATGTAATTGAGGAGCCACTTGACACGATAGTTGATATTGAGATTCATGATAAATAACCCGAGTCTATTGCGCTGCACTTCCAAAACATTACCAATTCTCTCTGGGCTATTTTCCAAGGTGAGTTCTTCAATGTGGCTCCTTCTTCTTCGGTATGAGCGATACATGAAAAATGTCAATATCATGACGAGAAGAAGAATTGACAAGCCAAGTGCCAAGAGTATCCATGAGCATGTAGAGTTGATGGACTTCTCGAGTTTTTGAAAATCAGCATCAAGTGAGTCGCAAGTGTTTCCTGATACACGATTCTGATAGCTCTTAATCTCATTAAGATTCAAAGTGGCATTGGAGGAAGTCATTGAGTCTACCTCCTTCCTGAGAACATCAATTGGCTTGGTGACAACTGACGTCAAATTGGAGAGGACGTCCTCATAGTCAGGAATTTTGTTTGATAAATCGGATAGGTCGTCAATAAATGTCGTTGGAATAGAAATGTTCTTGATGGTTGAAGCAGTCAAGTTCACCGTATCAACTGCCGAAGATATATCACTAGTATCGCTATCTGTGAAAAAAGACTTGATGCTTTTCATTGTGGTAACAAACCCGTTCACAACTGTCGAAAGACCGTCAAGAGCCGAATTGAAACCTTTCAAGAACTCGTTGACAACCAGCTCGACCGCCTCCGTTATGGTTCTCGTGGCATCTGTCACTATATCAAGAGCACCTTTCACAAAAGCTGTACAGAGGCAAGTGAATGTGCCCAAGTAAACCTCAATCATGAAACCAATAAGGCCTTTCAAAATTGCCAATGCTAGGTGAATGAGCATGCGTAGCTGTCCTAAAAGGTTGTTGATGAACTGCTCAATTATGTAGTTAGTCAATTGAGAAATAGCTTCGGGAACTTGATCTGCTTGCTTCAGTAGGCGATCCATCGATTGGCACATTTGTTCCGCTTGAGCCTGGCAGGCTGATAATCCTGTGAGCAAGGCATTCTTGAACAATATCACCTTGACTATGAGTAATACGAGGACTATCACGTATTTGTCAAGCCAAATCTGACTGACTTGTTCTGCAAAATTAAGGTAAAAGCGCATATGTGCTGATTGGGGTGCAACCCTGCCACACTTATAGTCCAGACCATCTGATGAATCTTCAAACACGGCTGAAACATATGGTATGCACGGCTATAATATGCCCCACAAACTGACGTCCGTTTTCAAAATAAAGAGAAAAATCTCGTAAACTCAAAATCTTAGGCCCACAGTAGAGAATTAAAGGTAAGTAGTAGCAGTTCAACACAATGGCATTTTGCAACTTTTATGTGCTGCATGACTGTAGGTGTTTCGCTGTCACATCAGCAGTACTTTTTTGCGCCAGCCTCAAGAAAGTTAAACTTTTAAATTGAGTGAAATTACAGGGAACTCGTTATTGTTCTTGGATGTTCCAGCAGTCTTGTCTCTGTAGTGTTGTAAAGACGTTTCTAGATGGTGCGTCTCATGCAAGTTCCAAGATATGTAAGCCAAGTACAGACAAACAAACATGTACCACAACACAGGAGCCTGCTCTATCATCTATAGCCCCCGAATATAACGTTTTGACTAAACAAATCCGTAAAATTCGCCAGAAAGGTTGGAATTGAAATTTATAGTACTATCACGTGACTTGCATCACATGACACACAGCATGTGACGTACGTAGCACTCACACGACCCATGGAACCAATCAAAGTGACGTAGTGACATACTATGCAGTATTCATGTGGCTTGCCACGTTGGTTAGCAGCAAAGCGACCTAAAGAAAAGAAAAGGGAAGCAAATTCAACAATAGAGGGAAGAAAATCCTGCATATAATCCCGGTGTGGGATTGCCAGGCGATAAACAAAAACGCTCAGAGAACCATCTCTTGATATCAACCAGTACAACAAGAACCATGTCTGAGCAGCCCAAGGAAGAGAAGACGGACAGCACTCACATCAACTTGAAGGTCAGTGACGGCACTGCCGAGATCTTCTTCAAGATCAAGAAGACCACCCCCATGAAGAGATTGATGGAGGCCTTCTGCAAGAGACAAGGTAAGTCGATAGAATCTTTGAGATTCTTGATTGACGGAACCCGTGTTTCTCCTGACAACACCCCGAGGATCTTGACTTGGAGGATGGCGATGTCATCGAGGCTCATCGTGAACAGGTTGGTGGTTCAAGGTAAGGTAAATACACTGTGTAAATGTACAAAGATTTTGGAAGTGTTTTGTAAACAACGGGTGGCAAAGAGGAGAGGAGAAGAAACGGTGGCCCACTCCAGCAAAAGTTGACAGCCGTAGGTAGACAAGGACTGCCTTGTAGAATGGCGTAGTAGTGCCGATAGGAGGGGAGTGTTTGGCGAGGCGAGAGAAGGTTGGCGTGACGCAACAATGTAGGTGGGTTTCAGAAGCGAAGAGTTTAAAACGGTATTTTGAGTATAGTTCTTTCTCCAGGCGGTGATTGAAATGCTGTTTGGTAGTTGGTATCGCAGCCGCACACATTTGCAACCATTAGGTGGCCCTGACATACCTAAGGGAACATGACGTTGCAGGAGAGAGATTTAGTTTAGCCGTTCAAAAACAACTAACGAATTCATGTGATAACGTCAACGAGTTCCTTGGGTGGAGGCGGTCATGCTGGCCCAATCTGGGGTTCTGTGGGGCCAATACGGGTCTTCAGAAGAGCAGACCCTCCCTGGTTGGAAGGCCCCTCATGAAAGAAGCAAAAACCAGAAACTGTCTGTGGGGCCTCGCATTCACAAACTTGGGCTCCTCAATTTGGCCTCCACAGTCGGCCTCCACATTTCACGTCCAATGACCATGAAAACCACCAAGCGGGGCCTCCCTGGACCATGTGGCTTGGACCGCCTCTACAGCTTTTTAACTGACACTACAACTATTCTTTAGCTTGAAAAGTGCCTTAAAATGACTTGTTTTGAGAAAGCTTGAAAAGAGCCAAATGACGAATCGATGCCTCTTCCCCAGACTGCCCCAGACTGCCAAACTGCAAGATGCAGATATTCTGAGACATTGGAGGCGGCTACGGAGGCAAGGAGGGGACCCCTTGGAAAACAAAGGAAAAAACGACTCTCCCTGACCTGGCACCTAGACCCTGAGGCCCCGCCCGGACCTTAATGTCCGCCCGTGACGCTGCCCCTTCGCAACCGTGGTGCCATTTTCCAGTGCGGTAGAAGTCGAACTGTAATCCGGGGAAATTTTTCAAAACAGGACATCCCTTCAATTTTTGATCTTTTAATTCGAATAAAAGAAGAAAGGGTGCCTGCCTCAACGGTTGCCAACGGCGCCAGGGTTACGGAGTTCGGATTTTCTGTTTTTCCTGGGGCGCCTTCCCCAGCTTTCACGCTCGGAAGAACGGATGTGCCTCGGCTCAACTTACGTCAGACGAGCTCTTGCACCAAAACGCTCCGTCACTTCCCGGTCAAAGTATAAAAGGCGCTGCTGCCACTGATTTTCTGATTTGTTTTCAAAAAAGCTAACAATGTGTTCTCCAGCTATTTGCGGCATCTGCCACCACAAGTCTTGGACCGGCTGCGGTTCCCACGTTTCCAACGTCATGGACACCTCTTCCAGAGAGGACTGGTGCACCTGTGAGCCTATCGACGACTCCTCTGACCTGCTGTACCCACCCAGAGCAGGCACTGGTTTCGCCAAGGCCTCGCCACCAAAATAGGCGAATCCAGAAGAAGAACAGGAGAGTTTTGGGGTGTTTGGGGCGGCGAGGGGCCGCGGTACATAGGTAATTCAGGACTTTGATAACGCAGTGTAGGTGATTCTACAATACATAGAGATTTAGTGAGTTGGCATTGTTCAGTGACTCAGATTGGTGGATTTTACGTGATCCATGGCATTTGTGCTGGAAGTGTCGGTTTGCTATCACCGGCTGTAACCGGATCATCTAGGTGCTGCCGGACATTTGCTCAACGGTTTCCAGGGCTTCTGGCAGGCTTGTGACAGTATACCGAGGAGCCAGCTGTGCGACCTGTCCGGGCTTACCGTATCAGCTGATGTTTAAAATTTTGGATTTTGATCGGCAGTTTTTTTTTTTTTTTTCTTTTTTTCTGGTTGTAAAAGGCTGTTGCCTCATGTTTCTTCAACAATGGCTGCGAAACGACCTTTGAAGCTCCATATCTCAACAAGACCATAGCACCTACCGCTGTATCATGATACTACATCTGTATTTTGTGCTCCACAGGCTGCTCAGTCTGCTCCACAGGATGCCTCGGTTCCGGGCCACCTCGGGAACTTAGCATGCTTTGCAGCACCTAACCTTGTCAGATCAAATGCGAAAGCTAGCTGTGTTGCTTTTCCAGAACGTGCTAGAGTTTCACAAAACACGGAGTTCGGACCATTTGCGTGTCGGAGAGATCCGGGCCCGTCAGAGTCCGCCATGTGGAAGAGCTGATAAGCGTAGAGTCAGTGCATGTGAGGCCGGCCTGAACATAGGCAGGGTAGGGTGAAGTCAGAGGGTGCTACAGTGGAAAAGATATTTACATTATAGCATTTTGGCTGATAGTGGCCCAATTCACAAATAACAACGAAAAAAGCAGAACTCAAAGTACCGACGCTGCCCCACTCTTATCTCTCAAGCCACTGTGATATCAAATAGGTCAGATTGGCTGCGAAACAGCTTCATTTCCTCCCGCCGACCCACCACTCCCCGCCTCTGCAAACTCTCAAAGCCTCTCGAACTAACCAACGTTTTTTGAACTTCACTTTTGACCCGCCAGCACAAACTTAATAGTACGACCGTCTCCAGCTACTATAGGTCTGGTGTACGGGTTTCCTCCTACCCTCTGCCACCCCGTGCTTCCCAGCTTTACCGCTTCAGGAAGCCTTCCATGCCGCGGCTTCATATGAAGAATTCTTCCCCAGCTTTTGCGCGACCGTCCCAAAATTTCTGTCCTGCAGACAAGCCGACGTCACTCGCATTGCTCGTCTGTTTCTCACGTTCACTCGTGCTCACTTAACGAGGCCTGGCAATCTGCATCCGCCAGGCGCCAGATACTCGCCACATTAACGCCGTTCACATAAAACCACACGTACCTTTAGCAGGAAAAAGAAATTTAAAAACCCCGCCGCACCCCTACACCCCCACCGTTCTATTTTTATTAAAATTAAAGCCCTGGCGCCCGCCGTAGACCCGTACACCCTCCCCTGAGACATCACAGTCCTGCCAGCTTTCGAGCATTGTTCGTGCCCTGTCCTGTGTCCCTCACTCGTGCTTGTTTTTAGCCCTCGCCACATCCTTCATCTTTCCTAGCATCACCGCTTCAATTACTCCACCCCACCACGAGCCCTGCCTCAAATCCTCCGAGTCATGAGTCTTAGGTTCCCGGACTTTCTCGGCTCGCTGGGCATCCAGCCGCCCAACGGCTCTGGCGACACAGCCCAGCCTTCGAAACAGCAAATCCACCACCATCATCCCAAGGACTCAGATTCTGAGCAGTTTGCTCCCGACACGGCTCCCCAGCAGCAGCCTCACCAGGATCCCGGTCTTGACTCTAATCTTGACTTTGATCTGCTTCTCAAGTCAAAACTATCCGCGTTGGGCAACAGATCTGACAACCTAGACGACCTGAACCTGGCCTCCTACTCCAACTCGTTTTCTCCCTTGGCCGGCGCCCACAATGGCTTTGCGCTTGACGGCAGCCCTAATATCCCTGGCCTAACCGACTTTGGGCCTTTCCACACCCAGAAAAACACTTTCCACTTGCCCTTGGAGTTGCAAGGCGGTATCGGCAACATCTCTTCCAGGAGACCCAGTTACGCTGCAGAGCTGTTCACCCGCTCCCAGCAGCCGTCGCTGTCGCTGCCCTCCCAGCAATTCTCCGGCCCCGCCTCCTCCGCCTTCCACCCTTCCACGGCGACTTCCAACAAGAACTCTTTGGCGTCTTTCGCAGCGGCCAACAACTTCTCCATGAACACCTCCCAGCAGCAGCAACAACTGCAACAACAACTGCAGCACCGTGGTTTGACCCTGGGTGCTCTGTTCCAGTCCAACTTGGGCCAAGATGCACTTGCCGATTCGCTTCTGAATTTCTCGCTCAATACGAACTTGTCTGACTTTCAAGCGAGAAGGCCCTCACAATTGGCCGACTACCAGGCTGTGCCCCAGCAGCAGTTCTATCCTTCTTTCCACCCACAGCTGCTGCCGTTTTTCTCATCCGGACCGGCCTCATTATCGTCATTCCACTCTGGTTCCTATCAGCAGGCTGGTTCTGCTGGTATGAACATGGGTGGTGCTCCTCCAGCACAGAACCAGGGCTCGCCGTTCACGAGCTCGAGCTCTCAGGTGAGCGGCTCGAACGTCGACATTGCTGCCTACGCCCAGGCGCTTCCTGGCCAGACTGTTAAATTAGACAATGGGCTCTTGTTGAAGGACCAGTATATTATGGCCTCCCCCGAGCTCAAGCAGCAGTTCCTTTCGGCGATCAAATACTTCCAAGATGTTGATTTGAGCGACAAGATATTGAAGAAGTTGCAAGAGCTTCTAGGCAACCCGGTTATCAGAAAGTTGATCACCTTCGTCAAGAACTTGAACAACCTCACGTTCAATCACAAAATGTTGTGTCTTGTGGTGAACAAGAACGGCAAGCTCGACTTGTTGTCTTACCCTAGCAGCTCAAACATCTTTCTTGAAAGAGACAACCTAGTAATTGTTGATGGTGACAGAGGCAAAGACTTGGTGATGATTTTAGAGCCTTTGGTGAATTTGGAGTTTGCAATCCTTTTCAACTTCCTCAAGAAAATCGAGCATTTGAAGTCCTTGACCATCAATGACGCCAATGGTGGTACATCGGTCAAGGGCAATCACAGTGGTGGTACACATTCCACATCTATGGACGCATCCACAATCATTAACAAACATTCGAACGAGGACAATGAGTTTATTATTACACTACCCACAAAGCAAGTGTTGCGTTTTGCCACGCCGAAAGAGATACAAAAATTGAGCGGCAAGTTCTTGGAAGAGAAAAAGGCATTCATCACTTGTTTCAACAAAATTAAGGAGTTAGGACTCAATAATGATTTGACGCTTATCAACGTCGAGTATCAATGTGATTTCAAGAAGTTGATCTTCTATTACTATGCTGGTTTCAAACGGATCGATTTCCGGGGTTTAATTAAGGAATTGTTCAAGATATACAAGACACGGATCTGGTTATGTGCTGTCTTACCATACGATAGAAGAGAGCTCTACACAAACTTGGCAAAGGAGAATACAGGCGGCGAATTGTCTACCCTTGGTAGCATTCCAAAAGAATACGAGTTGTCCAACGAGCAAATCTTGAACTTCTCGGTCAAGGAGTTCAACAAATTGCCCAAGCCCACGTACTTCCACCTGCGCAACATGTACAGTTTAGTGCTCAACCTTGAGAGTGACCTTAAAGGCAAGTTTTACGGTTTCACCCAGATGAGCGACGCTGGTGTTGCAGAGCATAATGCAGGTGCGGGTACACGGTCTGGCACTACAAGAACCGACGATACCGCCAACTCCAGCCCTGGTGGAAAAAACAGTAAGCTGTTCCGCAAGAATTCCTACCAGATCCCCCGAATTTCGATCCCTTTGGTGGACACAAAAATGTATAATCTGACGGGTTTATAGAAAATTATGATAGAGTTAGCAGGCTTGGCTTTATGTAGTCGCGGCCAGTGCTACATAGTAGAAGATCGGGCCCCAGTTACGTGAACGAAACCTCCTTTTCTCCTCACCATGACTTTGACCACATATATAAGGCTGAAAAGATTCCGAAACTATGGTGTCGATTGGACCGTCACGCTCGTTGTTTTGACTTACTTCTTCTTGGTGGCCGAACATGCCAAACCTTTCAATCGTCAATTCAAGCTCAACGATCACACGATCCAACACCCCTTTACCCACCATGAAAGAGTGACTGGACCAATGTGTCTTCTTTTAGCTGCTCTTGTTCCAACCATTGTGATGACAACAGGAAGCTTTTTGAAGCACCGCAAGAACAAAGATCAGGCTTTGCACTTGTTGCAAGTCTCCTTGCTTGGGTCTGTTTTAACTGTCAGCGTGGCCGGTGTCATTACTGACATTTTGAAGAACTGGGTCGGCAGACCACGTCCTGATTTCTTAGAGAGGTGTGGTGCCCCTGAGGGGACTCCTATGGATGTTTTTGTGGATATTTCGGTCTGCACTGCTCCGCTAGGCGAGTTGCGTTTGATCGATGGTATGAGACTGACGCCGCTGGGCCATTCGCTGATTTCATTTTCGGCGTTTTTGTTTTTGGCAATGTGGATTTTCGGCCAATTGCAGCTCTCCGTGAACGTGGCCTCAAAGCCTGTTTACTTGTATATTCTCAGTTTATTGCCGCTCATTTTGGCAGCCTATGTGGCACTCTCTCGAGTCCAGGATTACAGACATCACTTTCTGGACATAGTGCTGGGCATGCTCATTGGCTGTACCGTGGCTGCAGCCATCTACAGAAAATACTTCCACTCCTTGTTTGTCGAGAGCTCCCACGAGATCAACGGCGAGGAAGAAGCCGGCATCTTGCCCACTTGATTGTCGACAACACTATAAGACCAGTTTGGCGCTGTACCACTGTTGGGGCTCAAACAGCCTCCAATTGATCTACTGGCCACCCGAGACATCCAGACCATCTTTATAACGAACCTTTTGCGGCTCTAGACACCTTATCGCTGAAGTAGCTTCGTTGTCACGGATACGTCTCGCATTAGCACTCTAGCGAGAACTTCAAAGCCTATATCAGCAATATATGCATTAGCGACTAGTCCCCACCAACATCAAACGTAAGCCTTGGCTGCCAGAAACAAACTCCAAATTTCTTTTGCTTCGCCCCTTTTTTATTATTCTGCAGCTCCTCTGTCCTTTATGTTTTGGTGGCCAGCTCCCCATGTTTCAGAATGCACCCAAGTGTCTCAGATGCGGTGCAGGCGAAACCATTTTGCAGCCAATACTCTTAGCCACCAATATAAACCCGAAGGCTCCTCAATTCCTTTTTTAAACTTCATATCATGACTACCGTCTACCAAGTTGTCTACGACACTGTTTCTCTGGCTGTGCTGCTGGGCCTGGACTCAGATACCACCATCACCTTGCTCACTACTATCAGAACGACTACCTATGAGCCGATCTCGACCACTGCTACTGCTTCACAGCTGGCAGAAATGATGGAGCCTTCAATCAAAACATCCACTCTGTCCTCGACTTCATCTTCTACTCATGCATCGCTGACTTCTTCTCTCAAGTTGGCTCAAACTTCCTTGGCTTTGACAGAAACGATAACTGAACCCGGCTCCAATACAAGCGGAACAAAGCTAGGATTGGCAATCGGCATACCAATTGCGGTCATTTCGCTTTTCGTGCTTGTGGCATTGGGATGGGTGTTTTTGAGGAAGAAGATCCGGTCAAAGTCCACTGAGTATTTGACCTATGATGCTGAAGAAGCATACGGAGGGAAGCCTACTTTTGAAAGAAGAAAGAATCTTCCAACATCGACTGAAACAACTGAGAAGAACCCACCACGTTTTTTGAGCCGCCTCTCCAGAATGGTCAATCCTGAATGGATCCTGTCCTTGGACTTGAAGCTGCCTGTGTTCATGAAATCATTTAACTTGAAGAAAGAAGAACCAGAAGAGAAGCAGGAAGAAAATCTGTCTGTGCCAGGGTACAAATCCAAAAGACCTCCTTCGCTAGATTTGTCTAAAGGCTCCGTGAGCTCGGTGGAAAATGTTTCATCAGATTCGAAGCTCGTGGTTATCAAAGCTTATACAAAATCCCAGGCTGGAGAAATATCCATCGTTGTTGGAGACCTTGCTGTGATGAACTTCCACAAAGGAAATGAAGCTCATATTAGTCTTCTCAACAGAGAAGGCTACGGTTTTGTTCCCATGAACTGTCTTCGCAAATATTGAATTTTTTTTGTCCGTATGGATACTTATAATACACATCTTGTAATGTTACAAATAGGCCTCGATGGGTCTAGTAGGGACGCTGGTAAGCGTTCTGTTGGCCATTGGGCTTGTATCGTTGATAGTGGCCGTATTGTCCATCAGGGCCTGGGGAGCAGCGCGGTGTCCCGGCTGGGCCTCGTATTGATACACTTGTTGAGCATCACCATAAGAGCGAACGCTTTGTTGGCTCAAGTTTTGATGCATGGGTGCCTGGGGTTGCATGCCACTGTTGTATTGGTGGGGTGCCCTTTGGAGCGGCTGCTGGTATCCTTGTTGTGGTGGAGGTGCTTGATAATTCTGAAAAGCTCTCTGCTGGTAAGGATGAGCGCCACGCTGCTGGTAGGGATGTGGATGCTGTGGATGTTGTGGATGCTGTTGGTAGTGCTGAGGTGGTCCATGCTGCGTTGGAGGAGGCAGTCTCATAATCTTGGGTTGTGACACACTAGGGGAATACCGGAGTAACCGTGGGCCTGAGGTGGACGCTGCTGGTACTGAGGATGCTGCTGGTACATGTGCTGAGGGCCTGGACCCGGTGGCATCTGCTGAACAGGCTGCTGAACGGGTTGCTGGGGAGGAACTCTGAAAGCAGCTGTTGGGGCAACAGTTGGGGAAGATTCATCGTTCTTGGGTTCAGTGACAACAGTGGATGGGATAGCCTGGCTCTGTTGAGGTGCTGGGCTGCCCGCTTGAGGCGCTGGACTCTTGGTCTGGGGAAGAGAGTTCTGCGAGCTGTTGGGCGACAGGATGTAACGAGGTCTGTTGTGCTCCAGTGGTGCTGAGAGCTCCAGAGTCAAGTTCTTCGAAGGCCTCGATTTCTGGAGTGAGATTTGACGTGGGTCCTGCTGCTGGCTGTATTGGCCTTGCAGAGCTTGCTGAATGTGCTGCCCATATTGGCTTTGCGAAGAGCCCTGGCTCTGGCCATAAACCTGATTGCCTTGAGGCGCCTGGCGCTGAACAGGGGCATTGTCATTGAGGTTGAGATGCTGAAGCTGGGGAAGCTGGTTTGCACGAGGAATAGAACCCTGATGTTGTTGCCCATAGGCATATTGACGAGGGGGATCTTCGTCATCGCTCTCCTCTTCTTCAGAAGATTCTTCTTCGCCACTGCTGCTTTCAAACTTTTCGTTGCGCAAAGGCCCGTCGGTTTCAACAGTCTTGGAAAACTGCTTGTTGAACTCGTTATATTGAGTTGTAGGAGACTGGACCAGCGACATACTGCTGTTCCTCTTGTCATAGCCTGGCACCTGCAAGCTTGCAGAAGGCAATGGTGGTTCTTTCAAGCTCTCTGTAGACTCCTCGTCTTCCTCTTCAATGTCGTCCTCACTCTCACTCTCACTTCCAAGCAAGCCCTTATCAGTGGTTGGGTAAATACCACCACGCATCAATGACTTCTTTCTCATGAGAGTTGGAAGCTTGTCCTCCTCAATCTCCTCGGCACCACCCTTCAAGATCTCGTTTCTATCGTGGAATCTATCGGAGGGGCTCTCTATAGTGGAGTACTTTTGATAGATGTCTGCGAGTTGGACAGACTTGTGTGGGTCGGCCATACCAGCAAGACCAGCACCAGCGGCGGCACCAAATCCAGCACCAATAGCACCAGGAGCCAAGCCTTGCTGGTTGCGTTGCTGAGGTGTGTTGACCGACAAGTTGTGAACGTTCTTGTTAAAGCTTTGGTCAGTTTGTTTCATGACTGGATCTGGACCAGGTGGAGGTGGTCTGTGACGCTGAGGCAGACGTTGAGGCAGGCGCTGGTACTGCTGCTGTTGTTGTTGCTGCAAATGCTGGCTTCTTTGAGCCTGAGCCTGAGGTGCGCTGCGAGCTTCTTCGCCAGGACGACCCATTGGTTGAGAAAGAGGGTGAATAGCATTTCTAGTCTTCTCCACCTTCTGAGGGTTAGGCGACTCGTGTAGGTTGTTGGAGGGCATGCGAGACGTTGTAGGGCTGTTTCTGGGACTCATCGAGTTCAAAGCACCCATGTTGCCTCTGGAGCTTCCGCAACCGTTGTAACCTTGAGCAAGCTTTGACTTTAAAATACGCTTGATGTTCTCTGTCCACTTACCGTGATCCCAGCCCATAAATGCGTCGGTACCGGTAAGCGGGTGAAGATCGCCTACCATAAGGTAATGCACGCGAGGCAAGGTAGGCAAACCGAAAAGAAGGGAGTCTGGGTCGAGTCTGTCGGCTTTAAGACGCTTTGGACGACCGTAGAGGCCGAATGCATCAAGCAACGGTATTAAGAATCTGATCAAAGTGTCATAACCCGCAACAGCGGAGTGTTGTTCTGGCATGAGGAAAAGAGACGTTTCTTCAGACTGAGCAGCAGACTTTTTGGACTTTTTAGTCGACGGCAGCGAGAAGTTGATTGCACCTTCAAGCTTCATGATGGTACTCTTGTCAATAAAGAACGGCAGCTGTGGGTAGATGGCGGTGACCATGGAGGCCGAAGTGATAGTTCCTAGTAAGCTCTGCTTCTTCATCTTCTCGTTATCATAGAGCAACACACGGCCCAGCGTGAACTTGTTTTTCTTCGACTGCGAGGGCTCAATCACAGCGTAACAGCGTTTCCAGGCCATGCCTGAACCGTAACGGATCTTGACCCAGTCAGAGTGGTTGTAGCGCTTCTCGGCCAAAATGGTCCTTATATCGGAAAGACGAGAACCACGAGCCGAGAGCAAAGCACCCGTGTACGCCTCCTGCAAAGAATTGTATTCGTAGGTGGCCAAGCGAAGGCCAATGTACCATTCAGCCAAGGTTTCGTAGGATCTGAACTGGAGGATGAATCTGTTCTTCAAAGTCGTGGATACGATGATCACGTTTTCAAGCTGCTGCTTGGCCGCCGGAAGTACACGCATGGCGTTAAAGATAGCATCAGTGAAGTTCAAGTACTTGGGTTTGGACGATGTTTCGAAAAGCTGTTCTGGCAGGTCTTTGAAGCGAGCCAAGTTGGCTGCGTCCCAGTACGCCAACTGGGTGCCTGTAAGGATACCGTACACCTCCTTCCACTCACGGTCACCCGCCTTGCCGTCACTATTGAGATCAGAATACAACATGAAGATTCCCTCGTGGTAGCGTCTGTGAGCTTGAGCGGACAACAAGGTGACTATGGGCACGAGTTCTGGGGAGATTTCGCCATCGGCACCAGAGGCCTGATCCGGAGAAATCAGCCTAAGCAGAGAAGCCGGCTCTTCACGAGAAGCCAGCTTTCTCGGCGACAAGTTGAGCTTCATGGTGAATCTGGGGACAAACGTTGGGTTGATCTAGGGTAGGATTATGGAAGAAGGCCTGGTGCAGGGGTTTTTATTCTCTTTTTTATGTGGGGCCTGTTCACAGACAGGCGAATAAGGTTTAAGGAAAGCTGGCTGGAAAGTAAGTCCGGGGAGGAAGCCAGAAAAGCTCGAGTATATAGCTTATCACGGGGCAGAAACACCAGTTTGGACGAAAACAGTGCAGCGCGAACTAGCAGAAAAAAATTAGTCTCAAGACGCACAGAGAGATGAAAACAGACACGAACCACCGCGGCGGTGCGGAAGGGCGCCGAGAACCCACAGCCTTGGTAAAGAGCCCGATGGGGATTTCCAATTTTTTAAACACTTTTTGCACAATGCATTTTGCAAAAAAATCTCTAGATCAGTTGGGCTTGACGCCAGCCTCTCAGTAAGTGCCCGCTAAATCGCTGCAAGGACGTTTTAGGCAGACCTCGCATGGCCCGCTCGCCCACTCTGGTATCGCATTTGCCCTTTTCAGGCTGCCCAGAGCCTCACCCTAGTAAGCATAATGCTGCCGGGAGGGACGGAGAAGACAAGAATCCATGGGGCAGAGGCCTGAATGTTTGGACTAGAAATCCTGGCCCTAAATTTCTCGGCTCCTATTGGCTCGCCATGTCGCTTTTTTGGACCAGGCTTGACCTTTCGCTTTCGCAGCTTGGCCCATTGTCCACAGTAAGCTAAACACAATGCTGGGCGTCATGGCCGTTGAACATGGAGACCCAGCAAATCTTGCCGTGCTGAACTGCCTCCATCTGTGCTGCATCTGCCAATGACGTTGCTGAAAGCGACCCGAAAAGCCTCCATGGCTGAAGCCTCCATGTGAACACTCGTATGAGCCTCTGCGAATTACCAGAAGCCTTGCCAACACTGCCCCAAAACAGCCAGCCAGCACTGCTGACGATTCAAACTCTAAAAGTCTAATCCTCCTCTCGGCAGATATTTTTTCGTTAAGAACCCTATGGCTCTGCCTCGTCCTTGCAAAAGCGGCTATTTTGCAGCCAGACCGCACCTCGTTAATGCAATCTCTGCTTTAGGCCCCGCGGTTCAAGAAGCCCCCATCCACACGGCTGCTTCCATCTGTTATCTCTATCTATCTTGACGTCATCTCTACGCGACTCTGGTTTTGTCCACCACAACACGGCCATTGCACCAAACCCTCACGCAGTTGCGATCATCTCCAGCGAAAACCCACTTGTAGAGAAGGTTGAGGATCTTGTCTTGCACAGCCTCGGGTTTGTCGTTGCCGTCGGGTCTCTGGAAATCAAAAACGTCCACATTGGTGCCGGGAACGTCGAGGTCGATCAATTGAGCATCGAACTTCTTGCCTGCCTCCAAAGTACCAACAGCATTGCCCAAATTGCATGCTTTGGCGCCTCCCACGGTAGCCATGTAAAGTGCCTCGGCTACGCCTATCTTGCAGTCTTTTTCGGCGTCCATTGCCAAGTGGTGAGACACCATAACCAGGGCCCGGGCTACCCCAAGAATAGACTGCTCATAACCGCCGGCAAGATCCGTGCCCAACGAGATGTTGATGCCGTCTTCGTGAAGATACTTCTTTACGGGCGCTTCTCCACTTGTGATGAACGTGTTCGAGCTGGGGCAGTGTGCAAGCGATGTCTTCTTGGATTTGATAAGCTCGAGCTCAGGACCAGTCAAATGGATTCCGTGAGCCAAGATCGTTCTCTCGTTCAAAAGCCCGAATTTATTGTACACAGACGTGTAATTGGGGCATTCGGGGAACAAAGACTGGACCCACGAGATCTCGTCCTTGTTCTCAGAAACGTGTGTTTGAACAGGCAAGTCATACTGCTTCACCATTTGTCCCAATTCCGTGAGAAGTTCACTCAGACACACTGGAGCAAAACGTGGGGTTACGATGGGACAAACCAAGGAGCAGTCCACGCCCTTGGACTCCAACTTGTGGCAGTGATCCACCAATCTCTTCATGTTTGCAACCGTTTCCTCTAACGTTTCCTGGTACGAAGGAAACGAGTCATTGCAGTCCATGCAGACCTTTCCCACAAAAGCCCTCTGTCCCTTTTCGGCGGCCAAGTCTGCAAAAATCTCGGTGGTTTCTGTGTTGACCGTGGTGAAGTAGGAAGCACAAGTAGTACCATTCGACAAGGTCCTGTCGAGAACCTTATTGTAAACATCCCTGGCTAAACGTTTTCCCTCCTCTGAGCCATTGAGCTTCAGTTCAAGCGCAAATGTGTGGTTGTTAAGCCAGTCAAGCAAGGGAAGATCAGACCCGATGCCGATGTTAGGGTATTGGGACGCGTGGATGTGCGTGTCAATGAAGCCAGGCATGAGGAAGGAGGCCAGTTTATGAGAATTGTCAACAAAAGCAACCTCTTCGTCTTTGACGTTACCGCCCGATTTGACGAGTTCAAGAGCCTCCTCCTTGGAAGAAGCCTTCTTCACGAACTCGATGGTACCTTGTGCATTGATCCCAACGTAGTGATTCAAGAGAATCTCGATTGATCCAAGCTTAGGCGTGTGGACAATATTGCCGTAGTACAAGGTATACATGTTGAAAGAAGGTGGTTGAGGATTAGGGGAATTGGTCAGAGATAGCCTTGGCTTGATGAAGATAGTGCGATAGTGCCGCGGAAGAGCCTCGGAGAGCGGAATTTGGAAAAGTGGTGATTTTCGGTGGTTTTGGAAAAGGGAGATCCTGGTTGTGCTAATTGGGTTGATCTTTGCATTTGTGGAGTGTTGGACGTTAAAGGCTCGTGAGGGGTTGGTTCTGGTTGTGTGCTAGAAACGTGGATCACTAGGATGTATGAGAGCATATAAGGAATTCGGCTGTCCGATGAAGGTAAGAGATAGTCTCTTCGACTCTTTCTAGCCTAGTCAGTTTGACGTTGATTCTCGGGGGTGACCATCCACGTTTGACTGTCTTGCATCATGTAAATGGGGTGGTTCGAAATGGTTGCAAAAGCGCAATGGGTCTAATGGAATTGCTGTTGTTTTTGAAGTTTCCAAGAATAAATATTATAGTATTCACCCTCATAAAATCAAATTGGATGCCTTTTCGTGAGTTTCTGAGATGCCTCCTTGTTATAGCATAAGAAGCTTGTTTAGTATGAGAAGCTTGTTATAGCATGAGAAGTAGTATGGAGCAGAGTAGTGTGTTTATCTCAAATAGCTACAATTATGTGCTTCAGGATGAAGCTTGCAACAATCCTTGCATCTTAGAAAATCAACTCCATTTACCTTTGTTTCATAGATGTCCAGACTGTTGTGTACTACTTGTGTCTATGCAAAGTAAGTAAACTTGATGCTCATCTCTTAACTTGAGAAAGGGTAGTTCCCATCGGGACAAACGAATACCGTTGGAAAAAGACCAATGGCCTGGATCTCAAACTGTAAGATTGCGCTTGATATGGAAGAGCTCAATCTGTAAAGAGTACTTCGACAAGTGGTGTCAATTAAGACGGAGACGTAGAGCAGTAAGCCGTGCTAATTTGAAGACAGGCGAAGACTTCACTTGATCTCTTCATCATTATAACCATAAGCCTTCAACCCCCTCTTCCTACCACTGATATGGAAGCCCCACACAAAAGCCACAAAAGCATAAAACGTCTTCAACGGCGCCAAAGCCCCTTTCAATTCAGTGCCTTATAAGTATCTTCATTGAGCCAAGAAATCAATCAAATCTTTCTATGCCATTGTCGTTACGCATCTACAATTTGAGCATCTACAGAAAACAATCGAGGGTATGCAAAATCAACTTGAGTTATATCCTTGTTTTGAGGGAAGCCACACGCTGCTCCCCTAGAAAGCGAACTAAAAACTTACAACAAAGCACCAACAACACCGGCAATGGCAGCAGCGAAGGAAGCAGCCTTGACTGGAGCACCAGCCTCGAAAGAGGAGACGCCGGCAACGGAGGTTGGAGCCTCGGAAGAGGAGACGCCGGCAATGGAGGTTGGAGCCTCGGAAGAGGAGGCCTCCTCAGCCTCAGACTGGGTGGAGGTGGCCAATGTGGATGGAGCAGCGGTGGTCTCGGCGCTGGCTGGAGCCTCGGAGCTCACGAAAGAAGAAGCAGCAACTGAAGAGGAGCCAGAAGCAGCAGCGGAAGAAGCCGACGAGGAAGCAGCAGACGAAGCGGCGGAAGAAGAAGCGGAGGACGATGCGGAAGAAGACTCGGAGGAGGAGGACTCGAAAACGGAAGAAGAAGAGGCCGAGTTTCCAGAAACATCGTGGCCTTGCTCCTTACAAGTAGCCTCGAAAGCATCCTTGGCAGTCTCGGCATCGCCGCTAGGGCATCTGTCATCCAAACATTGTTCAACCTTCTCTCCAATGGAGGTACAGATGCACTCCAAGTCAGCCAAGCTGTTGCACTTGGAGTTCTTCTCAACCTCTGCAACGCAAGCCAACAAACAGGCTGGAGGAGTAGCCATCACCTGAGAGACGGAGGCGGCCAAAGCAGCAATAGCGGTAAATTTCAAGCCGTACATCTTTTTTCTATAGTTTAGCGAAAGGAACCGAAAAGGGTGGTGTAGCGTGGTGGAGAAAAAAACCGATGTTTTTTGGATGGTGAAAACCTAGACTGGAGTGAGGTGGTGATCGCTAATGTTTGGATGCTTGTGTACACTCCTGGGCCCATAGTTAAAGGCGAGTGCGCTTCCAGACTGGGCTAAATTTAGCTCGGTTCTAGGTGGAAACAACAATGTCACGTGCCAATGTTTGGCAATGTGATCCGTTTTTGACACTCGCAACACTTCTTGTTAAGGAATTTTCTGGCAGATAAGGCTCTGCTCATAGGCCTTCGGCCATCTAGACCTAGGTTTTCAACGAACTCAAAAGCTGTCATTTAGAGTTCGGATTTCACCTCGTGAAGTCGTAGGCAATTTCACACTCAAATATGTTCAATCTAGCGATAGTCAAACACACAAAACTTATTTTAATTCATCGGGACCGTCACCGTAATTGAAGCCAATTTCGCAGCCATTACTACTATAGCCTGACTTTGGCTGTGACTCCCTGAATTTGCAACAAGATCTGGCCGCTGAATTCGCCCACTTGAACCATCATGTCTGACTTCACCACCACTTCCAACTCTCCGTTCAATGCTCTTCTCAAGATATCGCCTCCAACTCCAGATCCAACTTTGTACGGAATTCGCTTGGTACGGAAAATACCAGGCGGAATCACCATATCACCGACGTTATCCGCATAAGCTAGTACATGATCCTCGTAAATTGCCTGACACAGCAAAAGGTCAACTAGGATTGCTTGGTTATTGACAGGGTTGAACACGAGAAGCCGAACTTCAGATGTAAGGATATGGATCGTAGCTTCAATGAGGAACGGGCTTCCGTTCGCAAGCTCTTGTTTAGCGGATGTCTCGTCCTCGTCAGGATGCGGAAACTTCAAGTGGGGCAATATAATATCTGGTACATGTAGATGTTTCACCACCTGATCCAACTCGGTGCTTGCTGCAGTTTGCAAACCCTTGACACCGATAGTAATATTCGATGCACCGGAAAGCACAAGACTGACAAATTTTTCTGCTGAGTTCCTTTCAGCAAATGTAGCACAATCCACTTGCAAAAGAGCTGGAATAGTGATGCGCTCGCGGGTTTGGAGGAAGCTTAGGTCATGAAAAGTAACATTGCCAATTTGAGCATCCTCGAATAGTATAGCAAAAACTATGTCTTGCTTGTTGAGATCTAAACTCAATGGAATTGGGTTGAAAACTTCAGCCTCTATTGCAAATGTCACCCAATCATTCCCAGAGCTCAACAAAGCTACCGCCAGCATGCTGATATTCATTTTCTTCAAAAGCCAGTCAATGAACTTCTCATCAGACTTTTGCAAATCTTCCGCATGTCTCGGGTCAAAATTTATATTTTTCACGGTAATACCCCAAGTGTAGTGTTGAGAAGTGGCAGATCAAGTTTGACCTGCTTGATATCAGCATCGATAGTTGGAAAAGCAGGCTTGTGCTCGTTCAACCATTTGTTGACGAAGTCGCCTATGAAATCAAAATCATGAAAAACAAACTCCCAGTTTGCGAGATTGCCGAGTATAGATGTAGCGTTGCTGCTATCCCCTGCGATAGCTAGGCCGCTGCTCAGGACAGTAGACGCACTTCCGACTGTGGCGTTTCCATCTAATATTTCCACGGATGAAGTCCACTTCGAAAGAGATGCTTCAAAGCCTCTTTGAGAAATTGGTAAAGAAACTGCAGCTTCGAAATCACAGCTTGTGTTGACATTGAGCTTCCCAGGTTGGGGCAGGAATATACTCAAGTCCATCGAAGTGATGTCAAGGCGAGATAGATAATCGCCTATAGGAAAGCCACTCTGTGTGCTGACTGGAATTTCAATATTCACATCGACCAGCGTGAGAATATTATAGAGCCATTTGGGCAAGTTGCGAAGTCTTCGTAGCCAGTACAAAGATATCCAACAATCCTTCATTTGAAATCTTCGATACAAATTGGTTAAAAGCAGATTGACCATTTTTGCAGACTTTGAGAAGATTGTCAGGTATATGTTCTATGTTTCCCTTAACGTCGATCTCCGTAAGCAAATTCGGCTTCACTGTGAAAGGGTCCGACTTCCATAAGCCCAAGAATGAAGGTTTCCCATCACAGTCAGCAATTGCAACATCCCACTGGACAGACTCGAAGTCTAGCTTGATCGGTAAGATGTCAAGTAGAAGTGTCGCATTGAGTGCTATGCCTTCTCTCTCCAAATCAAGATTCAAGGATTCCACACTCAAAGGTGAGACCATCCTCTCAGGACTAATGACAGCGTCTTCACGAATGTTGACTGGCCCCGCATTGAATTTAATTCCTTTAGTTTTTATGTTTGTAGTGAAGTCTACCTCGATCGAGAGGGGGAGTGGCTCCGAGCGATTGTGTTTTAAAAGATCCTCTAAAAGGCCTGTCAATGAATCATCGACAAAATATGCCTCTGTAATGAAATCATACTCCGTAAGACGGTGATCAATGAGATCAACCAGAACTTCAGGAGCGTAGGCATCAAGCACATGGACTCTGTTGATGCCTTCTCCACTGACAAATACTCTGGATGCGTCAGTGGGTACAACTGTTACTCCGCCAATAAGCAATGCAAAAACTTCGAGCGCCAGGCCATAAAATCGGTTTTGTATGCTCTCGTAATCCACAAACGTGGAGCCCACCACATGCACAGTCAAGCCAGAGTCACTGATATCCAACACAGAGACGCTGTGAAGCTCAGAAATGAAAGCCTGGTCCAAGAGCATCGGTAGGTTGCGTGCTACTAGTAGCACTATGAGTAATAGAGTCGCAATGATGAGTAAGATAAGCCAAGATAGCCATGGAGTGGAGCAGAAGGTTTGTGAGAACCAATCAGAGAAACCTCTGCGAGTGTTGGATGCCCGTAGCTGGCGATGTAAGCCCTCTTCTAATGCAACATACGACTCTGAACAATCGCTCCCGAGCAATGGCGTTAGTTCATTCTGCAAGTCCTCATCTCTGATGATGGAGTTCTCCCTCACTGGTCTAGGGCTGGTAGCAGGTACAATTGCATCCACGGCAATCTCGTCACGGGATGGTTTGTGATTGGGTGTCTTGGGTGTTGAGCTGGCCCTAACTGACAGAGCCTCTATTGCCTGGACTGGACTGGAAAGCTCCTGACTCGTGATAGTACTGTTCTTGGTTGGCCCATCTGTACGATTTTTCGGACTTGGATCCGAGGCACTTTGGGTTTTCGAAGGTGGTTCTTCCGTGGATGGAGAGACAATCGGAGTTTGCTGTGCTCCGTTGCTTTCGTTTGCAGAATCAGCTTCCTGGTTGGGTTGCCTCGGTCCCTGATGCTCATCTGACAGGGACATTTGAGCTGACTAAGGCGTGGGGCTGCTGAATATTGTAGGTTTCGTTTCTGACAGGGAAAATAAGGCCTTTATTCTGACTGTGTTTCAATTTCGATTGCTCTACTTTGCTTGAGTAGGTCGTGACTTAGGGATATCTCTGATCGATTACCCCAGGAATGCGCGGGTGATGAACCTCTATAGACGAGCATAGTCCCCACCTGGGGCCATTGTGAAGTATTATTTTCGAGAATCGGCAAATATTGAGGAGAGCTGGAAGACTTGAATGGGTGATTTGAATTCTATGTACAGTAAGGAGAAATAAGGTTTCATCGTTTCTGCGGGCCGTTTTGCGATGATGTATGGAGCGGACAAGTAGATGAGCAGCCTCATATTTGCACCCTGTGTTCAGTGATTATATTGGAGGATTTGATGGAATTTATGAAAATATTCGTGGTTTTTCGCCGGCGTTCATTTCATTGAGCTGAAATGTGCATGTTTGTCCGACGGCACAGTAAAAGGGCAGTAGGACGGATTGGATGAGCTTCGGTTTGATAAATGGCGGCTGCGATTGATTATGATTTTGTTTTTCTTTTCTGATTCACGGCTTGGATCCGTTATTGTCAATGGTCACATTACGCAAGCACGAAGGTTCCATATTCCATTTTTACGTGCACTGAGAGTCACCTTTTCCATCAATTTCGACGAAGCTACTATTTTCTCGAAAAATAAAACTTGTCCAGTCTCTGAATTTTCAGCTCTCCATATGTGGCTCCAGTAGGTTCCCTGATAGGTTAATTAACTGTTTGATAGGACAATCAACTGGTTGCCTTTATCCCTAGTCAAATAAAAATGTCTCATTCTTGTGAACTTAAAGATTATTGCAAGCTTACTTAAAATAGATTTGTAGACCCTACAGTCATCTCTGCATTTCAAAAGCTTTTTTCATGTAGCATACCTCTTTATAAATGCATCGCTCTTATTGCAGACTTTGCTCTCCAACGTCAGTAATTCTTACTTCATGAATTAAAAGCAAGTCTTGAAATCCTGGTCAATGCTTGAATAAAAGAGTTTGTAAAAGTTCGTCAACTCTCGAATTTCTTCATTGAATTAAGAGCTATTGTCCAAGAATCCTCGAAGCAAGTCCTCCACATTGCTCGAGCTACTCTGCCCTCCCTGCCTTATCGACTGTATGAAACTGTCAACCTGTGCAATGGCTACATGCTTTTGCAGCCAATTCTGATATTCAGGACATTTACGTATCTCGAGATTGGTGGTATATTATAGTCATACAAACAAAGAACAGTAAAAAAATAAAATCTTGATTTCATGAATCCAAGCTCCCGGAGGGGCAAGACCCAATTAGTTAAAAAAAATGATGGCAATTTGGATATCGCAACAGGCCCGCTGCCACAGGCCATAACATTGTATGGTACAATAAGGTCTTTTTTATTTCTGTTTCGTGGTTGGGCACGCCAGAATCGAACGGTGGATTTGTTTTGAGTTACCCGTATTTTCCAATTTGGATTCCACCCTTCGTTCTAAAGCGCGAGAGACCTTCCCGAACCGCTTAGTGTACATGGCCATGGGCATGGTCATGCTGCTGTACACTAGGATCCACGTTTGGGTCGACGCTGTCAATGTTAGGGTCCACAGGTGGGTTCAGCAAGCTGTGGTTGCCAGGAGCGGCCTCCATGGCAGCAATAACAGCCACATCCTGGACAGATGGGTGGTTACCATCGTCGTGGTGGTGCTGACCATGGTGAGCGTGGTGCTGAAGCTGTTGGTGGTGAAGCTGCTGCTGCTGCTGTTGCTGAAGGTAGTGCTGTTGCTGAAGGAGCTGGTGGTCATGAAGCAGGGCCTCTGGGTAACCAGCCACGGCAGCCACTGCAGCAGCGGTGCCGTTGTTGCCACGGTTCAATGGCTTCTCAACCAAAGTTCTAGTGTACTTGGCTCTCTTCTTCTTGCCGCCACCACCGGAGGCGAAGTTGGGCTCAGGAGGATGGTTGTGGGCTGGGTGGATCATTCTCAAGATCCACATCTCCAGGTCCTTCTTGTCGTCATCTGGGTAGCCATCAAAGTCAGCTTCCTTCTTCATCTTCTTAGCCTTATCCTTGTCAGGTGGGTACAAGTTGGCCACCAATCTGTAACCACACTTGGATCTCTTAGTGTAAGCAACTCTCTGTCTCTTGGCGGCATCCTTAACAGTGGTTCTGAAAGAACCAGAACGCTCACACTGGAAGTACACGGCCTTTGGCTTCGACGAGTTGATAACAATCTTACATTGTTCCTCCTCGTTCAACACCGTCTTGACGTACTTGACAAGCTCTTGCTTGGAAGAGAAGGTCTTGATGATGTCACCCTCACCATGTCTCGACACAAGGAAACCACCATTCTCAAACTCCATAGGCGCCGTCTGGAACTGGTGCTGCTGGTGGAGCTGTTGCTGCTGCAAATGGTGCTGCGGCATGTGGTGTTGTTGTTGCAAAGGATGGTGCATCTGCTGTTGATGAAGCTGAGGGTGGTGGTGGTGATGCAATTGGTGCTGGTGGTGCATCTGCTGCTGTTGCAATTGCTGTTGTTGTTGCAACTGAGCAGCGGCAGCTGGGTTAAGACCCAAGTAGCGGGCCTCCTCGTCCAGGTGGGCCATAACGGGGTTTGGGATTTCATGGCCCAACGCAATAGCGGCAGCAGTGGTGTGGTCCAACTGCGACGCGTGGTGGAGGTGCTGCTGCTGCAAATGTTGTTGTTGATGGGGATTTAATCCCTGGCCATGGTTAGTGGACCTCTCGTTGGATGTGGAGGGACCAGACATGTTTCTTTTTCAGGGGGGACTTTTTTCAGTTGTGTGCCGAATTTCACCTGGCACGGACAATAACAACGAACGGGAAGTAGTTTTTTGTTTCAACTATAAGCTGAAAACAAGTTTGGAATGTAGTAGACGAAGGTTTACCTAAACTCTGGGGTGTGGATATAAACAAATTCCTGCACACCTACCTAACACTGTTTAGTAGACTCAGGTCCTGGACATAAAAGTAGTTGTGGGAAGGAGGAAAATGTGTTGATGTTGCGAGGGTGGGAGGATAGGAGTTTTCTCGCTGTCGTGCATAAACCGTAAAAATATGCGGGTGCACGGGTTCTATGCCTTACGCCCATTGGCCCATCCTGCAGACATTCCATTGCCATCGCCAGGGAATCCGTGGATTTGTCTTTACTGGGAGGTCCAATAAGCAAAATAACCAGATATTCGGCATTCATGCCCACCTGGTGATCTCCAGCCTGAGTTTGGCTACTTGAGCTGCCCTGTGTGTCGACAAATGGCAAGGCTCTTGGTGGTGTACGGGTGTTGGCTATTCCCTTTCCGCCGCTCGGTTGGGAAGCCGCTATTTCCAGGTATGAAACATACTGTTGATGGGCGTAGATATCGTACTTGCCAGGTGTTGATGGTTTGCAACACCAGGGATGGCAGTTTTTGGTTTGAAACTGGAAAAAGCAAGTGATATGTAAGGTTCAGACAAGCTGGTCTAAATTTCTGTAGTCCTGCCGATGCTTCGATTCCTGCCTTTCGCAGACAGGAAGCACTGTTGTTCTGCTATATGGTGCATTGACAACCGCAAGAAGATCCGGGTATTGTGGAAAATATTTTGCATCAATTGCGCTGTAGACGACAAGAATTTACGAAAGAAAAGTCGAATTTGCCATTGTATAGGCTTTTTTACATGAGTCCCTCCCGGCAAAAGAGTGTATGCTAAAGCTCCCAGAGACACTCCAGTTAGCAAGAGACAGTACTACCTTCACATTGCTCGTAGGTCGTTACACAAGTAGCATAGCCGAAGTGGCAGGTTTCGGCTAGGCCGGAGAACTTTAACTGATGAGTTAAAATTTCTATGTTTGCGTCGGTGGAAATCTTTGCCTTAAAGCTCGTCTATTACCACTTTGTTGATGTTTGATAAACTAGTCGGATGCAAGTTTCTTGACCTCTTCTGTGCTTCGTACTCTAGCTGTCGTCAACCACTGATCTTTGTTTGCGAATCATTGTCTATTGACATTTGCCGATCAACAGGCTGGGTTGATGATCGACTTGTGTTGGATCAGGCTAGCGTAGCTCGATTTGCGCTCAAGCCACCAAATAAGAGTGGCAACGTCAAAGCGACAATGTCACTGGCATCCAGCCCTTGAAAATCTGAAGATTCAAAACAAAGCTGGTTCATTCTTTGTAGTTTCTTGTACGCCATTTTCGACTTCCTTCCGTAGGCTATGCAAGTTGTTCATAATATCAAGAACGCCGTTGAGGGGTTTGAAAGGGACCAATTCAGCAGTTTCTACACCATTTGATCCAATTTGCCTGTCAAATTACCTCCATATGATATTCTTTGTGATGGCTTTGTGTGAGTACGTAATCGACCTTATGAGCACCAAGAAGGGGTATCTCCAAAAGCTTATACATTGCCCATTTTCCCTTCCTTACTACTTTCACACCATATTCCAATATTGCATAACCCTGTCCTCGAGACTAACGTCCTCCTTCGTCTGCCTGATCGCTGATCACCTGTAATACGGAACAGCTGCCGAAGAGCGATCAACAAAACAATTGGCGGGATGCCGATCAGTCAGTACTGTAATCTTAAGATTAAATCATTTGTTCTGATTTAATTTTGTGCAAAGTATTTGGTTTTTGATTTTTTTCAGCCTGTTCTTCATTACTAGTTTTGCAACCATTTCTCAATCGCACCCTCATTTCAGAAACATCAACCGGCTTTTCAGATGTATCCAATTAATACCTACCCTCTAGTAAATCGCATTTCCATGACCTCAATTGATTAACTCTGCATCCCACTTTCATATTCGAAGACTCCCAAAACATCCATCATCATCCTTCGTTTCCTCCACTACTACTGCACTTACCTGCGGACTCTAATTATCACCAATAAGCTTTCTACCTACAATGCTATCCTTGACATCAACGCAACGTGACCAGATCAGAACACTCAAACAGCAAAGCCGCGATAGAGAGCTCCACTGGCTTGTGGAGCTGGTAGTCCAACCTGAACTTCCCCAGCTAATTGAAGCTTTACAGATATGTTCCAACCTCATACTATATAACTCTCCTCAGAGTCCAGACGCATCGAAGCACATTGAAAAGGGCCCAGCGGTGACACTTCCTGTATCTTCAGCAAAGCTGGAGGCGGTGAAGGGAATCCTCGTGAGAGATGGAGCCTACATAACCAAGATGAGTGTTGCAATTAAAGAGAAACACTTCAACAGGGCAGTTCACCACATCAAGCTCGCCAAGCCCATCAAGCTCACGCAAATCACTGCCGCAAAGAAAGCAATTGAGCTGTCAGTAACCCTCATAGTCCAAGCAGAATCCATATTTGACGATAATCTGGTGGAGCAATGTGACGAAACACACCGAGAAAAGCATCAGCTGCTTCTTGAATTATTCCAAACTCTCCTACTGGAGCTACTGGTGGCCAAGAAAGCTCTTCAGCTTCCTACGGATCCTGAGCTTGTCTTCCCTCTGCACATTACTCCGTCCAATCACTTTGAGCCTGAACTTAGCCGTCATATTGCCTTGGATCTCTACATTTCCCAAGCTGAAGTATGCCTTGATCTTAAAGACTTGTTCATTGTTACGGAGGAACCATGGTCTGAAATTGACCAGGAAACAGGCAAATCCTACGTTGATAAGGTCAGAGACCGGATGTCTGAGGGGAAGAGGGATGAAATGGAGCATTCAAAGAAAGAGAAGGATAAAGCGGGTGTTTTCAGCAATGTCTTCGGTCACTTATCCCTTCGGCCAAAATACGAAGCACAAGACTACATTACAAGGTGTATCACATACAACAACCAAGTGGTTATGGTGGACAGAAAACTTGAAGTTTCGTCGGCAGACCCCGTACTAGTCAGCGCCTTCACAAAGCTCGATTCTGTGGAGTACATCGTGTCCAGCTTCATGGACAACATCAAAAAACTCATGTAAAGCTGTTATCAGTGTGCCACATTTTGCAGCCGGTATATGACCCAGATACGGTCGCATTCCTCCAAGGTACTTTTTTGGTGTCCAGATTTGCGCTCATATATAACACTGAGCGCTCCACAATTCATGCTCAGAAGGTTGTTTTCCACAGACACCAGAGCAACTTTTCGATTTCCGAGTTTCAGCTTTTTCAAAAAACACAAGGTATTTGCGATGAGATCCGCCTACACTATTCTCGCTGACGACCCGGCTATTGAGAAACCGCTCTTGGACGATCGCAGCTATAGATTTATCAAACTAGACTCCAACGACTTACATGTATTATTGATCAGCGACCCTTCCTCAGACAGAGCGGCTGCATCCTTGGATGTTCATGTGGGGTCTTTTGCCGATAAGGAATATAATGTTTCAGGTTTGGCCCATTTCTGTGAGCACCTCTTGTTCATGGGCACTGGCAAGTATCCCGAGGAAAATGAATATCTGAGCTACTTATCCAAACACTCAGGCCACTCCAACGCATACACCGCTTCCGAACACACAAACTATTTCTTTGAAGTTAGCTCAGATTACTTGGAAGGAGCCTTGGATAGGTTCTCTCAGTTCTTCATTGACCCTTTGTTCAGCAAGAGTTGCAAGGACAGGGAGATCAAAGCTGTTGATTCTGAAAACAAGAAAAACTTACAAAATGACATGTGGCGCATGTATCAGCTCGACAAACTGACGAGTAACCCCAAGCATCCATACAACGGGTTCTCCACAGGAAACTTCGGAACATTGCACGAGGAACCTGCTAGCAGAGGTGTCAATGTTCGTGACGTGTTGCTTGACTTTTACAAAGACCACTACTCCTCCAACATCATGAGTTTGGTCGTCTTGGGCAAGGACTCTCTCGACGATCTCACCTACTGGGCCATCACAAAGTTCTCCGATGTGCCTAATACTAATCTTTCAAGACCATCATACAACGGACAGCTCATCTATAAGCCTGACAATATGGGTAAGATTTTGAAGGCCAAGCCTATCATGGACTCCACCAAGCTAGATCTTACATTTTTGATCCCTGACGACCAAGAACATAACTGGGACAAGAGGCCTGGAAGCTACTACTCGCACCTCATTGGACATGAGAGTAAGGGTTCCATTTTGCACTACTTACAAAAGAAAAACTGGGTTAATGAGCTCTCTGCTGGTAGCATGAAAATATGTGACGGATGTTCGGTGTTTTCTGCAGAGCTCGATTTGACTCCACTGGGATTGGAAAACTGGGAAGAGATTGTTGTCCATTTCTTTGAGTACTTGAAGATGCTTCAAACGCAGGAACCACCTGAGTGGTTGTGGAAGGAGTTAAGTGACATGTCCAAGATTGACTTCAGATTCAAGCAGAAGGAGAGAACTTCTAACACTGTTTCGAAATTGAGCAGCTCTTTGTTCAAGTTCAAAGAAGACTTTTACATTCCTCCAGAGAGGTTATTGAATTGCACCGTTTTGAGAGAATTCGATCCCCAAGAAATTAAGAAGTTCGGCAACCATTTGAAACCATCTAACTTAAGAATCTCTTTGACATCGCAGACATTCGAAAACCTTCCAAACAAGGAGAAGTGGTATGGCACCGAGTACTCCTATGAAGACATCTCTGAAGACCTCATGAATGCTTTGAAGAACGTCTCCGTCAACAGCGACTTGCACCTTCCTGCTCCAAATAAGTTTATTCCCGAAGATTTTACCGTCAAGGGCGAAAAGGTCGAGAAGGCCTTGCCTCATCCTTGGTTGATCACAGACACACCCAAATTTGAAATCTGGTATAAGCAGGATGACAGATTTAGAATTCCTAAGGGATCCATCAGTCTTGTTGTACACGCGCCACCATTGGGTGACGATATCGAGTCATCCGTTTTGGGATTGCTCTTGGGCGAGTTGATGGACGACGAGTTTAATGAGATGAACTACTTTGCTGATCTCGTGGGGTTGAAATTCTCTCTCCTGCAATTTAGGGACTCTTTTTCGATCAAGGCTAGTGGATACAACGACAAGCTTCCCGCTTTCCTTGTGGAGGTGTTGAACAAATTTGTCAACTTTGAGCCAAAACTGGACAGATTCGAATCCATCAAATACAAGATTGCTCAAGATCTCAAGAATGCTGGTTACGATATTCCATATGCTCAGATCGGCACCCACTTTTTGCAATTTTTGAACGAAAAAACATACCCAGATACCGAAAAGGTTGAAGTGCTTGAGAAGATCACATTCAAAGATTTGCAAAATTTCACAAAGGAGAAGTTATGGAGCAAAGGTATCTTTGTCCAGGGGTTGATTCACGGTAATTTCGAGTACTCCACTGCTAAGGAGGTTAGTCAAGACCTCGAAGATGCTTTCAATGCCAGGAAGCAAATTGCTGATTCCAAAGCGCAGGTTGACGAGATTGTCAGATTCCAAAGTGTTCATTTGGACGTTGGAGAGAATGTAAGGTACGAATTGCCCTTGCAAGATCCATCTAACGTGAACTCATGTTTGGAGTATTTCGTTCAAGTCGGAAAAGTCGAAAAGAACAATGCTCGTTTGAGAGTACTCACCGACTTGTTGGCGACAATGCTTCACGAGCCTTGCTTCAACCAGTTACGTACCAAGGAACAGCTTGGATATGTGGTGTTTTCCGGATACAGACTGACCAGATCTTACTTCGGCCTCAGGGTCCTCGTCCAATCTGAGAGACCTTGTGATTACCTTCAGTACAGAGTGGAAAGATTTTTGGAATCTTTCAAGAAGCAAAAGCTTGGTGCTGCACTCACGGACGAGGTGTTCACGAAGTACAAGCAGTCTTTGAAGAATATGAAGTTGACACAGTTGAAGAATCTTGGCGAGGAGACCTCTCTTTACTGGAATGCCATCAACAACGGTTTCTATGATTTTGAACAGAAGACCGAGGATGTCAAGATTTTGGAGACTGTTACGCAACAGGAGCTCGTCGACTTCTTCAATGATTACTTCGACGTTAGCCAAAGCACTAAGTCAGCTCGTTTGAGTGTGTGTTTGACGCTGAGAAAGACTCCAGTGTTTGATGACAAGAAGAACTTCGTCACCGCTGTCCATAACTATATCTACGACTCCGAGCTGTCTATTGCAACGGATGAGATCGACAAGATAGTGGAGGAGAAGGGTGCTGATCTTCAAGCCGTATCCAACGCTATTTGTGGCTCAGAAGAAGAAAGAAGGAAGTTCGTTTCTGAGATTGAAGAGAGAACGAAGCAGCCTACACCTGCTGGATATCCAAAGGGTAAGCTTGAGAGTAACACCTACCACTTCCAAGAGGCACATCCACGTGGCGGTGCCCCACAACCAGTCTTGCCATTGAGCAAGTACTACTACCCCACGAAGAAGCCCATCTTTAACTAAAAAAATAAATAGACGTAATCACGAATCTAACATTTGATGTAGTCTGGGGTGGAGGCACGGGTGCGAATAGACTCCATGTTGTCAAGTATCGGTGTCGCAACCGAGATCGCCTAATATCTAAAGAGTCCACCACCATGACGACTCTCAGTCTAGATAAAGTCAATCAGACTTATTTCGATAAGCTATTCGTGGCTAAAAATAACACACAATTGTCGGCTGCCATAAGAGCCAAAGTGCTCCTTGTGGATCAGCACACAATGCCTATCATATCCATGAGCTACACTCAATCACAACTTCTTCAGCAAGATGTCGTGCTTATTGAGATGCTAGACAATCTACGCAATTTGAGTACCATGAAACATCTCAATTGTGTCGTTTACGTCAAACCCACTCGAGAGCTGATCAGCAAAGTGTGTGAGGAGCTCTTGAACCCCCACTATAACCACTACCAGTTGTTCTTCAACAACTCGATCAGCAAGAATGACATAGAGAGAATCGCCGAAGCTGACGAGCAAGAGGTGGTAAATCAGGTGATCGAGCTTTATCAGGACTACTCTATTGCCAACGACAATTTGTTTACGATAAGTGTGCCTGATGTATCCCAGCTGGCAAGACACACACTGACGATCCAGGAGGCAACAAGCTTAGTGAGCTTGCTCTTGTCTCTCAAGAAATGCCCCATGATCAAATACGAAACTTCTTCGCTAGACTCAAAGCGCTTGGCGTCCGAGCTTTTGTATTATATCAACTCAAACCTGAACAACAACTTATTTGACGACCTCAACAGGACCAGTGATGTCCCACCTACGCTCCTTATACTTGATAGAAAAAATGACCCCATCTCACCGCTCGTGCTTCCGTGGACCTACCAGTCTATGATCCATGAGCTTATCGGCATCAACAGAAATGTTGTGGACATCAAGGAATCATCGGAGCAGCTCACCCTTTCAGAATCTCAAGACAAGTTCTTCCAGGAAACAATGTATATGAACTACGGTGACCTCACCGATAGATTTCAAAAGTATGTGGACGAGTACAAGAAGCAGACGAAACAGTCCTCCATTGAAAATCTCAAAACACAAGACTTGTCGGAATTCAAGAAGATCTTGACAAGATTTCCAGAGTTCAAGAAGCTCTCGAATAACATTCTCAAGCATCTCAATATCATTTCGGAAATTGATAAGCAGATTTCGGGCCAGAATTTGTGGGCTGTGGGCGAGTTACAGCAGACGATTACATGCGGTTTAGAAAACCACCAAAATATCAAAACTAGACTCATTGATTTGATTGCGGACCATGCGGTCTCTACGGAGAACAAGGTCAAGTTGCTTCTACTTTATGTGGCCAAGTTCCCTAATCAGCAAAGTGATTTGGGTGCCATGTTGGCTAAGCTCAACGACCCAATAACCACGAGTCCACCACCAACCATCACGCAGACAACTTTGATAAAGCAGTTCAGCAGGTACTTTGGCAGCATCAAGAAGATGTCATCTCTGGAGAGCAACACCAACAACGGCAACATTGGCCAGATTTTCAACAAAAACCGTATCAAGATTCAGCAACTTTTCAACCCTAATAATGACGAAGACAAGCACAGCATGCCCAAGACGGACAACATCTTCATGCAATATATCCCCAGGCTCAACGACGTGTTGGCACAAATCACCAACCCAACGCCGCAAAATAAGCAGAACCAGCAGCAAAACCAGCAGGACAAGGTTGATCTCGCTACTATGGTGCCAGATGTGGTGAATAAGCAGTACGGCGATGTTTCGGCGCAGGCAGCCCAAGAGGTTATCATCTACTTCAAGGGCGGCGCCACCTACGAGGAAGCCCGTTTGGTGCACGAGCTCAGCAAGATTAACAATCGCGTCAAGTATATTATCGGTGGTGATGGAATATTAAACAGTAGCCAGTGGCTTGATAAGATGAGTGATATTGTCAATGGTTATAATGAGCCTGCTGGAGGGTCAGCGGCGGCAACGGGCCAACAGGATCGGAGAAGCCAGCTTCGTGAGATCTTATAGGCTTTATAGATTATAGTTGGAATTCAAGCACGCCAGCATCAAGGTGCATACTTGCCGAACTTCTGCTCCCAGGAGAGAATCTTCTCTGTCAAGTTCTCCATGAGCTTCAAGTTCTCATCAAAATGCGAAACAAACGGCTCCTCACAATTGGCCTCTGCCAACTGACTCTTTTTCAAGTCTTTCTCCTCTTCCAACTCCATCTGCGTACGCCCTAGCCATTCAAGAATGGCCCCTGTGCGCTTCCTCAACTCGTAGATCGTGCACTTGTCGTTCACAAAACGTGGTTTCAGCAGCTGATTTAGAAGCTCCTCCTTGTTGGCAGCGTTCTTCTCTGTCTTGGGCGTCGTGTTTTTGGGCTTCGCTGAAGCTGGTCTGCTCTTTGGTTTTGGTCTCAGCGGTCTAGCACGGTCCTCCTTCTGAGTAGCTTCACTTTCCTCATCGGCGTTGCTCTCGTCAACCTCGTTTTCAGAAGTTTCCGAATGAGACCGCTTTTCACCTCCAGTGTGCTCCAGGTCGCTTTGTCTTTTCCTGTCGTTACGACCCAGCGCCTTGGCGCTTTCACGCAAGGCCTTCTGGAGCTGTTCATCGAAATCGTTGCCGTGGCGCCTGTCCTTGCGTGACTGTCTATCTGTTTCTCTGGATGCCTCGGGTGTTTTCTCTGAAGGGCTTCTTCTGCCTCGCAGCCTAGTGGCAGCACGCTTTTCGTTTCGGCTGCTTTCCTCCTCCATCAATCGGGTCCTGCTCTCATTGGCTGGTTTGTAAAGCGTACGGCCAGGCTGTTTCTGTGGCACCAGAATCACCAAGTGGAGTTCTGGCTTGCACTGCTCACACCAGTACTTATCTGGCACGTCTTCGTTTACAAAAAGCCCAACACAGTAACCGTGTTGCCAGACCAGGCACTTGTCACACTGAATGAAAAGGCCCAGGTCCACCTTGATACGGTACTCTTGTTGTAGAAGCAGCTGGACTTGGGGATCTATGGAGGTGAGTTCATCATGTCCGCATACACAGCGGGTGATTTCGTCGGCGTCGGCGTCGTCGATATCATTTTCGTTTTCTTCAGCGTCGGAAGCTCTGGCCCGATCGTCGGCTGGGGGCTTGGAGCGGCCAGATCGGCGGGACATTTGGGGTTTTTTATTGGGATGGGTTTATTGAGGAATTGGATGCACCTGGTTGAAATATGGAGCACCGATGTGCCGAGTCGTGCGATGCTCATAATTAGTGTAGTTTCTGTGGAAGGCACTTTGAAGTTGCCTTCTTTGATTGAATTATTGAAATACGGCAACCTCTCAAATTATCTAGTGTGACTTGAATCGTCATCACACGATGAATCTTTATTGGTCATTTCGGCCTACACTTTGTTCCCTTCTCATTATATTAAACGGCTAGTTCCCCACGACGAGGGCCCCGTTTCTGTCGTACATGCCTGGGTTTCGGATATATGGATCGAGCTCAACGTAGTTGTCGGAGAGCTGGTAATTGAGCAAAATCTTATCTCTGAGGTAGCGCGAGCTGACCTCTGGATCGGTGCTCTCACACCACTTCTTGGTGATGTCAATGAAGCGCATGAATGCTTCATCTCTCTGTTGCCTGAGACGCTTGTATCTGAGGTCCTTTCTCTTTGGGGGTCTCAAGTCATGCACTGTTGGTGGGATGTACGGCACCTCATCGGTGTCATCTCCGCCAAGGTACTTCGGTATATGCTCGGCGTCTATTAGGTTCACCAACTCGTCGTAGCCCTTGGTGAAATGAATCTTTGACACGACTGCAGGATCTAGCCAGTTCTTGATGACGTTCCACACCGTAGAGAAGATCCACGGGGCGTTATGCACAATGATGAACCCGAGAGTCTCGGGGTAGTGGGCCTCAAACATCTGGGCCAAAAACTTGATGGGAGCATTGTCGGCATTTTTCAATGAGAAGCCCGTCAAGTCAAACATGACCGTGAATGCATCAACGGAGTCATTGATTTCTCTAGAAAAGAGACGACACCACTCAATCATGACTGTGGCAAACCTCTCAGTCTCAAGCAATGGAGAATCATGGGCAAAGTGCTTTCTGGACTGGAACACGAAAAGTGGGTTCCCAAGTTTGTCATGACCACGGATAAACGACTTCCCGGTGGTGAGGTTCTTGATGAAACCTTGGTTCTCGCCATTGATATATGAAGGTCCGTCGGATTCACGAACCCAAGCTTCAGCGGGGTATTCTGTCTGCTTGAAGATCACAGACTTGACGAGCATCTGCACCGTATCCTCATGATTGAACTTACGAGCTCGGCAGAAGCGGAGAATCATGTTATCCAAGAGGCCGTTTTTGAGCATATTGACAATACCCGCATGAACCACCTTCGACTTGCCTTTGCTCAATGCTGGATGCACAAAATGACTTGATTTGACCGATTTGAGCGAAAAACTCTTCTTCTGGCGCACTTGTGGGGGATGATGCAGATTAGGGCTGGAGTGGGCCGTGTGGAAGGTCTCGAGCGAGCTAAGCGACTCCTTCTCTAGAGTTGATTCGTCATCGCAGCCATCCTCTTCAAGCGGGTCCTTCTTCTCATCATACATTAGCTGGTGATGCTGGCCAAAGACGTGCCTGGTGTGATCAGATGCCTTGCTGATGAAGGTATACTTCTCCAAATAGCTGTCATCCAACGCCATTCTTCGCTGAGACAGCACTTGCTTTGGCGCCAGAGGTTTCGTGCGGAAGAGCCCCCACTTCTTCTTCTTCTTCGTCCCACTCAGATTCGTTGCTGTCGTCAGAAGAGTTAGAGTGGTCGACGCTCCGGAAACTATGGATTCGCCATCGGAGTTTAAGCTAGACAGGTATTTGCTAGGTTCTTCGGCTGCGTCCACGATGGACAGGGCGACAAACAGCTCTTTCAACGAGATGTCGTCGTTGGACAAGGAGATGTCGTAGCCCCACAGCTTCAATAGCGTAGCCCAGCACTGTTTGAGAGCTATTTCCTGAGTCGCATTTAAGCTTTGGATTCGTCCAGGGCGATACCGAATCTCCGAAGGGTATACCGGTGGGTACATGGAGTGTGGTTGTAGTATCAGGTCTCAAAAGTGGTTGTATGTCTCGATAGACAGACGAAAATTAAATGCTCTTACACGCAGGAAAACACACACACCGTTTAACGGTCGGATTTAACGACAGGGGCGCAGGCAGGAATCGTCAAGATCAGCGGGAAAAACTCTGTTGAGTCGGTTTTGAAAAAAAAAAACGTGTCAAAAGGACGCTTTGCCTCTGTTTTGTCTTCCCTGGGTTCACATGCCACAAGTCCGATCTCAGCTGATCTCGAATGAACCAGCCGCGGTGCTATTCTTGCATTGCTGCCGGCGCGGCTTATAATGGACAAGGTCTGGTCCGGGACAATAGCCATGCACTGAATAGGAAAAGGAGCTTGTGAATGATGCCAATCCTTCGAACTCCGCTTCAACAGAAACTTCACACAGGTTGTGTTTGTTTCCAGAAATTTGCCATCCGAAAGCTCGATGACCTCGGACTCACATGTTGCGAAACTTCGCTTATGCTGGTGTGGCATATCACCGCACTTTGACATTTACCGTCCCACCGCACCTGTGATCGGCGCCAATGCATCCAACATAGCATTGCATTTGTCTTATGAAACGCACTCCCCACGCGAGCAAAATTTGACAAGAAAAAGTTGCAAAATTTGCCTTCCCAAAAATTGCGCCGTTGGGGCTGTGTCGCCTCAGCCTTTGCCACATTCCCTTTCTATTTCTCTATCTCCTGCGAGGTCTCATTCGAGCAATTTGTCGGCCCTTCATAGCAAGCGGAGGTGTAAACAGCTGGCCAGCTCCAAATGCACCAGGAGCAGCAGGGGCACCAGCTCCGAAAACAGGAGGCGTATTCTCTCGGCTTCCTGCTCCGAGACTTCCAGGAGCACTGTTGAACTGGTTTGGTGGAGCGTTGCTACCCATGCCAAATCCGCCAGAAGACTGTGTAGGGTTGGCGCCAAAGACGGATGCTGGGTTTGTAATTCCAGCTCCAGGTTGTCCAAAGGTGTTGTTTCCTGGAGCTCCAGGCGTAGATCCACGAGAACCAAAAACACTCGACGTGTTGGCTGGTCCACCAAATGGGCTCTGTGTAGGCTGCGGAGCTGCAAGATTAGTGTTAGCGCCGAAGTTAAAACCTGGAGTGGGGTTTGGGCCCCCAAATGCACCAGAAGGACCCCCAAAAGCAGGCGCCTGTGTAGCACCAAAATTGAATGGCGAGGCCGTACTCGAGGGACCTGTGGAAGGGCCACCAAAGGCTGGCGTAGCTTGAGAACCTTGTGCGTTGCTTTCGCTGGCTCCAAAGATCAGAGCAGGGTCAGCCGTGGCAGCCTGGCCAAAGGTGAATGCTGGCTTGGGTGCTGCAGCGCCTCCAGCCTGAGCTCCGATCAGAGGAGTCTCTGGCTTGCCAAACGAAAATGTAGAAGTGCTCTTGGAGTCAGCACCAAATGCTGGGGTTTGAGCGCTGCCAAAATTGAAGGCAGGCTTGGCTGTTGGCTCACCAAACAGGAAGGGCTTTGGTGTGGTCTCCTTTGATGAGACTGAGAACACCGGAGTGGTTTCCTTGACTTCAGTGGTCTTCGAGCCAAAAGATGTGTCCGCCGGCTTTGAACCGCCGAATGTGAAGGATGGGGACACTGATTTTGCTGCACCAAACGAAAACTTTGGGGCCTCAGTAGAATCTTGTGGCTCCTCGGATTTGGGCTTCTCAAAAGAGAATTTTGGTGCCGTGCTGCCAAGTGCTGGTGCATCCGTCTTCTTTTCACCTTCATCCTTCTTCGCCCCGAAGGAGAAGGTTGGCGTGGAGTCCTTGGTTGAAGAGCTTCCAAATGAAAACTTTGGCGTTTCTTCTTTTTCAGCGTCTTTCGTAGTGTCCTTCAGCTCACTAGATCCACCAAAATTAAATGCGGGAGTAGATCCTGAGCTTGGAGCAGCCAATTTGGGAGCCGAGTCATCATTCTTTTCAGTGGTTGCTCCGAAGTTGAACGACGGTGTGACGTCTTTCTTCTCTGATGATGAGCCCGAGCCAAAGACAGGAGCATCTGTCTTCTTTTCGCTCACACCGAAGTTGAACAGAGGGGTACTGTCCTTTTTCTCTGACAGAGAACCAAAGCTAAACTGGGGAGTCGCCTCCTTCTTGGAACTTTCTCCAAAATTGAGTAGAGAAGGCGCACTATCCTTGGGCTTGTCAAAACTAAAGAGAGGTTTTTCATCCTTCTTGGGCTCGGACTTCTCCTCACTCTTGCTTGAATCAAATGAGAAAGGAGCAGCCCTCTTCTTTCTGGGCCCCTCATCGGCCTCGTCATCCTCCTTCTCTGGTTTCAGGCCAAACAGGAACTTAGGAGTATCTTTATTACCGTCAGAAACCTTGACTGTAGCAGAGCCACCGAATGGAATACCTGGAGAGGGTTTATCATTTGTGGAAGAGCCGAACGAAAATTTTGGAGCAGCTTCTGGGAGCTTTGACGAGCCAAAAGAGATTTTGGGAGCTTCAGTGGTCTTCTTCTCTTTCTCGTCTCCAGCTTCCCCTTCTTTAGTGGATGAAGCACCGAAAAGCGGCGTCGAACTGGGTTTACCGAATGAAAATCCAGCAGAGCTGTCCTTCTTTTCGGTAGGCTTTTCGGACGTGCCGAATGAAAATGCAGGTTTTGGAAGCTCCTTCTTCTCGTCAGACGAGGGTTTGCTGGGCTCGAAAAGGGGCTTCTTCTCGTCAGATGCAGCTTGGTTTCCGAACAGGAATGACGGCTTGGAATCCTCCTCCTCATCTCTGGATCTCTTCTTTGGCTGGTCCTTACTCGAAGTGGAGGAGAAACCGAATAATGCTCTTTTACCCTCGTCCTCGGCAGACTTTGTCTCGGTAGCAGCACTAGCCTTTTCCACACGCTCGTCATCGTCTTTACGAGTCTGGAGAATATTTCCGAGGCTGTTCTTGTTGATCTCGAAATTGAAGCCGCTGCTGGGACCAACCGAATTATTAGTAGCTTGAGCGGCACTTGGTTCCTTCATCTTGATAAGGGACTCTGTTTTATCTAGGTAGTCCTTGTCCAATTGGGGCTCGTCTTTCTTCCCGAGAACAGCACCTAGATCGGTACGACGGTTCTTTTGCAAACTGACCGGAGGCTTGGAGTCCTGGTCTGGGAATAATTTGACAGGCTTTTCAGTTTTCTGCTCTGGGAATTTCGGTTTGTTCACCTGACCAAGATAGCCATCAAGCTTCACACCATTGGGAACAGGGTCAGATTTCTTGGGAGGAGCTGGCTCATAGAAGAACTCACCCGAGAAAAAGCCCTTACCGTTCTTCTGCTGACGCTGTCTTCTCTGAAGAGTTAATTTGGAACGCAACTTGTCAAAGTTCAACTTGCGATCAAACTCATCCACTCCATGAGTTTGTGTAGTGGAGTTAACCTTCGTTTCACTGATAGGCACGCTGGTGGTTTCATCAGGATCAACCATGTACTTGAGTCTGCTCTGGAGGTATTCAGACATTTCAACAGAACGTTTGAGCTGCAATAGGTGATATCTCTCGCTTGGATCTAGGTTGATCACAGGTGGTCTCACTAAGTTTCCCTCGTCATCTTCATACAATGGCGCAAACTCTTGTCTAACCAACTGGTTCTGTGGTTCATCACCATAATCATCGGAGTTGTTGTATTCCATATCACGGTCCATTGTCGGTAGTATGCTTTGACGAGGTACATTGTTCAAGTTTGGAGATAAGTCTTTGAGAAAGGTGGATTCCTCTGGGTCATTCAGGGCGTAGTCTGGAACTGCCGGTGGCAAAAGAGATTGTCTTCTTTCGTGTTCAGTGGCTCCATTGAAATCATCCTTCTGTCGCTGGAGAGACTGTGCAATCTCTTGGTACCCTTTGTAATGTGGAATTGAAGTCGACATTCTGGGAACGGCATCATTCACATTTTTGAGCGAACCAAGAATCGACAGTCTCCTTTTCTGAGAAATGAATTCACTTGGAAGGTCGTCTGGTGCAGGCCCGTCGTTAGCGAAGAAACCAGGAGCCTTTTGGCTAGGAGCTTCTTGCTTTGAAAATAAACGACTTGCTAGTGATGAAATGAGGCCCAAAAACTTCCGTTTTTTTGGAACAGGGCCTCCTTCAGGCTCAGTTATGGTTTGAGGACTCACAGAGCGCTTCATTGAGGTCCTCTTTGTAAATCTATGGGCTCTTGAAAGTGGAGTTTTAGCTTTAGAAACTGAGAAATTGATGGTATGAGATGGTCGCACCCGTGCACCAACATTGGTGAGACTATACATGCGGGAGAAGACTAGTACGGCTGCGAAATCGAGAATAATGCATTGATCGTTACTGCTATCACTGCGTTCTTAATACTGTTTAGTGGTGGGAATATCCCGATTCAGCCGCAGAGCGTATCGAACCCTGTGTGCTGAAGGATTGCCTCGTGGATCCTTGGTTAATTGAGCCTTGATTGATGGAGCCCTGATTGATGGAACCCTGGTACATGGAAGCCTGGTTTAGCGAGCTGTGGTTGAGTGAGTTCTGGTAACTTGAGGGCTGATGAATAGACTGGTTGATGGAGGCCTGAGTAAGCGAAGCATTGTCAACTTCTCCCCCAGTGTTGAGATTAAGCATGGCACCGTTACCTCCAAAAATATCGTCATCAGCATTATCGTAATAAGATTGAGCTGGGTTTTTAAGACCTGTCACTGGATCATCTCTGGCCACCTCGTCAATCTCCTTGATAAGCTTGATCATGGAGTTTTCACCAAAGTTGATGCCGTACAGAACCTTTATTGGAATGATGCCTTGCACCCAAGCATCCACTATTCTGGCTCTTTGCTTGGTGGCTAGTCTTGAAATAGGGAATTCGCCCTTCTTGATAAAAGCCACAATGTCAATGATGATATGATGCTTGCTGAATACGGTATTGACAATCAATGGGACTAACGCAGCAAGGTTCTTCATCTTTCTTGCCTCGCAAATGGCAATAGTGAAATCAGAAGCCTTGAAAACGCAAGAACCGTTGTTGTAAATGTCTGGATGACATGATTCGATAGTGGATTCAATATCAATGGGGAAGTGGTGCAAACCCATGACCTCAAACGTGTCGGAGATCTTTCCCAACACAAAGAGTGGCTGGAACGTGGCAGTCTCCTCTTTCTTTCCGGCATTTCCAACAGTGTTTTTTGAGATGGAGATCTGGTGAAGGAATCCAAGGTCTCCTGTTCTGAGATATGTCATGTCAGGATTACCATCTGTGATCTTGCCCAAAAACTGACGCGAACTGAAAGTATCCACTGGTCCTTTAGGTCCATTAGTGAAGGATGTAACGTTAGCTTCGGAACAAACCCAGATTTCTCCAAATTCACCTTCCTTACAGACCTTACAAGTTTCTGGGTTCACGATTGCAATCTCTGTGCATACTGGAACCATTCCTGAATCTTGAATTCGAAGAGCATTGGGGAACTCGAGCTGGTTGACGATGGAAACATAGCCCTGTCTCAATGCAACAGGATCAAGATAAAGGTCGACAGGAGCCACGGTCATGTAACATCTTGTAGAAATGATTGGGTTGAAGCAGTGGGTGTAGACAGCAGATGCAGCAGCAGCACTGAGCTTCGTTGGCTGAAATACCCTAGCAATCTTCTTGAGCAAATCAATCTCCACACGATTCTCAGTGCTTATCATCATGTTCTTCAAGTACGACAAGTTGAAACCTTTGGGTGTGAACTTGGTAACAGCATATTTGAGCATCTGCTCCGTGACAAACACATCCTTAACTTTGTACTTTGATAGCGACAAAAAGAATGCCAAAGGATTTTCAGCATAATTGACAGGAGAACTAAGGTAGGTTGTGGTTCCCAAGAAGACACCGAGAAGGCAAGCCTGAACAAAACCAATACCGTTCGAATGACGGACACAACCAACGATGGACGATTTCGAGGACAAGTTGCAAGTTTCCTTGAAAACCTTGCAAATGCTGACAATGTTTTTATGACTCAAGCAAGCACCGATTCTGTAATGGTCAGATGTAAAGTGCAACCAAACAAGACTAGTGGTGGCTTCATCGCGGAACCTAGCATCTGATTGGTACTTGGCTATCTTGGAGTTCAAAGAAGCCGTATTTGAAACCTTGGTGATTTTGGAAGTGCTCTTGACTTTCAATGCTTTTGGTCTTCTATGATTCATTCTCTTGAGAGCGTCGGCCACTGGTCCATTCTTCATGTACTTCTCAACATCTTCGTTGACAAATACATCATGGATGTCAAAGTCCTTGACAACACCGACGAAGGCAGGGAAGTCTTCACCAATTCTATTTGAGTCGAAGGGAAGCATAGGAATGGGAACAATGCCAAGCAAGAAACAAGCATACACTGCAACCATGAAGTCCTCGGAAAGCGAGTACATCAAAACAACATACTCACCGCTCTTGAGCGTAGTTTTCGACATGATGTGGTTGCAGAGAGCATAAACTCGTAATTCAAACTTCTTCCATGTCAAAGGCTTCAGACTACTCTTTCCACTTGGATCGATGTTCTGAAATGCAACACTATCACCTGATTGAGCGACTCTGAACTTCAAAATGTCGATGATAGATTTGAAGTCCGTGAGTGGTGCACCGGTTCTGTCATCAATCGATTTTTGCCTGTAGTCGATAGTTGAAAGTTGAGGCATGAATCTCGAAAGGGAAGCACTTCTGAGCTCAGAGGCGTAAGGAGACCAAATACCACCAAGCACATCTTCACCATGTGGAATCATACTGATCGATTGTCTCACGAAGAACTTGACAAATTCGGCCCTCAATGAGCCTTCGAAGAACCGTTTCTTACACAACATGTTTGCGATTTCCAAACCACCACTCCTCATGATCTTTGGAAGGGTATCACAATCGACCACCACCAAACAATAGAGCCTGAGAAAGTGATGCTTATTAAGGGTATCAAAGCATTTTTGAGCAATCACATTCAAAACAGGCTCATTGAGTGGAGCAGCAGTGTAGTCGATCTTGTCTCTGTTCTTTGCTCCAGTCGTAGAAGCAGCATCCGCTTCATCGATAACACGTCGTATCACTTCGGCTTCAACAATTGCCACAGGCAAGTATTCATTTCCAATAAAGACGTCAAAGATGGTACAGTCGTACACTTCACGAACCTCGCTGGCTAAAGTCGCAAGAAGATGAGAAACGTAATGGTAGCGAGTACCATTCTCAACCACAAGATCACGCTTGAGCCTCTTGTGCATTTTTTGGTCAATCCAGCTGACTCTCTGTCTAATTCTGTCCTCATAGAGGCCCAAGACGTACACTTTGCCGTTGTGAGTGAAACCCAAGAGACCAGTTCTTAGAAACTCAGGCTCCATGATGCCGTCTGCATTACGACACTTTGCGTGGAAGATTTGTCTAGATTCTTTCTTGAGTCCGTAAAAGCCTCCCGACAAGCAGGGACTGTCAATCCAGATTTCACCCAACTCGCCCTTTTGGACAACGGTTGATGATTCCGGATTGACGACGGCCAAGGTAGCGTCTGGTAAAGGATATCCAAAAGAATCAATTCTCAAAGAGTCGCTGCTTCGTTCGTCCATTTCAGCGACATCAGTTTCAATTATTTGGACTTTGTTTCGTGAGAGTGCTTCCTTGTCAAGTATGACCGAGGAGTTTTCGTCAGAGGCCTTGAATGTCGAGCCCAACCCCAATTTCTCGCCACCTCCAATCCAGTCTCGCATCGAAATTACCATACCACCATACTCACTAAGCGTAAGCATGGGGATGATGGCATTTCGTGGTTGCTGGCAACCTAACGGTTTGAGATATCGTTCTGCAAGAACCTCTATAAGCTCGCCATCGACCGAGAGCGCATTGATGAGCACCCATTTGATGGTAGAAAAGTCTACTCGCTGTGTCTTCGAGTAGTAACGTGTAGTGTTAGGTGACAGCTGATAGTCGTAGGTAACTCTCTTGAGACCCAAGAAGTCAGCAAGCAACAAGTTGGCTCGTGTTTTGGAGATTATGTTTGCGTAAAGTCCCTGTACCTCCATGACTTTTGGAGGAGCCCAGACAAGCATATTGCCCGAGTAGATGGTGAACATAATACCGACGATAAGACCAATGGAGATACGTAGATCGACGGTGGCCAAAAAGACCCTTTTGCTTTTTCTGGGGGAACTAAGCGAGTGTTTCAAAGAGCCACCAGAGTCCGGTAGACTCAGCAATGACATGTCTAAACAGTTCATCTGATGCAAAATGGTGCTATGGCTCAACTCGATACCTCGAAGCTCACCAACAGGAGATCTAGAAAACTCCAAATAAGCCAAGTCGTTTTGGGAGTTCAAATGTTCGTCTTTGCGTGCCGACTTGCCAAACACATTTTCTATATCTGAGCGTTTGGCAGAACCGAGGTCGGTGGTTCTCAAACGCACCACCTTAGGCGGCCACAGCACTTTTTGATTTGTTGTGGAAATCCTTTCGATCTCCTTTTGCACTGACTCGGACATAAGCACAAACAGCGAGGACGTCAAGGCAATCACATCGAACATTTCCTGGAGTGCAATGTCCTGATGAATAGGAATGGCCGCTACTCGAGCCATAAAGCAACCAAAGAGCGCCACTGCAAACTCACAAACCTCTCCGTCCTTATATAGCAACACCGCCGTGTCGTTTGGTTTCAACTGGTGTCTGTGTTTAAGATCAGCAGCCACCTTGGTAGCCTTCAAGTAGAGTTTCTCCCACAGAATGCTCTGCAGCTCCTTACCTTTGGAATCGAGCACCTGGAAAGCAAGGTCCTGTTTCTGAAGCAGAGCACGTTCCTTCAATATACGTGCCATGGAGTGCCTGAAGAAAGCCTCTCCCTCAGGGCGTTTTCGAGGCATCAACACCTTCTCTAGCAGCTCGGCATCCAACGGAACCGCCTTCTGCTGCAGCTGATGAAGTTTATTGACCTGCTTCATGATCTCCTCTCTCCTGTTGATGTAGGTCCATTGGTCAATGGTCTTGTTGACAAAGAAGTCTTCCTCGAGCTTCTTAAGAATCATCATCATGTCCAACGGAAGATCTCTCAGATCCATGAACTGGGGCCCGCTGGCCACCCTTTCGTGGTCGTCCATAGTCAAAGTGAACGAAAGACTTGAAGGGGAAACTCGAGCGATGTGTGCAGACGCCGAGGCGTAATAGGTTGGTTTAGTTGAAGCTCTTGATAATTGGTTTTCAGCTTCGCGGTAATTACAATGTACGGCTGCAAAGTCTAATTCCGAGAAGGCAGGGGGAGGGTGGGATGATATAGTGAAGGAGTGATTCTGCTTTAGGATTTGAAGGTCTAAAATAAGTTGAATTCTTTATGGTGGGGATTGAAGGAGGTGTGAGGTAATATATTAGTACTACGGTAGTACCGAGGTAGCAGATTGCTTATCGAAAGCAGACCCGAATGAGAGCAACTGAAAGACCGACAGAAGAGATTTTTAGATTTTGAGTGTAGATTTTGAGTATTGAATGTTTCGACTTTTGAATTTCAGTTTGACGTTGTTGGCTCCTTGCTTGCTGACAAACAATGAGTTACGATTTGATCACCTTGCCAGAAAAGCAACGAAGAGAATTTGATCTTGAAACAACGACAAGAAGACAGCTTAGCATCAAGAACTTCAATACTGAAATATTGAGATTCCGTCGGTTGCTCTGCACCTAAATGCTACCTAAGCACATCAACAACCATCAATGGTCAAACTCCATTAGCTTGACTCCACCGGAACCCTCCAAAACCACCCTCCACAACCAAAAAATCTACATTCCAATTCCCGATTCGTACATTATCCAATCCTATGTGAGCCATAAGCAGCAACCCACAGTTTCCCTCTTAGCGCAAAGCACTTAATCGTGGGCAACACCGGGGCCCTTGTATATTAGCTCATCGGGCACAGGGATACCCTTAAGACGGCATAACTCCAACAACTGCTTGTTTTCGTCCTTCAATTGGTCGATGTAATCAGCAGACTTGGTCAAGATGCTGAGCTCCGAACGGTTCTCCTGCTCGGTCAAAGTCGGCGTGAGCAGGACGATTCGGTCAAACTCGGCACGGATGTTTTCTCGTCTCTTTTGCTCGGATGCAATGTGGTGGGCCTGTTTTGTTAGTAGTGATTCGTCAAAGTGGCTACATTTTGTGGGGTAACCGGTTAGCACAACATACTTTCTTCTGCTCCTCGGTTAGGTTTGGAGACTTCTTCTTGTCGATGTCGCTGATGGGACTTTCTTGCTTAATTGGGACTTCCATGATTTTCAAAAAAGTGTGGTAGGTGGTTTTGCTGGAGATGGATCGTAATGACTTCTCCAACAATGGAAGGTATGAAGAAGGCGGTGCGCGCACGACTACATACAGTTTCTGCCGCTTGGAAGTTTCTCAGCAGATAATCCTCAGCCATAACAAGTAAAGAAGGCTTGGGAAAGTTGTGAAAAGTTGAAAATTGCAAAAAGAATCTCCCGGGGGTGAGTCGAACACCCGATCTCAAGATTACAATCACATTACAGTCTCGCGCCTTAGCCAGCTTGGCCACCGAGAGGAATTCTGACATGAAAAAATGCAGGTCTAATATATCGTTTAAAGTGACATCTTCAATCTGACCTAGTGTCACAGATTTTCATGATACAAGAGAAATAAAAGAAGGTATCCCATCCTTAGCTTACCAAAATTAGCATGAAGATTTTGTGGCCAATTTGGAGCTCTCTTGACTGCCTTCTAGGGTTCCCGGTATTTCTTACATTTCAATGCTGCGAGCTTATATATGTGGAATAAGCGGCACCATATGTCACCACAGGACTTCCAGATAACTAAGACAACGAACCAAATACTAATTGAAGGGTTATATAATGATTCATATAGAAGTTGGAGTTGTAAAAAGAAAAAAATATGCAAGAAAAGCGTACATCGAATATCACTCTGTATTGGTATATAGCTGGCGACCTAACTCCTCCTGATTGGCCAACCCCTGGCTAAGGTTGTCACAAAACAACTCGAAGCCTGTCGTCTGATTTCCCATTTTCTCTCGTGTGGCTTCAAACAAAAATCGGCGTACTTGTTGGAGTATTTTCTCGATCTCCAACATTCAAGAGTGGGTGGCTGCAAAAACTCAACATCCTTTGTGATGTGGGACCACGGCCACAAAATGACCTCAGCACTGTAGAGATCATTTTGTAACAGAGTGATTGGACCGTAGTAGGGTGATTTCATAAGTCTCATGGGGTTGTGGGAAAATGAAGGTAGTAGATTTGTACAAATACGAGTGAGAACGGACTTTACAAGATGACCGATGATACACCACATTCATGGCTCTTCAAATCAACATTGTAAAATCTTTGGATTTGTTACACAGGCCCTGGAGGAGCTTGTATAGTATGTGCTGTGCTCATCGTCCAAATCCTCCCATTCACTCATCTCAAACAGCTTGAATGGTCTTTTCCACAATGCAGCAGCCGAAAAGCGTCTCTGCTTGACATTCAGAATTGTCACCTTGCTGTGTTTCAGAAAAACTTGCATTTTTTGTCTGGCGTCGACGTCACAGCTGAATTTCAGTTGGAAGGAATGGCTGGAACTGATTCTAGGATCGAACCCCAAGCTCAATCCTACAGCAGATAGAGTGAGCGATGGACCAATCTTATTTGAGATCTTTCCCTCGACTGTCCGACTAATTGTAGTTGTAGTATCTGAAAGGGTATTGTCGATGCACCCTTCGATAGGTTCCCAGGTGGTTTCTTCCTTTTTGACGATACTGTCTTGGAAACATGTCTGGATAAACTTGGTAGTACCGAGGGAGTCCTTCAGGAGTGTTGCGTCGTAAGGTAAACTTTCCTCGAGGTTTTCCAGAGACATGATTTCCATCAAATACTCGGATATGATCATGGATTGGTCATCTTTGACTTTGACGATTCCATGTTGCGAGAGCATCAGAAGCGTAACATCACTAAATGTAGCTACTTCAGGTGCCATCAGCAGCATCTGTGTAAACACATCAAACAGTCGAACAAATGAAACCAATAGGAGGGTTATGAAGAAAAGCATAGGTATTGTTGGAGTCTTTGGCGGATGAAGAAACCTGCTGCAAATCGTTTTTATCGTTGGCGCAGCTGACCAAAAAGAGAAAGTGGGAGCTGTGTTAAAAGAGTCCATTTCTTGGTAAAAGTCAGTCATGTCATTATCATATACTTATTCGTTGCCAATCTTGGTCAAAAGCTTACCACGGGGCTTGTCAGTGAACAAGCGGTTCCAGGTTTCTGGAACTTTCTTCAACGGAACGTCCTCATTCGTCAAATCAACCACTGAAACACTCTCGGTAGCCTTAAGTTTCCCTTCCTTGATGGCATTGATCAATACGCCAATAGCCTCCTGGAACTGGTCCTTGAAGTCCATCACAACGAAACCCTGGATGGTCAATCTGTTGAAGGTGATTTCTGTCCACGTGGTGACAGTAGCAAGGGATGGGTTATTGTAGCCTGAAATGGCACCACATGCAATGACACGTCCGAAAGGAGTAACTTTAGTCAAGGCCCAGCTCAAAATCTCACCACCGACGTTGTCAAAGTAGACATCCACTGTTTCGAATTCTTTGGCAAGCTCCTCTTTCCAAGAGGGGTCTTTGTAGTTCACGCACTTATCGGCGCCAAGCAGCTCGACCCAACGACACTTTTCTTCACTGCCTGCGATTCCATAAACCTTACTTGCACCAAAGAGGTGTTTAGCCAATTGCACGGCAGTCGAGCCTGTAGCGCCACTAGCAGCTGAGATCAAGACAGTCTGTCCTTTTTGAAGCTTTCCCACTTCCTTCAACCCGAAGTAAGCTGTCAAGCCAATGGTTCCCAAAGTTGCAAGATATGTGGGCAAGGGAAGACCAGCGTTTGGATCATGTTTCAAGGTCATTGCCAGGTCGTTCACCACCTGTTCATCCGTCCAGCCGAACAGCCCCAGGATGTAGTCACCCTCGGAGTATTTGGCCAGTTTCGACTCCAAAATCTTTCCGATTCCTCGTGCAAATACAATGTCACCTTTCTCCACAGGTTTTACATAAGATCTCAGCGGGTTCTGGTTAGGGGCAATCCAGCCTCTTTGAGCTGGATCATTGGAAAGGTAAAGAACCTTGACACGAACGTCGCCATCGCCCAAAGGGGGAAGTTCGTTATTAGTAAGCTTGAATGTGGAGTCTTCTTGATCCCAGCTCAAGTTGACGTTTCCGGTGGGTGGGTTTTCGAGAATAACTTTTGAGGGCATCTTTTGTGAATACTTATTGATTATTTTTGGTCAATTGGTTATCTTGTGGTTTCAAGGGGTAGAAGAGTGTGGTGTATTGCAGCCATTGTTATATGCGCAGTGATAAGTAAGCAGCCAGGGGTATCGCGAGGTGCATAGATAAGCTAATTTTAGAGAAGATGAAGATGAAAATTGAATAGAATTGGTTAATATTGATTTTGCGTCAATTGATGGGTTTTGACTTTCATTACGGTAATAGCAGCTTGTGGACGGAGTGGCATGTATAGAGCTGCCAATTGACCAAAGCTGGGTACGCATGGCACCAAAGCAGCAAATGTATTTTGTGACGAGAACTGGACTAGATCTTTGTCAATAACAGCTGTTTTCTTGATACTTCTCGATACTTCTCGGTGTTTCGTAGGATATGAGGCTCATACGAAATGCACCTTCAATGTCCCAATTTAAAACGGGAAAGAGCTCAAAACAAGAGACTTGCCTAAACATTTGCCTGATTTCCAACAAATGATGCATTATCATCAAGCTTTCAAAAAGCTATTGCCTATACGGCGGCTTCTTGGTTGCACTAGATCAACCCAACTCACCAACACTTCGACACCACAAAACGAATATTAAATCAGAGGGAGCAATACCTGCTATTTTAAATTTAAAGAAGTACCAAGCATACTTAGTCACAATAATATATGACAAAGCAGTTGATTTAACAGTATGAAACCTCCTACTACATGCCCCTGGTGTACTGGTGCGTAGCACTACACCATCAACGAAAAAATGCTCACACCAGTTAGCGTCAACCATGGTGTTCAGATTTCCCGTCAAGTTTGAGCTCCCCAAGCACGTGTACCTCAACGGTCGTGTGATTAAGGATGCCTTCAAGAGAACCCAGGTTGCAGAGTACGAGGTGACCAGAAACGCTCTCAGATACATTGCCAGAAACACCACCCTTCCGCCAAAAGCCCGTTTGGAGGCCCAGTTGCAGCTCGCTTCTATGCCTAAGTACACCTCCCCAACTCAGGTTAGAGAACGTTGTATTGCATCGGGTAACTCGAGGTCTGTGATTACGGACTTCAAGTTGAACAGAACCGAGTTTAGAAACAGAGCCAGAAGGGGCCAGATCCCCGGCGTGTCTGTCGGCTCGTGGTAGGGAATTTCTTGTATATACTAATAGAATGGTGAATGAAATGAAAGTTTGAATGGGATGTAGTCCTTGGGTTATGCGTTAGCCTACTGGTGGTAGTGTGATGAAGGAAGAGGTGATGCCAGAGATAATAAACAGAGTCGGCAGTTAACGGCATAAGTTGTTGGGCTAAGTTTGAAGAATATTGAAATATTCTTTGATCGGCACATTTGCGAGTTGGACGATCCAAGCAGGTGGGATCATGCTCATCTCGTTATCTTGACTATGGTGATATTTACATGCCCCAATCGAACCCCAGCCTGATACAAGAATTTATCCCAAATCCCTCAACAAACGTCAGTATATAAGGCTTTTCTCTTTATCGTATGGTTAAAGGCTAGAGCGAGGTGTATTTCGTCAACCGCCTGATTACGCTACTTCGAATTGATGTTAGTACAAAAACAGGGAACACTACCCGAGTAGCACCGGCTAATTAAGAATCGATCTACTCAAACAACACAATTTCTGCCACCACCTTACTGTTCATGACAATCTGAAGGCACTCAGACCAATATGGATTCATCTACTGCCATCTCTACTAAGCCACAGTACCAATAAACCACATAACACCTTCAAAGCAAACATCCTTATTCCTCTCCAAATGACATCACAACCGGCGCAGACTGTCCCTGTTGTCACTTCCCGCTTTGGTAGTCCACTAGCACCATCAGAGCACTTTCACACCCTTGGGCTTGGCTGACGAAGGCCAAATGATCATACCTCCTAATCCCGGCGGAGGATTTCCATAGTGCCTCATTGGTCCTTCACGAGGTCCCTTGGACAATGGCCAAGACGAAAAACACCAGGCTCTCACTCCAAAAAACACAAAATCGAGAGTGCTCTTAAACATTCGAGGGGACCCGTTCCAGGCCCACAAACCCCAGGAGCCTATATTTTTAAAAAGCCCCTGAAGGCCCTAACGGTAAGCGCAACAGCTGTTTTGACGACAATGGAAGCAGACCACAATGGTTCTCCAGAGGACAATAGCCCTTACATCATCGGCCCAGTCGCTGCCTTAACATACGAAAAAGATAGATGAAGTGATTTCAGAAGACGTAGTTTATCCAAAATACGTCTATTAAGATGTTAGAGTAAGTGTGGTGGAGCATAATGGAATATGTGACAAATCGTAGACAGTAGAGTTAAACAACCGATGGAAGACGGCAAAAAAACAAAAAACAAATCAAACGGTCATACTCCTTGGCCCACTGATTTGACGAGTTTTTTGACGAATCCGTAATACGTGCAATGGCCCAACCGCCCTGGGTTAGCTGCACTGTGGAGCCTCAGTGAGACGCAGCCGTAATTGCAACCACTCCAATAAACCCCTGTACAAAAACGTCCCATACAAAAAAGCCCAAAACAAAAAAAGCCCAAAACGAAAAAACCAAGCCTCCAGATCAAAACGGCCGTGTTTCCGAGAATCCTCCCAGCCCCCAGACACGGCCAATTCCGCTGCACTGAAGGACCCCAACGAAGACCCCAACCTGTGGAAATTTCGGCGGCACCAGCCCCTCGGACTCGCTTGGCCTCGGCAAAACCCGTGGCGGTGAAGGAGAAGAAACAGAGAAAAAAAAGGAAAAAAGTGGCCTGGCGTCGTTCTTCGATGACCTAAAACTTCCTCCAAATTCTCCCACAAAAACAATTTCTTTCTTTTCGCTTCTTAAGCTCCTTTGCAGCGCCATGACGTTTGCAACCTGCCCAACAGTGAGGTGGGGCACTGTGGAGACGACACGGCAAACGGCGCTGGCGCGAAAGCAAGTCTTTTTCGGGTCATCCGGCTGACACCACAGGGGCCATTCAAAACAATTCATGCAATTGAAAAAAAGGTAAAAGATTAAAAAGAAAGATTAAAAAGAAGGATAAAAAGAAGGATAAAAAAAAGAAATAAAAATCTAAAAGAAGGGATTCGTCGCCCTGCGCTTGTGGAGTCACAAAATCTGCACTGATTGTGCTATGGTGCACCAGTCCCGTGGGTGATGCGGCAGCTTATTTCGTGGGGCCACCGTTGGCTGGGCAGAATCCCCCGCCAGAGTCCGAGACGGAGGCCCGAGCCAGTCCAGTAAATTTTCATTAAAGGATTCGAGGATTTAAACGTCTTGTACAATTTTCATATCTTCTCTCCACCGGCTTATCAGAAGCACAAAGCTAATCCTAGACAATTAGGTAATCAGCGTAGTTTAATCGGTGTTATCTCGCGCTGTGGCCGCCTTGGAAAGCTGCTCATCGGCTGCCAAAGCCGGTTCCGAAATTCCCAGGCCGGGCCTTTTGGCTTCCGCAAATTCCTGGATTCTTCTTCATTCTTTAAAAAAATAGTAATCACTTTTTTCTCCCTCCCTCCCTTGCTTTCCTATTTCGTTTCCCGTCTTTGTCCACGGGCCCTTTGTGTGGCCCTTCTCCGCGGTGAGTGGCTCCATCGCTAATCTAATTTTTTTGGCTCGGCCCCAGTCCTGCCCATCACCGGCTTTATAACTACCCGCATCCACCTTATCTCAAATCCACCCAAAAACACCTTTTTCCCTGCCCCCACACAAGCTGACTTCCAAACTCCGCAAAACTTCCCCGAGTCGTCCCTTCGAAGGCCTCAATCGAAAATACAAACAATCACCCCAAATCCACCATGCTTGTCCACAGAAAACAGCTGGGCCCCAAGCTCGATAAGCCGAATAGGTTCAACCTAGGTGGCCTCATCAAGCGCAAGATGCTGTGGCGCCGCTCTATCGACGACTCCATGTCCAGCCAGGACCACTACCAGGTCGACTGCCACGAACTGCCCTCACAAACCGCTCACTACCTGCTTACTGCCTCTGATGGCCACTATACCCATGTGTCTCCAGCCCAGGATTCCTACTGTGCTGCCGCCGAATGCATTCTGCTTCAAAACAGCGAAATGACTTGCCACACAGACGAGGTTGACCCTCTCTGCTGCAGCGAGGAGGTTGAACAGCACGAGGAAACGCCGTTTGACCCGAAAAACGAAGAAAACATCTCCGAGTACCATGTGGGCGGCTACTGCCCGGTCAAAATCGGCGACCACTTCTGCAGCGACAGGTGCCGCTACAAGGTGCTCCGCAAACTCGGCTGGGGCCACTTTTCTACCGTCTGGTTGGCTCTTGATCTGGATGGCTCGTTTGTCGCCTTGAAGGTGGTCAAACTGGGCAAGAATTACGCCGAGGCGGCCGCCGACGAAATCAAGATTTTGAAGAGCATTGGCGCCTCGCCAAAAATCGTCGCTTTGCTTGACTCCTTCAACATTACTACCCCACTGGGCACCCACGTTGCTATGGTATTCGAGCTCATGGGCGAAAACATGCTCCACTTGATCTACAAGAAAAAGGCCGAGAGGTACTCGTTCAAGATGCTCCACAAACCGGTCCTGCCGTCTGTGGTGCCGCTCCCGATGGTGAAGCTGATTGCTCTTCAGCTCCTACAATCGGTTGACCACATGCACCGCCACGGCGTGATCCACACGGATATCAAGCCAGAAAACGTCCTCATGACCTACGAAGGCGCCATCCCCGACTCTGTCAGGGCTGCCAAACCTACACCTGCTTTTAGAATTCTTCCGCTGCGTCCTTTGGCCATGTCCGTGGAGGAAATGTGCCTGTGTCCCATGACCGTCAAGGTTGCTGATTTGGGTAATGCTACATTTAGCAGCGACCACTTTTCCGACCATATCCAGACCCGCCAGTACAGAGCACCCGAGGTCATTCTTAGATACAAGAGCTGGGGCGCTTCCGCCGATGTGTGGCTGATTGGTTGCTTGATCTTCGAGCTCATCACCGGCGACTTCCTTTTTGACCCACACGATGGCTCCAACTTTTCCAAGGACGAGGACCACATGGCGCAGATAATAGAGCTTCTTGGAGAGTTCCCACTGGCCAAGTACTTGAGCGACTGCTCCAAGGCCTCTGCGTTTTTTGACACCCCAAGATCGTTGCACAACATCCGCCAGCTCAAGTTCTGGAGCTTGGAGGACGTTTTTGCCGAAAAATACAAGTTTGACCGCAACGACACCGACATGTTGTTGGCGTCCGACTTGATTCGCAAGTGTTTGAAATACAACTTGCACGAGCGTTATGACTGTGCCTCGCTCATGAGCCATCCATGGTTCTCCAGCAATCTTTGCTACGACAAGGCAGCTCTTGAGAGCTTGCCCAACAGAAATAATGAGATTCCGGGCTTCACACGTGAAGAGTAAGCCCAGGTGCTTTGCGCCACTTTCACTTCTCTATTGTGTTCATATTTATTTGGGATTAATAAAGGGTAAATTACGTTTAAAGTTGGTGTAAGTGTGGCTCGTGGGAGCGATTTTGAATTAATGAGATGCATTGCTGTGGCCCTCAATGCCTTGTTCCTTAATGCCTTGTTCCTTAATGCCTTGTTCCTTAATGCCTTGTTCCGAAATTGCCCTTTGCAGCGGTAGTTTCCGGAACAATACCCACTATCAAGATCCACGCAAAACGGTTATTCTTTGTAGTATTATGCATCATCGTCCTTCCAGACCGTTCCACTATTGCTGAATTATTTCCCACGAAAAAGCCCTAGAAGATAGAACACCAAATCCTCATCAGCACATAAACTTATGCTTGCAGAGATCTTCGTATTCTATCGTGTCGTCTGGAAGATCAAGATCAGAGTCGTACGGAGGATCAATGTCAGGGTCCCTTTCTGGCTTAGCAGGAGGCACACCGGACTCTGCTTTTCTGGTTGCAAGCTCGATGTTGACGATATCCAGCTTGGGCAGGTCCGACTTGCGTGAAACATCAGTTGAAGGTTTTCGTATTTCCTCGTGGTTCTCTTTATTGCCTTCAACTTGGTCGACCTCTTTCAGGCCGTTAACCCTATTCTCTCCATTCTCATGCCTCACTTCTCCTTTAGCCTCTTCCTTTTTTCCCTCCGCCTCCTCCTTCTCTTCCTCATTATTGTCCGGCTTTCCACTGTCCTGCTTCCCCTTACCCAAACGCTTATCGTCCAATGTCTCATGTGCTGAACGCATCTTGAAGCCAGTGTCCTCTTCGTCCTCGCCATAATCTAGCTTGACAGCCTTTCTCTTCTTCTTTTTAGGCTCAGCAGCCTCCTCCTTCTTGGAAGCCTCGATATCATCAAAGTACTTCTCGATTACCCTCGTCTCCTCAATCACAACAGGATGCACCGGCGTTTCACCGTCTTCTTTCATATCATTTTGTGACATCTTGATCACGTTATAGATGGAGTCGCCAATGACTCGTCCAATCATCACAAAGTGTTCATTGAGCTCTGGAGCCTCTTTGGAGGTGATGAAGAAGCCATCCACAGAGGCACTTTTCGAGTCTGCAGAGTTCACCAAACCAACACAGCCCTTCATGCTGAACTTGAGTCTCAGATGATACCGCTTTTTGAACTTTGTACCTTCGCCATTGCCGTCTGTCTGTACTAGATACGGAAGCACCTTACCGAACGGGATGCCCTTGTACTTGTTATCTAGACAGTTTTGTAGGAAGGGTTTCAGGAATGTGGCGGTTTCTTTGGCAAAGATCTCCATGTGGATTTCGCCTTTTGTGGTCTGCACCACCACTTTGGCTGTGGGTTCCAAAGACATGATGGAGTAGGGTAGTTGATGGCTGGATCATTTCGCAGCAATTACTTAGTTATGTTGCTGTGTGGGCTAGCGAGCAGCCAGGACGAAAACTACCCATGAATTTGAATTTACAAAGACAATTGGCTTTTTTGGATAGATTTTTCAGAAATCAAATCCTACTTTAGCACAAATGTAGGTGTTTATGGGTCCTTGTTTGGGTGCAAATACCGTTGATAGTGTGCATGTAGAGGCAATGTAAGACATCCCCGATATGTCCTTTAAATTCACATTTTTCGCTTAGGATCTTTTTTGGAAAATGCCAATATCCCGTTAATACGTTCTCTATACCCCCAATTGGGTGAAATCGTGGACCCTCTGATCGGCCTGGTGATTACACCCGTACACCACGATATCAACAAATACCAAGTTTTCAAAACCTCAAGCCACGAAACCTTCTTCCAGCCTCGCCTGCCATGGGATCGTTGAAACTGTTCATCAAGGCTGTTCGTAAGGCCAAAACGATTGCGGACGAAAGGACCGTCGTGCGCAAAGAGTCCGCCAGTATAAGGACTTCCTTCAGAGACCCAAATTTGGACCAGACCACCAGACGAATAAACATCTCCAAGTTGCTCTATCTTTACATCTTGGGCGAGAAGACTCATTTTGGTCAAGTGGAATGCCTCAAATTACTTGCATCTCCGCGTTTTGCCGATAAGAGACTGGGGTACTTGGCTGTTATGCTTCTCTTGGATGAGAATCAGGAAGTCTTGACGCTTTTGACGAACTCCTTGGACAACGATATGCAGCATCCAAACACCTTCATCGTCGGATTGGCCCTTACCTGCCTTGGAAACATTGCTTCGCCGGAATTGGCTCGTGATTTGTACAATGACGTGGAGAAGATCATCAAAACCACCAGCTCGACCTACTTGAAGAAGAAGGCCAGTATCGTGGCCGCTAAGTTGATAAGCAAGGAACCTGACTTGGGTGAAGTCTTTTTGCCATTGGTTCAGCAGATGCTGAAGGAGAAACAGCCCCAGATCTTGCTTGGTGTGTGCCGAATGATCCAGGAAATGTACCAGCATTGCCCAGAACAGAGAAAAGCCGTGATGAGATTGGCTCCCCGTTTGATGGAGCATTTGCGAAGAATCATCACCAGCGGATACATGCCTGATTTCGATGTTTCCGGTGTCACTGACCCATTCTTGCAAGTGACTTTGCTTCACACGTTACGAATCTTGGCCACTGACGAGAACTTCCCAGGTGAGTTTTTGGAGCAGATGAACGATATCCTCACACAAGTGGCGCTGAACTTAGACAGTGTCAAGAACGCTGCTCACGCCATCATGTACGAGTGTATCAAGACCATTTTTGCGATCAAGTCTGACCAATCGCTTCGTGTTCTTGGTATCAACCTGCTTGGTAAGTTTTTGCTGATCAAGGACAACAACATCCGTTACGTGGCTCTCGAGATGCTTCTCACCGTGATAGACTACGAGCCATTGGCCGTGCAGAGACATCGCCAAACCATTGTTAGTTGTCTTATGGATGGCGACATTTCAATTCGTCGGAGAGCCTTGGAGCTTGCTTTTGCCATCCTCAATGGAGAGAATATCCGGGTTTTGATCCGCGAGATCTTGACCTTCTTGGAGAATTGTACTGACAACGAGTTGAAGCCCTACATCACCTCGCAAATCACCATTGCATCGTCGAAATATTCGCCCAACGAAAAATGGCACTTTGACACCTTAATCCGCATGCTTAAGGTTTCTGGTAACTACATCACATCCGACATTATCTCGAACATCTTGGCTCTCATGATGAGATGCAGCTCGGCAGACTTGAGAAAACATCTTGTGTCTCGTCTCTTCCTGGCTGCTGTGGAGGACCCACTGCAATTTGCTTTGGCTGTTGTCAGTGTGTGGTGTTTAGGAGAGTATGCTGATTCGATTCTCGGTACTGAGGTGGAGATAAATGGCAAGCAAGTGGTTGCGTCTGAGTTAGCTATATTAGACCTCATCAACGGTTACATCAACAACTCCAACTTCAATGATGCAGAGACTACGCAGCTTGTCGCATACATCTTGACAGCAGTGGTGAAGCTTTCGGTGAAGTTCAAGGACTCAGCTTCTCTCGAGCAGTTGCGTCTTATCCTCAACTCTCGCAGCTACGACACCAACCTCGAGATTCAAACGCGTGCTATCGAATATCAGCAGATATTCGGTCAAAATCAAAAATTGAAGCAGGGTCTTTTGGCACACATGCCTGCCCCTCCAATCAAGGACAGACAGTCCTTGACCTTGCATGGTGGAAACATCCTGACCAAGGTGCCCAAAACCTTAACATCGTCTTCTGAGAAGACTGAAGATTTACTAGACTTGTTAGACGACGCTCCAGCAGCATCAAGTCAGCCTGCTGCTGAGCAGGCTACTGACAATGACCTATTGCTGGACATTTTCGGCCTGACTCCCTCAGCACCCCCAGCATCGAAACCCGCAGCAGCATCCAACGGTCTTCTTGACTTGTATGACCAACCGCTGTCGCAAAGACAACCAGCCCCACAATCCGCCCCAGTACCATCATCTACAGAGGTGGAGGCATTTGCTGATGGTCATTTGAGAATTGCTTTTGGCGACCAGTCGTTCCAGGAAGGCCTGGGTAGCTTTAATGCCAACATCACCTCTACAAGCCCCAGCAAGGTGGACCAAGTGCAATTGCTTTTCGCTGTGCCCAAGACTCAAAAGTTGAATATTACAACGACGCAAGGAAGCGATTCGCTTGTCACCAGCAATGTGATTCGCCAGGCATTGCGTATCACCGGTAAAGCAGGGTCCAAGGTGAAGTTGAGAGTGAAGGTGAAGTACAGACTCGACGGGGAGACTAGAGAGGACCAGTTTGACTTTGCTGGATTCACGGGGACTTTGTAATACAACTGAAAAATAAAATAAGATTGGAGCATATATTTGTATGGGGTAGCCCGACATACATAAACCACCGCGGGGCTTACAAGTTCACGGAGGAGGAGATGCCCTCAGCAGCGTCGTTGACGTGGGACTTGACAGGACCCTGGTTGACAACGTACTTTCTGGAGAATGGCTGGATAACGGAGGAGTAGATGATCTTGGCACCACCGAAAGCTGGGACACCAATGTAAAGCAAGAAGATGGTCTTGAGGAAAAAGTAGAATGGCACCCAGTACAAGATGGCTCTGGACCAGAACTCAATGACATTGAAGAAGGCGAAAACAACCCAGTAGGTCAACAACTCGGTGTCGTCGTCCTTACCAGTAGTCTCCAAGGCAATCAAGGAGAAGTAACCGGGAATAACGAAACCAGCAATATTGGACAACAATTGGCCAACACCACCAACGTTCAAGAAAATGACAATGAAGTAGAGCACACCGAAGCCCAAAACAGCGTAGGATCTAGGCAAGCCAGTTTGCTGTTCAAACACCTGCAATGGTTGGATACCAGCGGTAGCCTGAAATGGTTAGAATTTGATGATGAAGAAGATGAGGGTTTTCACATACCTTGTCGATTTTGGCCAAAACGCCCTTGATTTGATCTGGAGCAGACATTATAAGAAAAGTGATATGTAGATGGTGAAACCAGCAATGGTCGAAGCGGGAAATGTCGCCGAGGGCTGTGCAGGTATGCTGTCACGTGCAGTTATGTGTTTTACCCATGTTTCATGGGAATTCCGCAAAATATTATACTACGGTTTTGAAAAAATGATTAAATTACCTTTCAAATAAGCAGCCTTGGCCCGTTTGTTATCGTTTGCAGCCTGTCCTTCGTCGTACTGGGACATTTGTCAAAAGGGACGGTCGCCATTGTGCAGGAAAGCATGGCCGACCGAGCCTCAGTGAATGTATGGAACAATTTCTGGCAGGAATCAGGGGTGGTGTAAAGGACTAGTTCACTTAGTCCATGTAGTCTAAATCAAGCCATGAAAATGATCAGCTAATGATATTTAGGTTCTGAAGTTAGAAGGGAAAAAAGTCATATCTTAGTGGAGCGATGACATCGCCGTTATCTGTGGCTCGTGAGATACGCCGACAGACATACGCAAAAGGGCAATTTTCACCAGTGCAGAAGTTTCACACAACAGAATCGAGTAATTCAGAAGAATGAGATTTTGCTCTTTTTGTGTGAATATGGTGATCAAAGTCGAGCTAAATGCTTTTTGAATGAAATTTTTGGAGAGCTAGTAAAAATGGAAGTTTTCAAGTTCCCATTGATCCAGTGTCTAAGACTTTCTGTAGCACCCACATAATTTCTGAAACAGATGATCGATTTTTTAGTTTAAGTCCCAAAGCATTCAAAAAAACGAACTTGCCTGATTACTCAGCCTCATAAAACTCTCCATCTGCTATTTCCTACGCTCCCCTGCCTGGCCTTTCTATTCAATCTCCCTATATACGCCGTATCATACTACCGTTAGATCTGTGAAGCTGAAAGCTTATTTCTTGCCCTTGGACTTGGCACTGCCCTCGAACCCAGGACGCTTTTTGCCGTCCTTGGGCTTTCCACCCTTCTTGATCACTCCAGAAAATTTCCTCAACCGGGGCTGGTTCTTACCCTTCTTGCCCTTGTTGTCCTTTCTGGCCTTCAAGTTGGCTTCTCTCTTCTTGGCTCTGGCGGCAATCGTGTCCTTCACCAGCTGCTTTCTGTCCTTCCACTCTGTCTCGGAACGGAGCTTTTGCTTCTCTTTTCTCTTCAACGACTTTCTCAAAAGCTTTTCATCATCCTTGACCTTCACGCCCTCCGCTTGCGACATTAGACTCTTCCACTGGTCGGATTCTTTCAACGAGGCCTGCTCTTCGGGGTCATCAGGGCCAACTTGCGCTTTTTGTTTTCAAGTCTCACCAAGTGTGCTTTGATATCGTTGTTGGCGGGGCCCTTCTTCTTATTCTGAGCAATGCCGTTCCGGAGCTTGGACAAGTCGGATGTAACACGGGTGCCATCCTTGAAAACAATGTTGCCAAAGAGCATATCGTCATTTTCATCGTCTGACTTATCTTCACCCTCTGACTTATCTTCACCCTCTGACTTGTCCTCGTCGGCGTTGCCGCCTTCCACGAACTCGGCCTCGTCCTCTTCTCTCTTTCTTTTAAGCTTCTCTTGTCTTTTCAACTCCTGCTTCTTCTTACGCTCGGCAAGGATCTGCTCTCTGCTTTTTAGCGGACCAGCATTTTTCGTGCCGGGTGCTCTTCTCTTTTCTCTGAGAATCTGGATTTTGCTGGCAAGCTTCTCCTTCAATTCGAGCCTTTTCTTTTCCTTTTCCTGCTTCTCTTCCTCGCTGAGCTGCTTCTTCTGTGGTTTCAGCTTTTGCTGTAGCTTCTGTGACTTCAACTTCTCCTCCTGCTTGGCCTCATGTACGTCGCCTTCATCGTCAAATACTAGGCCGGCCTTTCCGTTTATAACCTCCTCATCGCTGTGGTCTGAAGGAGAAGAGGCTTTCGGAAGTGAAACCTTCTTAGCAGTCTTAGCTTTATTATCCATCACGTCTTTGGCGCTGGCACCACCGTTGTTGTATGTGTCTGCCAGGGATGCATTTTCAGGGTCCAACTTGGCCCTCTTGTCTTCAGCAGCCTCCTTCTTCGTCTTCTTCTTCTGCTGCCACTGATCTTGGGTAGCATCGTCATAGTAGTACTTTGCGGGTATCAAGGACAACAACCCGTCGAAAGCCGAGGAGTGTGTTTTCAAACGTTCCTGGATGTTAGTAGCTGGGTAAATGGGGAATCACTTAGTACATACCTCTAGAGAGTTCGTCATGGTTTCTTAGAGCAGAGATGAAGCTAGTATGAAAAAATGATGAGGCATCGCAGAGACGTGGGGATGCAGGACAGTAGTAGTACTGATGGCGTAGATATCAACGGTTAGTGGGTTGTTGATATTGAAATCATTCAGTGTGGTTCGGTAGAGGTTTGAATCGAGTATTTGTTGGAATAAGTGGTTAATTGTTGGAGTTGTTGAGTTAGAGGCGGCTCATGGCGATACTGACATTTGGTTGCGAAAAACGATGGATCAGGGCTCCGGTGGATGATTAAGCAAGGATTTGAGGTGCTGTTGAATCGAGATTTTGTGAATTCTATACATTTAATCGTCGGACGGGTGCGTTGCTTGAAGCTTATAGTCATCCGTTTAATTGGAGGTGCAAGTTGGAAAATCAATGGCAGACAGTCTTAGCTTTACACAATATCTTGAGAAGAGGAAGAGAAACCTTCAGAAAATAGTGGTTTTTAGTCAAAGCCAGGCCTTCTTCTTCAGTTTTACTTGGCTTCGGATTTTTGGAGCTCGATGTATTTTTTGAAATCTTGCGATCTTTGGTTTCTCATTACGATAATGAGACAACATATGAAAGTATGAGCCAAGTCATTAAATAAAACAGTTTTGTATATTTTCAAAAAAATGAAACAGGTTGCAGATTGTCAATGGCCAATTGCGCTTACATTGATTCATTGAAAGCTGATCTGTTACTCCTGGTTTTATCATCAAGCAATCTACAAAGATCACTCAAGGGGATGTACGATGAGGTTCAAGACGACCTTTCCCATTATGAAACGAAAGAGCAAAACGAAGGAAAAAGAAGAAATAGCCGTCAGACCCATTTTCCCTTATCACACCTTACATTCGTCACGAGCTTGAATGGTTGCGAAATCGGTCTCCAGCAAATTACACCCCATTACACCGGCACCGTATCAGATAAATACCTGTCAACAAAAAGTCCTCTACAAGCACCCTAAATAGACATCCTCCAATTGTCTAACCAATCGACCGGTTTACAATTCATTCAGGGATAGGGTCTCCGTGGTGATACCAACACACCCGTGCACCAGGACTCCGATTATCAAGACACCTCCACTGTTACCACCGATACTCACTTCTCCGACCACAATGGACCAGCCTCCACAATACCTTCTTGTGTCGTTGCCCCAATCGGCCAACTCACGTGCCACATTGGAGCTGCAGCCTGGCGGAGGCCCACAGCTGCTTTCTGAATTCAAATTGCCCGACTTTCAGATTAAAACGTTGGACCAGTTGGTTCAAATCTCAGAGGAATTGGCCAAGATCGACTCGACTTTGGGCGGCTCGGTGGCAAAGGTTGTTGATGTTTTGAACAATGTCGAGCCAAACAGGCTGTTTGCCGAGACTAGGCAGGTGAACAAGAGACCTGTCACCAACTACATTGAATCCTTCTCGTGGAACACATCCAAGTACAGATTGGACAAGTCGATCAAGGAGCTTGTGGATCTCATTTCACAGGAGGCCTTGCTGTTGGATAACGACGTGAGACTGTCGTATCAGCAGTACCAGACCGCCAAGTCAAACTTTGCTGCTGCGGACAGAAAACGCAATGGTGACTTGTCGATCCGTTCTTTGCACGACATTGTCAAGCCAGAGCAGTTTGTGTTGGATTCTGAGTACTTGACGACGATCGTGGTTGCTGTGCCCAAATCATCGGTGGCCGAGTTCAAGAAAACGTACGAAAAATTGACCGAGTTTGTCATTCCCAGAAGCGCCCAGAACATTGCTCAAGACTCTGAGTGGACTTTGTTTACAGTTACGTTATTCAAAAAGTACCAAAACGAGTTCATCACCGCCGCCAGAGAACAGAAATGGCATCCAAGAACAGACTTCACTTACTCTGAGGAGAACTTGAACGAGTTGAGAAAAGAGTTCGACTTGACGAGAGCCACCGAGGCCAAGACGAAGAACGATGTGATTAGATTGGCCAAGACTGCCTACTCGGAGATCTTCTCCTCCTGGTTCCACATCAAAGCCATCCGCATATACGTTGAGAGTGTGTTGAGGTACGGGTTGCCTCCTCAGTTTGACTCCTACTCCATCAGGTTTGTGGGCAGCAACCCCGAACAGCAGTTGCAGAAGGCCAAGAAGGAGTTGATTAATAAGTTTGGCTACTTGGGCGGCGACGGCTTCTCGCAAGGGAACAATTTGCATGAGTATGCATCATTGGTGGACTCTGAGTACGAGCCATTTGTGTTGTACTCGGTCGAGATTGTATAGTGCTAGATAAACGGATAATGAAGTTGTGATGTAGAAATCAAAAAAATTCCGAAAGTGTTGACGAGAATGGCAAAAAAGAGCTCGCACTCAGGTTCGAACTAAGGACCAACAGATTTGCAATCTGCTGCGCTACCACTGCGCCATACGAGCATTATGTTAAAATCTGACTTACAAAGTAATATGAGCCATTAACTGAAACAGGATTTTGGAATTATCAAAATTTGATACCTGTTTTCAATTTCTTATGCGCAGAAAAGTATGGTTGCAAGTGAAATCGGCGTAAATCCCGGTTTTGAGCGAGTTATGCGCAAAATAACCTTCTGCGCATAAATCAATGCTTCCACAATTTCAATTTCACCTGAAGTCGTATCTATGGCTCTCAATTCTTCTTTCTAGAAACCCCTATCCCTGTGCCTTGTGCGGTTCAGGTGTAAGGGGAAATCCATGCCGCTCACTGAGGTGGCCGTATTTGCAGACTAATGCACTGTGGCTATCTGAAAAGTCTCATGTGCGGAGTTGAAACCAGCAATATTGGGAAAGCCGTTTTGTGTCAGTTCTTTGATTTAAACTTTGGTTTTGTTCAACGGCTTTGTTGATAACGGGCTGTGAGATACCAACACAAAGTGCACCCGAAGATCGGCCAGATGTTCTGTCATCATTGCATCTTTTTAAACCACCAGAAGCAGTTTATCATTTTCCTCTTTCCGGCCACATGGCACCTGTTTGGGAAATATCGTGGCTTGTGAGACCCACACTGAATGCAAGTGAAGTGGCTTAACGCAGCCAGCAAACTAGACATCGGATCCATGCTATAAAACGTCATTTGCTTCGCCCCTTGAAATGTCTTTTACTCTCTTCATTTACTCCTCTATCAATGCTTGTTTCGTTAGCTACGCTCGCTACAGCTTCTGCATTGCCTTTTGCAGCCATCAAGCTGGTTCCTAAGCCTTTGTCTTTTGACTTCAGCATTTCCCGAAACTTCGGCCCGGACTCGAAGTTTTGGAATATCGACTTTTTCCAGAAACTAGGCCTGCAACTCATTGAAAAACGCTACGACTCCGCCCTGCTTTCAAACCACAACAATGTCAACTACTGGCTCGACATCTACTTGGGTCCTGAGAGTGAAAAAATCACTGTTTCCTTGGACACCGGCCTGGCTGATCTTTGGGTGTATGGACCCAATGTTCTGAGCACCACTGGTGGAACTTTTGATCCGGAAGAGGCCGGCAGTACCCCGGTGAACAACTCATTTTCCATTGCTTACTTGGATGGCACGAATGCAAAGGGTGAGTACTTCCTTGACGATTTCTCGTTTTCTCAGATAGAGGGGCTTTTGAAAGATCTCCAGTTTGCCGTGGTGGAATCTGCCAAATTCAGCGGACCAGGCATTCTTGGTGTGGCAAGTAAGGCTGTGGAGTCTACTAATGAGAAGTACGACAACTTGCCTGAGGCTTTGAAAGTGGCAGGTGTTACCCCAGAAGCCAGTTACTCCTTGTATTTGGGCTCTGAGTCGGGCACAATAATCTTCGGTGGTATTGACAAGAACAAGTACGAGGGAGAATTGGTCAAGTACCCTATTCCAAAGGGCGTGGAGGCTTTGTCTCTTGATGTCGTTTCGCTGTCAATCAATGGAACCGACTACAATGAAACAACCAGCTACCTTTTGGATTCGGGCACTTCCTGGAATTTGTGGCCTCAGCAGGTCTACAACGATACCATCGAGGCGTTGAGCGCTACCCCAGAAAAGGACTACTACGTTGCAGACTGCAACCAGCCTTCCGACAAGTACTTGGAGTTCAATTTCGGCAAGAACGTGATTAAATTGTCTTACAAGGATATTTTGGTCAAATGGGGCGAGACTTGTATAGTGGGTGCCCAACCCAGTCAGAGAAATTTCATTCTTGGAGACGTCTTTTTGAGACAGGCGTATGTGTACTATGATCTCACCAACAAGGAGATTTCCGTGGCTCAGTTCAAGGATTCAGTGACTTCCAACATTGTTTCTGCTTAGTGAAGGGAATTACAATATTTGTTCTTGCGATGGTTTTCGGCTTTGAAGCCTCATTCGTGCTTACGTTAGAGAATGGATTATACTCAATTGATATCAGAGAGTAGGTGGCATCGCGGGTTGCCAAGCTCTTAAATGTTCTGCAAATGAAGTGACAGTTCCTAGAGAAATCCCGTTATGACTTGCCTTTTTAGGGAGAGTCCTCATAAGGTACTCTTGAGGGTGTGGTATTGAAACTTCAGCTTCAAAACTTGGAATAGGTCGATTGAAACGACGAACCTCAGACTTCCATACTTTCCATTCTCACTAATATAAAACTGTAAAGTTTTTGGTCAATCGATATGTGTTCGGCATTCCAGTGTGGGATCTACAGAGTTTGCAGCCATCGCAACTATAATGTACCATCAACATCTCGAACGCACACCGACCCGATTAAGACATAACAAATAATTTTGACTAATTCGACCAAATCCTTTGTATATACGCCCCACTGCTCTGCTCAATCAGCCAATTGATCAGCTTCTTTCTTTGCCTCTTGGCTCCTCCTACACACAGTGTACATCAACGTTGAGTATACCGTTAACTCTCTCCTACTCTTCCTAGCATGTCTGACGAAGATGACTTTTTGTCTGAAGAAAGCTATGAATTTGAATTTGAGGATGAAGATGACGACGTTATCCAGAGCGAGGTCCCTGATCAGGACTCCACTGAAAACAAATACTACTATGCCAAGTCGTTGAAGGAGGACTCGCTTGATGCTGCCTCTGAACAAATGAAGGCTTTGATTGCCGCGGCAGACCCAAATGAAGACGTGGAATGGATATTCAAGGCACGCAAGCAATTGGCCAAAATGGCGTACCACCAGGGCCGTTTTGATGATGTGCTCGAATACATTGGCAGCTTGATCCAGCTACTACCCAAGCTCAATGGCAACTACGCCGAGGACTCGATCTCCAAATTGCTCCACAGATACTCGGCATGCAACGACCAGCAGTTTGTGCTCCGAATGTACGACGTGATCGTTTCACATTTGCAGGATTCCATGGCTCTGGCGGTTTCGGGTCAGAGACTCTGGATCAGAATTAACATGAACAGGCTACGCAACTTCTTGGATAACGGCCCGCTAGACGAGTGCTCTCTGCTCATTGCAGCGATAAACTCCAAGTTGGAATCAGTCTCTGAACTGACGCAAAACTCATACATTCTTGATATCATCGCTGCTGAGATCGAATACACTTTCAAAACCGACATCAATCTACTGCGGTTGAGCTATTTGCATAGAAAGGCCTCAAAGGTCTCATCCACTATCACGCATCCCCGTGTAATGGGTGTAATCAGAGAATGCAGCGCTACCATCCATTTTTATAGAAGGAACTTCGAGACGGCGCGTGTCGAATTCTATGAGGCCTTCAAGAACTACGATGAAGCTGGCTCGGATACGAAGAAAAAGATTTTGAAGTATCTCAGCTTGTGCCTGTTGCTCACTGAAAACGAGGTCAATCCGTTTGAGTCTCAGGAAACCCAGTCATACGCCGCTCTTCCAGAGTACAGAAACTTGATTGAGCTTGTGAACTGCTGTGAAACTCTTGATCTCAAAGGGTACCTTTACGTGCTAGAGAAGATGAAAACCGAGAACGACGCCCTCATCCACGACAGAATCTTTGAAAATGCCTCGGGCCACATTTTGCATAATATCAAGGTCAGGCTCTTGCTCAACCTTCTCAAAGCATACAAAACAATACGTTTTGATCTGGTGATTCGAAAACTCCAACTAGAGAGCGAAGCACATCTAGAGGATCTCCTCATCAAGATGGCTAACCAGGGAAACTACCACAGTATCAAGGTGGATTTTGCAAACAAATTCATCGAAATACAGTCTAGCAAAAAAGAGTTCCTCCCTAGTACGCTAACCGCCTCGGACGTGCAGAACAATCTTCGCATCTTGTTGGCTGTTGGATTCAACGGCCTTTGGACAGACTCTGCAGATACTTCAAACGCCATGGATATCGACTATTGTCCGGAAAACAAAGAGCAAGACGCAAAATGTGCACAGTCTGTGATAAACTCTGTAATCTTTCCCGGCAACGTTCACATTCGTTTCTTCGATTGGGCCAAAATTGGCAGTCTTGTGGAGGAGTGGTTTGGTTACATGAAGAACACGTTTCCGGCGTTGGTACGTACGACGGTGACACAAAAGGAGAAGGTCTTTTCAGAGCAGCAGGAAGATACAGCACAAACGCAAAACGCCGTTGCCGACGAGTCCAACGACGGCGAAGACGAGGTCCTCGACAAAGTGGAGTCGCTTCAGCGTTGGGCCAAAAAGATCCAGCTGGAATTGAGATAGTGGCTGAAACCAGCTGGTGGAAGTTGAAGTCCGCATACCGCTGCTTGACATAATGCCAAGGCGAGGGGCAACGTTTTACGAGCATCTACAATGAGTATCAATCGAGCGAGGCCTTGATACTGCAGAGTCGGTAGCGATGAGCGGGTACGAAAAAAACCTTCGGGAATCTCATTCCGTTTCCTACCTCAGTCCTTTTTTTTTCCTCTTTCCGGCCTCCATCCCCACCCAAACCCAATTCAAGGTATGTGCCCTCCGAGATGGACAGTGATTATTCAATATGCGTTATCGTCATGACGGCCACGCCGACTGAAATCAACTAACACCCGTATGAGTCCAAAAGTACAGCATTTACTAACAAGCAGATGAGTTCCTCGAGGGCAGAGTCCCCGACTGATTAATCTAGACAAAGTCAGACAAAGTCAATTGAGGTGGTCTGGCGCCATAATCGCCGAACTGGCGCGGAAGAAACTAGAATTCTGGCGCGGATTACAGGCGGGGAGGATACGGCTGAATGCTATTTTCTCCCCCCACACTCGCCCTAGCACCACCTCTCTGATCGTGCCGGAATGCGGCACTTTTTGGCCCCCACAGAACCAGAACTTCCACTCCGAGCACATTAACGACGCGGGGTGACGATAATGCCTTGTTTTATCTTTTGTACCTGGTGATGGTGCCCCAGATTCCACACAGTGCATACAGGTGATTTGCACCCATATAAAGCGGCTGGCGGGCGCCAAGGTGGATAACGCAAAATGGCTGCAAACCCAGAAAGTAGTCCGCTGTTTGATAAGAACGGCGTCAATGTTGTGGCGCTGCCATACGACTCCGATGTTTCCTCGGTCGAGCCTCAAATGGGGCTCTTTGGGCGCCTCGTGGATAGTTTCCGTCGTTTCGATGAGTCCGAGTTGAACTTGGACCCCAACTTGTCTGATATCGAGAAAGCCGCTATCATCACCGCCCAGTCGCCTTTGTCTCGTTCGCTTAAGTCTCGTCACTTGCAAATGATTGCTATTGGCGGTGCTATTGGTACAGGTTTGTTTATCGGTTCAGGTAAGGTTTTGGCAAACGGTGGCCCAGCCTCGGTCTTGATTGCCTACGCCTTGATTGGCGGTATGATTTTCTGCATGGTCCACGCCTTGGGTGAATTGGCCATTTGTTTCCCTGTGTCTGGTGCTTTCGTCACCTATAATGTTCGTTTCATTGATCCCTCGTGGGATTTGCCATGGCATGGAATTACACCATGCAGTGGTTGGTCATTCTACCTCTTGAGTTGGTCGCAGCGGCTATCACGATCCAGTTCTGGGATGAGTCCACGAACCCTGCTGCTTTCTGTGCGGCATTCTACGTTTTAATTATCATGATCAACTTGTTTGGTGTCAAGGGCTACGGTGAGGCAGAGTTTGTTTTCTCTTTCCTCAAGATCTTGGCTGTGATTGGTTTCATCATCCTCGGTATCGTTTTGGTCTGTGGCGGTGGTCCTAGAGGTGGCTACATTGGCGGAAAGTACTGGAGCAATCCTGGCGCTTTCAACAACGGCTTCAAGGGTCTTTGTGCTGTTTTCGTCACTGCTGCTTTTGCGTTTTTGGGCACGGAGTTGGCCGGCTTGGCTGCGGCGGAAACCAAAAACCCAAGAAAGTCTCTTCCCAGAGCCACGAAACAGGTTTTCTGGAGAATCACCTTATTCTACATTGTTTCCCTTGTCGTGGTGGGCTTGTTGGTGCCATATAATAATGAAGACTTGAAGAAGTCTGACGGCACTGCCAGATACTCCCCATTCGTGATTGCCATTGAAGCTGCCGGTATCGGTGGATTGCCTTCTGTGATGAATGTTGTTATCATCATTGCGGTCTTGTCTGTCGGTAACTCATCTGTCTTCGGTTCTTCTAGAACCTTATGTGCCTTGGCTGCTGCTGACATGGCACCAAAGTGCTTCGGCTACATTGACAAAAAGGGAAGGCCAATTTTTGGTATCGGCTTGCTGGCTGTTTTCGGCTTGCTCTGCTTCATTTCAGCTTCCGACAAACAGGGTGAGGCCTTCGACTGGATGTTGGCTCTTTCTGCATTATCTGCCGTGTTCACTTGGGCCTCTATCTGTCTCTGTCACATTCGTTTCAGATACGCTTTGAAGTGGAGAGGCAGAGGCACGGACGAGTTGGCTTTCACTTCTTTGGCTGGTTTGCCAGGCTCTTGCTTCGGCTTGACTTTGAACATTTTGGTGCTCATTGCCCAATTCTGGATTGCGCTTTTCCCACTTGGTGAGAAGCCCAATGTCGAGGCATTTTTCAAGGCCTACTTGTCGTTCCCTATCATTATCGTGTTCTACATTTTCCACAAGATTTGGAAGAGGAACTGGCGGTTGTACATCCCCATTGATGAGGTGGATATCGACACAGGCCGTAGAGAGATGGACTTGGAGGCGTTGAAGCAGGAAGTCGCCGAGGAAAAGGCTTTGCTTGCTTCCAAACCATTTTACTACAGATTGTATAGCATTTTCTGCTGATGGATTCTGCAGCTTCAATTCTCAGGCACCTGGCTGTGCCGATATATTCAATATATTGCAACCACTTTATACACAGCGTATGCATGAGGTAATAATTTTGGAAAAGAAAAAGATAGTTGGACATAAAAAGGTCATAATAAATTCAAAAAAGAAGAGTGATTTCGCCCAGGATCGAACTGGGGACGTTCTGCGTGTTAAGCAGATGCCATAACCAACTAGACCACGAAACCAATCTTGAAGAGGAGGGCGCGCTGGTAAAATATGAAAAAGCTGTAAACAACTTAATTGCTAATAGAAATTGCACTTTTTAACCTAAATTTGATATTAAGAGTCCAGTGTAAATGATAAAAGTTGCTCTTTAATCTGGGGATTTTTGGAGGATTATACGGACTTTTGGCACCTCCATAGTGATCATAAACGCACTTCTCGTTGTGCACCTTCCAGGTGCTTTCAGAGATCACTTAAACAACCAATTGAAGATGACAAGGGGCTGCTAAATCGAGAATGTCGATGAAGATGATTAAAGTGCCATTAAGTGAGACTTTGAAATCTTGCCAGGCGAGGCGAATACTAGGTCTTGTGAGGTAGGCTTTCATTGGCTTTCGTATCACCCTTACAGCTACTGGATCCGGCCAAATAGCACACAAACTTGACTCCAGGAGCATGTTGGAATCAGGCCCATCACAGAGTGACAGTTTTGGTGTTCATGAACCGTTGATGGGATCAAAAGTGCAGCCTTCTTTTGAGTCGGAGTCGCCTAACAAGATCACCACGAAGTGAAGACTACACTCCATTACCCACAAATTTCAGCCAAAGATCCACAACACGAAAAACTGGAAAACAACCATGAACCCAAATGCTTCACATGAACCTTACTTCCATCGCCAGCGCCACGCTATCCCACCTGTCCCCATTTTGCAACCATCTCCAGATCCCTCTCCATCACCCCCTTATACCTCCATCGACCAACTTACCCTAAACCCAACTGACCCTTTCTCAATAAACCCCCCATCAAACAAATTACACCCGATCCTGGCCACGTACCCCTCGTGATGACTCATCCCTCTGCGATCCATATCTACTGGGGACCCTCGCCTGCATTATCTCACGCAGCACCACTATTTTCATCTAACGCGCCATGTCACTTACTTATTTCCACGTTCCACTTGACAAAACCAGCTCGGCGCAAGACGCCCTTGTCGTTGTCGAAAATGACACTGTGGTCTACTTTTCTCTCGGCCGCTGGCACCTGCTTGTTGCCACCATGCGCCACGACTTCAGCCGCTTGAAACTATCGCCCCGTCCCCAGAAAAACGGCCCGCGCGAACTAGTGGCCCTAGTGCAAAACCACCTTTCCAACCCGAGCGACACGTCCCGCCAGAAAATACCAACCCGCTATTTGTTTGGAACGGATTTTCAGCAACGCGTGTGGCGCCACCTTGAAAGCGTGCCTTGCGGAAAAACAACCACGTATTCGGCGGTGGCGGCGGCGTTGGGGATGGAGGCGGCGCTGGCTCGAGCCGTTGCTGGGGCGGTGGCTGCGAATCGGCTCGCGGTGCTCGTTCCGTGCCATAGGGTGGTGGCCCGCGACGGCCTGATGGCGGGCTTTCGCTGGGGCGTGGAGGTGAAAAAAGGGCTTCTTGCGCGGGAGCAGGCCGCAAAAGGAACAAAAATCGGGATTGAAGGAAATGGGTCGAAGAGCATGGAAAGTGCCGAGAAGGTAGGCGAAGTTGTTCAGCTGGCGTGAAGGACGGAGGTGTCACGTATTGTGGGTCTGGCTGGGGTTCGCAGCCGCGGGGCCACCTCTGCAAAGGTCAACGGTCAAATGACCACAATATCAGTGAATTTGAAGAAGGCGAAGGAGGCGATCCTAAAAACCGTGACCATTCTCTGTCAGTTAATTGATTAGCTACGGGCTATTCGACACTCACTGCCTTGTCCAGACCTTCGCACCGCCTACTGCCGGCAGTAGGCCTCGATTCTGTCCTGCTGCAGCCTGGCGCGAGCGCTTGCCTGCTCGGCCTCAAACTCCGCCTGGGTGGTGAATTTCGGAACATTGCTTCCATTCTTTGGCGAGTTTTTAGCTTCAGGCGTTGTATTCAACGATTCTGTGGCAAATTGCGTTACTTGTGGCGGTGGCGGCAGATACTCGGGAGAATATTCAGGCAGAGGCAGAGGCTCCGGCAGAGGCAGAAGCTCCGGCAGAAGCTCCAGCAGAGGCTCCGGGCTCTTGGGCCTGGCGCGAGCGCGAACTCTCTTGGTGCCGCTTCTCTGCTGCAAATGCTTCCGAGGTCCTCTTCTCCACGCCTTGGGGGCTCTCATGTTGATCAACCCAAAACACAGCGACGCAGGCACATGGTCGTTGTAGTCGCTGCCATCAAAAAATTCAGGCTTGCACTCGCTGTATGTTTTATACAACAGCTCCGGCTTCCATTCGCAGCCATTGAGCTTGCGCTTTTTCCGCACCAGGCCGTCGCTACTAGCCTCGTTTTTCTGGCGCCGGCGCAGGCTTGCACGGTAGGCATCGGTGGCTGCAAACTCCAGACGAACAGTGGCCAAAGTCTGGCGACTTACCTCGGCAGCCGGGTTGCTGGCGGCGTACCGCTGGGAAATGCCAAAATCTAGATTCCCCGCATACTCTGGCTGGTTTCGACGAACCTGGTCTCCGGTGGTGTAGAGCCATATGGTTCCTGGAAGTCCCTCACCGCGGACGGCGCTTCTATCAGGCTTTTTAGGGGTTTCCACGGGACTTTGTGATTTCCGTGGACGGCCTCGTATAGGAAGCTTGGGTGCTCTCGATGGCTCTGAAACGACTGAACCATCCAGCGAGGGCTCTGCTTGGCGGTACAGAAACACCAGCGACTGAGGCAGGTCTGCAGCACGATTGGCTGGATCAACCGTGAAGGCATGATTGTAAAACTGGAGCAGCTGCCAGTCGAAGTAGTTTTCTTGGTAGCTCATGAAGTGGGGAAATGGGGGCCATCCGGGCCTGGGAACACTTATAATCTGGTTCTGATTGGGCCTGCCTTGTGGTTTGTCCACCTTGGGCTGTTCCACCTTGGGCTTGCCAATTTTGGGACTGTGCTCCTTGGGCTTTCCAGATTCAGGCTTGTCATCCGGTTTGTTACCCTTAGGCTTGTCTTGCTTGGTTTTGTCTTTCTCGGACTTTCCCTCAATTGGCTTGCCTTCAGGTTCACCCTCTTCAGACTTGCCTTTCTGGGGCTTCTCTTCGTTCTTGAAGAAAGCATAGCGAGACGGTGACGTTAGCGACATTAGTTTGCAGAAATCTAGGCGATTATGGGGGTTTGTGGCAGAGTGTTAGGAAGAGTTGATGGAGGTGGTGTTTGTGTTGCAGCCATGAGGGTATGTACTATAGACCAGGGGCTTCAAAGACAAGGCATTAATCGATGGAGACGTTACACATTACTCGTGAACAGTTCATTTTCCTTTGTAAAAGAGAGAATTTGGACTTATTGCCTACCGTAATCATTCAGTTACTGTAACATAATATTCATCATCTATAGCACTTATCAGGCAACTAGAGCGCTTTGGTCCCAAGTTAACTAGAAATATCTCCAGCTTCACTGCCTCTTTTGCAATCCCAAAGCTGCTTTTGTCTGGCGTCGTAGTCCTGGTCTTCTGGTGTCCCTGGAAACATGTATCTGGAATGAAACTCCTCGAAGCTCTCATTATCGCTTTCTTGAAGAAGCCTGAATTCAGTTTCGAAATTGGAGTTCATCTTATTTTTGAGAATTGGAGTAGGCGGATCAAACAGGCAAGTTTGGCTGGCTGGTCTGAGTTTCCATAAATGACGCCTGGTCCAGTTTCTGTGTTTAGCAGGGGGTATTGTCGTGGGCAGGTCAGCAAAAAGGACATGCTGGGGTTGAGGCAAAGTTAGAAATTCCGTGGAGTTTCCAATGGATTCAGAAAGCTGGTATTCGAGCCAGAGCTCCCACGAAAGCATTACTGACATTGGAAGGGTATGGAGTAGGTGACGGTAGAAAGGGCGGCCAGGTCAAGAACGGTATGGCTGTTAAAATATTGCGGTTTAAATGTGATGAAATAGAGGCCAATTGAGTAGAAAAGGTGGCTGCTTGACTGTGGCGGGAGCTTAAAGATTGAAAGGATTGGGTGCAAAAAGCTGCTTGTGCAAGTGGGCGAGAATGAGGTAAGTGTAGTGAGGATGAGGATGAGGATGAAGATAAAGATGAGTCGATTATGTAGAAAACAAGGTCACAAAAGAGGAATTGAATAAAGTAGAGTGAGTCAAGCAACTTGAATGAATTTAGAAGGTGACGAAGAACAGTCATTGGTTTATGGCCGCTTCCAATTAGATGGAGCAGTAAAAGACTCTCAATTCCCAAATCACCCGTCGAGGCGCTACCACTAAACTTTGCAAACCTTGTGCAAAAGATGTAGCTCTTGACCCCCTTATTCAACAGATCTCCTCGAACCATACCCACCTTATCTACTACAACCTCACTTGTGGCTAGTGCGGTGCTTCCTCGACACACCCCGACACGAGGCTTTGCCCTTCAACAAGCGTCTACAAAAATTCACCAGCTCAGCTTCACCCCCAAATGGTCCACACCAAACCAGCCAAAACAGCCATCCGCTCATTGTCCGATCCGATCGGCACCTCGTGGCGGAACCGTTATCTGTGCATATATTGATCTCGCCTAAGCCCTGTTTGTGACACTTTAGCGTCCCGCCCAAGATGCCACAATGCTGTAGTTTAGAAGCCCCTTGGTCCATTGGCGGGCCGAGCTAAAAAAAAAAAAAAGCGGCTGTGTCGAACCGCCAAGAAGCTGTCATCTGTCAATGGCTGCGAATGTGGTGCGAAGTGAAGAAGTAGGCCACTGGCTTTAGCGGTATGAGACGAGGCGGATTTTGATAGCAGGAGACGAAGGCCAGAGCAAGCGCAAAAGAGGGAATTGCCTCTGTATTTATACCGAAAAGTGTGAATTTTAAGCCCCCTTCGCAGGGACCCTGGCGATGCCGCTCAGGCAGTGAGAACGCAATTTTCAGCCTCCCATCTACATGTATTGTCTGGCACTGGGGCGACCACTTTTCAGCTCAAACCTTGTTTTCTTCAATTCATTGTTCTTTGTGTCCTCTTAGTTGAATGATCGGAAAAAAAATGCCCCAATTAATAAATCATGCCGTATCCCCTACCACTTCTTCCTGGCCTCGCGATTACCGCGGTGCCTCTGGTCCCGCCTCTGGGGTGCGATTCTGGCGTCTGGAAATTGCGCCAAAATGACCTTGCCAGGAGTTTCTGATGAATTCTTAGAAAAGTATCAAAAAAGTAGAAAGTTTAAAAAGCTGTTTGTGACAATGCCAGCTTCGTGGATGCCCGTCTGCGCCCGCAACGTCATGGAACAACGGCACCACCACAATGTCTCTTGGCGCATCGAATGGGTCAAGGCAGCTGGAAAAAGGCAGGTGGACGTCCGCGCAGCTGGAGTGTGGAGCAATTGCAACGGCGGCCCGCCAATGAACGGGCTGTATTAAGCCTTTGTTTTTTGTTTTTTTTTCTCCAGGCCAATCAAAACGGTTTTTCATCAGGTGAGCCGGTGGGGCCGGTGGGGCAAACGGCAGTATAGATTTCAGTCCGGCCAGGAGAAAAAAGAAAATGACAATACGTCGCCCAGCATTGTGCGGTGCGACAGCGGCACGATGAGCACACAGCCTAACGAGCAATAAACAGAGCCCAGGGCCGCAGAGAAAGGAGGCAGTTGCTGGAAAAGGCTTTTTGTGTATGGGTTTTTGTTTGTCGTTTGTTTACGTTTTGGAGGCGGCGGCACGGGCCTGGCCCTCCGCTTCATGGCTTTTTGCACCCATCGACACCAGCAAGCGTTTGGGCGCAGACTGGACGCACCGGGATTCTTGAAGAAGAGGGCACAAGGGCGGCAGCAGACAAAGAAAAAGCGGTTTTGAGACCCACGGAGAAGGCCCGGTTTTGGCACAAGGTTTTGCCGGATTCTGGCTATTTGCAACAATGCCTTCGATGTGTGGATGGAAGCAGGAGGGCTATTTTTGCAATCGTCGGAGGCCACATTTTTCCGGCGCCGCAGGCCCCCTGCGAGATGCATCCAGAGCCACCGGAAGCCAGAAACCGAAGATACGATTTGGTTTTGAAGTCGTGAAGTTTTGGATACTCTGGATGATTTGAATTTTTTGTAGCATCAAAATTATTTGCGTTTCGTTGCAGCACCTTCCGTTTCATAGATGCCTCCATCTCACCGCCTTGCTAGGCGCGATTAGCGAGAGCCCAGCCCCGGCACTATATATACCGATCGCGATCCACCTCCATCTTTTCTTGAATTCTACTATAGACATCCCTTATAGACACCCACCGCCATGTCGTCTGACATTCTACCTTCGCTGGACCGGTGCAGTCCCTTCCATACCAACGCCCCGGCCTACGACGCAAAACCGGTCGACCACTTGGTGGCCTATTTCAAGCTCTGGAAGCACTTTATCGCCAGCTTGATTGCCTACCTTAAAGACGTGGCCAACGCGAAGGAGTTTGAGCTGAACTTGAATCTCCAGCTTGTGGGCTCCGTGCAGTTCCCGGGCTACCGTGACTTGGCCTTCCGGACTCTCCTGGCCGTGCAACAGGCGCAGTCATCTCCGCTGTCGCCTCAGGGCTCCAAGGAGTTGGGCAAATCGCTGAATGCCCAGTCCACGAACTTGGCGGCTCGCCCGGGAATGCCCAAACAAAAGTCCCAGTCGTCCATCTTCAAGAACCAGTCGTTTGCCCACCGCAAAACGCCCTCCTCCTCCACGTTAAGCGACCTTCCAGCGCCAAAGAAGAAGGACCACCCCAACCAGTTGAACCACACCTCCACCCTGTCGTCGCTCTCGCTGTCGGTGGCGGCGGCCAAGTACGTGCCCAAGTCCGACGTGGCTGTGGATCCAAGCTACTTTCCCGCCAACTCGTTGTTCACCAACATGGCCGGTGCTTTGGTCAACCACCACTACCACACGTACACGGCCCAGACGAAAATCACCAAGGACCTCCAGCAGAAGCTCATTCCAAAGTTGGAGAGCTTGCACCGCAACTTGAGTAACAAGATCAAGGAGATCAAGCTGTCGTTGAAGAACGACTCGTTTGCCAACCCTTCCTTGGCCAGAGAGATTTCCAAGACCGGTGCTGTCATCAACACGTTCGTTTCCAGCATCCGCCGCTACTCCGGTCCTCGTCCTGTGCTTTCCAAGGAGCTGGAAGGCGACGACGATGACGATTCCTTGTCGGACCCATTCCTCGTGAAATTACGTCTTGACTACCAGCTCAAGAACCAATTGATCCACGAAAATTACGTCTACGCATCGTACGTCAACTTGCAGAACATCTCCAAGGACCTTTTCAATTACGTCATCAAGGACTTGAATTTTGTCACTGAACGCTTGGGCAGGCTCTGCAACGGAGAGGTGTACGCTTCATCCGCCGAAAACGCATTGTACAATCTCTCCTGGACACTCAAAAACTACATCAACAATGCCAACAACGATTGGGAGTTTTTCATCTCGCACAATCCCAACTTCTTGAACACGTTCTACTCGACAGAGAAGCTGCCCAAGCGTGAGATCAGAACCGCTCACGACATTGTCATTCCATTCGCTGATACTTTGCATTCCAAGTGCTTGCGCTGTGGCATCATGTACAAGAAGCAGAGGCTCATCAAGTCGTACACCTCGTACTTCTACTTGTTGACCTGTAACTATTTGCATGAGTTCCGTCTTGACACCATGTCTGACAAGATTTCTGACGCCACGTCCAAGGCAGACAAGAAGACGGGTGAAAAGACGAGCCAGAAGAAGAAAAAGGGCAAGATTGGTGGTGTGGTTGGCCCTGATGATACCCCAGTCAAGTCCTACAACTTGAACAACTACTCGTTCCAGCTCAAAAGTGAGAAGGATTTCAAGTTCATCTTGACCAAAATTTCCAGCAGCTCGCAAAAGTTCACCTTTAAGTGTGCCAACCAGGAAGATTTCCAGAACTGGTCCACCGATTTGCATGACTTGCTCAAGTTCTCGTCGCTGCACTTGAAGAGATTCGACTACATCGAGGACAAGTTGGACATGAGAGACAAGAAGCTCCCAGAGTCTGCAAAGAAGGGCAAGAACAACAACATGACCTTGTCCCTCGACCAACCCCAGGGCAAGGACCAGGCCCAGGAGAGTCTCAGTGGTATTTTCACTCCTCGCGTACAGCTGCCATCCGAGACGGTCAAGACGGAAAAGAACCCATTCGAGAACACTTTCACCGATCTTCCAAATGCTACTCACTCGCAGTCGCAATCGCCGGAAGTGCTCTCTGCTGGTCCTTCGCCATTGACGTCTCCAGCTTTCGAGGCAGAAAAACCAGCCACTCCTATCTCTCACGGAGCCATGTCACCCGCCTCGGCCAGGTCGCCCACGGGATCGACGGGATCCATCACGCCAGGCGAAAGCTCTGGCGATTTGCATCAGAAGGAGCACGAGAACTACCTCAAGCTCCAGAACGAGATTTTGAAACAACAGCAGCAGTTGATGGACTTGAAGATATTGCACAGCCCCAAGAGCTCCGCCAGCAACCATCTTCTGTTGTCGAGACTGACATCAGCCGAGTCGATTGTATCGATGATGGAGCAGAACAACAATGACTTGTCTGCCCTTTTGAACCTGGGCAAGGACCTCATTGACCAGCCTCCTGCTGCGGAAGAGCTCTATAACAACCACGAGTCGAACTCGCTGGTTCCTAAAGTGTTTGTGCTGAACCACGGGAACGGGGCCTAATTTAGAAGCTACTTAGAAGAACCTAGATGAATGAATCTTTGAAGAGCAAAGATGTAGGTGCAGTAAGGTGCAGCAGCGATTTTGCAGCCACGCACTAGACCACTGCAAGAAGTCCGAAATGTCCATGAATTGGACAGAAGTGTTATTTTACAAGCTCTGGCAGAAGTCCGAAGGCACGCTGGCTGAGCCGACAAGAAATCGAAAAATGCAGATGGGCTTAAAATGACGATCTGGCGAGGCACCACACGAAGTTCTTTAAAGGGCCCAAAGATCAATTGAAGAAACTCAATGAAAATCTGTAGAATCAAATACGAATCTCCGCTTCTTTTCGCCTCTTCAAAATGTATTGAAGATCGCCTTCAAAAGAGGGGGACTCCGAGGACAATAGAACGCCATGACCGGTCCAAGCAATGTTGGCAATTGCCACGCAGCGAAAATAGGGAAGGATCAAGGCATCAGGCGGATTTGCAAAGGCAGACAAAAAAAAACAGAAACAATTGGCCAATCGTGTCATTCTTTTGTTTGGCATCCTTCAGCCTTGCCATGCCTGTCTGCCTGACCGAGATTTAGCAATCAGGGGAAAAAATCGTCCTCGGTTAAACGCACCTGTTCCATTGGCCAATGAGATAAAAAATTTGATAATTCGTCGCCTCGAGGATCTGGACGCCACTGGTAAAATCCATTTTCCAATTGACCCCTTCTGTTGTTTGAAAACCAGGGGTCATCTCGAAGGATGCCTCGCACGTGCCGGGCTGGACCCAAAATACACATACAGGCCTGGCAACGCCTTCAAGAATAACTTCACCTTAATACCACTTCTCTTCCCAAAAACGCCTTTTTCTTTTCAGCGTCTCCTTCCACGGCTGTTGAAAAGCTCTGCCTCGTCACGTCCAATTTACCCGCCGTGCGTCCCCGTGCCCCAGATCCATCTCTGCGCAGCAAACTCAACTCCAACTACACATTTCTTCCACCATGTCTTACACCAGTGGATTCAAGAAAAACGAGCTGGCAATCTCCTCGGATATCGACAGTGATTCGGGTATCAACATCCTGGCGCCTGATGGAGGCCACCCGCCCATTCGCCGGTCGTCTTCGTTGTTCTCGTTGCTGTCGAACCAGGAACCACTTCCAAGGCCCGAGCCCGAGGAATACAAAAACTTTTTGCACGACACGAGGCACTTCTCCTTGGTCCGTAACTTGCACATGGCCGACTTCATCACGTTGCTTAATGGTTTTTCCGGTTTTTACTCCATCATCTCCTGCTTGAGATACGCCTTGACTGGCAAGTCCCATTACGTCCAGAGAGCCCACTTCTTTATCTGCTTGGGCTTGTTCTTTGACTTTTTTGATGGTCGTGTGGCCCGATTGAGAAATAAATCGTCGCTTATGGGCCAGGAGCTCGACTCCTTGGCGGACTTGATTTCCTTCTCTGTCTCGCCTGCCATCATCGCGTTTGCCATTGGCTTCCGCTCAACGGTGGACGTGCTTTTCTTGTCCTTCTGGGTTCTCTGCGGTTTGACAAGATTGGCCCGTTTCAACGTCTCCACCAACAACATCCCCAAGGACTCCACTGGTAAGAGCCAGTATTTCGAGGGCTTGCCTGTGCCTTCCAACTTGGTGTGGGTGGTGTTGATGGCATTACTCGTGTACACCGACAGAATCTTGGAAAACCTCCCATTGGGCTTGGCGTTTGAAGGCACTTTCGCTGAGTTTCACATCATATCGATTGGGTTCATTATCCAGGGCTGCGGCGAGATCTCTAAGAGTCTCCATATTCCCAAGCCATAAATGGCGCTTCCCAAAAGGCCCTAGCGGCAATACCATTGTTCCGGTCCTTCTTTTCCTTTGAGCTTGTCCAGGAGGGACTAGCCATTACCGTCCGAGCTGACCTTAGCGTCTAATAGCCTATGCCTCGACTTATTTACCTATCAACCTCTTGCCGATCACTTCAACGTCTCGGAAAACCACTTCACCCAATTGTCCCAGCTGTAGTTGCTCGTAGTGCTCTCTATAGTGTACAGGGTCCAACACCCCGATATGCTTTGGATGAAACCCGAGCTTGTGACTCCGCTCCGATAAGCCTTCTTGCTGGCACGAGTCCCAAAAGATGTTATGGACCCTAGCCAATTTGGTCAAATATGCCATTCTGTAGCGCCATATAAGTGCCAGAGTGGGTTCGTGATGTTTCGATTCGGGCGTGATGCCTATTCTGGCCAATTCTCCGTGGAAAAGCGAAAGGAGCTGAAGAAGCTCTTTCCGTTCCGCTATACCCTCCATAAGCTTGGTGGCTAGCTGTTTTTCAGGCGTTTCTCTATCGATCTTGTCTTGAAAATCATCCACATCCTTGACATAGCGGAGTGCCGAGAGCACAAAATTGCCTTTCCGGAAAGTAGGCACGCAAAGACGGGATCCATGCAGAAAAAGCAAAATTCTAGAAGGAGTCATGTTTCTGGAGTATCTATGACTTTAGATATGTGATCTAGTGATTTTGGTGATGGAAGGTACGGGTGTGCTCATTGGTATACCGGTTTTCATTGAGATTTTCCTTCAATCACCAGACCTCCTCCGCCTACACACATGCTTGCCAGAACGGTTTTGCGGGCATGTCCCCGTGGTATTGTCGCCGCCCGTGCGGTTCCAGCGGTACCAAAACCACGTTTTTTCAGCAACTCTTCGTTGAAACTCAATGAGAAGAAGGAAGAGAAGCCCAAGTCCATTTTGGACGACGATATGTTGGCCAAAGCCGGCTTTGAAGACGAACAATCTGCATCTGAGAAAAAGGAGAGCTCCGACAAGTCGTCCCGCAGAAAGCGGAGAACAAAGACGTCCAAGGATCTCCAAAGAGAGAAATGGTCCAACATCTTCTACGGTGCTATGCTTGTTGGAGGTGTAGGTTACTTGGGCTACATGGCTCGTGACTGGGACTCTGCTGAGGAACAGAAGGACCTTGAAGGTGGCGAAATCGACAACGGCTACACACCTGGTTTGATGTACGAGCGTTTGTCGAGAAGAATGTCCAAGGCCTTTTCATTCTTCTCTGAGCCCGTTTTTGAGAACTTGTTGCCTCCTCCTCCTCCAGAGCAGTACCGTCGTCCATTGACGCTTGTTTTGGCGTTGGATGACTTGTTGATCCACTCCAGCTGGGACACCAAGCACGGTTGGAGAACTGCAAAGAGACCAGGCTTGGACTACTTCTTGGGCTACCTCTCGCAGTACTACGAAATCGTCATTTTCTCCACCAACTACCAGATGACGTCTGAGAGAACTGTCATCAAGATGGACCCATTGAGAGCCTTCATTCAGTACGCTTTGTACAGAGAGGCTTGTAGATACAAGGACGGCAAGGTGATCAAGGACTTGTCGCTTTTGAACCGTGACTTGAACAAGACCGTTGCCGTGGAAGTCGAGAAGGATGCTGTTTCTATGCAGCCCGACAATGCCATCATGTTGAAGCCTTGGAACGGTGAGAGCGACACCACCTTGGTTGACTTGATTCCACTTTTGGAGTACTTGGCCACCCAGCCCATCAAGGACGTTCGTCCAGTGATCAAGTCCTTCAGCCAGTCTGATGATGTCATTGCCGAGTACAAGGAAAGAGAGGCCCGTTTGAGAGCCAAGTGGAAGGAGGAGAACAAGCACCTTTTCGAGCGTGCCGGTAAGCCTAATGTCGGAACCTTCCTCGGCTCCATGGTCGGAATGTCCCCTAGTGCACTTAGCAAAGAGCCAAAGATGCCATTGGATATTATTAGAGAGCACGGCCAGGCTCAGTACGAGAACTTGCAGAAGTTCTTGAGAGAGAACACCGCCAAGTTTTTAGAGGAGGAACAGAAGATGAAGGACGAATACGGCAAGATGACTTTGAACAAGTTGATGACTGAAGGCATGCCTACGCCCGAGGACATTGCCAAGCAGCAGGCTGAGAAGGCTGCCGCTGAGAATAACGGGAGCGCTTGAACATAGATAAATAACTCTTGTATAGGCCGAACATGCGGCGTGGAAGATGGTTGTAGGTGGTGATTTGGATAAGAGTAGTTTTGACTTTGATATTTCGTCTTGTCTTGTCAATTGTACGATGAAATATTTGCTCATGACCAATTGCTCAGACAATACGACTTTTGTGATGTGAATTTTTCAGTGATATAGCCATAGAGCGTTGACGATCTTCGGATACATGTGATCTATAAACCGAAATTTCAAAATCCCTTTCAAAAAGAAATCCACTGCACACGTCCCATTCTTATCAAGAAAGGGCCATTATGCACAGTGACAGAATAGAGATATTACCGGAAAAACTGGTCTCGGCATGAACCCTGGAGAACAAGCTGCAGTGCCGAGGACGAATACCAAAATAGTCAACAACCCAAAAGCTTCAATTGCGTTGATATTATATAATTGTACCAAATGAAATTCCTTTAACCTTTTAGGTTTCTCAAAAAGGTGTTTCTCTGGTCACTGAAAACCAAAAAGTCTGACCAAGCGGAGATTCTTCACAGCGAGCACCTGATGGATGATGCATATGACCAAAACCGTTGGACCACCCGATTTCGAGAAGCCACCAATCACCCAATTTCACAGCAAAAGCAATCCATTACATTCTAAGCCTTTCTTTTTTTCTACAACCAATTTTTTAATAATTCAAATCTTATAACCTTCAAAGACATTGTAGCACCCTACTGCTCATTCCAGACCCCATGCCTGAAAGCCGACTTCGGCCCGCGCCCATTGGCTACAATCTTTGCTTCCCCTGAGTCCATTTTTCAGGATTTCCGGCGATATTCAAAACCAGAATATAAAAGGCTTTTTTCAATAAATTTCAAATTCTTTTCCACCGTTCCTGCCCCGCCTCCCCAAGGTCGTGTCCATCGCTAGCTCGTGATTTTTTACGAGCGTTTTTTTATCTAAACCATCAGTACCAATCATCTCCCGCGGCGTTTCTCACCAACTACTACTTTCTTCTTCAACACCCTTAGAAACCCACGCTCCACGCCAGCGGAATCGGACAAAAACGCCGCCACACCTTCCGCAACAGCCTAATCTGGAGCCTGCCAAATTTTGGTTCCTTTAGCACTTCAAACACCCGTGCACCGAGCCGTTCATTTTCCATCCCACTCAGCCCTGGCGATATCTTCCCAAACACCGTCACAGAGGCCAACGAAACCCCCTTTTTTCCCCATAGATTCCCAAAAGCATGTCCACACGGGGCCCCCAGATCGCTCCCCGCACGAGCTTGGCACCCTCGCCCTCGGCCTCGTCTGCCATGGCTCTCAACTCCCTGTCGCCAGAATCAGCCTCTCCAGGCTCCAACATAGCCCCAGCATCCAGCCTGGTCACGTCTATCGTCACATCGCGTGAATGGGTGCTTCCGCCACGCCCCAAGCCGGGCCGCAAGCCCAGCGTCGATACGCCTGCGCTGAAGAGAAAAGCACAGAACAGAGCTGCCCAAAGGGCGTTTAGAGAAAGAAGGGCCACGCGTGTCCAGGAGCTCGAGCAGAAGCTTCTTGAGGTTGAGAAGGAGAAGGAGGTCAAGGAAATGGGCCTTGTCAACACAATCAACAAGTTGAAGTTCGAAAACCAGTTTCTTCTCAAGAGCATCGAGCAGCTCAAGCTGGAATTCCACAGCTTCCGCTCGTCCATGGGCTCGCCAGCCTCGCCACACCACCCTCCTAGCAGCGGGCCTTCGCCTAGAGCGTATAGCCAGGGTCAAAACCAGGCTCCAAGCCAGTACCACATGCCCCAGGGCTCTTCTGCCCAGAGAGCTCAACCAAACGGCTACCAGCGCAGCTCCCAAAGCTCTACCAGCTCCCAAGGCCTGCTGGCTATGCTCCACGCCAATCCAAACGCTTCCCAAAAGTCCCTGGCGTACAATCTCGATGTAAACCAAAGTGCTCAGCATTTGCTCAATTTCGCCAAGTCGCTGCCTGCCAACCACTCCACGGGCTCTCCAGCGCTGCTGCTGTACTCAGTGCAGCAGATACTGCCCGCTCCAAGTGCCGACTCGCCTCCAACTGCCCTGTTGTTCCGCCATGTGCCTTCTAACAAGTCCAGTCTCATCAGCCCTACTTCACAGAATGCTACACCTAATAAGGATGGCAAGGGCCACAGCCACGGAAACAACGACGAGTTCGACTGCGGCGTGTGCTTGAAGGAGCAGTGTCTCTGCGAAGACATTGGCCTCAGGCTGAAGCCAGTCGAGGAACAATTCAATTCATTCACCCCTCAGGCAGCTGTGCTGCTCAAGAGCAAGAAGAGGACGCGGGGCTCGCTGCTTTCCAACAGCTCCACGGGCCAGGAAATTGACTTTACTGCCGAGTTTGCTGTGAAGAAGATGCCCGACCTCAAGCGTCTCAAGAAGTCACCTTCGAAGGAGAAGGTCACAGTGAAGAAGGAGCAGGATTTCCTCAGTAATCCCTCGTTTAACGAGGAATCTCCAGTGGAAAACTGCGGTTTCTGCTCTGACGACACTCCATGTGTGTGCAGAGAAGCTGCCAAGGAGGCTGCTAGAATCAACGAATCTTTGACGCAAAAAGCCGACGAACCAGAACAGACCGAAGATGCCTCCACATCGCTCCCGCCGCTCCTCAACTCCTCGGCTATGCGCAAAGCATCATTGCCTGTGATGCACCCAGGTCCAACTCTCGAAATCCGTGAATTCACCAACTTGACACCCGGTGCTGTGCCTACAGTTGTTACCAAGGAAGAAAACGAAGAGGAAGAAGAGCCCGAGACAAAGTCGGGATGCACAGGTAACCCAGGAACGTGTGCCCAGTGCCAGACCGATCCAATGTCTACTTTATTCTGTACCACAGTCGCCAGCAGGGCTGCCACTTCCAAAGAACCAAGCGGAGAGCCAGAGCCACAAACGCGACCAACGCTTACCAGACTGGGACCAGAGAAGAAGCTACCGATTGAGGCTAGTCCAGGCAAGAACGAGCTTGAAGAGACCGAACCTCTGAAGAACCCTGAACCTCAACCTAGTTCCACAAGTCTCCCCAACGGGTTTGCTCCTGCCACAACGCCGTCTACGCCTCTTCCTACTACCCCTGGTGGCTCGACTACCGGCATATTTATTCCCTGCGCTGACGCATACAAAACGCTTTCGAGACACAAGAAGTTCAACAGTGTGGACTTTACCTCGCTTGTGGGCAAGCTTACCACGCGAGGCATGCAAGTGGAGGTTCAGTCCGTGGCCAATGTGCTCCGTGAGCTTGACAGGAAGGTGTACGATTAGAAGAGACCAATTAATAGATTATTCTGATGAGTGAATGTAAGCAATGGGGGTGGACGTGTATGACAGTTGGAGTCAGTATTCGTTAAATTCGGAGTATTTCATGGTTTTGTGGCCTGAAAGGTTCACAAGGTTGCTGCTTATTACTCAAAAGGCTACTTACATAATTCGAAGTAGACAGACCTTTGTTTGAACACTTGAAGTAGCCTGAGAGAAACCCTTGAAGGAAGAAAGAAAAATGTCGAACTGATACAATCTACGATTCGTCAATCATCAAGGTAAATGTAAAGGCATTGTAGCAAGCAACTACTAGTAGGGCTAAAACATACAAGGAAGTTGGCGAGAATGCTCAAATTTCATAGAGTCGAAAGATTAGTATAGTCTACTAGATGCCCCAAATTAGGTCAAAAAATGCAAAAATCACTAAATGCTCTTTTAGTCTTTTTGGTGGCTTGGGTAACGTATTTTGCACCCATTCAATGTACTCAAGCAACCCACCAAGTCACCATAAACAACGGAGTATTTTTGAAAATAACGTAATATTAGCTCTTCCTAGTGGAATAAAATTGACGAATTGAAACAAAACAGCTATTTTTGATAATTCATCCACCCCACTAAATCCACCAACTCTCCACACTGCGCGCAGATCTTCCTCATCGAGAAGACATCACCACTGCTACTACTACGCAAAACAGCACCGGCAATGCTCCACAGACGCTTCAGCCAATCAGTGCTTCGACAGCGCCTAAGCCTCCTTCACAAAAAGCAATTCAGTACGTCGCTACGCGTGTCGCTGGCAGCAGAGGCCCAAGAACCCGTCAGTCTTGAAAGACAAGATCTAGAGGAACGGCTTGAGGAGCTCCAGCTTGAGATCAAGAAGCTCAGAACGCTATATGGAGGAAAGAGCGAGCCGGATTACCGACTCGAACAGGCATTTGAGGATCACGAGCTGCTTAGACAGTTTGAAGAGAGTTTGTCTATTGGAAAGCCTGGAAAGAAGGACTTAAAACAACGGCTTAGTGGCACTAAAGATGGTGAACACAGGCCACGTGGCGTGCCTTACCAGGACGTGTTTGGACATGGACCGCCAGATAGGCTCCACATCAAATCCTACTCATACAAAGACGGAAAGTACTCAGGTCCTTATAATGGAAGAGCCACAAGGCGACCGGATGTGCCCAGGCTCTCGCATAACCTCAAAAGCGTGCTTTTCCGCCCCGGCGTGCATTTCCTCAAGGATCCACGAACAAAGACATACAACTTCTCTACCTATCTTGAGAATATTGTGAAGTATGAGAATTTCGATTTCGACAAGGTGCAACCGTTCATATCCGTGCCCAAGGATAAGGTACTTTTGAACATGGCATTGAGGCACGGCCTCTCCTACTACTCGTCCACGTCGTCCATGACCCCGATTCTCACGAAATTCTACCTTCTTCTCAATAATTACAATGGCACCAAGGAAAGCCCACGCTTTGAGTTTCCTCGTTTTAACAGAACCGTGCTTGAGCTCCCAGCTTCGGTTATTGTGCTGCCCAAGGGCAAAAAAAGCAAGGCTGGTAAGTCTGTGTATTCCGTTTCCTCAGATAAGTCTGGCGATACAGAAATCTTGCTCAGTGCCATGGGACATTGTTTGGAAGCTTTCTTGACAACTACAGAACAAGACTTCAAAAACTACCTTCTCGATAATCCCGAATCGCTGAAGGAAGCCGTCATGAACGATCAAAACGCTTATAGTTACATTTCTTGCGGTAAGCTTCTTATGAGATCCCAGCTTGATTGCTACCAGGATGGACTTCCTGGAACGGGAACATTTGATCTTAAGACCCGTGCAGTGTGTGCCATTCGTCAGGATAGACTCAGCGATGCTGCCAACAACACCTATCAAATCTGGAGACAACTGGGTCCGTACGAATCCTTTTCTCGTGAGTTTGACGATTTGATCCGAACAGGAGCTCTTCTCAAGTACGCTTTCCAGGCTAGAATCGGACAGATGGATGGAATCTTTGTGGCTTACCACAATATCCGCAAGTTCTTTGGTTTCCAGTACTTGCCGTTGGAGGAGATTGACCGTATCTTCTACAACGATCTGCATGTCCAAGCGAAAATCATCAACGACAAAGTCAAGCAGAAGGAGGTGACGCTTCCCGAGGACAATCTTCCCCAAAAAGTCGCTACACTTCAGTTCAAGGCGTCGTTGGACATTTGGACGTCTGTGATGGACAGGGCCATTGCTGATTTAGAAGCATTAGGCTACAAAGATACGGCGTTCAGGCTCATTTTCCTGTGGAAGGCAGGTGACGACAAAAAAGGCTCCAAGCTCTATGCTTCTGCAGTTCCTATTACGCCAGAGCAGGAAGAAGAGCTACAAACGTTCCTGGGTAATTTCCAGACTTCTTTCAAGGAAGACATTACCCAAGAACAAAGAGCCAAAAATCTCGAACATTTCAGAAAAGAACTCGACAAGCTCAACCTCTCGCTAGCGCAAAAGGCTCCTGTACTTGGGTACACCATCTTCGTGGACCAGTTCTTCAACGGCAAGAAGCTGTACAAGCAACACCCATACCCCAGCTGTCTGGCGGACCATTTCGAAGTCAAGTACAAAATCGCCAATCCTATTTGCAGTCAACCGGGAGACCGTAACACTTTCACGCGAGATCGGTATATGGACGCCATGAGAAAAGTTAGCAGTATGCTTACGTCGTCCATGCAGCCCAAAGGCACGGATAAACTGAAAAATCTGAACGTGGACGTGCTACGGTATTTTTCAAAAGTGGGGGAGATCCGAGAGCTGCAAGGAAGGGTGCAAGGAAGAAAGGGGAATTCTTCAAAAAGGGGAGAAGGCGTGAAAAGTGCCTAAAGTGGATATGGTGGGATCCGCTGAGCCAGGCTACTGACTCACACCCGGTGGACCGAGAAGCACGGTTATCTCATGACCTGCACACGTTACGTCAGCACAAGGGCCATCACCAGGTGGATCCTGCAGGGTGGCTCTGCTCCGTTGGCCCATTTCGGCAGATTTGGCCACAGTTAATCCGAGAGGAGTATTTTTTCGCAGCCATCCCGCATCGCCGAACTGACCATAAAACCACAACAGCCCACCCTCTCCTTCGTCAACGAAAAAAAAATAAAAAAAAAGTAACAAGTTATCTTTTCAACATGGAGCTACTGTTTTCCCACATACGACCCGAGACGAATATGAAGCCCATTCTCAGTCCCAACAACTCCAACACATCGCTTAATCTGCTATTTTCAAAGATCGAAACTTCGCCTTTGACCGTCACCTCCTATACCACCACGCCTTCCACATCGCCCATCTATGAGGTGCCACGTGCTGAAGAGGTTTCTTCGCTTTTACGGAAGAGAGTCGAGTCCAAGACCTTGGTGATGCTTGTTGGGCTTCCAGCTTCTGGAAAGTCCACTGTTTGCAAGCAGTTGGCCACCTTCTTGGAGAACCACGACTACAAGTGCGAGATTTACAACGCTGGTAACGTCAGAAGACAGCTCAGGAGGACTTTCAGTGACGCTGACTTCTTCAACCCGGACAACGCTGCCGCTCAGGAACAAAGAGAGCAGTTTGCCGCCATCGCCATGGAGCAGATGCTTGAGGACTTCCGTAACAACAGAATCAACGTCGGCTTTTTGGACGCTACCAACACAACCCGTCGCCGCAGAGACAAGATGCTTGAAATCGTCAGAAACTGCGATGTGTCGTTTTCCAACGTCATTGTGTTGGACGTCTCTTGCACTGACCAGCGTCTTTTGACCTTCAACGTGAACGGCAAGACTGCCAACGGTGACTACACTGGCCGCTCCGTGGCTGAGGCGATCGCCGACTTCAAGCAGAGGTCATCTCACTATTATAAGGTTTATGAGGCTATTCTGCCCGAAGAGTTGGAGAAGGCCAGCGACGTTGTGTCGACATACATCAGCATCCAGAACGCCAAGAACACTCAAAGCTACAGCATCATTTCTGAAAAGCAGCATGATGAGGTGGAGGAGTTGTTCTCTGCTTTTGCTGGCAACTACTATAAGATGCATGGCGAGCGTTACCACGCGGCAGTGGACTCGTTCTACAAGTTATCACAACAGGCATAAGGTATAGAAGCCCCACGGGGCAAGGAAATTGGAATTTGGGTTTAGGTTTTTAGATTATAGAAGTCCTGGATGATCCAGGAGGAATACAAGGATAGACTACACACGGCTGACCGTAGAATAAGGTTCTAGTTATTAAATGATTTTAACTGTTCTATTTTTTGGCACTCTATTTACGTAGTCGTGGGCCCATCGTTTGACTGTAATAATCTTGGCTATCGTGTTAGAGGTCCACTGTGGCGCAATAGGTGCTGGATTTAATGCCAGATTTACTTTTTTGATTATCAGGGGCACAAAAAATGAGTCAACAAGATGGATCAACCATGGACTTGCTCACGAGAATCTTGCCACGATTCCGGGCATGTCCGAGTTGTGTTTTCAAAGATTCGAGGGCCGTGGTGTCATATTTTAGAGTGGCTGGTGAATACCAATCTAGTATTGAGCGTGGGAGGAATATCAATCTAGTATTGAACGTGGGAGGTTAATAATAGCAGGTTTCCTGAACTGTCACACTTCTCAAGCCCCTAACATCCTGGATCATTGCCCCTTTATCGATTTCTCATTCCCTGATCACTGCTCCTACGACTCTCCAAGACCGGGAATATTCGAGGTCAAGTTCCTCAAACCCGGCACAACATCGGCTTGGCTTGCGTATGCCTGACCCACAGAGGAGGCTGGCGTGTCCTCCAACACAGCATTCACATTGTTATTCACACTGTAGTACCAGGCACCATTCTTATCGTTGGTGTATGGTGGATCCTTGAATGCTCTAGGGTCGTTTGGCCTGGCACGAGACCAGAATCTGGCAGAACGGTCATTTCCCGCTGAACACAAAATGTGCCCTAGCGGATGGTACTCCAAAGCGTGGATGGCCTTCTCGTGAGCATAAGGAATTCTATGCACAGCATCAACACCACCTCCACGGCTATCAGGATCAGGCGAGATGTACTTATCCAAGATGTAGTGTGCCATGGATCCGTCGTAGGCACCAGTAGTAAGGAGCCCAGCATGGACAGGGTGCCATTCCACACTGGAGAGGTCAGCTTCGGCATCACGGATAATGACAAAGTCAGACATGGTTCGTAAGTCAAAGACACGGCAAGAGCGGTCTCTAGATACAGAGGCCAAAAGGCGGTTTGTGCCGACCTTTTGGAACTTTGTCTTCATCACCGTGTTCTTGAATCCATGCAAAGTCGTCACACATTCGGCCACACGGGGGTCCCAAAGCTTCAACAAGTTATCCTTGGATCCCGTGACAACCAAACCCAAGTTCGGGTGCCAATCGGCGCACTTGATATCCCAGTGATGGCCTGAAAGCGTCCTTTCTTCTTTAGCATTATTGAAACTCCAGATCTTCGCCAGCGAGTCGTCCAGGCACGTCAAAAACTTGCTATCATTGGGCGAAAACGCTATATCTCTGACGGCGTCCGTGTGTGCCTGCACGATGTTGACGTTGTTGAAGTTGGGTTGCCAGTACTTGACCAAACCGTCCTGGTCTCCCGATAAAAGCCACTCATCGTCGTGGCTGTATTTCAACGAAAGCACCGCCAGGTCGTGTGCCTGCATGATGGTTTCAAAATTAAAGGTCATGCCGTTCCACACGGTGAATTCTCCTGAATGAGATGCCACCACAAGTCTACGACCTTCAGGTGTCCATTTCACTGTATTGATGGAATGCTTTGCTTTGTTCAGCGATAAATGGACAAACTTGGACTGCACGTCAAGCACGGCTGGATTGGTCGGCATCGAGCCGTACGCAATCGCCGGAAGAAGGTCAATGAGATACGATGATTCCGGTCTGACTTCTCCAATGTGGTATTTCGTGTCGCCCATGGATTTTCGGAGATAATAGCGGCCCATGGAGTTACCGTGGTCAAGTGCCCGTCGATGGAGACCCTTACGGTCCTGCAGCTGGAGCTGCTGCTCGATATTTTGCAGGTATCGAGACATGCTAGTAGTAGTAGGAAGTGTTGATGTTCGCACTATGTAGGCCATCACCATGATTGAGGTAGAGGAATGTAGATGGGTCAGGCCATAGATTTTGAGAAAGGTTTTAAAATCAAAATCCTAAACACGCTATTCGAATGATGATTTATTTGTATATGGGAGTACACTGCTGGTGGGAAATTGGTTGTATGATGGAATCGAGAGGTACTGGCATCCGGACAGAACCAAATACATCAAATATGTTGCTTCTGGGATCTAAGGCAAATCCCACTCTTGAGCTGATCTAATTGCTACGCAAAACTAGTTATGAAACGTTGGGCTGAACTGTCGAACAACTTATGAGAGATGAAATATCATTGTATGTACTCAGCCACGAACGTACATTTCAAATATCATGGTATATATAGGTACTCAGCCACGGTCTTGCATTTTTATCACTCAATGAATACCTCTGTATATTTTGACAGTCGATCTCTAAAAAAAGTTTGGCATTTTGGGTAAACTGCTATGCATTGCATTTTGCAGCCAAAGTCTGCAATGGCCCACTTGCACACACCTGCCAAGGTATAAAAAATCGTTCTCTGATTAAAGTTGTAGTTATCTTGTGAAAGCTATCAACGAAGTAGAATCGAAAATTATAAATTGGTGCTTACTATGGCTAGAATTCGTACATTGTGGCCCACGAGGAAACTGTGGAGTCAGGTCACGTGCAAGGGTCCACCTTCACTGTGCATTTTTTTTATCCTTTGAAGCTAACCTTACTCCTTACTTACTATTAATCAGAATGGTGTCTTCAGAGCTCTATATTCATTTCTTTAATTTTAGAATTACTTCAAAAGCAGTCCCGAAAACTGCCATTGAAAACTTGTCCACGTGCCGTGTGTCACGTGCATTATTACATGCGGGTACTTGTTCCAATTACCAATTGCTTATTCAAATCTCCACCTTTTACAGATTCCAATGGTCGCTATTTACTACCACGACAATCTAGACACGCCCGAGAATTTCACCGAGGACCACGATTCCGGTGTGCCCGTCCCCGAGGACAGGTTAGCGGAAATCGGCGTTTTCTACCGCTACATTGACAATATGGAAGAGCTAGAACAGGTTGCAAAAGACAGAGATTACAAGAACAGAGACCAGGTTGCGCTCAACTTGGACACTTTCAAAGGAGACCAAAGCGCTTTCGATGCCAAAATGGCCCAGTTCTACAAAGAACACTACCACGAGGATGAGGAGATCAGATACATCTTGGATGGAGAGGGCTTTTTCGATGTCAGAGACCCCCAGGACCGCTGGATCCGTGCCAAGCTCAACAAAAACGATTTGTTGGTTTTGCCTGCTGGCATCTACCACCGTTTCACCTTGTCCAAGAGATTGCAGTATGTCAAGGCTATGAGACTCTTCAAGGATGAGCCCAAATGGGAGGCTATCAACAGGGACGAGGGCCGTGACACTGAGGCTCGTGTGGAGTACCTGCGCTCCGTGGCCAGTGCTGCTTGATTTGTATATTTATAGGGAAGGAATTGTTATGGAAAAGATGTAGAGCACTTGAAGTTTTGAGTAATGGGTGAGACAGGACTGACAATAAGGTATTTTGGAGGATAATTTAATCATTGATTTCCGAAGAAAAGTGCTAAAAATTGGTATTCAAAAGGGCTACTAGTGATGTTTGAGGTTGCAAAAGGCATATGGGGCTAATTCTCCAATGTAGAAAGCTGAATACTTCTATACCTTGTAGACGTCTAATAAAGGCCACGTTTGACCATCGATTAAGTTCGAAATGTCCATTCTCGATGTCCCGTCTCTAGATCAATCTGGCTCCTCACTTCAATCACCACTCCATGTTCCAACACCTACATCACCGTCTATCCATTCTTCATTAACGTCTATAACCTGGCTTTACTGCCTGACCACCTTGACCTTGTTTTTCGTGATCCACTCGTCCATCTTCTTTTTCGTCTCCACAAGCTCCTTTTCAAGCGCTGTCTTGGAGGCCTCGAGCTCCTTCTTTTCTTCATCTAGAAGCTTGATGACGTCATCAACTGACTTTTCTACCAAAACACCACCAATCATTTTGAAGCATTTCCTGTCGCCTCTTTTTTCAGGTGGAATGCTTGAAAGCGTCTTGTCGACTATACCATGTTCCTGCGCCTGGGACGTTATGGAGGAAAGCTGAGTCTGCAATTCCGTAAGAGCCTCTTGGAAATTGTTGTATTGGATTTGAAGAGCTTGCGTTTTTTGCTCTTCGGATACTTTTTCAGACATGGTGATCTTTGGACCTACTTCTCGCTGGGTGCGTTTCTCACCTACTTAACGAAATGGGGTCACGTGCGCAAACCAGTTATTCCCATAAATTGGATCTATACAGCTATTTCTTTTCGGCCTTCTTCTCTGCAGCCTCCTTGGCGGCAGATGCTCCGTTGGGCTTCTTCTCGCCGATGTACAAAAAGTTCATGACGAACAAGAACCAGGCAGCCACGACGGTGCCAAAAGTCACCAAGTACAACCAGGAGTTAGGGATGTCCCACGAACGCTTGTACTCGTCATTGGCCAAGTGTCTCACGGTGACTACGCGTCTGTCTTCGATGAAAGTCAAGCCAGGACGCTTGTAGTCCAATTCAAAGGTGAACATGCCGTGGTGGTCTGGGGTGGTGAAGTTGACGTAGAAGATGGTCAAGTCATCGGGGCCATTTTCAGTAGAAGCGCCAGGGCCCAAAGCGGTCAAGTTCAAACGCTGGTATGGGTCCAACATCTTGAAAGACAATTGCAAGACGTCGTCCTCAGTGGCTGGGACGTATGGCACCCACTGGCCGTCCTTCCACTCAGAAACACCGGCCGTGTACACCACGTCGTTCTTGATTCTGTACTGCGTGCGGTTGGAGAGACCTGGCTCGTCAGCCTTGTAGTGCTCAACAAACTGCAACTTCAACACGCCCTTCTCCTGGAACACCCAGCGGACCAAGTCCTCGTTGAGCAATTGCTCAGAACCAACCCAAGCGATACGAGCACTGTTGAGACCCTGGAAAGCAGCAGCCAAGAAGCCCTGCTCGCCCAAAGTCCATGTCTTCTCGGCGATCAACGCAGAATCCTTGGGGCTAGCGGTGAACGAGGTTTTGGCACCCTTGACGAGGGGAAGCGCAAAGGCGTTGTTGCTGACCAAAGCAGCCGTGCCCTTGTACTCTGGAACGTCGGCAGTGCCAATGATGCGGGGCTCCACGACGTTGGAGGCTCCCACAGACACCTTCTCAAAGTGGTCATCAACCACAAAGCCCTTTGGAGCAGGGTAGATTCCAGCTTCGTTCAAAAACAAACGCACGTGTTCAGGCAAAGAGCTCTCAGCTGCCAGCACAGCCAACACATTACCACCTTTGTTGAAGAATTCAAGCAACTTGAACTTGTCCACGATACCGGTGGCAGCAGCACTACGCTTCAGCGAAGGCAAAAACACCACGTGGCTATAAATAGAATCCTCGCCCAAAAACAATTGGGCTGCATCGTCAGCGTAATCCACGTAGCTGACCTTGTACTTGTCATTGACTTCTAGAAGATGGTCCAAGTTGGCGTCTTCAGGCAGCGACAATGTCGCGTCGTACATGACCAAGACCTGAGTCTCGGGCAATGACGAAAGGAGGGCCCATGCTGTGGAGATAAGCACGAAAAGGGCGGTAATCCGAGCCAGAAAGTGCATGGTTGTGGTTGTTGAAGTTGAAAAGGTGGTTTTCGGGTTGACGTGTGCGCACTGTGTGCAGGCCCGTTTGAATCCTGGAGGCCAAAGTGGCGAACAAATGGTGGCAAAACAGGTGGCATTTTCCAAGTGGAGTTGTAAGATGGTGGCGGATTTTCGTATTTTTTTCAATGTTTCATATAATTGAGTTTCAGCTTGGTGTTTCGGCGGCAATTTGAAGAGATTACGTGGTGGCACAGTTCGAGGAAAAGTGCTTCTAAATAGAATAAAAAGAATTTGATATCGAACAGGGATTCAAGGTATCTCTACATTATGAATTTTATGCTGGGTGTATGTTGTCTCATTTAAATGCTGTTTTGTGAGATACATGATGGATGCATTGGCTGCGAAACTTGAAGACTGCTCAAATTGAACGTCTTGCAAAATTTCAATTGAGCTAATCATGTTCGTGTTGGGTTTTCATTCAGCTCTTATAGTAGATAATGGTATTGCTCTCCAGTAACCACAGGTGATTGGCTGTCATCTCTAGTCTTGAAGCTAAATGTTCCACGTTGGACTCTTATTCGGTGACTGACTAACGCCATCAACGTAGTATTCTCATCAAACGGGCCAATTGTAGCTCCTCCAAAACCTAATTGTTCATTTCGAAAGTCACCCTTGATTTTCCCTTTTATTGCCATAATTGACATTGTCCGACAGTCTGCCTTCATTTTTGTCAATTATCAGACCATTTCAACCATTGGCCTGAAACAATTTCCAAAGCTCCGTTTTAAAAATCAAAAAAGAAGGCACGCCGCTTCGGAAACGTCAAAAAGACATGGCACAATCGTTCTCCTTCTAGAGCCTCTCGAGGACCTCCACTTGGTCAGTATATGTGACCACAGGATCAAAATCGAAAGTAGGCTCATGATATCAAGAGAAATTTCCACAGAGTAAACAATCAACTCCAAACAAAAGGGTCCAGAAAAATTTACAAGCAGAAAAACCAAATCTAATATATAACCCCCGTCGGCAACTCCTCATGGCCCTTTCAGCCAAACCTAATTCGAAAAGAGCCTCGCCAAGACCTTTGCCCCGTGGGAGCAGCAGCTGCGCCTGGAGATAGATGATCATTCTTTACGAAAGCCAGCATGGATATTCAAATAAGAAAAGCCAAGAGAATCGGGGAAATCGAGGCTGATGTAGACCAGTTAGGAATGTGGGCGGGAGTTTGCAGAGGGCTGCTTAGTGCAACTGGAGGAGGCTTTTTCAGGGCAGGAGAATTTGTTTTGACACATTCCTTATCAGGTCATTGATCCTTGTTTGGGGTATAGACGGGCTGTTGCACGGGGTGCATTTCGCAGCCACTAGCCGGTGGGTTCATCGAGGAGTTGCTGGAAAACCGGCAAAATGAACTGAAGGGTGTAATAGATTTCGTTGGCGAAATAAGAAAGCTTTATTTTAAGAGCTTCACCAAATTTGCTGTAATCACACTTTTCAATATTTACTGTAATCAACTCCCCATCTGTACTCTGCTCCACTCATCGATCTACATAGTGTTCGCGTTTTCCATCTCATCCATCTCCAATGATCAAGATAAAGGTAGAGTTTCTCGGCGGCCTCGACGTGATTTCTGGAAAAGTCAGAGAGCATCGCTTGTCTCTTCCTTTAGAAGAGGGCGAGGCCACCATGAAAGACGTCATTGACCATATCACCAAAACGATCATCGAGCACGAGAAAGACATTCCTGTCTTTATTGAGGAAGGAACGGTCAGACCAGGCATTTTGGTGTTGATCAACGATACTGACTGGGAGCTTGAGGATAAGGAGGACTATGTTGTGGAGTCTGGCGATGTGTTTACGTTTACGTCTACTCTCCATGGAGGTTGATGAGGCAGTGTGATCAGGGTGGAGAAGCTGAAGAGAATGATGAAGAAGCTGAAGAGAATGATGAAGAAGCTGAAGAGAATGATGAAATTCTTTTCAATGAAATGGTGGTTTTGGAGGAATTTGAAGAACAACGTTTTGCTGATCTGCTTCGAAGGGCCAACGGTTGAGGTGCCTCATGGGTTCGAGACGAGAAGCTTGGTGCTACATGTCCACTTGAATATAATGAGGTCACTCCGCTTGTACATCAATGCTTATTCATTGAGCCATATGAATCGAGTCATAGGTAAATGTCCTTTCCAGTGTACTTAGCTTACAGTCCATCAGAGTCCGTCCCTGTCCATTGTCTATAAATGCCTTTTAGCCATTCTCCCATTCTTCAGCCTAGAGGCCCAACTAGTAAGGCACAATGTGGCACCCGAGAAGGCCCTGGCCGGGCCAGTCTGGCGTAGGCGTCAAAATGAGCGTCTCCCTGTTCTGTCCTCGAAGTACCTCAACGACAATCTCCTTGCCCACGTTGCCTTTGACCTTGTTACCCACGGCACTCAATCTATTGTGGTTTCCCGCGTGGACGTCCTCGCCAAACACGACTATCTTGTCGTTTTCTTGCAACCCAGACTTCTGTGCTGGGCTGCTATCTGCGACGCTCTTAACCAAGGCAAACGGAATGATTCTTTGTGGGGCAACTCTAGCAGATTGAGCTTCAGGGGCACCCCCGCTTCCAGCTTGAAGCTGCTTGATCAACTGCTCCTCAAGAAGTCCAAGAATGCACTTGTGATCGTTTCGTAGACGAATGATCTTGGTTCTGATAAGTCTGACAGCTAGCACGTCAATGTCGCCACGAGGAAATCCGTCAATCACAAGCGGCAGTTCCATATCGCAGTTGTACCGGTGCTTTAGCGTGTCGAATAGGGAAGTGAGCAGCACCTCCACCTCGTCTTTCAACCCAGCGAGACGTTGGTAGTCCAATTTGGAGAGCTCGTTATGATTGTAATCTTGGACCTCAATATTGAGGTCTTTCATAAGCCCTGCAAACGCGTCATCTCTGTTTTCAATGGTCATCTTGGGTAGTACAACCTGAAGGCGATTGTGGTACAGAAGTATGTGACAGATCCGTACACCAAGTACTAGCATCATGGTATGGAAAGAACGTGATGGGGTGGTAAGAGGTATTTAGGGTCGGAGCTTCTAATTTTAAGGTCAAATTCAAATTCTTGAAAGGAGTAGTATATTACGATTTACTTGGTACAACTTGTTGTAATGTGCGTTCGCTCTAAGAGAACGGTTGCAAAACCTCGTCTTCCTCCTGTAGCTGAAAATTACTAGGCTGTTCGAATTTACTGGATGTATATCTTTTCTGATTCCTCCAATATGCCCTCTGTTACAGTGTTTGAAAACAAGAAGTTCATCTCTAACCACAAACTTCCCTGTAGAGTGTAATATGCGAGCGGAAAGTTCTCTCGTACGTAAGTAAAGTTACCTTTGATAGATATTCATCTTAGGGGGAAGAATTAGACTACAAAATTGCAACTCTAAGGTATGCGTGACATATTATGCGAAGAAAGTTTTAGACATGCCTCTTAGGGCTATCTGAATGACTGTCTCGGTTCACAAATAATAAAATGAATGCCATGACTTGAAAGAAACGTTCTCCAGAGAAGGCGTTGGAAGAATTGCACGATTTTGGCACTTCCCAAGGCGTCATTTTTGGCCAGAAATTTTGTACATGGAACAAAGTTTTTCCAACTTCAATGTTCACCTACCACCTCTACAATACACCTATTCATAAATTATCGACATCAAAATGAAGCCAGAAACCAGGGCTTTCATGCAATTCTATCAATTTATTTCTCTTAGTAAAACCCCTACTTTACCATTACAAAACTCCTCCAGACAATAACTCCACCCTCCTTCGCTAAAAAATAATTCACCGCTGGAGTTTCCAGTTTGCAACCATCGATGACGCCTCCTGCCACCGACCACCCGTCGAAGCATAAATAGAGGGCCATCCTCCCACATTTTTCTTCTTCATCCCACCACACTTCCCCATATGTCAGCTTTTGCAAACGTTACAGAGACTCAAACTTCAAACATGATGCAACAAAAGACTACCAGAGCCCACTTCAAGGCTCTCACAGAAACCATTGAGCGCTTTATCTTCAAGCAAGGCTCCTCCACGGAGGACCCTCAGGTCCAGAACCCACAGTGTTCGACCAACCACCACCACAACTTGGTCTGCCTGGCTGCAGCAGGTCTGAACTTACTCGTTGAGGGTTATTCAGACCCTCTTTGTGGCTACCAAGGCTGCAAGACCAACCCTTACCCTGGATTTACCGAATTTCAGGGTAGCAGTGGCTCCTCATTGATTGAAGGAATTACCACTGCTTCTCAGGAGCCCCGATGCTCCCACAATGCTAATCAGCATGAAAACCTTCCCCAGTTTTCCAAGACCGATGTTCCTTCTGCTCAAGTTGTTGCTTTGAGCGACCCAGAGGAACTCGAGGATCTTTACGTCGACCACGAAAGAATCTTCAACCCCGAGGCTATTGGAGCCTGGTTGGAGGATGTCGATTTGGAAAACGCCGAGGCTGTCTCGATGCCCAGTTCCATTGCCAGTGTCAGCTACTTGGAGGACGATGTTTCAGACGACGTTTCAAACGATGCAAACGTTTCAGAGGACGTTTCGGAAAGCAGCTTCTCCGGCGACAGTTTTTTCGACTGTGGCAGCCTTTCCGATGACGAGTCCGTCTATGAAACCGCCGCCGAGGACTTTGAAGAGCTTACCAAGCCTCCTCGTGGCAAGACTTCCAAGAAGCCGGTCTCGCTTATGCATTCTATGGAAAAGTCCCGTTTCAAGCGGTTCAAGAAGACGCTCCATAGAAAGACGGCCGTTTCTCGGTTCGACCTTCTTCCCAGAAGAACCCATTTGCTGTTCTTCACGTCGAGCCTACTTTCGAGAAACGCCGCAAGACCACGTGGATTCCGTTGTTGACGGACTTCAGTTTACCTGAACCCACCAGTCCTCTTCCCAACTACAGAGATGCCAATCCTCTCTGGGACATCCGTACGATGGAGACGGGTGACTTCAACATCTACCACAAGGCTTTTTGAGGCTACGGTGAAAAAATATATAAAAAGAAGAAAAAAATAAATAAAATTGAAAATGCGATGTAGTAGGAGGAGTAGGTTTGGATTGAGAAGGTGCAAGGACTGAGCTTTTAAAAAGAGGTTATTCTTTTTTTTTCCCCTTTTTTTTTTTTTTTTGAAAATAAAAAGATTTGATTGGGTCCCAGAAGCTCCAGCCACAGTACATGAAAAGTCAATCAGGGGCATTCAGTCAACCAGGGGCATTCCTGGAGGATTGCTGGTTTCCTGATCCATCTAAGCGCCAAGTAGACGGACAATAAAGACTAAGCTGACACTACAGACGGAACTGGCAGTAATCCGACTGCTGAAGCTTATTTGTGCACCTAGCGTGCAACTATAGCCCAGTACAATAGCCATTGAAGCAACGGTGCATTTGATAAGCTCAGGCTTATTCCCCTCCATCCCGGTTCCCAAAGCAGCGGAGTTTTTCTAGACAGCTCCAGGTATCCTGGAATTTGGCTTCAGAGGGTCAATTCACTTCTTCGACTTCAAACACCCCCAAAAGTAAATCGCAATCAAACCTCGTATATCAACAATAGTCGGTGATGTCTCACAATGAACATGGCGGGAGCTTCACAAAGACAAAGTAAGCACCTTGGAATGCCAAAAGGGCCAACGGTGAGCAACTAAACAGCATTAGCTTTTTCTAAAAAATAACACAAGGACCCTTGCAGATCAGAGCCACATGCTCGGTTTAATGATGGCCTTGCTCCGAATACTCCACCTCCATTCCCGCCGTCGGAAATTGGCTTTGAATGATTTTTCATTATTTGATTCCTGGCCAACTTTTGTTGAAATCCTTGGAAACTGCAGACATTGATTGACCGCAAATCTAATGCTTTGTTACCTTATTATCTGTAGACATAGAGCTACTTCGGACCGGCAGATTTGCCTGAATACCCAATTTCAGGAAAACGTCATTCTACTCCTTCGACCCCTTTTTCATTCCCGTCTGCCACAAATTTCACCGAAAACCGATCCCCCTGTTTCACTACGAAACAAGCCTAGGCCTACCTCCTACACTAGTCCCCAAAACTCCAAATTCATAAATTCATTCATTTATTCAAATTTGCCCATTTGTTCAAATTGAATCGTCCAACATACATTATTGATTCATCATATCATCATAAACCAGCCCGCTGGCCTAGGGGAAGCAGCATTCGATCAACCTGCCTCTGGACGGCCTGCTCTAACTCATATAGGTACTGCTTGAACGCTTCTAGCGCCTCGTCAACTTGTGCTATTTCAGTCATTGGCAAAAAACTAAAAAATCGGTAAAACGGCGCAAGCTCTCCTTTTTATGTTCGTTTGCAGCCATTTACGAGCCAATCCACGACGTCATGTCCTGCACGCACGCGGCTGGCTAAGCAAGTGCTTCCGACGGGTGTCATATGGCTATGTCCCCTCCGGTACTGTACGGTATTTACGAGCCGGCTCGTAATGACAGAATGGGCTTCGGACTTATCACTGTGGCGCGTGACGGGCAAATCGGGGCATGGAAGGCGAAATTTGACACAACGGCTGCCAAAGGAGAGAATTTCGGGAAAAAACAAAAAATTGCAAATAGATACATATCACGTGATGTGTCATGTGACACACGTGCTGTGTCACGTGCGCATCAACGATGCGGCTCGATTGCAAAAACCCACGTGACTTGTGCTGCCTACTCCAGAACCTATCCAAAGGTTTGGATTAGTCAAAGGCTCTTCTCCCACTCTCCAGAATGATCTCGCTATCCCAGGAACACATAGACCATTTGAATAAAACGTTGGTACAGCTCTCGCCGCAGGAGGTGCTCCAGTGGGCCGCCGTGACCTTCCCCCATTTATACCAAACCACCGCTTTTGGACTCACTGGGTTGGTGATTCTCGACATGATTTCCAAGACAAAGCCCGTGGATCTCATTTTCATCGACACCTTGCACCATTTCCCGCAGACTTACGAGTTGGTGGAAAAAGTGCAGCAAAAGTACAATCCACAGTTGCACATCTACAAACCCAAGGATGTGGGAAACGAGGAAGAGTTCGCCAAGAAGCACGGCGACTCGCTTTGGGAACGCAACGACGATCTCTACGATTTTCTTGTCAAGGTGGAACCTTCCCAAAGAGCCTACAAGGAGCTCGGCGTGAATGCCGTTCTTACAGGACGCAGAAAGTCCCAAGGAGGAGCCCGTGCTGCCTTGCCTGTGGTTGAGGTGGAGCAGCTGAGCGGAATTATCAAAATCAACCCATTGTGGAACTGGGACTTTGCCCAGGTGAAGGCGTACATCACGGAAAACAACGTTCCTTACAACGAATTGCTTGATTTGGGATACAAGCTGATTGGCGACTGGCACCTGACGGTGGCGGTGGCGGAAGGAGAGGACGAGAGGTCGGGCAGATGGAAGGGCAAGACCAAGACGGAATGTGGCATTCATGAAACGTCCCGTTTTGCTCAGTACTTGGCCAGTTCCAGCTCGCAGGCCTAGCTGGGTGGTATTTATTAATACACTTTATAGAGGGAGGTGGTGTAGGGGTAGTTTTCAGACGGGGGCGCCGTAGGGGAAGATGGCACTGAGTTGATTTTTCAAGCTTTCAGACATTAAATGGGGAATTGAAGGTTCATCATGTATGCTGTGTAGGCTTCTGCTTCTGGGCTGTTGATCAATGGCTCCAAGCATTTTCCCAACCAGTAGGGCAACTTTCCAATTCCGCTATTCCGTGTCCACCAGTACTATTCTCCCCTGTGCGTCTAACGCAGCTCTAAACCATCCGATATAATATCTCTCACATACCTAGGCTTAGGTTCCGCGCATAGATAAGACGCATGGAACCAGTGACACATCAACGGAATTGCACCTATCGCCGAGGCCCAGTTTTCAAATGTATACCATTTCTACCAATTCCTGAACGGTTTACCTAGTTTGCTGCCACGTATCTGCACTGTCGTCCCGCTGGTCTCGCTAAACCCCGGATAACGGAATCATAGCCTATCGCGGTAATGCGGAATGCATGTGTCAAACCATGACAATTCATATTTAAACACTCGTCTACGCTCATTTCTCACCCATGATCAAAGAAGCCTTGATATATGCATATAGCTCTGTGGCCAATCACCAGGAGCACGTCTGTGCGGTGTTGCTAGTGTGGTTGGTGTTGCATACCTTCGTTTTGCACCCATTCTTGATATCTCCGTTGAGACACGTTCCAGGGCCTTATTGGAACAGGGTGCTGAAGATTCCATTTATGAAGGCGTCTTGGGGTGCCAGTCTCGTGACTAAGACACACCGGTGGCACGCTGAGTACGGTGATGTGGTCATTTTGGCTCCCAATATGGTCTCCTGTAATGGAGACCCAAAGTACTTGACGGACATTTACACGAAAAACATGCCCAAGCTGCGTTTCTACGAGAACTTTCTGAACCACGGGAACCGCAAAAACGTGTTCAGCACCTTGACAAACCCGGAACATCTCCGGCTCAAGAAGATCATCCAGAACTTGTACCTGAAAGGAGCCGTACTCAAGAACGTGAACCGCCAGAACTTGATAGAGAAGGTGACGTTTTTGATGGAGGACTTGCAGCGGAACAGGGGCAGCCTGGTGGACGTTTTCACGCTTTTTGCTGCTTTGGCAATGGATGCCGTGAGTGGGTTTGAGGTCGGGTTGCAGAACAGCACTGATCTTCTTCAAAAACCTGAAAAACGGCCTATCGTGGCTTCTTTTCGGAACATCTCCTCCATGGGGTTTTGGACTACGAGAATGCCGTGGTTCTGGGGGTTTGCAGCTACGAAACAGATTCTCCAGGATGTGGAAGTTTGTGACAAGTTTGAGATGGACTTGTACAACCAGGCTGAGGCCAATGTCCCGATAAAACAGCCAGGCGTGAATTTGACGACACTAGAGGCGTTGAAGAAAAGTGGCATTCGTGGAAAAGATGCTTATTCTTTGCTTACAGATAACCTTTTTGCAGGTCATGAGACCACAGCAGTGCTGATGACATACCTCTGTTTCCAGCTTTCCAGGGACATCAACAAAAACAGACAAGAGCGGCTCAGAAACGAAATAAGGGGTAATTTCGGCACGGGAGCGTTCCCACAAATCGTGGACGACATAGAGGCAGTGGAAAGACTTCCCTACCTTGATGCCGTGCTAAAAGAAACCATGAGAGCGCATTCCGCTATTCCAGGTTCAGAACCTAGGGTCACAGAAAGACCCTATGAAGTCTCCATCAACGGCAAATGTGTGAGAATTCCGCTGGGTACGGAAATCTCCTGTCAGCCTTATTCGATGCACAGAGTAGAGCTGATTTTCCCACAGCCGGACGAGTGGATTCCCGAACGGTGGCTTCAAGGAGAACACGAAAAATACGAAGATTACAGTGCCAGAATCCAAACCATGAACAAATACGTTTTCGCTTTTGGAAAGGGAATCCGTATGTGTCTTGGCATGAACTTGGCCGTCACCGAAATGAAGCTAGCCTGTGCCAATATGTACTGGCGTTTCCACTCTAGCATTGATCGTGAATGGTGCTCTGGAAGTGCCACCAAAAATACGAATTCGATTCCTCTAGGGTATCAGAGTTATGATACTTCTTCGGAAAGGGGATCATGACCATGGCCGATGCGTATACGACAAGGCCAGAGGGTGAAGAATGCTGGCTTGTTTGGACGGAAGTTCCCTGAAACCGGGAATAAAGGGTTTGTACTTCGTGGAAGGAATACATCCTTAGCTAGTATTGAGTTGGGAATTTAGATGAGATACAGGGGTGGAGTTCTTTTTTCGAGCTCAAATGAAAATATCGTGCAATAGCCTTACCGTTCTTGTGTAATTGTAGAGGACAGTGTCTTTAAATAAGATGTTTGGCGGATTGGTTGTATTGGTTGAGGGAGCTATCTAGAGTCGATAGAAGTTTCCCCACCACATGACCCGTTTTTATAGAAAAAAGATAAATAAAAGCAAATGAACGATCATTATGTTTGATACTACTCAATAATTAAATTCCTATGATTCATCAGGTGGGATTTAGGTGACTTTATAGGCCTTAAGAAAACCCATACCTCCTCAAAATCTGGGGTTTTGGTCATAAAACCCGGACATCCCAAACCGTTTTTTCAAAAATTCCAAAAGTTACTGATTTTAAGGGTCCCCCCTTGAGCAAGCATATTTCCATATTTGAAATGTAGAAATCTTCCTGATACTTGCCACATAACTTAAAAGTGGTATTGACAGATAGCTAGTCTATTAGGCTCTATAATGAGTAAGATTAGAAGTCGCTAGCACCTTTTATCGTATGACTTTGGCGAAATCTTCATACTCATTCGAGCGCATGTTCACAATCTCAGCTAGAAATGTTTCTTTTGCTTACTAAACAATAGTTAAGCATTTTATTTGCCATTTTCCTTGCTCTAAATGGTACGTGTGTGCGTTTTTGCAACCATTTCCGGACTTTGAGTCAGCGGTGATACATTGAATACTTGACTGCTTAAAAAATATTCCTCAAAAGAACTGTAACTAAAAGATGATAGTATCTACCTCCTCTTTCCTCTATTAGTGAAAGATGTTCAGCTTATGCGACTACTACTGCTTCGATATTTGGCGACTGATTCGACGAGCACAGATCTATAAATGAACTATCATTATTACTATACTTTGAATTTCTGGATTATGTGCTCTAGAGGGCTTATAAAGATCCATACCACCCAAAAATCTGGGGTTTCGGTCATAAAGCCCGTGCCGCTGAATCCTAAATTGCCGAATTGTCAAATCTAATCACCTTGTAAGGGTCCCCCCTTTGAAAGTCAAAGTTGCGTACAAGAGTCGGTTGGAAATTGTTATTATAGAGATTGAACAAAGTTGTTCTTAGCAAATTATGTGAAAGAGTATCATGATTAAAGGTAGTAAGGTACTCTGACTATGAGTGCTATCAAACAAGAAAGACAGCTAAACTCGCTTCCTGTTTTCAATGTTTAGAGCGTAAGCATCTCAATCAATTACTCCTGCCTCAAATTCCAGAGAGTTCTTTCATTTCATATCATATATCAGCAGCAAATGCGGTCGATTTATCTTTGCTATTCATAGCCCATTTCACACGATTCTATTACCTAAAGACGAAAGAGCGTTTGAATTAGTTTTCGAATATCTTTGATTGAGATGAAGGAAGTCACAGGGTGATAAAGCCATCAACAGAAGTCGAGCTTTAAGTAGCATGTTTAAGAGTTAAAGAGTCTCGGTCTTGCTTTCCTGTCTTTGAATTCCTGGATAAATTGTCTGCGACTACAACATAATACAATAGATAAGGGTGCATATTGCTTTTATCGCGCATAATCTAGCATACTAGTTGCATGAGTTCCGCGCGCTCATAACCATACTTTAAGGTAAAGATCAAGGCCCTCGGGGCCCCATGGTCTCACTATATACTGAAAGTCAAAAAACAAAAAAAAAAAAAAAAAAAAACCGCATAGACTTACGCGGAAGGAAAGAGAAGAGTCACTTTTCCTTTTTCACGATGTGCCCCTCGTCCCATATTGACATCCTTGGAGACGATGAACACATCTGATACCATCATTTCCTCCCAGAAAGAGCTGCACAGATAAAAGCCGAATCAGGTAATCGACAAATCCCCAAAACCAAATCCAATTTTGAGTGCATCCAGCTGACCCCTGGAGTACACCCATTTTCAGTTCTCAACCAACCAAACTGACATCAAAACCCCCAGACCCGGTACCTGAGTCTTTCCAACATTGACCATAACCAACTCGGTAAAAATTCACCGTACAACACCCTGTCACGGCCACCAGGGTGAGGAAACCAGCCCTCCAGAAGAATGCGACTCAAATCCAGTGGTTTTCTGAATCCAAGAAGCCCCATCTCTCTAAACCAGCAGCACTTGCTTTCACAAGAGCATCCACTGTGCCAAAGCACTACTACCTGGCTGGCGTGGTCACCGAATCCAGGAAGTACCCTCCTCCGCCCTGAAGCCAAAGAAATCCGAAGATATCCTCGACTTTTGGTAATCCGACATACCCACAAACCCACAGACCCTCCTTTTCCCAGATTTCTCCAGAAAAAGGGACCACTGTATCCGCAGATACTACTCCTGACCAGCGTGGTCTTAGTCGACCAGGAGATCACCCACCAATAGTAGCATAGCCCTCGACCCTCCTTCCGAAGAAGGGACCACAAATTACGACCTGGCTGTTGTGGTCTTGTTCAGCCAGGAAGTCCTCCCTCCACCCTGAGACATCGTATGTCTCCATTGCCTTATCAGTGTCCTTAAAGCAAATCATCCCCAGATACCCAATCCCCCAGAACCCACACCCTGAAACCAGGGAAGCCATAGCCTTTCGGTGTACGATTCCACCAGCATGGCCAACTGACAGAAACAAAATCCACAACGTGGAAGCTGCAAAGCAGCGAAAACACCTATACATGAGGAACCCGGGTACCTCGAGATCCTCCTACAAAACCGACGAGACTTGGGTCAGCAGACCCCGCCGGTGTTCTTTTTCTTTTGCCACGGCAGCAGGAAATCCAAAAAACAGCTTTCCAGCTTCAACAGGTTCACGTAGCCTCCCCAATTCGGCTCTGCCTTGAGGACAACCTCACCAGATCGGTAGTCCAGAAAGCATTGCACCGGCTTCAGCGGTTTCGAATTCCTGTTCCTGAAATCCAAAGCCGGTGCCTCCCGAGCAGTTTGACGTCATTACAGGCACTGGCCAAGTGCCCTCCAGACGGTCACTGAACAGAAGGAGAAGCCAACTTTCCCTAGGAGAGACAGCACAAAGCGGTATTCGCCAGAAAGCCATTTTGAATCCCATAAGCACAAAGAAGAAGAGCCCCTGTGTCGTAGCAGCCTGACACGTCAACCTTGCCGTTCCCTGATTCGGCTTTGTGATCTGTAGTCTGGATCTGAGTCCCAGAAGATAGGAATCCCGTCGTCGTTAGTGACAATTGGCGACAGGATCTCAAACAGACAGCTCAATCAGACAGTGGCTTTAAACTTTTGCCGAGCTGTCTGGATCCTGGCTGATCAGACCAGGACCATTGTGTAGAAATGACGGTTACAGTCCAGAGGTAAAGAGGACTGTGGAGTTTCGGACCGAGAGAAAAGAAGATTCACAGTGCTGTGGGGGCGTCGTGGAAGCAGAAAAAGGAAGTTTTCGACGTCCCCGGGGCGTTTTGGTGAATCTTCGTGAAAGAAGAGTAGTTCTTGGTTGTGGTTTGTGAGTCGCGGAGGATTGACGGTACTTGTGGTAGGAGGTTTCCGGGGGTGTGAATGGCAGGGGAAGATTTCTGGGAAAGTTTTAGAATTTTTGGGATTTTGGAAGTGGCCAATTTCGGTTGGTGTTGTTTTTTGGGCGATTTTGTAGCTTTGTGTGGTTCTGGGTTGGGTCTTGGTGAGTGGTAGTATGGGGAGTGCCATAGATGGGCTGAAACCAGGGAAAAGCCTGAAGCACGAGTAGAATGGCTATATTAGAGCTTAAGACATGATGCTTGTCGTTTCATGATCTCTAGATGGTCGAGGTCGCTTTGAATGGCTGGTGGTACTGACTTCTCAGAAGTGGAGGCCATTCTTCTAGAATCACAAGTTTTCGGACAGAAGAAGGGACCTAAACTTCTTTAGATACACTTTCCTGATATTGGCCTCATTTGATCAGATCCTTTATATCTCGAGGAAGCAGAACTCATGGCTCAGATGCCCTACACTGTACTAGATTGAGCCATAAACCACCAAGACAAGGAATCTATTGATTATTCAATGAGTCTCAATAACATACACTTGCAATGACTTCCATTCTTCAAGCTGCTGAGAGGGTTGCTCTGCTCACGTCACATCTATAGAACGACTTATAGGAGAAGCAACTCTGGTTTCATACCCGAAACGCTGGTTTCATACCCGAAACGCTGGTTTCATACCCGAAACGCTGGTTTCGATCCCATGAATGACAGAAGTCTTGAAAAACTCTCCTTTTACCGAAAGTAGAGCTCAATTGAAGCGCAATCCTTCTCTACTTTTGATTAGCCTATGCCACCAACAAGTCAAGATTTATCACGAAAGAGAGATGAGCAAAAGATGAACGGAAGTCAATTGGAGAATCATACCTCAAAAATCCGTAACAGGCATCTGCAATCCTTGCTTTATGCTCTCAATGGTTGATTCTACGACTGAGAACAAGCCATCACTCCGCTAAGCACCAGACCAGTCCCTTACAAGCGAATCAGACATAACTCTCGTAAAAACCCACGAATCCATCTCTCTCCAACATGCAACAGCTGAAGAAGGCCGTAAGACAGATATGTCTTATGGGTCGATAAACACGGCGAGACGTTCGGAAACTGACCTGAGGTCTCGTGAAGTGAAGAATATTAAGATCTTATTGGAGGTTGTTTCTATAGATATATGCTTTTTTTACCAATAGAGAGATACCAGTTAAAAAAAAAATACAAACATCCAGATCCACACCACCTCAGTCTCCACCACCTGCTCATCATGTCTCTACACCTACACCACCGAACAATAGCCAACTTCCTCCACAAGCTCCTCCACCCTGGTGGCCCCAAACCTCCCAATTGCAAAAATACCCGCCAACAAAAATACCCACCAAAAATACCCACCAAGCCAATCCAACCATCATTTAGCCCACCGCACTTCTCAATCTACATAATCCAACCCGAGATCCCCAATGCCTGGACCACCATTTTTTAAAATTCCCGTGCAGCAACGTCGTAGCGAGCTAAGCGAGCTATATTAGACCTCGCCACATTACACCTCGCCACATTACACCTCGCCATCTCGCCACGCCAGTTTTCTTAACCAGCCCATCAAGGGATTTTCCGCTCTGGCCATTTTTCCGAGATCACTCACAATGCCGGGCCATTGTTTCAGAAAAACTCAACACCTCAGCATTAAAGCCAATCAAAACAAGCCTATATTGCCCCACCGGGTTTAGGCCCCACTTTCCCATAATTATTTTGCCTTTAGGTTCGTTTACTGCTTGGGGTTATTCCTTGACACCTGCAGGTGCCGCTGTTTAGCTGCGGCGTCGTGCAGCACCACACAGAAACCGTTTCGACCCAAGGCGCAACTGTTTCCGCTGCTGGGAGCCGAAAAGCCCGCAAAAACGCCGTCAAACGCCCGGCCCGTGCACGTGGATCTGCAGAAATGGGCCTATTTGCAGGAAAAAATCGTCCCTCCCGAGAATCGCCCCATCTATACCTCGCAGATTGGAAGCTCCCTTGTAGGCGCCGCTGATTACTAGCATCAGGTAAATCCTGCATGGTAATCATACTGCGGTCACGTGCTCGGACCGGCCGGCTCCTCTTTGCGTCTGCTTGCAACCACAACTTTACAATCCAAAACCAACCACTTCTTTTTCCTCGAAATGCTTCCCTTTGCTATCCCCTACCCGCCCGAGCAGGCCGAGGGCTTCTGGGCATTCCCACGTCCACCATCGACTGGTGCGAGGAAAACTACGTAGTGCTGCCTTTTATTGCCGAGGCCTTGAACACCATCACCAACTCGGTCTTCATTGCTTTGGCGGCTTTTGCCATCTTCCACGCCCATACAAACCACTTGGAGCTCCGTTTCCAATTGCTGGCGTTGGGCTTCATGCTCGTGGGCGTCGGGTCCTGGTGCTTTCACATGACCCTTCGGTACGAGTACCAGTTATTGGATGAGCTCCCTATGATATACGCCACGTGTATCCCCTTCTGGAGTGTGTTTTCGGAGTTCAAGGACCGCAAGGGCCAGATTTTGGTGGGTGTGGGCATCTTCACCGCCGCCAATTTGCTCACGTTGATCTACTTGCACTTCAAGAACCCCACAATCCACCAGACAGCCTACGGCTTGTTGAATGCTGGCATCATCTTCAAGTCCTTCTCCTTGGCCAAGGTGCACGTGCACGACGCCAAAGCCTCCGCCCAGCTCAACAGAACCATGTTCTGGGGCATAGCGCATTTCCTCTTTGGCTACTTTTTGTGGAATTGCGATATCCATCTTTGTTCCCACGTTAGAGCTACCAGAAGAGAGTGGGGCATGCCCTACGGCTTTGTGCTTGAAGGTCACGGCTGGTGGCACATTTTCACCGGTGTCGGTGTGTACTTCTATCTTGTGTACGAGGAGTATCTCCGGTGCTTCTTGACAAAGACTGAGCGTTTCTACGAGTTCCGGTGGATTGCAGGCTTGCCTGTGGTGCAGCTAATTGATGCTGACGGCTTGGTCGCCTTCAAGAAGGCAGAGCAGGAAAAGAAGGCTATATAGACGTTTTATTCACAACATAGCTAGCACCTCTTGTATGAACTTGTCCTTCAGCTCGTCGGCGCCATCCACAAGCTTGCGGAGCGACGCCACGGCCTCGTCTGATGGCACTTTGCACTTCTTTGTCTCTGGATCAATGCATTGATCCTTCCAGGCCACCAAGATCTTCTTGAGCTTCTCCACGCCGACGCTGATTTCTTCGTTCGAGCACTTGGTGCGTTTGCTGCTCACATAAGGGTCTGCGTCGGAACCAGGGTTCAAGTTTTGGAGCTCAGAAGCCTTTCTCTTGGCCATGTTGATGATCTTTGTGGGGAACTTCACGAGCTCGGCAACGTGGATACCGAACGACTTGTCTGAGATACCGGGCTCGACCTTGTACATCAACGTGATATCATCCTCAACCTCGCCCTTCTCGATATGGGCCACCACATGTAGGTTCTGAACCTTTCCCTCGTGTTTCTCTGCCAACTTTGTGAGTTCATGGAAATGCGTAGCGAAAAGCGTGAAGCAGCGCTTCTCACTGATAAGGTGCTCGGAGATTGACCATGCAAGTCCGAAACCATCGTACGTACTGGTACCACGGCCCAATTCGTCGATGATGATGAGCGAGTTGTGGGTGGCAGTAGCGAGAATTGACGACGTCTCCAACATTTCAATCATAAAGGTGGATAATCCCTTTAGCTGAGAGTCACCAGCACCAACCCTGGACAAGATAGCATCGAAGATTGGCACTTCCGGCGATGAACCATCCTCAGACGCTGGCACATATGAACCAACCTGACTCATAAGTGCAATGACACCCACTTGACGGATATATGTAGATTTACCACCCATATTAGGACCAGTGATAATCACAAATGGCTTGTCATCACTTGCCATGATAACGTCGTTATGAATGAAATTAACATCCTCCTGTACTTCCAAAACTGGATGTCTTGCTTCTCTCAAGGAGATCTTTCTTGATTTGAATTCCTCAGAGTCAGCTGAACCAGCCATGGGGTGAAGCTTGGGCTTGGTGAAGGCGGTAGGTGCAAAGATGGCGACGTTAGCGAAAGAGCAAAGCACATCGATATGGCTGAGCACAAGTGATAGACGCATGAAAACCGTCTGGTACGTCAAAGTGATCAGCAAAATCTCCTTGATGAGCTCTTTCTGCTTAGAGTTGTATTCGTCCAGGTACTCATTATATTGTTCTGACAACCTGCGGAGGTTCTTGGTGGTGAAGAATACACCTGCCTTGACTGTCTGAAGCTCGATGTAGCGGTCTCCGGTGTTTCTTAAGATGGCAGAATCGATACGCGTGACACGGAAACACCAGCCATGCTGCTGGTGCTTTTCAAGCTTGAGTTTCTTCTCAATGTCAATATTAAGGTCGTCAGCCACCTCTTGGTGGATTTGCTTGATCTTGCGGCTCGTAGCTTGAAGATTGTCGTTAATAGCCACAAGCAGCTCGTCAAACTCGGGCTTTATGTTGAAGTCGGTGTGTAGAAGGTCGTGGCCAGATTCAAGCGGAGTGAGGTCAATGGTAGTTTCCACAAGCTCTTGGAATTTTACCAACGCAGTATAGTGTTTGTTGAGCGGTTCGAGCCACTCGGCAGTCAAAAGGTCTTTAAGGCCCTCAGCTCCGTCAGTAGACGATTGCACGGAATTCACAAGCTCTGGCAAAACGGTCACAAGCTGGTAGAGTCTGACAACATCTTCCAATTTCTTGTTCTCCGCACCTGTGGTCTTCTTGACGCCATTGCCGATCTTCTTGAGAAGACGTTTGATATCAGGCACCTGGGAAAGCCATTCCAGAACGAACACACGGAAGGAGGTGTCGTCCATGAAATGGCCGACCAAGGAGTGACGGTCAGAGATGCCTCTCATGTTTGTGAGTGGCTGCTTGAGCCATTGTGAGAGCAAACGGGTACCGGCAGCGGTCTTGCACCGGTTCAAAAGGTCAAAGATCGAGGCCACCGTCGCCTTGGGCCCTGGAAGCGCCAGCGCAGCAGGAAAGATGTTGAGAGCCCGCATTGTCGAGGAGTCGAGCTTCATGTACGAGTGGAGGTTGTACTTGTCGATGGAGAAAGGAGCCTGGTCGTCGCCAAGGAGGTTGAGGTACTGGATGAGCGAGTTGCAGCAGCCCAAGGACAAGCTGTATTCGGCAGAATTGATGCCCTTGGAGGCGAAGATCATCTCGATGTTGTTGTCGACGTTTTCGTCCAGCACGATCTTCTCCAAATCCTGCTCGACGTCCTTCGAGTACGTGGACTGCTTTACCGGCAGCACCACCAAGCCCATCTTGGCCAACACCTGGAGCAACTTCGCCATACTGGCATCGTCTACGTATCCCAGCGGCACGAGCACCTCCCTGGCGCTCACCTGCAAGAACATTGCCTCCAAGTTGGAGTACAACTCCGTATCGTCAAATTCCAGCACCCTGAGGGTTCTGTTCAGCAAATCCGCCAAACAAACACCCACACGCTTGCCAACGCGGACCGAAGCCACCACGGGCGCCAGACCGTCACGGTTCTCGACCTCCACGCCATATTCCCTCGCCACTCCCTCCAAATTACCTGGAGACGCCGTGGTGATCAAATCAAACTGTTTCGAGTAAACCTCCACCTTGCGTCCGCTATCAACACAAAAACGCACCACCTGAGCAAACACAGCCGTCAGGATGGTCACGTACCGCGTCTTCTGCTGCGTTTTGACCACCAGCTGGGTCTTGTAGATGGCGTCTGCTATAAGAACCGCGTCCTCATCCCAGGCCAGAAAGTAGTCTCTGTGATCAACAAGACGAACGGTTCCAGGAACGGGTTTTAGCGAAGCCGCACGGCGATAAAACAGCCTTTCGTCGCCGGCATCGCTGAATTTAAGTTCGGGTCTGCTGCTCGACATGAAGAAGAAGTAGGTGTAGTTCGCGTATCATCAACAGTGCGGCAGATGTAGGTGTCACGGATCGGGAGGGTTGCACAAAGGGGGGTTTTTGGGGATGGAGAAAAAAGAAAACGAGAGAAAAGATGAGGGGATCCAGGGGTATTTATACTTTTTGTCGTTTATGGGTTGGGATCTTGATGGGGGGTGTTTGGTGAACGCGTATACGCGGTGGCTGCGAAAAGCGTGCTTCACTGAAGAAGGTGAGTAGATGTGACCTAGACTTGGATTTTGAAAGTTGGTGAAAATGAATTTTTGTTCAATTGCAATGTTGTAGTGGTGCTTTCGTTGCAACGTTACAGTGATGTTCCTGTAATTTCTGAAACTCGACTTTCGTGGGTATTCTGATCTGCGTCTATGTGTTGATGCTGCATTATCGCGTACATCGTCTATTCAGTGATCTACTTGGATATATGACCGCATGAGCCAATGCACCGTAAAGAGTTGCAAAAACATAAATCTTTGCCAAATTGATAAAAGCTATTATTATATTATCAGGCCAATTAAAGTAACGATCACTACTCACTCTGCATTATGTCACTTGTGGAGGCTAGGTATCAAGAACTTCAAAACGTCCATTCTGAGCTCAATTGGATCTTGGCAACCGCTTGTCTCTATTTCGGCTAGAAGAACTTTCACGGCTAGCTCAAACCATTCGTTTTGAATTCAACAAAGTTCTCCTTCAACTACAAGCTCTACTAGCTCAATTTATTCATAAGTATAATCCCCATCATTCTAGAATTGTTCAGCGCAGTCAGTATACTTTGTGTGGTCACTTTCCGAACTGCTTCCGGGAGAACACTCCATGGTCTTCCTTCCTAAAGTTGCAGAAGAGGGTGTATTTTCAGAAGGTGGATTCTCAGTTACTTCATCTTGCACAAGCGTCTCGTCGGAGCTACTTTTAGAAGGCTTTGAAGATTCCGGCTTTGGAGATTCCGGCTTTGGAGATTCCGGCCTCGAAGACTCTGATGTAGATTCACCATTTGTGCTATTCTTCAGTTGATCGTCTTTGCTCTGGTTGAGCTTCTCGAAGAACTTGAGCATGTTGGCTAAACTGGAGCTTCTTTCAATGGCGGTGTCCTTCGTCAAAGGCGCTTCCCGTGAATCTGCATTGTTCTCAGAAGGTGAAGCCTCCTTCAGTGGAGAGTACCACCATGGAAAGCCCTTTTTTCTGAGTCCGGTACTCTTCAAAGTTGGAGGCGTCTTCTCGGTTGGGTTTTCAGCGTTTTTCGAAGCCAGGTTCTCTAGATTAGAAACCTTTGGAGAAGATTCTTCCTTTGGAGAGGTCTCATTCTTTGGATTGTCCTTTAGGACCGATGTTTCCTTTGGATGAGGGCTACAATCTGAGGTCTCCTCTGGTACGGCCTCCTCGGTGGATGCTTCCCCACTGTCCTCACCCTTGGACTCACTATCGTCTTTTGGCTCATCCTCCTCCTTGGGTTCAGCATCCTCATTTGTCTCACCATCCTGGTTCTCAGTCTTGGCCACTTGTGGACCACTTGCTAACCTCGGAAAGGCTTTCAACAAAAGCGTGGAAACAAGGCCCTTCTTAGAAGCTTCCCTCTTTACTGGAACCTTCACTGGAGCCTTCTTCACCGGAATTGGTTTGGGCTGCCTACCTGCAAGGAAAGTCGAATATTGGTGGGTGGACTGAGGATGCCCATTCCTACCAGCTAAGAATGTCTTGGCTCTTTCACTCGGCGGCACTAACACCATGATCGGAAGCTGCTCCGAAAGCTCGATTTTGGTATTGTGCCCAATCAATAATTGTATGCTCACAGTCAAGATTGAGTCCACGGTGAAATTGCACGCTTTCAAGGATTCACCTGTTCGTGGAATACGGAAACCAAAAAGATGTTTTGGAATCTCAAAGACTGCCTTGTTGTCAATAATTTCCGGTTGTACCTTCTCCTTGCAACCCCTTTGTCCCACGATAGCTGACAGACAGTAGACCTTGCGGTGCTTCTTATAGCAGTATTCGCCAGGATTGTCGGTTTTTCCGTGAATTCCACCGATAATCGTCGCTTCTCTCATCAGAACAACCCTGGTTCCCATGATATGAATTGGTCTCGCGTGGAACTTCAGCTTGAAAGCCTCTATGGGAAGCTCAACGGTGATCTTGATGAAATCCGGTAAAGGGTGGTCGCAAATAAGACCTCTTCTGGAAGGTCCCAACGGCCCGTTTATGAGCCCGGGATCCAAGAATTGAATGGCAAGCTTTGTCTCCATTTCTCGGGGCCCAGTGCCAAAAGACGCTTGGATCTTGGCGATCATGGTTTTTTCCTGAATATCTGGAAGAAGCTCTTCATCTTTCGTCAAATGGTCCCAATTCCGTGGAACCTGGTCTGGAAGCGGCTCAAAAGGCATTGGCTGAATCACCTCATCCCATTCTTCCTTTCCATTAACTACAGCACACACTTCCACCTTGATGTGATGTGAGACATCAATTATGGTATTCTGGCTTACCTTAAACTTAGCCCTGGGTGGAAGGATCCTCTGGTGTTCTGGAACATGGTCGAAAAGCCCATCCCGACGAGGATATGTGTGAGTGTCACAGGCACCGTACTTTTGGCTTAAACGTGGAAGCTTGATTCTGAAAGGCACCTCAACCTTTTCCTTGTCCTTGACTTCATGGGGCAATGTCAAGACTTCATTTTCGTAATTCAATAAGTAGTGGTCTTCATCACCTTGGATCAGTTTGGGCTGAACTCCACTGAGAAAGAGTTTCTGGTCTTGCTTAAGCAAGCTGGTTGTGGACTTGCAGGTGTATCCAGCGTAAATGTGCTTCAAATAGAAGGGCCTGTTTGCAGTCAAACGGAACATGCCATCGACGGTATCACCGGGATTATACTCTCTAGCGACCTTGCTAAGGTGAATGTCACCTCTGAAGCATTTCAATGGTAACATCTTTGGGGTTTAGGAAATGAGTTGTGTGGAAATGAGAGGTTTATGATTGTACTGATATCTTTGGAGTAGAGAGTGGTTCGGGCAGGTATAATAATATTTCGTGACACAAGGTCATTTTATTTGGAGGCCTTTTGGAAAGAATTGAGTTTTGGTCACGGCATGAGTGACCTTACGTTGGTTTAGGAAAGTATAGTAAAAGTGAGGGTTGGATGGTTCGGTAAAATGGGGATGTAGAGATGAAAAGGGGTTCTCCGAAGGCATTAGGGTTGGGTGGAGTGATTCAGGCTGATTCCTTGTAATTTTACCTGTTTTTCAATTTTTTATCAGTGTTTCTTTACTTTGCAAAGTTTATGGAGGTCAATATTGAAGGTGATAGACAGAAACGCATTCCACATATGAACGTGAAGCAAAAACAAATAGTGAAATTTCAGTCTTTTCCCAAAAGATCCTAAATGAAAGAAGGGAAAAGCTATAAAAGATCAGCTATCTGAGTACACTTTTCTGACAAACGGTGTCACCATTTCGCAGCCATCACTATCGACAAGATGATTGATGTAATCAGATGAATTTAACAAAAAAAAAAAAAAAAATGTATTCGTACCCACATAGCTCCATTTAAGGTTCTATATACCCTGAAAAGCACAGCAACACAATATGGTACATACAAATGAAGAATCCCTCTTCCCCTAATACTTGATTATGAACGGCACATTCACCATACAACCACCTACAATTCCACTAAAACCGCCGTCACCGTCACGATTTTTTTCAAATTCCTCCAAAAAACAAACTCGTTCTTGAAAAATTACCAAAAATGCCCAAAAATCAAAAATTCCCACCTACCGTCAGTTTCCCTCCACACCTTCTGGTGCACCTACATGGTGGGTGCAAATTTTGTTGATGCGAAAGTGAACAATCTCAACTACAACCACCTCCATGCTTTACGAACTCTTTGCCATCGCACGAATCAACGACCCACTTCTCGTCAACAAGGAGGCGGCCAAAATCGCCCACACCATTGGAAAACTTATCATCAATAACAGAGGCGTTGTCCGCAGCATCACTAGTTTAGGTCCCAAACCTCTTCCCAAGGTGCTTTCCAAGGATCAGGAAAGACACTTCCAGGGATACCACTTTGTGATGACTTTCGACTCATCGGCGGCCGTTCAGGCGGAGCTTTTGCGTACGATGAGAAGAGACCCTCGTATCTTGCGTACTTCTGTTGTCAAGAACGACTTGGGCAGACTGTTGAACGCTGGCTCTTCCTTCGAGAGAGCCTTCAACAAGGTGTCCTACTAAGCGGCTGATGAAAATCACGCGTAAGAAGTTCATCAACGGCAAATGATGTTTGCGACTGAAGGGTGCTGATGGAAGCTGATGATGCCTAAAGAAGCCATAAGCTATGAGCAATGCATATTCAAGAGGAGGATGGCTTGACTACGAAGATGAGCATGTCAATGAAAGATGAGCTGGAATGCCAGCAACGCACTAGAGTGTTAATGCCTAGGCTCTGCCAGGCATCATGTATATATGGGAACACGGAACATAATTGGATGGTTGTAGGGTGGAGGAGGTACGAAGCGATTCGCCATAAGAAGTCGATAAGCAAAAAAAAAAAATCATATTTGACTGCTATTCTTTATCCTCCCTTTACTTTTGAGTTCGTGGTCTAGCACTGATAGCCATCCAAATGTATTACGGAGGCTCGTATAGGTGAGCACTTTCCCTCTACAACGTCAAATCTAACAGGATATTCATTAACAGCAGCGTTGCTACGGCTTGCGGTGGATTCTAATAATGATGCATTCATGGAGGTCCTATTAGCAACGAACGACTTGCCAGACCTCGCAGAGTCGTTCGGGTTAAATGCAATGAGCAACAGCGATGCAAAAAAGCAATGCAGAAGCCTAACGCACCAGCTTCTTCGAAGCAGAAGGCACGGAAGGAGAAGTCATGTCGTTGAGTGAAGTGTTGGAAGTGGCCTGACTAATGTGAGTGCCAGCGTCGAAACGCTCATCATCGAAAATAGACAGGTTCGTGCTCTTGTCAGTATCAGCGTCCTCAGCAGTCTGGTCCAACGCAAGGTGGGATCTAGACAGGCTATTCGAAGCCTCTCTCGAGCGTGGAAGCGTGGTCATTTCAAACTCAGTGTTGCCGAGGTACGATGGGTTCAAGTAGCCAAATGGCAGCTCTTGACCAAGGCCGCTCTCTTGGTCCTCAGTAGGCACAGCAGCGTATGCGCCAAGTGGGTCGTTCTTCTTGATGTCGAAGTACTCGATAGACGTGTACGACCATCTGCAGAACTTGTTGTAGTCGATGGCAGGCAAGGTGGTGTACTTGACGTAGGCGAACATCATGACAGACATGACGGCACCCATGATAAGATCAATGAAGTAGTGATGAGTCAAGTACATGGTAGACCACCACAAAACCAGCGCGTATCCCCACCAGACATACTTGTACTTTGGGAAAAGCCACAGGAGGAACAACACATCCATCACGGCAGAACCAGAGTGCAACGAGGGAATAGCACCAAACACCAATGGAGAGTTCTCAAAGGTTGTCGTGTACATGTCCACGTGGAACAACTGGTCGATTCTACCCAAGCCACCAGGTGAGCCGTCCATGGCGTAGTTGGCGGGCTCCAAGCCGTGCAAGTTCTTGTACCATGGAGGAGCAGCTGGAAAGGCAAGCTGGAAGAGCACGCCTGCCATGTTCATGTAGCCAAAGGCGAAACCAAACGACTGCAAGGAAGTTGGTGGCGCAAAGAGGAACACAAACAACGCCACAAAGAACGGCGACGCAAAGTGGATGATGCCGTAAGGCAACCACGCCAAGATATCCAAAATGGGGTGGTTGATCTCGGCCAACACATTCGACAAGTTGTCACCGTAGAGAATGGTCTCCATAGCTGGGAGAAACTTCACAGAAATGGCCGGTTTCCACGAGTGAGGGATCTTGGACGCGCTGAAGAACAACGCCAACCAGGCAAGGATGGGCAACGCGTGGACAAAGAACTGCTGGGTCACAGGCACCAGCACGGCAGCCACAAGTAGTAACAAGATTGGTGTTTTGAGCCAGAGCGAGGCCGGGAAAATGATGTAAACAAACAAAAATACCAGGGACAAAAAGGTGTAGTTGACGATATCAAACCACGACCAGTGTCTCAGGCGAAACCTCTGAAACGAAAGCTTGACATCGGTGGAGAATTCGAGGTCACCTAGAGTGTTGCCTTGCTGCTGTTCCAGCAAGAAGTGGTATTGAAAAAGACGCACCGCCTTCCTGAGCGGCCGCGAGCGGAGTACTGCAGACATCAAAGGAGCAGTATTAAAGCCGTTAGGGTATGAAGGGGTGAAGGGGTTGTTTTGAAGAAGTAGTAAGTTGGTGATGGAGTTTGTGGATAGGAGAAGGATGGTATTTGTGCGCCGATCGCGTGACGCGCCATCACGTGACTCGAAAAAAAAATTGCTTTTTTCCCGTTTCACCAGCCCCCGCTGGCCGACGCCGACAGAATGTAGACTATTTTAGGAGACAGATTCTCGGGTGGCTTGCTTATGGACGGGTAAATTAGGGGAAACTAAGGGGAAAGCGGCTTTATGTGCAGGAAGCAATCTCTATGATGGCGCAAGGTTGCTGAACCACGGAGTCCGTTTTGAAAAGCTTAGCTTTTGTGGTCATTTTTGGACGTCGTTTGAAAAGCTTACAAAGTCAAGTTTTAAAGTGAATATTCGAGAAATACCGAGAAGGTCCTTAATACTCAGGCGTGTGCCGAATTGGTCGTTGCTTTTTTGGCTGCAAACAATGTCTCATTTCTGTAGCGGACATTATGGAATTGTGGAGTGACCAAGAAACATTTCCTGACTTTAAGCAAGACTGTAAATTGTGATTCTTAGACAATGCCGATGAAACATTGTGATGTCATTGGCTTGGCTGTAGAGAAGGAATTGATGCAAAGCTGCTTATCTGAGACACCCAAAACGGATATCTTGATCTGTGGCACAGTAGGATGAAGGTGGGCTAATAGATAAGGTACAACTGGGACAGGCATCAGATCCTAAAGTGTTATTGTAGAATCAGAACTTCGGAGGAGTATATAGAGAAATGTCTGATTTCACTACAGTTTCATGAAAGCCAGTCTAGATGATCTTATCAATCAAAGACAATGCCGCCCCCAGATCCTTATCAATCAACCTCGCATCACAATCTGCTTCCTACACGGTCCAGACTCTCCTGGTCAATCTACCAAATCCAAATGTCTTGCCCTAAACACTAGGCCTCGTAGATGTTGGTCTGGACCTTGATCTCGCCCAGAGGAATCATCTTCTGAGCAGCAGACCACTTCTCGCCCTTGGCCAACTTCACCGTCAGACCAACGTGGCCCGGCTCTACACACAACATTTTCAAGTACCCGTCCTTGGGCAAAAAGTCCGCCATGCCCTCGGATTTCTTGATCCATGGGTTCCATACAACCGCATCGGGCAAGTTGTGTCTCTCCAACGTCAACAACACGTTGCCACGGTCCACCAACTGGATCACCTTGTGCATGTCGACGTCCTTGTAGATTCTGTCGAACTCCTCCTGGAAACTGAGCATGGGCAGCTTTTCGACATAATGCTCACCCAAAAGCTGGTCAAAGCAGCGCAGGTCCATCAAATTAGTGGCCAACGTGTCTGTGACGTCGTCCACCTTGTAGTAGGTGTGGAACAACCAATTGAAGTCAAAGGTGGTGTTGCCGGTGTTTTCCACCTCAATGCCGGTGGTCAAGGAATCTTCCGCCAACGTGACGGTCAAAATCAACGTAAAGTCGTTTTTGCCCTCGTCCCAGAGACTAAACGTGTCCTTATCAACGTTTTCTTTTCCAAGACCGAATTGAACAGCCACGGGTTCCTCGGTAGTCTGGCCCAAAAACTCCCAAGTCGAGTTTCTAGCAAAACCGTGCTGAGGCAACTTCACAACGGATTCGTTGGTGCCCTTTCCAAAAACAGGAAAAACAAGCGGAATTCCTCCTCTTACAGCCTTCAGCCCATCCAACTTGGCTCCTTCAGAAAGCCAGAGCTGCTCCTGTCCTTTCTCCTTCCACGAGATCACCGTGGCACCAAACTTAAGGATGGTGACATTGGTGTCTGGGTTTTTGGGGTGCACAATGCGCACTTTGTCGCCGAGGTCTTCCACTGCCATCAATTGCTGCTGAGGTGTAGTAGGTGTTGGAGATTGGTGATAATGTTAGATAGTGAGGCCGCTGGTGCACGGGTGTAAAGGTGCCCCAGTCTGACCCATATGGATTGAAGTACTAGGAAGTAGAATATTTTAATTCGTTTTTCTCGTACTTATTATTACATGTTTGTAGAAGTGGGCAGAAAATGATATATTCTTGCTGTGTTGAGGTGGTGGTGAAAAGTATCAATTGCTGCCTAGGCCATATCACTACAAGGGTGGAATGTTTCAGGGCTTTTTTTAAACCCCAACTTACCTGATTCAATTGTATCGCCATTTGTTTTCAGTACATGTTGAAAATTTTAAGGTGTCAAAAAGGGGCAATAGGGGCAATCTTGCTCTGACACATCAACATGCATCTAGAAGCACTATGTAATAAGTGTAGGATAAATTCAACCAATTCAGATCGACCAATAAAAAAGATACTGGACTTCAATTCACAGCTCTATATGACCATGGTGCCCAAGGGGTAATCTGAAACATGACAGTGTTAGATTGCAAAACAAACAGCCCAGGCGACAAAAGCATAAAGCACCTCAATAATTCCTAAAGCATGAAGTCGATCTAACGATAAAAATGAAGCTCTCCAAAAACACCACACATTCAAGAGGTATGGGAATGGTCTGTTGAAATGTCTACTGTATTCAATGAACAATTTGGTGAGGTTAATATTTCTCTATCACCACTCTGGGCTCTGCAATCAACGATATCAATAAACAGTCCATTGGTTATGCTAATAATGCTTTTCTGAGTCTATAGGTTCATGCTGGCCAGCAGCTGATGGGTCCTAGGCGAAACGGCTCTTGAACTTCTGGAACTTGCTAAGCGACCGCTGGCTCACGTCAGAGTTCATGCTACTAAGGGACATGCCACTAGGAGAGCGGCCATTTTCTTTTGAAAGCGTCTTTTGTGAAGACAGAACCGTGGGCCTATCGTAGAGGGAAAAAGGCTGCGGAATGGTGAAGTTTCTGGATCCCGAGGGCTTGAGACTGGCGGAAGATGGCTTCTTCTGAAGGTTCGTGGGCTTCTGGAGGTTTGAAGCAGATGGTTTCTTTTGAAGCGCCTGGTATTTTTCGGGTTGTCTGAGAGAACGACAAGTAGGCAGTTTCTGCAACAGCAGAGTCAGTGGTTTTTGCTGGAGGGTGGGTATGGACAGCTTTTTTTGAAGCGTGGGTATCGACAGTTTCTTCTGAAGGGAGGGTATAGATGGTTTTTTCTGAAGGGAGGGTATGGATGGTTTGTTCTGAAGCGTGGGTGTTTTGAAGGAGGGCGTGTTTTGGGGTGTTTGCAGACGCAAGCTGGCCAGAGATGGTTTCTTTTGAAGCCCAGGGGCAACTCCAGCCAATTGGAGCGACGATTGTCTTTGTTTGGGCATTGGTTTGGCGAAAACCCTCTCCTCCTTGGGCTCCTCAGTGTCCATATCGTCTCCAAGCAAGGAGTTCAAGTTCATGTGGCCCTTGGAGGGGGAGATTCTGGTGAAACGTGAAGGAGAATGTTCTGTTTCAGGCGAATGCATTGGTGAATGTGTTGGCGAGTGTGTAGGCGATTTGAAGTGGCCTGAAAATGCACCCATTTCGGTTCTGGAGTCCTTGCCACCGTTGAAAGCATTACCTCTTATTTTGTCATTGGACCACTGGGCCGCCGCTGGAGGCGCCAAAGTGGGGCCTTGTCCAAGCAGCACTTTTTCGATCTTCTGTTCTGTCTCGTTCTTTCTCCTAAGCGGCAGCTCGTTTTCCTTGCCAAACACCTCTTCCGGCCCGTTAAGTGTCCTTCTCTTCTTCGTAGCACTGCCATCGTGGCGTGGCAGCAGTCTGTTCCGTGAAGCAGCATAATGTGAAGAAATGGACTCCATCTTCTGGAACAACGGCTTGTGGGCTCCCAGGTACCGTTTTCTCCGTTCCCTGCGTTCCGGCAGCGGCTCTATCTGGCCCGATATCTCCTGGGCACGGAGGTCGAGCTCCTGGAGCACGGAGTTGCTGAAAGTCTGGGAGTAACCCTTGTCGACCATGTTTTCAAACATACGGTCCTGAGGAGCCGGCAAGTCGCTCATGGACGGGTACCGCACGGGCAGCAGCGGCAGGCGGGGCAGCAGAAGCCGCAAGTTGCGTATTTTCTTGATGGGAGTGTTGAGCATGGTGGTTCTTTCGGGTCAGATTTGGTGATATATCTGATGGGTGTTTACCTTTTGCCGAAAGGGGAAGGCGGGAGGGAGAGGATGAAATGGAGGTTTGGAATGACTTTTTGTGATTTTTGTTATTTTTGAGGGTGGAGGGTTTGGGGGATTTGGTGGGTTTGATTATTCGGGCTGTTTGGTGGGTCTGTGGTACGAGGAGGGGTGTGGTTTGATGTTGATGCTCATTTTGTCGTGAGACATGTCGTATGGTGGAGGTGAAAAAGGGAAGGACGAGATAAAAAAAAAAAAAGCAGGATACGTTAATTGTCGGTATTTTCATTCATAAATCATAGACTTTTGAGTTTTCGATATTGGGTGGAACGGCGGACGAGGTGGACTGAATGGCTGCAACTTTGAACATGCCAGGAACAATAGCACAGTATCGAGGCGAGAGACAAATGTACAAAATTGAACTTTGAGAAGCTTTTTTATGTTTTTCAGTTCGAAAGAACTGTTCATCAAACCTGGGCAAAAAGTCCCCACAAATGGCAATCCGTTTACTTAGGTCAACTCATCAGAGTGATGCTGGAACAATAGGCGCAGGTTAGAAATATGCCTGCTTTGTCAATGTATGCTGATATTGATTCAGCTTGGCTGTACAGGAATATCTTCACTTGGTTCAGCTCTATTTTTATTTATTTACTGATACCTCTTTATTAGAGTGAAAAAACTATATCTCTATAGAAACAACCTCCAATAAGATCTTCTGTTGAATTCTCTTGAGATGCATTCTTCGTCTGGTCGAAGCCATATCTATAGATTTGAGGTGGTCCTTCGAGAAGTCATCATTTGCTATCAGAAGGCTCAGGTATGGCGGTAGAATTGAGAAACTGCAATTCTTCACGGTGATGCTGCAACCTGATGAGTGGATCATCAAAGATTTCTCGATGGGGAACTGGCTGTGAAGCATCTGGAAGAAACAGCACTGTAGGCCAAAGTTTGAAAAGAAATTTCCGGTAACAACAGTGGAACTTTCGTTGATGTTCAGCCAAAAGTGTAGGCACTTGTTCAAAATTTGCGATTAATTCATAACGAGGACGCCAAATCCCTTTGATATTTCTCTCACTTTAAGTAGTTTTAGGGCGCTTATATTAAGTAGAACGCAGGCACTATTGACAAGCTTACAAATGTCTATTCTAATTCAAACAAGCTGTTGACATTACCCAAACTTTAACCAGTTATAACTCTGTGCACACTCATTTCTAGACCGTGAGAGCAACAGAGATGCATAATAGAATCACAAATATTATAAATTCAATCTTAAACGTAATTGTTTACTCCAAAGAGTGCTTAAAACTAATAACATATATATACACAGCAGATTTTTCGTGCAAATAGCCCGCCTGCGTGGCGTAATGGTTAGCGCATTTGACTTCTAATCAAAAGATTCCGGGTTCGAGTCCCGGCGTGGGTTCTTTTTTGCCGTTTTCATCTACCAACATGAAGCGTTTTAAGCTCTGTTTCATGATCATGTCAACTTCAGGCTGGCTTCTTCCTGAACCGCTCTCCTTTTAGCTTTTGCAAAATGAGTATAAAAATCATTGAGTCTTTTTCATAATCTGGATAGATCCGATGGACAGGGCAGCTCACTCAGGCTAGAGCAAAAAAATTAACCAAAAAAATGTGAAAATAATTGTTCCCTTTCCCAGGATTCATCGGTGGTCAACCCTATGGCATCGCAATACCCTACTCCATCAGAGCTTTCTTGTGAAAGAGGTCTAATATTTATTTACTTTTTCCAACTAGAATATCAAAATAAAAAAAAAAAAAACCCACATAGTTTTGAGTCTTGTTTTCGGTAGGTTTAGGGACTTTCAGGTGGTATCCCCATTGAAGCTGTCTACGGCTTAGTCACAACGCTTATGCGGCTCAACGTTTGACGAACTGTCAAATTTAATTCTATTGAGCTTTCAAGGGTAAATTCTGTAAGGAAATGCTATTGCTATTGTTCGAGATAAAGTTTAGAGTTGGGGCTTCTATGGCTCCAACGAGGTTAGTGCGAGAGACTTGTGACATATCTTCACTCTAGCCACCCTGACGACTATGACTATATTCAAAAATAGCTTCATTGGCAAGGGAGGCTTTTCCAGAATTTGTTTCCTTGAAACGGCCCATCACTTGCTCTAGACTAATCTCATCATATGTCCTCACACCTTAACATACCCATTACAATCGAAGTTGGCAGCATCGAATTGTAAAGCCGATTGCACAACATAGAGACATGTAGAGACTTGCAATTTATTTAGAAAGACGTATCTGAAAGCCCTTCTAGTTCCCATATCTTGATCCCCTCTTTATCAGACCTCCAGCATTGCAACCACCTCATCGTTGAGTCACCAGAAACCAAATCAAGAACAACACCCCCCTTACAGATCAAGAAATTTCTACTTCATCACCCTCCTTCCTCAATAACCCCACCTCCTCAAGAACCCCACCACCAAACCACTACATCTAAAACCTACATCCAAAACCCATCCACTGCTTTTCCACTAACGAGCAAACCAGCTCTCCGTACGGAGCAAACCGGATCGACAAATCCAAGGCAGCTTGAACCCCACTGAAAAAACTCCATAATCAGCCAAAAACGGCCCCTGCTCCTCGCCAAGATCTACTCAACCTGACAAGTCCGAGGCCGTCCTCACCGAACAATACCACCAATTCGAAGGAGCCACCTTTGGATTTTTTGAAGAAACATGCTCTTTGTCGAGTTGGCTAAACTTCAAAAGAAGAGATTGATATTAGAGTATCGAACCGAGGACTCATTGACCTACCATCAGCCCTCCACTTTCACCAAACCGCTGGCAATCAATTCAAATTTTTTTTATCGATCATTACATTAAAAATTCACTAGTAAACGGCGGCCCGCTTCCGGCCAATGACAATGCCATTGACTGGGACCAAAGGAACAATACAGCTTTGACTGCACTGAGCGGGTGCAAATTATCAGACACCACACAGCCTCCGAGGTTATACCCTACAGGTCGGGGTTGTGCACGAGAAAAAGACGGTAATGATTATCCGGGCATGGGCGAGTCCGAAGGTGTGGAAATTTCTTTCATCTGCTTTTCTGGAAAAGTGCCATTCTCCACTTCTCCGTCTTCTCCAATTCTCCATCTTCTGCAACTTTAAGCTTACATTCTTTTTTTTTTCTTTTTCTTTTTCTTCTCTCACTCGTCAAAGCCAATGTGAAAATGGCCGTTTAGCCACTTCAAAGCTCGAGGCGCCATGAGGCGAAAATCACACCGCCAGGGCATTAGCCTATTCAGGTTGCTTGAGGCTCCTCGGTACGGGTCCTTATCGTACTGCACACAAGACGGAGCCCGCCATCAGTGGCCCCTCGGTATCTCCGCATTGGGAGGCGGAATGGATTTGAAAATTTGGCACACCGTAATGGACACTCATGTCTCTGCACTACGCAAATCTCGCTGGATTTGGACTTGGGGAAGACCGACTTTGAACGTGGCCCGGATATGGACCTGCATACAGGTACCGTTTTCATGTGGCTGCGAAAAGAGCCACTCCCCGATCCCTGGGCTTGACAATGGGCAAGAACAACGCTTGTACGGGGCAGCGGAGCACCCACCCCGGCGTGGGGAAAAAAGGTCTCAAACAATTTTCTTTTTTTCTTTTATGGAAAGTTGTGCTTTTTCATTGAGCATGGCTCAAAGTGTCACAATGCCGTTCAACGTGGAGGAGGGCTGACTCTGATGGGGAGCGTCACGTGCGGGACCTCATTGCTTTTTTAAATGAACGACGTAATTGGTGTTAATAAAACCGAGGGCTGTTAATCGTGCTAATCGGGGCAATTCCGAGGGTGGGGCTGACCCTCGAAATGTGAGGGCCCGCGCCTCCGATGGCGGGTCCGGAGGCGACGGTCGGACTTCGCCAGGGCGCGAGGGGTTTTGACTCAATACCGAGGCGCGAAGAAATCATTGAGTCAGCGTCCTGCAGATGTCGACGTTCAGCACTGCACACAGTGAGACGGCGGGCTGTTCGCTCGGATCAATGGAGGCCTGCAGCTAGCCGTCCTCACACAAAGAACGTTTTCCCACCCCGAGCCCGCCTTGGTCCCGCCCCTTACACGAAGAAGTGGGCTACGCGGGGTCCTCCAAACCCATAGCTTAGAAGGAACTTTTGCAAAACTTTGGCGTTCCGTAGGACGACCGGAGAAACCGGACGCTGGGCCTACATATAGCACGGAAGAGAGGCTTCCAGAGCATATGCCCTCGACGGGCGGCGTGGGTCCATGGCGGGCATCGGACATTTTTTCTCACCCGGTTTTTTCCATGTCGCGTGCCGGCAGCCTCCCCGGATCTCAACGATAGTGACGGCTTGTGTGCAGTTGGCGGGGTCGGCGAAGCACTCAAGTCCGAGGTAATCATGTCTGCCTCACTTCCGGCCTCGACTTCCGGGGGTTATCCATTTGGCACATGTAAATCGGACTTTCGGTGATGCCTGCCGTATATATACCCATCCTCCCCCATTCTATCGAATTTTTCCTAAATCACTTCACTCGGCCGGACCCAAGTCAAGTTAACCTATCTTTGAAAAAAACCACTAGGATCAATCCGGAACCTTAATTTATCCGGGCCTTTCCTTTGCATATCACCACGTCTAAGACTCACCCAGCATCTCGTCAGAGCCAGTCACACATTTAGAGTCATCACAAAGTTCATCAACCTTTTGAACTAGAAACGTTTTAATACTACAAGCTACTTCCCGCCGCCTTCCCCCACACAGTCATGTTGTCCAACGACCTTCTTTCCTACTCCATCATGAGAAATGGTGACCGGGCAGTCACTCATCTGTGTTCCCACTACGCCCCTGCAGTTCAATACCACGATGCTGCCAGAGTGGCTCTTCCGCCCATTGCATCTGTCAACGGCCTTACTGAAGACAATCTTGTTTCTCACAATAACTTCACCACACACCGCAGCCTTCTGGGTCTCCAGAGCTACCAGTACTCTCAGAATGTCGCCACTTACCGTTCTGCGCTGGAACTGTCCCAGGGCGGTTCTCCCAGACTCGAGTCCTCGTCTCCGGTTTCTGGATCTTCTTCTCCACAGCTTGCCAGTTCTGATTTGAGCGAAAAGAAGAGAAGACAGAGACTCGGGCCTAGTTGCGACTCGTGCAGAGCTCGTAAGGTCAAGTGCAACGCTGAGGTTGTGCTTCTCAGCAGAAACGTTGACGAAGAAGAAGCCGAGGAAATGGCGGGTCTTGACGAGACGTCCAGATCCAAGCTTCTCAGCGGTGACGCTATCCCACATGGCGAGAGCTTCTCGTTGGTTGTTTCCAACGGCAAACTCGTCAAATTCAGACCTTGTTCCTCGTGTGCCACCAGAGAGCTCGAATGCTGCTTCTCCAAGGGTTTCACCAAAGAGGACATTGTGCACAGCAAAAGAAGCAGCCTGCTCAGCGCCGTGGGCTCCGTTTCGGTGCTTTCTTCGCCCAAGGCTCCTTCCAAAATCAAGAAGCGCCTGGAGGTGGCTGCTTCTGCCAGAAAAAGCTCGTGTGCTGCTTGTCGTAAGAGAAAAGTGAAGTGTGTGATGAACGTGAAGTTGAACAAGTGTGTGGGATGCGTGAAGAAGGACTCCGAATGTTCTTTTGCTTAATAGTGGCTGGCTGAGGCCCCACAGAACAGTCTTTTCCATGCTCCCGCTTCTCACATTCACCCCAGACATTAATCTCTGTATTATAGCCGCCTGGTTGCATTTCACCCTCGGCAACAGCCCCACATTCATTTCACGAACCCAGTGTTCTAAAAGTTTACATAGTATTGGTACGGGTACTAATAGATTTTGGTTTAAGAAGCGTGTAGCCACCGTTGATAATTGAAGGTGATAATCGGACTTTCGGAGATGTGGAGTAGACCGAGGGTCTAATGCCGAGGCGCCGATAAGACCCCACTTGGGGTAATTCCGTCTATGTGGAATGTATTTTCAAAATGCAGATAACCTTTATTATTGAAATTGTTTATATATTTTAATTTGCTAGTTTTGTGGCCTCCCGATTCGACGGGTTTGTGTGGTCCGGTGTGCCTATGGATTAGGAAAGTGTGTGAAAATTAGCCGAAGAATTAAGCTTAGCAGGTAAATTTGACACTTTCCTAAAACCTTAAATAATATTCTTAGACGGGGCTTGTTTTGAGGAGAAACGTTGAATTTCTGTAACTCCGTGTCTCTATTAGGTTCATTGGCGTTTGGATAGAATTGAGATTGATTGACCAATATTTGACAAAACATGATTCAGCAGATTTTAAATATGCCTTAAAATGACAGTCAACTTGATTTTGATTGCTTTAAATAAAGCGACTCTGAATCGTGGTATGTGGCTTGGCTTCGACTCTGATAATCGATGAATCCAGCGAGTTAAATTAGGTTTTCGGTTGGACGCTTCACTTTATTTTAGTATGATTGCAACGGTCTGACAAAGAAACATTGAATATTTGTCAAGGCAATGAATATTTGGACTGGCTATTTGGAAGAGGTTGCATGTATGATGGGATTCATGACCCTCTAAAGTTCACATAATAACATCTTCAGCCAAGCAGATACGATTGTTTCAATGATTCATTGGGACGACTGGCTCAAGAAAAACGGCCGTAAATAAATCCTCCGTTTGAGGAGACAATGCCTTGTTCATTCGTAAACTCAGCATGCATCCGATCCAGTAGAAAGGTAGACCGAAAAGCGATAATCTCGACCGGAAACCCGATCAATTGACTAATTGTCTATGATAAGTCTCCTATTCTATCTAAAAAATGGCAACTTTACCGGGCTGTGGTGGCCATATTCCCGTTGGGACTGTGAAAAACCCATATCCAGAAACAAAAATCGAGATTCTGAGCCCAATTTTGCAGCTAGAGATCTCAAAATCTGTAGGAAGTTTAATTGAAACCCAAATAACATTTAAAACAAGCCAAATATGCCGTTTCGAATATCCCTTTATTTTGCACAATATATACCATTCACAGACCCATTTCCTTACATTGGTTACAGTGGCCGAGTGGTTAAGGCGACACCCTGCTACCCTGCAGCTTAGGTGTTGGGCATTGCCTGCGCAGGTTCGAATCCTGTCTGTAACGAAATTTTTTTTGTGTTCTTATCGCCTTGACCGCTCACGTGACTAATTGTGTTCTACATCCGAGTTTTTTCTACATGCTCCACCACAATTTCTGACGTCTTTTGCCCTAGCCCCAGGGCCTTTTATTTGTATACTACAAGACTAACAAGATGGACCCAACTAACGACCCCAATTTCACGCCTCCATCGCTTAATCGGAACATTGAGCCCCCTGCTCATTCTGACAAAATCCCACAAAACATGCCCATCCAACCTTTGGTTTTGGCTGATTTGGGTGGAGACGTCGATGCACCCACTCCTCACCCCTCGGTGGCTGCTAGCGGGAAGCCTGAAAAGGAACCCCTGCTGCACATTCATTCAAAGATTCCCAGGAAGCACACGGACTTGATGAATTCCCTGAGTGACGAGGAAGTGCCTTTGAAGCAACGGCAATATAGCGAGGAGAGAATTCTTCCTCCTACCATCAAGGTGAGACTGCTGCAGATTGCCGATCTTGAGGAGGTGCCCCATGGCGTTCAAAGACAGGCTAAATCGCTCGACAAGTACGAGTTCCCCAGCCACAGATTGGCAACTACTCTCTCGGACGACTCCAAGTACCCATTAGTCATTGTGGCGTGCGGCTCCTTCTCACCCATCACGTATTTGCACTTGCGGATGTTCGAAATGGCCCTTGATGCTATCACCGAGCAGACCCGTTTCGAAGTGGTGGGAGGTTACTACTCTCCTGTTTCCGACAATTACAAGAAACAGGGTCTAGCACCGCTGCACCACCGTGTGCGTATGTGCGAGTTGGCCTGTGAAAGAACGTCCTCCTGGCTTATGGTGGATGCTTGGGAATCTTTGCAGCCAAAGTACACCCGCACGGCACTTGTGTTGGACCACTTTAACGAGGAAATCAACGTCAAAAGAGGCGGCATTCGCACGCAGCTGGGAGAGACCCGTGGTGTGAAGATCATGCTTTTGGCTGGTGGAGACCTTATTGAGTCTATGGGCGAGCCCGACGTTTGGGCTGACCAGGATTTGCACCACATTTTGGGCAAGTACGGCTGTCTCATTGTCGAGCGTACTGGTTCCGATGTCAGAAGTTTCTTGTTGAGTCACGATATCATGTATGAGCACCGGCGCAACGTCCTTGTGATCAAACAGCTTATTTACAACGACATTCTGTCCACCAAGATCCGTTTGTTCGTGCGTCGTGGTATGCTGGTTCAGTACCTCTTACCAAACTCTGTGATTCGATACATCCAGGAGCACAAGCTCTACATTAACGATACGGAACCAGTGAAGCAGGTCATGAGCGATAAGGCTGATTAGACTCAACCAAATTAATAGACATCCTGAGTTAGGTTGGCCGGCGAGTCTGCCAGAGATCCCGCAACATTTCATACCGCGCTGGAAGCCTAAGGTAATGAAACTTCATAGAGATTGTGTTCCTCATACGCATGGGACAGCCCTGAGCGAAGTTTAGAAATATACGTTCGACCTTGCCCTCATTCCGGAGAACGTGCCAGAAGTTGACGAATATTTCGTCTCGCGTGAGCGCCTTGTTACTCATGAGGAGCCAATTGGTGGATTTGGAACCTCCTAGAGACTCAAAAACAATTCCACCTTGTAAACGACGTGAATTCTTAAGCTTGAGGAGAAGCACAAATAATGGATACATGTTTAACACCACAAGAAGCTTGGCACACCACTTTGCAACCGTGAAGATGATGGCTTTAGCTGCGTAGAATAGCAAATAGAAGGCAAACGTCGTTGGGAGCAAATAGACCAAGATGGTGAAGAGAAGTGTCCCCAAAAGCAAACGATCCACACGAAACTGCTCTTCATCGAGATTGTCAATACGATGACGCAAGACATTGTACTTCTTTCCCCGGAATAACTGCCAAAGGGACTTGAGCGCCTCAGTTTGGCGATGGTACACTTTGGTGGTCACAATTGTGAAGAAGTGGATATGAAGGGTCACCACAGCAATGTAGTCGGTGAAAGCGGCTATCAGAAACAGCACACCCATGTAGCAGATGCATTTTATAAGACCCGCAAGGACAATCGAGTATGGCTTTTTCAGGGCGATTTCTAGCACCAGATCAAACACCAGGGTCCAGACATCTAACGTCCAAATGAACATCAGCCCCATAAACTTGCCGAGCTCGTCATTGAGCTTAAATCCGTAGGGGTGTTCAGAAGCGACCCATAAGACCAACAGACGAAGGTATTTCAAGGCCATCTCGCTGAGTATATTAATGTTGAGGAAGTTCACCAAGTAAGCTCGTTGGGATGCAAGTCTGTAGACGGTGATGCCAATGAGAATATCGTTGACAATGAGCCAGATGGAATTGTAAAGGTTGATATAGTTGGAGTTGTTGATATTGTACTTCTCGTTATACAGCGGAAGCTGCAACAAGTGAGGCCAGTCCGAACTGGGATCCGTGAGAATTGCAGAGTTTCTGTAGAAGAGAAACTGAGCTGGGAAGTATGCAACCTGGCGAAGGCGGAGGTCAAGTTGTCTAAAGAAAGCAGATACCTCAACCAATGAAGTGCCCATAATGGGGTAATTAAGCCCGTCTAGAAGACACACTAGAATGCTGATAATGCAAGAAACGAGGAAATGGAGGCCCTGGAGGATCTGACTCGGTAGCCATTTGGCAGGTTTTGCAGGTAGTCTCCATGAGCGTTTGTTGAGTCTGTTTAGAGTAGCCCTATCGCTTTGGCAGCAATTGATTTTCTCTAGCACCTCGTCGTCAAACGCGTCCGACGGCGTGGTCTTGCCAAACTCAGCAAAGTCTCTGGGGCTCTTTTCGGAGCCTGTGCTTTGAAGCAAGATGGCATCCACAGTGAAATACTCCAAGTTTCGGAGATTGGGCGGCAGAAACAGCACCAGCGTATACGTGTTTCCGTCCTCGGGCCCACCAAGCGGCCACCCTCGTGTTTCAAGCTTATGACGCCGTCCAAACCTTCTGTAGAACGGTCAATGACAGCCACCACAGACAAATCGCCCAATTGAGGCGGAATTTCCCGGAAAAACTGCACCACCACCACCGCCAGCGCCAGCCTGTGCCCCACCAAGTACCCCTGTCGCCTTTTGGCCACGTCTAGAGGCAAGTACACGTGGATATGCATCACAACTCAGCACCAAAGCTATCTCTGCGTAGGTACCTGCTGCTGTTGTTAGGCTGCTGATAGAAGCCGTTTTTGCGTTTCTGGGGCAGCGATTCCGGGCTATTTGAAGCGGAAAGTGCCTGGAAGCTTCCTCTTGATAAGAAGCTGGGTCGTGGCAGTAAAGGTGGTCTCTTGTTTTCGGGCACTTTGTACCTGGGCAAGACGGAAAATGTGAAAAAACCGATGATCAGGAGGTAAAGGAAGGAGACAGCGAAAAATACACCCACGGTTCGCCACAATACGAGTTTCTGGAGCTCCAAAGGCACCGAGTCCATGTAGTTGATTTCGCGTTACATGAGTGTGTAGGTGGGTGAGATGGCAGATAATGGGGTGGTAGAGGTTTAGGTTTTGGGGATTTGGGGATTTGTAATGTAATAAATGGAAGTTGAATAGGGGCTTTGGATTTCGGGATTTGGTTTCGTTGATTGGTGAATTGGCTGTTTGGGGTTTGGAGAAGTGGTGTGGTATTGAGAATCAGGTGGATTTTGCAACCATTCTAGTGGGGGTGATGAAGAGTATTGAGGTTGTGAAGAAGGGGCTTTTTGATAGAGGAAGGGTGATTATCCAAAAGAAGGAGTTTCTTAAATTAGATGCTTTTCTTGGATAGAGGTTCTGGTGAGTCCAGATCACTGTCACTACTTAGTGGCCGTGGGATTAGATATACTTAAGAGTGGCTTCATCTCCTTGGAAAGGCTGGAATTGACAAATTTTTAGAAAGATCTACATCTAGGTGTGAACTTTTGATGCCCAGTTCCATTGTTACAAGTGGCTTTCATTTCAGATGGTAGGCTAGACTTCATATCTAAACCCTTATCAAATTGCCCCCTGAAGGTCACGTCAAATGTACAAATCTGATTGGTTTTAGATACAGGGGTTATATAGAGTGCAAAAGTGTCCCAGAAACTAAGAACAATGTCCAAATATACCGCCTTTGCCATTGAATCATTGAGTCCTCTGGGTACACTTGTACTACAAGGGCAACATACACCAACATCTTCAAGAGGAGCCTTGGGAGAAAGCATCTTTTCATTCTTAATACCAGAAGAAGGCACTTGATTGACCTTTATGACACAAACGTCCACCCCAATGGATAATCACAGACTTGACCTTCCTTCTGACCCAGCTTGAACATCAATTAACCATACGTCAGATGCACAATTCTTTCTTGATCTAGGATATCGACCACATAGAGAAGTAAGAGGAGTTTAAGAATCGTAGAACAACGGCCAGAAAAACGGCTTATTGCGTTTGAATCATTGGGTTCTCGTGGTACCCAATGTTCTACAAGGGCACCATTAACAGCCATCTGCAACAGAAGCCTTGGGAGACAAGCCCGAGCCTTTGAAGACAAACATTCTTACATTAAAGACATAAAAAAAAAAGCTATACACTCGAATTTCTCAAACCCTAAATTGACCATAGTAACTTTGCTTCTGACCTGATCAAGTTCGAACATCTCAACTGACCACCGCAACAAACCAACCAATACACTTCATTTACTAGGCGGCAGCTTTTATGAATAATGCTACATTGCTAGAACTTGTCAATTCCATATATTTCATAACCCTCCCCTACTACTTCACCCCTCCAACCCCCACTATAAAAGCCTGCGAATGGCTGCAAAAACACACCCAACTTCAACTACTTCTTCTTCATGCCTCGCCACATAAAATCACCCTCCAAAGTCTGCTACACCTCCCTCTTCATCCAAACTCCTTACAAGGGCATCCAGCCTATCAGTGTCAAGAAACACCCCGAGTTACGCCAGGTTCTTCATGATTCTCTTCAACCCGCAAAGAAGAATCAGAACATGAGCGAAGCAGAGGCCATACTTGAGTGCCTCGTGACGACCGCCCACAATAGGATGGCTAAAGGGGACCTGGAAGAAGAGGCTCTTCTGTACGTCAGGGGAATGCTTGTGCTTTTGGACGACCCCGACCTTCCTTACTATCGTACAGCGGCAAGAGTGTTGAAGTCTATCCCGCCAGATATAAAGGAACACCTCATAAAGAGGGTACTCGACAAGCCATGAAGCTACGTAATGCATGTATACTGGTAATTGGAGTTGTAAGAGTCAATTAAGCTATGCGGCAGTGTAGCAGGACCAGGTCCTAGTGTCTGATCAGTTCCTCTCCTCGTATGTACACATTTAAACGGAGAAACTGGCGTTGCGGGAATGGTTGGGCGACAGCGACCTTCTGGGCGTGCTGTCTGGTTTTGGCGTGTTTGGAGCACTTGGCGTCTCTGAATCTGAACCCTCGTTGAGTGCTGAAAGAGACGACGAGGATGACGATGGAGTAAGCGAGCTTCCCAGCAAGGCCAAGTATTGGTGCTCCTTGTAAAGCACCCATTTGACGTAGGAAACCGCAAGAAGGAAAACGAAGAAGCAGGCGGCCATGAACAAGAACACCACCTGTGGGAACAGCCAGCTCTTCAAGGCAAATTTGTAAAGCGCCAACATCGAAAGAGGGACCACAATTCCCAACGTGTTTTTGATAAGCGCCATGGCGCCAAAAACCTCTCCAATTCGCAGCTCAGGGTAGAATTTGACAATGGCAGAATTGAGAGCTGGACCAGCCAAAGTGCCAAAGGAGGTGAAGATCAAGCAGATCAAGAAAATGCCGCCCGAGCCGGCCATCGAAAGCAACGCCATGCCGATTATCTCTATGGCAAACGCCAGCGCGATCATGCCAAAGTCCACATCATCGAGGTATTTATGGTGAACCTTGAGTTTGAGAAGCCCTTCAAAGAACTTGTGGTGGATGATTGGCGAAAGCACGATAAGCATGAATGCTCTCGAGGAACTGGAAACGGCAAGAAGGTGGCCAATGTCGGTGGCGCCCCATTTGAATCTCCAGATACCGTAGAGAATGAAAATCTCACCAAGAGGAATGACGAGCGAAACCATGATACACTCAGTGAAGAAAAGCACCACCACGGCCGTTCTGTAGGCACGAATAGAGCGGTGTCTAGAAGCTGGCACAGAGTCCTTGGGGTAGAAGATGAGTCTGACAGGACGCAAGAAGTTGAGCTGTCTAAGCAAAATCGAGCCTTTGGCGGTGATCAGGCTTTCCTGAGGAATCAGGGCAATCAGCAGTGAGCGAGAGAGCGATCTAGACTTCTGGCGGGCCTTTTCTGAACGAGATTCTGGCAAGACAAAGGCCAAAAGCACCATCAAGGTAGCATAAAGGCACAATTCAAACTTCAATGGGAGGAACTCGCCTGGAGTGATGGTGTTAGCGGCTTCCTTGGAATCAGCGCCTCCCGTGCCCCACCTCAACAAGGCGTTACCGATAAGCGGCCCAATAGAGAAACCAAGAAAAAGCGCCGCCATGTTGATACCCAAAAAGTACGTTCTCTGGTGGGTTTCGGCAATATCAGAAACGTAGCACGATGCCAACGTCACGTAACACACTATACCACCGCCAATGTTCTGCAACACCTCCGTGAGCACCATAAGCGTGAACTGCAACTCATTGAAGCTCAGCATCACTATAAGTTTCAGCAACTTACCCAAGAACAAGCCAATCACCACAGCCAACATAAACGCCTTACGGCCGTACTGGTCCGAAAGCGGGCCGACTTTTCCTGAAGCAAACATCGTGATAACTCCCAGACAGACAGCATAGTACTGCTGGAGCTTCGATACAAGCAACTGAGTCTCTGTGGAATCACAAGTGCCTGAACCTTCTGAAATCGTGTTACACGCCAACTTGAAAGTCAACGCCTGACGCGTACCTTCACCGCTTGTGTGAGAAGCTGAAGCCATCCAGATACAAATACCCAACATAATCACCGAAGGCCTCTTGAGCCAGTGCAAGTTCTTATTGGAATCTCTCTGTTCCCGAAGCCAGGCTGCATCTTCATCCATGTGTTCGGCATCGTTGTCAAGTGCAGTATAGGTGTCATCAGCGGCGTGCTCCAACACGGTGGAGTTGTCGGGCCTTGGAATCGAGCCATAAAGAGGAGTGGTATGGGGTGGAAAGTCGATGAAATAGATAAGTGGAAGCTGCTACTGTGGGCTCGGGTCTATATGCAGGACCAAAGTATTTTTGCAGGAGAAAGTGCAACAGCCTTTCTGGCGCGAGGGTTTGCTGGGTCGGGAAAGTCGAATAAGCGAGGGGTTTCAATGGCACTTTCCTAATTGGGCCAAGCGGCGTGCTCAACGGAGAATCGGAGCGACATCGGAACAGGCTCGGAACAGAGCAGGGTGTGCACACAAGCGCCCCAGCCAAGAAACGGCGCTGCCAAAGTGCTGTGCAATTTCGTGGGGGTCCCTCAAAAAATCATGATTTCATAATTCAAGAAAAGGCGAAAGTCATGAAGTCATCGATTTTTTTATGGAATTTGAAATGCTTCAACTTTCGCCATCCAATGGCCGAGATTGCAGTTTCTGGGGTCGATGGGGCTGCAGCCGCACAGGTGAGGCTGAATACATGGGGCTCATTGGGTAAATCGAGGCCGAAGCGGACCCAGGGTTTTTTCATGTGGAGGACCAGAAAAGGAAAAACGGATCCAATGAAAAATGACATATTTTTAAGAAAATCTCATGTGACGAAAAAGGCAGAATGGGTGTGGTGCAGATGGCTGCAGCAGGTGGGTTAAGAGAAGGTAAAGAGAGGGTCTTATGGAGCATGACTTTGGAGATTCGTCCCCGGTGGAGTGGAGTGAAGATTTGATTGTGTAAGCCATTTTTTTGATTGGTTTAATAAAAAGGGAAAAAAAAAAAAAAAAAAAAAAAAAAAAAAAAAAAGATTATAGAACGAATTCGGTTGGGCACTGGGACTATTGGCGGACCATTGTTGGTGATCGCAGTACAATGAAAAATGTAAACGGCACCTGACAGCAATTGTCGGGAATGTAGTCTAGAATCCTGTTGGTAATTTTCGGTTAATTGTGGAGATGGGGCAAATCAGGAGTAAACGGGTAAATCGGAGAATTGAATGTAGATTCGATGATAGGAAGATGTAGTATGAGGCCAGAGGGAATTGGTGAAAATTAAGTGTTATCTCCAAAAAGATCACTGTTTTACGAACAGACAAAGAAACCCTAGAAGGAAGAGGTTTGGGATTCCGAAAGATTTAAGGAAATTCGATAGTATCAGGTATGATCTCTGAATAGTATCTGTCTCACAGTGGTAGGTAACTCTATCCATAGCAAAGGGTCCTCAAGAATGAAATTGACAACTGGTTTGAAGCAAAAACCCATTTTCCTCTTCAGTAGGGCTTTTGACATAAAATTCGTCTCTAAAAAGATGTAGAGAAAGTGACCATGATACTTGATGGTGATTATACGATGTGATAAAAAGACAGACTTCAAGACATAACTTCAGAATACTATGACGAAATAGACCACCGCAAACTTAATCGCTCTACGCATCCACACTCTATAATATCTAATTCTACCAGAGAACGATCGTGGGACCACGAATAAATAGTGCCCGCCGAGGGCAATAGTCTATACTGAAGGCGAAACAGAGCGTTTTCCCCTCACAGCCATTCTGGCCGTCACAACACAGGCACAGCATGTCATTAAGATCGACGCAGTGTAAATGTAAGACAATCCTGGGAAGCCGTGCTTGACACCGTGGGTATACAAACTTGTCACCACCATGGGAGCAACAAGGCTGATGATCCCTTGAGCGAGTGCAAGAGCACCGTAGAACTCACCAACTTTGGAGGATGGGAAAAATTTCACTGGAGCCGCTGCTGCCACAGGACCCACTACAGTAGCCAAAGAGCCAGCTAAGGCAAGTCCGACGAAGACGGTTCCTGTAGGTGCAAACGCTTTGCCTAGATGGTCTAAAGCGTATAAAAACATTCCGCTTCCCATGACCCAGGAATCAGCAGCATCAAAGGTGTTTGCAACGGGACGAAGATGCTTGAATCTGGGGAAAATGTGCTTGTACACTAGGGGCAAAAACACCGCCAACCCGAAGATCTGGGCCACCGACCGGCCCATCAGGAAATTCAGGATCGTCACCGAATCCCACTCGTACTTGTAGATGGTGTACTGCGGCTCCACAATCATGGTCAGCAAGATGGTGACGCCGAAAAAGAGCTCGGCTATGGAAAGAAGAAAAACACACAAGCGGATTTTCTTGAAGTTGTGGGCGTTTTCCTCAGTGCGTAGTTTGGTGGGGAACGTAAGAAGCTGAAGAGGCTCAATGAAGCTGGTGAAGCCGTGCCAGATTCTGGACGACAATGTGGGGAGATGGGGCCTTGGAGCCTGAAGCAGGATGACAGAGGCCGATCTGGACTTCATTCTGGACTTCTCAGAGCGCAGCTCGAGAAGAAGAACAAAACAGAAGATCGCCGCCAAGGTAAATATGAATAGGCTTGCTTTGAGCGGCACGAGCTCCGAACGGGGCACCAAATTAGCGGGATCCACTGCAAAAGACGACGCAATAGAGGGATCAGAAACACGAGGAATCTTGGGAATCTTCTCGTTCCTTCTAGCGTGGGAAAGCAAGACTGACGACAAAAGCGGCCCCACAAGCTGGCCTGCAGTGAAGGAAACAAGACAGAAACTGATGCCACTGACACGCTCCAGCGCCACGGTGATATCGGTAATGTACGCCTTAAAAAGCGCCATGAAGGCAGCCAGGCCTCCAGTGCATGAACCTAACGCCGTAGCAGCCCACAAACCCCACATGGGGAAGCCCAGCGACGTCAGCATGAGGAAATAATAGATATAGTATGTCACGCAAAAGCACAGAATAAAAGCGGTGAGGAACGGCTTTCGACCGTAGATATCCGAAAGAGCACTCACCTTGGTGCATGTGGCCAACGAAACCGCCAGTTGCACGATATTGTCCCACATGAGGTACGTGGACACGATCTGCTGCGATTGGACAGGGTCACAGCGGAACTCGGCAGGTGGAGCAAGACTATTCTTCATGAGACTCTGGCACGCCAATTTATAGTAGATAACGTCCATGGAAGGTTGCGATACGGTGATTCCCACACCGGCAAGAAACAAAAGAATACACAACCGGATGAGCGGCAGTGCCCACAACAGCAACGAGCTCACATGGCTGAGCCAGTCCTTGTCTGAATGGTTGGAGTTGATGGAGGCAACCTCAGCAACCTCTTCGACGGCGGAGTTTTTCGGGTTTGGATCGGAACTTTCCGGATGTTCCACAGCAGGGTTCAACACGCGTGTCTCCGTGAGCGCCGGAGCCGTTGAAATAAGCGGAGAGACCTCCGTGGCGGTTCTGTTCCGGCCTCCTTGGTGGCCATCTTGATCAGGCTGCAACCCAGAGACGTGCTTGTGTGCACTCCCTGCTTCCTCAGTAGCCATAATCTCAAATCTTATCTAGTGCGAAGGCGTCCCTATATATACTTTTGGTGCCGTTCGTGCCGCACCCCTGTCAGTTGCTACAGGACCCCTAGGGTACCCAAAAGTAAAGATAAGTTAAAGAAGGAGAAAAAATCTGAAACGACTGGATTGGAGATTTGGATTGTTTTTTGGAATTTCTGGTGGGGTTGCCGTTTTGGGAAACCGGTGGCGGATTTTGTTGATACCGGTTGCGACAGGATCAGGAGAAGGAGAGGATCCTGTAGGGTGCTTAGATTTTGAAATGTAGCCATAAAAGCGATTCACAAGTAGTTTCTTAAAAAGTGGATAGGAAAAGTTATCCGTTTAGACTCGCATAAGCGAGCTTCAGCCACACTCTTTGGATACACATTGTTCGATGGCGATTTGTGGAAATGTCAGTATATGGGATTTTGTGGTTTTCGTTGGTGCTCTGGGGTTGCCCTTGTTGCAGCTGATTTGAGCGTTTGCCGTTTTGGCGGTTTACCCAAACACCGCAGTTGCTAGTGGGATCATATGTGGAGGGATACAAAGGGGTTTTGTGGAATATCTAGCTGGTAATCTGGGATGGCCTTGGTTTCGTTTGTGGAGGTGTCTTCGGATAAGTGGGAAGTTAGAGATTGGTAGTGTAATGAAGCAGTTGGGAGAATAGATGGTACTTCTCTTATCTGGACTTGACTTGGAACAAGCCTTAGGGATTTAAGGTAGATGCTCTTTTGTAACTGGACCAACAAGCATGAAACTTGGAGTTTGGATCCAACGAGAGCTAGTGGAGCTTTGCCGCAGATCATGATTGCAATTGACTAGGCCACATTCTTTGAAGTGCGACGAAGTATATTTAGGGACGTGGCTGTTGAAAAGGAAAAAAGAAAAAGCTTTAAAGAACGGTGGAATAAACGCTTAGGGAAAGTTATGTTGCCATTGATAACGTACCAATTGGACCTTCTCTGGATTAGATTGATACAACTACAAAAACAGCCTGAAAGGACCCTACGCCAAATATTCTCTATTTTAATGTTTTGAAGATTTTTGCTGGTAAAATGCAAGGCGAAAAGTCTATTGGTACCATCATTTAACCAACCGTGGCTGCAACCTCAAGCCACACTTCTTCGAATGCCAAAGAAACCTTGAAGACTAATTTTAAAGTACCTTTAGTATCTCACACGTCGATACTCTCCTTCTTTAAATGTCTCATTCTTTCAATGTCCATAGTATACCATTGATACAACTCTGCTGTACCACCAAGTTACAAGTCTAGCATATTCACCAAATACTCACTAACTAGCCTCACGAAGCACTGATGAGAGTAAGGTGCCACTTTTCAGAGTAGATTACCTAAGAAGCTCATAGTATTCCACTACTAATGTACTCCATAAGTGTCTTCGATTTCGAATACTACAGTCCCTCTTGACAGGCTACACTAGTACACTTATCACTCCTTTAGAGAGCAATCCGTCTATCATGGCTCTAACTATCGTAAATCCATATATATTCTTCTCTGCCTCTCTCGTGCCTCCCCCAGCTGCAAATTGTTCCGAATCTATGTAGTTCATTTCCTTCTCTATGGTGAGACTGCTCACTGAAGGGCACCACAAAATCAAGACCCAAATAGCCTGGCATCGACTGGGGATTATTTCATTGAATCAATCCCACCAAAAAATCGCTTCAAATAACCAATCAACATCATGGGCCGTTCAATCGACTTTTGATAGCCCCCACCACATCCAGGGCTCGAGCCCTAAACACAGGCGGAGACTCCACCATAGAAGTCTCACGTGACCATGGGAACCATCTATATCCTGCACATAGCCACATATCTCACTACCAGCGACACCCGTCAGCGTTAAAAGCGAGACAGATAAATCGACCGCTGCGAAACCCGTGCACCACCCATACTCTGAGCAGGTGCCCCATGCACACTGCGAGAAATTTTCATACCAATTTTTTCCACCTCTTTTAAAAAAAAAGATTCCTTCATCCATACTCCACAAACGGTACCGGTATCATGTCTTTGCCTGAATCTTTTAACTTGACCGCTGAGGACGCCAAGTTGTTGTTGGCTGCCAACGTGCACTTGGGCTCCAAGAACGTCCAGGTATGTAATTGAGAAGCTAAAGCGGAGGGTCCTTGAGATCCAGCATCCAGGCGATGTTCAGAGAAATAATGATGTTTTTGAGGAGCTTTTCGAGCTTTTCGAACTTTGAGCCATCCATATTGTCCAGGTCGTCAGACTGCAAACCTTCATTGAACTGCCCTCCCCATCACTTTCCATCCAAATACTAACCATCAGGTCCACAACAAGCCATACGTTTACAAGACCAGACCCGACGGTGTCAACGTGATCGACATCTCCAAGACCTGGGAGAAGATCGTGTTGGCTGCCAGAATCATTGCTGCCATTCCTAACGCCTCCGACGTTGTTGTGTGCTCCTCTAGAACTTTCGGTCAGAGAGCCGTGTTGAAGTTCGCTGCCCACACCGGCGCCACCCCTATTGCTGGCAGATTCACCCCAGGTAACTTCACCAACTACATCACCCGTTCTTTCAAGGAGCCAAGATTGGTGATTGTCACTGACCCAAGAACCGATGCCCAGGCCATCAAGGAGTCTTCCTACGTGAACATCCCCGTCATTGCCTTGTCCGACGTGGACTCTCCTTCCGAGTACGTCGACGTGGCCATCCCATGTAACAACAAGGGTAAGCACTCGATCGGTTTGATCTGGTGGTTGATTGCCAGAGAAGTCTTGAGATTGAGAGGCATCATCCCAGACAGACAGCAGGAGTGGTCCGTCATGCCTGACTTGTACTTCTACAGAGACCCTGAGGAGATTGAGCAGAACGCTGCCGAGGAGGCTCGTGCTGCTGCTGCTCCAGAGGAGACCGAGGAAGCTCCACAGGAGCCTGAGACCGAGTGGAACGCCGAGACCAACGTCGAGGACTGGGCCGACTCTGGTGTCACTGCTGCCGGTGAGGAGGCTGCTGCTTCGCAGTGGTAAGTGTAAATTTACAATAAATTTAATGGAAGAGCATGCCGTAGTGGGGCTGTTCGGTGAAGCGCTAGTTAGTAACCGATGCAATACATATCACACTGTCTGGGAAGCTGTAGCGATTATTATTATATCTGATGAGAGTGGTCTTGTCTTTTGTTGTTGTATTTATAGAAAGATGTTCTGGGTTGGTGGATATGGTCGACAGTCAGTAGGGCAACGAAATTGCAATGTCGAGCTACAAGACTCCTTCTCCTTAAAAGTCAAAAATAGAACGGTTGGCATCTAATAGACCCTCTCTTCGTAGATTCAAAAATCGATCACTTGTAAGCAACTTCTGCCTCTACAATAATCTGAAATGGCTGCAATGACTTTAAATGGTATCAAAAGCTCTTAGAAATGGACTCTAGCATTTGCTTACTTTCAACCTGGGGGAGTGAATTGACTTCACCAATCTGGTCTCTTCATTTACTATAATTCGGGACATACGAAGTCGAAGTTGAGAATAGCTTTGAACTGGACAATTCGACTGAGATCTATAGATTGAACTACTGCAGTGGAGATTGTATCTCATGAATTCACAGTCAGTATGTTTTTCAGTAAGCCTAATAGTCAGCGTTAATAGCTTCCAGCATCAATAAGCCATTATTGAGAGGCAAAGTACCAATGCAATTCATTTTATCTTGGGATCTCATTGAGAGACTGTTGACCATTCTAGAGCAGGGTCACCAACGGAGCTGTCTATCATCTTAGGAGCACTTGTTTGGGGAGAACTTTTCAACAATTTCATAAAATGCCCTTTTCAAAAACTTATTTGTCATGCCATTATCGCCCACAGTACCATGTCTCATGTCTCTATCACACCACCAGCCTACCACTCGTAAGCACAAGCCTTAACCAAACTACAAAAAAAAAAAAAAAAAAAAAAAAAGAAAAAAACAAATCCATTCAATTACTTATAAATACATCATTCATTCATCTCCATAACTCCACCCTGCTTTTCCTCAATTCTCCACCCTCCACATCACCGCCTAATACATAGTGGCTGCGAAACCACGAGGTCTCATATACCTACATCTCCAAAGCCCAAAATCACCAAAATCCAACAAAATCCAACAATTCCAAAATTGCTCTACACCCCCAAAACCTCTCCCCCAAAAACTGCCCAAAATTCCGCCGCCCCAAATTCCACACTAACACACCCCACCAACCACATCAACAGTCTGCACAGACACGACCCTCACCACGAAGTTGCAACACTACCGTCATTGTCAGGATCATGAACTACGACCCGATCCACGACACGTACCTGGCGCCGGAGGCCGAAAATAGCGCCGGCCAGGATCCCAAAACGGACCCTTCCACCTCGGCTCCGGAAAAACCACATTCCGAAGCCCAACCTCACATCTCCAAAGAGCCTACCCAGGAGCTGTCAATTGGCCACAACGGGCCTTCTGCTGCTGAAGCGTCGCCTAGCCAGAATTCATGGAAACCCGAGCCGGTAAAGTCCGAGCCGGTGGCACCATATAAGCCATTTTCCATCGATAGCCTTATGGGAGGAGGTCAGGAAGCTCCAGCTCCTCAAAGGGAGGTTCCGTTGCCTTCGACGATACCGCAGCCGCAAGCGGCCCGGGAGGGCTTTAACGCTGTGGAAAATCAGACCAATCAGGATCCTAGAATCCACGAGCCGGCTCTCGAAAGAGATCCTAGACTTACAGGATCTGCTCCACAAGCCAATCCTGCCGTTCCAGCTACCCAGCCTGTGGCTCCGCTTAACGCTGGAACTGATCCTGGCCAGCAGACTACACCAGCAAAGCCGTCAGTGGAACCTAGAATCCTGGACATCACAGACCCTCAACTTCCTGGAAACGACAAAACGGAAGCCAAACCACAGACTCCAGCCAAGGAGCACAAGGAGGAGCACCACGGTCTGCCCGAGAGCGCAATGTCTCCAGAGGCCGGCCAGCTTCCGCCGGATTTCAGAGAAATCTCTCGTGGCTACAAGTACCTCAAGAAAGCTGACGGTGAGCCTTTCTGGAGGAAAGATATCCAGTACGATTTCCTCCACGAGCTCTTTACCGACGAAACACGCTGCTTCACAAACTACTTTCCTTACTGCGAGGTTACAAATGCCGCCAACGGGCCCAAACTTACCTTTGCAGAACTATATGTGCGTACTTTGGCTGAGTCGAATAAACTGTCCAAGATTCTCCGTGAACGTTTGATCAAGGAAAAAGACATGGGCGTTGCCGTGAGCAAAGTGTGTCTTCTAGTTAATGCCGGCAGAATGAACACGACCGTTAATTTTGTCCCAGATATGCGTTCTGCGCTTCGAACATACCACCTGATTCCGTCGCTCCAAACCTCTGGCGACGGCGACTCAAGACCATTGCAGGATACCCCTCGTTTAAAGACAATTCTTAAAGCGGTCTGTGACGACCAGAAACACCTCCTCACGCTACTTGACCTTTTTAAGAACCGGGACCTGAAGAGGCCCAACACCAACGTCATCAAGTTGATCTTTCTCATGTCAACCTTTTTCCAAAACATCCCCTTCCATTATGACGATTCTTACGAGCACGATTCTTTCCTGGAGAAGTTCCGTTTCATCAAGGCTTCTCCAGGCCCTCAGAATAAATTCATGGAGTTCTTCTTGAACGACGAAATCCACCCCAAGTGCCGTTCCCGAAGATTCCTCTGGCTCATGTACACCTACCTCGAAACAAATTTCACGGCTGAGGAGATTGCAGACAATCCTTTTAACGCACACACTATTCCTCCCTTGGATTACATCGCCGAGGCTGAATTGCCCAACTACGATGTCGATGCAGACTATGAGGTTGAGTATGCCATTCAAATGTACCACACTCGTATGATGCATTTGTCCACTGACGCCCACAATCCTCTCCCGAAGAAGGGCAACAAAAGCAGAAGAGAGCGCCAGAAAATTCAAACGCAACTTAATGATGGTTCTGGTCTGGGTTCAACTGCATACCCAGAAGACCAGGACGACCTGATGAACGTTGATGATTCTACGCTTCCTCACCAGGAGGAGCCTGAGGTGAAACCTGAGCCCATGGCTGTTGAGCCAGTCCAGCCTATCCAGCCTCCCCAGCCGGTTCAAGATATCCCTGCTGTTCAAGCCGCCCAGCCTGCTGCGGCTGCTCCGCCTGTTCCTGAACCTCCTTCTAGCTCCTCACTGATTTCAGAAAAACCTGTTGTCGAAAAGCCACACAAGAGGAAGAGACCCGCTCCATCAGTCGGCTCGCTTGTGGAAGAAAACAGAAAACCTGTTCTTGATGAAGACAGACAGAAGCTAACTACTCCTGAGTTTCCCGTCGAGGGGCTTCAAGAAATGCGTGATCGTTTTGCAACATCGACTCCATCTAATCTTTACAAACCGCTTGTCAAAGACGGTCCACTCTCAGCAGCCAGCAGAAAGAAGATTGCTAGCAAACTGAAATCCACTGTTGAACTTGTTTCTAGAACGATTCCCCGCAAATTCGAAGCCACTAAGGAGACAATGCTACGCTGGCTCCACGACTATTTCCAATACAGACGGTCTGTCGGAAGCAAGTTGCTCGGCATCGAATGGGAGGACATCAGAGGCGATGTTGCCAATGGCATTGAGGCTTACCTGTACCAGCAGGAGGGTAAGCAGCATCTTCTACAAAAGTATGAACGAGTCAGAGATGACGATGAATTTGATGTGGAGGTTAAGCGAGAGATAGGGGTTCCTGGTGAACCAAACTTAGGCGACCTTGCGCCTATTGACATTGGTGCTGTCGAGAAGATTGGCGCCGGGTTCGAGCCCAAGAGGGATTATGACAGAGTCAATGAGCGAAACGTGTTCGAGCTCGACATGTTGGAGATTCTCAGCGAGGTGATTGCCAAAAAGAGGGCCAAGCGGCCCCGTTTCAGCAGGGTCTCCTTCGACTTGGACAATGCCACCCTCTCATATAAATAAGCATATTAAAAAATGTTACTGACCATGAGCTCAAATGCTTTGCACACGCCGTAGTCTGGCACAAGGTTAAGGAAAGCGCCACTGGCGCCTTCAAGGACAGTCTGGTTGTTTTTCTGGATCGTAGCGAATTCTAGTTCAGATTCCACCTGACCCATGAAGGGTTCATTGAGCACCAAATGCCAATATAGCCTGACTAAATAGGGCTCATTTGTTTTTGAATGTGTAAACTCAAACTCAACGTATGGGATAGCTTGTAGGGAATCGAAAGGATCAGCGTCCCATTCGGCACCAGGCCGTGTGAGGTTTTTGGAATGTTGATGCAAGAGTTTGGAAAGGACTGATACTCGTTTTTCTTGTATGGATGCTAGGGAGTGGTAGCCGTAGACCAAGAGGTCCACTTTGCCGTTGGGGACGTAGTCTGTTTCTAGAATTCTTGCAAATGACGGGCTGACTTTGTGGAGAAGAAGAGTAGCCTTCTTTGATTGCAAAATCTCTAGTTTGACCACCTTCTCGTCTCTTACCGTAAGAAGTACACGCAAAGAGGGTAGTCCTCGAGCCACAAGACGAAACTGAATTTCTGTATTGAGCTGATTCTCTGTATCATGTATGTTCTTCAGCAGAGTATGGCTGATCTCCATATGTGGATAGAATCTCCCCACTAGATCCATTCTTCTCAGCCAGTCTGAGGATGGCAAAACGTGCATATTTTCCAACACGAACAGCGCCACCTCGTCCTCTCCAGCTAGCCGTTTTTCCTGTTCATGGTCATTCTGATGGAGGTAGTATTCTAGCTTCTTTTTTGTTTCGTACTGTCGGCTTTGCGTCTGGTAGCTGTCCCATGTTCCCTGTAAACGGTCTATTGCTGCTGAAAGATCATTCTTTTTGGCTAGAAGCGTATCTCGTTGTTGTACTAGTTCAGCTTTGGCTGTTTGAAGTGATAGAAGCGATTCATTGTCTGCCTCTGCATTCGGCAGCATTGCTGCAGGCGGCAGCGCCTGTGGAGATCCAGGAAGATTATCTGACATTCAGATGTCAATTGCGGTGTGAATTCAATTATTATGAAGAAAGTTGAAGGTAAACAAAGCGTAGTGCAGACTGGTGTAGTAGACAGAAGGTACTGCATGGGTAGCACTATACCATCACGTCAAACGGCTAATCCAAAGCAGTGGCAGTAATTCTAAACGTAGCAAAGTAATAAGCTGTTCAATATCTATATAAAACTGGGGATAAAAGGAAATTAATATCCCTCAGGCATATAAATTCGGGAGCCTTCTTAAGGTATACCTGCATATACTATACAGGCTGCAGCAGTATCAACAGCTCTCGATGAGAGAACCACTCCACAATGGTATCTGCTCCTGAATTGAAAACGGTATGTCCAGTTCGATATTTTGATAAGTGGTAAAAGTGATTATTTGTGATTATACAGGGAATGCTGTGCAGTATCCCAAATCCTCGGTACTCCCCAGATTTCACCTCAACAACTCCAACGATGACCTCAAGAACCGCCATGATTAAGCTCCCGCAAATAAGGATGAAGAAGATTTTAATACAAAGAGAATATCAGCCTTACTTATAGTCGGCAGATGTCTCATTCCAATGCAATATAGTGTGATACACCTTTGTGCTTCAACCAGATAAAATGCAACGCCAATAGTCCCATCCTCCATTTGTTCCGATAAAATGGTGAAGCAACTATCCCTACAGTCCAAAGGCTCTACTTGCCCAACTTGAGTGGCCCTACATTTCAAGAAGAAAAGTGTCTCTTCAATACAATTCCCTCTGCTGATCAAACACCTACCCAGAGCATCCTATTCATCATCAGCTCCTCCAAAACCTTCCCCAGATCTCCGCTTTTGGCACGATTCCCTTTGAACCCCTACTAACCGCAGTACCTTAACAAGTCCGTTTCTGTCGAGCTCAACGGAGGCCGCAATGTCACGGGAGTGCTTCGAGGCTTCGACGTGTTCATGAATGTGACGCTAGCGGAGGCGCTTGAACTCAACAAACTCGACCGTCTCTCGCTCGGGACGGTCGTGATCCGAGGAAACTCGATCGTGTCGCTTGAAGCACACGACTAAATCTACAGCTTAGTGACAACCTACTAAACGCAGGCGCTTGACGTATAAATAAATGTAATAACAACGGGATGCAGAGGTCTATATGCCCAGCCGGTGGGCTAGAATGAGAAGGCTTCCTTCATTTTGTTTTGCGATGGAATGGAGCAGGCCGGCCTAGTCGAAACGGTGGCCCATCTCAATGCCCACAGGCAGGTAGCCACACTTCTCGTAGAAGCCGACGTTCTCAGGCAGACAGTCCAAAATCACCTTGTAGCAGCCCATCTCCTTGGCGATGGCGGTCAACAGGGAAATCAAAAAGTCGCCCAAACGGTTGCCCTGCTGAGACTTGCTCACAGCAATGTCCTCAATGTGGCCCACCTTGCCACACTCGTGGATGATCTTCTGTTCCACGACAAGCATGCCCGTGGCCACGACAGTGTCGTTCTCGTCCACGATAACCCTAGGGTGGTACATGTCAGAGTACTTTTCCCACGTGTAAACCACGTCTTGGAACTGCTCAGGCGAAATGTCGCCCACCTTGGTAAGCACCTTCAAGGTTTCTGTGTATTGGGCGTGATCCTTGGCGGCAGGGGCCCTGATGCTGTAGTTCTTGGGAAGAGGCATGTTTTGTGAAAAGAAGTAGCAGGAGGTGGTGCTTCAGGAAGTAGGCGCGAGTAATTCTCCAGATACGGAAGGATGATCTGAAGGGAAGGGATAAGGAGTTGTGACGAGGCCTTGGCGTGACTGGGGGGTGGATTTGTAAAAACCGAGCTTTGTTATTTTTTTTTTTTGGTTTTTTATTCTCGGTTTTATATTCCAAGACGGGGGTGTAAAAAGTGGTTCTTTAAAAGACGGCTCTGGTGGGTCCCTGGGGCTATTTAAAGAACGCTCGTTTGCAGGAAAACAAAACACTTCGCTTGCAGCAGTGGCCAGGCCGAGGCGCCAAAGGGGTGGTGTTTCTGGGGCGTACGACAACAAAATTTACATTTTTTTGCACCATTGTAAAGCCAGAGTTTTGGAGTTTCCAAATCTGCCAATTAATTCAATTCGTTTTTATTGGATTTTCTGGAAACCGGAGGGTGGACTCTGGAGCATGGTGCGCACCTAGACCAGCCACTGAGCCTCAGACACGATTTCACGATTTGCCGTGTCGGTGCCTTGCGGATTCGTCTGGGTAGCGGAGGATTATTTTGGCTTTGAAAGTCAAAGTTTTGTTTTATTCTATAAATAAATGAAAAATAGAAAAGGGACCGAAGTTTTAGTGCACTTTTGATTTTCTGGTTTCCACAATTTTCAATGCCCTGCGGTTTGGCCCCAAAAGTGGCCCACGGTTTCTTCACAAATTTTGCAAATCACAGTCATGTAAGATCGAATCACGTCAAAAAGCGGCTGAAAATCAGGCATTGTCCGATACGGCACCCCCGCCCCGGCAACGGCACCAGGGCTCCGGGACCCTGTTTTTCTGTATTTCGCAGCCAAAACACTGTGCTGGTTGCGGTCCATGTGGTGAAGGGTACGTTTGCGAAGAGGAGCGAGAAACCATACGATTAAAAAGATTGAAGTTTTGGAAGAAGAAGATCGAAGTATCAAGGAAGCTCCAAATCGTTTCCTGAAAATTTGCATCGATTGTGTCAACTGCTGGGAATCCACCTCTGGGACCCTGTCGCAGCATCACAATGAAGAGGAATCCAGCCGCACAGAGATACGATAGCACAAGCTCATTGGCTGATATGTGGAAGCATGAGGTCAGCCGCCCTGTGTTTCCAGAAGCCGTGGGGTTGTTTCAATGGAATTAACCGAGGTGAATTGACGGTGGGGCATCGGGTCTCACCATTGAGGGTTTTGGAAAATAGAGGTACCAAGATTTACAGAGAATGACTTTTATCAGTTGGAATTTCTTAGCTCTCCGGTGGCCTGACCACGTCATTGTAATCGGATGTTAGATCATTGTGTTTAGGGAAGCATTGTGTCCGTCATTGCTACTATACATTATCCTTCGTCTACCTCCCTAGCATACATTGCTGCCGAGGTCGCTTTAGTGCCGTTAAGTAAATTTCATTCAATTGAAGTCTGAACTTCACTCTGTCATCTTTCATAACTTCTGAATCGACATCTTGAAAGAGCAAAACCTACCTGCCCCTTCCCTTCTGCCTGGCGTCTTATCGTCTACTGCTTCTGCGCAATACCCAATGTACCGAAGAAATCACAAAACCTCAAGCCCTTCAAGCTCAATTGAACGAATTTCTACCAATGCTGGAAGTCACCTGCATTTCGGGAAATCCATCGTATTTCACGCTTCTCTGGTCCCTGCGTTTCCTCGAGGTTGCATGAAACTGCCACACTTGATCGTGAAACCAAAAGAAATCGGTTTAACAACACTTTCAGACAACACAAAATATCACAACTTCTACACCTCGGCTCTTAAAGCCCACCATCAACATTTAAGCATTCCAACGCCTTGGGCTTCCTTGAGCTTCCACTGCTGACAAAGCAACTTTCCGTGAACTTTCCGTCTCTTTTTCGGTGGCAACGAAAGCCATTTTTTGCAATCCCTCTACAATTCAGCCTTTCAAGAAACCAAAGAGCCCAATTAACCCTTGTATCTCCCCGTAATGTTCCCTCTCGTCTATCGAAGGTTGCTCACCAGCCACATCTACATATGTGCGAGTTGCGCATATCTCTATAATCTATAGACGCATCGCTTCGGCCGTGCATCTAGCAATCACAGTATATAAACGGAGGCGATTCCCCGACTCCTAAACAACACAAATTTTCTCATGACTTTTTCTTTCAAGGCTCTCAGATACAACAACAACACCACTCCGGTTACACTCAAGGAAACCCTGTTCCCCGACGTGGAGGAGTTGCCCACAGGCTACAAGGTGCCTGATAAGAAGGTCCTTGTCAAGGTCCACTACGCTGCTTTGAACCCCATTGACTTTTTGTTGAAGAATGCTGCTCCTTGCTGGATCTTCCGTGGCGAAAGAGGCTTTGCTTCTGACTACTCCGGTGAGGTTGTGGCTTTGGGCTCAGAAGCTGCTCAGAAGACCGGCCTCAAGGTCGGTGACAGGGTCAATGGCTTGAACCAGACCCCTTTCGGCAACGGAACTGCCGCTCAATACACTTTGGTCGACCCATTTGTCGAATCCGGTGAGTCCATCAGAAAAACCCCAGATAGCCTTCCTCTCGACCAGGCTGCCTCATACCCTCTTGTGCTTGGAACTGCTCAGACGTTCCTCAACGAGGTTAACCCAAAGAACGCTTTGAAGAAGGTCTTGATTCTCGGTGCTGGTACATCTGTCGGTAGATACACGGTCCAGGTGGCCAAAAAGGCTTACAATATTCAAGAGGTGGTGGTTACCTGCTCTGGTAAGTCTGCTGACCTTATCACCAGCTTAGGAGCTGATAAGATTATTGACTACACCCAGCACAAGTCAATCTTGAATCCTGTTTTGGAGCTGGTCAAGGAGTCCGGCAAGTTCGATGCCATCTTTGACTGTGCTGGTAACTCGGACTTGTTCCCTGAGATTCACAACATCATCCAGAACAAGGCCAACTTCGGTTACTACGGCTCAATTGCCGGAGACTCGAAGCTCAAGTACGGCAGCGACTCCTTGCTCTCTTTGCTCTTCAAGAACCTCAATGGTGGTTTCAGAGTATTGGCTTCTCGCTTCGGCTACTACGACTACTACTACAACATTGTCAAGCTTCACCCTGGTGACAAGTGGGCCGACAAGGCCATCGAATACCAGAGCGAATTGCAGTTTGTCAATTCCATAGACAGCGAATGGCCCGCCCTGGAGTACCAAAAGGCTTTAGACAAACTTGCTTCCAACCACGCCAGCGGCAAGGTCTTGATCAAATTTGCTGATTAGAAATTATATCAAATTTTTTAGTACCTGATTATATGTGCTTTCCTGCTGTTTCGTAAATCATTGTTCGTGTCGCATGGATTGTAGGATTATGCCTCGGCTTCCTCAAGCTGGTTCTCGTGTATCTTGAGCTCCTCAAACATCATGAAGAGATCCCATCGCTTGGTGATGTCTCTCTCAAGACATCCCTCGACCATGTTGAAAACCCATGCAAATTCCTCCTTATCAATTTCATCCCACTCGGCCTTGAGTACTGCAATCTCTTTCAGGCGTCCTGCGTCCACAAATGAGTTGTTCTTGACGCTGTCGTCTTCTTCGCCAAAAATCCATTGCATAAGACACGCTTGTCTGAGCTCATCCTTGTTAAATTTACCAGCACTGATAATGGCTCTCAAGCGTGGCTCAAACGGATGTTGGAATGGAAGCTTGCCAACAACCATGGTGAACAAAACAACACCCAAAGCCCATATATCAGCAGAAGGACCCAATGGTGGTGGATGAGGCTCAAGAAGTTCGGGAGACGCATATGGTAAAGAGCCGATGTGGGAGTGAGGCAAGTCGGACTCGATGTTCGATGATATGTGCTGGTCTCTGACCTTAAATTCGTGGAATTCCGACAAGGAAGTTTTGGAGTTGGTGGGAGTCAAGTCTAATGATTGGAGTGAGGGGCCGTGGGATCTGTGGAAGTGCAGAATACCTATTTTGCTGTCGTCAGAAAAGAGGTTCTTCAAGCTAGGCGAGTCGCCTCCGAGGAATGGCTTTCTGATCTGGGTTGCAGAGCTCTTGGATCTAAGCATTGCGGTGCTGTCATCAACATCGCGGCGAGACAGCTTTCTACCGAGTCTTGGGGCAAAGACTCTGGACATTCCGAAGTCACAAAGAACAACATGAACATTCTCGGTGTCCAGGTCGTCAACCAAGACATTTTCAAGCTTTAAATCGCCGTGGACGATGCCGAGCTCCTGGTGCATGTAAAGAAGGGCCTCAATTATTTGTCTGATGAAGTGAGCTGCATCGTAGAGACGTCTTCTCTGGCGCTGGATCAGAAAACCGACAGGACCCGAAGTATTGGAAATACTGTCATTAAAGACACCCCAGCGAGATACAACTTCAAAAAGAGTTCCACCCGAGATCCTATTAGTGAGACAAAAGATGGTGTCGTCCGTCTCAATATGGTCAAGGAGCGGCAATAAAGCTGGGTGTTGAAGCTGGCGCCAAATCTCAATCTCCTTCTTGAAGACTTGAAGCACCTTGGGATTATGTAATGGTTTACATTTGCTCGTTGGGGAGTTGGTGCCGTGGTCACAGTCACGAACGGACTTCACCGTTTTTATGGCCTTACATTCTCCGTCTTTGAAGCATTCACGGATTGTACCCCAGGCGCCAAAACCAATCACACGGCCAAGTTCGTAGCCCATGACCATGGCGCCTTTCTCGTCAACATTAACTTTTGGTGGTTTATCAAGCTTGCGTAAATCGGCAGACAGTGAAAGTGCCAACAAGCGGCCTGCAACAGTATTATTGTTCACAGTACTATTACGGCGAGATCTTCGGAGACTTCCTCCACTGGAGCCAATGACTGGGGTTCCGTCTGACCGATGTGTTCTGCTCAGAGTCAGACAAGACTTTTCGCCAAGCTGGTTTTTGACGTAAAGCAGGAACTGAGAGTAGTCAATACTCTCGGAAAACAGCTTCACAACCTTCTTTCGCTGCGAGTACGGGAGCTCTGTGAAGTTGTTGGGTAAGGATGCAAGAATTGACTCGTAATTGATCTCGTGAGGCTCTTCCTTATTGGAAGATTCCGAAACGCCAGTAGGACTGGGGGAGCTCTTGTGTTTCTTTAGAGGTTTTGCAACGCTTTCGTCGTCGGCGTGCTTGCCAAGGACGCTTGGGTTTCTGAACTGAATAGGCTGCGGCGCCACCTGGGCGTGCAACTTTCTTAAATCTAAGAAGGAGTGCTCTCTAGATGCCTGAGTCGAGCCGTCTCTGGTTGTAGGATTCCATGATTGCACCACGTCAGCAAAATCTAAGCCTGGAATGTACTCGTCTTCGAGTCCTCCTAGGGATCCTGAATCGATGTCCACGTTCAGCTCGTAGGAGCGAGAGTACAACTTGGGCTCGTGCCGTTCTGGCGACGGAGCTTTTGAAGGTTTCAGGCGGAACACGCCGTCGTCATACAATCGATGACCGGTTTCGGTATCGAAATTGTTGAATTCCGTCTCCGAGTAGGTCCTCGCGAGTCTGTAGTTTCTGTCAATTCCTTCCTTGTCCTCCTCGACATGTGGCAGTTTCAGTGTAAACATTTGTGCTTGAACACGGGAAGATTCCGGCTGCGTGTTGCCCAAATAGCTGTCCTTTCTGGACCGCCTGGGCTCCTCGCCATTGGTTTCAAACGCATGGTCTAGCGTAGAGATGGAGACTCTGGGCAGCAGTTTAAGCGGGATGTCCATGTCCCTTTGGGTTTTGCAATGTGGTGTCACGTGATGGCAGTGACTTGAGCTGGCGGCGTGGCAGATGTGCTGGGCAGCAGGATGGTACTTAAAAGCTAAAAGGTGGATTGGAATTGGGTGGTTTTTGGTGATGATATGTGCCCGTGAGACTCGTGGGTGTGCTGTGTGCAGGATGGAATGATTCCCCAGGTTTCAAAGCCATTTTCGACTCAAGAGCCTGGCGGAGCGCAACAGTGTTTCTGCGTAACAGGAGCAATGAAAAAAAATCCAATTCTTTTCTAAAAATAGTAACTGTGCTGTCCCTGGACAAAAGCACATGATGACTCAATAGCCTGACTGGTGGCTGCGAAAGTTCAGGGATGTGGGGAGAGGTCACCAATCAGCCAATGGAAGGAAGATAATGGCATTTTTAGAAGTGTGAATCTGCTTCAAACGAAATATTATTGATTTCAATGTAAGAATGCGTTGGTGATGTAGGAAGTCTTCATGGGGCTGATTGGTTCATCTGGTCCCGCTTGGCTGCGAATCGGACCTGTCTTGGTAATTCTAGCTTGAATAGAAGTGGAGGTCAAACTTTATGTATTTACAGTAATTGGAGCTGCTTTACTTGTCGAATGGGAAGGGACAATCATGTGAGAAAGGCACGCTCTGTTGAGCTTCAATAATATGCCATTGTTCATCGATTGTGATGGCTGCGAAATATCGGTTAAGAGAGTGGATTATCCGAAAGGCCTTAGGCACCAGGGCTACATTATCCAGGTTGATGCTTTTCGATATTTTTGTCAAAATTCCCAAGGGTAATATGTATTTTGTGGGGTAACCGGGGACGTATGCATGGCCTCTTATATGAGATCTGGCACACGATGCCAGTGATGACGACACATGACTGGAGCGGATCAGATAAGGAACGGATGCATGCTGAAGTTACCCAAAAGATAAGACGTGAAGATGCGTTTTACTACATGTAGCTTGTTTTTCGTAATCATCAATCTATATCATCAACCATCATACTGCCGTTACTCTGGCCCCAGGTGGGACAAGATCAACGGACTTAGGAAAGCCTCGCCCAAGAGCTGCGTCGCCGTGGGCCGCTTATCGTAGTCAATTTCAAATGTTTGCGTCAAGAAATCCTTACCCTCAGCCGTGCACCACTCTGGCACTAGTGGCTGGGTGTGGGTGCCAATCTTGAATATGGCTTGCATTTGACTGAAGCTTGGGAACGGGTGCTTACCGGTGAACATTTCCACGACAAGACAACCAACGGACCATATATCTGCCTTTTTCGTGTACGCCGTCTGCTTCACCACTTCTGGCGCCATCCAGTAGACAGATCCCTGTAGCGACGCACGACGGGCCTGCTTATTGCCCTCTCTGTCTTCTGACGAGTCCACCTTTTTCGAAATACCAAAGTCACTGATTTTGACCGTACCCTTGATATCAATAAGAATATTGGCACCCTTGATGTCTCTGTGGATAATATCGACGCTGTGAAGATAGCTAAGACCCACGAGCACTTGTCTGACGAAGTTACGGATCAATGGCTCCTCGAATGGGCCATACAGTTGCAACATCAGTTGCACGCTGCCGCCGGGAACGTACTCCAAGAAAATGTTAAGGAAACTGCCCTCCGAAGACGAACCAAAGTACCGAACAATATTCTCGTGATTAAGCTCCTTCAACAACGACATCTCATGGTGCAAAGCTTCTATCATCGAGCGCTGCAGCTCGTTGTGTCTTGCAGCTCCTGTAGGTATAGGCACCTGTTTGACAGCCATGAGCTCACCTGTCACGGGGTCCATACCAAGAACAACAGTACCAAAAGAACCAGCACCGATACGTGCACCCTGGACCCATTTTTTACCGGGAATAAAGGGTTGAATGTCTTCCCCGTCGGCTCCTAGTCCACCATAATAGTCCAAGCAGTCGTCGGTGTTATCGTCATCAGAGTCGATACTAAAAAGCTCAATTCTCGAGTATCTGTTGTTATTAGTGGTGTACAGCGCAGCCACGGAGAAGCGGTGCTTGTTGACGTCGGTCCTCTGGGAAACGTCCAGTCTGCTATCATCCACTGATGACAAGTCCGGTTTACTAGCTAGCGAAATGGTGTCCGGGTTGGTTGCCTCGTCAATCACACTGACATTGTGGACCATCATATCACCAATAGTTCTGTGGTTCCGGAGCTTCCGTTCCGAGGAAGCCATGGATACGGCACCCAGCTTGCCCAGGAATATCAGCAGTGTAGTGGGAATACGGAAACGGCGCAGTAGGCGCATGCTGTAACGTACGGAGTTTCTCACCGTCGTTTCTAGCTCCTGCTGTGGTGCCTGAGGGAAGTATTCACCCAAGTTGGACGAGATCAACTCGGAAGGAGGCCTCTGGCCAAAGAAATTACGCATCTGAGGGTCTGGGGCTTTCTACCTGCCATTCTCTGCAAGATTCGAAGCGATTGTTCGGCTGCAGTGGGCGACGGCTGCTCGCCCTTCGGCGTAAGCATGATTCTGTGCTTCTCCGTTCTGTCTGGAGCGAAGCATATCGTAACAAACTCAACGTCATACAAGCTCGAGATTTTGGCCCCGCCGGGGCCTGTGGTGTGAATATACGTGTCGTAGTCGGTATCTCTGCCCTTGACACCGAGCGTCTTGAGTCCCTTTCGCTTGATCAGCTGGGTGTTGAAGCAGCCCTCGATGTTGACCTTCTTCATGGACCCGTCCGGCAAAATAAACGTGACCGTCCTGCCAGGCACCTCCTTTTCGGCGGTAGACCGCAGTCTCAGGAGTCTTCCGTTCGGCACAAACGTGGCGTCGTCGTTTTCCTGAGGAACCACCCCACTGAAGGTTTTTGAACCCTGGTTGCATTGCAAAGAAAGCTCCAGCAGGATCTGTTTCTGGACCTCCTCCACGCTAACACTGGTCTTGAGGCGCTGCATGTTGAGGTTCAGAATGGCAATTTCAAGCCGTAGTCGGTCTCCAACCTTGGATATGCCCAATTCTTGGAGTGCAGCAGTATCTAGTTCCGGGACCAAATCCAAAGTGACGCCATTTTCGATGAATTTGCCCAAATGTTGCAGACATTTGTTTTTGGCGAGCCACAGCAGTAGATCTGTGTACTCCATGAAGGAAGGAATGTAGTGGGTAGTTGAGCGAGTGTTGGAGGAGCGGTGGTAAGTGTAGATAACTACGCGCCTAGCCGCAGGAGAATCGAAGACGAGAAGAATGCACCAAGTGGATCTCGACAAAAAAAAAAAAGGTAGCAAGATTGATCTTATAAATGGGAATTGGATGGGAAAAGGGGTTCGAGAATTTGAACTGACCCGGTGATTTAGCGGTCTGACGAGGTCTTCTCTATGGGTATTGGCTGGCGACTGGGGCTATTGTGGCTGGGGAATGGAGACAATGGACCAATCGACGGACACCCTGGTCCATATAAACGCTCCCAAACCCCTTCGAAATAACCTCCATCTCTCATCGCCCACTTTTGTCTAGACTCCCGATCCAAGCAACGACTGCAACACCGAGGGGCCGCCAGCCTCTGTCACTGCAGGTTTGGTCTAGAAAGCGAGTCAGGTCAATGCCACGCTAAAACAGGCGAACGGCTGAGCAACAAAGCCAGGGCATAAAGGCTAAGAAATGTCTCAATTGGCGTTGACGTGAATGTGAAACGTGCCAATTGACGCTGGATATCGCCAATCGAGGCACCCCACAATCCTCACGATCGCATCTGACAGACACAAAGTACTCAAAAAACTACCCTGTCAAAAGCCCACCGTTGGCTAATCCTCGCCAAGTGGCTGCACAGCGGGTGTTGCGCTGCGTTGGCAGTGCCTTTGTTTCTGTCTCAAGCCAGAATGTTTGCAGCCATTCGCGACTACTCTGGTAAATTCACCGCCTTTCCACCTTGAACGATCCGCTGCTTGTCAAAAACAAAATCGGGGTTGTTCTCGGCACGCTTCCACAGGCGAATGCTCCCTTCGTTTTCGTCCAAGTCGTAAACCCTCATTCGCCTGATGTAACCATCGTACCCACCGTAGCCTCCCTCACCTACACCTCCGCCATAGCAGAGCCAAACCTTGGATTCGTGCTCTTCCAGCCCGGCGTTTTCCACATCAAGCAAGCAGTAATCGTTGCAGTGATCGTGACCCACAGCTGCCACTTGCACCTTGGCGTTGGCCAAATGCGTTCTCATGCCGCTGTTGTACTTGGGTGAAGCTACACCCTCGAGATGCTTGCCCACAAACGCTTGGCCATCCAAATTTTTGAATTCTGGGATCGGAATGTGGAAAAACGCCATGGAAAGTCCGTTCTTTTTCACCATCTGCTCGGCCATGAGTCCCGATTCCTGCTCAAGCCACCACGCCTGGCTGTCCTTGAACCAATCGTATCCTCCGGCAATTTTTGGCTGTGTAGAGTAGGAATGTGAGTCAAGGAAGTAGAGGGCCGCTGCAACCTTTTGCAGCATATGACTAGACCGCACGGTGATTCCGTAATTGCCGAAACCATCCACCTCTTCAGGACCTTTTGCAGCCATTGAGTGTGGTAGATACGACGCCCAGTCCATCAACTGCTCACGGTTCATGGTCAGCTGGTCGTCGTGATTACCAAGCACGAGACCATATGGAATCTTGCGCTTCTCTAGTGGTGTCACGAGCTTCCAAAGAGCCGTTTGTGGGTCAGGAGCATCATCGCCAAATATCTGGTCGCCTGTGAGGGCAACAAAGTCGGGTTTTTCAATATCGAGCACTTTCTCGATGAATCTGATCGTCCTAGGATCCGCCTCACAACCTTTCGCAGACTCGGGTGGCTCTGGATCACGGCATTTGCCCACACCGGTTGAAAAATGGGCATCTGCGATTTGGAGAATCTTGAACTTACCGTCCTTGTTGAAACGCAATTTCTTCTCGGGGCTGCTGGGTTCTCCTCTATTCACAACAAGACGCGGCTCGAGGCCCTTGGGCGCCCCGGTGTCTTGAAGTGGGCTTTCCAAGATTTCCACCTTTTCTTCATGTACGGTGGCATCGGGACCGTAAACCACATTTACCCATCTCACAGCATCCGCAGACACAGGGCCCTTCTTGATCCAAATCCCGTGCCCTCTATTTATCCAACGTGCTTTTTCAAGCTGCTCGGGCGTGGGTATAAGGTAGTAGCCATTAAGTGTGTGGTATGTCTTGTGAGTCTCTCGTTTTTGGTTGCCACTCTCCTCTTCCTGTGCCTCCTCGGAGATTTCTTCCTTAGGTTTGTCTTCGACGGCTTCTTCGGAGTTGTCATCTGCACTCTCCTTCACCTCTTCCACCTGTTTGTTCGCTTCACCTTCCTTACTCTTAGACTCCTTTTCCTTCTCGGTGGCGGCTCTGAGGTCCTCAGCCTGGCTCTCTTGCTCTTGCTTCAACCTCATGATTTCATCCGGGTCAACCTTGGCGTCTAGCTTTTCGTCCTTGTTGCCTTCTTCTATCTGAGTCCGATCATCTCCGCTGTAGACTCTCAGCTTGTGGATATCCTTGAGCACTTTCTCGGGTATCAAGAGATTCTGGTTGTTCTTGATCTTGCCGTCAGTCTCTGGATTCCCAACGGCAATGTCAACAACAACGTCGTCGATGATCTTATTTGCAGCATTCGGGCCTGTGAATCGAAGATTGAGATTCAGCCTGTAAACCCACGAAGACCCTAGACTGAGATCTTTCCTAAGTGCAAATGCCTTGAGCTTCTTGTTTCGACATCTCTGATTGGTTGCCCGAAGGCACGTTTCCACTGTGATATCTCTGATGTAAAGCCGACGGCTCTTTAGTTCCTCACCCCAGTAGTTTAGATTTAGCGTTGGGGAAACAAGATTCTGCTCTTGAGCCACAAAGAACAAAAGACATAGTATTACCAATGCACCAGCAAGGTAGCTGATGTTTCTTATCCAGCGTTTGGGTAAAGCCACCATTGTGGAAGTAGTTCGCTTAGGTTGATTGATTCGCTAGTTCGCGTTTATATGCACTGGGGTAGATAACGATGCAGCTGGGTGGGTGGGTGCTTCTATTTTAGGAGATGGTTTATGGATGGTTTTTGGGGAAGATTTTAATGAATTTGTTTGCTTTGTGTATTTATTTTATAATGGCTCTTCTTAGGGAGCATGGAAGGTACGGTGATGTCCCTTGCAGCCATAATGATGCACCATCGGCAAGTTTCGGGAACCTAAAATGTTGGGAGATTTTTTTGTAATGCTTGGAATTGACAAATTCAGTTTGTATTGAGGACAAAGTATCCAACCGGATGCCTGATAGAACGATACTGGTGAATTGGAAAGCAGGGTCCCCAGAGTCAGATGGATAATCAGAAGACAAGAACATCCCACATTCGACGAGACCATTCGCTGAACTTCAGCATTTCACTAATTAGAGTCTCCCCCAATGGTGAAGCAAATTCAAAATGTCAAAAGATGACTCAAGGGCCTAGTGCCGAACCCCCATTGAAGTACTTTACTCTAGGGTCCAGCTTGCTCAATTTCAATTAAAATGTCGACTCTCGGGACGTGATAGGCCAAAACTCAAAACACGAATTTAAAATGTTCTTTATTCATTCCGCATGGTTGGATCATAGATTCACTATCGAAACGCAATGGCTGCGAAAACGAACTCAAGAATGTGGATCAATATAACACACTTGCTTGCCAATTGAATTTGGTCTAGTGTCAGCAGGAAAGAATGAATGGCTTACCTATTGACAACAAATGAAACTGGAAATTGAGAAGAGCATCGTGGAAGCGGAAGAGGCTTTAGCTGGTTCAATCCACAAAATTCAGTCCTGATCTAGGCATTCTCAATTGTACACTTTGTATTCGATCCAGAGTCCGTCTTCGATACTGAACGTAGCGCTTTTTTCAAATTCTGTCAATTTTCTGTCTTTAAATCAACTCTCATACTATGATGCCACCACTGCTAAAACAACGGTATAGATTCCGCACATGGTCAGTACAACTTCCAAGCTTCATCCCATCTGATCCCCACGAATCGTGAAAACATTAATTCATCTTCAACCCCAAACCCCAAAATACAAGCAATTGACAAAATTTTCAAAACTTGACCCACTTCTGCCCAATTGCACATCCCTCCACCCTGCACTTGCTACCCTCACTTAGATATCACCAAACCAGTCGCAGTCAAATCCTAACTACCATGTCTTTACCATCACCTTCATACAACGACGACCGCAAGTCGTTCGCCTACCCTACCGTGCATAAACGCTGGCCTTCAATCATCACACTGGCCATTGAGGATCTTGAAAAACACGCCAAGGAGAATCCAGATACTGAAGGTTGTGTTGAATTCGTCACAGGCCACCTCAAGACGCTTTTGAGCAACTTCAAAGAAGACAAGCCTGTTGATGCTTTCACCGATGAAGACGTTCAGGCCAAGCCCGAGCTCAAGATCTACAACGACGAGTTGAAGAGGTTCAACGACGCCAAATTGGTCACATGGCAAACGGGACCATGGCTCTACTTGGAGTGCTACTTGTACCAATTGATCAGCGTGTGGTTCTCCAAAACCAAGAAGCTCCAAAAATACGACATTTTTGAGCCCGCCAAGACTGGCGCCTTCAAGCTGTCTGGAACTGGTGTGGTGGAACTCTGTCAGAGAGTCAAGTTGCTTTCTCAGCAATTGGCCGAGAAAGAGGCCGACGAGCAGGCCTTGGGCTTGCTTTTCACGGAGTTTATTGACATTTCTTTGTGGGGAAACGCCACAGACTTGTCGTTGCTTGCAGGTAACTTCAGTTTGGAGGACATCAAGAGTCTCCAGGGTGCTGAGGTGCGTAAGAAGAACGAGGAGAAGATCATTGTGAATGACACAGAAGCCGCCTGGAAGCATTACTTGAGCAGCAAGCGCGAGAGAATCGATATTGTCTTGGACAACTCGGGCTTTGAGCTTTTCGCTGACCTTTGCTTGACCTTGTTCTTGCTTGAGGCCAAGTTGGTGAAGAAGGTGGTGGTTCACTGCAAGCAGATTCCATGGTTTGTCAGTGACACCATGCCTAAGGATTTTGATCTTATCTTGGCCCAGCTCGAGGACACTACTTTCTTTGACGAAGTGAAGGAGGACAAGGCGTCCCAGGAGGCCATCAAGTTCTTCCTTGACAAGTTGAAGCAGTACACCCAAAAGCAGCAGATTGGTGTTCAGAGCCACCAGTTCTGGACCTCGTGTGCCAACTATTGGGACATTCCCAAGATCAACGATCTCTACGAAGAGCTCCAGAAGTCCAACCTCATCATCTTCAAGGGCGACTTGAACTACAGAAAGTTGACTGGTGACTTGCACTGGGACACCACTACACCTTTCACCACCGCTATTCAAGACTTGGCTTCCTCCGGTCTTCCCGTCTTGCTGTTGCGTACCTGTAAAGCGGATGTGGTTGTAGGATTGCCTGCTGGATTGAACGAAAAGCTCATTGAGGAGTACAAGAGCCAGGGCAACGAGATTGGCGAGTTCTGGACCGCCTCCGGTAAGTGGGCTGTGATCTCCTTCTCCAGAGGTTAGATTAGGCTGTGCCAGTAGCGGCCAGTTATAGAGGCCGATGGACGAATTATTTAGGCAGACGAAAATTGATAATGACCGATTGACAAGTATTTCTTTGGTTTTTTAAAATGTGCACAGAATCGTTATCAGCGCAGCTCGGGCTTCGATGCATGCTTCTGCGATCAGCCTAGATCAAAAGTTGCAGCCATTTACTTTTGAACGTGTAGTGCCTGTAGAAAGCAGAAAAGCAGTCAAAATGAAAAATTCATTCGTAAATCACCAAATCCGGCTTTAGTGACTCTTCACTTTGACGTGTACCCATATTCTTCCACCGTTGTTCACCGTTCCATTGTTTTGGGTGCAACAATAGGCAATAACAGAGAATCAACAACATCCAAACAAGCCGTCCCAGCAGCCGTGCTACACAACAAATTGTATATATTTCTTATCAAATTACATAAGAAGTAAACTTTTTCTTTCAATTGATACTGTATTCTTCACTTGCCACACTTCCTTCGCCACATGGCTCACCTACTACAATCAACGCATTTATAAATCATATATTCCTATTTTACTCCTTCTGCTCCTTCTGCTCAGCAGCCTGCTTTCTCTCCTCGGCCAACTTGGCCTCTCTCTCCTTGGCCTCGGGTTCAACGTCAGGGAAGGTTTTTGGGTCTGGAACCGGTTTCTGGTTGTGGTCAAGGATTCTGTGGTGGGGTTTGCTGATTTTCAGCAAAGGAACCTGTTTGCCATTGAGGTCAACAATAAGCTCTTCGTGTTGTTCGGCCATGATTGCAAGGAAGAAAAAAATGGATACACTAAGAAAAAGTAGGTGGTACGGGGAGATCATTATATCATAAGCTGGGGTAGAAGCAGGCTTGCTGACTAGTGTTGCGCCACCCATGCAGGGCTGCCTGGTCACGTGATTCGGAGGCCTAGGCTAGAGGCATCTAAGGGAGGCAAATGTCACAGGGTCAGGGGTGAATAATAGGGGTATGGTGGCGAAGGGGGCGGTTAATAATGGGATTGTTTGATTTTTTTGATTTTTGGAAAAAGTGGGGAATTGACATGGTGGGGCGGATCAATGGAGGGGGCAATTTGGCTGAATTGAGGTGGATGGAGGTGATGTACTGGTTGCTAAGGTTGGTTGTAGTGTTGAGTTTTCGTAGGAGGTGGTGTTTTTGATGATTTGTGGTTTTGGGGTTTTGGGATGTGGAGGCGAAGGAGGTGGATGAACTGATTGGCTATGCTATTTATATAAGCTTTCACGAGAGTTTAGTAGGGAGGTGGTGGGATAAATGGCTGCGAAATGGCTGCAAACCGAGACGGGGGGCTTAAGTAGTGGTACACTCTTCTCCGGTTAATGCACAATTTTAGAAATCAAATTGAAGGCGCTAGAGGATTTTTGGTATTTTTTGTAGGATTAAAATTCTCGTAGTACAGTGGATCATTTTGATGAAGAGACTTCTGAATGACATCTCGCATATTGCAATGACAACGGCTCGGTGACAATGGCCGTTTAACTTCGGAGGGTAATGAAGAAAGTTGCAAACTAACGATAGGTCATTTTGTTAAGGGTACTAGAGCTTATTGTATTTCCGTGACGACTCCGAAGTATACACAGATTCATGAGCTCATTTTGAAGAATCGTGCTAGGCTACAGGTTATGAAAGCAGCGATCTACGAATACAAGGCTGGTCAGGCCAAGGTTGGGCTCAAAGTGGATCCTCAAACACCTGCGGACCCCATGGTGAACCACTGATTCAATCTGCCAAGTTCTCAGATCTTATACAGATCGAAGAGTCCCTCTGACGAAACTTGCAGCGATCCACGCTATAAAATTAATGCGTGGGTGAGACATGGTCTAAGTGAAACCGTTGGAACACTAAGCCAGTTTCAAGATTTGGCCGCTGGAATGTTGATGAAACGCACGGCTTGGGTGTATAGATAACCACTAGTCAGTAGCGTCAGTGAGTTCCGACTGGGGAAGCAGATGACTTCAGAGTCTCTACTAATAATCGAAGACAAACTAACTAACTTTAAAAATCAGCAAAACTCAAATCACGAATCACTGAATACTCAATCCTAAATGCCTCAATCGCTGTAAATGCACGGACCCGCCTACCTTGTGGCTGCGAAACATACCAACAGCCTAGCCGTATATATGCAACCATTTCACCAAATAACCTTATCTCCAAATCCAGCCTGAAAATATAACCTTGAGTAGGCAAAATGACACCACCTTTTCCTCCCAACTCACCAACTTCTCCAAATCTAGACCTCCCGCCTCAGGCCGAATTTGTCACTTTTCCGCCGAAATTACCAAATCGGACTGTGCCACCTCATAAAAAAAAAAAGGCAATTGGTCACGTCTCCTGCCTGGGCTATTTCTGGATCTTGGCTAGGTCTTGTGCGTGTATGTATCAGTGCGGTATGTATCAGAAGCACGAAACTCAGCGGATCAACTTTCTATATAATCGATTCAAAGCGAGCCTTAACTACAAAAACAAGCAGAGGTCAATTCCATGAACTACGAGTAAACGACACAAGACGCGTCACCTACTAATTTCTCGCCTCGCATCCTTAACAATCACATCCATCTATCTTCCACAAACCCCACCATGGAACTGTTTCTTCAATGGGATCCAGCCCAGGTGCTGTCATATCTCAAGGGGCACATTGGCCACGACTTCAGCGCTGCCTTTATAGAAAACAACATCGACGGTCTGCTTCTTCCCTACATCACAAGCGATCATTTACGTGAATTGGGTATAGAACCTTTGGCTACCAGACTCCGTGTCAAAAGGGCCATTTTCTCCTTGATCTCGGGCGACAATGGCTTGTCTACGGGTCTTCCCTCGGGCTCGAAGCCAGGAACTCCTGGAATTTCAAACGCAAACACTCCGGGCTCCATGAGCTACGCTAATACGCCCACCACGGCCAGTTTTGCCCAGGGATTGCTTGTAAATAACCAGTTTTCTGTGGAGGCGCTAACGCTCTGCCAGATACTCGTTCAGGACATCTTCAAGCGTGCCTCACAGACCTTATCCACTGCCCCTCCCGCCCTGACTACTCCGGGATCGGCCATTCTGAATTCGTCCATGCTAGGGCTGTCGTCTCTGGCATCCTCAGACGACATTCGCAAACTCAACGAGAACTTTATAAAACTCAAGGCGGACTTGAACCCGGTGATCCGGTTGATCAAGGACTCTAAGCCGCTCCCCACACCTACTCTAGACCCTGGTGTGCCTGCTCAACTGCCAACTCTGCTGGTGAACTCGAAGAATGAGCAGGAAAGCGGCTCAAACCCCGGTACCGTGACCCATGCCGATTCGCTTACTCCAGACGCTCCTCCTAGTGCTCCAGATGGAATGACCCACTCGACTTCAACCAACTCAGTAAGCTCAAACCTCCATGACTCGGTTTATTCACAGCACCCTTCGAGCCCCACGCAGTCCCGTCGTCTTTCCTCGGGCTCTGTGCTCTCAATGGGTGTCGGCAAAATCACAGATATGGGCAAACTGAGCCTGTCACATCGTCTTTTTAGTAAACCACGTTTGGTGGAGTCTCGTCTGGCGGTTGCAAGTCCTGGTGATGACAGAGCGCTGCCACGAGAGATTGACGAGCTCAAGAGAAGTGAATCCTTGCTCAAATCGAGGAGGAGCTCCTCTTCGGTACTCAGCCCCACGTCGCATTACTTCCACGGTCATGGAAACCAATCCAAAGTCTCGCACGGAAGTCTGCTGAACTTGCTGACGCCAAATCAGGGAACACAACCGCTTAAGCAGCTCAAGGCATCCTCGGACGACACATGTCTCAAGGTACTTCAGCAAGCGATGAAAAGACACCATATACCGAGAAATCACTGGAGCAAGTACGTCTTGGTGATTTGCTACGGTGACAAGGAACGTATCTTGAAGCTCACCGAAAAACCCGTTATTGTTTTCAAGGAGCTTCAGGAGCACGGAAAGAACCCGGCAATTATGTTGAGGGAACTAGCGTCCGCTGCGCCGGACGAAAACGACAAATATGAGGACTCTCGTATCGGCGATGACATCCCCGGAGGAACGCTCTAGCCGTCTACATATACACATTTCATTATACCCATGCATCATTGTTTAACTTGTTTATGATAAAGGAACCGAAATCAGGAAGTGTCCAAATGTAGTCTGTAACATAATAAATCGTTTCGATGGAGTTGTTGTGTTGGTGGTTGTCTTGATGGTGTCAGATAATCTCGTAAAAACGCACCGCGTGCATCAAGCGGCATACTCCGACGTCACTGATAAGATGCAACTATCAATCCTGAAAATCATACGTTATTATTCTTAAGTAAATTTGGATGGGCTTCATAATTGATTATTGTGACAGAATTTTCTATTTTGTTATTGGTAAAGGCATTTGAAAAAATCAGCGATCTAATAGAAGCACGAAAGAAGGATGTATAACAAAGGAAAAGAGAAACAGTATACACGAAGCAAACTCGAAGGCTTGCGTGCAGCAAGCACAAAAGCCCCATCGTAATTATAATTGGCAAATTGTAGTCTCAATTATCGACTTGAAGAAACTTTGTATGAATTGCTAGATACCTTTCATCAGCGACAGCCAAGTATATTTGCACATCGTCGGCCCGCTACCAGCTTCCTCAATATAATGCTATTTCAATAGAGCGTTTGAACGTGAAGGTTGATCCAAAATTACTACAGTTTGTTGAATGAACCCTGTGAGCCATAATTTGATGCAACGTGTGTTCCGCTCCAGACTAACCTTTCTCTACGTTTCTAAGCCAGCTGGATTGCTATTTCTAAGGAACTCCTTTAAATCACTAAATCAATGAATCCAACAGATAGAAGCGCCCATTTACTCCTTGTAGACCTCATTTCAGTGACATCTTCTCATGTCTCAGACTGTTTGCAGCCACCTCAGACACCGGCATGTTTTGATGAAACCCTTCACTTTTTGGCCCAATAATGACAGTCATGCTTTATTGAAGACAAATCTGCTTAATATGTCTGGAAATATCAATCTGCTTCCCTGTTCTTGGTCCCGGTCGACGACACCCCCAACTTAATTAGGGCTCCAGCCCTAACGCGACTGCCGTTGGAAAAATACCTGCACATTGCCCTCGGCGCACCAACCAACCCCAACGAGACCCACCCATAGTTAACAGAAAGAAGCGATGGGTCACGTGCCTCCGGTGCAGCGCTCGCTAGTGCTAAAATTTTTGCAAAAAAAATCCAGTTTCCTCTCACCCATATCTTCAAGTCAATACCATGCCTCCAAAATTCGACCCTTCTGAAGTGAAGTTCTTGTACTTGAGAGCCGTCGGTGGTGAAATCGGTGCTTCCTCCGCCCTTGCCCCAAAGATCGGTCCTCTCGGTTTGTCCCCAAAGAAGGTTGGTGAAGACATTGCCAAGGCCACCAAGGACTTCAAGGGTATCAAGGTCACTGTCCAGTTGAGAATCCAGAACAGACAGGCCACCGCCTCCGTTGTTCCATCTGCCTCTTCTCTTGTCATCACTGCCTTGAAGGAGCCTCCTAGAGACAGAAAGAAGGACAAGAACGTCAAGCACAGTGGTAACATTCCTCTTGACCAGATCTTCGAGATCGCCAGACAGATGAGAGAGAAGTCTTTCGGTAAGACTTTGGCTTCCGTCACTAAGGAGATCTTGGGTACTGCCCAGTCTGTCGGCTGCCGTGTCGAGTACAAGAACCCTCACGACATTATTGAGGCCATTGACGCTGGTGAGATTGATGTTCCAGAAAACTAGGTGTAATACATAGGGTAATATATTTACGTCACAGAAGAAGTATCGGCGAGCCAGGGTTGGTGAGTTGGTTTTGTAGGAAGGTGATTTCGGTGCTTTAGTCCATGGACGAAGCAGAAAAGCACAGCAATGAATATGAAGAAAAGAAAGGGCGCTTTAGCTCATCGACTCAAGAGACGCTGGAGTTCGGAGTGTGTTGATGATTCTGCCGAAAAGAGCGAATCGATCAAGGTGATTACTGAACCAAGTGCTACCAATTGCATTGGAAGTCAGCCGTATGATTGAATTGTAAAAGCTCATATCATCAACTGACGTCTGGGAATGTTCGGTCAAAAGTTAAAATGTAAAGAACCAATATGGCCGAACCAGATCAGCTGCTATAGGGCTCTGAATAAGGCTCCTTAGTTTCCCTATAAGTAAACTGGACCAATCAATTTCGAAGCATAGATGTTGAAGATTGACTTCCTTGGGTGACCTTTTCAAACGTCACAATCCTCCTCTTTTAGTCCAACCAGCATGCACCAATCGGTCTCTCAATTCGATCCTCGGCATCTGTCAACATCCACTCTTTCAAAATCACAAATTCCGATCGCAGCAAACAAAACCATCCCTTCTGAATCTCTCAAATCTCTTCAAACACAAAATTCTCTCTAAGCCCCAAAAAGTCCAAACTCTATTATCACCCCTCGGTCTATCCAGTTTGCAACCACCGCACCTGAACCCCACGCCAAACACCCACACCCGGGCCAAAATCCCAAGATAATTAGATATTCCAAATCACCTACTCTCAATCTCCTAAAATATTCCCTTTTTTTATAACCTTCCTCTCCAAAATCCCCTAGGGTCGGTTCCCCACAGTCTGGGGTCTCACGTGCATCCGGCGCACTATCTGTTTACTCCAGATACCAACTACTCTCTTCCTCATGTCCGACCCAATCGGTATGTATAACCTTGCCAAATCTCCCAAAAATACTAACTTCAGATCGTGTATTTGTGAAGGCAATCACCACAATTCGGGCGCTATCATCCCGTTCCAACTATGGCACTTTACCCAGGCCTCCAGCAGAAAACAGGGTCAAACTCTATGGACTCTATAAACAAGCCACCGAGGGCAACGTGGTAGGGATCATGGCGAGACCTCAGGGCCACACCCTCGAGGACGAGGGCGCCAAAAAGAAATGGGACGCTTGGAAAAGAGAAGAGGGCCTCTCAAGGACAGAGGCCAAAAGACAATACATTCTGTATCTTATTGAGACCATGCGGGTGTACGCGAGCGGCACCTCGGAAGCCAGGGAGTTGCTTGGGGAATTGGAGTACTTGTGGGACCAAATCAAGGATGTGGAGTTTAGTGACGATGAAGAGCCTGCCAGACGGTTCCAGAGCCCGTTCCAGCAGCAGCAGCAGCAATACGATCCAGTCAACCGGTTCGTCTCCAAGCTGCCTGATTTATCCCAGGTCGACCAGTCAGACAGGCTACTGTCGGGAACCCCCTGGCCTATCGGCAGCACGTACCTGGCGCTGGTGTCAAATCAACAGTACCGCAGCAACTTAGAGCAGATCTACTCGCACCTGACCCGTAATACCCAGCTTCTGTTGAGCGAGTACGTGCAGCAGCAGCGCAACAAGGGTGCCCAGTCGGTCTACTCCATGTCCGGACGCCGTGGTATCGCCAATGCGGGTTCAGTGGGGAGCACAGGCCGTCAGGAAGGAAAGGTGCCAGAAGCAGCGCTTGAGGATTTCCGCAACTGGCAGGGTGAAATCAACACCATCGTCAATAAGCTTTCGAAGGAGTTCTTGGGGCGCAAGTCAAGCGGCAGATCTGCATCGTCTCTGCTGGAACTGGAGCCGGAGCTGGATCTCGATCCCAAGGAGCGCATCAAGCGCCGTGTGGTGCATGTGCTTCGTCTTGTGGGCATCCAGGCGTTGCATTTCTTAAAGAACTTTTCTATCAGTGTGGTTGCACTTCTCTTCCTTGTGTGGTGCATCAAGCGCAATGTGGTTGTGGAGCTGACGCTTGTCAAGCAACAGCTCGACTCTACGCGACGCAAAAAGGAGCTTGTGGTGAACATGATCGTCAATACTGACGAGAACAAGTGGTTTGTCCGCTTACTCTCCTTCATCAATAGCTTCGTCGGCTTCGTCTAGCCGCTCCATAGATTATATAAAGCATTATGAGCAATGAAAGGCGGCAGTGTAGAAGGAAGATTAAGCTTGATTTTCCAGATTATAAAGAAATGTCAAGGAAAATTACTTCGGAGATGTTGGTCCCACATTATACCCTGATGTGTCCAGAGTTGTCTCAAACTCATGTCTTGAGACTTGTAAGAAAAATCTTGTCACTGAGTTTGCTGGTTGCAGAGATTTTGCTTTGGAAATACAAGTCAGTGCAGCTGTTCTAAACAAACAAATTATATAAACAGTTCTTCATCCACAATGTATCGAAAAATGGTCCATCAGATCACGATTCCGCATCTATATCATAAGCACAATGAGACGGACAACAACACAAAGAAGCAAATCTGGTGAAAATAGAGAAGAGTCCAATTGGTTAGATATCACATTCAATTGAGTTTTCAAACAAAATTAAAGGAGACTCTATGGATTGGTTTTCTCAATGTAAGTAATGCTGATGCCTGCGATGCACATGTCAATCAAGCATGTCAATCATACATAAAAAGTCGGATCCGCCAAGCTGCACCATTTTTCCAACCCCTCTTAAACCCTCCAAAATCAATAAAAATCAAACAAACAGCCCCTCTCCATGCTAAATTCTCCAAAGCCAGACCTCCAAGTCCGCACGTGACCTGGGTGCAAAAATTGTAGAGGCATCGAGCAGCCATGCACACCATCATCACGAACTACAAACTCACCTCTCCAATTTCCACACAAATTTCCCAGTATGGATATTCACAGGTGTCGTTTTGTGGATTATACGCCGCACAGCGTCACGGCGCTAGCGTTTTCACACACGCTGGCCGTCTCGGGCCATCCTCCCAAGGGTCTTAGAATGGCTCTCGGAAGATCCAATGGAGACATTGAAATCTGGTCTCCTCGTGCCAACTGGACCCACGAGATGACGCTACCGGGTGCACGTGGACGCACTGTCGAGGGCTTGGTTTGGGCGACGCCAAAAAACGGAAACGCATGCCCTAGGCTCTTTTCCATAGGAGGAAGCACATACATCACCGAATGGGATCTCCGTACGCTCCGGCCCAAGGCCAACTACGACTGCAATGCCGGTGTGATTTGGTGTATTGATGCCAACGAGGCAGGAGACCGCTTGGCTGTGGGCTGTGACGACGGAAGCGTCGTATTGGTGGATATCTCTGGAGGACCAGGAGTGATGGAACACCACATGATCTGCCAGAGACAGGACCAGCGTGTGTTGGGACTTGCTTTCTACGGAAGGGACATGGTTGTGGCCGGCTGTGCTGATGCCCTGGTTCGCTGTTGGCTGGTCAAGGAGGACGATGCTGATAGAGGTCGTATTGTGGGAACAATGAAGGTAGACCGCAGCAAAACAGAATCCACGCTTGTGTGGACGGTGGTGGCGTTCCCAGAACGTGGCCAGTTCGTCACCGGTGACAGTACAGGATCCGTGAAGGTGTGGGACGCTAAGAACTACACCATGGTGCTGAACTTCAATGCTCACGAAGCCGATGTGCTCTGTTTGGCCAGAAACGCCGCCGGCGATAAATTCTTCTCAGCGGGCATCGACAGAAAAATCCACCAGTTTACCTGCCTCAGGCCCCGTGCTGAGCCCAAGAAGCAGAAGGCCCGCTGGATCGATAACGGCAGCAGACTCATGCACGCCAACGACGTTCGTGCCATGGCTATCTACGAAAGCAAGAGTTTTGGCGTGCTCGTCAGCGGCGGTGTTGAACGTTCTTTTATCGTGCAAGAAACGGAGCTGTTTGAAAACGGCCCATTCAAGAAAATTCTCATGGACCAGCAGGTTTCCAACATATACGTGCACCCACAGAGCCGCCATGTGGCGCTTTTCCAGGACCAGACGGTTAAGATCTGGGCCTTGGCGGACCACAGACACAGGCTTGTCGCTAAGCTTACATTGGCTGACGACGACAATATCACCAGTGTCAGCATAGGCGAGGAGTTTGAAGAAGGAAAGCAGTATTTGGCTGTTGCTACAATCAACCTGGTGAAAGTGTTCACTTTGGAGCAGCAAGGCCCCAAATTGGCTGTCACCAAGATCCGTGACGACGAGTTTGACGCTGCCGTTGCTGGTGCAAAGAAGGTGTGGGTCTACAAATCTTCCAAGCTCCTCGTATTGACGCCAGAAAACGAGTTCTACAAATTCAGCATTGACAAAAAAATTAATCTCGTCGACGAAGTTGACAGTGTCGACGAGGGTAGCGAAACTGCTGTTGTTAAAAGCGGCATCGACTACCTCAACAGCGTTCGCTGTGTCTCTATTTCACCAGACCACACGAAAATCGTGGTTGCCAGATTCAACGATGCCGTAGAGGTGCTTCCCCTCCAGGGCAAACAAAAGCCTTTCCTTTTGACCAAGCCCTCCACTTCGGTGCATCTCATGGATGTCACCTCAGACAACACTGTCGTGGTGATGACGCAAGAAAACAAAATCTACGAGTTCCTCCTCAAACTGGGCGACCGTCTTTTGTCGGAATGGTCCGAGAGAAACTCAGAAAACGTGCCTCTGGCGCTTCTTAAACAAGCCCAAAAACCAATGGGTCTTTTTGTAAGCGACAAGAGAGTGTGGGTTTACGGCAGCACCTGGATGGCATTTGTCGACATGACGAAAAACCTAAGACATGCCGTCTCCCGTGGCTCCAACAAGAGAAGCCACAACGGTCTCAGCATCAATGACGAGGAAGACATTGGAGAGCAGATCGTCAAGGATCTTGTGAAGAACGACGATGAGGATGAAGAGATGGTGGACGACGACGACAAGGAAAAGCCCGCTTTCTGGATAACACAAAAGTACAGACCCATTCTCAAGGTGGCTGCTGTGCAGCAGGACTTGTTGGTGGTGGAGAGAGACGCATTTGCATTGCCCCAGGCGCTGGCCTTTGATGTGCCCGTCTACCGTGTTTAATAGACACATTGTGTAATAGAACTAGCATAGAGAAGCGGTGTAGAAACTACAGCGAAAGACGTTCAATCGTAGATAATACATTTGCGAGTTAATGCTGATGGGCTCAGTTGTTGTAGTGGATCTCGGGGATGATTCTTGCAGCCTGGAAGAAACAACGGGCTGCGGCACCAAGACCCATCAAACACTTTTGGGGCTTGCCGCCGTCGGAATCCTCACGCTTGAAGCCAACCTTTTTCTTGCCTTTGAACTCCTCCTTGTAGAGGTCGGCCTTCTCTGGGAAAGTTCCGTGGGGCTCGAAAGTCTGGATATAAAGGCCGTCCTGGGGGTCCTTGGCGTACTTGTAGTACATCAAGATGTTACGGAGCACCTCATCGTGAATGGCCTTGGGCAAACCTTCTGGAGCATCGTTGCCAACGTACAACAAGTAGTCAGCAAGACCCTCGATCAACAACTGCGTCCAGTAGTTGGAGTCACGCCAGTAGCGGAGCTCCATGGGGTAGTCTCTATCGAAAAATGGCACATTGTGGTCGATGGAGGCCTTGGCCAAGTCATCGGCAATGTTCTTCCACTTCTCGTCCTTGGTGATGTGCCACAAGTGGGCTGCACAGGACAAGGTGGTACCCGTGTTGTAGGTAAGCTTACCTTTTTCAAACTTCATGCCGTCAGGCTGCACACCGTCGATGATACACTTGTCCTTCTTGTCTTGAAGAGTGTCAATCTGCCATTGGATGCACTTGGCAGCAAAGTCAATGTAAGTCTGAGCCTCGTCAGGGATGAACTTGGAGCACTGGAGGCACGCTTTGGCAACTTCAGCGGTAGTACAGGCATTGACGTAGGTCTTCGAAACGTGCCACTTGACACCGCCGATCTTGGGGTGCCAGCCTCCCATAAGGAATCTGGTCAATTCTCTGCCCTGGTCCAAAAAGCGTTTCTCGCCAGTCACCTCGTAGGCTGTAAGCATGGCACTGGCCACCTGGGCATCGTCATCGTAGTAGATATCGGTATCGTTACCGCCGTTTTCAGCAGCAGAGAAGCCCTTGGTGTGTTTGTTCTTGTAACGCTGGAAAGTGTCGATGGCAGGACCAATGAGGGGTTTCAATTCAGGGTAGATTCTAGCACCATCCACAACAGCCTGAGCAGCGACAGACACAGCCCAGACCACGAAGGTGTCACTGTTGTAACAACCCAGGCACTTCTTTGGAGCCTTGAAAGTTTTTTTGTTGGGGTTGTAGAAGTAGAGCCACATGCCCCTGGTGATGGCATAGCCTTCAAGATTTGGGTTTGTAAGCGACATGCTGAGAGATGGTTCTACAATGCAGCGTTATCTGGGAACACGGCTCTTATATAGTTGCTGCGGGAGATTGCTGTTGAAGGGGCATTGTGCAGGAGGCACGAGTGACGAAGAGGCCCAAGCCCTGGAGATTCTTCCAAACGGGCTGTAATTTGGGGACGGTAGTACACTGGTGGTATTATTTCTTTTTTCCGCTTTTCAGTGGTGCAATCTGCTTTTTCATGCGGTAGGTTTCCGAATTTCTAGAGCAGCTTCGCCTCGCATCTTGGCTGCAAATTGGCCCACGATAGGCAAATAGTGACGTTTTTCAGAGACATAGCAAGGTTTGTAACCAATGGAAGTGACACAAACGGGGGACAGCGAAGTTCAACGGAAACTTTCATTTTGGGAAGTACGGGCCATTTTGAAGGTGGTTCATCTATATTTACCGTGTTCCGATGATGGTGGGCTGAGCTGCCAAGATGGATGATCTTGACAAGATCCCGATTACGCCGGAAAAAAGGCCCTTAGAAGCCCTTTAAAGCCCCTTCTTATGAAGAAGGCTGAATATCATTTCCTCAGGAAGATCAGGTAATTCTATTTTGATTATTCCATTCTCGGCTCAACTTACAATTGGTGAAAGTTCACCAGCGTTGAACGGCTGAAGAGGCTTCAACTACGCCTCCAACATAATGTATGAATCTCCAAAGTCTCAAAATTACGCTACACTTTCTTCTCTGCAGCAAGCTTCTTTATCGTTTTTACGTCGCTTGCTGGCCGTTTTGTGGCACTATCGACCTGTCAATTGCGGACGTTAGCAGCTCTGCAGAACAATAATTCTCCTTGCACATGAGGCAACTCTAAACGAAAGTCTAAAACATCAACACGTCAAATTTCTGCGACAAGGTCGAAATTCTACGACAAGTTCGAAACTCTACGACAAGGTCATTCGTGCGCTAGTTTATTAGTTATGCAAGCGGACGCTTACTTAGCGTCCAATGGCTTTCTCACAATGTACAACATCATGGGAGTGAACAACTTCTGCTCACCACCCTTCACCAAGTTCACGGCGGCATCCTCCAAGGCACCAGTGACCTGCTTGGAGCCCTTGGGTGCAACACCGAGCTTCTCCATCAAACCGACCATCTCAGTGGTGATGGTTCTACCGAAACGCGATGTTCTGAACACAGTGAAGTAGTCGCTCAATCTCTGCACGTACTTGAACTGGCCAGACAAGGGGTAGTACCATGGGATCTCGTCGTCAACGTCGGCACAGTCTCTCTCGTACTCAATCTCGAAACCAACGTTCTTGAGAGCCTGCTCGGCAACCTCTCTCTTGTACATCTTAGGGATACCGTCACCAACCTCGATACCGTAGGCGATCTTACGGTGCTCCTCGTTGCTCTCGTCGTAATTGTCGGTCATGACCCACTCGTAGACACCGAAAACTCCACCGGGCTTCAACACCTTGTAGATCTCGGAGTAGACACCCTCCAACACTGGAGCGTGCACAGTGGCCTCGATAGCGTACACGGCATCGAACGACTCGGGCTCAAAGTCCATCTGCATGAAGTCACCCTTGACGTACGACAACTTGTGGTCCAACTTGTACTTCTTGGCGTAGTGGTTGGCTCTCTCGATCTGGTAGTCGTTGTTGTTCAAGCCGACAATGGTACAGTCAGTGAATCTGCAGATCTCTCTACCGGGACCACCAACACCACAGCCGACATCCAAGACCTTCATGTCCTCGTTGAGGTTCATCTTGTGGGCCAAGTAGTGCTCGTGTCTGGCGGTGGCCTGTCTGAAGGCCTCACCCTTGTAGTATCTGGAAAAGTGGAAAGAAGAACCCCAACCGTACTCGTAGAAGTCGGTGACCAAGTTGTAGTAGTGGGAGGTCAACTGGGAGTAGTCACCCAATCTCTTCTTCTCGTCATCCTCGGTCACACCACCGTCCCAGTGCTTGAAGTAACCATTGTTGGCAACATCAGCGGCATCCTTGGACTTGGACATGAGGGCGCCCAAACCGGTCTTGGTGTAAGAGTTGCCGTGCAAAGCCTTGGCAAACTCCTGGTCTCTCTCGTGGTTTTTTTCAGCCAAAGGCACAGACATGATTTAGTGTTGAACTAGAAAGCAAAAATCCGACTTTTGGAAAATTGGCTGGCTTGTGCGTTTATATAAACGCGCATGTAGCATTTTTTTTTTTTTTTCTGGCGTCGCGAAAGTACCATCGTACCCTCGTTTAGCGCTGCGTTAGACGCATCTCGTATACTATGCGAGCCCTGCCACCTCATACCATTCTGTCTGGAGTAAGACACGTTTGGAATTATTTTGATAAGATTTGCAGCACTGCATAAGCATGGTCAACGTGTCAGTGTTGCCCGTACGATAAGCTTTGATAAATCCGAAAACGGAACATGGGCTTGAATTTCAGTGAAGCTATGGTCCAGCTACGAGGATGTAGCGATCAGTTTCCAATATCGTAGTCGACATTTTCTTCCTCATCAAGCAACTGATCAATTTCCGCTAGATCTTTCTCTTGTGCCTTTTCTTTTTCTGCCTCCTTTTCTGCCTCTCCTTCACTTGCAGGACCCTCTCGTTCCTGGGGACCCTGGGGATCCTCGTCTCGTTTAGCATCATTTTCACCTTCGGCATCCGGAACTCCATTATTACCGTTGAAGGAGGACTCGCGGGTATGGAGGGACTACGTGATTTCATCATTGGTAGTCTGGCTCGTTCCTCGGCTTCGTCAGCTTCAGCAGCCTCCACAAGTTCGTCAACGGTGGCTCTGAACTTCTCAAAAACTCTCTCCGTAGGTGCATCAAGATTGAATTCTGGATCATTCTTGTTGGTCTCGATCCTATCTTTCGTGTCACTGATAGCCTCCTTTAAGCCTCTAAGTAACGGAGCGCCGATTTCCTTGTACAAGGACAACTTGGGCAAATTCGTAATAATAAGCTTTTTGATCGCCTTAGGGGAGTCCTGCTCCACAATTTCCAAAAACTTCATCACTTGCCAAAGATGTGCTGCACTCTTCTTGTAGTCTTCCTCTCCAACATTGACAATCTCTCGTGGGTCACTCCAATAGATGTACTGCTGAAGCACCGTGCTTGGTGTCATACCCTTCTCGAAAGTATTAAATTTGCTGTCGATGCTGAACATCTCGTAGAAACAGTCGCCGCTAACACTGCTTATCTTGGCCTGATGCTTGGGGTGACTGAATGAGTAGACTGGAACACAGAAGGCCAAGATTTGCTTGAGCTCCTGATTCTGAGCATTGAGTGGATGGAAGTAGGCAATAAGAAGAGCACGTAAAAGTGAGCCCTCGTAGTCAACTTCCTCGTCATCTTCTGCAACTTCATCTTTGCCAAAGTCCTCCATCAAGTCAGCAAGGAATAGCTTGCACAAGCCTTCGGCGACAACAGCTTGCACTCTTGGATGGTCAAACTCTCTCAACATAGTGTGGAAGAGTCTCGCAAGTGAAAGCGAGTCGACTGCAAATTCAGAGTCACCACCAAGGATACCTGCGCCATGTGTAGAGAGAAGGTCAAAAACCACTTGAATTGCTAAAATTCTCAACTCCTCGTCAGCACTCTTCGATGCATACTGACCAAAGATTCTCAAGTTCTTCAATGTGAGGTAATTGTCAAGAAGCGACACCAAACCTAGGCATCGAACTCCAAATCGTTTGACCTCCCAGTTAGCGCTACACATAGCTGGGCGAATCAATGTTTCGATAAGAGAGTCAAACTGATGTGTACTCGAAACCGAGTCCTCTAAAAGCTCGAGATAATGCTGGAGTACCATCAAACACTGGATGAGAAGGTCCTCAGATGGAAGGGATGGTGCAACCTTTCTTCTCTTGCTCGACTCTTCAGTATTCAGCTCGATGTCATCTTCGTCGTCATCTGCAGCGCCATCGTCTTCACCAAATAACGAAGCTGCCGAAACAAAAGTCTGGTCGTTTTCCTCCATTCCAGAATCACGAATATCAGTGATGATCTCAATGCACAAGTTTGAGAAATAGCTTTCATCATTTGAAAGCTGACGGAGAATTTGAACACATAGCACAATAAGCTTGTCTGGCAAGTTATCAGCAGCCAAGGTCTGCGAAATTAACGGTTGTAATTTTCTGGTACCAGCAATGTCTGCGAAGTCACTCCGCTTAATAACAAGAAGAAGTTGTTCGATGATGAATTCTAAATGTTTCATCTGGTCACCGAAAGCCTTGAATTTTCGGGGAATCTCACTAGCTGATTCGTAGTAAGCTTCTCTCTCGTCCTCAAGATGCTGCATGGCTTTGGTATTCTTCTTGAGTGTGTCCTCGTCTTTGGAAAGATAATCTTGTATTTTCACCAATCTATTCTTAAGGTCTTCAAGCTCCTTTGTTGACAGCTTGTTTTTTTCTTTAAGGCTTGCAATCTTTTCATTAATGGAGTCGGTGGTGGCACCAGCTTTTTGAAGGTCGGCCTTTTTCGAAGCTAGGTGAGTCAAGTCATGTTTCGTGCGCTTGATTGTCTCGGTTAACGTTTCGACATGAGACTGACCCAGACTCAATGCTTTTTCATTCTTCGAAATTCTGCGAGCGAGGTCAGCCTGGTCAGCCTCTTTTTCGAGTATGTGTTGATTAAAGCGAGCCATTTTCTTGTTGAACGCAGTGTTTTCGTCTAAAAGTTGCTGATCTCCTTGTATAAGCTTCTTGCGTAGCTTCAAATAGTCGCTCAAGTAGGATGCTAGAACTGTCAACTCAGGAAGACTCTTGTCGAGCTTGTTGTGAAGATTATGGGCATGACAGTAGTCGAGGAAGGTTCTGATGTAAAACGCCCGCTCTGAATCTAGCTCACGCCATTGCTGTTCGGTGAACTCAACTTTGTCCAACGACTCGGAATGCTTATCGAAGTACTCGATCATGGCTGGCTCTGCCGCGTCACTATCTACGACGTTGAGGCGTTCTAGAAGAGCCAAGATCTTCTCGTCGGTCATATTAAGCCAGGTCTTGGTGAACATATTCACAGCGGCCTGTTTCACAGACGTTTCACGGTCATGTAGACCCCATTTAAGAAGGCTCTGGCGCAACTCGACATCGACCTCCTTCAAACTGCCGATTTCAGAAAACACTCTTCCATAGACTAGCCTTCTATTGATAGCATTGGTATCTCTAGCTCGACGAAGCACCTCGGGAATTGTGTATCTATTTTTCGTCACCGTGAGCATTGCAGCACGGCGTACCTCGGGGGACTCGTCGTGGTTCATTGCAGACACAATTGCCCTGACAGCATGGTTAGGCCTCTGATCTCCATTCTGGTCATGAAGCTGAAACATTGACATAGCAACAACGGACTGTAGCCTCACAATATGCTCCTTGTCTCGAAGACCACGGCGCAAGGTGTACTCCAATGCCTTGTATAGGTCCTCGTCGATCTCAGGTACCGTATGGACGAGATATGCCAAAAACTGGGTGATTCTGTACCTCACGTCCTTGAACTTTGACTCTGTGCCACGGAGCAAGTGTCTCAATAGAAATTCCACGAAAACAGTGGGAACTCCATCTTCCTCTTCAGCTGGACGAGACGGCGTCTCACTCTCATCCTCAATCATCTTCTTCACAAACACCGTGACGAATTTAGCGATTCTGTCCGCCAGAGGCACGCCTTTCCGGACTTTTAACACCTTCAGCACGAGCTTGGTGAAATGGAAGTTGAAGCTCTCCTCGTAGTCCAACTCAATGGCTTTGGTTTGGATGTTTCGAAGCACGACCGCGAGTTTTCTATGGCCAGAAAGCGACATTTGAGCATCCTGAAAAACATGAGACATGGCATTTTCAATTTCCGTTAGCGTCTGCATTTGTGTGACGCTTCGAGGCGTCGGCCGGGCGTGGTCCATGGAAAATGGCTTGTTGAAGGGTGTGTTTTGATGAGATCAAGACGTAAACAGCGCGCCTGGAGATGGTGTATGGAGATGAGACGTTGAGACAATCGAAGGATATGAGAAGGTATTGATTTTTGTAAACTTTGGCAAAATGCATTGATCTCGCTTCTTGCATCAGTCATTCTAAAAAAAAGAGGAATTATTCGGAAAAAAATATTATATACTGACGTCCTGGTTGATGCCTTCAATATGGTGGTTAATGGCTGCGAAAAAGTCCACGACAAGAGGCCTATAGGATTACTACAATGCTTTCAAATCTGCAAAAGCTACATGTGGTGAATTGGTGACTTATAAAATGGAAACTTTTATGTCTTTGTCAGTGGTCAATTACAATCATTCTAATATGACTCTTTAGCACAGAGTCAGAGGGACAAAGACAGGACCCTTGTAACGGACATTCAGAAATTGTGATTTTGATTCTTTTCCGTCAACTTCATTTTATCAAGAGACTACTTTTAAAAGGAGAAGTAGCTGCCTGGTTTTGCTTATCTCGTAAACTTGTGCCTGCTTAGGAAGGCTTATCGCAGCTTGCTTGGATCTTGCGTCATAGAATGCGGCACGACTGAAACGGAACTCGTAATCGTAATGCACTATAAAAGGAGCAGATCTGCTCAAAAAAATCATGGAAAGTTGGAACTTTTGTATTGTGCTGAATTGTTTGAATTGCTGTCCCTGGAACTTCTCAATTGGCTACATCACATCAAGACGTTACTTGGACGAATGCAGCGACTTCAATGAATACACAACACCTACTTTTTATAAGAAGGGCAGAGCACTTGCCGGACGTTGAGAACAAAATATCCAAAACTTTCGAGAAAGATCTTTCAAAATATGTATCTCACGATGTCAGCACTTTCTACGTGGGCAAATCTCTGTGGACTGTTGCAACACTTGAGCTAAAAGACATTCCACACTTCGGTCCACAAAACGGGCAAGTCCCTTTTATCGAAGAAGCAAGGAGAAGTTCTGCTCAAACAACACGGATTGGCATTCTTTCACTGTAGGTCAGCTTCATTACTATTAGGCTAAATAGCGTTTTCATTGTAGTAATGAGCTTTTGTTGCAAGAGACTGACATGGTTTATGAGGCAGGATAAACGCCAGATCAATCGTCACCATGGAAAAATAAAAACCACAATGGTTTTGGCGAACTATGGACTTGATGCAAAAAAAAATTGAGTGGTACGGGAATCGAACCCATGTCTGCTGCTTGGAAGGCAGCAATGCTAACCATTACACCAACCACCCTCAGTTCACTACTGTGTGGTAACTCATCTATATATCACCTAAAATAAAAATATACTCAAAATTTGCATTTTTGAAACCGTTTTCAAATTTAACATTTTACGATCTATGTCTCTGCAAATTTTCAGCCCTCTAGCAGCAAAATTGAGCGAGTTATACCCACATCAACACCTTGACATCGCGCACTAACAAAAAAATCAGACCGAAGTATCTTATCAGCATATGGATCTCCCGACAGGTATGTCAGAATGGGCTCAATCTTTCTGAAAATTTGCTAACCTCAGACGCCATCTACGTCGATGTCACAGATCGATTTTTCCGATCCGTGGAAGGCATGAAGCCTGGAAATGTCGTCGCTTCCCAGTACTTCGATATGCTCGAAGGATCAAGAGCTATAGAGATAGGAAACCTTCGTTTGGATACAGGGCTTATTAAATTGAAACAGGAGGAAATCATGTTCGATGCTGCAGCACCTCAAGACGTGGACAACGTGTTGGGCTCCATGAACCACATAACCATGCTGCTCATGCTGTGGTTTCTGGGGCTGTCATTACCTGTGACACTACTCAGTAATCGTTATGTTTTGGACTTTTTGCAGAGTTATCATCGCAGCGGTGGCCAATTGGACAAAACAAGCTTGGTGAACCACAGACTCCATAAGGACGGCTTCACGGAACCGGATCTGGACGAATCACTCTTGGTCAACAAGGTACTCCGAGCATTTGTTGCTGGAATTTGCAAATTCTCTGGAGTAGTCAGAGAGATCGCTTTGAATGTGCTATATGACGAAGAGGACTTGACTACACGAAACATGGACCTCGATATGCTCAGTGCAGTGGACCCCAGCGTCATAATAGAAACAATCGAGGAAGCTAAAGCATGGGTGCAAGTAAAAGAGAAATCAGGGTTGCTTATAGACTACCTCTCCTTGGCTGCTGCATTGGTGTCCATTTGCGATGTTGTTCGCTCCACGATTAGCTTGTACTATCCAGGAGAGAAGCTCTCATTTCCGTGCATTGAAAACATCAAAGAACTTGCCAAAAAGTTAGAAAACGAGAATCTTGGCCTCGGTCCCGAACTTTCCGTCTCTAAATTTGTTCAGACAGACTGCAACAACAAGCATATACCATATGACAACTTCCTTGTTGAACAAAAAAAGGCCTACACTGATTTGTGGAAGATGGCTGCTGAAATCGAAACGTTTGTCACCGCATTCTCCAAATTTGACAATGTTCGCCAGCTCCAGTCTTTCCTTCGCTTCAGCATGGCCCCTCGCATGACAGCAGACTATAGTTCCGTTGCTCGTGGATTTTACCAGCTATTCTTCATAAGAGACGACAAGTCCATCGTCGGTCTGGAGGAGTCCGTGGGCTCTACAGCCATAAGGCTCATGGAGAACTTGAGTTGTGCTGGAACCTCAGTGTTGGATACCGCTTCTTGGAAAATTCCTGAGGAGGATCCGTTCAAAAAAGAGCAAATGCATAGAGACGCTCTTTCTCGAATCGGAGCTCTTCTTGATGACATTGAAAATGCCATGTACAAAATGCTCTCCAATTACGGTAACAACAAGTGCAGACAGAGGCAGTTTGACAACCAGACCATTGTCATTTGGGATACATTACAGTACACTTCTGAGAATCTTGAGCTTTACCTCTTCTCCAAGTTCGCCATTGGCGACAGGTTAGCACCTGACTCCATGGAGCCTGCTCTTCCCGTCACAGCTTTTGCATATCATACCAAGCTCAATGTCATGCTTGAGACCATTTTGAGTGGATTCGAATTGAACTTGTACAAACCTTTTGAAGCCGCTCAAATGTACTGGTATGCCTCATACTTGGCCGAGAACGACCATGCCAATATCTCAGTTAGAGTCAAGCAAATTAATAATGGAAAACTTGCATCAGTTCTGAGTTTGGCTAAAAAGATTAAAAAGGCTAAGGCGGGTCCTAAGAAGGAGGAGTTCAAGAAGTTGCATAAGGCATTGACTGAAGCTGCTGTTCCTCAGGTTAAAAATAATATGCTGTATATCGAGCAGTTCTTGGAGCCTTCGATTTTGGCCATTCAGATGCTTTGCATTGCGGTATCCCAAACCTTGCTCTTGTATCAACTGCTTGGTGCAAACATGGGCAAACCGCCGGCGATTGTGGACGACGAGCTTTTGTACAATTTACGTATGAAGCCGTGGCGCTCAGTGGAGGTGCCAGCATGTCCAAGCTTCACTGAGTATCAGGAAGCTACAGAGTTCTACACCTCTTTTGGAAAGCTTGGTCCTGATATGAAGAAGCAGAGGTATATCGATGTAATTGGAGACCTCAGGAGGAACTTCAGCGGAGCTTTGCAGCTTTTGAGTGACATTGTTGAGAAGTTTGACACTGACTCGATGAAGTCGTTCTTCAAGGGTTCCGAGAAGGACGCACGTCTGTGGTATGACAATATTCGCAAGACGTGTGGGGCCTACCTAGAGGAGCTCCAGAGTCTTGAACTGAAGATAAAGACTGATTCAGTTGAGAGTGATACGAAGGTGAAGATCTCCGAAACGTATCACGAATACTTCCCCATCTACACCATGGTAACGAAGCAGAAATGAGTCGTCTCCCGCAAACAATTAAAAAAAATTCCTCCACGAACGAGATCTCTACGTATGTCTCGAATTCAAAATGGTCACATGCAGCTGGGGAAAGTCCGGGGTCGGCTCCGTGGGCTTCGCATCGGTCACGAAGTCCGAACCCGAGACCCAGAACGGGCCGTTTCGGAGTAAAATTGACTCAGACAATACGCACGTCATTTCAGCTGCCTCCGTGTAATTTGTGGAAGGGAGGTGCATGGGTTAGGATGGCATGCCTCGTGTAGCCGAGTTGCAGCCAGGGAGCAAGTGGTCTCATTGTGTGGAGGCCTCGCCGGTTCTCCAGCAGTTTGCTGGGTCTGAGTTTGAGACACAAAGGGGGAGCAAACCAAGCTCGTAACCTACAATCTTGTGAATATCAACTCCTTCGTCTGACTACATCATTAGTCTTTTTCCATTGACAGCTCTTTGCATCGCTGCATGCGTGAGTCAAAGGCCCGTTTCAGGTGCTATTTTTTTATGGCTTGTCTGCGAAGGTTCCGCCGCATTCTAGCCTTCAATTTCGCACCCAAAGGCTCTCCTAAAGGATTTGTCAGCATCTCTTCCACCCAAGCGCGGCGTGCTGCTGCCGCTGCTAAACGAAGAAACAGGCTTCTGCAAAAAAAAAAAAAAAAAAAAAAAAAAGCCAATATGTTAAAAGTGCCGGATCCTGTCTTATATACCCCCGATCTCTGCTCCATCTCTGCCGCGGGAGGAAAAAGCAATTCGTCACTGCCCACTACTTAAAGCCCCTCACTCCCGCATCAGACGTTAGCCTATATACCATCTATCTAACGTCACTTGCCACCCACAACCTACTACTTCTTTTTTCCAAAGACGCTAAGGTACCCAATTTTAGTTGCGATAGGGGACATTAAAAAAACTAGCCTAATTCCAAATCTCCGTATATTCCGTTTTTAGTCTCCCGAATCCTTCCCACCCAACCCCAGACTTCGCCATGGTCGACAAGAGAGAACACCCCGAAGCGGAGACGGAGTCGTCGCTTGCTCACGAGGACAAAAAGACTCACGTCAAGCCAGGCAGAAAGTACGCCAACACAGAGCCAAAATCCAAGAGAACTGCTCAGAACAGAGCCGCCCAGAGGGCCTACAGAGAAAGAAAGGAGAAGAAAATGAAGGACCTTGAGGACAAGGTCGCCGATTTGGAGGACAAGAACATCAAGGCTGCCACGGAGCAGGACTTGTTGAAGGCCCAGATTGACCTCTTGAAGAGGGAGCTCGCCCGCCACAGAGGACACCTGGATTTTTCAGATCTCCAGTTGCCCACCTCCGTGGGTAAGTTGACGAACCCTAATCCTGACCGTAAGAAGGACAAACGAACTGTGGCCGACACGCCCAATGCCGAGTTCCCTTGGTCTGCGGAGAACTTGCAGAATGCTCCTTCTAACTACTCCAGCCAGCAATTGCCAGACTTGGTTAGCGGCTCCTCGCTGTCTACGTCACCCAACGAGGGCAATTTTGTCTCTCCCGACTCTCAAACGAGCGAGTCTCAGCACGGCCTGATCAACATGAACCTTAGTCCGCAGAATCAGTTTAATATCTCGCCTCGCTACGAAGAACAGCTTGATCCATTCTGTGTGAAGCTTAACGAAGCTTGCGGTACGAAGCAGCGGCCGGTGCCAAAGTACCGTCGTGAAGGAAACGATATTCCTCCCGTCAGAGAGGAGGACGTGCCCCAGCCCGTGGCGCCAGAAACCGACTTCCAGTCGCTATTCACGCCTGCCGAACACATTAACGACCCATTCTTCAACGACACATCCAACTACAACTTCAATTTCCCCGTTAACGAGGACCAGAACGACCTTCTATCGTTCTACAACGACAACAACTTTGACGTGTCGCTAGCGTTTGGCAACCCAACCAACGAGCTCGAGAACAGACAAGATAAGCCCAACATCGAGGGTCTCGTGAGCGAGGAGTCTGCCTACGACCCACTCGGCAGCGTCAACACAGACTTTAACTTTAACGAGTTCGTCAAGAGCAGCTTACCGTCTGATGCCAGTTCGAGAACGAACTCTGTCAGCGGCGCCAACAGATCCACGCTGTCGGTGACGAGTTACAACAGCAGTCCCGCTATCAAGGAGGAGAAACAGGAGGAGGAGGTTGTGCCTGCTCCTGACAAGACGATCAAGTGTTCTGAGATCTGGGACCGCATCACCTCTCACCCTCGCTACACGGACTTGGACATTGACGGATTGTGTAACGAGTTGAAGAGCAAGGCCAAGTGCTCTGAGAAGGGCGTTGTGTTGGACCTGAAGGACGTGAACAAACTTATCGAGAAGTCCGTGAGCAAGTTTGGCATGAAGACTTGATATGTATTTGATTTATCATGAAATTACGAATGGCGTTTAAGAGTGAAGCAGGCGACCGTAGTGATCGACAAGTGAAGTGAAAATCTCGTAAATCAACTGACGAAGTCGTCAGCATTCCCCGGATTTTTCTGAAATTCCCCGGTCTTACTTATCTGGGTATCCCGACGAATTCGCTTAAGCGCAGAACCAGCTCAGCGATCCCCACATCCTCAATGCGAGCAGGCCACTTTAAGCGCCACGGAGTTGTTGACACAAAAAACCGCGCTCCTTGAAATCAAAATGTTTCATGAATCCCAAATTTATTCAGAGTTTTGCCCCGCTTCAGCCGGATTCGATCTCCAAAAGGCTTCTGCAAGTGAACCTCGAAGAAGTCTATTTCTCTTAAGGGTAGTTACAGCCTCCAGCCGTCCCCGCGGTACCTGGTTCCACGGAACGAGCCCCACTTGAAACGGAGCTACCCAACGAAAAACAAGAAAATGCTTCACACAAAACAATCAAAAAAAGTTGTTTCAAGTGCCACAAAAGCAAAAATACAATGAGGAGGTTGAGGCAAAGCAGCGGATTGAACAATGGTGACGGGGTTAACCTCGGGCGTCCCTCCCAGATTCCGCGTTTTGCAACCATTAGCAAGCGAGATAACGTGGGGCAGTGAGGGCTCCGAATTAGGTTCACAGTTTGGAACTTGATGAAAAAGAACCAAAAACAAAAGAAGCAAAACGTTCACAGTAGTTCGGGAGTCGTGACTGATTGTGAACAATGAACAACGGCTTTGACAGAGACATCTTATACATGTATTGCCAGAGCTCCGCCACCCCTCTCTCGTTTCGATTACTTCCCGCTACGCAGATCAGCGGGGACCCCCACCTGGGCATCACTATAAAAAGAGCCATTTCCTCTTTTTTAAAAATCCATGGGTAAGGACAATCTGGCCGTTAGCATCGAGGAAAGACCCCTGGGGTCGATCGACAAGCCTTCTGTGGAGTGGGTTGAAGTCAAGGACGAAGAGGCTGGCGTTGATGAAGCCGCTGTGGATATCGAGAAGTTTTCAGACATTGACGAGAAGAAATTGCTCTGGAAGATCGATCTTCACTTGATTCCGCTTTTTACTGTTTTGTACTTGCTTAGCTTTTTGGATAGAGGCAACATTGGAAATGCCAAAATAGAGGGTCTTTCCGAGGACTTGAACTTGGTTGGCAACCAGTACAACTTGTGTTTGACGATTTTCTTCATTTTTTACGCTTCCATGGAGATCCCTTCAAATGTCATTTTGCACCACGTCAAGCCTAGATTGTACATCCCCACCACGATGGTGTTGTGGTCGGTTGTCATGACATTGATGGGAACAGTGCAGAACTATCACCAGCTCATGGCCACCAGAGCGCTTTTGGGTTTGTTTGAAGCTTCGCTTTTCCCGGGCATTTCGTACATTTTGTCGATGTACTATAAGAAATCGGAGATTCTCGTCAGAGAGGCTATTTTCTTCAGTGCCGCCTCCATAGCCGGTGCTTTTTCGGGGCTTTTGGCTGCTGCAATTTCTCAAATGGACGGAATTGGTGGATATGAGGGCTGGAGATGGATTTTCATTTTGGAGGGTTTGCTTACCTTTGTCGCTGCCGCCTTGTCGTACTTTTGTTTCCCATTGTACCCCAAGGAAAGTACTTTCCTTACGCCTAAAGAGCGTGAGTTTGTGGTTCACAGGGTGAAGTACTCCTCCAATGCTGAAAATCAGAAAATGACCGGAGCTGGTGCTCCTCCTTCCATGAACTTGGGTGAGGATAATTCTGGTAATGCCTCCAACGTCTGGGCTGTTTTCAAGGACTGGCAGTCGTGGTGCCAGCTTATGACCTACTACGGAGTCTGTGTGCCTCTCTACGGTGTGTCCTTGTTTACACCCACAATTGTCAAAAACTTGGGCTACACATCTACACGTGCACAGCTTATGTCGGCACCTGTTTACATTGTGGCTGCTGTGTTCTGTATTTTCCAGGCCTGGGTCTCCGATAGAGTGGGCCTCAGAACACCGTTTTTGACATTTGACTTGGTATGTATCGCAGTCGGCTACAGCATTTGTTTGGCTCTCTCACCGGAGGATCTGCCTCGGGCCGTCTATGCTGGAGTTTACATTATGGCGTTGGGTATCTATTCTGCTTTCCCGCTTGTGGTGATTTGGTTCTCCAACAACTTAGCTGGATCGTACAAGAGAGCCGTGGGCATGGCCTTCCAAATTGGTATTGGCAATTTTGCCGGTGCATTTTCGTCAAACTTCTACAGAGAACAGGATGCTCCCGAGTACAAGTTGGGCCATGGCCTTGAGCTTGGATTCTCCGTCATGGGTCTTCTTTTTATGTTTATCACTATAATCGGCTACGTTGCAAGTAACCGAAAGAAGAAGAGAGATCTTGCATTGGGCAAGTACGATGGAGTTCCTCCCGAGGAGCTTGTCAAGATGGGCGACAAGAGTCCCCACTTTGTGTACCGTTTGTAGCTGGCTACAACATGAATTACGAGAAAGAAGTTACGAGAAAGAAGTTACGAGAAAGAAGTTACGAGACAGAAGTTACGAGACAGAAGTTACGAGACAGAAAAAGATTTGAGAGATGTAGTGTAGTTGAGGTTTTAGGTTTGTACTATTCAACAACGTAAGAGGAGGCAGTTTCCCGTCCCATCAACCAAATTCAAAAAAATATTGAAAGCAAATTCGGCTAGATTCTGACGGTGTAAAACTGAAGTTAAATGTCTCAGTGCCGAATTCGGTTTAAGCTTTCCTGGTTCCGGATCTTACTCGGGCTCGCTAGACGACAGGCATATTGATTGCCTATACCAGCAACACACTTTGGCGAAGTTCACCAAAAAAAGTCCCTAGCGTAAAGATCATCATCTCAACTTGTTCTCCTTTTCCTTCTTTTCCAGCCTACCAGCCTACCCCAGATCTACATCTCACTCTGGTGGGGTGATTGTTTCTACTCCCAAACGAGTAATTCAGCCGTATTGTCGCGAGCCTCACCAGCCACAACGTCACCAATACCAACTAAACTTCAATATCCACAAAGCAAAGCCTCCTTGAATCAAACTTCCTAACCTTAAATTCAAAATCAACTCTGAAAAGCTTTTTCACCACCCACGCCGTTCTAGAACAGGCTGACGCCGCACGGGTGGCTGCGAAATCCAGGAACCAATCTAAACCACAAGACCGCCCAAGAATTGCCCGAAATCCGTGAATAACTTAGCTTCTTTTCTGTCGGTTGCCAAGCGGCATCCGCCTCTGCGCTACATAACTCGAGTTCCCGGTTCCTGCTGAAAAGTCAAGAAAAATAACAATGCTGCTACCACCGAGGTCGTGGTGGACCTACAGAGAAGCCCAGAAGCCAGCGGGCCGCCAAAGCCGAAAAAGAGAAAAAGCCGAAAAAGAAAGAAAAGCCTTCGATTTTTTTTCGTTTTTCTTGACAAAAATCACCTAAGCGAGTCTAAGCCACGGGTGCAAGGTGGTGGTGTTTGATTGTCTTGAAAATCGGTGCCGCGGTTCATGCTGGTATGAGGACTAAAGCAGCCGCAGCCCCGGGATCTCGAACCACCTCTAGGAAAGGTCATAAGCAGCAGAAAAGAAAAAAACCTCTACTTTTGAACGAATTTCAAATTTTAAAAAATCCCACCGCAGCAACTTCTTTCTTTGTGCTTGCCAGCAGCAGCAACCGGGCAGTTGCTGAAAGGTTCTAGCCGTTCTGCTGCTTTTCGCTCACTTTTTTTTTTTTTTTTTCTTTTAGGATGTGCGTGCCATCGCCTAGAAACGCTCACTCAAGGGCCTCGAAATCTCGCTGAGAACCGTTTTAAGCCGTGGTGCACGGGTTTCCTTCCAAATCCACCATCTCCCTCTCTTCCCAAGACTCCCTCTTTCAAGAAATTCCTTCTCGTTCCTCGCCAGCTGCCAATACCCTGGGCACCCTTGGTCCTGCCCAAAACTAGTAATCGTCCAGACACTCTTTGTTGTCCTGCACACAGTCCGCTAGGCCCATTCTCTACACACCTCCAAACCTCGAGCCGTCTTCATCTCCATACCACAAGTCTCTTCTTTTTTCCAAAAAGGCCCCACCCCTCCCACACCGTTGGTCCCCACGCTCCTTCCCTACCTATTTGCAAAAGCCCCCGCAAAAACCCCTTGTCACCAGGAGTACGCGACACATACACCAGTGAAACCGCCTCTGTAAACAAACGAGCCAAACAGACAAGTACCCACACTTTTGCCACACCATCTATCCCGCCATGACCCTGGGTCTCCTTCTATGCATAAAGCAGTTTAATGCTCGCCTCGGCGACGAGTTGAATCTCGCTGTCGGGGAGAAAATCGAGGTGTTAGCCGACGACTCTGAGTATAACGACGGCTGGTATATGGGTAAGTCCGTCACCAGCGGCAAGGTTGGACTTTTTCCCAAACTGTTCACGAAACCCGTGGCCGAACAGCCCCTGGAACCTACTTTGTTGAGGTCCCGTTCCCGCAGAGTTCCCTCTGGTCAGAAGAAAGATACGGGTAGCAGGTTAGCTTCCCAGGAGAAGCCCTCGACGCAGCCAGAGCAGACACAGACGCAGCTGAACGACGTCCACTCCACGATGAACGAGATCGATAAGGCCTTGGAAGAGCTCCAGACGTCTACGCGTGAGTCGTCGAAGGAAGACGTCCAGGCCAAGGAGGAAAAGCCAGCAGAGCAGCCTAAAAAGGGCCACAACCGTAACGTGTCCACTCAGTCTCTCACTACCGACCTCAACCCCTTGCAAGCTTCAGAATGGACGCCCAAGCAGGTTCTGTCTTATTTCGCTATCGTGTTGGGCTTCGACATGAGCGTGGCTGGTAAGTTCGCTCGCCACAAGATCACGGGTGAAATTTTGTTCCAGCTTGACTTGGCCCATCTCAAGGAATTGGACATTGACTCCTTCGGTACTCGTTTCGAGGTCTACAAGGAAATCGAGAAGCTCAAGGATATGGCCTCCAGAACTCCTGGCAGCCGCGTCGCTTCCAAAACTAATGCACCTGAAAAGGTCGTCCAGCCTGAAGAGAACGAAGAGTCTCACAAGGAAGCCTCTCACAAGGAAGCCTCTCCGCCATTCAATAACTCTGATCTGGATGAGGGCGAGAAGGAGAGAACCCATGATCGCGAGCCCAAGAGTGCCTCCACGCTTCTCCCAGCACCTTCTTTCAACCCATATGCCAAAGAAAACGGAAAGAGAGCAGCATCGGCTAAGAGCCATGCTAGAACAAGATCTCAATCTATGGAAAACTTGCTGGCTTTGAATACCCCCAAGACAGACACTTCTTTCATGTCACCCAGGAAGGCCCCTGAGCCTCCTGCTTTGAGCCCTATGAACAAGAACTTCAAGTTCGGTGGCAGTCCAGCTGTTCCACAAAGCAACGACTCTCCAGCTAGCCACAGCTTCTACATGACCAGAACAAACGCTTCCTCGGGTATGGTCAACAGCCCTGGTGGCACCTCCAGACCTGCCTCATCTATCTACGATGCTGGCACTCTGGGTCATCATAGACGCACTTCCTCCAGTAAGAATGAGATGGCCCACAGAAGACATTCTTCCCTCTTCTCGTTCATGTCTGGTAATGGTAACGAAGAGTCTGGTGTCCCACAGAAGGAGAAGTTGCACAGTCAGAACTTAACTAAGGGTCTTGCAAGTCCAACGAAAAACAAGAGAGCTTCAAGGCTCTTTGACAAGCAACCTGATCCAGCTGAGTTCACCGAAGACACTTTGCCAGACATTGACGATGTGAACCTTTCGCCAAAGAAGGAGAGAGTCGCCTCAGGTGGTTCAAATAAGAGTGGTGACGATAAGCGTAACGCTAGCAGATTGAAGAGCTTGCGTTCGGTTTCTACCTCGAATTTCAGAGGTCTCACCGGATCGAGAAAACTGAAGACCTCCGCTTTCCAGGAAGGTATCAGAGACATTACTCCTGACGAGGCTATCAAGACTTCCAGTTTCAGCGGCTGGATGTCAAAGAAGTCAGGTAGTACCTTGGGTTGGAGATCGCGCTACTTCACACTTCACGGCACGAGGTTGTCTTACTTCACTAATTTGCGTGACAAGCGTGAAAAGGGTTTGATCGACATTACCGCCCATAAGGTTATTCCTATCAGTACTGATGGAGACAGTGCAAGCAGTAACGACAAATACATTGCTCTCTACGCAGCCCTGACAGGTCTCGGAAGATTCTGTTTCAAGATTGTTCCTCCAGCACCGGGCTTCAAGAAGGGTTTGACGTTCACGCAACCCAAGACCCATTTCTTCGCCGTTGAGACGCAGGAGGAGATGAAGGGCTGGTTGAAGGCTCTTATGACTGCCACCATTGATATCGACGACAGCGTTCCTGTGGTGAGTAGTTGCAACACGCCCACGGTCTCTTTGGCGAAGGCCCAGGAGCTTCTTGCTAAGGCCAGAGAAGAGAACAAAGTCAGAGACGAGGAACTTAGGGCGAAAGGATTCATTCGTGATGGTGAGTTGCTTGAGGACATGACTAACTCGACGACGCTCTACAATGACAGCAATACCTCTGAGGAGGCTTCCCCTGTTGTTGGGTACATGGATGAGACAACCATCTCTTCGAGCAGTACCGGACAAGCACCACCACCTAAGCTTACCGTTGACACATCGGCGACCAAGGTTAAACGCGGCCCCACCACACCCCAATTGCCTTCTGGTCAAGGTTTTTCCTCCCCATACCTTCTAGCTTCAGGAATCCTTTCTCCCAAGCAAGCGGGATCTTCTGCTGGCAGCACCCCCAACACCACCAAGTCAGCTAAAAAGGAGTACTTCCCTGACATGGGCACTCCTGCTTCGGAGAAGCTGGATGGCTCTTTTGAGCAGCCTGTTTTCAGCAATAGCAATGGCAGAATCTTGAGTGGCAGCAAGAAGAAGGACAAGTCGGATAAGCTTATGGCTTACACCAGTGACGGATCTTTTGTGATCAAGTCTAAAAAATAATGTTGTAACAATCTTTAATTACTAATGATGATCTTGAGGTTATACAATTGATGAAGAACAATACATGAATAACATATCCCAGACAATACTTTTTGTAGACGTTGAATTCTCCGTTCGCATTAGGAGTAACTGATTATTCCGTCTTACGGCGGCGATCGAGTAAAAAGATAGATCAGTACTATTACTTCAAATAATTATTCACTAGAAGTAGCTATTTGTCCAATAGATTGATTTAATTGCGTGGTGTTGGTAATTACAATGCAAAACTGAATATTGTACTGAATCTCGAAAATGGCTGCGAATTTTGAAAACTGTACGTTCGATTAGACACAGCAAAGAAAGTGTACATATCATTTCGTCACTTAAAAATCGAGTTCACGGCGGGAAGACAATTAACCTTAATCAAATCAATTAGCAAAACAATCTCATTCTTGGAAATCCTTTGCAACTAACTTTGAGCCACATGTAGCTTCTCCAAGAGTTGATTCATCTGAATAGCCATTTACCAGCCCTGGAACCACCCAGTAGTTTCATAAGAAACAGAGATATTTGCGATAGCTGGATGTTTTTGCTTACTCAATTCCTTGACATTTTGAACTCTTTGAATTCTGTTCATCTGGCTTTACATATACGGATGGAGCAAACTCGTAATACGCTTCAATCTCGTAATTTACTTCTTTTTCATGAACCAAACATACGTCGAGCCAGGTCAATAAGAGAAACTCCTCAAATACAATCAGCCGAGAATTCCTAGCAGAGTCCAATTTTGACCCCTTCACCCACATTATCACCTCACTACCTCCACTGTTATGTTGATCTGGGGAAGCGCGAAGATCAACTTTGACCTACCACTATGGAAGACGTCAATGTTACCCAGCAGCTCCGACTGGTCATCGTGCACCTGTTGGATACGTTCAACTATAGGAACGCCGAGTTTGCTGCCGAGCACTTGGTCGCTTTAACCCCAAACAACCCAGACCTGCTCTTCCTATATGCCCTAGTGCTATACCGTCAGAGCAAATACAAACTGGCCTTCAACAGAACGGCACTGGAGCTTGGTCATGGCCACTTGGGCTGTGCCTACATCTACGCAAGGCTGTGTCTTCACTTGGGCAAATACAAGGAGGGAATCTACACTTTGGTGGGAGTACTGCCTTTGTACAATGAAAGCAGTGAATCCAAGAGCCTGTCGTGGGGACAACTGCCGGAGCCCGAGCCCCTGACTTCGTACTTTCTGCTGCCTAGACAGCGTCACGAATACGAAGCTCACAGGCTGCTTCTTCCAGACCTGCTGGCGGTATACCACTTGCTAGGAGACTTGTATAAGGCAGAGGGTGACACCACCAAGAGTGCTTTGAACTACGCCACGGCCGTAAAACTCAATGTCTTTGACTTTGAAGCATTTCAGGAATTGGCTCGTTCTGGTACCGACGTCAGAGTAAAGGCCATCTACAAGCCAAACCAGCGTCGCACACTGCCGCTGCCGGTACTTGAACCTAAAAGCATCAACACAAACGACTCGGCAGGCATTTCCAACCCGTTTGCTACGCCCAGGTTGGCCAAAAATGTCGATGTTTCCACGCCTCGAATACTATCGGCGTCAGTGCCAGATGCTCCGCTTCGAAAGCCCCAGGATGAGTTCAAACCACCTGCGCCAGTACTGAATGCGTCCCTACAACAGGTGCCTCAAATCCAGGTACCTCAACCTCCTAAAAAACACTACACAAAACGGCTGTCGTTGGCCCCTCCCTCGGCCCAGACTCGCCAGGGCCTCAAGAGAACATCGTCACTGGGTTTCATCTCAGAGGCTCGCCTGCCCTCACAGAAGGACGTTGAAGCTGCTGACCTCACCCTACGCAAACTCTTCTCCACTTTGGCCAAGGCATACAAGTGCTTCTGTAAGTATGACTGCTACAAGGCCATCCGTCTTCTTGAGCTGTTGCCTGATAATATCAAAGACACTCCCTGGGCTCTCAGTAAGCTCGGGCGTCTTCACTACGAGATCGTCAATTACAAGCAGAGCAGACGTTTCTTTATCAGGTTACGCCAGTCAGACCGTACCAGGCTTGAGGACATGGAATATTATTCCACATTACTTTGGCATTTACAGAAAAATGTCGAGCTCACCTACTTGGCCAATGAAGTCCACGACATTGACGCTCTGCTGCCCATTACCTGGTGTGTCATGGGTAACCTCTTCTCGTTGACTCGGGAACCTGACGAAGCTATTCGTTGCTTCGACAAAGCCATCAAGATCGACCCTCATTTCACCTATGCACATACGCTCAAGGGCCACGAGTACTATTCGAACGACAACTACGAGAAGGCACTCGATTGCTTCCGCTTGAGTCTCCTCATGGACCCTCGTCACTACAATGCCTTATATGGTATTGGAATGGTGTACATCAACTTGGGTGAACTCAGTAAGGCAGACTTCCACTTCAAAAAAGCCGTGGCGATCAACCCGATCAACGTGATCTTGATTTGCTGTGTCGGCATGGTGTTGGAAAAGCTTGGTAAGAAGTCATTGGCGTTGAAGCAATACGACTTGGCCAGCAAGCTCCAACCCCTCTCAGCGTTGCCCATCTTTAAAAAAGCGTCGCTTCTATTCTCCCTCCAACAATTCGACAAGGCCTTGGAACAATTCGAACTCGTCAAGGAGCTTGCACCAAATGAGGCATCTGTGCACTTCCTACTTGCACAGCTCTACAATATACAAAACGACAAATACCTGGCGATTCGGGAGTTCACCATCGCCTTGAACCTCGATCCCAAGGGAAACTATTTGATCAGAGAGGCGATGGAGATGCTCAAAGAATCGTAACAATGCAAGAAGACGACAAGAAAATTGGCACCCGCTTACGGGCGACTTGGCAGAACCTTAACCAATTGACTTCGCCATGGTGGCTTGGAACAAAGCTTAAGAAAACTCCATGACATTTGGTTAATTCGCACATCAATGGCTGTGGCTACATTCTCAAATAGCCGCGAGCAGCATCAACATGCGTACCGACCTTCATATAATATGCTCACATTGAATACCCGAGTCTTTTGGAGTTTTTGATCAACGTTTGATTCCACCCTAATCTGTTATGGTACGCGCCGTCGGCCTCTTGGGCCTACTATATATTTGTGCGTTCTGTTCAGCTATAGATCTTATACAGCTGAAACGCCTGTATCACAAGGGAGATCATGTGGATCTTCTTCTAAACAAGATCGAAAGCGACCATACACAATTACCATACAGATACCACGACTTGCCTTTTGTGTGTCATGATAAAACAAAACAAGCAAAAACGCCGTCGCTAGGTGAGGTGCTTAAGGGCGATCGCTTCTGGGAATCCAACTATCAACTTCGGTTCGGAGAAGATGTGCCGTGTCAACGTCTCTGTGATATGTCTGCTACAACTCAGGCCATGACTTGGGCAGACTCCCTCATAAGAAAAGGTTACGTTGTCCATTGGATTCTCGACGGATTGCCAGGCGCCACAACTTTTGAGAGCTCCAACTCCAGGTCTAAGTACTATGCAGCAGGTTTCCCGCTCGGGTTCGTTCAGAACGATGTATCTTACTACTACAACCACGTTGTTCTTGTGGTTAGGTACCATACTGAGCCGGACGGAAGCCACTCGATTGTTGGCTTCGAGGTCTATCCAAGAGTGTGATTGATGAGACATGCCCTGGGTCATCGAAGAATTACAAAAACTTCCCTATCATCCTCAAGGATGCCCAAGGTAAGCCAAAAGAAGGAAGGACAATCATTCCGTACACGTACGCTGTCTACTGGAGAGAGGATATTTCAGTGGGCCATGAAAATCGCTGGACCTTTATTACGAGAATGACAATTCGGCCTCTTCTCGAAAAATTCACTGGATATCCTTGGTTAACTCACTTGTTCTCGTGTGTCTTGTTTCCCTCATAGTGGCCATTGTGATGGTAAGATTCCTCAAATCAGACCTCAAGACCGGCCCAGTCATTCCCACTACTGACCTGAAAGCTGATTATGAACAGAATCTGTGGAAAGCTTTATCAGATGTAGCTGTTCAAAGTCCATTTGCGCCTATTCTACTCAGCAGCTTGTGCGCTGCAGGTGTCCAGATACTCGTTGCTATGATAGGAGTTGTTGTCATTTTCGTCTTGAATTCCAAACTTAGCTTGAGCCCCGGTACTTCCTCCAGTATCTTCTTTGAGAACCATCAAAGCACAATCTTTTCATGCTCGGTATTCTTCTTGTTGGCATCAGGTTTCGTGTCGTCATACGTCGGCGTTATCTTGCACAAACTTTTGAAGAATGATCACCCCAACACTACGTTTGAATTAGGTACAGTGAGTCTATTGGGAGCAATTTTTGCTGGGCTTCTTCCATTCCTTGTCATGGGTGCGTATCTTGTCATCAATTTATTTGTTTGGGCGAAGGAATCATCCAACGCTTTGCCGTTCGGTACCATCGTACTCCTCATTTTGATGTTTGCTCTCATACAAATACCTTTGGGAATTGTGGGAGCCTACTATGGTAACAAGTTCAAGTTCCTGAACAAGTCCTGTTTCATCAACTCATATGTCCCAGCCGAAAAAGGCGGTAAGAAATCAAGCTCAAAACGCCAGCAATTTCTCGGACCAGCAGTCAGCACTTTCGCTTTCGGACTCATTCCATTCGGAATTGTTTATGTGGATCTTCTCTTCATCTTCAATTCCGTTTGGCTTGAGAAAACTACATTCTACTACATGTATGGGTTCTTGCTACTTACCACAGTGCTTTTGCTTATCGTGATTGCAGAGTCATCAATTGTGGCTACCTATATCACTTTGACTGCTTTCAAAAACCCCAATTGGCAATGGCTTTGTTTCCAAGTGGGCTCTAGCATTGGATGGTACATTTACGGGTACACCACATACTATTTCGTTCGCTATCTTCAAATGAGTGATATCGTGAGCGTGCTTATCTATTTCGCCTATATGGCGATGGTGTCGGCGGCTGTCGGCGTGGCTGGAGGAGCCGTGGGTGTTGTCACGGCAACAGTATTTATCAGAAAGATCTACGGAGCAATCAAGGTGGATTAGACCCTAATATATAGACTACAATCAAACAATGCATCAACGTGTATTCGTTCGTTTTAGTATTTCTAGAAGAAATGGAGTGTGAGGTAAGTGAATAAACTGCTTAGTCCAAAGAAGAAGCACCAGTAATGATATCCACCAATTCGTTAGTAATAACAGCCTGTCTGGTTCTGTTGTACAAGATGGAGTAGGAGTTGATCATGTCACCGGCGTTCTTGGAGGCATTGTCCATAGCGTTTCTTCTAGCAGAAATCTCGGAAGCGTGACCCTCAGCCTGGGCGGTCAAGATGGAGTTAGCCAAGGAGAATTCGGCAAAGTCCTCAGATGTGTTTTCAGTCTCCAACTCGTACTTGCTCAAGCCAGGAGCCTTTTCGATAGCGTCGGCGGTGAAAACGTTGAAACTGGATGGCACGAAAGAGACACCAGTCACGAACTTGTTGTACATGATCTCAGTGTTCTCGTACTTACCCAAAGTAGCGATCTCGTCGGCAATGGCGGAAGCCTCGTGGAAAGTTGGCTCCTCCTTACCAACACCGGAGAAGGCTAAGGCCAACTTGTCGGCGTGGGTTCTGGACAACTGAGCCTTGACCTTGTCACCAATGGCGACAATGTCAGCGTTGCCGTTCAACTCCTCAATTCTTTTTCTGGCAGCCTTGGAGATCTGGGTGTGGATGGAACCACACAAACCCTTGTCGGAAGAAACAACGACCAACAAGGTCTTGTCCTCCTTGGAGGTCTCTGGCTCGGTGTTCTTGTAGAACTCAGCGTCAGACTCGTTGAACACTCTGGACGCCTGCATGGCTCTCTGGGCCTTGTTCAATCTGGTGGAAGCAACGATCTTCATGGTGTTGGTGATCTTCTCGATGTTCTTAATCGACTTAAGACGCATCTCAATGTCTCTCAAAGTAGCGTAGTTTCTGAACGGTTAGTACTCAATTGACGGCGATGGTGGGGTTGTTGGCGTCGAAGAAACGCCGCTTTTCAACCAATGGCATCGTAAAACATACCTCACCCCTGAGCGGGCGACCTGGGCAGTGCCGAGACGGAACATTGTGGATGAGTATAGCACGGGACAAGTAGATGGAGAGTTGTAGGTGGTTTTTTTTCTGAGGTCGTTCGGCACCCGGACTGGTGCGAGGACTGGATATGATTGGCTCGTGGAGGCAATAGAGCGCGGTCGGTACCAGGCACGTGATGTCCAGTGGAAATTCAGTGAAATGGGTTTTGGAGGGTTTGGATGGGGAAATGGTTGGTGGAATTGGAGTTTTGAGCTTGAATTGGGTGTGTATGTGAGTTTTGGTGGGATTCTAGGAAGATTTGGTGGTTTTAGCGTGGGGTTGTTGAGGTATACTGACTGCGAAATAGGACGCTATAGGCTAGGCAGTGGAGGGTGTGGAGTGAAAAATAGGGACTACCGTGGTGGGTAGCCCAGAGCGATTATTTAGAATAATTTGAAAGAGAACAATGGTTCGAAAATGTCTAAAAAGTTGAATTTTTATACAGATCTGGAGTGGATCATTGCTTCAATGGCTGCAAAATGGCTGAGATTAGGAAGACAAGGGACCAGAATGCCCTCCGTCTTGCTAGTTTTACAAATGAAGTGAATGTTATGTTTTCTGGTGAGACTTAAACCTCTATTGCTTGTTAAAAACACTATCCACTATCATAAGTATTCAGAGGATGTACGTTCAACGGTTTATCTCACGTAGACAGACTCTAAATAGCATTCATGGTCTGAATAAAGCCAAAGGTTGATAAATTTCAATGACCTTGAAAAGCTTGCTATTGTGAATATCGTTCAAGACAGACTCAAAGTTCTATTCCATCATCTGAAACTTGTCGAATGCTCTCGCTTCTCCCTACCAGAAGGTTCCATCCAACCCCAACAGCTGAAACATGCGGACCTTCTCACAGAGTGCCAATAGCGGTCCGCTGATCTTCACATCAAAGTCATAAGGGCCTTCTTCAATCCCCATCTTCCAAACGCACAGTTCCTCTGCGTCTCTACAATCAGTGCCAACCTGGCCACCCTACAATGTATCCAATAATCATGCTGTGTTATGCTGTAGGGCATCTAAAATACAAAACCCTGGGACTCGCTCACTGCGATGGGTCGTTCTTCTGGTACCCCAAGTAGCCCTGCAAGGGGTAGTTTTCGATCATCTTCATGTACTTCAAAATCAAAGGTCTGCAGTTTCTCTGGGCATCGATGCCGTGGTACTGCTTACACCTTCTCAATGCCTCGTGGGTGATTCTGAGCTCCTCATTTCTGATCCACTGTTCTCTCATCATAGAAGTTCTGGCCTTCTGGACCTCGGCGTAGTTCTCGTAGTTGATGTCGTCAAAAGACACCAACTCTGGTCTCGCGTGTTGTTCGTACGTGGCTATATGTTAGTTGTTTTCTTTCATTTTGTGTGGTGGTGGTACATACCCATGGTGGAGGTGATAGGTAGGTTTACGAAAAGATTGATTTTAACTGGTGGGTGCATTTCGGGCCGCGCACTACCTGATGGATCTACTGGGGGACGATAGGGTGTGGCATTTCCAAAGAGTATGGGTTGGGAACAGCTTTAGTAGAGTATGATTGGGCAATATGTACTTTTTTTTTTTTTGTATTTCTGGACTGTTGTGTGTGATCATGGTCAGCTACCAGGGGTAAGTATGCGAGAAGGGTAGTGCAGTGTCTGTGGTTAAAAACAGACCAAATTGCCAGTTGTTGAAGCATCGTCAGAAAATTTAAGACATCTTAGTTTGAAAAAGCTACTATTATCCAATCGTCACCTTGAACTTGTGGTCAAAAACTCACCCACTCAACAAAAGTTGCAGCCATTGAGAAAGTACCTTCATCACCATCAACAATCAAATTCCCTCAAAATTGTAAATTAAAACCATCCAAAGAAACAAAGACTCACCAGATACCACTCACAGCCACGAAATCACCAAAACCTTCTATCTCCGGTCTGGTGCCGAGAATCACCAGATAGTACACCCGTGCACCAACCAGAGACCACTATAACCCCAGAGTTTCTCCATCACCAGCCTTACATCTTCAATAATGGGAGAAAAAGCTGCCCCGCCTGCTGGCGTTGCTGCTAAAACGCCTGAAAGTCCGTACCTCCGGCTCAATGCCAAGTGGATTGCCATCGCCCATGGCTTTTTCGCTTTGACGGCTTTCGTAGGTGCTCTTATTGTCGGATGCTATCTCCATTATGAAAAAATCGTCCGGAATGCCAGCTACGGCTATCCTGATGAGTGGTTTCCCTCTGTGCTGGCAACTATTGGTGATAGATACCCAGAAAGATCCGTTTTCCAGATTTTCATTGCAGTTACTTCGGGGCCACGGTTTCTTCTAATCTTTGCCAACTTCTTCGTCTTGTACAACGAAGGACGCAAGAAGGCCTGGACGGCTTTAATCACAGGACTTTTGAGAACTTTTACCTGTGGTGGCTGGGTGTATATCACGTCCACTGACGACCACGATGCCCACGATGTGTTCATGATCAGTTACATTGTGCTCACCATTCCATGGACAGTGTGTATGTCCTCATTGAGTCCAAAAGGCAGCACCGTAAAGAAGGGCCGTATTTTCACTGCATTGACGTTCTTTGGCCTGCTTGTGCCTTTGGTGTATTTCTTTATTCAGCACAAGGTGCATGTTATCGCTGGTGCCTACTCCTACTACGCCTACATCGAATGGTCCTTGATCTTCTTGGATGTTGGCTTTGACTCGTGGTCTTATCTCGATCTTTCCAACCTTGAGCTCAGAGTCTACGGCTCCTCTGTGGAGTTTGCAACTCCTGAAATCGTCAAGAAGAGCAAGCCCGTAAGCACAGACGACTTGGAGATCAGCTGTCTCTCGTTCGTGGTCAACACCATCAACTCATTCACTTTCATGACCAGTATCACCGGCATGTTCGCTTGTGTGTGGTACTTCCCCTTGTGGCACATGGGTGTCTCAGGTTACGAAGCTGTCATTGTCGTGATGTTCGTTGGTCCTATTTTCGTCCTCCCACTTCGTCGCCTCTTCTGCGCTTATCCATTCATTCCTAGAGTTTTGGCAGTAATCACTACCGTGGGTGCCTGGAAGGTGTCAGACCCAGCCAACCGTCTTATGACCGTGAGCGCAGGTGTGGGTTTTTCTGCCATTGGCTTCACCACCGACTTGTTCAACTTACAAAATAACGCCGAGAGATACACCTCATACTTCGTTTCCTTGTTTTTGGGTGTTTTGCTCTCGTCTGAAATTAAGTATGTTTTCTCGTCCAACAACCCAGCTTGGCCTATCATGCACAAGGAGAATGGCGGTTACAACGAGATTGCTTTCTTTGTGACCATGTTGGCTGCCTTGTTCACGCGTGCTCCTAAGAAGTTGCCTGAAGCACACTCTTTGAAGCTCGAGGGTGGCTCATTCTTGCTTTCAGCCTTGGGTTTGGCAGGCTACTTCTTTTCGCTCACTTTGTTCTTGTCCGACTCGTCGATCTTTGTGATCTGGTCGTGGACAGGCTTCCCAGTGAAAGGACCAACCCCCTTGATCGGTGGTTTGATTCACTTCGCTGCTGCTATCGCTGGTGTCATGACATCTCTCAAAATTCACCCTAACTTGTTAACTCAACCTGTTTTCCCAATTGTGGGCGCCATTGGTGCCGCTGTTGTACTCAGCCTCTATCAGGACTGGATTGGATTTGCTGGTGCCACTGTGTACACATTCTTCATCGCTTCTATCACTCCAACCATCGCTCAATCGTTAGTGGGATACTGCCCTATCAAGTTGATCATTGTGGCATTCCTTGTTCACATTCTCCTCTGCTTGGCATCTGTTTGGATCGTCGCATACGCTTTTGTTCCAGGCGGACCAGCTTTGAGAGAGCGTACAGACTTGATGGTTGCTGTCACGATCGGCAGTGTCGTTCTTGGTGTGGTGAACTTTGTTCTTCGCAAGACCGCTTCCAAGATCACACGCATTGAGGTGGTTGGCTCCAAGCTTTGGCGCCAGGCATTGTTCATCATCACCATTTTGGTTGCCATTACTACCACTGGATTCACTGCTAGATACCAATCCGTGGCTCCTCAACCATACAAGCCGGAGACTAGATCCTTCACTGCTGGTATCTGGTGTGTCCACTTCGGTTTGGATAACGATCTCTGGGCCAGTGAGATCCGTATGAGCAACTTGCTTAGAGAGGCAGAGGTTGATATCATTGGTTTATTGGAGACTGATACTGAGCGTCTTATCGGTGGTAACAGAGACTTTCCCCAGAGAATGGGTGAAGAATTGGGAATGTACGTTGACTACGGTCCCGGTCCTAATAAGCATACTTGGGGAGCTGCCTTGCTTTCAAAGTTCCCTATTCTCCACTCGGAGCACCATTTGTTGCCTTCACCAGTTGGTGAGTTGGCTCCGGCTATCAAGGCTACTTTGGACGTTTACGGTGAGCACATTGATGTTGTGGTCTTCCATTCTGGCCAGGAAGAGGACCCAGAGGACCGCCGTTTGCAGAGCTTGTACCTTGAAAACGTTATGGCTGAATCCCAGAACCCATTGGTTCTTCTCAGTTACTTGGTGACTAAGCCATTAGAGGGCAACTACTTCACCTATGCAAGTGAAAAGTCAAGAATGCACGACATTGACTCCACTGACTGGGACAGATGGTGCGAGTACATCATGTTCCGTGAGCTTAAGAAGGTTGCGTACGCTAGAATCTCAAGATCGACCATCACTGACACCGAGCTTCAGATTGCCAAGTTCAAGTTCCTCAATGACGATCAGAGACTGATTGGCGAGGACTTTATCTACGGTAACAATTTCATCAGCGAAGAGCAGGTGGATCCAAGCCTCCGGATGCCTTCCTTGTTCAGAGGCGATGGAGTCAGAGGCCATAGATACCATGTCTTTGACGAGCCTCGCTATTTTGCTGAAACGTTTGAGCAATTGGGACTCGAAGAGTAAATTTCGAATTAATCTTAGAATATTTCATGTCTGATGATAAAAGGTCAAGTTAGCCATGGTAGTGCGAAGACCGCGCACTCTTGTAGTTGCAAGATTTTCTACTGATCCAATTATCACCAACTCAGGACTTGGTTGAAACGCACAAATGAACATTTTCAATACCGCCAAGAGCCTCATATTTGGTCAGAGGCCGGTTCTCAATACCTTGATACAAACGAGAACCAAAATGAAGTCCCACAAGTCTGCAGCCAAGAGGTTCATCAAGACCGCCAACGGCTACAAGAGAAAGTGTGATGGCAGAAACCACGGAAACGCAGGTTTCACCCCAAACAGTTATAACCACTTGAACAAGTGGCAAATGGTGCCCAAGAAAGGCGGCCACTTGAAGAAACTACAGAAGTACCTCGAGGTCTAAGAACTAGATATATTACAATAATGGCATGTAAATAGCAATGCAAGGGATTCTATTGAATCTATTTGTGCTCGACATCTTTCCATTCTCCGGACTCGATGTCTTTTCTGATTTCCTGGGTTGGGAAGTAGTGGTAGTTCGTCTTGATAGACACCGCGCCAGGAACATGGTCAAACGATACTAGACGCAATTTCACGTAGGTATTATCTGGGATTGCCGTGACAAGCTTGACGAAACTCTCCAAGTCCTTCGTCTCTTGGTCGTTCACGTGAGTGATGAAGACACTGGTCGAGATTCCATATTGGGCCATAGGGCCACCAGCATGCTTTCTAGCAACGTAGATCTTGGATGGAATGGTCTCCATGAGCTGACGAACAGCATGGTGAGGTTCTTGAATAACTGCACCACACCAGAAGAATACTCTATCGGTATTTATGGCGTTGGTGTCGATAGTAGGAACAGCAATGTCCTGGACCTTCTTGTGACGAACCACCTTGAAATTGAGTATCTCGTTGGTGTACATGTCACTGAGATCTCTGGCGCTCTTCACAAGCTTATCGTTCACTGTGAGGATGATATCTGAGGTCTCGAGTGGGCAAGGGCGACTCTCATCAGATGGTGCACTGACTCTGTAGACCGACAAGAATTTGACCTCATCTTCACACTCTTCCTCGAAACGGGTGATCCATTCCTGAGGCACACCACGAGTACGTCCCAGGAACACCGTAAGCGGCGTGAGCTCGGCGTCCAATATGCGCAAGTGCTGTGGAATCTCGTTATTCTTCAAGCCATTGAGGATTTGGGCAACATCGGTGACATCCAAAGCCATACGGAACATGACATCGGCAATTCCCTCAGTCTGTTCACCCAAGTAGGTCAACCAAAATGCACGCAACGTTCCATCGTCGTCTATAAGGGCGCCAGTATCACACTCCTGTGCAATCTTGCTGTCAAGCAAAATACACTCAAGGTTGATACCTCTGTAACGAGGGCTCGTTGGGTTGGCACAAATATTGAGGGAGGAGATGGAGCTGACGGTAACATCGTCTGTAACCATACGGAAGTGGTAGTTGTAGCCAACAAATAATGATTTGTCACCTCTCTTGAGAGGCTTGTCGGAGAATTTTGGTGTCTTGACATCGGCAAGGACCTTGGAAGCGTCGTACTTGACCAACGCATAATTGAGGTTAGGATGCAAGAAAACGACTTTACCGGGTATATCGACAGACTCGGCAAAGATCAAGTAGACGTCAAGAACATCATTGGGCACAAACTTACGAGATACCAAGACGTATCCATTCTCGGCATCCACGACGACACCATGACCAGCATCCTTTCTCAACGAAGTGCCGTCAACAGAAATAGGAGATATCGTTCTCACCTGGACGAAAGATCTGGTCATCTGAGAGCAGCCTTGTTTACGGTCGTCGGAAAAGGGAATGTCGATAAACTTGGCATTCTGAGGAGTGATCTCCTGGGGTGGGAGGGGCTCTTTCTGTAAAGATTCAAAATCCCAAAGACCAGTCTTGTCGTTTCTGGTGGCCAATCTGAATTCCGTTTGCCAGTGTCTCTCAATGTAAACAACATGGACGTTCTTGGTATGCAAATCGGACATGTGACGGTAGGCAATGGTGACTTTCTGCTGATCTGGGAGTTCCTTCATCACCTTGATGAAAGTGTCGAGATCCGGCGTTGGCTGCTCATCTATCTTGTCCAAAATCCATCCAGTTTTCTCAGTTGGAGAGACATTGAAGGTACCCGAGGCATCACTGATAAAGACACCTCTAACAGGAATGCAGTAGCACCTGGCCATCTGGTAGGAGAGGTCATTGAAAGATGCACCAGCAACCTCGACGTATCTGCTAGGGTGATTGCGTGCAAATCACCGATGTTGATGTTTTGTCTGAATTCTTTGCCGCCTCTTTGGAACACGAATTCAAGGTCCTTACCGACGTTGGCGTCCAAGATCTCGTCGACTTTGATAAAGCTGGCAATGAACTCGCCATTGATGGAGATAAGGGTGTCACCCTCCTTGATGATATTGTCAGCAGGGCCCTCAGGAAGCACAATCTCAGCCACCAAAAGACCCAGTCTGTCTGGGAAACGCTCTCTGGCTTGGGCCTCGGCATCAGGCGTCAAACCCAATCTGCGACATTCTTCGAAGGGACGTAAGACCCACTCGACCTGAATGTCACCTCTGGTGATGGGCTGATCTTGCTGAATACACTGTAAAGCACGCAATGGACGCGAGACTGGGAGGAAAAAATCTGTGGATGCCTCTGTAGAACCACCGGCTTGCAAAGCCACAGCTTGACCGTCTTCGTTTACCACAGGCGAGCCCGAGGAACCACCAGATGCGGAAGCAGCAGCCTGGATATACTCCGTGTTGAAATCATTGTAGGTCAATGCACCGTAGTATGGGGCATTTCTGTCTGTTCTGGAGATGAAACCTGCCAAGATAGACAACTTCTCACCGGCATCGTTACCCACGACTCTGACTTCGGTACCGACCTTGGCTAAGTCCGGCCTGAGTTCCAATTCGTGAATCTTCATGTGCATCACAGCCTTGGGATCGAACTGCAAGAAACCAAAGTCATGGATAGGGTCTCTGTAAAGAGGTTTGACAACCGCTTCTTCGTGATTGTCAAAAACAGCATAACCAGAGAATGGACCAGGACCGACAACGTGTCGGTTTGTGAGGATGATACCTCTGGTAGAGTCCACAACAAATCCAGTAGCCTCACTCGTGAGACAAAGCTCGGTATCGAAATTAGTAATATTTGTGAAGTGAATCGACACGACAGACTTGATAACTTCTGTGATGGTGCCTTGCCACTGGTTGTTGTTCAAGGAGCCAGAGGCCCCATTGCAGCTGCATGAGCCGTGTAGGCATCCTCTATACTTTCATCTGAATAAGACTCTGACTCCAGGTCCATCTCTATGGGCTCTCCTCTAGCGGGGCGCTTTGGCGAAGGCACAACGCCGTTGGAAACCAGTCTTTTGATTGGGGCCATTTTAGGATATAGGCACTTTAAAAATCTGGGAAAGTCTCGTAGTAGTTGTGAAAAGAGGTGTAGGTACGGTTGACGGTACTGCAGGGACACTGTGATGGGATCTGTAGCAGAGGCCTTTTTTTCAGCGGCAGCAGTGGGACACCTGTGCACCACATACTGAAGGAACCCACTTGCAACCGTAGTGGTGACGGATAATCTGCGAGTAGACAGGAACCCTGCTTATATTTAAGGCTGTTAGCATTTCTGACAATGGCATTCTCGTCATTGGACAGGTGTGAGGGGAGTTTGAGGCTGCGCTCTTGAAGAATCGTCAAGCATTTTTGGCTGCAAATCGCCGAGTTTGAGATAATTGGGACAAAATAGTCATGAATATAGCATTACCAATTACCCAAGCTCATCGATCACACGAGCGGTCCACCGTTGGTAGTACTCCTCCTGAGACGGTTTGTCAAACATGTTGGAAGGATTCATCATAGAGCCGAATTGCTCGAGAATTTCATAACCCTTGCCTAGTTTACCCTCTATCTCTCTAGTCTTGGAAGTGTCCTCGGCCGACCAGTTGTTATGCACGTATTTCAACTCTAAGTCGATGATCCAGGGTTCTGATTTGACGGACTCCTCGATGATATTGATCCACATCACCATGTTGAGCTTCATGAGACCGCCTTTCTGGTACTGAAATAGCTGATCTTGAAGCTCTGTTTTCTTTCCAATTGTTCTTTCTAGAAGTTTGCTGTTGATTCTGACGTAGGCAGCATGCACAAGCCCGCAGGCCAAAAGCCATTCGTTCTTTTTAAGGAACTTGTGTCTCTGAGCCATAAAGCTTTCCACTAGTTGCGGAGTGACCTGAGCAGGAATGTAGAAGTTATTAGCGAATGAAACGATGTCTGCTATGGTCAATTGACGGATATAGCGCGGGGTGCTTGGAGAGGCAGTGACTGATTTCAGAGTTTTCGGCGTTTTAGGCGAGGCATTCTGCTCGGGAGTTGTAACATCCTTATCCAATTTCCGCTTGGATGGGGTAGTGAATGGCGATTCTGTGTCCAGTGGCTTTTTGGTAGGATTGAATGGAGACTCCATATCAAATGCCTTCTCAGGTGTCTTATCATTCTTCAAGGATTGAAGCTTTTTCAAGGGACTCGAGATCTTAGGAGCACTTCCTTTCTGAGGCAGCGGCAGGTTCAAAATACGTTGCTTAGTCGGCGTGTTGCTTGGGGATCTAATGGCTGGAGTGACTTTCTCTTCTAAATCTTGTAGAAGCTTGTTCAATAGCTTTGGTTGTACAGGGATTTTTTGTGGCAGGGGGTCAGGAAGCGAAAATCTTTGCTGACATCTCAAAGCTCCCAAGTAAGCACATAGATGGTAACGTGCTATGTCTGCTCTATTGGGTAGTGAAGGGATCTTCTGGATACTGAGACTGTAGAGGGAGCTCACATATGAGACCAATTGTGGCGGAAATGTTCCTGAGTATGTCGGAAGTACATCCAGGAGATATTGAGTAACTTGTTGGCTGCTCATCTATTTTGGAAGTCTGAAGTTGTGTAGTATTGATAGAAAGGGTAGTACTGAGTGTAGTAGGGCTACTGTTGATGGACTGCAGGTAGGACACAACCAGATTCATCAATATCGGACAAACGATGAGCCCGAGGGGCACTAATAATTAACTTTCAGGAGATGTCTTCACAAAATCTTCCTATTGCTTTGTTTACTCTTTTTATTGAGAAGATTGACCTCTTTCTGGGCCTACGGCAGCTACACCTTTTATGAGCACCGCACGACGCGCGCTAGCCAACCAGAACAAAAGTAAAAGTAAAGTTCAAAGATCCAACCTTTTCTATAACCTCAAATATACTCCACAAAATGTTGTCGAGAGGTTTGCTTAGGACACAGGCTCGCCAGTTCTCTTACACGGCGTCCATGATGCAGAAAGCCCTTCTCGAGGACGCTTCGACCGTGAAGCCAAATGAGATTGTCTCTGGTGCTCCAGAAGAATTGGCTACTGCTAGAACTGTCAGAATCTACAAAGAGGCCAAGCCAGCTACTCAGTCTGGTCGTCACAACGGCAAGTTCTGGAAGTTGGACTGGGACGTTTTGGGCAAGGAGAACAGATGGGAAAACGACTTGATCGGTTACCAGTCAAGTGGAGACTACATGCAAGGCACCATCATGAAGTTTGACACCAAGGAGGCTGCTATCAGATTTGCTGAAGGCCAGGGCTGGTCATACTACGTCAAGGAGCCCAAGGAGAGACATTTCAGAAAGAAGGAGTACGCCATGAACTTCTTCCACTCTGCGGGCCCTTTGAAGCACATCAGAACGAAGTGATGTGATGCATCTGTACAATAATAGCATATATCGAGAGATTTGGTGTAGTTTGGAGGGCTTCAGGCCAATAGTAGGGATGGATCGGCCACTTTGGCACCTTAGACTCAGCCTTTGTAGATCTATAAAGAACTGCTATACACGAGGAAGGATGACAACAAAGCAGCTCTCGGCCTTTTCTTCAGATTGACATAAAAAGTGTGGTTCGAGCTTACTAGATGATACACGGTTGGCTGCGAAAGCCGCTCCTACCTATATAGGACACTGCAACATATCTCCACAATAACGAAGAATACCAAAACTCCTCTTCTTCCATCAAATAAACTCTTAAATCCACTTCTGGAAACATCAAAAATAATATTCTTCCTGCAGCACTATCACGAAATTGCTGGACCTTCTCGGAGCATCAGCCCCAGACCGGTGAAGTCTGTATACACACCGACACTCTCACTACGCGCAAGATGTGCATACTTCTTCAACAGTAAACTACTCAAGATAGACTGGATCCCACCCAACTACCGTGTTCACCACAACCAGGAGGACTCGATCTTTTGCATTATACGTGTATATTTGAGGCTTGACCAATCAGCGGATCCGTCATCGAAAAAACGCAAAACACGCCCCATCAACCCCGTATGTCTTTCAACCGCCATAGACATAGAAAGCGGTATGGGCCCCTGGTGGCTCTTCCAGCCACGGAGGCTACCCGAACGGTAAATTCTCCCTGGTAAGGCTGCCGCATTACGATAGAAACCGTGCTCCACGGGGACCGGGCTCGCTGGACTCGAGACATGATCCATACAGAAAAGTAGCATCAGAAGGAAATCCCACACCTGAACTGTCGGTACAGACGCTGCCCTCGGAGGCCCGTTTTAGAAATAACTCAAAGGCGAGGTATAGCAACGGCAGGCTGTACGAGGAAATGGGGTCCACTGTCTCCACACCTCCACATAGTGCATCGGATTCATACTCCAGAAACGAGATCAAGCTTTCGGGAACAAACACAGTCACGGGCGAAAACCCCGTGGACGCAAAGTTTGAGCAGTGTCTTCATCACATCTCGCATCTCGAACTGCGACCTTTCCTGAGTCCAATCGATATACTGAAGAACTATCGTGTGACATATGATCCAGAGCTCGACCTGGCCCTTCCGAAGGCCGAGCGAAAGCATAACTCAAAGAAGTTTCGTTTCCAGACAGAACACCATGAAAACCCTCCATCGGACCCTAGAGTGAAGATGGGTATACACAACTACTTCTCCAAGCCCAACAAGACATCCAAAAAGTTACAATTCAAGCATTTACCTCAACCACGATTCATTTATGACAAGGACTCCTTAGGGCTGCCGCCTCTCACTGAATTGGTCGTCTGGGACCTTCCGACCACTATCACCGAGGTATACTTCACCAACTTTTTCGAGGCTTACGGCGATAGAGTCAAAGATGTGAAGTTTTTGAATGACTCCACAAATGCTGTTCCGCTTGGAATAGCCACATTCTCTTTCCAGGGTAACCTAGAGAAGTCATCGAGGATCGCAAAAGCTCTTATCAAGCGTATTCGCGCAGAGGAGCCCAAGATCGACGGTGTCAATCTAAAAATTGCCCTTAACGATAGTGATAGCCATTTACTCAATGCAAAGATTAAGGTTGCCAAGAGTCAACTACACGTTGAAAGACTCAAGAGAGAGAAGACAGAAAAGAGACTACTGGAGATCAAGAAGAAAAAAGAAGCCAGAGAGGCACGCAAGGAGAAGGCTGCCCAGACCACAGGAAAAGATGCCACTGAAAAGACAAGAAGTCCATACGAGGGCCTGCTTCCGAGCAATAACACTACAACGAAGTCCAAGGTGCATAGAAACAAAGTCGTTGAAGGGTGCCCAATTCCTGACGAGCTCGTCAAGTATGTTAAAGATCGTCCCTTCATCTTCATCGCTGATCTGTTTGTCCCAGTGAAGAAGATCTCGTCGCAGGATGTTAAGAAAATCTTGATGAAGTATGATTGGACTAGAGTTCTCACAGACAAGCTAGGTTTTTACGTGGTCTTCAACTCTCTCAAAGAGTGTTACCGCTGCTACAAGTATGAGGACGGTCTACGGTTCTTCGAGTACCGCATGTTCATGGAGATTTGTGTTCCGGAACACTTTGATCCCGAAAAGACTGCTTCGAGGGTAGCACAGAGCCACGGAAGTGGACACGATGTTGTTGACGAGGCTACAAATATGCTCATCAAAGAGTTCCAGACATTTTTGAGCAAGGACATCAGAGAAAGAGTCATTGCTCCCACAGTTCTTGATCTCCTTGCTCCTACGAATTACCCTGAGCTCATGGCAGACTTGAAGAAGAGACAAGAGGAAGAAGAGGAGCTCGCGCAAAAGAAAAAGAAGGAAGAGGAAGCTAAGGATAGCGGATCTTACTCGTTCTTACAAGACAGGCGTAAAGACACAAAGAAAGGTGATCCAAATAATGATCGTGTCTTGATGCTTCCCAGCTTCACCAAAAAAATTGGTGCCTCGCCTAAGGGCAAGCTGAAGAAAATGAAGAGCATGTTGCCAATGCAGCATGCATTGAACTACGCTGATCAAGACTCAGATGCTTCCGACGAAGAAGATTCGAGCCGCTCTGTAACTCCCGCTCCATCTATGAAGAGAGAATTATCACTGACAATTACTTCACAAGATGACGAGGCTCCATCCAAAAAGCATAAGTCTTCCAAGCTTCGGGAGACCTTTATGTACGACGAAACGTCAGAAGAAGAGGAGGAAGGTGTCGAAGGTGAGGCTATGGAGATTGAACCCGAAGAAGAGGAGCGCGTTGAGCAGGTTGATGAGCTCTATGCACCTACCGAAACCACAGCTCCAGTTCCAGTAGTCGAAGAGATCGAGCAGCAGGCTGGCAGTCTATTCGATTTGCACAGATTGGAAAGTGTTGTCCGCGATGACGAAGACATGGAATTGGCACGTAAGGTACTTGCAGACATCACACCTGCAGTGGTCAGACATCCCGAGTACTGGGCATGGAAGCAGAAGGAACTGTCCAAGGCAATCATCTCCGAGGAAGAGTCGATTGGAGTTCTCAGCGATCGTTTGGAGTGCTCCACTGGTTCTTTCAAAAGCGAGGGATACAGAAAGATTGCTGATGCAGACAAAATCGAGTACTTGCCCTACAGAAGAAAGATTCACAAGCCGCTTAAAACTGTTCAACACGACGAGGAAGAGCATGCCTCCGGCGGTACTTCGAATAGCGGTGTACAGAGCTCACGTGTGAACCGTGCCAACAACAGAAGATTTGCAGCCGACATCAGTGCTCAGAAGCAGATTTTGAGTACAGAGTCCGATATCCTCAACTTGAACGCTTTGAACAAGCGTAAAAAGCCTGTTTCGTTTGCCAGATCGGCAATTCATAACTGGGGTCTCTTTGCTCTTGAGCCAATTGCGGCTAAAGAAATGATCATTGAGTACGTTGGTGAGAGCATCAGACAGCAGGTGGCCGAACACAGAGAAAAGAGTTATCTCAGGACGGGTATTGGATCTTCTTACCTTTTCAGAATTGACGAAAACGTGGTCATTGACGCTACCAAAAAGGGAGGTATTGCCAGATTCATCAATCACTGCTGCAACCCTAGTTGTACTGCCAAAATCATCAAGGTGGATGGTAAAAAGAGAATCGTCATCTACGCACTTCGTGACATAGACGCCAACGAGGAGCTCACCTACGATTACAAGTTCGAGAGAGAGACGAATGATGCCGAGAGAATTCGCTGTTTGTGTGGTGCTCCTGGATGCAAGGGCTACTTGAACTAATTTGCACCCATTAATGTATATAGAGCGTTGAGACGCGAGGCGATAGTGGTGCAGACAGGAGACATCAGTTTGGAAATCAAGCTTAGCGAGATCGACTACAAACCCACATCAAGACAGAGCTACTTCATACATTTTGCTACATATGGCATTCTAATACCACATTTTTCAAAGACAAAGTTGCATTAGCATTAGTTCATATCCATACCCATGCATATTCACGCGATCCTACGATCCAGCTCAAGACCTCGATCCTGGTTTCTATGTCATCGAAGAGCAGTTTCCTTCGTTCTGAGAGCCAGATATGGAAAGCAAAGTTTGATTTCTAATCTGTGGCGTGGATTGGCCACTGAAAGCGACTTACTACCTAAACTAGAGAACGATTCAGATTCTCCAGATTGGGATAGAGGAGGCCAGACAAAAGAAAACGCATTGACACCTCTTCTCCTGTCGATGAGACGGCTTATAGATGCCAATAAAGGTTGTGTATGTCTTATCCAAGTTGGCAGCTTCTATGAACTCTACTTCGAGCAAGCGACCTTAGTTGCACCCAAATTGGGTATCAAGGTAGCCATCAAACGAACTAACAATCACAGTGTGCCAATGGCAGGGTTTCCCGTCGGCCATCTTCGAAAGTTTGTTAAAATGCTTGTGCACGATTTACAGGTCAATGTTGCAGTGATAGACCAGTACCTGACAAACACAGACACTATAATGCATAGAAAGGTTTCACGAATTGTGTCGCCAGGAACGTTAGTGGATGAGAGTTTCATTAACTTTTCAAAAAATAACTATTTGGTTGCCATTTCAATCCCGCCTCAAGCGTCACAAGGTCCCAATCCGGACCTACCTATAGGTCTTCTGTGGATCGACATATCAGTGGGCGAGTTTCATGTTCAGGAAACAACCATGGCTGATCTTGCATCTGACTTGAATAGAGTCAGTCCAAGTGAAGTTATCATGAGCAAAGAGTATCAGGATAAAAGTGAGGTGATCGACTGGATTTCTGAGATGGCCAACCTTCGAAAGTACTTTGTAAGGTACCATAAAATAACGTATGGCGACTATAAGGTGCAATTGAAATCAAACTTACAAACGATAAGGAAAAAACTAGAGGACTTCACTGTTCGTGAAGAGAGTGCCATGAACATGGTACTTTCCTACATTAATGTCAACCTACCAGATAGACCATTATCGCTTGATTTACCTCAACAGTATTTCAGCAGCAAGTATCTTCACATGGACTCAAGAACAAGAGATGCTTTAGAGCTAACTGAACGTCTGAGTAGCGGACTGAATTCAACAGTTGGTACACTCCTTAACACGATCAAGCAGACAGTAACACCTTCAGGCACCCGCCTCCTCACACAATGGATCAAACTGCCAATTTTGGATACGGAAGAAATCAAAAAGCGGCAGGCATTCACGCAACATTTTGGAAAATCTCTGACTTACCTCATGAGAATCAGGTACCAGCTCACTAGACTAGGTGATCCCATTAGATCACTACAGAAACTAGCTCTCAAGGCAGGCCCCTCTGTATCACATCTTTTGGGAATTGGAGAGGCTCTTGCCGAACAAGAGAAGCTCAAGGCCATACTTGTTGAATTGCAGAATGAGCACGGAAGTAAGCAGTTGCAAAACTTCATTAATGACTTTCAAGTACCCATCGATATATCCAAGGAGATACTCGATACTCTATACACAGATCCTGTTTTAGAAAATGCTAGAGAGCTTGTGGACGAGGGGGTTGCTCATCTGTTGAGTGATCTGTTGGGTTCCTCCCTGACAGCAATCGGTGATTATAAGAATGATGCCGCAGATAAGGAACAAGCAAGCCCAATCTTCGTCTTCAATGTGAAGCGAGATCATGATCCTAATTTAAGCAAACTTCATGACTCCCTAGAGAAAATTCAGAAAGAAGAGATAGAGTTGTTACAAGGTGTAAGGGAGAATGTCGCAGTCATCGACCCTAAGGCCGTTGTCACGAAGAAAGATCAGGTGGGAAGGTACTTTGACGTGATACATATATCCTGTCGCCTGAAGATGTCCACTGACATAGCAAATCACATTGACAAGAACGGCGAAGTGAGAGAGAGAAAGAAGACAACTTTGATTTATAAACCCACCCAATGGTCCAGGCTTCAAGAGCTGCGCAATACTATCGTTCATAAAATTGAGGAATTGGAAAAGGCGATAATTGAAAATCTTAAAACGGCCGTGCTTGAAAAGACTTTGTCAATCAGAAAAGTCAACAGAATGGCCGACTTCATAGACATTACTTCGTCGTTTGCAGTTCTTGCTAGAGATAACGATCTCGTTTGCCCAAATTTTGTGAAGTCAAATTACCTCAATATTCTGGAAGGAAGACATCCTGTCGTTGAAATTGGTCTCAAGACAAACGGAGAGATGTTCACACCTAACGATACAAAACTCGGCCCCGATGGTAATCTTTGGGTGATATCAGGGCCTAACATGGGTGGGAAAAGTACTTTCCTCAGACAAAATGCCTTGATTGTGATCATGGCACAAATTGGCTGCTTCGTTCCTGCTGCCAAGGCAAATATTGGAATTGTGGATAGAATCTTCACTAGAATTGGTGCATCTGATGACATCTTCAGTGATCTCAGCACATTCATGGTTGAAATGATCGAGACGAGTAATATTTTGAGCAATGCTACTTCCAGGTCCTTGGCTATTGTGGACGAGATCGGAAGAGGGACGAGCGGTCGAGAAGGATTGGCCATATCGTATGCTGCGCTTGTCAGTTTGCTTCAAACAAATAAGTGTCGTACACTTTTTGCTACCCACTTTGGTGCAGAGCTCAAGAAATTACTAGACACGGATAAAGTTTCTCAAACTAATGTGCGCTTCTACAGAACTAAGGTCCACACGAAGGAGGGACTGCCAAACATTTCGTTTGATCACACACTAGAACCTGGGATTAGTGAGCGATCTTATGCGTTTGAAGTTGCAAAATTAGCTGGATTTCCTAACCATTCATTAAAACACGCCGAAAGAGCCTTGAAGCTTCTTGACGATCCTAAACTATAATACATTCTATTGAGGGGGCCCTGAGGCGGATGCTGAGTATGCGGATTTTGGTCTTGCTGATTGAGCTGGTTAGCCACGAGGGCATGAAGCTGGTATAATGCATTCGCTTGCTGAGGAGCAGGCTGTTGTTGAGTTTGTGGGATTTGCTGTTGTTGAATTTGGAAGTTTGGAGGGGGTTGTTGTGGTTGCTGGTACGTTGGCTGGGGGTACATCTGTGGATGACCCTGTGGTTGTCCTTGAGGCCAGTATGGCTGTCCATAACCGTATGGGGTTTGTGGCTGTTGGTATTGGGGAACCTGAGGCATCATACCTTGTTGTTGGTAACCCTGGTAAGGATTTGGCGCATACTGCTGCTGATGGCTTATAGGGACACCGTAAGGATTTGGTGATCCGTATGCTGGAGATTGCTGTTGAGCCTGTATTGGTGGCTGTTGAACTGGGGGAGTTTGGCGATTGTACTGATTGTTTCTTGGAGGAACTCTTGGGAGACCAGCGTAAGAGGTTTGAGAAGGAGCGAAGCCATATGACGTGAACTTATTAGGTTCGGGATTTGTGTTTTGCTTCTTTGCCTGAGGACCGTCTTTTGGATCCTTGGTCTTCTTCTTTTTCTTCTTGCGCTGCTTGGCAGCAAGCTCCTGTTCATCGTCGGAGAACTCCTGCTCTTCCTCTGGAAGCTCTTCATCGTGACAGTTACTGGCATCTGTTCCTTTAAGCTTCTTGATAGCGTCCGTGTAAATAAATTGGGATTCGGGAACAACATAGAACACTTTTTCGCCCTTTCTCTCTTTCAAAGCATTGAACTCTTCGTCAGTGTTGAATTTGACTCGGTAGTGGGGAGCCTGTAGCTTTCCAAACGTCTCAAAAAGTGGGCCTAAAACCAGTCTGTCCTCAAAACACAAGACAGACTGATCTTTGAGAACACGGAACTCACCGGAAATGTTAGCTTTAACAATGGCATTTTTCTCGACCAAGCTGGTCAAATTACCCACATATTCGAGGGAGCACTTTCGGGCACCTTGTAGTCTTCCGGAAGACTGAAAGCTTTCTCATCCATTTCATTTTTGGAGACAATTGGACCCCCGATGCCTCTTCCTCGTCATCAAGATCGTCCACTTGTTGATTGTCCTCCTCGCCATCCAGCTCAGAATCACTAGAGTCCGAGGAGCTCGAGGAATCAGAACTTGAATCTGAATCTGAGTCACTGGAGGATCCCTCGATGCTGATTTCGTCGTCCGAGAAGTGCTTGATCTCTTCGTCATTTTTCATGAATTCCTGGACCTTCTTCTCGTGGTCCACTTCCTCGTCATCAGACTTGCTAGTCTCCGTTTGAGGTTCCTCAACCTTATCAGCTTCTGTGTCTCCATTCTCTGTCTGGCCGGTGGTAGTATCGTCGTTGTTTTCTTGTTCATTGGGAAGTTCTTCTTTGACTTTTTCAGCTGCCTTATTGACTTCTTCAGCCTTTGTATCCATAGACTGGTCTTCTGACTCTTTAGGAGCAGGACCGGTACCATTTAAGGCTTCGGGAGATGGCTTGATTTCCTCGTTGGCGTCGGCAGTTGCAGCACCTGACTCGAGCTCAGGTTCATTCACCTCAGTCTTCGTGATTCCCTGTTCATCTCCATCCAAATTACTCTCCACAGTTGGAATTACTTGAGATTCAGCAGGAGTATTGCTATTTTTTTCCACCTCTGTGTGGTTCGTGTGATCGACCTCAGACTCCACACTCATGCTATGCTTTAGTATGTAACTATCGCGATGAGGTCGATGAGCCTGGGGAAACGGTGCACGGGTGTCAAGTGGTTCTTCCAGCAAGAGGCAGATTAGTACATCCCAGAGATGGGAGAGGAGAGTCCATCATTTATGGGCACAGCAGTATGTATAACAACAGGAAAGAAGCGATTATTTCGTTGGTTCTGTGGAAATTGGATTTTTTGTGCTCGGCTTGAATCATGGTTTATCTGTAATTCGCAGCCATTCAGGCTAAAAGTCTAAAGGAGTGTCAACCTTTGAGCTAACTAAAGATATTTTGACACAAAACAATACAAAAGAGTTGTCGAAGAAGCAATGAAAAGAACATATCTCGAAATGTGACGTGCCCAATCAACCCAATGTTTGACCGACGCCGAGAGCCGTTTACAGCCATACAGTAAACACCAGGATCAAGCCCAAAGATCGGCGAACCAGTCCGGTTTCGCTGGCAGCCAGTCTTGGCCACTAAAATCTGTTTACGGATTTCGTCATCCTCGTTGACAGAATGTGGCTTATGCTTCACTCACAGAGTAGCACTTGACAGCCACCCTGCGTCACCGGAATGTATGGTGGTCACCAGCATTCCCCACTGAGAAAAAGCCGTGACCTAGGGTGCTTTTGGAGCATTATTCATAAACAAGTCATCAAGAAAAACTTATCTCTAAACCAACAAAACGATTTGTTTACATTCTGACGTCAAGTGGCATTTTGTGATTCGGCGGGGAGCGTTTTTTCGGTAGTGGCTGCGAAACCGTTGCTCGCTGGTTGTGGCTGCGAAAAGGGAAAACCAGCACGGCCAAACCGTGCAAGGTATACGCAAAGATGCAAACGCCTTCTGACGTCAACAGCGGGTCCAAAGTGGCAATTCCCTAGATCTTTTGAAAAAAGCGGTGGTGCAGCTGTAGACATGTGCGTGGCTAGTTGGCCGAATACGGTGAGTCGGACCATACAAGAAGAAGAGGAAGACCATAGAGTTGAGAGTTCCAAGATTTTAGAAATGGCCCATGTAGCTTGGAAGTCTTATCGATGCGCAAATGTGCCACCATTGAGCCACCTCCGAGCCAGCGATGTAACAATGAAGCCTCGAGAATGACAGGGAGCTTACCATATGGGCAAGCCGTGTCGAGGCCAGCCGCCCAGTAGTCAGTGTGTGGAATGGTAGATGTAGTTGTGAGGAACGAGTCGTAACTTAATTGGGGTAATTGCGAGCGCCAAAACCGAATCCTGTAAAAAGTTAGAGACCTCTTTGAGCGGATCTGGGATCAGCTCATTAAGCTTCCTTGGCTTCTCTGACGGTGATCTGGGTAGCGACCAGCATTTCGCAGCCTGATTGTTGCGATGTCTCGAGCCCCACAAGGCAACAAAGCAACAAGCCGCTGCCAGCTGATAGCTTGCTGGAGATCTGGGGAACTTTAGACGAAACCTGGAATTTAGGGATAGCGGCTCACAATGAAGCGGAGGCCAGGGGTTTGCTGGTGACGGATCTATGACACTCCTCAGACCAAGGTTGATTTGAGGTTCCCGTTGGAGCAGTCCCGAGGCTATCCCAATTGTAAGTGAAGTAGATTCGGGAGAGCCGAGATAAATGCAATTTGCCAAAACACTCAAAAGGACTACTGGAGCACCCTGGTATGTTCTACCGGCTAGACTCCAAATGCCCAGCCCATCGTGAGTGGTAGACCCACGTCGACTCCTTTTACGTCAAGAAATCACCAGGTCCCCGTCCCTCCCCGTCTTCAAGCCAAGGATGCAACATCGAAAGTCTAGACAAAAGGGACACTACACACCTGGATCCCTGCCATGACAAATCCACCACAGAAGCAAAACACATGGTACAGCCGGCGGAAAGTTGCCCATGGTGGCATGTTGCCGATGCTGCGCCTAACCGGCGATGGGGCGCTTTACAATGGAAAAGCAGGTAATTAAAGCATGTTCAGATGGGGGCCATTCTCCCGTAATGTTCCGCCAATGGGCGTTCACTCTTTCTTGTGGGTACCAAGGATTCTTGGTTTTTGCAACCGTACAAGTGCGAGGCAGCCTGCATTAATCACTTGCAGACGCCCGCGGTGAGGCTTTCGCGCTTCCCAATGCAACCTGCAACCCAGCACTGTTGTGGACATATATATAAGCTGTGCTCGCCCTTTTTTTCCTACTCCATCGTCCCGGTTTAACCTGTCATTCCTTACTAACTGCGATCACTTCCTGCTTCGGCAATTACGTTCCTTACTTTAAAGTATGTATTAGAAAGTGTTTTCGAGAGAAGGGCGCTTCCCAAGGCCCAATATCAACAGTTTCGGGGGTTTCCAGGTGTGTGTCTATTGGCACCTGGGTATGAGGGTTTTGGAGGAAACGAGAATGTGTGGTTTCAGCAGAGGCTTCATTTGCCACTGAAACTGCCACGGCTCCTAGATCTACAGCTCTTCGTGGGCATTAGATTACCTTCTGTCACGTCTCGGCTTGGCCTCTCAGCCAACGAAGCTTCCAAAGCCTGGACTTGACAGGTTCCTTGGAGTTGCAAGAAACAAGATAACAGGCTCAGGTCTAGAACCATTTCACAGCTCATCGACTGCCTGGGCACCGCCCGGGCCTCGGTTTGTGCTTTGTTTCATAGTGCCTGGGTCCCACCCTTGGCGCCTTGGCAGAGCCTGCCGCGAGTAGTGTACCGTTACCAGGAAAGAAACCAGAATGCTAGGCGTAAAGGAGCCACTGCCAAATGTCACACATTCCCGACTCCTACCAACTCCTGATTTTTCGATATCCCCCTTCAGCAAGGTGCCAGCACTCTCGCATCCGATCCCAAATCAGGATCAGCCAGCAGCTTGCACCGCGTTTGCTGGTGCAATGAAACGCGCGAATCGACAGTGTCTGCAGTACTTGGATATGTACATGCACTCCTACAACCCGCTGGCTCCTCTATTTCGGGCAGGGCTTTGCCACTTTGCACCAACCGTGCGTCAAGGTGCATTGTCGACCGCGTGCTTTTGTTTACATCGCGAAATGCAACAGCTCCTTTTTGGCTGCGAAAAACGCTTGTCCTCCTGCCTCAAGGTGCCCGTTTACTAAGCTGATCTCCTAGTGAGACTCTTGTTTCACTTGCGTGGCCGCGATCCTGTTCGGGCGTGGCTCGTTCGTTTACGCACGTCACCTCGTGTTTTGTTGATAAGCCTACCCTTCTCTCGCTACTGCTACCGCTTCACCTACTAACCCTCAAGCCATGAGATTCGCTAAAGCTTCGATTGCCTCTTTGGCTTTCGCTTCGGTTGCCTCCGCTCTTCCGGCTTACAAGAGGGAGGAGGACTGCTCCTCAACCCAGGTCCATGTCCACCACAAACACAAGAGAGAGGTTGTCTACGAGTATGCCTACGTCACTGTGACTGTAGACGGCAGCGGCTCCCTCAGAGGTTCTCCATCCTCTGCTTCCTCCGAGCCTACTTCCTCCACTGCCTCCTTCTCGTCCGTCGAGCCAACCACCTCGTCTTACGTCGAGCCAACCACCTCGTCTTACGTCGAGCCATCTACTTCCTCCAGCCCATCTTCCTCCTCCGCAGGTGCTTCCACTCTGTCGTCGGGCTCTGTTCCTTCTGGTGACCTCAATGGTATTTGGGGCGACCTTTCCGACTACTCCGGCCCATCCAACAAGTTTGAGGATGGTGTCCACTCTTGTGACTCGTTCCCTGAGGGTAACGGTGTGATCTCCCTTAGCCACTTGGGCTTCGGTGGCTGGTCTGGTATCTACAACAGTGACACCTCCACCGGTGGTAAGTGCCTGGAGGGCTCTTACTGCTCCTACGCTTGTCAGTCTGGTATGTCCAAGACTCAGTGGCCTTCTGACCAGCCATCCAACGGTGTTTCCATCGGTGGTTTGTTGTGTAAGAACGGCAAGTTGTACCGTACCAACAAGGACACCAACTACTTGTGTGAGTGGGGCAAAGACAGCGCCATTGTCGAGAACAAGTTGAGCAAGGAGGTTTCCATTTGCAGAACTGACTACCCAGGTACCGAGAACATGGTTATCCCAACTGTCTCCAGACCAGGTAAGAAGATTCCATTGACCACCGTTAACTCTGACACCTACTACGAGTGGAGAGGCAAGTCCACCTCTGCTCAGTACTACGTCAACGACGCCGGTGTCGGCTACAAGGACGGTTGTTTGTGGGGTTCTTCTGGCTCTGGTGTCGGTAACTGGGCTCCATTGAACTTTGGTGCTGGCTGGACCAACGGCATTGCCTACCTTTCGTTGATTCCAAACCCCAACAATAAAGATGAGACCAACTACAGTGTGAAGATTGTGGCCGACGACAACTCTAATGTCAACGGTGAGTGTGTCTACAAGAACGGTAAATACAACGGTGACGGTACCGATGGCTGTACAGTTGCAGTCACCTCTGGCCGTGCCAAGTTTGTATTCTACTGATCCTTATTACCCAAACTTATGTTGTTTTGATATTAAATGAAAATAGTTATTGTCAAGAATTTGTAGGCGTTTAGATGTTCGCTAATTAGTTGCATCGTGGCTGACATCAAGCCCCGATCGGTTAGTGTCTACGAGCAAAACAAACTTTAGCGCAATGCAAGATGCACGATGGTTTGAAGCGAGGAGGTTGATATTTTGCAGCACACCAAAACAAACACAACCCTGCTTTTCTACTTGAGGTGATAATATTGGAATTGGCGAATAGGAGATGTAAAATTCAGAGAGTATGATGATATTATCGAATAAAGCTTTTTGTTTTGTCAATGTTTTGTGCTCACTGTATCAGTGCCAAACAACCATAGTAGGCCATGAATTGGATCAGTAAACCGCCTTATTGAAAAATATTTTGAGCAAAGCTTAAAACCATGTTGCATTTTAAAGGGAGAGATTCTACTTTTGACGGTGATTTTATCATTGGCTGACATGCAACTTAGGGCTGCGTTACTGATACCCTTACCCAAATGTGAACGACCCTCCACAGAAATTGACGGTAGAAACAGGGGCC